CCATTCTGGGCTGCTGCTTGTAGCGCAGTCATTCCATACTTTGCTGCTGGGGCATTGACATCTGCACCGGCGGCCAGAAGGACCTGGACCAGCTCCATGTCGCCTTTCTCAGCTGCTGCTTGTAGCGCAGTCGTTCCACACTTTGCTGCTGGGGCATTGACATCTGCACCGGCGTCCAGAAGGACTCGGGCCAGCTCCCGATTTCCTTTCGTTATAACGTGGTAAAGTGGTGTACCGTATTCGGCCCATACGCTCGGGTCTGCACCAGCCCTGAGAAGGATCTCAACAATGCCTGTATCTTCAGCTTTTACAGCGGCTGCGAATAGATTTTCCACGAATGCTTTCATAGTGACTGTCTTTATGGACAGTAGAGATTGAAGAAGTGGTCTGTCTCTCTGATTTTGAAGATATTCGATCAACTTCGTAGAACCGTTGCCACTCAGGTTGTTAGATATCAAGTACATCGCGAGACTGAAATATTCAGCGGCTCTACCCAGGTAGAGGTACGGAGCGGTTTCCTTGGCTTGGAATTTTCCCTCGATTTGTTCCGGCACAGTAGCACGAAGATAAGAATGGACACTCCGAATCGTTGTACCATGACGAGTGATAGTGGTGTTAGGGATTGAGGTAGCCAGAACCGACATTATCTCTCTTGACATTGATGAGCTGTTGTTTGAGATTCCATGTAGCGGATCGCCTAATATGGAGACAAGAGCCTGAGCAGAGGCAGCTAGATTGGGGTAAGATGTGACTAATCTAGTGTCAGTCTATCCCTTAAGCAGCTAGAATCCGTGGCATAAGCACCTTCAGGATCAATATGGCTTTGGAACTGGAACCACGGAAGATTTTCCAACAGATAATTGTCCGTTGACAGGGCTGGAGGCGTGCAGATGTAAACCTCTTCCGGTGTCTTTGGGCTCGGTGCTGCGAAGGTGAGTATCTCAAGTCATGTACAAGAGGGTTGTGAAGAGTACCTTGGCCGTAACGTTCTTGCACCGTGGGCCAGTCATGTCGTGAAGTCTCCTTGCGAATTTTGTCCCCTTTGATCAAAATACTGTCAACGTACAAGTCACTCTTCTTGCCCCTTCGTCTTCGGTTCTCGATACGGCGACGTATAGCCCTCCAGTCAGAGCTTTTCAGGTGTTCGCGGAGCTTCCATTTCTTGAATTGGCGCTCGTATTGTGCTTTGCTGTTGACAGATTTAGCTAAACAGGTTCTCTTGCAAGCCATATAACAATACCTTGCCTGGAAGTTGTATGTGTTCTTCATGTAGTCCATGACGTCTCTCAGCGACATTTTCTCCGTCAAAAAGAGCCGTCGCATAATGTCCTTGTGTGTTTCCCATGCGTTCTCCATGGCTTCCTCATGTATCGGTGAAATCGAGGAAGACGATTGTGGACACAGGAACCGTCCCTTAGTGTTTATCGAGTAGAGATATCGACGTCTTTATATGTTGAGACGGCCGGATCAGATGTCGGAACCTTGCGCCCTGTCTGAGTTAGCGTTCAACACGGCTCGTTACCGAAAACCATGCACTTTCCATTGGTCGAAACCAAAACCTTCTTGCAGAAGCTAGGTTTGTGGATTGTCACGGAAATAGCCCGATGGCGCTAGTTGGGCCAAAAGGAAGGGCTTGTGATTGGTAGGAACCAAAACCCTCTTGCAGCACGCCGCACTGTCCAACACAGCAAAACCTCATTTGGCACATAAGGCCTGCGCGCCGATTGGTGAGTTCCAAAATCCTGATGTCAGGGTTATTTTTCGTTAGGATGAGGGTGGTGATGTTGGTGGGGTTTCTGCCAAGCCTGTGGACTCCACTGATAAAAACAACCACAAGTACATGACCTGTCAGTATTGGCGAGATCCAAAACCTGCGACCCTTTGCTCTGGTCAGTTCCTTGAACACTTTGTGACCATGCCATCCCATGAAGCCCATAAAGACCTCTTGGGCCAGATGAAAGAAAATGGTTCGAATCCAGAGCTCTGAAAGAATTCATCTTCCAGGAACACGCTCAATTGTTCGACTGAGATCTAGCAATGTCCTCCTCAGTTCCTCAAATCATATCGGCTGCTGGAAGCCTTATCACCCCTGTAGCTATTCTTGCTGGGGCAGCCCTTACAGTCTGGCTGACCAAGATGTGGAATAAGAGTCAGACGGTTTCCCTTGAATCTTCCTCGCTCAACATATACTGACTGAAATTAAGACCACAATGACACGCCTCCGCACTATCCTCAACAATACCATCCACCATACCATCAACCAATCCATCAGGCATACAATCGGGCATACCATCAAGCATACCATCAGCCATACCATCCGCCATATAATCATCCGTACCATCAGCCATACTCTCATCCTCAGCAACACCACAGTGGGTAACGAAGTGATCGGGTTATCATAGAGTAGATGTGGTACATAGTTCCGTTTTTATCTCTGGCGGTATGGTAACATAGCCCGGTGTAAGACGAAGCACAGGGATTGGGAAGGTGTCTCAAGCATCCTTGGAAAAGGTCGAAATGAGCAAGCTCTAGGGTTCTGATGCTATCATCGTGTTCCAAAAGCGGGTAAGCGTCGGCCGGAATTGACGTAGCAAGTGGCGAACCAGACATAGTTGAATCCGTCGGCTACTACCGAATGGATTAGAAGCACACCAGTTGAGATACAGGATTTTGGGCGGGAATGACTTTCGAACACTGAGCAGTTTGAAAATGGTGACAATGGTGCTTCGAAGGCGGAGAAAATATGCGGAGGCGAAGGAGATGAACCGACGAGCCCTAGCAAGAAAAGTTATCTGGCCGTAGTGCTTCGATATCCACGAATCATCAATGAGCAGCTCTGGAGGGAACGAGAAGGACACTCACCAACAGAATCTGCTTCACTCTTCGCTCAGCACGATTCACGCACTTGATGTCATACTCGTCTTCTGCACCTTCTCGAGCTTTCTCTGCTGAAAGCAGATGTCTCCAGTGCCAAGTTCACGAGCTAGGATCTTTCTCAGCTTATCCTTGGTGGTCACCACCGCCCATTCGAACAAGCGAGCATCGCTCAAGGTTTTCTCACTACTGCCTAGTACTCACGATGACTTCCTGAGCGTCTCAACGTATCCCTTGTCCAATAAGGAAGGCTTGGGAGCGAGATCGACTGAACGTGAAGAAACAGGCGAATATTGGGCCAGGACGGGATGCTTAGTAGCTATCTTCCACAACGACGATGCCTTATGGCAACAACATATGAGGCACTTCCAGCCTCACGTGCAGACCTTGACATCGTGGGATGCGAACCCGCCGTACGCTCCGGGGGCACATTCCCTCTCATTCATATGTTGTTCCGTTGCTGTGTCTCAGAAGCTCGGAACATGCTTTGCCCTTCATTTGGGGGACGAGGAGTTGCCTCGGCCGATGACGTGACCTTGTGATATCATCCTGGTCATAGTCTTTGTAGAAAGCGATTTTCACTTTCTAGCTTTGTCGTGCTTTTGTTTCATTTCATCAATTTTCTCTGCTAGAGCAGCTAGTGACGACTGGAGACTCCAAGCTTGTCTGAATCGCTGTTGCTGGGTTTATAGAGTGTAAATACGTACATGGAACCTTACTCTTCGAGATTCTGTCTCACCACTAGTTCCCGTTTCCCAATGTCTTACCAGTTGCCTCTTGGACTTAGGGCTCCAGCATCGTCAGGAGAACATTCAGGCTGCTCCCGCTGGACGACATCTCTTCCCCGAGGTCGATGTGCTCTCGACGTGGGGGAAGATAGTTTAGGGAGTGGGCTGGATTCTGAAGAACCTGAGCCAACGGGGTGAATTGGACACACAGAGAGATATTCTTGGACCGACAGCGACAATTGGACATGATCTGACAGCCAGCTGTGCTGAGGAGATGCAGATGTGGGAGTCCTTAACTAGGGGACGTAGATACAGGGACCGGGCCTGATGTGCGTGAAGGTTGAGAGAGGATAGATTGATACTCCAAGCAGTACGCTGTTGCAGACGGGGGTGGTATGATTGTGCTGGAGGGCAAGGCCTCACGATGGTTCTGAATATTTCTGCAATCCATCACTCTTCTCTCAAGATAATCCTCAAGAATACCGCTGGTGGTGATGGTGCATCATTTCGTAGGCAAATCCCGGAGCCAACGGAGGTGTGCATTGCGTAGTTTAAATGGACGACTTTTTGGGGAGATAAGTGTGACGTGAGAATCGCGGTGAGTACAGTATGGAAATTGCTTGGGTGCAGGTTTGATAGACAACAAGCAGGGCAGATCGCGAGCACGTAAGGCCCAACATGTCGGCTGGGGAAGGTTCCTCGCGCCCGATATGAGTTTGGTTCATTGGCTTGGAAATGATGAAGACAGGGAACCGGGAAGTCTGGGCCGATCGCGGCGCCGAGGCCACACCTCAGAAAGCCTCGTGCACCCCTTCGCATTCGTACGAAAACCACCCACGTCGACTTCTGCGGCTTTTCTGCATGGTATACACCCGATCCGGACGAAGCCGACATCAGCACGTTCGACTTCAGACTACCTGGTGACTGGGGGAGTCCTTTCGGTGCCTGAAGTCCTGGCAGTCCTCGGATGTTTCATATGTCCGCTTTCGAGCCATTTGAGTCTCGAGGTGGAGGCTTCCACAGAGATATTACTCGACCTTCTGAGCTTAGCGAATGCAAGACCTCTTTCGGTCATCCTATCGTCACTTTAGCAGGCCAAGATATTACAACCCTGGCGAATTTAAAGCGTGTGCCCTCCATTATGGAGTTATTTTTCATTCCCTAAAACCAGCCATGATCGAATGATTTTCCTATCAACTCACTCAGCCTTCCGCAGTGTCTTAGAAGCACCCTCGGGACGATATCATGCGTTTTGCATGCCTGGGAAGTTGCTGTGATGTCATAAGGTGTGGCTATGGTAACTGCAAACCTGCTCGAAATGACTGAAGCAGCTGCCACCATCGGACTGATCGCATCGATTGCATCCCTCGTCGAACTGAGTGCTAAAATTGTGTCGCGAGACACGGTCCTTCTGTGTCTCCGGATGGGAACACGATTGGTGGGTGTCATAGCATCTTCAAACCCGGAGTCATGGGGTAGGCGGATGCCTTCTTTAAGTATGAGAGCTTCTATTGGTTGGTCATGTACCAAATTCGGCGATTAAGGCCGTGTTAGAACCAAACCGGCTGCAGGGAACTTTGTGCGTTGACCACTCAGGGACCAGCGGGACATTTCATTCTGCTGCCGAATGTAGCCTGGCAGCTCGCATCGGGCACTACACCACCTTAGCTGTCCAGTATAGCCATGGCTTGTCCATTGGGATACAACCTGGAGTCATTCTGCAGTGGTATTACCTGATGCTAAGTAGACTGTTCCCGAAACCGCTGTATGGTACAATGTCCTCCTGATCCTGTAGATAAGATTTGAGCTCACTCTATTTTGTCTTCGCCTCCTCTTTCAGTTTCTTCTCCAACATATCCAAGCCTGACATCTTTTTCACCACAAAATCCAGGAAGCCAACGGGAAGGAACGTGAGAATGAGCCAGGCCTTAGTAGCACTGTCGCCCCGCCATACCTGCACGGGCAGACTACGCTTAGATAGGTCTTTAACGACGCGACGAGCCCATTGGTCTGTAGACATTTGAGTGACGCCGAGGTCACCACCAAGAACGGACTCAATCTTCTCTCGGGCCGGGGCGTAAATAGAGGACTCTGACAGCACTGGCTGGATGCGCGAGGCCGAGTTTTCGAAGAAGCGCGACTTGACACCTCCGGTCTTGAGTTCGACAACCTTAATCCCAAACGGCTGAAGTTCCAGCCGCATATTCTCCGTGATTGCGGCCGCTGCGGCCTTCGAGGCGTTATATGGCGCCTGCCAGGGGAGGTAGAAAACGCTGCTCACCGAGGTATTATTGGCTATGAGGGCGCCGTCTTTGGCGTTGCGAAGGAGAGGGAGAAAATGCTGCGTGGTCCGGATTATCGAGCACACGTTGAGGTCGAAGAGATCCTGGATTTGGGGAATCGAGGCCTCCACGACAGGAGCATTATAACCACCACCGGCGTTATTGACCAGGACGTCGAGCGAGCCACCAGTTAAGACGGATACTTCTTGTACACAGGCCTTGATAGATTCATCGGAAAGGACGTCGAGGGAGAGTATCTTGATTCCGAGCGGTCTGAGAGAGGCGGTCTTGGAGGGATTCCTAGCAGTAGCGAACACGCGGTCGCCATGGTTATGGAAGGCCACTGCCAGATACGCTCCCAGGCCCCCGTCAGAGCAGCCAGTGATGAGGACGGTTCGTGGCATGGCTTGTTCTGGAGCCGGATGGTTCTGTAGCGAATCTGTCGCGATTGTTGCGATGGATGGTCGAGCTGCTGAAGTGCCTGCGGAGAGGCAACCCCTTCAATATATCTTTTACCTCAAGCGTAGGAGAACCTGGCAGAATTGGTAGCAACGGGTTGCAAACGGTGGTCTTTCTCCCTCTAGGTAAAGCGCGGCGGGCGAAGCCGGCGACGCTGCTTTTGAGAAAGACTACTATTTTATTGGATAAGCCTAGCACTTCCATGGGCACGACGAGGGTCGACGGAGAACAGTCGTTCACATATGGATCCGCTGGGTGGAGCAATGCCAATGTCGCACATCGGCGCCAAGGCAGCATGACCCTCTTCCCCTCAAAAGGGGTGGGCCAAGAGAGCCCTCGTATATTTAAACTTTTGCAGACAGATGAAAATTCCCCCGATCCTCAAGAAGCGCTTACAAAGGGGACCTAACGGCGGCTACCCCATATTCCAGGAGATGTCACTTATCTATGAAACTGGCCTGGTCTCAGGTCTTTGAGGTACCTGGTGTGAGTGAACGCACGGCCGTGTATTCCACAACTTCTATTCGATCTGTGACTGCATGGGATCTCTACCAGGGAAAAAAAAAAAAGAAAAAATATCCTGCAGGTTTCAGTCCGGCAGGGGCTAGGAAAAGATGCCATCATGGGAACTATGACGGCGTTAATCGGAGTAAGATGTAGAGCCTCCTTTTGGATTACAGCCGTCAAGAACCTAACCAACAGTGATTGATGCGCTAGGCAGAACAGAGAGCAAGAGGCATTATGGGAGGAAGACAAGTTGCGAGAGAACCTAGTAGGATACAGAGTGTAACTTCCCCCCTCCGACTCATCCACATGAAGATGTAATGCCTCCATCAACTTCAGCCTTGCGAGCATTTCCCCAACTCCCTTTCTTTTTTCGGCCTCAATTCAAACTCTTCAGCCTCATTACACTACACAATGGCAGTATCACGAACAACATACCTCATCACAGGCGCGAACCGGGGGATTGGCCGTGGACTCGCAGACCTTTTCCTCTCCCGGCCCAACACAGCCTTAATCGCACTGTTTCGCGACCCCGAGGACGAGACGAGCAAGTCCCTCGCCGCCTCAGCATTCGCTGACAACACCGCCGTCATCGTCCTACCTTACGAGGCCCAAAATCCCGATTCAGCAGCGTCCGCACTCGACACGGCCCAGAAATCCCACACATGGCACGGCCCTACCGTCGACGTCACGCCGGAAGCCATCAATCAACACATTGCGATTAACACGATCGCGCCTCTCCTCTCGTTCCGCGCGTGTTTACCTCTTTTACAAGTCCCATCTCCGTCTCGCTCGGGGCCTGCAAAATTCATCGCCATCTCCTCCGAGATCGGGTCCACGACAAACCAGCCAAAGCTCTCCCATGCGCGCAGCTTACCGTATGGACTCAGCAAAGCGGCGCTGAACCACACGTTTCGCAAGCTGAGCACAGAGTATCCCAACATGGTGGTGGAGATGTTAACCCCGGGTCCGGTATTGACGGATCTGATGCGCGAACTTCGCGGAATGTTTGATCAGGTGGTCAAAGAGAATCCGAAGCTGCTAGAGCGCTTTCAGCCGATTGATAAAGTGTGTAAGGGGTTGATGGAGTGCATTGATAATGCGAGCTTGAGTTTCGGGGAGAATGGGAGCGTGACCGGGACCAGTGGTGGATTCAGGGACTGGAAGGGGGATGTTATTCCTTGGTGAGCCAAAGTACCACAACAAAGCATGCGGAGTGATAAGGAAAGACAACACATGTAGGCTCGAGAATGATGGGGTGAGGGATCGAGGGAAAGGGAGCTTGCTAGAGAATGCCATCGGTCGTGCCTCGATTCAGCCGGGCGAATACATTTCTGGAACAAACAACCACAGTTCATACACAACCAAACCATTGAAAACTGAAAGGTAACAATCGAAAGTGACACTTGTCCCTGGGTAACAAGCACATAATCTTCAAACATAACTTCCCATACCGGTGGGTACATAAAATCCTGCTCTCTTGAAGAAGAAAATTAGAAGCAGATGCCTTAGCTTCAACCATATCTAACGCTTTCCCATCTTCTATAAATATGCAGGTTGTTAGAAATCTTAGTCTTTCGAAAATGCCGCAAACACTAAAATCCCCGCTCATTATGTTGTACATCGAATGTTGCAGCAGGTGTAGGAAGGAGAGTGAACTTGAAGAGTATCGTAAATAGGCAGAGGTCGTTCCGGGGATTTTAAGAGCATGTCCTGATGTTATTCTGAATGCATCTCGTTTCGGCTGATGTAGCTATAAGATGTGCTGTAGCTTTGCGTCCAATTCGCATGAATCGTCGCCCAAAGCGTTCCACTCACTGGCTTCAGTTGCAAAGATCTTGGTGCCTAGAGAGGTCGGAGTCCTTCTCAGCTTGTTGAGTGACTTTTGAGATACGTGGGCTCGTCAATGTAAACTCTCATGGAGCAGTAGTCGAGCACATGTAGGTTCAATATCGTAGCATCGTGACAATCGTGATGGAAATCTTGGTTCGAATCATCGATCCACTTGCCATTGAGGCTCGTCGCATTCTCCTCGGGCTTTCTTGAATTCCTCTATGCGTTCCATCATCCATCCTGAGGTGGTTTCTAGATCTCCTCCAACCGCGTGACCTAGTTTGATAGAATAGTTCAATTTGCAAGTTCCAGGATGCCAGGTCCACTGTACGCAATCATGATCATCTTCACAAGCTTCGCGGCAATGTTCAACAGATCTGGTGGCTCTTTTTTGAATCTTGGTAAGGCTGGTCCATAAGTCTTGTTTTTCTTCATCACTCTTCCAATCCCAATCATTATCTTCATTGATATGATCCTCAGTAGGTTTCGTGAATGTCTGGTCACCAGAGAGGTTGTTCCAATCGGACCTCGTGTCATCAATGTGAGGCTGAACAAAATACTCAAAAGCATCACGATAAAGGTATGGCTCAGAACCAGGACCTCGACGGTCCCAAGTTTTGTTGATCCATTCCTTCTCGAACTGCCATAGAGCGTCAACTTCATATGCCTTCGCATGATGCCAGGTGATGGCTGGTGTACACCACAAACGATCAGACCAACCTAGGGCAGAAGGCGGATCGACCTGGAACATCGGCCAGGCACCACTGACACCAACACCAGCTTGACTCATAGCAACTCCAAGCATGACATCTCCACAGCAAATCGTCGAGGTCTCCTTTTCCCAATCGGCAATCTTCTCGGGGCTTCTGATCTCTTCGAACTTCTGGACCGCGCCACGGGACAAAAGGTAGCCCGTTCCACCCTGGGCAAAAGCCGTAGGGCCATGCCAGTAGATACAGCCGGCATATAGTGGTTCGTCTGGATCCATATGATCGAGCAGGAGTAGCAGGTTTGTCCAACCCAAGTATGTGTCTGCATCAATGGTAATATACCACTCTGCATCGGGGTATCTCGTGTAGGCCTTGTGCAGCATGGGAATGTTCTTCCATTTGTCCAAATTCCAAGCTTTATCCGATCCGAGCACACTCACATCACCATGGGCCGCGTAGGCAGCATGGATGCTGTTATAGAATTGAAAGTCCTCGTGATTTTCTTTATACTCCGTCCCGATCTCATCCAATGCATCGTGGATGTGAAAGTCTCCCAACTCTTGCTCCATGTCGGAGAAAATCATAAAGTTAGGAGCACATTCGGCAAGAGTGAGAATTTGCTCAGGGATCCGAGCAAATACCTCGGTGGCACCAGTCTTGACAATCACAACAACTTTATCTGCGCCCGGCAATTGACGACATGCTGGAACATTATAGTCCACGGCCGGTGTGAGAATGGATGAGGCGGTGACCGAAGCAGAAGCAAGGGTGTACGCAGAGCCAGAGGCGGAGGCAAAGGCGGAGGAGGAAGCGGAGACGGAGGTAGATTCGAGGGAGTCAACAAATTCGGTCAACGCTGGGACGAAACCAGTATCTTCCAAGCCATAATCATGGTCGAGGTCGACATCGGCAGTATCATCGGAGCCCGCTGAACTGCCACTTTTCCACCAAGTGTTCGAAGACGAAAGACTGAAATCGGGTTGGTCTGGGGTTGGTATGTAGTAGGATCGAAACAGAATGAGTGACAGTAGGATAAAGAAGATGATGATCAGTCTCACAGGCCCCAGGCCACGAGGCAAAGAGAGAGGCATTGTCTCTTATCGAGACTCAAAGCTGGCGAGCGAGAGGATAGAAAGGAGCGTGGAGGTGCACATGGCTGACCGTCGCCTGTTGTATGTATGTCTGGATTGACGAGACAAGGGGATGAGATGAGGGATGAATTAAACCTGATGATCCAAGGCGGGCCAGTGTACCGAGGGCTTATCTGCCACCTGCGCACCGCTATCTTTTTCCACCCAATCCACCACTCCCAGCTCCGGCTCGCCACCAATCAATCAGCTATTTAAATTCATGCTGTGCCTCGGAAACCGAGTTTGTCTGGAGCTGTCTCCATTTTCTCTCGATCTATCCCCTATCTTGGTCGCCAATCGGTCCCAACACGGGATGCCCACCATTTACCCACTGGTTCCTTACATTGGCCCTGCGCTTGTACCTGCAGGAAAAAAGGGGACACATCCGACGAGCGGGTCACACCAGTGTCGCCATTTTCCAGCCTCAACGGTGATCGGTGAATATTTTCATTCTCGAAGATTGATATTGTGTCATCTCTGTCATCCACCAAACCTTTTCGGGGCATATCCAGCGTCTGAAATTTGATCAATTACACATCCTTCTTCTCCCTTTACGGTCACCGGCAATGGCTCTAGTACATTGGGCGTCGATCCTTGTGCGATGGCGTGCTCCTCGATGGCTACTGTTTTCAGCGCCCACAAGTCTTTTAACACTGCGGATACATGACAATCGGGGGGAGCAGCGAATTCACTCAAAAGCATCAAGCAAAGACATTATATTTCCGTCTCCTGGCAGTTTAGATGATGTGATCTCGGGGCTGACTGACAGGCAGCTTAGAATTCGCTTTTAGGGGCTAGTGACCGACTCCCTTCAATCACGCCATTATTCGACTCCACGAGAATCACAACTTATGCCAGTCACTCATTTACGACAGCTGACCGAGTTGATATTCCATATCCATCAAGCTTGATTCGTGAAATATGAGACAACAATCAGTAATCTTCAAGATGAAAGATTCAAAGGTGTGTTCTTCATGTGACCCCGCCAAGTGTCCTTACCCACTCTGTCGGTAAGCGAACACGAATTCTAGAAATATGTGATCAAACTAAACGACCACAAAATCTGCACAACCAGACATCCGTTGCAATGAATACCGAATATGACCAGTGTCCCAGATACTCGGACTTGATTCTGAATTGTGTTTCTTTGGGAAGCCAATATGTGTTTGGCCTCAAAAAATCGCTGAGAAATTTCCTTTCAGGTCCGAGTTGCTGGCATGGCATTGGGGGAGGCCCACTCTCTCGGTAAGTCGGCCGTTGGTATGCTTGCATATCAACTGGACGTCGGGTGTTTGATCGCAAAACAGAATCTCGAAACAAACGGTGCTCAAGATGGATCTCACCAGCTTGGACGCCACCTTGTACTCTTGACAATCACAGAAGTTACAGGTGTGATTCTCCCTTGTTGAACCCCGAGGAGATCCGACGTCCTGACACGCAAGCATGACTTCTGAAATCTTTCTTCATCGCTTCCCCTCCCACAATTTCTGATATTGAGCCGCGGATCAACTTTATGCTGTAGACGTTTCGGGTTCACGCCCCAAGGTTGCTTAAGTAAAGTCTGCAAGGAGGGGTCCAAACCTAAAAGTAGAGCTAACGCCTCAGAAATTGGAGCCACCACTCTCGCCAGATGTCTGCCACACTGAGAACTGTTGCCCATCAAAGTTGAGCTTCCCCTACGGCTCGACTGACTTAGGATGCACCATTCCTCTCGAAGCTCATGATGTGGTTCTTTCCATGGCCACAGCCCCGCGAACCGCAAGTTACATACCAGCTGACACGGGGAATTCCTTTTCGCCAAACGACCAGATCAAACACCTCCCTCGAAGCTTGGGTGGTGCTGGTGGACGTCGCTTCACATGGACTGCGGACCCAGGTAGGGGGGATGGGGTCAAGTAAATAGACATCTATACAAGGAGAAGAAAAATGTCTGACGGTCTCCTTCCGGTATCGTTCTTCGTCCACGGGCTTGGCTCAACCCGGACAGCACCCAGCAGATAAGCTCTCCTCGTGATACTCCAGCGCCAGCTCAAACTGATGGAGTCGACGATGACGGGGTGTGTCGGGTGAAGGACTTTCTGCTCGCTGACCTACTTCTGCCCGTATGCAGAAGGACGCAGATCTTTTTCTACAATCATGACCGACTTTGGAACCCGGTGGGAAATATGTTGTATCACATTCGGGAGGAATTCACCATACTGAGGAGGTATGATATATCACGGGAAATTCCTTGTTTCCATCAATTTTTGTGGATCCACCAATCCATTGAATTCCATGGTTCTCCATTGAACAGCCTTGCACAGTCCATACAAGCATCTCACCGTCGGCATGGCCGCTCCCGCCCTTTCTCCTTCTCTCAGGGCTTCACCGAGAATGTTTTCATATTCGATGAATCTTTTCTTTCGTCGGTCCTGCAACATGCTCGGAGCACAGAATATCTCTATCGGATCACACTCCACCATGGATTCGACCAGGGATTCGGGCAAGTCCACATTCGCGGCAGCCATGGCAGCAGCTCGAATTTCATTCATCGCGGGCCTGACCAGTAAGTTCAGTGGGTTCATGGGATCCGAATCTTGAGACGCAAGTCGAAATCGTGAGGTGTCTAGATCGGTCAAGGCACATATCGGGTTCCAGACAGCATTGTACATGAGTTTCCTCCATCGTACAAATTGCACGTCCGACTGATAAGAGCATTGGACTTTTCCCGAGGCCGAATAGATCCTCACAAATTCTTCTGCAGCAGCTATGTGCTTTTGTGCGCCAATGCTGTCTGACAGAAATGGGCCAATGAACAGTCTATCGACATCGTTTTCAAGGATGTGCCCGGGACTCAATTCGTCGGCACCCATGAGCGATACGCCGGAGAGACAAATGTTGGTGGGAAATGCCTTCAAGAGAGGCTTTTCGATGTTGAGGCCATTCTGAATCAAGACAATTACCGAGTGTCCAGGGGTGACGGCTGGCTTGATCAAGTCGACTAGTGTAGGTGGCACATCTGGAATATTCTTCGTGGTGCAGATGATATAGTCGAACGGTTTGATCGACGAGTCTGATGATAGGTCTGGGACGTTGTTGAGGACCTCTGTTGGTCTCCAACCTTTGAATTCCCCATGGTCGCAGGAATCAATTGTGAATCCCTTTTCCTTAACGACTGAATAGTTGGATCTCAGGATGGCTGTGACCGAGGCTAGACCCCCCCGTTCCAGGTTCAAGGCTGTCATGGTTCCGATCCCTCCTGCCCCCACGAGGAGGACCCTGGCTTTCTCCGACATGATGAGGATGATTGTCTTGAAGCCCGTGCTCTTGATGAACACCAATATCAACTGAACGAGAAGGAAAATATACGAGGGATGATTCTTATGTGTGTGTCTGGCCATTCCTGGTCTCGACCTTTTTATTTGTTGGATCTGAGATGTGATAGGGCGCGGTCAGCCAGGGCGGTACGGGTTCGACCATCAATGACAGATCGCTGTATTCCACGCGTTGGAGATGCCCGCAAGTCTTTGCTCCCATCATTGGCTTCTTTCCTCACATCATCCGTACCGACGGAACACCTCATATATATACACTCATCATTTAAACCCGAGAAGTTCCCAATTTCAGATACTTTGTCCTCTATTCTATTACTTGACGCCCATGATTCTATCTGTTATCATCACCTAAAGGAACAATTTCCTTGCACCGCCTCGGACTTTCATTTCCCCCGCACTTGAAGAGAATTGATTGATAGAGATTTTTCGAAAACCAGTTTCCGCAGTATTTCCTGACCCTTTCTTTGCCTTCGAAAAGTTCCAAGATCTCCTTCAGTTCTGCCGACTGAAGAAAGATAAAAAGGAAACGCTCAATCACCGCAATGGGGTCCATCTCAGCTGACCAAACTCTTGTTCCCCCTCCACCCAGCTCCACCTACAACATCGCCTCCATACCAGCCGACGGTATTGGCCCTGAAGTGATCTCCGCCGGCATTCGGGTCCTCAATACCCTCTCCAGCACCTTCTCAACCTTCAAATTCAATTTCTCCCACTTCCCCTGGTCCAGCGACACCTACTTGGAGACTGGCCGGTACATACCCGAAGGCGGCCTCGACGAACTCCGCAAATTCAACGCCATCCTCTTCGGCGCCGTCGGCGACCTCAGAGTCCCCGACCACATCAGCCTCTGGGGCCTGCGCCTCGCCATCTGTCAACCCTTCCAACAATACGCCAACGTACGGCCGACCCGTGTTCTGAAGGGTGTCACATCCCCGTTGTCTGCATGCCAGGGCAGCCTCGCCAACACCAAAAAGCTCGACTGGGTAATCATCCGCGAGAACAGCGAAGGCGAATATGCCGGCCAGGGCGGTCGTTCCCACGTCGGGCATCCCTGGGAAGTCGCTACGGAAGTGTCGGTCTTCACACGCCACGGCACCGAAAGATTGCTGCGTTTCGCCTACGAAACGGCCCGCTCACGCCCACGCAAGAAGTTGACGTTCGTGACCAAATCGAACGCGCAGCGTAACGGGATGGTATTGTGGGACGAGGTCCAGAAAACCGTTGCGAAAGAGTACCCAGACGTCGAGACGGATAAGATGCTCGTCGACGCCATGACGTGTCGTATGACGTTGCAACCCGAGAGCATCGATACCGTCGTCGCGACAAACTTGCATGCAGACATTCTTTCGGACCTTGCGGCGGCGTTGGCGGGGAGTATTGGAATTGCCCCGACGAGTAATTTGGATCCGACGAGGCAGAACCCAAGTATGTTTGAGCCGATACACGGGTCGGCGTGGGATATTGCGGGGAAAGGTGTCGCGAATCCGGTGGGCACGTTTTGGACCTGTGCTGAGATGGTGAGGTGGTTGGGTCAAGAGGAGGCCGCGGATCTGTTGATGGAGGCGGTGGAGAATGTGCTTGACAGGGGCGTCAAGACGAGGGATCTCGGTGGGAATGCGGGCACAGGGGAGGTGACAGATAAAGTCTGTGAAGAGATTCAAAGGATCGGGAGGGAGAAGGGCTTGGGTTTGGCGATGAAATGAGAAAATCTGGGACGGAGAGGATTGTTGTATAAATGAAATGACAGGTTCCCAGTCCTACACGCACATTCCCATGTCTTCTCTATTTCATCCCGGGTTGGAAAACAACCAGCTCTCTCCACCCACCCCTTTCTTCCGCAGCCTTAAATCCGTCTTCCCACTTCTCTAGTTCAAATACTCTCATATCCGGTATCTCGAACTTCAACCGCCCACTTTCCACCAGGGAAATGATTTTTCTGACTCCTTCGCGCTCGTACATGAACTTCCCACAGATCTTGAGATCGTTGAACATGACGACGGGATAAGGGATCTGCACGGGACCCGTAATGCCGCCTTGAAAGCACGCTCTACCACCCTTGCGTAGCGCCATTAGGCAGCTGATGATATGTGTCGAAGTGGCAGCCGCAGCGGGGGAGAAGTCGAGGAATTTGTCGATAGGGCCTAGTTGTTGAAGAGTTGCCATATCAGTCTCCACGACGCCAGAGAGAGGGACGGTGTTGATGTTCGCCTGCGGATATACGGGTGTCAGAGTCGATTTCATTTTCTCCAGCACATCCTTCTTGCGTCCGCAAATGATCACGTCGGCGCCCATGGCTAGCGCAACCTCCACCGCGGCGCCGCCAAATTGGCCCGTCGCTGGTGCAATGACGATACGATCCCCAGCTTTCACGTCCAGCTCCATCAGTCCGCCCATCGGCACGAACAGGCGCAGAAGATACGCGGCATCGTGCACAGAGTAGCCCAACGCCTTTAATTTCTCCTCGTCCAGCGCGTGGACATTCTCGAGGGGCCAGCGTGCGTACTCCGCACACGATCCATCGCGCCAATCGCCTTTCATCAAGCGCGCCGCACCTTCAGAGATTCCACCGTGAACACCCAACAAGATGCTTTTCGCCGGATCATCACGGCTGCGAATCATCGGGTCAATCAGTACGAGTTGGCCTGGTGACAGCGTTGTCGCGTCACTGCCCACGGCGACGATGCGAGCCACGGCGCCGCCTCCGATCGTCATAGGCAGGTGCAAAGGGTATTGTAAGGCGCCGGAGTAGAGTTTGGCGGCGTAGGCGAGGATCGGTGACGAGAGGACCTGAACGATTGCACTGCCTGGGAGTAGGGCAGGAGGTGCGGTGGTTTTCACTTCGAGCGGGGCGTCGAAGGATGAGAGGATGAGTGCGCGGTGGGTTTCTGGTACTGCCATTTTTCTTTTCTTTTTTCCTTTTGGCTCCTCTCTTCCTGTTTTCTTCTGGACAGAGATAGAACTGTGATGGGGTACTGGGAGATGTAGTGAATCGCGCGAGAGAAGAGAGACGTTATCAGGAGCAGAGAGGATCGGAATGTTGAAGACAAGGGAGATGTGTGCCCACTCCCAGGCCACAAGCAGGATATCGATGAACTTTAAATACTTACTCCGGGCATGTCTGTCTGATTATAGCGGCGTTGATAGTTTTCAGGCCGATGTCCTTGCAGAGCGAATGACTGCGGTCCTAGTACTGGTGAGTGATAGAGAATTCAACACTTCACAACCTCTACCTCCGAAACTCCATGTCTCCTCCTCGCCTTGGCGGAGGTAATCGGATTTTAGTACTCTCCGTCCACCTCAATTCGCCTACGGTTATGTTCGTGTTCTGGATGATGCCTACCTCAACGAGCCAATTTGGGGATGAATGCTGAATACCAAGGTGGAAGCGCACGGTAGAGCTCGGAGTTTTACAACATGGCCCATGGGCAGCAAACCCTTTCGTATTCGCGTTTATCTTGGGCAGTCTTGGGAACTGGCATAGTGCGTTTCAAAACATCCAATCAATAGGCGACTGGATTAAGGAACGAACAAGATCAAAAACTTTAAAACAAGACGCTGGCACTCAAGCCTTGTCGAAGATTCTCATTAGTTCAAGCTTTGGTCCGTTCTAACCCAGTCCGATAGCTTGTCTCTCAATGGGCTGAGGTGCCTTGAAGCGAGGTTTATTTCCCTCATATGCAGATTCCGAGCTTGTTTGCTAGGGAGGCTAGTGCAAATGCTAAACACCGTCGGCCGAAATGTGGTGTCCAAGCTTAGGGTGGATGTTGGGGCAGGGATTGAGGTTGACCATGTCTTTCAGCGGTTGGCGTTCCGGTTCCATCACGACGGTGTCTTCTTTTGGATCCAGCCATTTTCGAACTCATGTCCATGTCCATGTCCATTTCTTCGTCGGTGTGAATTGAAATTTTTGCAACAACCTGCATTAAACCCGATCCAAAATCGCCACGACCGATGGCAGGAAGGTCCGAACGACGGGCTTGAATGGTTTTGCCACATGTATAATAAGTCATAGTACAGCAGAACCGGGGTCCGTGGGAAGAAGTGCCATTATATTTGACAAAGTGAGTAGGATCTTCGGAATGCTCACCCTGCACATCAACGTCAGTCTGCTCAGTCTGCATTGTGAATTCGATACATGGTGTCAAGGTGGTTGAGCCATAGTGTTGATCCACGTCTTCCTTTGCTGCCTCGAACATGGCTTTGTAGCGTTTCATATCCAGTCCATTGTTGTGGGGTTTTTCCATCCGGTTCGCCGCCTTAGAATCTGTCACTGTGTCTGGATTTTCGGCTTCATTTTTCTCCACGCCTTGAGATGGATCCTAGCCATCCGAAGGTCTCTCGAAACTTGCGGAAGACGCACACTCGAATCCAATATTATCCACACTGTTTCCGATTGGGCTTTCGTTGAGGGTTCCTTGGTCGGGATAGTCGTCTCTTCAACTTGTTCCAAGACTGCCCTCGGGCCGGTCTGATGGTTGGTAGGCAAATTGTTCTCGCGGGGCATCACTCTCGTCGGAAAAGTCGTCCTCTGTGGGGGGAAAGTGATTGCTAGATAGCTTGGAGTCAATAAAAGTCTGGAATGAGTTAAGTGGAAGAAGTTTCGGGGATACATACGGCAACACTTCAGCATATGCCTTCACATCCTTGTCCAAGAAGTTGCAGAAAATGACCTTGTCCAACTTCTGGCCTTCTGGCCTCTCCAAGAAGGCGTATACTTCTCGAATGGCAGCACGAGCGGCATCGGTGCTGGGATAACCATAGACACCGGTAGAAATGGCAGGGAATGCAATGGTCTTACAATCATTCTCCACGGCGAGATTGAGTGATTTTTGATAGCAGCTCCGAAGAAGAGGCTCAGATTGGCTGATATTATCGAAGATGGGGCCAACAGCATGAATGACTTTCTTGCAAGGAAGACTGTAAGCGTCTGTGATTTTGGCCGAACCAGTTTCACATCCACCCAAAGTGGCACATTCTTCTAGAAGCTTGGGACCTGCTGCTCTCTGAATTGCCCCATCGACACCGCCACCTCCACGGAGACCGCGGTTGGCAGCATTGACAATAGCGTCGACTTGAAGCTTGGTAATGTCAGCTTGAATAGAACAAATCTTGTCGTTGTGTTGTTGGTTGGGAGTGGGTAGATTTTCATTTGAAGACGGTCTTAGCTCTTTGCGGCGGTAGAGGACAGAGAGGGGCACGATGTCCTTGACGGCGATGAGTCCCGAAGACATGGTCCGAGATGAAAATTTGTGCAACATAGACAAGACGGAGTTGTTGTGTTGATACAAAATGATGAGAGACTAAGATCGAGGTGAGAAAAGTCGATCGAGGATTGACGCGATGGATGACGACACAAGCTGGGGGAGGCGGAGGAGCGCTGTCATTTGAGGGAGGTAAACCGATAAATAACTTAGGGTGTGGTGTTTTAATTTACGGCGGCACCCAAGCCTTAGATTCTCCATGCACTATATTCCTCCAGCATGGTGGCCATATAACCAAGACACAAAACCCTTGACCCTTCCGACCCAATCCTTACGGCCAGTGGTCGAGTACACAGAGGTACTCAAGCCAGACCGCGGACGTTGCTGCAGGGCAGAGATGTTCAGAAACCGGCACATAAAGCCAGCAGGAGTCCATGGCTTCGAGAGAATGAGGATAAAAGAGCTGAGCATACAGATTCGTTGGAAGAGATGCATATACACCCTTTGGGACATTCTCCAGAGCTGAATTGACGTACCGTATGATAGAACTGCTCGGGTCCTTCGCCGTATCAAGGCAAGATGCGATCAAGACATGCCGAAAGTCCAGTTATCGCCATCCCAACTGACCAGCCCCGAGAACGAATTCGGCCTTTACATGGCCTTTCCGTCGCCGTCTATTGTTCAGCATATTGAGATCAATAAGATAAGATACCCGAAGCCTATAAGAAAGCTTCCATCGCTCCACCGGAAGCAGTCAGAGGCAAGCCTGTGTAACTCGAGTGATGGAAAGAAAAGGAAGAGCAAGAGTGCTCCTTATCGCGATGCACAGTATGAAGCGTTACTTGCACCTGAAGGGGGTTACATGTTTGATTTTGATCCTAGCGACGGGCCGAAGAGCAACGAGTACCTTTGCCGCACCTTATTAGAAATGGACCGGTCCGTTCCCCCAAACTCATTATTTTCCGACGACAAATTTGAAAAACATTGCCAGGAGCTGGAAGGTCGGAATGAGGTCATGATCACCCAAGATATCAGTCGATTGAATGTCCCATCAACAAAAGATCTGGCATCATTATGGCGTTAGGCATCTTGATGTTTTAATCGAAAACGTTGACGAATCCTGGACAAGTTGCGTTCCAGTGGAATGACCCAGGACGCAGCCGGACTTCTAAGTGGGATTTAGACAATCTGCATTCACCGGAGAACAGCTCAAGAAGCTTGATATACTCACTGGCAGCGTTTACGAAACCTGTTTCTTCTGCGCCACCCATCGGATGTCTTTCCCATTTCTCATGTGCGAAGTGAAGTCTGGTGCTGCCGGGCTTGATATCGCTGACCGACAGAATGCTCACAGCGCAACTATTGCTGTGAGGGGCTTTGTGCAGCTCTTCAAACTTGTCAAGCGGGAAAAGGAGCTAACATAGGGTCACCCGTGGCCTTCTCAATCTCGCATGAGCACGAAAGAGGGAGAATCTCCTAGCATCGTACTCTTTTCAAGGGGAACGAGTACACAATCCATCGGCGTCGAATTCATGCATTCTACTTCACGACTCTGGAGGGGAGAGAAAGGTGGACTTCAAATAAAAGTCACCCAGAATATCTACGACGAGTTGGTCAACGCTCTGCTCAAAGTGGTCCCTCAATCCTGGATGAGTTGCCGTCTGGTATAGATTTCGAGGTTGACAAAGGATCAGGATTGCAGAAAAGGAACCAGCAGAACCCAAAAGGCCGAAGAGGAAGCATACTGCAAAGTAATGCGCGAGACTGGAGAGGGTGTCGGACAGGTATAAAGAATGGGCCAGGCAATGTTCTGAGTGCCACAACCACGACCGCATTTTCGCGTAATTATGTAATGCACAAGGCCGAGGGTGGGCGGCCCGATCGTATGGCGGGATATACACTCTTACAATGCCAAAGGTATCGTCTTGATGATAGCATGAACCTTCAACACATCGCCGTGGTGGGCAATTTATGTGAGAGAGACGTCCGATTCAGATCAAAAGAACAACCTCTTACTACTTCTGGCGCCAAATCTGAGCCTTGTTACACTGACCCTTAACTGGTATGGGGCCTGACTCTGGAGCGTGAAATGAACAAATCCGTCATTACTATTGGCACACGCCTTCGGGCTACCCTCCCTATCAGCCAACAAGGGTCTCCCAACTCTAATGCCGCAGACTTTCAGCAACTGAGTCAGAATATCAAACTCCCTACCCAGTGTTAGCCCATGCCCTTCATTATTGCCTCTACTGCTTGTCATCAGGTAAAAAGTATTGTTAAGAGAATCTGGCGCGATGGCTGTGATTGTCCGCCCGGCCACAGAAAGCGACCTGTCCCAGATCCGAGACATCTTCGAGTACTATGTCCTAAATACTGTTGTATCTTTCCTGACACAAAAGCCTCCACCGGATTACATCGCCACTCGATTTCGTGAGACGACCAAGAGAAATCTACCATACCTGGTCGCAGTGGATGACGAGGATCGAGTTGTGGGCTATTCATACGCCTCAGCATTTCGTGGCTTCATGATAAGCTACGGCCACACGGTTGAGATAAGCCTCTTCTGTCATCCAGAACATAAGGGCCAGGGGATTGGGAGCCAGATGATCAAACAGCTCATCAGCGCACTGCGCACAACGAAGCACCTAACGAGAGAGGTTGGGTATGAAGACAATCCCATCGAAGTCGAGGTCAAAAAGGTCTTGGCGATCATGGCCGTGGATGAGACTGGTCCAGGTCAGGGCCTTGTATTGCGCGATTGGTATAAGAAATGGGGGTTCGAAGAGGTGGGAAGATTGAAAGGTGTGGGCTTCAAGAAAGGCCGAATGTAAGGATACCAGTAACATCCTTGGACGACAAAGCGTCGTAGCTAACAGGATCCGGGAGCAGAATTGACACGATGTATCTCGAGCTGCAGTTGCCATAGACAACCAGCAAAAAGACGACTTCTCGTTGAGGCTGAGAGCTGTGATTGGATTGTGGCGTTCAGGAGGTGTGGCTGTGCTGGCCTACGATGGGGGTATTTGTGGGGCAGTGCATGGGCAGCATTCTTCTACAGGTTGACGCCAAGAAATATTGCAGCCTGATGGCTTGGCACCTTCGTACGTCACAAACTTCATATTCTAGGCTTCAACAATCATGCCTTGAAATAATCACCCAATGCTGCTACCTGTTCTCGCTCTCTTTTCCCTCCTTTTCCTCCCTGAAAGAATGTGAACGCCAGCTTCTTTTCTGCAAAACGGCGACTTGCTCCAGTCCTCCAACTTCTGATCGGACACGAACCCGCGAGTTTCTCCCACGAGGCTGCGCCACCACTGCATGAACTCACACTTTCCGCTCCTCTTTTCGGCTTCTTTTGCCCGTTACTTATCCGATATATCAAGCATTTTCCAAGCTCCGATAGTGTCGGGGCCGAAGTCAGAGATCCAAGTTGAGTAGCTGTCGCATTTACCTTGCCCGCCTGTTGATTGGCTAACCCACCTTCCATCAACTTCTTCTTCGGGCACACCGGTTCTGCCTTGCGGTTGCCTGCATCTCCGTTCGCGAATACTTAAGCCACATCAACTCCCTATTCTTCTCTTTACTCTTCACTCATCAAAGCTTTCATCCATTGCAATAATTACACTCACGGATCTCAGGACACGATTCTCATCATGTCGTACTACCCTTACCCTTACAACTTTTGCGGCTGTTGGTTCCCAGTGCAAAATGCTGTCAACTACACTGTTGAGAGGAGATATCTTCGACAAGTTGAACTCTCGTCCTCCACAAATATCCTTGCAACTACATCCCGGACGACCCTCAAACAGACCTTTGTCAACACCGAAGAGAAGAAGCTTGAGGAAGTCCAGTACACCTTTCCGTTGTATGATGGCGTAAGTGTTGTCAGCTTCACCTGCACCGTTGGCCCAAAGACCATTGTTGGCGTGGTCAAGGAGAAACAACAGGCCCGAGAGGAATATCAGGAGGCTGTCTCTCGGGGTGAAACCGCTGGCCTTCTTGAACAGTTACCAGAAGCCTCTGACGTCTTCACCACATCAATTGGAAATGTCCCTCCCAGAGAGGAAGTTCATGTCGAGATTGTATATCTTGGTGAACTCAAGCATGATGCGGAAACTGATGGTTCTCGATTCACCGTTCCCACCATAATTGCCCCTCGTTATGGCTCAGTCTCGAGCGATTCAGCAGATAGGCTTTCGAGTACAAATGCTGTCAACAAAGGCGGCATTTCAATCTTGGTTGATGTCACACTTGAGGAAGGCTCTATTGTCCGTGGCCTACAATCTCCCAGTCATCCGATCGCCGTCACCATGGGTAGGACTTCAGCCATGAATGAAGACGCGTTCAACAACAATCACGCATCGGCCACCCTAACCCTGGGCACCACCGAACTCGACAAAGATTTTATCATCGTTGTTCTTGCCAAAGGAAATGAGATTCCACGTGCACTTCTCGAAACCCACCCCAACATTCCCAATCAACGTGCCATCATGACCACCCTCATACCCAAGTTTAACATTCCCAATATATCCCCTGAAGTGGTCTTTGTCGTGGATCGAAGTGGTAGTATGAATGGAAAGATGGAATTGGTGGTCTCCGCCATGAAGATTTTTTTGAAATCATTGCCCGTTGGCGTCAAATTCAACATCTGTTCCTTCGGCTCACGTTACTCCTTCCTCTTCAAGAAGAGCAAAACTTACGATCAGTCAAGTTTGAAGGAAGCTCTGAAGCATCTCGATACATTCTCGGCAAATTATGGTGGTACGGAAATGCTTAACCCGGTCAAAGAAACTGTGAAAAGCCGCTACAAGGATCTCCCCCTCGAAGTCATGCTCCTTACAGACGGCGAAATCTGGAATCAGAATGAATTGTTCAGCTTTGTGAATGAAACGAAGAATGCTCGCTTTTTCACCCTTGGTATTGGCCATGGAGCATCCTCCGCATTGGTCGAAGGCATTGCTCGTGCAGGTAATGGCTTTTCGCAATTTGTCGGCGAAAACGAGAAAATGGAAAAGCGCGTCGTTCGAATGTTGAAAGGGGCATTGACGCCACACGTCACCGATTATACAATCCGTGTCACATACGGAGAAGAGGAACCAACTCCTGGTGACGATGACTTTGAAATAGTTGACGACGTCGAAGAGACAACAGAAGAAGTAGTGACTGACCTCAAGAAGCCAGAGGGCAAGAAGCCGATATCACTCTTCGATGCAAACGCCAGTGAAGAACCGACCAATCCTCCAGCAGGACGATACGATAATCTGCCCACCATTCCCGTTCCTAAAGTTCTTCAGGCACCTCATCAAATCCCCGCTTTATTCCCTTTCAATCGCACCACCGTCTACCTCCTCCTTGGGTCAGAAGCGCCCCGAAGAACTCCTAAGTCTGTTACCCTACGAGGCACAAGCGAGCACGGTCCTTTGGAACTCGAAATCCCTGTCCAGGATGTCGGTCTCGGCGAAACAATTCACCAACTCGCGGCGAAGAAAGCAGTTCACGAACTCGAACAAGGTCGAGGCTGGCTTACTGAAGCCCGCAATAGACAGAACAAGCCTCTGAAATCTGCACACGAAGGAAAATGGGATCTTATCGTTGAGCGTGAGGCCGTTCGATTGGGCGTTCTCTTTCAAATCGGAGGAAAATGGTGTTCATTTGTGGCTGTTGAGAAGAATGCTCCAGGTGATGATGAAACATTACCGGCTTATTCTCAGACAGCAGGTCAGGGTGCAGATTTTGCAGGTGGCTCTGAGCCACATCTTGGATCAAGTAAGTCCTCTTCTGCCTTGGGATCCACCACAGCTGCACCTTTCCCTCCGTGTGGAAAGTCTCAGGGCTGGCAGAACTTCCTTTTCGCTAGTAAGACCCAAGTCAATTGTCGTCATGTGAATTCGTTTGGCTCGGTCCAGTCAACTGGCGGTGGGCTTTTTGGGAACACTAATAAGGCCGCAAGCACAGGTCAATCCGGAGGCCTTTTTAGTGGTGGTGGGCTATTTGGAAACAATTTTCCCCATCAAATCACTGCTCCGCCTAAGGAAGTCTTTGGGACTACTCCTGCATCAGGTGGTACCAAGCATTCCGGCGCGCTCTTTGGGAGCTCTTCCACCTCCACCATGAACGGAGCTGGGTGCGCTCTGTTCGGAACCAGTGCTTCTGGGTTTGGGCCCAAAAGTGGAGCATCATCAAGTAGGCTCTTTGGAGATAGTGCAGCGTCTTGCTTTGGAAGTGGAAATACTTCTCATAGCACAGCCGACCCCGCTACTCAATCATTTGGCTTCTTTGGGACATCCTCCCTTTTTGGACATTCCTCTCCATTAGGCGCTAGAAGCCCTGCCGGTGGATTGTTTGGAAATGCTTCTGCTAGTGTTTCCTCCGCCTCTGATGCTGAACCCAATGCTTCAAATGCTCCCAACCCTGAACGAGCCCTTGTTTGCCTTCAACCTTCTTCTTCCGAAGAGTCTCCTTCCTCTCCTTTTTCAGACTATCCAGCTGACTCCGCCCTTGCAGGAGAGCTTCACTGTGTCACACCCCCCGGTGGCCGACGCGGAGGCTTTGGATCCGCTCCACGCCCCATGTTGGCTCAGCCTGCTCCCTCCCCGGTCCCGGCACAGGCTCTAGGCATGTCCTACGGGCCCGCGCTTGGAGCAGCGCCGCGACAGCAAATGATGGCACAGTCACTCAACTGCAGCCTGGATGCGGTCGCACCACAACCTCGCCTCGCAGCCCGTCGTCGGCGGTCGCCAATGTCTACTATGTTCGCCGCTATGTCGCCAAAGGCAGAGTCGGAGAAATTGAAAAAAGGTCCTGCCATGAGCCGCCTCGGTTTCGCTGCTCCGCTGGCTAAGAGACTCGCGCCGTCCTCCAAGCGGGCAGACTTCCCGCAGTCAGACGTAGATGGTGATGATGATGCCATCGCGTTCTCATCAGATAAGATGGAATTCGACAAATTATCCCTAGACGCCACGTCCAATGAGGGAGTGGATGTCGACACTTCATCCCTCTCCGACGTAGGAAAGATGTACAAGATCATCGACTTGCAATCCTTCGACGGCTCATGGTCACTCTCTAACAAGTTACTCCAACTCTTCGGTCTCAGCCAGGATCAGGTTCAGAATCTGTTGAGCGGTGCAGGTGATGACGAGAGCGTCAGAGCTACGGCATTGGGTATCGCCTGGTTGAAGATTAAAGTCCCCGCCGAGAAAGACGTGTGGGAAATGGTCGTCGACAAAGCAGAGGGATGGATACAAGCGAAGATTGGTAGTGACAAAGCGAAGGAGGTGATTGAGGCTGCGGTCAAGATTTGTTGAGTCCGTTGACGAAATTGTTTTCCTCGCTGTGGAAGGACGGTCAAACAGGGCAAGCCAGGAGTATTACAAGAACCAAGAACTTAATGAAAGGAAAATGGAAGTGAACCGATGATTCGCTTGGCTCTAGTTGGATTGTGTGCGACTTGGAAAATGGAAATAAAGTATGAGTTGAGTGGTGCATATGCTCTAATGAAGACTCTCGAAGTCAAGTGCAATTGTTAAGAGTGCGTAGGTCCACATGCAAACGTCAGTTGGCAATCGGGCAGAAATTGGTAGCCTACAAGGCGGAATGTCTGTTCGAGGATCGCGCCTCGTATTTCAGGACAGAAAAACGAAAAACGAATAGGAAAAGAAGGACAAGTAGGAAGAATCCCAAAGACATCTCATATTTTATTCTCGATACTAGGTAGGATTACGTTACCAAATACTATTCTCATGTCGTAAAGTGTCGGCTAGTGTGAAGCTATTCCACGTCGTGCCATTTTGCTGGCGATCTTCTCGTCCAATGTTCCAATGTTCACTAGGCAAGTACAGTGGTATATGTCGGGTTTATATCTGCAAGGAAAATCTGCTGAGCGAAATACGCTAACATATGGTGGCATAAAATATTTCCTTGGTCGTTGCGTACTTCGTCGGCTCATGCTCAGGCTGCAAGAACAGAACAGTCATCCGTCCTACCTGTCGAATCGGAACTCATTTTCATCACCCACCTCCTCAGCCTCATGCTCAACGACTCTTTCAATCTCGCTCGCGACGCCGAGAACCCAATGATCTCTCTCCGCGCGACTGCGGCATTTGAAGACCATACTTCGACCAGGGACGCCCAGCTGCCCGACTCGTCGCAATTTGGCTCTCTTACTCCCCTTGGTCTCAGTACTTTCGCCATCACTTCCAATGGCGCCTCCTTCTGCTGCAGTAGCGGTCCTGAACCATCCTTTGCGTCGATTCATCCACACGACGAAACAAGTCATGACGTCGACATCCGCACTCGTCCAGCCGTCTTCGAGATATACACGAGGCAAACTAGCCATGCCAGGATGATTGGCGTCGAAGGTTTTGTTGTGGTAAAGAAGATCATCCTCCACGATCAGACCGCTATAGACGTAACAACCCTTCAAGTCCACCACCCGCTGCTTCTCCAGGTGGATATGTCGGATCTGTTCACCCGTCGTCTTGCGGAGCGACGCTTGATAAATGAGCAATTTCCCACCACATAAAATGACTTGGCAACGGTGAAAAGTTGCTCGTCGGCGCTTCTTCATATATAGAGGACCAGACATTGTAATGCTCCTGCAAGAACTAATTCCGCACATGTTGTAGAGTTCCGGACTTGCCTCACTACGACTGACTTCCCATTTCTTTGCGAATTGGCCAATGATGGCCTCGAGTTCGTCATCCACATTGAGTTGTTCAAGATTGGCTCGTCGAATCGCTTTGAATGTATCCATCTCCGCGGCGATGCGTAATTTCCAATATTTGACTAGTTTCCGTAATCGACGTATCCATTCATCACGCGTTTGTTTGGAGTATGCTTGCAGTCGAATGACCAATCCATTGTCTAGCAGGAGCTCGAAGATACGGTCATCATCAATATCTTTTGTTGATCCATCTTCTCTCGTGGTGTTGGAGACTTCTTGATGAAAATCCACGTCCGAACTAGAACCGGCTTCGAGGGTCTCATCTGCTGGAGATACACCCCCCTGACTGACGCGTACCGTACGGATGTGGCACATGTTAACGTGTCCGTCTGCGTCAATGATGTTGGCGACATTTCTTCTGGCTTCTTCAAGAGCGTCACGGTCATGCTGTTGAAGAGATATTGGATTTCCAGAAGATAGCCATGAAACGTCACCATCCCGCAACTTGTAAGGTTCAATATCATACATGAGCGGAGTCTTTTCGACAATCTCATGTGAAGAGGGAACATTACTCCCTCCGATAGTAGCCAGTCTTGGTGGATGGGGTGGGGTTGCTTTTGCTGGTCGACTGAACATTAAAAACTGATTGTGAGTTGAGAAATATAACCGTTTGAAAAATGCCTTGCCGAATCTCTGATGGACTCCTCTCTGGGATGTCAGACGAATCAGGAAGCCTTCAACAGGAGGCGGTTCTTCATGTTGCTTTCCTTTCCTGCCATAGGTCAAGGTGGGATAATGCTGCTTGGGCCGTAGTTCGAGATCATGAGATCGTTGCATAGCCATAGAGCCATACATTTTCTGCTCATTCACCCCATAAACCCATTCGAGTCGGTCATATCTCTTCCATGCCAGGCCCATTTTGGCAGTCTCGCTCCATAATTTCAGGACGCTAGACCATTCGGGATCTCGTTCCAGCATCCCTATGCACTGAGAGACGATTTTTCCGGTAACAGCTTTCTCGGCAGCAACCGTTTGAGCAATTGCGGTTTCTTCGTCTGTAGCATCCAGACCTGCTGCTTCAAGTCCTTCAAATGGTCTTTCTAGTTTCAGCACCACATCCAAATCGGGTACATTGACCTGCAAGCTCGAAGGTCTCTGCCAGCCCAAAGCATCTCGAAGGAAAGTGTACCACTCAACCGAATGAGCAGTGGAACTCGGTCTCATGACGATGATCCTCGTTCCATTTTTGTACGGATGCCACATCACCACCGTCTTGTCGAGGGAGGAGTATAAATTGACTCTGGTCGAATTCGGATCAAGCCTGATTTCATGCTTGGGCTTTTTCTTTGTCGTCTCATCATCGATCTCGGGAATGACTCGCGTCTTGTAGATCTGAAGCCTGAAGTCGTCGCTGTCCTGTTTCTTGCTCTTTCGAGTCACAACCATAAATTCCCGCCATTTCTCGAGTATTCTCGTTTCCGTTTTGAGGCTTTCATTTTCGTCAAAGTCTTCAGGCACCTGCTGCATGGTGATATCAATTCTCACCAGCATCCTTTCCATTTTGACAATGGTACCCTCTTGAAGAGTGTTTCGTCGTAGCCTTTTATCGGCAACGCGATCCCGTGCTCGTACTGCCTTATTTTCTATTCGACGCCGTCCATGGGACACTCCTTCTGATACCTTGAATCTCACGCCTGTGTTTGCTCGTCCCAGTTGATAAATTCCCTCATCGTAAATGGGAGCGGGTTCATGATGTTGCAATGACTTTACCGCTGAGCCTTCACCCTCTGGAGCGAGCAATGCGGTCCGAGAGCTTGCATCAAGCCCCACCTGCGCCAACCCAGGCTGAAGAGAAACTCGATTTGATACAGGGAGGCCTGTGCCATCACTATCTTCTTGATCGGTGTCTTGCTCCAGTTGTCGCGGTTTCAATGAAGCTGTCTGTACTTTTGATCCTCCAGCAGTATGCTCCAGGGCTGTTTGGTACGAACCAGGTCTCGAGGATCTCGCACAAGAATCTCCTTTCGCATTTTCCGTTCTCTTGTCTCTTGTCCCATCCAGTCCTTTGTCTTGGGAAACTGGCATAGCTTTTGGAACTATATTTCCTTGAATGTCCTCATCTTCAATTCCTGACGAATGGAGTAGCTCGTTGGTGGCAAGAGGCTCGATGTTTCTTGTCCCCGTCTCTTGATCGCCATCGCCCTCCTCCGCGTCTGCCATCTCACCAGCACTAGATGCCTCGTCAAAGACGTCCTCGGGCTGAGGGAAACTGAAGCTCATCCTAGTAGCCGTTGAGGGACCATCCAGCCCCGTCAACGTTCTACGATGAGGGCCATGGTCCTCAGCTGCACGGAAGGTTGCTCTTCGTGAAGAGTATGAGCTCAGCTCGACCCTTCGCTTGTACCATGACTTCCGATTGCTATTAAGCCACCCTTCGGGAATGGGGCCAATGAAGAATCGGCGAGACGTGAGATGCAAATGCTCCGGGGTGGCATGCTTCAACCGGCGGGCAGTGTAGGAATCCGGGTCTAGGTCATAGGTGCTTGCCAAGCTGCCGGCGGGCATTGCTCTGGTGGTCGACATCTCCGTAATACAGAATACCTCGTCATCATACTTGGACCATATACATCTTGCGGAGATAGAGGAAAGTAGGAATTTATGGGGGCCTGGGAACAAGGAACGGCCTTTATCAAGTTGTAGGAAAAATCTCCCGCCAAATTTGGTGGTAGGTGCGGCGCAGCCACATTTCATCACGTGTACGTCACAGCTCATAAAAACTGGTCCGAGCTCACGTGCGACTCACTCCAATCGTGCCGCTTTTAAAAATAAGTCCACCCATCAACCTTTGACCCAACCCCCTTTTGACCCACGCTTTTTTGCACCCCCGCCAACAACGCGTGCTCGCACTCAACCCTCTACAGCTCAACCAATTCACATTATATTACTCTCCAATGGCGTCAAATAAGGAGATACGACTCCAGCAAGCTATCGATGCCGTACGAAATGACCGATATGTTGGCAGTCCACATTGGGCCTAGTCTAGTCACGTGCACCGCACCCTTCGGTGCCCCTTTTTGTAGCTTACAATACGATACGATACGATATTCATACACCCTGTACGGGCTAAGCCCATAGGGGACTAGATAATTGCTACGCGCTACCTCCGTTCTCCACCGGTTCGTCTTAAACCCGGCTATTAGATCCCTCGCCTTTACAAGACTGTTGCCCCTTTCGAGCCATCAACCCGGTCATCAAGAGCGTTTTCCTGAGTGTTACTGGTCATTCAACGGTGCAGCAACTTCCGGTGCTGGCTCACGCTCTTTCCTTTGGGGCAGCCATCACTCTCATGGGTTCGTTTGCAGTCGTCCGGTGGCTTTCGCAAATTCAATCACTGCACGAATAACTTTCATGTTCGCCTTCCACTTGTCCCTTGGGCCGTCTAGCCTTTCGTTGAACCAACCCCCAAGGAGATAGGACACATCGCACCATCTTGTGGTTGCCGTTTGAATGTGATGTCCACGCTCCACTGTCCATCGTGAGCACTCCACAAGAAAGTGTCGCACTGTTTCCGGTCGTTGGAACCATTCACACAACTTCGTGTCTATCGCCCTAATGCTGTAAAGGGTACTATTAAGGCGACTTTTCCCGTGCGTAGCTCCGCCACGATTTGAGCTTCTTCGCGTTTTAGACCGTCATAGATTCGTCGTGTGTGCATGCCAGGGAAAGCACGATCTAACTGCTTCGTATATTGGCCCTCGTGGCTGGCTTCGAATAGGGTTCTCTCGACGTTTAGGAGTGTATTCCCTTCTCGTAGAGCGGCCGACTTTACCGAAGTAGCTGGGGGGATGTCTCGATCAAGTTCTGTCGCTTTCTGTGCGTGCTTGTGTGCCAATTCGCTACCCAGAGTATCTGTATGTTTAGGGACCCAACGTAATACGATTCATGATGCCCATCGCTGAGAGAACCGCTGAAGCCGCCATAAGATGTCTCGCACGATCGCTTGTCCACTCTGTTGTCGCGGTTTCGCCAGCACCCGAAGCGCTGACTGACTGTTGCTGAAGATGGTCATTATCTCCTTTAATTGTATGAAGTCTTCCACTGGATCGATAGTGTTTGACAGGTCGAGGACGATGGATGTCTGTAGTGTTTCCGAAGTTTGCGAGATGGAGCTATGAGGATTCAATGAGTTGCTTGGGATAGAAGGGCGCGATGCTGGAGGCGATAGTGTGGCTCCTGACTGAGGTGAAGTTCTAGCCACTACGCGCGCCCAACTCTCCGTGGTTTTTGCCTGTTCCGTTGCTGATTTTCTTCACCGTCGCGAGGTGCCTTTGCCTTTTGTCGGTTCGTATGTCGAGCGGGCGCAGGCGCAGATGGTGCTGTGGCAGGCAACCGCGGTGGTGTTGTTGGGCCAGCCGCGTTGGCAGCCATGCTCGCGCCGGCTGCCCCGTCTGCACTTCTCCCTCTAGGCCGTGGAATGTAGTGTCGAATTCGAGTTTTTGACCGTATACTGGATCCGATGAAAGCTCCCCCTGAGGGTTCGTTCTGATCCGTTAAGGGTTCGAGGGTTGGTCCAGGAAAAGACTTTTTGAAAGGCACCTCCGTATCACGTAACCATTTTCCGGGATCACGTGATAACACCCCGGGGGGCGCCCTCCCAACTCGATATGATCCATGGATTGGATCCGATGAAATCCCCCTCTCGTCGCCCATCGGATCCAGTCTATGGACCACCCGACCTTTAACGGATTAACCATTTTCCGGGATCACGTGCTCCCCCGAGGCCCATGCAGCCGGGGGGAGATATCCTCGATATCGAGATGATCCACGCATCGGATCCAGTCTGTGGACCACCTCAGACAAGCTCTACTAGTCACACTGAGATGGTTCGTAACCGAGCGTTAACGGACGAGCCTCGATGTCGACGTGGTCCATGGATTGGGTCCGATGGGTCGTGGTATTTCATCGGATCTGTGGACCATCGAAATGGCTCGTAACGGGGCGTTAACGGACGAGCCTCGATATCGAGATGGTCCATGGATTGGATCCGATGAAAGACCACCGCCAATCCGTGGACCATGTGGCCGGGGGGCGTCTTACTCGATAGGGGTCGACATCCTGATATCGAGAAGATCCACGCATCGGATCCAGTCTGTGGACCACTCAGAGAAGCTCTACTAGTCACACTCGAGATGGTTCGTAACCGAGCGTGAACGAACAAGCCTTGACGTCGAGATAATCCACTGATTGGATCCGATGGGCTGTGGTATTTCAGTGGATAGCTGGAAATCTTGTCTGCTAGAATTTTATGTCAGTTAACTGACTGAACTTTCAATCAGGCCGCGAATCAGGCAGGCTGGCGATTATGTCAGTTAATTGACTGTTGGCCACGCAGGGTACATGCCAAGTCTAGGTACGTTTCGTACCAAGGTCAACAAGCCACTGTTGACTAGAACAGAAGTATTCATTGCTGGGACCTCAATCTCCTCTTGAAGCCGCGCACTGTCGCCCAGCGCTACACAGCACCAAAGGGGCCATACATCAACGCATATCTCACGAATGGCCTGAGTGAGGATCGACGACATTCATGGACTCAAACGCATTGTCGAGGATGGAGACAGTTATCATAAGCAGGATCGGATCGAAAATCAGAGTATCCACTTCGGTAAGGATATAGGTTTCCTAATGAGTAGTTAGAAGGGCATGCAAAGCATCCATGAAGTAACCACTTACAGAATTGGTCTTTTCTTCCATCCTTTAGTATACCTCAGGGTGGTCTCCATAGCAAGAAGGTCACGCTTCCCCTCGGAAGCATTACAAGTGTCACATCTTCACAGCAGAGAGTCTTAATATCCTCCCAGTCCAGATCCATCTCACCATCATTGCCGGGCGCGTCATTCTCCCATCCAAAGTAGTGCTCCCTTTGTTTAGTGTGATTAGTCGCCTTATACACTAAGGCAGCCGGTCTAGTTGCTGTATACGCAGAGAGAAGAAGCAAGAGAGCTAGCTGTAGTCGTTGCCGTTCGTCTGGGAAGACCGGTGTGTCCAGAACCCAATGATGATGGAGAACTAGAAATACGTCGTCGATGTCCATGACTGGTTTCTCTCGCACGCCCGTGTCGAGGTTATACTCAACAGTCAAGTATCCATCAATGTACTAATCATAGATCAGTGACTAGTCTCGAAGAATGAACAAATCTTTATCCTCACATCGCGAACCTCCTCCATTACTTTAGCATGCAAACCCTTACCAACAGACTTTCGGTATAGCATGCACCACACTCCCCAGTATTCATCTAAAGTGCTTCTTTTCCAGACTTGAGGGTAGATGTCTAGAATCCACTTGAGAAAGGTCATGAGTGGCGCTCACGAGGAAGCGAAGCCTGTCTTCTCCAACAATGTCTAATTGCGTTAGTAGCTGCGCCTCTTCTCGATATGTCCCATAGGACGCATATCCTTACCTTGTCCATTTCATCATCACTCCCCAAATATTCTCTTCGTCGAGTCCGCATGCTGCTTCTTTACGGTACCCTTCTCAACAAGTCGTCGTCGATGTCGTCGATAATACTCAGGTGAATACTGAGCCGTTGGCCTCTGGTAGAGATGCTGCACGGCCATACTGCCTTCACGAGAGCCTTCTTCTCTTCAACTCCCTCCCCCTCTTAATGATAGTAGTAACTTTTATACGTAGAATAGTATGGTCAGAGGAAGAATTCTTCATAGAAAGGAGAGAGACAATACTCTCGGTCGTCGGTTTAAACGCAAAACTTGAGTAGAGCCGGTCGAATGCATAAAGGGAGATGGGAGATGGAACGAGGTTCAAGATGATTTCGTGAAAGTCAGAGAAGGCCCTCTCTCTGAGACATTATGAGGGAATCCGGAGGGACCCTCCCTTCACGTTCTCGAGACGCCATGTTCGGGACGGTGCGGTCGAAGGTACCCATTCTTTCAGGTTCCCTGGCGGCTTCTGAAGGTGACTCAGGTTAGCGTTCTTGGCACAGAGGTAAAAACGCCTCCAAAAGCGGCGGCACCAACCGCCAAATTCAGCGGGAAATTTCCCTGCAACTCGCGTTGAACTGTGATTCACGTTGGACGAGAATGACTTAGTAAACAATATCTTGGCAATCCGTCTGAAAGTATGTGCAGAGGAGTTATCGAAGTGTGAGGCCGATTTTGAGATTCACTGTAGCAATCTTTAAGCCCCCAGTGCTCCGTTCAGCACAGGACAATTTCCTTATCATTTGCTCCTGCCTGAAATGCTTCTCCGAGCATAAGTCCATGAACATAACAGTCTCCTACAACCATATACACAGTGCCTGCTTGTGGACGTGAATCAGATATTGATTGGGACGCCGGCCTCAAAATTACGGGAGCGCTACATCCACACAACACTGCGATTTGATCTCCCTTTCTGGCCTGCCTAACAGCCACGCCCAGTCGTCCCTGCGAAGTGACAGTCAAGCGACGACGCTTAAGGGTGTTCGCGGCCTGCCGCAACATTTTCCTGGGCCATTTCAGTTGTCGTGTTGTTCCAACCGAGGCAGAGGAACTCGATAAATCATGTGAGGTGGGGAAGAAGTAGCCCAGAGGGTAGCCGCACACGTCGAACTCACGTGTTGCGCGATGGCGAAAGTGAAGAAATGTCATCATATCCTGTCTCTCATGAGGGCTGCACCAGTTCTGGTCAATCAAATTTTGCGCCATGGTAGGCACGTCATCGTCAGAAGTTTCTGGCCACGGCAAATTGAGCAGCTGAGCATATTCGTCGGGTGCGGTTGTGTCGTGGGGAAAGCCGGCGCTTCCACCTACTAACGTCCTCCAGAGCGCATCCCTAACTGTCGCCATGTTTTGCTCCAGTACGGGGATGGTTGGGACAGACTGCATCTCCTCTTCTTCAGAAACTGCCACCAGTGGCCATTGAGGAGGCGTGAGATGATCGATCTCATCTAGGACGACGCCCCGACAAATCAGGAATAGTCCGTCTGGAGAAAATCGAGGCTCGATCTCAAGGTTCCCCCCGGCGTCCATTATAGCTCTTGTTCCCAATGTATGTGACATGCTTTTGACTCGAAGATCTGGAGTCCAGGTGGGAAACATCGGTTTCCCTGAACGAATTCTGCAATTTTGGAGGAGATCCAGTCGCTTCATTGCTCTGATGATGGCTCGGGCCAGGTCAGCGTATACAGCGTGTGCCGTCTTGTCCAGATCTGGCTCGATCAGTGCAGATACCCTGGGGGGCAACAAACCAAGGATGCTGTAGACCTTGTCCCGATCGTCTTGCTGGAGTGAACCACGACAAATATCCAGGAGTTGAAGCACGTCGCAGTCGGTACCGTTCTGGATCGATCTGTCGATCTCATGTACGTATAGGAGCCTTGCACAGACCGAAAATGTCTCGTGTCGAAACCTGTCATAGTAGCTGCCATCATCTCCGCGGGATGTGGCGAAAAGTCGATGAAACCAGGGCACATTTTCGATGATTGCCACGACTAGGTTCCACAGGGAATGCAGGTGTGCTGAACGGTCACCACATAGCAACACAGTCTGGGAACCTGCCAATGCTAACTCTTGAACGATCCACATGCGGCGCCAGTACGGCCTCTGGAGGAAATAGGCCAATGCTTTCCACACTTCTCTTGGAATGGAAGTCAAGATCTCTTCCGATCTGGCAAAATGATCATCGACGTCGCCGAACTTATTGAGCGTGTCCATTACGAGAGGACTTTCTTCCATAGCCGGGCCAAGCCATGCCACCACGGAGTAGGCGTTGGAAAATATAGTTGGCATCCTTTTCAATTCTCTTTGCACCTCGACTTTATTTTGCTGATCAAGACAAAGGAAGTCGTTCCAAACCTTTAAATGTCCGTCCACCACGGCAGGATATCTGGACAAAGCCCGGAGGCCTTCAGCCAGGTTGCGCGAGATGGTAATTGCTTCTCCGTTTACGAGAATCCGTTCAGCCTGGCATCGATCTCCCCAGGTATGCGACATTGCCAGATAGTCACCCCATTGGAAGCGGACTGGATACTCATGCCGATCTGAATCGATAAGCGTACGACGCAAGCAGATTCCAGAGTATGCAAACCTGACTGGTGAGACTCCTTCCACTTCCGTAGCCTTTCCGCGATCGTCCAAGAAGTCGGCGATTGACTTTCGAATCTCACATAGTCATCGTTGTGGTGGTCTAGAGAATACACATCGACGATGCAAGCGATCTCGGGCGCCTCTCCTGCCACCTCATGGTCAATGCTAGATGAAACAAAGTGAATAAGACGGATTTCGTTTTTTTCAGCGTGAAGCGATTTGTATGACGGAGGATGATCTGTTCTGGTGGATAATACAGTGTCGCCCATCATACATACTGATATCTGGATTTTCGAGGGCACATCAATTGCAAGTATAATTCCTAAGTTGTTCCAACGGCTTTCCAGTTACGGGCGTAGGCGTGCAGGAGCATCTTGCTTGGGGGAGAGATGGAGAGATTGCCAGACCTTCGGATGGTGGTGAGCAGTAGAGCAGCAAGATTAACGGACCATATTCCGTTAGCCTGTTTCTCAGCTATATTTATTCTGTATTTGGCAATTGGCATTGGGCGGCGTGCATGCTCAATCCTCAAATCCTCCCACCGACAAACCCAGTGTCCCAGCCGTCTCTCGTTCTCAGCAGCCTCCCACACTCATTTCCTTCCTGTTCAGGAGTACCCTCAACCCTCTCTCTTCATCAGCTAATCCACCCCCACAATGTCTAGCCTGCAAATCCCATCAGGCAAGACCTGGTTCGACACCCACAAAGTTCACTTTGAAGATGTGTTCATCACCGCTGACGAAGGCATCTCCACGATCGAGTTCCTCGACGCCTCTGAAGCCACCACGACCCTCTTCGACCTCTTGGGCTCTATGGCCTTTACCCCCGTCAAAAACGACATGATGGGCAACGTGACTAAAGTGCGTGACCGACAAAAGGCTGCCCCCGAAAGCTCATCCACACTACAAGAACTGGTGAAGACCGAGCTGGCCTCGAAATCTCATAAAGCGACTGAGGGTCTCTTGTGGCTTGTCCGCGGCTTGGATTTCACAGCTCAGGCACTGAGAGCTGATCTGACGAGCAATGGATCGGTGTCGGTGATGGAGCAGAAGCCGACCAAGGAGTTGGCAGACGGATTCAGGGCAAGTTACAAGAACACTTTGGCGCCTTACCATGGGTTTTTGGTCAAGCCTGTCTTCAGTGCCGCTATGAGTGCAACGCCCTACAGGAGAGATTTCTACGTTCGATTGTGTGGGCAAGGGACAGACCCGGAAATGACGAGACAGGCGTTGGAGAAATGGGTGTCTGCATTGGAAAAGCGGGTGGCTATCTTGAAGAGCTTTTTGGCCAGCAAGGATGCCAAGTGGTAGGGCGTCTGCCACAATGTTGGGATCTTGCATCTTTTCGGCTCCAAAAACTTTCATATTGCTGTTCAGATCGACCGTGAGGTGATGTACCATGCACTTAGAATTAGCAGCAGTGGAGGATAAATCTTGTTGCTCACACTACACAATGTGAGCAAAGGAGGAGAAAACTACGATAATGAAATTATGACGCAAACATTCCGTATGGAAAATGAAAACAATCCAAATCATGTTCAAGTTCTTGCCTACGAGTACTGAGGATGTCAACACGTCGCTGAAATACTCCCGCTGCTCTTGGCCTCGCTTTTATCGCAATAGAAGGCGCGGTGAGCGTCACGTCAATCTTTTTCGAAGTACCCAGCCAAAGTAACCTTGGCGCCGATGTTACACGATTTAGCAGTTGCTTCGCCGACAACTTTGAGATTATCTTGTTTGCAATAGGACGTCGACTTCTCTCCATTAATAAACCATGCCTTTGGGCGATGACCGGAATGAACGATCCTCTTCGACCTAGCCTTGAACAATCCTCGATCATCCTCGACAAGTCCCGGCATTCGTGGGGTGCTCTACTTGCCTGGGCACTCTCTACCAGCTGTTTGCCTTTGTCCTGCGCCAACACCAGCAGCCTTCTGCATCAGACACCTTCTCTCCCAAGTCGATCAAAGATCGAGGAATCAGCTGGGGATACTTCGCTGTACCTAGAGGGTTTCTCAGTCTGGGGCCTTGGTTCGCCCAAGTGCGATCTCGCCGGCAAGACCAAGAAGTCACGACTTCAGAAAGTTGTGATTGCATCGAACCGCCCAAGATTTTGTCACATTTCAAACGAGTTTCCTTCAGGATGGCCGGGGTTCGAGGACTGCCCCCGCGATAGCTCGACAGGAAACTATGTCTCTGTATTTGTTTTAGGCTGGTCCTATGTCCTTTCCGCACGACTTGTCGAACTGCGTCGGGAGTCGGACAAGGACAAAATCTCCTACACTGAAGAGAAGGCCTCGTTGGATACCTCCGAAGGACCACTTTCTCCCAATAACGGATTTACTATACCCATTGGCGGAGTGGATCTTCCAGAATGCCGATGGTGGACAGCCATCCTCGCCAGCGGATGCGGATGGCAGACTGTCCTTTATCGTTCTGGTCGAGAGTTTTATCCTTCGTGGTCGTGTCACCTGAATTGTGATGAGCGATTCCAAATTCGCTACGACCGACCGAATTGCTATCTACCCATGTTAGGCCACCCTCCGTCCTCCACACGGGCGCAGGAATACCTCTACAATTTCGCCAAACTACACAACGCATATGACCAACTTCTGGCTGCCTTTGTTGCAACGCTAACAATTCCTGAACACGGAAGATTTGGCGCCCCTGTCGCATTACCTCGACCAAAGCCTATGTTCACAATCGGCGCGGGTACGCATTCGACTTTGCTAAATCTGTTGCCTTCCACAGATCACCTACCGCACTTGATGGCGTTGAGCTGTGTACCAAACACAATAACTTCCTGTATGCTCGGTTGTCTTTGGGAGCCACGGGTGACTTGCAATCTTGCTAGTCAATGGCTCTACCCTATCCTGCAAGAGGTGGTTCCATGTTTGATCCGGGAGAGGCAATTGTATACCATTGTCCGAATAATGGCCGCACGTCGACCAAATGCTGCCCCTTTGTGGCTGGGCTCGGCAATTACAGGTCTACTGCCTAGGTTATTCGAGATTGCTGGTGCGTATTTGCCATCTATTTCTCTCGAAGCGACGCGGTGGACGCAGTCTTCCCAATCATTCATGGATCCTCGGTATCACCGGAAGGCGCGATTTTATGATGATAAAGGTCAGAAGTTCATCCGTCGCGAGGACGAGTTCCGCCTACTCTACCTTACGGATATTGAGTCGAACCAGTATGCGTCGCCACCTTTATGTCCCTGGCTGCCTTTCGGGATGACGGATCTCAAGACTACTGCAATTGAAGTTCGGAAGCACGCCTTTTGTGGGCATCAGTTTACCTATAACCACTGGGTTTGGGAAGGAAATGGTGGGGTACGTATTTATGATCACGGAATTGCGTGGAAGTCGAATACCATACGGCCACGAGACATTGGCCATCGAATCATGCTTTTGCTATTTCGATTCCGAGCAAAGATGTGTATTCACTGGCGAGGTCGCCATGGAAGGTCTCCATTAGCACCACTGGAAGTTTCTTCCAGTGAAAAGTTGTCTCGAGCAGCGACTCGGAATATTTTCACCTGGACGTTGTCAGATGGAATTAAGCCTGAGGAATCGGCAATGTGGACGCATGAATGGCTTGAGGGCCTACTAGATGAAGAGGAAGAAGAGGATGAACAAGATGTGGAACCAGTTTCTTCAGATTGAACTGGCAAGGAGACTCGAGACAACCAGCGTTTCCACTGGACAAAATTGATTCCGTCTTTCCCAGCTTGTGTCCTAGGCTCGTTTGAGAAGCCTGATTCACTCAGTGGTTTGCAGCATTGTTTCTGATCCAGCCGTTGGGTTCTGTTCCTGACGGACCACATGCTGGATGGTCTGCACATTCGCTGCAAAGCCTCCATTGTCCGCCTGCCTGGCAGATCTTCCATTGTTTTCGGCATCCAGAGGCTGTGCATTTTTCATAGGTATGCTCGCTATTTAGATGGCGGCATATTGCGCATGAACCAGACCGACCAGATGATGTCGAGCGCTAAGAAAAATGTTAAATACCGACAAGAAACCGAATGATAATGGAGCCTTACCATGTCTGCGGGTTTGTACTGTAGTATATCTTGCTGTCCGATACAACAGAGAGTTGGGAAAAACAGGTGGGAACGAACGTACCTCGATACTTGCTATCTCAGACAACGCATCGTGGAATTCTGGCCTTGTCTGTTTGACGACTATTCGAATGACCAAAACTTTAGGCAACAGCAGGCAGAGTGACAAGAGTGGGGACAACGACCGACATTGGGAGGTGGAACCGCCCATCGGGTTCCTGGACATGGCTTGCTTAATCGGCCATTTCAGATGGGCGTGGCCTACCCTTCAGTCGGCAGGAACGTATGGCACACTCGTACGAAACCATGTTTGAAACATTCAGTAGGCGCTACTAGTGCGTTACCCGGCCGACCACGACCGACCACGACTGCATTTGCATGTTGACGCGTCCTCTTTCGTTCACGTCTTCCTGCAGGGCCAGGCTGCCCTTTTTGCTTCATGACATTAGGACGGGGTATCAGACGTTTAAGTCATCATAATCTGTATATCAATACTGATTACGAGACACATCAATACTTGCCAGAACCACAGAAGGCTCTTTGTCTTCGGGCTCCCCTCAACTCAAATCTCCACCTTCGGGCCGCAAAAGAAAGCGAAGTGACCAGGAGGATGCCTCAAGGGAAAAGGTTCTCAATCGCCTGTGCAAGACACCACACCCAGACGAACAATGTGCGCAGTGCGGTCAATCGACAGACTTGGATATCTTTGATCGTCGCAGCGGTCGTTGCCTCTGGCTGGACCGCACAGCAACGGGTATAGTGTGTTCACCAATATAACTGGAATCAGAGTCACTTGGCCATGCATCATGGTCGACTCTTGATTGGTTCATGTTTCTGGCTTGGCTGGTCGTTGTTGACATCTTGCGTTTCGGTCTTGAAGTCCGATGATATGCCATACGATCAAGAGTTCGTCTGAGCGCCCTGGCTGAGAAATGAGATATCTTTATCGTTGCGAAAGCCCGAGAATGGTGACAGACGACTTTCAGTTCCGACTGAATAGGGCGTAGGCTCCCGGCACAAGTAGGGAATTTCTCAGTTGAGCTGACTGCAGCAAGGTTGTCTCAACTAGGGTCCAACCCTGGTGGGATGGGTATTATTCACTCGGCTTTCCGATTTGGGAATCATGCCTCATGAATCGTGGAGAATCCTCGTGTGACACCAACTACTCACCTGCTGGTTCCTATCAGGTGCATCTGTGGTGCTGAAGTTCGTCGATAGGCCGGAAAAATGGTAAGCCCGTGCGATGGTTGATTGCGTGCGCGTTTCCTTGGCTTATCAGTCTGTAAAGCATAACAATCTACAAATGTCCCAGAGTTCATTCATCCAACTCAGCCAACTCAGCCGACCGCTCAAACTCACAGCCACCAGAAAAGATCCATAGGCATGGCTGAACAACTAGACCGTCTCCTCTACCCACTACCCCCATCGCCTCCACGTCCCGTCCAGCGAAAAAGCCTATGCAAATTCTCGCCCTGGGCTTCCCGCGCAGCGCCATCGACTCTCTTTGTTTCGTGCTGCTCACTCTCGGCTACTCGCGCGTCTGGCATGGCTTCGATCTCCCATCTACGCGGCCGGAAGACGGCGGTAGCTGGGTTCTCTTGCTGCAAGCTAAAGCTCGTGGCGAAGATAAGTCTGGACGGGAGTTTGACTGGGACGTCTTACTGGGCGACTATGACGGGGTAATGGATATGCTGCCGGGTATCTTTGTGAAGGAATTACTGGATTTTTACCCGGAGGTTAAGGTGATTCTGGATCGACGGAATAATATGGACGCGTGGCACCGGAGTTCGAATGTGGCGGCGGAGATGGTGTTGGGTAGCTGGGGGTTGTGGATGTTGAATTGGTGGGATCGGAAGCTGTTTTGGTGGTTTCGGAGTGCCGTGTTGTGGACGGGTATTATAGGGAAGGGAGAGGATATCTAGATTAGGAGGTACAAGAGGGTTGGGGCCCATTGTGTGAGTATTTGAGCAAAGAGGTTTCGATGAGCCATTCCCATGGGGCAATAAAGCGGGAGGCGAGTTCGAGAAGAATGCGAACAGAGCGGTAGAGAAGATGGTGAAGAGAGCGGCGGCTAAGATTGCGGCGACAATATTGATTTTGGTCGCGGCGGGCGTGGGAAGGATGGTGGCGGACTCATAGACCTCTCTACGCATGCAATCAATCCACACCCAAAATCGACAGATTGGGACTGTCATTCCCTACTCCCGGTGGAGTCGTGTTTCCCTGCTTCCCGAGATATTCTTTGAGTCTTCTTTGTTGAAGATCCTGCTCTGTTGTCTGTTCGCCATCTTGTCTCATTGCTGGGGGTAGTCGACTTCCATCCCTAGCCAGTCCGGCAGACTCGAACATGGATCCCAACTCATCAACAATCCCCTGCGCCACTTCCTGTGAATCAGGATTCTGTTGCTCCAGCTCAAACATGGCCTGATAGTACATCATCCGCATTTTGGAGATTTTCTTCGGGTTACCCATCATCCTCAATGCCATCTCCTTGTTTTGACGGATAACGGTCAATTCTTTGGCCGCCGTGCCGTTGATGAATGCTTCACTCAGACTCCGATGGTCGGGATCGAGCTTTGCGTCTTGAACCACATCCTTTTCGATCCTTCCGCTATTCTTGGCAGGATAGTCATGCTCGTCACAATTGACGGCCACCGGAGAGTACCAGGGCGTCAGGACCGCTTTGACAAATCCAATGACCAAATTTTGACTGATTGGCCCGAACCAATTTGAATCCACGCTCTGCTCGCGGCTATTAGCATCCCCTTCCACCCAGACATGATTGAACGGTACCACGACTGGGTCGTCTCCACCAGGATATCCGGGAAGAGGTTGAACCCTGTCACCTGGAATGGCCACTACTCTTTTCACGGCCAATTTTGTAGGATCGTGCGGCGCATAGAACACAATGATTTGTCCTCTTTGCAATTCCCACTTGGGAAGTCGAAGAAAATTATTCGGTCGACTCTCAAATAGGACCTTCTGGATCAAGATCATTTCGCGTGTCGGAGGAAGTTCAGGAGACCAATTGACGTTGAGAAAGGGTGCCATCGATGGCCCATTCACCCAGAGAGGTTCTAATGGAAATTCTAAGATGATGAACCCCAATGGAGGGGCAATGAAGAAGAGACCCCATATCCAACGTCGAGCAAAGGGTGGTATGAAGTCGAAGAATGAGTTTTGGGGCGCATCTTCTTTTCCATTTGTTCGTGCCTGTTCAGGTTCCTGCCTTGATTCCTCTATTCCTTCCTGCTTCTTCTCATCTTGGCCCTTTGCAGCCGCTATTCTCTCAGACCTAAAGACACTCGCTCTGGGTTTCGGGTCTGGAAGCGGTCTCCGTAGTGGTGCAGCCGAGATTCGAGAGGTATAGCGTATGAAGCGCAAGGGAAAAAGCCCTCTTGAAGCGGGAGGCATGGCTGTGATAAAATGCGCCAACACCACTTTGGCTCACAGATGAACCATTGAGCAGTTTCGGCCAGGCAAAAGTCGTATGAGTGCTATAATCCCATTTTCTCGGAAGATGGTATTGGGAATCTCTTGTCCTGCTATTTTGGGGACTTGAGTGGGCGCGATTGGAATCTGAAAACTTAAACAGAATGCGGACGCACACGAGATGCGAGCATTTGCTGTAGGGCAGAGTGTTTCCGCCCCAAGACCAATACCGACCACGGGACTAATTCTTGGCATTCCGCCCCCCGCCGGCCAACTGCCAGCAGCGCCCCTCTCGCCGTCTCTCTCCTTCCATAATATTGAGATCATTTGGGCTCTGAAAGTAGGATCCGGATTATTTAGGGAACGAGTGGTTAGGGCTTAAAAGGGGCTGTCAAGTTCATCTCGGAATTTACTGAGTGGACCGGGTTTGGCAAGCCAGTGGAACAAGTAAAATAGTAAACGCCGGAGACCTGTTGCAAAATGTCACGCAGCCGGAATTTGATCTCTTCCTTTAGAAATCCCTGCGATGTGCGAGTGCATCATCTCGCCTCATTGGGAGTCTTCTTGTTCTAATAATCGCACTCACAAATGACATGCTGCGACATTCGCTACCGCAAAGGTGTAAAGACTGAAGACTGTGGTATGACCGCCGATGTAGCGTGGATGATTGGTATAGATTCTTGTGCTCATGACTGAGAATGACGTGCCAAAGACCTCCGCAAATGCCCAAGCTCCTCCCCCACGCCTTGCGAAGTCTGGAGAGTTGATCGCAACCATACTGAGAGTAGAATCCCAATGGGAAAGCAGGCGGACGTCACCAGACAGAGAGCAATAACCCTTCGAACTTCGAAAGGAAGGATCATCAGCAGGGTCGCAACAGAGGATGATTCCAAAGAAGCATACCGCCGCTCCAAGGGGTCGGATCAGGCTTGAATGTTCGAGCAGTCAGATTGGCAGGTAGCATGGAAACGCCGTATCTGAGGACTAATCTTCAGTTAGTATATCACCCCGCCGCCCCCAAGTCAGGTTGCAGAGTTGGTCCGCAGTGCATACAGAACATTGTTAGACAATTGCAAAACTGGGTCTGGTGTCAGATTAGGGTCCTCCGGGAGGCACATAATTCTGGCATTGCCGATACTGCTCCGGTCCTTGAAATTGTTCAGCATACGCCGGCGACATACCAATCTCATGCTCTCAAGAGATACGAGACAAGGTAAGCAACTGAAATAGTGGGAATGACGATGAGGTTCTGTCTCCGGCTGCAATCTGCGCTCCGCCGTTGGAACGCTGACTACGTTGATTGAAACTTGCGATGTTGTCGGTTGGAGAGATTTCAGTCTCTTCTTTCAGCTCAACCTGCTCAAACGACTGTGTTGCCCATTGTAGGTAATCTGTCGCTAGTATTTGGGACTCGGAAAACGAGAAAACACAGCGTTTGTGTATATACACCCTGTCGCCTCAGGCAAACTCTAATGTCATATACGGCTCTGAAGCGAGAGATTCATTCTCCTTCCTTGTTCTCTTGTCCATGTCCCCCCACAAAATGGCGGAGGTAATGCCTCGCACAGTCACTGATGCCGTTAAAGATCCGACTTGATTAATCGTAAAACCCAATAGCAACGAGGAAAGTCTTCCAGCGGACAGGTGCGGAATATCTTTTCTTTGCTGGTGGAAACTCTCTGTGGGACACGACATTCCGAGGTGGGTGAAAGTGGGAGACATGGCCATCTTATGGTCTCGCAACCCTCGATCCCGAAGCGGCTCCGAAGGTGCATACGCTTCAAAACAAGGGTATTGTAGGTATATTATCTGATATGCAGCACGCTTCAAACTGAGTTGACTTACTATCTCGCCTCTTTGTGTCAAGGTCGAGGTCGACAATTCAGTACTTGCGAAGTTGATTCTCCTGATAAAGTTTTCGTCCGTGTTTCCAGGATGCTGGGAGAGCCGGCCAGACTCACACTAAACAGAGTCGATGATGAGGCAGGTCATTACACATAAAGGAGCAAGACTTTCGAGCTCCATGTTGGGTTTGTTCAGAAACACTCTTGAAGCATCAAAGGCCCATGCAGGCTCTGTCGGTGTAGTCAGTTCCCCATGTACGTTGAATTCGAGACTTGTCGACAAGATTGTCTGACTGATAATGAGACCAAACTGTCATCTATCTGCTTTGTGGCCAGCACTTTCCGCGGAAGAATGATGTTGCTGTTCTGCGCATTATCCAGAAACCCAGAATGAATTGTGCGCAAAGGATCCTCGACCCAAACTCCGGACCTGATTTTCGTGGCCCCTATCCTTATGGTAGGTTTGCCGAAGGCACGTGGACTTCCTCACGTGATGTCAGATCTTCAAGTCACCCTTTTCTCTGCAAGCCATAACAGCAAAATCCCGTCATCCTTTTTAATTTCACATCCCTCGCAGCCCTCGTGTGTTTGCGTTTCATATCCTCCATCTCTGCTCCCTTTTCTGGATCTGATGGATCGCCGGCACGTGGGTATTGCCACCCCCTCCTTATTTGCCTTGGACATTTTCCGATGTACTTCCCGATTTGGACGGGGAAACTCCACAAAATCTGTACATTTCAGGGGTATGTGCATGCGGCTGGTTCTTGTCAACGTCCCCAACAGGAATCCAGAAAGAAAGAAATAAGCAGAGTCCCGGATACGATTTGTTGACTTGTTTCAGCCTGTGGGATTGTGAAACACGCCTTCTTCTACTTATTTTCGCACATGACATCCTTTTTCCAACGAAGTTAGGTATTGTCAGTTACCCGAACAGATACAACTCCGTGATTTTGCGCCATTGGCCCCGTATTATCGATAACTTGCCGAGCCTCCCCTATCGCTTGATTAACTGATTCACGCTCACCGTCAGTCAGGACTCAGGAATAGAGCGCAAAAAGAAAGAGAAAGATTTTAGTCCTTGGTGACATGTTCCACATTGCGGAACCAGTCTGTCTGGTCCAGGTGAGAGGCGAAGACAGCTCCGTGATGGCGAGCAGGCATAAGGGTGTGGGGCTGAACGGGATAAAATTCGTTGAGGCCATCACCGCCACTTCGCTCTCTCCCGAAGGAGGAATGACCATATTCCCGTTCAAAAAACAGTCCACTGCTCTTTCCATCAATCCATGTGCGCATGGTCGTCACCGTTTAGTTGATTGGCAAGTTCGAAAAAAGAGAAAATGAGTCAGGCAGGAAGCGATATAATTTGAAAACTTTCCATATTTTGTATCAATTCAGAAGTCCCGAGAAGGATCCGGAATGATCATGTGTGGTGGCTTTCCCGTCATCATCACTTTGTTGCTATGCTATGCTATGCTAAAGATGATTCGCCTTAAGCGCTCTCCTCCATTTTGATGCTATCGCGACATTTCCGTGGTAATATCCACTTGCTATCCCAAGAAATTCTATGCCGTACAAAATATTTCCCAAAATATGCTCCAAATTTTTGGTTATCCCACATTTCCATTTCCATTTCCAGTTCCAGTTTCCATTTCTCTATTTCCCAATATTCCGGAAATAGTTGGATCTCATGACAAAGAGTGATCATGAAATTTTGTCGTGTCACGGTCATTAGCGAATAAAGTCTTTTGGTAAAAACTCCAAAAATTTGGAATGTGTAAGAGTTGTATGCAAAGGTGTCACTCTGTATTATTTCCCAACACGGGGGAAACCAGTCGAACCGAATATGCTGGTTTTGTTTTGAGGAGGAAGAGTCGAGCCGATCATAGTATGGCGGCGACCATGACGGCGGCAGCAGCTCCGGCCATCTTGAATCCACCAGTAGGCATAGCTGCAGCAGCACCAGTAAAGGTGCTGACCACAGGAGCCGCTGGGGTTGTCGAGAGCGTCGAGGTAGCCAGAGTTGATGATGGAGCAACAGAGGTGGGAGTTGTAGTTGGAACAACAGGAGCTGGAGCGGAGGAAGACCAGTCATTCCATGCACTAGTGGCAGGAATTGGAGTAGGAGCCACAGATGAAGTCCAGTCGTTCCATACGCTGGTCCCTGGAACAGGAGCGACAGGAACAGAAGAACTGGTCCAATCATTCCAATCGGCCCATTCTGTGGTGGTTGGAACGGGAGCTGGAGCAACGGAGGAAGTCCAGTCGACCCATTTCGAGGTTTCAGTTGGGACAGGAGACACTGGAGCAGATGAAGTCCAGTCAACCCAGTGAGAAGTTTCAATAGGAACAGGAGAGATTGGGGCAGAAGAGGTCCAGTCGACCCATTTCGAAGTCTCGGTCGTTGGAATAGGGGCAGGAGCGACAGATGAAGTCCAATCAGCCCAGTGAGAGGTTTCCGTTGTTGGGGCTGGAGCAGGAGAAACGATGTTAGTAGTTGTCCAGTCTACCCAGTGGGTTGTTTCTTGGGTAGGGCTGATGGAAGGAGTAGTGGTGGTAGTGGTAGTGGTAGTTGTCGTTGAAGAAGTCCAATCTTGCCAGACGTGGGTAGTTGTAGGGATAGGGGTAGTAGTTGTAGTAGTGATGGGGATAGGTGGGGCGGGAATTGTTGTTGTTTCTTCACAAGAAGTCCACTGACCATTTCCGCCTTCACCAGACCAGTCTTCCCAGCTTCCACCATGACTACCTTGTCCCTGGCCACCCCATCCGCCCTGACCTCCTGATCCGCCTTGGCCACCTTGACCGCCGTATCCTCCACCTGGAGCTGCGACAGCAAGGGTAGCAAGAGCAAGAACAAGTGTTGACTTCATGTTGGGGAGAGATTGTGGTGAGTTTGATATTAGGTTTAGCGAGTATTGTCGAGTATAGTCGATTGTCTTGGAAGGTCTTTTGATCAATTGGACCTTATATTGTGTGAACGAAGGACTCTGTTGTTGAAGAAGAATGACTGGAAGGAAAATTAACAACTCGGAGAAGGAATCGAGTTCAAATACTTGGAAAGGGGACAAAAGACACGTCGTACGAAGACGTGGAGGTTGGCATGTTCCGCTGTGTCACTGGGAACTTTGTTTGGTCTCCAGTCTTCGCTAGTGCTGTTATTCAGGGGTGGCAGGTCAGTCCATGAATGGGAAATTAAAAAAAAAAACGTAAAATTTTTTTCCCATCGTGACAGACACCATTACTCAATGCTGGAAGGCATAGTAAGTGGGTATATAGAATCGGGGAACCGACCAGGCTGTGCTGGAATGTGACAGAAGAGTGGGCCCTATCCAACAGGGAACAGAAGGCTGGCAGCAGGAAGACTACGCATAACTCAGGGATTTTTCAGCTACCAAAAGTTGGTTGGAAAGCACTGATGGAGCGGCTTGTCGTCGGTGAAGGTGGAATGAGAGGCTGGCCTCGGAGTGAAACAGCACAAACCCTCGCTAAGGATGTTTTGGAAGGCTGGTTTGGGTTTGGTTGGCGGCGTGACGAAGGGGTTAGCGAGGGGGAGAAGAGCCGAAGAAGCGTCATGGGCCATGGGTCCCGCCCTCAGAGCAGTCAAGCTGGGGGTCTCGACTCCCGCTAGTGGCTGGTCACCGAGGTGGCTTGGTGGCTTGCTGCCGATCAGGAGGCTGACCTGGAGGTCCTTTCATTCAGCTTCAGAACCAATAGGAGCTCCCTCACCCTGCGTTTGCGATCCAAGATCTCCTTCCGGTCACCGCTAGGAGTTCATTGCGTGTTGGAAGCTTGAAGGCTGGTTCGCTGGATTAATTGATTGAAGGGACTCGGACTGTATTGCGGCGATGCTGCACTGGAGTTTGCTGGGTCTCCGCATCGCTCAAACGGCGAAATTAAGCCACTGACAACTGCTGACCGTTGAGGACTGGCAGCGGGGTTCTGTCCAAGTGCTGTGTCAGCCGCTGTTCGCAACAATCACCTTTTTCTCCCCCACCTCCCCTCCCCTTCTAAGAACAATCGATTGAGATCCTAGGCAGAAACGTGACTGAGCTATCGATTGTCTACAGTGGCCAGGTTTGTCGGAATTGGACTGACTCTGAGCCGGCTTTGTTTGACGAGAGCACCCGAAGGAAAAAAAGAAAAAAACTGGCAAGATCTGAGCCGATTCAATCATGACCTATGAATGGCAGGTTTCGTTTACCTTGGATACAATATGCCCGTGGTAAGACACACGCACTGGCCCTCTTGATCCTGGAATTTCAAACGCATCTACAACCCCGCCGTTCGGTTAGATTGTTAGTAAACAGAGCTGATTGATCTCACAGGACATATCTGGCCAAGAAGAGGTTCGCATTGGCTTTGCACAGCGTTTGCAGCTCACCTGTCTAGGATGCTGACTGCCATTGCGTAAAATCCGCAGACTGGATGAAGGTCTGTTCACCCGACCATGACGGTGCCGTCGGCGTGGATCAATACTTTTCCCTCTCCTTCGATCGGACTGTTTTGTCTTGACCAGACCTGCCACCTGACATTTGACAGCCCTCCGTCGGTTTCGTCTGAGCGATGACGCCAAAAGTACCACCTTCGTGGTCAAGTATTATCCGTACCAATTGTACCCTGACGCCTCGAAGGAGGGCGAAGATAAATATGAATGGTATAAGAAGTCGAGATATGCGGACTCGGAAGATAAAATGAAGATGTACATGACTTTAATCTCGGCTTACGGCACGAGCGCAGGCATCGACTTCAAGTTTGGTGGCACGGTCGCCAACACGATGGATGCACATCGTGTAATCCAACACTTTCAGGAAGAGAAGGGACCGGAGACCGCAGGCAAAATCATCAACTGTGAGACAGTTGGCATGATAGCTAGGCGCAGGCTGATTTTCTCTTAGCACTGTACTCTCAGTATTTTGAAGACGAGAAACACCCCTCGAAGGATGAGACGTTGTTAAAGGCGACGACAGATGCCGGGATCCCAGAAGACGAGGCCAAGGCCTTTATTGAAGACAAAATAAATGGGATGATGGATGTTAAGAATGCGGTTCGTCAACAGGCCGGCAACGGAGTGGATAGTGTCCCGTATATCGTCATTGAAGGTAAGAGGAGAGATATTACTTTGATTGGAGCCAAGGAAGTGGAAGAATATGAGAAGGCGTTGCAACAGACCGTAAAAGAAAGCAAATAGGACATTGGCGGAGTCGGGATGACCGTGCCCATCAGGTTGAACATCTGGAATGTGATCCACAAATATTTCTGGACCTTTTCCTACACGTCAAAGATGTCTCCAAACCCAGTCCCAGCTCCAGCTCTCCGGGCGTCCACCAGATCCAATCTCCATCCCACCCATTGCTTCAATCCTTTCTTGACTTCTCTCACATGCTCGACCATCTTTCGTGCCTCTTCCTCCCTTTGAGCTTGCGCAAATGCTTTTTCATCAAATGCATCGTCATCGGCGAACTCTTCAAGCAAGGAATCATTCCGGGGTCGATTTTGATTTCGAAGCTGCGTGTCGGGAGATGTGGTGCTTGCCCGGAACGCGGCGAGGCCCGAGTTCAAGACCTGCGTGAACCCAGAATGTCGGGTCTGTTGCTGGTGATATGTGTTGGCGAAACTCCTTCGTCGACTGGCATTGCCTGAGCCTGACAGGTCAACCTCGTCAAAGTCCTCACCAGGATCAAGCGAGGTTCTGGATCCTTCGTCACCACGAGGCTGCATTTGTATCCTCTTGTCTCTCCATACTCCCCGTTGTAAATCAAAGACCTGTCCTTCCAATTCCCGAATCCTTCTTTCAAGCTTCTGTCGTTCCTCGTCTTCCAATTCGTCCAGCCCATCGCCTCCGCCATCACCGCTCATCATGCGCTTATGCTTCTCCCGCAATCGTGCATTCTCACTCTCTGCTTTTTCGACCTTCGCGCGTAGATTTGGGACTTCCCGGGCGGTGGCTTCTGCGGTGGCCAGCTTGGCTGCATTTCTTGATTCTGCCTCTCGATGTAGTTTGTTCATGGCTTCGACTTTCTTCTCCAGCTGCTCCGCCTTCTTCATCACCTCGTCTCTTTGAGCAGTAATCTCTTGTAGCTCCCGCTCCAGACTTCGAATCTTGGTGTCTTTGCTAGTACGGTCGGTACCATCAAGTACTGCCTTTTCGCTTGCCTTGGAAAGTGCTTTCTTCGCATCGGATAAATCGCTTTCTAACCCTTTCAATTTGCCTTCTGCAGTGGACAAAGACACTTGCAAGGCGGCAATTTGCTCTCCATGAGTTTCACATCCCTGCGTCTGACTCGACAATTGTCCTCGCAGTCTGGAAATTTCTAGCTGCATATCAGCAATGGTCGAGTCTTTGCTCTCAAGCTCGGCTTTCAACGAGTCCACGTCGTCTCCTCCATGAGTATTTTCCCTCCTCGTGGTGCCAGTTCTTCGTTTCAGTGTTTCGATCTCTGCTCGCAGTCTCTGCACCTCCCCCCTTGACCCCCCGGGCGCCACTCCCAACTTCTCGGCATTCTGCTCGCGAACCTCTTCGAGTTCTTCCTCGACCTTTCGCCATCTCTTCTCATGGTCCTCTGCCTCTTTGGACAATCGTTTGTTTTCTCTCTCCAATTCCTCAATTCTAGATAGTGAGCCCGGTACGGCTGCCGGACTCAGGGGGCCGTTGTCCCGAAAACTTGTGCTTCGGATCTTACTTTGGAGACTGACGCTTGGTTGGCGGACGGAGTGGCGCGGTGCTCTCGTAGAAGAAGATATGTCCTGGTCCATGGCCGGGGGTGAGATGGTGGCCGGTGATTGTACAGTGTCCTGTCCGGGCGAAGTCGCACGGGCAGCTCTGATCACATCATTAAAAGCCTCTTCATCCGCGTCCGCCTTGTCGGTGGTGTCTGGTACAGGCTTGTCTTCCACTTCCGCGCCGTCGTAGGGTTGTTCGTCTTCTGCTTTGGCATCATTCTCTCCAAGATCTGGCTCATCGTCCTGCTCGTCATCTTTTGGGGTGTCCTCCTTTTTAGATTTCCCTTTAGCCGACTTCTCTCTGGTACTGGCACCAGCAGCAGTGGCGGCGGCGGCGGCCTTCTTCTTCTTTTGTAGTTGGGCGACCTAGGGGAAGGTTCATTAGCTTTTGTTGCTCCGTCTCATGCGGCGCTGAAAATGGCTCTCAGTTTAATGGACGCTTACTCTCTTCTTTGCAGCAGCCAACTTCTCGGCCTTTTCTTTATCTTCTTTCTCACCCATGGCTACTATTTAAAAGAGCGGAAGTAGTCGAGATCGGCTCCAAGATACTATGACCATTCAAAAAAAGAGTTATCGAGTCGTCAATAAACCGTCGACTGGTGAGTACGCAACTCAACTGGCCAATCGGGGTGGCAGTCCCGCACATGGCCAAAGTGTGGGGGGTCTCGACCGACAAAGTCAACGTTAGTGCTTTCATGACAGAAGAGCTCTTAAAATCAAACAGAATTACACGATTTTTCCTTGCTCGCTCTCGCTGGGTTTTCATACTGTCATGCATCCATACCTTATCCTAACCGACTCCATTGATCAAACCAACCATTAATCTCCCATCCATTGCGGCCTACAGAAAATTCTTGTCCCAAAGACTGATCATATCCGGGCAGGTTCGTCAAGCTGCTCCCACCGGCCCTTCGAAAGGCCGGATGGCATTCTGGGTATCAATATTAGTACAATAAGCTAAAACAATCCTCCCATCCATAATACTTCATGACTCCTACAAAGACTGAAAAGAACGGGAAGCTCGAAGTGGGGCTCAAACTTCAATTGGGCCGACGACTTCCTCACTCACACCTCTAGCTGTGCTCTTGCTATTGCTCCTAGCACTCCTCATCTCTTCGTCGCTCAGCACGTAATTGTCGTGTTCATCAACCACCGGTCGAGCTGGCGGGGGGAAATATTCTTCGTCACTTCGTTCTTCGGGGACTGGTCCCTCAATCGGTTTTTCAATCGACGCCATCTCAGTATCGGCATTTTCAACAACCTCGACGTCCTCGCGGTCTCCAAGCCAGTATCTCGCCCTCTTATGAGCACCTAGATCTGGAGTAGCCCATCCGTCTGAGTCGTCATCTGCGAGTCTCTTCGATTTGATCGGCGTTCGAAGACCTTCAACTGTAGACATTGCTAAAACGCTGATGCCTCGAAGATACAGGTAACACACCCGCTTTCTTGCTTTGTTGAAAAAGAAGTAGTTCATTGACCAGATTGATCCCTCTTCGTCATCTTCAAACGGATCAAAATCTTCCGGTGCATATCGGTAGATGCTGCAGTCTCTCAAGCTCATCTGTTGATCGATCAGTCTCCACATGCCGGGACCCCAGTGTGTTTGACTCGAAGGAGGACAAGCAGACTCCGGCGACAAACCTGGCACATTGAGAAACGAATTCAATGGTCGAGGTCGCAAGTTGTACAGAGTTGTATCCAAATTGTTCATGACTTGCCGAAGGCTCTTTTCTCGCTTGAAATCCGTGGGTCGGAGCATGTGAGAGAAATCATAATCTGGATGGCTAGCGTTGAGAGTGGCAATAAGGTAGGCATAAGTCCTCCTCGAGCTGACCATTCCCAGATTGCCGAATGGGCTACTCCGACTGAGATTTAAACTAGAAGCCATCATATGCGCCTGCGGCGGAGAAAGGGAATTGGAGAATTGGAGATTCGCCTTGTATTGCGCTTCGAGGCCATTTTCAATGCTCTTGTACAATTTCTTGTCTCCTCCTGCGGCCTTAGTCGTATACAAATCGCATCCGCCGACAACGTGGAGATCGGGGGTAGTAAAGTTGAGGGAGGAGGTGACAATGTCCAGATCGCGGGTTGGCATATACTAGACGGAAGCGTTAGCAGTGAGAAGGTGCGATGGGGGAAGGAGGTAAGTTGAGCTCTACCTTCATGGTGGGTTTGTTTGATTCGGATAGGTCGCGTCAGATCCGCTGCATCGCATTGACTGCAAAGAGAATAGATTTCTGTCGCGTTTGTTACGCTTGCTGATATGGTAAAAGAGATTTCTCGGACGATCACTTTTTTCTGGCAGGAGGATTCGCCCCGAAGGCGTACGTGGTTGTTGGTATGTGGTAAGTTGGTTCGACCTGAACAGGCTAAGCGATCACCGACGAGAGATATCCAAGCTGGATGCAGACACAGCCCTCGAGCGATACGGGTAGCTAGACGATAGACGTCTAGCAGGCCACAAGGAAGTAATCGCGTCCCATGGCAAATAGATGACGTTGAAGATGCTGAAGTTGATGAAGTGAGGTGAAATTGGAAGGCGGCGGAGATACCAAGTTGAGCCAGGGTCCAAGTTGAGGTTCAAAGTTGGCGGTTGACGACTGCGACAAGCCCACGGCAGGATCATCACGTGAACCCCCGAAGCAACCAATCGCCAACCGCACCTTGAACATGCACAAAGGCGAGCGATGACAATGGATTTATACTCACGGCATCGAAGGTTTGGTATAATGATGGAGTCAATTGTAGCTGATGAAGTCAGTTTCAGAGCGGGCGTGCAGGAGACGGCACAACACGATCCCCGAGGTGCTATTCGCGTTAGCCAACAACCGCAACAGATAGTCTGAACATGCTTGATTATATCATCGCCCTCGTCAATGGTACATTGATAACTTCTGTTGCATCTGGCAACTGAAGAAGAGACCTTGTTTGCAAGGTCCATATCTGTTTCCCACATATATCTTTTCGCAAACGCCTACCCTCATTTCCATCCTCAACTCCCGAAACCGATACGGTGGAAGGCTAGATCAAACCACCCTGTTTGAGAGCTGCTTCGGTGACCTGAAGAAGAATGATGCGTCAACTATCCGGTGTCTCTCGTCATTTTTGGCAATGTTTGCGACGTGCGATCTGGGCATGGCAAGGAACTGGATCAAGTTCGTCTTCATGATATCGGAATCACCGTGGCGTCGGCGGATGTCTCGACGCCTTTCAGCATCATGTTCTACATGAGTTTCGTGACATCTTCTTCGACCTGAATATACATAGAATGGGTGATCAGTTTGAAACACGCAGCGAAAAATCGGGAGGGATTTCAAATAATGACATCATCAATGGACTGGTGGGTATGAGAGTGGGCAAGGGCTTACAGCGGGAAATGACCATGTCATGCGACGATACGTATATTTCCAGGCGACCGGGCCATCGTGCGACGTGGATGGTGACAAATGTAGAGTGACTTACCTCCATATCTTCCAGACTGTCCTCCTGGCTGATACATCTCAGGACATTTTTCTTGCTACTTTCCTGCATTTCGCCAGCCAGCAGGAGTTCATCCAATATAAAATATGCCTTTTGAAAGTTGAAAATAATGTCTAACTCGCACACGTTGCCATAGTACTTGTCCATTTGTTCCACGTATCGGTGAACGATCTCGAGGGTAATCAGTTCGTTGTCCGTGGATGCACAGCCGGCGATGAAGAAGAGAGATGCATAACGCCGATAGACAACTTTAGTGTCTGATGAAAAATCAGAGATGGTCAGCTTCCGGATAGTCACGCAATCACAGTCAGGAGAAAGGAAAGGAGACGACGGGAGCAGGCGAACCCTTGTACTCGAGAAAATTGCACATTCGCGTCCGCCGAGAGAGAACAAGTTGGGAGACATCCTTAATGATTTTGGCTTTCTCTTTGGGTGAAAGAGTGGTGAACCATTTTGCCAGTCTCTATTTGCAGATGGAAATCAGCCAACGAACTGCGGTGGGCAACCTGGCAAAGACTTTGAAACTGTGCGTACCACTTTCCCTTGTCGGGAGAGCAAGATGAGGTAGCTATCTCAAGGTTAGTATTTTAATGGCTGTCAAAGGATAGTTGAGCCTCACTTGATGGCCATCTTGCGCCCACGACATTCCTGAGAGAGTTGGGAAGAGAAAGAGGGAAACTTGACCACTGCAACGTTCAAAAAAGTGGAAGCGGGTCAGGAAAACTGCGGCCAAGCCGCGCCGGCCGCCAGCTTCATTCATTGCTGTGTGCCATACCGATTACCTGATAACTTTTCATGACTTATTATTCCTCAAACATTTGATGTTGATTCCTCGTTCTGTATTCAACTCTCAGACCAATTCCTGTTCACTATGCCGCTACAAAGGCGATTCAACGATTGCTAATACTAGATCCCGGGGGGGGAAGCGCAAGTAAATTACATAAGCATACATTTTGCCTGCCAGCCCCACGGCGAGTTCGATGTTCGGTCCGATTGACCAGTTCAGACTTTCGTTCTGAGAAATATCCCATCGCTCCAAGTATACACCGAGCGTCGTTAGGGTCTAATTCTTCAAATCGCACAATCTGCACACGAGCGAGAGCATCGCAGTTGGCCACCTGCAAGAAGATCCTCACCACGCAGCACCGGCAGCATGAAGTTGATTCTCTCAACCTCGTAGGCAAAGTCCGCTTCCGCATTGGGAATTTGACAGTGACTAAACGTATGAACAGAAATATAATGTCCTCGGGACAATCCATAGTGCGGCGTCCGTTATCTTCCAAGTCCAACATTGAGCTCATAAACTCGCTGCGCTCCAACTTCGCATCCTCCCAACACCACTCCGCTAATGCAGCGAATTCCGATTATACACGCTGGACCACCCGAGAAGATGACACTCTCTACATCCCCTCCTGGCAGCCCACACCGCTCGTCGAGCCCCGCGACTCGTACGACGTCACCGTGAAGCTGTTCTTTTTGCCCTCCATTCCGAGTTCCAGACGATGCGGACATACCCGGGAAGCAATTGATTTGGTGTTAAAAGAGCTCGGTATTGACAGCATCGACTTGCTGGTTGTGAGTTATCCCGGCGTCAGCTTCGACGCCGACGACGAGGAGGAGATCTCCGGGGATGAAGCCGAGAGCGCAGAAAGCGACGAATCCCAGGGCTTCGAAGCACAGATCAAAACATGGCAGGTCCTGGAATCGTTGCATGAGAAAGGCATTATATCTCAACTCGGCGTCTCAGAATTCAGCTCCGAGCGACTCAGCAAGTTCTTGCCCGAAGTGAGAGTGCGGCCGACCGTGGACCAGATCAATGTCAAGGACTGCTGTGTTGTGCCCAAATCTCTCATCATGTACGCTAAAGACCATCAGATTGAGCTCCTCACCCACACAGATTGTATGGATATCTTGCCACCCGGGACAACGAGGGAGCTGTTAGGTCCAGAGAATGAAGGTGCCGGGATCATCGCCGCCCGTCCGGACGCTGGGGCCGATGAACCCGGGCTGAAGGGCGATATCGAGCCACAGTGGGTCGTCAAATACACAGCCGTGGTGAAGAATCGGGGGGTGATTGAGAATAAAGGATATTTCGCTGTTGCCCAGCTGGGTTCCTGCATCGAGGAAAGGTCGGCCGAGAGCGCGTGACAAAAATGGCCATCCTAGAGGTCTCTTCATATTAGCATGGCGTTGGCTGGCCAAATATTGTGTCCATTTCAACCGATCATGCTTCTCTTCCTGCCTCTCAATCTGACGTCGTCGAGTCGTCTCAGTACGGCATTGGAACCTTTAAAACTGCCTCTGTATCCGTCCTGACTTTGTAGCACTTCAGCGTCAAACCAGCCCTCCTGCCTTGGATGTGTAGAATCAAAGGCTCGTTCCAGAACGTACAAATCCACAGCACGGTCTTCCTCTTGTACTGACTGCGTGGCGAGTCCAAAATCGATCAGGACAATCTCCCCCCTGAGATCTGGTGGTTTTGGAATTGTCTCGTCTGTCGCATCCTCTCCATTCGGCCGGGAGGCTTCGGCAAACGGTCGGATCATGATATTGCTGCTCGTCAAATCACCGTGAATTACTCCGCCTTTATTGTGCATTGAACCAATAGCCCTTCCAATCCTGCGCAGCAGCTTCTTCACCTCCTGTTCCTGTGCGGCAATCTCTTCCGCCGAAACACGTGAATCCACGCTCGTGAACCATGCATCCCACTCCTGTAACAGTTGTTTGACACTCTTACCTTCAATCCATTCCATGAGCAGCCATGCTCGTCCTCCACCACTAGCCGTGTTCACACCTCGTCGATCCTCAGTCAATCCTTTGACTTTCCTGGCCGCGTCCCACTCTAGACCCAGGACGACGGGGACATGAATCTCGTTTGTAGGATCACTCGCCAATGCAGAGAGTTTGACTAGCACTCGCGCCTCTGCGAGAACACGCTGCTTGGTCAGCCGGGCATCAAGGGTTGGGTGCCGATAAGGCTTGCTCGGCCGGACTTTAAGTGCAGCTGGGGTTGAGGGAGAGAGAAAATGAGTCCGGTAGAGTAATGCTTCGGCCCCTTGGGCTATAAGTTCCGGTGGAGGATTGGTGCCGGTGAACGGTAACGGAAGAAATGGTTCATCTTGTCGTCGCGATGTGATTTCGGCCAGCACAGGTACTGTGGCAGTCATTTCGATTGTGAGAGATGAGAATGGTGATGGTTTGGAAGGAATTCATCCAACGAGCTAATTTTTGGCGAGTTCTTCGAATATTCTGTTAAATCTGCGGAGTGCGGAGCATTCAGATGCCCTCTCCGCCTTAAAAAATTTGGACCAATAACCCTCTGTTTCACTTCATTGCTAGGGAATCAAACATGAACAAGACGATGTGATCAAGGATTGTTCTGGAGCAGATTCTCTGGTTACGAGCTGGCTTAGACTCACACTATGGTAGTTCTCCATGTAGAACAGCACAATCTCTTCTATTGCCACCCTGCAAATACCATCCTCATATAAGCGGGTATGCATTTCCAGAGCATGGCTACTGTGACCGTGGGAAAACAGCATGAGCACAGAAGCAGATGACATGCAAATTCTATGATATCAGAACCAAGGCATTACACTGATGGCGTAAAATTGGAAAGCTTATCTTCGCCATCCACATCATGGTCATTTCGACGAGTAATTCAAGATACTGGCTGTTGTAGAGTCAGACTTCAAAGTAGGCTCCTTCTCTCCCTAGAGACTTCCCGGTCGACTTAGTCATCTGTGCCTATATCCCTATATTCTCAACCCTCCTCAAGCATTTCATCATTTCGAGCAGAGGATCGTCTTAAGCGTTACGGGGTCAACTGGCGACGTCTTCCGTGGTTATTTTCGTAACTACTGCGTTCTTCCTCGCATCGAGGTGACATTTCAAAGGTGAGGTCGACAAGAGGGCTGAAGAGAGAAGCATATAACTTCGAGTGCTTGGGGTAGGATCTCCTCAAATGCATTGATTTCGGACGGAGTAAGTACCGTACCATTTGGATCTAGAGGTTCTTGTGAAGGGGATTCATGTCTCCATTTCCAGCCAGGTAAGTCGTCCCAGCTATTTTCCAGCATCTTTTTTCTTTCCAGCGCGCAGTGACGATGTCGCGAGAACGACATGGCCAGCGCGACCGACGGTATCAAATCGCCGAGTCACGTCTCATGATAAATGTCTGTTTTCCTTCGATCAAGCCAAAGCAACGCTCGCTCCGGAGCAGAACCATATGTCGACCACCTTCCAGTGTCCCAGATTTTCTTGCCCGTCAGAGGATCTCTCTGTTCTGGACCATCTTGGGGCTAAAAGGGATATCATTTGGCCAAAGAGATCAAATTTTGTACCTCATTGAGAGATCCGAGCCAGACCTGGCGACTTGTAATTCATTCAGGCCTTCCTCAATCACTCTCTTTGTCACGGTTATTTCCTGGTTTGCCTTTCGCATTCTTTTCATCCTGCTATCCATTTATAAATTGACCAACATATATGAGCAAGATGCTTGCAAGAGACCCAACCAACCAGCTAGGCAGAAGATATCACGGTGATTGACTATCTTTCCATTTGCGACACTCATAGGGATGTGTTATCAAGCAGACGAGGAGAAGGCGCTTTGTATTTCGAATCTTCAACACCCTCTTTGATTTCGCTGCCTTTCATCTCATTGACAGGGTCGATGGATTTACAATCTTCACCTTCCTCCCACCCTTCCAAAATAGATACTAGTATTGAAGGATCTCAGTCGTTATCTGCAATGATTTGAACGTCATGCATCCAGGCATTACTTGACACAACTCGCACGCACGCAGCGCGAAACAGGGACATAGACTCATAAACAAAAGCAATTCAGCGAGCCTGTTTCTCTTTGCCTTTTTTTTTTTTTTTTTTTTTTGGTTTTTGGGCTTTGTGTCTCGGAAACGTTAACCACGTAAGGCCGTGGGACTTGAGAAAAGAAAAGCTACTTTTCTTCCGGCTCGGCACTCATTGCTCTGATCATCTGTCTCAACTCTTTGACTTCCTCCTTGAGCTCTCTGATCTCGACGACGTCGGCGTCTACCTCGACGATGGGTTTTGATGTTTGAACCTTCTCGTCCCAGCCTTCGTCGGCGAAATTCATCTCAGCGTCGAGCTCCTCCCACTCTTCGATGGTGTCGTCGTCTTCCTCACCTCTCTTACGGTTGTCCCTAACTGACCGCGCTTCCATGGACTCCAGAGCTGCTGTGATGAGCAGTAGAGGAGAATAGATGACACCCATGACGTAGTTGTTCAGTCTCTCGTAGTGGTAGGAGTCCATCCACCACTCGAAAGGGATGATGAGGAAGAGTAACTCGATGAGATTGAACGGGGCAATGAACACATTCTCGTCAGGGGCTCGGACGAATTGCAGCGTCTTCTGCGCAAACATGGCCATGTACTCATCAATGGCGTTTTCCGTGATGTCCTCGTACGCGCTGTTGTAAAGCGCAATCAGGATGTTGAGAAGAATGACCATCACTACGAAGGTGAAGATGTAGTATAAGATCAAACCGAACGGATGGGCGTACTCGTCAAATCCGTCGAATTCAGGAGATTGCATAACAGAGTTGGCCATAGCAGTCAGGATGAACGTGGTGATTGAGTCATTACCTTCCACTTGATTGAGACCGATGAACGCTTGCAGAAAGCCGATGCAGACCACGACAAGCAATGCGAAGAAGATGATAGATTCCCGCATCATCACTTTGAGAACCACCAACATTGCTCCGAAGAAGCGGAAAGTGTCGAGATAGAGCAATAACCGCATCCAGAACATCGGGGCGGAGAAGCAGAAGATATGGTAGCCGAGCCGATTGAGTTCTCGACGGCGTTCGTCATCTTCATCCGGTGAATGAGCCAGTGCAATCATGCGGATGATGAACGACGCTGTCAGTAAAGCGTAGAGACAGTTGTTGAAGGCATTCCAGAATCCGAAGTAGTACAATCCGACTTTCCAGAATTTGGCAATTTCGTCGCATATGAAGCCGAATGTCATAACATACAGGATACCTTCCACAACGTCGAGATCACCGTCTTCATTAACCGTGTTAACAGCTCCAGTATAGAGAGCCAAGTAGATGAGGGAGATAGAGATCTGAACGACATTTTGGTAAATGGGGGCTCGCATCCGGTCAGGATTGAGATGGGCCCAGTAACTGGTGTTATCGCGGTCTTTGTAGAAAATGTAGGTGTCAGCATCTTTGTCGTCCTGGTGAATCCAGCCACGCCAAAGATACTTGATGCATTTCTGGTATCCCGAAGACCCGATGACGGTCAGGCAGTGCAAGTCGACAGCTCTCTCAATAACATTGGCTGGCTGTGTCTCCTCTTCCTTCCGAAGCACAGAGTATCTCTTCAAAAGCACCTCTTGCATCAGGTATTCCTGGTTCTCCTCGCCTTCGATGATCCGCTTCGCAATTATTTCACAAGCGACGGCTCGGACTTCATGGAGGCCGGCGTCCCACAGTTCCAAGATTGCTTGCCGCTTGAACCATCTCTTGCAAACGAGTAGGCAGTATACCACGCATGCTGCATACTCCTTGCCGCCGGCCTCTTTAGCTGTCTGGACGACCTTCTTCGTGACGATGGAGCTATTTGCAGCGGTGATCTTTTCTTCCGGGAGTTCAATGGGTATGACCTCCTCAATCTGGTACTTCAAACGTAGAGCCACCTTCGTGACTTCTTTGGCGGGAAAGGCAGACGCCGGGAGATCAGAGCTATGGGTAGGAAGCACTATCCAGGATCAGTTTAATGATCGTCACACGGAACAAGCAGCTTGGAATCGCTCACATCTCCGCGTCTCGTCTCTCAAATGAGGCAAATCCCGCTGTCGGTCTCCACCAAACAATTGGGCCCATTTCACCATGATGACGTATTGGTAAACTCGCAAACAGTTCAGAGAATTTTGCTACTCTCTGTTTGGGGATCTTTGGCGGACGAACGTGGTTGTTGGAGCTTGGGAACAGCTCAAGGAGGCTCCCGGAGCATCAGGAAAGATCAGCTCAGCAGAGAAGGACAGGACAATAAATACTCTGCGGCTGGGGAGCTCAGAGTGTTAACTTTACAATTGAGTTTTTGGCACCCTTGGCCTTTGCACGGGGCACTTTACTTGGACATGATGACGGCGTGAAAATCAGGTTCTGGGAGGATCCCCCGGCGCTAGTCACTCCCGTGAGGTACCCCTTCCGTTCCAGCCTTGCCGACCATAATCCTCTACGGGCAAGACGAGACTCACTGAACAGAAACAACAAGGATTCGAAATATCATATTCTTTCTTATCCTACGTGGGTGCAGTGATCAGCTGAGCTTTCAGTCGTCCAAAAATGCTGGTAATGCTTTTCTTCCTTGAACAATGCATGAACCGTAGACGCCGTGGCCAATGAATACTTATACGATCTCTGGTCCCTCGTCACTCTCGCTCAAGTCTTCATCGCCGCTCACTTCTTCGTTCTCCTTGGCCCTCTTGTCCATCAGGGCTTGCAACTCTGCGTCGTCGTGCTCTGTCACAGCCTTGGGTGCCATCTTCACCACACAGCCACCGCCTGCCTCCTTGATGCTCTCATCGATCTCATGGATCGCCTGTTCTAGTAACTGAATGCCCATGCCTTTATCTAGACATTGACTCGTCAAGACGTAGTGTGGCGGGGATACTAGTTTGACCTTCACCTGCGTTTCCGGAGTGTTCTTGGCCTCCGCTTTTCGCAGTGCCTCCTTGACTGCATCAATTCCGTCGTATTTGAAACAGGTCACCTCCACGTCGGCACGCACCTTTGTCGGGTGCGGCGTCAGCTTTTTGCTGATGTATGATTGGAATTCCTCCTTGACCACATCATTTGGGAACGTGACATCGTTCCATACATCCGGATTTGTGATGGAGAGTTTGAAAGCATCATTTGCGTGCCCATATTTTCGGTTTAGTGGCCAGCCAATATCCTCGTACAATTTCAAAATGGGTGTTTTTGTCTTTTCTGCGACGTGACGCATAATAGAGTGGACCGACTTGCTCTTGTTGTATCGCTCTTCGCAGCGGACGATATCTTCGGCAGAGACTCTTCGTTTAGAGAGATCGATATATCCTTTCTCCTTGTCCACTCGCAACACGACGACCACCTCATTGCGACCAATTCTGATGAGCTTTTGTATCGACCTGATCCGTCTTCGCGAGAGTTCTGAGAGAAGGATCATGCCATCAATGTTGTCGTATTCGAGCAGCTTGACATAGGCACCCATTTCTGCTATCTGTTTCACGAGTTGTTAGAATTGCCACTTGGCCGGGAGATATCTGAGGAGACTATCTCATACCTGCTTCACATTTACCATGACAAAACTTTCGATCTCCGGGTATTTTTCTTCATAGAAGCGACAGTTAGTCAAAGAGTCCGGGTCCGACATGATGGCGGTTATAGTGGGGCTTGTGGGTGCGGAATATGAGAGTGTTTCTTCAGGGCTTTAATGTGTTAAATTGTGACTCGGATGCCGCTTTGGACCATATGCGGGACTGCCAATCGAGTGCGGCGGAACACATTTTTTTTTTTAAAAGCTTGCCCAGCAAATGCTACGGTCAAGCAAAGCTATTAGTGGCGGAATCACGTGGTGATGAAGCTTGTCGCTAGGCCGATCTCGCTAAGCCGAAACTTCAGCCCACCCTCTTGGCGGCTGATTGACCAACGGGGAGACGTCATCTCACATGACTATTCCTGGCCTGCTGATTCGCTCCTGCAACACGTTGACGCATTTTCCAGCATCGCCCACCTCTCGACTGAGAATTTTTGGTCAAAGACTCGACTCGATGTAGCTGCTCAAAGCCATGAAATTACGATAACACCGGCCAATCTTTCCAAGGCCGCGCCTCCTCGACTTCCAAGCAACATGGCAGATCGCCGACTTTCGGCATCGAGTCCTCCATCATCCCCACGGAGACCTTCTCACCAGAACACTTGGTCTGGAACCCAGCATGTTCCCCTCACTCCCAGCCGGCTGCGGAAGGCCACGAACATGTCACCAGAGGATAGGATGGCCAGGTCCAAGTCAAATGAAGAGGCGGGCCAAAACAATGACTTGAATCTCTCTCCCCCGGCCATTGGGCCAGTATCGAACATACCGATCATGGCTGAGCCGGGTCCTGGTCCTGGTCCTGTACGGGATGAAGAAAGTCAAGATGTTCAAGGGCAGATTGAAGAGCCAACCTCTCAACAACTGAATGAGAGGACTAAACTACTCGGCAACTATCATCACAATCGAGTCTGTGGGCTGAGAAACTGTAACCATGGCACATTTTCTCCCCGAGCCCCATCACTCCGAAGCAACAGAAGCAGCATTGACAGCACGTCCATCCCATTTGGTCTGTATGCAGGTGATATCGGTGAAGGCGGTAGCCCAAGAGATCCAGCTCGTGGAATCTTGGGCGACTTTGTGACCGACTCTCTGGTTGGCAGTAAGAGCCTGAGCACGACGAGATGGCTTGCCAAGAAACACGGAATCAAAAGTCCGAGATTCATGTATTTCTCATACTACTTTCCCTTTGTGAAATGGGTTCGTCAATACAAGTGGAAGTGGATCCGTGGCGACTTGATTGCAGCTCTCACCATGGCATCTTTTTACATTCCCATGTCGTTGTCATACGCCTCCAATCTTAGTCATATCCCTCCCATCAATGGGCTTTATTCTTTTGTGTTCAATCCCCTGATCTACGCGTTCCTCGGAACTTGCCCACAAATGGTAGTGGGTCCCGAGGCGGCAGGTTCTTTACTGGTCGGCCAAGTGGTGAAAACCTGTATAGCTCAAGGCAATTCGGAGGATGATGATGCTATCCTCAACGCGCAGATTGCTGGTGTTGTAACTGCCATGGCTGGCGCTGTTATTTTTGTGGCCGGTCTCTGTCGTCTTGGATTTCTCGACGGCGTCCTTAGCCGACCTTTTCTTCGGGGCTTCATCAGCGCGATCGGCTTCGTCATTTTGGTTGATCAGTTGATTCCTGAATTGGGTCTGGCCGAGGTGGCCAGGGACGACGGTGAAGTGTCTCATGGAAGCAGCGCCCAGAAACTGGTGTTTCTCGCAAGAAATGTTGGAAAGTCCCATGGATTGACCGTGGCGGTATCGTTTACGAGCTTCGCCATCATTATGATTTTCCGGTACGTTTGAATAATAGCCGTATCCTTTCATGACTCTGACGATTTAGAACGCTCAAACGGGCACTCCAACCACGCTATCCTTGGGTGGCCTACTTTCCCGACCGATTCACTGTCGTTGCTCTCTCTGCCGTTTTTGCCTGGGCATTTGCTTGGGACCAAAAAGGCCTTGATATTCTCGGTGATGTCAAGTCATCGGGTGGAACAGCAATTCCATTTCACTGGCCATTTCAGTTCCGGCATATGAAGCACATCGACACGGCTTTGAGCACGTCATTCCTGATTGCCTTACTTGGGTTTTTCGAATCTTCCGTGGCCGCTAAAAGCTTAGGTGAAGGTTCCCACGGTTTACAAGGCATGACCTTGAGCGCCAACCGAGAATTGATCGCTCTAGGTACTGCCAATATCGTCGGGGGCTGTTTTATGGCCTTGCCTGCGTTTGGTGGATATGGAAGAAGCAAGGTCAATGCCTCGACTGGAGGGACTACGCCAATGAGCAGCATTCTTCTCAGTGCCATTACTATGATATGTGTCCTATTTGTGCTTCCGTATTTCTACTATCTGCCGAAAGGAGTACTTTCGGCCATGATTTCCGTGGTTGCCTATTCGCTCATCGAAGAATGCCCTCACGACATCAAATTCTTCCTCAAGATTAGGGGCTGGACGGAGTTATCGCTGATGACCATCATCTTTGTGGCAACCGTATTCTATTCCTTGTCGGTTGGAATTGCCCTGGGTATCGGACTCTCATTGTTGAAACTGATTCGACATGCAACCAAGCCGAGGATCCAAATTCTGGGCAAAGTCCCCGGAACCACAGACCGGTTCGAGAATGCTGAATTTGTGCCAGAAAATATCGAGTACATTGAAGGATGTCTCATTGTCAAAATTCCGGAACCACTGACTTTCGCCAACACGGGAGAGTTGAAGACACGTCTGCGAAGGCTCGAGCAGTACGGTACGAATGCAGCTCATCCCTCGCTGCCACGAGTGCGTCATGAAGACAACAACAGAAACATCATCTTCGACGTGCACGGTGTCACCTCGATTGATGGCTCCGGCGCTCAAGTTTTCACTGAAATCGTGGAGGAATATGTAAGTCGAGGCATTCGAGTCATTTTTTGCAGGCTACCTCACCGACGAAGCAAAGTGTTTCAAAGTTTTGAAAGGAGTGGGATTGTAGACTTATGTGGAGGATTGAGACATTTCGTGGGCAGTGTTGAAGAAGCATTGCAGTTGTCGGAGACTGAGGATTTGGAGCAGTTTTTCAATCGGCGCATGAGCGATCACAACCAACGACGAGAGTCGCATTGGTAGCAAGATGATGGTGGCAATAACAACATTTTAACGACGACTTTCAAAGCACGAAAAAGTGTTTTCTTTTCAGTGCTCTTCCCCTCTTACGGATATCCTGAGCGAAGCCAGGCCCCAACATGCGAGCAGCTATCGAGAGATGAAGAGCGATCGTCATGTGCGCCGATGGTGGACACATTGAAACCAGCGACAAAAATGATCCTGATCTCATAGATATGGCGGGACATGGTGATCGATGGTATGAGGACCATGTTGACTTGATAAAGCGCGAGCAGCTAACAGTGAATACGCAGGTATACAAAACCCCACGTGGGTGCTTCTGCACAGGAACCTGGGATTTTTACACCATCATGACCGCTAGTGGCAGAGGCCCGAAATATGATACATTGGCATCTCGATCCCACGATACGGTCTGACTGCGAATTCGGGCATCTTTTCACTCGGTTGTCCTCGACACCACTTGTGAACCAGCAAATGGAAATGAGCACGATCAAGGAAAGAATAAGGTCTCTGATCTCCTGGACATGGACACCAGAATACTCAGCCTCTGGGGAGGCTACCTCGGAATGGGTAACTGAGCCAGTCAATGGTCGGATGAAACTGACAAATGCGGCCTGATTTGCCAAGGGATCATCATTTCGAATAGACGAATGTTCAAGGGGTAGCTGGATGGTGCACAGCATTAATGGCTGGAATGTGGGTGAACGGCGTAAAGGTATTTCTTTCTCCTCTCCCGGTCCAATCCTGCTGGAATAATTATGTATCCAACTTGCCTGATTGAGTGATCCCAGATCCTCAAAATCAATCCATCCTTTTTGATATCAACGTGCCTTTCATCTTTGCACCCCCTCCGGTGGTGAATCCATTGGCGGTACCAAACGTCTCCAATTCCTCCTTTGCCTTCCCCTGCCTTAGCCACGCGAGAATTTCCTATGAAATTGGCAGATGGAACTTCCCTAACATGAGCTGAGAGGGTACAACGTCTAACGCCCTTTACGTCCCTGCCGGTGGGAGACTCAGTTTTGGCAAATTGGCAGATGGCAGAGGATATTGTGTCGGGAGCGTGGCGGAGAGTAGGATGGGCTTCAAGAAGAAATGTATAGATAGTGGCTTGAATGACTTTTGAGTGCTTGGAATGGTTTTAGATATAGAGAAGGGGAGGATCGGAGTAAGATCGTATTGATTCTTTGATGGTGCGGACATGACTTCGCATGAGATCAGAGCTTTGATGGCTTTCTTGCATGAGTTCTCTCGTGCGACTGTAAATTCGTTTGTGATGTTGAAATTCCATGACTCGTTTTGATCGTAAGTGGTTTACGGAGTCGATGAGAGGAACTTTGATATACTACCATTTTGGGCAATACAGCCAAGCCTGGAGATGTGTGGACCCAAGGCAGGCAAAGGCTGAGATAAATTAAGGCATGCATTCACCGCTGTGGTGTTGGTACCTCGCTCGCTCTATCATGGTTCTAATGTACCCTACAATACAAACCCGTTACGTTTTCTACATCAAAGGCAGGTAACAGCTCTCCTTCTAAACATGTTATGCACAATCGCGATTTTAATATCCCTCACGCGCGACGCACTCACGACCTCCGCATAGGCGGACCCGTATTATTCGCGACACCTCTCTTCCGCTCAATTTCTTCAATCCTCTTTTGTTCGGCCTTTTCCGCCCTTTCTTTCTTACGCTGATCATCCCTCTCGATCTGATCTGGCCGCTTAATCGCGATATCCTTAGGTCTGAAATCCGAGAACAGCGACTTGAAGATCTGCTCCACGACCCAACACCCGCAGTAATCGGCAATCATGAGCAAGGTCAACGTGTACTTGAACTTGCTTGTGAAAGGGACCAGACGCAACTTTTCGTTGAGTTCGGGGATGAGTTCGGTGCTGCCAGCGAAAGCGACGAATGAACAAGCAAGTAAGCCCCAGTACATGCCGCGGTTTTCGCGGATGGATTCGCGGAAAGGGCGGCCTTGGTAGTTGATGGCGAACGTGGAGACTTGTTGGATCAGTTGCATCAAGTAGACGGCGCTGTTGAGGAGGGATGGCTCGAACTCGCCCTCCAGGTCGATTTCTTCGGCTGGCGGCACGATCGAGTACACGACGTTGGAGAGGTAGATTAAGGTGGCACAGTGGATGGCAAACTGGCCGAGGACGGATCCGAGGATGTATGCATTGAGGATGTTCGGTTGAGGTCGTTCTCGGGACAGAGCTTCGACCGGTTTGGCCCGAGAAATGGACAAAAAGCACACAGACATCAGCATGCCGCTGATAGTGACTTGCCCGTCACCGAATTTGATACCTGCGAGATAGATGACGGACAGACTGTAGGCGCTGATTAAGCAGTTCAGCGCAAGGATCTTGTACATCTGGATAGTGGCGACCAAAGTGCAACGTCCCTGGCGAATGATGTTTGGAATTGCGATGACATTGGCCAACTTGCTGGTAAAAGGCGCTGCAACGGAAGCATCACCTAGCTTGATTGTGGGTGGTTCATTATCATCAAGCTCATTCTCCATCATGGAAGCCGTAAATTTGTCGGCCCAGCCTGCCGCTTTCTGCGCCGCTTCTGCCTGTCGCCTTTGCTGAGGAGTGAGGTTTGCGTTCGATTGCTGTATAGCTTGGGCTCCTGGTGAAGTGATGGTCTCAATGGTTCCATTTTCTGCATCGCCATTCTCCAAATTGATACCTCTTCTCTCTGCTAGAGCTTTGATGGCTTTCTCGTGATGAGGATTGCTGGGACCTGGTGGATAAAGATGTGCGATGCCAATTGGAACCGGTGGGGGAGGTTGATTGAATCGTTTCATGAGCTGGACTTGTTTCTCGTAAATTTCCTTCATCTTTGTTGTTCTAAAGTGTTCACCGATCTTGTTGAGATCATCTTGAGAGCCATTGAGTAGGGCAACACCAATATGCGCTTGTTTCAGGGCACCAACATCATTGGTTCCGTCACCACACATCAGTGTGGTGTAGCCTAGATCTTTCAGTCCGATGAGAATTTCTTCCTTCTGCTTCGGTGATACTCTTGCATACACCCACGTATATCTAAGTAAAGTGTTGAAAGCTCTTTGCCCGGTGAATTTGGAAAGGGCATATCCGGTAACACACAAGTCTTTTGTTTCGAGAATCTTAGGATCAAGATCCGCTGATGGATTAACCGGAATAATGACTTTCTCATCAACGCTACGCCAGACCAATTTCGTCCCCGAATCATCGTGCTCTGGGGCATCCAGAATCAAACAGTCTCGATCGATGATCTCGACCTGTCTAGCCACATGAACTGCAGTGAGAGGATTGTCTCCAGTGATCATCACAACTCGATGGCTGCTTTCGTTTAGCATCTGAACCGCTTTTATTGCGTCTTCCTTCAATGGGGTTTGAAGAACCAAGAAGCCAGCAAATTGTAGATCACATTCAACTTCCTCACGTTTCAGGTCGTTGATGCGCTTTTGGCCGAGTTCGGATTCGGTCGAGAGATATTTGTAGCCCAGAGCAAGTACCCGCGCTCCGTTTCGGGTGAAGTATTTGAAGGTCTCCTCATATTTGGGCGGTGTCTGAACCAACATTTTTTGAATGGTCTCGGGGGCACCTTTCACACCAACAAAAGTGCCTTTTCCCTTTCGTCCAGTCTTGGGATCCGTCATCAGAACCACAGCCACCGAGCTCTGGCGCTTCAGAGCGGAGGAAAATTGGAAACGTCGTTTGATTTGGACGACATGTGATGCCGCTGCTGTTGAAACAGGTTTTTTGGATTTGGATTTCGGCGGCGGAGTGCTCGTTAGAGTGTCATTGTTGCCCAAAGTCCAGTTGAGAGCGGTTAAGGTGGCCTTCTCCATTGGGTCACCGACAATATCTCCTTCATCGAGCTTCACGAGAGCATGAGCGGTCGCTAAAACAAGGGTAGTGTAGACGCCACAGTCCGGCACCTTGGCGATAGTAGATTGAGCACCATCTGCTTCCGCGGCAACGCCCTCTTTGCCCAATCCAAGACCCGCGATGCCGTCAACGACGAGATCTTCACCTGTTAGGGTTCCCGTCTTGTCAAAGCAAGCAACATCCACACGTCCGGCAAATGGTATCCGGAATGGTTCCGTACAAAAGATGGCAAATTTGCTGAGCGCCGCAAGACTGGTATTGACAGCCAATGATAACTCCATTGGCAATTCGGGTGGGACCACGCTTGTGACGATCAAAATGCAGTCGAGAAGGAGTTTGGACCGTTTTCTGTTATTCCTCACGCCTTCTTGCCAAACGTACCAGGAAGCTGCTAGTGCAAACACGAGCAGGAACAAAATGAACCATAAAGCTTCAGCATTGTTGGCCGAGACACGTTCGGTGGAGTAAATCATGGTCCTCACAAGGCTGCCCTGACTTGTTTCGAAGCCGGTCTTCAGGACGACAGCCATGGCCCCTTTATCTGGCGGGGGAGGCACATCGGATTGCACTGTTGGAATACTTTCTGGCGCGTCCTCACTGGCAGCTGGGTGGGTGATTTGCAGCACCTTAGTACCTCCCCACAGGAAAGCATTCTTGTCTAGGCCTTCCGGCTCGATTGTTGCATCTCCTGGACGAAGCAGTATGGACTCTTTCAACAGTGGTGTGCTCTCTCCGGAGAGCATGGCCTCGTTCACAATGGCCGTTCCTTCAATCAGAAGCATATCGCACGCAACGCCAGAATCTTCCTGAGTTCGACCCACCGATGCCAGATCACCAGGGAGTAATTTGTCACTTTTGATTTCCACCCATTTGTTCACGCGGTACACCCAGATGTCATAGGGCTTGATGCTCATTCCTCGAAATTCATTCAAAGTTCGCTGCCTCTGCCAGACAACTGTGCTTTCGAAAGCCACCAGCATGAACAGAGTGAAAAGAGAGTAATACCAGTAATCGTCAAGCAGCCAGAGGCCAACGCAGAAGACTTGGAAGATGAAGAATGGCGCCACCGCATGTTCCTTCCATAATTCGACAAATCCAGGGACAGGGATGTCAAAGGTATTGTCACCATAGTGTTTGTGAACCGTCTCGATTTCGCTCTCAGAGGTGAGACCCTTGGATAGTTGAAAGTCGCGGAGAAGAGGCTTTTCCTCGGCATCAAGTACATAGGCCAATGGCGCAAAAGTCCCCTTCTCAGGCGAGTATAGAAACCGTCTCTTCTGGAATAGGAACGACGTCCTCCCATCTCGCTCTTTCTCCAGCTTGCAGATGGCAGGCGCACCTGAGTTCACCATAGGGATAATCTTGATCAGCTCTGCGTCTTCAACATTGGTCGCATTTCTCGTGGTAAATGTAGTGTCTAAATTGACGTTCCATTTCGTCGAGAGCCAAGTTAGAGATTGGAGTGTGATGATGGTGGCCATCCAAACGAACGTCCACTCTTGGCCATCGATGTATTCGTCGTAGAGATCCTCATTGAAGTAGAAGGCCAGAAAGATCGGCCATAGAATTGTGAAAGGCCATACATATGCTTTAAGAAAAAGGGGTAAAGGATTGTGGAGGCTTGCGGCATAAATCTGGTCGTTATCCACGAGTTTGGATCTGCAAAATAGTGTCAGCAGGAATGGGATCAGGGATCGGCTGAACGTACGGTTTCTGCGCCATGGCGAGCATCAGTCAAGAGCTCGACTACTGTAGGAGAGAAGAATACAAAATACCCCTCCCAATGAATGGCGGCGAAAAGACCTTGAACAGAGTGTTCCTCGAATAAAAGTTAGGGCACATCGAAAGCCAGGGAATCATAAGAGCAACCGTGTCGGATAAGGCAGCCTTGTCTCCGACTGGACTGCAAAAGAATTTGTTTGTCTGGCAAGACATTTTTTTTTTAAAAAAAAAATTATTCAAGATAGTTGGAAGCCTGTGGCAGAAAACTATTCAGTCAGTCAAAATAATTTCCCCATTCCCACTTCAGCTTGGCAAGTTTGTCACTCATTTCATCTCGCATGGATTGACTCATTCACACTCAGCCTCGAAAGTAATAAAGAGTCAGCGTCTCCTTCAAATCAATCAACCGTTGTCAGGCTATCTCAACAGGTGAAATTGCGACGAATATTCCAGAGCCTTCCAGTCCTTCGCTCAACGACCTCGCGTGCCTGAATTCCTATCTGAAAAGACGACAACTTACTGCGTGTGAACTTGACAGAGCCTGACCAGAAGCCATGATGGCTGAACCCGCAGAAGCAAGCAAAGCCTTGCCGGAGCGTATGAAGGAGAAGGCCGAGAATGTAGTATCAGACAAAAAACCCAAGAAAGAAAAGGTACCTAAGCAGCCCAGACCACCCAAAGAAGCAAAACCATCAGCAGAGAAGCCCGCAAAACCAACAAATGCCGCATCATCGGCTCCGATTGATCCAGATGCTATGTTCAAGGAGGGATGGCTGGCGGCCGTGAGAAAGGAAAGACCCGCAGATGAGCCGGTAGTCACTCGATTTCCCCCCGAGCCGAATGGATATCTGCATATTGGCCACAGCAAAGCTATTGCCATCAACTTTGGATTCGCCAGATTCTGGGGCGGAAAATGCAACCTGCGATATGATGACACAAATCCTGAAGCGGAGGAGGAAATCTATTTCGTTGCCATCGAAGATATTGTGAGATGGCTTGGTTTCGACCCGGCCTTGATCACTTATTCTAGCGATTTTTTTGATCAGCTCTATGAGCTTGCTGAAAAGCTGATCACCTTGGACGGCGCCTACGTATGCCATTGCACAGACGAAGAACTCAAGGACCAGCGAGGAGGTACGGATCCAAAGAACAAACATGAGAGATACGCCTGTCCTCATCGAAATCGACCGATCGAAGAATCTTTGACCGAATTTCGAGCCATGAGGGATGGAAAGTACAAGCCAAAAGAAGCTTTTCTGCGCATGAAACAGGACCTCGGCGATGGCAATCCACAGATGTGGGATCTTGTTGCGTACCGAGTTCTGGAGAAACCTCATCATCGGACCGGGGACAAATGGAGAATTTACCCTACATACGACTTCACTCACTGCCTATGTGACAGCTTTGAGGGCATCACTCACTCCCTATGTACAACAGAATTCATTCTATCCAGAGTCTCTTACGAATGGCTGAACAACAAGGTCGACGTACCACACAAACCAATGCAGAGAGAGTATGGTCGGCTGAACGTCACGGGGACTGTCCTATCCAAAAGAAAAATCAAGAAGCTGGTGGACGAAAAGATTGTCGGCGGGTGGGATGATCCTAGATTGTACACACTTGTTGCTCTACGACGAAGAGGCATTCCCCCAGGAGCAATTCTGTCGTTCGTCAACGAGTTGGGAGTAACAACGGCCAAGATCAACATTCAAATCGTGCGATTTGAGCAGTCAGTCCGAAAATATTTAGAGATGACTGTACCCCGTCTCATGCTCGTTCTGGACCCTGTCCCTGTCATCATTGACGATCTTCCTGACGACCATTTCGAGGATCTTGAAAACGCCTTCGGACCCAAAGATGTCGATATGGGCACTCACAAATTGCCATTTACGAAGAAGGTCTACATAGAGCGTGATGATTTCAGAGAAGTGGACAGCAAAGATTTTTTCAGGATGGCGCCCGGGAAACCGGTGGGTCTGCTCAAGGTGCCTTATCCGATCATTGCCACTAGCTTCAAGAAAGATGAAGCCACAGGTCTGGTCACAGAGATTCATGCCAAGTACGACAAACCAGCAGGAGGCGAGAAGATGAAAAAGCCCAAAGCATATATTCACTGGGTTGCCGAAGCGCCTGAACATGGATCGCCCATCAAATGTGAAGTCCGCGTCTTCAATCCGCTCTTCAAGTCAGATAATCCCGACGCCGTGGAACCGAGCTTTATGGCAGATTTGCGGGAAGACAGTTTGAAAGTCTATCCAAACGCAATGGCTGAGGTGGGATTAAAGGAGATTCGCGAGAGGGCTCCATGGCCAGAGGAAGCAGGAGAGAAAAAAGACAAATGCGGATTTGAATCAGTCAGATTTCAGGCCATGCGAACGGGATATTTCTGTATGGATAAGGATACGGACGACGCAGCAGGCAAGATCGTCCTCAATCGCATTGTGAGTCTGAAGGAGGATGCTGGTAAGAGTGCATGATAGACGAGGAATAATTCCCATGGCTTGATGGCTTTCGTCTAGGGGACAAGCGAGTAGTGCCTTGCGGAGAGGTTCTGTTTTGCAACGAATAAGTTATGATAGTTATGGTAGATTCGCGACAGCGGCTAGACGCAGGGATTTCAGGATTATTGAAAGGAATGACCATTTAATGGCTCACTTCTCTGTTCAGCCTCGAGGCGTGAAAAATGACCAAGCAGCGCCATGCCTTTTGCTTCTGTAGTGCCACTCGAGCCCGTCTTGCTCCGCCGGGTCTAACTGAATTTCCACCCTGCCTACCTCTCTACAACCACTTCCTCTCACAACTCACTCTCCTCAATGGGCCCGGCTTCATGGAAGCCAAATTGAAGCACAATGTCCCGGCGCACCATCGGCGGTGGAAGAGTTCTGGGAAGCGTTAGGACCTTGGGACCTCCAGCTCCTCCGCCGAAGTCGACCTCGCCTCTCCCCACTCATGTGCTGTCCCCTTCCGCCTCGAGTCTGTCCTTGAATACCTTCGGCAGCGGGAACTCTACACCTCCTTCGTCCGATCCTCAAGATATTGCCGCACGAGTATCACTTGACCATGGAGCGCCAGATTTGCCTATGCCAGCAGCTGCTGCAACAGACCGCTTGGTCTGTCCGATATGTAACGAAGAGATGGTCACCCTCCTGCAGTTGAACCGACACTTGGATGATGCACATAAAGAGATAGAGGAGGAACAACAGGATGAAGTCAAGGACTGGTTTAAACAACAAATGGTCAAAGCGAAAAAGTTCCAACCACTAGCGGTGTTGAATCAGAAACTCAAAGGTCTGGAGGTCTTCGAGTCGAACCATGACATTGCGAGAAGTAGCACTCCAACGCCTCGGAACGATTCGGTTTCAAGAGAACCAAATGTTCCTCCATTGCCTCCGAAGCCCGCTCCGGCGGCCATTGACCCAGATGATATTATCAATAAACAACACTGGCAAAGGAGAACTAGCTATGATGTATGCTCAGATCCTACATGTGAGAAAAGGCTGGGTTCGGCAACGAATGGTATCGTTAATTGTCGGCACTGCGGAAAGCTCTTCTGTGACGAACACACTATGTATCAAATGAAATTATCGAGATCAGCCCAGCATGACCCGGTTCGAGGCCTCTGGTATCGCGTCTGTGAGACATGCTACAAGAGTCGTGAGGGTTACATGGACAGACAAGGACTGGAGCGAGATCGTATGAACGCCTTCGACAGGGTAAGGAGGGATAGGCTGAGTCACAAAGAAATGGCAGTGGCGAGACTGGAAAAGAGGCTGTCGAGATTAACACAATTACTAGCCAATCCACCAGAAGAAATTCCACAGTCCACTCTCAACAAGAGGTGGTCATTAAATTGGGGCCAAAATGACCCTCGAAAAGCTCTGGAACAAAGTATTGTGTCCTGGCAAAACGACGCCGAAGTTCAGCGATGTCCCTACTGCCAGCAGGATTTTACTCAGTACACATTTCGTCGGCACCACTGCCGAACCTGTGGGAAGGTCGTCTGTGGCGACCCAGCAACTGCATGTTCGACTGTAATAGGCCTCAATGTCGCAACCAGTATGTTGTTCCTTTCTACCAGCTTCTATTCATTTCGTCCGTTGCTGATATTCCATTTGATAGCTAACACCCGCTTCTCTGTGACAGAAAAACTCCCCCCCAACGACACTGTCCCTCTAGACATCCGACTGTGTAAAGAGTGCAATCACACCTTGTTCTCGCACCGAGACTTCCAGTCTTCATTAACCTCACCTTCTATCGAGGCATTCACCAGATCATACAGCAACCTGCTTCAATTCGAGCGCGGCATCCGACTTTTACTACCGAAATTCCAAAAACTCCTTCAAGCCCTTCAAGACCCGGACCATCCACCTTCATCCACACAGATATCTGACGCTTCTCGCACGCGCAAACGACTTATGGACTCGTTCACCCAATACGACACCGCAGCCCGGCGTATACGAGATATGCCCAGCCAATCAGCTACACAACTCAAACTCCAGAAAGCCATTTATCAGAACGCCACGCAATTCCTCCACTTGCATATGCTCCCATTGAAATCCCTCCCCAAAGTACTCAAGCATGCCACGCCGCATGGGACTAGCAACAGCAACTTGAAACCAGACCCATCGAATCCCCGTGCCTCGCTCGCGATCCTCAACCACAACCACATCCGACACGACAGCTCCTCGAATTTATCCATCGCCAGCTTCACGTCTTCGCGCGTCAGCGAGCTGGAAGCCGAGGAGAAATCACTGCGTGAACGGTTGATCGTGCTGGAAGAACAAAAGTTCATGGTCCAGGAGATGATCGCCGACGCGAATCGGCGGCGTAAATTCGACGAGGTGGCTGCTCTTGCTGGCAATGTCGAGGATCTCTCCACCGAAATCGACAGCGTACAGAAACTCGTGGACAATTTACGCGGAGAGTTTGAGGGTGTGTATACGGGCCAGGCTGGAGGTGGCGGAGGTTTGGGCAGTGGCGTCAATAGTCCGGTCAGGAAACCTTCAGATACCGGCGCCGGAAAATTGAAGTTCGTCATCACTGCTGGGACAGAGAATGGATGATTTATGGATGACCTCAGCATTTCCGCTACTAGTGGAGCAACTCGATGAGAAGAAAGAGTCTCGGTCTTTGGCGTTTGAGGCTTGTCAATTATGAACCCGATACCAGAGGGGAGTAAATTGCCCTAAAGTATTCATCCCTGACTTGATTTTGTTTCGGCTTCGCTCGAGTTGACATGATATAATATGATTCGTTTTCAGTCGGGCTAGGATCCGTGATGGATGGGGTCAGGCATGGATTCATTGAGATCATGCACATCATGAATCAAAGAGTCAAATATTCATAGTGCAAATGAAATAATGATATGATCTTGGTGTGGAAAGCCATTCGCTCTGGCTCTTTGTGTATCCTATTTCATTCGTCCTCGTATCAATCGTCGTTTCGTCTCGTATCGTCCATCTCTGATTAATGCCTTCCGCGCCGCAAGAACTTGCAAGTCAATTCTTTCCCGTTTGTAATTCACTTTAGCCTCTCTCCCTAACCTTTCGCCGCGCCTCTTCGAGAATAGCTATGAGTAAATCCTCATTTGCTCTCCGAACAAAGTTGGTCTCTTCCTCTGAATCGGGTCCAACTACAGCGTCGGCGGCCCTCAGGACGAACTTCAAGCGCCCGTCGACTGAGATTGCGTATGCGGCCGTCGAAATCCTCGATACCTTCATCGGAGGGTTGGAAGTGGGAGGATGCAGGTCACCGTCCTCTCGATCGTAGACGACAGTGTCGTTTTGGTGGAGGATGGGGAGTCTTAAGCCTGTCTTACTCATAATCCATCCGGACAGTATCCCCATGAAAAACCTCTGATTGGAGCCGGGTGTCTCTTGTAGGATGTGCATGTACGACTTTTGTACCACGTGAGGAGCGACGGCGACATCGAGAGATTTCAGACTCGGAGCGACTGGTGTAGAAAAGGTGATTGTGATCCTGATGGTCCCTATTATATCTTTGAAGTCGTCATGAACGGTTCGTTCGCTCGCGTTGGGCACGGTGGATGAAGAGGTGTGGATTGCTCTCAGATAGGTGTGCAGAGTGGACTGGATGAATGCGGAGGAAAGTTGGAGTGGATGGATATCAGTGAGAGCGAAGATGTCTGACAAGTAGTTGATGAACGCTTTTAAGGTGAATGGCGATGATTTGGAAAGGAGGATGGCAACTTGACCAGCGGACGTCCGGGGAGGCAGAGGAGAATTGGCAGGACGGTTGCGCTTGGAAGTGCCAGGTCTGGTAGTGGTAGTGTATATGATGAATTTGTATGTTGTTTTCTCATATACAAGAGATACGAGGAGTCCTTCACTCAGCGGATGCATGTCATCTCGTGCGTCTCTTTTCCTTTTCCTCCCGATTTGATTCTCGAGGGGTTGATTTTCGGTGACATTTCTTTGCAGCCTGGCCCATGTGCACTTGTTCAACCCGCCTAGCTTCTCTTTCTCTTCCTCGTGTTCATAGCGCGGGCGATCTCTGCTCAAAAATTCTCGGAATGATTCAGCATGTGTCGTAAGTCGCTCCTGATGTTTTTTTTCCTGTTGCTGGCTCCTTACGGGCGAGGTCATGAGCGAAGAGAATGAGGAAGCTAAAGCCGGAATGCTATGAATAAGCCAGGAAGTATCGTACAAGGAATCTTCCATCTTGCAATGCTGTTGACATTAATTGCCGGCCGCGGTTTTCAAGCTAGATGGAAGAGATATATGCGTCCTGAGACACGGACTACATTGTTGACGCGATACCGGCGAAGGCGGTAACAGGGATTCGCACGAATTCACGTGATCCCTGCATCCTGAGATGCACAAATACCAGAGCCAGCGGGTATACTAGTCCATATGCGAGGCTATTTACACCCGTCGGAGTTAGGCAGAGTCTCCTCATCCTTCCGCAACCACAGACCATGAGGATCAAAAAAACAAATTGATTCGCAGACAACGTCAAGGCTGGCACTAGCCTCATCTCGTATTCTTTGCAAGGTTTTGGCACTAACCCTCTTTTGCGTTCTCAAAGCCTTTCCAACGCGCCATTTACCCCAATAAACCGGTTTCAGAACCTGAAGAGGCGGTAGACGTACGGACACAAGGAATATCAATTGAGAAGAATGTGTCACGAAGAGAAGGTGGGTTGAAAGAGCTGGGCAAGTTGGAAAAGGGATATATACCCCTATGAGCGTCCTAGGATTTTTTTGTCTTTCAATCTTTATCTTCGCAATTCAATGTGATTCAGAGAAGAAACAAAAAGAACTCCCATTCATTCTCACGAAAACTTGACCAAGTAACTGAAGAAATGTCTTCCACAACCCACCAAGCTGCCATGCTTCTCTCCAAAGGAGGTCGTCTTACAGTCCAGCCTGTCACAACCCCGACTCCAGGTCCAGAGGAACTCCTCATCTCCGTCCACGCTATCGCTCTGAACCCGGTCGACGCGTACATGCGCGATATGGGTGCGCTTATTGCCTCGTACCCAGCAATCCTCGGTTTAGATATTGCCGGGACCGTCGTCGCCACGGGCTCCTCGATCTCATCTTCTAGCCCATTTCAACTAGGCACGCGCGTGCTGGCCGCCGCTCCCGCCTTCTATATGCAGGGCAAAGTCGCGTACGGCGGCTTTCAAGAGCGCGTGGTAGTCCCGTTCCAGTACGCCGCCGTGATCCCCGACAATATCAGCTTCACGGATGCAGCGACGTTGCCCATGGGCGTGATGGTCGCGTGGAGTGGTTGGTATCGCGTCGGACTCCCATATAACACGCACTTCACCCCTTCTGATAACAAAGGCCTCCTGGTCTGGGGCGCCGCCAGCAGCATGGGTATGTGCGCCGTGCAAACGGCCAAAGCAATGGGCTTCACCGTCTACGCCACCGCAAGCCCCAAGCACGGGGACCTCATTAAGGCCCTGGGCGCAAAGGAGGTCTTTGACTACAAAGACAGCGACGTGGTCCCGAAAATCGTCGCTGCAGCAAAAGCCCGCGGCGACGCTATAAACACCGCATTCCACGCCATAGGCGACTTGAAATCCTGCCTCGATGTGCTTGTTTCCTTTGGTGGCGGGAGTGTTGCCCATGCTCCGCCTTTGCTTCCCACTGCACCAAGCGCAGAGGGCGTGGACGTGAAATTTATCACCGCCCCCGACGGCACGGAGGCGCGGAATACGCATATGTCTTTCTCGTTCCAGGAGTGGCTTGCACCGCGGCTGGCGAGCGGCGAGTTCGTCCCGGCGCCAAAAGCGCGGGTTATCCCTGGAGGATTGGAAGGATTGAATGTCGGTATGGATGAGTTGAAGGGCGGCGTTAGTGGGGAGAAACTTGTCGTTGAACTTTGAGATTGAGATTGTTGGACGCAGACACGTCGTAAATGGAACCGAGGTCGATGGGACACGAGGGAAGAGAGACATCAAACAGAGACAAACGAGTACGAGAAGATAAAGACGCAAGACGTGGGATTAAGGAGGACGACAAGGTTACACCACTAATTCAAATGATTGAATTCACCACCGAAACTTTGTCTCTTCGCTCTTTGGCCTCGCTCTTCTGTCTAGCAATACTAATATGAATATTCTTGGGCTTCAAACACGACGATTAACATCCATATCAAGTTTCTCATACACGGGATACATTCCGGCCAATGACTCTCCTCCTTCCGTCTACCACCGCGTATCGGGCTCGATGAAGCCCCCTCGTCCAGGCTTATACTCAGAGAGGGTATATTGTTTTGCCCTTGTCGTGTTGCGAAGATACGAGACGGGAGATGGGAATTTCTCGTCATGATCAGGATCATCATGGCCATTTCGATTTGCATCAGGGAAAGGGGCCGGTTGAATTTCGATTCCAGGTTTGTGGCCGATATTGCTGAAGTTGGAGGTGGCGTCGGGCTGTGCAGACATGACGTCACTACTACTGCCGCTACCACTCAGGCTGAGAGCTTGCTGGTTGGCTTCGAAGTCATTGGCGCAGGCTTGACTCAGCAATGACAATGCTGTCGACGATTGGGATTGTGGTTGTGGTTGTGAAGATGTCTGGGCGACAAGGACGCAGCCATCAGGTAATGTGATCTGCCGCACAGCCGGGCGCATAGTCTCCAGGTACATGAGAAGTGAGGGCGTCGACACGGATCGTGAACCCTGCAGCGAGAGAACCTGGAGACCACGATGAGAAGGTGAAGCTGTTTGCTCGAGGATTCGGTCGTCAGATACGTTGCGAGTAGTGGTGTGGAAGAGCGAGTCAAGCCATCGAAACTCCGCTGGAATTCGGAGAGATAGAGAGGAACATTCCTCTAGGACGAGGGTCTTCAACTTGGCCGGACTCCTCTCATGACCGCTGCAAACATCCTCCTTCGCTCCATCATGGTACGCACCCAACCACTCCACAAAGTCCAGCTCCACGCCAGAGACATTGCGCAACGTCAGTTCCCTCAAGCCAGGGTTTCTCTCCAGCCACTTCCGTAACTGGACGCTCGTAATCCCGGCCCGTTCGACCGTCAGTCTCTCCAAGTTCCTCAATCTCAATTTCGATTCGTATCTCTGGCCAATACCGGCTAGGGCGTTCCAAATAGGACTGCCTTGGAGAAATAGTGGTGATGTCCAATAGTGCGCAGGGAGAGAAGCATCGTGCACGTATGGATGCCGGGAATTAAGATGGAGATGGCGGAGTTTGGGGAAGTGGGTAGCCAGTATCTCCATTAGAGAGGGCGAGATGATGTGGTAAGTGTGTAAAGTTAAGGAAAGAAGGTGGGCAAGGCTGGGAGTGGAGAGGACAGAGCAAGCCAGAGCATTTTGGAGGTGGAAGAGTTGTTGTCGGTGTTGGGCCGGGTTCAGTGCTGATTGACCGTTGCTATAAGATTTGGACTTTCTGCTGCCAGTTAACGGAACAGGAAGCGGCGCAGGAATTGTTATTTGATTGAGAGGAGGAGAGTTGTAGTCTGGCTCTCCGTAAGTGGCGTCCGTATCTTCAAAAGTCGGGGAGTTGAGAAACGCCAATGTAGCGTGGACTTTTCGTGGAAAAATGGCAAGCTGGAGATTTTGCAAGGCGAGCATTGCAGCCGAGTAGTTCGGTTTCGATGTTCGTCCGAACTTGACGAGGGAAGAGATGGGAAGAGTGACGAGGATATGATGTAGAAGTTCTGGCGGGAGGGTTGATATAGGCGATGACGAGGTTGAGAGAGTCATCATGAGTGAATTGGGATCTGGAGGAGGGACAATGATTTCTTTGGCCTAAGGCGGACTGGAGGGGGGAGAGCGGTGGTAGTAATATGAGGCGAGTGTGGACGAGCGAGGAGGCACATCAACATGCCCAACTTGCAACTTTCCACTCACCTGGTCAAAAAGACGCAAATCACGAGGGAGAAAGCTGAGATGGACGAGTACCATTAATCAAAAGTCTCCGCATCAAAACTCTGTCTTTCACGTTCTTACGGGCAAACAGCTGACTACCGAGCCAAAATTCGAGACTTGGACCCAAGTTGCCGGGAATTTGCTGAAAAGTGCTGAATCCCGGTAGATTGGGTCGAATGAGAGGGTGTGAAAGAGGTCGTCCGATGCAGAAGGCCAGGACGTGCCAACCGAACCGAATGGACGGGTGACTGGTGCTCGACGGGAGGATGGATATGGACTTGGAAGCTGATTGATTGGAAGGGGGAGATGGGAGGAGGCTTGGACCAGTAAGAAATCACAATGTCTCAACCTTTGGTCTTGGTGATGGGGCCCCTCCCCCTTCTGCGACAGGTAGCCCGAGGACCAGGAGGTGAAAATGGAGCATGTCATATACCGCACGCTTTGGGGGGGGCCTTGAAGCCGGGTTCGAACGGCAGTTGATTATTCCGTAGACACCATTTGGGTGCTGAGGTGTGTTGGCGCTCCGAGTTGTCGGGTCGCTAACTGGAGACGGTCAAGTCCGAAGAAACGGTTGAAACAGGCCTGGCAAAGCGACGCAAAAGTGCAGGCAGCAAATAGGTGCTGAGGGACTATGGTTCGGGAGAATTTTGTTCGAGATACGATGGAGGAAGGATGCGACGGATGAGAGATTCCAATGCAGATTCAACTTGTGATCGATCATGAAAGAAAATGGTTCAAGGTTGAACGAAGAGGATGCCTGCAGCCCTCATTGTCGGCCCGGCCCTAATCGAGACTTGCCTCACTAAGTTGGGTGTTAGGTACCGGAATACCTCTCTGGAGGTCTCCGCCACAAGCAACGACAGGTACCGAGTACTCCCACACAGATGCAGGTATGTTGTATTTTGGGTCACAATCAACCAGCTTCTTGCTTCTTCCTCATTCATTCATCATCATTATTTTCATTATCGTCACTCATGATGTATGTAACAACATCCTATCTAACAAATGCGAGCAGGTAGGACATCGCTCGCCTTTTCCAATCCATCAGAGACAGTCCTCTCTCCTTGCCTGCAACAACACCACCCTACGTGCATCCTGACCTCTGGCATCAGCCGTGCTTCTCCCGATCCTCTCACCATTACAAGCTCAACCAAATGTCTTCTTCGGTCTCCTCAAGCCACGGACGCTCTTGGCCGTCATATCCAAACTCATCCTCATCACGATTGGAACTTTCACATACCTCCCGCACAAGCTGTGTCCCATTGAGATCCTTTCCCCTCCCTCTTGCGGCGTTAGCACAAGCTTCAGCCAACATCTTCAAGCGGACCCTTCGCGAGTCAAGCGCTCTTCCCTGGTATGACCGCCATGCTTTCTGAATGGTGACCGCAGCTCTTACCCTCTTGGACGGTCCCAAAAGCCTCGAGCAGAGAAACGCCAGTGCGGCCAATACAAAATCGCGATCCAGGATATGCGTTCGGCGAGCTGATGGATCCGAACCAGAAAACAGCCCTGAAAATTGCTCGCTGCAACCAAGACTTCGAAGTCGATCACTGAGCTGCCGGCCCTTGCGAACCTGTGCGTCAGGGGCGAAGTATCTTTCATACTCGTCAACAATTGCTGCAAACACCTGTCCGTCGGCAAAGCTGGTCGTCAGATTTCTCACCATAAACCCTCCCTTCTGTGCGATGGCTTGGGCCCAAGATTTCAACAACACTTGGTACCGAGCAGGATGCTCGTCGTCACCCAGCGCCTCGAAATAGTCATTGTCAAAATTCGACACTGTTCGACAGATCCGCTTAATCTCTCTTTCGACATCATCCCAGTCAACAAGACTGCCCAGCCCCCATTTACTTGTGAGACCCCAGAGAAGTTTGACCGTCTTTTCCCGGAACCCATCCACAAGATCTTCAGCTTTAACATCGTGAACCAGTGCCGTCATGCCTTTGACACTACGCAGGGCACTAAGGGCGATCTCAACGTTGTATAGCTTAGTCGCTCGACCGAGGCAAGGAAACTTGAGGTGTTGAGATAATGGCCAATCTCGTTGACCGTCGCTCAATGAAAGCAATTCTCCGGTCGGTAAGAGTACAGTTGTGGTCGAATCGGGATCAGATCGGCGCTCAAGGAATTGTGAGGCGGAAGGATACAGCAAAAGCTCAACCAGTCTCGTCAGACGGACTCCGTCGCGCAGGTCAACTGCCAGATTTTCGATCTTGTACTCGTATTCCTCGAGCGGAAACTGCGAATGTGTCACATTGTAACCGATGTGGCTCAAGGCTCGGACAGGATCTCCAGCACCCGGGTTCAGAAGTTGGAACAGTGCTTTGACTACACTAACCGAGGATTTGTAAGTTGACGACGCTTGGAACAAGCATTGGCTGACAAGTTGACCTGAAGGAGCTTTCGACAGATCCAAGAGCTTGATGAGCATCAAGCTGCGGAGCATGGTCCGTCGGTACGACCAAGCAATCCGATCAGTGCACGTGTGATCCGGCGTTCCGTCTTTGTTTCTGATCAGAAAGGTCTCGATAAATTGTTGCAGAGCACGACGACTGGTACTCGCCCCCTTGTCAATACTCGGTCTTGTCGAGGGAGATCCCGCAGCGCTCACGCATTGCCGACCCACCACTACTTCCAGCGCCGAACGAAGACACGAAGGATCATATGTCTCCAGCCACAAATCTGTGAACACTTTCCGCTTTCCGACGTCATTGCCCAGACTTCCCGCCGCTTTCAGAACTTCTGCTGATATGCTTAGCGAACCGTATAACAGTGTTGCTTGTATTCTCTTGTAGAGCAAGACATTTTCCGCATTTCCATATCTCTCGAGAAGTCTAATCGTCAATATTCCACCTTCGGCCGGAGGGGACGGCGGAGTCGATGCATCGAAAAGGCCGTTGACAAGCTGGGTAATGGCGATCTCCTGATGGCTTAGCCAGCTGTCCTCATACATGAATGGAGTGGCAAGATCTTCCCGGAGTATAGGATATGCTTCAACAACCGGTTCCGCTTTGATATTCGGGATCACGAATCGACTCGGTACCGATGGCTTCCTCGACAAGGGTGGCTCGTTGACTTCCACCATCGGACCTGGCTTGGATGATATTTTCTTCGCTGAAAGCGGACGGTCGATCCGAACGCAGGCGCCTGAGTTCCAATTGTGCTTTCCACCGGACCCTGGAGTAGTTTTGCTGTCGATGATCCTTCCCATCAGTCTAGCAGTCGGCTCGCATAGCTTCGACGATCTTGCTTCCCGATCGATCTGTGGTTTGATCGGATCGCAGACGCGTAGATTCATCGATCCTCGCTTGGCTATCGAAGTGTGTTTGCCGGGTTTCTGATCTACTGCTGTGCAATATCCAGGGGGCAAATTTTCCTTTCCAGGTCCTTGACCCAATCGATCTTCCACAATAGCAGTCTCTTGGACATGGCGCCCAACAACCTGCAGCGGACCTCTCTTCGGAGACACAGCGATCACTGAGCGGCGTGGCCCTTGCTTTTTTACCATCTGTGCGGCTATCCCGGTAACCTCCAACCTCGCCTCTGCAGCTTCTGATGCCAGCCTCGCGTCGAGATCCTTGATGGGACTAAAAATCCCCATATACATACTGGGCATTGTGGTGTCATCGTTCGGTATGTAGATTGTGCCTCGTCGTGCGGGTCTGAGTATGGTCGTTGAACTCATCGTCAAGTCCGTATCTTCAGGCAAGGGGGGGAGCGGTTCGGATTGCCCTTCTGTCTTGATAATGGGTCGTCGCGGTGCCTGTGACAGTCGATGTGAAGGACACGGTTCCACCAAAGGAGCTTGGCTTCGAATCTCGTCAGATGCGCCAAAGGAGACTCTACGTCTCTGTCGCTGAGATGGTTGCGATACTGCTTTTCGTCGCGCTGGTTGAGCTAAAACAGTTTGTTTTCCATCACCAATTTCTTGCGGATCCGCATCTTCGTGGATGGGGAAATCCAACGCATTATTCTTTTTCTTGACTGCAGTCGGACGTCTCCGTGGTTTGATATTTCTCAGGGATCCTCCAAAGGCCGTAGTGAACTCGATATTAGCGGTCGTATTGTCATCAGCGGCGCTCGGGATGGAATTATGCCTGCTTAGATTGAGTTGCCAATCTGGTATGGGACAAGGTGTTGCTGACGCATGCCGCAACATCTTCCTCTCTGCAAGTGTGCAAATATCTCGTCGTCGGTCATGGAGAAGTTGTCGAAGGGGTCCTGAAATCTGGAGGACGCGTCTGACCCGCGGTACGAAAAGCTTTTATTTACTCAAGCCTGTTGCGAGGGACAACCGCACCGATGATTGGTTGTACTCTTACTAACCTCTTGTCTTCATGTGAATGATGCTTCAGCGGCCATGGGAATCAATCGGCAATGGTTAAAGCACGTCTGTTATGTATCTCTAGTTGAGCGGCCCAAACGCCATCGCTATGCCGGATGCACGCTGATTTCAATTCTCCAAGCAAAATACCGGTGTATTGCTACAATTCATCCCTGGTAGGAAAGTGGAAATCCCACGAACGATCAGGGACAGGTAACCCCAACCAAAAATTCCACAGTCGATTCATCTCCATCACAAAAATGGCAAAAAATTTAAAGGGCATCTCCGCCCAACTCCTCAAGACCAGCTTGTATGCTCGCCAGACCAGATCAAGCTCTGACCAGAATTCTTCAACGAGACTTCTCTGTGGATATGCTTGGTGCTTCTCATGAATGTCTTCTTCAAGATGTTCAAAGATGTCCTGGCCTTCCTCGTTGGTCTCTTCAGCATTCGGAAGAGGGCCCTGGATATCCAAAACGCTGTAGTCACCAGTGTTGATTGCCTTCCGAAACTTCTGGATGGCGTCTAAACTGTGACTGACACGTCCGAGAGTGTTGACAAGAGCGACAAGCTCTGTCCTTCGCAGGTGCGGATTCTCGCCATTCTTATTCTCGTCATACTCGAAAAGGATTTTCAGAGCCGCGCCGTAGCCAGCCGTCTGCACTTTACCCCAGAGTCGACATTTGTCGCAGCCCACGCAGTCCATAAGTCTTGATACGTTTCGGAATCGACTTCTAAAGTCATCCTTGAGATCAAGGACGGCTGGATCTTGGAACATGACAGACTCGTCAAAGGTATGCGGTCCAGCTACAGCTTTGTCAGCCAACTCCAAGACTTTCCGTTTTGTTTCGAAATCTTGATCTGGATCTCCCGAGCAGAATGTGTATGATTCGAGGTGCTTTCTCAACTTAGCGATCGCTCTGGTAAGGATTGCATAGTTGAAGTAGACATTAGAGACTCGTTCGGGATGCGAATGTAATCGCTCCTTGTAGCAGTCGACGTTGTGGACCCATTCACCGGTGGTCTGATTGAAGAAATCCCAGCACAGATGGGTTGAAATGGACGCATGCATTCCGCTGACAATCCGATAAAAGGCTCGCTGTTCCAGGCATTCATCATCCAGCGGATATAGATCGTCCCTGTTATCCACATGCTGTCGCCCGTACTCTTGAAATATGTTCTTTAATTTTTGCGCCGCCTGAAGTGGCTTCGGCTTCAGAGCCCCATGTCGAGGCGACTTTGGAGTAAAACAGTTCTCCTTGTAAATTGCATCCCAGACTTGTTTCGCCCCCATTCCCGAGTACCCCGTATATCGCTCCGTGTTATGGACAAGACTGACATAGTCTCCTTTTGCGGCAGCGCCCTCGTCCTCGGGGACGCAATAATCTCTTTGGTCACACTCGTCATCCTCCTCGAGCACGCAACTCTCATCCACATTCTCGCCAAGTTGGTACTGTAGCGGTCGATTCTTGGGTCTTTCTTTTTGCAGCATTCTGCCAGGATGTTTCGCTCTGGCACCTTCCAGCTTACTCAACTCTTCCGCTCGCCATATCGGCGGTATGTCGCTTTCGTCTTCTATCGTATCCACCGCGCATGCGCGGTTACCGCACATGGAATTTTCATCAGACCAGAAGGGACAGACTTTGTTGTACAGGTTTAATCTATAATAGGCGAAGAAATCGGTGTGTTGGGTCAACTCTTCGAGGGAGGGGGAAAGTTCGGCGTTGAGCCTCTCGAGATCTGAATATGATGTGCATGCGTCGGTAACGATTGAATCCGGGTCTATGGCGCACTGAGGTTCTGCCCGGACGCAGTGCGGTCGGAGGAAGATGTAGAAAGCGAGGAAGAATTGAGAGGCGTGTTGAAGGCGCATGGTGCTGGTCTTGTCGGAACTACATACCACAGAGAGAAAAATGTTGATTTAAGGGAGAGGGATGTAGAGAATCAAAGATGAACAAAAGAAGGGCGAGGACGGGTACGTGATTGAAATGCTGAAAAACAAACTAGCCACATCTCCCTCCGCAGCCAATTAGGGCATAAGAGTCATTAATTTATGTCTCGGAGACACATACGGAGTACGGGTATTACCATTCCACTCATACATGTTGCCAATTGGCGATTGGTTCTTTGTATAAGACAGGTGGCAGAAACACCGGCCAAAGAAAAGGTAAGCCATATGTCGCAGTGGTCACTCCATACTGTCAGTCTATCAACCATCAAATCGTCACTAATCATAAATAGATCTCACACCACGGAAGAATCACCGTATTCTGCTGTGGCTATGCGATGATCCTGGTACGTACATCCTGCCGACAAAATTACCAATCAATTCTCCTCTGCGCCGCAACTCCCACTGGCCTCGATGCATTCACATTGCCCGTCCCCGACATCGCTCCAGCCGTCCTGGCAGGACGCAGTCCTTTGTTAAGTCCGAATTTCTTATCGAGACTTTCAAACGGTTTGGGACCCTCGTCCTTCTTGACGATCCATTTACTGGTCCCCAGCACACGGTCCAGTTCTTGAACTGGAGGAAGCTTGAGATATACCCAACCATCATCTCGCTCTTCAGCCGGGAACGTAGCGATCGACATGCTGCTATCGTTGGAGCAAGAGCCTGCGCCGGCGTCCTTCTTGTCGAAATCGACCTCACCATTCAGCTGGAAATTCCTCTTATGGTACGGGCAGCTGATGTAAAGTTTGCTGCCTTGACAATCTGGCGAAGTGGTCTCGCCAACTAAACCATCAGAGAGTCCAAAAGTTCTCCGGTGAGGACACATTTGCTGACTGGCATAGTACTTGCCCTTCAATTTGAAGATGGCCAGTTGAGTGTCTCCTCGGATGACAGTCTGTGAAGATCCAGTATCAACATCCTGGAACTTGTACGCCTCAACAATGGGCTGCCAGGTGAGGCTGGTCCATTTCGTACCCTTGAAATCATCAGATACGGGTTCTTTCGCCCAATATGCAGGTCTTGATTGACCTCTTTCTTCAACCTTCTCCACTGCCGGCTCTCGATTGTCGGTCGAATTGGCAAATTGTTGGAAAGCCTTGCGCTTCTCGGGATCATTGATGGTCTCCGTCCATTCACAGAAGAATGTCCCCACAAGTTCCTGCATTTGCTTTTCCAGTTCCGCACAAATTCCAAGCTTGTCCTCGAGAATCACTTCCCGAAGGTATTTGATGCCGCCAGGCAGTTGCTCAATCCACCTTGCCGTTCTTTGGAGTTTATCCGCCGTGCGAATGTAGAACATCAGATATCGATCAAGAATGGGGATCACATCATCGGGAGGTACGTCTTTAGCCAGGAGTTCTGAATGCCTTGGAGTTGCTCCACCATTGCCTCCAACGAAGATGTTGAAGCCTTTTTCGGTGGCGATGCAACCAAAGTCCTTGTTTTGAGCTTCAGCGCATTCGCGAACACATCCTGAGACACCTCCTTTCATCTTATGCGGTGACCGAATGGACTTGTATCTTTCCTCTAGTCGGATCGCCAGGCCAACAGAGTCGCCAATGCCAAATCGACACCACGTCGTACCCACACATGACTTGACGGTTCTGAGGGATTTGGCATAGGCGTGGCCTGATTCAAGACCGGCAGCAACGAGCTCGGTCCAGATGTCAAGTAGGTCTTGCTTCTTGGCTCCAAACATGTCGATACGTTGGCCACCCGTGATCTTGGTATATAAGCCATACTTTTTCGCCACTTGGCCGATCACAATCAGTTTGTCCGGAGTGATCTCACCGCCAGCGACTCGCGGAATAACAGAAAAGGTCCCGTTGCGTTGAATATTTCCAAGATATCGATCATTGGTGTCCTGCAAGCCATGGTGGGGTTTCTCCATAACGTGCTTGTTGAACATTCCAGCGAGGATGGATGCAATGGCTGGTTTGCAAACTTCACACCCAAGGCTGCTTGGATCCTTGCCCACATCGCGCATGACCTGCCCAAAATCCTTTAATTTCTTGACGTAGATAATGTTGTATAGATCGGCCCGCGAATACGGGATATGAGGGCAGAGATGGTTCAAAACTTCATTGCCCATCTCTTTCATAGTCGTGTTGAAGATCGATTGAACGAGCGGCATGCAACCGCCGCAACCTGTTCCCGCCTTGGTGCATGATTTAACGTCACCGACCGATTTGCAGCTACCATCTTTGACAGCTGCGACGATGTCACCTTTGCTCACGTTGTGGCATGAACAAATTTGGGTATCGTCCGTGAGATCGTCTGCGTTATCGTCGCCGTCTTTAGACGCGCCAATGATGAACTGTGACGGGGGGACCTCAAGAGCCTTCTTATTCTTGACCATCGGGACCAGCTTGACGTAGTCTTTAGTGTCACCAATCATCATTCCGCCTAGCAAGTATTTGCCGTCCATGGTAAACAGATACTTCTTATAGACGGCTTGGAAAGGATCCCGGTAGGTCAGCGCTTTGACTGCTGGCGGCGGCGGACCGTCGGTCAGATCTTTGACCTTGTCATGACCTCCAACTGGCTTTTTCTCTTCTTGCCTAATGTGTCTCTTCGGGAGATCTTTCGGTCCATCTCTGTCAGCAAAGAAGTCTCCAAAACTGGCAACTTCGACACCCAACAACTTCAGCTTGGTGCTCAGATCCGGTCGCTTGAAGGTCCGAGGACTATGCACTTTGGCTTGAGTGAGATTGAATGATAGTACATCTGCTTGTTCGACACCCGGTGCAATGAGGCCAAACGTCTGGTTCTCCCAGCTGGCACATTCACCAATGGCGTATATGTTTGGATCGCTGGTCCTGAGATTGTTGTCGATTGTAATGCCCCCTCCTCGATCAGCGCATTTGAGACCAGCTTTCCTGGCTAATTCATCTCGGGCTTTGATTCCGATGGCAAACATGACGCAGGAGCAGTCCATCTGCTCACCATCTTCAAACACAATCCCTTTGACAGCATTGTTTTCGTCTGTCAAGATCTGACCGACACGCTTGCTGAGCATCACGTCTAAGCCAAGGTTGCGGACGAGTTCAACAACCATGCCGCCTGCATCTGCGTCCAGTTGCCGAGATAACACCCATCTGTTTCGTTCGATGAGTTTGACTTGTTTGAATTCTTCCAGATCCATCATTGCTTTGGCAGCCTCCAGACCTAGAAGGCCACCGCCCACGACACATCCTGTGGTTCCCTTGACCGTGGAAGAGAATGCGATCAGTTTTTGCAGATCCTCGATGGTCCGGTAGACGAACACACCCTGGGCATCGTGGCCTGGGGTATGTCTTGGAAGAACGGCATCAGAGCCCGTTGCAAGCACGAGAATGTCGTAGAACACGATCTCTCCTTTGGACGTAAGGACCACTTTTTCGTTTGGCTTGATTTCCGTGACCAGTGTGTTCAGGTGATAGCTAAAAGAACTGGACGGATGGCTTTTATACCAAGACTCTGGGTTCAAATAGAGAGATTCGACTTGTCTGTGTTGGAAGAAGCTTGTCAACCCGACACGATTGTATGCCAGGTGCGGCTCTTCGCCGATCACAACGACGTCGTACTCCATGCGTTTCGCATCCAGTTTTAACATTTTTTCCCTGAACGAATGACTGGTCAGCCAGATCTTGAAGGCTATTTACCTAACTTACACAAATGCTATGCCAACCATTCCCAAACCGACGACAACGACTTTCTTTCTCTCTCCTTCCGCTGTTGGAATGTTTCCATTGACTTCCGCTCCTGATGGAGCCCGGCTGATAGCCATGTCCGGAGACGATGTCGACCAAGACATCTTGATATCTCTGTTCAGGATTAGTTGTCTCCAGTCGCTAAAACCGCGTTATAAAGGCAACACATTGAGGGTTACACGGTGCAGTGTGGATTAATCAGAGATTCAGAACAGCGGTAGCAAAATAAATTAATTTCGAAACAACAGACTATAGATCAGCGGATGGAATTTCATGCACCCAAAGACGCCCAAAGACTGACGCCACATTTGCACAGCATGAATCCGCGGGATTGAAGCATCACAAAACCAGCCAACAGCATGAAATCATTCGCTTATCAGCAAGGCTCAAGTATCATGGCTTGCAGGTGACCAGCCAAGGAAGGCAATTGAACTCAATTTCGTAGTCCCCTACAGAGGAAAATCCAATGGCTAATATCACATTGTTATTGATCTATCGTCAGTCGCGCAATCGAAGAGCTGTGTCGAACATTTGAAGATCGCTTTCTCCACGGTCTGAGATTCGATCGAATGTGGAGCAGCGAGGGAAAGGGTGTCTTTTCTCCGAGATAAGAACAGTCCAGATGAGAAAGAGTTGAGTGTGAGTGGTTGAAACAGGGGTTGGCGATAACAATCCACGGAGGTTACACTTGCCTTGGCCAGTGGCTGGATCCCAGGCAAAAATTCTCCCGTATTTGCTGGCGAGGTCGTCACGTATTGTCACAGCCCACAATTTACCATGCCACGTGATATGTATTCATATGGTAAGGTCGGCATTGGGAATAAATATATGCATGTTGGCATCTCCAAGGAGATCACCATAAGTAATAGAAAGTCCAATGTAACACAGTCCAGTGGCAAACCACCTGCCGGACCATCCGTCCAGGCGTTCAGCACAACGCCGTTCGGCCATGCATCTATCTATATTCCCATCGTGAAACACCAAATCAAAAGAACATCAATTGGTCGTCAGTCCATCCCTGCTCAAGTAGAGCCGTGTGCATCGTTTTCTCCATCGCCTCCGGCCCGCAGATCAACACCAACGTGTCCTCTGTCCTGATACAGTGGTCCTGGACCAACTTACCGGTAATTCGTCCCCGCAAGCCTGTCCAGTCTTCTGGGGCCTTCGTAAGAGTGTAGAGAATCTTGCCTCTATCTTCCCTGCCTTTTAGCAGCGCATCGAGCTCTTCCTTACAGAGGATATCCTCAAAGAGTCGGTTGCCGTCAAAGATGATGCAGTTCGTCTTGTCATCAGGGTTTCGAATGACTGCTCGGAAAACTTGATAGATGGGGGTAATGCCACTTCCACCGCATATCATCACAAACGATTTGACCAATCTCGGCTTGTTCTGAATCAGACAGTGGCCATTTCCGAGATACTCGAACCTGCCAACGGGGCCCTTCATTTCAATAAAGTGCCCAATTGGCAGGGCATCCATGGCTTGAGACATCTTTCCTCCTTTCCCGGCAGAATTGGCAAAGTACACCTTGACAAGCATTTCCACATATCCTTGATCACTGATCTCTGAAATCGGCGTATAGCTCCGAATGATGGCTTCGCGCGTCGCAGGATCTCTAAGCCTCACCATCAAATGTTGCCCAATGGGTAATCCAAGTCGTTGCTCTGGGTTGTCCAGCTTATACGTAAAGATGCGTGTATCCCACGACACAGTCTTCTTGCCATGGAGGACGGCTTTCTTCCATACCTTGGGATTGAGGAATATCTCCGTAGGAATGGCAGACTGGTTGGCTTCGGTCTCGCCTTCGGTTAAGGCGCTCTTAGCCGTTTCATCCAAGGAGCCAATGTGGTATTTTGGCATCATTGCCTTGGCTGTTTCGCTGTGGATCGCCATAAACTCATCCGTACTGTCAGTTCCCGCTGCCGAAATGATGCTTTGCGCACCCCCCGGATGTTCATCGAGGAACGCTGTGCCGTCGTATACCTCGCCATGGACGACAAACCAGGGCTGCTTTTCGGTGTCATGTTCTCTCAGTTCGTCGATCGTAATGGACTTCTTCAAGCCCTCCTTTACCATGGAGATCTCTTTAGCCTGCTCCTCATCAGGTATTACCTTGTCTTCGCCTTCCCGCTTTCCGCCCCAGAATCCATTGGCAAGGTTTCCCCCGGCCTTTTTGACCCTTTCCATCCAACCACCAGATATGAGAGCAGGTTGTGTAGGGTGTTCAAAGCGAAGATAGTCACCCTCCACTGTAATCGTGACACGAAACCAGGGATTGTTCATCATACCGAGAACCGACCAGTACATGTCCCTAGGTTGTACATTCATGCTTTCGTCCATTGCTCGGACAAAGATATCTTTCGCAGCAGCGACATCACTCGTTGGCAGATCGATTGACCAGAAGCACCAACAGAAGCACGTCTCGCGCCAGGACATATCAAGTCGACCGCCAAATAAATCTCTTTCCACTTGGCGATATCGGTCCTCGATGTAGTCAATGTTGGCCAGTCTCCACAATTTGCCTTGGTCCAAGGATATCTCAACCCGCGTTATGCGACGGCCCCCTCCACTGTATGCGTATCCCCTTGCGCGATAGGTACTAGGGGCACCCGTGAGGCAGAGTTGTTCGTCATGTTGAGGATAGCAGATGGCGGAATTGGGGCTGAGGTCATAAATTGCATATCTTTCGTCTGTCCACCACTTGGGGTTATTTGCGGATTCCTCGGGAGACACCATGGTAGGTAGGACTCGATTGTCATATATATGATACCAGTTGTCGCTTGGTCCCTCGGTGACGATCAGCTTCTTCAGCCACTTGACTGAACGCCCACCAATTTGCCCCGGGACAACAGCCCGTAAGGGTTTGCCATGATCCGGCCTCAGCATCTCACCATTCATCTTGTAAGCAAGCATAAAGCCACGATTAGGATCCATGACCCAATTTAGCTTCACAGATGTACCGTAGTGTCCATGGGGTAGCTTATCGGCCCCTTCCATGCAGAGGTATTTCGCTTTTCTCTTAGGTTTCGCTCTCTTAATCACATCAGACATGATAACGCCAGTGAAAAGAGCAGTTGAAAGTCCACCCGCTCCCCAAGAAAATCCCTTGCTTTTCCGTACCATGTTTTGTTCTTTCCGTCGATTGCCCGCACATACCAAGGTTATGGGGCAAGTCACTTGCTCGTACTCGGTCATCAATTGTTTCAGTGACATTGTCATAGGGTTCTCGACCATTCCTTCAACTGTAAATTCCCAACCGATAATATCCTCATTGTTAACCTGCGGCACAGCTCCGTGATTTCGAACGTAAAATAACTCTGGACTGGTAAGGAAACCTTCATTGAAAAGTTCAGTCAATGGTGCTTCAACGTTGAAAGGATGAACACCGGTCAGTCGTATCAGTCTTGGATCCCGTGGTACATGGCTATCCGGAGTCTTCAAGTCAATCTCTAGCGTCCCAGTAGGCATCGTCGTTGGAGGTGGAAACGGAATTTCCACATGTTCATTATCCTGGTCTGAAACATCTGTGGGAGGCGGTGACGGTGGGAGAATGTCCTTGGACTCCGAAGTCTCTGCTTTTGCAGTTCCCTCAGGAGCTACCTGGAGGTCTGTTTTAGGCTCTCCCATATTAGAGTAATAAGTCGAAAACGTGTTATCGATTCTGTCAGAGAGTCCAGTCTTCCATGACCAACATGGGGATTTGAAGAGAATCAATTGGTGAAACGAAGAGTAAAAAGGAGAGACAAGAAACGCAAAGGCACGGCAACAGCGGCCACTTACAGAAAGTAGCCTGTGATGCTGTGGGCGTCCATTAGGTGCACGTAGACGATGACGCTACATTATTTGTGAGTTCGTTCATCCGATATTGTCAAGACCAAAGGGTGCGTCTAGATCGAGACAACCAACCTATGAAGGTCCGCGGGGCTGTTGCCAAAATGACTGGACTTTCGATGCGAGGAAATATTCAATCCTCCGCTTATCTTTGACCTTTCTTGATAAGGCTAGCCCCGTCTTGTGGTAATAGCGTTACGAGTACTGCCACCGCGTACTTCATCTCAGGGCTTCCGTCCAACAGTTGGAGGCTCGATCCGGAGGAGCCTCGGTGGGCTACGTGCCGATAGTGAGAAGAGGTTTACTGGATCGTGGATTATGCATTGTTTCGTCAACAACGCCCGGCTAAAATTCTCGATCCCGAGCTCTTCAAGCAACATCGTCTTGGCGAAAACTTCTCCCACGAAGCTTGTCCTTCCGATAATAATTTCTGGTAAATGTGTCACTTTTCTGTGTCTGGAACGAGAATTGGGTGAGATAGTATCTATTACGGAGTGGCTGTTCAATGTCGTGCGCACATGGCTGAGGGTGTTGGCCCGGTGCGAATATATCTTGGCACACGTGACTGCGGCCCAGAGTTTTTGTAACACCGCCAAACTTTTTTTGACCTTCAAAGGACTTAGGTCCTGATCCAACTTAACATCCTCATTGGTATAGCCGACAGGGTCAGGCACTAAAACACTATGCCTCAAAACGAGTACATTGAACGCTGGCAGAAGCAGCATGGCAAACGCCTCGACCACGATGAACGCGTTCGAAAAAGAGAGGCGAGAGAAGGTCATGCCCAGTCCGAAAAGGCCCAGAATCTTCGAGGATTACGGGCCAAATTGCACCAGAAGAAACGGCATGCCGAGAAGATTCAGATGAAGAAAGCCATCAAGGCTCAAGAAGAACGAGATGTCAAATCCGCCGCACCCAGCGAACCATCCTCGACTCCTCTACCCAGTTATCTACTTGACCGATCACAGGCCAACAAGGCAAAGGCACTTTCGAGCGCAATTAAGAACAAAAGAGCAGAGAAGGCAGCAAAATTTTCCGTACCCCTACCGAAGGTCAAGGGAATAAGCGAGGAAGAAATGTTCAAGGTTGTCAAGACCGGCAAGAAAACGGCCAAGAAAAGCTGGAAGAGAATGATTACACAACCCACATTTGTCGGTCCTGATTTCACCAGACGACCAGTCAAATATGAACGTTTCATCAGACCCATGGGTCTACGGTATAAGAAAGCCAATGTGACCCATCCCGAGTTGGGCGTTACCGTTCAACTACCCATTATCAGCGTCAAGAAAAACCCTCAAAATCCACTCTACACACAATTGGGAGTGTTGACCAAAGGCACCGTTATCGAAGTCAACGTTTCAGAACTAGGCCTTGTGACTACCGGTGGAAAAGTAGTCTGGGGTAAATATGCCCAAGTTACGAACGATCCGAGCCGGGATGGATGTTTGAATGCGGTCCTCTTAGTCTGAGAGAGCATCGACGTTTCCTTCGTTGGCAAAATACACCCTCCGAAACCAAGAACTTGCAACGAGCCCTGGTCAAGTCGTCTGCACCAGGGATATATTTGACTCACAATTCTTCCGTAAAAATGCCGTGGTCAGAATATCCCATCGCCTTAACAGCAATCTTGGCGCTTTGAAGGACTCTTCCCTTGAGACTTAATGTCTGGCCAGGTTTCTCAACTAAGAGGACACACACGTCAGAAAATCGAACTTCTGCAAGGAGTTTGTCGTCGTGAACACTTACAAACATTGGTCACTTTAGCCATCACCCCATAAGTGGCCTTGAAATCAAACGGCTTCAGCGCTTTCCAAATTTGCATGACCGTATCGGGCGGCAAAGGGATGAAATTCGGAATACTCCACAAAAACTGATACGAGATGGTGTCTTTCCTCTTCCCAGGGTCTGGATTATGCGAAGAAGCCACGGCGAAAATCGTATCAGCCACGAAAAGCGTCGGAATGGGAGTATTGGGGACGGCAGAATGCAACACCATGCTCCCAGGGAAGTGCCCTCCACAAATAGCAGCGGTGAGACCTGGGAGAAGTTCTGTGTATGGGTCCTTCAACAACTTCAATGTTGCAGATGAAGAGTCTTTCCTATTGGCCCACACAGAGTCTACTTCAGTCATGTAGACGGGGCATTTGAATGTGGCAGACCAATCCGCCCACGTCCTACGGAATATTGTTAACAAAGCAGTTCCTACCAAAACCGAAATGAAAGGGGGAAAGGTAGAGGGAGGAAAACGACTCACGTGTAGAAATGCGGATGAGAAATGATGATGAACTTCAACCCGCCAAGTTTCGTGATCTGTTTGTTTTCCCCCTTTCTCAGCATCACCAGATCCAGCGCGTCGAACCATGCTGCTTTTTTGGGGGGTCGTCTTACCTTATCCACACTCTCCTGATCCAAAAACGCAATTAAATCCCAAAGCACATTCCCATGCGGCGTCTGGATTAGACATGCCCGCTGGCCGATTCCGAACTATACATTGCGCCGCGCAAAGGTGTTACCTTCCGTTCTTGCACTCCCTTTCTCTCGCGCGGATTGAATATACAATCGAGCGGTTCATACCTTTGGCTCTGTCCAAATCTCAAGCACATTCTCATTATACTTACACTGCTCAAAGACATTCTTATATTTTCCACTGCGTTTGAGCTTTGCCAACGTCGTGAATGAGTATCCTTCCTCGGGGATGAACTGTCGCGGATCCTGTGTCAACAGCCCAAAGTCAGCGGATGCACAAGGTCAATGGATACATACACAAAAAAAGAGGCAAGTGATTTGGCAGGAGAAAGAAGGAAGTGTCGAGGATGAGAGAATTTGGCCAAGCACTAATAACGTACATCGCAAATTCGACATTCGTCTTTGCCGGTTTGTTCACTGACGTCGTACTGGGCGCCGCAGCCCATACAAAGCAGCAAATCGTCTGAGGTGGAGAGGGTTGAAGTTGCCATGACGCTTCAATGAGTGTAGAGCTAGCGATCACACTGCAAGGTTCTCGAGGGTGAAAAGGATATGATGATTTCAAAGGAACGAATCTGGATCGGAATTGTAGACTGTCGATGCGATGGGAAATTGTCCCGTGAATAAGACGGGCAAAAGTGGGGGAATATGTGTCACTATATGACCAACCCGTAGGAAGTTTGCTAGGCACGTTTTGGACATGATATTTTCTGGAGTACATGTTATAGCCCTTGTGCCATGGGCTGGCAGTCCTCTGACAATAGCGCAACAGCCGCTTGAATGAAGCCATGTCCGATAACCTGATTCAAAGCCATGGCGCATTTGACTCACATGTACAAACTGGCCGTAAACACCACATCTCGTCTAATCAGCTCTCTCGCTTTATCCATTTTCTGATACAAGCCTGGATCACCAATGAGTCTCGCTGCACTCATGACCTCTCTACATGTCTCATCCAGCCTAGTTACCACGCGCACAATCGTCCCCTCCATCACATCGGTGAGATCGGTGATGCGGTTAAACGACATTCCCCTGGCCCATTCGTAGACAACTTCCACCAGCCCGAATCTTGGGCGCGAGACGAAATCATTGGCGTCGTCAGATGACAAAATCACCTGGTGCAGGATCTGGTATTGGTTGACTCTCTCCGAGATGTCGATGATGGCGTCCTTGCCGCGTTTCAGGCGCTCACTGAGCTGGGGCTCACTGTCGGTTTTCTCTTGGAATACGAACGCGGAAAGGAGTGCGACGATTTCTTCCGGCTCAAGCCTAAAAGCCTGGGTTAGCAAGCCTGGTTTGGAGGTCGTATCGCTACTTACGATGCAAAAATGTTTTCGAGGATAAGTTCGGTGAGGACAAGTTCGTCAGCGGAATGAATTTCACAAGCAACCTTGCCCTTGAGTTGGACTCGAGACTGTTCGTCGATGAATCCGAGATCTTTCAGGACTTCGGTTCTCTGTTGGTAGTCCGGTAACAAGGCCAAGTTCTGGTCGGACATGAGCAACTTTAGCGCTTGGATGTTCTCCTTGATCAACCATTCGTCGTGCTGCATGCCGTAATGCTTCAGGAAATTCGGACACTTCAGGCACTTTGCATTCTGAACAATTTGTGCCACATTGCGCCTCTCAGCCAGCAATTCTCGAACACGTAATTCATGAACTTTGCCCCATTCCTGCTCGTTCCAGGCGGTGGAGATCCACGATGAATACACATTGACAAATTCTTCTTCAGCAAATTGTTTTTGAACTAGCCCCGATCTCAGCAATCCTCGAATATCGACCTAGTTAGAGATATGTAAGTGATTACGATACCTTTCGTGATTTTGATGTACCAATGAGGGCCTCTGACCTTGACAACTGTTTGAGTGACACATTCCACATCGTCCAGTAAAACCTGGGTAACAGAACTGTTCACTCGGGAAGCTTGATCGGGTAACGGGGCAAACTTCATCCGCATACATGGGAGGTATGGAAGCAAATCTCTTGCTGATCGTTTCGCATCGACATCGGATATTTCGAGGACTTGGAAATGAGGGTTTGGGCCTCCGCGCCTAGGTCCATCCTCGAGTAGCACCCCGACCATGCGCATGCCATCCTAGAATGTTAAGTGAGAAAGATAGGGGTAGCGAAGAAAGCCTCTTACCCTTTTGTACACTATAAGTCTCCGAGCCGTCCATAGACGGCGCCCTACTGGCGACGACAACAAATTGATATAGAGCTCCTTCGTAAGTTTTTCAAACTCCATTGCTGCATCATGACAGGCTTCTAGGTCAATGTCACAAATGTCACAGGGTTCCCGTTTGATCTTATCCAGATTTGCTTGGGATAGTGCAACTTGCTTTTCATGCTGTGGTAAAAGGGCCTGGGTAGCATTCTCGGAAAAGCTGCGCTTGATCATTTCCTCAATCTTCAACGCCTCGACTCGCATGAGGTTCAAGATCATATTGTAGTGCAATCTGAATTGGCTGCGAAGTTTGGTAGCTGGTCCGGTAATCATCTGGGTCAATTCTTGCGCAGGAGGAGCTTCGGTTTTGCCGGGGGTGACAATGATGACTGTCCCAACAGTATCAAGACCTCGACGGCCTGCACGACCGGCCATCTGTGTGTATTCTCCAGGGAGCAAATTTCGAAAATCGCGTCCGTCATGCTTGCGGTAACCAGAAAAGACTACTGTCCGCGTGGGAAGATTCAAGCCCATGGCAAAGGTCTCCGTAGCAAACAAGACTTTGACCAACGTCTTCGCGAATAGTATCTCAACGATTTCCTTGACAATAGGCAAGAGACCTCCATGGTGGACAGCAATACCTCGGCACAACATCTCTCGCAAACGTCTAATTTGTGGCAGTATCCGGTCTTCCGGTTTGAGTCTGGCGATAGATTTCTCAATGGTCATGTGAATTGCACTCTTCTCGGTCGCCGTGCAGAAGTCCTGATTTGAGAGAGAATCCGCATTCTCTTCACATCGCTTCTTCGAGAAAACAAAAATACAGGCGGGAAGAAGATTCTCCTTGCGTAAATGCTGTACAAGATGAACCCAGATGTTTCGATCTTGAGCTGCCGTCGTTCTGCCACCTCCACGACCAGTACGTGCAATATTGCCTTGACCACGGTTGGCTACTTGACCTCGTCCACGTTGCGGACTGCCTCTTTGACCACTCGGTCCTCCACGCTGTTGTTGGCCCCGAGGTCCTCTCGGAGGTGCTCCTCCACGAGCCTGAGTTTGAGCCGCTTCGATAGCCTTCTGTTCCTTGACTTTGTCAAGCCCTGAGAGAATATCATTTGCAGCCTTCCAACCTTTGGCAAGGAATCTCTTCTCGGAATCGACAATCTTGTGCATTTCCTTGCCTGCCCAAAGGTAATGCTCTAATGGGACAGGTCTCTTCGGTGTGGAGATGACATAGATATCCTTCCTTTTGGTGCGGCCTATCCAAGAGGCAAATTCGTAAGTGTTGGGGACTGTCGCTGACAGAAGGATGAGTTTGACATGATCAGGTAACATGATGATCACTTCTTCCCAAACAACGCCTCGTTCAAGGTCATTGACATAATGCACTTCGTCGAAAATCACAAACTCGACATCTCGAATGAGATCTGCACCACGATAGAGCATACTTCTCAAGATTTCCGTGGTCATGATGAGACAACTAGCCTCCGGGTTGATTTGTACATCGCCCGTCAATATGCCGACATCCTGGAAAACGTTCTTGAAGTCGCGGAATTTCTGATTGGAAAGTGCTTTGATGGGGGATGTGTAGATTGCCTTCGTCATACGTTTGGCAGCCAGTGCAATGGCATACTCTGCGACGACAGTCTTTCCGGCGGAGGTGTGCGCTGCCACGAACACAGAGTCACCGGACTCCAGATGATAAACAGCCTCTTTTTGGAAGGTATCGAGTTCGAAGGGCCAGGACCGAGCCATTTCGGGGACGAGTTCGTAGAAATTTGAAATGCCTTTGTTTATGTCGACTACATGAGCCCATTCTCTGCCAGGTTTCTTGGTGGAAGAAGAAGCCAGTTCGCCGTGCGGTTCGAGCGAAGGAAATTCAACTGGTAACAGATCATCCAGGTCAGTATCTTCATCATCTTCCCCGCTGTCCAGAGCACCATTCTCCATTGGGGGTAATCTTTCTCCCTTAGGCTGATCATCTTCGACGGTAGGGTCGGCATCTTCGTCGTCTTCTTCCAATGTCTCTTGAACCTCTTCGGCATCTTCCTGAGCTCCTTTGGTTTTCTCGTCTAGAAACCTCATTCCTCTCTCGAATCCCGGTGGGACTTCCAGCAACCCATTTTTGGCACCAAAATTGATGATTCGGTCGAGTCCACTGGATTTCTTGGGTTTTCGGTTCTCTTCCTTAATCCTACTCTGGTCCTCATAAGCCTGAATTACATCGACGTCGTCTAGTCCACCAGGAGCAAAGGGGAGGAAGCCTGCAGCACCGCGGACGAAGTCTGCACGGTTTGCTGGTCTCCGGAGAAGTGAGGTAGAATTCTTCGCTGTTGCACTAGACGCAGGCACCGTGACCTGCTTGTAACCAGACACTCTGCCCTCAAGTCCTTCCCGGGTGAAACGGGTGATTGTTCGTGTCTGTGGAGGGGCCAGTTGACAGAGTGCGGTGTAGTCTGGTGATTGATAGTCCCATCTTTGCTGCAATTTGTTTAACCAGTCTGGGCTAAACGTGGTGGGAGGGAACAAGAACTCTCGTTCCAGGTCTTGTTTAATCTGTGCGGGACTTCGTTCTTGGGGCCGAAGGATCGCCATGATGACCGCGCCCAGCCTGTGAGGTAGGATGTCTCTTAGAATTGATTTAATTGAATCTCCATGGTGTTATCGCGCAAAGTTGTTGGAACATCATAAACCCCGTACATAAAGCAATATCCGACGCTAGTGTTAGCGTATCTTGCCACTTGACGCTCTTCTATTTTCCGCATCAGAATTGTAGGTTATTTATTTTATTGTTCTCTTTTGAATAAAAAATTGCTCAATTGGTCTAGTGGTATGATTCTCGCTGTATGTATCAAATCATTTCTACCGCCTTTGTGCACGACTCACACCTAAATAGTAGGGCTTACTCTAAGCAAAATGCGAGAGGTCCCAGGTTCGAACCCTGGATTGGGCCTTTTTTTTTTTTTTTTTTTTTCCCCCTAATAATGAGGGTGGGGAGGGTCATGTAAGTCCAAAACGGGCCCCCTGTAAGGCCAAATTTGGCGCCCGTGAGAGACGCCGTCCTAGGCTTGAACATGTGTTCAGCCGCAATGTCTTGGGGCACCCGCTAGGCTAGAGGCTGTCGGCCTGGCAACCCCAGGACTTCGCATCAAACTGAGTACTATATAAACTTGCCCTTCCCACCCATTTGACCTATCCAGGCCGTTCTTCTAGCTGTTCTTCCGTTGCGTTGCCACCCGCTAGACGAACTGCTCGTTGTCACTGTCGGCTCTTGAACAGGGAGGGGTTTCTTTAATCTTGACAGAAACCCACATCTGTCTGGTCTACTGTGCTGTGGTGTCATGGAAATCCATAAGCGTCCTTAGAATCGGTGTTGAGGACTGGTTCCGAGTTTTCAGTCTTCAACATCATTCTAAACCCTCGAATGGCGGTTATTGGGCAGCCCTCTAAGGTGGAGTATTGGTCTGCTGCACGCTCGCATTTCCTGTCAGTTCCGTCATCAACTTTCTGCATTTCTGTAGAACATGTTCTACTGTTTGCTCTCCTTGGTTGCAAGTGCGTTAGCTGGTGTCTGCTTGGTTGATGCTATAGTGACGATAATAGTAGGACCGCTGTTTGAGGGAGCCGCATTCTGGAGGAGGGAAGCTCGTAGCCCGCGAGAGCTGGAGGGGGGAGTTTTGTACTTCATTCAGGAGGGAGGTGGGAGTTAGATCCTCTTGCTGAAGTTCAGGATGAAGGGTGAGTGCGAAGGTGAGAGGGAGGGTGTGTGGTTTTAAAAGCGGCACGACCTGGGTGAGTCGCACGTGAACTCTGAGCTTTGGTCTTTATTCGCCAAGAGCTCAGTTTCAACTACGCAGGCGACAACCCATCTTCATCGTTCTATATTCAACCGAAAACCATCCTCTGCGAACGTGGAATCCATGGATCACTCTTGCTAGCCAAAATCTAAGTCCTCAGCAGGGACTTTTGACTGAGAAATTCAATCACGGTGTCTCACTACCAGAGATGGAAAGGGATGGACTCATATTCCCACACCACACACAACCGACGGCCCCTTTTCCTCTGAGTTGATCGCAGCTTACTGGAAGACTACGCGAAGTGACAACATGAGAGTGGGCATTGAGACTGGCCCTTCATCTTCTGGTCTATTTCTTGTTCCCCGCCTGGCTGGACAAACAATTCTTGAAGTTACTATAACCAACAACAACCGCCAGGATGACCTCCCAGTTTGTGTCAAGAGAATCTTTTATTCTCCCCAAACTAAAGTTCAAGTTCAGATCCGCCATAGAGGTCGATCGGTTTGCATTCTATGATGTCAAATTCTACCCTTACTCCAGGCCTGAAGACGATGAACCCGTCTTCGCCGTGGTCGGCCAGAAAAAGGTCTTGATTGGTCGCTTATCTGCCCAGAGCAGTGCTGTCGTCACGATGATTCACGAGCTGGTGGATGCACAGGAAGCGAGGGATCCGAATTCTCCAGGTCTGAATTCATGTTCGTGGTGCTACATCGACCAGGAGAGACCATTGTTGGCCGTGGCTGGAGGCTCCGGCCAGTTGAAAATCCTAGATGCCCTGGAGGGAGATCTGTTCAACACCTTGACCGGACATGGGCACGGTACTATCAATGATATCGCTACTCACCCTTTCATGCCGTGGATTGTTGCTACCGCGTCGATGGATAAGAGCCTTCGCATCTGGGATTTGCGACGACACGCCAATCGCTATGAATCACCGACAATCATCATCTGTGGCCAAGCGACAGGACATACTGAAGGCGTGTTGACTGTATCATGGCATCCGAGCGGGCGATACCTCGTGACTGGCGGTCACGACCAAAGAATTTGTGTCTGGACGATCCCGGATCTTTCAGAGGATTCAACTTTCTGGCGAGATATTTCTCCCAGATACAGAAAACGGAGCTCCAATGATGTCCTGACCATTTATTTTCCCCACTTCACCAGTGCATCTGTACATTCCAATTTTGTTGACTGTGCAAGATTCTTTGGTGATTTGATCATCTCCAAGGCTGCGAATGAAGACAAAATTGTTCTGTGGAGGATCACTGGATTCGACTCCGAGCAGCCTCCACCTGATTCCACTACGGCGCCTAAACTCCAAGACTTTCTCGACACTCGCAATGGCTTCATACGCAGAGCAACCTGCACGGATAGGGGCATCACGAGTGTGGAGGTGCGCCCGGAATACAAAGAAGCACCTTTGTATGACCGACTCCTTGAATTTGAGACATCCCATACTGAACAATTCTACCTTCGATTTGGCTTGCTGTCGCCATCACCTGATTTTCCCGACCTTCATCCCGTCCTGGCGTTTGCCAACGCAAAATCAGAGCTTCGCTTCTGGGATCTTGAACGACTCACAGTAGGACACGCCGGCGGGCTTGCTGAAGGGAGGACTTTACTAACAGCGAGAAGAAAAATGAGAGGTATTGCACGGCCTGTCAAGCCGTCGGAGCGATTGACTCGTATGAGCAGGACCCCCTCAAGATTGCGGGAAATGGAATCTCCCATGTCCTCGACGTCGAACCTTAGTTCAGGAGCCCGGCCTCGACAAAGTTCCACCGAGGCGACCCCGGCCACCGATGCTAGTACAGCTACTGAGACGACCAGTGCTACGGAGGCCACCAGCGCCACTTTGGTAGCCGGCGAGATATCTGATCTAGGCGAGACCTCTCTGCTTCCATTTCGAGACCGCGAAAGATATCCTATTCACGATCCGCATGCTCCTCTCAAACCCCATTCGAAGGTTTCTTTGGCGGAACTGCAATTTAAAAACATGGCCTTCTTCAATGCCAGAGCAGTTGACTGGAGTCCATGCGGAAGGTGGTGCATAGTGGCTGGGGAGTCGGCAATCAATTCCGTGACTAGGAGTGAGGGAATTGGAGCATTCGCGGTCCTCTACCGTTAGAGGGGCGGATACACGGAACATTTTGGCTGATGAAGACGAAACCTTAGTGCTGGATGATATTGTACCTTGCAGAGAATTAACGGGGCCGGGTTTTTAGCGGGAGAATGCTTCAACTTCAAAATGCAACCGCAGGTCGTATTAGGTTCTAGCAGTAGTTGGCCGACCCCTGTCAATTGATGAACAAACAACCTCCCCATCTGACAAGGAGTACCGACTCGCTTCGCTTCGCATAACAAACAGCAACACGCGACACCTTTCTTCCGTTCAACATCCGTGAGAATCTAGCTGTTATCCTCAATCATGATTCAAGTCTGTTTGCTTTGCTCTTTGCGACAAGTTTCGTGATGAACAGCCACTCCCAAACACAACCAATACAGCCCGCACAACAGCAGAAATTCTTGCGCTACAGATCGGTTCGCAAGAATGCTGTCAAAGAGCCTACGCCTGAAAGTCCCCCCCCTCTCCCCCAACCCTCACAAACTTCCTTAACGAGACTTCCCTCGAGGTATCATCGCAGGCTCCCACCTGCGACTGAAGCATCTTTGCCCCCAAAAATACCGGAGACTATTCACCAACGTGGTCAGACTACAGCTCTACGGTCCACGGATCTTGATGAGGCCCAACCGAGTGATCAGCGACTCAGAAATCGCAACAACGATGGTCGGAGAATTAATATCGAATATGGACAGCGACCACGCGCCAGAGAGACTCGAGGTCGAGACAATTCACACAAGCATACCTCGAGTCTGGAATCACCGCAGACCGACGATCTTCGAAAGTCCTCTGAGGCTGCCCGAGAAGAGGCGCGACTGATTCTAGAAGGCAAAGCAGATCGTCTAGAGGCTTTGCGCAGGCAAGAGGCCAGACGTCGGCGGGAACAACAGGAGCTGCGCGACCAACAGCGAGAACAGAAACTGGTCGAGGAAGCTCGCCTGCGTGAAGCAGAAACGAAGAAGGGTGTGACAACCAGGGTGGCAGCATCTCATAATGAGCATGGTGGCGTTAGAAAAGGCACCGAGGCTGAAGCGACAGCGCAACCACTACCACCCGACTACAAAAAGTCGAAATCACGTACGCTGGTCATTGGGGGACCCCCTCCTTCAAAGACTGTGAATCATCATCGTCGCGCCTCATCTTCCGTGGAGCAACGCCAGCCTCCACCGACGACTCACGCTAAAACCACCAGTCTTGAAAGGATGGATACGGCTCGAAAAGCCACGCCACCTTCTAGTGTGCCAAACGTGCCAAATATTGACGCTCCAATATCGGCTGTCAATGCTGGTGAAAGACATGTGGGCGTCAAGTGTAAGGAAGCATTCGTCACTCTCCCCATCACACCCTCCACCACGACCAAAGACATTTTGCACTCTGCATCGGTTAGCATGTCAGAGCCGATTGACCCTCGAACAGCTGTCCTTTTGGAATCATTCTCGCGGCTCGGACTTGAGAGACCATTACGGAGGTATGAACGAATCCGAGACGTGATGAACTCTTGGGACAATGACAACCAGAACCATCTCTTCATTATGACCGCGACTGAATGTGCTTGGCCCGGACTTCAGGAAGGTGACGTACCCACTCAACAACCCTCCGGGACCACCGTTCAAATATATCACTCCCGAAAACCCAGGAAATGGGACAAAAGGCTGTTGAAACTACGAGCGGACGGCCAAATCACCACATCAAAAAATGAAAGTGGCACCGATTCGACCAACATCTGCCACTTATCAGACTTTGACTTGTACACCCCGACACAGAAGCAAATGAAGAAACTCAAACCTCCCCAAAAACTCTGCTTTTCCTTGAAAAGTCAGGAAAAGTCCTCGATGTTCCTTGATGGAGCTAATTTCGTGCACTTCTTCTGTACCAAGGACAAAGCAGTCGCCGATAAATGGTATCAAGCCGTCCATTCCTGGCGGAGCTGGTACCTAGTCAATATGCTTGGTGAAGGTCAACCAAAACAAAACAAGACCGATCTTGCATTTAGTATGGGGCTACAATCCGGTGGTAGCAACATGCCGGGGACGGCGCAGTCGAAAGATCCATTGCCCTATGCCTGTGGCTCTTCTAAGCCTCTGCTTGACTTTGGCCCGTCGAGACCCAGCCTTGAGGGTGGAGGAGGAACTCGAAGGCCAGGAGAATTGGATTTCCTCGGTCTCAGTCGGTCATCACAAAGCGATGGTTCGAGACCTCCGCTCCTTGATCTCGTCTCGGAGAGACAAAGTTCTGAGAGTGGCGGTGCTGGTGTCGGCAAACCCCAGGGGAGTCCTCGACATGTTTCCAATCAACCACCGTCAGGTCCTCCCCCTACCGCCTTCCCGCGCGGATTCATGCTCGAGTCAACTGTTCAGGCCAACACTGCTACTCCGGATGATCCGGACGCTAGTCCCTTCACAGGTACCGGGCTTCTTGCCCGTAGTGCAAGTCGTCGATCGCAAGGAGGGTCGAGCACGGGCCGTGGCGTGCCAGGCATCGAGGGAAAGCCGTTGGTTGATTTGCAACCGGCAAGTGAGTTTACAGATGGTAGCCTCCTGAGGAAAATGGAGGCCACCTCCTCTCGGCACGGGGTTTTGGGACCGAAGATTGACCGGCAGAAGGGAAGAGAGGTGAATGTCTCAGTAGGAGAGGGGTTTGGTTGATAGGAAACGAGCTTTCTGAGGGCCGGTGCTCCGATACTTAGGGAGGCCCTCTTTATTTCAAATGCCATTGTCAAACTTGAGACTCTGCTGCTGTTGGCATGATACCAAGGGAGGGACGGATATGGAGAGGTAAGGAATGGTCCGTTCTGATCGCGGGCAATGGGAATGAATGATGATGAATGAGTGGATGATTGGCGACGAGCAGAATCCAGGAGATCATGAGGAGTAAAACAAGCCAGCGAATGAGACTTGGAATAGCTCTGTGGACCAGCCAGAGAATTAGATGACCTTTCCTCGCACATGGCCCTTTTATTATAAAATGAAGCGTTAAAAGGGGAAAAGAAATGAAAAACCAGGTCCTGCTGCGGATCAGCCTGCAGTGCTTTCATTCATAACAGCGCTCCTAAGTACAAACGATGATAGTTTACAACATATATACACCGATATTATGCTCCATCATCGTTGGATGCAGCCCATACAGCCCGTAGGCGTGTCTCCCCACAGGAACTTTAGCAGTCAGGTGGCTTTGACAGCATGGCACCGAGGCCCCATCATTTTTATACGACAGCTCCCAACCATCGATATGGCCAGGTATATTTGCAGTATGTTTCCATCTACCACGACAGCGAAGCGGCGTTCGTGCCACTCATTGCCAGCGGTGAGTCCTCTGGCATCAGATGTAAGAGATGACATAGCCACAACTTTCAAGTGCCGGAATCGATGCAAAGTGATACTGCCCTCCTGCAGTTGGATAGACACTGACAAGCTCCCCAAGGCTGATTGCAACGCCCCATGTGTAAGCTTGGGTTGATGAACCAAACATGAACCAACATTGCTGGGCCACCTTGGAGGAGCGCACCTTGAAGAGAGTCTGTGACAACTGGCCCAGTTATTGTATATATTGAAACAGCGGGCAATCATCGTCAAAGCCCCAATGCTTTGGTCCTTAGCGCCACGGTCTGATGTGAGGACAGTGGTAACGCCATTGGTGGTTGGTCCCTCTGAATTCATTGCCCTTGGACCGACTTTCTGCCCGTTGTCAATGATCAGTCGCAAGTTTGCCAGGGGACTTTTGTCATAAGGCACTTGCCACTTTTGGAGGACCTTTTCTCGATCCTAGCCCTGTGCGACTAGGTATTGAATGCATTTTGAGACTGGAAGGCTTCGTTTTCAAGATGGTAGTGGTAGACCAGTTGGTGACTCAAATGTCGCAAGAAAGCGTCGAAATTCATAGTCCGGCATTCCATCCCTTAATATAAAGTGCCCTCCTATACGATCTGGTATTCCTGCTGGTGTTCGACTTGCCATTTTTCTTCCACATTCAACTCGGCATCGTTGATTTCGAGGTGGGTGTCCTTTCCAGCTATGGCAGATGCAGGGGTTTGAGACGGTCCTGCTGTGCCTCTCCATCTTCACTCGGTACATATCTGAGCTGCTTTAGACATCAGCTGCGGTGGTGAGTCATTCTCTAGTCACATTCGCGAAGAGATTTTATTTGGGGGACATGTAACCGCCGTGGTCAGTTTATCGGTGGGTTGGTAAGGTCCGCTCTGTACCAATAGACAACAAAAATAATTCTCAGGCCCAGCGTTAACAGGCCGCGTTGGGCCGCGCTCGTGATTATTGGCTATAGTAGAGCACCAACGTTATGACATCACCTCCGCGCTACTGTAGGTCGGAGCAGGCGCGGCTGACCCGTAGGATGAATTGCAGTAGCGACCGTTGACACACAACCCACTATCTTGATATATCTTGTTGGCACCAAGTTCTCAATCGTCCCGTATACCTCCCGTTGACCATAACCCCTCAATTTCCTCTCGTCAGACCTCTCCCTTCTCATCACGAGATTGAAACCGTGTCAGTCAGCGGTTGGGCCTCACAATCTACCTACAAACAAGCCGCCCATTCAAAGCCCACCTGAAAGTCATACACAACGCTGTATAGCCTTCAACGCCTATTCTACCGAGCCAACCCGCCATGGCGGCTACATCATACTCAGCAGACCCAACTCTGTACCTCTATACCTCGCTTACGGCCGGGTCGTCTCACATCATTACAGCTACGTCGAGACTAGAAACAATACTCAAGGCAAACAAGATTCCGTTCCGAGCAATAGATTGTGCAACGGATGAAAAAGCTCGCATGCTATGGGGGAGGAGATCAAAGGGTAGGAAACTGCCCGGTCTGGTCAAATATGGAACAATCATTGGTGTATGCTGAATGAGGTACAAAGGTGGTATCTGCTCGTGCTAATCCGCTTTCCAGGACCTTGAACAGATCGAAGAGTGGAACGAATATGGCGAACTCAAAGAGCAAATTGCTTCCACGCAAGATTTTGGCAGCTTAACTACAAGCACGAATCTAGCTCCCGAGCCACCAGCTCCCAGTACATCTTCCACTCCCCAGAGATCGAGCCCTCCATCCCGTGCCTCATCAGAAACGCGCCACATTTCCATCAGTGAACCAAAAGACAAGGAGAAAGAGAAGGACCAAGAAAGCCCCGCCTATGAAAGCAAGCAGGCGCGATCACCAAAGCCCACTGAATCACCAATGAATCTCGCCATAAGACAGTTGGGTGCCGAAGCAGCCGCCGTTGCCGGCCAGAAAAGAGCCACGGCCGCCCAAGCTGCCAAAGCAGCAACAGCAGCGCCCGTAAAAGAACCCAGCGCTTCAGATAAAACGCCTGTACCAGCAGTCACTAGACTGAGTGCAGATGCCGCAGCTGAGTCGCCCGATACTGCCACCGAAGTTACTGCTACCAAGACACCTGCCCAACTTGCAGCTGAAGGAGCAAAAAGGACGTCAGTAGACAAGATTGAGGAATCAAAGAGTGGCGCAGCATCGGGTATTAATGAAGACTCAACATCGACTGAAGAACAACTTCTCGCATTACGAAGGACAAGCAGCATCGCCAAGGCGAAAACACCACTGAGTGAAACTACGCCTATAGAGGAGAGCGAGACTGTACTCGAAGATTCAACAACCGCTCCGGAGCCTGAGAAGAGTTCAGCTGTGTCGCCATCAGAAGGAAAATCTCCTCTGCAGCATCGCGGAAGTGATATTGGTGAAGCCCGCCCCGAGGACATCGGGGCCGGAAAGAAGAAGTTGGGTATTAGAGAAGAAAAGAATGAGGACGATGAGGACGAGGGAGAAGAAGAAAAGGACAGAGTTGTGACTAGCACAGATAAAGTGGAGGAAGAGGTGACTAAAGGGACGGACACACAGAAGACAGGTGCAAATGACGCGGACAAGGCTGGAGTTAGTGTGGGGGATTAGGGGGGGCATATTTGGTACGTGGATGGTCATGAACAATTGGACAAGACGATCCCACATCCCCTTGGTTCTGTTTTGCGAGCGTGGACTTGTAGCATTGCATGGAACATGTTAGTCTTGATGAGTTTTTCCACGGCGTGGGTGTAGCTTGTGCACGTGCATGATATGCGATATAAGTTCGACCCGGGGTGGGTGTGCCTTGACTCGTCCACTTACTCCGTAGTCATATAACTTCTATGATCCTTTAAAAGTACTGAAAAGATGACTTTCTGATCCGACTTGTGCCGAAACTTTGGCAGACAGGGTCGTAGAAAGTCGAGACAAGCCTACCCGACCCTCGAACCTGGAGGCCCGCGGACCTTCATCCACCTGTTCCGCCTACCTGTTTGTCCATCCATCCCTAAAATAAAGAATGAGAGTGCTCACTTGATTTTTGGCTTTCGTCAGAATATGCGGCCTTTGCCCTCTTCAAAAATTCAAGTTCGCCGATCCAAATTCCCAATTCTGGTCACTAGGATCACTGTTTCTCAGCTGTGATACTTCATTATGTTTTGTAGAACACACCTGCCGTCCAAACACATCCAGTCCCCCCTCTCTCATGAAGATGACGGATCTCCTCACAACATGGCTCTGACCGGCTCCCCTTTAACACCGTTTAGACCTTTCCACCCAGCCTCGAGAGCAACCAACTCAGCACAGCGCTCTCCGACACCCAAAACCGTGAGCATGGGGTTAATAGTGGTCATGACAGGGAAGACACCTGCGTCCGCAATCCGGAGACCCTCCAGGCCGCGTACGCGGAGCTTCTCGTCGACGACAGCAAGCGGGTCGTTTTTGACGTCGCCCATCTTCGTCGTTCCGGCTGGATGGTACACGGTGTGCGCCACGCGGCGGGCGTATTCGCTGAGTTCTTCATCGGTCTGGAGCGCCGGACCTGGTGCAACTTCGCGCTTGATCCACGACTTGAAGGGTTCTTGTTGTGCGACCTTGCGGGCGGCACGGAGGCCGAAGACGAGCGTCGCCGCGTCGTAGCCCTCGGGGTCAGTAAAATAGCGGAAGTCCAGGGCCGGTTTGACGGTCGGGTCCGCCGAGGTCAGGTAGAGGCGACCACGGGATCGGGGACGGGGGATGTTGGGGGTCATGCAGAAGGCGTCGATGGGAGTGTCGTAGCCTAGTCGAGCCGTGTTTAGGCAGAATGGGATCTGGTAGCAGTGCATCATGACGTCGGCGATATCACCGTCGGGCAAGGCGGAGGGGTTCGTCGGAATGCTTTTTTGGCCTGCGGCGTTTACCCGTTCGCGGCGTAGGAAGATACCGGCGTCCGAGTCCATAGTTGTTTGATTCGGCGGGACGGGAGTGTTGAGTTCCCAGATGATGATCGATTCGGGATGGTCGAGCAGGTTTTCGCCAACACCGGGGATATTTTTCACCACCGGGATGGAGAGGGAGGAGAGCTGTTGCGCAGGACCCAGGCCCGAGAGAAGCATCAGACGAGGTGTATCGACGGCGCCGGCGCAAAGGATCGTTTCAGTGCGTGCTTGGAGAGTTAAGCGTGTCCCCGATTGGAGTGTCACATTCACGCCGGTGACGGTGTTGTGGTGAACATTGATCTTAGACACCCACGCGTTGGTCAGGATCTTGAGATTGGGTCTGTGTTCGTCGCCTCGTAGGATAGGATGGATATAAGCCACGCTGGCGCTCGATCTTCGGCCGTCGTCTGGGTTGTAGCTGACGGAGAAAAATCCCACGCATTCCTTGAGGGACCCTGTCGTGGCGATTTGCTTGTTGAAATCATGGACGACAGGGATGTTCATCGCCGTGCTGCATGACTCGACCCAGTCTTTGCACAGCTGGTTGCGATGCCGCGCGTGCACCGGTTGGACGGTGTTGCGGAGTTTATTCAAAACCCGCATGAAAGTAGGGAAGTTCCAACCTTTGGCACCCATGGATTCCCAGATCTGGCAGTCATATTCGAATGGGCGGAAAGAGATCAGTGTATTATGACTGGAGCAACCACCGAGGACTTTGGCTCGAGAATGTCGGATATGTGAGTTTCCTTGAGGAAAGTTCAGTAAGGCTGATCCAGAAAGAGGCACGGCGCTGATGAACTCTTTGGGGAGCTCTCGGAAGACGTACCCATTGGTTGCTCGGTGGTTCCGTAATCGTAGTCAAGTTCTCCTCCCAGAAGGCTGAGCCATTGCTTGAGATCTAGGACTCGGTCATCCATGAAATCGCTGGGACCAGCCTCTATCAAAAGGATCTTTTTATTTGGCAGGTATTCAGCCAGGCGCGAGGCAATGACACAGCCCTGCCAGCATGAAAGAATCAGTGGTTTGATATCCCTGTAGGTGATTCGTTCTGCCATTCAAATCCCAATATGTCATGTTTTCACCACGCCGCTCATCGAGCATCTCGAATTGAACTCACCGCTGTGCCACCTCCCACAATAAGATAGTCATAGCCATCAACTTCTGAAATGTCAAGGTAAGTGGTCGTCATTCTGAATGTCGGAGTCAAGCCGAAGAAAAAAAGATCGATCGGCGAGCAAAGCAAATTTTTAAAAGCGACGTCGTAGAAATAGAGATTCAGTTTAAGTCACACGACAAAGATTCGTAAAATCGAGGACGAGGAGGTCCGTACCTGGTCCCGGACTGTACTTTCTCCCTCCGGCGCCATGCATAGAGCCATGGGACACGAAGCGGTCGATAGTAGCCTTGGTCATTTTGGCGTTGGAGGAGTAGTCGTGGTACAGATCTTTTGCATCCCCCGGCGAAGGTCATCCAGTCAAAGTCCAGGACGTACCCTGTGACTAAAGGTGTGGATAAGGCTTTCTCTTGCTTGCTTACCCTTACCTTATCCTATCGTGGCAAAACAGAGATTGGACCTGTCGGCTTCGAGCGGTGAGAAAATTGGCGGCCGTATGTGGAGTCGAGGAGTCAAGGAGTCAATGCGCAAGAAAGTCAAAAGGTGGCGTCAGTTGTTCGATAGAATGTTACTGGAAGAGGGATGTTTTGCCTGGCCGAGACCACTAAGGAAGTGTTAGCTGAGCTGCTAGGAGAACTTCAATCTTGTATGACAATGGGCAACTTATCAATCAGGCAAGGGTCAGGAAAGGCTCCTGCTCGCGTGCGAAGGTGGATAAAGAAGCTCTACGAGTGGTTGAATCATGGAGAGCCTTCCTGAAAAGATGCCTGCAAGGGGAAAAGAATCACGGCACTCAGGCGGGGTTGAGATAGGCCGAGAGTCAGATGGAACTGTGCAGTACCGTGGGCGTCTTCAGCTGCCCAAAGCCCACATTGACTGGTGGAAAACCCTCGATGGTATAAGCGAATCTTTCTCATTCGTTAAAGTGCTCGAGCCCCCCATTTAGTGGCGACGCAGGGGTCGTACATCCATGACGGAAGAACCGTGACCATCTTGGAAATCCCATCTGGGTTGTGAAGTCCATTGACACCAGGAGAGGCCACCGTTGTTGTCAGAACCTCGAAGTGTTAACTTGGTCTTGGAGACGGATCCGTGTGGACTTTGCGTTGAAGCTCGAGTGACTGGTTCAGTGAACACGCCACATCCATCCTTCCAACATGTCCCTCCCAGACCGTCACACATTCTATGACGGAAAGCCTCAGCCATCGGCTCGTTCCCCAGGAACGTTTCAGTCGGTCGATCCATCCACCGCCGAAGCCATCTGTACCGTTCACAGTTCCTCTGAATCATCAATAAACTCAGCCATCTCATCAGCCAAATCTGCATTTCCATCATGGTCTAGCACACCTCCGATTGAACGGTCGAGAATTCTCCTCAAAGCTGTTTCGATACTTCGATCGCGCAATGACGAGCTCGCCAAAATCGAGACCCTTGATACCGGTAAGCCTTTTTCAGAGACTTCGACGGTCGATGTCGTCACTGGCGCCGACGTTCTCGAGTATTTCGCCAATCTAGTTGCTTCAGGCGGTCTTAATGGGGAATCTTTCCGACTCCGTAACTCGGCCTGGGTGTACACTTCCAAAGAGCCTCTCGGAGTCTGCGTGGGTATTGGGGCGTGGAACTATCCCATTCAAATTGCGCTCTGGAAGTCAGCTCCATGCCTTGCGGGTGGAAATACAATGGTGTACAAGCCGTCCGAAGTGACGCCACTCCATGGCCAATATCTAGCTGAGATCTACAAAGAGGCAGGACTCCCAGATGGAGTCTTCAATGTCGTCTATGGTGCTGGCGAAGTGGGTGCCTATTTGACCAAACATCCAGACATCGCCAAGGTGAGCTTCACAGGCCAAGTGTCGACAGGTCGCAAAGTGGCAGGTTCTGCGGCTGGAGAGATGAAGTATGTGACGATGGAGCTAGGAGGCAAGAGTCCTATCATCGTCCTCCCGGATGTGGATATTGATCAAGCTGTCAATGGCGCCATGATGGCCAACTTCTTCAGTACTGGCCAAGTGTGCACGAATGGTACGAGAGTTTTTGTACAAGCGAAAATGAAAGCCGAATTCGAGAAGACCCTACTGCAGAAAATGGAGACAATCCGGGCGGGAGATTTGATGGACATGGACACCAACTTTGGTCCGCTTGTCAGTAAGATCCATTATGAGAAGGTAATGGGATACGTCAGACATGGAATCGAGGTTGACAAAGCAAAATTGCTCTATGGAGGTCTCCAAAAGCCAGCGAATCTCCCCGAGCAGCTCCAGCGTGGTTATTGGGTGAGACCTACGGTGTTTACGGATTGTACTGACGACATGAAGATCATCAAGGAAGAAATCTTCGGTCCTGTCATGTCGATTCTAACCTACTCATCAATCGACGAGGCGGTGCAGAGAGCTAATACCACCGCATTGGGTCTCGCCGCCGGAATCTTCGGCAAGGATATCAACGAATGCCACCGAGTCATCCAACAACTGCAAGCAGGAATAACCTGGATCAATACCTGGGGTGAATCTCCAGCAGAGATGGCGGTAGGTGGATGGAAGCAGAGTGGGGTGGGTGTTGAGAATGGACGAAAAGGCCTGGAGGCTTGGGTCCGAAATAAAAGTACTCTGGTCGAGATGAGTGGCGCTGTACCAACTGTTTTTTCGAAACTCTGAGCATAGGGTTTTTGAGGGGGAGGACGGAGAGGCGCGGAGGACGAGCTCATGAAGTCCGCATGATGTATTTGCTAATAGCGCTTTGAATTTTAACCTGGATATTAGCCAACATAACGCCTCGCCCGATGGTGTTCACAAAGTCTAACATTGATTTATCCATTTCCCGATGCCCGATATGTATAATCTGCATGTGGTGTCAAACTTACGCTGCAAAGGTCGAGACTCTTGAACTCATCCTATCAAATACAAAGTCGTCAATATTCTTGTCATTCATGGCAATTGCAGAATCCACCAGTCTCGAGGACATGCTGTCTGGGGTCAATTCGCCATCATCCTGGTCCAGTTGGTCTTTCTTTTCAGTGTCAATTCTCAACTCTTTCAAGGCGCCGCGCCAATTTTCCAATTTAGTATGCGATCGTTGCCGGGGTGTCGCTCTGGCGGTTTCTTCTTCGGAGGAGACGTGTTCGACGCTCTTGAAATACTGCAAATTCAAACAGTTAGATGGACAGAGCGCATCACAATTGTCCGCCGCGGACTTACCTTGACAGTCTTCACGAGCATCTCATCTGTGGCAGCATCGTCGCAGACGATCATGGCTTGTTCGTGCATTTGAAGGGCACTGGCCGTCCACATTTGGCTCACACTTCCCTCAATAGTTTTGGCCAGTGCCACCGCCTTATTCGCACCGATCACGATCACCAATACTTCTCTGGCATCCATGACGGTCTGAACGCCGACAGTCAATGCCTGTTTAGGAACCTGGCCCAGATCACCTCCAAAGAATCTTGAATTGGCACGAATTGTGTCTTCGGACAAGGTTTTGACCCTCGTCCGTGATCGCAGAGAAGAACCAGGCTCGTTGAACGCAATATGTCCGTCTGGGCCAATGCCACCCAGGAACAGATCAATCCCACCAGCTTGGACAATCTTCTTCTCGTAAGCGGCACATTCGGCGGCGAGGTCGGGGGCGTTCCCGTCGAGGATGTGGACATTGGCTGGATTGATATCGACATGGGCAAAGAAGTGCTTGTACATGAAGCTGTGATATGATTCCGGGTGGTCCTCGGGCAAGCCCACATATTCGTCCATGTTGAAGGTGACGACGTTGGCGAATGAGATCTCGCCAGCCTTGTGCGCTTGAACAAGGTATTTGTAGATCATTTCTGGACTGCTGCCAGTTGGAAGTCCGAGCACGAAGGGCCGCTCGGGAGTGGAGCCAAAGGTATTGATGCGGTTGATGATGTATCTCGCGGCGTATTTGGATGCGCCGTCCGCATTGTCGTGAATGATGACCCTCATATTGAGTGCAGCACTTGTTCAGGCTGGACAGGAGGAATGGCAGATACTCAAGGATCAATTTACAAACTGAGATACAGAGAAAGGATAGATTGGGGGGAAGTGAGCCGGTAGAAATGAGCGACAAACCTTTGACGTAGCCTGGCCTTTTCAGCAGGCAGTCATGAGAAGATGACATGAGTGGGAGGGACTTTGGGATGCGGAGAAAGGCACATGGGCCATTTGACGACTGAGCAGGTAAGTAGTAATAAAGCAGACGAGATCTTTGCAACGGTGCCAATAACTGAGGATGGTATGTTGCGTTGTCATCTGATCCAAGGAGAATAAGGCCGCAGGCTAGTCACGTGAAAAGTGGGATGTAACCCTGAAGTGCAAACAGTGCAAAACATTTTCCCGTCTCTACGGTGGTAGGCCGCCTCGCCTCGCACTGCACAAGCAGCGTCGCATTTTTCTGCTGGTTTTCCACCGTCCATCGACCAACCTCGCAGCATTACATCCTCCATCTCTGACAAAACGCAACGTGGGCGACAAATGCAACATCAGCACGTTTCCACGTTCCCATTCCCACTTTCTCACTTTCCCCTTCGCCCATTCACTGTGTCGCCTTGCGTTCTTCTGACCTCCGACGTCTTGACGCCATGCGCGGAAGCCAGCGCCGAACCTGAACCTTGACCTTGCAGCCCCCGATCCGAATGCAGCGTACTCCATACTAGCTCTCGATGCGTTGACACGCTCTCTCGGGTCAGGAGTCGGTCCTCTGCCACCGTTGCTCCATCTCCTATTCCTCTCCTGTCCGGGTGTCCAGCCTGATCACCTCGTCCCCTCCCCCTCCAATCACCGCGCATGTGGGGTCTTAGTCGTCTTATACCATCATGGCCGCCAACGGCGATCTCCTTTCTCGGTGGGACGAATCGAGGTGCGTTCTGAACATGCCCGTCATCCCAAGACTTGCTGCCGGCGTTACTTCAGAACTGACGAGACCTGTGTATATAATAGGCAGCTTGGCCAACTCTTTATGATGGGCTTTGATGGCACATCTGTTACCGATCAAGTCAAGATCTTAATTGAGAAGTATCACGTAGGCTCGATACTTCTCAAGGCTCAAAACCTCAAATGTGCTCCCCTCCCTTTTTTTTTTTTTTTTTTTCCCTCATAATTGCTTGCTTTTGTTTGCTTCTGCGTCCCCCCTCCCCCCCCGATTGACACTGACAAATGCAACAGCTGCCGAGCAAGCCACACAACTTGTCCTTGACCTTCAAACTGTAGCCCACCAGGCTGGTCATCCTGTTCCGCTTCTTATTGCTATCGACCAGGAAAATGGCGGCGTTAATAGCCTTTTCGATGAAGTCTATATCCGCCAATTTCCCAGCGCCATGGCTCTCGCCGCCACAGGCTCCAAGAAACTGGCAAAGGACATTGCTCGAGCGACTGCCCAAGAGTTGAATTCATGTGGCATCAATTGGATTTTGGGTCCCGTGCTCGACGTTCTGACCAATGCCAGAAATCAGCCTCTCGGAGTGAGATCTGTAGGTGATGATCCTCATGAAGTTTCCGCCTATGGGGTTGAATGTATCAAAGGGTACCAAGAAGGTGGAGTTGCAACCTGTGGCAAACATTTCCCGTCCTACGGCAATCTCGAATTCTTCGGTGTACCTGACGATGTGCCCACCATCACCGACTCTCTCGAGAACCTGAGCCAAAATGCTCTAGTTCCCTTTCGTACCGCGATTGCCCGAGGTATTGACTCAATGATGGTAGGTGGCGTCGCCATGGCGTCGTCTCAGGTCAATGTCATGCACGCTTGTCTCTCGGAGCAAATTGTCAGAGATCTGCTGCGGCACGAAATGCGATTTGAGGGTGTCGTTGTTTCCGAGTGCCTAGAAATGGAAGCTTTAAGCCGCAATATTGGTATCAGTGGTGGCACGGTCATGGCTTTCAAGGCGGGCTGTGACTTGATCCTGACGTGCAGAACCTTATCAGTCCAAGAAGACGCGATAAATGGCCTGAAGGCTGGCCTGGACAATGGAATGATTGAACGATTTCGAGTACAAGAGTCGGTGCAGAGGATCCTCAATATGAAGGCAAATTACACATCCTGGGAGAAGGCCTTTTCGCCGGCGGGAATCGACAATCTTGCCCGATTACAACCTCTTCATACAAGCCTCTCTACGACTGCCTACAACAAGTCCATCACCGTCGTACGAGACCAGAATCATTATTTGCCGATATCCAGAGTTCTGAAGGCCGAAGAGGAGCTTCTTTTGTTGACTCCTTTGGTCAAACCGTTACCAGCATCTGCGCTGTTCCAGCAATTGCAAAGTGAAATGACATCGTCCGCACCTTATGCGCGAAACTCTAGCCTTGATGCCAATGCGTCCATCATGAGTGGGGAGCAGGTCTTTCGAGAATTCGGAAGGTCTTTGGCGAGATATCGGAATGGGAAAATCTCTCACACTTCATACACAGCAAATGGGGTCAGGCCGCTCCATGAAAATTTGTTGAATCGAGCGCAAGGCGTGGTTGTCATTACCGCTGACGCAGGCCGAAATATGTATCAAAATGCCTTTGCGAAACATATATCCATGCTGTGCAAGTTGGCCGTTGGATCTGATGGCAGACTTAAAGAAAAGCCTTGCGTCGTGGTTGCCGTCAGTTCTCCTTTTGATTTCGCCGCTGATTCATCGATCGGCACCTACGTGTGCACATATGATTTTACTCAGACCGCCCTTCAAGCTTTGGTTCATGTGCTCTATGGTGAACTTAGCCCTGCTGGGGTCCTGCCGGGCTCATTCAGCCAAAAGCCCCAGACCAGCCAGACGCGGCAGCAGTGGCTCGTCGAGGGTTTCAGCGAGGAACGAGATTCCGCGGCATTGGACGTTTTGCTCGTTCAATGTCAGAACGAGCCTTCTGTGCTCGCAGGGACGCTCAAAAATGCGGTCACGGGTACTTTCCTCCTTCACGATCCTGAGGTGGAAGAGGCCCATTTCGTGGTCAGAAACAGCAGCACCAAAGAGTTGTTTGGATTCTGTACCACCTATTATTTTAAGACCAGTGGCGTAGGCCACATCGGGACCATCATCGTCGACCCAGCACGGCGGCGATTGTCCATTGGTCATTCTTTGCATGATCGTGCCGTCAGGGCGCTTCTGCAGAAGAAGGGGATCACCAAGTTCCAACTGGGCGTGAGATTCCCAAATGTCTACTTAGGCATCCCTAAGCTCGACCCGGTCGAATACAAAAGACTTCGTCAGTGGTTTGCCAAATTGGGCTGGAATGTATCAATCTCCACGCCCGTGGCAAAAATGATGATTCGTGACCTGACAACCTGGTCCCCTCCGGAGGGCCTGGGGCAAGCACTGACGAACCCTGAGGTCAAATATGATCTCGTTTACGGCTCAGAGTATGTGGATGTAACGATGGAGCATCTCAAGAGGTGTGCGCGAACAGATGTTCAAGGCATCTATCAAATAGCCTTGGGCAACAAAGAAGGCTGCGGTATTATTCGAGCTAAACGAGCATCAGATCAATCCATCCTGGCAAGCATCTTAATTTGTCGACCCGGGTCAAAGATTGCTCGATTTATTCCATCACTGTACAAACAAACAGGAATGGCATGTATATCTTCCCCGGTGATATCGACCCTGTTCAGCGACCAGGTCTCTCTTTTCCAAGGACTTGTATTGTTGGGAATACGTCAGTTTAAGAAACTAGGGCTACAGACGGTGCTTCTGGATTATGTAAGTTGCCAATATGCTCGATGGTGACGTTTAAAACTGACGGTGTTAGATTCGAGAAGACGTGACTATTAATGCTTTGAAGGCCTTGGGCTTCGCTATCACACATAGCTTCGACGAAATCTCGAGCGATCCGGTTCACTGGACGATGATGTCGGCACCGTGATCGGTGCATTTATTGATCGCTGTGCCGGTAAACTGGGTACCAAAAAAAGGTTAGGAACACATCGCCGCAAAACTGAGCTCTACATCAGGCAGTGCTCAAGGAGAGGGAGATCTCGACCAGGGCCCTCTTTTTGGGGGGGAATATCATGACCCTGACAGCAGGTTAAGATCGGAAATGAACCGCTTTGGTCCGTCGATCGATCTGCACTCAGCCTTGAGAACGGTCGAAAATAAAGCTATCTCTCAGACCATTTTAAGGCTGACAGTCAAAGGAGAATGTCTCGAGGACAATTCAAGGTGCAAATCGGACATGCCGACCTGTCCTAGCGCCGCCTTGGAAGGTGTATTGCACTGTCGAGAATAGGAAGTGATGAGAAGAGACGAAGGCGACTCACACTTAATCGAGCCACTAAAGGCCGTTCACTAGGCTATCTACGTATGATGGATTATCGGTCCAATGCGTTGATAGTGTAGAATATATGCACTAGGAGAGCGCAATGACTCGCGGGCTTCAAGGACCGTGGCTCGAACCTTGATGGGTTGTGCGATTCTGGCAAGTGATGAGAAGGTGATCATTGGACGAGGCTGGGGGTGGGCTGCCTAGGAACAGTATAGAGCAAATAATGTGAAGGCTAAATTTCCCCGAGGGAAACGGAAGTTCGGAGCAACTCTGTTAGGAAGATAGTGTGAGCGCCCTTGTCGCGAGATAGCCCCAGCATCGCGCACTGCCGGCGCTGAGCATTTTGACCCGGAGCCCCAAGAGGAATAATACTGAGTTAGAACAGGTCCTTCTATACTTGCTGTGGAATATCGGGCGATTATTCCCAGTCAAGCGGCCCTGGGATTCGCTGTCTCACTCCACCCACGTTCGGTGGGCTGATAGCAAAGTGTCATGGGACTTGCGGGCGCTATTAGTTGAGTGGGACAAATTTTTGACGGGTAATTGATTTGAAAGTTGCGATCTGACCGCCACAACGCATCTGGTGCCTGCACTGGGGGAGTGTCAGCTCATGGCGGCGGGCGCTGTGGAACCGGGACAATGACGGCCGGGGGCGAACGATGGCGGCGGTCGATGTATGGACAAGTCGCACAGAGTTGCTTTTTGAGGGCACTGGGGCGAGGGTAGAGGGATCAGCCCATGGTGCCATGGCGCGCCATTGATACGCCTTGATATGCTATGATGTTCTCACCGTCGTCTGGGCCTGCTCAGAACACTATTGGGAGCTTTGCCTGGGCGGGCAAGCGCAAGCGTCTCAGCGACCACTCTTATGCATGTCAGGCCTTCGGGCGCAGCGATGAACAGCGATGGGGGAGGATCAAACTAGTCACGACTCAGCTGGTTAGCGGTAGTGGTTGACCGGCCGTGACTGGTCAAAGATGAGTGGCTGCTGCGTCGGGATGGAGACAGAATACGAGTTTCGGATAGAGAGGAGCCCACCCGGAGGCAGAAGGGAGCTTCCAAGTTTTTCCAGGGCTGCTTCGGTGCATGAAATGATGCCGAAAAGAGGGGAGAGGGGGCGACAGGTCTCCATTACGGAGGTCAGGCCTTATTGGTCTGGGAGATGTGAGTAGCCACTGAGCCGAAATGCTCTTCAAGATACAGAAGAGGCATGAGATAGCATAGGGAACGATATGAGGGTGATTAAAGATAACGAGGACGGGTTCATTAATTCAGGAGTTCACACAAGGATGCCAGTCTCCGGAGGACTTGTCTTATTGCTCGTGTACCTGGTCTGGTAAGGGTGCCTGGCCCTTGGCTTGTTGTCCTTTTGGGGTCTGCTCCGAGGCACTTTTAGGCGCATTTTCGTACGGTTTGAGAAAAAGGCGCTCAGTCAGGACGGGAAATGCCAGCATTACTATGTGCAGGCTATCAGTGATAGGTTGTTTGATCCACTGCAAGAGTCACGCAGTTCCGGACGGCATGTCTTGCACCCTCCATTGCTTCTTCCCTGTCAGTTAGCGTCAGTTCACCCCGTTTCCTTCTAGAAGGCCGCCTTGTTGCTTCTACCGCCCCCAAGCACCAGTCACTTTTACCTAGGCACCCTCTAGGGACCAACTCTAACGCGACCAAGTCTCCACTAATGTTCTGACCCAGTGCAATAGCCGACCAGCCACCACCAGGGTGGGCTGCGTTGCAGGTTGTGGGCTGCCGGTTAGCCAGTGGTCTCCCACTTCTCGTTTCTCTTTCTCCCGTGGACAGACAGCCTTCAGCCAGCAAAGCAGACTCGAGGGGAACGCATCGCACCTCATCCCGACTCAAACTCACCTACTCTCCTTCCTTCTCCTATCCCCGGCACTGATCAGGCGCAGGGACTTGCTTTCAGTCTGCCGCTATATCTATATACCTGTCAATTATTCCCCCATCCCAATTCTGTCTCACCCACTTTCACCAGCCTCCATACTCGACCTCGACCGTAGTCTGGGTCGTGAATGCGCGCTCTACTATTCTTATTGACTTTTCGCCTCTCTGATTTATGTCCATCTGCCAAGCAGTAAAACACCGACTTCGAGCGCTGGCAGCTGGCAACTTGCATTGGCATCGACGGACATTAACTTTAACCTATTCCTCTACATCCTCCCACTCACAATACTTTCAAACGCCCTAACTATTAGCTTTGGGACGAATAGTGGTCATCAGTGAGCGAGAGAGATTGGGTGGACGACCCAAGTGCAAAAGTTGTCCTGCGCGCCGTTTCAGCACAGCAAAACTGCTTAAACTCGACCTTGCTGATTAACCACGCTCTGGCTCATCAATATTCCATTCTCTTCCTTCTCGGACGGTGGCGTTTCGTGAGCACACTCTTGCTCTCAAGAATGCAGAAAAGTATCCACTTCTTTACTCGATAACAATCTCCTCCAGAGCTTCTCCTCCATTACGCGATTCCTGCTCCACCTCCAACTCCGCGCCTCCGATCGTGCATGGCCTCTACCATGGACGGCTTTGACCCTCTCGCCATGCCTTACTTACATAGTCCCGTGCCGTTCAACGGCGGCAATCTGCAAAATCTGGACTACATGAGTGTACCGTCGGTGATGGACTTGCAAGATCAATACTCCAATTTTGACTCGGAGCCGTATATGAGGTATATTCGCCCCCGATCCACCAAGCACTCTTTCGTGTCTAACTTTGTCTGTACAGCGGCGATGAACTTGGGCTTGCGCCTTCGACAGCCCTCCAACATCCTGCCATGTTGAAACGCTATTCTTCTAGCTTCGAAGATCCTTTTGCCGAGAGTACGATGGCTCAATTCGATCAGGTGCCCGCTGAAGGCGTGCCCGAGAGTCCTTCCATCGATCGGGACAGTAAATACCTCAGTTTTTCCATGCCACAATACAATTTCACTCTTCTCGATGATTCATTCCGTCGATCATCTGTCAACATCAATGCTCAATTGCATGGCATGTTCTTTCTGGCCGAGTCGCAATGGCCCACTACCGCAGATACACCTCCACCGCCACCGGAACTGACCTGCTACAGACGCAATCTTTTCCAAATCACAGGCTCTGTGACTCTTCCCAGAAACTTGAGATACGTTTTTACCGATGACGGCTCGAGAATTCCCATCTATGAACTGGAATTGGCAGTATCGGCCACCGAGTCAGTGGAAGGAAATTCGGTCAAGATCATTTCCGTGCCTTGGAAGACACCAGCTAGTGGAGAACCAGCCAAACCGGAAGATAAAGTTGAACGGGAGCCTCCTACCATTCCTCTGGATAAGATGTCAGGGCAAGATCTGGATACAGATTTCACCACCTTTCCAATCCAATGGAAGAGACTACAATTTCGGATAGCCACCGCCAATAACGGTCGCCGAAAGGAATTGCAACAGCATTTCACCCTTCACCTAAAGATCATGGCGTCCTTGTCGACAGGCGGAAAGATCTCCATTGCGGAGGCTCATTCAGGAGCGGTGATTGTTCGAGGGAGAAGTCCTCGAAATTTTGCTGCCCGCAAAGACTTGCCATTAAGCAGCAGCTCGACAGCTCGCAAACATCTGTCATCCGCATCTCGAGCTGCAACCAGTCAGACTTCGGTTCCCCAAGTGACTTCAGCACCCAAAATCAAGTCCCCCCCGGAGGAGATGCCGCAGATGATGATGCAGTACGACAATGGAGATCTCAAGCCAGCAGATGCAGAGTCCAACAATTGGATGTCGCAGGTGGTTCCTGATCCATTACAAACACCCTCCTTTTCTACTCCAATGAACCCACCTCCCATGGCTTCCTTCTCCCAAGATCCGACCCCTGAACTGGGCACACCAGGGACGTTCCCCTTCACGTTTCCGCAAGAAATGCCCACCGGAAGTGGGCCATTGAGCTTGCATTTTGGAAGTGACGATGAAGGCAGTCCCTATCCTCAGCAACAAGGATCGAGACACTCATCTCGACCACCGACGTCGAATCCGTCGCCATCTCTCGTCAATAAAGGTCCCACCGGGTCCTACCCGAGCCACCCTTCGCCTGGGCAGATTCCCAATCAAGCCGGCCCGCGATCAAGACCGCACTCTCATCAGCCATCGGTGACGAGCGTCCCGAGCTCTGTGCCGACAATGTCTCAAAGGCCAGAACTGCTGCCGACCAAATCAGGATTGCCTTCCCGCGGGGACGGAGAAAATACAGATCAACTTTACGAGTACTTCCCGCTGGGTTTGGACGACTGGATGCCGCCAGTGGATGCCGTGTTCCGCCCGCATGTTGTACATCACAGTGGGCCGTTGCCTCCTGACCCACGATCACCAGGAAGACATACCAGCAAAAGGTATTTCAGTGAGGTAGTTTAAAACTTGATGTTGGGGGATTGGATTGAGTCGGATGATTGTTTATTTGGAGCCCCATCTGGAAATGATATAGGAATGATGACCCATGACGGTTTACGCATTCTACATAGGAGTTTGGACTGTGATACCCATCTCTGTGACGTGGCAAGAGTTGAAAAGTGGCCTTTTGGTTCCTGTAAGAAGCAAGTATCTCAAGAATGGATGAGTTTACGACTTCGGGAGGTTTGGGCGAGGCCGCACATGAGGAGGAATGGGGGGGAGGGCCTGGCTAAAACTCCGTACGTGAACATGGTTTTTTTGGTTGTGGATGAGATGGATGCTTGTACCCGGATGCCTAGGCCCAAGACGGAAAGCACAACGCATCAAGAACTTAAGACATTCATCATTTCAAATTGCCCCGACGTACATTAGGAAGCGGAGAACGGGTTATCGGCACAGCCCTGGTGGGAATATGCATGACCAGGATGACGCCAGTTGCGTGGAAAGTTCGGTCAGTCAGGCAGCCAAACCTAACGCCTGTTTGCTCACATGCCACCTTAGTCACTAGCGGGCAGAGGTGATAGGGGTCGGAGCAGGCCGAAGAGACCTGATGTTGATCCTCGTTTACTTCATCGCATGCATGATGACGGAAGCCACGACCTGGGTACGAGAAGAGGTGTGACAGTAGTAGGAGGTGGAGGGTTCGGTTATCCGATGGGAAAGACGAGATCAATTCAAGGTTTGACTGGTAATCAACCTAGTCTTTATTAGGAGTATGCCGTAAAATAGTGGTGCATAGTACAGTATTGTAGACGACAAGAATGGTAGAGCGGATGGATAGCACAGTACTAACGGTTCGGTATGTAGAAAGGTGGAGGACAGCAGGATGCAAGAGACCGCATCGTGGAGGAAGGAGGAGATCCTCCGGCGTGAGGGAACGGTCTTTCTCTCGGCAAAGCAGGGCCAGAAGCAGTAGAAGCAGGCTAGAAGGAGAAAGCGGAAAGTTGCTTGACCGGTAAAACCTGCGGACCGCGGGGGGTTTTGGAAAATAAACGACAAGGCGACCATTCGGAAGTCCTTCCGTTCGGGGTAGCTATGCCGAAAGTTGCACAATAGTTATGAACAACTGCGCCTGATTGGTCACCGGTTATGGAATTATATCCGCTCCCTTTTATACCCTGGACTCCCCCTTCTTCTTTTCTCTGCCTGAAACATCCGCAGCAAACCGCCTCGATATAATCCATCAATTTCCCCAGCCGTATTCGGTTGCAATCTATTGCGGAAACGGAGACACTATCCTAGGGTGGCCTGAACTGCAATCGGTATAGGTCGTACTGGTCACAGGTCATGCCTCATCTCCTGTCCATTTTCCCTGTCCATACCGCAGTTGGGCAACCCAATAACCATGCTTCATGCTCAGTCCTTTTGGGTTTTGTATCTTCGTGACCATCATCTCCAGAACCAACACCCTTCCACTCGCGCCTACCTCCCCACATGCCACTGGTCCTCTTCGGTTGCAAACTACCGCCTCACCTGACCTCGGAGACCTGGAGACGATCCTCTCGACTCTCTTTTCGAACCTCCGCCCGACACTGCCATGATTTGTCCGATCTAGCTCCCGACTATATTAGATCTCTATCGATTCACCGTCTTTAACACTGCCCTTGCCACTTTTTGTTCTGCCAGATTCATCTCTACTGTATCAACACCTTCTCTATACTACTTTGCTGTGTCCGGTCGGCTGTCTGAATACTTCAAGAATTATTCCTTCTGAACCCAAAGCTTTTCTTTGTCTGCATGATCCTCCACAGACTACAGGGATCGATCTCATATTTTTACCACCATGGCCCCTTGTCCTTCCATACCCGTCAGATCTGACGATCTCGCCGAACCCAATCATGAATCTGCTTCTCCTGTTTCTGCTTCAACAACCGATCACCAGCATGGAAATACCTATCCCGGTCCCACTCCTTGTCGTTCCGGAAATCATTGCCACGGATGTGGCTGTGGTTGTTCAGCCTGTTCCTGTCGACGAATCAAACCTGTCCAAGACGACTCCAACCGAGAGGTCTACAGTGGACAGGGCGGTCAGTTCTACCTACCTGGCCTTTCTCCGAGACATCCTTCCTCTCTCAGCACCGACGGCTCCGGTCATATGAACCATGCAAGCTTCAACAACAGTTTCGAGGTCCATGATCATCTCAATGATCGGTTGACCGATCAGAGCCTTGCCCGGCTCGATGCTATTAATAGACAAAACAGTCGAGCCCCGTTGGGCGGTTCCGTTGTGGACCCCAAAGACGAAGATGAATGTCCATGGCACTATTTCGTCAGCCCTCTCGATAGCGGTCCTGATCATATGTCTCCGCCAGAAGATTCTTCCGGAATGATTGGACCAGGGAATATGGACGGCAGTTCGATGATTCTAGAGACTGGTGGAGTCAGCCGAGACGACATCTCTATGCTTTCAAGCTATGAAGCAGCTTTCCCTCGACAGAGCCTTCCTGCCAGTCAGCTTCTCAACGAGGCCGGTGCTGCCTTTGCCAATCACAACCACAAATGCAGCCAATTTCTTCGTCTTAATTGAATTTCCCCATGATCGGGTTTGTTGGAGGAGCCAGGAAGAGAGATACAAGTTCTCACGAGTGAGAACCGATTGAATGAACCGTGACGAATTTCTTAGGTGACGCATTTTATCTGGTTTTTGTTGTTTGGCCGTGGTCGCCAGTGATTTTCTATCTCGCACACAGAGACAAACTGAATACTGTCAGTTTTCATGTCCGGTCATGATTGGGATATTTGGAGACAACGTACATCGCTTGACATGAAGCTGGTGCGCGAGTATTGTCCTGTCATAATGCAAGATACATTGTACAATACTCGACCGAGCGATCGGGCGTCAGGTGGCTTCCTGGGTTGGGAATCATTTAGTCAGCCGATCTTTCAATACATCGATTTTCCATATTGAAATATCGAGCCAGTCATGAGAAAAGCGAATAGTATGCAATGTAAGGTAATCCGTGCAAAATTATTGCATGCACATGATATTGCTCAACTCAGCATCTGTGAGCTAGCTACATACTTAATTACCCGTTTCCAATCTCATCGTCTCGATTTGATGGTGCTCTTTTTTTTCTTGTTTCCGATATCCTCCGCCGCTTGACCCGGGAGCTTCTGCCCCGCGAATCCTTGACGATTTTCTCCAATTTTGGGGTCAACACGTCAGTCCATTGAACGGTGACAACCCAATCCCAATCATTTTTCCGCCGAACAAAGTTGTTGATGCTTTGCAGTTCAGAATACTGGGCAATACTTCTGATTCCCACCTTCCTTCCTAATACCCCCTTCCCTCTCCTCACAAACATGAGTCCTCCCGCGATTATCGCGCCCTCGATTCTGAGCGCCGACTTCGCCGCCCTAGGCGAAGCTTGCTCAAAGACAATGGACCAAGGCTGTGACTGGTTGCACGTCGACATTGTATGCCTCCCTCCTCCCCGTCCCGTCCTGACCGAGATTTTGAGATGAGAACAATTTTGGTGTCGGAAGCGATACACGTCTCAGCTCTTCTTCTTGGACTGAAAGACATGGCCAATAACTTGGAATTCACAGATGGACGGCCACTTCGTACCCAACATCACATTCGGCGCCCCCGTGGTATCGAAGATCAGATCATACGTGGAAAGACCCAAGACCGCCGGCGGGAGAGGTACCTTTGATTGCCATATGATGATCTCCGAGGTAAGAGCTGGACGTTATTTCTATATCTTGACTGTGAGGACGAAAGTGAGAAGGCCGATACAGAGTATTCTCCGCTGCCTTGTGAGCTACGTGGAAGGGGAGGACGAGGAAGACGTCTATTCGCCCAATCCAAGTCCAAATCTAACCATACCTCTCTCTTCTTTACAGCCTCACCGGTGGGCCTCGACCTTCCGTGACGCCGGCTGCGACCTATACTGCTTCCATTACGAAGCCGCTGTGAGCTCCGTCGCTGCTACCGAACCCACAGACCAAACCACCACTCGCCCAACTTCACCGAAGGAGTTGATCCGCTATATTCACGACCTAGGCATGCAGGCCGGTATCGCCATCAAGCCTGAAACGAGCGTTGACGTTTTATGGGAGATCCTGGAGAATCAAGTGGTAGCGGAACGGCCTGATGTACGTACACCTATACCTTATGCACCTTTGCAAAAACACCCAGTACATTTCTTCTCCAGTGTATCAAGAAATTTGCTTGGTTCAATTTTTCTTTCTTGTTCTCGCAACTAACCCTTCTTTTTGGGAGCCAAAACAGATGGTCCTCATCATGACCGTGCATCCTGGTTTCGGAGGCCAAAAATTCATGGCCAGCGAATTACCCAAAGTCGCCGCCCTGCGCCAGAAATATCCCGATCTGAACATCGAAGTCGATGGCGGCCTGGGGGAGTCCACGATCGATCAGGCAGCAGATGCGGGCGCGAATGTTATTGTTGCGGGTAGTGCCGTGTTTGGAGCAAAGGATCCAGGTCAGGTCATTCGGGTGTTGAGGGAAGCGGTGGAGAGGAGGAAGGGTGGGAAGTTATAAAGCGGCCGACGGAAACAAGAAAGTGATGTCTTCCCCGTCCTAGGTCCTAGGAGCGTTGAGTTGAATATTCGAAAGCTGAACATTAACAACCAAAGCCCCACGTTGGCATGGTAAGGACTGATAAGGGGGAAGCGAAGATCAAATAAATGATTTACACGATGCTGGGACGGATGGATAGACGAGATGGACGGACAAGGACTATAGAGTACTTTTGTCATACATATGTCCAAATTCAAAAGGAAATATTTCTCTTTTCCCTTTTTCCTTTTCAGAGAAGAAATGGAGCGGGACAAGAGACCAACCCTGAGTAAAAAATTCAGACTCGTCGTGGAATTCCTAGTTCACTCGGCCTCATCTAACTTTTAAATCAGTAACCCGTCTTCCCCTTCACCACGCCCGCTGCACCGCCTTTCCGTCCAAACATGTCTCTCACATCTTTGATCAACAGCTCTGGCTTCTCCCACGCAAAGAAATGCCCTCCACTATCATGGCTACGTTCAAAGACGACATCGCCCTGTGTTCTTGTCCAACTACTTGGCAACACGCGCAGTTCCTTCGGTGCATGGGTAAGACCCAGCTTCACGCCCCCTCCAATATACTCACGAGTCCGATCACGCGTGATGCGCGTGGCAGGGTTATCCCATTCGTGCGTGGCTTCGTAGTAAATGCGCAAATTTGCAGCGGGCCCCGCCGCCGAGAACCAGTAGATGCTCATCCAAGTACAAACTTCGTCTTCTGTCCAAGAGTACGAGTCCGTCCAGTCGCGGAGTTTCTCGTAGATCCATGCGAGGAGAGCAACAGGGGAGTCAGCGAGCGCGTACCCCAAAGTTTGCGGCTTTGTGGCTTGCTGTGCTCGGTACCCCGAGCCTTCTTCCACGAACCATTTGGTGCGGGCGAGGCCTTCCTTTTCGCGAGCATTGTACGGTTTGATGGCGTGTTGGAACGCGAGGCTGGGGTGTCGGATCCATTTGGGCGGGTTTCCTTGATCCATATTGACGTGTGTTGCTTTGCAATGTTTGGGATATCGGAGCGAAATCGCCCGTGTGATGTAGTATCCCCAATCGCCTCCTTGGGTCACGTATTCGGTGTACCCAAGCTTGAGCATGAGCTTGTTGCACGTCTCTGCGTATTGTGCTATGGCAAAGCCCTTTTTCTTTGGCCCTTCGGAGAATCCATAGTTGGGCAGTGAGAGGGCGACAAAGTGGAATGCCGGAGCCCCCGAGCCAGACTCGGGAGAGGTCAGTTTGTCCATGATCTTGGTCGCTTCGAGGAAGCTACCTGGCCAGCCGTGAACGAAGAGTAAGGGGATGGCATTTTCAACGCTGGACTTTTGATGGAGGAAGTGGATTTTCAATGGTTCGAAGCCGTCGACTTGGATGGTGGTCATGTAGTGAGGGAGAGTGTTCAAGTTTTTCTCTGTTTCTCGCCAGTCGTATTTATCTTGCCAGTAGCTGGTCAGGCGCTTGACGTCTGCCAATGGAGTCCCATAGTCCCAGTCTGCGGCTTCGATTTCGTCGGGGAATCGAGCTAGGGAAAGGCGGGTGTTGAGGTCGGAGAGGGAGGAGTCTGGGATGGAGATGGTGTAGGGTTGAATATCTGCCATTGTGAGTTTGATTTAGAGAGCGCTTTGGGTACGGGGAGATTGAGGGGCTGGAAGTTAAGAGCTTAATATGTGCGAAAGAACGTGCTGTTGCGGTTGTAGCGTTGGTAAGATCCAGATACAATCTTCTGTGTTTTGTCAGCTTCAGTCGCAATCTCATCGACTCCCACTTCTCAGTGAGGAAATAGCATCTCGCCATTCTCGTCACTTGGATAAGTAGCTAGATTCTGTAACCAGAACGGGCGGAAACATGACGGTTGGACCGGCATCGACATTCGGTTGGATAGAGAGAAGCTCGCTTGTATTATTTCAGCGGTGCTTCTCCGCATCAATGACGCAAGAAATCTGTCCTACTAAGGGATCTGCAATCTCCTTTGTATACGCGCCAATCAATCATATTTGGTTCTAGTTGTGACGGTGTCTTTTAAAAAGAATGCCCCAAAAAATCGCGGAGCAGTGGGACACCCTGTACTTTTGGTTTCGTCGTGGTCTTTGGGCAGATGCGATGCTGGGTTTGACCAGCGTCGTCTTGACAGCAGGTGGCTGCTTTGTTGACCTGGTGGTCTTGCTGACCGTCTCTGCCGGCTTTTTCCTCATCGCTCCTGGATTAGGTGTTAAAGGTGCCTTTGCTGAGACTGGGCTCGATTTGGGTGGTGCAGCAGTATACTCTCTTCACAGTTTCTTCTGGCTTGGGACCAGCCGAAGGAGCAGGCAATACCTTCTTCGGAGGTGCCGCCATCTTGCTCGTCGTCATCATCGTCCTCGATGTGTTGACTTTGTGCGGTGCCCGGTATACTTGAGGACTCATCACATGTCTTTTTCCACCCGCCATGCTTGAGCTCAGCCCTGACTCCATCTGCCTTCGTCTAATCCACAATGGCATTTCACCATTGCAGAGACACTCGGTTATTTCGGCTCCGTATTTTGTGGACGACGTGGAGCGAGGCTAGGCTACATCACATAAAGCGTACAGATTTCATGCATCGATGAACGGAGGGAGCTGGCTTGGCAAAGGGGAACCGTTAACGTACATCCCTATGAGCAAAATAGTCCTTGGGTGCCATCAAAACACAAAACGAGGTTCGTGCTAAATTTAGCAGGACGACTTAACCACCCTCTTACCTACGCGGCCTCCGCCTAGAACAATCCAGGATGACGATCTAGATTAGGGTCGTAGCGCACGATGGGCCTCTTTTTAGGAACCAATATGCCTGTTGTGGTTTTAGCTGGCGCGGGGTAACCGCATGAGTGCACCTGCTGTATTAGACGGTATGGTACCTCCATAAATACCTTCGGGTATTCCATAGCATTTAGACACCAACAAGACTTTCCCACAACCTTTACGTGCCAATGCCCCCCATCGGCTATGCAATCCCACCGTCAACAGTGAGTCATACACGTACGTCACGAATATGACTCCTTTACGGACTGCAGGCGGTGGACATATGAGCTACGACTGGCCTACACACCCTCCAAAGCTGCGTCATGTATCGCAAAGTCTAGGTGAGCATTAGCAAGAGAGTTGCGCTTCGCAAAGAATAATATTTAAGTCACGGCAGCGCTACCCACCCTCTAAATTTCCTTTGAACCAGTCATTCTTTTTGACAGTAATTCTTTTTAATTGCTCTCATCTCCCTCATCCCATCCCAGCCAAAGCACTATGGGGGACACTCCCAGCAATTCCGTTCCCAGCAAGGACTCAAAGCTCACATTTCGCCAAGTCAACGAGGACAACTGGCGCGCGGTAGCGAAACTGAGTCTTAAAGACGGCCAGACCGGCAACCTCCTCCCCAACGTATGGTCCCTCTGCGAAGCGCACTATGACGAAGACGCATGGGTACGAGCCATCTACGCCGACGAAACGCTTGTCGGCATGCTCATGATGGCGATATGGGATCCCGGTGAGGCCTACTACATCTGGCGATTCATGATCGATGCCCGGTATCAGAATCTCGGGTATGGCCGACGGGGCGTAGAATTTGCGATTGCGCATATACGACAGCATAACCCTCGAGCAAAGCTGTTGAGGGTCATGTCAACACCGCCCGAGGGAAAGAAGAGTGAGAATCCATTGGAGAATGTGCGGCCTGAGGATTCGCCATATAGGTTTTATCAGAAACTTGGATTCAAGGAGATCGCGCCGCCGGATGAAGATGGAGAGATCATGATGGCCATAGACTTGTAGATAGCAAGTTTTCCAATGAGAACGTATGTCAAGGCCAAAATAAGTCCGAAGTCACGAACGTGATCCCCCGTCACAGGGTTCTCCGATCTATTGTCGACCAATCATAATATAGAACTAAACAGATCAACCGAGGCGAGCACGATCCAAGTCTCGCGCCCGATATACCTAGCATCGTCGCCCCCACGATAGGTGAGTCACGGGGGATTACTCACCCTGGTTTGCGCTGGCCAGGGCGAGTACAGAGCCGCACCCTCCTTTGGGGCGAGGGTGAAGAATTCTTGGTCAGAAGACCAGTCTCGGCACCCAGGGAACTATTTTGCACGTAGGGATGCAGGTTACCTTACACGACAGACATCGCCACACCATTTACAGCTGTGGGTGTGAGCATTAATAGCGGCAAATGATCTATCTCCAAACGAACCACGGTGTATCCAGCCGTTTTTGGATGGTTAATAATTAACCCGTTAGCCATGGCTTCCACGCCTCGGGGCCATTCAGGTTCATTTTCTACCGAACAGGACGCCCAAACTATCTGCCCTGTTATGATTGTTTCCACCAACGAACTCCTTGAGCCGCAGCCTTATCATGTGGATGAGACACTCCTGCATCGATAGAATATGCTACGACCGAGTCGCATTCGGGATCCATGTTATAGATCCCTTTCAAGCATCCGCCTTCCATTGCAAACACCCGAAGTTAACACTGATGTTCTTCTTGCCGCTGTACTTTCCTCTTTTTCTTCAGCCGTCGCCCAGTGACACATACATAATTGTGCCCATTGTGTTCATTGAATGATGAAGTGAAATGAATTGAAGTAAATGCTCATGACTCAACACTAAATTCTCCGTCGATATATCGCTTCTGTTGTGTTCACACGTTTTCCTCCCTTCCACAACCCCCACTCGTATTTCCCTTATGACCCAGTCAATCTGAATGTGACATAGATCGATCGCAACGGTTATTCCTGTCTCCCTGGTCAAGGCGTGAAGCAATATCAAACACCAAACAGCTAAACAGCAAACCCAAACCTGGTCAAGATGTTGCGGTTCCCTCCCCCTCCGAAGCTTGAAAAGTAAGCTGTCGCACACCTTTTCTGCCTTCTTCATCAACCTTGCTTCAGCTTATTTCAACAAACATGGGCACTAACACTGAGAACCAAACTAGGCTTATGGCTACCGAGCCCATCACAATCTTGCACCAAGAATCCGACACCGCAGAGACCCGTGTTCTCTATGAAAACATTCCCAAGCGCATTGTTACTGCTTTCTCGACAAAATGGAAGGCTGAGTTCCTTAATACCGCCAAAACCAAGTCTGCCAGCGTCCAAAAGGCACCTGCGAAAGACTCAATTACCGTCGTCAGCGACAAATTCGATATACACAGAGACATCGTCAGTTGGATGCTTTCATGCTGCGAGAGTAAAGGTGTCCGACCATTTGCAAACCCAAAATACAAGCCATATAGCTACCTGTACTTTGTCCACACCTGCGCTGCTGTCCTTGATTGTGAATACCTTGAAGAAGACGCCAACAAGCGCATGGAGCGAATCGCACAACCACAAATCCACTCAGAAGACGTTCGAGCCCTTTACCTCATGAACCCTGCCGACAATAAAATGAGGAAATTTCTGGTCAAACATGTTGCAATCCGTTTCTGGGAGAAGAGACTCAAGGCCAAGAGTGCATGCTGGACCTTGAGAGAAGAAGATCCCGGAATTCAACAATGCGATTGATGTTTTTTTGGCAGTCAAGAACACGCTTGAGGGTTTTCGGGGCGGTCGTCGTTGGGAGCAAGGTCCCAACAAGGCACAAAGTGAAGAGAAGAAGAGTCAGGAGAAATCTCCGAGTGCAAAGGTGGAGGGGAGCAAGACCATGACGTTGAAGGCGGACGTCGTCCGGCCTGGAACCAACGACCGCCCAGCCTTCGGGTTCATCGGGGTCACAAAGGAAGACTTCTGCGGTGGCCAGTAGATGCCGCCGTGGATTTCTCTGATCTCCAAAAAAAAAAAAAAAAAAAAAATTTTTTTGGAGGGTACATAGATCACTCCTAGTGGCCAAATGCCACAAATCCAAAGCAACATAGCGACGGCAAATCAGTCAACAGCGTTCTCCAGAAGTGGACATTGAGCCATTGGCTCACATAGTCCATTGTTTTCCCTTTCTTTTCCTCCTCTTCATCACAGATGCTCTGGATCTTTCGGGCGATGGTGGGTCCAAAAGCAAAATGTCCCAAACTCAGCATTACGCCAGCCACACACATTATCCATTTCAAACCGCCTCGCGGGAAATATCGAAGAGCGTATGTGCCGCCAATGATACTGGGAAGAGTGGTAGATACGATCATCACTAGGCCGGGAGGGAGAAAGTTCGACCACCATATGCGCATGATTTTGTTGGTGGCGGGAAGGTCCTCTTTTGCGGATTTGAGAAAGCAATGGAAAATCACAGGTTCCATGATTGCATAAAAGACTGTGAGAGAGGATGACACGAGAGGAATTGTAAGGGCGGGGTTGTGTCGAAGTCCTAGAGTAGATGCGGTCGACATTGCTGTGGTGAGGTTGTTAGTCAAGAGATAGGTATGTTTATGGAGAACTCGGACTGGGACAGAAGTTGCGAATATGACCTGAGATGTCGGGTTTTGGAATGACAACGAACGGAAGAGCAACAGACGTAGAGAAGAGGATAGTGGTGTGATGATGGAGGAGTTGTAAGACGGAGCCTGGGGGAGGGGAACGGGATATCACCAACCCCCAAGCAGAAGTGTCGCAGCCGGTGTCATTGGTTAAGCACCAGCCTCCTCTCCGCCCATTGGCTACTGTATATGTGGACGACAAGATATATGGATTACTGCTGGTGATGTACATTGGAGGATTTGTGACAGGGCGGGGAAGACCAGAACCGCGGAACAGGGATTCGAATGAATCACCTGCAGTAGTAGAACGTGTATCTCACCCCTGTGTACGTAAACCTCTTTATCTTTTCTTTCAAAGACCATCCACTCATTGAGCCGTCATAGTCGTGTTGATCAGATTGGCGTCCCCATTCCTTTTGCCGCTCCTTTTCCAGGGGCACTGAGGCCTACAGAGAGTGAAACCGCCTAGCACGATAGACTCGCGTGTGCTCCTTGTTTCACTGGATAAGCAGAAACTTTGGTCGATGCTAAGCCCGAGTTTAGTTGAAAGGCCGGCCTAGTTTTCCACTAGCACGATTTGTCGACCCTTCTCTAGCCTTCTTCAAGGTTTCACTCCTGGAGCTCCCCTCTCCAGGAAGTGTTCAAAACCACGCCACTGGCGGCGCAGATTCTCCAAGTCTAATCCCAATCCGGGATGCTGTTGCCGCATAATTGGCTAAAAAAGGACTGCAACAGTGTGAGGGTGTACACTCCATCCTCCTTTTCTTCACTGTGATGGGATGGAATGGATGGGAGAATGTTGAAGAACGTTTTTACTAGTTCACAGATACAACACACTGGCACGCGCTTCTCCTTTTCTTTGCATCGCGATGTCCATCATGATATAAAGTCAGAAAAAGGTCTAGAAACATCCTTGACACCTGAGTTCGCCGCCGATCAAACCGCCGGGCCCACATCTCAGACCGAGGCGGGGCCTCGAGACTCTCTTAAACCTGCCTGGGCCAGGGAGCCACCTCTGGGGCGGTCCTCCATTGCACCATTCACTCCTAGACGATTCTCTGCTCGCGTCTCCAGTTTACTTGACAACCTTATCCCTGTCCTCACCACTGTCAAAACGCCACCACATCTGGATAAACTTTAGGTCTCGTATTTCCCTTCCCAACTTCGTTCATCCAGAAACACAAAAACTCATTGAGAGAACGTGCGGGCGGCAAACTCTGTCCTCACAACTGTCAAGATCGAGCAAGCCACATTACTCACCCTGAGGAGAGGCACAGACAACCCACCGGGGCTGGCTGAGGAATGTCCTGTTGTTGGAGTCGCTCGATATCCTCACATTATAACAACCAGTTCATTCATCCGATGCGCCGAAATGCCACAGTGATCGAATGATCTTCTCGGCCGTCTGAAAATTTCATCCTTCCAGGACCCCTCTCAGCATTTCAACCATGCCCCCCGTAGAACCTTCCGAATCTTCTCGTCCCCTTGCAGATTATTTCTGGATTGCGGGCTTGGATAGTCAACAACTGGTTGATGCATTCTCCCAGCCACGATGGTCTCACGACCTCACCGACCCCAATGGTGTCGATTTTGCGATCACGGAAGAGGCCACCACCGAAAACGACCAATCCTCCATTTTGCAGTCCCCTCGCGCTTCGGTCAGTCATTCTCGACATGACTCGTATCAGCGACTCTCCCAATTCTCAAACGAGGCTAGGAATAGCATTCAGAGCCTTGATGAGGCCACCAGTCCACAAAGCAGCCGCAGTAGTGTAACAATTCGACCACCTACCACCTCAGCTACTCGGGTGTCCACTGCGATAACTGAAGCCGACTTTGAGAAAGCAATGAAGAAATTCGTCACCGACCGAGATGCCTTCTTCCTTGACCTGACTTTCAATCCTGCCGGGCCATCTAAGCCCGGCCGATCAAGATCACGTCCTAAAACCCAAAAAATTATTGTCGCCGACGAGCCTAGCCCGCCACCAAATCGTAACTTCGGAAGTATCCGCAGACATCTGTCATTCAAAGACATGTCAAGTGCCAAACGCCAACCATCCATGGCTCGACGAACCTCCACGCGCACGTCTCGCCGAATGAGCAGTTACAACTCGGTCATCCCGAACCCCGAGACTTTTCAAAGTTCACCAGATCAGCATCCACTCTCCCGGAAGTTTGAGCCGGTCTTGCTTGAGAGATACCCTCGAGCGGCCACGGTCGATAAATTCCGCAAGCGAGGACCATTCCCTGATTATGTCCCTATGTTTGCTTTTCCAAATGATATCAAAATCGTCTCTGCGGATACCAAACCGAAGTCAACCTGGCATGAATTCTCCATGACAGCGGCCGACAATTCGAGGATCACGGCGGTGTCGGTCACAGTTTGGCTTCCGGTCAACCGTGAGATTGCGATCGACCTGGAGAAAAGATGTGAGGAATGGCAAAAAGCTCACATGTCCGAAGCAGAAAGAGAAATGGCCTCGTCGTTGGCACAAAGATTGACAAGTGAAAGTGCAAAACTGTCCAGACTGCTTACGCAGCTGCCTCAAGTCTCTCAAGGGTCTCGGGCAAGAGAAGAATTGGAAGACGAAATCAGTGCCGTGGAAGAGAAAATTGCTCTGATGTCGGACATGCTGAGACCGCTGCACCATGGTTCCGTATCAGAAATCCAAGGGCTTACCAGCGGCGAAACACGATTTTGGATTCCGAGGTCTTATGGCATTTTGGGAAAAGACAGCACCATGGCCAACTTTTGGAGACAATGGTTGCGGGCCATCGTTATTCCAATGACCGACGGTGGAGTATTGCGAGTGCCTGCTAGTTCCCCTCGGGTTGGTATGTGGCAACCTCTGGAACGATATGTCGCCACTTTATGCCTCGAGGCACCTTGTCCTATGTCCTCTAAGGTCCAAGTTCAAGTCTCCATACGAGAACTTCATCTTTATGCTAAGAAGGAAGCTGCCAACGAACTACCGGGCAGTCGGACCACCGATCTATACCCTCTGTTCAAATCGCTCACCATACCCAACATCGTCCTTCTTCTTGAATATGTTCTGGCAGAATCCAGGATCATTTTGCTTTCGACTCACATTTCGATGCTGCAACTGGTCAGCAAAGCGATTTTGGAACTCGTTTGGCCGCTGGAGTGGACAGGGGTTTATATTCCTGTCCTCCCATCGCGGCTTGTCCAGGCTTTGGACGCTCCTTGCCCTTATATCTGTGGCATTGATCGCAAATACGAGAAATATGACCTTCCCGAAGACGATTATGTTTTGGTCGATTTGGATAAGAACGAACTACACAGTGTGGCGCCACCACCATTTTTACCTAAACAGCAGCGAAGAAAGTTGATGTATTTGTTGTATCAGGCAGCACCACTTCACCATGGCTTTGGCGTTTCTCCGGGCCCACCTGCATACGCCGTCGAGACATTTCCATTTGATGCCTTTTCTGCAGAAATTGACTCGGTCTTCACAGCCATCGCCAAATCTACAAATCTGGACAAACTGGCCAGCCTCAGTTCAACGTCGTTCGGCCCACAGGCGGCCTCAGATACTATCCGTCGGGCCCCGATGTTGAACGTGTTCCTCGCCTCTGGCCCAACGCGGGGGAAAAGTATTGATAGACCAAGAACAGCTTCAACTGCTAGACAATCCGTTCAGACAGGCTCTGATGGACAGTCCCCAATTACCGGGAGTTTTGCAATGCCCTCCAGCTCGACAGCCCCACGCAATGACTCCGGGTACGCTCTTCAAACATCGCTGCGTGAGAAGAGATCAGGTCATTTCGATGCGCTTTCTAAGCGAAGTTTCTCTGGCTCTTCTCATATGATTCGAAAGGCCAGCATTCCTTTTGCCAGGCACAATGCCACTCCTTCCAACACGTCGTTCTCTGATATGAAGAACGGATCAATGTATACTCCTTCTGTGTATGATCAGTCCACATTGGCTGCATCTACAATCATGCCGAGTATTCGTATCCAGCCTGTGAAGGATACCGAGGGAACACACTGGGTGGAAGGACATTGTTTACAATGGCGAGCGTCAGATGGCACTTCCACATGTGTTCTCTGTGACGACAAGGCTCAAGAAGGATACTATCGCTGTTCCGGTTGCGGCTTCGTAATTCATGACCGCTGTGCTCATCAGATCACCGTCGTCTGTTCAGCTGCTTTCTATTCCGACCAGGTCCGCGCAGCGTTTGTGAGATGCTTGGCTAGCTTGTTCTACACCTACCGAAGATTTATGCAACCAGCACCTTCGCAGAAGAAGAAACTTGGGACAATCTATGAGTTTGACAATGATGCATTTATCAAGAGCCTCCCCCCGGACCACGCCGCCTACATGGAGATGCTCCAGCAAACTCAAGCATGGAATGAGTTCATCATGGATCGTGAAGAGAAAGCTTCAACGCCAGACATCGCATTGTTCGACGCAATCATAATGGCAAAGCGTGGTCGGGCTGGGTTGCTTCGATCAACTCTACCAAACATTGCCCTCAACCGCAGAAGCTTCGTACCCCGATCGCCGTCGGGGACGATGCGTACCGATATTCTTTCCGATACGTCCCAACATCAATGGCGCATCGTTTCGACACCCGCAAGTTCTGAACGGCCAGACCTGGGCTCAGCAGCAAAAGGACGTGACTACCATACGATCATTACGCGAATCCCAGCCAAACTGGAGGAAGGATTGTTCAAGCAGGAGGAAAAAGTGCCGGATTTGCCCACAATTCCGAAGAAGTCTCGAGCAAGTATGGTGAATGGAAGGATGAATGGACTCAGCATGCACGCCCCCTGAACTTTACGCAATCCACCGATGCTGTCCTCAGAAGCCATCTATTAACACCACACCTTCAGATCGAAAATCCATCCGAGAGCAAGGGCCTCTAGGGTGCTCTACGCCGTGTCAATAGATTTCCTGTACTGAGAGAGCCTCGTTCGCCCATAGAAGTACGCCATTGAATCGCAAGCTGACCAAGGACCGCTCTCCCATCCCGCCTCATGCTGTTTTTTAGGCCCTCCAGGCCTTCTGAAACACCTTGCTCCTGCTCAACAAGAAATGCCACTTGAGCTACATCGCGAGGGTTGAGGACAGGACTCTCTGAGGCAATGCCGTTATCTTTTTCGGCATCCCAGTTAAGCGAAGTGGACTTGAACGGCGCCTTTGGTTGTAGCCTTGCCTCTTCAAGCACAATTGCGGCATCTGAGACATTTTCCAGTTGAGCCTCCAACACGTATCGGACCAACGTGGCTCTACCATATGGACCGTAACTCTTGTCGGGAATTTCAACGGCCGCCAGTTCTGTCGCTTTAGTCCGCACACTCAAACAAGGCTGGGCGAGAAATTGGTACAGTTTTCGAAAAGATCGGACGCGGCCGCTGGTAGCTTGGCCATCACCTGATGTGGTTTCTGTATATGTGACATTAACGGCCAGAATATGGTTGCCTTCTTCTTTCAGGTCGAATCGGATAATTCTCTGCAAAGCGTTACCGGGCCCAGTTTGATCTTTGTCATCGGTGTCAGCACGATGGAGATCTAAAGCCACTGACTGAGATGGAGTCTGCATTTCTGCTAGGATCCTGGTGCCTGAGACTGTTCTGAATGTCTTCCCTGGCAAAAGCTCATTATTGGCACATAATGCGCAAGAGAATGTTTCTCCCACGTGGGCGGATCCGAACGAAGGCGGTAAGCCCAGATTGCTGGATAGTATGAAATCTTGGTCCGCATTCTTGGACGGATACGCCAGCGATGCTGTGTGAGGTATCTTGGTGTCGCTTTCCCGTGGCAAAGGATGTTGCTGCGCTAGGGACGGACGTGAAAGCCTACAATTATGGATGAGAACGACGGACTGGAGGTTTCAAGTATACCCGGCAACTACCTTAGCACTAAATTGTATTAGCAACATAGCATACCTACTTGACTTGTAATAGCAAAAGAGATTGGATACCCTGTACCTACCCTTCAGCGATACAGAGTGAGGCTCTTTGGGAAAATTCCCGGTATCAGCTCTTGCTCGAGCCATAATGAGGTGGATATTAACACTCGGTTTGGATTTGTGAGACTGGTTGTGAGCTCGCAAACCCTACGTAGATCTCTATCGTGGGATCATTCGGGAGCAAGAAAAGTATGAACCATTGTTTGACCCGGTGAGGTTAATCCGTTGGATCAAGCATGTGAAGTCGAAACAAGTGGCTGAAGCCAAACGAAAATGGGGAAAGCACGAGTTGTCGTATGCTGGAGCCCCTCATGTTCGCAGTCATCACGTGTTGGCCTGCGCAGTGGGCGGCTGCTACACTGGCTGCCCGCCTAGCTCTTCGTTACCTGGGCAGCAGTCCTTCCAAACACAACGTGTCGCGACTCATCTCGCAGAGCACAAATTGGTTTTCTATTCATAACCGGCCCCCAAACGGATCCCTAACCATTGTTGAACATCTCATCTTTCTGTTATCATGCGTATGACTCGTGCTGCTTTGAGAGCTCAGGCTCAGGATGAACCTCACCTTATTCACGAAGATGCCAACGCGGAGAGCGTACAGGGCGCCGCAGACCCCAGCACGAACCAGGATCTCTCCCGCCCAGCACTAGAAGACATCACTTACAAGAATCACCCAACTGCCAATGATGTTGCCGAAGACGAACGAACTGCACCTATAGAGAAATCCAAGAGCACGAGAAAAGGAAAACAGACCAAGAAAGGGGGTACAGAAGAACTTTCTGGTAGAGAAGAGGAGGTTGAGGAACCTCAGGGGGTCAAGGAAGAAGCAAAGAACAGTGACCACAATCTATCCTCAGACGTGATTAATATTCACGATCCTGCCATTGAGCAAGAAACGAATTGGCCTCAGCCATCTGCAGATGCAGTGGACGCGACACCTGAACAAGTCCAACCCCTTGACTCGACTGATTCCACTGGTCGCGAGCCACCCAAAACTCCCAAGTTTGATCCCCTAATTCATACACCTGAGGAAGGAGGTGCAACCCCTCCAGCTGATAGCATTGAGGATTCATTTGTCGACAAAATTAAGACCAGATCTCCTAGCAAGATGCAGAATTACCCAGATGCTACTACATCACCTAACCGGGCCGCCAACCACCTCATGTCGCATACACCAAGAATTGAAGACTCTGTCGAAGCGATAGATGCATTGGAAGAGGCCATTGAGAAGATATCGGAGCGATTGCCTGTATTGGATGGACTCAAGATTGACTCCCTTGTTAAGTCTCCGAAGAATACGCCTGCACGTCCCAGTCCCCAATCGATCACCAAGGCATCAAAGGCTCTGACTAAGACGGATCACCTTCCCCCAAGGCACTCTCGGGCTTCTCCCACGAAAGCAGTTCCTTCAGCCAGAGCAGCCATTCAATCCAAGCCGACTACTGTTCGAGCACCTGTACCTAAGCCAACAACCAAAGCCTCTGTTGTCACAAAGCCACCGAAGAAACCGATCGTTGATGAAGTTAAGTCTAGAGGGTCTTCGGCTCCATCTCAACCACTGTCATTGCCAACCTCTCCAGCCAAAGCACTCCAGGACACCACCACGAAGCGTGTGGCTAGTAGAGCACTTTCCACCAGCAAACCCGGATTTGTCCCAGCGAAATCTGCAAAACCGCCAACAAAGCCAACGTTTTCCCTCCCTGGGGAGGCAATTTCAGCGAAGGTCAAGGCTCAGAGAGAGGAGCGACTGAGACGTGAAGAAGAGGCCGAGAAGGAGAGAAAGACTTTCAAAGCTAGACCTATACCTACAAGAACGTCTCGACCAAGCGTTGTGCCACGAGAGAACAAGACCAGTCAGGCGAGAATGAGCGTTTATACCGGTGGAGGAAGCAAAGAGAACGTAACACCCAAGCCTGGTCCCTCTCAACCGAGACCACGGCCGTCGTCATTTTGTGCGAAGCCAACCACAGACCCAAAGCAGCCAAACTCAAGTGTCCGACGGACAACCAGCGTCACCGAGAAGTCCACGACGGCCAAGTCACGAGTTCCATCTTTACAACTGACGGCTGGACAGAAGTCCACGGTCACCAAACAAGAGGCTGCGCAACAAAAAGCCAAGGGTAAGGAAGGAGGCTTTGGTCGAACTAAAGTCGAGACTGAGTGGTTAGAGAAAGAGAGGAAGGCAAAAGAGGAAGCTGCCAGGAAAGCCCGTACTGAGGCGGCTGAACGTGGCAGACAGGCCAGCCGAGAATGGGCAGAGAAACAGAGAAAGAAGTTGGCACTGCAAGCTGCAGCAAAATTGGCGGCCGGAAAAGCAGATTCACAAGCTAGCTCTGTGGCTGCTCCGTAACTCTGCTGGGGATTTAATTGAACTGGAGTCAAGCGTGGGATTGTTTGAGTCTTGTTACTCTCCAGCGAAGGTGTTGGAATGGAATTATTCGTTGTGAGCTTTGGAAATAGTGGAATGGGAAGTCGGATACAGATTCAGATTGACCGAACGTGTTGGCGTCTGAACCGCAAGTGGTCGTCATTCGTTTACCCCGTCATGGTATACTGCTTTCATAGCCCTAGCTAGAACCCAAACGATACTACACCTGTCCAGTACTGTGTTCTTTCTGTAGGCCCCAGCATATCCTGTTCTGTTCTGTCAAGCGCAGATACAATGTGAAGATATTCGAGCAGTCAAACTTAGTCCAGCATCTTCAGCCTCCGTCCTCGGTCTTTGATTGCACTGGTATCCTGACAAGCGGCACCGGAAGCTCCTGGACCGTGTCCGTATTCATTTTTCTCTCCGTTTCTGCGTTTCCTTGGGCATCCGCGTCGTGCTCGTCCGGCGGTTTCGGGATTTTCGCTAGTGTACATACACGGATCAGCATTTCACGCCTTTAAAAGTGTTGATCGCTACATCACCGTGAATCCTGGATGACGTCCACCATCTACCATCACGTATATTATAAAGAAATGAGATGGGAAGAGTAAAAGGCGGTCCACGTACTAGCAGCCATTGAAATCGCCCCGAGCACATTCTCCCAGTTCGCAAGAACCAGTGCCACGCTCTGTGTTCCGTTGCGCAGAGTGCTCAGCTTCTGCTCTAGCGCCGCCAGTTGGCCTGCGAGGTTCGCGCTCAAATCTCGTAGTTGTCGCAGGTTCTCGAGCTCTGTCCGTTTCGCGTTTATTCGCGTCTGCAGTGCTGATTGTGAATGCGATTGGAGTTGGGAAGATGGGCGTAGAGCCGAAGTATTGCTGGTGTTGGATGAGGAGTAGAGGCTCGTTGGTCGGGGAGCGGAGGACATGGTTTTAGGATCAGGTTCGAGTTGTTGCAGAAGTGCTCATACTCTTGTTGCAGAGATATCAAAAGCCCTAGACGATATTCTGAGATCTTTTTCTGGTTCAATATTGGCATTGGCAATATGCCCGCCGCGGCGAAGCCCAACCGCGGGACGCGTCTGGGATTGGCTGCTCCTGAGCCAAGCCCTGCGCTTTGTCTGCGTTCGGCGATTTATTTGTTGACATTGCTAAGAGGAGCACAACGCCGATTCGAGCGCTACAGGTGTCATTGAGCACCGCAACAGAATCGCCCTTCCGTCTTGAATTGTTCTTTCACACTGTCAATGCTTGAATTTGGCATGAAACTTTCGCAGAAGAATCATCGACGAAAAGAGTAATAGGAGCTGTCATGGCAAGACTCAATGACCCTCCTGTTCCTCCTACAGAGAGTATCGATGCTTGTACGTTCAGCCCACACCAACACCCGGGGAAACTTTGCCCTGTTTTCTATGGTGTTTGAATACTAACTCAGCTGGAAACGACCAGTAAAAAGGCGCTTCATCCGGCAAAACCGCGAGATCGCCCGTGTAAACTCGACACAGTCTCAACGAATCCGCAACCTCGAGACCGAAATTTCTCGCCTGGTCGCTGAAAATATTTCTCTCAGAGAGCAAGCGATCACAGCACAGGTGGAGGCAGAACGATGGCGCAATGCGAGCAATGTGGATCGAGAGATTCTGGATATAAAGGAGAGACTCGAGAAGAAGATGAAGGAGGTATCGTTGCTGATCGTGGAGATGGGGGATATACCTGAGAAAATAACGAGGAAAGGAAGGCGAAAAAGTCGATTGGACAACTCCAAAAGTCTCACGGAACAAGATTGGAGGTATCGGCAGTCTATGAGGGAAGCGTTGGCCGACGAAAGGGAAGAATCGCATGATGGAAGATTGCCTGTCATTCAAGAAGACAAGCTCTATCCTCGGCGGACGCTGGAAAGTGCAGAAGTCATGGCGATTCGGGATGAGGAAGCCATACAACAAGCATCTGAGTCGCCGGAGTTGGGACCTCCGCCAATGGCACATTTTGATGTTCCGGAATCAGTTGCTACTGAGATGCCTGAGGAAGAGAATAACGTGGACATGGCGCCGCTGCTGCCAACTTTGGAGAGGAGACGAAAACGTCGAACGAGTGCTCTCCTACAGGATATGCCCACCGAAGAAGCCTCAGAGACTTCTTTGCCGGAAAGGCGGGCTCAACAGCTCTTGAAATCTGGCGCAAAACGGAAACTAGATGTATCCGAGCTCGATGAACCAGTCATCCAGCAGTCTAGCGAAAATGACGGGTTTATCTTCCAGCGGAGACAAGATATCTGGAACAACGGAACTGCGGGCAAGAAATCGTCGAGGTTTACAAGGCCGCCGGGCCGAGAGAACGAGAAACCTGTAGGGACAGAAAGTCAGTCTCCGGAGAAGACAGCAGCTGGCGTGAGGAAGATCCTTGCCCCCAAGAGCACGAATTCGCCAGCAAAAAGAAGAGTTCATATTTCGGAGAAGCTGTCCGCCCTTGAAAGGGATGCGGAAAACCAGCAACAACCAGACGCTACCAGACCAGCTCGAGGATCTAATCTGCCCTCTCAGCTCGAGACACATGAAGCTGCCCCGGAGCCGAGCGACCAGCAGGAAACAAACGATATCCCTCCCAAAACTCCAGCCGCGTCAGGAGAAGATGTTCTGTCGCCTATCTCAAGCGAACCCTCTTCCCGAACGGCTCCTCAGCCGAAAGAGGCCGCGATCCTTAACTCGGTTGAGGATGTCTTGAATGGCAGTATTGGCCGGGGTTCCCGCCGTGCTCGAGCAGCCGTTAGTTATGCGGAACCGAATTTGAGGGACAAGATGAGAAGACCAGGCAAAGAACTGGTTGGAGCGGTAGAGGGAATAGAGAAAAATAAAGACAATCCTGCAGCGGCCACAACCACCAGAGTGCCGAAAACGGAACGTGCCAAGTCAGACGGGCCAAAAGAAGTTGAAGAACAAAGTGGACCAACCAAAGTCAAACACGAGAAGGGCGTGAGTGGTGGAGACAGGTGGAAGGAATTACCTTATTCCATGTCAAGCAAGAAAGATGAGCCAGCAAGTCCCTTGCGGGATAAGGAGAGGAAAGACAAAGATCGTGACAGAGACCAAACGAAGATCGAGTGGCCCCGAGACCCAAAGAACCCCAGAGAGCAAACCTACAGCGATGATCTCGAAAAGGCAGTCGACCGGCTGAAGATTTTTGACCCGCCTAGTTCTTCACCGATTGCAGAACCGAAAGCTCCAATCATGGCCAAAGATGGGACGAAGGCGGCCACAACAGCAACAGGATCAAAACGGAAAACCTCTGCGGGTGCTCTTGGAAGGAGGCATTCTGCTCAACATTCATCTTCATCGATATATGCTGGTTCTGACTCTGGAGATTCCTCCATGGTTGGCACTGCTCCGACTACGTCCAGTTCAAGCTCTCATTCAAACACGCCTCTTCCCACACCCAGCTCAGCGGCGAGTTTGCGGACCGATCCTGCTCACTTTGCCTCTGGCAAGGAATTGAAGCGGTCAAGCAGCGTCAGTTCCAACTTAAAAAGAAAAACCAATGATGTGAATGCGCCTGAGGGGACCGGAACCAGTACGGTCACAAGTGCACAGGCGGACTCAAGAGCTGAGAAGATTGCAAATCGGCGACGGAGTATGATGGTATGAGAAGTCGGAACCCTTTGATAGCATCTGAGAATGCTGAGTATGGATGCGCTGCCTCAATGACTTTCCTTGTTGGCGGCTTCTTTCAATCAGTGGTAAATGGATAAGTTTACCATGCTATCCCGTCACCGAATGTCGGTTGTTTCAAGCCTTCACGTTGCCGGGAGTGTTGCTGAAGGTTTCCCGCCAACATGGGGAGAGAAAATTGACGACGTCTTTCTTTCTTCCCTCTCCCCCCAAATCAAACGATGCGCAGTAGTATCCGAAGCGGGAGCCACTCCTCCGACTTGTTGGATGGCCCCTGATTGCTCTGTTTAGTCCCCTAGCTTCAGGTCCCATTCCCAAGCCCATGCCCATTCATGTCCTCGAAAGAAACACTCTCAGACATACCCATGATCACCTCATCCAGTCGCCTCACGTATTCCTTCATCTCCCGTCTCTTTTCCCTCCTCCTCTCCTCCATCTCCCGCACTTTTTCTACCAGTTCTCTGATCTCTTCTGCCTGCTGCTCTTTCCCTTTCCCAATCCCTGGTAGTCGCGATATCAGCCGCTCGATCTGCTGGCCTTTTTGTACAAGATCTTCCGCCAATTCACGCTGCGCGTTTGCAAACACTTGTGGCGCTACGGGCCGCAAAGGATATGCAGAGCGTTCTGTGTCTTCTAACCCCGGAACGATGGCCGAGCCGTGTGTCTGCGCATTCTCTGCTCCAGGGGTCTGAGTTGCTAGCGTGGCCGAAGGAGGGTTGGTGAAAGGGTCACTAGGATCTGGAGCGGGGGCAATCAATGGATGCCGCTGCGAGAGGTAGCTTATGGTTGAGAAAAATTGGGTCAGTAGTTGATCATAGCAGGTTTGTAGTTGCGTGAGGATGTCGTTGGACATGTTGTGATCTTCACGCAATAAATTGGATTTAACAAAAGGTTTGAACGGGCAGAATTGCAATGTTCGCCACAAAGGCATTGAACTCCGTACAAGTGGAGATCTACGAACGATGGAGCATATCTCCGCATGGCCGCCAGGCAGAATGGAAATTAGGTCAGCCTTGCAACCAAAGCGTCATTTACTTTCCATTCATTTCTGGCTCTTGCCCCTTGTGGGTTGGACATTCATATTTCTATGTTTTGGTGACAGGGCGTGTGTGCATCCAGATCATTACCGTATCGACACCGCCTGGCCATGTGCTAGACTTCATTTCGCGCTCAACCTCGTTAACGTGATTTCTGATTTCTCCTCCTTCGCCGCTAACCTTACTGTCCAACCTCATGCCGCACCCCTCCCAATAACTCACGACGGCGTCTTGAACGATGTACCAATCATTTACAGGAAGTTCGCGCAAGACACGACAGGTCAATCTCTCTGGCCGAAATACTTCAAACCCATGGGCTGCGCTGTCAAGACCGGGACTGGGCAATCCCTCAGGTTCCCCCAACCCAGTCGCTCAAGCTCAGGCAGATCGGGTGAAAAGACAAAATGAAAGAGAAAGACTAAATGCTACGAAACGGATACAGAAATTATGGCGGGGTCATTCAAGTCGAAGAAAGCAGAAATCACACTGGAGACATATCTGGGATGAGAATGAGCAGAAGAGATTAGGATCATCAGCGCAACTTGATTATGGGACCTTCCTCGATACAGATGGCGAGGTCCCTGATTATGAAGACTCGACGGAATTACTCAAGCAGATACGACTGCTAATTCAGTTCCAAGAGTTCAGGCAACACAAGGTGAGAGATAAGACAGATACCCTCAGACTGGTCTATCTCGGAGAGGCACTTCAACACACTATTTCAGGACTATCACAACTCGATCTCGATGACGTCTGGAGAAGAAGCTTTTCGACACTTGGCTTAATAGCCGCACGGCATCTGAGGAGTGCAGTCAACTGTGACTCAACACTGGCGATGAATGGGTATGGACCTCGATTGTTAAAGATGATCGCTTTGCTCTGCAGAATAGTGCCAGATGAGATGGCTAGATGTTCTTCATCATACTTCGACGTCATAGTGTTAGTGATGCAAACACAAAAGGACGAACCTTGGCAGCAGTGCACGAAGCAAGCGATAATTGCTCTACTGACGTCGTCTCAGACCCAAAGCTTACCAGCGTACGCCTCCTTCGCAGTCAAGGTCTTAGGTCAAGACTCCTTCTCGAGAAATTTAGAAACTTTGAAGGAGATTGCGACAGCTTTAGATTTGGACGAACTCTCGACGGCGATCACGAAGGAAATCGAGGATGTGGACGGCGACCAAAAGCAAGCCTTAAAGACGACCCAACTCATGTGGCAGATGGCTCATCTCATTTATATGCATGATTCTCTGCAGAAGGGCTATGCTGGACAGAACTCATACATCGAAGCGATATCCGCACTTTTGGGACAGTGCGCAAATGAGATCGCAGAAAGGTTCGATCAAGTCGATCAACCAATGTTCGGCGACGGCAACAACGCTATCGAGCCCTTACCAGCATTTGCACGGGAGATGGTCTCGAGAATACCCCAGCAAGACAATGTTCGAGAAGTGTTGCAGGAAATGGATAGACCCATGGCTTCACTCGCAAATTACGAAAGATCGGAATTCAATTCTGCGAAGCGGCTGGCAAATTTTGCAGTTGCCTTGTTGAGAGCATTTCCGTCCAAAGCGCAGAACGTCCGAATGTTTCTGTATCAAGGCTCGGTCCGATCAATGGAAGACACAGACGTGTCAACGATCCAGTACTTCTGGAGCACAGCACGGACGACGAATGTTTTCAAGAAAGCTATTCAGAATCATCGGAATGTGCTGTCTCTATTAAGAGAAGCGTCTCCAGAAACAAACCAGATCGGTCAGGCTCCCATCTCCAAGGCTGAGATTGCGCTTTGGCGAGATGAATGGCGGATCATTCTGCTCTTCTTAGAGCTTTACACCTTTGTCTTGAAGTTCATGGATGATGATGACTTCTTCGCTCTGGACAGGTCACATGCTTTCGGCTCGGGCCCTGTTGCTACGAGCTTGATATCACGCAAGGGAGCACTCCCTCTGGAGGATGTGGCGCTGATGACCACCTTCCTCAAGAACCTAGCGTTCACCTTGTACTGGCATGCAGCGGATCTGGTCGAGAGCAACGAAGCTGAGGAAGAGACTGATATATTGGCTCTGTTTGGAAATCCTACTCATTCAACCACCAAATCAACAGAAAAGAAACAGCAGACATTGACTGGGAATGGTGTTTCTCAAAGCTATTTGAAAGGCCTGGTCACAGGTCTGCTAAGAATGCTGCACGAAAGAGACTCGAGGCGTTCTTTCGTCCCTGCCAATCATTGGCTGATGACGGACCAAGTCAATATGACTGGCTTCATCCCCGCTGTGGTGGCCGAGGAGGAGAAGAGACATGAGCTTGCGGACGAGGAGGACAGAGACGAAGAGGAAGAAGATTTCGATAAAACCACCGAGATGGCTGTGCCGATTGGCTCGGGAGCGTCAGAAGCTCTGCTGAGCAGTATGTTTGGTATTCGCCCATCACATACACCCCGATCAAGAGCTTCACGACAAGCAGAGCGAATAGAACGCCAACGACTGCAGGCCAGAAAGAAAAGACAGCTCGAGTCCCTGGCACCTCGCCTCGAAATCCTCCGAAATTTACCATTCTTCATACCTTTTGAAACTAGAGTCCAAATCTTCCGCGAGTTTGTCTACCGTGACCAAATCAGAAGACGTGACGGAGCCGTCGACCCTGATACTTGGCGAATGTTCATCGCTACCAACACACCAGGACACGGTCCTGACGGCCGACCCAGAGCACTTGATATTATAAGCCGGCATCATGCTGAAATTCATCGAGAAAGCGTGTTTGAAGATGCATACGAAGCTTTCTACCCTCTTGGAGAAGGACTCAAAGAGCCGATTCAAATCACTTTCATCGATAAATTCGGGGCTCCAGAAGCTGGCATCGACGGCGGTGGTGTTACCAAAGAATTTTTGATGAGTGTGACCAGTGAAGCCTTTGATCCTAACGCCGGTATGAACATGTTCAAGGAGAATGCTCAGCGATATCTCTACCCCAATCCTCTGATCTATCAAGAGACAGCAGAATACTTCAAACGTGCAGGCAGAAAGCCACACACTGAGAATTTCGATTCCCCTATGGCTGAATTTCTTCGACGTTTCCAATTTCTTGGCCGCGTCGTTGGAAAGTGTTTGTACGAAGGGATTCTGATTGATGTCAACTTTGCTGGGTTCTTTCTGCTGAAATGGGCATTGACTGGTGGTACCACTGTTGGGTCGAATGAGTCTGCATATCGTGCGACCATCAACGACGTCAGAGAATACGATGAGGAACTATACCACGGTCTCTTGAAGCTCAAGAACTACCCTGGCGATGTTGAGGCAGACTTCTCACTCGATTTCACCGTCACAGACACGCTTACTGTGGGGAATGAGAACGGAAAAGAGGTCACTCACACCGTCACCACAGAACTAATGCCAAACGGCTCCAATATCCCAGTCACAAACACCAATCGACTATTGTACATTGATCGCGTTGTGAGATACAAACTGCAACAGCAGCCCAAAGCTGTCACCGACGCTTTCCTTAAGGGCCTGGGACAGATTATCCAGCCCATGTGGCTTGCCATGTTCAATCAGAAAGAGCTACAGAAACTCGTTGGTGGGGATAATTCTGAGTTGGATATTGCTGATCTGCGCCGAAACACACAATACGGTGGATTGTACACGATTGGTGATGACGGCCTTGAACATCCAACAATCCAATTGTTTTGGAAAGCTCTTCAAGACATGGATGACGAAGATAGGAGAAAGGTTCTCAAATTTGTCACCAGTACTCCCAGAGCACCTCTGCTTGGCTTCAGCCATTTGAACCCGAAATTCAGTATTCGTGATTCAAGTGAAGATCAAGAGCGTCTACCAAGCACCAGCACATGTGTGAATCTCCTCAAGTTGCCGAGATATGGAGACATCAAGACATTGAAGGAGAAACTCTTGTATGCGGTCAATTCAGGAGCAGGATTCGACTTGTCATGAAAGTGGCCGAAGGAAAATGTCACGAGGGGATTGAGATTGACCAAGCTTACTCGATACCAGCGTTGGAAGATTAACCTGCGGGATGGGGCGTCTCACAATGAACAGAGAAGTCAGTGCTGTCATACAGCGTAGACAGAGCTAAACCGTTACATCAACAGCCTTGGCCCTTGAAAGGGGAAAAAGAATGCTTATCAAGCTCCCTAAATCCTTCTACACGAAACCAATTGCATTTATATCCCTACTTCTAAAAGAAGGTGCACACTCTAGCTATTGAAGAGATCCTTCGCGTTATCTGGCCGCAGCACCCGCTTCCAAGACAGGAACGGAGCGACTTCGATGTCCTGTGTAGGGAACCCTCTAGTGCTAACTTCGTGTACAAGTTGATCCTTCACTTCGTCTTAGGTGTTGCAAAAGTAACGTAATTTATATTCCCAATCGAATGGGACCAGTTGCATGTTTCCTCTCCACTTTGGTGGCACAGATCACTCGAATCCATCATAGTCGAGCCTCTCATGATAATTCTCGTGGCCGTATGCTTCATGTTAGTTGCGTTCCTCCGCAATGATCGGACCAGAGGGCAGGAGGCACCCAAAGACTACAAGCGACGTGGAGAACGCCTTTCCCTCTGGTCAAAGTTCATCAGATGCATTGATAGTCTTTTCTTCCACTTTTGTTTTTGGTGGGTGTGTTTTTAGGGGGCCACAAGGCTCGATGACTTACTCTATCATGACTGCCCTGATGTCTGTGAGAGCGCTACCATTGTAACTGCCTCAATTTATTGGATTCCAATGCATTCCGCTGACGTTTATTTACAGGCGGAGGACACGCTTTTCCCGCTGCACCTCAACACTTCCATCTTCTCTGGATCTGATCAAGCCTGCTCGTCAAAAAGGCACAGAGCTTCGCGCCATGGTCCTCGAATATGTTGATATAACTCTGATTTCTGTGACGGCACAGGCTGATCTCGAAAACAGATCTTACTCCCCATGCGTCGTATCCAACACAATTTGAACAAGGAGTTGCCGTTTGGAATTATTTGTTGAATTCTGTACTAAAACCCTCACAGGTAGAATTTACTATCATGAACTCGTTGACTCTGACCTTATAGGTTGATGAGCTATTTCTGGACATCTAGATCCTTATCGGTGATAATTCCGCTCGCAGGAATCTCGCAGTTGCTCCTCTCGGGCACCTGTCACATCCAAATCCCGCCATTTCAAGCGTCTCTCTGTCCAGAGAACTGGATTGTGCGCTTCTTGTGCCCCCCTGAGTCACCTTCGGCCAAGATGCACCAGCTTTCAAAAAGAATTACGGGAAAGACGCCCTCGATCCGGCAACGTTGAAGGTGTGGTCCAACAATTTCATGGCAACCAGTCCCAAGGACAATTGTATTCAACCCAAAGACGCACTGGCCAGCTGGTGGAAGGGCATCAAGGTCAGCTACTAGGCTGTCATTACCGGGGCAAATGCTTTTCTGGTGGATGGATATTCGGACCATCGTTGAGAAAGACGAGCGCAAGTAATTGGCTGGGTCGATTCGTCGCTTCGCCCCTTTTCTTGTATCTGATCACATGCTGAGATCAATATTCCAATTCCCGGTCAATAATCCCAACATGGAATATCTTATCTTGAGGCGCCTGGAGAGACTCACGACGCTATACCTATGGATCGGCATTTGGAATCTATGATGAACTCGCTACTGGGCAACTCATCAATAAATGGGTATTGGCGAGGCTGAATGAAGACAGACCCTGAAAGAACATGAAAGCCAGGGTTCGGGACTCCATCCTTGTGGTTACGAACTACACTGAGGCAATTGATATTATATGGCCTTCGTGGATTCGAGGCTTTTATTGGTGAGCCTCGCCGTATGAAATCCTTCAACATCTAGTTTAGGTGAGCGGCCTGCAGCTGGTCGGCCAAGAAATGCCTCGGGCCTCTATTCGGTGGTGGCTAAATGTTTAAAAGGCGCCTGATGGGGCGGCTCAGATGTGGGCGGAAAAATCGAACTACAGCGGTTCCAAGTTATTCGGGGCGAATGATTTGGTCCAGCAGCTACACGCCCACGTCAAACTATCAAAAGTAAAAGTCCGCTTTACTTGTTCCATTGATCAGCCCATCAATCACATTCATCAACAAAATGCTGTCGCCACCGATTGCTTGGATTTCTTCTCCGAACCACCGAATGTGCTAGTTCGATGGCCATTCCAGCAGCGACACCAACACCAGTCCCTTGATTCGGCTCAAAATGCCTGACTCAGACTCCACTAATCCTTGAACGAGAAACACGTCCCTTATTCACGAGACGACCCTCTATCCGCCTACTAGTAGCTGACCGCCATAAGGCAGCACAATTCCCGCCCCAGCGTCCTGACTGAAAAGAGTTTCGTTTCCTCCATGTCGAATGCGCGGGACGCAGCCTCGCAGCCCTATCGGCGTCCAGTCCCATAGTACTCGTCCCTTTGTGTCAGATTCTCCCACTCGAGCCGGTCCCTCTATCGAACTCGCCACCTTTGGCCACAGCCAAAAGGATTCTGAGGCTGGGAAAGATAAAGAGGCAAGGTGGCTGAACAAGCGACTTCACAAACTTCAAGACCTCGCAGAAAGAGAAGAGATGAAGTTTTCACACAGCATACAATTTAATGCCGTTCCGGACTGGAGCAGCAACTACATCTCCTACAGCAATCTGAAGAAACTTATCTACACCCTTGAAAAACAAATCAACAAGCCACCCGGTGAAGAGCACGATGAGGAAAGCACAGCTCTCATTGGAGGATCGCTGGATCCAGACACCACATTCAAACGCATGCTCGACTCCGAATTGGACAAAGTATGCTCCTTTTACAGATTGAAAGAACTCGAGATCTTTGGCGAACTTGACCAGCTCTTGAAAGATGCGGAGCATTACAAAGCCGAAACTCATGACGTGGACATGGATGATGTGGTTGAGAGTGAGAATCGACGCAAATTCATAAGATCTCAAAGTATATTCAATGTGCCTTTTCGGCGGAAGAGGAGGTCCTCGACTATGAGCGTGAGCGTTGAAGAGCCGGAGTTAGAGGATGACAGCGATAGTGACGCGGAAGACAATGTAGCCATGCTCAAGAAGAGGCCGTCGACGAGGAAGAGAAGCAAAAGCACCTGGGACGGATCTGAACATTCGGCCATGACAGAATCACGGGAGGATTTTCGAGCTCCAGACTCGCCAACGCTTCTTAGGGGGAGACCTAGTCTGGCTATGGAGTTGGAAGCTTCTGAGCCTGGTCAAATGTCGGCGCTGTATGATTCCGCCATCAATCTGAAGAAGAGGACGATCAGTCTGTATGTGTCGCTGTGCGAGCTGAAGTCTTTCGTCCAACTTAATCAGACCGGCTTCAAAAAGGCAGCCAAGAAGTACGACAAGGTGTGTAATCGAGATATCAGGAAAGACTACATGGAGAAGGTGGTCAACCCGTCATACCCTTTTCTGGAGAGCACGGTGGCGCACCTTGAAGAAAACATTTCCAAAGTTGAAAAAGTCTACGCCGACGTCGTCACCAAGGGAGATCATAATATGGCAAGAAGGGAACTCCGACTTCATCTTCGAGAACACGTTGTCTGGGAGAGGAATACCGTTTGGCGAGAGATGATTGGAATCGAGCGTAAGGCGCAGGCAGCCAACTTGGGCATTCGACAGACCCTTCTGGGAGGAGCGCAGGATCCTTCAAAGGCACGATTGCTAGGCGATCGAGACACACCCGAAACGAAGGAAATCGTAACCCCTATTGGTCGATACAGGTGTCCGAAGTGGTTGTTCAGCTCGTCATTCCTTGCTCTCGTCGGCATCCTGGCTATCTTCTTGGCCCTGCTTGTCGTTCCAATCATGAAGAAAGCAGAACAGCAGAATTGTCTGGCCATGTTGGTTTTCGTCTCATTGCTCTGGGCCACTGAAGTGATTCCTCTCTTCGTCACCTCCTTGCTGGTTCCATTCTTGGTGGTCGTTCTTCGAATCATGCGGTCGGGCGACAAACCACATGAGCGACTGGATTCGAAAGCAGCTACCAGGGTCGTGTTTGCTGCCATGTGGACACCCGTCATCATGTTACTGCTAGGTGGCTTTACCATTGCCGCCGCCCTGTCCAAATATCATATTGCCAAGATGATGGCGACCTTCATCCTCAGCAAGGCCGGCACAAAGACTCGTACAGTCCTCATTACAAACATGTTTGTGAGCATGTTCTTGAGCATGTGGATTTCAAATGTCGCAGCTCCTGTGTTGTGCTTCAGCATCATCCAACCAATGTTGCGCAATTTGCCCTCAGACAGCAGTATGTCTAAAGCTCTGATCTTGGGTATTGCCCTGGCATCCAACATTGGAGGAGCTGCCTCACCAATCGCTTCACCACAGAATATTATTGCGTTGCAGAACATGAAGCCCAACCCCAGCTGGGGTGTGTGGTTCTTCGTCGCCTTGCCCGTTTGCATTTTCAGCATCATTCTCATTTGGCTCCTTCTTCTCATCTCGTTCAAACCTGGAAAAGGTGCAACAATCGTTCCTATCAGACCGATGAAAGACCGCCTCAACGGCGTACAATACTTCATCATCATCGTCACCTTGATCACCATCATCCTTTGGTGCACTTCGCATCAACTGGAAGGTATTTTCGGTGATATGGGTGTTATCGCGATTATTCCGATGGTCCTCTTCTTCGGCACCGGCATCCTGACGAAAGAAGATTTCAACAACTTCCTCTGGACAATCATCATCCTTGCCGCGGGAGGTTTGAGTCTCGGCCACGCAGTCTCCTCATCGGGTCTCCTACACACCATCGCTAAAGGCATCACGGATCGTGTAGCAGACCTCTCGATCTACGGTGTGCTCATCGTCTTCGCGGCACTTATTCTCGTCATCGCTACCTTCATTTCTCATACTGTCGCCGCGCTCATCATCCTCCCGCTTGTCCAACAGGTCGGCGCCAATATGAATGAACCGCACCCCAATCTCTTGGTCATGGGTAGTGCCCTAATGTGTTCAGCTGCCATGGGTTTGCCGACGAGTGGATTTCCCAATATGAGTAAGTTCGAGTCCATTTCTCACTGCCTTTTGTCCTTGTGTCTGTACATCTACCCTGACTCCTGTCCGGATGCCACTGAGTGTTCTCCGCTTCGAACTCGATCCGTCCAAATTCTGCGTTGTGTATATACTAATTCGATCTCGTGACCAGCCGCAATTATGATGGAAGTCCCCGAGACAGGCGTCCGGTACTTGCAAGTCAAACATTTCCTGACCCGCGGCATCCCGGCGTCCGTCATCACTTTTGGCGTCGTCGTCACCGTCGGATATGGCTTGATGATGGTTGCGGGCCTTTAACGTCTTGGATACGCTTCATGTCTTTTTTTTTTGGTTTAGTTCTTGTCTTGCGTAGAAAGAAAGTGAGTGAGCAGTCACGGCTAAGGCCAGAAATGAATATCTGGATGGGTTGTTCAATGGGAATTACGTCGGTGCATACGGTCTTGGATCTGGAAAGATGATTCTCCGTCCACATCGGGCAGGGGATCTTCATGGCTGTTCTCTGAGGCGGAATTATGGCTTTGATTGGCGTGACGCTTGTGGCATGCCCTGATCCAGAGTGGGGTTTGGGGCTGGGTATATGTCCTGTTCGGTACAAACCAATACTTCTGGGAAGAGACGAGATAGCTACGTATATGGGACTGGCACGAGGATCCTACGATTAAATACCGTAGCACATCTGTATCATTCCGCAACCTATTCTCCTCACGGTGGTACCGTCCGCTATTACACAGAAGCTAAGATTTACGACACAGTTATGGTATAGTCTTCCATGTTCTGCATACTCGATTACCCATTCCTCGATATAATACACGTCGATGTCCATGAATATAAACATTTCTTAATAGGGGGTATCTGTATACCGATACAAAACGAGCTGTTAAATCTGACACAACATCACTCGTTTCGAATGCCATTGCCCGCGAGCTTGTTCCTAGCGTTTCAGCAGACGCCATATGATTTTTGGCTGCGTCGGGTAGCGTATATGGTGTAGGGTGTATTGCTGCATAAATGAGGTCCCAGATTTGGAGAACAATCTCTTGCCTCGTCGTGAAATAGGACAGCCTTGGAGAGTGTTCGCATACGACTGGTCGATGAGTAGATATATGGGGGACTAGATATGGCGGGAGGTGAACATGGCGCTCTGACCGTTGAGCATTTTGTTCTGGGTTCCGGACCAATTTCTGTGAGTCGGTCGAGGACGTCATATCTTGTTCCATGCTGCGTAGTCGTTGCAGACGGCTTTAGCCACGGGTCTCGTTGCGGATTATCTTGTCTTTGGGCTTCGCAATGCTGTCTGTGTCTAATTTTTTCCCCCATATGTATGACAATAATTCTCTGTCTCCCAAAGAGGCAAATCTCATCTTTCAGTGTCAACTTCCTCTTGTTCGTCAATTTCTTTTCTTTTCTCCCTCTTGATAAAGAAATACCTCCCCATCCTCCTAGATTCTTCATTTTCTCCCAGGTGGAACGGATCCTCAAGACGATCATTGATTGAATTTTCCTCACGCGGATCCAACTGGTCTGTAGAGCTAATGACCATATAGTTGTCCTTGGCTCTTCGAATGGTACCGTTTTTACCCCGTTTCAGCTCTGCTGCGAAGAACTGATCTAATTTGGCTCGGGTGATGGTTTGCTCGGCGATGGCTTCGTTGGTTTCGTCGCGAATAGCTACCAGTGGCTTGATCCCCGTGGTATCGACCTTTTGGATTTCCTTGACGAAGTGGATTTGCTGCGACAGAGTAGAGAGCATGTTGACTTCCTCCCGTTGATCCTTTGGTGGCGGGAGACCAGACAGATGGAGCAGGTGGTTCAGTTGCTCCCGGGTCACGGCTGGCTCTGTCGTCGTGGTTGACTCTCGTGGGGGTAACAGGGAGGAGACGGACCATGAGGGCTTTTCGAGAAGCGAATGAATCTGCGGATGGATTTTGATGGATTTGACTATTTTCATGCGATGCTCCCTGTCAGGGCTCGAGACAGGGCCCACGAGGAATGGCCGGATCGAGACCCGGGCGGTTCGAGGCATATTGACTCGGTCTGTCGTGGTCGGTGATTCTTTGCTACATTAGAGTGGGAGAGATCTCCTGGAGCTCCTTAAAGCGGCAAGGCGGAGCCGAGAAGTCTCCACAGGTTGACTCTCGTTTGCGCAAGACTTCTCCAGACATCCCACCTTGTTTCCAAACATCCACTCCAAAGAGACACGTATACACCTGATCCTTCTTTCTTTGCATCAGTCGTGTTAGCACGGTCTGTTCGGACCCGAGATCATTTTGAGCAAGAGTGTCCTCAACTCCGAGTCCTTCTGACATCGACATCCTTCCTCTCTCCCCCACCACTGCCCTTCACCATGGCACAGGACCCTCGAGCACTATTACAGAAGGCCGAGAAGACCGCTCAAGGTGCCACAGGAGGATTCAGCTTGTTTGGAGGCCGGGCCGAGAAGTGGGAAAATGCAGCAGATCTATACACACAAGCGGCCAACGCATTTCGGGTACAGAAGCAGAGTAAGCAGCCATACCTTTCCGCCTGAACAAAAGCTGACCGCATCCCACCTTCATTTAGATTATGAAGCCGGCCAGGCTTTCGAGAAAGCCGCCTCGATACAACAAACTAAACTGAATGAGCCGGACGACATGGCCAACACCCTAACCGAAGCATTCAAAGTCTATCGTAAAGAGTCACCCCAAGACGCCACAAGGGTTCTCGCCGCCGCCATCTCGCATTATACGACCAAAGGCAACTTCCGGCGCGCAGCGACGCACCAACAGAATTTGGCAGAGGTATACGAGATGGAGATTGGGGATCAGAAGAAGGCACTTGAGGCCTACGACACAGCTGCACAATGGTACGAGAGCGACAATGCCGAGGCCCTCGCCAACAAACTGTATCTAAAGGTAGCGGACTTGGCGGCACTGGAGGGAGATTATCAAAATGCAATTGCAAAGCTCGAGTCCGTCGCCAAGTCGTCGCTGAATAACAACCTCATGCGTTGGTCCGTCAAGGATTACTTCCTCAAAGCAGGCATCTGTTACCTCGCCGCTGGTGACCAGATCGCTACGAAACGGGCGTTAGACCACTACCGCGAACTCGACAACAGTTTTGCAGGCACACGCGAGAATATGCTGCTTAACGATCTCGTGGCGGCCGTTGAGGAGGGCGACCAAGAGGGCTTCGCTGATAAGTTGTTCCAGTTTGACCAGCTGAGTAAGTTGGATAAGTGGAAAACGACGTTGTTGTTGAGGATCAAGAATTCTATTGAGAAGCAGGAGGAAGATTTCTCATAGGAAAATCAATTGGATGGGAACGGGAGTCATCACTGGGGGTTTGAGGTGTGGCAGGGCCGAGAAAGTCAGAGTCTTGCGTCTACCCTCCAGTAATATATGCTATGAAGTTATGATTGAGGTGGCCTTGAGGTGGCCTTTTTGCTGGGGGGCCAGGTGGGATGCGTGAGGGTGTAGGCGTTGGCGTTGGAGCAGGAAAGGCTGATATCGCCATATCATAGAAATCGACTTCAAGTTCCCTTCAACACACGAAACCTACGGTATTGCTCGGGGCGTGATTCTTTGTCTCTACACCAAGGTTTTATTTGTAAGGTAGTGTAGTGTATCTAGAATTTTCGACATCCCGCGCCCAGGCAATCCCATGCCCCATGCAAGTTTAAATTCGACAATGCTATGCACCTTCGTACAATATCCCAAAGAGTTTGTGGTCTCCGATGCCGTCGTGACAGTACTATGTATGGACGATGAGCAGGCCCCCCCCCCCTGAGCTGAAAGCGGACCCTTCTTTCTCCTTTTGGTCCCACTTTTCGGATGGTAAAATTGGAAAATCTTCCGTCGGTTTTTTCTTTTCCTTTTCTTTTCCAATGCACACATTTAGCAGACAAACAGGAAAAAATATCGCTTCCCCTCTGTTTACACATGTTTGGCAGCAAGTTTCCCTTGTCTTCTTCAACACCAGGTGAAGAAGGGTTTCTTGCTCTTGACGGTCTCCAATCTCTCGACGATGACTTTGCGTTTATGTTGTTCCATGTCGCTTGCAGCCGCGTAGCCGAGATCGCCTTCAAGGTCGTCGCCTTCGTAAACAATAGGCGGGGGTTTGCCGCTGCGGGTCGACATTGATCGTTGTCTGCGCGAGCTTCTTTTGTGGCTATTGACATTGCCTTCACGGCGGGGGAATTCGAAGCTGAATCGATTCTTGCCCTTGGCCGGGCCGCGGGCAGGAAGCGTGGCGCTGTTTCCGAGGCTGTCTCTTGCTTCTCTGGCATAGTCCGTCGAATCGTAGGCGCCGCGGATGTTGATAGGGCTACTGGGCCTTTCTTCACCAGGCATGTATCCTAGATCCGCGGCGCTGTCCTCGCGGGTAAGGTCGAAACGGTTTGGATTGGGAAGCTCGCTTGTCGGTGAGCCCAGAAGATCATGCTGTGGTGCTTGTCTTCCTGATGGGGCTGAGGCGTAAGACGCTCCTATGTCCATCTCGTCGTCTTGATCAAGGTGTGCCGCTCTCCGGGCCATGTCTGTGGAAGGCACGCGCATCGGTATTGCAACGGGGACATCGACCAAGTCGTCCCAGACGCATACTCTTGTCCGTCTTGTCAATTCTAGCGGGCCATGATCGTCTTGTTTAAGTGTCTCAACGACATTCCAAGCTTGACCTTTCATGACGGCAATTTGTCGTGCGAACATGCTCTCTTTGAAATCGGCATCCATCGCAAAAACTCTTCGCAGCGCCATTTGAGTTTCACTCCACCATGCGGTTGACGTTAGTAGGGGGAGGAAATGATCTCGGGTTTTCTTCGAAAACGGTTGTCCAATAAGAGAAACCGGGAGAAACAGCCAGCCAAAGGGGAAACTACGCCACTGGGTTCTGTTAGCATAGGATTTGTCGAGTGGAAGTGCACACATACAGCATCTGGGTGTTTCCATGGCCATGACAGACTGTTATCGATGGCTCCGATTGTAATCGAAGAGTAACCTTCTTCTCGAGCATTCGAAGGAGTCGCTGAACGGCTCTCCATTGCCTCATACCTTTTATAGGGTCGGGAGGTATTCGATTCAGGTCGCTGTGGACTCGTCGACATCGGTCGAGGGTGAGCGTCTCCATTTTGGGCAGGACCATTAGGCTTCGGCGGCTCTGCGACAATCGACACTTCTTCCAGCTTCCAATCAATTTTGATCATCCAGTTGTCCAATCCCCGGTCTGTGTTTCGCATTATATAGTCCAGAATGACAAGTTTCTCCAGCTCTTCTCGAAAGGCTTGTTTTAATGTTGGGGTCCAGTGGAATTTGGGGGTTTGATCTTGAAGTGGCGGCGACAGAACTCGAGGCGTCTCTTCTTCGTCATCGGAATGACCGCCGCCACGAATACAATTGGTTAAAGGCCTTCTTTTTCGGGTGTGTTCAAGATCTGCTCGAAATTCGGTTGCCTGGTCCGGCCACGGGTTCTCGCGTAAAAAGATATTGGCATCCTTGAATCCTTTTAAGAAAACCTGGAAACTGCCAACTTTGGCGGGAAGGCTTTTCTTCCCTCTCCAGCTGCTTCTCCGTTCCCAGAAATCATAAAAGAACGACTTTGAAGACAGCCAGACGACATCTGTGTAAGGTACCAAGTACGTCCTTAGTTGGACGTCAAGAACATACGCAGCCGCTTCTGAAACATAGGACAAGTTCGGAATAAGACAGGCCCTGCCGAAGAAGAAGGGGAACAGATTTCGGTGTATCCATTTGGTCCATTTGGGATTTCTTGACGCATATGGCTCTTCATCTTTCGGCTTGAAGACACCAACCACTTTGCCTTCACTGTTGCGCGCAAAGTAACTACCGGAACTGCCTTGAGAGATCATTTTGGGGTGTATTCCGAGTTCGATGGCCACTTTCACGCTTTCGACAATATCGTCAAACTGGGCTTTGGTCAAGCGTCCCGTCTCTTGAGCGGCATAAGCTGCCAATTGGGAGGCCGTGTACGGACGAATCCCTGGAGGAGCTTGAAAGACTGAATGGTGTATTTCCAACTGTTCCTCCTCGTGCGTCTTGCCCTTGACTGAAGTAATCTTGAATTTGGAAGCTATCTCTTCCGCCCACCTCTCTAGCCTGGCGTTGATAGCTTTGATGTCTACTCCAGAGGAATTACTTCTCATAGGCCTCGTGGGTCTTCGTCGATGATCGTGGTGCGGAGTCGAGCGCATGCTCTCCCGTGGACCTGGCTGGATGGAAGCATAGCGGGTACTAACTGGTGAATTTGTATATGTCTCGTCTCCAGAATCATCGTCTCCCAGTGGTCCATCATCTTCGTCTGCCTGTGCAAGACGGGCATAGCCGGAGGTGGGTCGATGGCGAGGCATGGTTCGCGTGTGTCAGGAGGGAGGTGCCAAATGGACAAATTCCGGGTTACATTCGGGACGTGGCGGTTCTAGAAATATGTATTTTGTAGGGAGACAGAGGGAAGATTGTATGGTACATCAAGCCATGTTCGAGAAGGAACTCACAGAAACTTTGAAGGGATTATTCCTAGATGCCTGGAACAGTCGGAGCGACGTTGATTGGCTCGTACGGCGAACCACATGCGTGGAGGACGTAATATCACAGGTACGACAAACCCGGGGGTTCAGATCAGGACGAATCTCTTGTGTCCTAAATGCCCGCTACGTTGCCGTCCATGTGCTCCGAGAGGCGTCGATTTGTGGATGATATTGAAAGAGTCGAGATCCCTTTCTCTGATGTGAAGCTGATGACTGGATGGCTAACCCAAGGGCAGGTTGATTTCAATCGTGGTTTTACTGCATTGGCATTGACCTAATAACCGCCCAGCATCTCTCTACTGTCGTAAGATACTACTCCTACAATAATGGTCGGCCAAAGAACAGGACAAGGCTGAGATGGCCCAACAAAACTTCGGTCCAGTATTTTCCTCTCACCAGCCACACCTTTCTTCACCAGCCTCACGCAGACTGCGCCACAAATTCACCCATCAGCTCCAGTAGTCGCTCAGTTTGCCATCTGGATCAAACGTGGCTGTCAATCTCGGACAATGGACGATTGATTTACATTGACTTCTTATCTTAAGGGGAATGATAACAATTACGACGCTGTGTATCCTCCTGTTCCACTTTTACCAAGATAATGACGGGCACCCAGAATCGCTCCTCCCCAATTATCACAATGTAATTCAAGCCAGGGCTCTTCGCATCCTATCCTTTCTACGATTGCTCAACGTCTCTGCACGTCAATCATGATGACCTTCGACGGCAGTTCCCACCTAAATTTGTGCCATGGGAGTTTGACTGTGCCACAGGCGTTAAATAAAAAAAAAAAAAAAAAAGGGGGGCACATTGGAAGCCGGACCCCACCGCGAGATTGGACAATCTCTTTTATTTCCCCAGATTTGCGAAGCGTCGAATCAGCGTCATCTCGTCCCCTCGCCCTCTCTATAGCACAGACACAGGTCTGCAGGTCTATTCGAAACTTTCCAGGTTGTTGTGTCTCAATAGTCGCTTCGTTACAGCCATAAGAGTACAACCGAGGTGGCCAGATATGCGATGGGGCCCATCGAACTCCGATCACAGCGGTCAGAGTTGTTTCTACAAGGTAAAAGTTCATCTCAACAGACGCGCCTAAGCTCAGACACGGCGCAATTAGACATGGTGCTAGGCCGACTGGCGGGACCAATGTTCTCCTCGCTTGAAATCCTCGATTTGGGAGACCCCCCTGACTCCGAGATTGTATTGGGTAAAGGAAAAGCCTCGAGGCTCCCGTCTATCGATAGACGGTCTGCTGTCTCCTCCGTCCTGTGATACAGTCTTTCCTTGTTGAATACTTTCTTATTGTTGATTGTTCATTGCATTGCATCAGGTTGCCTGTGGCATCGTCCCCGATCAGGTTATAGAGAAATTCGACCTCATCTGCTTCCTCACCTGCCATCTCCGTCGAGACCACGGTTTGGTCTCAAACAACAGCGAACACGGCATCCGCAGTCGCTCCACCGCTTTTCCGGGCCTCGCCCATTGACCCGACATATCGGCCATCGTCAACACCGTTGAGTGAATCGAGATTGGAGGAGCATAATACCTCGAGACGGGATCAAAGAGGACTGTCACCTTTGCCCACTCCGGCGGCATACGGGAAGGAAGTCTCGAGGCCCTCATCGACCACGCTCCCAAACACGAGCAGCCTTTTACTCAGTCAACCACAATTCCACACCCGGAGTGCGAGCCTTAGTCTTGGGCGAGAGTATCACCCTGAACCACGTCCTGCTCTGCCTGGATTGTCAGCCTTAACATCTCTGGCAGCCACTGCACCGCCGATCAGGTATGCAACCGAACCAAGAGGGGGAAATATCATCAAGGGACTGCAGGAGCATGAAGTTGACGCGAAGATAGGTCATTTTCAAGCAGTCATGGCTCGCCGATGGGGTTTCATGGCATGATGCCACCAGTTCCTACACCTGGAATCGCCGGAAGCACCCCAGTAAGTTTCTTTCTATCGTTGTGGTCGATGCAGCGTGTTATCAAAGGCTGTCTTGGGGTCTGTGCCCCTGCCACCTGCATTTCGTTCGCCAAGCCCCACACATCACGGGACCAAGAAGGCCTCCGCAGTTTCGCGCGGGCTTTTTTCAGCTCTTTATCTTATCGCTCCTCGCAGTCCATACCTTTCTGTCCTCCATTCCATTTCTGCAACACCAGAACATGGCGGCTTCACTGCCCGGGACTGACCATAACCTGCCTTTCACACAGCCCGTTTGCCAGAACTGTCAGACATCGACCACTCCGCTATGGCGACGCGACGAAGCCGGTTCGGTCCTCTGCAACGCCTGCGGACTTTTCCTCAAACTCCACGGCCGACCTCGCCCAATCAGCCTCAAGACCGATGTAATCAAAAGTCGCAACCGAGTCAAGACTGCCAACCAAGGGCCTAAAAGGAAGGTGAGTTGGGTGACTGCGCATTTCCTCTCTGGTCGATATCCTAACATCCGCTGCAGTTCGAATCAAATGGCCATACTCCCGCTCAGGCCGAAATGGCCACTCCTCCAAATGGAGTCAACGCACATCGTCGCGTCTCCCAGATGGCTGCCTCTGTCACTTCTGACCGGTCGCATTCTCCCGTTTCCCGGAGTGGGACACCTGGCGCACAGCACGATCCCAATATTGCACCCCAGCACCTCTTTGATTCCGCTGCGGCGGTGAATGACCACCAGTACAACGGATCTCCTTCCCTACCCGCTCTCCACCTCAGCCAACACTCTCCAAGCGCAATTTCCATCAATAATGACCGCCATCTGGAAGCGCCCATGAGTTATGATCAGCTAATGGCTGCAAATACCAACCTCCGAACTCGCGTCTCTGAACTAGAGGTAATCAACATGGTATATTCCGACAACGAGAACAATCTTCGCACCGAGCGAGATCGAGCCATACAGGAGCGAGACGACTTGAAGCGAAAAGTCGCAGAGTTGGAGAAACAGCTTCAAGATATTACTAGTAATGACCAGGGACCCCATTCGAAAAAGCCACGACTATCACACGAACCCCAGGAATGATTTCTGTCCCGCTGTCCAGTATGGAAATACACTTTCTCGTTGGAATGAAATCAAGAACCTGCATCAAGAGAGCTGGCAAAAAGCCCTCCGGAAGGACCACAGCTCTCAAATTATTGTATCGTCAACAGTGATACCCCATCCACGATTTTTCTTTGCTGTTGCTGGAGAAGAAGGATCCACATAATCAAGGTTTAGTTCTAATAAGGCAATGGCTGAGGCCATAATGGCGTTGAAAAGGAAATAGGAGGGGAGGGGTGTGGTGTTGAAAGCCGGTGGGAGGCTTCAAGCCAAAAGGACCAAACCAGCAATGACCTTGAGCATACTCTGTGGAAAGAATTAATGGTGGGCAAAGGGAATCAAAAGTTTGCTTTAGTGACTGGAGGAAGCTATGTCCGCACATTAATTCCATATGGCTTGATGGCATAAAGAAAAGGAATCTTCTTGAGTCTCAGATAAAAGGCAGACCCTGCGGCTCTCCTCTCACTGCTTTGCGCAACTGGGATCTACTCGCTGACACTCCTATATGGAACACGAGATATGGGTCGACCTTCTGATATTTCCCCCCCCTCCCTAACTGGCACGAAAACTGTCACAGGTAGGATTTCCTCCGCCATGATCTTCTATCGCCCCAAGGAAGACGATAGTAAGCCTATCCATCCGGTCTCCCGTCGTACTTCGCGACCTAATACCCCGCGCCTACAACGGCGCGAACTCATAGACCGGAGTAAATTCCGTATTTCCATCAGCCTCGTCTCCCTGAAATAGATGCCTCACACGAACCGAATCTTGGACCTCTCACCATCCTTTGCCGTTGTCATAATGCGAACTTGGCCTTCACTGGCATAGGAGTGGTGCATATAAGCTCTTTAACAGCCCTTCGCACGATAACCCCCCGTCATCAACTCTAGCCTCGGCATGGCTTCTCCCACCGTCCCAGTCTCGCCTCTCCATCTTCCATCCTCGTTCAACTTTGCAAGAGACATTGTCGACTATTGGGCACAGAAGGATCCTTCTCAGGTGGCCCTCTATTGGACAGATCAATCCCTAAACACCACCAAACAGCTCACTTACAGCTATTTCTCTCGCCAGTCCCACCGTATCGCAACCCTCCTCACATCTCTGGGAATCAAGCAAGGTGACACATGTATCCTCATCTCACCCAGAATTCCCGAGTGGTGGGAAATTACAACGGCCTGCCTCCGGTCTGGGATCGTGGCCTGTCCGTGCACGACGCTCCTGGTTGATAAAGACATCAAGTATCGACTCCAAGTCTCTCATGCTACCGCATTCATTGGTGATGAAACCTCTGTCGCAAAGTGCCTGAAGATCCGTGCGCACTGTCCAAATCTGCGCACAGTGATACAGATTGAAGGAAGAGGTTCTCCAGGGGTGGTCGGCTTTCATTCATCACTGGCCAAGGTCTCCCAAGATGTCGATTTCCCCATATCGAGTTCTCTCAAACCCACGTCCCCAGCATTAACATTTTTCACCTCGGGAACTACTGGCCCCCCGAAAATGGTTCTACATACTCAAGCATCATACCCTCTCGCGCACGCCTTGACGGGCATCCATTGGCTTCAACTTCGCCCTGGAATAGTCTATTGGAACCTATCAGAGCAAGGGTGGGCCAAAGCCGCGTGGTCATTCTTCTCGTCATGGAACTGCGGCGCAACCCTCTTTGTCCACGACGACAGGTTGGCATTTAATCCGCGTCGGACCCTGGAAGTGTTGAACAAATTCCCCATCACGACTCTGTGCGCTCCGCCCACAGTCTATCGCCAGCTTGTTCTGGACGACAGCCGTCGTTTCTTCACGACCAAGCAAGGGAAGCCTCGATCCTTGGCTCACTGTTGTGGCGCCGGAGAACCATTGAATGAGAGCGTGATACAGACTTGGAAGGAAATGACCGGCGGTATCGAGATCTTCGATGCCTACGGCCAGACCGAAACAGTGGTCGTCTGCGCGAATCAAAAAGTCAACAAAGTCAAGCCTGGGAGCATGGGAAAACCCATCCCTGGCGTGCCATTGATGGTGATCGACGCCGACGGCAATATCACGCCTCACGGAGTCGAAGGAGATATTGCGATAGCGATTGCGGATGGAGACGAAGACGAAGCCTTTTTCGGCATTTTCCAGGGGTACATTGACAAAGCAACCGGAAAACTCGACGACAAGGTCAAGACGTTCCCCAATGGAAGGAGGTTTTTCATCACGGGCGATCGCGCCACCAGAGACGCCGACGGGTATTTCTGGTTCGTGGGCCGAAGCGACGATGTGATTAATTCCAGCGGGTATCGGATTGGTGAGTGGTTCTCTGCCATCTATGTCTCTCTTAGCTTTTTACATTCTCATCTTAATTCACGCGGTCACCGCGGAAACCTAAATTATAGGATTCTAACAAACTACATCCATCATCAGGTCCCTTTGAAGTCGAATCGACTCTCAAATTACATCCTTGCGTCGTTGAATCTGCTGTCGTGGCGTCTCCTGATGAAGCCCGGGACGAAGTCGTCAAGGCCTTTGTCGTGCTCATTCCCTCAGCGGCCTCAGAATACAATACACCCGAGTCTCGCGCCGCGCTGGTCAAGGAAATCCAGGATTTCTGCAAGCAAAACGCCGCCCCGTACAAGTATCCGCGCAAGATCGAGTTTGTGGACGCACAGTTCCTGCCCAAGACAATTAGTGGGAAGATCAAACGAGCTGAATTGAAGGCCTTGGAACGGCGAAGATATAACGAGAGCAAGGGCGCTAGGCTATAGGTCCAGGAAAGGGAAAGGGAATTGGTGTGTATTTCTAGCTCGCTTTACATTTCTCATCAACATCTCCAGGCCTGAAGATCCGTCGTCAATTGTACACCTCTTCGAAATGGCCCATCCTGGAGACGACCCTCCTTTCCCATAATGCCATTGGTTAGAGTCATCCAGGACATTCGACCGCACCTATACAGATTAATAACTTGCAACACACACACTCCTTTCCCGATTATGACATACTGAATGACGATCGTTCATAGCCTTGTCGCTGTCTCAATTGGCATCGGTCCTGGAGGCCTGATCTCCATTCTTTTCATCTTTCTCCGGACAGCACCTCTACCCGATAGCAGCATCCTCGTCTTATTATCACAATCAGGCTCCTAGGGCTGAGAGATGGGCGACAGCTAAAGCCTCCGCGTTGAATCCTCAATAGCCAAGTTTTAGTGTTCACAACATGGGCGAGGCCGTTGGGAGTAATTGGACAGTGAACCAAAGTTTCAATTCCTTTCTCGATAGCCCGGGTGCCTTTCACATGTAGGTTCCCTCCCAAGTGAAGGAATGACTCGAAAGTATGAGACAAAGTTGACGAAAGGTACCAGATGCTCTGCTCTAATAGACCAATCATCGGATTAAACAAACAACTGGATGGCGGGAAATATCAGCCGATACTGCACCACTTGCAAACGTCACGAGATTAAGGTATACATCTGTACCTGCATGAATGCATCCACTGACATGGGTTGCTGTCAATCCAGCCAGTACTAATCAACATGACAACACAGTGTGATGAGCTACGTCCGATCCGTGCAAAGTATGAGAAGAGTGGACACGCATACCCGGACCCCGGATTGTCCTAGATCTCCTACGAGCCGAGTGGAGCAGGGGCTTTGAAAGTCGCGTTGACCCGACGTCCATCTTCAATTGAGACCTATCTACTTTCTTTGGCGCTGATCGAACGCTTGAGCAAGAAGTCTTACCCTTCTAATTGAAGACTTTTTGGCCCCTATCTAGATCTTCTCCCTTCTCGTGTGGGGCCACAAAATTGGAAATCAGGCTGACTCTCCTAGATAACGGCGCAACATGACATTGATCACTGTTGGAGAGGCATCAGCCTTATTGGAAGCCTGCGGTCCAAGCAACGTTGTATCGAAGTTTGATTTCTCCATGTTCTCTGGTCACTGTGGCACCGTTGTATGGACTTTTATTTTCCCTTCTATGACAAGTCCTAATACCTTACCAAGGCCAAGAGCTGCATTTTCTGCAAAAAGACAATTTATCTAGCATTAGCGGCCTGGGAGATCATTCGCGCCAACGTTGTCCCGAGGTATCGTCATTGGCAGATCCCGTTTATATGAACGTACTCGCTGCCACGGCGCAGTTACCGGGCACTGGTAACGAATACTGGCGATTTATGCGCCAGGAGTGTTGATGTTTTCCTCTTCACAAGCTCATCATACCATTACACAATGACCGGGACAACGATACTGAGTTCTTGAGTCTGCAGTGGATTTGTATACGCGTTTTCCCTTTTTGAGGCCTCTCATATCAAGCATATTTGAACGACCCCTCTCTGGAATATGTATGTTGTGGGGATTGTGTTGTGCAAGTCCTTTATGGTTATTTTCATATCGGAATACCAACGACTTCTTCTCCTTCCTTCCCATCTAGTACCAAATCCCCATATACCGTGATAGGAATGATGACTTCGAACGTTTCGCAGTCTAGATTCTCCACCGCCACATTAATCGCGCCACGTTCGTCGTTGACTACTTCTTCCAATAACTCCGGGGCAGCCATTTTGCTTCTGCTGTCCATTTTACCGTCATCTTCGTTTTTGCTCTCGTCGGCCTCAGCCTCGATGGAAGGCTGCTGCTTAATCGTCCCAAACTCAAACCTAAGACTCCAATCGAGACTAACTCCCGAAGTAACAAACGTCGGCGTCGCGGTGGCAGGAATACTCGGCGCAAACGTCGCTCGTTTGGTGAAAAGAACAATGTCTGATTTTCCCGCGTATACTTTGCGGGTGACTCTGTTAATAGTCGCTGCTGAACGCACAGCGAGCGAGGGACTGACTTTTTCGCACGTCTCAAGTGTCGAACGCAACGAGGCACACGGGATTTGGCCCTCGGAAAAATCAACGACAGCAGTGACAGTTTCGCCTAGGCGGTGCAGAGGGCGGTCGACGACGATAACGGCGACGCGCAGACCGTTGCGTGCGATCTCGAAGCGGTTCGGACTTGATTCGTCTTGTAGCTGATTGCTGAAGAAGATCGCGCGGTTGATTGCTTGGACGGCCTTGCGACTATCACCCATGTCTTTGTCGGTGTTCATCAAGTGTGGATCCATGGTGCCCGTGCTGGATTGACGGCGTCGATTGCGGTCGAGTAAAGTGTCGACGAATTGCAGGAATTCCGTCGTGGAATTTTCGTCAGATCGGACTGTGGAGGTCCCGGTTTCTTCCTGAAGATTATCAGGTGAGGATATGGATTTGGTACGCGCGAGATCTTGTAAGATGACGTGCGGCTGCATTAGGTCGTGACCAAAGATTTCGCCGTCGTAGTTGACGCCTGAGAAAACGCGGATGGGCACGTTGACTTGTCGGACTGCGTGCATATTGGTGTCTCGACCTCCCGCGGCAGGTAATCCCTGCACGCCGACCGTTAGGGTATATGAGATCTTGATGGCTTTTCCACGATGACTTGATGGCAAGCCACGTGGCAAAGGGTAGGTGTAAGAGTAAGATTGCTCTTCGCCTGGTTCGAGGTGCAGGTCGACGAACAATAATGACTGAGGAGTGGAGAGCAATGGGATTGCTCGAGAATTCGTGACGGCATTCATCTCCTTCACGCTGCTCATATGGCCGCCTCCTGTCATCAAACTGTTAAGTGATCCGCCGATGTTGTTGATGTTGAAATTGAAGTTGCCCAGGAACCCATGGCTGTTTGGTCGAGATTTCTGGACGCCGACGACACCACCACCAGCCTGGCCGCCGAGGAAGCCTTTGCTTTTGACTTCTTCGAAGTGGGATGCATCGATTAGGGACGCGTCGAGGGTGAAGGTGGCGCTGAGTTGAGCATAGCCCATGAGCAAGTTAACGGCTTGAGGCTTGGGTGATTTTGCGGCTGGTCTTCGAGGAAGTGGAGTGACATAGTTCAAGACTGGTCTAACTTCCGACATGACTGAAGGCTGTTCAGACATAAGGGTTTCTTGGGAATGGTTGCTGAGGGAGTAGAAATCGCCACTGCTTCGGTCGCTGGCAACTTGACTTGTACCTGAGGTTGTTCGGGCAGCATGTCCCTCTGGTTCAATGGGGCCAGGGTTGAGTAGTTCATCGGGGCCAGCAGCTGATGAAGATTTATCTGGCTGGTCTAATGGGAATTTGAAGTCGGGAGTAGATTCACGGCTTCCACTCGCGGCTGGGGATAATGGACTATGCCGACCTCCTTTGGGTGGAGGATGGAGACCTGTTGGAGAGTCTCGACGTTGATGACCAGTCATGCGCTGCGGTTGTGGAACTGTGATGAACTAATGAGTTTCCACGATCTTGTTGCAGGATTGAAAACTAACCATGATGGATTTGTACTGTCGAGGCTCGTTGATGGCCCAATCTCAGCTGCCTTGCCCCGCTGTGGACGGAGTTGTCAGCGAGATCTGAGGCGGCTATCGGAGACGTCACTGAGATGATTGACACCGATCTCTGCGCCTTATGATTTGGCCTGGGAGGGTGTGGTTGATTGTCTCTTGGGAGCCCAGGGCTGTGTGATGAAGCGGTGGCCCTGTGGCGCGAGGGCTGGTCGGTCGAGTGTTCACTGCTGGCAGATCGTCCATTTTGACTCAGTCTTACGGCCGCCGCGTTATTCTTTGTCGCTTGTGCAACAGCAGCAATTTGACTGATGCTCTCATGCCTACTGCTTCGTCGTGGGTGAAAGGCTGGAGTGACCGGCTCGGACAAGTTCGCGACATTCTTGAAGGTGATGGTGCATCGGAGGTGTTCGCCCGTGAAGACGGATTGATCATGGAAGCGGACAACTACATGGATGTCCGAATGCATACCACGGCCGAGAGGCTGAATGAGAGATGTGATGATTGGCAATTAGCGACCTTGTGAGATGGCGTAGATGGAGAATTGGATTGAAGGTCTGGTCACTGGAAATACGAGAAAGGCGAGTTTGAAGTTTGGTGCTGGGAGAACCTCGGCAAGATAGACGGGCAGTCCGCTACGGGTGAGAGGACGACTCTTTGGCAAATTGGATGATTTGATTAATGAATGCGTATGTCCAATTTAGATCTCCATTCTCTCATGTACAGCCAGCGACAGGAAATCGTCCGAGCTGGCTCAGCCTGGACCAGAGCCTCAAATATCCTTTACTCAAATCACCGTGCTGAGCGACAAAAGCCTCATCGAGTTCTGCTTCGAGAGGGTCATCAGCTAAATGCCCACTCTGTGGCCGCATCGGCTTTCTCGTAGAGATGCCGGAGCACATTCTGCACTCTTAGCTGGAGGTTATCAGCAATGACACAAAGGAGAGGATTTCGGGACTCATCAACCAACACACTCATGCTCTCATCCGTATCTCTTCCTCTCAAACTCGGTCGCAGAAGGGCATTCTCCATCCTCTTATGACACGCTATTGAGGTACGGTTCAATGTGTCGAGCAGGCGAGGAACGAAGTCTTTGGCGCATTCCGACTTGGATGTAGTGCTTCTGCTGCTTCAAGCTGATACTCCCACTTGCGCGGCAATCTTCTCGGTCGTCCTGCCCAAACCATTATTTGCGTAGAAATCCATCGGATAGGTTCCGTCCTCCTTCTCCCAACCTTGCTTTCCGCCCAGGACAACTAGAGCCTCATACGGCGTCAATAATGGTCGAGGAAAGGCATATCCCCAATCAATGCTTAACCGAGGGCATGCAATTTGTACCCAGCAATCCACATCTTCAAACATGGCGAGCTTTCCTGGGAAGATTTCGCTGAGCAAAAGGTTAACAAACGGTATCCCCTGTTGGTTTAGATAATTTTCAATCAGGGTCAGAGTATGCGGATTGCCCTGTCGCCCCAGAGCTCCGAGTATGAGACCCCATTTCTTTGCGTTCTTGGCCGTGCTGATAGCAGCAGATCGCATCTCCAGCATTTCGTCGTGTGAATAAGATTCCCTGGTCAGTTTCCGCGAATATGGATCATATCGATAGGCTGGTAGATGAGGATTCGCTATCATGGCAGCTTCAAGGTGAAAGCGCCCGTCTCCCAGATAGAGAATCAAGTCAACATTGGCATCTGAAGCGATCTGAGGGGCGGTACAACCCAGCACCTCGCCCTTGCTTAGTGGCATTACTTGGGGTACTACCAGCCTTAAGCCTTCTGCCTCAAGCGCTGGTCGTATCGTGTGCAGTGTTGAGTTGAACTGTATGGTACTCACCATAGCAATTGTCTTCCCGGGCGAAATGTTTCGAGAGAGTGTGTTCACTAAGTGTGTGGTGTCAATCGAGATGTCTACAAAGATATAGAGTGTGGCAATCTTGGTCGCCGACACCGGTATCAGGCAGCTGTGTGCATAATGGACAAGAAGGTCACAACCGAGAGCCCTTGCCGTGTAATCATCAATACAGCATGCGCCATACGTGACATCTCCCATAATCAGAGTCTCGGTTCCCGGACAGAATTGTGTCAAGATATCTGAGATGGTGGTGGCAAACATGAGCAGGCCTTCCGGAAACTGAAGAGCCACTCTTTTCGCCTCGAGGGTCCGTATACGATGGATAGTTTTGGGGATCTCGAAGCTGTAATTGTGAGGCAGTAAGTCGACCGCGGCTTGAATATCGGGGTCATCGAGGATCTTCGGTGGTACCGGGTTCGAAGCTCGTGGAGTTCTTCGCCGGACTTGTCTTGGGTCAACTGCGCTTCTTGTGAAGAATATCCATTGCTTTCATACCTTTTGGAACAACAGCATTTGCTTCTCCCACAGATGGATTCTCATCGATTCTCGGTCTGACCTGCGCCTCTGCCGTTCTCCGTCCCACAAATCTTCTCTTTGGTGTTCTGTTGCTGGATGTGTTCTCTCCCGGCGCTCCTGGGAATGCACCAGGCATTGCAGTGCCGTCTATCTCCATCCTCGACCCTCTACTAACCTCTGCTTGGTTGGGTTGCCTGTTCTCTCGTCCATCAAGGGAATAGAAAAAACCGGTTAGCGGTATCACGTGAAGTTTGGTGGTGATCTAGATCGCAGTTTCGGGGATGTGGGGACACATTTCCCCGGACCCGTCATCACGAACTCTGCCTTGCAGGTCGACCTAAATGGAGACTGGAGCACAAACAGACAACATGTTATAAGGCTTTGGTAGGTTCACGAGGTGCTAGATTTCGACCTCTGCCCCCAGGAGTCCATTATGACTCTCCTACATTCTGTCCTCTCCGCAACCAATTTTCGCAGTCCGTTTCTGAGAAATCTTGTTCCTTCAATCGGTCTTGCGTTTGGAATCCAGGCGATCGTGGCCATTCCTTCTATCCTCGCAAAGTCCGAACGGTTCTACGATCTCTCTGGCTCTCTGACATACCTCTCATGCACTGCGCTGGGTCTGTATCTACCCGCTATACGTGCTCGCTCTGCAGCTACTTTGGCGGGAAAGGCTTTACCGGCATGGCCTAGCTTATTAAGTGCTTTCAACGGCACATCAGGACTTTATGGCTTCAACTGGAGACAAGTGGCTCTCAGTGCTGCTGTGAGCCTCTGGGCCTTTCGACGTTAAGTTTCACCCTCTTGCCCCGCCGGACAGCGGCTTACGATGAGCAGTTGGAACTTATTTATTTACACGCATTCTATCCTCGGGCGAAGATTCTCGTTTCGAAAACATCCGCGGTTCCCCTCCCAAATTCGCAATGGCTTTCTTCGTCCAAGCTGCCTGGGTATTGCTCTGCCTCATGCCAGTTCTGGCTGTGAGCTCATTACCGGCATCAACATTTACTGCTCTCGGAGGATTAGTCTCGATCACCGACATTATTGGCTTCCTCCTCTACATCGGAGGATTCAGTTTTGAGATCATAGCCGACGCACAAAAGAGTCGGTGGTCGCAAGAGAAGAAAGAGAAGAAACACGACGAGGATTTCCTGACCCGTGGGCTATGGAGTAAGAGTCGACACCCCAACTATTTTGGTGAGAGCACATTGTGGACGGGCATCGCCACATTGGCCGCTGGCGTCCTCGCTTCGGATGCTGGTGTTGCTGGGATGGGCCTTGCAGGTGGTCTTCCTGGAAAGGCGATCGCTATTCTGAGCGCCGGAGTCAGTCCTGCCTTTGCTACTTTCTTGCTTCTCAAAGTTTCCGGGGTGCCTCTGAGCGAGAAGAAGTATGATCGGAGATACGGTGATCGAGCAGACTATCAGAAATGGAAGAAGAAGACGCCCATGTTCGTCCCGAAGCTGTGAGGAGAGAGGGATGCATACGATGTAACGAATACATCTAGGGGTGTTTGTATGAGGCCCCCAATCTTGAATATAATTTCGACTGCAGATTGCCTTTGTTTTCTTTTCTCTTTTTGTGGTGGGGGGGGGGGGGGCTCATCGGCAAAGGCGGGCAGATCCCCGCTTCCGGTTCCGCATACTGAAGGCACCCAAGTTTATTGATGAACACCCAGAACCAGACATAATTTCTACCTTCTTGGAAGCTTTTCTTTTGATAACCATGTCGTTTAGAGATCCCGCCACGTAACCATACAGTCTCGAGCAAAATGGTCACGACGTCCGGCTTTTCCAACACGCCCGTGACACGCTTCGTGATCTTGGCTTGTATTTGCGCGAGCATCCTGACCTCGATCCTTGATCTGCGACACCTCGTGCCCATCAAACCGTACCCGCATCTGTGGCCGTACCAGCAAATCTCACGAATACTGACATTCCAAGTCGCCTACACGTCGTCAACGGAGCTCCTTTTCGCCATCGCACTACTATATCAGTTCCGCGTGCTCGAGCGTCTCTGGGGTCCCAGGAAGTACGCCAGCTTTCTTGTCGTCTGTTTCTGGTTGAACGTCCTACTCATTCCGACCTTGTGCCTTGTTCTCAAGCTGGGTACGTTGGGTGCATATAATTATGTGCCGGCGGGGCCGACGGCCGTCGTCTTCGCCGCGCTGAGTGCGTGGGGAGACGAGATTCCAAGACTCTATCGATATAAGATCATCACGGGAACAGCGCAGCAACAAGAGCAGCAGGAGGGTTCGAGTCAGCAAATAGCAGGGATTGCATTGAGTGATAAGTCTACGACATATGTGCTCGCGGCGCAGTTGGCTTTGAGCCAGTTTCCTTATCAGCTACTTCCAGCTGCGGTGGGATGGACGGTCGGGAGCGCATGGATGGGCGAGCTCTTGCCTGGTGGGCTTGGGAGATGGAGGATCTCTGGTTGGATCGTGGGCGAGTCGAGTAAGATAAAGGAACGGGGGCAGTTTGAAGGGTTGAGAAGACGGTTGGAGGAGGAAGGAACTTCGGCCGATGGGATGAGGAACGTCAGCGACAATGTAGTGGGAGATGGCCGTGAAAGTGGTAGGAGAGCAGGCTTTGGAAGGCAGATTCTGGGGTATTTCACAGGGTCTTGAAGGAGGCCTTCACGAGCGATGAAAATGAGGATATACAAAAAGCACCTTCGTGATCTGACGGATCGCATTTGACAATCTTGGGTAAACCTTGATCAGGCGGAGGTTTCGCAGACAATCTCGGCAGACATGACCTCTTTAGTGACTTTGGCTGGACTTGAAAGACATTCCTGTATAGAAGCAGGACAACTACGCGAATTTCGAGCCAGATCAACGATAAGCCTGGTCCTGCACCGTACATATTACAGCGACAACTGCCGAAGGCCCTGGATACCGTATGACTAGCGAATGATGTAGAAAGGTATGTGCCAGAAGAATCTCGTCACAGATTCGAGTGCTAAATTACTAGCACTCTCTGTATACTCGGCCCTTTGATGGTAAAAGGGTCGATCGCAGAACTACTTACGGTTCTCATGCTGCATGTTTCTTTTCATTTTACATTGCTCAAGTGAATATCTAATGCAAGGCAAATTCAGTATATTTAATCTGCATGGAGAGAAGACTGAGGCTAGACTCTAAACTGCAGTGTAGACTTTTTGTTTTTGCTTTCACATTCGCGATTTATACCGGTCGGTGTGCTCCTTGATCTGCGATCTCGTGGGATCGATCATAGACATGTTACGTTCCCACGTGATTGGCGTGGAGGGAAGCGGTTCGCAGCATTAGCGATCGCAAGGCTGAACATCCGGTCTCGCCATAAATCGGCGAGGTGTTAGATGATGTCAGGTTTCTTGACAGAAAATGCGAACTCCCGCACTCCATTCACCACGAATCCGGTAAGAGACCGTAGCCAACCCCGTACGAGATACGCCAGGTGGCGCGCAGTGTTCCGCTGCAGTAGTTAACCCACCTTTACGGACCGACATTTTAGCACAGCTTGCCCTGCAATTTTAGTCTGGAGGAAGCGGCCGTTGCAAGGCTGACCAGCATTTTCTGCCCCGATCCTCTTGGAACTAGCAGATAATGGTGAGAGCAGGACACGGAGATAATATGAAGTCAAACCCTTTCGGTTTTCATGACTCTCCCGCGCTTTTCGTCTGCTCTTCGAACGCCTGCTTATATCTCTGCACGGCAATTGCAAGGCTCTTGATGATCGGACTGAGTAATTGTTTCACCACCGCACCACCGCCTTTGATAGCGTTATGGTCGAGCCTATGCCGCCGCCCAGTCTTTTTGAATCGTTCTTCCAAATTCCGCTCTTGAGAACGAATATGTTCCTGTCTCTCCTTCTCCGCGTCATCCGCAATGACATTAATCCGATCGAGCGCGCGATTGAGGCTTTCGACTAGCGAAGTCACTTCGCCTGCTCGAGATGCGTCGCCAGATAGAAAAGCATTCCAGAACTGACGCAAGAACTCGATTGTTGTGGCTTGAGCGAGGGTTAAGCGGTCGTATATGGCCGTGCTGAGGCCCGAGGCCTGTGGGATCTCGGACGTTTGGTCTTTACGCGCTTGGATGAGGGAAATGATGTGTTTCATGGCGATGGAAGAGCCACTTTCTGGCCGTGAGCATTCATCTTCCATTTCCTCGTCTTCAGCTTCGTACGGATCAATTGGAATCACCCCTGAGCCCGGTTGCGGGAAGCGGGCCACAATGTCGCTGTAGACGTCTTTGATAGCTTTGGTAGGATCGAGGCTTCGAAATGGATTGCTATCGTCTCCATTGTTGCGGCCCTGAGCAGAGTGACTGTCAGAGAAGAATCGGCTTTGATCCCGGATGTTCAGGATGATGCGGTTTTGTTCTGGATCACCTGCTAGATCATGTAGCCGGAGACTGTCATACGCGGCTTCCGACATCCCAATCGGAGCAGAAGCATCAGCATCCGACGGTCTCACGGCTGCCATGAGCTTTTCACTTAGTGCGTTGAGTTTGCGTATAATCGGCGCCTTGTCGAGTGTCGTGGCTCGTAATTCGCTATCGGGACGATTACCCTGGCGTTGGCTATGGTTTTCTTCATTTCCTTCCAAATCAATGAATTTGGGAATGTGCATTTCGGAAAATGCCGTTCGAAGACCAGTAAGGTCGGGGTGGTTGAGGAATTCCTCTGTATCCAGATACTTATCCCGAGACTCCTTCGATGGGTCGAATTTGAGACCGCGGAGTTTCATGAACAACTGACTTTGAAAGAACCGAGACCAGAATTCCACTTCGGATTTGCATTTTTTGGGAACGACTTCATCGTAGATCATGCGCATGACCGGATACTGCTCAAAAATGGCACGCACGTGGTCTTGCGTCAAGCTCAGCTTTGTGCCTCCATCTTCACGACGAAGTTCTGAGAAGACGTTGTATTTGCCCCTCCCTTGATTTTGAGCGATAGCGTGTGCACGCAGCAGGTGGACTCGAGAGGACCAGAATTGCGCAGTGAATTGCATAGTCGAGATAGACTCCGGCTTCAGGCTCAGGGCTTCCATGAACGTTCTTTGCAAGACCGGGTCTTCTTGCATTAGAGATTGCTGAAGTTTGACATCTCCCTTTAGTCGCTCATCGTCCTCCCAGACACTACTCGTTCGACCGGCCCCCGAAATAGCATTCGCTATGGTCATAGCAGCAGATTGGCCGCCGGTAGAAGCAGTTGCCACATTTTGAGCCGCTTTCTGTGCTTGAATGACATTGGCCAAAGCGTCTTTGATGGCGTTCGCCTCGCCTCGAGGATCATTGGTAGAGGTGAACGTGAAGACATAAGCTATGGGCTCAGCTTGACCGGGATCCTGTGCAAAAATTTTCAGCATGACTTTGGCACTGGATTCTGGCGTCTGTTGCAAATTGGTGATGTTGACTGCCGACAATACCAGACTGGGAGCGGCATCCGGTGGTTGAGCTGGAGTCCATGATACAGATTTGCGGTCTTTAGATATGGCCAATATACCCGGCTGTTTCTTATAGGATGCCTGTCCTCGTGGCGGAGCCATTGCTGTCTATCTCTCGACGACACTGGATATGGGGGATTCCGACCCGCCGCTTTGACGGATCGTGTGAGACCAAAAAGAGGATATCGACTTTGGCATTGCGTTTGTGATGGTTGAGTCAAACCTCACAAGGCGAGATTATACGAATTGGAGCTAGCGAGCTAAGCCGGGAATCGGATTCACAGGAGACTGTTCATTATCATTGACTGTCTCCCATCCTTTGCTTTAAAAAAGGGGGAAGGCCTCAAACGAAAGACTCGAAAGGAAAGGTCGAAGTCAAAATCGAACTTGATCACGAGAAAAGCTGTAGAATGGAGTGATCAGGCAAATCCGCCAAGGCTAAAAGATAATTCTCCATGCCGATTTAAGGACGACAATATCGCCGCCCTACAGATGTGCTCGCAGTGGTGCAGAATACATAATGCTGCTTTAACCCCATGGCTAGGTGACCTACTACTTCATACTTTCAGCCTTACACCAAAAGCACGAGCACCAATGTCTCAGCGGCTTCAGCACAAGTTGGAGAAATTTCTCGATGAGGAGTTCGGAGACGATTGGGACCTCGAATCCCGACTGAAGCTCTATGTTTTTGACTTTGGTTGGATCCATTCGCTAACCGACAGCAGGCGGAACTCGAAAGTCTATCCGTTTAATAGCAAGCACCTGAAATGCTTGTCCTCTCGCCCACCCAAGGCGAGTCTCGCCTTAGAGTCAAGTTCGGAAGAGCTGTATATGGTGATGTCCTTCGGCCAGGCTGCTTGCAGTTCCAGTGAGACCTGGACTCATACCCATGTTTGGATTGGACCACAAGCGCCATGTGTCATCAAATTGGACAGGAAAGGGATACGATCTCTGCTCCACCCTCCACGCTCATTCATAGCTATGACCGATCAGGATGGGGACACACACTTCTGCCGCTTGAGCCGACCAATGCACCTTTCGTGCTCGTTTTCTACGCTCAGCCTAATTTTTATCTGTCTGTTCGAAAGGACTTGAGGGAAATGTCATCCAATCAATCACGATACAAAATACTGTGGGCGCATTTTCCCAGCTCCAATACGGATTCTGCCTTCCTGACGGGCCTCACGATCCCAAAGTCCTACACCCCATTCTCTCACCATCTTGTTGGTGCCTACCATAGATGGTGCCTTCCGGCTTCCCTGTCTAGATTTCTACTCCCTTTGGAATACTCTCAAAGAACATTCTTCCCCTTTTCCAGCCACACAAGCAGACATCACAAAGGAGTGCCAACGATGGAGACAGATGATAGTTACACTCCCAGCCAAGACCGACATGCTTTGAGCCGTTTGTTTCGTTTAGTTCAACGTAAGCTCTCCAAAAAAAAAAAAAAACCCAGCAAACAGAGGACCCCGTTGGTGAACCAACTATTGGTATTACAACCTTTCGGCGGAACAATTTGGACAATCTTGTAATGCCGTATGTCTATACTTTTAGCTTTATTCCTTCATGAACCGTGCCTCGATGCACATGTAACGTCAGAATCACATCGTGCGACGTTTCAAGCTCCTGAAAATGCTCCAACAGGGTTCTGGATGCCCTCTCCCTCAGATCCGAGTCCAAGTCAACGAAACACCAAAGCCTTTGCAGTTGCTAACGGTAAGAATGCATTCAGAGGAACAATCCATAAAAGCCACCCCTCTGCTTCCTTCGTCGACATCCGGGTCACAGCTCGTCAATCGTGGAAAGTAGCTGTTGCTCTACGATGGACCAATGGAGGTTATCCACACAATTCGGGGCATCTGCTTCTATTATCTAGTGCTTTCTGGACCAGCACCTCATGGGTAAATCTTCTCAGGTGATGGTTCAATGCGTATCACTGGCACGGAAGATGCTAGAGGTGATTGAAAAGACTCCTCCGGTGCACTTGGGGAAATGATGCCCTCATAAAAGTCCGATTCTCTCTCTTTCCCTTTTGGGTTTCCTGTTTGGTCAGTGTCGACAAAGTCTTGCCTTTGCAGAGCATCCCAGTCTCGATCAAAGGTCCTCACGTTCTCCTCCAGCCTCATTTTGAGGTCGTCCGCTAGAATCCGATCATTCCAGTCAATGGGAAGCATCTGCTTGGTACACTGCAGCCAGACTTCGACCTGGGGTTTTGGGCCTGTCCCTACATTCTTCACTCAGAAATTCAAGTTTTCTCTGGACGCAGTCCTTCAAAGCATAGCCAGAACCTGCGTTTGCTTTGCCCCAGAATTTGTCAGACCGGCTCTTCTCTCCAAATCCTTTCTCCTTGGTCCTCAAATCAGAAAACCCGTCTACTGTAAACTCAGAATCAAAACACCAGAGTAGAAGTTCGAGAAAGACGCAGCCCAGTGCCCACAAGTCTGTCTTGCGAGATGTATGCCCGTGTATATGACGATCTGGTGAGTCGTAAGTCTCGGCGCCGTCGGGATTTTCGGCGTACTGAGACGTAGTAAACTTATATGCTTTACACCGTCTGAGCTCTTTTATGCTGGCCGAACCAAAGTCGCCTAGCTTTAGAATTCCATATTCGTGCTTGTGACTCTCACAAACAAGGATATTGTCAAGCTTAATGTCGCGATGGTATCCTGTTGCTCGTGACTCGGTGAGTCTCGATGGGGGTGCCCAAGTCCCCATTGCCGGCCCAGGGATGGCTTTTTCGGGGGCTTCCCCAGGCTCTTCTTCCCTCATGTTGTGTATTAAAGCTAAAGCCGACGCGATACCTGCCACTTGGTCGAGCAGCCACCTTGCGAAGCGGGCGTCGTACATTCGTGGCAAACCCGTCTCCTCGTCGAGGGGAATGGACAGCAGGGATCTATCCTGCCTCGTATCTCGGCCTGGGGCTTTATTGGCCGAGAGACCCATCCAGGCTTTGAGATTTGTTTTAGCCAGCTCGAACAAAATGTAAAAATTCTTGTTCTGGCCCCAAGCGGCATAGAATGTGACAATGTGAGGGTGGTCCTCCTTTCTGAACTTTCAAATCATCCTCAGAGCTTGTTGTTCTTGCTTGAATTTGGCTTCCGTCCGTTTATCCTCTCCAAGGAATCGCTTCAGGGCAAAAGGCTTGTCTCTCATCTAGGGCTAGATCAGCTTTAAGTCGAGAGAGTACATCACCAAGTTGTCTGCTTACCGGAGAGAAAACGTGATGATCGGGATGAATCTTTGAACACTTGGCCAAACATTCCCTGACCAATGGGCTTTTCTTCCTTTCCAGACGGCCATTCGATCGGGACAATAATATGCTTATCGAGCATTTTTGTATCTTCACTCTCTTCCTTTGAAGCAATCATGTCGTCCTTGAGGCCAAATTGGTGGAGGAAGAAGTCTGGAAGAGTTTCATTAAACTCTTCCCATTGATGATCGTAAGGCGCGGGACCGTCCACTGACTTGGGGCATGACTGGTTCCTCGAATGCCATGGTGTCAAATCGGTGAGCCCCTCAAACTGCCTGAATATAGTCTGAATGCAGCTCTCTCGCATTTTCGAACGAATGCACACGGCCAAAATTCTTCGACGTTCACGGAAGATATCTTTTGCTAGACGTGATTTGGCTTCTTCTGAAAGGTTCGGCCATTCCCTGATGACCTGCTCGATGACATTCTCGGAAAAAAAATCTGGTTGACCTCAGAATCGTGGAAAGTAGTGCCTGTCCTCGAAACTAATCCTCTTCTTCTTGGAGAGTTCCTCCATTAAAACATTGGTATAAGCTTTCCCATGAGTAGGTGGCACACTCAAAGCAGAATAATCCCAATGAATGTGAACTTCGGCGGGAAGAGCGGGATATTCACTGATACAACGATATAAGTATCGGAAGAGGTTTCCGGATAATTGCTCCTGTAGCCGCAGGTCGAAGGCTTCTGTGCTGGATGCTCCCACAAAGATGACATAATATCCGTTGATAATTGCAATGGAGCTCCACTGAGCATCATCAATACCAACGTTGAGGTGGCCCCTACTACGAAGCCATTCCAGAACCTCCTGTCGTAGGTATGGCCAATTTAAGAGCTTCTCCCATGGTACTTTGAGCTTCATGAGATGTTTTTCACTATTGTTGACTCGAGTATCATGTGGAAATCGAACTGCGTGGGTGTTTTGTCGGTGTGATTAGCATCATTACGATGATGATGAGGAGAAGGAGAAGGGAAGAGATGATTGGATTGGCTCCGCAGCATTAATGGCCGAGACACCTCATAGCTATAAGAATTGTTTGACGCCGGTCTGATTGATGGCGCTGTCGGTTTTGGTTCAACTGACAGATCAGAGCGTTAACGAACGAGCCTCGATGTCGACGTGGTCCATGGATTGGATCCGATGGGTCGTGGTAGTGGACCACCTAAGACGAGCTCTTGCTGATCACACTCGAAATGGCTCGTAACGGGGCGTTAACGGACGAGCCTCGATATCGAGATGATCCATGGATTGGATCCGATGAAAGACCACCGCCATCGGATCCAGTCTGTGGACCACCCAAGCCCTGACTGATCACACTCGAGATGGCTCGTAATAAGAGATAAGACTCCTGAGCAGCCTACAGGTAGGATTCAGGTATCTGCAACTCCGCCTCCACCAGACCACACCATATTAAAGCCTTCACCACAGATCTCTGACGAGGCTTCCGATATGCCTCCCCTATCTACAGCGTCACCAGCTCCTGGAAGACATTGGATTTCATAGCCCTGAATGGTGGAGGGCGGGTATAAAAAAGCTGGAAGTGATAGTGTTTGGGTGGCAACGATTAGGTGCAGATAAGCTTTGTGCGAGCTTTGCAGTGGCTACTTTACAGAAGCTCTGAGGCGACAGCGAGGTAGATAGACGAGTGTTACCCAAAGCAATAATCATAAGACCACAACTTTGTATGGGATTTGAGCGCCACAGTTCTGTGGCGTAGTAGCGTAATGCGACGCCAAGAGCGACGGTCCGGGAGACGTCTCGCATGGGACTAATAACCCTAGCACCTAACCCATTTTGGGTCCTTCTCAACTCTCTCTGATACATCGGTCAACTTACACTGACATATCCGTCGAAGCACACTGGCCAACTCCTTCGACAACACTAGTCGACTCGATGGATTGGACCAATCCCGATCTTCCATTTCTCCATATCGACTTGACACAACTTGTATGTTCCGGTGTCCGCTACAGTAATCACCACCCGCTTTTCTCATCTCGATGTTTGTCGGATTTCCCACTGCTGACGCTGGCGAGCGCCAACGAGTATACATTCAAGTCTACCGCTTCATCTACTTCCTTACCATTTTGCTTCTCTGTAGCAACGGGACTGTGGATGTTCAGATCTTGATCGGTTTGGCGAATCAGACCTACGTGCTTGGTGTTTTTGAGGGGCTTCGCAATTGGGGACTTTGGCTCACCGTGGCTATGCGTTGCATACGCTCCATGTGCACCACGTTAATGCGTTGGTCCCTTCTTGCAGCCCTACGGCAACACTCAAGCTTTTAGCATCCTGTGACGGCCTTGAAAAATGAAAATCTTTGGGAGAGGCGTTTGACCCTGACAACTATCAAAGACACCACGGGACCTTGTGGTCGACACACCTTGATTTCTTCCACATTGCATTGCGATGCCTATGCTTCCCTAATTTCTGTGGTCAACACACAGAACATGTAGTGCATCCGACCCCCCACTTCCGGCCCACGGAATACGGTGTACAATTCCTGTCGAACCAATGGTAGCAGGTGCCTCTTTACTGGGAAAAGGGGTTATTACTCCTATGCAAGATATTGGGGTAGGAATAGGAGAAGAAAAGGGGTCGACCACAGGTGTATAAATACCAGCATCCTGGTAGGACCAGTTGCTAGATAGACAGAGAGTCTTCAATACCATCCACATTGCACCAAGAATTGCAACCACCCGTCCGACAATACCACATGTCGTGACCTTTGCCACTGCACGATCGATTTCCGAGGCTTTGGCTATGGCTAGGAAAGGGGTGTCAGGGAGAGCGAAAGACCACCGAGGCACGAGTTTGGCACGAATCCGTAGCGGCCAGCATCCCCGGCTGACTTCCTGATACCCTGGATGAGGCGACACGAAGAGACGGGACCATCGCTTGCGTGGTAGCCCAACGAAATCCAGGGGAGCTCGGGAGGACATTTTGGCGGACCATGATTACCCGGTGGCCTTATCATTATGGCCAGACCCCTTCTGGGTCAAATGGATCCAGTCCTACCCTACAGATGATCTCGAAACTTACCTACATACCCCCTCTACAGACACATTGGAACTTTTTCCAACCAAATCTACGCTGTACAGTAAGACTGCGTAGGGGTCGCGCTTTTCCAAAATTTGTCATAGCGTGCCCCATTATCAGTACCGATCAGCAACGAGATTATTTCATCACGGTATCGCTAATGCCGTTGAGTTCTTCGTAACTAGAGGCCGCGGATAGGATATTCACGGGGGTAAAAGGGTAGCTTCTGTATTTTACAGCTTAACGGAAGTTGTAGGGAAATCTGCCGTCGCTTCTGGCGACGTTTTTTCCTTTAATATTAATACAATAGGTTCCAGATATAGCCCTCTTCAGAATGAGCAACGAAATCCTTAAGTCCTTAACCGAAGATACCTTTGACCATACCACTTTCAAAGGCGCTTCCTTATTGTAGAAGTAATGATAAACGATAAACGGAGATCCAGGGTTAATAAGCCACCCCTCTTTAGTCTGCCCGTTCGGGTTCATTCAATAACATGGGACAATAGAAGGATTTGGTGTTGTGGTTTCCGGCGTGATACCTGCAGCCTCTCTGGTAGCAACCCATTCACAGACTCTTTCCAAGGAATTGTCCACATCGGAAGTAAGGTCCGGAACAAACCAACCATTGTCATCATCACTTTCATCGTTGTCAAAGTCCAGGATTGGCCATCTAGCAGCACCAGACATCCCCACGAGACGTTGGAGAAACCATTGCATCTCTAAGAGTTCCACACTAGGCAACGGTAATCTTTCCGGGTCCTTTGTTGTGAAAGTGAACACCTCTCCAGAACGAATATCATGACGAGTTAAGCCATCATCGTGAATACGAGGTAAGAAATATCCCTCGACAAAATCCAAGTCTTTGGTTGATTTGGGTTCCGTAAGTAAATCAATTCGACTGTCAATCTCGTACTTGGTCGGAACTTGCCAAAAGAGCTGAACAGTCAAAGTCTTACGATCACTTGATAGTTGCAGCGGCTTAAGTGCAAATATCCCCTTATTCCACATATTATGTGTTTCGGACGAGAGAGAGAGGAGATTGAAGCATTTATCAATACCGGTATAAGGATTTTGGGGATCTTGAAAGATTGTGCTTTTCCATTTATCGATCCGGTCCCGGTCCCAGAAGAGTCGTAAAGATTGCCAAAATTCGGGGATCCCGTTGGATGTTTTGTTTCGATCAGCTGTCGAGCGTGGATTAAGCATGCAATAGGGGAATGTATGGGCAGCCTGGGGATCTGGCTTTCTCGTCAAAACGCATCGGTGATCATCACGCTCTTTGCACTATATATACTATTAGATAGGGGTATTCTGAGAAGTTGAACAATCTAGACGAACGTTATTCACCTCTTTCGCCGACCGCGACACCGATGATTTTGTACCAGAATTCAGTTTGGGACTCTTTGGCTCCTTTGGCCGTTCTGAGGCTGCCTCTGGTTCTCCGAAATTCGAATCTCGTAATTTTTGAGTCCCTATTAATAGTTAGTATGTCTATGTTAAATGTTATCTGGATTTAACCTGAAATCCTAAGAGCTCACATTGCAGGGGTATAAAGTATGTTGAACGCTCGAAGTGAATAACGATTTCCCGATCCGTTTCGGCGATGACTCGTAAGCGGTTTATATCGGCGAGTTGACAGCAAGCCCAGAAGGTAGAGGAGACGGGAGCGCCGTCAAATACCTCCTTAATTTGGGTCAAGAGCTCGGTGCGCTCCGATGAGCGTATATTGTAATCCTCATCGTTGAAGCCAGATGGTTCTGCCGTCTGGGCCATTCCCTTTCGTGTTTTCTTAGGGCTTTTGGAGGATCCCTTTCTGGATCTCTTCTTTGAAGGGGCCATTTGAAACAGTTTTGTACCCTTGAGCCGACGCAGACTAAGAATGGAGATCGGCACGGTGGTAACTAGGCGACAACCACGTCAAGCCCTAGGGTTACATGTGGGGGTCGAAACTGGCAGGCAGAAATAATACCTGGGGTTTTCGAAACCGAGAGTGGAGGCTCTATCTGTGTTTATGTAAAGTAGGGTAGGAGCGCCAGTGGAGGGTGAAAGAGACGTCGATATCAGAGATTCTTGTCAGTCGACATTAAATGCGGCGAGGTGCCAAGCCTTGGCGACCGCAAGCATGAGTCTCGAGAGAGCGACCACCCACGGCGAATCGCGTACAGCAGCGACGTTGCTAAACACCAATTGAGCCTAGTGGTGCGAACAACATAGAAGAGGAGATTGATCCTGTTGAGCTGTCTATGCACTAGAAGGAGTAGAAAGGTTGAGGGTGCAAGTTGCTTCAAGTGACACGCGCGGGCGTGACACGCCAAGCCTTCTGGTCAACACACAACTATGCAGGGATTCGTTCAAGACTCACGGGAAGCTCACAAGGCGGCAGGAGAATTGCAGAGGCGACACAACAACGGTGCGCAAAGATTTCATTGAAAGCGTAGCTTTCTTTTAATCCTGACTCTTCTGCATGTGACCTCGATCGTGGGCCAAAAAAAAAAAAAAAGACCGTAACGTGACTTCGCGACCCCAGCCCAGTTTCCTAGCGCGTGTCGAGCGCGTGCCTATGTAGACCTCTCCCGCCCCAACCTTACATCCAGACAGAACAGCGAACCAATGACTTCCAAATTTTGCTCTGCGTGCCTTCAAAAACTCCTCCTCTCTTCTTTTCTAGCAGATCCCTCTAATCCAAGTAGTAAGATTCGTGCCACCTGTATTAATTGCCGGAATCGGAACGCTCGACTGCGTGAGAAGAGGAAAGATCTCAACATGCCTTCGAAAAGACCGGCGATTAGCCATGCCTCTACACGCTCTCTCCCTCCACCCGAATCACGGCCGCAACCTCCGCTCCCACCACCTACGGGCTTCCTACCGGCGGATCAATGGAGGTTCATCCAGGAATTTTACAACGCCTTGGATGAGGTCAAAATGGAGTCCTGTCTTCGGTGTCGAGAACGGCGGTTTGCGATGAATTCGAGGAACGAGATCTGCCACGCCTGTTTCTTGAGAGATAAGGGTTCCCAGTCTCCTTTTCTGATGTCTACGGATAACGAAATGGATCCAGGCGAGATTCCAGCCCATTTACCGGCCTTGACCCAAGTGGAAGAGATGATTATTGCCCGTTCCCATGTGCATATGTTAGTTCATCGATATCGAAGCCACCAGAATCACTAAAAGAGAGGCCCCCTCCTATAGTCCATTTCTAACGAACCTATAGATGGGGCGCCGCAGCCAGTGAAAAGCTTCAGCCACACAAGTTCAATTACAGAAGAGTTTGAATCAGTGACCTCCCAACGGGATGAACAAGACGACATCATCAACAATCACTGGCTGGAGCATTACGTTTACCCATCTAGGGCACCTAGAAAGCTAGGCCGGACAACCCTCTTACCTTACCTATGATCGAACACTAGTAAGGCCCCTCAATTCTATCGGTTCGACTGCAAGCCGAGTGTTTTACCACTCGGTTACGTCCTTGATAGGTCAACCACGATTTATTTTGAAGCAGTTTTTGGCGGTATAAAATATAAACCTGAAATTTTTTTTAAAAAAAATTTTGGAATCGCCTGGCTAGGGCTTGGCGTTGTGTGGCGACGCCAAGAGCGACGTGCTGGCCGATCATGTAAGCATATGGATTGGCAGTGTCACGTGGGCACGTGGGCACTGCCGCACCGTCATCGGATCCAATCCGTGGACCATGTGGCCAGAGGGGCGCCGGATGTCGATATCGAACGATCCACACATCGGATCCAGTCTGTGAACCACCTCAGACATGCTCACACTTCGTAACCGAGCGTGAACGGACGGGCCTCGACGTCGAGGTGATCCATAGATTGGATCCGATGGGGCCGTGGTATCTCATCGGATCCAGTCTACGGACCAAGTGGCCCCGGGGAGGGGGGGCGCTCCACTAGGCTAGACACCTAGCAGCAACGAGACCAGGCGCTTACTACTGTACTGTGGTGTCAGGGCATTTTTTCGTGACCACCCTTGCAACTGCTAGAAGGCTCTAGAGTATGCACTAAGCCTAATTGGGCAATTATGATGACACCTAGTCCCCTAACTGGTAATCCTCTGTAACCTTACTATTGTCAATACAGTAGACCTAGAAAGGCCTACAACACCACCTCCCCGGGCGCCCTCCCAAGCAGCTCCGGGGGTGCAGCCGCCCGCAACACCCCACCGGAAGTGCCTAACCCGCGACCAAAGACGAGATATTCTATTGATGCGGAGCCTAGGATATAGCTACTATAAGCGAGTACCGAAGCCGCAGTAAACGGGCTGTCGAGTCCGATTTATCATTCCTCAAGGTGACTGCATTTTTGGAAAACCTAGAAGTCGCAGCAATTGTTCAGTCCTTGCACTGTACTCTAAGACAGCGCCCGATAAGTGATGAGTGGCGGATGAAGATTGAATTCTGGATCTGGCAAGCAGTTCCCTTTCATGATAGGCAACACTGCGGCTGTGAAGCCCTGCCTCTCCGTTTGACATCCTTTTCGTTACCATTGGAAAGGTGTCTCGTCCGCAAAAGGGCCTTGCTTTGCCTCGTTGCCGATCGTCTGTAGTAAAAGATCCTGTAAATCAATGCGGTTCCTTGCAGTGGCTTGATCAATTAATGTGCCTTCCGATCCTCGTGTTTGGGTTGCTGGTTTGATAGATGGGGAGGTTCCTTCTCTCATCGAAGCCACTGCCTCTCTTTCGCCGCTTCTATAGTTTCCTAGGGTCGTTACCTGCTTGTACGGATATTGTCTCCTCCTTGACCAGTTGGACATCCTCTTGAAGGTCTGCGTCTTGAAGGGTTAATCTTTCCCTCTCTTCCTCTTGCCGTCGTTCGTTTTCCTGATGCTCAATGACATGATCATACTCCGTTGGGTGAAGCCTTTTCCATCCTCTTAAGAATTCGAGTCCATCAATCTTTTTGGGAATATAAACAGTTCCGTCCGGACGATCTTGAGCTCGACTTCTGGGTTGCATTTCCAAGGTCACAAAGGGCGTGAGCTATCGTGACCATCAGCAACGGCTATAAGATTTCATTCAAATACACACTCACTGAAAAATTCTCTGTTTCAGGAACATTGAAATGCGGAGTTTTTCGCCAGTCAATCACGTAGCCTCCATGGCCATTATGTGCACCCATCGATCCCGTTCGATTTCCTCGATAGAAACCACGGCCAACCTGCTTGGTGGTGAAACGCAGACGTGCGCACAATTGTGGTGACGGATTAACCATGGCGATCAATGGAGCTGGTGTGATTGTAAAGTTGTCGTGATCAACAACTCTGGGAAGAGTTGAAGCTCCATTTGACGCGGCGACAGAAAAGTTCCCGCCAAGACGGTATCTCCGGCGCCAAACAAATTATCCCCGACCAACTTTTTCTTGCCCACAGAATTTTTGGGCTATCCGTTGTCAAAGATAGAGCCCCCAGGCCTCAATAATTGAATTACAATGCCTCGTCAAGCACATGGCCGGCCCTTGAATGCAGCCAAACCGAAAAGGGCCCCGAAGAAAAGAAGAGACAGGAATCGCCGACAGAATGCCCTTGAGATTGCGGAGCAAGAATATCCGGACGAAATTAGAATTCGGCAACACCGACTTGGAGAAGTTGAAGATGATTCAGATGATCCATACGATCGAGAGGACGTTGGTGAGAGATCATCAAAGAGAAGGAAGATCACCACAGCGCAAGAAGACGAAGCTGCAGAGGAAGGCTCCGACCTCGATGGCAACCGGTGGCATGTCGGTGTAGAAGGCGACGAAGAGGACAGTGACATCGATAGTGATGATGCTTTTGGTCAGAGTGATGAGGAGAGATTTGCAGACTTTACCTTCCGTGGCACAAGCACATCCGCCCGGCCAAAGAAGCAGGGTCATAAAATCGACCTGGATGAAAGTGGATCTGTCGATGAAGAAGATGAAGACTTTGGGGATGATGGTGTTGACTTAGCTACAGCTTGGGACATGGACGATGAAGCTGAGAGCGACGCAGCGACGAAGAAGAGGAAACACTCCAATCACCTGGATGACGATGATGACGAAGACGAGAGATCAGATTCGGATTCTCGTGGAGAAGATTCTTCTGCAGATGAAGATGATGACCAGTCTCAGCTGTCAGTTACTGACGACGAAGGAGACCACTCTAGACTTCAGAGTTTTGTTGAAGGTCTTGCAGCCAGCGGCGAGGCTCGGGCATCTAAAGGACAGAAGACAACTAAGATATTGTCAGACAAGCCCTCTCAATTTGGCCTCAGCTCTTCGAAAATCTCAGCTGCCGAACTATTACACTACGTCAAAGATACTCGCCAAAGACAGTCATTGAAGATTTTGCAAAACCGCGAGGTGAAAGGAAATGAGGTCTATCAAAACGGAATTCCTGGAAAACTCGCTCCCCCCTTGGCCAAGCGGCAACAGGATCGCCTTAACCGTTCAGCGGCTTATGAGGAAAGCAAAAAGGAACTGAGTAAATGGATTGAGACTGTTAAGCGGAATCGGCGTGCTGAGCATATCTCGTTCCCGCTTGAAGACCCTGCGGCCGCCGGTATGTTGAACAATAAGCAACTAGGCCCTACGTCCCAATCGAAACCTATGAACTCTCTTGAATCCACGATTCAAGACATCATGATTGAGAGTGGCATGGTGTCCAAGGGGCATCGTTCACCTGAGGAGCAGGAACAAGCTGACGAAGAGCTTCACGAAAAGAGAATGCCTCTGGAGGAAGTTCAAGCTCGTCGAGCGGAGCTCCGGAGAGCCCGGGATTTGATGTTCCGGGAAGAAATAAAGGCGCGGCGAATCAAGAAGATCAAAAGCAAGGCGTACCGCCGTGTTCACCGCAAGGAGCGTGCCAAAGCCAATCTGGAAAATAGAAGTCTGTTGGTGGCACAAGGGTTGATTGATTCAGATGAAGAACGTGAGAAGAGCCATCGCCGGCGAGCTGAAGAACGCATGGGTGCTCGCCACAGAGAAAGCAAGTGGGCAAAAAGTGTCAAGACTACTGGTAGAGTCGCTTGGGATGACGATGCCAGACATGGAGTCGCAGACCTTGCCCGTCGAGATGAAGAGCTTCGAAGGCGTATCGAAGGCAAGACAGGTGGCGGCTCTGGGGAGTCTGAGTCTGAGTCGGGAGACTCCGACGAACTTTCTGGGACAGATGATGAGAAGGAGAGGTTACAGATGAAGCTCACCGATTTTGAACAAGATGGACCAGGTTCGATCCAATCTCGACTTGGTTCAATGGCATTTATGAAGAAAGCAGAGGCAGCAAGGAAAGCTGCGAATGATGAAGAAATACGGAACATCAGACGCAGTTTGCGAGAAGAAGATGGTGAACTGGGTGGTAATACAGATAGTGAGAATGAAGCTCCAGCTGGGCGTCGAAAGTTCGGGTACAAAACAAAAGCTGAAGAATCGACACGTAATACTCCCGTCCAAAGGAGCGAATTCGAGGAACGCGAATCGGATAGTGAGTTCGACCAGGAAAACAAAAGGGAACTTGACGAAGAGCCAATGGTCGAGCGCCGGTCATCTGCCGTTATCACGCCTCACCAACCGGTGTCTCAACCATCCAAAACTGCCGGCACGGAAAAGGCAAATCCAAGCACCCGAGCGTCGAAGCTGGTAAAATCACAAAGAAAAGAAGGCAGAGTGCCAGAAACCGAGCTAAACGAGTATACTAGCCCTTCCGAATCCGAAGATGAGCAAGACAGCAAAGCTGCTCTGGCACAGGCTATATTTGCCGGCCCCGATGAAGTTGAGCAAGATTTTGCACGGGAGAAGAGGGAAACCGTTGAAGAAGAGGGCGATCAAGTCATTGACAACAGCCTTCCGGGCTGGGGTAGCTGGACAGGCGAAGGGATCAGCAAGAAAGCTCAGAAGCGGGCACAAGGACGCTTCTTGACCATCACCAAGGGGGTGGCACATGATAAGCGACGAGATGCCAAATTAGAGCGGGTCATCATCAACGAAAAACAGGTGAAGAAGAACAGCAAGTATCTGGCAAGCGAGTTGCCGCATCCCTTTGAGTCACGACAGCAATATGAGCGATCGCTTCGTCTTCCTTTGGGCCCTGAATGGACGACCAAGAGCACGTTCCAGGATGGCACCAAGCCCCGGGTATTGTTGAAACAGGGCATCATCCGGCCAATGGCGCGGCCTATGATATAAGGTTTCGGAGGGAATGGTTGCTCGGGCAGGTGGCGTCGACTCGTCTGAGGCTTGGGACTCTTGAAGAAGGATGGCAGATAAATATGGCAGATGATGCTGAAAATGGACATTGTTCAGCCTTTGTCACCCCCTGCCTGTCATTCTGCCTCTGGTGGTGGTCCTGGTGGTTGTTGCCCCTGAGCCTTGTGTAAATAATGTTATTCTCCGAGTCCAGTTCTCCATGCCGTACTCCACAGGTTGGTGGCTCCATTGTCACTTGTCGACCCCGAACTACGGTTTGACCCTTGAGAAGTACCTGGCTAGGAAATGATTGGTGGATTTGCTTCTGTCCAGCATGATTGCGTCAAACAAGAATCGTGGAAAATCCCCGAATAAGATTGCCGAGTGCTGCCGATATTGGCTGCGGCGATTCTGACTTGAAATGGTCCCCTGTAAACAAATCACAACATGTTCTTCGAATGCGACAACAACATGGACATGGAGGCAACATGATCATCCCGAGACCACTCGATCTGCGGTGAACTATCTTGAAATCAAGGGTCTTGCTGGAGAGAAACAGAAAGAGCAATGAACTGACGGTCCAGTTCGTGTTCGAGCGACATCTGACAAGCCATCTCAATGCCGTCGTCCTCTTCATCCCCCTCCTTCAACCGCTTCCACCAATCACCCTTAATTTTCTCAGCCTTGTTCCTATCCATCAAAGTTTCTTTACCGACCCTATCCCCTCGGGGCTCTCATTTATTTTTTTCATCACTCTAGCTGCTTTTTCCCTTGCTTCTTCCTGGTTGCCGCACCTCCCCTCCTCGGGGAAAGGTTCAAGCTCAAGCACGAGCCCGCGGGCCGAGAGACTGACAGGCACACTGATCACAGTTCTCGCCGTGCATGTTCGGGCCAAAGCCTGCCGGTCTCGCTCTGGTATGCTTCTGGACTTTGACGCCTCCTCTTCCATGAGCCTCTTCGCCTCTCTCACGCTTTCTCAACAAGGAAGTCTGTTGTGTCGTCTCCGTTCGCCATCTTCTGTTCGCCTTGGGATCTGTGCATGAGTCAATTCAGCCGTCAGCTTCCATCCACAGCGAGCAGTCTTACAGAAAACACAAGATACTGTGTCTTTCGCTCTGTTTTCCTCGATCATTTCACACTCTCTGTCTCTCACTGCGTGACCGCTAGAAGCCTTTTGCAACCACAACGAACCAAAATTTCTTCAAATTCCTTGCAAGAGCCCTCCTCACCAATAATCAATCGTCTCTCTACATCTCGACTGTGCACATGATTTGCTAATCAACAAAATCTGACAATTCCCCTCCGCCTCTTTATCATGTTTTCAAAATGGGTTCCGATTGTGCTAACAGTATCACAGGTATTCCTCGCTGGCGCTTTACCTGCTCCTCGTTTCGACGGCCCGCCAGGAAATCCGGATCCCGCCTGCGATGATCAATTCCAGGGTCCCTCCGGTGACGACTTACTAACATCCTCATTGCCCTCTCTCGGCGTCGATACAGCTTTCTTTACACGCAGGCCCCTTCGTTCCACCTCATATCCAGATGGCAATCCCTTCTCAGACTCTTCTGCAACATGGAATATTCAACCCAGCTCACCGGTATCAGACAGAGTGGCTCCAGCCTCGTCAACATGGGGCACAGCTGCCGATTTCAACGGGAATTCGGGTGGCCCCCAGAACTGGAACAGTGAAATAGTAGATGACGGAGGTGCCTCACAATCGCAAATCTACAGGTCCGCCATTACTTTCGTCGATCCGCACCTCAGCATCCAAATCGTCACGGTCACAGCCATCCCTTCTTCGCAGAGCCCGACAGTGACTTCAGCCAGTCAGAGTGTGCCAGATACATCAGGGGTAACCAATTTCACTCCCTCTTTCTTATAGCCAAGCCGCTAATATTTCCAGGTGCTGATAACTACTCTCGAGACTGGCGGAAATCCTCCTGTCCAGCCATTCCCAACAAGCGTCCCCACGGTATCGTCAGCCACCTTGCAACCTCTGGACAGTAGAGTCCCCTTCGGAAAGGCAACGGCGACCAGGCTACCGAGCAGAGTAACCGAAACCATCACAGTGCCTCTCGCTACATTCGAGACCGTGATAGTACCACAAACTGTGACTACTGTTCCTGTCGAGACCACCGCTGTTATCACCTCTATTACCATCCTGAACACGACCATCGCTTCTAACGGACGTGCTGTGTCGGCATCTTCTGCTGATACCACGGTCTTCACGACCACAGGGACGGTGTTAGCTGAAACCACTCTGTCAGCGTCTTCAACCATCGCTAGGACAGCGGCGACAACTCTGACAACGGCAGGCTCTGTCTGGGACCTTCCCATTTCCGCTCCAACTTGTTTGCCGGGTATGGACTGTAATGGCCAAGACGTATTTCAGCCGGTTGCACTTGGTCAACCTCCGACCAATATACAACGACGAAGTGGCCATCCTGTTCCTCGACTAGGGATCAACAACGTCACTGACCCCATTGAGACCAACAAATTTTATCAAAATTTCGTCCTGGGCTCTCAGGGTTCTCCGAGTTTTGTGATGCCATACTCGCTGATGTGGAGCAAAGGACACGGCAATGCCCAAAGTTGGGGCATGGCCATATCTCACCTTGGGGAGAGTCAGAAAGTGTATGGTCCGCCCAACACTGTCATACCAAACTCTCCCGTCTCCTATTACATCAATCCGTTGGGAATTCAGTCGATCATATTATCCGCGGCAGAGTTTGGTGCCAATACTGTTCTCACATCGGACTCCTTATTGGAATTTTCTGCCAATATTCATCTTCAACCTGGAGCCGATTCATCTTCGGTGCTGACAATGCCATTGGTTCAGGGCATGGGGTTTGTCACGGGCCAGTATGTCGATCTCCAACCGGCCTTACAAAGCAGCGTCTTCTTCAGAAACGTTGTATCCGCTGGGGAGCCGAAACCTGGTGTCTTCAAGTACAGGGTGACGTTGGAGGATGGAAAAGTTTGGCTTATCTATGCCATCCCGACCAACGGCGTATCTCCAAACTTTCAGCTCATCTCGAGCACGTTGCTCCAAGGTCTTTCAAATTGGTACGGTGACATCCAAATTGCCAAACTTCCCGATGAAAGTCTGGAGTCCATCTATGACAATGCTGCTGGCACATACCCTACGGCTGGAACCATTGGTGGATATGCACAAGACGCCAAAGCTCAATACAGTCTATCCTGGGCCAAAGGGGGCGTATATTCGAACAATACCACCCTACTCATGTTCGCCTTACCTCACCACGTTCAGTCATTTGACTCCATCACTCAAGCAAATGTCACAGATCTGCAACTGGCCACAACTACTAAGGGCAATGCTACGGCAGTCGCAGCAGATTACTGGGTATTAGAAGAGAACGACCTTCCCACGTCACTTGGTTTCGCACCTTGGCGGCCGGCAGGTTCTCAGAGCACGATAGCTCTTTCATCAGCCGCGCTTACTGCTATTCAGAATATCTCCGCCACCGAGGCTTCTCAAAACATGTCGGCTCAGACCAATCTCAACAGCATGTACTACAGTGGAAAAGCCCTCAGCAAGTTCGCCACACTCGTCTATACCATGCACGACCTCGCCAATCAGCGAGACCTGGCCAAATCTGCCCTGCTTGAACTTGAAAGCTGCTTCCAGGTTTTCTCCAACAACCAACAACAGTATCCCTTGATTTACGATACAGACTGGAAGGGTCTGGTGTCGTCGGCAAGCTACGTCACCGGTGATCCCGGGGTTGACTTTGGCAACTCTTACTACAATGATCATCATTTCCATTACGGCTACTTCCTCCACGCTGCAGCAATAATTGGTTATCTCGACCCTCCTTGGCTCGATCAGAACAAAGAGTATGTCAATGCTTTGGTTCGGGATGTCTCGAATCCTAGTCCACTGGACCAATATTTTCCGGTATTCAGATCATTCGACTGGTATCATGGCCACTCATGGGCGAAAGGACTTTTCGAGTCTAGTGACGGCAAGGATGAAGAGTCTTCTTCCGAGGATGCCATGTTTGCTTACGGCCTGAAGATGTGGGGCAAAACTATCGGTGATGCTTCCATGGAGGCTCGTGGCAACTTGATGCTATCTGTCCTTGCACGCAGTCTCCAGAACTATTTCCTTATGACATCCGACAACGCCAATCAACCAGCAACTTTCATCGGAAACAAAGTGACAGGCATTTTATTCGAAAATAAGGCGGACCATGTCACCTACTTTGGCACTGATCTTAGTTATGTTCAAGGGTATGTTGTCCCGATTGCATTGTTCCGGTTTTGGATTAACCGCCTGCAGCATTCACATGATTCCGGTTATGCCTTTCTCGACCCTGACAAGAACGGGTAGGTCGTTTCATTCCGCGGAGGAAGGAATAAAGACCAGCTGATTGTTTAGAACAATTCGTGGCAGAGGAATGGACGGCCTATTTTGCCGATGGCGCTGCAAGACAAGCTTCGGACATTGAAGGAGGTTGGAAAGGTAAACTTCCCGATTCCTTCCCTCCTTTTGGGTGCTGACAACCATGTAGGTATCGTATATGCAAATCTGGCCAATATTAACCCCACAGCAGCATACAACTTTTTCACCCAGCCAAATTTTAATATGAGCTGGATCGATGGTGGAGCTTCTTTGACGTGGTACATCGCGCTGAGTGCCATGCTCGGGGGAGCTCCATGACCGATAGAGCGAGCTAACGATTGACGACATTAACTTTGATTTCTGCATAGAGACGGACGGACTACAAACGGGATTTCCAGGGCAGGTAGAAGGAATTCCAGCGACTGGAACAAAAGGATCATAGAAAAGGCATTCAACGGTATGGTCAAGTTTTAAAAGGGACTGGTGTGCTGGCGGGAATCTGGATCAATGGCTTGTGGGGACCACGGCAATTGTGGAAAGAGAAGGTCAACTGTAATCACAGAATTCAGAAAGCAAGATGAGTGTAGGAAAATGGTATGGCTTTCTTACAAATTGATACAAAAGCTCGATGAGGAGCAGAATCTAGTCATCTTTTCAGTGGGATCGCGTGTCGAGCACGATGACAAACACGAGGAATCATGACGGAAAGGTAGTGGAATGGCTGGCCGGATTGAGTTTGCAGCGGATTGATTTCACATGATGTTCTCAGGCATCAGTTGAAAGGGCTTTCCGTGTCTTCGTGTTTCGTAGAGCAAACTATCATTGCGGCTGAGGATCAGCCAAATAACAGGTCTAGTTGTCTTTGAGTCAAGGGCACAGTCACCTTCTCCTTCTGCAAGATATCGTACGAAGTTCCGTCATGCCAGAAGAATACAAGATCCTGCTTGTTCTTGTCGGGAAGGGCCGCTTTGACCAGCGGAGTCCTCTTCAGGACGACCCGTGCCAGGTGTCGGCGTAGCAGACGAGGAGTGATTTTGTGGGGTTGGTCAACACGGAAATCCTTTCCTCTTAACCCAGGTTTGGGGCCGTCGAGAATCAATGAGGATTGCTTCATGAGCTCCTCCTGTTCTTTGCCCTCCTCAGATGTCTGCGCTTTGGCCCGGCGCGGGATCAGGGCCGGCATGTCCCTTTTGCCCGTCACCATGTCGCGCAGTTCGTTGTACTCTGTCTCTGGCAGCGGCGGGAGCACAGCATCCAGGTTCTCATTGTACCATTTGTGCTTCAGGTTCTTGTACCGGCTCTTTGGTAAGGGCTTGCCCCATCTATTGGTGGCAGGCGGGTTGAAGCGGGGCTTCACCTTCGGGACTCCGTTCTCGAATTGGGCTTGCTGGACAGATTGGCTCTTGACCAGGGCCATCAGTCTAGACGGCGGTTCCCATTCTTTTGAGTATTTTTCAACGGGTCTGCTGTCAGAGGGGGAGAATTCGGGGGAGCTCGATTCGGAGGCCACAAAACTTTCGAGCAACCAATATCGTCGTGGACCCATCCGGCCGTAAGTCATGCGAAGAACCCTTTCCAATGGCCCTGTATGCCCTTCATTGGCGCGTCTAAGCATCGAGAGGAACTTTCGGCCAGAATGCAGGAGGCGGAGTTCTCTTCCAAAGCCTATCTCGCGGCCTGTTCTCGTTCTGCCGGCTGGTTTGTATTTGGGAAGATAGCGACGGAAGGAATGAAGGACATAGTTTTTCATGAACGTGCGGCATCTTGGGAGGGCAAGATAGGTGCATTCCCTGAGCAGGGCACGGTAAAGGTGGAGTGGGTTTGTAGTCATTCCATTTCACATCCTGAGTGAGTGGTGAAGTGTGTGAGAATGGACCGCATGCATTGACTGAAGCTGTTCTGGCTGGACCTGAGGGATAAAAAATACCTGAGATCAAAAACGCGCTAGTCGAGCCAGAAGGAGCGACGCGACAAAGAGGAGCCCCACCGACTAAATCTACGAAAACGACGTGCTACACTTTCCTCCAGCCTCGACTGCAGAAGCCTGCTCTCAACGGCGTGCAGATTCGCAAGCCGCACTTCTATACTCTGTCAAGTCGACTGCTTCGTGTTGACTGCGTTGAACGAAACCCCACCAAATATCGCAGGTTGAACCCACCCTGGGCGCCAACGGCCGAGCCAATTCCTCCGTCCACTTCCCCTAGCCGGTTTCCTCGACATCGCATCTCGATCTCTCGATCCGTGCACATCCACATTTCCAGTTACCGCGCCGGAATATGTTCTGACCCCGGGACCCAAAGATACATTTACTCGACCGCTCACTGTGTGAATTCTGTTATCTTGAAAAATAATGATGGCGTCGGGAGGTATACATTCAGGAGTTTATGCGCAACCACCCCCATCATTTCCTCAACACGGCCATTCGAGTTCCATGAACGGCTCTTTTCCTCAGTCTGCTCCTCCGATGGGCTCTTACGAGGCTCAATCGGTCACTTCAACGCCTGCGCCGACTCCACCTCCTCGTCCTGCCTCCCAGCATCAGCAGCAAACACAAGCACAGCAACAGGCCCAGCAGCAGCAGATGGTATACAATATGAATGGCGCTCCCCCCATGTCCAATGGAGGCATGATGGCTGCTCCAAATAGTTTTGGCGGGTATCCAGACCCGAATGTATATCAGCAGCCATCAAACTTTTACACGAATGGGGTTAAACCGCAAATTTACACGGTTAGTTATTGATGCTGACACCAGGAGAATTTTCTGGAATGTATTTGCTGACCTCGGAACTAGGCCGTATATTCCAATGTCTCTGTTTTCGAAATGGAAGTTAATGGAGTGGCTGTTATGCGACGTCGAACGGACTCGTGGCTAAATGCGACACAGATCTTGAAAGTCGCCGGAGTGGACAAAGGGAAAAGAACGAAGGTGCTGGAGAAAGAAATCACGGGCGAACATGAGAAAGTCCAGGGTGGGTATGGAAAGTACCAAGGTACCTGGGTCAACTATCAGCGGGGTCGGGAGTTTTGCAGGCAGTACGGTGTCGAGCAACTTCTGTTACCGCTATTGGAATACGACATCACCTCTGATGGTATGTCCGGTATGCAACAGGGAATGGAAACGCCGACCAAAGAGCAAGCCATGGCCGCGCAGAGAAAGAGATTGTACGGTGGTGATGGTCGGTCTGTGGGCCAGTCATCGGGAGGCACCTTTTTCAAAAATATGTCCAGCACCGCGGCCAATGCCATTCACGCCTTGAACAGAACCCGATTGGATTCGCCTAGTCAGATGGACGGACGACGCTCCATTGGCCCGCGAAGACAATCCCAATCCTTTAACTACGGTCAGGATACCATGTACGGTCAGGGAGCCAGTCAACAAAGCATGCACAGTATGGCGTCGCAAGAGAGCTTTGGAACAAACGGTGGTGTTATGAGTCAAGGCGCCAGCTTCGCGGAATTCCCCGGCACAGATGCTCAAGAACCTCCCCGAAAACGCATTCGGCCGTCACCACAGTCCTCATTTCTTGGTGGCCCTTACGATGGATCGATGGAATTGGGCCTTCAGGAGGGTACTCCGACCGAACAGAATGCCTCGTTTTTCTCCCAACCCAGCCAGTCATTTATCACGGCCGACCCTCTGTCCTATGGACTTGAACCCCTCCCACACCCTTCTGGACCACTCGAAGAGCAGAAGAAAGAACTCCTTCTGGATCTTTTCATCGATCCGTCGCGAACCGACTTTGACGACCACCCTGCATTCCTTCGGCTGAGTGGAGACGAATTTGAACTTCCGATTGATGGGTCGTGTAATACTGCATTGCACTGGGCGGCAACCTTGGCTCGAATTGCGCTGGTAAGAAAATTGCTCGAAAGAGGCTTCAACATGAGACGAGCAAACAGTGGCGGTGAAACTGCTTTGATCGCGGCGTGCCAAGCTCGAAATAACCTCGACCAGACCAGTTTCCCTGCTCTTTTGGAGCTTCTCGGACCTAGTATCGAGGTCAAAGACGGGCGTGGTCGGACGTTGCTGCACCATATTGCGGTCTCTTCGGCGATGAAAGGAAGAGCGGCCGTTGGAAAGTATTACCTAGAGTCCTTGCTTGAGTATGTGATTCGACAGGGCACGTCGACGGCGCAACCATCCATGTCGTTCGATGCCATGAACGGAGTGCAGAGCCAGAATCAAGGGAATCCCATGACGTTGGCGAGATTCATGACGGATATTGTCAATGCACAAGACAAGGCTGGGGATACGGCTTTGAATCTGGCCGCACGAACCGGCACGACTACAATCATCGATCAATTAATCGAAGTCGGGGCCGATCCTCATATAGGAAACCGAGGTGGCCTTGCCCCCGTGGATTTCGGCGTGGGTGGTCATGTCAGCAATCAGATGCTGGAACAAAGCATGTCGATGTACGAACCGCCTCCCCCCGCGAATGGGTCTTCACAGAAATCCTTTGAGGAGGCTCAAGAAGGACTCGTGACATGTAAGTGACTTGCTTTCTGGAGGTGGTCTCACGCTAACAAGACGCAGCCATACGCGAGGTCCTGTCACGATCCGAGGCTGATTTTACGAGTGAGATGAAAGAAAAGAAAGAGATTCTGGACAAGACCAACGCAGCATTGAAGGAATCGGGCACTTCGTTAGCTGAGGAGCGACGACGACTTGACGAGGCTCGAGCCAAAGTCCGAGCGAAAGAAGAGCTAGAGCAGAAAATCAGCAATTTACGTCAAGCGGCGGCGAAAGTGCGGGCAGAACTGAGTGAAACGGATCCGCCGACCACGATCCAAGAGCACGTTGCGGTAGGCGAAGCTGATAAAGGACTTGATCTTGATGGACAGCTCCCTCTGGTGGCGCAATTATTCCCCGAAGGTGAGGTGAACCCAAACAGCGTGGCATTGACCCAGGAGCAAGGCAATTTCCTGGGGTGTCTTGAACGAGCAGAAGTGATGTCTGGCCGAGCCAAGGTATATCAGCGACACAACCAGCAACTTGAGCAGATGGCGAAGACACTCAAGGCTCGAAGTGGGGAACTGGAAGAGCGATACAAGAAGATTGTGAGCTTGTGTACGGGGGCAGATGAAGATAAGGTGGACGACCTGTTGGATAATCTGGTGCAAGCAGTGATCAGCGAACAGAAGGAGATGAGCAACAACGCCCAGCTGGGACGAGTGAGGGAGTTCCTCAGGATGGTGCAAGGGTCGGGGAATTAGTCGCTGGAGATGAGATGAGACGAGAAAAATTGGGTCACAGTTCTGGCATGACTTTGTGTGAGGAGACACGACATTGGACTATGGTAATGATTTATGTTGACCATTATTCAATGTGAATGATTTGACTCTGGCCTTGTGCTGTGGTTTGAAGAGACATGATGTGGAGGGCGGTACGCGGTCCGGTCAGATGAGGATAGAGCGCGCATAGCCAAGTTAGCCTCGTTGGAAATAGTATCGAGAGCTTGCCCTCCTCTTGAATGAATTGACTGAGTATCCCGCGCTGGTGGGTCAAGGAATAAAACAGTGCGTGTGATGATTGCGTTCTGTATTTAGTTGCTAATTGTTGAATATGGAATGCCAGACTCGTCGGAGGACTCGTGGTTGGGCGGTCGAATGGTTTCGAAATAGTCGAAGCAGGACCAGAAGAGCAGACGAGGATGGCCAATGGATTGAGCGGTCTTGAAGGTCGGTTTCAGATTTGGTGTCGCGGTGGGGATAAGACCGGATAAAGTGTCTGATAGAGGAATATCAGCGATAAGGCGGCAGAAAATTACGGCGACAAGGAGACGCCTCCTGCGTGCTCTCCTTTCTCTCATGTACGTAGCAGGATAGAGCCAAGGCGGGCCTCCCGCCCAATGGCTACCCGAGATTCCTTCCCCCTTCTCCGCAAACCAATGTGCCCATCTGCCACAATGCACGCCATTGTGTCACAAATCCATGCTTGGAAACATCCGGGCCCCCCCCTGCAGCCTCCTTGGACCTCCTGGGTTTCCTCCCTTCGTCCCTCCGATTGCACAGAAGCATTCTCGAGTCTCGAAGACGCACGACACACGACAACCTTTGACCGGGCCCATATCCGAAACCCAACCATGGTCAGCGATTCGCTCGTCCTCCACCTCTTTCCGCTTCGGCAAGGTACACGGCGCAATTGGTCTTACGACCATCTTTCTTACCTTCGTTTCATACCCAAATCCACTCTCCTTTGCTCTCTAGCAACGGGGACGTCTTCCACGCCATAATTCGGCTTGGGTTGGTCGACGATAGCAGAGCATGTATCCACCACACACCATCAAAACCTCCTTGGCGACGGGACTCCCTAACAGTAGACGTTTTATACCAGCCCAGCCCTGCTCAAGCACTCAGACCACTTTCCTTTGCACAACCGAGTTCTTCCCTTTCTCTCTCTTTTCTTCATCATTACATGCTCGTGGGCAGGCTCCTCTCCCATTTTCTCTGACCTCTACATTCTTTGGCGTTCGCTGGCCGTGCCTTCATTCATTTGTACAAGCAGTGCTTGGTCTTACTGTCGAGCGGTCTCGACGGCCCTTTTGAATCTCTTGACCACAGACACACAGTCATTATCGAAGGATAAATCAAGATGCAGCTGACGGCAGTTGTCGCCGCCTCAGCTTTGTTGCTCGTGGCTGCAGCCGACCTCGGTTCGGCCAAATCAATTATGCATCTCCCCAATGCAATTAGAAGGAGAAATCACTTGGAGGATATGAGGAGAGATGCTGGACGACTTCTCCGTCGAGAACCACAAGGATCGAACTCGCTTCTTTCCGTGGCCGAACCAACCGCGGCAACGAACGAAACCATTGCCACGGCTTGCACCAATGCTTTGGAAGGACTCACCTCAGTCGAGAACGCTGCCGGCATGGCGGCTTGCTACAATATCATGCAATACGATCCCAAGCAGGGTGCCTTTGAGGCGGACCTCCGACTTTATCAGATGTTTGATGCAACCGGAAAGTTTCAGGATGTGGCTGTGAATGATATCATGATCAGTGTGACATATCCGGCCAGCACCATGTTTCAATCATTGACTAAGAGAAGGAAGAGAGATGTGGTGGAACGACAATCCAGTATGGCTGAAGTTCAACAATATTCACTCCTTGGCACATTCCAGAGCAATTTGGAACTCAGCAAGCTCAATGAAACTCAAATCATGTCATTGATGCTCCCTGATGTTAAACTCAACGCCGTCGACGACTCGCAAGAACCCATCACTGCAAACATCACTGCAGCTGATGGAGCTTGGTTTGTAGTGGGTGAATTCCAAGGAGAATTCAAGGACACTCTTGTGACATCGACCGCGGCCGCTGCAGCCATTAGTGCCGCTGTACCTTTCGTGTTGCCGGGAACCAGTTTGGGTATCTTTCCCACAGGATTGATTGTTACCTGTGCCTGGACACTCTTGTTCTTTCTGGCGTATGGCCTTGGCACACTGGGCCGCATCAAGTATAGGGATGCTTATAGAAAGAGAAAAGCTGCTCAGGCTGGGCGAACTGGCAAGAGGATATAAGTAAAAGCTGTTTGAGAAAAAAAAAAAAAAAAAAAAAAGAGGAAAAATAAAGAAAAATCAAAAGATCGAATGTGAAAGTTTGGAGACTTTGGGATCGATTCCAGGAGAAGATTTCTGTATGATACCCTCTTTTACCCTTCGGGACTTTGGCCTTTGACTTTCTGGTGTATCAACAGCAGCATTGTATGGAGTTGGGGATGATGCTAATAAGTAGAAAGGCCAGGCACACAGGAAGATAGGAATGAGACACGTGACCAGAATGAATTTCGGCGAGAAAATCCGCTCACAGAAACGCAAACCTTGATTCGCCACCAATCAACTCCCGCAGAAGATTCTGCCTTTCAGAGCATCATCTGGTGTGGCTGTTTTTCTCTCTCTACTCCCTGAGCCAGAGGGAACTGCACGAACTGCGCATACCCTGTCCCAGAAAATGAACTTCATCCTTTCTGCTTCTGCCATTCGTCAGGAAGCCTTCTCGGTCACTAATGCCAGCGCAAGTTACTCGGGCAACTGGGCTCGATTCTTGCTTTATCAACGTTGTCCATAGGACGAGAAGCGCGGCGCCAGTTTATCCTATTCGGCGTGACCACTGAAGTACCTTGGCGTGCTCCGACAATTCTAAATTGACTGTACCATACCAAGAAGTTCCTCTGATTTCAAGGTTTCAATTCAAAGCAAGAACATCACGGAAATGGAGTGTCTTTTTCCGCATCCCAAGATAGGATCTTCTTTCTTGGAGATCCTCCGTGGCTCTCTTACTCGAAAACTACTGGGTTTCGATGCTGTACATGCCGAAAAAGTCCCCTTCGTATCTGGTGTCGCCTCCAGGCTGAAGTTTCTGCTCAATGATACGACAAATCAGCTATCATTCCTTGAAATTGGTTACACCTCTCTGGAAGCTTTCCTCCAGGCCAATTGTACAGGTCCCCCTCTTGACGTCAACCCGGAAGAATCAATCTTTCCCGAGGCGCACCGGAATGATCTGAAAATTACCAGAGAAGAAATCCTCGAATTTCTTTCGGTTGACGGTAGCCAGCCATATCCTTTGACCCCACATATTGAACTCTTCTGGCTTGCCAAGGTCATAATGTCCAACCCTGTCCTTGCTGAAGCAGGTTTTAATGGTCGAAGAGCAAGATTTAGGATCAACTATTGGCATCAGAAACTCCTCTCGGAAGAATCTGCCACCCTCCACGACATCATCTATTCTGATGCCGACGTTCTTGAACATCAACTTATCTCCCGCCTCGCCTTCAATAGTGCTGCTGCAGAGGAACATTTTGTCGAATTCCTGGTCGAACGAGCGACAATACGTACGTATTATGGAGACGACTCACTTGCAAGGGCCGATCTCGCTAGGGCAGCAACAATTCGACAATTTCAATTCGCTTTGACTGGCGTACTGGGGAAGCGGACAAAATTTCAAGACCGAGACGTCAGCCAACTCGTCGTTCTGGCCAAGAGCAGAGACCACGGACCTGGGCCAGAGAGCAGTCGCAACAACAGCAAGGCAGAAGATACGGAACCGAGGAAGAGCAGTGCAGATGCCGACCGTCAGTCACGACCAAAGACTCCCGATCTTCCTCTCATGGGTTCGATAGCTCCGCCGTCTGCATCAATGTCGCAGACACCAGCAACCCCAAAAGATCGTCATGAGCACACATCTCCGCTGCCCAACCCGCCTACAAAGCCTGATAATCTCCCCCTCAACGACGACACGCTCCTCGAGAAAATCCACTTCAAATCTAACTGGTCACCCGTATCCGAAAGCACGATGACTCGAGTCATCTCTTCGGATTCTTCTTTATCACCTCAACTATCCTCCCTGGACCCTTCAAACCAACCACTCCTCTCTCCCATGGACAGTATCATCCTCCTAGCTATCGCGAGGAGTATCTCCAACACTTCCCCATCGGATGGCCTTGTCCGGGAAGAAACACTCCCATACGCAACCCGGGTTCTCGAAGGCGGCTCGTCAAATTGGCAAGTCTATACCCAAGCCTTACTTGTCCGAAGTCGTATTGAAGGCTATCGATCCCGCACAGCCGAGAGAGGATTACTACAATTGCAAGCTCTTGTCGATCAAGTCATTGTTGAGACGTCCGAAACACCGCCTCCTACGGCCTCAAAAGATCCAACTTCCGGATCCACATCCGGCATATCCTCCACATCCACACCAACGCCAAATACATTCCTCCCCAAACCGTCAGCCTCAGAGTCTGCCACCGTGGCTGAACGCATGAAATATATTTACCAACTCTCCCCACCTCTAAGGTGGGAGTTAGAGGCCGAGTTAGCAGCGCGCTGGACACACATGGGCGGTCTCAAGACAGCGCTCGAAATCTACGAACGATTACAGATGCACGCTGAAGTCGCTTTGTGTCTGGCTGCAACGGATCGAGAAGACCAAGCCGTCAAGTCGTTGAAGGGCCTCCTTTTTGACAATGCGCCGGTTGAACCTCTCGAGTCAGATGGTAGCAATTCTTCTTCTCCAAAGACATTGAAACTTCGTTCTCCTCCTCCTGCAGATGCCCCCCGTCTCCTATGTATTCTGGGCGACATCACAGGCCTCCCGTCTTACTACACTCTCTCCTGGACCATATCCTCGTGTCGATATGCTCGCGCCCAGCGCTCCCTAGGTCGCTACTACAGCCAAAAACGAGATTTTCAAGCTGCGGCCGACGCGTATTCGCTTGCACTGAATATCTCCCGCCTCGATCGCGCGAGCTGGTTCGCATTGGGCTGCGTACAGCTTGAATTGCAACGATACATGGGGGCGACGGAGTCGTTTACCCGCTGCGTGCAACTGGATGACAAAGACGCCGAAGCCTGGTCGAATTTGGCAGTGGCCTTGGCAAAGCTCCCTAGACCCTCTGCTGATGTGCCGCAGACGAAGACGCAGACACAGACACGGATTATGACTGATGATGAAACCGCTGTTTCCCAACCATCGCATGTGGGCGACGAAGGACCAACCGACCCTCTCACACCACCTTCATCGAGCCCAGCAAGGGCCGATCCATATCGACATGTCCGAGAAGCCCTACGCGCCCTCCGCCGCGCTGCAACCCTCAAGCGCGACGACGCTCGTATCTGGGACAACTACCTGACAGTCGCGGCAAGTATTCCGCCCAGCGCAGACACGCCGTGGAACGAAATCATCCAGGCCATGGGACAGGTTGTCGAATTACGAGGCAAGAAGGAAGGTGAACGTGCAGTGGACCTGACGATTTTGAAGGTCCTGGTCGAATACGTCACGCAAAGTTTTGTGTATCCGGATTCTGCTGCCGCTGGGGAAAGCGGGAGTAGGAGCGGGAAGGACGAGTCCTCCATCATGGCCGACAAAGGCCCGCATGAACCCAAAACAACGCCGGAAGTGCCTACCAATACCTATAATAATACCACACTCCCGTATACACCCCGCGCCTTCCTCTCCCTAATTGACAACCAAATCACCCCCCTCGCTACCTCCAGCTCGCAACTGTACTCCCTCCTCTCGACTCTAAGTCTTTGGCGCCATCGCCCCTCCCAATCTTTGCTTTACGCCGAAACCTCATGGCGCTTACACCTAACTTCCCTCTCTGCGTCTGAGGAATTTGATAATCTGAGTGAGAGGCAGTGGGAGAGTGTCGTTGACAAGACTATCTGGATGGTAAAGAAGTATGAGGAGTTGGGACCGATGGAACGAGAGAGGACGGGCGGCGAAGTTGAGAGCAAATGGAGGTTTAAAGCACGGAGCGCGGTGAGGAGGGTTTTGGGACGGGGGAAGAATTGGGAGGGCACAAAGGCAAGTGAGAGGTTAAGGAAGATTATGGAGGAGGGTAAGAAATAAGATCATGGAGACATCGAAGCTGAAGGGGAAAAGGAGAAAAGAGAAAGGGAAGATAACAAAATAGGAGGGACGGAGCTGTTGGAGGCCAATGGACGAAAACACTCCTTTACCCTCTCTTGGAACTGTAGGAGAATCTGTGGTAAGTTCGTGGACGAAAGGCCATGAGAAACGAAGTGAACGCAGAAAGTCAATGAGTCAGCGACAAGCAAAAGCAAAGACAAAGCAAGCATACAATATGGAGCAACAACAAAAGGTGCTGAAACAATTTGGGACTTCTTCCTTCTTCCATCACGCATGTTTGGGAGTGATTACCGACGCCCTGAAATCTTCCTCTTCAACCACCCTGTAAAACTTTCAAAGAGCACGGTGTCGTAGCCTTGGAGGTGCCGGATGTGCAGTCTCGTTCCCGTTCCCATCCTCTTACTCGTCGCTGCCATTGTCGGGGACGGAGACATTGAGATTCGCGCGACGAAAGCTGGTTCAGATCCGTCATCAGATTCAGAGCTAGGGTCTGAGCCATCTCTCACTGCGTCGCATTGTTTGTTCGATCGCCGTGGTTGTGGAGGCGGTGTTGAATCTTTCATCTCTTCATCTTCACCTTCATCCCCTTCCTTCTTGCCGGTTTTTTGATCTGGGCACTGGTTTTGGTGTTCGTGCTGCTGAAATACTTTCTTCCGCCTCGCTTTTCTGCTCCAGACATCCCCTTCGCGACTTAAGAGCATCCCCGACCTTGTCGAAGGTGTATACTTCCACATCAAGTCCAATTTGGCCATTTCCGTATCCATTATCGGTACGATGTCTTCGACCTGACCATCAATATCGAACGTCGCCTCGGTCAAAGGGGGTAGGAGTCGTTTCTCCACCCCACTCCCCGTCCCCACTTGCCTTGCAACGGCATTCTTGGGCCTCAATCCCATCCAGCTCCACGCCACACACCATCTGCGCGTCTTCTGACCCTGTACAAATTCCGCCACTGCGTGATTCTCGCATCCTTTCTCTCTCAGGCGCTCAACGATCATGGCTACGCTGGACAATTTGCCCAGCATGGCGCTGAACCACTGAATGCGAGTCTTGAGGAACGGATGCACAGATTCCAGAACCAAGCGAGATACGAATGCGACCTCACCTCCAGGCGTGATCATCTCGATTGGGGCGCCTGTACAGCTTGAATTCGGAGGGCGGGATTTCGAGCTGCTGGACTCGGACATGGAGGCTTGGGAGGTGTAGAATGGTGGGTTTGTCATGAGGATGTCGATACTATTCAAAGTTTCTCTGATGTTAGATATACGTAGGACTCATCCTTCAACGGCCTTCGTCACTCCTGGCAGAGCTAATCGAATATCGTGCAATGGAACGGAACGGAATCGTCTTACTGGTTAAACCTCTCTAACTCCGCTGAAGGAATCAGCTTTTTGCCCTTCGGGTCGGTGTCGATCAATTTAATCCGCGACTGCAGATTATTCGCAGCAATGTTCTTCAGTGCGGAGGTCCGGTTCTTCTCATCAATTTCAGTGGCGAGGAAGAGCCAGCGCTCTCGTTGCCGACATGCGAGTAAAGGATAGATTGCTGAGCTGCCAGTGCCGCTTTTAAGTCCACACATGATCAGCGAAATGTCACCAAGAATTCTAGCGATGATGGGATGGGAACAGAATGGATCAGATGTCAGATACTAGTAGACATACATGTCAAGTCCAATGACCTGGCGACCTGGATCGAATCCGTCATGGAAATCTGGCGATGTGCTGTCGAGAAGTCGCTGGATGAAGAGTATGTAGTTGAAGCTGGATCACGGATAATCGTCAGTAACATAGGCCCGACTGTGACCGGCTTGAAGATTTGCGATGAAGTCACGGTTCAGGGTAATCATACCGATTCGGAACCTATGCCCCAAGAACGTCAGACTTGCAAGACTTCCTTAAGGAACCCCTGGTCGTCGCTGGCAGAGTCCCACAAACCGCGAGCGTTCGTCGTGAAAGGGTACTAGATGACGCTTGAACATACTGGTGGACACAGCCTGTCTTCAGGCAAGTCGACTGTAAGATCGAAGTCTCGGTGTAGGAGGGACATGGTAAGTTGTCTGCCCGCATTTGATCATGTATGCGTCGTTAGCACACTGTGACCGAGATAGCGTTTTGAAGGATGGTCTGACACCAAGGACTACGACGAACCTGACGCTCTCTGGGTCCGAGAAGTCCAGTTGACGATTTGGTTTTAACCTGTTTTGGTTGCAAGGAAGAGTCAGTTGATTCAAATCCAAAAGGTAATATCAACAGGGGACGAAACCAGGCTCCTCTCCCTCTCCTCGGTCTTTTACTGGAGAAAGAATACAGAGGCCGAGCAGCGTAGTTGGAAGAGGGGGCAATGCGCACTTCTTCGCGAAGTCAGGGTATTGTAGAGCCAATGTCGTGAAGTCCACGTCATTCTTGTAGATATCATCTGGAACAGGCATTGTGATGCGACAATTGTCAATCGGTGTGAGAGACCAAGCAAACCGGAGAAGACTATGTGAGAATCATCGGTGTCGGGGTTTCCATGCGATGGGTCCCAATTAAACCAGCTTAGAATTGAGGTCGACTCCACTCGTAGAATACATATATTGAGAAGAAAGCAAATGCAATTGTGAGGGCTGATGTTTAATCCGGAAGGTTGAATGGCCAATGGGAGACACGAACATGAGGATACCTCCGCCTGATTGTCCGACGGTTGAATTTATTCAATGGATTTCGCTAGATTCTACAATATCGTTTTCGTAGTGGACGACGTATTTTGGGTGCTGCGCCATTCTGTGTACAGTACGGTGGGTGTTTCGAGGGACGAGGTCTGAGATGACATTAAAACGAGTGCAGGAAGACTTGAAATGACTTTCTTTGTACCTGAAACAAAGATACCCATCCAACCCAGGGCATGCACCAGACACGCACCTCGCCCAACGATAGCACCATGGGTATAAAGCCCGTTTCGACCAAAACCTATGGAACTGGACGCGAACGAGAAAAGGGGAAATGTCCACAACGCCTGGAATGTCCACAGAGATACTCGTAACTCGTTTCATCCTGTTTCCCAGTTGCTCTCTCCAACCCAGGCACCGTACATGTGCATCACACAAGCCATCCCTAGAACACAATGACCCTTATAATCCATTCGATTCCTCTCTCTTTTCCCCCCACTCACCCATCCGTCCCATGAGATCTATTTCTTCAACACAGCTTCGTACAGGCTCACAGCCGCACCGAGACCGGAACTGGTCAGCATTGCAACATAACCACCGGGGATGGCTTCGTTGACGGTGGCAATGGTGAAGTGTTGATAGAGGCCGCCGAGGCTGAAATGTTGAGCGTAGACCAAGTATGCAATCAAACCCTTGGCGAGATTGAAGATGAAGGGATCAAATTGCATTTGAGCATTTGCTTGAAGGGTGGCTCGTCGAGTCGTGTAAGTGTGACTTGGATGGGCCTTGAGGGGTAGATTGATAAAGTAGGAGATCAAGGCCGGAAGAATGAATGACGTGAGAGTCCAGAGAGAAAAGGGGCTCCAGAACTTGGAATCCAAGAGCAGAAATAGATCGGGCACGTTGATTGGAGTCTTGGTGGACTTGACGTATGGAATGGCGGGCACTTCGGTCAACAGCTTGTTGGGGAGAATCTGGGCGCGAAGCCCGTATCCCTCGAGGAGAATGGCGATGACACTGAGAGCCAAAGGCGATGAGAGAAGGTCGCGTGTAGCATCAGCGAACTCGGTGATTTGGGTTTGTTCATATGCATGCGAGATTGAGGTCCGAAGGCGACGCGTTTGCTGGTCAATAGCATCCGTGACAACCGCTGGAGATGGTGGTAGAGGGATTGGAGAGGTCAAGATGGAAGAACGACGTGCGACCTCTTTCGCAGGAGCTTTGACGACCGCAGTGGTTGGAGAGTCCGTGTCGGTGCTGCAGGATCTCGTTAGCCATGTCATATACACCAAGTGGTAAGGTCGGCCGCCTCACGTCTCTTCGGTTGGCGAAACAGTCTTGCGCCGCACCTTCTTCGCAGGGGCAGGAGCATCTTCATCGGATTTGACAGTGTCTGAAACCTTCTCTGCCAGCTTCTTGCTGGGTGATCGGGAACTGCTTGCCAGGCGCTTGTAGTACTCGCTCAACGATGGATTCTTGCTGTAGGTAGAGGAGTTGGCGCGCAAATGTTCGTCGAGCGCGACTTCGAGTTCGGACTTTTTCAAACCAATATAGCTGCGGTCGCATACCAGTTAGCAATGATGCGCAAATGGATGCGATTCAGAATCTACGCGTCTAAAGTCGCATTGACGAGGCATGAGGTCCGTACTCAGGCAACTTGCTGGTCTCGGCGAACTCGGTAAGATCGCTCTTGCGCAGTTTCTGGAGGTAAGGTAGACCGGACATGGTTGTTGGAGTTGTCAGTCGGTCAGTGATGGTCGAGTTGCGATGAGAGGTACGGAGAATTGATGGATTGCGACCCGGAGGGGTTGTTGCGGGATACGGAATGGTAGAGGGAGGCAACAACAATGATGGTTGTAGTGGAGGTTGGTTGTGATGGTGATGGACGGAGGCGCGGGAGGCTGGGATCAGGATGCGAATGGAAATCCAGTGGCTGGGGGAGAGACGGGCACCGATCGTCTGCTAGCTGCCCACAAAGAACTCTGAGTGGTGTAAGAGGTGTCCAAGTGCCGAAGCCGGTGTGGCCTGCTAGTCGACTAGTTCATATTATGGACACTGGACAGCCTTGACCTTCAAAGAAATGAAACCGTGGTTTGGACCCGGTGATTGGATCGAGTGAGAGTCTCAGAGACGCGTTGAGATGGCGGTCACAACAAACAGAGAAGACTCGTATCTACTGTGAGTAACGCCACTCTACCGCCCCGGAGGTGAGCCTTGGGGGCTGGTGCCTATAAGTAATGGCGGGTGACACACAATACCATTGCAAAACTACACAGCCGATCGCTCTCGTTGGAGACATGTACACAGAGGATGCTCCAAGGGTATCGAGCTCGGTATCAGCCCGATGAATTTGGTCAGGGAGGACTCGAGAGTGTGGGATACGCCATTATAACCGGTACCAGCCCTCAGCCTCTCCAGGCGAACATGACGTAGATGCAGGTACCTGGGCCAGAGGTGATTTTCCATGCGTTATTATTTGAGGGGCTCCGCTGCAGTGACTTCATCCGCCACACAACATTCAATTTCAAGCCTTATACCTGATCGTCTCTCTACGTGGATGTGCGTCTCACAGAGTCCGGATTGCCCGACATCAAATTTGTAGTCCAGTGAGGGGAAAAACACCACATACATCCGCACATAATCCTAGACAGAACTTTCAGGCTGATTCATTTCTGTCATCCTGTGTCTTTTGCTTATCCTTCCATTGCCCTTTCAATTTTCTCGTCTTCAACGTGACTATTACTTCTGCCAAGCATCGTCATGGTCACCTGGCCTCGCCTGTTCAGTCCAGCTTGCAGTTCGCGATTTGCCTCTTCGCCTCGTCCTACCCTGCCCGACCCTGACCAAACCGTATCCTTTTATAATCCTCATCATTTTCTGAGACCTGCTCACCATGGCTCCTCCAGATCTCAATTCTCTTCCTCCTTCCAGATCCATGTCTTCCTCCCCCATGCAGCCCAGGTCTATGCAATCTGCGGCGTCCCCTCCCAACCGACGACAGACTCCCTCACCTCGAACGTCTTCCCTATCACTGGCCACTGCTGCCATCGCCAATGCCGCAAATGAATCCCGAAGATCTTCTTTGAGCAATCGAGGCTCGCCCAGACTTGGCCGAATGCCTAGTGATCGTCGCCGTTCTCAAGTCGCTCTCAACCTCAATTTGAACGACCCAACTCTTCCCAGTCCTGGTGAGCTCTCGAGCAATGATCCTCGAGTCAGTGTTGGCCACAGTTACGTCTCAGCAAGTCCATCTACCATTGGCGGAAGACCCGCCATTGCCACTGGTGACCCCCATCATCAACGACAACCAAGTCTAGGTGACATTCACAATGAGTTGGAGCAAGAACAAGAGGCACAAGTCAATCGGATGCTACAAATGATCAGAGAGCAACAACTTCAACTCGACGCTCTACGAAACTCTCAGAACGAACAACCCTCCACACGATCATCACAACGCAACTTCGCCGTGACGGGCAACAGCCATGCAATCGTGGACGACGAAACCCCGGCTTCTGAACGCTCGATCTCATTCCCTTCAATCCATCCCGCGGTCCCCGCGGCTCCACAACCAACGAGACGCATATCTCGCGGTCCCTCCAGCGCGAGTCGTTCCCCGGCCTTACGACCTCTTCTAGGCCACGAATCCAGTATCGGAACCAGCGGCGACTGGCCTCCCTCGCCAATCGAATCTGCTGCAAGAAACAGCTTTCGCGATGAAAGCGCCTTCTACCAAGCCGAGACTGCTAATCTGACGCGCGAGAATCAAATGCTGAGAATGAGGATCCGAGAGCTGGAGAAACAAATCAGTGAATTGAACGCCCTGCCCGCCAACACGCCGGTCACTCCAAGCAACTTGGTCACAAGCCCACCTGTGGAGGCCGAAGGAGAGGAACCTGCAGCAGCGGAGATTGCGAGGATCACCACGGACCCAGATAAAGCTTGAAATGAATGAGTGTTGATGATTCAAGATTTTCTCGTCGGACATTGTACCAATAAGATATGCGGTTTTGCACCCAAAGGAGGCGTTACGAGTGTTAGAGACTGTCTTCTTCGGAACCATTTCGGGTCTTTTGAAGCTGGGGAAAATTGGTTTGGCATGGGAACAATGGCATTAGGGAAAAAGGGTCTCGGGACAGGCTTCTATGAAAGGATCCCCAATACTCCAGGGCTTGAAAGGGTTATTTTTGCATGATACGATGCTGGATGGGTTTGTTTGGATTCTTTTCTTTCATTCTTCTTCTCATTTCTATTGTTTGAGCACAGAACCTCTTCACGAACATCGCTGGTTGGGGTGGGTATTTCAGGGTTATTACGAGTTCCACATGGCGTACGTGCTGTGCAAGGCTGTGCTTGATAATGCCTTCTTGAAATAACGATCCCATCCATGGCTGAAGATGCTGCGCCATGGTCTACAATCAATCAATCAGATCAGATCAGAGACCACGGAACGAAATATGATTCAAGTTTCTGAGTCCATTAACCTGAGACTTTTCTTTCCTTTTTCTTTCTCTGATGGCCCTGAAAAAAAAGGACTCGAAACTAGGCTGACGCTGCATGTCTATCCAAAGCGATCTATATACCGTCTAATGTTCCTGCAAACCAAAAGCCCCAAAAATCATATCTACATGCGTATTCACGCTCATGGTCATCTATGCTCTTATGCCCCCCCGCCTCCTCAACACAAAGATCCAACATAAGAATTCAAATCTCCTCGTTGGGGAAAAACGAAAAAAGGGTTTCGGGGAGAAACAAGAGGACCGGCTAGACGATATTTCAATTCAAGCGGTTCTCTCATGATTTGATCTCCGCCTCTCTTTGCTTTCTTTGACCTTATGGACCTGATATTCATGCCAAATGCTCCAGAGGCAGCAGGTGACGCCGAGCAGTGCGGCGCCAAAAGTAACCCAGTACGCCGAACTGTAACAGCTGCGACCTTCAAGACACTCCATGTCGCCGTCCTCGTTGCGGACTGAGTGGGAGTCATAAATTCGCCCGTACAGGATGTTGAAGATGTTACCTGAGATGACGGGTGCGAGGGTCATGGTTCCCCAGTTCTGGCTAAGACCGTGGACACCGAAGCAGTGGGCCACCAGGCTTGGATAGACGCCGAAGAGGATGCCGTAAGCAAGGCCGGTGAGTCCAGAGATGAACACCAGGAAATTGGGATGTGAGATGACGGTCGCGATGACTTGGGTCATGCAGAATATTAGGGCGGAGGTGAACAGGCACCAGAAGCGGGATCGGCCGAGTTTGGACACAAGAAGATCAGATCCGATGCCTGAAAGCAGACGGCCAGAGAAGCTGCAGAAGGAGAGGATCGAAACATGCATCGCTTGGCGTTTCTCGATGAAGGCGGGTGTTGTGGATGGGTCGTAATGTTTCCAGAGCGCTTGGGCGTCGTTGCCGATGTTGCTAGTTTGACGTCAGTGGTTTCTGTTGTAGATTAGCGGGCAGGAAGAGGAGTACTTGATTGTCATCAGGCCTATACCAGTCAAGAGCCCAAGCATACAAAATAATTGCCAGAATTCCGGATGTGGCAAGAGAGCGAAGCCCCTGATATCGAGATGTGGAGATTCGTGGTTTCTGTCAGATTCGATGTGCTTTGATCCTTCGAAGTCTTCGGCATCTTCGATAGATGATTTGGAAAGAAGTGAAGAATTTTCATCTCCTGCATCCGGGATGACGTCGGGTTGGTGATATCCTGTGTTTGTTGAGGATAAGGTTTTAGGGTTGCCATTGTGCGCACCTGGTTCTTCGATATGAGGGGAATTTCGACTCCCAGAAGATCTTCGTCGGTGAAGGACTTGTCGTTCGTATGGATAAGTGTGGGGCGGCAAGACTCGCATGAAGGGAAAGGAGACCACCGGTAGTAAGACGGTCCCGGTAGCCAGAAGCATGAGAAAGGTGTAGGTACCGGGGGGAAGTAAGAGAGCGATGGCTGCAAAGAATAAAGCACTTAGACCGAAAGCTGCTAAGGGGAAGGCTGTTGCTGTTCCTCGAGACTGGGGAAAATTCAGGGCAGCTGCTAGAGTCAACCATCGTTCTGGCGCAGGGAAACCGGGTACCCACCAGCTTTAATCGACGCAGTAAATGCCGAACAGCTTCCAGCGCCAGTGAAGAAAGAGAATACGCATATCGAAAACACGCTGTATCCTCCAGGTCCAGCCTCATATGCTACGTCCTTGTCAGTCCCGGCATTAATGTCAGGACAATTGCGTTCGTACCTTGGGCAATTGGATAATAGCCCATTGCAAACAACAGTATCCCTAACGCAACTCCCCATCTTGGGCTTTTCGCATCAACCATCATCCCCGCTGGGATTCCAAAGGCATACATTCCCAGGTTGCCCATGGTTCCCTGCGTATTTAAAATGTATGAGTTTGGGTCCTTCTCTGGGGGGAAGAAAGTAGGAGGGGTTTCGTACGATGAGGTTACTGTCTGTAGCCGTCAACTTCAGCCGTGCAGCGAAGGTAGGCCCCCATACGGAGTACCCATACTGGAAGTTCAGTCAGCATTGAAGTCGCCGTCAGGGAGATATGCGTACATTAGAACCACAGGCCAATGCCGTCGTCGTGCATGCGATCACGGATATTATCCGTTCCCTCTTGGGGTCGGAAGCGTAGAACATTGTGGCTTTGAGATTTGAGAGGAGATTGAGCCTATTCCGTCATGGCCGAACTTGGAAATCAACAAGCCTGAAGAATTCAGGTTATGAGACGGTTGATCGCGTATTGTTCAATAATAAGTTGAGGCCCGGCATTGGAACCGGTACAGTCCACGAGTCCCCTATCCAGAGTCAGCCAATTGGGTCAACGTCTCCCCGGATAACTTGCCCTAATTAGAATGCCCCGCTTGTTTGTCAACCTCACCCGACTGTCCAGTTGCCGCCTGCGCCGCGTAATTAAATCATCTCGCTTCTTCGACCTCGACGAGAAGCTTCCAACTCCAACATCTCAACGACCCGAATTAGAGACACTTGTATCATCCTCCAAACTACGCAGCACTTGTGCGAGCATCAATCGGACACTGAATTAGTTGTCAAGCAATATCCGAAGTCAACCGCTACTCGATTTCCCATCACGAGACCAAGGAACCCTTGATCAATTCATCTCCTCCCTCAAGATGGGGGCCGTCCTATCGATCCCGGCTCTCATACTCCCCTCCGCGGCGACGGTATGGTCGGTGGCTGCCTCCTGTTGCGGAGCGGCATCATGCTCCATGATCTGTGGACCGTGCGGCATGTCCAAGTTCAGATCATCCATAGCCACCAGAATCGCATATGCTATGATTTTGTTGGTTAACAGTATTGTGGCATGGATTATGCTCACACCTTGGGCTATACGAAAACTCGAACATCTCACGCTTGATTACATGACATTCAAATGCGGTTCGTCCGAGTGTTATGGCTATTTCGCGGTTCAGCGCATCAACTTCGCCCTCGCCCTCTTCCACTTCATCCTGTCCATTCTCCTCGTTGGGGTTAAAAGCACCAAAGATGGTCGGTCAGGTCTACAAAACGGTTTCTGGGGTCCAAAGATTCTGGTTTGGCTCGCTTTCATCGTCCTGTCCTTTTTCATCCCGGAAGGGTTCTTTCTATTTTGGGGAAATTATATCGCCTACCCAGGAGCCATGCTCTTTGTTCTTCTTGGCCTTATCCTCCTCGTGGATCTCGCTCATTCGTGGGCTGAGCTTTGTCAGGATAAAATTGACGAGGGCGACGGACCGAACTATCGACTCTGGCAGGTTTTACTTATGGGGTCAAGCTTGGGAATGTACCTGGCCGCGTTTGCCATGACGATTGTCATGTGCTATTACTTTGCCGGCAAGAAATGCAGCATGAACATTTCGGCCATCACCGTCAACCTGATCTTCATATTTGTCATCACCATCCTCAGTGTGCAGCCCACTATTCAAGATGCCAACCCCAAGGCAGGTTTGGCTCAATCCGCCATGGTGGCGGCGTACTGCACTTATCTCACCTTTTCTGCCGTCTGTATGGAGCCGGACGACAAGCACTGCAATCCCCTCATTCGAGCTCGAGGAGCACGGACCACGACTGTTGTTCTGGGAGCCATCGTCACTATGCTCACTATAGCCTATACCACCACGCGAGCAGCAACACAAGGGTTTGCCATGGGGTCTAACACGGCCAAAAACAAATACGCTCAACTGACACAAGACGAATATGAACACGGTCTGGTTACTCAGCAACCCGCATCACGCAGAGAGATTATGAGGGCAGCAGTCGAAAGTGGTGCCTTGCCTGCGTCGGCGTTGGACGAAGATTCGGACGACGAGGATGATGCCACGGTGGGCTCCAAGGACGACGAGCGCCAAGGCACTCAATATAACTACAGCTTGTTCCATGTCATCTTCCTCCTGGCGACATGCTGGGTCGCGACACTGTTGACTCAGAAGATGGATCCCGAGAATTCAAGTGACTTCACCCCGGTGGGACGGACATATTGGGCGAGCTGGATCAAGATCATCAGTGCATGGGTGTGCTATGCAATTTACATTTGGACACTGGTTGCTCCAGTGGTGCTCGAGGGCCGAGACTTTTCGTGAAAGGGGATGCCATGCAGAAATAGGTAAGTGTACTTCTTCGGTTATCTGGCAACGGTGGATCGTGGCAGCCTGATAACTAGGTGTTGGGTGTCTGGTATGGAGGTGTCAAGGCATACATGAGGAATACGAATTTGTTCCATTGTTTTCTCATCTTTCTCCCGGCGAATGACTTATCATACTCGGTCCGTAAGTAATCTCCCCCACAAAGGCTTGTGAAATGGTGCCATGATCGATCCAACTTCCTGTGGCGTATATTGTGAAGGCTGGACCATCCAGGGGTGCAAATCCTTCCTATGGTAAACAGGGAATGGCCTTCCAGATATGGTTAGACTCTTAATAGACCCCATACTGGCGTACTTCGCTTACGACACCTTTTGCACAGCAAACCCTCCCCCTACCGTCCTCCGTAGCATTGCAGCCTCATTAGCCTTTCTTGTTCCGTATCATGCTGACCATTTCCCTCAATTAGTATCTATTCTGATTATTCCCCACCCCCTTTCTCCCTGACCTGACCCTGCCTTAGGACTGTTTCACAATATCCACGGCTGAAGGCCTACCGTAAGACTTGTGTGTATTTGTTCGACCATGTTGTCCTTGCGTAACCCGGCCCCCATGTTCTACCACCGCTTCGGCGATCTTCTTTCCAACTTGGCGTAAGCTAAGACGGCCTCTTATTGACTCGGTTCCATATCGCATAGGAGGACTCGTCCAGTACTCAGCCCCAACTACCCAGCAAGTATCGCGAAAAGCTAGCGGGGAGCTTTCTATCGCACCGTTGGAAGATCCGCCATTTTCGCCCTGTCGACCACTTTCCTATTTCAACAGCTTGGACACCGCAGTGAGAACCCCCAGCATACCTCTTCTGGCCCACCGACGGAGTTAGAACGACACCGAAGGGAACTCGGCCCATAGTTCTTGGCTATGCCTCAGGGCTACACGGCTTGTAGTACCCACCATGTCGATGTGTTCAAAAGGACTAGATCTTGACTGGAATTCTTATTAAGACATTATCAAATTTAGACCCGCCAATACCGGTGCACAATCTATACAGCTGGTGTGTCATAGCCCAGAGCCCCTCAGCTGGCTGAATCCAGTTTCCAAAAGCAGCTCGGCCCGTCACTATAAGTTCATATACTCTCAATCCCGCGTTGCTCTATCGGACCATAATCTTGGAGGACAGGAAAGGGAAAAGGTTCTGTCCACTCCTCTCCCCCGCCATCATATACTCTGCTGCGGGTTTCGGTTTCGACTTCCTCAACGCTCTTTCGACTCTCATGTCCAATATCTCTTGCTGAGTCTTTGGTACGAGAAGGTCCATTGAATCGCCACCATGAATATCCATGGGGACATTGGCACCGCCCCGTCCAACCTTAGTTTGCTTGCGAGCCGTCCTGAACGATGTATAGCCACAGATCAAGCTGGGAAAAACCAAGTCATCGTCACGGCGGCGACAACTCCACCAGGCGAAAAGTTAGGAAAGGGGAAAGGGCTTCGTTTCGTCATTATGCGAGCGCCAAACCTGGAGAAACGACATTCGTCACATTCACGGAGACTGAAAAAGAGACAAGCCAAATCATGCGCCCCCCCAAAACGGGACCCTTTTCCACCGCTGAGTCCTCAGAGGGCCTTGGGACATCCAAGAAGAGACGAATTCAATGCTTTGCCGATCGAAAATACTCGCTCTGTTGATATTGCACTCGACTATGGTATGGCCAACATCTCTGGACTTTGATTCGCTTAAGCTTACCACTGTTATTTTCAGTAGTGGTTCACCTGTTGCATGATCCATTCAGCTCTCATACCAATGAACTACCAAATGTCTACCTGCCAGTCCTCAGACTAGGCATGGAACACGAAGACCTGTTTGAAGCAATTGTGGCCTTCTCATTGGTCCATCGAGAAACCAACTACTCCTACGCCCGAATCAAAGTCACGCCTGATATTGCCTATCACAATGGTCGGGCTATTGAAGCTTTGCGGAAAAAGTTGACGAATCCGAAAACTTGCGCCGACGATGCTGCTATTTTGACATCTTTGCTCTTGACTGACGGCGCAGTAAGATCGCTTGCTCTTTCCTTTGGTTCTTCATCTCTCTAACATTACATCCTCAGGCGAAGTATGGGACTCGAGCAGAATTACTCGTTCACTACACGGGCTTAAAAAGAATGGTTAGCATGAGAGGTGGCGCAGAAGCCCTGGGGAAAGATGGCACGCTGAGGGCGGTGCTCGAATAGTAAGCGCGACTTTGACAATTTTATTACTCACACAGCGGGGCGCTGATAAATTGGTCCAGTGCAGAGCGCGTCGCGGACTTGACAGGCGTGTCCAGAGAAACGGAAGCAGTCAGAACGAGTGACGACAAACGATGTTCGCAAGAACCAGACCTGCCAATTTCGCGCCTGCAATATCCCGCACATCCATTTCCTCCCGATCTCTGCACCGGCCTCGCAGATCTTTCTGAGGGCTTTCGAGAGCTTGCACTCTCTTGTCGATTGAGCACCGAAGTCATCAGATTGGTTATCGCCGCGCACAAGCAAATCTGCGTAGACACAGAAGACCGTTACCCACGTACCAGGATCTACTGTCCAACCATGGTGGTATTGTATGCGAAGCGATATCTCGAAGTCTCGGACCGCGTCACTGAATCTATTGTCTGCCTAAGCATCATCATGATCAGTATGCGGTCGTTTGCAAGCTACTTTCGCGCTCAAGATCGCCTGCTGCTGGAGAATCTTGTTTTACTCGCCTCGAAGCGTGGAATTGAAGAATCGACCTTGGACCAATACCATCACTTTGTCTGGACCATAATTATGGCCGCCGAAGGTTCTCGAAGTGATGTACTTTCTCCATATGTGGACACGCTAATATGCACGTTACTGGGCCCCAGTGCACGGAACGAGCTGAAAGCACAGGACTTCCTGCAAGACTGGACAAAATTGGAGAAGATACTGAAGAAGTACCTCTGGCGGAGTGATCTGCTGTACGAGTGGAAATGTACATGGGAGTCTGCCATGGCGTCCTTGAAAATGGAATCCGAACGCAACAAAAAGTCATCCCGAAGTTGGGGGGACCGCTCTGGTGTTTCAGATTGAATGACTCCCGGAAAGCTGAAACACTGTCGAAATCTCGCCTCCCGAGGACCGAGCCCCGGACAAGTCCTCTCGCTAGCTGGCGAAACTCTGGCCACTTGTCTTGCATCGTCTCGTGGGATCGCCTTCGAAGTACGAGAGGCACCTCATTTTCAAGAATTTTTTTCCGGCATTGGCCCGCGTTAAACGAGGATAACATTGTGACAACCTAGCTGAAAATACGCACCATCTCCTTTTCGGCTACCAAATTGCCTGAAGATTCTGAATCGATATTTCAATGGCGCAAAAATTAGCATCATCTTTTTGTTGCGACAGATACGGGAGTGTTGGCACATGACTTTCAAGACGCATACTATGCGATGCCGGGATGATACCGGAAAACTCCCGGCGAAGCGAGAGGCATGTGAGCATGCCTCTTGCGAGAAGTGAGGCAAGCGTACGAAGTTCGGAATTAGTGACAGGGACGATGATGGAACGAAGGGAGCATCAAGCCTCCCCAATAAAGGCGAAAACAAACAATGCCGACATCATCACGCATCATTACTGGATGAGCGACGGTGCTATCACATCCCGAACGGATGGCGGATTCGGCCACCGTCAGTTCTCGATTATTGACAGGACGGGACGAGCCCGCTTGACCAACAGAGATACCCACTTTGCCTGGGTCTTTCGTCGCCCTCGAGAGCGACTTAGTGTAAATACATTTGATATTCGAATGATGAATCGAAGTATATGTTACGACTTTTCTGTTTGAATTCTTTGATCACGCTGCAGTGTTATTGTTATCAAACCACTTCTCGCATGTGTTCTGTATATGTATGGAGTTTTTTTTGGATTTCATTTCAATTCGATCTGGCTCGACCTGGTCGGATCTGTGGGATGGAAAGACACGCCGTACAAGTATTGCGACGTACATTGTACACATGGTCCTGCTCTACCGTAATAAGATGGTATGGGCCCTCCCCCCAAAAAGGAAGAGATCTGTCGACAATGTGTAAAGGGCAAGGGAATGAGGATAAATCAGTATGAGAAATTTTCAAGACTTATTCGCGTTGGACGAAGACGGTGAGGAGACTTAGCATTGAGCAATTAATGATGTTGATTGATGTCGAGCTCTCGTAATCACCGATGACTTGGCCATGCCAATTGTAATGCTTGATGCCACCCACTCAAAAGATGTGTTCAGTCCAGACCACTTCGATTCAGCAAATTGCCTCCGCAGCTTTCGAATAGAAGCACGTTTGGAAGAAGACCACCTTAAGCCGCCGTCGACAAAGTCTTTTTTGCAAATAGCCACTCGTCGTTATTGTCATACTTCCCGTAATCATTGTGTTGTGATGAACCAAATGGGAAGGGCCCAAGCCAGAAAACATTGAATTTGAAATCGGATGTTGGCCACCTCCAACGCCGTTGAGAAGAAGTGTCATTCAGCACCTCGCAGATATTTGATTTGAGAGCTGGAGGACGGCATCGAGAGAAAAGGCCTCTCCATCAAGAAGCACCCGGTGTCCCAAGTCTTGGAAAAATTTCAGGAGACAGGCATGTTGGAATCAATGAAAGAAAGCAAGAAGCACGAAAACTGCTAATATATCGGGTCAGTTGACTCGATTTGATAGGCGAGGATTGTCTTACCCGATGAAGAAGCTATGATTGTAGGAGTTGCTTCTCAAGAATATTTCCTGGAATGATATCTCGGCTGATTTGGGGCGTCGATACCCGCGCAGTTGGCGCTGTAGTGCCAGCATTGAGGGCAGAGGTTATGCCCACAGTTTCGGCATTGGAAGATGGTAAGAAGAGGGTCGGCGCATTTCTGGCAACGCCAAACCAAATGTGTGTCCTGACTGACTGTTTTCTTGTCATATTCATGTAAAGGACATTGATCGTAGCGGTATCGATAGCTGATCCTTGTGTTGGCAGGCTAAAAAAAAAAAAAAGAAAAAATCGATGAGTCCTGGCTAAAAAGGAGACAGGGTTGAATGTGTCGAGCTTACATCAGTATTTGTCTGTTGAGGTTTCTGCGGCATGCTTGGCCGTTTCTTCCTTGAATCAAATGAAAATGTCGGATATCTGGTCAGGATGTGGAATGTGATTCGGTTCTCGAAATGAAAATGAGATAGGCAACATTGGGAAGCAGTATTGATTGATGCGCAAGCATTTATACGGTTGACAGTTGATAACGGAAGTGAGGCTCAAACGGTGGGTTTGTGGTTCTTCGTACTTTTTTCACGGCTCATGAATCACTAGAGGAATCTCGCCGAGATCCATAAATGTCTGTCACCCACACAACCGTGATGATGAAGCAGATGCATTGACGGCAATCAAAAAAGCTTTCATGCTTAGGAAGCAGGAGTGCCGTGAAATACTTGAAGAAAGTCTCGGAAGTGACATCTCGCGTCCAGGATGGATCCATGAGATCTGGAGAGCTTTGTCGACAGTAGCTTTCACTATGCGTGCAGGCTAAGGATTGACGATCGCCATCATCCCAGCTATGATTGACCAGGTGAGGCAGCGGGAAATGCCAAACCGCATCAAATGGGCAGAAATAGGTTTAGATACCATGGCTGAACGGAAGAGGGGGGGTTCCCACCCGGAAACTCAAACTCTCAACTCGTTTCTGACTCTCAGGTGGTCAAGGAGCGTCAATGATCAAATTCAGCGCTGAGAGTAGTGAATAGGAAGAATCTGGTTCGTGGGTTCAGGATATCTTCGCATCAACGTGGTAAGAAAGAACGCCACGGACAAACCCAAAGCTCTTTTCATGAAGCAACAGGCGAAATCAATGCTATTAAGATCAACCAAGCGTGGGGTTGACAGGAGCCGCTCTGCTCGGACGCGGGATGGATCTGGTGGGGCTTTTCACCGTATTGACCGACCTTTTTGGTTCAATGCACTGACAGACACGCTCCGATTGTGCCAGAAGGGTCTCAGATCTCGCGGCTCGAAGCTAGAAGGACCGAAAGGATTGTGCAGGCAAAGTGGCTAGTTGATGCGACCCAGGCGAGACCAGTGACTTTTTCCGAGCGGCATCCCCGAAATCCCAGCTTGCTGGGCCGCAGATCACCAAATAAACTGACAAGGTCGTGAGCGATTCGCGTCCAATGGGTCCCCGGGCGCAAGCACAAACCTTCTTAGTTAGCGCTTCCCAGGAAATTCAGAAGTGTCAGCTTAGCGAGCCGGGGACGTGATTCCGTGCACCAACCAGCCTGAGAACTCCTTGGAGAAGCCTTTACTTCAGGGCGTTAGTGGCAACCCCAAAGAACACCATCGGACAGTGAGCTCGCCTGAACATGGGGGGCTCGCGTAGCGGCATGGCACGAAGCCCGCTTGTATCTCCGCGTGGCTCACATTTTCCAATAGGCACATGCTCAACCCACCCCTTTTCATACGTAGAAATAAGCCACTCCTGTCGTGCCAGACTTGCATCTGTCACATATGCTGCTCTGAATGGTTGCGGCGGTGCGCATTCGCCTGGCTGAGGTCAAAAGTAAGCGAATCGAGTCGAAAGCTCCCATATTCGGCTATTATGGAAGTACCCAAAACTGCGGTCGCTCTCCCAGATCTGGATCCGATGGCATGTCTGCAGTGGTGTGTAGACGTGGTCCCGCAGTGGGTAGCACAAAACCGAAAGGACGAGAGTGTGCATCCAATCCGAAACAAACACTGGCCGAAATGTCCCAATCTCTAGCGATAAGGCTACGTGCACCCAGTAGCACTACAGGGATAGCACAACACCTTTGGATGCCAACGCCCATATTCGTGCTGGTCGTGGCTTTTGCATTGATTTGCGGCCCCAGGGATGTCCGTGAAGCCCCAAGCAAGGTGATGCAGTTTCCCGCTCAACAGGGGCACAGGTTTTCCGTAATATGGTCGTATAGGACTCCAAAGAGGAGGCTAGTTGATCCATAGCAGAGTGACTCGAACAATGCGAAGGACGTGCGTAGAATATCTAAGCACAGTGATGGGGTGGTGAGGCACACATGCGCTCAAGATCACGACCCTGCTATGCTTCTTAATCGTGCAAAGGAAACATGCTTGAAATATCCTCTGTAAAGCAGCGAGTTAGCCAAGGACTCTCCAAGCAATTGGCTTGCTCTTACCTCCGTGATGGTTGCGTCGGATTGCTTCAGCCAGGAGATTTGAGAGGTCGATCATGATCAGCTTCTTAGACGCCCGTACTCGCTCCGGCGCGACAGGGAAGGTATTTGTCACGACGATATAGTCGATGCAATCGCAGTCTTCCAAATCTTCCAAGGAGTCTTCGCCAAATAGCGCGTGGGTGGCTATGCAATACACTTTTTTGGCATGACCAATCTTAACACAGGTCTCCGCAGCAGCGATCCAAGAACCGGATCTATCAAGAATGTCATCCATCAAAAGAACCGTCCTATCCTTGACGTTTCCCACAAGGGTGATGGTGTGTTCAAGGTCGGGGTTTTGGATACCCTGCTCTTCTTCATCTGAAGTTGCAGCAGCGTCGAAAGTACCACCAAGGGCATGTTCGGGTTGAAAGGATGACGCGTTGGACATGAAGGAAGAGGTCATTGGATCATACGCGGGATTTCCCAACGCATCTTGCAGGATGCGATCGCCGGGAAAGCCGGAGAAGGAGGTGGAAACGCCGGAGCCTGCCGCCGGAGGGGGGTGGTCTTCGTTTACCAAATGGCCCTGGATTAATCGGCCCACGATTACATCGCGTGCTCTCTCATCATTGTGGGCTTCGCTGGCTTCGTATTCAGAGGGTCGACGGGCGCTCGGAACCGTCTCAGCGCGGCTCAGTCGACCAGGAGATTCTGAGGGGGATGATGGCTCCACCACTGCTGTCTGGACAAGGGGGCTCGATGCGATTGTAATAGCTTTTGGTATGGCCGGACGGCCCACGACATTCACTGTGGAGCCCTTCGTGCGGTGAGGAAGTTCGGTTCGACGATCCCAGTCGAGGGGGTTTTCGGGCTCTAGGTCAGCTTCATCTCCATCATCCTCGTCGCAGAGACCCTGTCGGACGCGGAGAGATTGAGGCTCTATAGCATCGAAGAAGATAGTACTGTCCATCATGCTGTTCTGGTGGTGTGAAGGCCGAGACCGGTCTCGATCAGTAGACACCAACGCGAAGCTCAGCTTGAGAGCATCGGCCAGTGAGGTGACTCGTTTGGTGCCGCCCACATTCTTACTCACAACGACCGCGTCCCTCCAACGGGGCACATTGGCCCTGATCCATCGGGCAATGATTGGTTCTGAATACAGGTTATCGACAGGCTTCCCAAAGAAACCTTGCATTGGTGATGCATGTAAATCAACCGTGATGACATGGTCGACGCCGGCCACGACTATGAGATTGGCGAGCATTTTTGCCGTGATGGCCCCCCGGTGGCTCTTTTTCTTGGATTGGCGGGAGTAGGGAAAGTACGGCATGACCGCAGTGATAGATTTGGCTGAGCCGCCCTTGCACGCAGCAATCATGATGAGCATTTCCATGACACTGTCATTGATGCTGGGACTGCCACTCTGGACGATGAAGACGTCTTCGTTTCTCACTGAGGTGCCGATTTGAACACTGATCTCTCCATTGGCGAAGTTGCCCAGGTCGCATTTGGCAGGGGAAGAGCCCAGTCGTTGACAGATGGATTCGACAAGGGCGGGATGAGATCTACCGGAGAAGACTTTGACACCGCGCATTTTGCGTTCAGGACAGGGCAGAAGACAGCAAAAGCAGGAAAGGCGGAGCTGAAGGGTAGAACGGGAAGTATCAATTCATCGTGGCATGAAGAAATTTTCTTTACTTTCCTCTTGTGAAATGTAGTCATGAGGCCGAAAGTGAAAGGAGGAAGCAGCATCAGTGAAATTTGGGCCTGTCACGTGACTGGACCTTTGATCTTATCTCTCAGCGTCTCAGATCTACGGGACAGCTTCATCCAACCGCCAGGGGGCCTCCATACTTTCTTTCTCCACGGGCTTACCTCATGGCATTTCCTGGCATTATGCCCATACAATACCATGCCGTCGAAATTCCCCGAGATACCGGGTGGTGGCTCCCTGATACTCGCATGGCAGATCAAGAGCAAGGAAGTGTTGGTCATCGGCGGTGGCGAAGTGAGTGTCTCTCCCAGAACTCCAACGACAGCTTTCGACTGACAGTTGACCTGGTTGCGGCCGGCCGTATTGTCAACCTTCTCAATGCTGATGCCAAAGTGACTGTTGTTTGCCCTCGTGAGGGCCTTAATGAAGAGGTGGCATACCGAGTCGACCAGGGCCAGGTCAAGCATGTTGACCGAATCTTTCTTCCCATCGATCTCGAGCCTGAGAAGAATGTTGCCATGGTTCTGACTGCCATCGACGACCCAGACGCATCCACTCGGATATGGAAGTACTGCAAGAAATTGAAGGTGCCTGCCAACATCGCCGATGTTCCGCCCGAATGCGATTTCTACTTTGGTAGTGTTCACCGGGATGGCCCTCTACAAATCATGGTGTCCACAAACGGCAACGGACCCCGAATGGCGGCAGCCATCCGACGACAGATAGGCGAAATGCTTCCCAGAGGAACTGGAGAGAGTATCCAAAAGGTGGGTCAGCTCCGAAGAAAACTACGGAAAATCGCACCTGGGAAAGATACACGAGACATCAGCAAGAGAATGGAATGGATGAGCGAAGTATGTGACAAATGGAACACGGAAGATTTCAATGCCATGGACGAGGCGGACATGGAAGCACTGGTACAATGTTATGATTCAGGGAAAGTGCCCAGTTTCGAAGAGATCCGACTTGGATATCGAGAAGATGTCGTGTGGGAGTTTGACGGATCGTTTGGATGGATGTAACCAGAAATATCATTGCAGATGCTAGGAATACTATGATATCCGTGTCCATCAAGAACTCTGTAAACACAGCCCTTGCTACCCCGCGGCCGAAACAATTCCGCTTTCAGCCTTGCAGCTTGCGATCAAGGGTTCCTTTATGAGGCAACATGAGAGGGCCAATCGTAGAATGACGGTGAAGCGCAGGATGCGAGGAGGATGGGACGAATCGGCCGACAATGGGCTCTCCAGCTTCCTCGACACTATTAGCAGTCAAGCATTGAAAAGGGAACGGAGAGCGGGGGATGTGTTGAGTTTCGGTTCCAGCTGAAGCCTGAACCCTGGAATCTCAGAAAACAGGATTTTCGATGACGTGTGAGTGCAGTCAGTCCACGACGATGGGCGGTTCACTTCCAAGATGATGTATACGCAACGACCACCTGATAGACTGTTGAGAGATCTCGCCTGGACGTTACTTTTTCAATAAATATCCTAGTCCCTCCGGACTCCATCCTCTGCGTTGCGAATGGCTGGCCTCTCTTTCTTTCTACGATCCATGTCCACTTCTACTTGTATCTATTAGCAGCTAGCAGGACTAGCAATCCTGTCAAACGAAAAGCATCTTCAGCTCCGACTGTCTCTCTTCCCCCTCGTCTTCCTCTTCGACCCTCCTGCCTCTCTTCCTCGCCTTCTTTGATACCCATCGCTGGCATTTTGCTGATGCAAGTGCCGTATTCCAGGTTTTCTACTTACCAGCACCTGGCCGCGGCTACGTCTTTCCTGTTTCTGTGTAGCTACAAAATCTCTCATATCTTTCCTACTGTCGAATCATAAGTCAATCTCGAGGATCGGTTCAAAATGCAGGCTCTTCGTCAAAAACTCAAAGGTTAGCCGCATCATGCACCTCCATCTGACAGATCAATGATACCCCAACAGACACCAAACTTCACGACGCCAAAGTCGAAGCCATTCATTTCAAGAACAAGATAGGCAAGCTGAAAAACCTCGTCAATAAAAATCATCGACATGACGAGGAACATGAGCAAGCGACCGATCACAAGAGGACCGAGATTTGTGACAAACATCGTTACAATTCCTTCTTCCCCGAGCGAGACAACAACAAGATCAAATGGTATGTCGACGGCCGCGACTACATGTGGGCCGTCTCCGTTGGGCTCGAAAATGCCAAAGAGACCATTTACATTGCGGACTGGTGGCTTTCTCCTGAATTGTTCTTGCGCCGCCCTCCTTTCTTCAACCAGGAATGGCGTCTCGATCAAACTATCAAGCGTGCAGCGGCGCGCGGCGTCCAGATCTATGTAATTGTCTACAAGGAGGTTCAACAAGCTTTGACCTGCAATTCCGCCCACACCAAACATGCTCTGAGAGCTCTCTGTCCAGAGGGGACTCCTGGTCATGGAAATATCCATGTCCTTCGTCATCCAGACCACAATGTGTTCGAAAATTTTGGCGACATGACATTCTACTGGGCCCATCATGAGAAATTCATAGTCATCGACTATCATCTGGCCTTCATTGGAGGCTTGGATCTGTGTTATGGAAGGTGGGATGTTCGCCAGCATCTCCTTGCTGATGTCCATCCATCTGGTGTCGTCAACGAAATTTTCCCCGGTCAAGACTTCAATAATAACAGGTAAAAAGTCTTTCAGGTTGGAGCCAGTCACTCAGCTTACTTCGTCAGGATCATGGACTTCCATACGGTGCAAGATTGGTCGAATAATGAACTTGACAAGACCGATTACGGTAGAATGCCCTGGCACGATGTGGCCATGGCATTGGTCGGAGAGTGCGTCGTTGACATCGCAGAGCATTTTGTCCTCAGATGGAATTTTATCAAGCGCGACAAATATAAGCGAGACGAGGATGTCGACTATCTGTGCATGACCACGAGGTCCAAGGCAGACGGTTCAAACCCGGATGAAGATCTCATTGCCATCCAGAGACCCAAACATCCTGTTGGCAAGTATATTGAGCATCCCTTGAGTCCCTTGGAGGGCAAGGGCCTCCAGAATGCCGGCTCTGTCCACGCTCAAGTTGTTCGCAGCAGCGACGATTGGAGCAGCGGAATTCTGGTGGACCGTAGCATTCAAAATGCATATGCAGAAGTGATCGAACATGCTCAACATTATGTTTACATCGAAAACCAGTTCTTTATCACAGCGACCGGTGACCACCAAGCCCCCATCCACAACACCATCGGTCGAGCAATCGTGAATGCCTGCGTCCGGGCTGGAAAAGAAGGCCGAAAATTTAGAGTTATCATCATCATTCCTGCTATTCCTGGGTTTGCTGGTGACCTTCGTGACGATGCAGCCATTGGTACCAGGGCGATCATGGATTACCAATACAAGAGTATCCATCGCGGCGAACATTCAATCATGGGCCAAATTAAAAAAGCCGGGCTCGACCCTCACAAGTACATATTCCTCTTCAACCTGCGCGCCTATGATCGTATTAACAAGACTCCCGCTCTCATTCAGCAAGAAAAAGACTCTGGAGTCTCCTACCAAGAACTGCAGCGCGCTGAAGCGGAGGAGATTATGAGCACAGGCATCCATGGCTACGAAGGCGAGAAAACCGAGAAAGAATCTCGTGGCGCCGGCCACTCCGTGAGCGAAGAGGAGCAACACCGCATCATCGACCGCAAACGCCAGTTCGAAGCCGCTCGGAAGAAACTGGACGTCAAAGACCCCGTCACGTCGGCGGAATCGATCGCTGAAGATGCCATGGCAGAGGGTGGACTCGTGAGCGAAGAACCCTGGGAAGGAGATCCAGAGGCTGAAAAGGATAACTTCGTACAAGAGGAATTATACGTGCACGCAAAGCTGCTGATTGCCGACGACAAGACCGTGATATGTGGTTCAAGCAACCTCAATGATCGCTCTCAGCTTGGCTCGCACGATTCGGAAATCTCCATCGTCATGACCGACACCAAGATCCTCGAATCGACGATGGACGGCAAAGCCTACCAAGCAGGCTATCACGCCGCAACCCTCCGTCGACACCTATGGCGTGAGCACTTGGGCACGATCGGGGCACAAGGCGTCGATGCGTCCAAAGATCCCAATGCACAACCTCCCACCGTTTGCATGAACGAAGAATACAGTGGCGAAGAGTGGGAATTTGTCGCGGACCCGTTGAGCGACGCCCTCTGGGAGAAATGGACCACCCAGGCCACCGTCAACACCGACATTTACCGACACTTGTTCCGCGCCGATCCTGACAACAACATCAGGACCTGGGACGACTACGACAACTTTGCCCCACGCAAGACCATCAAGCAGGGCCATCTGCACGATCCCCATATGCCTGTCGAACTGGTACGTAAGGAACTTGACAAGATCAGAGGCCACTTGGTCTGGATGCCATTGGATTTCTTGTGCGAGGAGGAAATGGCAGAGAAGGGATTACAAGTCAATTCGTTCACCGAGGTGAGTGGAACTCCCGTGATCTAAAGATTTTGTGGGCGATTATTTTGCTGATGGTTTCTTACCCTGCAGAGTGTCTATACTTGATCTATTCCTTGTAAAACTGAGTTACCATATCATGATTCCGACTCGGAAGTCTTTGGGTCGAACCGAACTGGATGATTCCTATGAAAATAATCCTGATAGCCACGCGACAGGTGCTTACCTCACATTCATGTCTTTGATATTCTTGTGATGAAAGTTCCAACGGACCAGAGCTCTCTTGCTGCTGCCGCCGCGGGTGAGAAGAAATAGGGGCTGATTGAGTTGAGAGGCCCCGAGAGATATGTATACCCAGACATAAGTGCAGAAGATCCGAATGAAATCTATTTTCACATATTCGTCATCGTCCCTTGATGTTATCGGCTGGCGCTGAAGGAGGCGACAAATAAAAACCCCCAACAAATCTAATGAAATAAGAAAGAACTCGCTGGAATATCTTTTCCGTTGATTTCCCTGGGTGCAAAGGCCAGACCTGTCTTTGGATACCCAAGATGGATCCATATCAATTTACAAGAGCCCGGCCAAACAATATTCGGCTCTCGGGCCACGGCTCAGCGTTTCCGACGTGACGACAATACAACGGCGATTTAGACAAGTTCCCCAAGCCCTAAGGCAAAAAGCCTTTCTTCTCATCTCTAGATCTGGGCGAAGAACCAAGCTCCGTTCTGTTCCGTCTCGCTCATGCTACGTCGTACCCGTCCTACTAACTCTACTCTCCCTCCTGGTCGCGCTGCCGAATTCAAAGCCACGGGTCGATACGCCCGGGCTGGTGGGCGTGGCACCGACGCTGCCGTTCCGCGTGGAGCTGACACTGCTCTCGCGACCACGAGACAAAATAATCTCAGGCATCCCGAACTTGACTTCGCCGACACGGCGGAACATGCCCCAGAGGGCGGAGCGGAGGTCTGTGCCGACTTCTTTCTCCAGCAGGCCGACGCCAAGCGGGTAGAAGGTCTCGACATGCTTCTCGAAACTCTCCTTAGGGAAGTTAGTGTAGCCTTCAAGCACGTCGATGACGACGGGCCGCCATGCGACGATGTTGCGTGGTTGCGTCTCCTCATCGAGGAGGATGAAGGAGCGGATGATGTCTGCGCATAGTCTGCAAGAGTCCAATGTTAGCAAAAAATGAAAATCAAAGTTTAGAGACCCTCGAACCCGCGTGGAGGAAATACGTACGGTATCAGGGCACCTTCAGTTTGGTCTCTACTCGACCGTCGCTCTTCCCCTTCGTCGTGGTACATTCTCAATAAGATACTAACATAAGTATTGGCTGATCCGGACTCTTGCTTCAACAAATTAGGTGGTTGACGCATGAATCCTTGTCTCCACAGCGCCATTCTGAGATCTTTGTCCCCGTTGAATTTCTTGGCAAACTGGTAGGACTTCTTCAACAATGCCATGAGGCGCAGAAGCTCTGATGAAGGAATCTGCGCATAGACTGAATCATTGGAGAAGAGCTCGGCGACAGTTTCAATCATGAGGAGCTGAAGGACGCAATTGGTAATGATCTTGTTGAAGAAACGACGCCGTGCCGCCGTCACTACAGGTGCAGGAGCTTGCATGTCTGAATGCGGGCGGTAATCTTCCAGTTCCTGCGTCGTCTGAGTTTGCGGGATTTCAGGAGTGGCAGTTGTGGCGGTTGGGTCTGCTTGGGAATCCAAGGACGAAGTTGGAGCAGGTAATTGAGTTGGCGCACCGTTCGTTGTTGGAGTTTCCACAATGTTGGCTCCAGAGATGGATAAGCTATCAGATCCGTCATGGGGTGGTGTGGGTCGAGCGTCAGACATGGTGGCAGCCGTAGAGAATAACTCGTAGGCGGTCGTTCTGTTGAAGAGTTCCACAAATGCGGTCACAATCCTCGACCAGTGTTCTGGTGTAAATTTCGTAACGTTCTGAAGAATCAATTGTTGTAGGCAGTTGCTTCCAATCCGCGCAATAGTGTCGTTCTCCTGACAAATGCACAGGGTAAGGAGATCTAGGAATCGGTCCAGCATATGCTCTAGAGAGTCAAAGTAATGTGTGAAGAGGGTGATCATGTTTCGAAGTGCCTGAATCATCGTTGTAGATAGCCACACTGAGAGTTCTTCGTGGTTAGGTGCTTTAGACATTTCCGATTTGGATTGGAGAACAACAAATATGGGATATAATAGTTGGCGCCAAAGGACATCCCAAAATTCGGACGGAAAATCACCTCCATACCTGATGAGGGTTTCAAAGAGGTATGTGAGGGCTCTGGAACGGACCTCAAGATCCTCTCCAGTCATTAACACATCCTGATACGCTATCAGGACAGGGTACCAGAATTGCTCTTCTTCAGTCTGAGAGGTGGGTTGTTTGACACCAGCAACAACCGCAGAATCTTCAGACTCAGCCGGTTTGCCATGCCGGATCGAAAGCGGGCATTCTGGAGTCCTCAGCATCTTGGGCACGGTGGACTTGAGCAGTTCGATGGCTTGGAGCGATTTCTTTTGAAATTTCAGATTCTTTGAGAACTCGGTCAGACAAACGACCAAGTCTGGAAACGAGCCTTGGGATATCACAACGCCGAACCGCGTGTTGTAGATCTGAGTTGTATAGTCAAATGCAATGTTGACGATGGCCTCATACTGCTCCCTCGCGGCAACGGAGAAGACCCCAAACATTGTCTTCCAACCAGATCTGATGTTGTCTCCACGGGCTTGGATCATTTGTATCAAGCATCTCAGAACCATATCTTTCACCGTCACGGCCGAGCTGTTTGCCATGACATGCTCGAATGGTTTGAGAAAGTCTTTCTGAAATTTGAAGCCGGGCAATTCTTCAATCTCCATAAATCTCATGGACAGCTGACGAAGAGAGTCAAGCGCGAAGAAGACAACCGCAGTATTGTTGTGACATCCCACTTGATTGAAATGCTCGCCGAGTACCTCCCAGATCCGCGTCCACTCTATCCTAACTCTTGTCATGTTGTAGTAGCTGATTTCCACTAATTTTTGAAGACTGTAAGTCCTGGGAGAATCACTATTGCCGGAGGACTGGATTTCTTGCCAACTAACGTCACTCAGAGCCTTGACAAAATCAACAATGGCCTCGGAAGATAGCTTGGCCGTGTTTGTGAAGATTTTATCTACACCGCGAACCATGTCGGTGGACTTGGTCTCGTCTGCCACTTCTGGACGGAAGCTATGGGCTGGCCTCGGGTGAGGACGTTTCGCGGCCTGCATCGACCTGCGGCCTCGATTGTTGTCCTTCACATTGGAAGGGGTTGGGATGTTGGCCCTGGTCACGTCGGGAATCACACCTTCGTCGATACCAGTAGACAAGAGCTGTAGCCTGTCGAGCTGGCTGATACACATTAATATCTCCCGCCATGAGCTCTTCAACACGTCGCCCTCGGACAGAGCCACCTCGATAAGCACTTTCAATGCTTCTAGATTCTTAGCCATCATCTCTTTCAGATTACTCAGATTGGTGAATTTCGCCAATGCTGTCACAAAGGCGACTCTGGGTGTTTCCACGTCAAACCGGCAGGATACCCTGATGGCGAGCCTTAAACCATCCAAGCACTGCCTAATAAGATCGAGATTCTGTGCATCTTGCAATTGGCTCGAGAAGCCGGACAGAAAAGACATCCAAGTGACATTGAACATTGGGCCCACATGCTTCGTGGAGGTCGCTGGAATGAATCGAGACAGAGCTTCTCGGACGGCTGAACGCTTCTGCGCTCGGATGAGACTCCGATACAACTGCTCCGTTTTGTTTGCCATCTCTTCCGACGCCTGGGCATATTTCTCTTTCTGTAGATCTCTCCCAACATTGGCCAGAACCTTTCCGGCTCTGGAAGCCAACCCTGCGGAGGGTGCCGAAGTTGCAATTCCCAATTCAGCTGCCTGCTCACGCTCCGAATCCAAGACGATTTCATTGTTGGCGATTTCGTCAAAAATGCCGCTTAGATAATCCGACGGCAGATCTTGACCATCATTGATCCCTCGATTGTTCTTGATGAAGTCTTCGACAGTCATTCTCGGCCCTTTCATCTTCACGCTGTGCTGATCGGTGTTCAGCAAAATGACCGAATATGCGAGAACATAAGCCGTATCAGCATTGGCGAAGGCGTTAGGATTGCCGCTCAGATAACGTTCGGCAAATTTGAGCATGAATCGGTCAATCTTCTGGGCTTCTCCAGGCAGTCGGAAACTTTGTAGAAACTGCCTCAAAGCGTCGACAAAACGTCGTTTGCTGAAATCCATCATATCGACAAATGCATGCATAATGGCCACGTTCTGCTCGTCACCTTCTCCGAGGTACTCTCCAAGCATAGCTTTATCAAGTTTGTCATTGCCATGCAAGAACCTTGCGATTTCTTGGGGACTGTTGCTACGGATGAAGCCTTGAGCTAGGAGCGCCTTTATGCCTCGTTTGGGTTTGAAGTTAAACTGCCTGATAGCCTCATTCAATGCAGACTTTCGCATTCTTATTTTCTCGATCTCGTTAGGATCATCTTCAGCCACCGGGGTAGAAATGCCTGATTCGCCACCAAAACCAGGGGCTCTCGGCGAAGATGGAGGCTTTTCGCTATAATCGAGAGATTCCCTGGAGTCTTCAAAGGACGCCCTTGAGCCTGCGTAACGAGTTCCGTTGACACGATCGGGATCTCCCTGACTCGACCAGTTGTCGAGAGAATTCAAAATCTCTACAAGACAACGGAGGGACTGTTGCTTCAAAGCATACTCGATAGATATTGACGGCGGAGGTGGAGCGGGATGACTGAGAGTGGTCGTCGATAAACCAGGAAGGAGGGATCCCTTAGCATGCCATTCTGAAGTTGGTGTCGAGGATTTCGCTTGTTGTTCTTGGTATTGGTGCTGCTGAACAGGAGAGACTACCACTGGCGTACTGCAAATTCGCGAAAGGTGCTCGATAATTTCTTGATACATGTTGTCCAGTGCTGTTCGATCGCAATCGTAATTGAGATAGACTTCAACTAGAGCACGAGGATCGCTCGAGAGCCTTTCCAGGACGTCCATGAACATCTGTTTCTGGAAAAGAGGTGCACTTCGTCTCTCCAAGACTGCAAGATACACCTCTTTCAGGAAGACCTCCAGTTCTTTCTTCAACAAAACACGCATATGCTTCAGAGAAAGCCAGAAAATCTCGCAACAGACTTCAAATACGCGCGGCACTGAACTTGAAGCGTTCCGGGAAAGACTGAGACATAAGTGTGGTTTCGCAACTTGCAAGAAAGGGGTATTTTCATCGTTATTTCCACTTTTGATAGTTGAAAATGAAGATGTGAACACTGTTGTGTAATTGTTGATAACATGGTAGATAAGGTGCAGAGACAGAAGCTTGGAGCGCATGTTTTGGGTTCTGAGGTCTTGTTGTTGGTCGTGAGTTAGGACTTTTTGACTGAGTTTGCACAACGAACGAAACACGAGGAATGCGTCCTTGATGTATATGTCGTCTTCGTCTTCAGCAGACATCTCAGTCTCCTCGCGATCTTCCTGCAAACTTGTACGGGACACTGGCCCAGAGCTGGAGCGAGTATTTTTGCGATCTCTTCTTGCACGTGTCACCGTTGTTGGCGCACTCTCGGCCACCAGCGCGTCGTCCAGATTTTTGTTATTTTCAAAACTCTGCAGGGTCAACTTTTCCTGGGCTCGAGCCGGCCCTTCCGTCAGGTGGGAAGGGGTTTCTTGATCTGGAGTCTCCACCTGGCCGTTCAAACCGTTCAGGCCACCATGCTCGAATGCAGAGGCGTCGCCGGGAAGGGCTTCATCCGACTTGAGATCCACATTCTCTCTTAAACGAGCTTCTTTCACATCTAGTCTGACTCGGACTCGATCGAACACCGTTGCAATCATCTGAAGGAGAGAACCCTGGGCAACTTGTTGGTTTTGGCTCGACTTGGAATAGATGAAAATGTTGTATATCTGACGGACTGCTTTGAGAAGCCCGGCGCCATGTACCACGATTTTGTCATCCAGGACTGCTGCGAGTAACGATTTGATAATTTGTTGCTGAATCTCCACAGCGGTGGCTTCATTTTCAAAGCAGTCGCAAATAGCCTCGATTGCTCTTTCAATTAGAGGCGGTGTACCTGGCGAATCGGGTTGATAGGCGACAGTAGCAACAGGAAATGCAAAGTAGGAATAGCTTATAAGCTTGCCAATACAATCCAATGCCGTCACCTGCAGGGGAACGTTGAATGATTTTGTGGCCATCTGCAGTGGTCGAAAAATGATTTCAGGATTGACTGCATGCTCCGTGCTCTTAATGTTTGCCAGCGCTGCTTGCACCGCGTCTGTGAATTCCTTGTTCCTGCGTACCTCCTTGGCTGCTCCGATCGTTTCCAAAGCACTGACAACAAAGACCGTAGAGTTGACCGGGAGAGGACGCGGTACTGTCGTCGATCGTGAATCGGATCTGTCTGGCCGGGTTTCAGGCATTGGTTCACTCTGAGATGTGGCGGAGCCATCTTGCTGCATCCGCTGGACTCCCTCACTCTTTGCTTCATCTTGGGAGATCTCTGTCATTCCACGTTCAGGTGTCGTATCCTCAGAGGTATTCACTGTCTCCTCCTGATGTATTGGAGCCTCGTTAGAGTCTGTTGGAGACTCTGTCACCGTCGAGCGGTCATCCTGAGAGGCTACGTCGCCTGAATCCTCCTCTGCCTGCGTCTCGTTCGCATCAGTGTCTTCAACTGTTATTTTCACTCCATGACCAGTAGGTACTTCATGTACAAGAGAGCCTGGAGAAGTCTCTGTCTGCTCATCTTTGCCAGCATCCTCTTCCGAGAGATTCTCTGCTTGGGATTTGTGGTCCGGGAGGGAGTCAGTTTGCGGAGGCTCACTCCCGACGCCAGACATTGGGCTGGCAAGTGAGGCAAAAGTTCACAGAAAAAGTAAAAGGTTCAGGATCATCTACAAAGGGTGTACAATGTCGGAAACATCGCAGTTGTGGAGTCCGCAGAGTCTTCAGAACTGATAAATTGTACAGGTCCCCCGTTACAATGGCGTCGCCAAGTGCGCATCACTGCGGAGGCATAAGTTTTCGGTAGCAGTCAAGTCCGGCAGAGCACTGGAGTGGAGGCGAAGGTTGTCGGCGAGCTTCACTCGGTGAACCACCCCTGCCCGTTCTGTTCGGGTGCCGGAGTTGGAGTTTGTCGCCCTTGTTGCTCTCAACCCATTTTCTTAGCTGTTACCAACGGTCCAACAAACTACATAACTGTCGTAGGAGCATTCGCCGGCAGGGCTGTTCGTCTTCCCTTTTCTTTGTCGCTCCTTTGCCCTGACTCTGGTCTTGACTGGGGGTCCTCAATCCTCTTCCCGCCACTCCTGCTCCTCGTCATGACGACCTCAACACTCCTCTCCCGTTCGGGGTCACGTCTACTCCAACAGTCTACACCTAGCTCCAGAATCAGCCGGATCGCGTTGCAAAGACTGCAAAATGGAGCAGGGTATGCCTAAAGCATGACATGCAAGAACATCTCAGCTAACCAGAATGAGAAGATCCCAACCTTTCCCCTATTTGTCCGTCCTCGGTCGTTACTATACATCCAAATGTACATCTTGTCCCCGTCAGCTTCCAATTGAAGTGCGAGAAAACTGACAATGTTCGATAGCATTTCCTCCTCACACTGTGATTACTATGCCCGCGCTCTCACCCACGATGACATCCGGAAACATCGGAGCATGGCAAAAGAAGGCCGGAGACACTTTATCACCGGGAGATGTGCTGGTTGAGATCGAAACGGACAAAGCCCAGATGGATTTCGAGTTCCAAGAAGAAGGTATATTGGCGAAGATTCTGAAAGAGTCCGGAGAAAAGGATGTCGCCGTTGGAAACGTAAGACTCGTGACTACACCGGACCATTGAAATATCCTGACAGAGTACCAGCCAATTGCCGTGATGGTCGATGAAGGGACAGACATCTCAGGATTTGAGTCCTTCACCCTTGAAGACGCCGGCGGCGAGAAAGCCCCTCCCAAGGAGCAACCAAAGGAGGAGGCCGCCGAGGCCACAGAAAAGGCCGATTCAGGTGCAGGCACAGCACCCCCGAGTGATGTCAAGCCCTCGGCGCCAAAAGCCGTGGAATCCGACTCTACAGGTGGGAAATTGGAGACTGCGCTCGACAGAGAACCGAGCATCAGCCCTGCCGCAAGAAAGGCTGCTCTCGAAAAGGGCGTTCCATTGAAAGCGCTCAAAGGCACCGGTCCCGGTGGCCGTATAACATTGGCCGATGTCGAGAAATACAAACCCGCAGCAGGAGGAGCTACCGCTGCCGCCGCCGGCGGCCCAACCTATGAGGACATTCCTGCCAGCGCAATGAGAAAGACAATTGCTACCCGACTCCGCGAATCCATGAACCAAAATCCTCATTACTTCGTGTCGGCCACACTGTCGGTAACGAAATTGCTCAAGCTGAGGGAAGCACTCAATGCTTCAGCTGATGGCAAGTATAAACTCTCGGTCAACGATTTCTTGATCAAGGCCTGTGCAGTTGCCTGCAGAAAGGTTCCAACCGTCAACTCCAGCTGGAGGGAAGAAGGCGGCCAGTCGATCATCCGCCAGCACAATACTGTGGACGTAAGCGTGGCTGTCGCTACTCCTGTTGGTTTGATGACTCCCATTGTCAGGAATGCCGATAGCATTGGCCTATCCACAATTTCCTCTGCAGTCAAGGACCTCGGAAAGAGGGCACGGGACGGCAAGCTCAAGCCCGAAGAATACCAAGGAGGTACATTTACGATCAGCAATATTGGCATGAACCCTGCTGTGGAGCGATTCACTGCCGTGATCAATCCGCCTCAGGCAGCAATTCTTGCCGTGGGAACTAACCGCAAGGTCGCCATTCCTATTGAAACCGAAGAGGGCACAGTCACTGAATGGGATGACCAGATCGTCGTCACTGCTAGCTTCGACCACAAGGTCGTGGACGGTGCTGTGGGGGGTGAATGGATCCGGGAACTGAAGAAGGTGGTGGAGAATCCTTTGGAGATGATGCTGTGAGGTTCTTCTTGAGTTTGGCTGGATTAGCGAGGCGGATGCAGGAAGGGTATGTATAAAAGATTTCTTCGTTCTGGCAAAAGTTGTGCCTGCATTGCCTTCGAATGCTAGTAATTGATTATTACCGTATCCAGCAAAATAGTTGGTGCCTGTGGGGAATTCCATTATCCCAAGAACAGCTTTATGCAAGGATGGTAGGCGCAGAACCTTCAGACTATAATACACCAGAGTTTGAATTCCCAACAATTGAAAAAAGATGTAAGGCTGGCAAAATCGGCCGAGTCTGTACGATCCAGCCGAAGTAGATCGCCAAGTCTCCGAGCTTTCCGTCATCTGGAAGGACTAAGACTAGACCAGACTGCGGTGAAGCTGTGAATAACAACATACCGCCCGTGCTTTCATCGCCAAAGGTTCTATCTGCTCTGCGACCGTCTACCAAGGGCTTGAAGCCCTCCATGAGCCTAACTTCTCGCCTATCCAATTTGCTTCCCCAAGACACCTCAGTCCAGGAGTCTGTCGAGTCCCAGCGCAATGGATATGCAGAATTTGACTCTGATATCGACGGCGCACGACAGATTAAGAGACCGCGCACGATGGAGAAATTGGTGGAGGAGGAAGTCAATTTTGAGCTAAAGAGGCCTCCGTATCTTCATGTACGTCGCATGGTGCACCATCCACGGTGTATGTCTGTTTGCTCACACATAAAACACAGTCAATGCTTGCAGGAGGAATCGGCGGCACGTCTGGCGATATCCTTATGCACTCCTTAGATACGGTCAAGACGAGACAGCAAGGAGACCCTCATTTTCCACCCAAATATTCCAGCTTGTCCGACTCCTATGTCAAGATATTCAGGCAAGAGGGTATCAGGCGGGGCCTCTATGGAGGTTTTACTGCGGCGATGCTGGGATCTTTCCCGGGAACTGTCATCTTTTTCGGATCATACGAATATTTCAAGAGAAATATGTTGGATAGAGATATCAACCCGTCTGTGGCATATCTCTCAAGTGGTAAGGCACTCCGGCCGCCAATCGAAAGCCCAGCGATGTTTAGCTAACTCCTTTTATCTAGGCTTCCTGGCCGACTTCGCAGCCTCCATCATCTATGTTCCATCCGAAGTCCTTAAGACTCGCTTACAATTGCAGGGTCGATATAATAATCCTTTCTTCAACTCAGGGTACAACTACAAGTCGACGTGGGATGCAGCCAAGACAATAGCCCGGACCGAAGGTCTAGGGGCGTTGTATTCTGGATACAAAGCTACCATTGTCAGAGATCTCCCATTCTCTGCATTGCAATTCGCTTTTTACGAACAAGAACGGAGATTCGCACAGAGATGGAAGGGGGCTCATGAGATTGGCCTCGGTTTGGAGATCTTGACCGCCGTCTCTGCCGGTGGCCTCGCCGGAGTCATCACTTGCCCGTTGGATGTGGTCAAGACGAGAACGCAGACTCAGATCACGCCTCATGACCATGCCAAAAATAGTCAAGCATCCCATATGGAGAAGGCTATCAAAAGCCACAAAACGTCGGCCAAACTGCCTTCGCGGATGATACATTCGGGGCCTCGCACTGTACCTCACTCGATGCCTACACTCGACACCTCATCGGTATTGACGGGCTTGAAGCTCATATACAAGACCGAGGGAGTGCCCGGCTGGTTTCGCGGAGTCGGCCCACGCTTTGTGTGGACCAGCGTGCAAAGTGGAACGATGCTTGTTCTGTACCAGTATTTATTGAAGCAATTGGCGCGATTCCAGCCGACGGAAGGTTCAGCGGTGATTTGAAGAGGTCAGCGTCTTTTGTACACATGATACATTGGCATTTCGTAGCCGTTTGATGTCACGCATGGCGATCAGGCTTGGTCAGGATCCCCTAAGTTAGATATACAGCGGACAGAAGAGGCAGATAGAGTGTACCATATAGCACAGAAAATGTTTCAACTCTTTCGTACTATACACCTTGGCCGTGCCTTTAGGTAATCTCCCACACCCACCGCTGCGCTTTGCCCAATCTGGCCCGACCACGATAGATAAAATACACGTGAATGGCATTAAAGAGTCGCCCACGAGACAGCAATCGGTCTGCAGCGCACCAGTTGGCACCAACTGGGGAAGGATCAGGGGTACCCAGGCCCGTGGTCCAATGCCCTGGCGAATGCTCCGTAGCACACGCTGATCCCCAATCAGGGTTCCTTCCTTACTGCCAGAACGGACTTGGCATATCCCCTTTTTTCCACTCACCTTGTTTCTGTTCGAGCAGACCACCAGCCAAAGTGCCCAACTTTGCTTCACGACGCCTGTATCATCTTCTCGCGCGCCCAACTTGATCTGTTTTTCTCTTTGTTTCTCGTCCAGCGCATCAACTTTCTCCTTACACTCGCTTGGAACCCGCCACGGACGTCCTGGTAGAGTCCACAATTTGAAAATCCCCTGTGCGTATTTGTCCTCGTCCACGTCTACCCCATTGGATTGCCCTTCTGCTCTCTCTTCCGCAAATCCCTTTTGTCGCAGGCAGGCTGTCACGCTCATCCATCCACCGCGCGATACATCTCGGCTTTCCATCTCGTGCGCAAGCTGACAACATTCACTTACAGTGGCCTTTTGTTTCGTCTCCTCAGTGCTTCCCGCAGAAACGACGTTTGTCTGACACAATGGGTGAGCATTCGTCACCACTTTCCACTTCCACTCAACACACATCATTCCTCGTCACCTCACTTTGATCGGCTTCAATACAAAGTTCCACCTTTCTGAAGTTCAGCTGTGTCTGTCGTGTCGAGTTTGGAGCAAGAGCGACGGCAGTGGACCTAGAATCCCCCATTCTGGTCCAAGCGTAGACCTCAACATTCCAAATGATCACGCCCTTCAAGACGAACAAGCCCTCACCTTCCCAACCTGGCCCTGTCTGAACTCAACACACCCTTTGAACATGACTGACGCGAGTGAAAATCTAGCTACTGTTGCAAACGGCATACGGTCCTCTCCTTCCCCCAACATTCCGAACGGCAAACCCGCGTCCCCCTACGTGAAGGAAAGCAATCCCATGGGAACAAATGCGGCGCAGACCGTCAGCTCCAAAGACCCCAAGGCCGCCGCTGCCGCTGCAAATGATATGCGAAATGTTGTTCGAAGAAAATTGACTGGCTACGTTGGGTTTGCCAACCTGCCGAATCAATGGCATCGAAAGAGTGTCAGGAAGGGATTCAACTTCAACGTGATGGTTGTTGGTACGTGCCAAAGACCTCATCTCTCGGTTGACTATACTCATCCGACACAGGTGAATCTGGTTTGGGCAAATCCACATTGGTCAATACATTGTTCAACACCTCCTTGTACCCTCCTCGCGAACGTAAAGGCCCCAGCCTGGACATCATCCCAAAGACGGTCTCTATTCAGTCCATCAGTGCTGACATCGAGGAAAATGGTGTTCGCCTGCGTTTGACTGTGGTTGACACCCCTGGATTTGGAGATTTTGTCAACAATGATGATTCCTGGAGACCGATCGTCGAGAACATCGAACAGAGATTCGACGCGTATCTCGAAGCCGAGAACAAGGTCAATCGGATGAACATCGTTGACAACAGAGTCCACGCCTGCGTGTATTTCATTCAACCCACAGGGCACTCCTTGAAGCCTCTTGATATTGAGGTCATGCGTCGCCTTCACACCAAGGTCAACCTTATTCCAGTCATTGCAAAGGCCGATACATTGACGGATGAGGAAGTCGCTTTGTTCAAACAACGAGTAAGGGACCCTGTTGCTATGAGACATGGCTCGAGGCTAACTAGGATCGTAGATTTTGGCCGACATCCAGCATCACTCGATCCAGATCTTCGAGGGCCCACGATACGAATTAGATGATGAAGAGACAATTGCAGAGAACCAAGAGATCATGTCTAAAGTTCCATTTGCGGTTGTGGGTGCCAACTACGAGGTGACCAATCCTGAAGGCCGCAAAGTCCGTGGTCGTCGCTATCCTTGGGGTATCATCGAAGTAGACAATGAAGATCACTGCGATTTTGTTAAATTGCGACAGATGTTGATCCGCACTCACATGGAAGAACTCAAAGAACATACCAACAACGCTTTGTACGAGAACTACCGTTCCGACAAGCTTATCCAGATGGGTGTCTCGCAAGACCCGAGTGTGTTCAAGGAGGTCAACCCTGCGGTGAAGCAGGAAGAAGAGCGAACACTCCACGAACAAAAGCTTGCCAAGATGGAGGCAGAAATGAAGATGGTGTTCCAGCAGAAGGTGCAGGAGAAGGAAAGCAAGCTGCAACAGAGCGAAGAAGAACTCTTCGCCCGTCACCGTGAGATGAAAGAGCAATTGGAGCGTCAACGGGCTGAACTGGAGGAGAAGAAAGCACGGATCGAGCAAGGCCGTCCGATTGAGAAAGAGGGCAAGAGAAAGGGATTCTCGCTCCGATAGGCGTTGATGGCGATGTCATCCCCATCATCTTTGACTTGTCCTTCCTTTTCTACCAGTGTTTGCAGTCCAGCTCAGCGACGAGACGACGACGGCGATTCCTCTTTCATTTTCTACACCTGTTGTTGCTATTGCCTGATCAAACGACAGACCGGAGCTGTTGCGGTCGTTACCTAATCACATACATGATGTGTACGTGGAGAGGCTTTGAAGGGGGGAAACTTGGATTGTGCGTAATGCGAAGGTCCAGTTTCAGCAAATCAGACTGGCGGTCGGTCCAAGTTTGGTGGACGGAAACGATCATGTCCTTCACTCATCCGCAATCATGTATATTTCCTTTTTAGCACTTGTGTCTGTTTCAGCCGGAGACGGAGGGGAGGAGACGAGGGTTCTTTTTTCACACAGGGGACGAGGGTAGTTAGTCTCTTTCATTCCTTCGAATTACCAGCCTGGCATTGTTGAGGACACGTCGGCTGCCTGTGTACCTAGCAAACCTCCAAAAGTGTGATTCGAGAGAAATGGCCACCAAATTGTCCGTCACTTGACGAATTTCCGTTTATGGCCCTGTAGAGATCTGGCCTCTGCTAGCCAATGCTGGCCGAGATGGACGAATTGTGAAGAGCAAAAATTCCTGTAGCCTGAACGCGAAGCCACTGACAACATGCACCACAGGAGATTGGATGTGGCGCACGGAGAGTAGGAAGATATCACTAGGTTTCGAAAGTACCGGATGCAGAGGACGCTGAACACCGATCAATGGGTATCAACTGAATGATGGACTGTGGCTTGATAATTGACGAAAGGCCCCAAAGTTAAGGAGCTTGACATCATTGCTGGTGTCAGTGCCACATCCGCTGTGGGAATGCCGTAAAAGTAACCCTATCCTAATTACTTCTTCTCTCGCACACACACCACCAACAGCTTCTTTGGTCCGCAGTTTTCAACCCGCCTTCAAGCACCTACACTAGCTCCAACCCAACCTACTATTTCTACCATTCCAGCCTTCTTTTTTTTCCTTTTCTACCCCCTTCCTCGAGAGTCCGCTACCCGTGTTCCTTTCTCCTTCTTTTTTGTAACTTGCTTTCGATCTTCCAGCTGCTTTGCTCCGGCTTAACGCGAAAGCACCTGACCCTACATCTTGACCACCCCCTCTTTCTCCTCTACCATCTGCGACGAGCTCGAAGTAATGGCGCCCCCACCTTCGACTGCGCCTTTGGGCGAACGTCTTGCAAAACTTGCAACCACCTTGCAATTGTCGGAATCTATCTCTCTCCCAGCAGACCGAGCTGACTAACTCGAGCACAGCGCCTGGTTCATGGGCCATTTCACCCTCCTCCTCAGTGTCTTCCGATATAGCCTCTCCTATATCACATTCAACTATTACTCCAAATGGGCCTCCTTCACCTACCGTCTCGCGTTTGTCTCCGCGGTTGCAACGTACGGCATTGTTGTCTTCAAGGCGTATCGCGCTCGGGTCAAGTCCGGAGCCAACATTGGTTCCACTATATTCCTTCTGTTGTCGGATGAGAATGTGCAATACCTACGTGAGTGCTTTGGCCGATATTAGAGAGCTCCCAAGAGGCTGACGTTCAATCAAGTGATAAGCCTGGTCTGGTTGTTCTCAAGGCAGGTTCCTTTGGCTCTGCTTCCTTTCACTGTCTATTCGGTCTTCCACGTGGCAACCTACACTCGCACCAATATTATTCCCACTCTTCAGCCCCCCAGAGCAGCTCCCGGCAGTACTCCCACTTCGCCCGGTGCCTCAAAATCCCAATCCGCTCTTGCCAATTCCATCGGCAAATTCGTCAAAGAGTACTATGACACATCTATGATGCTGGTGGCTGGATTGGAGATTCTCCTGTGGTTCCGACTCCTTCTCTCCGCCTTGACCTTCAGCAAGGGTTCCTGGGCGCTTCTTGGTATTTACACCGTCTTCTTGAGAGCCAGATTTCACCAAAGTCAATTTGTCCAAAGCGCCTTTGCTCAGGGCTCTGCCCACATCGATCAGCGGGTCCAGAATCCCAATGTATCACCCGCGGTCAGGCAAGGTTGGGAAACTGTAAAGGGTTTCGGTCGCCAAGCTGTGGATGCCACGGATCTGCGGAAGTATATGGGAAGCACGAATGCCCAGAAGAAACCTCAATAAACCAACCCAAAATCTGCTTGTATGACACTTTGACATCATTCAATTGGACCTTGACTCAAACGTGGACAGGAACGAGCACCAGGGGGCGGATGAATTGGTCCATGATCAGAATCATATCAAATTTGGACGAGGCACAAGAAGGCAAATATTGTGGATGAAAAGTGTCAACACAGCTCGAGGTGGTAGAGAAGCTCCAATGTGGGCGGAATGGAGGTGTTCGGAATTGGAGTATCACAGTACGGAGGACTACGGTTTGGTGTGACGGTGGCGCAGAAGTAGGAGCTGTGTCCAATGAATCAATTTCCTGGAACAGGTTGGCGTGGGGAAGGCAGTGACGAGAACGACGGAGGGACATGAAGTGAGCCAGTGACGCAGGAGAGCAAACCTACGAGAGCCACATACCTATCTCTTTTTGTCAGGAGTCGTTGGCATAAGTTAGGCGGTTGGAGATACGGACAGCGGTTTTATTTGACATGCTTTGCTCAGAGCCAGGGGATCAAGGCAGCTTGGGTGCAATGCAACGGCGCGGACAATGTATCCACTACTAGAACTTTGTTCCTGATTGATTGTGTGATTCACTCGACTAGTGCGAGACCTGATCCTTTTGCTTGCTCTGATCAATTCAATAATGATATTTCAAGGCAGCGGTACCAACTCTGACTGGCCGATTCATTCAATTGATACTGGACAAGATAATCCTTCCAATGAATCTGATTCCTAAACGACGGGACCAAATCGGTATGAGACAGACGAAAGCTTCTCAATCATCGTCGTCATCGTCCTCATCCTCGGCTGCTTCTTCGTCATCGTCCTCGTCCTCATCATCGTCAACGTCGGCATCGGGATCACTGTCGTCGTCGTCGTCGTCGTCGTCGTCGTCGCCGTCATCATCTTCTTCACTCTCGCTGTCTTCGTCGTCGGGAATCGCAGCGTCCTCGTCGTCCTCATCTTCCTCCTCGCTTTCAACAGAGGCGTCTCCATCATCTTGATCATCCTCTTCGCTCGACGACGACCTTTCTTCCTCCTCTTCTTCTTCATCTCGCTCTATCTCCGTCTTTGTCCCTGTCCCTTCGCCTTCTCCTAATCCCGCCTGCTCCGTGTCATCAGCCGATCCATCGATACTCGCCATCTCTACAGTTGACAGACCGCTCCTCCGTCCACTGCGCCTCACAGGTGTGTCGGGGATCTTGTCGGGTGAGTTGGCTCGACTACCCCGCCCATTCATTGCACCGCTCGTGCTGCCATTGACACTGAGAACGTTCCGCGGTGAACTGCGTACTGCAACCGGAACGGACGGTGAGTCAGCAAGACCGTTAGCCTTCTGGGTGCCAAAAGCGCTGGCTGCGTTTCGCTTCTTCGTGCTTCGTTGTCGAAGCATCGAAGGCGGAATGGGAGGGTCGATTTGGAAGCGCGCTGGAGGAATGGCGAGATTGCGATATGCAAGCGCATATCCACTGAGAGACTCTTCTGCTGGTGGTTCGTCCTCTTTGGTGTCGGCTTCTTCCTTCTTTGAATCACCATTAACGAGACCGTTCACTTTGATTTCTGGACGACTAACTTGGGTCAACATTACACCATTGAGTGCGTCGGTCGATGGAGGTCCTGGAACGATATTGCCTCGATCATCCACCAGCGAAGGGTCTTTGACATCGACTTCGGCATCATTCTCTGCCATTGACTCTTGTTGTGACGGAACCTTGGTTGATTTTGACTTTGACCTGGGTGAGAGTTGGTCGGGTTCGGTATCGACTGCATTATCAGGAGATTCCCCAGTTTTCGACATTGCGACTTCTTTACCAACATCCTCTTCTTCGACCTCGTCATCCCGAGGCGCCAGAGCTTGAAGTGGTTGACCATCCAACGTAGCTTGATCGCTTCGTCCCATGATATAGGGTGTCCATACAAGGTTTTCCGGCTTCAGTTCCCGATGCTTCTTTGATTCGTATTCGTCCACAATCCGCTGGTAGAGCTTCTTATCATATCTAACAGCATATGTCTTTGTCACTGGATCTCGAACAAAGGCATACAGTCGTTCAAGAGAGTGGATCACATCATCGGCGGTCATTCCAGTCCTGGCCATTAACATCTTCGTGCTGAAGGGCTTCCATTCCAAATCCAGCAAATGTCTTGATATGGTCAAGTCCCAGTATGACCGGTATGCTGTCAGGCCCATATCTGACAGCGGCTTCTCAGGCGACCCCTCCTTGCCTTCAATCCTCGTCAATAAGTACGAGAAGTCAATCAAGAAAGTTGCATAGCCTTTTCTCTGGTGAATTGGCATCACCAAGATACAGCTGACGTTATTCTGGCTGGCCGGTCTCTTTTCTTTGCTGAAGTATCCTACAAAATGATAGCCCAATTCGTCGTATTCGGTTAAGATGTAGAAAAGGAATGGTTCGACATCGTAGTACAGGGTCTTCGATCCCAAAAACATCTTAGCCATAAGACAGAGGCATTGACAGTATTCGGTCTTCTTCCGGCCATCGACCTCCCAGACAGAGACAGTACCATCTCGATATATCTCGTCCCCCGGAGGATGTTTGGCCGGGCATTTTAATTTGTGTCGGTATGCCACAAATTCAGAAGGGAGATATTTCAAGCAGAATTCGCAAATAAACAGCCGCGATTCGTGGGAATATTCTTCGGGATATGGAGCGGCATAGAAGGTGTCGATGACAAACTTGCCGAATTGAATGCATTTGATCTTGCTGGGCGGACCAGACACGGTTCGGCTGGGCTTTGATGTTGTGCCACTGTCTCCGTTGATCTCCGCCTCAGCAGCTGCAGATGTTCTCCGTCGTTCTTCTTCTGCTTCTTTCCTTGCGATCTCAAATATTTCCCGATCCTTCAATTGAGGTAGTGAACGAGTCGTGACCGCGTCAGCTTCTGAAAGAATACCACCATATGGTTTGGCATTTAGTTCAGCCTCTCGGTCCGTGAATGCCGAGGGGAAAATGAGATTGTGGGTTGGCAATGCAGGGAACTTAGGGACAGGGGGTTGGAAAATTGGCGGAGGTATCTTCGGAGGTTTTCTTCGATCCTTCCTCTCTCTTCTTTTTCCTGGCCGAGGAGGTTTGCTTAAGATGTTCTCAATCATCGATTGGTCTAACCGAAAAGCAAGGATGAATTTATGAGGTGGTGCTTTCTCAAAAGGTCGATGCTGCAATATCCGTGCCACGGGCGGCGTTATCTTTTGGCTCGATCTTCTAGTCGAATGGGCCACCGCTCTATCGACTTCTAACTTGCTGTCCGTTTTGCTGCTCGTTGGTGCCCGTGGCGTAGCCTTCCGACGTCTCTTCTCAGTTGGTGGAGGTTCCTGAGTTGGGGATTTCCTCTTTCTAAGGGCACGACCTCCATCTTCAGTCTCTGATATCAGAGGCTGAGCAAAGATCGAGTGTGAGTTTGGCTTTTGCACTCCACGCGTAACAGGTAACAAATCTCTAACAAGTCGAGGTGCAGAGTTCTTAGATCGTGCAGCCTGCTCTTTGGGAGATTCTGACAGTGGAGCTTTCTTCAAGCACTCAGGGCACTGCCATTGGGATATATCCTCATCTTTCACTGCATCCTTCTCTTGAGCACAGTTGAGGTGCGCATTGTTTCCGCACCCTGAGCAAATCAAATCTGCTTTATCGCCTTCGCCAGACGCAATATCCTTTTGCTTGCAGAATATGCATTCTTGCTTTTCATCCTCTCCATCTTCTTCATTTGATTCTAATGAGGATGATTCGTCTTCATCCGACGAGTTCTGTGAGCCTTCTCCACTCTCCTCATCTTCCTCCTCATCCTCGGAATCATCCCTGCCGACGTCGTCTCCTGCGGTCCCTTGTTCTGCTTCCTCATCTTCGGTTTCCGCAGCGGCATCGGCGTCTGTCATGGAGACATCTTCATTTGCATCGGTCTGAGAAGTAGAAACCGCCTCGACTTCGGCATCGCTGAGGCTCTCTTCTGCCGATCTTTGTAGTTGTTCACCTAAGGCGCTATCTTCTGGATTTGGTGCATGGGAGGTAGCCGGTTCTGAGTTCGCCATGTTTCGGTCGTCCTCCATCGTAATCACTTGATGTTTATGACCCTTCCCATTGTCACCATTGATGTGTTCACTCGATTGTTCCGTAGTGTCGGCTTCTGCTAGGTTTTCGGACTTGGTATTGTCTTGATCAACGCTGGACAGATTGTCCGAGTCTTCTGAGGGGAGAGGCTGCATGTAAAAGAAATTTTCTTTTTCTGGAATCTGTAATCTTGATAGTCGTCCTGGCGCATATGTGTTGCGATATGTGTTGCGCAGTAATCACCATGCCCGGGCTGATTTTGTGGTCATTTGTGTTCCGGCAATAGATATTCTAAAATTCCTATGCCCCTGCGGCCATGCTCTTAGAATGACCAGACATCTTGGATCCCCGAATAAGTGGCGGCTCTCGCTGCGCAAAAGCGGTGGTCTCGTTGGGAGGTAGTGGGTAAGTAGAGGGCTCGACGCGTGAGGAAAGGCGCAACAACGCTCCGAGGGTCAATCAGGATTCCTATCCAAGTATTAATTTAGCTGCGACACGTCGATAGAATTTCTGCAACTCTATTGAATGGATAAGACTTCTCTGTATAATTTCTGGAGTCGCGCTCCCTCCCCCGAATCGGGCACCATCACCACCTGCATGAAAGTTCCCGATTTATAGTCACGTGAGATGTGTTTGAGGACCTCTGGAATAACTTCCTTCAGCCTCGCCTGCCCATACATATCCTAAGCAACATCTAATCCATACATGAGTCTAAAGATTGATGGCACGCGCGTGAAATCATTAGACTGTCCAACTTCTTCTAATGAGATGTTTGTAGATCCACAAGACCAGCCCAGGATAGTTAACGGTCAGCCCAAATCTATCCCTTGGGCAGGAGTCATCAAATCACTGATTGATGCTTCCAGATGAGCGGACCCGCTGCTGTCAAAATCACAAACAGCCCATCACCATCCCTTCTCATCCATTCGTGGATCAGCAAACGAGCAGAATACCTTGAGGAAGTATATCTTGTTGTTCGAGAAGTAGTTGCATGCGACGTTCTATCGGCGTGCGCCACAAGTCTCTCGAATCCCACCCAAGGGGGTTGTCAAAGCAGAGACGGGCATACTCGGGCCTGCTAGTAATGCGGTATCTGCTGGCAATGAATGCTTCCATAATGACGGTGCGATCCTTTCGAACAGGATCATTCGGAACATACGCTGTCCTGATCCTCACCAATTTGTGCTCCAGTCTGTCGATGATAGTTGCCCGTAATGGTCGCATTTTCCAATAAACCTTGCAAGCATCGCTTTGTGTTATCCCCCCGTTGATTTAATTCTACAAGCGAGGCCACGGGGTTCTCGATCAAGCGATAGCTCCCGATAGGTCTTGCCCAGGTTAGTGGTTCGATTCCTAAACTTCACATGTCAACGTGAACCAAAAATCCCTCCGTGTAAGGTCCAGAGTGGGCGCGCCCATCCACTGACAGAAGTCGGCATGAAATCTCGACAAGAGTCGTGAGTGTTAGTACTCTATGCTCTGAATCAAGCACTAACTTGATAAGCATTTTTGCATATGTCTTCCATTTGCGAGATGGCAAGAGCACAAGTGTTCTCGTACTTTTGGTCAACAGGAATGCAGAGCATGTCAATCCAGAAAGGCATAGAGACATTCCTATGCCTCTAAACTAGGATGCTGAAGCAGTCTTTGTTACAAGACCCCAGTGACTTTCAAGGTCACACAGCTCATCCCAAGCTTTCTTGATACCAGGACGCTCTCGCATTTGTAGCATATTGTGATGAGGCTTTCCAAGGCCATCGGATCAGACTTGCGAGAACACCCACCTCCTCCTTGTCAGATTTCCAAGGCTCAATTCTGACATGCAGAGCATCCGAGTTTGAATCCAAAGTAGAGGACAACGATATACCAGCCAGTACAGAGGACCGATGGACCGAGGAGAGCAACACCCATCAGGGTGTTTTATTCGGTAAGTGGGCTGATACAAGTAGAAAAAGAAGCACTTCTGATCTGAAGAGTCTGAAGAGTGCTGGTGGTTTCCCTGCGTGGCAGCCCTTTGGGGGGGAAAAAAAGCTGAGGTGGCACGTTGAAACAGATGAGTATATTCAGCGATCATTGAGACACCTCTGGGACCTCAGCCCATGTGAGTTATCGAGACGTACACAAAAATACGCTTTGGAAACAAAGTAGTGGAAGGATTGAATGCGGGAGCATACCAAACATGACAGCGTCAAAGTGGAAAAGTCCCCGGAGAAGCTATTCCGGGCCTTGGCATTGAGCTTCAGGTTCAACTTTGGTGTTCATGTTCAATCACCTGCTAGTGCCTCGACAACTACAACGGACGACATCATTCGTATGGTCACCGCCAGGGACGCCAGAACCTCCTTCGATCTCTGAGGACGGCTCAATCTGACCATTTTATTCGTCTCAGAAGCATAGCGAAGCCGCTGCCACAGGTGCAAGCCAACGAACTCTCCCACGCGACACCCAACACTTCAGTCTTTCAGGGCCGCTTCAAGATGGGCGTTCCCTTCGAAGCCCTTATTCCCTATGTCATCATGACGGCCATGTTCGGAGTCACTGTATGTATAATCCCGCATCCTCTAAACCCCACAAGCTAAGTAGTGCAACAGGGTGCTGGCCTTTCCTCGATTCGATATTACGCGAACGATTACAAGCGGCCGAGGAGACAACTAGATGGTTGGGATAGACAGAGTCGGTTTATATGGGCCCATTCTCAGGAAACATACTCACATTGGCAGTGATGGAGAGAGATTACCGATTAACTGGAAAAGTAAGAGGACAGTCAGATGCCGTGGATGCGCCTCTAGGCTTCGAGGGTAAGTCGATACACCACTTTACAATGCAGCATGCTTACAATTGCCAGTCAACAGCAGATGGAAGGTTGGTCAATGCGCGAAACGACGACTTATCTAGTTATTCTGACCATCCTTGCAGGCCGAACCCCGTATCACATGAAATACCATCTGGTCCCTTTATGAACACTCAGCAACCAATTGTGTCTATAGTTCCAACAGAACCGGAGAAGATGGATGGTGGATACTGAATTTGTCCGCCTACGACGGAGTCTTCGTACATTCAACCAGCATTTGGGCAGTCCCGAATCTCATACAAGAGTGAAACCTCAAGAAAACATAACTGACCTTTTTCGGATTGCTTTCGTCCAAGCAGTTCCACACTATCCAATGTTTTTGAAAATCAACGTGATTTGTCTGGGAAGAATATACTCTCATCCCTTGCCCAATCTATTGAGCACTGTAGTGTTTACGAGAGATGAAACAAATTCTGGCGGGAGAGCAGCACAGTATGCTAAAAAGAATGTAAAGGCACCTCTCTTACAACGTTGACCGTAAATCGATGATTTGGTACAGGGAGCATAATTTCCTCTTAAATTTGCCTAGGGAGTTTCATCACAGTGGTCTCAATGCATCTCAAGTCCTCCAGGCCATAGCGTCAATTCGTATACGCAATATTCTCCGATACTCGGAGCAGAAGCCAAGCGCTGGTAGTTCTCAAATCTCCTGAACAACCTTCAATGTCCATCGTCCTTTTTGACTGTCACTCGGAAGCAATGATTTTCAAGCATGTATATGGGCCTCGCTTCTCTAGACCTGTAGCATCTTGCTGGCGAGATCACCTCTTTCTCCCCACTCCAACGTACATCAGCCAAAAGATCGCTAATATGAGCACGAGAAGTGGACCGAGAGCTGATCTCAAGGAGAAGCTTCAGCGTTTGCATGAGTATTCGGCTTGTGATGTAAGAACATTGATCTCTCGAGTCACTCAATCTTCTCACAAGTCAGGTTTCGGACGCATTGCTTAAGCTTCGGAAAGCAAAACCGGGTGAGGTTGCAAGGGCCGGATATCTTGCAGATATTAGTATGCTTCCATGTCATTGCTCTCTGGGCCTTTGATTGAGACGATAAAAGCTCCTGTAGCATTACCTCGGAGTACTACAGAAAGCAATGAAGCCAGCGGCAAGGTGATTGCACCTGCCTGTACATTGAAGCTGGTGCCCAAACACTCTCTCCCAGAGTCCACCCCTCCAGCTGAAAACACCGTTCCAAAGGGAGGTCACTGGGTAGACCTAACAGAACCTGATACCATTGTTGTCATTGACCAACCTGAAGGACAAAAGTGTGCCGCGGTTGGCGGCATCATGGCACAAAGAATGAAGGTTAGGGGAGTGGCGGGCTGCGTTGTCGGTGGTCGTGTGAGAGATGTGACTGAGCTGAGAAATTCGCAACTCCCAGTATGTGAATTGTCCTTATCTGTTGAAATCCCAGCCCTTTCTTTGCCCTGTTCGCTTTCCCTTGTGTATTAACTGTCCCACCATTCAGATATTTGCTTTGGGCCGATCCACGGTTGGGACCAATGCCGAATCATTGGTGTATGCTCGCAACATTCCTGTCTCTATCACCGGCGTCAGTGTTTCTCCAGTGAGTCCAGCTCTTGCCAACTCCCACAGATATTCAACAATCCCAGGCTGATACGTTCTCAAGGGTGACATCGTCTTTTGTGATCTTCTTGAGGGCGTGGTAGTCATTCCACAGGAACTGCTTGATGAAACTTTGTTGTTGATGCCAAAGCTGGTGGCAGCTGATGACAAAGTCAAAGATGCTGTACTAGGCGGAATGTCCGTTGCAGAGGCTTTCAAGACTTTCAGAGGATGAAGACAGTAGACTTTAGACTGCGCAAAGATCTGATTCACTCGTCTCAAGGCGTGGCGAAGCACATGTGCATGAGTGAAGATCACCTTGAACACAGCAAGACTACTCGGCGACCTTACCTTTACAGACCGCACAGTGACAGGCCGCATTCCAGATTCCTGTTCGCTGATCTGTTCTCGCGCTCCTCATTGTGCATCTCATTATTCTCGGCGATCTGGAATCTCATATTATTTCATAAACACCAAAATCATGGCTTTCAAAGTCTCGGCGTGGGCGTCAGTCGATAACATCGTCAACCCGGTCTTGAAGCGGTCAACCACTGGACACGGCTTCAGCTTTCAACTTCCTTCACCGAAGAAACCTCGCCTGGAAGACGCAGCTCCTCGGATCGGGGTGGATGACGACCTTGATGCACCATCGAAAAGCGATTTGAGCCTAGCAAAGTAAGTGTTGCCTCCAGTCTGTCTTCCTGAAAATGAAGGCACTGGTTTCCCCAAGGCCCTCGGCCACAGCACCACCCTCTTTCTCTCCCCCCATGACCTCTTCCAAAGCATGTTAGCTAACACCTCGAGAAGTAAGGATCCTAGCAACTCCCTCAATCAACCCCAGGGTTGTCAAACACTGTCTCCACTAACTACCATTCCTTGGACTCTCAAAGTCTCACCAGACACCATCACACCTCTGCCAGATTTCCCCCCGGACGATACCGAGTTTCGAAGGCCCCCTTCTCCTAGAGAACTGTCGAACAGTGGCAAAGGGCCTGTTTCTCCTCCTCCCTTGATCACTATTAACGTTCACTCCAGTCTACCCCAGATCATGACCGAACAACACACTGACGGCGATACACTTGCCAGTCGGGCTTGTGCACACGATGGCAAGATCTTGAAACTTATTTTAGAACATTCAGTCGCCCTCGATCGACCTTCAAATATTGTCCGACCCTACTACCAACGGGGCATGCTGGCTGGATACATCAGAAACGGCAATAATATCAAGAATGGAGAAAGCGACGAGGTGGACGAAGACAACGTCGATCTTCGCGTCCTGCAGGTAAACAAAAAGTTCCGGGATGTTGGACGCAAGGTCTTCTATGGCAGCTACACCTTCAAATTCAAATCGCCACATGCCTGCAAATGGTGGACAAACCACATCGGCACGGAAAATTTCTCGAATGTTCGGTCAATGTCTTTGGTTTTGGCTTCGGGTTGGGAGGTCAACTCTAGCATACGCTGTTCGCTCGACTTGTGCTTCGAACAACAATGGTTTCATTTCTTTTGTTGGTTACTCCATCGACACCAGCTCCAGTACCTGCGCATCGAGTTCGCCTGCTGGCCCCATATTGATTCTCTACGAGGTTTAGAGGCACAGGAGCTGGAGGAAATGCATACATACCGCGGCAAGTTGCTCGCCAAGTTGAGTGCCTTCCGTGGCCTGGCCAAAGCAATCATCGGAGATCTGTCGGAAGCATTGTTGTCAAGGGCAGATGCGCAAGGGCTCGCTCTATTAATGACACAGGGTAGGGACACCTTGCCGCCTCCCCCACGCAGACCTGAAATTTCTCTTTCAAGACTTTTGAGAGAGGTGAAGTTGGGTCATCGTTTGAAAGCTGAACAGGTTCAACGCCAAATGGAAGAGCGAGAGAGATATCGACGCGAGATGGGTATGCAAGAAAGGACTCTACATGGGATGGAAGAGCATCAGCAGAAATCGAATACTCTGGCCAGGCTGAGAGTTCTGAATCTTGCTCGGCGCCGCACTCTGATCCGCATTGATTCCGAAAGCCAGGAAGCTGCGGACAACGGCTACATTTGGGAATCCAATCGCCCCGCCCCCAGAAGACATCCAACATATTCGAAACGAGATCGAGCACGCTATTCCTCATATTCTACCGGTTTGTGAAGCTGTTTGTTCTCGTCTTTATGCAAGAAAGGATCTGTCATTCAAATGGGAGCTCTTTCTTCACGTCAAAGCTGATTGGCTAAGCTGATCGATGGCGTTCAAAATACGTTGATGATTGATCGAAGCCGGAGAAGGGCAAGGTATCGAAGGAGAAAATAAATAATCTTCGGCTGGAATGGCTGGTAAATCAGATGCCGGTGCACTACACTCGGATCACTTCTCTGTACAGAGGACATTGACTTGATTTCCTATTCATCCATTTCGTTTCATTTCTCTTTGAACCCGACCTAACTTAACCTATCGTATCTAGTAAGCTAACAACTGGTTTATCCACAATCCCAATATTCATATCAATCCAGTCTACGCGGCTCGATTCTGATCTTCCCGGGGGGGGAGCACAACGCTTTCTGTACCGTTCTGTCAGCTCATAGATATCTCGGGCCGCCCCCCCTTTTTGAGGATCTGAAATTCCGCGCTCTTTGAAAAAGACTGCTGCTTACAAGCATCCATGCCATCGTTGAAAAACTCGTCCGCTCTCCAGGAAGATCTCTTGCCAGAGAAGAGGGAGGCAAATGGGGCGAGAGGATTCAACTAATCCTCAGTCTTGAAAGCGGTGACCCGGCTCTTGACAACTTGCTCATCCTCCTCGATGTCCAGCTCTCTCAATTCGCCGGTGCCGACGTTGTAGATCAAACCGTGGACCTCCAGACCACGCTCGCTCATGGCGTCGATAACAATAGGGTTTGCGAGCAGAACCTTGACGCTGGCACGGACGTTCAACTCGACCATTTTCAGACCCTTTTCCGTCTCATTGAGGCTATCCAGCAGAGTCAGATTTTCCTGTCTGATGGCTCGTAGGGGCATGAGCCAGGTGTCGATGAGGCCAAGCTTCTTATTGCCAAGGGCGGCAGCAATACCACCGCACGAAGTGTGGCCGCAGACAATGATGTGTTTGACTTTGAGGTACTGAACGGCGTACTGGATGACCGACAGCGAATTGATGTCGCTGCTGACAAGGATGTTGGCGATGTTACGGTGGCAGAAGATCTCACCGGGCTTCAGGCCCAGAATGGTGGTCTCAGGGCAACGAGAGTCGGCACAGCCGATCCAGAGGATCTGAGGGAATTGGCCCTTGCCTAGGGATTCGAAGAGATCCGGATCGGTCTCGGCGAGAGAACGACGCCATAAGTTGTTGTTGTTGAATGCTTTGACATAGGCATCACCATCGGTAAATGATTCTGCTACTGTTTGCGGACGGTACGGTCAGCATGGCATTCGGTGAATAAAATGTGACAATATCCTCCACCAAACACACCGAGCACCCCATAGTCACGTGACCCGGAGTCCGAAAATGTTGGGGGTTTCAATGCCCGAACTGAGATGAACTTTGTAGACTTCAGTTGAGAAACCATGAACGTAAGGTGGGACATGGTACAGAATGTCGCAGGCTGAATCTGGAATTTTTTGGTTGGGAGGTACATGAAGCTCCCTTGGAGAAGCGATTGAGGTTGGAGGGAAGACAGATAAAAGAGTAGAGGACGAACCTGAAGGCATGATGAGGTCGGCACCCTTGTTTCCGTTTTCCAGCTCTGGTTGATCGACGGAGTATTACTCGAGGGATTCAGAGGTCTATTTGGAACTATATAGTCGCACGCACAGGTATTGAGACTCAGGGGAAGGTTGAGAAGCTAGAGGATGCGAAGAAAGGCGAGGACGTTGATATTGATGACGGGATAAGAGATGTAAGTGGGCGAGAGGATAGGAGTGGGAGCAGATTTCCCGGCGAAGGATCTACGCGGTAGGCGGGATGTTCGGGTTCGGTGCTGGAACTGGCGCTCTAGTACTCGTGGCAGAAGGCTTTCGGGTCGGTCCTGACAGGGCTCACTGATCCTTGACAAGTTTGAAGGTGGTGTGAAGAGGCGATGTCAGAGGTGGCGAGACGTTGCAATGACGATGAAAGCTGGACAGCACAGGAATGGCATGACGTCTGGGGAGACCGAAGGAGTCGTTTATGTACTATGCATCTTGCTGCAGCATAGGAGCGTTGGAATTCTTGCTCAGCATCTTTTTCGCGCATTCTTTGGAGATGATGTTTGATGGTGGCCAGGGATGTGGAACCGATGGATGTGCCCGCGGATATGGTGCAGATTTCTGGCGCAGTTTGACGCTTTCCCCAGCGATGCTGTCTCAAACCTAACTGAAAAGCCACTCATTGGACTTCTCTCCTTCATCATTATCGCGACCCTCGATCTACTATCCCCCATCAATCGAACCGCGGGATATATTTTTTGTTGCATTCGATATGCTCGCTGATACGGAGTCCGCCTTATCTGCCCCCTCCTAGACCTAAATCCCGCGGATCTGCCTACTGGGGGTCCCCTTCTCCCCAGGGAGGTACCCAGTCGCGTCCTTGTCTCATTCGAGCCGAGGTTTGTCCCAAATTGATCAAGACAAAATGTCGCCTGGGTTCGAGACGGGTTATCGACGTTTCACAGTGTAGCCGCCCACTGATAGGTCTTTCTTTCCCATCCGCCTCCTTTCATCTCCATGTCAACCTGAACGCGTTCACCTGTCTACTGCCTAAAGTCCGACAGCTTAGGCAGCAAATAGCGTGTGCTAACCAGACTTTTGGTCTCTCGTTAGGCCGTGGGTCTATCCTTATTTCTCGAATCGAATCTCGGCTCCTTTAGTGCAACCAATCACGCGGTGGCTCTGATCCCTCCGTCAGAAAACTCTGCCAGATCTGGCTTATCCCGACACCGTTTTCGTCGCATATCTCACTTTGTACCCACCATTGAGATTTAAAAAGGACAATGCTACTATCGGGGAATGAGACTGCTATCCGACAATTCTCAAGTTTTGGGGATTACGAAGATCTGTTTCACCGGGGTAGCCTTCGAGGATGTCACCTCAAGCGCAGTACAGCTGCTCTCACATTGGTGTTCTGCTTCAGCAGATCCACATATAGCCAGGCTCTTGGCTCTCTCCTGAGCCCGCTAGCCTCGGCACCAATGGCGGACGGGATTCTTGATAGTGTTGGATTTCAGTAATCAATCTCGACCCAGCTCCAAACATCCCATTTCTCCTGGGCAGCTGGCTTGGACGTGACCAAGAGCGGGACTTTTCAGTACGGTTCTTTTTTCAATTTCGACGCTTCGTTTAAAAGCACGTCTATTTTGCCCTGATCTACGGACGATTGGCTCCTATTTACCATTCTAGCCCAAAATCGTCGACCTTGGGCTTCGAATGGTATCAATTTCATGGGGGGGGGTTTTTTTTTCTGCTCGTTTCCCCCTCAAATCCAAGAATTGAGAAAAATGAACCATCTCGCTTCTGCCACAAGTTATACTAAACCAGTCGACATCAACAACAACGTGGGTGCTCCGCATTAACGGGAGAGAACCAATATCCTTGGTCGGGGATGATTGTTGAAAAACTTCCTGCCGAGTGGTCACCTAGGTAAATCGTTTAGACGGAAGAGCTCTACCCACCATTTCCCATATCCTTCCGGCTAACGGCGATATAGCACCGGCCCTCCTTGCGTCTCATGAAGATATTCGCGTTTCGTCTCAATTTTCAGAGCACCAGACAAGGGTCTCCAGGAACCTGACCCGGGAATAGGGAGGGGAGTCCTAGCAACATGGAACCTGCAATGATGGAATTTCTTCTCGTGTCCTATGATATTCAACAAAGTTTGATCTGAACATGGCGGTTAGATCACTCATTCCGGAGAGAGCGCTCCAAAGGTATACGATGACACAGGCACGACGCCAGACTTGAGCTCGCTGATTCAAGGTAAGCCGGGATGATATCAGTTTCCTCTGCGTCCTTGTACAACCGGCGATGCATCGGCATGCAAGGTTGGGATGGTTGAGATCATACAACTTTTATGCAACTGTCCTTACTATGATACTAGTCTTGCATATTGTATCTCTTTGCATATTTTTTCGGCGGACTGGCAGTGTTTCAGTCCCACTCTGCTGTATGCACGGATCAAGCAAATTCAACCTCAAGTTCGCCTTTTTGCACCACTATCCAGGCTTTGATAGCTTTCAATGCCACTGTCGTCGACAATACCCCACCACTTATCCCAAAGACCGTAGAATGATGTTACGGTCCCAATATTTGACTTCCGGTTCAGATGCGTCGTTTCGCCTTCCTGCGTCATCCCCGGTGGCCATGTTGATGGTCCCAGATACGAATGAGTGTTGTAATTTAGTCCAGACTCGAGGCATACCTTTTTTCTCATAAAGTTCAATTGCTTCGGGGAGTGAGAGGTGCCGCAAACTACTTCGCCGATGACTATGCCTCGAGAGGCACCGTCGTCCATTGTTGTTGCTGCTCCTTGAGCCTAGAAATCTTGACTTACCGGCCTTGAGTCTATCCGAGGCTGAGACAAACAATATCATGTGATTCCGCATATGGTACGCTGCGTCGCCGAGCAGAACGACATCCTTGTATTCATTTGATCAAGTCTTCATTGGGGGAAGTACCAGCAAAGGCCATTTTTGCGTGTAATTGACTAATTCCAGGATTTTGCGAACCACAGGATTCTAATCCTTATACAGTCTGCGGAACTCATTGATTTCCATATTTTCAGGTGTCTTAACGACGTGATCCATTTGGAAGAGTGTCACCGCGTTCAACTCGGTACCTGCTGACAGTAGATACAGCAATATATACCCAAAGTCGTGCTCCAGCCCGTGAACTGTGGTCACCTGGACGGAATTTGTGGTGTGCTTGAGCGATCCGACTTGTGATCCGACGATCAATTCAACACCGTGATGGCGAGCACACTCAGTGAGTCCGGCATGGAGGTGACCTCTGCGTGCGAGCCTGATATGAGCTGTTAGCAGAGGGTCTCCGAAAATCCATGGATCGAGTATTGGCTTCCCTTTCTGAATGACCTTGATATATCGGAAGTGAAGGCAAAAACAGGGACCAATATGGAATGAAAATAACATGTTTGTAGAAAACGTCGAGCCGGATTCACGGCATTCTACCTTTGTTTTCATGGCCGTGAGAGAAGGTAATGAATAGAGTCTGAGGGCCTCTGATGTCGACGTCCCATTTCCACGTTTCCAGCATACCAAGCCCGGTGCTGTTGTGAAAGAACCAACGAAAGACAGCTTGCACCACCTGTATTTCGGAGACAGCTTCTTCTACCATGCCACTTCTCTCAACATAGTCAACTGGACCGCCTTATCTTCTGATAAATATTTCGCGGCACCAGTCTATGCCTGGGCGAATCGACTTATTAAACCTAGACTGGCTCCGATCAAGGCCAGAGACGGCAAGTGGCTTCCTGTATGCAACGGCATGACTGCAGGAAGGACAGACTACCCTCAGAATCAGTATTCCGTAGGTCAGATGTTGATCGACCCCTCCGGCTCCTTCCAACCGCAACTCAATGTCAGTCAGGACACGTATCAACCTGCTTCACGAGATGGTCCTGTGGCTAGACTTGAGTGGCTTGCACGTTGGTAACATGAGACAGGACAGGTAGATAGCGACCTTGAGGTGGTAACGGTGGATGTATGGCTATGAAGAATCTTAGTAGCTGAGCTGTAGATGTGGTCCTAGATGAGCATCCTCAGCTCTAGGGCTCATGTGTACATAAGGGAACTGATACATAGAACCATTGTGTCGATGACTAAGAAATCATTTTATGCTCTGACTCAATTCAATCAAGTCCACTTAGGTGAGGAAACTCGGCGATCAATAGTCAGTGCCCGGCAAGGCTGAATAACCCCGTGGAATTGCATGGGGAAATTCGCTTGTTTAGTCTGCCGACATCGGGGCCATTCACGAGTTACTTATATAAGCTGAACCCCAGATAGACCTCTTCTGCTGAACGTCTTTCGCCTATCAGTCACTAATGGAATTCGTCAAATGTCTTAGGAGAGCGCACCTCCCAAAAATATCCGTCCCACGACACTCCCTACTAACCTCGCGATCCCTCCATATCTTAGCCACAATAATGCAGGCCAAAGACTGGAGCGCAGACCAATATCTCAAGTACGAAGCTGAACGTACACGACCGTCGTGGGACCTATTGTCTCAGGTGCCACTGAAATCTCCAAAACGCATTATTGACCTCGGCTGTGGACCAGGAAATTCGACGTCAGTGCTTCTTCAGCGTTTCCCCGAAGCAAAGATCACAGGTACGGATTCGTCGCCAGACATGATTGAAAAAGCGAAGAAAAGACTTCCCGAGCTCGAATTTACTTTGGGTGATCTCACCTCGTTCAAGGACACCGACTCGGCCGACCTTCTTTTTGCCAATGCGGTATATCAATGGGTACCGTACGAAAAAAGGATTCAGGTCTTTACGAACCTGATCAAAAGCCAGCCATCACGGGGAGTATTCGCTTTTCAGGTGCCTGACAATTTCTCAGAGCCCTCACATGTTGCCATGCGGTCGGTGGCCAATGAAGGTTTATGGGCCGAGAAGTTGAAACGCCTGCATCCAACTCGCAAACCGTTTCAGTCACCGCAGGAACTCTACAACCAGCTCAAACCCTTGTGCTCGGATCTCAATATTTGGCATACGTATTACTATCATATCCTGGACGATCATGAAGCGATCGTGGAATGGGTCAAAGGCACTGGACTGAAACCATTTGTTGACCCTCTATCTCCATCGGAGAGAGAGGGGTTTCTTGCGGCCTATCTGGAACAGATCAAGCGGCTTTATCCTGCGCTGAATGACGGGAAAGTCTGTCTACGATATCCACGACTTTTTCTCGTCGCAACGAAAGCCTAGAACTGAAAATCATTATGATCATATGAAGGGTAAAGACTTCTGCACGAATCTTCCAACTCCTTTCGCCTCAGAATGCACACCCAGGACCCTTCCAATTCAACACCATTGCCGGATCTCCCAGAGGCTCCATCTTCATGAGCCGTTTGTAAAACCCCATCCGACTTTCTCGATCGTGGCCAATGACCAACATACTCCGTCGCAGATATGGCATATCTTCGACGACCTCCTGGACACAGCTGACAAGCCAATTACCGAGTCCCCGACCCTGCCACGCCGGTAGGACGTAGACATCGGTGAGATAGAAGAAGGTGACGCGATCGGTGATAGCACGGGCGAACCCGATGAGATTCAGCTCTGCCTTGGCTTCTTGAAAAGTGGTTGTGGTTGTTGTTTGGACGGGCGTTGCGATCTCATGCAGTATGTCAGCGGAATCAAAGGCGGCAGAAGCGTCTAGAGCTGCTACTGTTGTTGGAGGAGGCGGTGATGGCGTAGGCGAATATAGGCCGAAGCAAACTGAATTGTCCAACATCTCTTGCATGACGGGTTCAGGGAGTCCTTTAGCCCAGTAAATTTCCTCGGACTCAAATGCCTTGTTGAGTACCGGGATGGGGACGAGTGATGTGTCAGTGGAGATGAAGAAACCGTCGCGAGTCCATGATTTGGACGTTTCCACGGTAGAAGCAACGTGTGACATTTCGAGTATGAGCAGATTTGTAGCAAGACCAGGCGGAAGTCTGGCAAGTCACTCAAGAGTGATAGGTCTTGGTAGAGCCCGAAGTGTTCGCTGTTGGGGGATGGATGGTCTGGAGGAAAATTTATATGGACCTATACAAAGCAATGGAGTTCCCTGCTCTGGGATCAGGCTCTGAATATGACAGAGACTGTACTTGCCTCCAAACAATATCATGTCAATATACTCGGCAACTCTGGAAGAGAAAGGGGGTCAATGAGTCATATATTGGCTGGTTCGAATTGTTCTCCGTAGGGCGTCATCTTAGCTCAATGAAGTCAGGACCGATAAGTAAACTAGGCACGCACTGGCGTAGCTTTGGGCTTCTTCAGACCGTCCTGCCCTAACCAACCGCGATCACCCATAAGCGTCGCCTTCTCCCGGCCAGACTGTTAAAGATCGGTAAGCTGTAGCTCCTTTCAATTGCTGCCCTCTACGGGCTGCTTCACTGGTCAAAGAGTTTCCCCTAACACTCAAGGTATATTGCGATATCGATATTGTTTTTCGCTTCGATACAAGGCTTGGAGATGTCTTACAAGATTTCGAAATGGCAGAGCATTCCCTTCAGTTGATCGTGGAGGTTGACAAATTCGCGACAAATGTTCAAGGTGCAGGTGATGGTCCCGGCAGATAAGTCAGCTGGCAAGCCCTTTGTAGCACCTCACACTGCCTCCCGCTGGCTTGGATTTGGTATAATCTCCAGGCTCACGGCCACGGCGGTCGTATCGCGACCATCGACTCCTTCGATCAGACCGAGATGAGGTGCACGAAGATGGCGTCGAGGAGGACTCAGGTTATGATGAGAGATGATTCCTGACACTAGTTCATAGGGAGAAGGATAACAAGGTATTCATATTAGAAGTCGAAAGGAATCCAACTCCCGCTACATAAACAGATTCAGCTATTAAAAACTACGATGCCAAATCACAAATCCGACTTCCATTGCTTTGTTACATCCCTGCCCAGTTCTTGGAACACCTTGTCGGCAGGACCAAAGTAGATTCCAAATAAATTGCTCAAATCCTTTTCAGACAGCTGCATATGCTCCCCAGGAAGGGTGACAAAGGCCAGACCACCCTTTTCGTCTAGCTTCTTCAATCCGATCCAGTCTTCTGTGTAAATAGGCCGCTCTCTCAGCTTGGTCACCGAGTCGGACGTCACATTGACTTCGGCAAACCAGCCACTTTCTTTGGGAATAACGGTTTTGTCATCATGGAAGACGATCATTACGAGCTTTTCCAAAGCTGCCAAATTCTCAGCATATGTAGAATTCTTGACGTTGCGCTCGTTGTTGATGTCGGCCAGGAAATTGGAATGCTTTAAGTAGTTCTCAAAGTCGTTCGTGTCTCGGTAATATTGAGCGGGAACAAGCCTGGATTGCACAAAATCGGACCACACGGTACTACTCTTCAACAAAGCGTTGGCACCCTGGCAAATCCAGTCAGTGGCACTGGCACATTTCTGGAACTCCACAATGCCGTTATGTTGACTGCCGAAAGTGAGCAACGACCTCACTTTGGGAGCCCAGCTACCGCATCTCTCGACGTAACCTCTCATGAATTGGCCACCCTGACTGAAGCCGATCGCGTCAACGGCAGGTGCTGTTCGCAGAATATTGTCTTTCGCCAGCATATGGCAAACAGTATCAATCTGTTCCGTCACATTGCCGAAGAAGGATGCTTGCCGATCTGCAGAGCCACGTGTGCCCGTCAGGGAGATGATATACGTATAAGTACCGGGATGGACTTTCTCCACCAAATTTGAAACATCTTTCAGCCCGGAGGAATCGGCGGAATCACCCAAACCATGCCAAATCACAACAGGTAGGGGCTGATCGTCGGAGTCGTCACCGGCTGACCTTGGGGGAGCGGCATATTTGGGAGAGAGTTTCGTAATCTTGATCCATTCCTCTTCAACCGTCTCTTCAATGATATGCGGCAGAGATGCATATTTCAGGGAAAGCTTGACCTCCTCGACCTTTTCTTTGCCAACACGTGAAGGCATGAAACTGATATACTTTGGCGAAAGTGACGCTTCACGGATTTCGCTATCTCCATTCGTCTTTGGATGAGATGCAGACTGGGGGGAAAGGTTCAGAGGTGATTCCGAAGAATCTTGAAGTCGAGTCTGCGTCGAGAAAACTTCGGCTTCGGGAAAGATGACGAAGGAAAGAATGGCGGTAGGGAGGGATATAAGGACCGGGAGCTGTGTGAGTCGCATGTTTGCAATCGAAACCAATATAGAGTCTGCAATATGGCACAAGTCTATGACTGCAGACTGAGTGGGAGTCGCATTGATCAAAAAGGAACGAATCAGTGGTGCCTGCGATTGAGGTCCGACGATGGCTTGACGCCGTTTCAAGCTTGGAACTAGGCGTCCCCGGATTTTAGCGTAAAGTAAAAGCCGTCCGCCGGGTCCACGTGGGAGCCGACTCTAATCACGCTGCTTTAAACCGGCCTGGTACCATCGTTGTGATATGAAAATTGTCTGCCACAAGACAAGTTCAATTCTATATGGGTCTACTTGGCCGCCTGCAGCCTTCCCATCGAATGGCGATGTTCAATCCAATCTTTCACCGTCTTGACTTGTCTGCCCGTGACACAAGAAATTGGCGTCTCCCTCGTCGATGCGCCCACCACGCCCTCCAAAACCTCTAGCAACGTGTCCTGATTAGGATGACAGAAGTACGCCATGGAATATCTGTCTTTCCCTTGATCCTCGGGCAACGGACTTCTCGCAACGCGATGCAATGTGCTCTTCATCAATCCGCCGGAGAAGAACGTCATCGTCTCGCCGATGTTGATGAGCACCGCCCCGGGGATCACTGGCGCGTCGAGCCACTTCTCACCTTCCTGAATGGGCCCAATGTACTTGGGCGGTCGAACTTGAAGGCCGGCGACTTGGTTCTGGAAGAGGATGGTGATCACACCCTGATCAGAATGCGAGCCGAGTCGGACTGGTGCTTCATCTCCGTTTTGCAGGGTCGGGTAGTGGATAAGACGCAGAGTGGTATAAGAAGGGCTATCATGTTGATGAAGCAACGGCAGTCGGTCTTGTGACAAGCCCAACCCCAGGCCCAGACAGGAAAGCAAACGGACTGCGATCTTTTCATGGGTCTCGGCCATAAATTGTTGAATCTCTGGGTTAAATTTGCGCAGTGATGGCGGCATGGGCTGGTCATAAGACTTCTCTTTCCGAATCACAAAGACTTCTTTGGTGTCATTGGGGGAGACGGGGTCCTTCGCTCCGTTCTCGTTGAAGTAACCTTCAGTCCCCGTTTTGGCATCGTAGCCGGCATTGTGGATGCTGTTCCAAGGGGTGGAAGCCTTTTCCTCGCGGGGAGTCGTCTTGAAGAATGCCTCGCTAATATAAAACATACGGTCGATTTTGCGTTGGTCCAAGCCATGGTTTTTGAGATAGAGAAAACCCCATGTTTCGCAGACTTGCTTGATCTCTCGTGCTAGGCCGAGAAGATCGGAGTCGTAGCGTGCAAAGTCGATGATGGGGATGTTGTCGGGGTCAAGGTTCGCCATTATCGCTTACTTTGGGATAAATCAATGTTGAATGTACCCATCAAAAGCCTTGATAGGGCGAAGATATCAAAGAGAAGAAGAGGCAATGAGAGTGTTACTTTACAGCTGGCGACCCGAACGTACCAGTGTGAAGATAAGAGAGACTTAGCAATACTTTGCACGACACCTACCTGGGATGGTCCCTTCCTAGGAGCGAATAAGAGCTTTTTGCACGCCTAGTGTGATTCAATAAGCCGACAGATTTTCCGTGTCTGGTAGGTGAGATCTCTTCATGTATGATATAGGCTGCTCGTATGCCAAGTTTTATACTCGAAGCACTCGGGAACCGGCAAGCATCAAGTCACCAGGTCCAGGTCTATCGCTGATGTCCGGCACCGGGGGATTTGATAAGGGGCTTCTCCACGTGATCTTGGGTTAAAGTGTAGAGCGGGATCTGCCTCGTCCCGTTCAGGGATAGTACTTGGGCCACCTTTTCATCTCTCTTGGCAGGCACAGGACTTGCTTCGAGGCTGCTTGGCCGGCGTCATTGGGCATTGCACTGCTTTCCGTTAGAGCAAGATGCAGAAAACGTGTTCCTGATAGACCGTAAGAAATACATCGTTGACTATGCTAAACAGTGTAGAACCCACTAGCACTGGACGTAGAGCAATCCTGTAGTGTCTCTCTATACCTGAACGCCGATGGCCAGTGGGTATCATCTCAACTAATCATGGCCTCCCTTTGTTTTTGCCCTTGAACGCCTCTTGCCTTCGTTATTTTTCCGAGTTTTCCGACCTCCGGGAAAAAAATTAAAAAAAAAAGGGATATAGATATTTCATCCCAGTAATCCCAAGCCATCTTCTTCAGCGACGAGAACTCTTGCTTTCCTCAGATCCTGTGTCCATTTCCTCGTAACGTGTAACCACATCTGTCTCTCTTCTGACCGTTTCTCCTCAACGAATGTTTCCAGTGTCGGTTTGGTCTGCCAATCTTCCCATGTTCTCCCATTCCTGACTAACATGTCGGTGGTCAAATGAGGAAATTGAGCCACGGCTGACGCGATGGCGTCCTTGTCGGATTTTATGCGAAGTTCCTCCAGCTGGCAGGGAGGACAAGGGTGATCTTGGTGAGGGAGGAAGGTGGGCAGGTTCATGTAATGAGGTGTAGGATAGTGAGCCGAAGAAGAGCAAGAGAATGAAAATCCTCTTGAAGTGAAAGATGGTGATCGACTGAATTTGCGGGCCAAGTCGCCACATTCGGGAGGTTGATGAACCACGCCAGGAAGAGGTGCCATTACTCTAGATCCGACTCTGGAGATGGGAGAGGGTGGAGTAATGGCTGACGACGCTGATGAATTGGAATCTAAACTTCCCGTGGACGAACACGAACCTCCTCTTGAAGATGCTGGTCTTATGGACGGACTTGTTCGTCGATTTTGGCAGTTATAGCATTTGTACGGCTGTTGCGGGAGCTTGACTCCAGTTGTCTTGAGTAGTGGGCAAGGTCCGAGGTTGCAAAGCTCGAAGCCCATAAGGACGCCATGCCCACAACAAAACCGTAGGACATGAGCCTTGCACATGTTGTGCAACAGTGTCCTTAGTGTTTGCTGCCACCGAGAGATAGGGAGAAGGCTGACTGAGAGGAGTGGATATACAACAAAACGCCTCCACACCAACAACTATAGGGACATCTCTTGACCGAGGGAGGAGGGTTGGGTGAGGTATCAGGCAAACCGCTCTCGGGAGCTGTTGACAGCTCTGAGGTGGTGCCAGGATCAGCGATATCTGTGTGCGCGGGGCAAAGGAAGTGTTGCGCCCAGAGGCAACCAGGTAAGGCGCTGTCAACAAGTTTGGAGCGAAGCGAATTGTTGCTGTATGCAAGGAATCTTGGGTAGCAGCGGAAGATGTAGGGTTCGCAGGACAAGGAACCATGAAGGTCACAACGCCATCGGACGCATCGAAGATGAGGCCAATGGAGGTAAATACACCGGAGGAGAGGAGAGTCCGCGTCAAAGATGGTTGATGAGGTTTCAAAGGTGGAATCGTGGAGACACCGCCTATTCACCGGCGGTTCAACTATAGCAGTATAACGACAACGACGGGCACTGGTCAGGAATTAATATGAACAGGCTTCAAGTGAATGGCACACTAAACGGAGTAAAAGATCGAGTGGTCGACAGCCACTGGTGCAGCGAGGGTGCGAGCTGCGAGTTGGGCACGGGAGCGAGTGACCAGGAGAGTTGGGAAAACCCGCAACACAAAAATGAGATTAAAACTCAACTCAGCTTAACTCGATCCATTGAAGGGAAGGAAAGGGTAAAAAGAAGCAATGCAGAATGGAGACGAACATTACGAAGGAACGAATTTTCATCGGCGCGGATAGGATGGACGATGAGGCGGTTGAAGGTGAGTTGCGTTAGTCTGCGAGAGGAGAGTGGGAGTGTAATTGTCCGACGAGTGGGGAGATGGCGCACAAAGTGGGATAGTCCACCGATAGTGAACAACCCCCTCCCCTGCACGCAACAGAAAAATTTCTCCCTCGACCCCCTGGTCGATTGAATGTGCACCCCAGCTTCAAACCTCGTTTTCATCCCACACACATGCCAACTACGATCAGGAGCCACCTCTCGTCTGGAGACTTGCAAGCTGAGAAAATACCTCATCTGTGCTTTGTACCAATTTTGAGCCTGCGCGGACTTCCATTTGCCAACCATTGTCCGCCTCCACATCTTTTGTACGAGTCCGGGTCAAGGCCTGGGAGGTCCACTCCCTCCCCGAAACTCAGATTGTAACAGTAAGTCTAAGGATGACTGCGGATAAACGGGTTGCAGCCGTCAAGGGCAAAAGCACTCGAACTGTCTCGTCCGCCGAAAATGCGAACCGCTCCGATCGGTGCTCTCCTGCGCTTGGATTTGGCGTAACGAATGATCCGAGTTTGCTGCCTGCTAATCGACCATTTGATAATATCAAATGCAGGGCCTTTTCGGATGGGTTATGAGATTTTGTGCTTTTGCTCTCCCAGGATCCGCCTTGTCATCTCGTGCAACGCTGCGATCGGGGTTTCCAGAAAAAAGCGACCGCCGACCGACCCTCCGATCATTACCCTAACCATTCCCACTTTTGTTTGATTGCCGCTGCGTGAACCCCCAGAAATGTTCGATACCCGACTCTGTGATATGGATGCCACATGCTTTTTGTATAATTGGGCTTCGACCGACGTCCAAATTGTCCTTGCCCAGGCTTAGCCAGGAATTGAAATGCATCTGGAATCTTCGTCGAGCGCAAAGAGCGGGTTCTTTCTCGGTATAGAGGTGTAGTCTTGCCCGGTGCGGGAGAGGGAAATGGGCGGACAGGTTCAGCTGGCCAACGCGCTCATCTCCAGAAGTTGCCACATGTTATCTGGTGGATACAACCAGACGTGCCGCCAATTTGAGCTCTGACAGGCTCATATTAATGACGGCATGGGGGATTTAATGGCAGCTTTGCTGCGGCGAGCAGATTCGGCAAAACTCCGTTGCTGCTCTGGAAGTTTGGCTGATGGCCCTGCATGTCTCGACCACAGCATCCTTGGGGCAGTGTAATGCTCGGCCGAAGTATTGGAACTACCAATGTCAGCCAGTCAACAAGAACACGCGGTGTTTCGTCTGTTGTCTTCCTTCAACAAGAAAACCGGCGATATCAAGGACTAGGGTTGGGGGACGAGGGTTAGACAAGGTTGAGCAAAAGATAAGTTTTCGAATCTTCCTCCTGCTGATATCTATGTCCCACCAACATCGGTGGCCGACATTCGAAGACCTGTAGTACCCTAACTGAGTAGAAGTGTCACTCCAGCCGACACAATAATGATAATAATAGGCCTGCTTGTTGGAGCCAACTTGTCATCTCAGTCCCATCCAACAGAGCCAGTCAAACGTACACCCCGAGTTATTGAGAGCCGTTCGGACTGTTTGGTGTCGATGTGTTGCAGGACATGACGATGCTCTGTATCTGGAGGGCAATTGTCGTCTTGGGAAGGTGCAACCGACCAACTGGTGTTCGTTGATATCAGATTCGGTCTGATAGCTCCAGATAAATGCCTACGATGCGCACCTTTTGTCACCATTTGTTCCCATACCCAGGGTCCTGGCTGGCGAGGGTGATTGGTCTTGTAAGTCTTCTACGGACTGTCATCAATGTAGAACGCGGTGAAATCCCAGGTCCGGTGGAACGCATATTCATGAAATTGTTTCGTGCAGTCGAACGTTTCTGGACCTGTTTCCTGGGTGGTAATCAAATTTTTGGGGTCCACTGCTTGATTCGAATACCAGATAGGTATTGGCACGTCTGGTCCGGTTTTCGGCATCGATGTCGGATCAGTCAAATATTCGACGCCGGTTTCTTGAATGTCGGCTTTGTAGAAGAAAATCATTAAATTGTCAGCATACTGTCTACTTCCAGAAGAGTAATAACTGTACCGTGACAGGTTCCGGGCACTTGACTGAACGCGGCGGTGGTGCGAACACTGGCATAGAGAATGTATTGTTCCGCAGTCGTTATTTCAGCAATTCTCGCAGAGTTGTTTTGTTGTTTGGGGTCCCGCTCTTCCGGAGCGGTCAAGGTAAAGATTTCCGTTGGCGATTTGAACATTGTCTGGCTCGTACTGGGGGTTCTTTGGAACGTGTCCGCCTTTTCCTGCCGACTCCCTGCCCGGAGAGATATATTCACTGTTTCTGAGCCCATCTGGAATGCGGCCCTCCCCGAATGTAAACACAGCCATTGTTTGAGAAAATGCCAACTCCATCCACAAACCGCTGGTCATCAAGTTGCTTGACATCATCGCAATAGACTCCGGCGCGGGGGGGGAGAGAGGAAAGCAACTGGAGTATTGCCACCCTTGGATCTGAGACGGTCGGTCTTCTTGTGAGATGGGCATTACATACGTTCGTCGCCGCCGATCGGCTTGTGCTGGTTGGGTTGCTGGATTCTCGGCAGACCATTCAGTCACAGCCATGGCATTCTGCTGCAAATCGGCGGCGGATACTGAGGCGGGAACGTCTAGCAGATTCGAAAGGATGAGAAGGACGAACGCAATAGAAACGAAGGTCGGTTAGGCAAAGATACATGGCATGCTGAAACCGAAGGATATGCCAAAAGGTGTTGCCCGAGAAATTGCGAAAACGAGGTCGAGCTATTCAACGACACGAACCAAAGTGAGCTAGAAAGACGGAGGATCGATGGGTTGCTTACCAGGAGATGGCTGTGTTTGTTCCTGTTGCTACTTGCCCCTAAAATAGCTGGATATCTTGCTCGGCCACAACTCTTTCAGTCGCATCCTCAAAGACATGGTGTCGGAGGAGGAATGAGGGTGAATTTATGACGAGGGAGAAAATCCTGCGACACTATCAATCCGTTGAAGACGGACTATTGGATTGCTGACGGGAAGTAGAAGACTAGAGGTAGAACACATCTTTTGTCCATGCAGGTCTACCGGTACCAGCTAGTAATTCCCGATGAACTGCAGCTCTGGACGAAGTGTCTGTAAGATAACAATGTTTGGTGATGATATAAGTATTCCGACGAACGTTCTCACATGTTGACAGGCGTTGGCAATCTTATTCCAAGCCAGGTCGAGACTTCCATCCATGCAAAATCTGGGGTGAGGCAGAATCTGGTACCAGTTGTTATTGGGGGCAGTAAGAGCGAAGCTGTTGGCATCAATCGGCGTGATAAGTGGCTGGGATGCAAATCTCACGGCTGCCACCTCACTTCATACCCAAAGACTGTTTTCCGGAGTTCTTCATCCCCTCGATCATTTTCAAACATCACCCTATCCATCGTGCGCTCTAGGATTTTATTGACCACAAATCCGTCGGCACGTGCCAGCTCAAAGAAATGCAGATCTTTGTCAAGCAACCAAGGTCGATAGGGTGTGAAAAACACCAGTGCTACGGCGTCCATGGTCTTCTTCAAACAATCTCGGAGGGTGCAGAGAAGTTTCGCATGCTCCGAATGATTGAAGAGAATGTCAGCGAGAATCAAGAGATCAAACCCGGCAGCTGGCGAAATGTGGGCCTTCAAGGAGTCTGCAGAGTTCCCCCAGAGAAAGCCTTCGGCGACAATGGCGGACTTGTTTTCGATGGCATCGCAGTGCTGAATGTTATAGCGTAGGTTCACAATCAACTCAAGATCTGGATAATCAGTCACGACAACTTTTCTGGCTCCTAATATGGCTGAAACCAGACCAGGGAGGCCAGCACCAGCACCTAATTCCAGAATTGCTTTCCCTTCCACCAGCTGTCTGGCGTTATCTTCTAAGTACTGAGAAATGACCTGCCCGGCGTTCCAAAGCAAATGGCCCTTTGAAAGTCGTTAGCCGAGCGAGAGAATCGAAACATTGGACGATCATATCACACCCAAAGAGGACTATGTCCAACGAGGCGAAGAGTGACGGTGTGACCATTTTTCAAGGTGTAGTTGGTGAAGGTTGCTGGTTTGTCCGGCTGGTAGAAATCTGGAGGCTCCTGGAACAAGTCCAGGGACTCTGAGGCTTGACCATCATCACTACCATCGTCCATTGATTGTCCACTTAGGATGGGTATGGACGACAGTTCACAAATGGTGCAAGGAAATTTCTATGTTGATCTTGGACCCGCCTGAACTTGAGCCCCCTCGGACTCTTGGCGCACACGTGCAATGATCCGAGGAATTGACAATTTCCTAGGTACCGGTACAGCTTTCACGCCCACATTGTGGACTGACATCTCCGACTTTTGGAAACCACAAGGTCGGCATATCAGTTATGGTGTCCGACGACGCCAATGAAGAGTGTATCTGGGACGTAGCACATGAACCAGGACATCTTGACATGTGTATGAGGCGCCCGCCTCGGCTATTCGAAAGGTTCAGGGTGGAAGATGCTATTTGTACGTACCTGGCACTTAGCGATCGCGATAAGATGGACATGGGAGATTGAAAGCGAGCGATCTTCGATAATAGTCACAGATCATTTCGTCACCCACGCTGAAGCATGCTGATGTGATAAGAGCGAGCAACTTTCGCCCAGTGGATTACAGAGGTGGCCTGACCGGGGGGGTGAATGTCGATACTTTGATCATGCCTAATGGCCACGGTCAAGCAGAGGAGAAAGGCTGCGGGTGAATCTGTGGGGGGGCAAGTCACCGGTCTCCAAAAGGCTGACTGTAGCATTCGGTAAGCGTCACCCAAATCGCCAAATAGATGGTAACTGTAGAAAGAATAAAAAAGGGGACGGTATTTCGTTATGTACCGTGCAGGAAAAATACCAGAACAGGGCCACAATTCTAGGAAGCCTTCTGGTGCTTCATTTGCTCGGGGGTTTGTTCAGTAATAGGAGCAGGTATCGTAGGCTTCAAAGTCATCCGAGAAATAGAACTGGCAATTCGGTACTTGGGTAGGTTTGCAGTCGTTCCGAAATAACACACTGGTCGATTGGGGCCCTCAGCTGGTACATTACGGTATTGGACGTGTAAAGTCACTCGGCCCATTGTCGGAATCCAATGCCCAGCGGAAGCAGCCTCCGCTTCTGCCCGTCTTCCGTGGGTTGTGTACTTTTCAGCAGTTATCGCACTCAAAGCTGTCTCTTGGTCACTTGAATTTCTTTTTTCCCTCCCAATAATCTCTCCCCCTTCCTCATTTCTCGATCCTTTCCTCGATCTTCTCCTGCTCCCTCTCATCAACCAGAGGTCCCAGCTAACAGCCCGTGGGCTACTCCCCACCGATCAGCTCATTCAGCCCGTCCTCGTCGCCCAATCGAGTTGCCCCGCACCTCCAGGCTTCCACATCTCCCCCCACGAAATCTCGCAGCCACCCAAACGTCGTCCGAGAGCTTGAACGGGAAAATTTGTCACTGACTCGCACCCGAACCCGAAGCGCAGCCTGGACTTCGGTTGGGTGGTCAGACCGCTCAAACAACGCATCCACTCCTAGGTAGAACGAAGGTCTCCCAACATTCGCACCTTGTTTGGCCCTCCGGCCTTTCTTGCGGCGAGATCTCAGTTCGCCATTTTCCTTTTGGTGCTGTACCCTCCGTATCTCAAACCCAACACACAACTTTCGTCATTCCTGCGGCCTAATTTACCTACGATATCTTCCTTTTCGGGCGTCTCGACCAAGATATCAATATCGGCTGCCGCGCGCTCGATCTGAAAAAGAATACCTGAAAGAGGAGCCGCCTGCTCAGCGGCTGCACCTCTTGAAACAACAATCCTACAGCCTGAGCCTTCGAAGTACAAAGATGAGCAACTATCCTCGTAGGAGCGCTCGAATCTCATCACATTCGCAACAAGAACCACTTCAGCAGAGAAGCGCCAATCTCTCTGCTCCTGTTCTCGCCAATAACCTTTCACAGCCCTCAAGTACCTCGACGAGTTCTCATCCAAGTCCGATCAGTGACGCTCTTAATCCTCCTCCACCACCGCCCACGCCCCAGCAGCCCCAGCCTCACCTTCAGATACAGTCGCATTTCATGTCCCATCAACCACAACAGCAGGCACACCTGCACGCTCCATTACCATCACCCTCAACGGCAGACATGGAACCTTTCTTTGGCCGTCCTCATTCCCAGCCAAATCCATACACAGCGCAACAAATGCACCTTGGCTATCCTGCCCAACGGCGCCAGCAACAGCCTTTTGCTGAACAACCACAAATAAATCAAGATATGCAGAAGCATCAACTACATCCACATACAAACTCGATAGCAGAGGGCCATCCTGCCCATACACACCCCTTGAATCCAGGACAGCTGCCTCCCGATTTTCTGGCCGAGGCCGCAAAACGCGCTCAGATGGCTTGTTTAATGCGAGATTTCGGAGACGTATCATTATGAGGACATCATCTACAATATCGCCCTGTCCTTTACGATTGCCATTTCACATGCGTTTGTTCTGTCATCCGCTAGCCTCACTTTACAACATTTCACCCAATTTTTTTTTTTTTTTTTTTAAAAAATCACCCTTCGAAGTGGGCTGGGTGTGCCGACGAGAGTCTAACGAACATGTGGTCGACGGCAACAATTTTGGGCATAATCTCTTGTATAATCACCCGGCAAACTCTCTCCCGAACACCGTCTGGAGTCTTTCTTCTTCCAGGTTTGGCGCCTACTTTGCGGCTGGCCTCTCGCCATTCTCTGTCTCCATGGAAATGATACGGGCCGAATAGGGAGGCACCGCTACACCGCAACGGAACTGTCTCCTTATGTCGGACTATTGAGACATGCACCACATGTCGTCAGCGCTTCGAAGCTCTGAGCAACTACGCTTTATCAAAGAAATCCCACACTACTCTTCTCGATCTTTGCTTATATCCCCACTCTTGATAATTTGTCTTCTCCTAGACAGAGTGTGGCTTTGGTTTTTGGGTTGATACCCTAGATTCGACATCTGCTCTGGTTACATCGTCTTGATGAAATAACGGAATTCACGTCAGATCATTAGAGGATTGTTTTTCGCTTGATTATCTTTACCCTCGACAATGCCAAAACCGGTGGGAGAGACTTGTGTTTTCGAGGTCTTGATACCGACGAGTCTTGCATTTTAGTTGACGGAATGGAAAGAAAACGACGATGCATTTCAATGGAGAATGGTGTGTACAGCGCCTTTGGAGTGGGCAGGTTGTGTCTACTGTCTTTGTCCTTTTTGTTGACGATGGCTTGAGGAGTTTGGGTATGGATAGGAACATGATATGCGATAGATGAGCGAGCAATACATTTGGAGAGCTTTTAGGAGATACAATTAGGCCTAGGTCCGTCACCTACCTAGAGCTGCAGATGAATCGAAGAAATCGAACACTGTTAGGTTTTTCTATATTTGCCTCTCTGTATCCTTGTCCTAGGCCAGACTTTTTCAATTTCTGACACGACGACAGGACTCGTTTGACTGCCTACTTCATGCTCGCGTTGGAATCATAAATCCGATCCCCATTATCATCTTTACCATTCCCTCCTGCTACTTACCCGTCATCATTCCATTCTCGGTCCAGAAACGTAATAAACCCTTCGACCACGGCGCGCCGTCCGTTTACGTACCCTTGGCCATGTGCGATGCTCCCACGCTGGATCTGTGTGTACTTCCTCCGCAAACGCTGGAGCAGTGGCTGCGTGAGTGTGGCTCCTGGCGGGATATGTAGCGTCGCTTCGTACGGCGTCTGCTGCGCGATCGCGTCAGGGGTTGCGATGGGTACAGATAGTGAAACATCGCCGCCGTCGTCGTTGCCGTCCGCTAGACCCTGTTCGCGAGCTCTGACGAGGATGTGCCGTGCCACATCCATCGTAGCACTCTCTAGGGTCTGCAAGGCGTCTGAGGTCGTAGCTTTCGGCAGCACGGTCGCCGCGTGCGGTTTGACTTGGTGTGGTTTCGCGAGCCTGTCCGCTGAGCCTCGCGGTGGGAGCTGCGAGATGGACTTCTTGCTTGTCGGTTTTGAAGGCCCCGGGAAAAGCGCGGCCCAGATATCGCGCGCTGGTGGGCAAGGGTCGCTGGACGGGATGGTGAAAAGTGGAGTGTCCCAGCGCGAGAAGGGGGACGGGGGCTCATAACGCATAAACAGAGAGAGGAGCGTTCTAGGCGAGTAAGGGGGTGAACATGTCGGGGCAGGTGGTGAAATGTGCGTTGAGGAGGACGCTGGTTGTTTTGCAAGGGGGATCGACTGGTTTGTCGGCGAAGGAATAAGAGGGTCTCCTCTGTCATCGGTGACGTATAGAGACTTCAGGGTCGCGGCGTCGTCATTCTGTCGTGGTGGTCTTCCTCTTTCTTCTCCATCGTCGTCCCCGTCGAGTCCGTCGACAGACGAAGACCGCGATTTGCTGGGTTTCTCGACGGCCCGGTCGCCATATATGGCCGTGTGACTCTCAGGTACCAGGTCTCCTAGTATATCCTTCCCTTGCTTTCCAGGCGCGTGCTTCCCCACCCCAGCAGCCTCGTCACTTTGTTCAGAGTCGTCTAGCTGGCCCCATGCCGTCAGCCTCTCTTTGTTCCATTTTTTGCATTCATCCTCTTGCGCCGCAACATGGACAACGCAGCATCTCGTCCCCGCAGCTTTAGCCTCACACCACAATTGATATCTATAGCCTTTGATGTAATTCAGGCCATCTGCGATCACGACATTGTCCTTGGACAAAGCTCGTTTGATCGCCGAGAATTCTGCCGCTCGGGTGGTCTTTTCCTGAGCTGCGCTGTTGTAGATTTGGTCTCGGAGATTTTCTGGATCTTGATGCTTGCTGGGATCGTAGGGTTCGTCTGAGGAAGCGTGGTGAGAGTGAATGATTTGGACAGTTCGTTTTGACGGCGTCGACTCAGAAGAGATGAATGCTGTCAATTCTGCGGCGATCTGCTGGGCTCGGTAGGTTTTGCCTGAGCAGGGAAGACCCGTGATTATTACCAGCTACCAAACAAGGGTCAATGCCATGAACGTCAGGAAGCAAAAGGAGCTTGAGGTACTCACTGGCATAACGAACTTGGTGAGTCGAAATTCTACGAAACTTTTTTTTTTTTTTTTGGGTGGGTTGGGGGGGGAGGGGCGCCCAAAACAAAATTGCGAGTGCCCCTGGATACTGCAGCTTAACTGCCCTGTCATCAGCTACGAGAACTAGGGACATAAAGCAACGCAAGAGAACAACGTGTTGGCAGAATTATAAGTTTCTAGTCTTCAGGTTGATGACTATTATCATACATTTCAAAGCAGCTATCACCACCACGGCCCAGAAATCTATCAAACAGAAACGCTATTGATACCCTCTTTGCCCATGCACTTGACGCGTGGACACTTCCCTCCAGCACACCTGTTCTCGCGATGTCACGTTGTGCATTTTTTAAGTCGTCGGAGAATCCTTAGGAAAAGAGTAGTGGCCTGTCCAGGGACATAAAGTAACAAAACACCCTTGCCCGGAGGGTGTGGACCTGTCAAAAAGGAAAACTGTCGCGTAACTGGATCACAATCTAGCGAGTGTTCTCAATGGCGAGATAACGACCAGGTTGACGCCCAGGTGGTAACTTGGACTACAGTTGTTCTGCAGCGCCTCAGGGTACTTGGTCTATTCACAGAGGTGGTCTGGCTCCACTCCCGGTACCGGTCGGTGGTTTGGAAGATCAGAAACTGGTAAAGAAAGAGCCTCCGGATGGTTTGCACAGGGAATACATGGACATGGTTTGATCGGAATCATCATCTGACTAAGATGAAAGAAAAAGAAATCAAGAATAAGCCCTGGAATATGCTGGAGAATCCTTGGATGGTCCGGATAATTTGCCCACGGGAGAGAACATCGCACTGCAATCCTGCATCGAACCAGTTGTATACGTACGTGGGGCAGCGTATCGAGCTTGGCTGATGGTACGACCATAGTACCGCGAAGGGATAGCGGCACCGGCCAGGGCTTGGGCTTTGGCATGGGCTGACGAGCCAGATCTCTTCATGGGGGTCGATGTAGGAGCAGCGGGGGCTCTTCTTCTTTTGGCCTGATCTGGAGCAGTAGAACGATCCTTGGGAGAGTCATCTTCAACATAGTCATGAACTCGTTTCATGTGGTCACGTTGGTTCCACCGTCGAGGGAATCCATTCCCCTCGCGGGCTCGGTCACAGTCCGGGAATTTGCACAGAAAAGGATTCACTCCGTGATTGTGTAGTCCATGGGCTTCCCTCTCATGACGGAACAGGCAAGCATTGGAAGAAAACCTGGCATCCTCGCATTCTGGTCGGTCCGCGAATTTGCAACGATATGGCCTCAAATGGGAATCCAGGTATTTGCTGTCGGGGGGAGGTATATTAGACGGTATTCGGATTTCACGGCTTGTTTGAACCTACTTGTAGATGCATTTCTGTTTCGTTGGTTTGTGGGTGCACTTGGCCTCCTTGAACATTGGACAGTGGTACAATCCGTCCTTGTCGGCCTTGGCTTCATAGAGAGGGTCACTTCTGGCCTTGACTTTGTCGAACGAGTCTTCTTTGGAGTTCCGGGGTTCAACTGTGGAAGTGCTCTGTTCACTGGACGAGTCACTCCGCTCGGATGCAGATCGGATTGGCCTAGGCTGAACCAAACTTCGTCGTGGAGTGCTGCTCGGGTCAGCAATTAAAAGGGGGAGGGGATTGGTGGATTTCAGGCAATCTGACCTATAAGACGGCGGCTTTGGGATGGTGTTAGCCCCGTACATGGCGATCTCCCGGTCACTTTGGCATGGCTCCTCCTCGAAAGACTGGGCAGACAAGAAATGGTGCGGCAACACTTCCTGGACATATTCCTCGGGGGGTGGTGTGAAAACACGATGCCAGGGCAGATCTGGAGAGAAGTTGGACATCATTCCTGGATTGTACACGGATCCATCCACGAGCATATAACTGGGATTCAAACCGTCCTGTGCGTGGCCTTGTCCATGGAAATGCGATGGCACGAGATTCAAGTCTGGGGCATTGCCACCTGACAGAACATCCTCTGCCAGGAACTCAAAAGCTGGGTTGGTCTCAAAGCCGCCCAGGTTGGACATCACGGGCATGTTGAATGGGCTGTCCATAGTGGGCATGGAGGAATAGCCCATTGGGAAAATGTCATCACCGTCGGAGTAAGATCCAGTGGACAGGGCACTGGACTTAGACCCAGGATCCCGGCGCGATCCAGAAGATGAGGTCAAAGAAAAATTCGCATTGGGAAAATCTTCAGCCATGACGGCCGACGTGAAGGCCATAGAATCCGTGGACACTACAGTCATAGTCCTGGGTATCCGGTTTTGAAGTCCTTGGGTATGAGTGGCCAGTGTGGGGGGAGACTGACTTGTTCTTGACTGCATTTTTGGAGAACCGGTCCTGGGGAATTCTGTCAGGACGATACAAGTTAGTGTTTCATCGACATCATCACATGCGCAACATTCAAACAGTATCGAAACAGGGCCAAAACGCAGGCATCTAGGATGAGAATGTGGACAATGGGGTAGTGGAAAGGAAGGAGGTCCAATAGCACCAGGTCTGTGGTTGGTTCAAGGCATCCAGGCTCCAGGATTTACGATAGTCGTCGATCCAGTATTGGCGAAAATCGAGGTCGAGACACAAGTTGGCAAGTAATGTAGATCATGGAGGGCGATATCGCCGGTGTTCCGAGAAGACACGTGGGGTTAATATCGAACTCCATCAGAATGTCGTGTAGCGTCAACGTAGGGAGGTAGGAATTATCGTCGTAAACAAGAGACATCCCGGAACAAAACAAGGCTGTCGCGGTAGGCAGGGCACGGATAATGTCAACCCATGAAGTCGCGGATCATAGCGGCGTGATACGACAAGTACTCCTGGGGTTGAGGCTTCACAGCACAAGGGGGGGGATTCATGGTCCCGGGATAAGAGATCAGGTCAGCGGCCTTCAGTTGTTGCGCAATCGATTTTCGAAGACAAGATGGCCAAAGCTGATCATTACACCTCAACGGGAAAATTGGCAGCGGATCCAATTGATGGGAAACCCTGGGATATCCAAGATGGAGATAAAACGGTCCTAATCCAACGGAGGCCATGTCCAGGGATATTCCAAGGGGTAAGATATTTCCGGGATAAAATGTTCCATTCCAGAGGATGATCCGGGCGAAGAGTCCCATCGAACGATTTGAAACTTTCATCATAATTGCCGCGAGATGTGACCGACAGTCAACACTCTCATCATGGCACCCGATCAGCCAGACAGCTAGAGAGCGCAGGCGACGGGTTTCAATGGAAACATGACATAGGGATAGGGCCATAACACGGAGAGCGACGGTGGTCAACTTCCCGGTTAGAGGGCATTGGAAATAACTTGCGAAAGAGAAAAACAGAAAAATATGATAGTACCTGGAGAATGTGTCGCTGGTTATGGATTGTCGGACTGTGTTCTGGTCGAAGTTTCAATCCTGGTTAACAATTCCTGGGAATCGATTGAGAAAAGAAAATCAGGCAAAAGTGCAACAATCCTGGGATTATCCTGGGTAGATGTTCCTGGGGAATAGTAGTGGGATCCTCTGGTGGCCAATTGGATAGTTATGCAAGAATTGAAGATGTCCAAAAAAGTCTTGTGAGAAAGCTGTCATCGACGAGGTTCGCTCACGTGCATGGGCAGATGTAGAAGGAAGAAAAAGAGTTGAAGGAGATAGAGGGGAAGAGAGGTGGTGAGATATCTATTTTAAAGGAGACGGACGAGAGGGAGGAAGAGAGAAAAAGTGGGAGGAAAAGGGCGGTGGGAGGGAAAACCAAGAGAAAGTGGGTCGAGGGTTGAGTTAGTCGCGGGCTTGCAGCAGCTTACTAGGATCACGGATGTGGACTGTGTGCAAGTCCATATTTTCCTTCTTTCGTTCCTCGCTCTGCTTGGTTGCACAACAGCGCATAGCCAGAATCCAATGCCGCTGCGAGTCTCAGGCATGTTGCCCCATTTTTCCGCAGCAAACAGATGCACGGCGCTTTGGTGGGAAGAGAGAGGAAATCCTCGAGCTCGCCCGCTATGGTCGACACGGCCCGCCTCGGATCCACTTCTTGCTTGTACGTCCGTGTCGGGAAAGGGGAGCATGCGTTCATCTGGCTGGATGGAAATGACCCAGGCCCTGTCATCGAGAAACTCTTCGATTCGCTACTCATGGGGTGCTCCGCCGTCCGGGCTCTGACACGGACTCCCACGCTTGCTGGCACTCTGCGTTCTCGCCTGCATCTTCAACCACTCGCGTTCGTGTGACTGCGGTGACAAGACCGTTGGCACTTTCCATCGTGCAGAAGTCGCAGGTTGACGTGGCATTCTCTTGTGCCAGCATTGCTCTCTCGTGACTTGGAATCGCTTCGTGTCGTGCGTCGACTGATAGCCTCAAGTTTCTTTGAACGCCAGCATCCAGCTTCAACCAGCAGGGCACAAGAGTCATCTTGGTGCGCGAGAGTACCGTGCATCATGTTCTCGTATCTGATACGGCAAATTTGTGCGCTGTGACTCCTCCGTTCGGGCCGAGGTGTCGAAAGTTCCCAAAATTTGTGGCTGGAACGGTAGTAGGGTTATTGGCGCCTCGCTTGCTAATATCATAGCAAGGTGGTTCGAAGAAAATTTCGTCGGCTCGATCATATCCCGAGCTTATGTCTAAGCTCTAAGGAACAGGTTATGTTGCCCATCGTGACAAGTCATGGGCGTGTACTGTAGACACCTATTCTGGCCGTCCATTGGGTCGAAAAAAGGACGCAATCCGTAGCCCCTGAGATACTTCCTTGCTTTTGGATAAGTTCTGTACAAGCCACCTTGACAATCAAAAACTCTGGTATTTGCACCATTGTGTGCGCTACACAGTTCCCCAAAGCACATCCTGGCCAGCGCCGTCTTCGAGTGCATTACTTTACTTGCGCAAGGTTAGGGTTGAGGCCCAAAGGATTGAGCTGAGGGAAGGGCCAGTCCCAAATCTACCTCGGGACTATTTCTGGAAACTCGGGGTTCCATCCCGGTTTCAATCCCGTAAAGCCAGCCAGAGTCTTGAAGAATGATCAAGGTTCGTCGACAATCTTTACGCCAGAGAAACCCAGTCAGTTTCCTTGGCCACGACCCCAACAGTGATAGCCGACCCGGCTCATCTGGGGGGGAAAAGACTATCTCGAAGCAAAGGGGGAAATCTTCCAGAAACGGAAGACTGGACAGAATGCGAGCGAAGATCAAAGAAACGCATTCTTTACTATGACTCCGTATCTGCGTAGGCGAGCTATCGTTAGCAGATCATGTCCGGATCATGTTGCGGAAAAGGAAGGTAGGATAAGGGCATTTCAAAATCAGAATTTAATGATGGTATTGAGTTCATTCAACGACAATTGCGGTCTCAGTTGAACTATGCTTTTGATTGGACATATTTATTCATCACACGAAGAGTAAAGCGTCGAAATGAGAACTGGAAGATATTGATTCCATGATGCCACTCACCTTACTGGAGATTGAGTACCGTGCAGAACTGGTTGTGTAGCACCGACCTGGAGTCGTATGGTCATCCAACAAGAAGATCTGCTGTTCAAGTGTTCAGGACGAAAGGAAATTTGAACTCTCCCATCAGTACAAACCCCTTTCGGGGGATATTGTGCAACGACGGTGCAGCGGGAAAAAACAGCCGAGTGGCGCCGAAACATGATCACGTGAGTTCAAATGATTACCACTCTCGATTGGCTGCCTTGGCACCGCTTCCCACCACCGACACTTATCAACTCTCGGCCACAGCAACTGTATCCCGGCCGCAAGAGTTGTTTTCACTCTGGATGGCGCGTTGTCCAGCAATCCACAGCATCTGGAAGCTCGAATGGACGGTCTCAGGGTAGCAGCTGAATTCCTAACCCTAGTGCTGCGCAGCAGGGATCTCTTCCTACTCATATAGCCAATTTCAGGCAGGAGACCTCAATTCCCACAGCTGGCCCAACATCCTACTTAGTCCGCACTTTTTGTATCCTGTTGAAGTTATGATCGATGAGCCAGCCTGTGAGCGGGAAAAAATCAATATTGATCTCACGGTTCTTTGTGGCAATGCATGTGGAAGGTGTGGCAGGCCCGAGTTTGACATGAATTGGGCAGTCAGCCATCCATCTGAACGACGGACAAGTCATCAGACTTTGGATATCAGAGATCCCCGACAAGGACTATACCATCTAGTCCCTCAATCCGTACCACAACGCCCATCGTGGTAGACCCGCCAACGACCTTGGTCGCCTTCAAATTGCCTCTTACTAGGCAAGGGAGGATTAGTGCGACCGTAATGACATGAGACCTCATGGCACAGGACCTTCCAAGCGGAGACGTCCTCTTCAACGATCTTGCAACCAAAACTCAAAACGGTACAGAAGCCTCGCCGTGTAGCACACGAAGAAATGGCCAAACACGTTTGTGGTAGTGGTGGGTTGGACAAATTCTAAGGTAAGAAAAGTATAGACATCCGGGTCTCGTGGGCATAAGGGGATGTGAACACATGTAGAGAACGGATTTGAAATTGTATATAGCGACCATTAACATCATTCTTATCATGGCAGCACAAAGATCCTGTCATGGAACACAATCTTCGCCTACCGCCCATGGACAAATATCCTTTTAGAAGGAGAAGGACAAGCCAATATCAAGAGAACATCCCATCATTGTTCCCACCATCGACCCTAAGTCTATGGCCCTAACATGGAGACGTTGTATGGGAAGGACGAGTACGGTACCACACATTGAAGGAATCACCTCTCATGACTACCGGCACTCTCTCAGGCCCCACTTGCCAACCTCTGACATAGAGGGATGAAGAACTTCCGAAAGGGCAAAGCTCTTTGAGTGAAGCATCTTAGTAGCAGTGATCGCATCGTCATTCGCTACTTGTTCAGCACTGACTAAGTCTCAAGTACCTTCCACAGCCCAAAACACTGGCACGACCCGGCATCGGGGGAGAAAGAAAGGAGGGCCTGCAAAGGGGCAAGGAAAAGCCCCACATTTTGACCATGGCGAGCGCAGGTACGAGTCAGTTCGAATGTGGAACCTTGGGTGAAAGGCCAAATGGGGGTAAATTCTGGATTGGGGATGGGAGGGTAAGGCCTTGCTCACTTGTCCAGATGTGCCTTATTTCTCCGGGAGTGGTGGAGGCGAAACCGTCTACTCCGCTACCACTATTACTATCTGCACCTAAGGAGTGGTTCTAAAGTCTACGGTAGGCAGGACTGCATCAACGTCGATCGCAGAGAATGGGGACAGCATTCGAAGAAGCCATCAACAAGGCGGTGGATGAGAAGGTCATTGCAGGGGCCGCTGTGGTGGCAGTTGATAAGTCTGGTGAGTCCTTTTGTCGTAGATGATCTTTTTTCGTAGGAGTCGTTCTTGACATTGACGACAGGCATACTAGGAACTACGAAATATGCAAAGGCCTTTGGGACAACGTCCCTTGGGAAAGGAGGGAAGCCGTTTCAAATCGATTCGACAATGTGGTTGGCTTCTTGTACCAAGGTATGCATGCTGCTGTGCTAGAGGAAGGGGAAAATGGAAGTACGATGTATCTAACCGAAATTGCCCGTAGATCAGCACTGCTGTGTCGTGTATGCAATGCGTGGAACGAGGACTGTTGTCTCTCGATGACCCGATCGGCAAGATTCTACCTGAATGGACGACGCCGGAGATTCTCACTGGGTTTGATGAGAACGAGAAGCCGATTCTGAAGAAAGCCACCAAGACCCTCACGCTGCGTCACCTCTTGACTCATTCTAGCGGAATGGGGTACCCAGCATTCAACCCTCTGCTGCAGAGATATTTGAAAGCCATGGGTAAGCCCGTGGGGTTTCCGCAGGGAGCGATTAAGGACGATTTAATGCTACCGTTGCTCTTTGAGCCTGGTGAAGGCTGGGAGTATGGCGGTTCGATCGATTGGGCAGGCCAGATGGTGGAACGGGTCAACGGTGGCATTAGATTGGGTCAGTATATGAAGAAGCACATCTTTGAGCCTTTGGGGATGAAATACACGACGTTCCGGCCCAGTGAGCACCCCGGCGTTCAGGAAAGGTTCATCGGTCGTCCGTTTCGCACACCAGACGGCAAAGTCATCCCCGATGCACCAGATGTGGGCATGTATCCTGTGCGAGAGGCGGATGATGACTATGGCGGTGCGGGATTGTACAGTTGCGCGGAGGATTACATCAAAATTGTGGCCTCGCTGCTGGTGGACGACGGGAAATTGTTGAAGTCTGAATCCATCGATGAACTCTTCCGCCCCCAGCTGCCGGATACCAACTATATCCAGGCGGTCATGGATGTGCCTGAGGCGGCACAGTTTCTGGCTCCTAGTTTCGGAACTGGCGTCAAGTGGAATTACGCCCTAGGCGGTGCTGTAGCGGTGGATGGCGTTGAAGAAAGAGCAGATAAGGGTATGATGTACTGGGCTGGACTTCCGAATTCATACTGGGTGAGTTGCGCATACTCTGAAGTCAGAACTAAAAGGAACTGACCAAGCTTCAATAGTGGATTGATCGCCGGAGAGGTATCTGCGGCGTATATGCAACACAGTTTTTCCCTCCTGGAGACCATCCAACGCAGAAGCTATTTACACAGTTTCAGAAGGATGTCTATGCGATGGCTGGATAGAGATCATTGACATTGATTAACATTGAGATTTGATGTTGACATCCCGCAACAAAGTTGATCCCTCTCTCACCATCGTCCTTCAAGACGTCTTGTTCCTGTTTGATAACAAACAATGACTTCCAGGTCATTCGATCACGGTCGTCATCGCTCTGCCACATTCCCTTCTCAAGGAGTACGTCCTGCTGACTGAGCTGGCAAGACTATTGGATGTCTCCTATTTCCTTCTTGCAGGTACGAATCTAGACCCTCTGCCACCATCGCGATCAATATCGCCCCTTCATAGCGAAACCGTCTTCCACAATTGCACAGTGCCCCCGGTGTCAACCATTATGACCACCGTACCATCCCCAGTTTTCTATGAACGTCAAACGTCTTGTGCTCACCCAATTTCTCCATCAACTCCTCTCAAATACTCTTCACTGACTCGACTATACACGGCTCGACCTCAATCGACGCGACGACGACGGTGGAAGATCCAGCTCAGACACAGACTCGGTCTGAGTTTGCTCATTTCAGCACCATTCAACTGGACTCTCAGCAACCGGCATCCAGCAATAGCCCTTTTCTCTTCGTCGTCAAGACCCCAACTTCATGTAGAAATTACTTTTTTTGACACTCCGTGTGACTTCAGCCATCTGAGTGGTCAAGTGCCCACTCCACCCCCCAAGGTCGAAAACATCTTTCATCTTTCACCTTCAAAAGCTCTTACAAGGACGTACAGCGATGTTATGCTTGATTCTCAACGCAGGTTTCATGATCAAATTCCTTCACTTGCAGTCTCCTCAAGTCTTCTGTGTGAATTCGGCAACCAGGATTCATTGTGCTTCGGAAGTACCAAGTGTAAGTACTATGAGCAAGACAACCCAAAGCTTTTATTGGGTGGGGGGAGGGGGAACAGTGCTCTCCCTCGTTACAGCATGTAATCAGTATATTAGAAGTTGTGATTGTACTACTTCCTTACGCCTTTTTGGCCCTTTCCAAGCTTCGATACGCCTCGGTAGTATGCCTTGTCAAAATCCATTACTTATAAACCACGACTCCTCCCAGAGGAACTGTGACTAGCGCAACCGACCTCCCATTCCTATCCTCAATAGTCAGAGACTCTGGAACGTCATCTTTGCCGTTTATCTTCGTCGGGAACAAAATCCCCAGCGTGCTTGCAGGCGGATGAACTTCCCTATCCACGGTGACCCAGACAGACAACTTCGTGCCAGGATCTGAATTTATAGCACACAACACCTCTTGACCGGCAAAGAGCCTGGACCATGCGATGATAGAATGCATGGGTGAGGAGCCCACGATGGTCGGCAGCCCGAAATTGTTGCCGTCTCCCGAGATTTCGCGGAGATATTGTCTCCCTCTGCGCAGGGCCATTTCCTGTCTGCGAAGTTTGGCGAGCTCGGCAACGGTCGTCCAGACAGGGTGGTCTTCTTCGAAGAAGTGGCGGTCTTTGCTACGGAAAGCACCAAAGGCCCCGCCGAACATGGCTTCGCGGATGTATCGGTCATCGCCACCCTGGCCATCAAAGGCCCGTTCGGTGCCGTAATACAAGCACGGGATGCCGAGCGTGTAGAGGTTGAGAGCGACGGCTGCGACGATGAGGTTGGCTCCGTTGCCCTCCGAGCAGAAGCGTCCTTTGTAGCTCCCTCGCCAGACTTGATCGTGGTCGTCAATCATCGTCACCACTTTGTCGCGGAACCACGTATGGCTGCCTTTCTTGAGATGCAAGGCGTTACGGAAGAGGTCGAAGTACTCGCTGGGATTGACTTGTCCTTTGGGCACGCGCCAAAGTTTCTCCTGCACATTTCCGATACCAAGGGCTGCGTCAAGACCAGTGGTTTCAACCGTCTCGAAGGCTCGGGAGCCTGTGATCTCGCCGATTAGAAGAAACCTGTCTTTGCCCAGGAGTTGTGCGTATTCGTGGATCACGCTGGCAAAGTACCTGGTCGGCCCGTCGCCCATGTGCTTGACAGTGTCGATGCGGAAGCCGTCAATGTCTGCGTAGGCGATCCAGTACTTGTAGCATTGACACAAAGCCTTCAAGGCTGGTGTGGCGGTGAAGTTGTCTGGACTTGGATTTCCAAGGGCTATGTCCTTGAGGTCGTAGAAATCACCATCAAAGTATTCGGGAGCGCTATCCCATCCATCGTCATTGATTTGGCCTTTCCTCGTGAAGCACTCGGCCTCTTGCAGCTCTAACGGCCAGACGGCCGCATCGGGGAACGCATTCGGATACTTGTCTTCGTCGACCTTGCCGAGAGGTATATCTGGATGTCTGTCTTGGTCGTAAAAGCCCTTGACATCAAACGTTTCTCCATTATTGTAGTGAGGGCTGTCCGCCACATACTCGAACACGTTGCCGCTGTGGTTCAGGATGATGTCAAGCAGGACGTAGATGCCTTCTTTGTGTGCGGCAGCGACGAGATCTCTCAATTCTTCTCGTGTGCCGAATCGCGGATCTATGTCTAGAAAATCTTGAACGCCGTACCCATGATACGTTTGTAGCTTGGACGCTTGCTTGAAGACCGGTCCGATCCAAAGAGCCGTGGCTCCGAGTCGACTGAGGTACCCGAGCTTGCTCTTGAGACCTCTCAGGCTTCCTCCAACGAAGACTGACCCGGCAGCTCGCCATCGAGCTGCGTCAGCGTCCGTGCGAATGGCATTTCCATTGTCTTCGGGTTTGTATCCGGGAGTGGAGCCATTTGTGACAGGCTTGCCGTTGACGTCCTTGTAATCATTTTCTGAATCGTTAGAGAAGCGGTCGGGAAGAAGAAAGTACAGGATCTGGTCTTCCCAAGCCGCTGGTGAGGGATGGAATTCTTGTGAAGGAGGCACTCTAGCAATGACAGACTGGACTTCGGGGTCGACGATGCTTTTGATCGTGTTCACCATCTTCAGAAATTGAGCTGGGTCCGTCCCGTTCTCGGGACGAGAAAGAAGAAGGTTGGAAGGTCGACACACCGAGCATCAGGTCGGGGAGCAGCAGAGAAGTTCACATTGCATTGGCGAGTTGCGTAACACAATAGAAACAGGGGCTGTGATGGATACACTAGAGCTTGCATGTTGCTTGCCCTCAGTGAGGCGTTAATGCGGCGAGCCGAAGAAGTTCAGCTAAACTATTCTGTGTGTGATGAGCCAATCATAGAAATAACACGTTAACCAATATAAAATCTTTGTGGGACAAGGCGGTCATCAAATACACCCGAGTATATTCCACTGAGACCGTTCTGCTAGGTCCAAAGCTCCCCCATTCCGAAATAGTCATTCCTGGAGATTCATGGCGCTGTTTAGACCACTCCTTCGTATACTGTACATCCTGAATCCCCATCCCAAACTCAAATTCAGATCCCAAATCACGGCATTCAGAAGAAAAGCCTCAACCGCCCAATCAAGTTGTCCGTCCTTTTGTAGTAGAATCAATCGTCAGTCCTGGGAAACCTCGTTCCCTCACCATCACCCGTGAAATACCTCATTTTGAGCGTCCGGCTGCCTGCTCCACCTCTTCCACCACCTACTGCGCCTGTCTTGCCTCTATGGTCGAGCTTGCTGAAGGGACCTCTGCGCTTATGTCCAGTGCTACCCCTGCGCTGCTCCTTCATCCGTTCCTGGGCCTTCTTACTCCACAAGGGAGCGCATTCGGCGTACGTCTGGTCTCCTCTCCTCCCGCCCGTAAAGAATGTCAATACTGCGTCCGCTCCCGAGGCTCGGTGTCTTCGTTCCTGTGCCTGCATTGGCTTGCGAGGCTCGCTTGGCTCGACAGCCTTGCTTTTATTCGCCTTGTCGGACTTCCGAGCCGTCGGCAGGTCGTCGTACATGGTGCCGCGACGGGAAAAATCGAAGGTCGAAGCGTCAGCGTCAGCAGATGGAAGTAATGCGGAATTGGGCGTACTGCCCAGCGTATTTTTCTTCAGCAATCGAAGCAAACTCTCACAAAGCCGATCGAGGATCCATTCCGATTCGCTCTGCGAGCTCATCATGGGACTATTTTCTTCAAGCCAGTCCCATTCTATGACGCCGTCTGTTTCTTCGTCATAGTCTAGCTGGTCGAGTCCAGCTCTGGTGAAGCGGATCAGCTTTGTAAACTCGCACCATTCTTCATATGAATAGCGTTTCCCAGGCGAATGTTGAAGGTCGTCGGCCGTTTTGCGAATAGCCCAGGCGAGTCGTTGCGTCAATTCTGCTTCACTGAGATTCTCACTTGCCAACTGTTCGATGCTTAAGTTAGGTGAGCCTTCACCTTCAGAGGGTCCAACGGGAAGACCGGATTTTAAACGCCGCTTCTCGACTTTCTTGTTCATCCAATTCCAGAGGAAAGGGGCTGATTTGAGAAGATCGTGCCAGAGGCCCGCCTTAGGCAGGACAGTCATGTCACCAAGTTTGAAAGTGCCGCGTTTGAAACTCGAGATGACCGTGTCACCCATATCCGAAATCAGGATTGTCATTGTCGGCACGGCAATCAGTGACCAAACCACAAAGAATGGCTTACCAGCATTGCTCTTGGGGCTTAGGTCACCATAACCGATAGTCAGCAAACTGACGTAGCAGAAATACAGAGCCTGGAAATAGTTCAAGTCTTGGGTTGGTTTCTCCGCCCGCCAGAATACTATGGCGCCCACACACCATAAGATCCCAAAAGCTATGACAGACACGAACAAAGCATACCACTTTTTGAATTTTCTTGCGTTCAATTGGATGTCTCGCATAGCGTTGAATCTGTCTTTCTCTTCACGCATAAGGATGACTCTCTGAGATCTCGTCCTGACTCTTCTCAGTGTTGACACAGGCTTCGCAATTAGCCTCAGAGTGGAATGGATTGGGCCTCGATGGAATGTGGTGTTCAAAAATTGGTTCGGATGGGGCTCCGAGTCTTGTGCCTTCTTAAGCTCTTCAGGTTTGGTATGCTCGAATCCAACTTGACGATTTGAATTTTGGGCTTGAGGCGTCTCATTTTGTGGGGCATGGCCGCCTGCCACGTCTAAATCATGTTGGATCCGGGGATTTGGTAACGGTGAGGAGATCTTGGGTTTAAGTCCATGAAACTGTTCGACTTCTATCTCCTTTTCTAGTTCACTTCGCCTTCGGTCCTCGGCGTCATCAACTGTCACGGCCCTGGATAATGTGTTTATTCTTCTTGTTTCGACATGTTTCCCGAGCACGTTGACCGTACTCAGTTCTCCGGCAAATTTGTGGATCGAGCTAACCATCAGACCCAGAATGATCGTTCCACCCACCGAGTAAGGGAACACCAGACCGCGTCCAAGATCGTCGTTTGGGACGAAGTCCCCAAAGCCAATGGTCAGGATAGTGACATCACAAAAGTACACTGCGTCAGGATACGTCCATTTTTCGATTCTAGAGAATACACCAGCACCTCCCCCCAGCCATATGAAGAACATCATTGTCTGTAGGATCAGATTGCGTTGTTCGTCGGTCAAAGTAAAGTGCTGAGGATAATGGCCTAGAAAGTAACCCCACATATTCACCATCAAGATCATGGAATTAAACATGTATAGACAGGCCGCGAGAACGGCGTTCCAAAATCCTTGGGAATAGACTTCATTCGGCCCCGGGGGGACATGGACATTCATCGAGACCGTAATAGCAATCAAAATCCCAGAGGCGATGTAGAAGAGGACGATGGTCGCCGGCAGAGCCACGATATATCGAATGCGTTTGGTGAAATTGAAGAGAAGAAAGAGATTTCCGACAAAGCCGCATACAAGGGATGCAATGTTGAGATTGATACACCAACTCGGGTCTGGATAGCCCACTGAGGTCGATTGATAGGTAAGGCGCTCGTGCTCGATGACCTTGTTTCTCCAGGGAACGACCAGACCAGCAATGGAAACCAAGTTGGCCATGGGAGCGAAAGTGGCCGCAATGAGAGGGATGGCAGTGGAAGCAAACCACCATCTGGTGGGAAGGTCGTCGTCGGCGGACCTCAACCTCAGCTTCCCAATGTGGTGCACATGGTCTCTCCGCTCATGTTGGGTCTCCCGTTTGCCTTCGTAGTCTGGCAACGTTGTAATCGAGTCTCTGCTCTCGTCTGCTTCCCAGTCTCTTTGCTTTTCGTTGTCTTTGGCGCTCGTACCTGACCTAGAGCCCAAAGCGGCCGGCTGGGGGTCCAACTCTTCCTGCTTGGCGTGATCGGAGCCCATGTTCGCAGTGCAGCCGGTGTCATAAATCCTGGACAGACATTGTATGCGAGGCTTTCCACAGCTGTCGTAGAAGTCGTTTTGGGTCGGTGACTGGTAAATACTGAGTTCAATAGGTAAGCGGCGTCGTGACTAAGCTGGAGAGGTTCCAAATTTTGGGAGGCATAGGGAATGACACAATAGTCGTCGATTGGAAAGCTGGGTTGTTGACATGATGAAGATGAAGCGAAGAGCCAGAGACGAATGGTATTTAATTTAGGCTCTATGACAAGAGGCGCTTGGGTAAAACACGGAGAATGCGGCATGCCCGGGAGGGTGGGCAAAAAACCAGGACGCGGACGAACACCATCACGAGCTGCTGAATGATGTATGATCACGATCGCCACCTGCAGCACTCTCATGAATCGGTTTTCCCTATTTCTGGTGAATTTCGTTACTCTAACCGTGTTCGTTCTTCGCTTCATCCCCTGCTGGCCCCAACTCCAGGGTACAATTAGCCGATCTCTGGCTTCAGATAAGCTCATGAAAGCTTTCCCTGGCCTCTACCAAGTCTCAAATGATCCTTCTTTCTGCCCCCCAACCGCAAAGCGTTCGAGACCACGGCAGCCTAGTGCAGTGGCACCAATCATAGCTGCACCGTCCTTCGACCTATTTGCCCTGGCTGAAAACTTATATTAAGAGGAGGTCCGAAGAGCATGAGCTCTGGTTATATTCTATTGGCACCAGCCCTCAGCCCGAGACCGTCTTCCAATCGGCTAATATTCACGCCCTGAGAAAGTTCGTAATCCTCCTCAATTGCTCGGGGTCTTTTGAAATTTCCCTATCACATAGTTTCCGCCAAAAGTTCAAGGAGAACTTGCTTTTGCAGCTATTGCATTGCGGCAGGGAGGTACCAGGATCCAGATCTTGCAAATCTGGACTCACATACCAGGATACAAGGTGTGAGCATAAGAATTGAACTCGTATCCGTGCAGGAAGCCTTTCAAGGCGATGGGGATTAACTGACATCCAACTTATCAATTGCATTGTGCGTCAAGAGACATCTCACCGGGAAGACCAAACGATTGGATATGAGAACAATTGCGTCATTGATCTAGGCAAAAGACAGGTCAGAGCCCGAAAGGGTATTCGTGATATTTGTTGTCATCATAGTAATACATAACTTTCTCCTCTTTTAGATAAAGGAGAAAAATGATTGAACTGTACCCCTTCCCGTCCCCAGGGCACCATGCTGTTCCATCCAGGAACCAAACGATCAACATGTAGCAATCAGTTACCAAATCAATTGGGGCGGGCACGTCCCTCGTCTGCCCGATACATTCAAAAACGCTGGGAATGCTATTTGCAAAAGGGGTGTATCAATATCTGAAACAAGAATGTTCGATCAGCTGTCGAGAAATAAAGAACTGCAATGCATATCGTCAGGGCGAGTATGGTACATCGAAATGAAACTAGCCCGCTCAAGGGCCGGATTTGATCTGTCTGTGTGGGATACGAATGGAAAGTCATGTTAGGTGATTGAGTCGCCATCTGAAGCCGCAACCTCAGAACTCATCGTACGTCCCGGTAGCTGCTTGGTGGATATGCGCTGGTAGGTGTATATGATCCATAAGCAGAATCCCTACCAACCGAGGAAGATGGTTCCCTCATCATGCCTGAGGGTGGGGGTTGAAATCCAGTGCTGATTGAGGCCGGCATGCTGTAGGATGCTGTACCGGATGTATGCATGCGGTCGCGGTAGTAGTCTTCCTCTGTGGCTGGGACTGACGTAGAGTACGCCGGCGGACCGCGTGCACCATGTGGACCGTCGAATCCTGAGACGGACTGCATACGCGGCCTGTTTTCTCGGTCTCTCTCACGTTCTCGGGGGTCATATGCGGACATTCTGGCTGCATCATAGCGGTCGTTCGCGAGACGTTCTCGATGAGCTTCGTATTCTTTGAATCGTCTGGCGTCCTCATATTGATCATTTCCATTGAAAGAATGGTGCGTTGAAGGCGTATAAGGAGCGTCATTCTCTGATCGGCGCATGTACGAGGGTCCGCCGTTTTCCGTCGTCATGGACGGAGACCGATTATGGCCAGGCCGGGGTTGATCTCTATGGTAAGTGCTATTGGAGCGATGGTGCCGAGTTTCAGGGATCTCCATCGGCCGAGGGGGGGGTGGCCTCTGGTGAATAGAGATTGGGTTCGGTCCTGTTCTCGACATATCATTTGTCCTGGAAGTAGCATGGACAGAACTTGAGCGCCCCAGCTTGACTTCCGGGGGAGGAAGCGGTGGCTTTGATTCCGTTACTGCGGCCGGTTTGTCGATGTTGTCATAATTCTTTCCGCCTCCTGGGGCAGCGACATACGGCTTTCGCTCTCGCTCGATGGGCTGCCGGGTGGGGGTATCTTCCGTTTCTTCCTCACCTACGCCATCGGCCCCGTCAGCGGGAACGCTTGAGTATGGCTGTCGTTGTTGTTCGATGCTGACATGTGACAAAGTTGGGCTTGGCTGAGTCGCGCTGTTAACGGAATCCAGTTTCTCTGTTGGAGGTCGGAGGTTCGGCTTTTGAGCTTGATCCTCAGCTGGCTGGCTTGATTGTGAGGCTCGAATGTTTGAGCCTGTTGTACTCGCTGTACTTCCCTGGAGAGGACCAAAGTTGACATTGCAATGAGTTGACATCGCCCTCTGGAGTTTATATGCTATCTCGGTATCAGGACGGTTTGGGAACAGTCGTCTTGAAAGCTCTTTAGGGAAGCGCTCTTTCTTCTCATCGGGGTTGCTGATGGGCATGTCCAAGGCCGTCTTGGCCAATCTCTCGTATTCTTGATCCGGGTGCGCCTTGAGGAGCAATGTCACCCACGTTTCAAAACCCTGAGGGGTTAGACCAGGTACATCCGGTCTCTCGTTTAGTTTATCCTGCACCAGATGGTGTTGAGCCTCAATCTCTCGGAACATTCGAGATATCGAAGAGGTCCGGTCGTCAAAGACAATTTTCCACGGGTAAAGTTCATTGGCAAGTTTGGTCTCCTCGTAGTATCTTTGTAATTTGGTCGGGGTAATCACCAAACTGTGTTTTGGCTCGTAGTCCTCAATCAAGTGAACTGCAATTCCACGTAGAAATTGTCCCAATCGAGGTGTAGCTTGGCCTTGCTCGTTGAATAAAACACCCCATACACGTTCTAGAGTGGTTGTATCTCCGCCGGTAGGCATCCTTTTTGGGCCTTTGGGCCTACTTGGTCGTTCTTGAGGTATATCACCTTCAGATAGGCGACCACCCTGACTCAAAGGTGAAACGGCTCTCTTTTCACCGGAGAGTGAACTAGGTAGAAAGGGCGGTTGGCTTGGAGGTGAAGGGAATTGAGGGGACTGTGGACCCATCCCAGCATCTTCGGAAGCACGATAGGGCGAAGGAGGAGTGTAGACGGTTGCTCGATCCAGCGGAGGAGACCCAGCGGTGGAGGAGGCGGCATCCATTTGGGAGCCGGACGTTTGCGGCTGAAGGGGAGGAGGGGCGAAGTTGGATGCTTTCAATTGCTGCAAAACATTTGCAGTGATCTGTGAGGTGATTTGCTGAAGTAGCTCAGGCGAGAATGAGGTAGCAGAGGCGGCATCAGTATTGTTGAAGGCTGAAGTGATCGCGTCATTTATAGGTTGTTGGGTTTGATTGCATCTCGACGGATCAAATTTGGTGGAACCTTGTCGAGTAATCGAAGGCCCTCGGGATCTCTGGGTGCCTCCATCGTTGGATATAGAATTGCTTAAAGTTGGGTGAAGTCGTCTCGAATCTGCATTGTCATCCAAGCTGGTCCCGTTAGGCTGAGGGGGAACACGACCGTCGTTGGAAGCCATAGCACAGGGAACAGCAATCCCGCTCAGGATAGTTTTCTTCCTCAAAACATTCAGATGACACCCTCAGTATGCTTGTGAGAGATATGATTTTGAAATATGTGGTGATTGCCGCCGGGCGTGTTCAGAAATAGGTCGCAAGAATCGAGGTGAGGGGTCGCGTATGGACCAGCCCTATGGCAAAGCCGGTTTCCTTCGTGATCTGTCCCGGGGCCAAGCCGATAGGAGGATGAGGCGGTACGTGTGAGGACGTCAAGTTGTGAGATGGAATGGGTGTTGCACAGATGAAAGGAGGCAAGCAGGGGGAAGTCAAGCAGGTAGGTGGCAGTGCCAGCCACAGGCACCCTTCGTGGTTTTTGGAGGCGATGGGATTTAGTGCTCGCAAGTGTTGAAAGCTTTGGAAAAGAGAAGTTCAGAGAGGCGTCCCGGCAACAGAACGGTCTTTATCGATGGAATTGGGGTCTGAATTATAATCATGAGATGGGATAGAGATCAACGTCGTGTAGGGAGAATTGATACGAGGTCTGTTGCGAAGCCAGACGAAGACAACAAAACCAGCAGTGGCACAGGTCCCCGGGTGTGTTGCATCATGCACTCGGCCAACCACCAAACCCATCCACCATCCTCCAGCAACCATTCAGCAGCGTCCCAGAACCTTCATTATGATTCTTGGTCCCTGTCAACCGGTGAATGGAATTGGTTGACTCTCTCGATCAACACGGGCGCAGTTCAGAGTTCGCCCTACGCTATCCTACCCGTTCGGCTTCTTCTAAGTTTAAGCACCATCCTTCTGTTTCTACAGCCATTCAACGACTAGTCGCCGCTGACTGTTACAGAATGCTGATCCATACTACGATACAGAAAGACTCTCCTACAAACTAGGTACTGGATTCTCCCAAATCTTGGTTGAACTCAACCGGGCCCTTTTTTTATTCCATGCGTCTACCACGATGACACACTTCCCTCCCGTTCCACTCGCTTACCGAAGTTCGTATTACCTCGATGCAGTGCTTGTGGCAATCTGCTCTTGCTAATATCAAATCATCACTTGTCCTGATAAAATTCCAAGTACGATGAGATCTTGAAATTTAGCGAAGCGACAACCACATCTGACGACGTCATTGCATCAGTACTGTCTGTGATCCACAGGAATGCTTCATCCATCCACCCGCACTACCCACCTTTGGCGCTTTTAGCAGGGAGCTGCTGTGTACCGTTTATCTGCGCCCCGTTTCTTACGACCCAATCACTCCCAAGGCCCTCGAGAGCCTGGAATTCCACAAATACAGCAACACTCTTCTTTCATGCATATGCTTGCATGCTCTGCATAATGCAACTTGAATCCTGAACATTGAAGAACTCATCTACGGTCCCCTAGGCCAAGGTTGAAAGCCATCACAGGGCGCAGACCTGTGAGGTCTGCCCTTCGGAGTATTTGACTTTTGTACACAAAGAACATCTTCGAGAAATCGCGTAGTCGTCATCGTCCTTTTCATTCCGGACGCGGGACGAGGGACACTTGTCTGCACTTTCTTCGGAGAGACTGTGAGGCCGTCTAGATCCCACTTCCTCTGCGCCTTGTTCGGCGTAGTTCGTATCCGTCGCGAACTTTGTGTTTCTCAGACCGGTTACTCGTAATTGCCTAACTGATGATATTTCTCATCGCAAAAAAAGTAGCCTCTAACAAACTCAGGAGCAAGGGGCTCATTTCAATGTCATTGCCGCGGCAAAATGGCTGCGCATAATCACCGGGCGCCTGACGAGTTGAAATGAGTGTCTAGGTATGTGTCTGCAAGACGGGACAACTATTGGCCGCCAAATATTTCTGCAAAAGTTCCATTTCCAAGTCTAGATTCATGGTGTTGCATGAGAGTTGATAGCCTAAGGAAGGGCAAGAGAGTGATGTGAAGTCTTGGAACGTGGTCTAGAAAATGTTGCGAAAGTAGTATTCGTATCCTTTTCGGCGGACCTGTCTGGCTATGTCTTTGTCTCTGCTGTAAGCTCTGAGTCCGATCGAGCATGCCCTCTATGACCACGATCTGTTTTCCCATTCAGCCAGCGCGCCACTATCATGCCTCCTCAGTCTGTACCGACTTTGGCAAATCCCTGGCCCTTAAAGCCTTTTGAATTTCAACACATCTTCATCGGAAGCCTTCTGCGCCGTTGCCTCTCGCTGGCTCGTGCTCGATGACTTGGGTATCACAGCTCGAAATCGATCTCTGATTCATCATCGGAGCCATCTTCCTTACTGCCCGCCTGAGACTTCTGTTGTTGGTGGACGTCGTCCCTTTGAATCCGATTCAGCACTCGATCATTTGCAGAGGGTTTATAGGCGCCTTGTTTGTGAAATCCGCCTCGTGCAGTTCCACTAGAGTACGTTGAACCAGTTCGAAGGAAGGAAGACTCAGAGGTAGATCGCGTGGGATATCCGGAAAGCCCAGAGACTGCGGTGCTGGCTGGGGAGGGTGATCGGTCCGTGGGTACGCGGCCGCCCCAAGCCGACTCATGGTCCTCACCATACTGACCCATATACACACCGTCACCAGTCGTAGATGCTGCCTGAGACTGTCTGCCTGATCCTGAAACCGAGCCACTGATGCTGGGAAGTGCGGAGCCAACACTCGACATTCCTGAAAATGGGCCGGGACGCTTCGCCTCGAATTCTTCCCTGATTTCTTCCTCTTCAACAGCCTCACGCAAACCTGGCACTTGATCTTCAATTCCTTGTTGGCAGTTTCTGCATTTCTACTCTGTATCAGAATAGTTCCTGGAAAACATGTAGTGTCTCATCCTTACCGCTTGGTCGGGCTTGCTTCGGTGGTTTCTGGAAAAGAAGTCGACAGGTAAGGTGGTTCGGCAGACTGTGCAGTACAACTCGACGACGTTTCCCGCTGTACACGTGGTGCATCGGGGAAGAGGAGCTGGGACACCAGCTCTACGTTCGTGGAAGACGGCTTCTTTGTATTTCTTGAGCTGATTCCCGGAGAACCGCTGGAGGATGAGATTTTTGTTACAGACAGAGCATCGAATGCTGTCATATCAGTGGGTAAAGTTGAACCAAAAGAAGAACAACGTACTCACGTTTGTCCAATATCCACGTTATCGAACCTGGATGCCCAGTCAGCCGCTTGCGCGCTGGACGGCATGAACAAATGGCAGGCAAAGTTGCATAGAGGAGCCGCGATAATTTGCAAGCCGGGTTTGAGAAGCAGAGAAACAGAAGACTAAGTAAGAGGTTGTCAAATGGAACGACTTACGATTCTCTCTTTCGCTGCCAGGCGGGCTTCTGCTTTTGAGGCATGGCTTGGTGGTTGAGGTGAAGAGCAACTCGAATGGAGCAATGTGCCAGGAAAGATCTCGCCCAGATGTCACAGAGTGACGTGGAAAGCACTCCGACTTCGAATTCTTCGCTTCTACTCGGCTTTACAGTGAAGATGAACCCGACTTCTGATGTAGTTCTGAAATCTGATTAGTTCGATGGGTGGAAATAAGCGAAATATACCTCTTCGATACCTCTGGAGCACGATCACCTGTCTTTCCCGGGGAAAGAGGAGTTATTTATGCCTAGGGACGTTCGATCTTTTATCAAAAATGCCGCCAATTCCTCATGCCATGTAAGTATCGAGATCCTTCTGTTTCACAAGTGCCTTTTCGCGCGTATCAAAAGTACTGCCTGCCCCCGTAAAAGCCCCTCGCAGACGTGATTAACTCGGCCAGAAGATATACATGCAGATGCCTGATGGAAAGAAATTGCAAAAAGACCCAACCTTTGCCCCCCAGCAGTGGTGTTAAATGTTTTCAAGAGACTGAAGGTCGGATGCAGATTTTGTGACTTGCCTTTTTCGGCTTCTTGGCGACATACCTGGCAGGTCGCAGAGGGAGGAACGAAATCCTACCAATTTTCTACCTACGAGACAACTTATACAAACCAGGAAGTCTTGACATAGCGCAGGGGACGAGACATTGCGTACGGGCGCGAACGACATGCATATGCAGAGTGAGCAGCTCCTCAAATGATCAAAACTTGATCCCATCACGCAATATTAAGACGAGGAGCGTGGCCATCTGTGGTTCAAGAACGATGATCACAACAACCATTCCCGTCTGGAATGAGAGCATGAAGGCAAGGAGATGATTTTTGGGGACTCCAAGCGACCAATTTACATCCTCAAAAGTCTAAAACTCTTCTGTCACGAGATGCGCAGCCAGTGATTTCGCCAGAATTCAATTTCGCGTTTGCAAAATACGTATGCACCAACCCAGCCGACAGTGACATTTGGGTTTGCGGTGTGTCCAGTCGGTTGGGATTTCCCATAATATTGCATAGATCATGAAGCATGGTTCATGGTTCGTGCAAAAGATTGTGCAAATATTCCTCTCTCCACACTGCAACTCATAGGTTAGTTTCCCAATCCTCCTTTATAATTTCCTTGGGTGACAGAATAGCATCAGCTTCCAGGCGAGTGTCATGGCAGTTTCAAACTTCCGGAACAATGGTCCACTTGGTTAGTGAGGGGCACTGTCGCGGAAGCAAAGGTCCGAGGGCTTGCCATGACTCCATCAACAATGGGTTAAGAGGGGGTTCAGGCCGGAACGGCGTCTTGCTTTTCCATCAAGCTCCAGAGCGGTGCGATCGAAGGGTTCAGGCCAATCGAGGAGAGGCTGGAGATTTGATCAGCACCGTTGACCGGCACCAAGGGCGCCCCGGTCCATGTATGAATTGCCGCGACAAGCCAAATCCAGGGACCGAGGCGCGTCTAAACCTGTTTTTGGTAACATCCAGTGGTCCTGGAAACAGGAACAAGAAATCATGACAGGTTTTAGCCCAAGGGGCGTGAGTTGGCCTAGCTCTAGCCCAGCAACTCATGTTACCGGTGCCATCATCGCCAACGTGGCGTCCAGCTGGCGGCCCCCTCCGGAATCATGGTGACCTTTTCGTTGCTGGTTGCCCACTTAATGCACGTATGCGCTGGAGAGTATGTGTATGAAGAAGGTCAGGAGGAGGGAGATGAGAAGGCGGTGACAGCAGCAATGGATGAAAAGGACGCCTGCCGTTCATCACTACAATTCAGAAAGCATGTCGCAGAGAGGAACCTTCTTAATCTATTTTTTGTGCGGCACACCGGAACGAGCCTGATGGCTGTTTTGCTTTGGACAACATCATTCGCCCTGAACTGCTTGGGAAAAGTGAGGATTCGGAACCAGTGACAAGCCCCCCAAAGAGACAAAAGCGGCTTGTCATTTACCCGATGCTGCCGTACCGTGACCAGGAGTGATGACAGAATTATTGGAGGGTTGTCCGCGAATCGATGGACAGGATTTTCTGCTACGGCCCCGACGACCAGATTTCCTGGCATTTCACTGCTCAGGATTCATCACGAGATTGCAGATCCAGGGTCAGGGTATGGACAGGACAGCTGAGAGACAGGACGTTTTCCCTTTCGGCTTCGATCCCACCGCATGAGCACAACGGACGGGCGGTGAGGATGCAGAAACAGCGGATGGGAGTAGAACATTATTCTGCTGGGAGCGAATGTAATTAATGTACCATAAGAAACAGGTACACCGTTGCAGCGATGCTGTAGGACCACCGAACTGTCGGTCATCCAGGCGGATGTGGATGGGGCTGAACAAAGGCCAGTGGTCTGGTTCGGGGGGGGAGGAAGAGGGGCTTGGGCACCAGCGACCAGCGAACATCCCAGCAAAAGAAGGCAGGGCTACCGAGGCTAGCAGTCTAACTCGACCAGGTGGCCACTAGTAGGGTCCACTTTTTGGCTCCTCCGGCGAAGAACTGTATGCTATTAGCCCAGCTTGCCCAATTTAGGATCCTGCCCTGACGGCTTTGTTAGTGGCTGCTGGCTTAGGGCTAATGGCCGTTCGCCTAGGGCGGCCCCCGGGGCATTCCAAGGCTCTCACGTCTTCCCGTGAATGCTGACAACTGAGCACCGAGAGACAAGGAGCCCAAGGACGGACCTCCGTAGGCCACCGCGATCTCTCACTCACCAACATTTCTGTCACTCGTTTCCTTCACAATTGAAATTCTCTAATCAGCATAATTCCCACCCCCAGTGGCGGCCAGAAACCCCCTTGTGGCGACATTTGGCACCTCGATTCGTGGATTCGCTGGGCAGTCAACCTCCCTTCACCTCCGAATCTAGCTTGCACATCTGCCAGTGTCATCCCGCCCCTTCCCCCTTGCCCTTCCGACACAGGCAAGACAAAAGACAAGACAAACAAGACGCGCCTCCCGCTTCACAGCAAATTTGTCCTAGCACATCGTCAACACGACCGAAAACATCTGTCACTCTTCACCCCTTAACTTACCCAATACCAACGTCCTTCGTGCGCGATACCCCTCCGTGCCCATCAAGAAAGGGGTGGTCCTGTCTATCCACTTTCCCACCACCCCTTGCGAGCTTGCTTCCGCCAATCGACCGTTCGACCGGTCGACCGGCTAGTTCCCATTAGTACCTCGAACGATTTCGAATTTGGATCTCCCATTCTGTCCATCATCAGCATTTTACCGTCCTGCTCACCACCTTGACGCGTCCTATTCAACCTTGGGCGACTCTTCCTCGATCGCCGAACAACGCAAACCACCGCCACTCTCCTTCCACCACTCAGTCCTTCCGAGACATCTCTACAATTGAAACGGACAAACAAGGAAATGACGTGTTGAGGTCACCAGGAACCCTATACAAGGGCGCAAGGACAGCCTGAATAAGACTTGTCTCGTATAAATCTTTGAAATTGAACACGGAGAAGGAGGTATCTCACCATCACGATCGAACCGACAACATGGCCGTCACAGATTATGCCCAGAGGTCGACCTCGTACTCCTTAACCACTCTGGAAGATCGATTTGAAGTGATCAAGGAGATCGGAGATGGCAGTTTCGGGAGTGTTGCTCTCGCAAGAGTACGGGCAAATGGCGCCAGTGTTGCTCGCCGAAATACAATGGTATGTTCCCGAGAACTCGTCCTTTCCACCATCTCCACTGACTTTGCAAAAGATCGCCATCAAAACGATGAAGAAGACATTCGACTCCTTTGCCCCCTGCCTGGAGCTCCGCGAAGTCATCTTCTTACGAACGCTTCCCACCCACGCCCATCTGGTGCCGGCATTGGATATCTTCTTGGATCCGTTCAGCAAAAAACTCCACATCTGTATGGAGTACATGGACGGCAACCTCTATCAATTGATGAAGGCTCGGGACCACAAATGCATGGACGCTAAGAGCGTGAAGAGTATCTTGTACCAGATCCTGTCCGGCCTTGATCATATTCACACTCACAACTTCTTTCACCGAGATATCAAACCAGAGAACATTCTTGTGTCGACTTCAGCTCCTCAAGATTCCCAGTCTTCTTTCAGCAGATATTCCGCCCTGGTCACTCCGCCTGCTACACCGCCTACATATTCCATCAAGATTGCCGATTTTGGTTTGGCTCGAGAGACCCACTCCAAGTTACCGTATACCACATACGTCTCGACCCGTTGGTATCGAGCTCCGGAAGTCCTCCTACGAGCTGGCGAATATTCCGCCCCGGTGGACATTTGGGCAATTGGAGCCATGGCAGTTGAGGTGGCCACCCTCAAGCCTTTGTTTCCTGGAGGAAACGAAGTAGATCAAGTCTGGCGAGTGTGTGAAATTATGGGAAGCCCCGGAAATTGGTATACCAAAACTGGTCACCGCGTTGGCGGCGGTGAATGGAGAGAGGGGACAAAATTGGCTCAAAAATTGGGCTTCTCTTTTCCAAAGGTACTCCCACCGGATGGCGAACCATATTGCATTACTAACTCACGACAGATGGCCCCTCACGCGATGGAAACTATCCTGCAACCTCCTCAATGGCCATTGGCCTTTAGCAACTTTGTCACCTGGTGTCTGATGTGGGACCCTAAAAATCGTCCAACGTCGAAACAAGCCATGGAGCATGAGTTCTTTTCAGACGCCATTGACCCCCTCAGACCCAAATCGTCTTCACGATTACTGGGCCGGAAACATTCAGATCTCAGCTTCAGATCGAAGGATACGGTGGAGACACCAACCGTCACTTCCAAGCCGTCATGGTTCCGAAGATCACTCATTGCCCGAGAGAGTGCACCTACTGTACCACAACATAACCACGATTCCAAAGCTGTGCAACAGGAATCCGAAGGTCTGGTCAGCCGACTTCGACCTCAGGCGAGCAAGCGTGCGACGTGGACCAATGGCACAAATTCCACCGGTGCGGCACCAATGCCAATACTGCCCTCGATTCGACCCATTTCACCTTTGCCGAATGCTGTGACTGCCCAAGCAAGTTCCACGTTTACGTCCCAGCCAGAAACGAAGCCAAACCCCTCGAAACCAACTGAGGAGAAATCCAAGAAGATTGGTCGGCAGCTGTCAATCAACTCTAATGGGAATCATTATACCGATATACATCGTCAAGAAGCCGAGCGAGCGTTGAATGCAAACAGTGGCCTCGTATCTCCTCCCAGTGGCCATAAGGAGAGCTTCTTTTCACATCTTCGCAAACGAGCGAGACGATTCTCTGGCCGACACGGGTTGGCTTCTCCTAGTGGGGATGATGTTGAAGCCAATGCAGCAAATGTTCCCTGGTCGAACCGGTCTTCGCTTATGGTCGACAGTGTCATTCCTGAGGGCAACAACGACTTCTCGGACCTGGATCAAATCCTACAGAATGTGAGGTACAGTCTTGACCGGAATGAGCCGGAATCTATTCCAAGGAGATCTTCGACGGAATTGTTGTCTAATCAGGGCACCTTGAAGAGAACGCATTCCGTTCCGCGGTCACAAGGGAGTCGATCTAGCGAGAACCCGAACCCAGCCCCCGTGGCACCTGTCAACACACGATCGCGCCGTCCGTTACAAATTAACCAGTATGAGACCCCGGAAGAAGCAGATGAGTTGTTGGATGAGGCTCTTCGTTCTGCCAATCGTGTAGTGAAGCGTCTCGACCAAAGTCATCCTTCCAAGGATCAGTCACATCGAACCGCGCTTGCGCAGAAGGATTATAATCGACAGTCATTACCGCATATACCGAGCAACCCAGCACTTCAAGGTGCTTACTTAACACCGTCGCCATCTGCCAAAAGGAATGGCGTACAGTTCAATTCCAGTACTGGACATCAAGCACAACCTTTGAACATTACCAAGAAACGTGCCGAATATGAACATGCCCCTCCTCACTGGCCGACACCGCCCTATGAGGAGAATGAATGGGCATCCGCCGCTGCCAACAGTATTTTCGCAGCTGGATCAATGTATCGATAGAAGACGGGCTTCCTGCGGAAATACCCCTCCCACTCGTTCAACCAAAAGTTTCATCTTGAATATCCGACAACGATATAGTGTTCCTTGATATCCTGTACGAAAAGAGAAAGTGTGCATCCTATGACGCAGATTTTTACGAGCTTTTGGAGTCTTATAATTGGGATGCACGAAGAATTAAAGCCAAAACGGCTGCCTGCTTGCAAGCGGAGTTTTCACTATGTTTTGTGACTGTTCAATTCCTACAACTCAGTGGACCTTTTGTTTGATCCACCGTGTCCGGTTATCGCATTCGGATTCTGTCTTTTTGGGAAGGGTGGAGAATTACTTGAAGAGACATTTTTTGGTATGGGGCCGCGTTTCGGGTGTCCAGTCATTTTTGGCATTGTCAGCTTGAACAGCGACAATCTTTTCATTTGTTAATCACCTCGGTGCATGAGGTTGTACAGCTAGATATATATGTATGGACAAGAAGACACGGCTTACGTGCTAGGTTTCTGGGTTGTGAACTGCGTTGGTGTAGGAAGATCTCATTATAGTTCTAAGCTGACATAGATGGCCCTCGGGGAGACACAGTCAATACCATGAAGTCCATGTGTAACATGCTATTTGAGCCCCTTCTGTTCTTGAATCTTTGTTCGTGCTCTCACGAGCTAAAAGCAGCATAGGAAAGACCAGCCTTGGCGGCCTCTACGACCGAGGCTCGGCAGGGACATCGACGTCTTGACCAGAAAAATCACCAGCTCATTGAGCTCCTCCACCTCTACATACATCTCGCCCCACGACAATGAACATACTCCAAAGACTCCCTCCCAGGCGGAATCTCCTTAATTTAGCAATGGCTTCTCGCCGCTCAAGTCTCTCGATATGTCAGCACTGTCTCCGAACCTCTCTACGAAGAAAACATCCTCAAACCCTACTCCCCTTCATGCTCCTCCGCCGCCCTGCCTCTTCTTCCTCATCTTCATCCTCCGACCCTAACAAACCAATCGTGCTCGAGCAACCAGACAAATTCCGACCTCCCTCGCACCCCGCGCGACTCTCCCGACGAGTTCCCCGCGCTTATAACCAGGGCACCACCGCAGAGGAGAGAGAGCGGCAGAAGACACGGACGTATCCGCACATGTTTCCTAAGAAGGGATCGTTTATGCATTGGTTCCTTACGGACCGGCGGATTCATCTTTGGATTACCATGGTGAGTTTTCAATGATTCCAAAGGGACCACCCAAGAATGGAAGGGGACATAGTGCAGGGGTAATAAATATCTCAGCATTATTTCTGCCGGAAGAGGAGGACTTTTAATGGATACCGGAATGAAAGGGATGACTGACACAGCCTTTTTCCCTCCGACAACAGGGCACACTAACTCTCCTGGCCCTGATCACACTGACGCAAACATTTCTCAAAACCTCGCCGTACGCACACTTGCTCCCGCCCATCTCGACGCTCCCGTTCCACCCGATCCAGTACGCGCGCGAAGCCCTGTCAGTGATCCGACTACACATCGAATACACGACGCAGCAGACCAACGAGTCACGACAGCAGAAGATCCTCGACGCACAGAAACGCCGCCTGTACCGTCGGGCGCATGGGATGGAGAATCTCGACGCCGATGAAGAGCAGGGTATCGATGTCCGCGGCCTCGTACCTTGGGATGATGGCCTGACGAACAAAGAACGCGCACGGGGCGGGAGGGACGTGGTGCTTACGGGGCGAGATGTGGTCGCATTGGGGGGCCAGGTGGGCGATGATATCGAGAAGTTTGGGGAAAAGTTAAGAGATATGGAGCAAGAGGGCGTGGATGTCCGGGGCATGATTGAGAGGGAGAGGCAGGAAGATGTGCCGCCATCTTCGCCGCGGAGAAAGAGGAAGTTGTGGTTGGGTATTTGGTAAAGGGAGGAATCCTAGTACAGGATTGAAATGATTCAGTGGTTTATTGAGCGGTGACGGGAACACGGGACATTCCCAAACGCGCACCTCTCCGCTTCAGATAGCCCGAAATGATCTGTACGATATTCAGTGTCACAATAATTCATTCGAATTCCAGAGATGAGAGGCGTAGGCATAGATAGCTTCACTATCTGTGTCTCCTTCCCAGTCCCAATCGGTCCCCAGGCTCTGGGAAGGGAATTGTGTACTCCACATCAAAACCGTTGATACAAGCACTTTCTGTTCATCTTTATGGTTGGTGTCATTCCGCTCTACATTTTATGATGATCTTGTTCCTTTTGCAGGAATCGCCAGAAGTCCTGCGACCGGTGCCTGTCCGTTTCTTGGGTGGCAGGTGAGGCAGGCTTCTGTTGTAGGAGCAACCAATATATTGTCCGCGAGGTTGATGATCCAGCGGACTCGATAAGTCAATTGTTTTCCGTCCTCCGGATATGACCTGGAAATCAGACAAGTCTCCCCGTTAACAGAGTGGAATTGACTGGATCTTTCAGTCCACCGCTGACACTCAGGAGATCGGTTGAAGTAACCATCAAAAAGGCTGTTTTGTCCTTCCCAGCAGTTTATCTCGAGACTGTCCGAACCAGTCTCGCTGCTGGCTACCGGAAGATCTCAATTCGGTATCCGAAACAGCTTGCGAACTTGAGTTCGGAGTGGGCAAACTCCCTAAGAAAAATTTTCCAAACACGTCACACGGTTGTGGAATATTCCCCCCCCCCCCAACCTTCTTTATTCCTCATGAATCCTGTGTCCCATACGACCGATCTTCGTTTCCAGATACTTTTCAATCTCGGCGCCTCGGATACCTTTCGCACCTGACGTCCGCCAGGCAATGGGGATCATAGCGACCCGTTCACGCACCCGGACCTCTTTGCCGGGTCCTTCAACAGCTCTTACTTTGTCTGGGTTATTCGTCAAAAGTCTGATACCTCTCTCTGCAGGCGGTTTGTTTGCATCGCTGTCGGTGCCCAAACCAAGATCCTGTAGAATGGCAGTCGCCAAACCGTAACTCCTAGCGTCCGCCGGATGTCGAAGAAGGAGGTTCGCCTCAACAGTGTCATTTCCCAGGTCCTGTAGATTGTAAGCTTTAAGCTTCGATGCGAGACCAATGCCTCGTCCTTCTTGTCGAAGATAGACAATGACCCCTCCCGTAGAGTTGGGTAAGGACATCAATCTCGCCGCTTCATCCAATTGCTCACCACAATCGCAACGAGCTGACCATGCGGTTTCGCCAGTGTAACATTCAGAATGTATTCGCACAAGCGGAGGCTTGCCAACAGAGCTGAGCTGGACACTTCCTAAAGGAGTCGCAATTCCAGGAACGGGGTTTTGTGTTTGATCCAAGTCCTCATTGTTGGTTGCGCTGGGAGGTTGAACAGGTGTGGCGGATGGAGTTTCGAAAACGGCCTCCGCTGGGACTGTGGTAACGTTCTTCAAAGCAGAGCCGCTTCTCGCTCCTCGGTTTGACGAATTTTTGTTTTGGTCTGGGTCAATCCTGGAACTCACCCGACCCGGCTTTAATCTGCCAACATACGCTCCCCTGATCATACGATCCATTTCTGTTTCACCCGGTCTTTCGGCGTCAAGACTTCGGCTCCGAATATTGTGGCCGAAGACAATGGCCAGATGTTCCTTGTTGTCAAAATCATTTTGATATAAATGCAGAAACATTTCTGCCCCCGACGTGGTCGGAATACGCGCCCGAACCAGACACTCTACTTTGGGTAATCTCTCCAGGAGTCGAGGTTGCTTGGTAGAGGGGTCATCGAGGGACGTGTCCACAGGCACAGATTTCGGTTCGACATGGAGATGGCGGGAAGGCGTTCCTGCCCCTGGGGTTGCGGGTGGAGTGAAAGCAGGAGATATTAAGTTATTCGGTGGACCTGATGAAGCAGGGGGTTCATCATTGAGATCAGCCCAATGGCTCAGATGGGGTGCCGAAGGTCGTGGGGCGGGAGAGATCAGAGGCGAGGCATGGGAAGGGAGTTCTTCGGCGCCGCGAGTCATGGCGGGAGATATTGCATCGTACGTGGGAAACTCTATTATGTTCAAGGAGACAGCATTGTGTTAATATGCACAGGCACAGATACAGAACGGGCGAGGGAAAAGGAAGAGGAGTACAGGGAATTGCCGACAATAGAGAGCGGGAGAATATCAAAGAAGAGAGGGGACTGACGAACGGAGTCTGGAATGACTCGGCGGCTGACAAAAATCAAAGCCTCGGGACAACTCCGCATTCTACCAATTCTTTTGGTCATGGAGCTTGACAGTTGGGTAAGCAGCCAGACGGACAGTTAGCTCAGCCTTTAAGCCATCATATTGATCCCCAAATCTGTCGAGATATGCCCTCTTCAAGTCGAGATCAACTGCTCGCCGCCGCCCAAGCGTTTTGCAACGCCTTTGCAGATCACAAACCGCCCGAGGAGATCTTGGGCCATTTCTCCGCGTCGGACGACATTCTCGCCCTTGAACATGGCTTACCAGAGTTAGCCCCATTCTTGGGCCGCGAATTTCGTGGACAAAATGGCATTCGGGAGTATTCTCAACTCCTATCCTCAACCTTGAGCTATGAGGAGATGCGATTTTGCGACTTCGTCGTCGATCCAGAGGTCTCGAAGGTATCGGTGCGCGGAAAAGCTAGGTTCACTTGGACAAGCACAGGTCAAAGTTGGGACGAAGTCTTCACGTACGTTCTCGAGTTTGATGACAACGACAAGGTCAAAGTATATGAGATTTGGGCCGACTCCGGCGCCGCATACTTGGCCAGTAAAGGCCGACTTAAATCATGAAAATTTCAACAATTCATCGTGTCATCATGTCATCCGTCATCTCCTCGAACGCATTTTTGGGCCGACTCCTAAAATCCTCGACGCCGTTCATGTTCGTCGTTATCATTTTGGGGGGGGCTTCACTTCAGTCTCGTGTCCAGAACAAACCGTACATCGACAAGCATCTCCTTATCGTCCTCGTCGAACTTCAGGCTGTACATGGTTTTTTGAAAGCTCTTCACCTTGGCGCGATAGAAGGTGTCAGTATCGGGGTATTTGGCATACACGTTGGCCCCGGTTGGGAATTGTGGTGTGTTAGTGGTGGCTTGAGGAATGGGAACCAGATCTCGGGCCGTCGCTTTTCGCACTGTTTGCTTTCCGGAGGGATCATCCTCTGGATCTCGAACATCATATTGGATGCTGGAGGAAATCAGTATAGTCCCACTTACTGCCAATGCCTCCGGAACGTACACTTTCTTGTCCTGCCACACTTTCTTGATGATGCCATGAATACCTACACCCTCTTCATGTTCTTGTTGGTCCTTGGGATATTTGTAGAATACTTCAGTTCCCGGAACGAGTTGACCGGCCCTCTCTGCCTGTACACCCTTGTGCGTTTCCCCCCCGTCATCTTTGGCACTGGCTGCGGCCCGATTTTGACTCGCTGTACTGGAACTTCGTTGAGAGGTACCTTTGACTCGTTTCATCATTTCTAGCCGACCATCTCCAGGGCTGGGACCGGGAGATTCCACGGCCATATCTGATTCAACCGTCGGTCTTTGGTGCTTGCGAGATTTCGGTTGACCATTTCGTGGGGCGAGGTCGTCACTAGATTTCATCGTGGCCAGAATGGCGAGATTATTGATAATGTCTTCGTCGTCATGAATCTTTTTCTCCATTTCCGCGTATCTGAGGTGCTCTCGGTATAGAGCGTCGAGCTTTCGATGGTGGTCCGGAGAAGAGTCTAATGTTGTCAGGGTCACTATAAAGCTTGCACCAATATTCATGGAAAACCATCAGAAATAGGATGACTGGCACCATGATGCAGGGCCATAGCTTCCGACAAAAATGGTGATAACGCTTTGGTGATAAAGCCTCGGTGAGCTTTGGACATCAACTCAGGGTATTTCGAAGCTTTTTCAACGGCATAACAAAAGAGAACGGGCTCAACATACGACCGTTTGATTTGATCTCTTCTTCGAGGGCAACAATGTCTTGACCCATGCGTTTGGACTGGTCATTGTATGCCTGAGCCTTGCGGAGGCTTTCGACCGCTCGACCGAGCAGATCGTTTTCAAGATCGGTTTCTTTGCCATCTCGGCCACTCATACCTCGACCGGCTCGAGGGCGAGAGGTCATGCTGGAATGTAGATAGCTCCAACGGAATCGTAACTCCCGGCGAGAATCCAAGAATTGACTGATGCCGGCGGTATCTGTCGCCTGTTGCAGAACTTCGACCTCTGGTTGGGCCGAGGAGGATGGCAACGGTTTCTCTGCAACCGCTTCGGAGATACACAACGTGTGACCAGCACACAGTTGTTATCAAAGAGAGTGCGGACGGACGGACTAGTCTCCGAACCTTCTGAGCCCGGCTAGCGAATACACAAGAGAAGGGACCGATCGGAGCATGGTTGTGTTTTTCAAAATTTGGCCAGGCTGAGCTGAGGTTTAAATGGTGGAGTGTTCAATGGCAACAAGTGAAAACATGGATTTCGGTGGAGGATACGTGTGGGAAATGCAATTTGATAACTACACTTCACGACATCATGATTTTCAGTTTCCATCCTGCGGTCTGGCCAATTGGCCCAGCACGTTTCCGCCGACTAGTTCCTGACCTGAAGCCATTCTTGTCTCCTTTCACCGCCAGACCTCCTCTGCTTGGTTTTCCTTTCAGATCTTTGGTTTCCTCCTGAAATACCATCCTCAGCGGACTGTCTACCTCCCTACGAAAAATCCTCTGACAAGAAACTCGATATCAACCATAATGCAGGTCCCCTTGATTCGTCTCCAATGTGGTAAGCATATCGACCAAAGTCCCCCTTTTTTTAAGTCACCACTGACATTGTATAGGCTGCAACAGCTATGATTGGGGTGAGTATCTCGTCAGACTACACTGTCAAAATTGTCGCTAAATTCCTTGGAGGCAAGAAAGGAAAGGACTCTGCCGCCGCCAAATATGCTGCTGCCACTCCCCCCGATAACTTCACCATCCAAGAAGACAAACCATATGCCGAGGTGATTATCTACCCTTCATTGGCCCCGAGATCTCAGCTGAAACACCGCATTTAGCTATGGATGGGAACCCATCCCTCCCTGCCATCCAAAGATCTCGTTACAGGTCGTTCTCTACTCGACCTCGTCTCTGACAACCAAGCATTAATGGGCACCGACATTTCCACCAAATACCAAAAGAAGCTCCCTTTCCTGTTCAAAGTCTTGTCCATCAACAAAGCCCTTTCTATCCAAGCTCACCCCAACAAAAAACTCGCAGAGAAACTCCACGCCAAAGATCCCCAGAACTACCCAGATGATAACCACAAACCGGAAATGACCCTTGCCATCACTCCTTTCGAAGGGCTCTGTGGATTTCGCCCACTCAAAGAAATCGCCCATTTCCTGTCCACCATCCCACCTCTCCGCGAACTGGTGGGTGACAGTGAGGCCAAAGGCCTCGAGGAGATCGCCAATTCCTCTTCTCCGTCTCTATCAGACGCGAAGGCTCGCCTCAAGACCGCCTTCACCTCGCTCATGCAATCACCTCGTGCCGAAGTCGCGGCTCAGTCCAAAATCCTTCTCCAGCTCGCTCGAGCGGGCTCCATCAGCCCGGGCCCCAGCATCAACACCTCGGAAGAGCTCTGCGAACTCGTTCAGCGCTGCAACAGCCAATTTCCCGAAGACATTGGCCTTTTCGTGCTCTTCTTCCTGAACTTCGTCAAACTCTCCCCCGGACAGGCTATGTATCTCAAAGCGGACGACATTCACGCCTATATCTCCGGCGATATCATTGAGTGCATGGCAAGCAGCGACAACGTCATCCGTGCAGGCTTCACACCCAAGTTCCAGGACGTCGATACTTTGACAGATATCCTTACCTACGACCACAATCCTCCCGAGCAACAATTGCTTCAACCCGTCGATTACCCGTACGTCACCTTGAATGACAAGGCATACAGTTCAGCCAGTGAGTCGTTACTCTATGATCCACCGATTGAGGAGTTCAGCGTCGTGCGCACCGTGCTCAACAAGGACGGAGCGAAGGCCACCTTTGAAGGCATCGCGGGACCGAGCATCATCATCTGCACCAGCGGAGAAGGCAAGGTCAGTGTAGGCCCCAAGACGGAGGACTTGAAAGAAGGATGGGTTTACTTCGTCGGCGCCACGGCCGAGTTGGTGGTTGAGAACACAAGTGAGAAACTCGTTACGTTCAGGGCATTCTGTGAGATCGACGACTCCGCCAAGGAAAATGGTGTGCATTGACTAGATGGCTCAGGCTCAGGTTCAGGCACAGAGAGATCGAAGATAAAGCTGTGACGAAGAGGCGTAGCTGAACTCAGAAGTACAGAAACAGACGAAAGCATGTGATCGGGAAATGTTCTACGAAAGGAAAATCAGATATCATGATAGAAGGAAAAATATCACGGGGATGAAACGTCGAATGGGAAATGCGAGCTTCTGCAAGACTTAAAAAAGGATATTTACTTTGTACGAGATACGATGCAATAGAATGGCCCTTGACACGGTTTATGATACGGTCTTGCTATCCGCCCCGGTAAATCACAGCATTCCATCGCCCCATCAGTCTGGACCTGAAAGGATCAAGCACTGACTATCCCCTCCCGCCTGCGACGCACGCGATATCAAAGTCAAACTCTCTCAACAACAAGACCAGGATAAATTGCACTTCCATCATTGCCAGCTCCAGGCCAGGACAACCACAGGGTCTCTTCTCAAGCGCGAGCCATGCATCTTTCACCTGCGGCGTGCCGGGAAGGAAGTGGTCAAGCCAAAACTTGCGCGGCTCCGGCCATAGGTCAGCGCGCTGGCCCAAGCCGTATTGCGCGACCCAGATCTGTTGCCCGGCGAGTGGGAGCGTTTCGTTGCGGCACGTAACGGTTTGGACGGAGTGGTTGGAGGCTGTGATGCGGGTGGAAAGAGGTGCAGAGCTTCTTTGACGGTAGCGGTCATTAGGGACAGTTTGTTGAGCAGTCTCGGATCATCGAGGAGCATCGAGGCAGCTGCTGGGAGATCAGGGCCAAATACGTTTGTCGTGCACTGCGCGGATGCGTGCCAGTTCGTCTTTGTTCTCTGACGTGCTAAGCAGAGCAAGCGTGTAGACGATCGTTGTAGATGTCGTATCGTGCCGCCTACGAGCAGGGTCTTGACGTCGTTTCGGGCGAGTTCGAGAGAGCCGTTGTTTTACTTCTGTGCTGTCGCCCGCCTGCATCTTCTCATCGCGATATGCTCGTAGGAACAAGTCGACCGTGGCCTTTGTCCCGAGAGAGTGGGTGGATCATGTCTAGCATATCGTTCGCGTATCATCTATGTGATGATGCGGTCTTGTTATGTACAGTGCCACCATTTCGGCAGCCAGTGAAAATTCTGGCCTAATACGACCTCACCAGTCACGTCGATAGTGAAGCCCGTGGCGGATTGGGAAGATCTCACCCGTCGAGGCTTATGGAGAGATGTGGTCTTTAAAGACATTTCCATGTCTGACAAGGAGAGGGGCCAGTGTGGATATGAATTGGACAGAAACGCCCGGTTTGAGGATGGAGCGGAACATTTTCTACTCCGCTCTTTCTACCACGACGACAGAACGTTCGCCGACCAGAGTGCCCAGGACCTTTTGCATTGACGGGGTGCTTGGGTAGGCTTCTCGCTTGGATTATTTGGTATGGTACGCCTGGGTCGTGGACTAGCATCAGCGGGGTAGAGATCGAGGTAGAATACACTCGGCATGTTTGTGTTTCTGAGTGATGTGGTACCTCAGCTGGTGACAATGTAGTCTAGGAGGCATTTCTCGCTTTGTCATCCTGACGACCTTCGGATGACTCCACCAGAGGTCATAGGGAGGGCAAGGGAGGTGATTGTATTTGGCTCGTTGACGGTGCCATTTCAGAGAGAAAGGAGAGGAAGGATGATCCTACCAAGTGTCTAGTTTACCACAGTGACTCCCGATTTGTCAGCCAATAAAAAGCGCTGGGGACTTGTCGAAGGCATCCCTCAGCAACACATCAAACGTCGAGATATCTCACCTGGACGACGCTCTCATTGACTGAATACTCAACATTATAGAAAAAAGCTTCTCAGACTTTCTCCTGGGTCAATTTCGACCTGGATCCTATATAGAGCACCTTCTGCACTCGGTTCAAACCCTACTTGTCAACATCCCAATTTGTTTGATTACCATAATATAATCTAATGGCTCCCATCCGGGTAGGAATCGTGGGCCTGTCAAGCAAACCCGGAGCGTGGGCAACTCTGGCTCATCTGCCTCGATTGGGGAAATCTCCCAACTATGAGATTGTGGCTCTGTGCAATTCTTCGTTAGAATCCACAAGGGCGGCCATTGAAGCCCATAATCTCCCCAAGTCCACCAAGGCTTATGATTCTTACGAAAAGCTGGCGGCAGACCCAGATATCGACCTCTACGTGGTCTCAACTCGGGCCGATACTCACTATGCTGTAGCGATGCCGGCGCTGAAGGCTGGTCGAAATGTCTATGTGGAATGGCCATTAGCTGCCACCACTCAACAAGCAAAGGAAATGGCCGCGTTGGCAAAGGAGAAGAATCTCAAAACCATCATCGGTTTACAAGGCCGCATGTCCCCCAGCGTGAGAAAAGTCAAAGAACTCATCGATACGGGAGCGCTGGGAGAGATTCACAGCGTCAACTATCACGGGGCGATCCATGTCTGGCAGAACAACGCCGCAAGTCATCGCTATTTTTACTTCATGGACCGAAAGGTGGGAGGAAACCTGTTGACGATATATGGCGGTCACGTCCTCGACTCGATTTTGTATGCAGTCGGAGAGTTGAAACCCGGGAGCTACACTCCAATGACGGCCAATTTGAGACCGCGGATGCGCATCATGAAGGAGGACGGATCGCTGTCGGAAGAACTCTACGAGAAAGACACACCAGATCAAATCCTTTTGCAGGGACGACTGGACAGGAATCCTCCGGCGGTATTCAGTTTTCACTTGAGGGCTGGAGATAGGTTCATCGGGAATCCGGGGTCCACATGGAGAATATACGGAACCAAGGGAGAACTGGCGGTTGAATTCGCCAGTGCTGGGCCACAGATGGCAAAAGCGGGCAGCATCCAGTTCTCCAACTCTGAAACGGGACAAATCGAGGATATCGTCGTTGACGAGGGTGGCAAGGAATGGACGGACCTTCCGACTCAAGGACAGAATATTGGTCGCTTGTATGAAGCGTATGCTGAAGGCCAGTCGTACGGAGATTTCGATCTGGCTGTTAAGAGGCATGAGTTAATAGATGAATTCTGGGTGACGATGTAGGAACGCCGGAGAAAATGTGACATGACTAATGGAGGTTACGATACGAGAGTAGGATTGGTTGGTTGATAGGTTCTGAGCTGCGGGTGGTGTGAACAGGAAGACGCCGAAGCCGGGCTTCTTCGCCTGCAAAGTGATGATTGATGATACGTGATGAGGGCCCATGTGGATGGTCTGGGTCTGGTCTCGTGGTCCTGGATCGTGGGTAATCATTCCCGAGCTTCAAAGTGCTTCAGCTGCCGCAGTTCCGGTGAATCCAACCGATGCGGTCCTTTGAACAACGTCATTGTAAGTTAGAAAGCTATCCGGAGCTTGTTCCTTTTTACCCTGACACTGTCCAATGTCCTGAAGTGCAGGAGAGGACCATGACATTGAACTTGTTTGTTGTCGATAACGCTGATACAACGGAACAATGGAGAAAAAAAAAAAAAAAGGCTCCCTCGCAGCATTCAATAAATGGAGCGGTAATAAAATACCGACGAGATGAAATCTGCTCTCCGAGAATCCCCGACAGGACAATTGATGCGAGGGTGACAATGCCTGGGCGGTAATTGGACGGGTGCCCTCGGCCGGCGTGGATCAGCGCCACCTTTTTGGCCGCTGGCGCCACAACTTTGGTTTTGCTTCGGTGGTTGCTGGTGGACGCCGGCTTTTGCCTGTTGGTGGCTACTGGGGGGCCCCTGTTGTTTCGTCTCCGTCATACATTTTTCCTTTCTTCGCTTCGATCTGCTTGAACTTTTTTTTTCGGTTCCTTGTTGCCATCCACCTATACAACTTCCTCTACACCTGCCTCCAAGCTCTCTCATATCCTCTAATCCTATCACCGCGCCCCATACTCCTATTCTTTTCCACCTAGAGTCTTCATTTCCGTCAAGATGGCCAAGGACGACAGCTTCAAAGAGGGTAAGCCTTTTCTTTCCCTTCGATGCCTCGAAAGCTTCGCAGCATTTTCACTGTTCTTTTGGCCCGTTCAATAGCGATGGTTTTGCATCACTTATATCCAGCAATGCTTTTCCGAGCCTCAGGATCTTGCTGCGCTTCTTGCGAGTATTAGCATTCCGTTTCCATCGCCATACCTCCTCCGCACAGATATAACACACGCCAGCGCTGCGAAATCACCACAAATCCTAATCTGATAAGCCGATCTGACCTCTTTCAAACCTGGCTTGGTCGTATTTTCCCGTTCTCCCGCAAAGAGAGGGACAAGCTGGAGGCAATATGGGCCGGGAGAGAACAGGAAGCTGCTGCGAAGAAGGCTGCAAAACAAAAGGCAAAGAATGAAAGCTCACAGTCATTTCCCTCAGGTGACGCGAAGAAGGGTGCCAACCTCTTCAAGACGAGATGCGCGCAATGCCACACCGTCGATGGGTCAGAAGGCAACAAGATCGGTCCTAATCTTCACGGTCTCTTTGGTCGCAAGACCGGCTCCGTTGAAGGCTTTTCCTACACAGATGCAAACAAACAGAAAGGTATCGTATGGGGAGAAGATACTCTGGTTTGTTATTCACGTCTCCCTTTGGCGCGTCCCAAGGTTCTGACTTTGTCACAGTTTGAATACCTGGAAAATCCTAAGAAATACATTCCTGGCACCAAGATGGCTTTCGGTGGTCTCAAGAAGGGCAAGGACAGGAACGATCTGATCACGTTAGCTTTCTCAACCTCAGTTCTGCACTGCGTGGTTTGCTAACTCTCTACCAGCTGGCTGCGCGACGTGACCAAGTGAACCTGACCCTTACCTTGCTTTCCGATATGTGCTCGGCCATCCGGTCATCTCGACACTTTCGATATGGGATTGATCGGCTGCTTTATCATCAAAAGACGGCGGAGGCGCGCATTTACCTAATTTGATCCTTGGTCTTTTACATACCAATCACCGATGGAAAACTCCGGAGAAGCCGGTAGACGAGTTCTATGTACATAAATCCTTCTGTTCCCTTCTGGGCGTTCCTGCGAAGGGGTTGACAATCAAGCAATTTCTCTGCTCCACATTTGCCTCTGTTTTCTCCAAAAGCGCAATGCCTTTTTGGATCTGCTTTCGCCGTGCTGGCCGGTCCATTTCGACATCCCTTCCCAAACCGGTCGACGGAGTCTGCCCAAACGAAAGCCGATAAGCCAGAAAGCCCCTTGTTCGACCTCCAATGATGGAGTCACGATTCGGCATTGGGAGAAGCTAGGGATGCGGCCAACAAGTCGCCCTTGCATCAGGAAGCCTGGTCTTGACATTGTTCTGAAAGTTGATTGGCGGGACAGACCCGTCCCAACCGCGACTCCAGGACTGCCAACTGTCTCCAGCCTCCAACATTTCTCTCGCGTACTCACTTCTCTCTTGCAAAGCTGCTCTCACCATACCTTTTCGGTTCTTGCAGCCATTGTTCGGTGTAGTGCTTGTCCGTGGACCTCAACGATCGCGTCGGCTGGGCTTTCAGGCCTGCATTTCCAAGACATGGGACTTTCCTATCCTGCCCTTTCAAACTTCATGACTTCGAGAAGCGCGTTAAATTGAAACAATCGCTGTATCTTTCTTTATCGTGGTTTCACTCGTGCGATTGCTGCCTGGTGACAGTTTCTTCTCCAATTCTACACGGACAACCCGGGAAGGCGACCCTTTTTTGAACCTCCTGCCCCGCCTTGACCTGCTTGACCTCCGGCGCAGCCTCGTCTTCATGTCCTACCTCTTCCTCTCGTATACTCTGCCATGGCTGCCATGATGCCTACAGGACCTGACGATCCTTACGCTGAAGGAGCGCCTGGAGACGCGCATTCGTTGTTGGAAGCCTCTATTGAAGATTTTGAAGAACATGAACGACGCTCACCTCTATTTTCCGACTTCCGATCGGATCGCGAAGAAAGCGAAATCGATGACAGATCCAGCGCAGGCTTGCCATGGTCTCCGCCAGGCTTCAAGAACCGCAATATGAATGCGAGCGGATGGTTCAGACAAGACCCATACTATGGCAAACCTGACTTTCGACCCTCGATTAGTCCTTCAAGGTCACGACAAACTAGCCCAGAATCATATCAAGATGCGAACGAAGGAGATCCAGATATTACATTAGCAGTCAATACACCTCTACCGGCTGGAACAGATTCGCCAGCCAGGGAGCGTTCTCCAGAGGCAGAACCTCAATGTGATGTTAAGACAGGAGAATTCATGGAAGAGTCGGCACTCACAGGGAACCCAAACAATTGTAATTCACATGGATGACCAGTGTTGATGAGGCGACTGACCATGGATTATAGACATTCGCTTACAACTTCGAGCCGAAGTTCAGCATCGGGAACCATTTGTACCTTTTCTCAACTTTATCCAGCGGAAGTTTGATGCCATGACCAGAACCAAGTCCACCACAATCTTCTCTCTCGTGACGACTTTCTTATTTGCTTCGTTCCTCCGTATTATTCTTGTTCCACCAATTCCACCACCTGTCCCCGATCTGGTCAAAGTGTCGACATTGGCCAAATCTTTCGAGCCATTGATCTTTTACTCCGAAAACGGATATGCACAGATTACAGCACTCCAGGAAACGAGTGTGGCAGTGTGGGATCTGGGGGAGTCAGTCAGAAGTGCAAATATGACCTCGGCACCAATGATTGTTCGCTCGCTTGATGAGTTGTCTGAGAGCCTGAAGACGCTGGGCCTCGAATTGACTCGCTTCTTTGCCGACGTTGATTCTGACGTGGACAGCATTCTGCTCGTCATGGATTGGGCCAAACGAGAACTCGAAGGGGTTACGTCGGGGCAGGGCAATTCATTCGCTGGTGTGGTGTTCGACCATATGCACGCCCTTTTCAACCGAGGAGGGTTGCTCGAGACCTCAAGAGGGCCGACTGCACTAGGGAAGATGCTGACTGATCTTTTTGGTTCGAGCTCGCCACAGAAAACGAGAGCCACCTTGACGAGGGCATTCCATGAATTCGTGAATGTGTTGGAGGAGTCTATCAACAGTGAATTGACTCATTCAGCGGCATTGTTCGCATTGTTCGAATCCATCGACCGGCAGTTCCTCAATTTACAGCGAACTGTCGTCAGAGAAACGGACACGCAAGAGAGACTTGAAAACGACCTTCTCTCATCCCTCTGGACTCGGGTGATGGGTCCCAACTCGGCCATGTTGAGGAAGTATGAAAAGAACAAGCAACTGTTATCGAGTGTGAGGGCCAGAACGGTTAACAACAAGCATCTCCTCATGGAACATCATGGTCGATTGCAGACCCTCAAAGTCAGTTTGGAAACTCTTCGAAAGAAATTGATCAGCCCGCTGGTCAGGAGAAACGACTCGGTCAGCATTGACAATGGCAGTGTCATTAACCACCAGATCAGGGGATTGGAGGGAACATATGACTATCTCAAAGGCGTTCGGGAGAAACAGAAGAGCAAACTTATGGAAATGGTCTATGGTGCAAAAGCTGGTCGCTCGACGCTTGTTGGCGTGAGTGGTGGACTGGAAGGCGTCGCCTTGGATGGTTGACGACTATAAGTAGTTTCGGTATGCAAGGGAAGATCTTGAAACCGCAGATGTATGATATTCTTAGCAATTCACATATGTACATCCAATTTCACAGGGATCATCAAATTCAGAGCCATGTTCCGCATGTACGTAAATGGAAACAAACCCCAGATCGTGAGTAAAGTCCCCGAATTTGTGGGGGAATGTCGACTTTGATTTTTCTTTGCAGGGCGATTCTTCGTCGCCTTTAGGACTCTTGACGACCAACTTCCTTGCCAGCTTATTCAAATTCCTATTTGTGTAAAAACTCTTTCAGGCCCGACGCTTGAAGTTCGCTCTTTTTCTCGCTAGTTTCCGGGAACCCCCCAATCTTTCTGCAGCAGGGGCTCCATTTCTTTCTCCTAGCATTGAAATATGCCCTCCGTCACCAATTCACTACCTTTCTCCCCTGCTGAACTCGCCTATCTTCATACATCTCTTTCCTCGGTTCCCCCACTGCGACCAGATGCTCGCTCCTTGTCGACGGATTTTCGACCACTACGCGCAGAGACCGGCGTCCTCCCAGCAGTGAATGGCAGCGCCCATGTGGGATTCAGTGATGGCCGAGAAGCAATAGTGGGTGTGAAGCTGGAAGTCGAAAAGACGATTGATAGCAAAAGCTCAGAGCTGAGACAAGAGTATGGAGCTATGGAAGTTGATATCGACCACGATCATACTCGGACACCGAGGAGAGGTCAACCCGAATGGGTGACTCTTACCCTGACTCTTCCGGGAATACGAGATGATGACCGTAACTTGGTGTTTCTGGAGGAGATGCTGCGTGAGCCTTTGGTGGTACCTCCTCCTTCAACAAACTCCAAAGACGTATCTTTGCAGGACAGTCTAGTGATCAACTCTCGTTGGCATTGGCACATCTACATTGATGTCCTGCTGATTTCGCCCAATGGGCTAGCAAGCTACCCTCTCCCGCTATTGAGTATTGCTGCACACCTTGCTTTACGCGACACGAGAATCCCAAGACTCAAAAGCGAGGGCGAAGAAGATCCTGTTGCCGACGATGACTGGATGGCCAGCACATATTTGTATCCTCGAACAAATTCCTTTGGTCCAAGGCCTCCTGTCACTCTCCTTGTCGTTGTGGTGGGTGAAAATACCATCTTTGACCCCAGTAGAGAAGAACTTGCGGTCGCAGATGGCGTTGTCGCGGTCAGTGTGAGCCATGGAAAGAGCCTTGAAGACTACAGAATACTAGCTGTTCGAATGATTGATACTCCGGCAAGAGATACCATGAAAGGTGTACCTTTGTCAGGCGAGGTTCAAGAAGGAGTCGATATTCCGGGTGTTTGGAAACCTCGGGTTGGCGGAATCAAGAGAAGCGTATTGAAGGCGGTAGTCAAGACGGTTATTGCTGGTGGCGTTGCGCGGGATATTATGACTGGTCTTGATGGATTTCTCGATATCGAAATGAAAGCAGAGAACGGCGCTGGTGCTGTGTGAAGGAGATTTGATTTGCTAACGCTTACGCCCAGCTGTTCATTTTAGAGGCAACACGGTTGGCAGTATCATGGAGTCGATGACATGAGCGAACCACATCACGGACCTTTTCCCCAGAGAAGCCCGATGGGACGACGATAGTTGTTTGCGAACAGCGTCCCTAAATAACGGGTATTTTGGCTCTTCTCCGTGCGAAGCAAGATCATCAGCTATGAAGATCATCAGCTATGAAGATTATCAGCAAGCCCTGATTCAAGAGACACAGGAAATGCGACTCGAGAAGGACCCATTGGGATTGAATAAATCAAAGAAGGCATACAAGACAACGAAACACACTTCCTCGGCCACTGTTGAACAAGACTAGTCTGAAAGAGCCCGGGCCATACTTGGACAATGATCGAACTCAGCTTATTTGATTAATATGGCATTGGCCATTGACTCATTTCGAGAAGGCCGCTCTTGCTCGGTCAACTTCATATCAACCTATTTGAATCTCCATCACCATACTCCTCACTGAGGAAGTCCAGTGCAATTTTTCAGTCCTGGAAATTTACCTGTTCCTGTGGATGACCAAGCGAATTCACCTCACTCACGCCCTCTCACTGCTCATGACCCCATAAATACCTCCTTCCTCACCGGCGCCCTGCCCATTCTGTCTGACTCTCCCGCCCCTAACACCAGCCTGCGCAATCTCCGTGGCGACATCTGCATTTCGGGAATCGAATTCCCTCTCTGCCGGCCTACCTGGATCATTCACGCCACCCACGTTACCCGTGAACGTCTTAGTCTTGGGCATCGACTCCGTGAGATCCGCATCATCCAAATTACTGCCTTTAGGCTTATACGTCCCTTCCGGCATCGCCGCGCCTGTGACGTTGGCTGTATACCCGGGCGCCTGAGGCACATGGGGATGCACGTCCGTGCACTCTGCCGGGAACGAAGAAATGGAACTGGATGTCGACTCAAAGCCCGGCCCAGTCGATCTGAAATGGGAGTGCACGGTGTCGCGACTAGACACTGTGGAGGCACCGAAATCACTGTCCCCGACCCGCGTACTACCTTGACTCAGCAGACCATTTGTATCACGGCTGCCACCATGATATCCCTCTTCGCTGTGCGTGCCGTCGAAGACCGGTTTGCCAGGTGTATCGAGCTTGAGGCCTGAGGGACCCCGTTCGTCGGGCCTGGCGCCCAACGCGTCCATTTTCTCTCGGTCCGCACCAGATGGCGCAGCGCGCAGAACGCTCGCACCTGATATGTCGGTGTTCGCCAGTGTTGATTGTGCACCTCGCACGCCCATTGCGGCTGCAGATGGGTTGGCGGAGAATGCGCCTTCGGCGTCAAGTGACTCGGCGGCCAGCGAGTCTGAAGCGACAGGGCCCGTGGCTTCGCGTGGAGCGGTCTCGGGACCGGGTTGGGGTGTACGAGGGTTCGTTGTGTAAGACATTTGCCCTTTTTTTTTTTTATTTCCCCCTCTCTGTCGAAGAATTTGACTTATTTAGATTGATGAAGGAATGGATATTGGATTTGGTCACTTTGGGTTGGAAAGTATGTTTTACGGTCGGTTCGAGTTGAAAGTGACTACGGTAAGAATATAATTGTATGAATAATGAGTTCAAGGGAGATTGAGAGAGGAGTAACACCCAGTTTTGGTTGAAATATGTAGTTGTAAGGATATTTCGACATAGCGATGCCGCAGAGTTGACATGACATCATGTGCGTTTGTCCGTGTCCACTGTGAAGTCAAGAGGTTCAGGTCCAGGCAAGCTCGATTCTTCAGGCTTTTCTCTTCCGCGGCCAATCAATGCTCAGTGTCTTGGGTTCGGCCCTGCTCCTTGGGTTCCTGATTCTGAGAATCTGATGACGAACGACTGAGGGACCAGAAGGACAAAATGTGGAGGAGTGGGAACAGGTTGCGCGTTGCTCTTTTTCTCTTGCTCGCTTCTAGCATTCATTAATTGATCGCACCTCATTTTCGTTCTTCTAATCTTCTTGTCTCGTGTGCGTTCCTCCTCCTTATCTCTCTATCATTGGGAATCCACTGCGTGCTGGGTACCGGTCTCTGCTCGAGCAACAGGAAAAATAATCATGCTAGAGAAGAGATTCAAGAATAGGAATGACATACCACCCCATCCCGTCACACCCATTGAATTCCATTCCACCCTCAATGAAGGAAGCCGGCCTTTTTGGGCCGTTGGGAAACACAAGAAGGGGTAAAACATTTCATCTTCGCCCGAAATCAGTAAAAGCTAAGGGACAAAAACTCCGCCTGCATATTTCTTCTACTTCAATGCCTTGCGTGCAAAGGTAGGGAGCACAAAGCTCGCCTCATGAATCTCCTTGTTGTAGTATTTGCACAACTTCTCCTCCTCTTCAGGGTTCCAAGAACGTAATGGTTTCTTGACGTCTCGTTCTGGGTCCTTGCAGCAGACCATGAAACCGATTTGGCCGGATGGGTAAGTGGGGATGGTTGTATAGGCGTATTCGACCACAGGGAAGACTTCTTTGCATTCTTTTTTGAGTTTGGTGATGAGTGGCAGGTGAAGCCACTGGTTCTCGGCTGCAAAAGAAAAAAGTTGATGTTAGCGAGTCCCCCGGTAAATATTCCAGGCCAACAGCAGAATTTCGAACTCAAGGAAATGGGTAAGAAGGGAAAGAAGGGAGAATGGGTGCGCACAACCTTGGGTAGTTATAACACCACCGTCTTTCAGTGCTCCATAGAGAAGCTCAAAGTAAGGTTTCTGGAACAGCGTCTCAGCTGGACCTTCTGGATCACTGCTATCAGTGATGATGACATCGAATTCGTCCTTGCGGTCAGCAAGGAACTTAAAACCGTCTCCAATAAAAACTTCAACTGCTGGGTGTTGATATCCAATGGACATTCCGGGGAGGTATTTCTTGCTGACGCGAATGACAGCTTCGTCAATGTCACAAAGAATTGCTTTTTCAACCGACTCGTGCTTGACCACTTCCCGCAAAACACCGCCGTCACCGCCGCCGATGACGAGGACTGACTTTGGATTTGGGTGGGAGTTCATGGCCAGGTGTGTAATCATCTCTTGATAGGAGAATTCGTCCCGCTCGGTACATTGGATGACGTTATCAAGGACGAGGACGGTACCATGGTCGCTACTCTCAAAGACCAAGACGTCTTGATACTTGGACTTTTCATGGTGGAGGACCTGGTTGACTTTGAGAATCATGGCTTGGCCGGGCCACATGTCGGAAATCTCTCTGAACCAGCCGTCTGGGAGATTATAGTTAAGACAGGTCCATGGTCTTCTCGGATAGTAGACATTTTACCTTTGATGGTGGGATGGGTGATTTCAGACATTTTTTTAATTGGCGAGAAGTGGAAAAATGGCAATGAGAGAAAGGGTTGAAACGAGTGAGCATGCGGCGCGGGGCAATCAATTTGGATGTAACGGACGTCGGCACAGAAGCCGGGAAGAGAGAAGGGAGGAAAATGAACATGAAGTTATAAGGTGGAAGTTGGATGGAGGTGAGTTGGGCACCTACAAATGGCCGCTCCTTTCCAAGGTATTGTTGTGATTTGTTCTTGCCCGTTCGTCGTGTGACTGAGGAACGGGTAGAATACCTCCTTGCTGCTCTCCAAACCGCATGCTAGCCGCCTTTTTTTTTTTTTTTTTTTTTGGGATTTTTTGGAGGCGGGGCAAGTTTTGCTGTCCACTGTCCCAATGGTCAATGCACTTCCTTCTCCGACACTGATTCGTCCCAACGGCTCGACAGGGGAATGCACTGGTCGCTTCAGTCAATCACTATGCCCCCATTTCATCCCACCGCCCGTCTCATCCGCGCTCTCCCGCTCCAAGATGCACCCTGATAACGATGAAGAAAAACCACACCACCCCACACCCCCCAAAAAAGGCTAGAGAGGTGCTAAAATATGCAGAAAAGGTGTAGTTGAAGTGAACAGCGGAGCTCGTCGTATAGATTTGAAGGTGTTTGCACTGACAAGGCTGGCAGGAGAGATCTACGCTCTCCGTTTACAGCCTTTTCATCTCGATACCTTTCAAGCCATCCATGATACCTCTGATCTTGTCCAAATCCACCTCTCTCTTTGGCTTCCCCAGATACCATGTAATATCGCTCCCATCTCTTTCGCAAACATGGAAACCGTTACCAAAAAAGCTGAATATATCCTCTGGTTCGTCATATTCAATATCATAGTCTTCGAACCGTGGCTTTTCAAGTAAGCGAAGAAAATGGAGTCTTGACCCTGGGTAGATGGCTGGTTTGCCATCAATCTTCCCACCTTTAAACCAACTCGAGCAAGGACCCGTCCATGCTGTTCGTTTGAGAAAGGAATCAGCGTGTCGCAGGAAGTGTTCCACCACTTTGGTCTTCGGCCGGACCGAACGGATGTTTTCAATTTGCATCTTTTCTATCACTTGCACTGTGTAATCGCAGTACCCTTGGATGAGGGGGAAAAATGATCCGTGAGCAGAAGGACAGTAGGCTCCTCCATATATGAAATAGTTTGGAACCTCCGCCAGTGCCAAACTAAGATAGGACGGAACATGGGGATGATCTTTCCATTCCTCGCGTTTGTCTGATCCGTTCACAATCAACGGAAAACGGGGTTTGTACGAAGTGTCAAATCCTGTTGCGCAGATGATGACGTCCACTTCTTGCTCGTTCCCATCAGGGTCAATAAACCCCTTTTCGGTGATTTGATGGAGCTGAGTGTGGAATGGAACAGTCTTTTCCCCGGTGAGGGCCTCGAGGTATCCATTCCCGGGGGTTGGTCGGCGGCAACCCACAAAGAAATCGGTAGGCATGATATTTTCCAATAGTTCGGGTCGATTCTTCAGAAGAGTTTTCATTTCGTTTTCGGAATATTCACGGGCTGCCTTCTGTGCGTCGGATCCGTTGATGATGAAACTGAATCGCTGATTGAGCTCTCCTTCAATCATCTTGCAATAAGCCAAGAACTCATCTGGATCATCAAACAGCTTGCGTTGTTCATCGTTGTAGATGAAATTCGCGCCGTCTTTGCCTGCAAATGCCTGAGCAAATCCCGCGGTGATCCAGATTTTATTCCGAATCCACGTGTAGACCTTTTCGACCTTGCCGTAGATATTTGGCAGGATTTGCACAGCACTGCTCCCTGCACCTACCAGCGCGACTCGTTTGCCGGTCAAATCTGTGTTTTGATTCCATTGAGCGGAGTGAAGAAGTGTGCCCTTGAAATCGTGAAGACCTGGGATGTCAGGCCATTTCCATTTGTTCAAGACGCCCCCACCGTCAATGACTATGTCCGCATGATCTTCGAATTCTCTGTCGGTCTCAAGATCTCGTACCCGAACGGTCCATTGAGCGGTCCCGTCATCCCAGGAAAGAGAGGCAATTCGATGTCGGAGTTTGACGTATTTCTCAATGAAGTTGTTTTCCTGCTCGACCTTTTTGATATATTCCCATATCTCGGGAGAGTACGAATAGTATCTCGACCAGTGAGAAGGTCTCCAAGGGAATTGATATACAACGCTGGGAATGTCGCTTTACGCGCGTTTGGGGGCTCATGTTAGCACATTGATCTCACTGGATTTGTGGGAAGTACATAGAAAGCAAAGAGGTTTTGAAAGTCAACCACGCAACAACAAATGACATATTCGCCGCCATTATCGACTTATGGAAATAACTTACCATGCGCAGCCTGGATATCGGTTTTCGAACCAAGTACCACCGACATCGGAGTTCTTCTCATAGCAGATTATTTCCACATTTTTGAGTCTTTCTTCGGCAAACTTGAAAAAGTTCAAGCCAGACATGCCTGCGCCAAGGACTGCGATGCGCATCTTCTTGCGGGTCCCGCACAATTGCTCGAGGATTGTCACATCCTCTGGAGATGGGTGATTGACTATGGGGCTTTTTTCGTGACGGGATAAGTCAGGGTCAGTACTCCCGTCAGCTGGGAGGTATGTTCCTCCATAGCCATTAGCAGTCGCCACTGGAGCCATGGTCGCTATCTATGTAGTAGAAGTAAGCCCGGTGAAAAGGAAAATGCAGAGACAGATAGGAAGGAAGATATTAAATGTATATACTTCAGCTTTAATAGGAATCCATACACCGAAGCTTATACTATCTTTCTCGAAATTGAAAGATTTGCGTCCTTATATATTATCGCAACGAGTATTTGGTGGATGTTGCGGAGGAAAATGAACGGACGTCTCTCTCCGCATTAGTTGGAGAACCGAGGTTTTCATAATTCCCGATCAGGAAATTGAGCCTTGTGAAGCCGATCGGACGCCAGCCACGAGACTCAATTGTGCCAGGTAGCCTCGCATGGAAGAGGATTGGGTGTGCTTGCGTGTGCTGCCGAGACGGCAAGGGAATTGATGGGAAATGGGGGCAAAATGGCGACTCAGCCTCAGCCAAGCCCCAGGAAAAACTCTTTTTCCGGCCCCGGCCTCTCCGCTGCGCAGCATCCCACTTGCCTTTTCCGCTCCTCGACTTTCTCGAATCCTCCCCAAACGTCAAAGCAACCAACTGAAGTCTGCCGCGACGTTGACTGCGCCTCGCTGACTGGACTGGTCACTTGTAGATCCACCTCTCCTGACCCTCTCTACTTCAAATACAAACGTCTTTCCCCGACTCATTATCCATCACCTTCAAGTCGGCCTTATACAACATATCTTGCGTCGCAACATGGCACAAGTACCGCAACAGACTCCTCCTATCCAGACCCAAAATCTCTCGTCGAACTCTCCTCCTACATCAACCGCTTCCTCCCCGGCCTCAATATCTCATAAGCGGCACCAATCTCCACTCTCTCTCGACCTGTCCTTCCTACCACCACTTTCGCAACCCGCACCCCCCTCCAACACCCTCCTGATCACTCGTCTCGATGACCCCAAGATCTTCCACCCTGCTTCTCTCGCTACGATCAGACAGCACATCACCGAGATCGCGCCTTTGAATTCCTTCTCGCCCCTGAAATCCTTACACCGCATCATCTGTTCATTCTACGACGTCGATGCCGCAATCGCTGTGCGTCAAGTATTCGACGGATCTGCGATCCTGGGAAATACCGTGGCAAAATGCTACTTTGGGGAACCCACTCCAATCGGCGATGAAAAGAAATATCTTGAACGTCCAGATGCCGGACGCTTGTTCTTCATCAGCCCTCCGCCTAGTCCTCCGATCGGCTGGGAGATGAGGCGTGAAGATCCCCCGAACAAAGAAGTCCACGCCGGAGATCTAGCATCCAAGTTAGAGAAATTGAGTGGCAAGATAACCACCCCCATTGAAGATTCTTCTGAAGATGAGTCCAAGATGCAATATTCAGCTGAGGCTTTGCAGAAGTTGAAGGCAACACGCGCACAGGTGTTCTCGGGGATCTCGGCTGAAGATTCTCCCACAGACTCATCACCAAAGAAACATCGGAGCCGAAGCTCGACGTTGATCTATGACCCCAAGGCTCATGGTGACAGCCCAGCTCTTCCGGCCGTCATGCTCGAGACCGAAGATGACTCGGACGTTGAACTGGAAGCCCCGGGGAAGCGAGTTATGGCCCATACCGCTCGGCCACCAGTTGAACTAATGAAATCGTGAATTTACGTCTAGTAAATCTCTACGCATGGAAAGCGGGTGTTTCTGGGTTAGGGACTGTATAGGTTAAACGGATCAAAACTTAATAACCATGCATGGATTGGAGTTTAGTCCCTTGGAGACATGGATATCAACATTTAAATTTGATATAGGGCACAAATAGTTGCTTTGTGCATCGTCCCCAAACTCCTAGATCGAGAGCGTCACCGAGGTGACTGAACGCTTGCTCGGTGAAACAAGTAACGTCCAGGACTTCAAGCTACAACCCCTGGTCCAATTCTATAGTGATGCCAACCTTTGTTTCCACAACGCTGTAAGAGCGTTTGCTGATAACGTGCCAACCATGAAACTCCCGTGATGCCCCGCCGACTGGGCAACGAGAAAAGAAAAGCACCGCACCAAGAATGGCTCAATCTTTGTTAGCTATCAATCCCCTTCCACCGTCTGTACAGTTTTTTATGCTGTTCGAAAAACACCATGGTACAAATGGTCTGAGGACCTAGCCGAATGAAACTCGGCACCCAGCCACGGAACATCCACAGCAGGCCTTCTTTTCGACTTGCCTCGGACAGGAGGCTGAGAATCGGGATCTTGCCGCCCGCGCTCATGATGCGCGTCTTGATCACATCGACGGGCGAACAAATGGTAGTCGCCACAAACCCAGCGGCCAGCGAGCTGGCAAAGTGCGTCAAAAAGTTGTCTAACATGCCCAGCTTGTTCAGGCAGGCCTGTTTGAAGACGTCATAGCTGGCGAGTTGTGACGCCGTCATCAGCAAGGCTCGCGTGGAGTTGGCCTCTACGCCGCGGAACAGGCTCACGGGCCCTTCTTCGCGGATCATCCGTATCAGCCCGTCCAGTGCGTGCCTGTAGTTCCGCTGCGCCTCGGGTGGCTTCGAGGCATCAGACTGCATGCGCACGTTCAGCACGTCACCGGGATTTCCCGCAACACCGCCCAGAAATCCGGCTGTGCTAGACATCAGGATCAAAGCCAGAAGGGATGGTTTCGGCTTGGGGTTTTCGGATGTGGGATGCGGTGCGAATCGCGCTTTTAGATCTTCGTATACCCCGAATCGCACAGTTGAGTAGGTCAACTGTCTGAGGAGGGCGGCGGATAAGCCAGCATAGAGACCGAGGACGCCTTCGTTTCGGAAGACGTATGCGAAGGTTCCAAGCATGGATTTCGGGGCTTGTGGCAGTCGAGTCTGCAGACGGACCTTGACTGTACTTGGAGATTAGATTGTGTCTTCTGGAAGGAGATCTCGAGCTCCAATTACCTAGATCCAAAGGATGTGTCACTACCGCAGCCATTGAGGCTGCACTTCCACCAAACCAGAACGGATAGCGCACCACGGCGGCAGATTTTGGCTTGGACTTCGCCTTCTGCTCGACACGATGACTCGCGATAGGGGAGGCAGTTGTCGACATGGCTCCATTGGCAATTATCGCCGAGAGCACGAAGGAAAACAACAGCAAGAAACAAGAACGAAAGGACAGGAGGGAAGGGATACAACGAGCGTTAAGTGGACGTTAAGGACGCTGAGAAAGAAAGAGAAGTCAAAAAAAAAAAAAAAAAAAGGGCTGCAAATGGATGGTGACGAAGCGGCTCCGGTTCCGAGAATCGGGAACGGCCCCGAATTTCGAGAAGCGATATTTCCGAGATGCAGAATCAAGACCGAGGCTGGGCCACACACCATTCAGAGTCCCCCAAATTCATAGCTCCTGGATTGCGCTCTCGTTTCTCGCTCACCAACGGCCATACGCTAACAGCACAAGGGGTGTAAAGGGTGTGTTCTTGCCCGTTACTCGATATCGTTACTTTCAATGCAGCTCTTAAGGACCGGCGCTTTTGTGCGAGCGGCTCGATTTGCGAGAACCTCCCTCCCTATTCACAGAGCTGCGACGCCTGCGATTTTCGTCCCGTCGAGATGGTCCAGTTCTCAGGCAGCTGCAGAGCAACAACATCCTTTCCCTGAACAGTCTGTTAAGGGCTCGAGAGAGGTCGACCCTTCGAAGACAGCCACGGTTGAGTCTAAGAGTGATGGAGGGCGATTGAACATCAAGCAAAAGCCGCAAGAGTCGGATCAGGACAATACCATCATTCAGGGATATCAGTCTGGTGCTAAAATCCTGGGAATTCCCTATATCTTCGACAAGACAAGCAATGTTTCGAATTCCATCCTCAACCTCGTTGGTCGCAATCTCTACGACGAACCTGACCACCCGCTTTGTATCACTCGCAAGCTTATCGAATCGTGTTTTCCAAGCCCCGAATTCCACCATTTCACCGTTAAAAGTCCTGTGGTGACGATCCACGAGAATTTTGATGTTTTGGGATTTCCAGCAGATCACCCGGGCCGCTCGCGGACGGACACTTACTACATTAACTCCAACCACCTTCTACGCACTCATACATCGGCGCATCAGCACACGGCGTTCCAGTCACTGGCCAACGAAAATACCACAACCGGCTACACGATCTGTGCCGACGTGTATCGACGCGACAGCATCGACAAAAGTCATTTCCCGGTCTTCCACCAGATGGAAGGCGCAAAGATTTGGCCCCTCCCGAATGATCTCCCAAGATTCGAAGCTCAAAAGGTCCGAGCAAGCAGGATCTGTCAGGATATGGTACCACTGCCTGCTCATCAGCTCAGAGTATACGACGAAGCGAAAGATTTTGTGGGCGAACGGAATCCCATACAACTCGAGCATGACTTAACCGAAGTAAATCATGTGGCGAGGCACCTAAAGCAGAGCTTGGAAATTCTCGTCGATGAGATTTTCCGTGCTTCTCAACAATCTTTGGCTTTGGGAACCAAGATGGGTGGACCGGGAGAGGTTCGATGGGTGGAGGCTTATTTTCCCTTTACAAGCCCGAGTTTTGAACTCGAAGTCCTCTGGAAAGGGGAATGGCTCGAAGTTCTCGGCTGCGGCATCGTCCAGCAACCGATTCTCAACAAGGCCGGGTTGAAAAACAGCATTGGCTGGGCGTGGGGCCTCGGAGTCGAAAGATTCGCCATGCTCCTCTTCGATATTCCCGACATTCGTCTCTTCTGGTCCAGAGACCCGCGCTTTTTGAAACAATTCTGTCGAGGCAAAATCACCAAATTTGAACCTTTCAGTAAATATCCGGCTTGCTACAAGGATATGGCTTTTTGGATCAACCCAGCCCCCGCAGCAGCTTCGCCGGTTTGGACTGAGTCGTCATCTGGCGCAGCCGCAGCTGCGGGAGGGGACTCCAGAAAGGCGTCGCCGACCGAGGCACAGACTGCGGCATTCCATGAAAATGATATAATGGAGGTGGTTCGGGATGTTGCTGGAAGCTTGGCAGAGGATGTAAAATTGGTCGATGAATTCGTACATCCCACCTCCGGTCGAAAGAGCTTGTGCTACCGAATCAACTATAGAAGTCTAGAGCGAACTTTGACGAACGAAGAAGTCAACAAGATGCATGAAGAGGTTGCTGCTAGGATGGTGTCGCAGTTCGGTGTCGAGATGAGGTGATAAAGTTGTCGATGGGAACGGGAGAAGATCATTCCCCCCCCATTTGTTTTCGTCTTCGGGACCTCAAAAATAGGTCAAATAATGTATTGACAGTTTTAAACCGCCCTTCTAAACTCGCTGACGGGTTGAAATTTTACAAGGTATGTGGAAGGTAATCCTCTCACCACGTCTTTCTGTTTGCGAAGGGTCCTATGATGAATTGCCAAATTTATCGATTTGTTTCAACCCCATCTGATCACTTCAGGTGATTTGATTATGTGGTGCACCATTATCTGAAAGCCCTCCTTCAGCGATTGACCTGTTTCTTCTACTCTGAATCACAGATCATCAACGACTAATAGTGATTTTTTGTTGCTTAGGGATAGATGAGACAGTTTCCTCAATCTGAAGCCATGGGACTAACCTTCCATGACAAAAGTATTCGACTTGGCTCGCTTCAATGGCACATGTGTACAAATATCAGAAGGCAAATTTACAATCCCACTCAACTATATTCCTCACTCCAAGACGAGGGCGGCAAGAATTCGAGGCGTGCCTGCAATTGGAATTGGAACGGAAGCCTGTTGTGTATTAATGTCAAGATGCAGAGGAGGATTGTGACGTGAATGAAATTCGGGCAGTGTTTAGTTATCGTCGGAAGTCGATTCTCTTCGAGAGCAAGTAATTTTGTTCCATGCTGCACCTCGGCTACCTTATTATTGAGTGGTAATAGTATAGAAGAGGGTATTTGTACAAGCAAGAGGCTGAGCAAAAAAGCAGGCAGGTAGGTAAGAATTTTGTCGGATAAGGGCTTGGTTGAAGAAATCATAACATCAGTCTGTCATGTCATACGACACCGAAGACCCCAGTCTCATATACCAAAACCCCCTTTTCCTGCAATCCGTGGCTCCTCCTGAGACGGAACATGTTAGCCGTCGTACCACACGCGATTCCTCGAAGATCGGGATAATCTTGGATCATGATCTATCACTTTCCTCCATTTTCGAGACCAAGAGATGTGAAAACATATTTTTCGTTCCCCTCCCTTCTCCCCTTTTGCCTGCGATTCAACCTGGTTTGTGCCGGGTGAATAACAGGCAGATAAAATATTGATAAGCTTTTTGTACACTGGGGAGATTTGGCAACAATCTCCAGAGAAGGCCCGGACTGAGTTTGGGGTCCTCTTGGCTCCTCCCCCATTCAGAGGGTAACCAAGAATCAGGTTTAAGAGTTCTTCACCACTCCGACCTTAGCGGCTCTCACGACTCTTCCATTCAGCTTGAAGCCTTTACTCTGGGTGAAGAAGACATCTCCGTCTTCCTTGCCCTCAACTTTGGAGAAGAACGTTGCTTCATCGGTGTTGGGGTCGAATTTCCGGCCTTCACCCTCCATCGGATCAAATCTCTCAAGGCCGTGCTTCTTCAAGGTCGACATCAGGATTTCTTCAGTCATCTTGAGCCCAGAGAATAGGTTTACCAGGTCCTTGCTCGCCTCGGAGGTGGATTCACTAGATGCGGCGACATTGGGATCAGAAGAGGTATCGGATGTTGCCGCGGCATTGCCGAGGGCGGCTGGGGGGATGGATGACAGGGCCCGGTCAAGATTATCTATTGAGTCGAGGAGGTCGGTAGCGAACCGTTGGATGGCGAATTGCCTTGCGGATTCCATTTCTCGTCTTGTCCGTTCTTGTAGATTGCGGTAGTCGGCGACAGAGCGCAGATATTTGTCCTGGACGAGTGTAAGTTCAATCGGCATCAAAATAATTCAGATGCTAAGTACCTTCAAGTCTATTATCTCTTTTCTACTCTTTTCGAGCTCTTGCTTCAGAGGATCTTCCTCTGCTTCTGCCGATTTGGCGTCTTCTGTGGACGGGGGAGGTTCTTCGGGAGGGGTTTTCTCGGCCTCTGTAGATTGCCATCTTCGACCTAACCATGATGACAGAGAGGATGGGGCGGCTGCTCGAGGGGAAATGAAGGATGCAGAAGATAATGGTAACCGCTGTACTGACGGCAGCGCTGTCAAGGATCTTGGAATCGTGCGCGATTGGCGCAGCAGCTGTTTCCGGAGCATCTTCTTGACAATGACAGTGAGGTGAAGGATGTAAGTATTAAAAGGAAGAAGGAGAGATGGGACAAGGTTGCTTGGAACAGAGGTCAAGTGGTTATTTGAAAGTAAAGCACACGACTGGGTTCCCATGCTCCCTTCCGGGCTCGAAATTTTTGTTCGCCGGACTTGCCTTTCTGGGTCTGTTCTCACATCTCTGCCAAACACGACCTTTGACTACTTGCTTGGTCACGACGATATCATACACCTTGGTCATCCAATATATATTTGGGCTTGCAATATGTGAATGGATTTCTTTACGTCTACTAATCTAGCGGGGTCTGTCTCTGCACGGGCGCGTACAAAGGAAGGCTGGGCCTCTTTAAAGTGGAAAAGGGGTCCTGATCAGGGCTCTGCAGAGCCAGATAACCGGGGATTCTCCAACGAAGATAGGAGGGGGAGAGAATCCTAGTTGAATAAGTAAGAATCGAGCACCGTACTGTTAGAGGACCAGGCCAGCATAAGGCAAGATGTGGTTACCATTTGAGAAATGTATATTATCGAGCCCGGAGGTATTTTGGGATTCTCAGCCTTGAAGAGCCAATCCTGTGCCAATCCTATGCCAGTCCTGTGTCAATCCCGTGCAGAGAAAGCAGTCCGCTGCTCATCTGGTGTTGATTGGAGTTAAGAGTAAGAGAGCCCTGGTGGATTTGAGCAGCGATTTACCAATGCTGGAATACGTCATTTGTTGCGCCGTGACTCTGCAATCTGCAACTGCATTGAATATGACTTCATGAGCCCTAATAAAGTCTCAGCGAAATCCTTCATGTAGATAGACCGGTCCGGTTCTCAGCAAAAGACTGTTCCGAAATATATCCGACGCCGTTTTGCTGGTAGTACTACCTTGTAGGGACCAATGCTCCTGTGTGGCTCGAAAAATGCTTGATCGGTGACATAAGTTCGACAAGATGTTGACAGAATACCTAGTGTTCTCCCCTTTAATCCTATCTTTTTCGCTCAAGTAGTGTTGCGAAGGTCCATCCTCTTCAAAGATGACACAACTTCGGAGCAGTACAGTTGCTATTGTATTGCCGAGTCTTTAAAAGTCTGATGATGAGTATCAAAAGTCGTATTTCAGGGATTCTATACGCGCCGGCATGCGCGGCGAGAATCATTCCAGTATCCAATGATTGAACCAGCTTTGGTTAGAATAGGACAAGTGCAGAGTTCTTGAGCAGCTTGGGGCCAGTAGCCGCAATCAGTTCGGCAGCGATTCCTTTAATCGAACCGGGATCATCAATTTTCCATTCCTCCCAGCCGCGCAAGTCCTGTGGCACTATTAGTGACAACGCTATCAGATAGCTTCGAAAAGGGGCCTCACCTCTAATTCGACCAAAGCATTCCTCACGAGTAAACGCCAGTGGTCTAAATCTAGACGTTGAACCTCATCCTTAGTAAGCACACCCGGTATTTGATAATCAAACATAGAGCCTTCCGGTATTTCTGCATCCTCTTCATCGCTGGCTGCTTCATCAAACTCGAGATCTTGTTCATCCGCAAATATTTGACCTCTCTCTCTGGTTGTTTCAGGGGTGTTGCTGGTACCTTCGTTGGCGGAAGACGACTTTGTATCTGACTCTGTGTGCCTGTTGCTAAGAGCAGGATCCACACCAAAGTTTCGGTCATGAGACGGAGACACATATGGTCTTTTGTCTAGCTCTCGACGATAGTTGTCATCAAAAAGATTCCACTCGAGGCTTTCGGGATCTGGACCAAGTGTTGAGAATCCTGCAAATTATTGTTGTGACAAGGCATACCTAGTAGGTAGCTGGGAGAAAATTCAGCCTTGTACCGCATCTTGATACATGAGTGAATGTAATACCCTGAATTGGTAAATTAGAGCGAACCAAGGCAGGGATTGGACGTACCCATGTAGTAGTATTCATATTTTGCCTCCAAGGCCAGCGCAATTTCGCGAAGGGCACTTATCTTCCCGAAATTCCAGTGCTGATACTCGGGATCATAGCTTGAGGATGAGCTTATATACCATATCCATAGAGATTTAGGAGAACTCACAACAGGTATACAGAGCTGACCGCGTGGGGAAGAAGATCAAGGACGCCAACAGCAACTAGCTGGCCATCCAGTCGGTAACATTGGTGGTAAGAGCCCAATTTAAGTGTCTTGCCACCAATTTTGAGTATCTTTCGGTCAAGGCCCGTGCAGAGGAATCGTTTGAAGGCGGGTTCTTTCCAGCGAGAGGCGGGATCTTTGTGAACCTCTACTTGGTACTTGAGAAAGACGTCATACCTGCCGGTGTATTAGTCACGAGCGGTCAATGGACTTCTCAGTTCATACTTTTCTTTCGTAAAGCTGTCGCCCTCGAGATTAACTTCAAACTTGTGGGCTGGCTCGATCGGTTTCCCTGTGTTTTTATCGGCTGGACGACTGACATTGTCATATTCCGCTTTGCGGACGGCAGTAAGTAGATCAAACTTGTTTCTCAATCGACGCTTCTCTCTGCAGGAGTCAGCAGGCAATCTCTTCGCCGATCTTGTGTGACTGACTCTCTGCTCTGAGGGCACAACATAGCAGCTTTTCGCTTGTACTCCGCGCCGAGCACAAAGTCATTCCATCGGTTTATCGGCCGACGTTGACCCCTTTTCGCCTTGAATTCGGAGGCGTTGAGGCTGCCAAACATTAGTTTGCGACTCCTTATCACATCCGCTGCGAATTCCCATTACCGAACGGTATAGTGAGGGCAGCATGATCGCAACAGATCAGGTTTGTAGAACAATGAGCCTGATCGTCTCCAGCCCCGATCCATCAGCTCCTGATAATGATCTACCCGCATGTTGTCGCATGACATGTAATATGACGAGCCTGAAGTAAGGATGAGTCTTCAACCAATGGAAACATAGTCACAAGAATGAGTGACGAAGCCGGTGGGATCGGACATACTGCCTGTAGCATTCTTACAATATCCACAAGAATTCTTCTTCTGATAGCCTGCAGATGTCAGCAAGCCGGTCAGGCATTTGATAGTCCTCATGACGCGCTGGCCAGGTTCCAATATTGCGATGACGAGAAACAGAATTCGAAGCAGGCGGCTCGGCCCACGCCGGCTCAATAGAGACCACTTACCGAGAGGCTTCAAGAGTGAGATTTCGTTTGTCATCTTGCTCGTGGGGGAACCCTTCAAACCCAGGAGGGATTCCCCTGTAGAGATCGAATCAGAAAAGATGTGAACCTCCCGTTACACGGAGTTCGCTACCGTGGATGGACGTTGGGCGTCCAAGAGGCGAAAGCCGAGGGGGCCGATGCTTGATGGCTTGCTCGTGCCGGGGAGGGAGATATGATGTCACCTGACCGGCGAACGCAGAATGACAATTTCACATTAGATATCAAACCGGAGAGGAAACGGTCAGAATGAGGTGGGATATGCACACGACAAGGGCGGCGACGGCCAATTGAGGATACTATCAGCGCGCTAGACCCTGGAGGAGCAGTTGAAAGTCTTTTTCACAACCCCCACAATTGGATCGCAGGCGCTCGCGTGAGCAGACTGGAGGCAGACAGGAGGTGTTGGGGAGGGTGGCCGTTGGGCGAAGTCGTGAAAAAGTCGCAGGTATCTTGTAGAAATTTAGACCAGTATAAACGTGGGAATGGGCACGTGTGTTCTCATCGTGTGCTCCTCAGGGCAAAGACAGCAACCGCCGAAGGCATGCGAGGAACCGACAAGGAACCACTGCAGGCCGAGCAGCGAACCAGAATCCCTGGAAGGGCTCGTTGGGTCGAGAGCTGCGCCGGCAGAATCAGCACCGCGGCGGGAGACTAATGGAGACCTTTTTCTTCGGCCAGTTGCTTGACGTGTGCGATGGAAGAGGCGCTACAGTGCGGTTGCGTGGAAAGTTTGCCCTCGCCGCCAGGAAACCGCCGCTACTCTTTTCTTTCGTGTCCACCCAAACTAAACTTGCCAAAAAAACTACAAATGATGGCTGCTCCCGATCTCAGACTGCTCTGCACGTCAAACCTCCTCCCTCAGCCCCGTTTTACACGGGACTGAAGGCTCTTCTGTGATTGCGCTCTACCGCAAAGCCCATTCCCCTGGCTGAACCATGGGTCCTCTCTGATCCCAGAGCCTTCTCTTGTGCGAGACCGACTGTGCTTCCCCCCCTCGTCTGCACCGGAACAGCTCGACAGTGTTCCCACGTGCCCTCTACACCGTCTCTTTGCACGTTCGCTTTTGCCCGATATCTGCCAGAAAAAATCAAGAAAGCCCAAAAAGCCAGCCACTCCTTTGTCCAGGTGTGCGGCCCTTGGCCCTCGAACCTGCTGTCCCATAGCCATGGCCAAAGAATTGTCCATGACTTCTCGCAGCGGCTCTGACAATCAACGCATGTTTCCCCGCCTTTTCCTCCGGTGCAGAAGCTCATTGTGACCCCAGGTTATGGTCCCAAAGGCGAGAGACTAGTGGCCGGAGTGGTTCCTCTGTCCGCAGACAAATCCCGGGTCCTTCTGATTCAGTCTACTCGTCGCAACGGCTGGGTCCTTCCTAAAGGTGGTTGGGAATTGGACGAGGCTACTGCGTCGGCGGCTGCTTGCCGAGAGGCATGGGAGGAAGCCGGGATCATCTGCAAAGTTGAAAGAGATTTGGGACACATTCCTGATACGAGACCTACGAGTGCCGTCTCCAAGCACGCCCCCAAAGCGAGTTATCACTTCTTCGAAGCCACCGTCACCGAGGAGAAATCAGATTGGCCGGAGAAACACAAAAGGACGAGACAGTGGTACGGTTATGCTCAGGCGGTTCAACTTCTGCACTCGCGCCCGGAGTTACTGGAAGCATTGAGACGAAGTTCGGTCAAAAAATAAAAAATGGATTAAAAGGGATTGACAGGCATCTCCACGACACCGGGGAATTTGGGAAACCTCCCAAGGTCAAGTCTTTCATGCATGGTCATGCCATTCCCCTACGTTAACATTACCTCCAAAAGATGTGTTAGTTCTGCACAGACGCCCTGATGACAACACTGGGCACCAGCAAGTCCTGGGTGATCTGCATTTGGAGCCTGAGCTCAAGCATTGAATAGAACATTTACATCTCCACGAAGCGGCTGCGTGCTTCCCTGGGGCATTTGCCCTTTGTAGAGGCGGGGAGCGTATGATTGAAAGTGGCAGCATCGCAGGCCTTCAACTGTTCTCGTGTGAATCCGTTAGGTCGTAGTTCTCTTCCGGGACTCGATTCGAGTTCAATTATGTGAAATATGAGCCAATGGAATTGCCACTCAATGGCACGATACAAGTGTTCTGGTTGCCAAACAAAGTGGACATTTCCGTACCGAATCCAGTGAATGGAAATTTCTTTACCGGCAATCTCGCACATGTCGCGAGGATGTAGAACTGAGGCCAATGCGGTCAGGAATCACAATGAACCAATATAGTTGTAACAAACGGAGTTGTGTGTTGGCTGGTTTCCAGGTCTATGTACAATGCTTGTCCGTGCCACAATTTCTTTTCAGTATATCTCGCCTTGTCCTTGCTTACCAGCAAGCCTCATTTAGTGCTCCAGATCCACCGGGAAATTTCCAGCTTCACGTTGATCATTCCATCGGCTAATCCAGGAGGATGGGCATAGAGATCGATATGCAAGGTAGAACTGTTTGGGCCGGTCAGCTTTATCCCTCCTCTTGCATTACTGAGAGATTCTGCTTCACCTGTCTGCATGGTTTGAAGTCTTCACCCTTCGCAATGATACATTTGTGATAGTCAACATAGTTCTGCCAGCAATGCTTGGTCCTAGGTCTCCTGTCAGGGCGGGAGTCTGGGGGTATGGGATACAGCATGGGTAGACATACTGGTTCTGATTCGGGAAGCGGGCGTCATATCCAGCTATGTCGGTGTCAGAAAAGTCTCAAAACGAGGCGGCTCGAATGTTCGCAAGAGAATAACATACCCGTAACGAACTTGAAAGGCTTGGTGACATTTCCACCGAGCTCATCGGCGTCAGGGATCTCAATTTCGACCATTTTGAAGATGCTCTTGGTTCACCGGAGCTGTAACAGAATCCCAGGGTGAGTTTCGCACGCAGAAGGAAACTTCAATCAGTGGGGACTGAAGCTGTAATGAATGAGAATGAAGATTGTCACCTGAGGATGTTGGAGTGCTCGGGTGTCTGCCAAGGCCAACATGCCTGAGTGTTGATTGGTGATTTGCTCACTTCAGAGCGAAGAGCTTCATTGAGCAATAGGAACCCGAACATTACTGCACGTCAAGAGTACCTCTCTTCAACACCGACATCCACTCTCCACTCCTTGAACGTCGACGCGATGAATACGGCGAGACTTCTGAGGCTTCAGCCTCTTCGTGCAGCTGCTTTCCGACAGCCCGCCCTCAGGCAATCCACTTTGAGACAAACCAGACTGTTCCACAACACGAGGCCGATGCTCAGGACAAAGGTGGGTTGTTTGTACACACGCGAGCCAATCTAGCTGACCGAGTCTACAGGAAGATGACCAAAGCGGTAAGAGAGTTTGGATTGGAGAGCTACCAGGAGCAAGTGATTGATAACGACCCCCTTCAGCGCACACCATCACCCAGAGACTCCGGAACCTCAAGAGAATTCCACCGGAATTGTTACCCCTCGGCGTTGTCATTCTGTACGTGCAAATTCAATATCCAGAGGGAAAGAGACTGGACAATGCTCATACATTTCTAGATTCGCTTTGTTCGCGGCCTGCTTCGCTATGGGCAAGAAGTTGATGACTGACAAAACCCTTCGTCTTTCGAAATCACCCCCGAAGTCAGCTCACTAAAGAGAATGGCAATTCTTGGGGCGCAACGGACATGAGTCAGTAAGGGATGGAAGACAGATGGAATGTCCCAGTTTGCCGAGCATGGAGGATTCCACAATGCAAGGTCGTGTATATACCAAACAAGTCAGAATGCCTTTGACGGTCCTTTTGACACGCTGATTGTCTTTGCTCATTTCGCTCGTTTCTTCCCCCAAGTTGAGAGCTTTGAAACCATGGTCGGCGCATGTTTGCTACAAAGTACCAGCGCGTCCGCTTTTCGAACCGTATGACTCGATACCTCGGCCGCTCCAGAAACCCCCCCAAGCAAACTGCTTCGGCTTTCGACTGACAAGACGTCCCAACTGTCATTAAGCTCGATTTGCGTCGGCTTCGTCGTTGTAAATTCGGCAACAAGAATGCCAATATTGAAACGTGAAGTGCATCCCGCTAATGCCATGCCATCTTGCCAACCTGACCTGTCGAGTCATGGCTCTTCGTTTGAGACTTTTGCTTTCCATTCGTTCTGTGCAAGACAATACTTGTCTCACTCAAATTTCGGCCCAGCAACATCCAGGTCCTCTAAACCTTCCATGGGGTCTTCTGGCTTCTCAATTTTTGATTGCTCAACTGCCGCCTTGTCCTCTGTTGCATATTTGGCCAAGTAGCCCTCCTACACCATAGACAATTAGTTTTGGAGAGACACAGTACCGGAGGCGAGTAGGCGGGGTATTCAAGACCAAAAAAAAGAAAAATAAAACTCGTTTCACCCACTTGTTCCCATATTGCAGTTGTGCTTCCAAGACCAACTTCTCCAGTTTCCTTTCTATCCGGCTTCGCTAGTGCAACCTTTATAACCCGGCCATAAAGCTCGCTTTGGTCCATATTGTCGATGGCCTCTTTTGCGTCTGCTGCATCTTCAAACTCGACGTATCCAAAGCCACGGTGAAGGTCGGTTGAGGAGGGTGCCTCAGGCTTCGGGAGTGTTATATCTACTATTTCGCCAAATGGAATGAACGCCTCTGAGAGAGTTGCAGCCGTGACGAGACTCGTGTCGAGTCCGCCTACGTATATTGTGCTATTCGGGCGAGTTGAAGCCTCTGTCATACCTTTGCGTAGCTTTTCCAACCCTCTGCGGCAGGTTGAGGATCGCAAAAGAAAAAAAAGGCAAACTCAAGCAAGGCGCGAAAATTGAAGATCACGTGCTCCAGGTTTCTGATAGAGGGACTGGTGGCTGTCAGACTCAGCTGCGAGTTTTCACTAGGGGCTCAAGGAAGGACGCTTGGGCCCAGAGGGCCACGTACATATGCGGACTCTGGAGACACGAAGGTGTCCAGATCAGAAAAGTTGAATATCCATGCAGATTATGAGGACAGTTGTTTATTAGCCACCCATCTTCCTGTTCTCTAGATCTGTCGGAGCAGTCTTCGCCTCTACTGCATGAATTGTTAGTTTTTTTTTTTTTTTTTTTTTTTCCACATTCCCTCCTCGATCGGCTCTCCTATCGTCATGGTGCGCCTCAGGGAAATTCCGCGAACGGCGGCTTTTGCCTGGTCTCCTGATGCTACGGCGTCTTGGATCGCAACCGGAACAAAATCGGGAGCTGTCGATGTCGATTTCAGCAACGAGACTTGTCTAGAACTTTGGGATCTCGCTCTGGACAATACTCAACAGGGTCAAGAATTGCAGCCTTCCATCACTTTACCCACTGAGACGGGGTAGGTGCCCCTCTTGGTCCATGCGACTGCCTATTTTAACTAATTCTAGGTTCCACGACCTTGCCTGGACGCCTTCTCAGGATAACCATGAAAGAGGGATCATTGCCGGAGCCTTCGATGACGGCTCATTGGGACTGTGGGACGCGGATAAGGTCTTGACGAGTGCAGCCGGAGCGTCCCTTTTCAACAACAAAATACACAGTGGCGCAATCAAGGCCCTTCAATTCAACCCGAAGATCCAGAACTTCCTCGCGACAGGTGGCTCCAAGGGAGAATTATATATTTCAGACCTGAACCATCTTGACACACCAATACGACTCGGAAGTACAGCGGCTCGGGCAGATGACATTGACTGCCTGGACTGGAACAAGAGAGTCTCCAATATTCTGGTTACAGGGAGCAGCGGAGGTTTCGTAACAGTGTGGGATATGAAGACACGCAAAGAGAGCTTGACGCTCAACAACTTCAAGCGGAAACCAGCCAGTGCTATCGCTTGGGACCCTGAAAAGCCTACACGGCTCATCACGGCTGTGCCGCTCGAACAGGAGCCTGTCATATTGGTGTGGGATCTGAGGAATTCCAATGCTCCGGAAAAGATAATGCGGGGACATGATTCTGGAGTCCTGTCGGTGTCCTGGTGCCCTCAAGATAATGACCTCCTGTTGTCCTGCGGAAAAGATAATAGAACAATTTTGTGGAACCCTCAGACTGGACAGCCTTATGGGGACTACCCAGTCGTGACAAACTGGACATTCCAAACAAGATGGAATCCACACAACCCTAATATGTTTGCAACGGCTTCTTTCGATGGCAAACTGCAGATCCAGACGCTTCAAAACACCAACCCGAGCAGTACGCAGACAGAGGAGAATCAGGCGACCGACGGGGAAGACTTCTTCTCAAAAGCTCAGACACAGCCTCAAACTTCGTCATTCTCCCTCCCAAAGGCTCCCAAATGGCTTGAGCGACCTGTCTCTGTATCCTTCGGATTTGGTGGAAGAATCATTGGCGTTAGACAATCCGATCCTGGGAAATCGCGAGCATCAAAGGTCAGTATCAGCAAATTCGAGGTTGATTCAAGCGTCGGGAACGCCACCGAGACTTTTGAGAAAGCAATTCAAACGGGAGATCTTACATCGCTGTGCGAAGAGCGAATGGTATCGGCAAAGACAGATGAAGAGAGAGCCGATTGGAAGGTCATTGAGATCCTAGTTTCCGAGAATCCGAGGGCAGAGCTGGTGAAATATCTGGGCTTCGGGGACCATCCTGACGACACCGCCAACGGACTTCAACAACCCTTCGATGAGGAACAGCCCGAAGAACAGAAACCCGCGGTGAACGGCGCCGCGAAAGCCCATAAGCGCTTCCAATCCATTTTCGCAAGCTCAGCTGATGGAGACTTTTTGTCCGAACTAGCAGCGACAAAGGGCACGAAGACTAACAATCCGTTCCGGATTTATGCTGGGACCGAGTCCGAAGCCGATCTGAAGGTTACGCGAGCTTTGATCTTGGGACACTTTGAGACAGCTTTGGATGTATGTCTTCAGGAGAACAGAATGTCAGACGCTCTCGTGATTGCAATCTGTGGTGGTGAAAGCTGCATCAAGAAGGCTCAAGAAGCATATTTTGCCAAGCAATCCGGCGGACCCAACTACCTGCGTCTCCTTGCCTCCGTCGTCGGCAAAAATCTTTGGGATATAGTGTACAATGCCGATCTCTCGGATTGGAAGGAGGTCATGGCTACTTTGTGCACATTTGCTGATGAGCAAGAATTCCCTGACCTCTGCGAAGCGCTTGGTGACCGAATCGAGGAACAGGCGGACGATCTGTCGCCAGTAGCACGGAAAGACGCCTCATTCTGCTTCTTAATTGGTTCTAAGCTTGAGAAAGTTGTTGCCGTCTGGATTCAGGAGCTCAAGGAGCACGAAGAAGCAGGTGCCAGCGAAGCAGACGCATCATCAGCGTTCTCTTTGCACGCTCGTGGCCTCCAAGATTTCATCGAGAAGGTCACCATATTCAGGAAAGTGGTGAATTTCCACGATGGCGAGTTGTCCAAAAATGGAGAATGGAAGCTGGAAGCTTTGTACTCAAAGTATCTGGAGTATGCCGACATTGTGGCTGGATCCGGGCAGCTGGACGTTGCTCAAAAGTACCTCGACCTCCTTCCAAAGAGCTATCCAGGAGCGGACGTTGCACGAAGTCGGATTCAACAAGCCCGAAAGAAGACTGTGGCGCCAGCTACGGTGGCTCAAAGCACTTCGACGCCGTCCAGGAACAAACCGCTCCCGGCAATGTCTGCATATCAACCCCCAACAACCACATTTACTTCGGCGACTCCCCATGGCAATGCACCGCAACAATCAGCAAATCCATATGCCCCACCGACAGCAGCGAGTGCTCCTGCCAACCCTTATGGTCCTGCCGGTGGCTATCAGCCTCCACAGCAGATGAGAGTGTCAGCGGGCACGCCACAGCCTTACAGCATTCCACAGGCGAATCCCATTCAACCTCCGCCAAGATACAACCAGTCACCTTCAATCCCTCCCCCGTCTCAAAACAAGAACATGTCTAACTGGAACGACATTCCGGAAGGCTTTGTCAAGCCTCCGACGTCAAGAAAAGGCACCCCCGGTGTCCCTCCACAGCCTGTTCCGAACCCATTCAATCAAATCCCGCAAGCTCAGCCGTCGTCTCCTCCCGTGGCACCTCCGTATGGTTCGCGACAAAGAGCGTCGCCTGTTCCACCTCCACCTAAAGGATCTGCCCCTCCTCCCAGAGTGACTTCCCCTCTAGCTGGTGGGCCAACAAATCCTCCCATGGAGAGACCTGGCTCATCAGCAAGCAATGCATATGCACCGCCAGCCGTGACGTCCCCTCCGTTAGGGCAAAATGTAATGCCTCCACCAATCCCTAGGGGTCCATCTCCCTACAACGCGCCGCCTTCTCATGGACCGACGGCTCCTAGTCGATACGCCCCGGCGCCAGGGGGTCAAACAACCACCGCCCCTCCCTCGCGCCCGTCGATTGCACCACCACCGCAACAAACGTCGTTCCAAGCTCCATCTCAGCCTACAAACCCTTACGCCCCAACTCAAACGCCACAACAACCCAAACAGAACCCGTACGGTCCCCCGCAGTCGTCACAGACGCCACAGTCCGCTTCTGCGCCACCGTTACCAACTCCGGCACAGCAATTCATTTCCGGCCCTCCTCCCAGCAGTGGTCCGCCACAGCAAACACCTTCAAGACCCAACACTGCGGGCTCTGATAAGCGCTCTGCACCGGCCCCCGTGCGGAAACATCGTAAGTGATATACACTCCTTTTAGATCATCCTTCTAATAACACCTGACAGCTAAAGGAGACCGCACGCACATTCCGCCATCAGCTCAGCCTATCTACCAGATCCTGTCGGCAGAGATGGCACGCGTAAAAGCGCGAGCACCTGCTTCTTTCAAGCCCCAGGTTCTTGATACCGAGAAGCGCCTTGACATTCTTTTCGACCATCTCAACAATGAAGACCTCCTAAAGCCCGACACAGTGGCGCAAATCAGCGAGTTGTCAACGGCGCTGCAAAACCGCGATTTCCCGCGCGCCAGCGAAATCCAGATGGACGTGCACACAAACAAAGTCGAGGAGTGTGGAAACTGGATGGTGGGAGTGAAGAGGCTGGTTGGCATGTGTAGAGCCACGCCGTAAGATCCCCGAAGGACGACGTCGTTCATGGAATCAGAATTTAGTTGCGATGGGTGAACAGCGGTTAGTGTGTGTTTACGGCTGGGTGAAGAAGTGCGATTGTAGGACATCAGCACCTATGATGTGCCGTATCGATCGAGTTCTTATGAAGACGACATGGAATGATCATGGCTTGAGCTATTTGAAACGAAGAAAGAACTACGATGCATTCGTAGATGAAAGAATACCGCGACAATCGGTGGAAGACATACATGAAGCGTGAACGTTCCAAGCCATTTGTTTTATCACTCCCACAAAACCGTCTAGAGCAGAGTTACCTTTGTTATGGTGCAGTTGGATTTGCTAATTTGGCTCGGTGGGAGGAAAAAAAAAAAAAAAAACAATCCATCATCAGACACTGTAGATTGATACAAGTCTTTCATGACTTTTGTTCAAGACTATGCTCATGGAGGCAGGAGGAGCGCATATGTAGCGAAGGCATATCCCTTGTTTGGCGCCTGGAACCAACTATGTTTTCTTGCTTATTTTCATCCCTTGTAGGGCACCAGCAGCATTTCAGTTCCGCCGAGATGCTTCATTGTTCATGTCTCCGAAAGTCTATCGCGTTCATCTCGTCGGGAGTGCGAACGGTGCCGTAGGTCTGGCCGCAGGGAAATTCCTAGAACTCAAGAACGCACCCTTCAGAGAGCGAATTTCGTTCTTGAACTTGGTCATTTCGCTGTCCGGTGCCTTCTTGGTCTTATTCTTGTCGTCACCGGATAATGCTCCGTTGCTGTAGCTAGAAAATGTGCTCCCGTAGTCGACCTGGAATGGGTCGTAGCTTGCTTCTAGTTTTGTGAGCACGCCTTGGAACTCGCTCATTTGCTCCTTCAGCTGATCCTGCGAGAAATGTGTGGTAGTTGAGGTGAGGAGGGACGAGAGCGTTCCATGCAGAGAACGCAAGCGTGAGGACTGCGAGGTGGTTGGATCTGGGGCCGGAAGGTCCTGGGAGGAGAGGGACATGGAGCGAGAGTGCTGAGGCGAGGTTTGTGTCGCGATGTCGCGATGGAATAGTTCGGTCGGATCGGAGTCGACGGATTCAAGTTCATCTCCCTGGTCCTTCTTCCTTTGTAGTATTATACTGCTGGCGATGTAGGGAATGCGAGACACCGTGGACTCCAGCTTTGTGTTGAGCGTCTCTAGGTCTGCTTTGGTACCTTCAGCTAGCTCGTGCCGCGCCTCGGTCAAGGATTCCAGCATCGGTTGCACGATGTATTGACGCGCGGCATATGTCAATGCTGAAATACCGGCGAATGCGGAGGCTGCGTGGGCGAGCCGCTCCACGGTCACGAGTGGAGGAGGCTTCTGTGGTTTTAGAAGGAATTCTGGGTATGTGATAATCGGCGGAATCTCTCGCTTGGGTGCAACAGTAGCCGCCTGTGGTAGCTCGCTAGAGCTAGTGGATGTCGCTTTCATCTCTTGCTCCCTTTCACTTGGTTTTTCGCTGCTGTCGTGTATATTCTTCAATTCGAGAGAGTCATTAGAAGTAGAGAGGGAGGCGGAAGACGTCCGTTCTGAACCAAGTAGCTGCTCTATGTCGTCGGGCCGTACACCCTTCTTTTGAAGGAAAGCGAGCTTGTGTTCCATCGGGGCATCTCGTATCGATTCGTCATCGAGGAATTTACGGGCCTGTTCAAGAAGGGGCAGTTCTGAAGATGAAGAAGGTGGTGTCGGGTTATCGCTGGGAGAAGGTTGGGCTTCGCTGGAAGTGCTTTTCTCTTTGGAGGCTTGGTGGTATTTCTGTTGCCATTCGGGGATGGAAGGACCATTTTTCGAGTCTTGATCAGCCATGTTGTACACAGGAGAAAATTGTGGAAAATGGGGAACTGATGCTGAACGACCGATCAGGCATGGCAACCTCGGCTCAGAGTTTGTTAGGCCGAAGACATCAGCCACAGTGGCCAGGGGGACAGCCACATCAAAATATTCTCTTGATCGGTACCACCTTTTAATCGCCTCTTCATCAAGACTTATGAGAGGATATGCCTACTTTAAGCGCGGGAAGTGTCTTTAACTTGAACGCATCTAAACAGAGAGACCACATTGCGGCCCATTAGCACTATATCCGCGAACAACAGCGTGCAGCGGGAACACAATCTAAACGCGAAAACCTCACGAGGATCAACCGCGGAGCTAGCGAGCAAGGCCCTTTAGCCGAGCCTGAGAAATGACAGATCGAAGCCGCCGTGTGCGACGTCAGATCAGCGATGCCACAGATGAATTTTCAGAAGAGTCAGACCTAGGCAGTGGTGAAGATTACGATCCCCGAAGATCCGACTCGATGCGACGAGCAGGCCGATATGAGTGAGTAGCCAGTTCTGTAATCTTATCCTTGTATGCGTTTGATCCCAAAATGAGTGGAACGGGTGCCGTATGGCCAACACACGATGACATCGTCAGTGCGATATGCTTGATGCCTCTGATATCGAGCTCACTGACGCGGTGGCTGTTGGAGGAGCGACACGAGTAACTACTAGACGCAAGCTGAGGCAGAGATAACACCTCGCAATCGTACGACCGTCGTCTCGGTCCACGTTTGCACAGTTCGATTTTCCTATCGTTCCATACCACACGTCGCAAATTCCCAGATCGAACAAATAATTCTTCTTCGTATCTTAAGCACCGGTGCTGCTCGCCATCACCCGTTCTCTTGTCAAAGAACCCTCATCATGGATTTCATCACGTTGCGCTCTCGGCGTCCTTAAAAGGAAGAAGCTAACCAGACCTCCAGATCTTCAGCAACCTCGACTCCGGCCTCCTCGAGGTCCCGCCGTGCCGGGATGTCGGCCGCCGCGAATAGCTCTTCGTCTGCCACGGTCCAACGAGGATCCGGCTCCGCCGATGAACGACGACAAAGCCTCAAATTGACCGTTAAGGCCCCTCCAAGCAAATTGCGAGAGGTCATGCGCGCCAATGAAGTTGAGGCTCTTCACGATCATCTTGGCGGAGGACAAGTCTTGGATGCACCACGAAGCAGCCGCCGCACTGCACTGGCATCAAGATCGAGCACTCGCAGAAACCAGAGACCGACATATGCGGAGTACGGCGAAAGCGACATTGACGATGAAGAAGACGACGATGACGACGATGAAGATGAAGAGGATGAACCCAACGACTTCGATCGGCTTGGTGCCGAGCCTGAAGGAGGTACCGATGACGAAGATGTTGAAATGGAAGATGCGCCTGTGCCTAAACGCCACGCTCCCCCCAAGCCTCCAAAGATTACATTGAAGCCACCGACCAGCACGGACAAATCTGCGAGGCCCAAATTCATCATGACTCCTGCCAATGTAGGGTCGACAAAATCCGTCGAGGATCGGGAAATGGAAGACGACCCGGATGATGATGAGGCCGACAACTCGTCCGAACTTTCCGAAGAAGACGAGGGACCCACCACCAACCTCAATAAAGAAGATGCTGAGGGCGAGGAGGAAGAGGAGGACGCCCCGGGCGAAGAAGGAGAGCTGGAAGACGAAGACGAAGACGAAGATGATTTGGATGACAGCAGCGACGAGACTCCCGCTTCAGGAACTGCCACTCCAGATTTGAGCAGAATGACAAAACGACAAAGAGGCCGGCCCGAAGATCAGGGTGGATTAATGGCACTGGATATGGCACCCCAACAACGAAAGGTATTGCCCCTCACAGTTCACTATTTCGGGGCAGATTCGTCGCTGACAATTCCAGTTCTTCACCGATGAAGAGAAAGCAATGAAGAAGGACGAACATGCCAGAAAGCGCAAAGAGTTGACAAAGCGGAAAGTGCAGGAAGAGAAGACCGCCGCCTTAAATCGATTGGTATGTCATTATGTAGTTCCTCGTGCATCCTCATGCTAACACCCCAAAGCTCAAACCCCAAGTTTCCAAAGCTAGAGGAGCAGCTCCGAAACCTGAGACTTTAGCGGCGGCGGCGGCGGCGGCGGCGGTGGCTGCAGCAGGATCACCCTATGACGAAGATGACACCATTCAGAAAGCCAATCCGGTGTATACCCGCTGGGTCAGTACGAAGGAAGGAGTCAAACTTGGAATTCCTGAAGAATGGTTGGGAAAGCATGTTGGCCGCCATTTCGGACCACCATTGTCACCAAGCAGCAATATCATCGTACAAGAGGTCGAGTGATGGACCAGGCAATCGAGGTCAATTGTCTCTATTCCAAACGTGGTGGCCACAAATTTGCATGAGTGAAGGGCAATAGGCTAGACTGCGCAAAGCAGCTAGAATTGACAGTCGTCGTAAAATTCGTACCAAAGGATGTTCCAGATTTATCAAAAGTCACACATTATTGATTTTATGCATCGACAAGCAGAATCCATTTCGGAGGCAACATGAAAGACATTCATTCGAATTGTAGTGATACCTCGTGGCCGAATAATGACGTCTCAGCTCTCTTGCATAAATTCGCCTGTCTCTTGAGTTCGGCCCAGGACCTCAGATACGCTGACAGAGGGCTTCTCTCCTCCAGCGTCAACCCTGGTTACCTTTCTGGTTCTGGTATCGGAGGTTGTCTGTCAACTGCTGTAGACAGGCCAAGTTAGCCTCAGATAGCCACATGCAGCGTTATCTCTTTGCCTCGTGGATTGTGGTAGAGTTAACGGATCGCACGAGAAAAAGTACCAGTCGTGGTGACCCTCAACACTACTACATCACTCCTATCAAGTCTGGATGATGTCGACACCACCGTATTGCATGTCTGCAAATTGCATCGATTCTGTCATCATATGTGTAGGTAGCCATCAGGCACACCGGAAATCTGACTATGTCGTTTGAGATACATTTTTGGCCTTAGGTTTTGGTGCTTCAGAGCTGATCGTATCCTTCGCTGGCCGTGCGAGGATTTCGATCACATCAGGTCCAAGGTCAACTTCCCTGCAACGAGAATGCCGCCATCAGCTGTAGGTTCATTGAACAGCTAGGGTTGACCACAAACTCTTTTCTCTTCAGCTCCTGCTGGTATTCCTCCAAAGGAGGTTTGAAGGCAGTGTAGGCTTTGACGACATTAGTTTGTCTGTCTGTAGCGGCCAAAGGCATCACAGCTCACCACTAAAAACACCCATACCAACAGTCCCAGCCAGCCCAATAACGCGATACATCCTTTGTTCGCGATGCGATCGATCTACTGTGGCAACTGTAAAATCTCAATTCATCAGCTTAGCGACGTGTCTTGGCATCTACGGAAAGTAGGCCCCTAACGCGGAGCATTAGGACCAAATTCCACTACAGTGTTTGCATTGAGATTAAGCAGGTCTTCTATAAGTCTTTCTACGTTATTGGTATATTGCTCGCGTTAAGAAGATCTTTATTAAGGCATAGGTTAGCGCCGTAAGACTAAGGAGCGTACCAGACTGACGTCGCTTCCACAGCATCTTCGCAATGCTACTTCTCGTGGAGCCATGAAAGGTGTTGGCGAAGCGGCTCGACAAGCTAGTATCGCAACAACTCGAACAAGAAGATTGACCATCGAAGGTTACTTACTCTTGTTCTTGGACTGGTCGAGGCTGCTCTCACGCATGTGGTAGTCGTGCAGGTCATACTCCATCTTGACAATGTCCATGAGCGTCAGGTTAGCATCGCTTTCCCGGATCTCCTCGCGAGGCACTACATCAGCCACCTTGATGGTCATCCACCAGCGCACAGCTTTAGCTGATCATCTCGTGTCAATTTGATGGCCGCCAGAGGCTGGGGCTCATGGCGGTAGGGTCCGGTCGGTGAGACTGGCGAAACATCTCGAAGGAGGCATCAGCGGTATTTAAGGTGCCAATGGTACCGTCTTGGACCACCGTCGCATATATTTGCAGGAGCTCTTCCAGTCCACGAGCATCATATCTCTTGACGCGGAGACCTACGGCCCCAGCGAGAGCGAGTAAATGCCACCAGCACATGGACTTTGCGCGAGGCTCCGCCATCCCATCACTCCATTTCGTGACCAATTGTCCTTGGGTAGCGAAGTCCTTGGGACTCACTCAACGGACATCGGTGTGGCAGCTCTTGGGCACGCGGACGCAAGAACATTTGGCTGGAGCTCTCTTCTTGATTGGTGGACCATCACCGCTACTTGCAGATTGGGGAGGCGTCTTCCAACTTAGATCGCTCTCGCCGCTCTCGTCGTTTTCCGTAGATGTATCATCAGCGCGCTCATCGTCGTCGAGGACTGGTCGTGGCGTCGTATCTTCTTCGATGTCGTCGGCATTCGTATCAGCAGGGTTGCGTTCTGGTTGAACTTGGCCACCGTCGCCCTCTTCAGCATCCACTTGCTCTTCTTCCTCTTCCTCCCGCCTCCCTTTCCTCGATAGGCTCTGGCGCTCGCACACGAGAGATCCATCCTTCATTGTCTACCTCCAAACCACGAGCGGCAAATTCGTGAGGGTCGTGCGCGGCGGCCTTGCGGGCATTTTTGAAATCATCGGGAGTCGGGCTCGGGTCCTTGCTTCGCCCTTGTCGCGGATTGCAGAGACGGTCAAAGAGGGCATTGTTGATATTCGCTTGGAAAGCTGACCAATCGCCCTGGTGTCGATTGACCGCCGCCGAAATCTGTTTCAGAGTGTTCTCCCCAGGCACCTTGATCTGTCGTCTGAGGTATCGGCGCAGAGCGGAGAGCCCCTCTTTCACCAAACCTCAGCGTGACCTCACAATTGAATCGCCCTTCAATGTCTTGTCTCGTGACGTATCTCTCGGCGTCCCTTCGATCTCGGTGTCCTCGTCCTGAAAGCCCTAAAGGAAGTTCATCAACTTGTCGTTGGTATGGGCGAAAATCACTGACTTCACAGCCAGGGTGTCAAGCGCTGCTCGCCGTTTGACAGGGTCGAGTCGTCTCAATGCTTCTCTCGCTTCTTGCAATGTCAAGCGACTGTCTTCGGGTGACTACGACTCGGGTGACTTCATTATCACCTCCCTCTCCACCCCGCCATCCACCTCACTCTCTGCTCTTTGCTTGCTGCCAACAATTTTAGCCTCGGGGCTAAAATTGCTGCTGCTGCTGCTCGCTGGCTCATCCCGATGATGGTGGCACATCGTTGAAGAATCTCCTCCACATCGGCCCGTGGACATGCTGCGAATGAATGCAAGGCCTCTTCTCGGTCGCAAATGACACAATATGGACATTGCTCGCTCGATTGGCGCAATTCTTTCACCTTCTACATCTTCTTCCTCTTCTGCTGCTGCTTCCTCTCCTGCTGCTGCCGCTTCCGTTCCTTCTGCTGCTCTCACGTCCACTCGACGAATACGTTTCGGTGCTCGACCTTGCTGTCCTTAATGTTGCTTAGTCACTCAGCCGCAAGTATATTGGGTCAATCTTGATTGCACTTGAAAGTGGCCTCTCCATTCTTCAGCCTGAAAAGGCTCCTGGCAGCGCTGACCCTCCTGCCATATTCGGTTCAGAGGCTGGCCGATCCGGCATTTCTGCACTTATTGATTTGGAAAGCTGTGGTCTAGAAACGGCCGTTTCTACCTAGCCTGCTCCATGCCGCTCCCACCGCTGCTTCAGGCGAGCCAGCACTCGGACTCCATTTGACTGTGCTGAGCTGTGCTGTGCTGCGTGGTGCTATGCAGTGAAATAATTAGAGACAGGTAGATTGCCCTTAATTCAGCCCATTCAACTCGGGACCCCCACGAGCCGAGGCTCTTCAACCAAGGATCCTGCCTGATCCATATCCCACAGCAAGATATGACGCGACCCAACAATGATAACAAGATGTGCATGCAACTCGCAATCGTTTCCTATCTTTTGCTGCACTTCTTGGCCTAGGATATAATTCTTCGGCTGTTGGGCTTCCTTTTCCCGAACCCATGACCCAACTGTTCCGGAGTGGAATTGGTCAGAGTCGGTGAATCTAAGCATGAGGATTTGGGAGAGCGTGTAGTCGCGTAAATTGGTTGCTTTTTCGAGGAAGTCCGTAATCCTTCTAGTTCCAACTTCCATTTCGAGCCAGGGGATCCGATAGAATTTCCATTCCGTAACTATCAGCCGCCCAGGAACTTCGATAACAAGATCGATACGTCCGCTTCTATTGTCCGACTACGCCAGTGGTTAGATATTATCCAGCGATTTATAGTAATAGAATAATTACCTTATGCACTTTGAATTCTGCTTGAGGACGAAGCTGATGGTTTGTCAGAAGAGAGAAATAGAAGCTGTCGCGGTGGTTTTCTTCTGTCCTCTTAGCAAGATCATCTGAAGTGGCGTCTCGTTGCATCATCAACCGTCGACAACAACCCAGTGCCCCTCCAAGCTCTCCGTCGGCTATAAGGCGCCGAAGTGACGCTGCCAAAGAGTCACGAATGGCATACTTATTCAGAATCGCGGAAGCGATACGGCGCGCTGCAACATTGTTCGGTATCTTCAGGTGCGTTGATGGCATTTCTGGGTGAAATGTAAAGCCGCCATAGTAGACTACTAGTGAACGCCATGATGAACAATCATCATTATTCTAGAGGTAACAAGTTAGCGTGAATTGGGGCTAGATAAGAGTACAGTTACCAATTCTTGAAGCTTGATCTCCGTCTTGAATTCGTCGTATTTGAGAGGCATAAAGTGCCCTTTGTCGTCATGTTTCAGGCCGTCTTCAAGGTCTTTTATTACCGATGCTGAAGTAGCAAGGTGGTCGAGAAATAGCGAAGATACTTCAGAGTTTTCCGGGTTTTCTGTCTCTGGCGAAATACCCTCCATACAACTCTGAAGATATAATAGACATGTCTCCGTGTTGTAAACGGTTTTGACCGCTCGTTCTCTGCAGAAATGAAATCCGTTGAAACAGATGGTCATTTCTGAAAGGTACTTCTCGCTGTCTGTGGGATTTTGGGTGATTTGTTGTAGGGTGTCTTTCAATTCCGAATTTGTCAAGCCACAGAGCTGAGCCAGGTCCTTATGAAATGACAGGTTCCTTGCTATATTAAATCCACTGCCCACTTGAGACAGGGAGAGTGGTGAGATGCCCGTGATGAAAATTCTTTGGATGCGTCCTGCTGCCGCCAACTTCTTCATTTCAGCCCAGAAAGCCAGCCAGGTTGCCCCGACACTAGTCTCCTCCCAATTTGTCGTCTTATTTCCTTCGATGCCTTGGGGTGGTTTGAGGTAGTGATTGGGAAATGAATCGTACTCGTCGACGAGTATGTAGACTCCTTCAATATCTGCAAGACGCTCGTCCTGTGCAATCGTACTTTGAACTGAATCGACACACTCCACAAGACTAATGTTAGGGTCTTTACTGTTAATGCCTTGGCATAGAGTTTCAAAGTTTCCGCCCAAGTATGCAGTATATGCTTTATAAAACTGCTTAATGGAAAAATTCAACGCCCTGATAAGTGCCTCATTCGCCTCCGTGAGGTCTGGGCGGCGGGGTATTGATGAGAAATCGAACTTCAAGACAAAGTACTTTCCGGGGCTCACTTTTCTTTCATCGATATCTTTTTGCACATCGAGACCCTAGAATGATTGAAAAGATGTAAGTTCTCACATCAAGATAATTAAGGATACAGTTGCGTACCTTATACAGCCATCGATGTTCATCTGCATACTGAAGGCCGTGGAAATGTTCCAGCATCCTTATTGTTAGTGTTTTGCCGAACCGACGTGGGCGGCAGAAAAGTATGAACTCGTCGAGTTCGCCCAACTTGGAGATGTAGCCGGTACGATCGAAGTAAGCCTGGCCCTCTCTCTGTAGAAGATCGGGAAAATTCTTTGCTCCGGATCGGAAGTATTTCAGTTCGCCGTTGATTATCAGGCCACCATTGTCAACTCGGGTTCTCTTTGGCGAAGGAGCCATCTCGGGCGCATGCTTTCTCTTCCTCGTCTCGGGGCCAGCGCCATCGAATTTTCCCATTTCTGATGCTTTGAGCCTACGTCCACTTGTAGAACGAGAAGTCAAGTTTGACGGTTGCATCATTTGAGGTTGAGATTGGGCTATTGAAGGAGGTGCGTACTGATATGGTTGCTGAAAACCCATTGCAGGGGATGAAGCAAGGTAAGGGTTCATTCCGAAAGGTGTACTAAAAGGTGCCACACTGGGAAAGACACTCCACTCTCTAGGTGGTTGATATCGAGGTTGCTGACCTGGAGGTGACCGAGTGTCTCGATGGGGAACGGCATAAGCATCCTCGACAGGCCCGTGATCGAAACGACGTCGGCGTCTTCGTTGTGCAGTCTCAACAGCAGAAGTTTCATTTAGAGCAGGGCCTTCAACAAAGCGATCAATGAAAGCACGGGCACCGGCTTCAGTGAAAACTTGTTCATCGTCCTGATATCGTTGCTCGGCTTTTAGACGATTTTCTCCTCGAGTGCGCGAATCAAGAACAGCCACGGCACCTCGAGCAATCCAGAGAACGACATCAGTGACCAATTGAGATAGATAAGGTCCAATCTCATCGATGGGAACTTCTTGTAACAACAGTATGAACTCAGCATCTCGAAGGTAGTCATTCTTGGAGTATGTAGTAGGGAGAGACGACGGAGGGTTCGGAATTCGAGGAGGGCTTCGACCTGTCTCTCGAGAGTCACCACCGGAAGATACTGCGGTATCATCCATTTCGTTGACAGAGGTACGGAAGCTGTGGGAACGTAGAAGTGATAAGTTGAAGAAGCGAGGACTAAGGTCTTCGAGATCACTGATTAGAGTCCACTCAGGTCGAGGTAGTGGACGCTTTTGAGTGCGATTTCGACTAGATTCCTGAAAAGAGGAAGAAGGAGAATGACGTTCTCGAGCAAGAGGTTGGATTTCTTGAAATGCAGGTGTTTTTGGAGGCCACGTCGAGGAACCAAAGGTTTGGTGAGAACGCGTCGGTTGAGGTGCTGATCCCAGCAAAGGCCGAGGATTTCTTTGTTGAATGGAAAATGCTGGAAGTTCTCGAGTTGGTAAACCACCAGGTATTTGAGGGTGTTTCGGGCAGGAACGCGTGCAGACAACTCCCCAACAGGTCGTGTCAGAGAAGGTGCGGGCTCAACCGATTTTGAGATAGATGAAGCAGCTCCGAGCGTCGGCAATTCAGAACTGCTCAATGATCTCGGAGGGTCTTGAGACGGATTCGGGAAACCGTAGTAGTTAGGAGGTTTGACTTGTCTTTTCTCACGCTTTGGCTCTTTAGTAATCGAATGCAGCGAATCAATATCAATATTCAATCCTTTCAATTCTCTTTGGCCAATGTTTCCTTTTCCCATAGACAAAACAAGAAGAGGTATAAACGTTTCTTTCTCTTTTTCTCTTTTTTGCTTTTGTTTAACAGTCTGCAGACGGTGTCGAAATCAAGACGGATTGGAAGGTGGGAGGTGTCAATTCAGAGACAGGTGAAGGTGTCGGATTTTGGTGAACTTCGAAGGCAAGGGACCTCGCTCTCTACAGAGAGACAGAGGCTAGGAGTTTCCGCTGGGTCACGCCTCGGTGTACGATTGCGTGAAGCGTAGATTGCCGTAAGGAAGAGAGAAATAAAGAACGATCAACTGAGGGCGCAGTGACCACAGAGGATCGAGGACCAATGTCTGCAGTAGACAAAGGGGGCGTTGCTACCAGATTGTCATATCTGGGACGAGAGGGGGAAGGAAAGGAGCAAGGGAATACCGCAATGGCAAAGGTTGACTGAAGTAGTCGTTGTTATGTGTCGTGTGGAGTAGCCAGAGTGGAAGAAGTAAACGAATGCTCTAGTGGGCTAGTCCTAACTAGGCCTAGTGTTCCACGTGACACTTTGATTGAGTCTTCATCGTTGGGAGCCGACCGCTCGCAAGAGTCGCGTGAGGCTGATCTCATTCATGTAGTGGGTGACGATCGTGTCATAGAGCTCTTTCTGCTCTAGATTCAATGGTTCGGGCGAGGAATTCACATCTATCGACAGCTCAATCGGATTTTCGGCCTTGATTTGCTCCCAGACATCTGGACGTAGATCACCATACCGCCCGATATGCGTCGACCAGTCATACGCACGGTCGATTTCCCGACTCCCTAAACCGTCAAGCAAGTCCCCATGAGTGGGAATATCTGCTCCCGGCCGCCGGCGCGCAAAAGCCTCGAAGTCAGCAAGGGGATATTCATTTTCGGCCTCCTCCGGGGGATCCTCATCGCCCGAATTCGAGTCCGACGGGTCGTCGTAGAAGTCTGGCGGGTGTGTCTGTAAACGTCGACAGGCCCGAAATGCGTCGATATATGATCCGTAGCTCTCGTTCTCGACGGAGAGGAGATCGGGCCAGTCCGTAAATGGGTGATGGAGCATCAGTTTGACGCGGCAATATTTCGGATCGTTCGAATACCTAGGGTAGTAGTTGATGACCCGTGAACTCGCCCGCGGCCGGATCTTCCACGTCAGCCAATCCCAGAACTGGAGGCAGCTCAAAAGACCGAGGCCCGGAAGGGCGGCGTTCCCGTTTCTTGTATCGGTCGGACGATCTCGATACCTTCGTAAGACCGATCGCCTGGCCGAAATGTCACCCGACTCCAAGACAATCAGGTCATCTTGTACTTCTTCGGGCCGGCAATCGAGGCTGACGACTCCCCGCGACGAATGCTGAACCGGAATCTGTAGAAGGAGATGGGAGACCTCCTGCGTCACCACCGGGAAGGTGAGAAATACCGGCGACATTCCGGGCAGGAGAAAGCGGGCTTGCGCTTGCAGCCCAGTCCCCTTATTTCTCCAGCACGGGCGAGTCCCAGTTAACGTCGAACCCTGACGAACAATCCGAGGGAGGAGCGACTCGTCCGTCAGCAAGGCCTCCGTTAACGCTTCACGGGTTAGATCCTTTAAGCCCGATGCCTTCGACACATAAAAACGGGCTGAATTGCTCGCCCTTCGCCGCATCAGGAGGTTGAAGATCAAAAACCGCCAGCGGGGATGCCGGCCGAATCTCCCATCGTGATAACACATCAGATGTCGAGCGTAATCGTTCAAATTAACCTTTCGCTGTCGGGCGGCGTTAAAATCGGCTCGACCCGTAGGGTAGAGAGTCGGGAAGGCCATGGCAAAGATCCGCTCTCTCCCAGCTGCTTCATCGAAGGGGGTCGATCGAATGGATGGTGCTGGCACGCCAGGAGGCAGCAAAGCACGCCCGGAAATCTCGGCCAGGAGCCGGTCGACTTCGGTCCCCTCCACGTTGAGATTGGGGACCATCGATTGAGAATTTGAAGGGGGGAAATCGGCTAGACCTGGCGGGTTTAGGGCCGTGGACGTGTCTGGAACAGGGTCCTCCTCCGCGATGATTGACTCGTCGATGGTCGAGGGAAACGATGAGGAAATGTCATCATCAACCGGCAATCTTTCGAGTCGGTCAAGGGAAATGGTGATGTATCGATAATCGGGGTGGTTGGCCATGGTATTCGGCCGGTTTTGCCGCGACCTCGACGAAATTAGTACCAGACGATGGTCATATAAACCCACACACCAGCTCAAAATAAGGGCGATATTGATGCACATTATTGGCCTTTTTCCGGCTTAAATCGGCGCCGCATAGGTACCCCGACTTCAGGACGTTCTCATGGGCCTGGATGAACCGATAAACCCAGTTTTTGCCGGGCCATTTTTGCCATATGTCGTGGGCGAAATTTCGAACCATGGCATTGGTCGGAGGGATACCACGCTCGGTCAACTTGTTGATGTAGAAGACTAGATTCTTCTGTTGTTGCTTGGTGAGCAATGACATGGAATCGACGTGGTCCTCCCAACTGCCCGTTTTACGTCTCCAGCGCCGGGAGAGGGTGGAACGGTCCACATTATGCCTCTTGGCAGTAGCGGCGATATTTGGCGCATCTTGCGATGCTAGATCAGCAATCGCAGCGTCAATTGGGCTCATGGTTGTTCAGATATTTAAATTTGAAGTTCGTGGGTGTGGATGTGCACGTGACAGGGAAAACTCCTACCTCCCTCTTCGTCAGGTATCGTCCCGGCAACTCACCCACTCCGATTCTCTCAAACACCCTGAACGCCTCCCTCTCTTCTCCCGATGTCTGCTTGAGAAACATCACGTAGCGCAACCTCAACTCACGACTTTGGCGAGGCTGCTCCAGCCGTCTCACTCCTAGCACAATGCACTGCAGAGCAGTCCTCTCGGAGCCTCCGGGGTGATCAAAGTACATCTCGGCCCCTTCAACCGACTTGACATCCCACAACTTCGCAGTCAAGGCAATGCTGCCCACCCTGCGGGTCGTGGGGACCGTCCCAGCACAATCCACGTCTCCAAACCTGACCGGTAGGTACTTGATTGCCCCAGCGTATGCCGTCCACGACCACGATGGCACCAGCATGTCTCGATTCGACGGAAAGGTGATGGGGTGAAAATCTTTTGCTGTCGGTGCGGGATGCCACAGAAGACTTCGGTGCAGGAGACCGCCTTTCGTTCCATCATCGAGGACGCCGAAGCCTCCCTTGATGTTATTTGTGTCGAAGACCTCCAGCGAGCAATTTTGGAGGCCATCGATGGCAATGGGTCGATTGTACTCCTTCGTAAACGCAAGCTGGGAGAATTTTTCGTATAAGGTCTGATACCTGACAATCATGTCGGGACTCGCGACCGACATGATGGCCTGGGGAAAATTGGGGTCGCCGACGAACGCGTCAAGGTTGCTTGAGGTTGATGTTAGTCGGATTGTCCCGTCGGAAATGGAACTGAGGATACGAGAGCTGAACTCACCTGTGCATTCTCGTCATGGTCTCGCAGCGGACGCCCTCTCCGCATTCCCAGTACGTCTGATGTTCGGTGAAGAAGATGGTACGTCGAGCGAGTGCATGCTCCTGCAGGACCCCGCCTCTCTTATTCAGGTTGCCCTCGAGAACATGCTGTTCGAAGTCGTCAATGTTCTCGCAAAGGTAGAAAGGCTCGTTGTTTGGCCCAGGAAGCTGGACGAACTCTCTTGTTCGCCGAGGCTGGAGGAACCCATCTCTGTGCCCTTTGGATCGGCTTGCCGCGATGACACAATATGCCTGGCCAAAGATAGACTCCACGTGCTTTGCCTCGACGTTGAAGTCGCTATCGTCATCCTGAATGATACATAGCGAATCAATCCACAGATAGCGCAGTCTCAGTGCTCTCGTGGTGATAATGGCATCTCTCAACGTGGCCGGAAGATTGCTGAGCTGGATTCCAAACTTAGGTTGGTCGACGTTGCTCCGGTACGTGCAGAAATGTGGAGGCGGCCCCCAAGGATGTCTATCGTCACAGATGGAAAGCCACTGTCGGAGGATTTCAAAGTGCCTTTGGCTTCCTGCTTCGGGAAGCCGCGGAAGCCCAACTTGAATATCCTTCGATGCGGTGGTTGGTTCTATTACACATACGACGCTTAGCATACGACCACACTCTACGACGTAGGTCCGAAGCTACAGAGCAAAATCACCGAGGCCACGGCAAATGGTCAACGCGCGAGACCCACCGCCGTTGATGGTCAACCACGAATGGACTCTGTCAAACCTAGCCGTCGGTAGCTTTTTGCCCCTATCCTTCTCGCAGGCCTTCCAGAGTAGACGGCACAAATCACAAGCTCTAGATTTGGCCATCAATTCAGAAGTGCTGCGAGACACCGCGAAATCATCTCTCCATGGGTCTAGACCTATGCACCCGGAGCAGAGCTCCAACCCTGCCGGACTCGGGGGGTGGATCCTGGGAGAGTCTCCATTCGCGCGAGAGTATGCGTTGCGAATTCATTATCCACGTCCAAGTCCCAATCGTCATAATGGGAGCTGCCGATGAGCAACGCACGCATTGCACGCTCTGCAGCAGACATTGTCGGTGCAATGCGATGCGAACCCGAGATTGACACGCCATCGTCGCGGGTTTGGGCCGTCCGGGTCGTGTCTCTCAGTTTGTACACCTGCTTGGAAAGCAATGCCGCAATAGCTTGGAAGCTCTGATCGGACGAAGATTTGAAATTTGTCATACCGAAATGGTCCGCATGGATGGCGATTGGTCTGACGCGGGGAAGAATGGCCCATTCAGGTGATATCATCTAAAGTCAGGTCAGTGTATCTTCGACAGAGCTATGCTCCAATGGCAGGGATCTGCCCACAAGTTTGCTCCCGGGAACAGGTGACGTTGCAAAACAGCAAGTGGTTCTGATGTTGCTCTCATTTGCAACCAGGTCACGAAATTTTTTCTGCATCTCCGCGAGGCCATCCAGATCATCCATGTAGGGCGACCAGTCCTGCAACTGGGCCGTTTTCTTGGAGGCGATCCCGATTGACCTTGCAGACAAAATAGCCCACTCTGCAAGGCCGGCACGAAAGTGGGGGGTGCCGAAAAGGAAGATTCCGTGGGTAAGACTTAGAGCTCTCTGTGAAAGCCCTCCCTCTAGGAGTGTCACAGGCCAGAGTTTATCCGAATCCCTTTCTCTCCATGTCTCCTCGTGGACTGGGTGTTGGCGATAACTTTCACCCTCACATGCGATGGAGAAACAAAGAAATCGGGTTGTGGTTGCCGGGCGGGAAGGCACTTCTCTTATAGGGCTGCAGGCTGCTCAGGGGTGGAGTGCATGTGGTATCGGGAGAACAGATCGTCTCGAACTTGTGGGGAAGGTGCGCCGGGCTTAAAGCGAAGTGTAGAGGACGAATCGCATGTATCCCACCTCTTTTTGGACGTGGTCACCAGCTACTATAGAGGCATCGAATAATTGAGCCATTGCGCCATTTGAGTATATTAAAATGAGTGAAGTTGAGTAAGATAAACAAAAGGAATGAACGGAATAACGTTATTTCGCAAAATCAGAACTGATATTAGAAAACTTCTCGAATTTCGACGAATTGAGGCCCTCTCTAGTCAACGCCCTAATCTCGTCACTGCTAAATAGTCTAAGTACACTTGGCGCCAAGCCCTTATGCACTTACAGTTGTTGCCACAAGGCATTCTGCGACAAGAGCAACGAATGCGGGTTAACTGACCACCACAGGCCAACCGAGCAGCTCTTCGAAGAGGCAGTTTGCGCTTATTGTCGCCTAGGTCCTTATCCACAGAACGCCAGAGCGATCGTGGGACGATACTCCGTATTGTCGCCAGTTGAATGAGACTCCATTTCTCTGGCCTCACAGGGGTCGAGTTTGGCGCCCAAATAGGTGCGACAGCCACGCCCGAGGTATCCCCTGTTCCTTGGCATATCAACTGACTTTTGAAGCAGGCACCATCTAGTGCGCTGATGTGGGCCGCCAAAGCAGATCTCGCGTGCCGCAAGCATGCAGTTTCCCTTACGCCGGCTTCAACCGCTCAGCTACAACCTACATTGCTCTCGGTACTCTCTCCTCACAAGCGAAACGGTGCGTGGACGCACGAGCGCACCAAAAGGATACGCTTGAATGCCTTCGAATCGCCGAAGAATTCATAAACAGTCTAAAGGGTCTTCTGGTTTCATCTACTGATGATGAAAATCATTCATGGTGGGAAAGACGTTCATTTGATGAAATGGCAAAGCAAACTGTACTCTACCGTTCTCGGTCGGTGGGACACTGAACGAGTTCTTGATTTGCGTCACCCGGGAAATGAATATATAGGTAACGAACGATTCTCGACTATGAGCGTTACATTGTACAGACAAGCCAGGACGAGGCCGATCATTTTTGAAAAAGGCAGCGTCAAGCGTTCTAGCGAATGAAATAATGCACACTCCAACTTGGAAGGTTCTTTTTCCGTCGTCTGAACATCCTCCTTATGGCAGGTTCAACATACCCCATCCTGTCACAAGTATCGCCGCGAATGCGGACACCACAACCCCCGCGCGACTAGCCATGAGGGCAGCCGCTCCACTTTCTTCGACGGCCGGAGCACCAGTGCTCTCGGCAGAGCCTCCATCAGTACCCGAAGGCTCTTCAGGCGCCATGTTGCCGTGGTATGGTGTCTGAGTGGGCTCTGGGTCCAGGGTCGTCGTCGCCTCAGGCACGCCGCTCGTGAAAGGAACCTCGTCAACAACCGAGGTCGCGTCGGGAAATGCTGGGAGACCCGATGTCTGGTTCGTCGGGGGCGGGAGCTGGCCGCTCGTGCCATCGCGCGTGGCGTTGGGGTTCAGGACACTATTTATCGTCGCATTACGGTAAGAATCGAGCACGCTTCGTCCGAGAGAAAACTGGGTCCGGGATGACACTTACTTGTCAATGACATGCATCACGCCGTTCGCCACCAGGATATTCGCTTGCACGATCGCGGCGGAATTCACGAAGATGATGCCATCGGCCGTGATGTTGAAGGTGATGTTCGTGCCCGTGGTCGTGATCCAATTCTCGTGATCGATCCGACTCGTATAAATCGGCACCGTGTCATTGATAACGTGGTACATGAGTATCGTGTGCAATTCATCTGGCGAAAGATTCGTTAATGCAGACGCCACGGATTCGAATGCGTCGTTGGTCGGCGTGAAGAAGGTGTTGTTACTCCATTGTGTCCAGGCGAAGGATGCATTCGAGACAGCGCCGACGAGAGATGTGAGGCCCGCTGCCAGGGCGGCGTCCGTGACAGAAGGCGGGATCACGAGGGCGTCGTCGATGATGTGGATGAGGCCGTTGGCGAAGTGGATGTCCTAATGAAAACGCCTTAGAAGACTAGCCGGACGTGTTTATACGACGAAACCGAGAGGCGTACCGATTCCACCACCTTTGACTTGGAATTGTAGCCAGAATAAAAAACGACTTCGGTGTCGTCGTCCGACGAATTCGAAGATGCCGCATAGACAGCCTGCCCACCGGTGACATTCACATACGCCGGGTTTGTCAGCAAAGTTTGGATGAACCGACCATCTCGAGTAATTTCGGAAGCTGGGAATCGGCCGTTGAGAACGTGGTAAGCGAGCGCCGCTTCCAGGATTTCAGAAGAATTGTCCCCTCGAGGAAACAAGTCTTGGAGGTCCTCGATGGCATCGTTTGATGGAGCGAGGAAGGTGATGTCAGAGGAGGAATTGAGAAAATCCGCAAACGAAGGGACTGTTTGGAGGAGAGAGTTGAGACGAGATAGGTCGGAGTGGGAGGAGAGTACGGACAGGAGGTCCTGTGCCAGTACACCCGTCACCAGGAGCAAGAAAAGTGATATGAAAAGTCTCGAAAGCTGCATTACGAGATAGATGCTTTGCTCCGAGGATCCCAAAAGTTGCAGAATATAAGAGGATCGTAGAGGCATTCGTCCTCGATTGATTGTTATATCATCATTGGTTTTGACCGTCCTGGCGCCATGCCACCTGCACCTAAGTCATGAGCAGTACGGAATTTTATATCCTACCAGTCAGATGTTTGTCAAGGAGGAGGAGTTTGCCAATGTTTCGCGGCAGACGTCAGAAACACGGCCTCGAGGGCGAAACCAACAGCGACAAGGCTCGGCACCAAGAACACGAAGCCGACAGGAGCTCAAGATCATTACGTGGCCTCCACTTTACTAGAATATCTCATACTGAAGTAGGACAAGTGATTAGCGAAGTTGAAGGATGATGAAGTTGAGGGGGCAGATGAAAGGGGAAACACTGCGGTATAGTTCTTCGGGTGTGGTTGAGGGATTACGCCGCTACTTTTATTGTCGATATAGGAGCGCCTCTCTTCTTTCCCTGACCTTGTCCTTCATACTCCTTCCTCCTCATTTCATGCTGATATCAGTCCTGATCTCAGAGCGCCGTCTTCGGTTGATGCACAAACGTTCAGTATCCCTTTTGTCGGGAGCACGCAGTGTTGTCTTGAGCGGACGTAACTTTTCTGGCGAGCTCACCTACAATCCTATAGGACGAGAGAATGGAGCAAAATGGTGAGGATGATCAGATCCCAAAAGAGAAAATAGAAAGGAGGAAGTAAAATGCGTAAGAATTAAGGACTTTAGGGTGTGCTAGGATTTGTGCTCGCGAAGCAGGCTCGTCTGCTGTAATTTTATCATCTTGCACGACGAAATCGGGTTCCAATGATATCCAGCCATCTGGCCCCGGATTCAATTCGCCGTTACTGCTGCAATTCCGAACAGCCAGTCATCGGAGACGGTATGGACAGCTTCAGTATCCCCATGGTTAGGAGATCCCATTGATCGCAAGTAGGAATTGATGAAATCTTTGTAGCTCGAGTTAGACTAAAAGCTCTGCTGAATGTCATCTACCGCTCATGTGAAAAGATCGTTGGACTTCAATCTGGTGGCTCGTCGCAAAAGGGGAGCATGTCTAGGTCTGAATTCAGGCCTCTGCATCCATTCAACGAATACGAAAGACGTGGTGAGTGCGGCATAACCATTCCAATCGCACGGGAATTGACCATGATTGGAGGCCTGCAGCGAGAACACTGAGCTTCCTGGAGACCCAGATGATTTCAGCCAATCGCGAAAAAGCAGGCACGAAATAATGTGATCAATGTGAGTACCCGTAGAACTTCTCCCTAGCTTATTGATGCGCTTTTGCAAATCCTTCAGGTATCGAAGATCGCGTCACAGCACATTTATAGAGGTGTTCTACCACGCTTCTTTGGCAGAATGTCATGAAACCGTCTTGGTACGATCCCATGTTCGTTGGCCAAATCGGGCCGACTCAGGATCATGGCATTGGCTCCCCAGTAAGCGGTGTCTTCATGGTCTTCCTGGAAGTCCTCGGAAGAAAGGTCAGATAGTTGAGGATCAAACTTTCCCCAAATTTCCAAGTCCTGGTACGCTCGACCAGTTCTGAACCATGATATACCAGCATATCTCTTCACACGCGACTTACTGTAGATTTTGTGACGACGACGTGAGATTTAGTCCGAGCCGACCGAACACAGTTGATCGCTGCAAGCACAAACCGAGGATCCGGCAGTCGGTTTTGTGTTTTGAGATCGCGAAAATGACAGTACATGAGGAAATGTACGTCAAACGCCTGTTCGTAAGCCCGTAAAATGTGGAGCATAGTAGCAGCATGATTCAGTCGAGCAATGTCTTCGCTGCTGGACTCCTCCCCCCGAGAACAAGATAGGTAGAGCCTGTGGCTCGTTCGGAAGGAAAATAAGCTCGTAATCCTAGTGTTATGAGCAGGAAATTATTGTGACGGAGATCCCATGCAGGTGCGTGGACCAAAATAGGAGTGGGTCTATCGTCACCTTCTTGACCCTGTTTGGTTGAACATTGCTCTTGCGGATGATCTCCGTCGTGGAAAACAAAGACCGCGAAGGCGTCTTTGCCAGTCGGGTCCGAATTTCAATTTGATTCAAATTGATCGAGGGCCACGCGGGGCCAATTTGCGGTGCCCTGCACACTCAATATATCGTCACCGCCTATTAGGTTGTAGTTCTGAGGCGCGGAGGCGGCAACCAACTCAGGGTGTCGGTTCCCAGATGATGTCGTGGCTGTTACCTCTGATTGACTCCGGTTCTGTACCGAGAAAAAAGCGTCGGACGTCCCTGTGGGAAGAGCACCTCCCTGAGGCTGCGCCAACGGTTGGTTTTGACGATTAATGAGCCTTAGATTTCTTCGCAGTGTGTCCACCACGGCTTCTTCTGTTCTGGCTTCCCGACTGGCACCCTCCTCGTTGAGACGTAGCAGTATAGGTTTGCTGTCTTCCGACTCTTGCTCTGTCATTCTCTGGTTATAGCGCGAGGACAATCCGTTCTCTTCGATGACCATTAGACTAGGCTGACTAGGCCAAAGGGCCTGGGTCATTCTTGAGGGGTTCATTATAAACTATGCACTGCAGTGATGGAGGACTTTTAATGAGAAGAAATAAATGGGGTACGAAAGTCGGCATCATAGAAGAATTCATGGTTCAAGATAACAGACGAGAGACAAATCCATCAGGCTGAAGAGACCTACATACCTGGTAGCAAGTGAGTGACTCCACAGTCACGATTACCGAGTCTGGAATAGAGCAGGATTGCCATCCATACCAATCACGGCCTATTTCAGAAAGCCAGTGGGCTAGGCATGCACCGCTCGACATTTTCACGCGTTCAACAAGCCAACCAACTCCCCAAATTCTTCTCCTATCTCTTCCCTATGCCTGGTCCAGAAGTTCGAGTACGTCGCTTTTCTGTACGACCTTCATTCTCACTCCAGCGAGCACCTGCTTCCACAGTTTAGCCGCCTTATCCCCACCTTGACTGTCAATACTCCCCCGTGGCAGGCTTCCCGTTCCGTTCATTGAAGAGGTAATCGATCACGTTCTTGATGCTCGTTAGGTAGCCCCAATTTTGCTGCGGTGTAACAATCCAAACCGCTTAGAGCTACTTGATGAGCTCGGACCATACGCGCATATGTGCGTGGGCGTAACCTGCCGAAGACTAGATGGTGTGTAGGACAGCTAGTTCGTCGCACAAAAGAACGGAGGGTGGTCGGCGAGATCGATCAGTGTGAACTCATATGATTTGAGATGTGTGCTTGAACCGGTACTGCTGGACTGTGCTGATTTACAGGCCGCAACGGGGATGGCGCTGGCCCAGGGAGGGGGAGTTCGCCGACAATTTACCTCCGCTTGGCAACATTCAAACGACGCGTCTCAGCCAGAACGCGACAAAGCCACCCACCCGGCTTCAACATCATTCACAGCACCACCCCAAGATCATGGAACACGACAGTGATGGCCACCTGGAGAGAGCGAGGCTATGTGCCAGATTCTGATGACGATGAAGAAGAGGAGGAAGCTGAGGCCGATCCAGGGCTCAACCATGACAACACCAAAAATTTTGAGATCGGTTCCACTGGCCAACCATCTCACGCTAGACGGTTAAATGAGACCACACACGACTTTCCCTCCGATGTCGCCATCGACACCACAAAGCAATGCGACCAGCCTTCCGGCACACGAGGCGAGGACAGTGTTAGCAACAATGTCGACAGATTCTTTCCGCACCTTCATCCACCGGAAAATGTGACGGCCAAGACTGCTGAGCGAAATCTAGCCCATAAATCGCTGTCGTCGTTGAAGTCCTCCAGTCCACCAGCTACAAAACTTGAGGTGGAACTCCACGAAGGCCTGCAGGTCGTACAGGGCATGCTCCGGCCATTGGGGAATGAAATTCAAGATGACATCGACAGTCCACTGTCCTCGCTTCCGTCGTCGCTGCAAAGTTCTCCTCGACAGGTTCCCTTGGCTAAAGGGAGGCCAAATGTCGTTCCTGACATCGAAAATTTGGAAGATTTGACGAGAAATGGAACTTCCCGTGATATGTCCTCCCTGGCTACCGGCAGACGATCTTTCAGACCTCGAGCTCCAATTCAACTACATCCCTATGCACTCGAGGATGCAAGATACAGACAGAGCCTGAGGGATAGAGGCGTACGACCCGTCCGTCTACCAGGTGAGTCTTCCGGACCACAGAATCATTCGGAGGAGGATTCCCAGGGCGCCGAGACATATGAAGGCAGCCCAATGGACAGTGACCACATTCCGCCGTCGGGCCCAGTCCAGGATGTTGGCGATGATGAGTCTCCAAGTCCAGTCCGTGGCGGCCGAACCCATCCTCTGGCTCCTGACGTCCCTGTCGGCGGCGGGTTTCCCGAGTTGTCGAACATTTTGAAGGACCCTCCGCCCAAGAGGTTGAGCGGTGCCACAAAACGCCTGAAGACAAAACACCATCTTTCGACACACCGAGGGGGCGCGCGTGATGATGAATTTCGCATCTTCGATCTTCCGGCAGACGATGACGTCTCTACGAATGACCCACGAATGGATAATACAGTCTTCAGGATTCCGCCATCCCCACCTCGGTCTCGTGGTACTCTATCATCCCAAGACAGTGTGTTGGCCAGTAGCAACGAAGCAGGACCAGACAATAGCCCACCTGCTCTCCTTCCAACTCCGTTGTTATCATCGGAGAACCATGGTAGGAAACGTGTGTTGGTCGAAACTCTCAGCTCTTCTGATTCAGAAAACATTCTTATCAGTGATGACCCGACCGCTTCCTCAAGCCCATCTGACAGTTCCGAAGATGATTCTCAAGGTGTCCAACGAATGCGACGCAAAATGAGGGGTGTCTTGCCAGCATCCTGGCTGAAGCTTGATATTACGCAGCAGAAGAATAGGCAGACTTATCGCCACCAAGGTCGATCACCGTTCAAATCAGTGGTGGAGAAGGGTATAGCTCAACGCATCTCGACGTCCGTTACGAGAAGGAATCGTGGTGATACATTCCACTTTCCACCGGATGTTGAAATGTTGTACGCTTCATCAGAGAGCGATTCTGACGAACCGGCCGTAGCCAGAATGGACGGCCTCGATCATGAAGTCCCTGGAGAATTTGAAGGTGATGTTGTTGAGGACGATGTTGTTGATGCTGTGATTGCCCCGAGAGCGAGGAAAGCTCCTATTGAAAAGAGACAGCTCGGTCTAAAAGGTGCTTGGTCGAGATCGGAGAGAGCGAAGCCGGGGAGAGGACGTGATGTTGCCAGACATTCTCATCCTGCTGCAGGAGCCACAGGATGGGCCTCAAAATCGACGGAAAGGGGGCGACCGTACCAAACGGTTAAAAACAAGCACAAAAGACCACAGATGACTGTTTTGGACGCTCCTGGCCTCAGAGACAAAGATGTACCACGGTTTCTGAGGATTGCAGCGAGACGACAGGAGGGATTCAGCGAGAGGGTGACTCAAGACCCATCAACGAAGTTCTTCAAACTGGCAACAACAGCGGACACTTTGGATGTGAACGAAGAGTTGGGTCGATGGACCGGCCGTCGCAGTAAGAACTATCCTCCTGCCTTATCGAGCTTGAAATCCCCAAGGCGCCCTCCCTCAATAACTCAGCTGCGCCGGGACGACGGCACAAGGCTGGGCAATGCTGCTGGAATCTTGCACCCAGATTCCACTCAACTCACTTCCTTGAAAGAAAACACGAAAATCACCCTTGACCGAATTCGAAAATGCCACGACCAAATTCGACCCTTACCTCCAGAATCTCATTCGAATCCTCAAATTCCCTCAACAGCACTCCTTGACTATTTCGAGCCTCAATTGATCCGTCGCAACCAACGCGGATCCGGCCAACATCGTGCCGGTCTTGAAGGCAGAACTGAAATACCTGAAAGCACAGTCATACCGTCTAACCCTCTCCCACTTTTGAGACGCATACCAAAACCGGCACGAGGAACAAGAGAGCCCCGTAATCTATCACCGGGACCGAAATCTTCCACAAGCTCTGCGCGGACTCCTCATCACAGGAGATCTCGCGTTCCAAGGTAAAATTACGTCTCTAAATGCTAATTCATGTTGACTAACCCAACGGCAGAAAGCAGCGCCCCATGGCGTTCCACGAACAACATGGCGACATCCGCAGCGGGCAGACGGAAGGAAGTCTAGTGTCGGGCGATCTTTTGGATCTCACAGACAATGATGAAGACGATATCATCTCTCAGGCAATCAAACATCCTCCCGGAAGAAAACATCTCTCCATCAATCCCTCGATTCTGACATCGACCCTCATAAGAGACGGACTCCTTCAAACGACTCTGTCGTCAATGGAAAACTTGTCTCGTCTTGTCATACCTAATAATAACTACACTTCAATTACAGCACCGAAATCTGATCAGTCATGGTCTTGCACTGGTTGGTCCGCAGAAGCTGGAACGATAATACAGAAGACATTTGCGGAGATCCGTTCCGTCGTTAGCAAGGAAGCCGGGCAAGCTCTCCTATTGACAAAATGTGGAGAGTCGGTCGAGTCCATCGTCAGATATGTCAACCAGAGTCTATTCTTCAATGACCTTTCTGAGCTTGATGGATTCACCATATCAATTCTCGACCAAATCGACCAGCTTGTCCAAGTGATCAACTTATCCGAATGCGCAAAAGCCGATTCTCACGCATCTGGAATCCTGAGCATCTTGAGTCGTGTTATGGTTCTCGGATTTCAAATTGCCAAGATCACCACAATGACAGGAGTGGGAGATACATCTCGTATGACGAGCTTGGTGAGCCGCAAGACGGTGACTACTTTGGCGTGGTCACTAGCTTTGCGAAAGGAACAAATCGGCGGGCTCTTTTCTTACATTGCTGGTCTATCAGGAAGTGAGTCTGTCTCGGACGCATCAGACTTCAGAACCTCCCTTGCACAGATAGAGGCCATCATCCTGGTCTATCGTCTGGGCGCTGGCCAGTCATGGGTTGACCATCTGAACCATTTCCTGTCCGTCCATGTGAACAATAAGTCTGTCGGATCGTTTCCAGCAGAAACACTTGCATACACCATTCTCATACTGGCCTGCATCTATTCAGTGGTGGGTGCAGATGACCTCGTGGCAAACCCTGAGGAAGGTTCCGAGTCCTTGAATTCGTCTGGCTTCGTCGTCCTCCCAGCGGCAATGACTGAGTTCCTGAAGTTCTTCGTGAAGGAAAAGAAAAGCAAGATACCACAGAGAAAGAGAGACCGTCGAATGGACAAGTTGCGGCAATTTGGCCTGGTCGCATCCCAATGGTGTCTTTTGCTTGCACGTTGTGCTAAAGGGGACGTCGTCGACCATCTACTCAAACAAATGTTCAAACATTATTCAGACAAGACAAACAATATGCTGGACTTCTTTTCAAGGACTTCAATTGAGGTGCCAGCGTTTCTTGATCGCCAGGCTCCCGCATCGGAGCTCGTTCCGGAACCTGCTGATACCGATTTCCACCTCTTCCTAAAGATGACAGCCTTCACACTGGAAATCCCACCTGACACCGACTTTGAAGACACGGAAAAATTGAAAAGGCTTGGACTACGCAAATTGTCTCTGGTGTTCAGTTTGTTGCCAAACAGTGGCCGTGACGCCGGAACGGACAGACCACTTCTTGTCGAAGAACATGAACCATTGATGGTACAAGACCTTGCGGCGATGGCAAACCGCTACATCTTATTCTCCACTCTGTACAACTATTCTCCCGTCGGCTTCAAACCGGATCTTTCCACGGTCAAAAATCTCATCGAGTTTGGAAAGGCTCATGATGCAGTCTGTACACTTGCTCTTCGCTGCTGGGCGAGCATGGTCAAATCCGTCATCCAACAGCCAATATACCAGAACGAGCTTCACGAGCTGGCTCAGTGGATTCAAGAGATGTTTTTCCAAATAAGCGACAAGTTGGCGCAAATCCCTCCAGATGATGGTATATCACATCAAGAAGACGGGAGATGGGTTGAGTTTGAGGCACATCGTCAAAACCGAGAAACCGCCAATGCACGACTCAGCAAGATTGCGCAGACATACGCTGAAGCCATCGAGCTCTGCCTCAATGAAGATCAGGCCCGAAGCCTCTTGAAAGGAAATCGCCTCCACAATCTGATACATCTCTGCAGCGCAGGAACTCACCTCGATGACCAAACCATCAATCGCATCTTTGAAGTTCTTACCGGTTACCTCAAGAAAGCCTCCTATACGGTCAACGAACTGACCACGGAAATGAGACCAAATATTCGGGGAGCTATTGTCAGCCAGCTCGACCGTTCCCTGCCCCCACTCGATGACGCTGTATTGGTTTCAATCGTCGAGACATGGTTTGCCATGGCAAAGACCATGACAGAAGGAGTTGAGAGCTGGGATGTTTACCTTTCCACCTGGGGCTCCCATTCCTTCAGCCAAATGGCCGTCACAAACACATCGAGACAATGCCACATCTTGATGATGAGCAAGGTCGCAGCTGACCGGGTGCACGTCGAGAAAGACCCCTATTTCTTCCTTAGCGAATGGTTGTCGTCGATCCTCCTTCCAGAGACAGACCTCAAGTTTGAGCACTGCTTGACAAATCAGCTGGTGGAAACTGTTCCGGGCATCCTCGCCTTGGGTTCTCTGCGCGAAACGATTGCCAGTGACTCTTCCAGATTCTTGTCCGGCCGGGAGGACCTCATCGAGCATCGCTTGACGATCATTCGCCATGTTATCCGCAGCATTTACCATTTACAGCATACTGACGACGCCACTGCGAGCTATCTCACCAAAGAGAATGGCGAGCAACTGCTAAGAGTCATCTGTGAAACAATAAAGGAAACATGGCGAAAGCTTTCTGGAGACGCCAGAGCTGCATTCGCAGTGTTTATTCGCAGGGTCAAGTTCGAATTGAGCGAGTACACGTTTCCCCACTACCAAATCGACCCGTGGTTCAATGATCCATTGTGGACGAATTTCGACGACCAGATTCTCCGTGTCGAAAGCTTATTCATCCGCCAACCAAACGATGCCGAGCCTATTGAGAACGAGCATAGAGTTGAGGTCTTCCGTCTCGCCTGTGAAGTGGCATGCATCCGTGGCGAACAAGAGAAATTCATCGAGCATGTGGCCATGACATTCGCCGCAGACAACCATAACTACATCGACGACAATGGCGTCTTCCTACTCGACATCCCAGAGCAACTCTTCTTCATCAAGGCGGTCTTCCCCGCCTACATCGAGCGGGCATTCCAAGACACAACACCGACCATGCTCCTGGCATCTCCGGTGGTCTCCACCGCTAAGGGGATATTGATGAGACTCGAGACACGTATCGACCTGGAAGATCAGAGCCGAATGGAGGAGTTCGCCGAAGTAATTGCGGCTTTAATGTTCGCCGCGGTGGAGGCCATGCAGGGAACACGTTGCAACTTCACAGACTCGTTTGGCTGGGAGCTCCAAACGCTCGACAACCTCGTCTGTCTTTGCGCGGCCGCGTGCAGTCGGTGGGCGCTTCTTCATCAGCTCTTCCCGGAGTCAGAGCCCATTTCTGCCCTACAAGGATACATCCAAATGTATGCCCAATATGCATACGAATACGCCTCCTCAGCCCTCAATCGACCGTGCTTTGTCACCGACCCCGAATTCTGGGCGAGGTTCCCAGACAGCGAAACCAGGTCAGCCAAGGATTTTGGTTTCGTTCTGTCGGGGCCGGAGCTCTCTGATGTCGGTGCCGTCGCCGGTCTCAGGGAGTTCGCGGCAGACGACCTCGAATACACGGGAAGGATGGATTGGGTGCGTACCGGTCTGTCCCAGAACGGGCCGGTATGGCACTCCAATCGGCATAAGGGGAAGGTGGTCGTGCCCAGATGGCCATCCAACGAGGATGGCAAACTGGGGGCAGGTCTCGCGTTGGGAGAGTTGATCCAAGGGATCAAAGAGTTGGGCCTGGAGTAAGCTGCAGGGTCATTGTTCGTTTTTCTCTTATTTCCATCTATTAGATTAGAAACGTCGGAGTCCCGGCCTCAAAATCCGGACGAAAGATTGTTAGAGTCAAATTGGCCTCCTTGTTCTGTGTCTTCTGCAATCATGGTGTACGCTCGTCCGCTTAGGAGGTCTTTTACCGAGCCTTTTCAAACATGTCAGCAGGAGAGTTCACGCTGTGTACCCATATCCAGGTGACCCTGCGGTGACAGAGGAAACATCAGAGTCATCGTGCGTAGTCAATGGTTGGAGAAGACGATCTTCTGGGCAGCATGCATTCAGCTTTGTGGAATCAGGGGGGGAATGAGACCCGGACGCACGCCAGAGACGTGCCGGGACAATGCTGGGTCGCTGGGGAGTTCGGGGATAGGAAACTTCAACAACTAATCTTCCATTGATCCATACCCGTCTCCAGATTCAACAGCGTCTGACTTGTGATACGGGATACAACATGGAGTATCTTGAATACTCGAAGTAAATAGTTCACGAGGCTGGATGCCAAGATACCATTATCGATAAGCAAATGATGAGTGAGTGTTGCCGGGCAACCAACCTTATCGGATAAACATGGCACTTTCGTAACCCCAAGTCTTTCCTCTGCTGTGACTTGACTGATCTTCTCCAGTTCCCTTGTCAGGTTGAGATCACGGCAGATTCCAACCCTTCCTTTGTCCTTCTGCTGACCTGTCTAAGCAGCAGCGTTCCTGCGAGAGAATGGGTGTCAAGCCTCCTTTCATTTACGACCGACCCAGCACCTATACATTCAGCGGCCCTACTGATCAAGGCTTCAGCCCTAAAGCCGTCACTCAAGCATCGTGGACTCCAAGACCTTCCAAGCCCAAGCAGAATGGTCCTCTCATTGATTTCAATAGGCATCCTGATTCGGTATGTCGTTTTTGCAGAAGATACGCAGAACCTGGAACCTGACGAATTCCCAGTACGTAGTTGTTCCTTACGGCAACCTCAGTGCCAAATCTCTGAACCCTAACACGAAGAAACGAATCACCCGCGCCCGCCAGATCCAGCTCTTCCTACGAGCATGCGCCTTGCTGGGGGCCGTGGGAATCCTCTTCTGCGTCATCGCCATCAACAAGACTTCCGCCGCCGTTGGTTGGATCATTCGGCTTGCGCCCTCCGTCGCTCTTTGTCACACTGTGTATGGCATCTATCATCTTTGCCGAGCCGCCACGGGCCGGACTCCCGCTTCGACCGCCAGCTATATGATATTCGCCGCTTTGATGGATAGTGGTTTAATTCCATTCTTCGTCTTTTCAGCTTGGATGGCAAACGCAGACTATACCAATAACACATATGGCTGGAGTACTCGGTTCAATGATTCGGAGCTGTCGTACAAGATCATATGCGCCTTCTTCTTGCTTTCATGCATCGAAGGTGGTCTCTTGGTGGTATCCTTGACCATGGACATCTATTTGGGCCTGAAGTTTAAACAGATTGCTCGGTTGCCGCCCGACATGAACCCTCTCGAACCAACCCTCACTTCAAGGCGCAAGCGAAATAAGTCTGAACCCATTACGGAGAAGAACATGCAGGCATCTGCATTGGCCGCCAAGAGAGATTCGCAAGCTTCCGAATTCAAGAGAATTTCTTTCATCCATACTCGTACCGACTCGGCTGACAGTGTCACCCTCTACGGCAATGACAGTGCCCGGAACTCAAGGGCCGAGTTCCGCAAAGAGCTGGACGAGAATGGAAAGGACCCCTGGCGATGGACCAATTCTTCATCTCCTGAACGGCCTCGCTCTGCTGTCAGTCCTTCTCCAACTTCGCGTGGTGCTGGTATCGGCCTTGACTCCCGACCGGAGCGATCTTCTGGCCTGGCCAAAGAGACATCCCGACCGTCCTCATGGCTCTCATACCTAGACTACGAAGGTGTGCCTAGTAGCATGAGTGGAGAGGCTACAGCAGAGCTCGACCAGGAAGTCCGTCCCTTGTCTCCAGTATCTGCGATATCCACGCCAGATGCCTCATTCGACAAAGTTCAGCGTGAACGAGAGAATTGGTACCAAGGTGCAGCTAGGAACAGTCAGATACACCTCCCAGCAACTAACAGTCCAACCTACTTGCACCCGAACAGCGCGAGCAAGACAAATTTGAGCCCAGGATTCTTTGCACCGGCTCCTGAGCGACAGTTGAAGAAGAGAAGTCGTGAACCACTTGCCATGAACCCTCCGACGCCTACCCGTACGCCTTACCAAGACGAGAACTCCTCCTGCACACCTCTGAAAGAAGCCGGGGTATCACACAACGTTGACAGAGCCGTTCTCCACGATGCTGATGGCAACGCTCAAGCTCGACCCAAAGCGGGATTCCGACCATCAAACTTCATCGACCGTGGTGGCAAGGCCCAATTCTACGGCGACTTGAGATCGTCCATTGGCTCTACCAATTCGCACAACGACAAGAAGGAGATGGAAGTGGCGAACAAAGAAGTTGAAGATCCGTACGAGCGAACAAGAACATTGCAGACAGAAAATGACTATAGCGCCAATTTCGAAGTCTACGGCTCGGACAGCGAGGATGAGAGACTACGTGCGAACGTCGTCCAAGCCCAGCCTCTCTCGGCGCGAAAGGAATGGAATGGAGTCAGACAAGTGTCCAATTCCACCGGATATGACCTTCACGGCGGTTATGCTGAACTCGGCTCCGAGTTCGGCAAAGGTATGGGTCGCAGACGAGATGTCAGTGGGAAAGTCGTGGAAGAAGGTCGAGCTTCTCCCCCTAAGAACGGGCCCGCTGGTCGGGAAAGATCCAAAGGTCTGTAAAGGTTGATGTGAATGGAGTTTTCCAGATCGAACAGAACAAGGAATGTATGTGATCGTGATTGACTGATGGAATTTTTGAAGTCTTTGGGTAACTAAAGCAACGGGGTTTCTGCATTTGGAGATGAATATCTGAGGTTATGCGAGGCTTGACAGCCTCTTGGACGTGATTAGGATATTTGAAATTGACTAATGGGACCTGGTTAGATCTTTGAAAATGCAATGCAAAAAATAAAATTGGAGCTGTAGATGTATTGCAGCCCCAACTCACTCACATATACTTCTTGCATTCCTTCTCAGTCCAGTCCCAAAAAGCCTTGGCCTTCCCATTACCTCCCTCATCACACGTCTTCAACGACTGCATCCGGTCTTTCTTCACGTGCAAGATCCTGCCCCAGGGCGCAATGTATGTACCGTTCCACTCCGTGGTCAGCTCGGGAGCGAATCCCGACCACAACTCTGTGTACGCGCCGAGGATTGCCGGGAACAAGATGAGCCGGTGCGTCACCGTCTCCGACGCGCTCATGTACCGCTGCAGTTCGGTCTTGAGGTTTCCCGGGTTGAAGCACGTGCTGACGATGCCGTCGGCTTTGCAACGCTTGCCGTACTCGGATGCGTAGAACAGGTTGCCTGCTTTGCTGACGGCGTAGAGTGTCCTTGGGTTGGCGCTCGAGAGGTCCGGCTCGCCTTGTCCTGTCAGTGTCATACCACCGTGAGGCGCGTAGAGGTCGATGACGAGGGAGCCGGCCCACGACACCCGTACGGAATTCGGTAGGGATGTAGCGGCTGTCGCGGCCAGAATCGGGTGGAGGAACTGTGTCAACAGCCATGGACCGAGACAGTTGGTGGTCATATGGAGTTCGTATCCCTGGAAGGATAATGAAATCGTCAGTTACGTCTTAGATACATGAATGAATGGGCCGATAGATATATTTTGATGAAAGAACAGAGGAGGAAGAACACGAACTTGAGCCCCCTTCGAGCCGGCAGGGGCTCTCATCACGCCTGCATTATTACACAACCAGTCCAACCTCTTTTCCTGGCGCAGAAATTCTTCTGCGCTGCCTTTAATGGTGGTCAAATCCGCGAGATCCAGTTTGAGGAATTTGATCACGCCTGCTTTTGACGGAGATGCCGAAATAATGGACTCAATTGCCTTTTTGCATCTCTCCTCGGATCGTCCTGCCAGATAAACGGTGGCATTGTGCGTGTAAAGGATCTTACATAGTTCGTAGCCAACGCCTGTGTTTCCGCCTGTTACGATGAAAACCTGGACAGACAAGATTAGAGAAATATAATTCCTGTCTCGAGGGGACTCAGATATGTGGAGGGAAGGGTCGGGGTGGAGAGGTCTGGTGATGGAGGTTCTCACATATCAGTCATACCTTGCCAGTCTGGTCTGCCAGGTTCTTTTCCGTGAGTGTTGGTTTAGGAATGAAGAATATCTGGCTAAATGTGTTTCCCATTCTCCTAGATAGAGGTGTAATTGGTCTATCGGGCTACTAGGAGGGGGCAATTCGAGAAACCAGGGCGGAGGAGGGTGCGTCGAGTCGATCCATTTCACATGCTTTTAACTGGAACGATAATCGTCCGATTCTTGTGCTTATGTCCCTTCGAGTTGGCGTGGATAGTTGCGACTTGACGGCGTGATCTCATAGTCCAAGGGAAAGGACGAGCCAATCAGGGACCACCCTCGGAATTTCAATGCCTGAAATTGTCCCGACTCTCTCCTCCGCAGCCTCGTCAGTCGGCCGTACCAAACTTAAGTGTCGGTCCGGAAAATGCACTCCCCTATTGGCTGTGACTCAGGTTGCTACTTCTTCCCAGGTAATTTGCCACAGTCAAATCAGGGGGCAACTTTCAGACGTATTGAGTGCTCTGCCAACGGAGTATCCGCTACCGCATATAGTCCGCCGCTCTCCCCTTACTGGTCGTGTAGGGGCCCCCAAAGGAAATGAGGTCGTCGCCACTGGGACCGCTTTGGTCCCGGATAGCTAGAGGCAAGTATGCGCGGGCAAGAGGAATGGCACCACGTTCAACTGTGTGGTGAGTGTGCGCAATCGAAACAAAACTCGGGGATTTCGACCAGCTTGTTGGGGGCCGCATGATACGCCTGCAGTCGGTCGCAAATGAGATCCAGAAGAACAGGACATTTGAAGGTATGTATACAGCAATTACACAGAAACAGAATTAGCTTCTCATCGCCCTTACAGTTGCGCGCCGGACCGTGTTCTCCGACGCCAAAAGACAACTCCTGTCCGCCGAGGTTCTTCCTCACCGTCGTTATCACAAGGAGGGAGCGGTGATCATACGCGAACTTTTGAAGAACGGAACAGTCTTATGGGACACCTTCTATGATCTAGTAGGTGCCAACATTGGGGACAAGTTGCTGGAAGCAAACATATTCGCACTTCGCTTCAATTCTGAAGAGATCACCTTTCTGTCGACAGTGATGAAGCGGTATTGCGAGGGAAATTCGGCTTTCTGGGGAGGAAATTGAAAAAGTCAGATACTCGTCAGAGGGAATTAGATGCAGGCCCTGTACATAAAACTTTGCGTCAGTCTTTGTTGTGGCGCTATCAAGTCCGTTGCGCTTCCTGAATGCTAGGTTGATATCAATCCAAGGCGGCTCTGGGCCATGGTAAATCAAACCTCTCCATAAGCGATGAGGGCAGTGTGGATCAAGGGCTGGTGGAAGTGTAGTTCTCCGCTGGTGAGGTTCTCCTTCGCAACCAAAGATGACCTCTATGTGACAACGCATTGGATGGACCCGTCCTCTCCCAGGTGGTAGCATAGTCTGCGTTCTTTTTGTGAGAGAGGCGAGTATGACTATCTTTTCCTTCCGGCGAAGGTCTGAAGATGGTAATGTCTTTTTGTGCCTGCAGAGCCTCTCGCGCCTCCCTCACCTCCTTCGCCTTCCAGGCCATTTCGGAGCAGCGTGGTCGACGGGAAGGGTTACGGGTCCGGGAGAAGGCCGAGATCGGTTTCAGGTTCGAGGGTCTCGTAGAGTAACAGAACTGGTGCCAGACCGGGTGGCTTTGCTTAGGGTCTTGCAGCGCCGTGATGGGTGTTCTGAGCATGGGTTGGGTCTGTAAACAGGCAAACTTCCGCGAGGCTGAATTCTCCAAATCTGGAAAGGTGACCTGAGCACATGTTCTCTGTTTCGGTCCTTTCTCGATCATTCTTTTGCCCAAGCTGAAATGGAAACCCATCCTCAGGCTCTGCTCCTTCTGAAAAGTGAACAGCATCGAGATCCTCCCTTACGAAATTTGTAGGCTGTTCGACGCCAAAATCGTCGTCGGTAACACTGTCTTCATCACAAGCGGGTTGTGAGACGGGGTCGGCCACCGAGTCGCACTAGTTACTGTTGTGAGGGCGGACAAGAGCGAGCTGTGTCCTGTCATCCCGGGTCAAAACTGTGGCCGCTGACCTTCTCATTCAGCCCTAGAGTCATCAGTTAAAATGGCATCTGAAAGAGCTCTATATACTCTTTCCCGATCCCTCAAGCGCCTCCCGTCCAGAACAGCTGCATTCTCCGTCCAAGTCGACAGCACACAGCAGACCCGCTGTGCCTCAAGACTATCGTCCGGTGTCCTACAGAAGGACCAATACGCACAGAGTCTATCAATATCCTGCCACCGCCAACCCAAGCGACATTTTACTACAACCCTCGCCGCCCGCAAAGACGACTCCTCTTCGTCGACCTCCACCACTCCACCCACCATCTACACCTTCTCCGAGATCCAATCCCTCGCCGACACTCCCTCTCCGAACCGGATCCTGATCGACGTCCGCGAGCCCTCTGAGCTGAAATCCACCGGCAAAATCCCAGGCAGCTATAATCTGCCCATCACATCTGCGCCTGACGGTTTCTTTCTGCCAGCCGAGGAGTTTGAAGAGAGGTTTGGATGGCAGAAACCCGGGGAGAAGGACGAAGTCATATTCTACTGCAAAGCCGGCGTGAGGAGTCGAGCCGCCGCGAAATTGGCTGAACAGGCTGGCTTTGGGGGCAAGATCGGTGAGTTCCCAGGAAGCTGGATTGAGTGGGAGGGGAGTGGAGGGAGGATTGAGAGGGAAAAATGAGCACCGGAAATGAAGCATTAAAATCAAAGACGCATGAAGGCTGCATTTTCCATCAGTGATAATGAGTCTGCATACAGATTGACTTGTGACAGAAACTGAATGATTCAAACCCACGAGGAACCCATTGATTTGAACCTGCTTCTGTGACGGCTGGTCATTCTTGAGGCATTTTCTAGGTCTCGGACAGCATCTCCATGGCACTTTCCATCCCAACGTCCTCATCACCTTGCACATCTGGTGATTGCCCAATTTCCAAGCCACTTAAATCCCTAATCAGGTTTGCTGAAGCATTGGGAGGGCTCGTCGCGAGGCTAATTCCCTCTTCGCCTTCCTCTACTGGGTTTTCCTCCTCCTCCTCGTCTCCAAAGACGTCTTCTCTCCTCCTATCCTTTAGCCACTGCTCAATCTTTTCCTCTGACCTATTCACCGCCCTCAAAAGGGCCTTCACACTTAGACATGCCGTCTGTGCCGCTTCCTCGTGGAAGATTTTCACCACTTTATCCGCCCTATCGAGATCTGCGATATTGCGCAGATGGAGATACTTTGCGCCGGGGCGAAGGATCTCGAGGCCACGCTCGGCTTCTTCCTCGATCGAGATAGCCCTCCGCGATGTGAGGGAGGACTGGACGGCCCTGATCCGCATTTCTAGGCGATCTCGTTCTTCTCCTTCGGCCTGCTCGTTCCGCTCTCGAGTTTGGATCGGTTCGGGAAGGTTGTAGAGTGGGAACATGTCAAGGATGTCTCTATCAATGCCACTTTGTGGAGATTTCTGCGACTGGGCTCCGGCGGCGGACGTGATCCATGTTCGTTGGTACCAGTCCATGTATTGGTCGAGCTGCTCGTCAGTCATTTCCATTATGTCGTGATCGGTGATGTGGATTTCGGAGCCAGATTTCAAGCCGGCCGGATCGGTTGCACTGGAGTTCTGGTCGAAGCTGACTTTCGCATCAAGCCATGCCGACCAGTTCATTTTCAGAGTGGTCGGATCGTTGTTCCGTTTCGGGTAACGCTTCACAGTCTCTGGGTCGAAGGGAAAGAGGAGTTTGGTGGCGATCACCACAAGGGACATGAGTTGAGCTTCGGGGTATGTGGTCGGCTGCCGTCTCGTTGAATCTGATTGTGATCGATGGGGATAAGAGAAGGCGTAAGTGGTTACGGTATTCAACCGGCGAGCAGTACTGTAGACCTCTACCGGCAGAGCAAGTGATCGAATATATTGGAGAAGGAAAAGATTGTGGTTAACCGGGGGGAGAATCATGCCGAAAGAAGAGCTGTACATCACGGCGCAATGGAACACAGCTTTTTGAAGGTCGTCTGGTTGGAGAATACTCATTGTGTCCAAGGACATTTGATATTCGCCTGGTAAACGATCTTTCATCTCCGGGGGTACATGTCTGATGGCACGGATGAATGGAATGTCTTCTTGCTGGATCCATCTGCCATAGGAATCTGATCAGCAGAGGGTCTCATGCAAAGGAGGCATATCAGAAACTACGAACCTCAGCATGGTAGCTAGTCCAATTGTTCTCCGCAGCAAAATCACACCCAGGTAGGTGAGCGCCACTGTATCGACAAGTGTTGGACTGTCGCATGTCGATTTGTGCTTCTTTTGCCATTGGCTTTCCCCGTCGGTCTCGAGATCGGTGTCTGTTTCGTTGCCAGCATCCAGTCCGAGCTCCTCTTCGCTTTCTGGATCTGGGAGAGCTTCGGGGTCTGGGGATTCTTGAAGGCGGTGTTCCAATCTCGAAAGCCAAAGAGTCCACAAATCTCGAACAATTGTCTGGTGCATTGTGAGTTTGACATGCTGGGAGAGAGACATGGGTGGATGTTGTCCATGCTTACCCAAAGATCTGGCGGTAAGCCTTTTCGGTGGACCAGGGTGTGGCATTGCTTCCAGAGGATAAACTGCCATGACTGAAGAAATAGTTGATATGCTTTAATCCCATGGAGCACTGTCCAGTCTTCCTTAGCACGGTGACCTTTTTGTCCCGGAGCTTGAAGAAAAACATGCTCAGCGATTACGAGCAGGTCTAGCGGGACTTACCTTTTGTCATCCTTTGCTTTTCTTTCGTTTCTCTCTTCCTCACGATGTTACCTCGTTGCAGAAAGTCCTGTTCATCTTCACCAGTGACAGTCCTGCCTCGGTCGTGCCCATTTCTGCAATACCATCTGCCGTCTTCCACATAAGACCAGGCGATGCCACACTGCTCACAGGGTTCGTCTTGTTCGAAATCCATGGCTTTGGAACGGCCGTCTGAATTGACATGACGAATCGATACATGGATGAAGGAGGTCAGCAAAGCAAGCCACTCAAGAAATCTTTGTATCACACCCAGAAGACTCGGCTCCTGAAAATCTCTTGATCTGGGTCCCACGATGGTTCACGCAGTGGAAAGAGAACCCATCCCGAAAGAGAAATATCAAGTCGGAAAATATAAACTAGACTACACGGGCCAATCAAGATTGGGGGATTTGTGGCCCTGGACTTTCCAAGGCTGACACTTTCCACACAATCTCAATGATCGATACAAGGAATTTCATGGTTCTGGTAATTGCTCTGGATGGTCTAAATACCGATTTTTCCAAAAATAAAAATGCAGGGCTATCGATTTGTCACCGAGTGAAAAAATTGCTTTTCAGGCACAGTCACTGATCTATGGCCCAGGCTAGCTCTAGGCAAATCGGGAATCCTCGCCTGCTAGATTTTTGCAAGAGCAAACTGCCCCGGCACCAAAACGCTTTAAGTATCATGTGCTTCTCGTCATGCATAGGTACAGCAGGCGCGAAAGGTGAGTCGCAGATATGCTATTGTTTCCGAGCCATTTATTTGGGGGCCTCTTTGGCATCCATGGCACATTCCTCTCCCATGGCGGTCAAGACAATGACATCTGGATGTCGGGTCAGTCCTTGTCACAGCATGGATTCTCGGGGAAAGTCTTACTGGTATCCTTCTCTTCAGTACGGAAAAGTCTCTCGATCTTTTCGCCCACTTCACCCTCCGGCATCTTGACATCATCCTTGGTGGTGCCGTCGTCGGACATGAGGGACAAGAAACCGTCATCCGTGATATCAAGCTGTGTCCGCATCAGTATCCTGTGGCGAGATTCGTATGTGTTGTCATCTATATCCTCTTACCAACTGGTATTCACGGCGGGTGACGTTGGGAACTTCCATGTTGTGGGTGGATGGAGAAAGGTCTTCCAGCTTCTTGCCAGTGAAGATGTCGAGGGCAACCAAGTGAACCTTTGCATGACCATGCTTGCCAGTCTTGGAGGTGGACATTTCAACAATCTTGCATGGGCGGCCCTTGATGACAACGAAACCGTTCTTTCTCAAGGCCGAACATTGCATAGGGTAGGTGGCTGAAGCACCGGCATCGGCGGATTCAAAGGTGTGCTCATGCTGGAAGACACAGTGTAGTTAGCCCGTGAATCGACGGGAGAGATGGTTTGAAATCAAAATTTCCACTGCGACGCGCCGACCAAGTGCGCCAGCGCACCAAGCCTGAGAAGGGGGTCAGAATAAAGCGTACCTGGGCGTCGTCCGCCATGGTGAAAGACGAAAGAGTGTCGCTGAAAGGAGAGGATAAGATGAAGAGATGAAATGAGTCGGTGTACGACGAAATCGAGGGTTGTAGAGGGTGGGATGTTGGAGAAGATCCCAAGCCAGGCCCAAGTAAAATATCGATGTAAGTGGGATTGAGAAAGAGAAAGCGGGGGGGAAATACAGCTTGTCAAATGACACAAATGACACACGGTCGAGGTGGGTTGTGTGTGTCAAATGTCGGCCAATCGATAACGAAAGGCGGCTAGCCTCTTTGGGCACGGTGAAGCTTGGCATGTTTGTTTGCGACGACGAGTTTCAAGGTAACTGTGCTGTGTTCAAGTTTCTTGAACCTACAATGTATCTCGTTTGATTGGAAGTTCAGTTTCGGAATGTGGCTGGACCGGTTGACCGCGGGCCAGGCGACTCCCAGCGGCTCACTCACTCCCCCGAGCTCAAGGCCATACTCTCCCATTCCTCGCAAGAACGCTCACCTTACTCCTCAGCGGACAGGACTTGGCCTGTCTGCATCTAGATCCTCTACCTCTCTTGACCTCAGCGCCAACACATCTACCGCGTCTCTCACCTCTCCTCCCAAAAATCCCAATGTATCTTCATCACGATTCGAGCAGAGACCTCCTGCCGATGTTCCCGATCCATTGAAAGCTCTCCGAGACATATTAGGTACTTCGGTGGATGATGCAGACACAGCATCAGGCTCTGTTGCACCGGGAAAATCCAAAGATGGCGATATTGATTTTGGAGGACTCGGTCTTCAAGAGTTTGTCGACCGGGACGTAACCTCGCAGCTCGAGGCTGTCAACTCCGCGGTTCACGTCCCGGCCAAAGAGAATCGGCAGAAATATGAAGATTTTCACAATTCAATTGCAGAATGCGATCAAGTCCTCAAGACCGTCGAAACCTACTTGACCAATTTCAAAGCAGAACTGGGTCAAGTGTCTGCGGAGATCGAGAATCTGCAAGCCCGTTCCATTCAATTAAACGCCAAGGTGGACAATCGTCGTAATGTCGAAAAGCTCCTCGGACCTGCGGTGGAAGATATCAGTCTCTCCCCTTTCACCGTACGATCTGTGGTAGAAGGGCCCATTGACGAGAACTTCATCAAAGCACTCAATGAAGTCGAGGCAAGATCTATTATGGTTGAAGCTAAGGAGATGAAGTCGGAACCGGTCAAAGCCACACAGGACGTGAGGCCGTTGCTTGAAGATCTCAAGGCCAAGGCGATTGAACGAATTCGAGACTATGTTGTGGCGCAGATCAAAGCTCTTCGATCGCCCAACGTCAATGCCCAAGTGATTCAACAGCAGACATTCTTGAAGTATAAAGACTTGTACTCCTTCCTGGCTCGAAATCATGCCGTTCTGGCCGAGGAGATTGGTCAGGCGTATGTCAACACCATGCGATGGTATTACAGCAGTCACTTCAGCCGATATCAACGAGCCCTTGATTCCCTTCAACTTCATGTGTTCGACCAGAACGACCTTCTTGGATCCGAACCTTCCCAAGCGAGAAGAGGTGTCCTCGGCGGGTCCAAAGCTGCTCCTCCGCAGCACGATTCTTTTGGTCTGGGGCGAAGAGAGGATATTCTCAAATCGAAGAACGACTCAGCCTTGCCATCTTACCTGGCTGAGGAGAGCAAATTGGCACATTACCTGGAAGTTCCATTTCGAAACTTCAACCAAGCACTCATCGACAATGTGTGCGCGGAGTATTCTGTCGTGACAGATCTCTTTTCCACCGACACCTTTCACCAAGTGTCTCGTCGAGTCGCCGAAATCTTTGAACCCACATTCACCATGGGTCAGAATCTGACCAAGCAGCTGGTGGAAAACACCAATGACGGCTTGGGGGTGTTACTCTGTGTTCGCCTGAACCAGCATTTTGCCTTTGAACTTCAGAGACGGAAAGTTCCTGTCGCGGATTCCTATATCAACTATACCAACATCCTCCTTTGGCCTCGGTTCCAAATGGTGATGGATTTACACTGTGAATCTCTGAAGAAGGTCCCGACAGGCACCAATCGTGGTGCCGCCGCCGCCTTCTCTCTCGTGGGCGGCGGATCTGACCCTTCCAAAGCGTCCGTGGCACCTCACGCCATCACGCAGCGGTTTGGCCAATTCCTTCAGGGGATTCTGTTGCTTAGCGCCGACGCGGGTGATGACGAACCGGTCTCCAACAGCCTCGGGCGTATCAGAGCGGAATACGAAACGCTGATGGGAAAATTGGCCAAGGGGGCAGGAGAGAGAACGAAAGCATCCAAGTTCTTGTACAATAATTACAGCTTGGTGTTGACGATTATTAGCGACACCAAGGGCAAATTGGCCGAGGAGCAAAAGGAGCATTTTGGGGGATTGGTCCGGGAAATGAAGGGCAGATAGCGTCTGGTTCCGGCGAGGACGTCATGATAGAAATCCCCTACGAGAATTTTGGAGAGACATCGTCACATTGCTGGTGACAATCAACATCGCCCTCCTGTTCGTGCCAACTGTTTCGAGGATATCTATCCTGGAAAGCCGTTGGTTGATAAGAAAACGATGTTCGTGAGCAAGGCATCAAGACGATAAAGCAATTTTGGTCCATCGTAGGTAAGAGACATCGTGATCATGACGGTCAGTGACAGCCAAGTCGAGAGATATCACTCATGGAAAAATCTCTCCCTGGCATACACTAACAATGATCGCGCTTCCATACGCTCGTCGGTTATATTTACCTCTGATGCTTGGGAACTGGCTATATATCCAAAGATTGATTGCAGGATCCAATCGGCATTGAGCTTACTTGGTGGATCTGTGATGACGGCCATGGGACGATTTCGTTTGGGCTAATGGTCGATGGTGAAAACGTCTCTGTCGCTGTCGTGCTTGTCATTTGCCAAGAAGAAGACTTGGCAATGGCTGCCGAAGCCGGGAAGAGGGGAGCCTAATGGCTCATCGCTACAGGTCAAGATCGGATTGTCCGGGCGGCTGAGGATTAGATGAGGAGAGTGCATTGATCGCGCTTGGTCGCCTTGAGACATAGATAGTAAAGAAAAGAGCGGGGTTGGACGGTGTAGAAACAGATATGCTTGGTGCTTTAGGCAGTAGTAGAATGACGAGCATAAGTGCGGGTAAGAGGAAAGTGATCTGGAACAGGAAGCTCCACACGAATACGATCAACTTAGTGCCCCTAATCAGTGGTAAGTCGGTAAGTCGACCATCTGGTGACGGGGGTCTTGTCCCTGCAGCCAAGAGGGGGAGCTTGGTAGTCTTTGTCTCAAGAAGAAAGGCCGCCTATCTCGGGCCATTCAGGCAGGTATTTGCTTTTGGAATTTGATGTTGATTGATGTAACAATCGGACGAGTTCTAATTCGGAGGGTGGCGAAAGCGTGAAATAAAGTTGTAAGCACGGCCTTCGGGAAGCCTTGAAGTCATGGGTGGCTTCATCGCCCCGGGCCGCAGGAGTAGAGTGATGAAGGCAAAGCAGTTGAATCTTGCCAGGGGACTAGAGGGACAGAACCGTCAAATTGTAGAGTTTCTTTGCCACTTTCCAGAAGCCTGTTGAGTTGCCTGTGGTATGTCAGGGTGGGGACCAAGGCCCAATTTGGGTATGAAGCCGCAAGCGTGTAACAAAGACTGTGTACAGTGAGGAAATTAGGTACAAGAATAGAGTAATACTGTAACCAGAAGACTCGTTACCCATGTCCTGCTAGAGTGGGCACTGCGACTTGAGGTAGACACATGACACATGCACCAAAGCTAAGCGGGACATATGGGACCTGTCCATATTCATCCCTTTTCCCCGCGTCCTTTTTTTTCCCTTTTCAATGTTGTTCTTCCTTTCTTCTTGTGATGATGTTCAGGCAAAGAATTGTTGCCCAGCCAGTCGTTGAAAGCTTGGAGGGGTGGTGACAACAGAGAATGAGGAGACAAGACTGTCTTGGGGTTGCTTGGTTGCTTTAGTCGCGCCCCGGGCACCTTCCGAACGGGTTAGTGGATAGGGTTACGCTGGAGTAGCATTAAGCTCTTTCTTTTCGTCCTCTCGAGTCTCTTCTCGCCCCCGGCTCCATGTCAACAAATATCTCACGGAGGCGGTCCTTCAGGCTCTGCAACTGGGTATCTCTTTCTCTCACCTTGTTAGAATAATTGCACTGGACTTCTCGTGACAATAATCGCTGTCTGCATCATCATGGGTGCGTGGCGTTGAGCACATCTTGCCCGGAAGCAGCTGCAAGGTTCCTTTGGGGGGCAGAGATTAAGAGAGCTGCGCTCTGAGTGGAGCATCAGCCATAGTCGAACGCTCACAAAGTCACTGCGCTCGCCTGATGATGACCACCACAAGCAGTCGTTGCCCAGTAACTCCAGTCTCTTCGCTCGCCACTATCCGGCCGGTAGCACTAGCAAGCTTCTTTCTCCAGCTCCCGCCGCGGCTCCATCTCGAATGTCTCCTAATTCCACCGCATCCGACTTACCCAACGGAGATCACTCCCCATCCTTCTCCACTGTCCAACTTCCTTTCAATTCTCCAATCATCGTTCCATCCATCAGATTTCCCCCCCTGTCAAACCAGCCATCATCCAGACCTGATCGACCCTTGGTTGAACTCTGCGATCCCTCATCACCTTCTCTTCCTGACACTAGCCCGTTTCGTCCTCGTCGCTCAGACAGACTCGCCCTCGAACCTGCCGATTCACCTTCCTCAGGTGGATCCTAACGTAGCACTTCTTGTAGACACACTTTGACCTTTCGTATCTGGGTGGCTGTCGGCCGCACGCGATCATGCCATTCCCATTCAATACCACAACCTTGATCCTGGCCAGCCTCTCGCTGGTCGCAATGCTCCGTCAACCATCGACAGGGTCTGTCACCGCCCACCCCATGCCCAACGCCCACGGGCAACTGTGATCCTACATATAGCATCCCCCATGGCCTTCGTTCGACCGCCTGTTCGTTTCCCGCTTGTTCTTTGCTTGCTCTTCATCTGAGGATTCAGGTTCCTATTCTCGTCCCCCTCCGCCCTGACCACGACGAGGCGGTCGAGTCCTTTTTCCAGGCCAGCAAACAAAGCTCGACATCTCACCAACACCTTCACGATGGAGAAAGACCCCGACTTTCATCTGCACTCTGGCTCAGAGTCGCCAGAGAAAACCCCTGTCGATCACCGCGATGTCAACAAGATGGAGGTGAGTGCGCTCTCACCACTCGAAATTCTTCCTCGGCTTCAACTGACCGCGCTCTTCCTTAGGCTCGACGAGGCTCCAAGGTCAACGAGGCCACCGACATGTACGGCGATGTGGCGACCGCCGAGGAATATGGTTACGTCTCTCGAGGCCTCAAGTCTCGTCACATTCAGTTCATCGCCCTTGGTGGGACCATTGGTACTGGTTTGTTCTTGGGGATCGGTCGTGCCTTTACTCAAGCGGGTCCGCTGTCCGTCCTGCTTGGCTATACTTTCACTGGTCTCTCCGTTTTCGCCATGATGATGTCTCTCGGTGAGATGGCCACGTGGTTGCCTCTCCCGGGTGCTATTCCACAATTTTGCGCCCGTTATGTCGATGACGCGATGGGTTTTGCCGTCGGCTGGAACAACTGGTACTCGTGCTCCATCACGCTCTGCGCCGAAATCTCTGCCGCCTCAACGGTGATTCAATATTGGCATGGAGCTCGGGACATCAACGTGGCGGCCTGGATCTCCATCATCATTGTCCTGGTCCTCTGTCTCAACATTTTCGCCGTTTCGATCTATGGTGAAGCCGAGTTTATTTTCGCTTCCATCAAGATCATCACCATTGTCGGGTTGTTGATTCTCGCCCTCATCATCGACGTCGGTGGGGTGCCGGGACAACATCGTCTGGGTTTCCAGTACTGGAACAACCCCGGCGCCATGAAGGAGTATATCGATACCGGTGATTCAGGTCGTTTCCTCGGCCTCTGGTCCACTCTCGTCAACGCCGCTTTCTCGTACGGTGGCGTCGAAATGGTGGCGGTGGCTGCCGGCGAGGCTGAAGATCCCCGTCGTAACATCCCCAAGGCCGTCCGACGTGTTTTCTGGCGAATCCTGTTTTTCTACATCCTGGGCTCCTTGGCCATTGGTGTCTTGGTTCCTTACAACGACCCCAACCTTTTGAGCGCCCAAGAAAACGGCGAAGCTGGTGCCGCTCAATCCCCCTGGGTCATTGCTATTCGACGGGCCGGAATCGACACCCTCCCCTCCATCATCAACGCAGTCATTTTGACCTCCGCCTCTTCTTCCGCCAATGCTTTCCTGTACACGGGCTCCCGTTACCTGTACGCCATCGCTCAAAACCGACAAGCCCCAAAATTCCTTCTCAAGTGCACGAAGAAGGGGGTACCGTTGTGGTGTGTCTTGATTACCTGCTCCATCTCCCTCTTGACCTACATGTCATGCTCTTCGGGTTCTAACAAGGTCTTCACGTGGTATGTTTCTCACCGCGTTTCTCACCTGATTCGACCCTGAACTGACCATTTCTTAGGTTCCAAAACTTGACCACCATTTCCACTCTCTTCACCTGGGTCAGCATCAACATTGCCTACCTTCGCTTTTATTATGCCTGCAAGGCCCAAGGTATTTCTCGCGGTGATCTGCCCTTCAAGTCTCCTTTCCAGCCATACCTCGGCTATTTTTCTGCCATTTTCTTCGGTTTGATCATCTTCTTCAACGGCTTCGATTCGATTGCCGGTGAGTGGGATTATGAGGCCTTCATTACCGACTATATCGGTATCCCCATCTATTTCGGTCTCTATCTCTTTTGGAGAATCCTCAAGCGCACTCACTTCCGAAAGTCATCTGAGGCCGATTTGTATACGGGCAAAGCTGCTTTGGATGCGGTTATTTGGCCTGATCGTGTTCCTCGTAACTGGATAGAGAGATTCTGGTTCTGGCTCGCATAAAAAGGGAGGAGAGGGGCAAAAGGGGAGAGATCCTGGCGTGTTTTCTTTTTGGGAACTTGTATGTCAAAATCAAATCAAACCTGCTGCATGAGAACATGCCTCAATGTAATTTGGTCCGGGAACCCAGAGAAGCTCATGTATGGGCTTATGATACAAAAGTTCCACTTTACCTGTTCCATGTACTTGTTGCGGTTTCGTTCTCTTCCTGTGTTGCCTTTCCTCACCCTGACCCTGACCTCGACTCCGCCTCCTAGCCCGATCCAATCCCAATAAAAAGCTTTGCAGAAATGAGGCAGATGTCCCTGGTTCAGGCTCTGTTCTGGGCAGGGGTGTTGTGTTCGGAAATCGAGGTTGCGAGCAATCTAGGTCGTCGAACAGGGGAGAATTGTTTGGTGCAAAGCTTGAGGGGGATGTGTGCGTAGAAGCTAAAGCGGCGGTCGTGCTGTGTGTGGTGAACGGCAATGACGTGCTCTGACAGAAAGGCAGGAAGTTGATGACAGTAACAAGCGAGTCCATATTCTTGATGACATGTCAGTTCGTTTCCTTGTCCATGATCTTCAGTTCTGTTCGAACATGAATTCGTGGTTTGAACGAGTCTTATGTTCAGATCATTTCAGCCGTTTTAATACGATGTGAGAGGATGGACCAGAGAATATCAACTCAGTGTGCTCACTTGCGCCTGGAAGGTATAGATGTCGTATGAATGGAGATTGTTGTCAATATCTCTCTGCATTATTGGACTGTTTCCGTCTCCCTCTGCTGCTCATGTCGATGAATGTGGGGGTGAACCGAGAAGGGAGATAAGGACGAAGAAAAGACCGGACGACAGTAGAGCTGGGGATAGTGCGAAGGATAAGAACTTGCTCCTCTCTTGACAGTCCTGCGTCGATACTACCGTTTCGGAGGAAACTGAGTGCTTTGAGTATAGCTCGCCGATGGGTAATTGGAAGTCCTGTTGTAGGGCGTGAGACGTAAGATGACGAAGGAAGGAGAGGCAGATGGATACGAATACAGGTATATTCGTTCTGAAACGTCGAGCGAGTGTTTGTGTTTCGTACAGCAAGCAAATTAAAAGCTGTAGATAGGGCCAAATTTGTCACGGATAAAAGGCGCAGTTCAAGATGAAAAAAATAGACGTCGCACATGAGAATTCGCCTCGTATGATGAATGAGGAGAGAAAAGAAAGAATATCAAGCTAGACGGATGTTGGAAGCCTTCTACTGTATGGAGTATTTTAGATGGACCTCGTGTCATCGTTAGATGGAGCCCACGATTGACCTGTGGGTCGACTCAATTTTACCAAGTGTGCTAGCCTCGTTTGCTCTGGTTGGTCGATTGTCAGTTTCTTTTAGTGAAGGGCGTGCAAGTTGTCAAAAGACTGGCTTTCTTAGGTTCGAAAATACCATCCTCTGTGTTCAGCTCAACTTATGCCGTATTGAATTCCAGCCAGATTTTGGTGTCTTGCTTGTTCTGGCGATATCGGACCTGATTATTTTGTCCGGATGGTCGGTGATTTGTGAGATGAAATCAAGGACGACTTGCTGGCTCCACTGAGTTATCCGATATATGTTGAGAGCGACCGACCGCTTATTGCCTGCTCCATTTACCATCACGGTGCATGTTGGGGGCATGAAATCATAAACTTGCGTCGTGTATGCTCTGTTGCAATTGAAGTTTTTTTTCCTCAAAGGACTAAACCAGCCTTCTCCAGCTCCAATCGGACGTTTCTTCTGGAACTGTTTGCAGTAAAAATTTCATGTTCTTGATCGCCTCCACAGACATGGTCTACGGACCATTTCGTTTGAAAACCATTGACTGATCACTCTGTCAGCTCGATTCCTTTGGGACAACTTGCAAAGCTTGTAACCGTCTCCTTCTTTGCGCCGAGAGGATTGTCCTTGCTCATGCATTTCGCTGAAAGAGCCTTGAAATCCGACATTCGACGCTTGGTTGACATGTCCTAATCTCAGGTTAGTGGGGGACTAAAAGTCTTCCTCTCAGTTTCAGCTATCGCACAGCTGGACGATAAACCTGGAACACAGTCTTTCGCCTGAAAATTCCAATGTTTGGTGAACTTTTCTCCCTCTTAATAACAGATATTTTATACATAGAACTTTTCCGGGTAGAAATACATCGAATACATTTTCCAGACTTTGGGGTTTGTCGCTGCAGAGCGTTGTTCAGTGACCAGGATCGACTTGGACCTCTCCGGTATCACGGTGTTTTATTAGCCATCTCTCATCCACGGCGTAGTCCTCCAATCCTGTCTGGTCGTCCCACTGATATTTAATCGCCCAGGAAGCTAATCGTGCTTTGTGAATACAGTCATTGATGCCCACGCCACCTTGCCACCACGGCCCGGCGACTTTCAATCGTCCCTCATATTGGGATAGCAGAGCGTCGTGGATGGTTGCCATGTCGTCTCGATATCCAACGGGATACTGCGGGATGCAGTCACGGTTGAGTCGGGCTTTCGCTACCACCGGTAACTCGTTGATATTGAGATGTCTCCTCAGCAAAGATTTAGCCATTTCGATTGCTTGCTTTTCGTCTGGAAGATCGCTCGGGGCCCAACCATCCCACCAGTGTCCACCCATCATAACGGTGAGTTTGGTACCAGATGCAGTGTCCTGGCTCTCGTTTCTTGAATCATCCCGAGACGACTCGGAGCTGAAAATCGTCCCTAGTGCACGCTCTGGATTCTGATCCAATGGGACAGAACGCGGGATCAGGTAGCCGAAACCTCTGATTGAGCGAGGAATCAAATCTGGATTGCTGTAGAAGAGGTTCACAACCATGACACTAACAGAGACATTGCTGTGGTCACAAGCAGTCGCAACTTTCTGGTCGAATGTCACGCCCCGAGTATTGGCGTTCCTGGCCATGAATTGCTTCATCGCGCTTGGATCTAACGACGAAACCACATAATCATAAGTCGACGTCGTATCTTTGGTCTTGATTGAGATCTTTTGGGTCTTCTTGTCGAATGTGACATCTTCAACCGGTGAAGATTTCAAGATTCTCATTTTGGCTACTCGATTCAGGACGGTCTCCAAAGAAGAGATGAGCTGGCCCAAGCCACGTTTGAATGTGTATACGCTTGCTCGTTCAAGGACGTCTAACAATTCCGTGGAGTCTGGTGCGTCGAACCACCTCAGTTTGGAGAATTGAGAAGCCGATTGAAGGCCGATCGCGAGGCGGTCGAGCGTGAGTTGCGCCATTTCTGTGGAAATTCCTGCAAAATTTTCCTTGTTTCTTATCTCAAGGTACCATAGCACTGGCAATAAAGTCCGAGCACTCAGTTTATATATATCTCCGGCGTAGATTCCATGGAATATCGAAGAAACTATATTGTCCGTCAAACTCTTGCCAACTCTCCGTTGTAAGAAGTCCCCGACAGACTCATCCCTCACTTTAGGGTTGCGTTGAGCGACAAAGCGTTCGTTCCAGAGAGCCTGAAACATGCCATGGAAGATTGGCTCGGTGAACAGCCCATACACATTGCGAAGGACTTGGATTAGGTCCGTCGAGGGGGCAGGCATGCGAGTGAGATGGTCGGGATAGAAAATATATCGATTGGTCGCGGCAGGGCTAGCCTTGGGTATTATCAGGAGTTCATCACGTATATGGTCCAGGCGAGCAAGCTAGAAGGAAAGATATGAGCGACAGGAACAGTGACACTGAAGATATGTTTAAATACCATATCGGCGGTGGATATGCCTGTGCCCTCAAGCCCAGGCCGCAGAGTTCGAGGGCCCCATTCAAAGAGAACTTTGCCGTCGTCGACTTGAACCACTTCTGAGTCGATCCATCCTCCGAGCCGACTGCTCTTTTCGTAGACTGTGATCTCGGCATCAACGTGCCATCTCAGATGCAAAGCCGCAGCTAGACCGGTGATACCACCGCCTAAGACGGCCACTTTTTGGGCTGATGGATTCGTGGTTTTCGATGTCAGGTCCTCACGCAAGGCATCTATTTGCTCAACAAAGGAAGGCTGGTGGTGGTTGGCATTGTCGGAGGTGGAATTAAAAGTGCGGAGGAATTGGACTTGTCTTGCCCGAGGCTGGAGCTGGAGCGCGTGCTTTACAACATGATGGTAGAGAGCCTTATGACACACCAGGCGCATCTCCAGCGGAGCTACACCTCGCGGTGCATGTGCGACGAGAGAGTCGGAATCCGAGAAATGAAAGGCCGAGAAATACGTATGGGATCTCTCCTTGAGGTGAAAGTATGCAAATGTTTGGGAGCAATTACCCAACTTGAAGGATTCGGCCCACCTGCCTCACAGAGGGCGTCCTCTTCCGCCTTCTTCTACTGTGAAATCGTCACTACCTGCATGGGCTACCGGTGGTTGGTAGGGTTCTTTTTTTCAGAGTCCAAAGTACGACCTCATATTTTCCCTGCTCTGTACAGGTAGGTGCTAGAAGCCCTTGCCGGGGGAGATCTTGACTAATTCTAGTCGGTTCTTGGTGGCACTGCACCGGTCTATTCCCTGCGCCAGCCATGCATCTCCTTTTCTATGCGGTGCAATCATTCAGTCGCGTCGAGCTTGTTTAGATAAGTGTCAATCAACCAGTACTCACATTGGGCCCTATTCCTCCAGTGTCATCTGGTCACCTACCCCGGGTCCCAATATATTGTTGAAGGACTCCGGCTCACCAGTCGGGGACGTAATTCGAGATGGTTAGCATGTTTCCATTGTGACGTTCACGCGGCGAATTTGATGATTCGCCTCAATCCGCCACGTTCTGTGCTGGAGTTGATCCGTTTGTAGACTCCGAGGTTTCTGATTGCAATTCCGGCCCATCATATCCCAATTTCTTTAAGTCTCGTAGTAGTTCGCCTTCTTTCCCCAGTTTCATGATCTGATCATGCGACAACTTCTCCCCTGCTGCCCGCTTGTCTCGCAGCTCACGAACTGCCTTCAACTTCTTGAGTTGGTTTCGTATTTTCTTCTGTAGATCAACCTCAGCTCCACCAGCAGGCTCGTTGACGGGCAATTTGGACGGATCTCGCCCGTCTGGCTTGCGCTTCTCTATATCTGAGATGTTTGTTTTCTCCATGGCCGACGCGAGATGGTCCTCTGCTGACTCCTCCACCGCGACCTTTCTTCGAACGGCTTCCCTTCTTTTGGCATTCTTGCTCTTCACGGGGCCGTCTTCCTTGGCGGGTGTGGCAGGCTCGGCCCCGGGCACACTGCCTTGACTTCTGTTCTTCCATGCTTCGGCACTGCGATTCTTGTACGTTTCTATATCTTCCGGAGGCCGGTAGCCAGGTCTCACTCTGATTTCTTTTCTAGTAGAACCGTCGGAACGCTTCGACGAAGGAATGTACGAGGCACCATCGGCTGTGGTCTCGATGCCGGCTTTGCTGATATTCGACATACCAGATCGGTTCGGTGGAATATGTACTGCTTGAAAGTCTGTATGCCCGAATCGCAGGTAATCAGGCAAGTGCTAACATGTCCGGCCAACCGTTCGTCCAAGAATTCGAATGAGACAAAATCTCAGCCGGCTTGAACGACTGGTTCAAGCAATGTGGTTGAAAAGAAGCCCCTGGGATGTTGCTGCCCTTACATGATGGGACACTCCAATTAGGGCAAGCCTGACTCGGAGTATCTAAGAAAATCCGCGCTGCACTTCAAGACATAGTGACCCACCGTGCTCAATGCTTTGCTGCGGTTGGCTTTGGCACTCGAGCTTCCAGCTCCAAAGTGGGATTTGAACTCGCGGCTTCTTCGCAGCGGGCTCAGAAAAGACTCAGACACTCGAAACCGACGTTCAATCGCCGAGAATGGCACTCGTCGTAAGTTTTCATTCTATTAAGCCTCTGTTTGGAGCTGTTTTGACGATCATAGTCCCGGATCGCGAACGGCGTATACACCGGCCTCTTCAAAAAGAACGCTGCCTTCCTTACCACGGTCTTTCTCGGCGCCTTCGCTTTCGAAATGTGAGCCCTTTATCTGTTTGGATTCCCGGCGCCGTGAGGCTGATCCGATCTGCAGTGGTTTTGAATATGGCGCGAATGCAATGTGGGACCAATGGAACAAAGGTGTAAGTTGCAGCAGGAGGTGGCTTCCATGACCGCGAATAAGGCACTGACCTCGGGGTATAGCGGCAATGGAAGGAGATCAAACACAGATACATGACTCCACCCGACGAAGAGGAGTGATCCGAGGAGCGACCGCAGGACAACCTAGATTATCGAAAGGGAAAGGAAGTGAACAGCAGAAAGAAAGAAAAGACATCCCTGTGCCAGGGATTCAGACATGTCCTCTGTACATAACCAGCAAGAGCATCAATAAATCTGTTTCCAAAGCCGCATTTTTGCGCCCATCTACCGATCCCAATCAACTTTACCGGTCATCTCACGATTCCGGGAAGCCAACCGTACCTAACATGGGGACCATGATTCAGATCCGTCACCTCGAAGCAAACCCGGAAATTCCGTGGCCTTGCATTGATGATGGATTGTTTCCCTGATCAACTCTATTTTCAAGAGCTCCATTTCTTGCATCCGAGGACGGCCGAAATGTAGAAAGCTTGGGGATTCCTTTGCCAGGGCAGGTTGTCATTAAGGACTTGACCGACAAGTACAGCTTAATTCAGGGTCAAGATTTGATTATATCGGTGTACAATAACCATCCATCAAGCATGAGAACCAGCCCCTCTGACCAATGTCCCTACAGATCTCGTGTTTTTCGATTGTGATGCGCAGGGAGAGCTGTTCCCCGAGTCTCGTTGAGGGAGAGAGCAGCAAGACTTCTTTGTTGAAATGGAGGAAAGCATGACTTTCATTGCTAGGAGGAGGTATGATGCGTGAGCGTAGACACATGGTGCGACTTCAAAAATGAAATAGGTATTTGCAAAGCCACCAAAGCGGCAACACCAAAATATTCAGTCATCTGATTGGGTGTCGATTTCCGTGCAGCCCCACTGCGTCGACTGGAATCAGTATATCCTATTACTTCGCCATCGCCACAACATTGAAATACCACGCCCAAGAAGATCCTGGATTGCTGTTCAGTATTACGAAACCGGAAGACGGCCGTCGCATATCGAGTTCGCCACCTTGCCACTGCTTGAGCAAGTCAGTGGGAAACTGGGGAACAATTGTTTCGTTTGCTGTCAATCACATGGGCTTCTTCGATTCTCCGGCTTTACACTGGACAAACTACATCCCTCCACCTCCAGATCCACGCTCCTTAAGTTCGTTACAGCTAAATCTACGGTGTGAACGTCCAAATGCAGACCACAGATTCCTGTAGCCCCCCACCATGAGACTACCGACCTCCCGTCTCGATCGTCAACTTTCGCAGGCTTTATGCGACCTTCCACGCCAACATCAGTATCGCTATACCTCACTTGCGAGGGATGATCTATTGGAGACCCTTTTCCGTTCTCTCACGAACGATCGAGCAGACCATCTCTCCGAACTCTTTCCGAACGGCTTCCCCAGCTCGTACAAATTACAGGATGCGCAGGGAGTACAAGAGAATGCCGAATACACTGCTGCTGCAAGAGGACACCCCTGCGGGCACATCTTCAAGCCTGGGGAAGCTAGCTACCACTGCAGTACCTGTACCGATGACACCACGGCTTGCCTCTGTTCCCGATGCTTCGTTTCCAGTGACCATGAAGGCCATCAGTACACAATAGGTCTCAGCGCAGGGAACAGTGGATGTTGCGACTGTGGTGATGAAGAAGCATGGAAACGGCCGGTCAAATGTGCAATCCACACTGCCAGTGACGATTGGATGTCAACAGATGAGCATGTTTCCCCCTTGCCGGTGGATTTGCAAGAGTCCATTCGCATCACAATTAGCAAGGTTTTGGACTACTTCTGCGACATCATATCATGCTCTCCAGAGAATCTCCGGATGCCGAAAACCGTAGATTCGGTGACCCAAGACGAGATCAGAAGTCGGCTCCTCGCTGAGCACTATGTTTCCGGTGATGAGATCGAAACAAACCCTGAGTACTGTTTGATCATCTGGAATGACGAGAAACACACAGTTCGTGAGGTGCAATCCCAAGTTTCGCGGGCGTGCCGTGCTCGTGAGTCCTTCGGCTTGGCCCGAACAGAGGAGGCGAATGACATCGGCCGAAGTATCATCCGGCATTCGCGTGATTTAAAAGAGCTGACAAGAATGGCCAAAATCATCGAGGAGATCAAGGTGACCGTCACAATCAGATCGTCCAGGGATACCTTCCGAGAGCAAATGTGCGGTACCGTCATTGAGTGGCTTGCTGATATCGCTGCTTGTACCATTGCAGGAGATAGCCATATCTTGAGACGGACAATCTGTGAAGAAATGCTCCAAGTCTGGCATATCGGCAGCGAGGCCTGGAATGCCAAGGTGGGAAGGGATGACCTTGACGACCATGGTGATGAGGATGATCGCGAGTACCGAAGAAGAGCAAGGCTGAGATACATGAACCCTATTCACTTCGCCATGCAAAGAGCTGCAGCCGTGGATATGGAGGAAGACGCGATTACCGATGACGACAATGGACCGGCGGAAGCCGATGACATTGACGAGGACGACAATGAACTTGGCGACGAGGACGTGGACCGTGAAATGAACGACTTTATTTTCAGGGCGGCGGTGTTCGACGACGGAGACCCTGAACATGCCTTGACGGAGCATTCGGTAGATCCAGGTGTGACCGATGACGCCGAGGAAATGGACACCGATGGCGACGCGGATTTCTTAGATGTTACGGAAAGAATGGAGACGGATGGAACGCCACCTCCACCGCCACCGCTTCCTCCGACTCAAGATACGGTAGATCCTGGAACCGACGTTCAACTGGGAGGAGAAGATTCTCCGACCGGCCCTGACAGCAACGCCAATTATCTCAACGTCCCCAGAACCCCAGTTACCTCTGTTCGGACAACGCACCTTCAATCGACTCCGCCAAATTACTGGAAGGCGCCGTCCAACCAGCCTCCGCAGAATTCCAATCTGCCCGTGTTTGAGGACTTGACCAAAAACATTCGCGTGGATTCGATGATACTTTTCGATCTTCGATTGTGGAAACTCGCCAGGACAAATATTCGAGACCTCTTTATTAGCACCTTGGTCCACATCCCACAATTCAAGCGTATTCTTGGCCTACGTTTCTCTGGCTTGTACACCACCCTTGCCCAGCTTTATCTAGTGGCAGACAGAGAGCCGGACCACTCGATAATCAATTTATCATTACAACTACTTACCACCCCGTCTATCACAGAAGAAGTTATCGAGCGGGGAAATTTTCTCACCAACTTGATGGCCATCCTATACACTTTCCTGACCACCAGGCAAGTTGGGTTTCCCAAAGACCTGGATCCTGGTGCCACTCTTGGTTTCGATGCTGGCTCAGTTGCCAATCGCCGGCTATACCACTTCTTCTCCGATTTGAGATATTTCCTGGCGTCACCTTTCGTACAAGCGAAAACGCGCAGCGAGCCACAATACCTGTTTCAATTTCTTGACCTCGCCAAGCTTTCTCAAGGCATATGCCCCAATATAAGAGCGGTGGGTGAGCATGTTGAATATGAAACGGATGCCTGGATCAGTGCATCGCTTTTGACTCGGGACATCAACAAATTGTGCCGACAATTTGCAGAAGCTTACTATGTGCCAAAAGACGGCAGTCCCACTGCCTTTCGAGCGACCTGTGAGGCCATATCCCATGCCACGGGCATTGCAATAATAAATTCTGTTGGGCTTGAGCGACGGCGATTCGACCAGGCCGAGATCAAAGATCCTGTACGCTTTCACCTTGTGGGGCCTTTCGGAGACGATCCTTCCGGATCCGGCTATAACGTGGTTGATTTTGTGGTGGAGAGAGGATCACTGAGCTTCCATCATCCGCTTCACTACACGCTGTCGTGGTTGCTCGAATGCGGAAAGGATACGAAACTCTCTATAGATATGCTTCGAGATGCCGCGCAGACATTCGTTTCACACCTGCACGACACCCCTCTTAGTCCCCGGGATAATAGCATAAAGCATACACTCACATCAGCCGAAAGCGCTTTATTGGCCATGTTCGACTTTCCACTTCGCGTCTGCGCTTGGTTGGCTCAAATGAGGGCCAATCTATGGGTTCGAAACGGGATGAGCTTGCGCCATCAAATGGTCCAGTACAAGAGTGTTGCTCACCGAGATGTTGGACACCACCGAGATCTCTTCCTGTTACAAGCGGCCCTTGTATCTTGCGATCCAAGTCGAGTGCTCGCTTCGATGATTGACCGGTTTGGGTTGGAAGCCTGGATCCGAAATGGTTTCGAAACACTCGAGATTTGTGAAGATAGTCAGATGTTGGACCTGGCAGAGGACTTCATGTATCTTCTGATCAATTTACTTTCCGATCGAGATGCGTTGGTTTCGGACCGAGACAACCCTGAGTCACAACTTCTGGCGGTTCGCAAAGATATTGCACATACCCTGTGTTTCAGGCCTCTGTCGTATTCCGATCTGTGTGCTCGCCTAACGGAGCGTGCACAGGACCATGAGCAATTGCAGGATGTTCTTGACCAGATGACCAAATATCGCCCACCGGAGGGATTGCACGACTCGGGCCTATTTGAGCTGAAAGAAGAATATCTGCAGGAACTCGACCCGTATAACTCGCACTTCACCAAAAACCAGAGAGACGAAGCTGAAAATATCTACAAGAAATGGATGGCCCAAAAACTGAACAAATCACCCGAAGACATTGTGTTGGAGCCAAAGCTGCATCCGATCCACTGCGAGGCCTATGGCAATCTCTGTGCTGTGGTACATACCACGCTATTCAGCGATGTCGTCCACAAATCTCTGCTCTACATCGCTCATGATCACAAACTCAAGACTGGAGTATCCACCACCCGCGTGGAAGCTTTTCTTCAGATCGTGCTTCAACTGGCGCTCATTGCTACTTTGGAAGACAAGCCCACCGAGCACGGAGATCATGGCTCTTCCTTTGTGCGCAATGCCATCACTTTGCACTTACGTTGTCACGATGGCTCAGAATCGACCATCATTGCAGTGTTGCACAGGATATGGCTGATGGACGAATTCAGTTCCTGCAGAAGTAAAATCCGACACATTCTCCGGCTTTTCAATCAAAAGTGGCCCCATCAATTCAACACCGCCACTCAACATCTTGAGTTTCCCTCGGGCAGATTTGACACTGCATCTCCTGCTAACATTGAAAGCGAGATCGAAGCCAAAAAGAAACAAGCAATGGAACGAAAAGCACGAGTTATGGCACAGTTTCAACAGCAACAGCAGAGCTTCATGGACAGGCAAGGCGTAATCGATTGGGGGGATGAGGACCTGGATTCACCAGAAGAAGAGCTTCCAAAGTCGACAGAGACGCGCCATTGGAAATATCCCTCTGGCCTGTGCATACAATGTCGAGAAGATACATCGGATTCGAGATTATATGGCACGTTTGCCATGGTCAGTGATGCACACGTCCTCCGACAAACCGACATCAATGACGAGGATTTTGTCGGAGAACTTTTTGCAGTTCCAGAAAGTCTAGACCGTTCGATAGAGAGCATTCGTCCATTTGGAGTATCTGGATCCAACCACGAGGTAGTGAAACGCCTGACGTCCGAGGGGAATGAACTGAGCGTCGATTATCAGGGCTTGGGAAAAGGTTGGCCCAAAGATTGCACCATGAGGGGCCCCGTCTCGACCAGCTGTGGCCACATTATGCACTTCACTTGCTTCGAAAACTATTATCAGTCGATCACCAGAAGGCACTCCCAACAAGTCGCCAGAAATCATCCCGAAAGGATTGCGTTAAAAGAATTTGTGTGTCCCCTGTGCAAGGCACTGGCCAATACATTCTTGCCCATCATCTGGAAGCACTCGCAGCAATCGTATCCCGGATCTTTGCACGTGTCACAGGATTTTGACACTTTCCTGGACAAGGATCTTTCGACCCTGGCCGGTGCTCCTCCAACGGATGATAGTACCTTCAATCAAGTGGCTTTACGGTTATACTCCCAAATATTGGCTACTTTTTCCAATAGCTCTCTTACACCAGCGATTGCCCGGTGGCAAGCCGGAGACCTCACAATCAGCCCTACAAGCCAGGCTTGGGCGGAGAGACCAGAGTTGGCCGCGTTCGCCGAGCTGGCCAGTATCTATGGCCGGCTTCGAGAGTCACTTACGATTGTTTCACGCACCAATGGAGCTGTGATCCCTCGGCAGGACTGGCACTTGAACCACTTTCAGCTGCTTGTGAGTACGCTGGCAAATACCATCGCGTCCGTCGAGATTGGCCACCGAGGCCGAGAAGCCGAGTTTGGCACTTCTCTTCTGACCAGTGTGCCCCAGCAAACGCTTAGCCACCTGCAGACTCTGTCATCGACCTTACGAGCGTATGCTGCGACAAGCGCACTAACCGTTCGAGGGTCTGTGGAGAGCCAGTACAAAGAGCTTTGCGAACAGCTCGAGCGCCAGCTGGCTGGCGTGTCAACAGGACGCGAGCCTCCTGGGAACAGCTTCGAACCAGTGGTGCCTCTCCTTTGCATGGACGCTTTCCAATTCTTTGTCCAGGCATCTATGGTCTTATGCCCCATCCGAAATTTTGAACGTCGCCATGTTTTACAGCTGTCTCTCACGGTGGAGCTTTTGCGAGTGGTGCTCGCGTTCCGGCTGAATTCCAAAGCATTTCTTCGAGCTTGTGAGAAACTGAAGCAAAATGGTATTCGACATGCAGCGCCGTTGAATGCAGACGCGGAGGAGCTACGCAGTGTGGAAAGTCTTGTTGCATGGATCGACGTGCAACTTCAGCAAAGCAAGGTGGACGACGGAGTGGGAGGGGAGCAACTCAACAGGACAATGCGAGGTCTTTCGGCGGATGAAGCAATGGCACTGTTCAAAGTTTGCAGAACGTATGCTCTTGCGTTCCTCCGAAAATCAGCCATCTTCTTCCATGTTGCGCATGGTATTGATTTTCCAAATACGGCGGGCACTGAAGCCGGCCTAGCAGAGCTCGAACGCCTGTTGCATTTGTTTCAATTGCCCAAAATTAGCGACATTCTCATGTCGTTTGATGAGTTTTCGGGTCGCCGGACTCTGAGAGCTGGGGCGGCTCTCTGGCTCTCGGATTGTATCAAGTACGACCTGACCAAGACTCAACCAGAACCAAAGAGCAATTCGCCGCGCATGCCACTGGGGATAAAAGTTCTCCACCCAACTCCGCTGGAGCTGATTGGGCTGCCCAAATACTTTGATGTTTTGATGGAAGAATCCCATCGATGGAAATGTCCCACAACTGGGAAAGAAGTGTATGACCCGGCTCTCTGCCTCTTTTGTGGCGAGATCTTTTGTTCACAGACGGTGTGCTGCCTGACCAAAGAAATGCGAGGAGGCTGTAATGCTCACGTCGAGAAATGTTCGAGTCCGATCGGAATGTTCCTCTTTATTCGCAAGTGTCACGTTGCGCTGCTGCACGTCGTCAAGGATCCAAGAATGCTTGACCACGACCTGGAAAGGGTTGGTCGTGGAATTCACCCGCTCCCTCCGGGCTCTCTTACTCTGAGTCATGGTTCTTTCTTCCCAGCTCCTTACCTGACCAAACACGGGGAAACGGATTCTGGTTTACGGTCGAAACACCAGTTGATTCTCAATCAAAAGAGATATGATAAGCTCCTGAGAGACACCTGGCTAATGACGAATGGCAGCATCTGGAGCACCATAGCCAGAAAACTTGAAGGCGAAAACAACGCAGGCGGATGGGAGACTCTGTAAGCTGATCGGATTGAAAGGATCAATGGAGGAAGTTTTAAACTCGCAGGACAGATTCCGAAATGTAATGGTGGAGCCACGAGATATGATTGATATATCATGCTAGGGAATGGAAAGTGGTTAAGGTGTTTAAATTTTTTTTCTTTTTCTTATTGAGGTAGCTGTTGACGTAGGGCTAGCCATGGGATGAGTGAGTCACAATGAAGAACAATTGATGTCTCGCGACAAGTGGATGCACTATCTCTCTGACATTAGATTTTATTGTCGAAGTTGACCAATATTATGGGTAGATAGCATGCTCGCCCGCGCGAGACGCTCAGGGCTGGGCGTCTAAAATGTGAGTGATGCTTCGATGAAATACGTGGGACAAGGCTGGGCAGTAGTCGATGGCAGCTTCTGATTGGTCCGAGTCGGCGCCTAATCCGGACATCACATTCGTGTTTCACAAATTGTTCACGCGTTTCACATCCGTAGTCCATCTCCAATGACAGCATCACACCCTCTATTTCGTCGCTACCTGGCCGGAAAACAGACCCCAGAGGCTAGAGATCGGAGGCAGTGCATTTGCCCCGGCTATGCTTCGAGAAGCGCCAGGGCAGGTCAAAAAACTTTGCAACATAAGGTGAGGACATACCGCGGAAACGATGGCCTACATTTTCCCCATCCTTTCATACTCTTGCTTTACGTTGCTCATACCCCTTCTGCTTGATAATCCCCCCTCTTCCGCACGAAGGGATTCAGACATCGTATCGTCACGGTGCAAAGGCACCCGCAACGGGCATCTCTGTTCGAGATCGGCGGATCACAATGGCTTCGTCGCTGTCAAATATTCTCTTTAATTCCCTCGCGCTTCTCCTTTGTCTCAACTTCCTAGAATCTTTACAAGTTTTGGCTCAGACAGGTGATGGGGGCGGGGCCGAAGGCGTGGAACCTGGAGACATTGGGTCGGATCCAGGATATTCGGAAAATGCAGGGGCTTCGGGTGCAGACACCGGCAGCGTGAACCTTTCTCATGGAGCGACCATTGCGATTGCAGTGGTGGTCAGTATTGTGGTAGTGCTCGGCAGTAAGTGTTTCCCGCGCAGAATTATATCTAGCAGATTTGAGTGCTAACATTGCGCTTGCAGTCACCATGACCGTCTTGTTTTATCTGGCGAAGAAGAGGCAGTGGAAGATCAAAGAAGGCATCCGCAGATCGGCGCGAAGAGTCACAAGCGCTGTCAAAGCGGTTACGACACCTCTGACACCAAAGAAAATGACGTTCTCGCCGGTTGAGAAGAGGAAGCTCGCCGCCGAATCGGCGGATCTCCTCAAGAGGGCCAATGATCAACTGAAAGCCGACGCGCAGAAGCAGCCAACAGGCAGTGGCCGATCGAGTAATGATCGAGACCTTGAGAAAGGTCTACCGGAAACCGCGGTCAAGGTGGAAATCAAATCCGAACCTGAAAAAAGCCCGAAACGAGACAGCAAGAACAAACAAAGACCACCAAAGGTTAATATTCCGTCGTCGGCTTTCGAGATTGATAGTCCGAAGACCCCAATGTGGAAGAAAGTGTTTGGCAGATAAAGGTGGGAGTTGAAAGAGAATCAGAACCGCAGGATACGACCCCTCCTGATTCCTGGCTGAAAAGAGTATATATACACGAATTGGATACGAAGCGCTATGACGATGTACCGAGCCAGGGCCGTAAAACTTTGGAGGGCTCAGAAATTTCTTCCTTCGTATGACACCGTGTACACGAGCGAAAGTGTTGACAATGATTGTCAACCATGACCTTGTTTGCTGCTAGCGACCCGTTGATGAGATAGGAGATATTGGGATAGCTGAACAATAAGGATGGATGGCGTCATTCCTCTTCAGAGAGGGCTGCCGACATGCCCTCGAAATTCACCATCCGACGACTTATTGATAAACTTATGGGAGTGAACGATGAGGGAAACATTGATTTCATTGCTCTAGGCAGACACAAACAGCACTAATGCTGACTTTTCGTTCGGTATCTTTCACACGGATACGCGAGGTAACAGAAGGGATGTAGGGCGGGAGGGAGAAGTACCGGCTGAGAGTGCCGGTCATGGGTGATTAATTTAATTGCAACATATCACATCTCCCTTCCTTTTTCTCTCTTCCATCGGACAGCGAGCTACCCAAATCCAACTCCCATGGCTTCTTGTTGCGCACTGAATTTTTGTCGTACGGCTAGTGGATACATTGCTGCAATGAGCAACGCGCCTTTAAGCGCAAGGCTGAGTTAGGCTGGGAGGCCTCGTGGGAGGGAAATGGGCTGTTATGGGATCAAAAGTTCGAGAAGGGTATAACGAAAGCCATCATCTCGATGACGTAGCTGGCTTCGCGAGCTTGGAGCTTTGTGATCCGGAATGGCAAATCGGAGTTTGGTCGTAGATGTAAGGAGGAGAAGAAGAAGATGGAGATGTAGCCGTGCAGATGATGTAGAATCTCCATCTGGCAGGCGTACCTTGTAGAAGAGGTAAGTTTGGCGATATATTCGTATGTCGGCCGAGTAACTTCGCGTGGCATTATGCGGCTTGTTTTCCTTCGTCCGGGAAATAACCTTGTCGGCTTGATTCTTCGATTTCAAAGGGAGGAAAGAAGAATGAAGGTGGAGGACAAGGTCTCCCGTTGTTTTTCGGCAGGGTCTTGGAATGTCGATAACAGCGGAATTCTTTGAGCTGAGAGTGCCGTGAGATCTGGCCCATCGACTTCACCTTGTGTGATAAAGAGGATATTGGAACGCTGCCATCCTCTGCCCTGATTCCCTTCACGTCTCCTTGCTATTCTCCGTCCGTGCAGATTGATGAATTTTCTTCTCTCTGGATTTACGTCAATGCCCCGACGCCGAACGAGTAGCTCTGATCCCGCACTCCCATCGTGTCTTTTCATCAGTGCCACGTCTGTTTTTCTACCAATAATCCTAATTCTCTCTTTGAATGTATAAAGTGACTATTTCTTGCCCCGTTTCTGCTCCACAAACAGCACCTGCCTCTTGACGACCGGATCGTATTTGAGCATGCTTAGGGGACGCGATGTGCGAGGCCGCACCATCGTTCGATAGTAGCCTGTCATTGCCATGCTGAGGAGTCGGACGGCTATAGTTCGTGATTTCGCTAATCGTTGCGTTAGCAAGCTCGTAGAGTGCTGGGGAAATGGGGTTGCTGAACGAAGGCAGGACGGGGACAGCTGAGAAAGTATGGAGAGGAAAGATGGACGTACGTGATTTGGCCATTGTAAGAGTATCGAAGACGAAGAATGAGATACTGTAAGATCAGAAAGTGAGGCAAAGCTCTTGTTTTTTTTTTTTTGGCGCAGCTATCATGAGCTCAGCGGCTGGTCGAAGGGATTGCCTGAGAAGCTCGTCCAATCCGTTCGGCTTGTGGGGAGCAAGCGGCCGCGAAACGTGTTCTCCGGTAGTGTCAGATTAATTGTCAACGTTGAAGCTATCGATTCATAGGATCTTTGAATTGGAAATTGGAATTGAAGGCGGACCCCGGCGTCTGGAAGCAAAATTGCCAAGCCTTCATTCCTGTGCTTCTGGTCCGCCGTACTCGCCCCTTTTCGTTGTCGAGCCTTATCATGCAGGCCCCGCCTGGCTTATCGCACCCCCTCCTAGCATGTATCTTCGTGGCGTGAGATAACCCTGGCCTCAGAAAGTAAAGAAGCTAGGATAGATTACGTTTTGGAATGATTCTCTGGATGCTGCATGTTTTACTTTCACGGCGTCCTAAGGGAGTAGCTCCATGAGATGGCGGAGTCTCCAATTTCGGAGCGAGTCTTGCTTTCGCATCGGGAAGATTTCCGGTTGAAAGGAAGCAAAAAGAAAGAAAGAATAAACTTCTTAGCCAGACGAGTTCGAACCGGCATACTAGTTTCGATATTGATAGAACTAACTGCAACGTAATGTAAAGCGACCACCAGGGTGTGTGCAAGGCGCATAACACCCCGACTCAAAGTTCTCCCATCCACCACACAGCAAGCTGCTTTTTTGAATGTTTTGAGTTTCGATGTCGTATCATGTCATTGCTGTCGTTATCCCTTCCTCATTTTCTCCACACTAGCTACATGCGCGCAATACAATGCGGAAGAAAAGCCACGGACAGCTGGCGGACGGAGCGGACCGGGCGACTGAGAGTGAGATTCTCCCGTGGGAAAGAGGAAGCAATTGAGTGGAAGCTCGTGGATCACTGTAGCAAAGGGTCCTATGGATCATCGTTAGCAAGATGTACAAGGTCATACTCTTCAGGAACAGACTCACTCGGTAGTGCTTCTGGAGGTTGTTCTGTTTCTCCAGTTTTGCCTGATATCGATTTTGCGCTCGTCTCTCCTTTTGTCTGCTTCGGATCTCTTGAGCACGAACGTCACGTCTCTGCTGACTTGTTGCACCGAGCATACCGGCTTCTCCTCGTCTCATGAGACTATTGCGAGGAGGCGTGGCGGGAAGGTCTGCGTCATCCATTTCTGCATCCTCCGAGCTGCCTTCCTCAATCAATCTCTGGGCCCGTTCCATTCGTTCCGCCGCCGTCGGATAAGAATACAAATTTTGTCTATAGTATTTCTTTAAGCTTCTGTGCCCGGCCACCCGGCCACCGGGAAGATGCATTTCATATTCATCGTAGAAAACTGCATTGTTATGGTTGTGTGCATGAGAATGAAAACCATCCGCGTTTTTGTGAGGTCTTGGATCGGTGTTAGAATGATGTCTGTGCATTGGGAGGCGTTGATAGGAAAGCGTGCGGTCATCGTTCGGTACGGAAGCAAGTTCGTTGGTGTCCAGGGATGAGAATGAAGAATCTGTTTCCCAGCCATCGTCGGCCTCATCTTGTGCTCCACCCTCCAATTTGACACCTCCATTTTGTTTGGATCTCGTACCATCCATCTCAGCATCCTCATCTGTGCCGTCATCGGAGTATGTGCTTGAGAAGTCATAAAATTGTCCCACCTCAATCATTTCTTCTTCCGACTCGAAAGCAATTTTGCAATGGCCTTTATCTCTCATATGGGTCTGTACGCCTTCCGCATTCCCTCGAAGTTTGTGGCAGTACAAACACTCGTAGTTTTGATAGATTTTGGCTTGCATGTACCTCAATAATCCTTCCAAATCCACCAGGTAATTTTGTTCAGGAATGAAAAGACCGTGAATTCTCGTCATATGCGAAACACTGAGTTTCCACGTAGGCGAGTCGTAGTTACAGAACAAACATCGAGATAGAGGGATGTTCGATAATCGAGGCTTCTCTGGTGACATGGGATGTTCTTCTCGGGGTTCTGCATCTGGCGGGGGTGCTGAAGGTCTCCGTGTTATTCCAGGAACATCTTTGATGGAAGTCTTCTTCATTCCCGCCACCACTTGCTCAAACTCGGCTTCGGCCTCGAGGTCTCGAGATTCCGATTCTGCTGTAGAGTCGGCAGTTGAATCTAGAGATCCAACGGTGGAACTTGTATCGGCCCTTGAACCTCTGCCAAGTGCCAATTCCCTCGCATTGTGTGCCTTGCTGGCGACGTGGTTCTGGTAGGCATTTTCACTGTAGTAGGTCTTCTGGCACGTTGTGCAAGCTTTGGCATAGGCGGCTTGAGCAGCGGCGGCATTGTTGGTTGCTTGAGCGGCCAGAACTTTCTCGTTGTAATCTTCGGATGATACCGCAGGCAGTTCTGCTAATCTTCTCTTCAAATTGTATCTGTGCCAGTCGCTTCGCATGTGAGATCGTTGGGCATCGCTATTGCGGAACGCGACTGCGCAGGAATTACAGGTATAAGGATGAGTTTGCGAGATATCCGGAGGGGCGACGGTAGCCATGGTTTGGAAGTTGGCTGGAATAGGTACAGGAATAGATGGGAAGATGGGACAAGGGAAAAGGGAATGAGCAAAAAAATGAACGAGCAATTTGCTGTTACGACGTTTTTGAAGTGGGATGGGGAAGGCTTTTCAAGATGCTCGATGCCCGATGCCCGATGCCAGACGGGTCACGGACAACAGATGAATAAGAAATTTGACCGTGCACCATCAAGTGACGTGCGTTTTTGTGCCCAGTGGGTGCCCAGGTCGCTTCTTAGCATTTTCTTAGCATTCAACGGCTCCACCAACGGCCATATGCGAGGGTAACTTGCGATTTGTATGGATACCGGTCATTTTCGGATCAGGCAGAGAGAGCCAGGGACTTCCCCCGACTTTGCAAACTGCGTGGGATTTCAGGCACGGAAAAGGGCGATACATCGCCGTATCAAAGGCATGCTGCTGATCGTAGTTAAAAAGTCAGAAAGTTTTTTTTTTTTTTGCCTTATCGCAGTTCAATGTCAGCAGCGACGAGACAGCCAGAAGATTATCCGGAGATGTCCTAATATTATCGTCTTTCTAATTATGGAGTAATCCGTGGTGTATCTGATATCTTGAGACAAAGGGTGAATGCCTCGCGTTCTATTTGGGGGGTGGGGGGTATCATGGTCGTAATTCATTCATCGCTATTACGCAGCCTTTTGCTCTGAGAAACCCTTGAGCCTTCTGGAATCTTTCCAAACGCCACCCACTCTCCATTAATAAAATCTTGGTGCTCCGTCCGCTGACAAATATTGTTGATCCTGTATGGTACCGCCCCCCTTTTTTTTTTTTCTTTCCAAACATCTTAAAGTGAAACCAATATTACTCCCAATCCCAGGACTGCGGCAAGAGATTTTACGCAATGAGAATGAGCTGCACCGTTGACAGCAGGGGGTGTTCCCGTTGGTGAGGCAGATATTGCTGTTCCTGTCGATGTGGACTGCCCCCCGCTAGCGCTGGAGGTAACCAATGTGGTGCTTCTCTGTGAATTGGTCGCCGTGCTCGTGGTGGTTCTGGTTGATGTGGTGCTTGATAAGCCTGAGTGAGAAGGGGACGAATTCGTTGAAGCGATTGTGGATTGAGAAGCCCTTGATGTTTGTGATTCGGAAGAGGTTATCGAGCTTAGACGCCCAGGGCCTTCCGTCGCGCTGGCTGTAATGCTTGATGTTGATAGGGTCGCAATGATGATGGTGCTGGAAGTTGAGGCTGAGAAGCTCGTCTGAACTGAGGGCGAGCTGGTAAGAGTTGAACTTGTTGAGCTTACGGATGGACTATTAGAGCTGACTCTAGTCGTCGATTGAGCTCCCACCGAATTAGCCGGATTATTCACTGTACTGCTGCTGCTCGCTCCATAGCCGCCGGAAGTTGGATTGATCGGACTTTCCGTCGACACCGCTACCGAGTTTATGCTTTCAGTCTGTCCTGCAATTGAATTTGTGGGTGTGAAGGCAGCTGTGCTCGCCGATCCACTGTCTGAAGCACTGATGCTTGGAGATATTGGCGCTCCTGTTGCTGAAGAAGCCTCAGAAATGGTGCTGGTGATGAGGAAGCCCTGGCTATCGTAACTTTTCGGCGTGGGTGGCGCTGCTGGATCAATCGTGACGAGAGTTGGAAAGCCTTGATCATTGAATGATGTAACCACTTCAAGTGAAGAAGCCGACTCCGAAGCCAATGACGAGGCTGATAGAGAGGACGAAGGGGATTGGGTCTGGAAACAGGTCAGTCTGGGAAATGCATTTGAGCTGGCGCAAGAGGGAATACTGACTTGTCAGCCCAGAAATTGAAGAGCTTACCGTAGTGGTCACGGCGGTCGCTGTCGCTGTTCCTGACCACGGCCAGCCTGTTCGAGTTGCGTAGACAGATTCAGTGTTGTCATCATTGCCAAAGGCAAGTGGAGCATTGCCAGAGACTTGAGATGTAACCGCTGGAGCATCTCCGGTTGACACCGGAGTGCCGTTTCCTTGACTATTGATCTGACCACCACTGGAAACGATGGATTGCCATGTGCCACTGGTGCCCGAGTACGAGTATTGAGAACCGGTGGAATAGTCTGTGACATGGACCGACTTGACGTACATGGTAAAGGGGCCAAGAGAGTAATCAGTCACACCGCCAGCCCATTGAATGGTGCCCTCGGGGTTTGAGGGATCGCCTCCAGCCCAAGCGCCCAACTTGACGTACATGGGCGTCTGAGGATATTGACCAGCCTCAGCTTGATCTTGCGTCATGGCTCGAACGGTGGTTCCGTCAACCGACCAGACAATCTGATCGGCAGTCCAGTCAATGCTGTATGTGTGGAAAGTGTCATGGTTGTCGGGTGCGGAATGGAATGCCCCACGATTGTAGGTAGTGGTAATTCCTTTTCCGAAGTAATTGCTCTGGACCTGTGTATTATCGCCTCCCAGCCATTCCCAATCGATCTCATCCAAGCAGTCCGACTGCAAAATAGCAGCACTGACTATTCCCGTGCCTGGAGCAGCCTTGACGACAAAATCGACATGTCCGAACATGATGTACCAGTTGGAGGATATGGAGGGAGAGTCGCCGGACTTGGAAATGGTAAAGGCTGCGCCATTGGAGTCATAGGTCGGATTGCCTGATGCAGCGAATTCATTCGAGGATCCGGACGTGAAATCAATGTCGACAGATCTACCCAGAGCAGGGTCCGCAGGACATCCACCTGTACAAAGTCAGTTCTGGGTCAGTGTAGAGGGAGATCACGAGACATACTTTGAAGTAGAGGATTGCATGTCGAGTACGTCTGTGCCGCAACTGGTGCCAGCAGTGAGGAAACGATCAATGCTGTGAGCACGGAGCCTGCGAGAGTGAAATACATGTTATGTTGTACAGGGCACGGAGTAGTGCAAAAGATCGATCCAACGCCGGGTGAATGCAGGAAGGGAAGACGTGCGGGGGATGCAAGTGCTAAAATGGAATCTAGAAAGGACACTTTTGAAGCATGACAATGACAGTAACAGAAAGATGGCCAGCAGAGAATTGATTTCATGATCATGGGCAGGGCAGTCAGAAGTACTATTAACTCTTCACTTGCAGTGGTACGTATGAGGAGGCTGGTAAACAGTGCGACGTCAGCGCAGGACCACAAAAGCCCCCATAAAAACATTCGACGAGACACTGTCATTGGTGAATGAACCACATCCAGAGGCTTCTATTCCCAGAAAACATTGAATATGGAAATTGGATTGGAGGGGAATCAAGGAGGCTGGATACCAGGATTGATTCAGCTCGGGGCTGAACCCTTTTGCTCTTTCATCCGGTGGCGGGTGGCTGGTTGCGGTGCCAAAACGAGGCTAGTTCCACTAAAAAGTGGCAATCCGGTCGCCCCCGTCTTGGCAACAACTCAAGCCACATCCGACATTTCATTCTCTTGTCTCATCTCCCGGCCAATCGGAGATTCGCCTTTTCATGTGGAAGCCTCTCCTCCCGCCAACATCAACACGGATATCCCTCTCTGATTCTTGGAAACGTGTTCTCATGTCACCTTGTCCAGTCAACGGTTCCAGCGTCCGCATGGTGGTCCCCATCCAGCTACAAAAACACTCCATACAGACGAACGTCTTCATTCCAAAGTTTTGATACCGCCCTCATGCTCTTTAACATTGTACTCGTTGGGATATCTTTCAATAAGCCGTTTCAATTCCTTCATCTGTTCCTGAGCTTCTGGCGTTATTTCTTCATAGACGTCCTCAAACATAGCTCGCAGCGGTGGTTTTTGGACCTTTTCGGCGGCAGAGAATTCTCGCAATACTTCCTTGCGTATTGACGCTCTGGCTTCTTTCTCCTTGTCTTCGTCCCAAATACCTCTATTTTCCATCCACTTTCGCAAACGAGTGATGGGGTTGTCCCTCCGCTTCCATTCTTCCACTTCTCGTTTTGCTCGATATGCGAAACTGTCGTCACTGGTACTGTGATGGCTGACTCGATAACTCATTGCTTCCACGAGGATCGGCTTGCAGTCACCTTCAAGCGCTCTTTTTCTGGCCTCCAGCATGACTTCTCGCACCGCAAAGATATCATTCCCGTCCACCCGGATGGTGTCGATGCCGTATCCAAGTCCTCGACTGGCGATACCGTCACCTTTGTATTGCTCAATGCTGGCGGTCGAGATAGCGAATCCATTGTTGCGGCATACAAATACAATGGGGCATGATTTTGTAGCGGCAATGTTCAAAGCTGCATGGAAGTCTCCCTCGCTAGCTGCACCTTCGCCAAAGTAACAAGCCACGATCCGGGGTGGGACATTTGGATTAATTAGACGCTGCATTTTCAATGCGTATGCTGCCCCTGAAGCTTGTGGAATTTGTGTGGCCAAAGGACTCGAAATCGTGTGCACATTGAGCTTACCGCTGCCGTAGTGGACGGGCATGTTTCGACCTTTGCCGTGGTCATCTTTGTTGGAGAAGAGTTGGCTCATCATTTCCTTCAACGTAAATCCACGTTGAATTAGGACACCTTGTTCGCGATACTGCAAAAAGCAAACATCGTCCGGGGACAAGGCAGAGGCTGATCCAACAGCGATTCCTTCCTCGCCCGCTGACACCATGTAAAAGCTCGTGCGCCCTTGCCGTTGAGCGTCAAACATGATCAAATCCATGATACTAACAGTCAACATATTTCTATACCATTTAATGACCTCTTCGTCCGGGGCTGCCCGAGGATCTCTCGTATTGTCGATAATATTACCATCAGCATCCATGATACGGTAAGTCGGCATTGCCGTCGCCTCGGCTGGATTTTGGAACTTCATGGTGGCGGTAAACTTGCTATTGAGAGCTCCAGGGAAATTCACACTGGCGATATTTGGTCAGAATGAGGCACACACAGACATCACCCCGGTTGAAGCATACGAATCTGATCCAACTTTTTGTGCAGGTCCAGAGGACCAAGAGTCACTTGCCCATCGTATTCCTGGTTTGTGCATGAGGACGCCATTTGCATATCTGCAAGATGCCAATAGAGGCCTGGCAGCGATTCGACTTTTCATTTTTACAGATTCTAAAATAACAGACCTCCCGAACAACAAAATGCATTCTTTAGAGGAATGGCAGAAAGGTAAGCAAAGGAGAAGAGGTTGGAAATAAGGGTGCCCGTTCCAAAGATCAGAGAAACTGCGGTTATCCTCGGTCAAAGATGTACGGGACTGACTCCAAACGCTAAACCTTTTTCTGATTGGAATCAGAATGTTTCCTCTTCGATCGAATCATCTCTGCGGTCAGCGACTTCGCATCTACCCGTCACGGCGATGTTTCGCACATTAGCTCGCCATCCTACTGCTCTGCGGAGCTGCCGTAGCATTCACGCCTCCTCACAGAGACTGTTCGGCACGAGTCTTCTGAGGAAGCTTCCTGGAGAAAATGATCGGACGACCCATTTTGGCTTCGAAACAATTTCAGAGGCCCAGAAGGAAGCGAGAGGTACTCCTTGACCTGTGTACACCATGTCTGTTCCATGCTGAGATATTCCAGTTGGGGCCGTGTTCTCCTCAGTAGCATCCTCCTACGATATAATGAATGATTTAATGTCACTTGGAATCCACCGTCTTTGGAAGGACTATTTCGTCCGCAGCCTCAACCCGGGCAGCCGAACTAGTGAAACAGGTTGGAATATACTTGACATCGCTGGCGGAACCGGCGATATTGCCTTCCGTATGTTGGACCACGCGACCAATGTGAACCTCGACCTCAAAACAAAAGTGACTATCGCGGACATCAATGCAGACATGCTTGCCGAAGGTCGGAAAAGAGCTCAAGACACACCATACGGAAACTCAGGCAGACTATCGTTTATGGAAGGAAATGCAGAGTCCATGCCTTCCGTTGAGTCTGACTCCATTGATCTTTACACTGTGGCCTTTGGAATCCGCAACTTTACAAACAAAGACGCTGCAATCCGCGAAGCATTCCGAATTCTCAAGCCCGGAGGCGTATTTGCGTGCCTTGAATTTAGCCACGTGGACAATTCTTTGTTCAATGCTGTTTATAAGAGATGGAGCTTTGGAGCAATACCATTGATCGGGCAACTCGTTGCGGGTGATCGTGACAGCTACCAGTATCTCGTGGAAAGTATCGAACGTTTTCCCACCCAAGAAGAGTTCAAAACTATGATTGAAGATGCCGGATTTGTCACTCCCGGACAGGGCTATGAAAACCTTACTGGAGGAATTGCTAGCATTCATCGAGGAGTAAAGCCACTATAAGTCGGGCCCTTTCAGTTATCGAACTCGCCCTTTGATATTTCCACTTGCACCAGGAAATACATCAAGCTTCGATTCTGCCTGCGTGAAGGCCGCCGGTAACAGCAATGTCGGCACCGGTGGTATATGCAGCGGCATCACTCAACAAATAGATGGCAGTGCCAGTCAGGTCGTTACGGTTGCCAATACGTTTCATGGGGGGTGCGGTATGCATCAATTCGACTAAATACGGATGTTGTGCTCGTAAGCCTTTGGTCATATCCGACTCGATGTATCCAGGCGAAATGGTGTTGCATCGGATGCCTTGGGGTGCAAGTTCAACACTTAGAGCCGTGCTCAGCATCTTTACTGCACCCTTGGAAGCGTGATATGCGGAAAGTCGATGTCCAGGAATAGCGCAGTGCGCACAGACAGATGCGATGAGGACCAGGCTTCCACCGGTGCCTTGCTTCTCCATCCGTTTTGTTGCCAATTGAGCAGTAAAAAATGTACCAGTAACCTGTACAGTATGAGAATAGGCGGCAATGGGGCGGAGGGGGGGGAAATTTCTGCTCACATTCACATCTTGCACTCTAGCGACTTCTTTCCATGACTGCTCCACAAAAGGTTTGTCCAGAGCGATGCCAGCGGCTGTTACACTATTTCCAGGATTAGTGTGGACTAATAGCACAAAAAGCGTTTCATACCAGCCATCCAGCGTCCCCAGCTCGGCCATTGACCGGTCAAAAGCCTGGTTCAAGCTCTTTTCATTGGTGACGTCTGCGTGAATGTACCTGGCTTTGACTCCGAAATCTCCTTCCAAGGTACCGAAGTCTTTGACGGGCGAGTCGAGGATATCAAGAACAGCCACATTGCCTCCCATTTCTGCGATCGCGCGTGTGATAGCATACCCGATACCCCGGCCTCCGCCTGTGATGATGTAGTTGCGGTTTTTGAGCTCGAACATTGATCGCACGCTTCGAAGGTCTCCATCATGGAGGTCACTTCGTACCGGGATAGCACTCGAAGACGACCTAGTTACTCGTTGGATTGGACAGCATGCTCTGCGAATGTTTCTGGTCAGAATAAGTCCTCTTGGGGACAACATAGATGCTGTTTCTGTGAGGAGATAGTTATATCTACCAGGCACAAAGATCGAGAGGGTGAAGAACCCCCCAGTCTGGCACTACCTTACCCCGCAACGTCGGTGCAGGGCGAAGGCGCCGAAATGGATACCAGATTTTTGAGTATTTGTCTTCTCGCCCATTGTATTTCAACTGTATTAGAATTGCGATTGGCAGAGTCGTTCATCTGCACCACGACAAAAGAAGACGTGTCGAATCGCACTAAACTTTGCCTCCCTTTGCGGCAACACAGGCCATATTCGAACCAAGCACGGCAATCTGAAACTCAACCCTCGTTGGCTGTCCTCTGCGAACAAAAATCGAGTAATCCATTGACCCTCCATCCTGCCAGTTTTCGATACCGTTTGTTGAACGGAGTTTGGATGACACCTTCTCGCTTCCCCACAATTTGACCTTTGGGGCTGATGGAGGCGTCCCTAAGTTGCTGGCGTCCAACCCCAGAATATACCTCGGCTGTAGACGCCGATGCTTGACATGGGCGGATGGGCAACGGGGATCCACTTGGGATCCTGGCACAAGAGCAGGGAAAAGTCACAGGTCACATAACCTTCTCAATCGAGGCTAACCTAGTGTCCACTGTTGACCTATTCTTGGGTCACCTTCTGCCGAAGGTGGCCGGGGATCACTTACAACATCTTTCGACCTCCTCGCTCAGATCCTCCTTACACCATCGCCGTTCGAATCCATTTGCGTTGAGAGGTACTTTAGGGACAATTTGGTTTGGCTCGGGCCAGTACTGTCTGGGACTGGGCGTAGAGTTTGTCCAATCCGGTATTACCGAACGACTCGACGACATTATCTCTCGCCGCACGTGTCCTGCTCTTCTCACCTGTCATCTCTGAGAAGAAACATCGGTCTTACTAAAACGTCGCCAATCGATTCGGTCTATAACAATATTAAGTACTATCTTCCTTCCGTGTCAAATCATGGGATGTGGAGTATCGAGCCTAAAAGGTGATGCCGTACCGGACTTGAACAGCAACCCCACGACCGCGCCAGCGCCAATTAAAAAGATAAGAACGAATTTCTCCACCATCGACTATGAACAAGGCTCGCGGCAGCGGCGTATGACAGAATATGCGCCGCACGAAACGCCCAAGCCAAAGACAAGCGACGATATGACGGGGGGGCCGCTCCTCGGACGGGCGGTTGGGTCGCTTCTTCAGAACGACCACGATGCTGCTAACCCGTCAGGCGGCAATATGGATGCCCCATCATCAGGCTATCCACATGAAGGAGCCGGTTCGAACTCGGAGCCAGCCCAGGCAAATGGCAATCCCGACATGCTGTTGAAGCCGTACCAGACCTTGGACGGCGGTGATTGGGACGAAGACGTAAACAATGAGGCACCGCAGGTCAATGGCACGCAGGCGGATCCGACGTCTTCGCTCGCTAAAGACGAGTTTGCTGCGTCCAACGACCCGGCAAATCCACGGAACCAGGAATCAGAGCAATTATCCGGCCCTTCAGATACAACGACTAGCGAGCACAAGAAATCCTGGTTCGGGCAGAAATACGCCTCATTCCAAGCCGCGAAGCAAGGCCGTGGCAGTGCGCATCTGTCAGATGAAGAGATTAAGAAGTATACGGGTAAAGATCGCGCAGAGCTGCGGCGGTGGGCGGAAACCGCACCGGGCGTAGGTGGCAATCAAGTAGCAGGCCGCATTGGCACGGACAGTGCGCAGGGAATGAGCGCTCCGTATAGCGGCAATTGAGAAATAGCGAGAGCGGAGTTGGGTTTCGGGAGCTGCGAGAGGAGGAGTGCATCCGCCACTTCTCAGGTGGAGAGAAGTTCAAGCATTTACTAAACCAGGCGACTAGGGTCAGGCTTCAATTTCTTCAGGATGTCTTATGAGCCTAAGCAGCAATGTAGCCCAAAATCTCATTTTTGTACCAAAATCGTTACTTCTGTCTTGCAGGACAATCCAATCCTCTTCAAACATCTAACATCCGCATGTATCATATAATCATTTCATGCACGTGCTCTTTTCTATGGCAGCATGCCATGGATACATCGTACAACCCCCCTTTTCCCTCAGCATCAATATTCAAAAAGGCCATTTCCGGCCTTTTCTTCCCCCCCCAAAAAGCCACCAAATTTTATACTCCACACAACTCTGGGCACTGTGAGCTCCGCTCGCTGGCAATGCAGGCTCGCAAACCATCTTTCACTTCAAGTCTCGGCTCTATTGTGGTATCTACCTTATTTAAATGACGCTTGTGTTGGGGTCATCATCGCGTAAATTTATTTCCGCCATCATCGTGTACAGATACTGGCTCTCATTCGACTTCAAGGAGAGGGCCGTGCCATGAAGCCATAGTATTTGGCCTTTTTAATGGGTAAGAAGAGATCAGGCGGATGGCCACGTACTGGATCTAATGGCTTGATTGATCGCAAAATGAACTTCTTAGCTGGTGGATTGGACTTCCTTGGCTTTGCCCTTGTCGCTGTCGGCGTGGGTAATAGAAGTCATGCTCGACGCACGACCGTCGTCTTCGTATAGGTGATTTTGCTCGATATATTCCACAACCGGCGCTGGGATAAGATATTGTACGCTCATCCCTCTTCGTAGGAAGAGCCTTATCTTTGTACTGCTGACGTCATTTTGAATCAATTGCTGGATGACGTATATGTTGTCGCGATAGCTTTGCAAGCTAGCCAGGGCTTCGTCGATATCGGTCCCGGATCTTTCGATGATGAATGTGCCGTAGCGCCCAAGGATATGGTCCAAATCCTTCTCACTCCACACGCCGGGAGTTGACATGGTCTGGATCAGGTCGGCACCAGCGAGCAATGCTATTCTCACGGGCTTTCGGTTTCCGTCTCCCGTGTCAATGCCCTTCCTTATCACATTGATTTCATGATCAAAGTGGTCCAACACTTTGGCCGTAGGCTGGTATTCCTTCTTTTCTGCTTCCCACGTGTCGACCATTAGCCAACTGGAGGCTCTGTCAATTGCAAGCTGGCACATTGCCACTCTATACCAGAACGTTAGCTATTGCTTTTTTCCCCTCAGAGAATGGGCACTGCAGTCCCACCTATGTTCTGCTGGGGCTAAGCCTTGCTTCTTGTAGGCATCCGACACGGGGGATAGATATCCGCCCACCATTTCAAAGTCGGTGTTGTGTTTGACGTAGTCTGCAGCCATGACAAACATGCGCAGGTGGAGGAAAGTAATAGGGGAGAAAGAGCCGCATGCAACAAGAAGAAGAGGGGTCTTGGAAGGATCATCCATCTTCTTCTTAAGGCGGGAATCGGGGAAGTGATATTCGTCCATTTTGTCGGCGTCACCAGTGGTTGCTTGTAGAACAGTCGGCCTCTTCTGTGAGAATGTCTTTTACTTTTGAGCGATCGAACCGAATAGGCGAGAGGGTAAGAAGATGACCGAGGGTGTTGCGGATTTGTCAGAGCAAGACGTAGCGGTTACGAAGGGGGATAATTCGGAGGGCGGGGGCTGTCGGGCGTCTCAGAGTGATTCCCTCGTGAGGAGAGGAAGAGAAGCCAAAGGCCTGCAAATAGGGGAGACCGTGATTAAGGAGGACGGTAGGAGAAGTAGGCAGGAACGACTCAGCATCTCAGGGCTTCATTGCCCGAGTTGAGTGAGTTCGGGAAGTGGCTGGTATCGGTTCGGCTGTGAGGAGAGGCACGAGCCTGAAAGATTTTTTAGCAACAAGGCGCGAGGCCCGTTGGGGAGACTGGAAGGGGGGTGGATATCCGGACGCCGGGAACGGCGATAGCAGGCTTTTCACCGTCAATAAGCTAGTGACGGAGTACTAGAAATGGTGGTGGAGGAATGGGTTTGCGCCTTGGTACCTAGAAGTTTAGTGCACCCGGCTGGAGAACGAGCAGTCAGCGAGGTGGGTGGGAGAGGATACGTGAGGAGCAATGGGAAAGATCGAGACCGAGGGGAATAGATGATTGTGACTTAATACTATTTTGTCGCTATTAGAATTATGTACTGTACTGGGTACAAAGGAAGATGACGCGGACAGAGAATATCACGCGGCCAGGGACAGACGGTGCCATTTACCACTGGAGCTATATTGCTCCGGACGGCCAGCAGATGCTGTGCTTGATGAGTTTAGTTAGGCCGTTGGATTCGGGTTTACTTATGGTTTTCCTCTGGTGTGAACAGGTGTTTTCCAGCCCGCATGCATATGCATGAATCTCCTCCAGAGCCTCTTGCACTCAACAGTCCAATCCTGATTCTATCGAATCCAGCAACATCACAGCCCATGGGCTTTCGTATTCCGAGGTCATAGTCATTGTCAGTTTGGGTCGCTACTCTTCCTGGGCTTTTCCTTAGTAATAGAGAAATCGCAGGCACTCAGCAGGCAAAACATGGACGGTGAGTCAATCCGCATACAGGCGACTGAGAAGCGACAGCTGTTGGCGGTCTAGTCGTGGTGGAAGTAGATGAAGCTGATATCAATAGGTAAAATCATCAGTCTTGTAGGTTATGTGAGACCTGCGCGGCTGCAATGCCGGGTGTCAAAGGTGAGATATACTCAAAGAGGGGTTCGGTAGAGGAAGATATCGCAATACAGTAGTCTGGCAAGGAGGAGCCTTTTTACATCCAGAAGCGGCAAGGCTCTCGGCTGGTTTCATCAATGATTAGGCGATGGTCGTCCACTGCGCCGCTGTCAAACGCCCTGTAATACCCGTGTGGGACTAGTTGCCTGCGCCATTCGCCAACCCACGTCCTTATTACGGAGTTATTAACCAACTTTTTACTACCACTGACTTACCACATACCACATACCACTTTACACTCTACGGGTGCAAGACTGGTCCATTTCATTTCTTCACTTTCTACCATCTATCAAGTTACTTCTTCAACCTGGTGTTCGCCCTGCACGTTCTTGCCTCCTCCTACCATCGCCGCCCTTCGATGGCGGGTTAACATGGCAAATCTGCCCGCACGCTCTTCAACCTTCCAAATCACCAACGGACGTGCTGCAAACACACTTGCTTCGGATCAACCATCTTCTTCCCACTCAACTTCCTCGCGCAGAGCCAGGTACTTCTCACTTCACTACGACTTCTGTCTTCACTTTTTACTCCGAGTTTGGAGACCTGCATCACTTGCCCTTCATTCAAGCACCAGAACCACATCTAAAGTGACCCTCTCAACCACCACACATGATTAGTCCTCACTCTGCAATACCACCATACCTTTCATTCCCTCTTTTGACACACACTCACATACCTCGATGAGATCCGTCACTCATGTTCCGCAGAGTCACTCGTTCATCTGCGAGGCTCGCAGCAGAGTCTGGCGCCCCGACCACCACCAACCCAGCCGATCCTCCCCAACCCTCAAATCCTCGTCCTGTCTCATCCAAGAAACGTAAGGCCCCGAGCCGTCGAGCATCCAGCCCCACCGACCACTCAGACGAGACGAACCCTGCATCCCATCGACGGGGAAAGAGACAGAAGTTGGCTGAGCCCCCGCAAGCTCAACCTCCAACCGCACAAATCTCTTCTCGATCAAGTAGGAGAAGATCCGCCACCAACGAGCCGGCGATGTCTAATAATGGGTGGGCCTTCATACATGATGCCATCGCCGAGGCGGCAGCTAAAGGGTCTAGGTCATCTTCCAAATACGCCGACGAGTCTCCGAAACAGATATCTTCAAAGTCGAGTTCGAAACGACCGCCTAGCAGAAATAACAAGAAGACATCATCAGGTACAAAGCAAGCCTCAGTTGAGGATTCCAAATTGCTGACTTCTTTGCCAGACGTTTCGCCTCCAACCCAAACGCCGCCCTCTCGCAGACAGAAGAAACGTTCGAGCAAGAAGGACCAAGATGTTTCCATGAAAGAAGACGAAGAGGACGAGGAAAAATTTCCCAGAAGAGAAAATGACACGCCACCACCTAATCGTGACGACAGCGAGAGCAACGACGGAGACGACCCGAGCCTCATGGAAGACGATGAGGCTCCCGATCCATTCTCTGCAGCCTTGTTTGGCTCAGGCCGTGGGCCTCCCTCAGGATTGTCAAGTACATTACGAGCCTTGAGCGGAATGATGAGTGGAATGTCATCAAGACTGAGAGATATTTTGAACAATCTTCGACAAGCAGACAACCCAACCATGCAAATGCTCGCTCTTGAGGAGTTGTCCAACTTGCTGCTGGTCTCCAACGAAGACAACCTCTCAGGGCAGTTTTCGCCAGATCCTTACGTCAAAGAGCTCGTGGCCTTGATGCAACCCAATCCCGTCACGGGCGAGGAGAACCCCGAGATGATGCTTCTGGCTTGCCGTTGCATTGCCAATTTGATGGAAGCTTTACGAGGCTCGGTTGCCAATGTGGTTTATGGTGGTGCAGTCCCTGTCCTGTGTCAGAAATTGCTTGATATTCAGTACATCGACGTTGCCGAGCAAGCCTTGAGCACGTTGTCCAAAGTGTCGGTCGATTTCCCAGGATCCATCGTCCGCGAAGGTGGCTTAACCGCTTGTCTACAATTCCTTGATTTCTTCGCCACGGGTACGCAGCGGACTGCTGTTACTACTGCGGCAAATTGCTGTCGTAACATTCCACACGATTCTTTCCCAGTTATACGAGACGTCATGCCGATCCTCCTGAACGTTTTGTCAAGTCACGACCAAAAGGTCGTCGAGCAAGGCTGCCTCTGTGTCACTCGAGTTATCGATAGTTTCAAGCACAGCGCGGACAAACTCGAGCAATTGGTTGACCCACCATTGCTCCGAGCAATCCTAGGACTGCTTCTCCCCGGTACTACCAACCTCATTGGAACCAATATTCATACCGAATTTCTTCGAGTGCTTGCAATCGTGGCCCGGGCAAGCCCTCGACTATCGACAGAACTGCTCAAGATGAATGTCGTCGATACATTGTACCAGATTCTTACTGGAGTTTCTCCTCCATCCGAAACTGCGGGCGCCGCCTCCAAAATTGACAGCGTCGTCATTATGCAAGCGTTGATCCATAGACCTCGGGAGCAAGTGTATGAAACTTTGAACATCATCTGCGAACTCCTACCACACCCCAAACTTTCCAAGAACTCAGACTTCGAGTTTTATGAGGACATAAACGACGATGTTTCCGATGATGATGATGATGGAACGCGAGTTGGAAAGACATCGCGAACTGACAAGAGGCTACAATTGCTTGAAGACTGCAAAGAAGAGACTCGCCGATTTGCGACAATCCTTTTGCCCACACTGACAGATGCGTATTCCAGCACTGTGAATTTGAGTGTTCGACAAAAGGTTCTGATCGCTCAGTTGAAGATTCTTTCCAACCTCGAAACCCGTGTCATTGAAGAAGCGCTTCGACCTGTACCGTACGCATCGTTCCTCGCATCGATATTGTCTCAAGAGGATCATCCCACTCTAGTGATGTTCGCCCTCCAAGCATCGGAGCTACTCTTTGAAAGACTCGAAGACATTTATCAATACCAATTCCATCGTGAAGGCGTTATAGGAGAAATCAAGAAACTCAGCAGCAGACCATTGGATGTCGACAAGAAGTCATCTACCTCCACGAGAAGTGATGGCGGCGGTGGGGTTGGCAGCAGCACAGAAAGACACGGCCGTCTAGGAAACGGTGGAGATCTTGAAGGCGACCGCGCCAGACATCATAGTGATGCTAGTGATGATGATGATGCGGAGCACGACGAGGGTGACGGCGAAGACGATGAACACAGTGACCCAGAAGACGATGACCATGACGACGAGAGAGACGTCGATGACGACGAAATTGCCGTTAGACACGATCATGATATGGACGATTCCCAGAGTTCTGATTCGTCTGAGGAAGAAGAAATGCCGTCTCCACTCGCCATTGCTGGGATCGCCGACTTGGTTGTGATGCGTGCAAAGAAGTTCTTGGAAAAGTATGATACACCAAAGGGTAAAGACATGAAGAACAAGGCTTCCAACATTCGGGCTGATCTTCACAAATTGGCGAACGACATTGAAATGTTCTATCAGCAGCCAAATTCGGTGGAGATGGGGAACGAGCTCTTCACCCGTCTCGCAAGTTATTTCGACGGTGATGCACTTGAGAGCATCACCAGTTCAGAATTGTTGGACTCCGGCATCATTCGCGTGTTGGTCAAAGTCCTGTCGGAGGATCCGTCCTCGGCATACAGCACCGCCAGGGCACATCTTGTGTCAGCATTCATGGAATCAACCAACTCGGGCAAAATCAAGACAACCTCTGCATCCTCAGCAGCTACGCCCTTCAGCGTGCTCATACAAAAGCTTCAGGATCTCCTCAGTCGTGCTGAACATTTCGAGGTTCTCACTGTCAACAATAACGCCTCTGAGAGCAGTCGCAGCAGCTCTACTTCCATGCTTTCGCGCCAGCTCCGACTCAGATTGTCAGCCGATGCTGACAGTGACATTCCTCTGACTTATCGTGAGATGATCGTCTCCATTCATGCCATTGCAACGTTCAAAGCATTGGATGACTATCTTCGGCCTCGGTTCACCCAGTCCGACCGCCCTGCATCTGCTCAGCGACGCCGTGACATGCTTCAGCAGATTGCAAATGCTCGTCTCGCTCACCTCTCTGGTGCCACTGAATCAGGCTTATTGTCACCATATGCGCAGGGGTTTATGGGTAATCTACCTAGTCCTGGAGACACAGAGTCTCGTACTGGGCCTCGACTTTCGACTCGAATGAAGCAGCAAACCGAGGAGAGACAGGGTTCTGCGGAGAAGAAACCTGAGAAGGCCGAGCGAAAACGAGTCACCCGACGCAGTCAGGCTTCTTCATCAAACCAAGAACCGCCGCCGCCGCCGCCGCCGCCGCCTCCGGAGCCCAGTTCTGAAGCCACCCCCAACAAGCTTGAATGCGCCGATGAAAAAGTTCTGGAAGACGACGAGACACCTGATGGTGAGGGTGCGCTCGAGGCATTCGTTGACGGTCTTGAAGACGATATGTCAGATGACGATATGCCAGAACCGGGAGCAGTGAACATGGAACTTGGCTCTTCTGGAAAAGTGACAGCCCGTCAAGAGGATGGCACGAGAGTATTCACCCCTCAGCCTGGCACCCCTGTTCCCGGAGGCACTCGACCCCCGTCTTCGGCACAGTCTCCCGGACCATCCCCAGCAGGAAGCGGTGGACGTCCATCACACCCTGCTGCACTCTCGTCAACTCCGCAGGACTGGCACATTGAATTTAGCATTGACGGCAAAATTATTCCCAACAACACTACCATTTATCGAGCCGTCCACCACAATCGGGATCAACCTCAAGACCTGTCTTCGCGTAGCATCTGGTCCGGTGTCCACGCTGTCAAATTCAGAAAGGTCCGAGGCCCTCCACCCAACCCATCAACTCTGTCTGGATGGAGCGAGCCAGAAAAGCAGGGCCCAAGTGACGGCCTACCTGCTTCCGTCGATGGTCACCCAATTACTTCTTCGATTCTTGCGTTGCTCCGGATCCTTCACGAGCTTAACGCGAATCTCAACGAGATTCAGGAGGTCATTGGACGACCAGGCCTCAAGCTCTATCCCGAGTCCTTGGCGTCTTTTATCAATACCAAACTGACCGCGAAAATGAATCGTCAGCTGGAGGAGCCATTGATCGTTGCCAGCAACTGCCTTCCAGATTGGAGCGAAGACCTTGCTAGGTCCTTCCCTTTTCTGTTTCCCTTCGAGACTCGGCACTTGTTCTTGCAGTCAACTTCCTTCGGATACTCACGGTCTATGATCCGCTGGCAGAACAGTCAATCGGAGAGTGATGACCGTCGTGACCGTCGAAGAGATGACAGACCTATGCTTGGCCGACCTCAGCGCCAGAAAGTGCGCATTTCTCGCCATCGGATCCTGGAGTCTGCCATGAAGGTTATGGGAATGTATGGTGCTTCGCCGAGCGTTCTGGAGGTCGAGTACTTTGAAGAGGTTGGCACGGGTTTGGGCCCTACTCTTGAGTTCTACTCGACCGTATCGAAGGAGTTCTCGAAGAAGAAGCTGAAAATGTGGCGCGAGAACGACTCTGCTGATAACGACGAGTTCGCATTTGGAAAGAATGGGCTTTTCCCAACCCCAATGAGCGAGGCAGAGACTCATACCGAAGGTGGCAAGAAGCTGTTACTCCTGTTCAAAGTGCTCGGAAAGTTCGTTGCTCGCTCCATGCTTGATTCTCGCATCATCGACATCTCCTTCAGTCCTACCTTCTTCAAAATAGGGGGCATATCAACTGCAGTACCATCGATTGGGTTATTGCGCACTATTGATCAAGACCTGGCCAATTCTCTGTCTCAACTGCAGCAATTTGTCAAGGCCAAAACAAAGGTCGAACTTGATCCATCAATGACAAAGACCGCGAAAGCGCAGGCAATTGATAATCTCACAATTCGTGGTGCCAGAATTGAGGACCTCATGCTCGACTTCACTCTTCCTGGCTATCCGGGAATTGAACTGATTGAAAACGGGTCCAATGTCGCCGTGACTGCGGACAACGTTGAGACGTACATTGAAAGAGTACTCGATATGAGTCTAGGAAGTGGAGTTCGGCCTCAAATTGAAGCCTTCCAAGCCGGATTTTCCCAGGTGTTCTCGTATTCCTCCTTGAAGGCATTCACCCCTGATGAGCTGGTCATGCTGTTTGGACGCGTCGATGAGGACTGGTCTATTGAGACCTTGATGGACTCTGTTAAAGCAGACCATGGCTTCAACATGGACAGCAAGAGCGTCAAGAATTTGTTACAGACAATGTCAGAGCTCACCGCTTCTGAGCGTCGTGACTTCTTGCAATTTGTCACTGGCAGCCCCAAACTTCCAATTGGAGGTTTCAAGAGTCTCACACCCATGTTCACTGTGGTCTGCAAGCCAAGTGAGCCTCCTTACGCGTCGGACGACTATCTTCCCAGTGTGATGACTTGTGTCAATTATTTAAAGCTTCCCGACTACACTTCGCAGCATATTTTGAAGGAAAGATTATTTGTGGCTATCCGTGAGGGTCAAGGAGCATTCCACTTGTCCTAAAGGTGTCAGCGATGATACAGTGGCTTGAGCAGGTGGATATTGGAGGTAAAAAGTGAAGTATTACTTTGAGAGGGTGAGAGCTGAGAGTGGGTTTCGATTTTACTTGGATCAACTGTCGAGCGACAATGGACTTTGGCTAAAATTGCATAAGGGAGAGATATCGAGTTTATGAAGGGGGATGGAATCCGACCTTTGTTGATCCATGAAGGATGAAACGGCCATGAACAAATTGCATGGAAATAGGCGTAGATTGAAATGGAAGGTTGATCATGGACTCCGGGCACGGGAACCGCGCTGCACTTGCACTCTGCGGGAGTGAGGCGTTTATTTCGTGGTACGTTTCAATCATGGCCAAATTGCAGTCGAAACTACTATGGATGACAATGGAATGGACATGAAAATGGGGTTTCGCTGTCCCCGCTTTTTGACCCAAGTTAAGAAACACTGACACGTCTTATTGAGGCTTTCACTTTTGGCTCTTGAACAGGTGTCGAGTTGTGATCAACTACGGCTTACGCGTATTGAGCGAGCACTTCAGTATTCGTGAGATAGCCAACGCAAACTCATTGATTCATCGTAATGATGTCTACCTAGATTCCGAAATAACAAAAAAGTAAAAAACATTCGTCGGTCATGTAGGCGAAAACACCGTGGACATTCAAATCATGGATAGCAACATGAACACGGGTATAGGTCCATTTCTCCTTCGACACGAGGAAGAGGAGGGAAGAAAAGAGATTATTGTGCCTGAAATTACCCATATCGACGAGATGGCGGTGGATGGCTGGCTTCAGGGGTCTGGACAAAGTATACAGGCACATCTTGCTGTTGAGTGTGAGGTGGCTCTGTCTTGCTCGGTTGGCCTTCGTTTACACTGTCGGCGAGGGAGCCACTGCGGGAACCTGACCGTGAGCCAGAACCAGATCTGGGGCTCGGCAACCCAGCTAGTCGCTGTGGATGTTGATGCCAGCTAGCATGCTCTCGAGATCCGACCTTGCTTCCAGAGCCGTGGCGTCGCCTGTTTCTATGCGAATCTGTCCGTTCGGGGTATTCGTGCCCACCATACTGTGCCAGTTTCTCCCTCTGAAGCTGCTTGACGAGGAGATAACGGCGAAGGTTGCGCAAAGCTACAAGCAGCAAGGTGAATTGGACGGACCAGACGATGGTGCCGAAGACGATGCCCGCGATCTGCAAAGCACCGATATCGTAGAACACCGGGGAACATTCTCGAGTAAACACGTTCAGCATGCTGCACTGCAGTATTCCCGACTGCGTGCGTTTGGCTGGCTGCCAGAAGCGGAATAGCGAGCCATAACCTGCGAGCAGAAGGGCCGGAAGCAGACTGAGCAGTACCAACACGGGGATCGTCGTGTGGATGAGGAGCGAGCGGCGCGAGAGAGAGGACAATGACGACACCGAAGCATTGCTACCTGATCCTCGGGATTTTGGTGATCGGGTATAGATAAGGGCGGCGGCGTGGTAGAGAAATGCGAAGGCTAAGGGGCCAATGGGCATCCCGTCGGTCCAGTCGCCGCGATTCGGACCTGCGTTGTGGAAGAAGTTGGAGTTCCATCTCGGTATAGCGGCTGAGAAGAGCGATAGGGCGATCAAACTAGCAAAAAGGCTGGTGATGTGGAGGATCGTGGTGAAGCGTCGACGTAAGCGGTGATGAGGGTTGGTATTTGGCGGTGAGAGGTCGGTGGGGTAGGTGGACGTTAGAATGAGGGTTTTTGGATTGAACATTTTTGCGGGTATTCGATATGTCTGGCGGGGTCGACTTGAGTGGTAGGAACGAGAGGCGTCAAATGCTGTGGTGTTTGATTTGCCAAAATCCAAAATGTTAGGTCCCGTCGAGAGGTCAGTTGTCGGTCGCCACTGCGAAAGGAAGGTTGACCTTGCCAGCAAGATTCTTGAAAATGAAGACAGGAAAACAACTCAAGCCAAATAACGACTGAACTGCACCGCAAACCAGGCGAGATGAGAGAAAGGAGGACGGGAAAGAACAGAGAAGCAAACCATCAGAGCCGCAGGAGGTGGGCGGCGATTCACGTCGTTGAGATATTCGTCAACAACGGTCCGGATGGGAACATTACCGAACGTCGACCTGCGACAGTTCATGAAGGAAGATTCGTGGAGCTGCGACAATTCTCGAATCATTCATGAGAGGAGGTGGTGTTAATGAAACAGTTTCCACGGTGTCAGGCCAAACACTGGCAAACAGGGGGCGCGTGTTGCAAAGCGATTGGCCGACGGGTCGGCGTTGCCATTGCAAGCCGTTGGGCTTGGGGGAATTCGGGGAAAAACCTCCATCAGACCCGTCAAGCCAATCCAAGCCACCTGCCGGCTTCTGTGTCTCTAGGCTCTTCCAGGGTCGATGATCCTGGTCTTCCGGCGCTTCACCCGGGCGATTACCGCCTAGGAGTATTGCTAAGGGCAGTCGGGAACCGCTTAGAGGCCTTGCTCTGATTGCTTCCTTGCTCCTTGGCAATAGGCGGTGGGGAGGAGCCCAATTGGAAGAGCAGCTTTCAGCAAGACAGCTGGCAGAGGTGCATATTTGGCGAGTAAGTAGGGCAACGCCGGTAAGAGGGCAAGTGCAAGGACTTTGGTCACAGGGTGCCAGGTGATAGGAAGTCGAATTCCCGGGACCTTTTGAGAGGGACAGGCTGAAAAAGTAATTCTGAGTCCTGGTCATCATTGAACCTTCGAGTCCTGTGTGTCGTTAATTGTTGACCTTGTCCTGCCGTCGTCCTGTCAACCGCTCCGCCTGAATTTGATTCGATATGAGCCGCTCGCCCATCAGGCTACGGGACTCACCCGCCGTAGTGATGGACAAGCTTGGCCTCAGCGCTCGGCAATTCGAAAACTTCAAGAACTTTGCGCGAAATGCTCACAATGAGTACTGTCAGGCTCACCCCAATTCCAGGTGGGCCGATGTCAATGTCGTTTGGACCGCCGTACCCGAGCGAGAGAAACTCGCCGTGATCGGAATCATGTTCAGTTTGTGTTCCCAGAACGAGCTATTTCCTCCGAGCACCCCCAGAGCAACCATCGAACAAGGCATTGAGCAAAGGCTGCATCAGGTCCGGCGTACATGGCAGCAGACATCAAGATCGAAAAAGTCGGCACAAGGGACAGACGCTTTTGACGACGGAGGTGAAGGCTCCGCAGCCTGAAAGGGTGATGACATATTGCTGGACTGTGTTAACGGCATCTGGTACAATTGAAGACTTATACAATCCGGCTTTGCACGTGTAGCTGCTGGCCAAGGTCCCGAGATTTTCAGATACTTTTTCTGCTGATGGTAATCTTGTGTTGTTTCAATTGCCATCCTCCGAAGCAGTGCCGCTTTCAGCAGGCTAGCAAGGCATCAACGATGGAAGTGAAAACCAAGGATAAGCGAGGGGCAAAGGGGTTAGAAATCTTCCATGTTTTTGCAACCGAGTCGTTATGAGAAGGATGGCGGGATGCCGGTCGTGTCAATGTATTGTGGATTGGTTGGACAATGGGGCCTCCCCATGCAGTGTGTCGATGACGGATGCGGCTGGGGATCGGGCATTGCAGGATGCAACTAGACCGCAGAGTGCGTGGTGACTGGGCAGAACCCAAAGAAAGGGGGTGTTGATTGACGGATGGTAGGGCAGGATCGTTTGGCCAGCATTCTCGGCCCGGTCAGGGCACGTCTTTGGACAGGGTGTGGCTATCTTCAACTCGGGAAAATCCTGCTCTTGGGAAATTAGGTGCCGATGAGTTTAATTCGCAGCCAGCTTTTTGCCTCTACCCATATATCTCGTCTCGGTCTTTCGCCGCCGGGTGGGATTGGTCCTGGACTGGAAGAAGCACTTTTCATATGGGGAATGGATATCACCTGGTTCTCTGTAGACAAAGCAGTCTTCCGTACACGCGTTTCGTTGTCGGCCCCTGCCAAACGGATGACGTATCCTGTCAGTGTCAGAGCCGTTCATGCCGCAAACGCTATCGTCGAGACTTTGTCCCAGCATTTTGCTCTTTTACCAACAGGTGGAAATCGCGCCACTTGTGGTGTTCAACCCGACTGGCTTTCCTTTCTGCACCGTAAATCTGCGTCGTGTACATCGACTCTAAGTCACTTATGCACAATAATGTCCTTCTTTGCAAAGAACCAGGCTGGTGCATTGCATAGAGCAAGAAATAGATTCGTTATTGCCTGAATCTTGCTCTATGTGGGTATTTGTTTGGTGGCTAATATGAAGAGAGCTCAATGCATTCAACGGCTGGGCGAAAGCGCTGCTTCTCGGAGTGAGAACATACCGTTTGAGTACTCATCGCTCTTCATAGCTCGATAGAATTATTCTGTGTCTATCGTCAGTTGTATGGCTTGGGATATACCGGTCTTTGTTGTCGACCTCTATAGGGAACGGACCCCAAAAAACCCCCCTGGGCCTACCAGGGACGTTGCAAACGATGGTTGGCTCGCGCCGGATCGCCAGGGCACTGTGGCCAGAACTGGATCATGGCAGATCCCCCTAGCGCTGGCGGGGACAGTCTCACTGTCCATAACGTTCAACGGTAGCTCACCATTTTCTCAAGAAGGTGCCCGTTGCTCGTTCGAAGCCGCACAGATGGTGATTGAATAAGGATGAACTCTGAACGAAGTACAGGACAGGCAAAACTGAGCCCCTTACCCGGGGACAGCGAGGACGAAATTTTACCTAAAGCCGTCTGTCTCCGGAAAATTGGATTCGCCGTCGCCGGGGTTCATGACGTTTCCGAAAACCTGGTGGCCGACGCACAAACACATGCCAAATAGTCGCTTTCTTGACCCTCGGTATCAGACCAGCACCGTCAATACATCTCACCCAGTCCATCCCATAAAATTACGTTCTTTTAATAGATTTGCCACTCGCCCTCACGGTTCGATTAAGAGACCATATCCAGACGGAACGACTTGCCTCCGTCGCACGGTCCTGACATCCGCCACTTCGCCCGTTCGCGTCCATTCGTTCCGAGCAATCTCGCCGTCAAAAAAAGACTCACCCCCTCGAGGTCATGAAACCCTCACAAAGCTGTCGGTGATGTTTGGCGAATCTGGACTGCAGTAGCTGGGAGCGAAACAACCTGCGGATGGCAGAGACACTCCCGCCGTTGACATCTCCCATCCTTGACCATAATCCAGTCCTACGCATCTCAAACCCACCTCCAAACATCATTACCATATCCGATCAAAAAAGGCTCGGACACAGACATACCTCGCTTCGAGCCGGATGGCCGCTCTTGTACGTTGAGGTCAATGCGATAGGTGATGCTGGAACAGAAAATACAAGCCCCAAGCCGTTACAAGATGGAACGCTTGAGGGAACCCGACCTTGCACTAGGCAAGTTTGACACTGAAATTCCACGACCAGTCGCACAGAGGTTACCTGCTCCCATCAATCAACATCATTCCACGGTAGCCCATCCTGGAGACCGTTATCCTCGGGATATGCGACCATCCACTGATACCGATGGCTGGTCCTCTTCTTCGGACGACGACCACGTCCCCAAGCTGCGGAGGTCACGGACGCAGCCAGACCGCAACCCCCTTTCCAAATCACAACTCAACCGAGTTCGTACCCATCCTCGGCCATCAAAGCTTCGGGTCGGAAACGAGTTTTTCCAATCGCGGGGCTGCATAGCAAAAGATGGAAGGTTGAACATTTCCGTGAACGAAACGGCCAACACCGGCTACTTGGCAAAAGCACTCGGTGCGACCATCGAACGGCATCTTGGTGCACACCATCTCCAGGAAACCAAGGCGGCCGAAAAGGTCAAAGCTGAGTTTCTGGAGGCCAAGCCAAATCTCCAGATTCCTTCGATGAACATAGTTATTATGGTCATCGGAAGCCGGGGTGATATTCAACCTTTCTTGAAAATTGGCCGGACTTTGAGAGACAAATATCATCACCGCGTCAGAATTGCTACCCACCCTACATTCAAGAAATTCGTCGAGGAAGATGTGGGCCTCGAATTCTTCTCCGTGGGAGGAGATCCTTCCGAACTCATGGCGTTCATGGTTAAGAACCCTGGGCTGATCCCCTCTCTGGAAACCGTGAAAGCCGGAGAAATTGGAAGGCGGCGTGAGTCAATGTACCGAATGTTCCAGGGATTTTGGAAAGCGTGCATCAATGCGACGGATGATGAAACTGATACAGCGAACTTGAAGCTGATGGGATCAAAGCCGCCTTTCGTGGCCGACGCCATTATCGCCAATCCTCCCTCGTTTGCACATTATCATTGTGCCGAAAAACTCAGCATTCCCTTGCACCTGGTGTTCACCTTCCCCTATTCTCCCACGCAGGCTTTCCCTCACCCACTCGCCAACATCAAAGCCTCAAATGTTGACCAAAGATACACCAACTTTATGAGCTATCCTTTAGTCGACTTGATGATATGGCAGGGTTTAGGTGACTTGGTCAATCGTTTTCGTGTACAAACCCTCGGCTTGGAGCCTGTGAGCACGCTGTGGGCCCCCGGGCAGCTGTACCGTCTGAAGGTTCCCGTGACCTATCTTTGGTCACCGTCCCTCGTGCGCAAACCCCGAGATTGGGGCCCCGAAATCGATATTGCCGGCTACGTGTTTTTGGATCTTGCATCGTCGTACCATCCCCCTGCAGATCTTTCCCGATTCTTGGAGAGATCGGATGGTCGCCCAATTGTCTACATTGGATTCGGTTCTATATCTGGCATTGATGATCCAGCGGCCTTCACGAGGATGATTGCCGAGGCGGTCGAAAAGGCCGGAGTTCGCGCCGTGGTGAGCAGAGGCTGGGGTGGTATGGGGCATGGAATGGAGAAACCCGGCGATGTGTTTTTGATAGACAACGTGCCTCACGACTGGCTTTTCCCCCGGGTGGATGTCGTCGTTCACCATGGCGGTGCTGGGACGACGGCAGCAGGACTCAGGTTTGGCAAGCCGACCATGATTGTTCCCTTCTTTGGAGATCAGCCCTTCTGGAGTGCCATGGTGGCAAAGGCTGGAGCAGGCGCCAAAGAAGCCCTCCCTCTGAAGAAGCTCGACGGGGACAAATTTGCCGCAGGCATTCGTCAATGTCTGGAGCCGGAGGCCAGAGCCAAAGCTGAAGAGATCGCCCAAAGCATTCAAACCGAAGGAGATGGTGCCGAAAATTGCGTCGACTCTTTCCACCGTTCGTTGAATCTGGACGGCCCGCATTCCTTGCGTTGCGACATATTCCCAGACCGGGTAGCCGTTTGGAAGGTCAAGCACACCAGCACACAATTGTCAGCACTGGCAGCAGATTTATTGGTCGAGAACAAAGAACTCCAATGGGCAGACCTAGAGCTCAAAAAGAATCACGAATGGAACGATTTTCAAGGCCCCGGAGAGCCCATCACTGGCGCTGGCGGAGTCTTGGTGGCGGCATTTCAGGAGGCATTCCACGCCCTGGCACTCACCAAACGCGACATCAAATCTTACGAGACACGCCGGCGGAAGCGAAAGGAGAAATCAGTAGCTGATGGGCTTGTTTTACCGGGTCGAATCGCATATGCGACGCGCGGCACCAGTGTCGAAGAGCAACGAAGAGAGCACTCCCGTCTAGAAAGGGAATTCAATCTTCAAGGCGAAGCAGAACCAGCCAAGTTCCCGTTTGCTCCGTCAAATCCAGACCAAGAACCGTCACGGAGCAGCTCCAAACTAGCTCGAACTGCGACCGCCTCGTCGAACAGATCCCCGGCGGTAGTGGTGATTATGAAAGATGTGGGCAAAGGTATTGGCCATTCGAGCCGAGCCATCTTTACATTGCCTTTGCAAATGTGGAATGCCCTGGCTCTTGGGTTTCATAACGCTCCTCGACTATATGGGGACAAGACTGTGCGGCCATCACCGCAGCGAATTACGGGTTTCCGAAGCGGGTTGAGAGCGGCGGGCAGGGAGTTCGGGCTCGGTCTTTATGACGGGGTGACTGGAGTGGTTCGCATCCCATATCAAGAGGTTCATGAAGATGGCATGTCGGGCCTCCCAAAAGGGATGGCAAGAGGTTTGGGAGGTCTGGTTCTGAAGCCAGTCTCTGGAATTCTCGGACTAGGAGCATATACCGCGAAAGGGGTTCACACCAGCATCCGGCGGCAAGTACGCGACACTGAGAAGACGGAACGATGGATTCGACGCGCGAGAATAGCCCAAGGCCACCGAGATGTTCAAGCCATGAAAGACCAACCAAAGGCAGCTCTTCAGCGTAACCATCCGCGCACGACGCAGGACCTCAATGAGACTCGAAATTACGCTCTCAGGCAGTGGACGACGTATGAGAAAGACAAGGTATCAGATTCGCGAGAAAGGGAGAATCGAACATCACTGCTGCTGAACAACAACTTGCAACAACATGGACATGTTAAGAAGCCCCCACGAGCACACACACATTGAAGATGCGGTGCGCGCGCGATCGGCATGGATTTTGGTGTCGGTAATTCGGGTGAGAGAGCGGGTCGGCATTCAAACCTCATTATGTCATTTCTTTGGTGGTGAATTATGAGAGAATATCCAATCAAGACTTGACGATAAGGCCCGGCCAGGGGACGAAAAGAGACATTGGCCAGAACAGGAACCGAGCAAACGAGAGGCAACGACGGACGTCTTTTTTTTTTTTTTTCTTCTTCGGAGATACCCAATTTTGTTTTGTTATTTTTGCATGCACCTGACCGATGAGGAAATGCAAGTGAGATATTAATGATAGAGGACTAGATAGATGCACATAGACAACAGCAACAAGATTGGTTTGTCCGGGGATTTGGAGGCTGGAGTAAAATTTGTTGTGAGAGCAACCGGGTAAAGGTTCTGTTGTCAGCTGCAAGGTACCAGAGCCCAGAACAACCTCCTCTACTCCATACGGCGGCCACTAGAACACACCGGCCGGAATGGACTCCAGCTCCCCTTGACCTACGTAAGGATCAATCCCCGGGATTCTCACTACTCGCCAAGATTCTGGATCTCTGGATTCTTGATGAAGGAATCTGTCGATTTGGACTGATGATGGTGCGACCAGAAGCAAGTCATTCTGTGCGAAAGCTGAACTGGGTTTAGCATTCGGTTTTCCCGTCATGACTGAGTCGGAAGGGGATATTGGTGCCGCTGACACGTTGGTTTTGTGTATTGCCTTGTCCTCTCGTGTCTGTTATCATACCGCTAAGCGACAAAGCTGGTTGTTGGTATAGTAGGTGTGCTGGCGGCCAAATGACACCTACAAGCACGGCTCATTCAGCATGGATTCGGAGATCTCCAGGTTGGACAGGTCTGGACAGGGTCGGTCGCGATTCCATGAGGAAATACCATCGAGTTTTTCTTATCTTGATCTCTCGCCCAAGAGTAATTCCCCGAATGTTGAGTGGTTGGACAAAGTTGGTGTGGTTGAAATGGTGGGGAAGCGTGGTCGAGCGATGGTTGGAACAAAAGACGCCATGGAGGGATGGGTTCAGTTAAAGCCCCAGTGATTATTGGGGACCACCGATCCCTCCATGCAACGCCTAACGCTGAACCCTATCACTCGCCTAGACTGCCCTCGACGGGCAGCAAAAGCAATTCGCAGGTGTGTGAAAGTATCTGAGAATCATGCCCCCAGTCCACGAAGAGACTTGACGGGTGCTCTATCGAAGCTCCGGCGACAATCTGTAGAAAAGGCCGGATTGCCGCAGCAAAGGGAGGGAGGTAGTCGATTCGCTCTGACTGGCTCAGGCCGCATGTGAGGTGTGCAGGGGTTTCTCAGGTGCGAGTTGTCTACGTGCAGGAAGCGCAGCCACCAAAGCTACCGGTATATTTATTTATTGCTGCTTTCCTCTTACCCCGTTATCTTTCACTTCCACATCTGCTCCAGCTTCATCTACCCTTTCAACACACTCAAATTCCTCCAGGAGAACTCTCCATTCTTCTTTCTGTCGTCTATTTTCTTACCCCGCCGTACATTCCCTTCGACCCCTGCCCACCATGGTAAGTGCCGCAGCATCTAATCTGGGCAATTTTATCAGGACAACCATTCTTGACCACTCCTAGGCTGGCAACGGTGAATCTGCCATCATCTCTAATGCTACCAACGTGAGTCCTAGTCCGCTGAGCTATCTAGCTCGTCTCCTCGTTGGCGAACGCCAGTCTCTGACCTCCTCGCTAGTTGGCCAAATACATGAAGTTGGACCAGAAGGGCAAAGTTCTGGCTGAGTACATCTGGATTGATGGCTCGAATGGCCTGCGCAACAAGACAAAGGTAAGAGGCTTACTCATTTTGTCTCTCGCTCATCCTTGATCCTGCATGCGGCATCCCAACACGAGACTTTTTGGCCTCCGCCACGCGGGGGCTGGACTCAGCAATTCTGCACACCCGAACTCCACCAGGTACAGCGAACGAGCGCTGCGCTTCGTCGGTGGGATGATCCCACGTTGGAAAACCCTTGTTCTTGGGACGTTGCACTAAATGCGTGGCTCATTCACCTATTCTCGACCCGTCTTGACACGGCGCCCCCCCAATTTGACTTTGCCCAATTCCGCAATTGGCCGATCTCGGCATTTGGGGAGGCGACATCGATGGCTCCCACCAATGCATCGTCATTTGCTGCGGCTCAGTGGCGAATTGGCACAATATGACTTGCAGCACGGTCCCAGACTAACTTTGGCTCATTTCTAGACCCTGAACAAGGCCCCCAAGAGCGTCGACGACCTCCCAGAATGGAACTTTGACGGTTCCTCGACTGGCCAAGCCCCAGGCGACAACTCCGATGTCTACATCCGACCCGTGGCCATGTACCCGGATCCCATCCGTTTGGGCGACAACATTTTGGTCATGTGCGAGACCTGGGATCCTGATGGCACGCCCAACAAATTCAATTACCGTCACGAAGCTGCCCGACTGATGGAGGCCAATGCCAAACATAAGGTGTGGTTTGGTTTGGAGCAAGAATACACTCTTTTGGGCCCTGACGGCTGGCCATATGGCTGGCCCAAGGGGGGATACCCTGGCCCTCAAGGCCCATATTATTGTGGTGTCGGGACTGGCCGTGTCTACTGCCGTGACATTGTTGAGGCTCACCACAAAGCTTGCGTGTACGCTGGTATCAACATTTCTGGCACCAATGCCGAAGTCATGCCTGCTCAGTGGGAATACCAAGTCGGGCCCTGCGAGGGTATTGACTGTAAGCGAAACCATAACTTTCCCGGCACGAAGTGGCGCTGACATATTTTCTAGTGGGTGATCAACTGTGGGTTTCCCGATGGCTCCTCCACCGAATTGCCGAAGAATTCGGTGCCATAGTGTCCTTCAAGCCCAAGCCCATTCCAGGGGACTGGAACGGCGCAGGTCTTCACACCAACGTTTCATCCAAGGAGATGCGTGAGGAGGGTGGTATGAAATACATTGAGGAGGCAATGAAGAAGCTCGAGAAGCGTCATGTGGAGCACATCAAGGTCTACGGGGAGGGCAATGAGCTCCGTATGACTGGTGCCCACGAGACTTCCAGCATTGATAAATTCACTTGGGGTGTGGCCAACCGAGGTTCTTCTGTTCGTATCCCCCGAGCCTGCGCCAGAGAAGGCAAGGGCTACTTTGAGGATCGACGACCTGCTTCCAACGGCGACCCGTACCGTGAGTGATATCTTTTCCGAGAGATTGGGTATTTGCAGTACTGACCTTTCGTTCACAGAAATCACGGGCATCATTGTCGAGACCATGTACGGATCCCTGCCTGAAGAGAAGTCCTAAGAGAGCAGTTACAGAACGAAGAGGTGCGCTGAGATAGATCCGTCAAGTCAACAAACATCTAGACTGCCGAGTGACGCAGGTGATGGCCATAACGAGGGGTCCTCCAATGATGATAGCACGACTCGAATAGAGCGCTAGAACCTCGCAACTTTTACCTGGCCACCCACTTGGATTAACCCAAGCCAAAATAACCTTGTAATGTATCTGATTGCTTTTGGTTTCTGAATGCGTGGGCTGCGCCTGTTGGAGATGTCGTTAGGTGACTTCTCACATCTGAACTGAGCGATGGTGTTTATCTTTGCGCTTGTCCCGCCTCCTCCCGTTTCCCCAAATGCCTCGTCCTCTGGTCTGCTAAACAAACATCTCTATCGAATCAATGCCACGAGCAAACCGCTATTACACTTCGAATAAACCCTCCGAATGCCCTCTAAGATTTCGCAGGCCGGATAATGCACTGATGAGAGATCGCATCTCTTCCTCCAGTAACAAGCAAGGGACATATCAAATTGATCAAAACGGGCAATAGAGCCATCTGCTAAGATCGGGTCCCCCGGCCATCTCGTGACGACACAAACGAGTCATTGGGAAATCCAGCCAATTGACCTTTCAGACCCGATGGAACGACACGAGGCTCGGCCGTCAAACACGTTGCCCTCAGACCTGCCCATGACCATAACATCATCCCGCCCCCGCCGCTTTCGGGTTTAGCATTTCCGTACTCCGCTGCTATTATGAATTCCCCCGCCTTGACAAGTTGTTAAGCGTCGCTCCAGATATTCTCTCACCTTCGGTACCAAATGAGCATACGACTTGGCAGACCTGAGCACGATGCCAAACACTCGTTTCAGTCTCCACCGGCCTCCGGTGTGATCAGACACGTCAACCCAGCAGCGACAATATTCCCTACTGCCGTCGATTTCTGTAACTGCTGGGTGACCCGCAAAGTGGTGTGATCTTCACAATCTTGACATCACAACATCAAAATCTCCTTTCCTCTTCTTTTCTTTTTTTTCTTTTTTTTTTTTTTTTTTGGTGAATGCGGATGGGAGATGCTGATGGCTGGTGGAACAGGCCTTCCAGCCAAACGCCACAACTAATCCCTCCTGATAAGGATGGAGAAGAGTCGTCAATGGGCGTGATTGACTTACGGTACAGCTTCACATCTTGGCTTATCATGAAAAAATTTTCTTTTCATTTTGAATCTTCTACGAGCTGGGAGCTGACAATTAAGCGAGGCTGAACTCGCTTCTCCAAGCCCGCCTGAGTCTGGCGGTCTTGACATCTGGACATCAAAATTTTTTTCCACCAGCATGACATGAAAATCGAGGGACACCTAACATTAGTCTGACAGTGTAGCCTCGTTTGCCGGGCCAGTGGTTTCATCCGACACAGGAGATGTGTCCGGATGAAGATTCCACTTTAGGGCGAGATGCGCATGGGGGAGGCACCAAATCTCGATTTCCAGTTCCCCGGAAAAGAAATTGATCCTTTGACCAGCGATACAGCATGACACGATATCGGATTTTTCTTTCCCAAGGGTTTTGCGAGAAGATGCGACCTCGCTTGAGAGTTGCTCACGTGCTCCAGTGTCAAATTTTGCTCGGGACGGGAGGAAAGATAAAAAAGAAAGCGATCTCACTTGGCAGACGAAAGTTCAGACTTTTGCCGGAAGCTAGCAGAGATCCCTGCCGAACGGAGCTCCAAGTCCAGCCTGTTAGCCAGGCCCTTGCAGCCTCGGAGTTCAACCCCTGTCGAATCTTACTTTTTGGTGCAGAGATAAGACTATCCGTCCTGATTGGACTGACTCAATTTGTTTCTTGTCTGCTCGTCGACAAAATGAGTAACCGTATAGACTCCGACGACACACATCTGGCACCGAGCCAGAAGCCACCCGACGCTTTCAAAAGCCACCCTTGGCATTACGAGACATAAATTTCTCCTCCGGCAAAGATACCGGGTGTTAGGAAGATATTTTGTGAAGAAATTTCCCATTGCGAGAGGCGCATCTCGTGTCGGGGCGACTCCGGTAAAGCCGGTTCTGGCCAGTTCGTTACCGAGATCGGGGCAAGCATATGCCAAACATTTCGCCTAAGATAGCTTCAACCATTCAAGCAGCCCTTCGCTTCTGTTTGCTCGAATTTCAAAGAGCCAAGTGTTTTCGGTGCGCTGGGCACAACGGTAAGGGATCCTAGGATCAGGAGCAAAATCAGGCAGGGAAAGAAGCAATTCTCGATAACATGCCCGCTTCGACCAGTCAAAGCTGGGAGGAGGTAGGCTAAGCATCCGATGAGCATCGCCTCATCCAAAGGAAAAAAAAAGGACTTTCGTCAAATGTTCGAGGTTTCCTGGTGTCCCCCGTCTAGCAGACAGGGACCCCACAAATTTACATCGTACAGTCGAGTTTGTCTTCTGGTCCACTGATCCACGCCACCCTTTGCTACCGGACCTTTGGAGATACTAGCTCAAGTTGACCATTGACGCGCTTCCGAATTCGCCCAGAACTTTCAATTGAACTCTCTATCATGCTCCTGATCACTTTCTTTTTTCCTCATTCACAGGATTGTGCTATCTTGGAATGTCACTGACAAGCAGTCTTGCCTATATCTTACCACCTCCCGTGGTTCCTTTTGTTCCCCCCTCCCCCTGCGTGTTTGTCCAGCCATTACTTTGACCGTTGTCCAGCTGGGAAATCCTTCGTCTGAGAAGTCTCCCAACAGCTTCTCTCGATCAGACCTGTATTGCCCTGTGTCAGGTCTTCATCACCGTTCCCTGAGTCGACCGTTGCAGCTCGAACCTGTCGTGTTCTCGACAAAACTTTGCTGAGCTGCTGTTTCTGGCCAGCAACATATCCGGGACGCCATCATGTCGAACGACATCGCCGATTACCTCCCCTCATATGCGTCCTACAACTGGACCGGCGCTCCAGCTGACTATACCTTGGCAACCAATGCAAGAACAGGAGGAGATTCGAGTTCGTATGGTCCTGAGATTTCCCGATTCCTGCTGACCTGAAGTACAGGACAGGAAAACTTGAATAAATGGTACCAATCAGGTGATACTGCCTACATTATCATTTCCTCATGCCTAGTCTTGATCATGGTACCGGGGCTCGGTTTCCTCTATTCTGGACTTGCTCGCAGAAAGTCGGCCTTGTCAATGATGTGGGCCTGTATGGCTGCAGGCAGTGTTATTAACTTCCAATGGTACTTCTGGGGATATTCGCTCACCTTCTCCCCCACCGGTCAAAGTGGTTTTATTGGCGATCTGGTCCACTTTGGTTTGAAACGAGTTCTTGGAAATCCTAGCCCGGGTTCTCCTCTCGTTTCTAGTCTCCTGTATTCCTTCTACCAGGTATCCCAAGCGGATCCCTCAATCCGTTGGTATCCTTTCTGACTCCGCTACAGATGCAATTCTGCTGTGTGACAGCTGCTATCGTTGCAGGTGCTGTCGCTGAACGTGGTCGACTGATGCCTTTCCTCGTTTGGACCTTCCTCTGGGCCACGCTCGTTTATAACCCGATTGCTTGCTGGGCATGGAACGTCAATGGATGGGGATTCAAGTATGGAGTAATGGATTATGCCGGGGGTGGACCTGTGGAAATTGGATCTGGCATGTCTGCTTTGGCCTATTCAATGGTTCTGGGGAAGAGGCAGGAAAAGATGATGCTCAATTTCCGCCCACATAACGTGTCCTTCATTCTCTTGGGCACCGTCTTTCTCTGGTTCGGATGGCTTGGTTTCAACGGTGGTTCCTCTTTCGGCGCCAACCTGAGAGCTGTCATGGCTTGCTGGAACTCGAATTTGACCGCCACATTTGCCGCAGCAACCTGGGTCCTTCTGGATTTCCGACTGGCTAGGAAATGGTCCATGGTCGGATGGTGTTCGGGGACAATTTCGGGTCTAGTTGCGGCCACTCCCGCGTCCGGCTATCTTGACACTTGGGGCAGCATCGCTCTAGGTGTTGCGACTGGTGTTGTTTGCAACTTTGCAACCAAGAGTGAGTTCTGAATCCCCCTTTTCTTGCGAACGCTCAAACTAAACTTCCTCCAAGTCAAGTATTGGATCAGAATCGATGACTCCATGGACGTGTTCGCTGAACACGGTGTTGCCGGTATGGTTGGCCTGATATTCAATGCTCTTCTGGGTGTCGATTATGTCGTTGGCCTTGATGGTGTCAACACTGGAGCCAGTAACCCTGAAACCGGTACTGGTATCGGAGGATGGCCGATTGGTAACTATCGTCAATTCTACATCCAGCTTGCCTATGTCCTCGCATGCACCGGCTACGCTTTCGTCATGAGCGCCATCCTTGCCTACATTGTCAACTTTATCCCAGGCCTCCATCTCCGCGCCTCCGAAGAAGCTGAACTCCTTGGTATGGACGACGATCAGCTCGGTGAATTTGCCTACGATTACGTCGAAGTACGTCGTGACTATCTGGCATGGACTCCTCATAAATCAGAACAGCATGGAATCGATCCTGAGGTGCCCCAGGAGCAACGACATGGAATTGAGGAACATTCGAAGATGTTCAAGAACGCCGACACCAGCTTCAGCTCGGAACAGAAGGATCTACCAGCTCAGGGTGATCGTCATGCAACGGCGGTGGAGGATCAAGAGAAGATCAAACATGAGGGGGACGCTCCGGCGTCTTAAGCTCGAAACTGTCGACAACTCTGGTCGTGTACGACCTGTCCTACTCGATATTGAGGAGATCAAAACTAGTCGTCATTGACGATTGTATGACCTCATCGAGCGCGAACGGTGAACTGGAAAGCCTCTTACATATTTGGCCCTCGCTGGATGTATGATTGACTTATCTATCTATATCAGCTGCTGCGGTAGAACACCTCACCTGTCTCAGTCTCTTTTGAGCGGCTGGTTCTTTTTCTTTTTTTCCTTTTTTGACGAGTGTTGTTTCTGAAAGTCGTCTTTCAGTTACGTCTATCGAACGTGAGCGAATAGGGGATGGAAAGACTATATACTTGCTATATTATGTCTATGCTATGCGAAGCATCATACAATGTGACGAGGACCAATCTTTCGTTTCTCACAGCAACACAGATTCGTAGGTTCAAGAGCAGAAACCGCAATCTCAGCATCCAGTCTACGGGGGTGATGATCTGAAGACGAACAGCTACCTAATTGTCTACTCCTTTTTACGCTCAGAGAGGTCATGACCTAGACTTGCCCCCCACCCCAAGCTAGAATCTACGCATAACTCACGTAGGCATGTCATGTTGACTTGCTTGAGTCAATCTTGGCATTGTATTTCTTTTTCTCCTCCGTTTTCGGACCCATGGACCACGGCTTGAGTACGGAGTCTGGAACCATTGAGGCATTTTTCATCTTGTGTCAGCCATGATACGTCGGAGTGGATGGCCGGGTTACCGGGGTATCCTGCCAGCTTGTCTTGATGGCGTGATTGTCAGAGTCTAGCTTTGGAAATTTCTTTTTCTCTTTCTTTCGTCACTCCCAGAGAGAGGGATGAAGGGGGAAGTTGCATGAGATCGCTGATTGGTCAAATGTGTGGTCCACAAGGCTGGCAAGAAAAAATTTTTATGATCGGAATGAAATAGAATGGCAAGTTTGCCGAGGCGAGGCTGAGGTCAGCCTTCCTAATCGCACGTGACTTAGAGGTATGTGTGTGGATACGGGCGTAAGGCAGACAAGAACGGTGAGAGTGAAGATAAGGATGTCTACAGTTATGGAAGGAGAGTAATATGGCCGGCGAGACCTATATGAGACGGCACATTTTATTTAGTGTGAATGATATGTCTATGTTGGGTATTGAAGAATTTGAGACGATTTGATTCATTGGCGCAGCACATCTGAGATATCGCGTTTGACTATTGGAGAATGAAATTCGCGGTCCCTCTTCTATTCTTAGTTTTACTTACCCCTTCACGACCTTCTCTTCCCTTGAACTCCGCCACATCAACAATACGTTAGATCTGAACCTCGCCCTCCACACCCGGCCATACCGCCTTTCCTTGTTCACCTTCAACAAACCCGTCCCAAACCCTTTGTACAGTCGGTTGACCAGGGTTTGACTCACTTATATCATCTTCTGTAACGCCCTCAGGGCCGTCAACCTTCACGCGCTCTCTCCAGGGAATAGGTAAATTGATATGCGGCGCGATTTCGAAGAGACTGTTAATCTCCACCCCCCTATCCCACTGTAGATCGACCAATGCATGCCACCACCAATGCTGGTTCCGCCACGCATATGTAAGCTCCAAGGAAATGCCTGTACAGCACTGTCGCCTCGGATCTCCCCGTCACGTCGTCCACGATCGTCGCCCTGTTTGCTGGATCGAGCGACTACTTGAAACCCTTTTTCTCCGATTTGCCGTTCCCCCGTCGGTACGGTGCCCGTGGTACTCGTCCTGAGGACTTTTCCTACCCAGCACCGCCAACAACAAGTTATACGATCTGTGCTGTCATGGCTGCCAAGCCACTAGGAGAGTAAGCCGTTATCTTACTACTCGCACCCTTACCCCTTGATCGCCTCCAAGCGATCAAGTCGATATCAATAGACTAGTCGATTCGGTCAATCCCGTCGTCAAAGGCCCAGTATCACGCTTGCCTGACGTGGCCAGTCTGATATGTGCCATCACTGCCATGTATCGTCCCTGCAGACATCCACTGCTTTCCAGATCTCTTGGTCCTTTCACATCCGTGCAATTTCTTCTATGCCCGCCAACGTCTTGTCGACGGGCCACTCGACAAGAGAGTTCTGAGTTTTACCCTGGCGAGCGCCGGTCTGGTCAAATCGCAGAGAGTCAAGGGAGATTTTGTTGCTGTTTCTGAGTAAGCGGCTGACGGTCCATTGCAGGAGGTTTAGTTGGTAATTCCTTGTAAAATTCGATCGACAGCTGCCACCACTTTCCTATATTCGGGATCGTTTGAGCAGCCGAAGCGGCACACGCCCACGTGGTTGTTTGCGAAGTGTTGGGTGATTTCCAAGCCAGCATTATTTAAGCACGAAGATGTATCTTCGACAACTTAACAGAATTAGAGGCCAACATACACAATAGGACTCTCCTTACCTTTTACCCCTTGTGAGCCTTAACCGGCAAGTCTTCCTGGAACGTGTACATGATCCAGTCTTTTCATGAGCCATAGGTCCAATCTCATCGCGCATCTACTGAAACCGTTCAGAAGCGTGCAACAAAGCCTTGAGGATTTGCTCATTTACTTCGAGTCCAACGCGAACAAATGTTCTCGACGATGTGCTCCAATGGCTCCCTTGGGTCTCGTCCCCGTGTGGAGAACTGAAGAATATGATGCCCTGCGTTGATGCGGATATACCGAAAGGCCTACAGAAACAGGGTCCTCAAACCCGAGCGAGATTGGGTCGCTGTCGCATGCCGTCGAGGTCAGACAAGCTGTAGTTTAGGTGTTCGGAAGATACGGTTTTGCAAAGCATTGAAAGCTGGCTCAGTTAGTTGCCTTCTGGGTCAAATGCGGTGGCTGCGCAAATTAGACGAATCAATGATGACCAAATCCGCAATACCACGCCGCAAGTATTGCCCAAGAGATACGTATTCTCAACGTAGTCATGAAGCGGCAAATGGGGCATCGTTGATCAAGTGATTGGGTCGACCTCAGCGCAACGTGTCAGAATTTGTAGCCGTCTTTTGTCTGAGGCTGGATCCCTAGGTGGGTTTCACCCGCTGGTGTTAAACAGGGAGTCGAGCCAATTCGGCATCATTGATCATGAGTGATAAGCCATCTTCTGCAACGAGAAACCCTTCAAGTACTGCCCGTGGCTGAATTGTTGAGCTCATTATGTGAAAACCTGGAACTCCGACATCTGCACTATAGAATTGCTGATCGCAGGATACATCAGGAGTTGGGATGAAGCTATGATCTCTGTAAGTGCTTGGTTATTGTCTGGACCGATGGGAACAAGAAACCCAATCTATTTCGCAACCGATTGGTACCGGCTGCATTTATATGCTGGGTGAAATATATCTTGAAGATAACGGATTCAGCCCGGTGAACCTGTTGGAACTCTGCAACACCACTCAGAAGCAGAGCGCGCCGCCATCGACTCGCAAATCTGCTCCAGTGATATACCGTCCAGCCCTTTTGCTGCTCAAGAGCACTACCGGTCCCGTGATTTCCTCGATATCACCCATGCGTCCCATCGGACACCGGCTGGCCCAGATATCTCTGATTGGTTTCAGATTGTCACCCGCATTAAGAACGGTGTCCATGTAGCCTGGTGAAATACAATTAACTCGGATTCCATGAACAGCCCACTCGGCCGCCAAGTTCTGGGTCAGATGTGCCACCCCAGCTTTGCTCACATTGTATGCAGCCTGGGGTTGGGGATAATTGGTCGAGTGAGCTGAAATGGAGGCTGTGAAGAGAATCGATCCACCCTTTTTGGATTCAATCATGTATTTGGCTGCGGCTTGAGAGCAGAGAAATGATCCAGTCAGGTTGACGTCGATAACTTTGCGGAACTGGCTGGCTGTTGCCGAAATGGAATGCACGCATCCGACAATTCCTGCGAAACAGCACAGGATGTCGATGCCACCCATCAGAGTGTGGGCACTCTCGAAGGCTCTCTCAACTTCGGTCTCTGAAGTTACGTCCACATGGACCGTGTGGACGGTGACGTGAGGAAACAGGGCTTTCAGCTCTGAGATGCCTGATTTTGAATTGTCGATGGTGGATGATAAATCCATAAGAGTGAGCGCCGAGAGGCCATGTTCAAGAAGCGCCCGCGCAGAAGCCAGTGCCAGTGTACCGGCACCGCCCGTAAGGACAGCATTTCCCTCGACTTTGAATCGAGCGGCAGCTCTGTCGGTCGCGGAGGTCGCCGTTATAGGCGGCAGAGGTGCGGTGAGAGGGTTGTCGGCAGCCGAAAGGCTCATGGTAGGAATAATTCGAGAAGTGAGAGAGGCCCGTTCATCCTGGGAGGCCATCGGAGCTGCTGGACGGGCGTTGGCGTCCCCCATTTTTCGATCCCCCTGGGGAATTGCTGAGCCGTGGACGGGGGTGAGTTCGAGCACCGTCATCCACGTTAAAGAGTCTATATTGTCTGTAGGCAAAGATATGTGAGTGGAGAAACCTGAACAAAGAAAGACGCTGAAAGGCTTTTGAGATGGTGACAGATATTTATCTGGCGAGAAAAGTGGAACTGGAAACTGATATCGACATCGGCCTTTACATCAGCGGCCGAAGACGCGCAGGGGGTAGCGGGAGTGGCAATGTTTGAGAGATACCGATCGGACGTTTTCCATGGTGTTAGACAGCATGTTTCCATGCGTCGTATTATCACCGACGACCTCTAAACTCTTCCTTCGAAACGGCAGATATTCTATCTGGAAAGCCAGGTTTGGCGGCCGTCCAATTGGGCGTCCTCGGCATACCTTCCACATTGGAGCCACAATTTCCTCAGAGTGCGGCGAAAGATGGACCGTCAATCCAGGTTTTGACTTTGGGAGGAAATTACGATTGCCTTGATCAGAAATCCTGGTGTAAGAGGGTATCATGGCACAAATCAACCGCTTTGGTCCTCAAGCCGTCACTCCTCAGCCGACTCCTACTCAACTCTCCTCCCAAATTGACCTGCTCGTCTCTCTTCATTTGTGGTCCTGGCCTGCACTGACTCTGGCCATTCAAAATGCCTGGGGAGGTTCGCTGCAAGTTTCGAATGATAAGCGTGACTGGTTCGCGGGCGCCGTGTCGGAACTCCTCACCTCTAACCCACCCCAGCTCGCCGATGTGGGTGACTTGGAAGAAGTGTTGCTACAAGTGATGCTCGATGAGTTCGAGGTGGTGGTCGATGACGGAAGTGCCGAGGACACAGCACGAGGAATATGGAGTGGAATCACCCAATTGAACAGCGGCGATGTCACAGGCCTGAACCAGATGTACCTCAAATGGCAGGAGAAGCAGAAGAAAGGAGGTAAAGAGGTCGTCGGTATTGTGCGAGGCGAGGACAAGGAGGCAGAGGACACCGATTGGGACGACGACGACAGTAATGAAGAGCAAGAATGGAATGGATTCCCAGACCACCCGGACATCGAGATGCACGAAGCCCCTCCGCTCTTCGATTCGAGCAAGCCAAAACAGAAAATCCAGTCCGAGGTAGACGAAGACGGATTCACAAAAATCGTCAACAAGAAGAAAAGATGAGCCTGATGTGTGTATGAAACATATTCACACCAAAAAGGTTCATATTTGGGAGGAAAAGACCAGCCTTTCTCTTCCAAAACGTCCGCGACCGATCAGTGGTCCTCCGGATCTACGAGCCCCAACCTCTCATTCTCCTTCTTACTCCGCTGGCTCCATTCAGGTGCCTCGTCGATGCCTTCCTCCTCCTCACGATCACCTTGTGCCTTGTCCGTATGCACCGTGGTGGGCTTGTGTTCCGCAGGAGAATAAACGGTATACAAAATGAGTGGGGTTGGACCGGTGTTGATGAATTGATGTTGGGTGCCAGCGGGGACAATAATGAGATCTCCCGCCTTGACGTCCTGGTCGACTCCAGCAATTGTCGCTTTACCTTTGCCGGAGGTGAAAGTCAAGATTTGATCGACCGTGTGTTTCTATACGTGTAACAAGACGGGTCAGAATATTCCAACACTCAACGCATGCATTTTGAGGCAGGACAACCTCGTCGAGGTCGCGAAGCATACCTCATCTCCAATTTCCCCACCGACAGGGACAGTCATGAGCACGAGTTGGCTATACAGTCCTGTCCACAACACGCGACGAAACTCGGCCGACTGGCTGGGCAGGGACGTGTTCATGTCCGGGAAATACGCCAGTTCATGTTTAGGCGGGTCGAGTGAAGGAGCCTTCCACCTCATTGTGGTCGTCGAAAATTGTCGAACCGCGGGAATCGATGTCCTAAACGATGCTCTTGGATCAATTAATGTGCTGAAAGAACGAGCTATATGATGACTGCTTCGTCTAAACTATTGCCGGGTTTGTGTTGGCGGGCGCGGAACCAAAGTTCACTCTCGCGACAGATCTAAGTTGATTGTTAGACGTGAACAGATTCAACTCCTGGGGGAAACGGTGCTTTTGACTCATGAAGAAAACGTGCTACCTTGTGTCTCTCTCCATCAGAATATCACCCTAGCAAGACTGGGGCAAAATTTCGTAATCCGCTGGTTTCCGCCATGCCGATCGAGACCACATTGAGTTCTGACACTACAAACTCATATTGCTGGACTAGTGGAGATCTGATGACGTCTAACATGAATTCCACTGGGCATTGGATGGAATGCGCCAGTCTTGTAAAGTACATTGGAAATGGAGACGTCATTAGAACCACGACAAAGTCACAAGACTTCATCACTTCATCACTCCACTTTCTCGCATTTCGCTTGCTCGCGCATTAAGTCATTGGATCCGAGAATTCAGAGCAGTGATTTTCGCACGACATGCCAGTCTTGCACAAACTATTTTTCCACAGGCCGACATAGGAGAGAACGCTTCAGAACCCGCGGAGTCGACTATCCATCTGAAGGACCCAGTGGGGATGACAACTGATTACTACATCTCTGGGAGAAATGTTGCATTGTCAGGAAAGTCGTGGACCATGAAGTAGGAACCAGCCCCGACGATGATAGTGACCAGGCCTTCCGCCAAAAGAGCCGGCGAGTGCAGCAGAGCTTGGAAACAATGCCGAACGCACGCCAGCACGAGAGGTAGAGTTGGCAACTCTTATGGATTTAACATGCGCTTTTGTGCTCTGCGAGTTCTGAACAAATAAACCTGCTTCAAAAGACACCCCCCAAACCATCGAGAAGCTGAGAGACCTGCGAAATTGGTGACCAGGTCCTGACACACACGCAGACAATATCCCAAAGCACCATGCTGCCATTGCCAATTGAGAAGCCAACTGGATAGACGCAGACCACGATCTTACATACTCGGAATGTATGTGCTTGGTCGAAGTTCTTGAGAAGCATGTTGGAGGCAGGTTTAAAGATCGAATACGACACGAAATAGATGGCCAGATTTTCGCTCCACTGGTCATTGGTCATTTCAAGTCCTTCTGAAGACTAGCAATCTTTGCGTTGCCGATATTGGTTCGGTCCAGGAATGATATCAAGGAGAGCAAGCAGAGCTATGGAATCAGGTGGAGAACTAATTTCCAGAGAAGCTGGTGTCCCTACTGACTTTTCAGATGATGATGGATATCGAGGTTTGCGAGTGTTGGTCGTTGAACGAAGGTCCCTATGTGACGTACCTTGATCTTCCCTTCCTCAAAGCCCAGGCCAGGGTCAGGGTCGTCTTCCGCACTGGAGAGGGAACCTATCTCACCAAATCTGCCGGACTCAACTAGGACCTCTTGCGCTTTTTCCATTTTGTTTGATCTAAAATGGTTGAAGATCGAAGCCTAAGCGGGCCTGATTCAGGGACATAGAGGCAAGGTCCGAGGGTCTTTCTTGATACGACGCTTTGTGCAGACTATCCCTTGGGTTGGACCAGACCCTGCCCGAATACAGTGCGTATGTGTAGCGGGATCCGCCACGTATCGCTAAAGGCGGAGAAGAATGGAAGTCATCTGGCGCACCTTCAGCCCATTTTGAGGCGGAAGGGGTAGATACCTTTTACGTGACAGTTAAGTAGGTTAATGAAAAGGCGAAAGAGCAGAGAGCGGCTCCGCGATGCCGACGAATTATCTTTTGCTGGCCACCCCCGTGTCAGCAACTCGACTTGGACGTCCATATGACGCAGCCTCCAGAGGTACTCTTCAGCTTGACCCGTTTCGAGATCGGCTATGCCGCTCGGAAAACTTGTTTTCTACCTAAAGTTTGCCAGTGACGATAACTGCCCAAAACTAGTCGTCTCTTGAGAAGAACGAATTGATCGACTCCCTACTAAAAGATCTCGATGAAAGATATTTCAACCATTCAGATCCAAAAAACTCCCCTTGCCGCCACAGCTGGATGTATGGTCCTGGCCAAGGTGAAGCTCACCATCAATCACCCAGTCCACAATGGAGCTTCCGGACTTTCACAAGATCGATAAATTGACTTTGTTGGGAGTAGCGTTGAGATCATTGAATATTCTCATGTGCTGAGATCAAGCGACAAATATTCACGCTGGGCATGTCCATTCCAGAAATACATCGGATGGGATGCAGTACACCAGATTATGCAGATTGGAATTTCGACAATATACATATCCAATGACCAACTTCACAGATTATTTATATCGGCTGTGCAGCGAGATTCGCCCTGTCTCTTCATTCGAAACATCGCATTGAGCATTCCCAATGAGTTGATGCTCATGCAACTAGTCTAGATTCCGATTAGTGCAGCCTTGCATCTCGGTAAACCGAGAATCTTGAGAGGAATGGAGACAAAAGACGCTACCTGCTCCGCTTTCTGAGTGGCTTGCCTTGAACTCGGGAAACCGAATGCGTCGGGTTGCGGGCCACCAAACAAATTATCACAGAGTTCAGGTTCAAAGATGCCCAAAGCAGGCAGAGATAGTTCGAGACCACAACAGCTCACTTCAGCAAGAGGCATTCGTTCCTGGATATGGATGGGGCTTGTGGGCAGATAAAAGGAATCAATGTCCCAGGCAGAAGAAGAGGTGGACTTCTGTCGAACAAGGTTTCCCTGAATGGTTGAATAGTAGTGAGAGCCCCTTTAATGGGAAAAGGGGTTATCACCCCGATGCAGGATTTAGGGGTAGAAAAGGGGTCAACTCAACGTGTATATATACCAGTAAGCTGGCGAGACTGGTTGTGAGGTAGACAGAGCATACAATACATCTCAAGTTGTACCCTTGTTCGGCAACTTCCCCTGCAGAATGAGGACATCTACCTCTCCTGCTCCCACTGAAATCCCATTCCTGTAGATACGTCTCAGCTTCCGTCTTCTCGTTCGCATTGATCCGAAGAATCCTACCCTTCTCGGGATTGTGAAGATCGAAGACTTCTTCCGCAATCGACCCTGCGGAGGGGATTGGTTTCACAGAATCCCTTGAAAGCCTTCTCGCTGTTAGACCATATATTTCAGCAGACGGAAACAAGCAGTTGGATCCCCAAACGCCATGCTTGTCGTCATAGGCAGCGATGTTCTTTGCAGTGACCACTGCATATCGCCTGAGGACAAGCAAATTGCTCCATCACTCGCCGGAAAGGTTGCTGTTGTGAGCGGCTCTTCGTCCGGGATTGGCACAGCGATTGCGAGAGCGCTCTCTGGTCGAGGAGCCAACGTCGTGATCAACTACTCATTCAAGGAAAATGCAGATCAAGTCCTGCGGGGTTTGAAGGGAAGTGCAAAGTCTATTGCGGTCGAAGCCGACCTCTCTACAATAGCAGGGCCAACCAAGCTGGCAGCAGCCGCGGCAGAAAGCTTTTGGAAAAACCGACATCCTCGTCAACAATGCAGGACTCGGCGTTTTGTCAGAGCCCGATGATGATGTTGGCCAGTCACGTGACGCGTTGCCTTGGCAGTGTCACGTGAGCTGTTTGGCTTGGCAACTTGCGCCCTTCCTTCTTTTCGTCTTGCTCTCTTATATAGAACAACACCACATTCCTTCTCTAGACTCAACAGTCTATCAGATGACAAGTTCGCGAAACTGTTTGACACGGTTGTAGGAGTCAATTACCATAGAACTCTTCTTCTGACACGAGCGGTCCCCAAGTACCTGGTACCGAGGAACTCACGCATCCTTAACATTTGCAGTACCACTTCACGCAATCCTGATCCGAATATGACCATCTATACCGGGTCCAAGGGTATGGTTGAGAGCTTTACACGGTGCTGGACGAAAGATTTGCCGAGAAAATATGCGGCGCCTCCAGAGCTCCGAAAGTTGCTGGCTGCTGGGCTTGACAAGATTCCAGTGGCATCTCGTATGGCGCAGCCGGAGGAGACCGCGTGGGCCGTCGCAATGTTGTGCGAGGAGGAAGCCGGATGGCTGAATGGTTTATACGTTCCCGTATGCGGCGGTGTCTTGCTATCTTGAAAACCTCTGATCATATACTTGACAATTGCAATTCTCCGGACTCGACTAGGAGAATGGACTCAACCATCCATCTGACCTCCCTTTCCGGTGCACATGGCCCAGTACGGTTCTATTGTCTACATCGGAATCCCGAACCATGCCGTCCAGCTCCGCGCGGGTCGCGCCGAAGTTGCTCGCTCTCTCTTCAATTAATCATAGTTTAGCGTGACACTTACTGAACTTTAGTTCTCCGATTCACCTTCTATTCCAGCCCCAAAATGACACCAAATGCTGCCATCCTCGAGCTATCCAAACCAGATCCGGAGTTTGAAAGGGTGCTCGTCTGCCGGTTACCTTCAGTGTCAGGAAGAGGTCCACAGCCCAAAAAGACTAAGAATCCTGTCATTCCATGACAGAAACTTGGACCTCTTAGCTTATATACTTGTCAGAACCCGGTTTGTGACATTCAGTGCGGATTCTATGGGCACTGGCTAATTGATGTCAACATCTAGATTATTGTAGCATCGTCAGGTCCGCGGCGTTTGCCAAGGCGGGACGGAGCTGTGTTGCCAGCCTTCCCTACCGTCCTCATCCTTTCGTGGAGAACGATGGCGTTACATGTCCCATGTCGCGCAAGATTCTACAACATCGCGGATACACGAGCATCATGCTATTTACTCCTCAAATTGACTGTTACTGCGCCCCAGCCCGCAAACCGCTGGCGGCTGCTGGTAGTGAGGATGAAGTTGCTTGCTCAGATCACTGTCAGGTCCAGTATCCTCGGGAGAATCTGTGCCCTCGACAAGCCTAAGTGGCCAATTCACAATCCGAATTTATTGAAAAATCGAATTATGAATCATCAGAATAGCTCGTACCCACCTCGATTTACGAAGCAGTATATCAAATTACGAAGAGTGCGCAGTCGATGATGCATTCAATAGCCCTTCTTAAGAACCGGGTCGCATCCCTTGAAGAAGCAAACCGTACTTTAAGTAAACGCCGGAGAGCCTAAAACACACGCATTTGTCAAAGAGGATCACTTATAATACAAGGTGCACAGGATCTACTAGACCAAAAAAACCGTGGATGAACAAATACAGCAGGAAACCCAACAGAATGGTGGTGAGCCTAAGGGGACCAGGGCGAAAGAAAGGAGTTGTAGCAATTGCGGCAAGACTGGACACGATGCGCGCACCTGTAAGGAGGATTAAGAAATGTCTAATGTATATGGTTTCCAGTAGATACAATTGGTTTTTGATGTGTTGGTGTTGTAATTGAGTCCGATTGTCATGGGGATGGCCGACCCGCTTGTCCGGCCGACTCGCTTATCATCTACGTCACGTGGCACAGGAGACCAATACTGTTGTCGAATGGATCTTATCGAGTGCTCTGGAATTGACATGGTCCATGGAATGGATCCGACCCCGGGGAGGGGGGCGGGGTGGTGGTTAGAAAGCAAATAGACATGGTTCTTGGACTGGATCCGATCGGAGGCGGTATGAAAGGTTTAGGGATGCCAAGAGGGGACCGAAGAGTTTAGTGCGCCACATATCCACCGCGCCAGGGGGGAGCGTGCCTCGGGGCAAAAACTTTTGGAACCGACCTCTGTATAGCTACGGCTAGGATGGTGTGATCGCGCTATGAACAGATTGCTGTAAGAACAGACTAATTTTGAAGAGGTGGGCATGATAGTTGACATGTGCAGCGTATCATATTTCTCACTCAACGGCGACGTTCCATATCCTCACCGACTGGTCCCGCGAACCGGATGCGATGGTGGTGCCGTCGGGCGAGAACGCCACGCTGTTGACCCAATCTCTGTGGCCGGCGAGCTTCCGCAGCGGGGTTCCTGTGGCGGCGTCCCATATCCTCACTGACCTGTCGACCGAACCGGACGCGATGGTGGTGCCGTTGGGCGAGAATGCCACGCAGCAGGCCGGATCTGTGTGGCCGACGAGCCCCCGCAGCTGCGTTCCCGTGGTAGCGTCCCATATCCTCACTGACCTGTCGCCCGAACCGGACGCGATGGTGGTGCCGTCGGGCGAGAATGCCACGCTGTTGACTAAATATTTGTGGCCGGTGAGCTCCCATAGCGGCGTTCCCGTGGCGGCGTCCCATATCCTCACCGACTTGTCCCGCGAACCGGACGCGATGGTGGTGCCGTCGGGTGAGAATGCCACGCTGCTGACCAAATCTCTGTGGCCGGCGAGCTTCCGTAGCTGCGTTCCCGTGGCGGCGTCCCATATCCTCACTGATCTGTCGACCGAACCGGACGCGATGGTGGTGCCGTTGGGCGAGAATGCCACGCAGTACGCCGGATCTGTGTGGCCGGCGAGCTCCCATAGCTGCGTTCCCGTGGCGGCGTCCCATATCCTCACTAACCTATCGCCCGAACCGGACGCGATGGTGGTGCCGTCGGGCGAGAATGCCACGCTGTTGACGAAATATCTGTGGCCGGTGAGCACCCGCAGCTGCCCTCCTGTGGTGGCGTCCCATATCCTCACTGACCTGTCGCCCGAACCGGACACGATGGTGGTGCCGTCGGGAGAGAATGCCACGGCCCGGACCGAACCCCTGTGGCCGTAGAGCTCCCCCAAGCGGTAGGACACTTTTCTTAGTGCTCTGGATTGTCCTTGAACATCTTCCAGAGTTGAGTGTCTCACGATAGTGATCGGATCCGTTGCAGATACTATGCTGGTACTCTGAGGTAGTGGGGAAGGCTGAATGGCGGGAGGAGATGCGGCTGAAATCTTTGTGGGTAAGTCGACGACTTGCTTCTCCTGCACGGCCGCTGGTAGTGTTGTCTGCAAGGAATTTAGGGATTGTGAAGAGGTGTCATTAGCAGACATAGGGCGCCCCAAGCTCGCACGATTTTCCGGTTGACGGTGGAGCTGTTCCTGCTCAAGAGTACCAACGTGCATTTCCACCTCTAAGGTTTGCTCTGTCAGCTCGCCGTGACCTGCGTCAATGCTCATCCAAGGTAACTGTCTGGCGTCTTTAGCGGAAGGCCGGTCTTCTGGATGAGCAGCAAGTAGCATCTCCGCGAAGGTAACTGCGGCCAAGGTGGCACCTTGATCACGAAGAGGTTGTATTGGACACTCAATTTTGCCTGCGGCGTATAGACGTATGCTTTTCTTGACCGGAAATGGCGTGGTCCAAGCAAGTAACAGGTATAGTACACAACCAAGCGCCCATATGTCGACGGCATTTGTATACCCTTCAAGATTGTCCTCATCCAGAACTTCTGGCGCCATGAATAGTTCTGTACCAATGGCGGTATGGAGGTACGTGCTGTTCCCCCCAATGCGCTTACTGATACCAAAATCTCCGATCTTGACCCACCAGGTTGGTGATTTCTCGACCACGAAGATGTTCTGAGGTTTGAGGTCTCGGTGTGTTATCCCATGTTCGTGGATGACCTGAAGACCCGCCAGCAGTTGACGGACGATCTCTTGCGCCTCCGACTCCAAAACTGGTGCGCGAATGCAGTTTGCCAAGTCGCCGTGCGGAAAGTATTCCATCGAAAGGAAGACGGCGCCATCATTTTCGTACCAGCCGTAGAACTCGGCAAAATAGTCGGTGTGCTGATCCACCAGAAGTTAGATGAACCACTGGTCATGGTCGGGTACTTACCCGTGTCAGCCTCGCCATTGCGTACAGCTCGCGGGCATAGTCAATGTTGAAAGAAAGTCGGTGACCCATGCCTTTTCTAATTTCTTTAATAGCTCTCACTTCTTTTGTGTCCTCGCCAACCTTTTGCTCCAGCCATACAATACCAAATGAGCCCTGACCTAGAGCTTTTATCCTTGTCCATTTCTCTTGTCTCTTCTCGCCGCGACGACCGCGGACGGGAAGAGAGACCAGAGTGTGGTCGTCATGACATTGTGCGTCAAGGCGAAAATGCTCGACCAGTTCTGAGATGGCATTCGACGATTTAGCCGGCTGGGCCATGGGAGTGGGTGTGCGGGTAGACGGTTGGACATTCGACTTGTCTCAAGGCATTCGCCAGAGGACGGTAAAGTAGGATTACATGCGATTTCTGTGACACAAACGAAGCAACCGTGTTCGCATGCCGGACGTGAGTGGCGGCGGAAGCGGCATTGCAGACACACTCAACGGAGTAGAGATGTCTTCTTGAAAGAGGTGGTGATGATGGTGCAGGCGGAGCCGTGAAATGAGGCTGTGGAAGTTCTAATAAGGCTGATACCCGCGGATTCTAACTAGGCCTAGCGCAGAAGTCAGTCCTTGAGGCAGCGCAGTCGCAGGGGCGCGCAATATATGTATCATGTCCTGCAAGATCACAACTGTCAGGTTGTGAGCTACCAAAGGCTCCCCAATAATTCTCGAGTTTTCACGTCTCCGGGCTTCGCGGCGGCCCGTCAGATCGAACTATGGTTGATCCGGTTGGCACCCCGCTGGCGGCTCTGTCAACTGTGGATCTTTGTATTAAGTATGGCTGCGTCATTCACCATGACATTCTCCATCAACGAGCTGAGTGACGCGACATTCATGAATAGCACCTGACGACCTTCAGGTACGGGAAAAAGCTCGTCGAGAAGTATCAAACCTTCAAGCAGGCCGACCGGGAAATACTAGAATTGATTCTCTGTGTAGAAGACTATTGGATCAAGTTCGAATACCAGATCAAATTCCTTCAAAGCGTGTGGAACAGCCTCGACGAAAGGCTCCAAGTTCATCAGCACCATCTTCTACAACTTCTGCACCTCAAGCTCCAGGAAGCCAATGACCTCCTCGACAATGCTATCGGAACCCCGGTAGAAAGGAATACCATCGGCTCAGTGATCAGGAAAAAGGGTAACGTTCGTGGTTGGAAGTATGCATTGTCTCTCGACGATTGCCTCAAACGCTCGGTGGAAGATCTCAAAAAATGGCATGACATGTTCGATCCTTCGTGGTTTCTCATCAATCGCGTCTCTAGCCAGAACGTCGACAATCGACTGAATGATCGACCGCTGAATGACCATGGTTTCCTCTCGACTCTGAAGGATCTGAGGGAAATGGTCAGGGCTGCTCAGCTCGAGTCGGTGTCAGGAGACGGAAGTACGATTTGGATTCCACCGGATGCTATTAAAGATCAGCGGGATCAAATCTCACTCTCGACAGCTGAGATCGCGGAGAGTCAAACTGGCTCGGAGCACGTGCTTGTGGACACGATAGTTTTAAATCCTCAAGCCGAGCTCACAAGGACGACCAAAGAGATACGGGACCTCGCCAGGATTCTCTCGAAGTCGGACCCGCTGGTCTTTGGCTTGCTGCGGTGTCTCGGAGTCGCCAAAAGAGCGGAAATCCAAGGAAACGTGTCACTGGTGAAATTTGAGTTGGTGTTTTCGGTCCCCCGTGGTCTCCAGGACCCGACTTCGCTACGGACTCTACTACTCCAGAACGAAGAGAGTTACTCGCTCAATGAGCGACTCGCTCTAGCACGATCGTTAGCCTCGTCAGTTATGTACATCCACTCATCGAAATTTGTGCACAAGAACATGCGGCCCGAGACGACGATCGTGTTCCGCAGCGACGAGTCTCGACTGGCCGCACCTTTCCTGGTCGGATTCGAGAAGTTCCGCCCTCTTGATGGGTGGACTTTCCGACAAGGAGATTTGTGCTGGGAAAAAAATCTCTACCGTCACCCTTCGCGACAGGGTCTCCAGCCGGAGGACAACTATATTATGCAGCACGACATCTACAGCCTTGGGGTCATGCTGTTGGAGATCGGGTTGTGGACATCGTTTGTCGAGCAGGACAGCAACCACACGTTCGTCCCTAGCCCGATGCTCGGCGCAAACGGCTTCCAGGCAGAGCGCAACGAACGCAAGAAGGCGGCTATGATGAAGAGCACACTTATTGATCTGGCATCGGCTCGCTTGGCGAGCAAGATGGGTCAAAAGTTCATGAGCATTGTCCTCGCCTGTCTGACTTGTCTGGACAAAACGGAGAACGGCTTTGGCGATGAAGACGAGTTTACTGACGAAGACGGGATCGTGGTTGGAGTTCGGTACATTGAAAAGGTAAACGTTAGCGAGGAATCAGTTCAGTCTAGCCTGGGCTAATGTAACTCTAGGTGCTGTTGCGGATGCATGAGATTTCGGTGTGAAATGGCATTGGCTTAAGCGCTTGCAACGCTCGAAATCGCAGCGGACGATAAAATTTTCCTGGTTTGGAGTCATTCGTTTATTGCTCTGAGTTTGTTGAGGTAAGCAGATCACATTGACCATCTGGACTTTAAAGTTCACCCACTGTGATGGCTCTTCACTCTATTTGAACAAGATACGTTTGGTCTAGATTTCAGTTTCATACATGCGAGCCGTCCCCTATTCGTGTCCATTAGAATCGACACGGTTTCGGGACGCCAAAAGACTGCGGATCACCAAAGACTTGACCCCAGAGGTACGTATTGAAGACAATGCTATTGACTGACGCTCGTACAACATCAGAGGGCCAATTAAACTTACTTCCACTTGTTTTGTCTTCCTCCACTCTAATATACTCCCCTCGAAATGCCCTCCCAGAACCTCATGGTGGCTCAGATTGTGACCCTCAGGCTCCTCCACCTCCACGGCCTTGACCAGATTGTTCCTGTCTAGCAATGCTGCATTCCTCAACAGCAAACTTCGCACCTCTCAAAGCTGTCCGAGCCGAGCAAACCTGGCTGCCTGACCGGTTGCCAATGCTGTTCCCATAGTACGAACGGCACTGCACGCTGCTCGATCTCCGTCCACACAACGTCCAGCGTATAAGAGATTTGCACTATCTAAGCTCTACAGAGAGCGAAGAGCAAGTTCAAATGTCCCCTCGGGCGGTGCTCTAAAATCGATCGGCGAATCTTCTGTTACTATCGTGCCATTCCATGTATCAAGCTCCGATGGCCACGGTGTCACGAAATCTCCGACCTTCATACAGATTGTCTTTTCTATTTGTGACAACTCTTCCGCGGTAGACAACCTCATGGGGAGATTTATACCGTGTCGGTGAATGAGCTGGTTTCATCATCGTCCAGTCGAAGCAACATTTGCGTCTAATTTTGGGATGTTACGTTTCTCTATGACCATCAAGATTTATGTGGACTAATGTTCGAGGGGAGCCGGTCGTTATTGTCGACGAGGCTCTACTCTTGTCCTCATTGTCACGTGCCTAGTGTTTTCAATATCAAATCTGTATGGCGGCCATCGCGATCGGCGCTCCGCACTGCGCTGTGTCATAACCCGCCGACCGCCCCACGGATGTCGGTTCTTCAGCAAGAAATTTCTCCACAAACTTGACCGACAGAAATATACTTTGTGGAGAATCTCCGGGGAGGGGCTCTTACGGAATTGCCCCCTTTGGTGGAGAAGAATCTTTTCCAGCTGACAAGAATGTATTACGAAGTGCCAGCCATGAAAAAGGTGAGGGACCTGGGCAAGTATATCATCAAAGTGAGACCCCTCAACCCCAAAGCTTGAAAGAAAGTATACACAAAAATGGCTTCTCTCATAGCCGCTGGGGCGGTTGCTTTCTTGCTCATATGCCTTCTCATCCACACCCTGTCAAATAAATCAAAAATCCCCAAAGATGCCAAGTTACCTCCTGGTCCCAAAGGTAAAGCTAACACAAGCTGTATGCCCAGTGTGTTAAGCCTAACAGTTTGCAAGGGAAACCCCTAGTTGGAAACCTACCAGACATACCTTCTAAACACTCATGGATAAAGTTCAAATCTTGGGCAGACCAATATGGTCCCATCTTTCGACTCAGCATCTTTGGTCGAAATCTCGTTGTCGTTTCGACCGAGAAGATTGCCAACGACTTGCTTCGCGAGCGAGGCAATCTTTACTCGTCTCGTGAGCAATTACCTATGGCTGCCAAACTGATGTCGAAGGATCTGAGACCTTTATTTCTTCCATATGGAGGTAGGTCAAAAAAATAAAACTCTGAAATTTTTTTTTTTTTTTTTTTTTTTTTCCAGGTACTCTTTGGCTGATCAAGGGCAGAATTGTGGCGTCGAGGACGCAAAGTGATGCATACCATGACCATGCAATCGGCAGCGACTTCATACCAGCCTGTTCAGATCTACGAGTCAGAACGGATGTTATTTGACCTGATCAAAACGCCAGAACGATACGATCACCTCTTCGAGCGATACGCTGGTGCAGTCATCATGCGTCTCGGTTATGGCAAGACGATTGAAACAGGCGACGAACCATATGTTCGCAGGATCTTGAAAGTCGTTCACACAGTTGAACGCGTTGCTTCGCCGGGAGCATATCTTGTCGACACGTTTCCCATCTTGATGCATTTGCCGACGTGGCTGGCTCCGTTTAAACAGGAAGCCGCAAAATTGCATGACTTTGAAATCACATTGTTTCGACAGCTGCTGTTCGAAGTGCGTGACAAAATGACAGCCGATAAGAACTGTCCGAGATGCTTTGCAAAGACTTTTCTCGAGAGACAGGCTGAATTCGGTCTCTCAGACGACGAAGGCGCGTATGTAGTTGGAACACTCTTCGAAGCGGGAGCCGGAACCACTGCTGCGGCTATGATGTCTTTTGTCCTCGCCATGTGTCACTATCCTAACTGGCAGAAGAAAATGCAGCAAGAGGTGGACTCGGTCGTTGGAGACGACCGAATGCCAGAGTTTAATGATATTCCGTCGTTGCCGATGGTGAGAGCTGTGGCGAAAGAAGTCTTGAGATGGCGCCCCGTCACCGCTGGAGGTGTCCCTCACGAATTGATCAGGGATGATGTGTATAATGGGTACTTTTTCCCAGCAGGTACCAATATCCATGCAAATCAGTGGTAAGCCCTTTTCCTCCTTTGCGAAGCAAAGCAGGGCCTAATACTAACACAACATAATATCAGGGCCATCCATCGTGACCCCGACCTGTATCCGGACCCTGAGACCTTTAATCCCGATCGCTGGCTCTCCCCCAAGTACCCAACCTACCGCGAACCCCTCGACAAATTTCCCAACCTCCAGAACTACTCTTGTTTCGGATTCGGCCGTCGAATCTGCCCCGGCATGAATATCGCTGAGAACTCTCTCCATATATTGATCGCAAGGATGGCTTGGGCCGTTGACATCTCCAAACGACCCGGCGTCGAGGTCCCCTGGTACGATTATACGGCGGGGTTTAATGTGCAGCCGAAACCGTTCGTTTTTGATCTAAAGGCAAGGAGCGAGAAGAGAGGTCGCCTTGTGGAGAAGACGTGGGAGATGGGCAAGGAGAGAGATCCTCTCGAATAACAAAGGGCCCTTCCACAGACTAACAAGTAAACGTGGAAGAAAGATGTCATCGTCATTGGTTCTTTCTTTCCCCTACATGACATGGATTCTGTTACGGCCGAGAAATCTTTACTCTGTACGTGTCGCTCCACCGTGTTCAAGCACCAAGGTACAACGCCAACACTCCGCTCTGATCTACCTGTCGACGTTTCGGCTCTATCATTCCCCATATCCCCCATCCAAAAAAAGCCTTCCTCTTGTATCCGCCACTCAACTCTAAATCGACTCGCCGGCGCTCCTCCTAAGGAAATCCGTCGTCTCCTTCACTCTACTGATGAACGGACTATGGCTTGCACCGGGAATCACCTCAGTCCTCATCAACAGGGCCTTCGGCTTCAACATCTCCACGATGCGTTCCTGGGTCGTCCACGGCATTGCCTTATCTTCAGACGCCATAAGAATATGCACCGGGATCACTTCATGTGCCGAATACTTGGAGCGTTCCAGCAACGCCTTAGCGGCTATAGGCTTGAGCAAGGCGGCATACTTTTCGACTTGATCCGGAGTCATGTCGTTGTAGAAGTAATCCGTAGACATGGGAGCGAGGACTTTAGGCAATTTGGAGATGTCTCCCTGCTCCCGATTCTCGGCGTCGCGGATGTTCATGCCCTCCGGCAAAACGAAGGAGGTGATTGACGCAATACCGACAACGGAGGTATTGCAGCCGGCTTTACTTCGCGATTCGGGGTCGAGGTCCTTGAGGGCCGAGGTCGTGGGGATCCCGCCGTAGCTGTGTGGGACGACGACGACGTTGGAGCCGGCGTCAAGTTCTGCGAGGACGGCGGAGCGCACTGTTTCGACATCCGAAAGGTAGTCTTTGGCGGCTTCGATGTGTGAGCGAGCCACGGAGGGTAAGGCTGGGGCGACGGCTTTGTAACCGTGATCGTTCAGTGATTGAATGAGTGGTTCAAAGTGGGCGGGTTCATGCCATGCGCCGTGGACAAGGACGAATGTTGTTTTCTGGCTAGCCATCTCGAATTTCCTCACACGTGAGCTTCGGTGGGTGTGAGGTTGGCTGGGGTTAATGATACAATGTCTCCTTCGAGTAGTGGAAGGACATTTGTATCAATGTAGTGTAGGGGGTTGAGTGTTGATAGACATTGATTGCAAATGTCTCTAGACATGATCTCTGTCTTATACCGGTCTCCGGCACCCCTCATTGCGGCCAGCGATTTCGGGAATATACTCTGGGCTGAGTCAGAGTTACCCTCTTCATCAACTCCTTGAGGTACCTCCGAGTAAGTTGATAATAGGGAGGCGACAAGGAGGTGCCTCTGGGAGAGGAGGGAGCCGTAGGGGGTCAGAAGTTGGTTGTCGGGAGAGACAAAGTCGCCTCAATAGCGCTGACAGCGGTAGCCACTGGGTGGAGAGCCCGGCCAATCAATAGCTGTACTTAGGTACTCATCTTGTACGGCTGACGAAGTTTATAGCCACTTTATTCAAAAAAACTCAATTTGTAATCCCACTCCATCTTGGAAGCTTGTCCGAAGATTGGATGGTGAGAGCGTAGTCAGGGGGCCGAGCACGCAATGGTCTCAGCATCTTATGATATATTGCTGAATCTCGCCGGACGAACTTGGGTTTTTGGCCTGCGAATTCAGAAATTCATCGTGGACTGGGCTGGTATCAAGTCGCAAAATATATATAGGCAACGTCCCAGAAACCTGAGACGGGAGAAGAGAAATATATTATTAACACCAATATACCCTTTTTCAACTCTTTCATCAATATCTGGCAGAATTTGAATGTCGAACCAAATGGACACCTGACATCATGAATCGGTAAGTCAATAGTTTTGGGATGCTGCAATCTTCTGCAGTGATTAGCTCACGTCCGGGGATTCTCCAAAGTCTCGGAATCCCAGGACGTCCGATGGTTGAACGGTTTCAAAACCCCCTTCTACAGGCTCTGCCGTATCGGAGAGAGCTTGGGTGATGACGGCATTCAAGCTGGTCACTGCCTGACAGTCTGCCATGTTGATAGACGGGGTGCGCGAGTCTCCATGTGGCGAGGTCACCAGTATGCCGTCTCTCCAACCCAACTTCGTAAACATACCTCTTCCACGGTATGTACCCAGTTTATGCCAATGTGTCAAAGAATGGCCTTTTTGGAGGGTTGATTTTCCGACCAGGACAATGCCGGTGGTTTCATCTGTCTCAACGGTATGGTAAGGTCCTCGGAAACCGGCGACTCGTGGACTTACTCCCCATGATTTGAAAAACCGAGTGTAGAGGGGGAGAAATATGTATTTGGGTTGTCCAAGTTTCTCTTTGAGCCATGTTTGAGTTTGCGAGATCAATTTTAGATCCGCCAGTCGCTCAATATCATACTCGATGTCACCACCATTGAGTCGAACAGTTATTTCGGTACCACTCTGCGTCTTGGGAATATCCTGGATCCGTGCAGATGGAGGAATGTGCACCATGCCGTAGGGATGCATATGCCACTTCTTCACGTCTTCCCACACCATCTCCTCACTTGAATGAGTTCCAAAGCCATCAGGGTTAGGGTACCAAGCAGACCACGTAGACATATCGGTGAGAACGTCCCCCTGCTGTGGTATGTGAACATATCGTTCATGGTCTTTATAACGGTATTTGACCTCGGTTTGCAAATTCTCGTGTACCTGGGTCACTTTCGTCCACCCTGGGTCCAAGTGTTCATGAGACGGGCGGCGTCGGTCCTCTGAGTTGCCCGGCAGTTCTATTTGGAGATAGTCAAGGGTGCGATCAACCAAAGTCCACTCAGAGTCATCCAACAAGCCGTCAGACGGAAACTTAAATTGCAAGGCGGAAGGCTGATGCACAACATCAAACATGGAGGCTCCCTCGTGGCGAAGAATAACATTCAGAAGATTGTGCGAGAAATATTGCTGTTCGACGTTGAGCAAATCTTCCGGAATCAAGTCCGGGTGATAGCTGATTTTCAAGGCGGCCAACAAGGCGTATTCTTTGGGTTGATTCTCGACGGCCTTCCGATTGCTTCCAGCGATGAGGATCGCAGTCCGCGTTGCTCCCAAAGCTATGTCAATACCTGCCTTTCCAAAGGACCAGCTAACCCAGTTGTCGATTTCATCTTGCAGTAATCGGTCTGCTAGGCGGTGTTTGAGCACCGATGGTATCCTCGGCGGATAAGAAACTTCTATGCACAAGTTTCCCTCACCTTGATTGGTTTGTTGCTCAGCCCTAGCTTCCTGCAAAGCCGATCGACGCCGGTGTTCTATGTTTGCGATTTCCTTCCGCCGTTTGAAGAACTCTGACGGGGCCATGTTCCTCTGCTGGATATACTGCCTCTCCTCCTTGAGCCATTGGTCCTTTCGAAACCGAGACATCAACAAGAGGAGCCGCACTGCACTTGCGAAGAGTCTGGTGGTGACGGGACGATCGTTGATGGTAACGAAGCCTCCGTCCTGAGTTATCCAGATCGCCGATGGAAACAGAACAACTTCTTGCAGGGCCCACAGAGAAGTGAACCAATTATCCTCCCGCAACCGGCTAAAGGAATCATTCCATTCGGCATAGGGAGGCATCACGCCAAACCGCGGGACATTTCTGCCATCGACTATAGGTTGACCGGGTCGGAAGTAGATGCAAGAAGCGAGAAGTCCACCAAAAGCACCCAGTGCGCGACTGAGATCATGATCTTTCCGCTCATTGAGAGTCCATAAATACGCCATAGAGGCTGTCGCGTTGCGGAAAATTTGTGCTTGTTTGGCGATCTCTGCTTCCTTCTCGGCTTTGGCGACCTTGTCGGCATTTTGATTGATACATAAGACGTCAATCCAAAAATATCGGAAAGCCTTGATACATCTGAGGAGGTGTTTCAAATGCGTCAGTCGATCAATTTTGGTAATTCTTCCGCCAAAGGGAGATTCGACTTTTTCAAAGGCGGGCACCCGCCATTTTGTTCCTGTGGAGTATCGCCAGATCTTATTCCCGCTGAGATCCTTTCGCTGGTAGCGGCCCCATGTCCAGGATACTGCACAATACCTCCGTAGTTGTTCATGATCCGCGTGGACAGTCTGGAATGTTTCACTGTCCCAGAGATACTGTGGAATGGCATCTTGTTCCTGCCCAACCCATTTAAAATTACCCGAATGCTCGTATTTGGGAGGTAGGGGGACTTTGTTCGGCGCGAGGTCGTTAAAGGTGTGGGCAGAGACATCCCAGGTGAAGCCACGATAGAAGCCTGGTCGGCCTAATCCCAAGTCTTCTGCACAGTGCCGTGCTTGCTCGATACGCGTTGAAGGTTTCTCATTGCTAGGTGCCAAGACCTGTTCCAACAGATCCAAAGGACGGTGGGGTTCGTCCCCAGACTTCACGCTTTCTGGCGGAGTCGACGCCGTAGAGGCGGTCGCCGTGGATAGCAGAGACCACATGGTCTGCGGGGATAGGAGAGGTTTCCGGGGAAATGTAGTTGGTAAGGCTGACGCGGAGGCATTGTTGCATGGTAGCTTGGGGGAGTCATTCGCTCTGCCTTAGGCGGCCCTTCTCTTTTATATTGGACGGTACAAGCCCCTGCTGGCTGATGAAAATTTTTCTTGCCCAATTTTTCCTTGCTTTTCTGAACTTGGACCATATTCTCTCTCTCCCTTGCACGACGTCAGCGAGCCTGATACACAAGGCAACCAAAAGGCAGCCACTGGGCAGACTCGGTGGGGAAACAATGGCTCCTAGAGGGTTGTCAGAGGATGTCAGTGGTCGACTGTGACACGAGGCGGCTTGAAACCGGTGGCTATGTGCCGTCCCGCGTTCTGTCAATTGCGATACAAGGGCGTGTCTGCTTATCGCTAATTGGCGCATGTGATGTCGACGTGGCATTGCTGGGCGCGGTAGGCCCCCTCATGGGTGGCGAAGTGCAGTGGTTTGATGAAGAATTGATGGAAAAGTAGAGATTTCAACTGCAGCTTCACACAAGAAAAGCCAATGCATGCGGCTTCAAGGGATGCACCAATGCATCTAATCCTCCCCATCTGTCCCGCTCTGTGTATCTCACTGGCGATACTGCGATACTTAAACTGAACACACATAGAAGATGGCCTCACAGACTCCTCTCGTCATACACGCTCACCCTCCTCTGCTCGGCATGCCTTCGCAAACCAGCCTCGACTCGCTCGCTGGAGCTTTGGGCTCCATCATCGGTTACCTGGGAGCCGAAGCAGCCGAGCCGTACCTCTTTGAACGCCTTCTTTGGCCGCAGAGATTCTACAATTCAAACAGCTTGAGCAATTTGCTCGTGTCCGCCTTCTTAATGCCAATGGGGGGCCCCCTTCACCGAGCAGCTTTGGGAACACTGGACAGATTTCGCAGAAAGGGCCTCTATCGGGGCTCGCAACGAGGGCATATGCTAGGGACGGCCTTCTACCCTGATACCGGCCTTCGATTCAAACTACATGGCTACGATGGTGCGGATCTGGACACAGAGGTACGTAACGGACTTTGGGTGAATGTTCTACGAAGGCTACGAAACTACAACCTGGAGGACCGCTCGTCATCGGGGGGCAAAGTCGATGAAGAAGAACAAGTGTCTAAGGTTCGACGCGCCGTCCAAATGGTACACCATTTGCATCTGTCCGTATCAAATGTGGGTCAATCCAGCCCCGAAAGGGCCCGGGCCTTTTGTGAAGACTCAATCAGCCTTGCCACTCCTTTTGTGATGATCGCCAGTGAGACGACCGCCGTTGCATGTGCCCTTTTGATTCTCCTGGCCGAGCAGCGGTACTTCTGGTTTGCGGCTCTCATGTGTATGCCTCTGGCTCTGAAACTGGCCTCCCTCGTCTGCTGCGTCAGGAGGGAACCGGCCACTCCTAGCATCAGGGCATCGGATGGGGCCGAGCTCCTTGTCGAGATCGACGACTACGACCACGGTTTCCCCTTGATCTCGGGACCAGAAGAAGTCGTCCGACAGTTCTTCCGACATTGGGGCCACCCGGTGAGAACAGATCGTTGGGACCGTGTCCGCGAGCTCATGAGCATGACTTTGATCTTCGGCTTCGTCTTTTGTTTCCCCGTCGGCCTCCTAAGCCTGCTCTGGGTGAATCCCACCATCCAAATAGTTTGGCTGGCGTATCAGATGTACGTTATTGCGGTGATGCATCTCAATCGACTCATTGGTTTCGAAGGTCCAGGACGTTTGGAGGACCGCCTTGCCCACGAGCTGGCCAAAAAGGGCTCCGTGTGTTTATACAGCAAGAACGGCGGTACACTGCAGGCAAACCTCACGAGTATCCCGGTGTCGAGAATCAGAGAGGGACGAGAAGTCGTTGAAAAGATAGCCTCGCAACATTCCAAGAAACTCGCCGAACTGAAGAGGAGTAGCAGCGACGTCAGTGAATCTTCTACCCTCTGTGACCAGCCGGAGACGACAATCTCTCCAGTGTCTGAGAAGAACATCAATTAAATTAAGTGGATGAGAACTCGTCAGTCCGGAAATGGGAGAATCATCGAACCCAATCCAAAACTGGCAAGTCTGGTATGGAAAATATTCCACAGAATGAACTACCCAAGTATGTTACTCTGAACGGCTTATGAGACCGCATGGGCTTTTACATTCCTGCTTCTCCCATCAAAATTATGGCGGCTGTCTTGCGACCGGCATGGGATCAATCAGGACAGGATTGAAGAATGCTAGGGTTTCGGGATTCGTTGCCAAACATCATGTCCGATTGTCATGATACATCTTTCCTCTTAGGTGAAAAATGTCCCTTTTCACCCCCAGTATAATGAAATGGCTTGACTTGTCACTTGCTAGTCCATGGGACTGTGCCAAGTGAAGCTCGTACACCTTGCCAGTTCCTTACATCCCGCCATGTGATGGATCTAAATCTGATTATCCCGTTGCGCGCCATCGAAATCCCCCCTCACAAATACCCAAGGCCGGGTTAGGTCCATCCTTCTATCAGTACTCGTGACATGATCATGGTCGTAATTGCAAGTTGTTTTCCCAACTCCTACTTTTTATTTTTCGTTTGACCGAAAGATGAAACTCTAGTTTTTCATTCATTGCTTTTGGAATTTTCTTCACCAACGGCCTCTCGATCATCTCCCGTCTCCGCATCCACAAAGTGTTCTCCTGCCGTAGTCGCCATACTTTGCCGACGGCTCGAATTCAACGATCCATAACGTTCAATGCTATGCCTCGAAACATTACTCGCCGTTTCGATCGGGTCGGTATCGTCCGGAAGAGCCGGAAATTTTTCCGTCGTGTTTTCGTCTGGCGTCACCTTCCTCGATCTCAATCTCTCTTCGTTCGACATGCTCTGCCACTCTGACGACATCGTGATGACACTGGCCTTTTTGCCGTGCAAAATAAAACTTCCTGTACCTCTCTTCAATTCGTCCGCGTCGCTGTGGATAGATCTACCTCCATCCTCGGTTGCGGCAACACTCGAGCCTGACTCTCGACCCTTTTTGTGTCGATGGATACTGGGGGAGTGGTGACTATATCCATCTCGCAAATGTCCTTCACGCAAGCTCCGCTGAAGACTTCGGCGAACACTTCCAGTCTTTGACGTGTCAATTGCTCCTGATATTGCCCCCAGTCGATCTCGTTCCGATTCACTTGTATCAGGTCGCTTATCCTTCGGAACAGTGCCGTCGATGTCAACCAAGCCTGCTTCACGCAATGCCTGCTCTTCAGCATCATCAGTGCTTCTCGCAAGTCGTTCTTTATCGCGACTTTGATGAGAACTGGCAATGGATGCTTGATGAACTAGGGAATGCGAATCTTGATTGCTTTCATTTCTGGTGAGTGTTTGGTCTCCAGATAAAGATGGACTGGCCGTGGAAGGAAGATCGAGCATGCTGGGCTCGGTTCGCGTGCTGGCATTCTCCGAGGTCTTGAGTTTTTCTATCAAGTTGGACGGTCTGGACGAGGTGGCGCTTATAGGTGACAGCGTTAAATGGCTTGAATCAGTAGCGGTGCGTCCCAAACTCGGTTGACCGGTCTTCGAAGGAGTCCGAGGAGCCGGAAATGCCGTGGTTCCCTCCTGTTCTAGATCTTTGGCCAAGATATCTCGATGCGTTCTCGTCCTCCAAAGCTCGACCCTGGTCCATTTGAGTTTCGCCGACATACGACCTGCAGCCAGAACCAACATTTCTCGAGTCTTTGGCTGAATTGGCAACAAGATGAGCAAATGTCGAGCATTTCGGAGCAGGTTGTCAAGTTCCTTTTGGGCCACCGCAATCTTTTCATCGAAGTCAGAAATCTTCTCGTTGATCAGTTGCCGTCGATAAAACATGATCTCCCAAGCCATTTGGGGGTCCATCTTCTTGTCTCTCTGCGGAGTCTCGGCACTGGTGGTTGAAAAATCGGCATCCTTTTGGAGCAGATGTCGTCCTTCATAGTTCGTCCCAATAAGCCCGCGCATTCGGACGCCAACCGTTCGAAAAGTGGCCGCGTAATTCAACTTGGCGATCCAGTCATTCATTTCCGACTCGCTGTTGGCAAGAAAGATCTCCTCAAACCCGCCATGCTTGATGAAGACGAAAGCATTTTTGTGTTTCTTGTAGCTTGAATCCATGAGTGCCACCGCGTCATCCATAGACATCAGAGCATCGGGTTCGAAAGAGGACAACGGCGGTTTGAAGATCAGATGGCCGGCGTTGTTGGTAGACTTCGAAAAAGAATCGTATTGTGAGATCAACTTTTTGACCCATCCGACATCCTTAAAGAAGTACAACTTTGAGTCAGTTAAGATAGCACCCCATTCTTGCCATGGCCGGGCTTTCTTTTTCTTGGGGTCTTTTCGCCATAATAATCCGACCTTCGCGATCTTGATACTAACGAGACCGGCTTGGGCGTCACCGGGATTGCTAATGGTGGCCTGCGACAAGAAGGCATCCGGCCTCGACCTCGCGGACACGATTTGCAACACAGCCGAGTTGAGAAAAGCCCCATGAACCTCTTTGGTCTCGAGTGGACCGGATGTTCCCGTTGAGCTGTAGCAATCCTCCGTATCCATTACATCTCTGAGAGAGGGTCGCAGGACGTCCAGCTTATTGTCCAAGATCAAAGTATATGGGTCCACGGGGCCACGGAGGCTTTCAATGCTTTTGGTTTTGATCAGACTCTTCTTCACTTTGGGAGCTGCGAGGCGGTGGCTGTTGATAGCCACCTCATCTTCGAAATGAATGAAAGGAGTATAGCACACATTGTCGTAGAAGCAGTCTAAAATATCGCTTGAGATCTGCACAGGGCCTTGCTGCGTATTCTTGATGTAATCATGCCTCTGCATCTTTCTCTTGTTATTCTTGTTATGTGTGTCGGAGTGCAGGAGCAGGATGGAAAATGCCACGAAAGCCGTTTCATCGGTCGAGGCAAAGACCCCAGGGTTACATTCATAGTATCTGTCAGCAAAACCGGCCAGTAGTCGATCGATTTGCTGAGTCTCCTTGGGTAATTCCACCTCCATGAGCATTTTCCGGATTGCCATGTCAATAGAATCTCCAAAGTATGAAAATCCTCTCATATACTTGCGCAGACATGTCTTGGAGAAGTCGTCAGCACTTTTGCAAAGGATTGTTGCCATGGCGCTTCTCGGAATGGCAGCATCAAGCTTTTCCAGGTAAGTTGCCGGCGTGTCACCATCTTCCCGCTGAGGGTAGACCCGTTCTGGCTCCGGTTCGCGTGGTATTTGCAAGGAGTTGGATTTTGAGCCAGGTGTGCCAGGACTCGAGGCAGCCCCATGCCGCGCCGGAGGCACAGAATTCTGACGAAGTCGATGAGGGAGTGTTAAGAGATCACCAAAACTTCTTCTTCCGCTTGTGGAAGTCGACGTTCTTGCCGATCCTGGCTGAGGCACGGCGTCAAGGAATTTCTCGGCCGATTTGCCAAGTGAACTCATTGTCGAAGATCTTCCTCTTCCCCCGGTGCGAGGAGGAACCAAGGTCATCGAGGGTGTCGACTGGCCTGAATGTGTGGACCAAGACGAGTCTTGACGCACGATCGTTGGGCCAGGAGATCCGAACGGTGCATTGGTCAGGGCGGCTGCTGAATGAGTAGGCGAAGGAGCTGCAGAACCCTGCCTACTAGGCTCCGCGTCGAATCTTACCGCCGTATTAGATCTCCTGCTTGGTGACATGGACTTCCTCCCACCAGTGGACTCCTGGGGCGTGTGAGATGGGCTCGTTTGACCTGACGTTGGGGTCGCAAATTTCTCAGGCAACGGAAATAGTGGTCCCTTGCTCTTCTTGCGCCTCTTAAGTTTGAAGAAAGTGGTCGTGGTGGAAATCGTGTGCGTTGTGGTCGTTTTCGCGTACACATGGTGGTCACCAGAACTATCGTCGGAGCGGGAGGAGTCCGACAGGCGTGTCACAGGTATAGCCAGCGATGAGGAGGATTCGTCGCCATATGCAGGTGGTGCCATTGCGCCATGGGCAGATTTAGTCCGAGGTAAACGTTCAAAGGAGGTGTTTTGTGACGGACCATTCTGTCCTAGGGGATGCTCAGCAGTCAATGATGGAGAAGGTTCTGGAGGAGCGTGTCGGATAAGGGGTGTCTTTCGAAAGGGACTCGGGGCCCGGGTAAATAGTTTTCTCTTCGAGGGTTTCTGAGCGGACTCTTCGAATTCTTGACTGGTGGGCGCAGTGGTGATGATTTTAGGGGCTAAAGAAGAAATTTATTTAGAATCCGACAGTTTGCGACTTCGTTTAGATTCAACTTACGAGTGACCTCTTTCAGCGGCGAAATTTCATCTTTCTTAAACCGGGTCGACAACTGCGGATCTGACGCATACCTGAAACCCAACAATGAAAACCTCTGAGGTCTCGGTAAAGGCAGATCTGCGGGGTCCTCATCTGCTAACTTCAGGTTTCGCGGCTCACTCTTGTCTGCGTACATTGCGGCTGGAGTGCTCGCACTTTTGGACTGTTCGGGGGTCTCAGTATAGGCATCGCCATGAGAGGAACTCCTGCGAGATTGTATTTCTTCCGGCTCATGAGTCAGGACGGAAGGGCAGGTCCCCTCATTCGTGCGGGACAGGCCCAATCGTGGTCTTTTCATCGAGTCGGCGCGGCTGCGGGCGAGTGATAGGGTGAGATCTGAAGGTCGGGGGGTATCTTCAACAATGCTACTGTGTCGACGGCGGGTAGGGCCTGGGCCAGACTTTGACAGCAAGATCTTCAAGGGCATGACTAAAGGAAGGAAGGATAACAGGGCGTCTAGGTCATATCGAGAATCGTGGTCGTAACTGTACACTGCTGGATGGATGAGGTGCTGACTAGGCGGGCTGCCCAGCCTTTCAGTCAGCAGGCCAGCTGCGACTGTGAGTTGACTCGGACGGTGCAGAGAACATTGAAACGAGCGAAAGAGGTGCGAGTTGTATAATAGAGGTGATGTGGTATTCCGTAGCGGAGTGACTGAGGCAGGAGAGGGTGGGACCGAACAAGTCAGTCAATAGGAGGATTCTGAGAGTGGGCGAATGTACAATCGCCTGTTAGGAGGTGGGAGATGAAAGGTGAGAGGTGGGAAGGAGAGGTGATAGTACTGTAGAATGCTAGCGTCTGCCACGTGCTTAGTATTTTTTGCTTATGCATCGATTCCCCAACCCCCTGAAATCTCATTTTGGCTATTCAAAGTTAGCTCACGGAGAAAGAAAATGGATAACGCGTCGTCAGCTTCCGGAGCGTCATTATCCGTTCTCCTCCCCCATGCGTCGCTTATGCACCACTGACGAGTAAGGAGTATGAGTATATTCAAATATTACCGTTTATTCGTCGTCTGAGTCTTTCCCCCCCACACTCCTACGTCCTGCAGATGGGCGACGATGAGGAAGATGCTCATTATGGATCTAATACAATCTCTGGAACCTCCAATGCTGTTCATGACCCCGCGTTCGTCAAGATACAGAATGTATCTCAGAATCTCCGCCAATGCGGATTGATATCCCCGCTTGCAATGCAAAATTCACAAAAACCACACATGTCCCTCTTACCATGATTTACTCTGCATGGTAATCTCCTTGTGGCGCGTAGTATCCGCTGTATCGAGGATCGTACATCGGATTTGGCTGTTGCTGAAGCTGCTGCATTTGTTGAGCTTGTACCTGTTGTTGATATTGGTATGCCTGCTGATTCGTCCATGGCGGCTGCGGCTGCGCGAGTGGTGAAGGGGACATACCAGCCCAGTAAACAGATGAGCGAGGACTGATCCGTCGGCCATCGATCATGGAACTGGATCCAGGGTAATGCTGATATCCGTAGGTGTGCTCTGCCGCCTGTCTCTGTGCAATAGCTTCTTGTACCATATGGCCGGCCACGCCTTCTTTGATATTTCGTTTCTCCTGCTCTCGGGCTTCAATCGCCCCAATAAGTCCGATCGACGGATCTGGCGTCTTGCTTCTCTCACCCACTTGAATCAATGGACCCCCAGTCATTCTTGCTACATGTTCTTGCTCCCGTGCTGACAAATGAGACGAATAATCGATCAGGAGAGAATTCCTCGAGCTTGGTCGTCCAAATGAGTCTCTCTTCATCTGCAACTTGTTCGGAGACTGCTCAATTTTGCTGTACGAGATACTTCGGCGAGGAGCATATCCACTGGGCACTCGAGCAGCCACAGCTCGCTGCTGAACGAATTCTTCCGCTGTCAACCCCCCACCGGGGCTTTGTCGTCCTATCGTTGCTCCAGGTTGCCAGGCATAACTAGAAGATCGGGAATGATTTAGCCGTGGGCTTCCCCGTTCCACATACGAGGATCTCTTCTTCTCATTCGGAGTCTGGCCTCCAGGTGACACTCTGTCGTCATGGGAAGATCGAGGCAAAGGAGTGGCAGGCGCTGTGTAAGGATGGTCGAATGGCGACTGGCGCCCTGCAAGTCTACCAGCAGTAGGAGGACGACTGTGGCCCGGCGTCAACGTTGGAGTAAAAGTCGTGCCAAAGTCAACGGCAGGAATATCCGCTTCGCCGGACTGTTGTTCAGCGTTACGGTCACGGCCCAATGTGGAATCTCCCACGGTCTTGAGCACCCCAGTTCTCGTCTTTCGGCGGACGGATTGCAGATTGGTATCCTCCGAAAGGCTGTCATAATCGGGCGAGGCAGTCGATTCATTGTCGTAGTTGGAAGCCGAATATCGAGACATGCTCTCGGGCGACTGAGCCCGTTGAGGTGGTGCTAGAAGAAGGGACGAGCTGGGAGCTGGGACCGGCTTTCGAGGAATCGCCTTCCGTGTTGTCCAATGTTCGGTGGGGTCTCGGGCGTGCACTGGTCTGACATCAGCCGGGCTTTGTGTATACGCAGCGTCTGCTACCGTTGCTTGAGAAGCAAGTTGATTAGCAGACATTTCTTCGCCGTTAGAGAGCTCATTTACCCCTCGGAGCCCCTGATCTTGTTCCCCTTGGCGCCCGTTCTTCCACGCCACCATCGCCGCTTGGCCCGCCGCCCCACTGCTCGCAAGTTTATTCACCTCCACCATCTGAGACAAAGTCGCATTTGACATGCGACTTTTTTCTCGTCGTAGATCTGGCCGTGCATCTGGTCTCTTCTGTGGTGCATCACCAGCCTGGTGCTGAAAATCGGGAGGAGCCAGTACTGGTGCCGGTGGGGTCGACTCCCTCACCTCATCCTGGATATCTTCTGGATTAGTGTGCGGTATTTGTCCGTCGCTCTCGGAGCTATAGCGAATATCCGACGATTCCAGTTCGCTGGCAAGACTCGCGCTCTTGTACGGGTTGCTGTGACCTGGAGGTGGAAGAGGTTGGACAGGCTCCGAATCAGTGTATTCAGCTGACAATCTGGAAGGATGATAGTTCTCCTTTGGGAGACGAGTCGGGCTGGATGAAACATATGCCACTGACTCTGATACAGACCGTGTGTGGTGATTTTGCCCAGGAACAAGTAGCCCGACATTTGCTGGCGCCGTGGACGCTTTGTTTGGCGTGCCAAATACAGTGTCCGCCGACTGGTCATGTTGATGTCGAGAAGAAGGCGTTGATCGAATCGAAGCCCCATCATCATAGTGTACACCATGCCTTGATTCCGAATGGGTCCGGCCGGGTCTTCTGCTTTCCAAGTTGCTGCTCGACTGACTTTGTGCTGTCATTGCCATCCTCTTTGAGGTCATGTTTTTCATTTGCTTCCGCCATTCTCGCTCAGTCCACTTGTCACTGCCTTGCGTATGGATTAGCGCTGCCACATCGATGATGTCCAAGTAGCCATATCGTCGCTCCTTGGGCATAGCGAACATGAGTCCTCGTGTGTCCCACGTGTCGGCAATCAGTCGTTGTGGGCGACCATAGAGGTGGAAAATGTCGTAGACCGGGAAGAGCCAGCGAAGCATCATTTCGAATCCAGACACAGCAGGGTGTAGCTCAGGCATGACGAATACAAAACCTTCCGTTTTCGACTCTGGTTTCGAATGAATTGTGATGCGGCCTTCAACCTTCACGAGAGTCGATTGGTCGATCAGGGGTTTTGATTGAGGGTAAATAGCGTATGCGGAATATGCGTCGGTGATGGTCGCTATGGGCGTTGCCTTTTTCGTTTTCTTGGTATCATAGAACTTGAGGTCCCCTTTCGGCAAGGCTGGTCGTTCGTACACTGACTTCTTTTTTATGGTCTTGTTGGATCTCTGCCATTCTTTCTCATCGGGTGGTTCGATGACACACCAGCACCGCCTCCAAGGAGTTCCCGCACCAAATCGAACTCGTGCCCAATCTTCCGTTCTAAATTTTGTTCTTTCCATAATTGTCCGAATGTTGTTCAAGAACTTTCCCTTGCCAGCGATCAAGGAACCTGTGTATAACTCTTGCAGAGATGCATGCTCAAACATCGCCAGCCGTATTCCGGCCGTCCATTGTGTGAGGGAATGAAGCGAGTTGAAGTGAAGCAGATATCGATTCTTGCCGGCGGTGGATATTGAAAGCACATTTTGAAGAGGCTGGACGTCGGGATTTCGCGTTGGAAGGGTTTCGATCTGTGAAGCATTCAGCAATCTGGGACGACCTGGATTTCCTGAAGATATACCATCTTGATGGAGGCATCCGCCAGGTTGATGAAAGTTGGAGCGACCTCCCCATCTTGACCGGCTGCATCCAGAGCAGCTGCATCCCAAAGTGATAGCACAGTGCCTACTAGCTGAGCAAAACATTCCGTCCAGTTGCGGTCGACATTTGGTCTTCCCTCTAAAAATGGTTAACTCTTTCCTGTGTTTCGAACGGAGAGGAAACGTACGGTTGTCAAGATCGTTGAGTTTTAGAAAATACCCTGCACGCTAGGGTTAGCATTCTCCTCGATCCTAACAAGGACCCATCAGCACCTTCTTGATAAAGCTTGTTGCTGTGACTCGACAGGAAACTAGGGGCCTGGTCAGCACTAAGGCCTAGTACATAAATCAAATACGCATTTTCCAACCTGAACACCGGTAACAACTCCTCAATGTGATTGTCCTTTCCCGGCTCTATCGACGGAGGGGCGTATACCATGGATGTCGGCCGGGAAGCAATCCGGTCTGTCCAAGGATTTGATCGAGGATTGTCAGCGGGGGCTGCGGCGGATTGGTCCTGGAATTGAGTTGGTGAGTCTTTGTCGACTGCTTGGGTCTGACCGTTAGAAGACGTCTTGGAGAGCGACGGGATAGAAGCATTGGAATGGTGGAACGCTGCGGCTTTCAAGCTCTCGGACAAGTTTCGAAGGCGGCCCATGTTGGCATCAGAGTCTTCGGCTCAGACTCAGCGAGTGAAGAGAAGGAACAAGGACCGTTGCAACCACGGATTGCGATAGCCTCGCCAAAACCCCGTCTAACTTGTCAACGAAGATGTATCCAACAAGTCCATGAGAGGAAGGGGGGTAAAAAAATGTTTGTTGGATGCAGAAAAGCCGGGCTGGGAGAACGTGGCGCAGCGCAGCGCAGCCGGTAAAGAGCCAAAGAGACTCCTTGGGAAATGGGAGATCGGAGAGCGGAACAGTACAACGAGCGTGGGGATGGAAGCCAAGGAGATAATAATGAAGAGAATTAAAGATGCAGCGGAAGTCTGAAGTGGAAACGAATGAAGTAAAGTCTATGGGTTGGTGGTAATGGAGCTGGTGTATATTTTTTGCGTTTTGTTATGCCCATTTTCCGAATAAAAGGTGGTAGCGACTAAACAAATTAGGTCAATGAGGAACAATCAAGAAACACTACGATCCCACTGAAGTAATGAGATCGAATGAATGAGCCTGGGTCTGTGGTCAATGGTCACCTCTTCGTCACCACTACCAACTCCCACCACACTAGGGCTAGAGTCCTGCAGAGATTGGATGGCCCGGCAAACAAAGCGCTGGAGACGCAATCAATTGAACCGCTGACGTCGACGACGGCAGTTTGCGGGTCTAAATCGTAGTCGGCTACCAGGCTACCAAAGAAGGGCGGCAGTGGGCAGAGTTTCAGGGTGTGAAGAAAGCGTGTTGTCCACTGGCCCAGCGTCATCAAACCTAGAGATTCGATGGGAACTTAACTCATTTAGCTACGGTTTGGAAGCGCCTTGGGTGCCGGGTCCTGACTTGACATCAGGTTGGACAAGCTAGCTGCTCTGGGGTGTTGGATCTGCTTCAAATGCTACTACACAGAGCACGCTGCTCTCCACCTCACCGTTAGATGTTCTTTCATGATTCTTTACCGATGACGGATTGTCCGTCACCATCTCTTATTGCTTGCGTGGCTATCGGATACACCCCGGACTATTACTCACCACCGTTCGAACTTTCTGTCCTCTTGTCCTTAGCTGCATGCAACCTGTCCTCATCTTGTATCCAATCGGATCCCCCTCCTTGTCACGCGTTGGAAACATGGAACGAAGGATTCGGTTAGGCGGCGCCGCAATGTGCATTTCTCCGAGAGCTCACCAAATTGCGGAGGTGGTAGTGGAAGGGCTATGAGAATCGAAAAGATTGCGCATCTAAATGCCCCCAAAATAGCCATGGATTAAGGCAGTAAGACACTGGTCGCTATGACATGGCCTTCAGCTTGGGTCGCCCGGCTCTCACCGGCGAGACATGCATGGTTGACAAGGGCAATGTCGCCGATTACTGGTAGTCTGACTCCACACCTGAGACCCTATGGTGGAGCCTCGTCTAATATGATTTTGACTCGGGCGTGTTTGTCTGTCCAGCACGGAAGTCCGACATCAAGAGATTACTGTAGCCCTACAAAAGATTTATATATGCGCCGAGCAGTCAGCCGGACAAGAATCACTGCCCATTCATCTAAGACGGAGATATAAAGAATGACACCACTCAGTATGCAAACACGCCAGGGACCAAATCCAGAAAGAAGCTAGTCGAGTTTGAGGTTGGCCTTGAATGGCTCTGATTGAAGCGATTCCCTCATCAAGTTAATGTTACAGGTTCTTCTGAAAGACGAGATAATCCCATCAAGCCTCTGTTTGTTGAAAGCACAATGATCTGTCCATCATCAAGTAAAACACGCGAGAAACCGTCCTGTTGTACCGCCGTGTAGGCATGAAATCGTCACCATACTCCTTATTCACACCCCATCCAAACTTGGGTTCATTTGAGAGAATCATTATAAGCGGAATTTGTTGGAGGAAGCACGTGCACCCTCAAGCTGGAGTCTCGTTGAAGCTCCGTAGAGCCATAGCGACACGCGAATCCGAGTCGACCAGTCCGTCATCTTCAACAACTTGTTCTTGGTTGTGTTGATCGCTTGTCTTGTTTTCCGCTGCCTTCATGTCTGCTTGCTCGGCAGCATGCGCCACGGTGGCCTCAAGATTGGGGTCGATGAGCGAGGAATGTGTCTGGCCTTGGGGATTCAATAGGAAATTGATGTTGTTGTTTGTCTGACCTCCTATTCCTGTACCTGCTTCTACTCGCACAAAGCCATACTCGGGGTTTGATTCATTTGGAGGTGTCGCTGCAGTGTAGTAGGCCGTCCCCTGTGGCGGGTATGAGACGTGATCGGCCGCTGCAGTCGACAACGCTTCGAGGGTGTGGGCTGCCACTTGCCGGAACGTGTCTGAGGTATTTGGGGTCTGCGGTGGTGGTGTGGTGTCAGTTTCTTCCGCATTTGGATCAGACACGTACACCCAGGTCACTGAATTTGGTCAGCCATTTCAAGGAAATCCGAGAACAGGAACATTCACATTGCTGGGGCACTGGGAGGAAGCTTGCCAGCTCCTCTGCCGAGTAGGACTGGGCATTCTTGAAAAAGCGGTCGAGACTGTTGTCCTGGTTGTCCCTGTCGAATGTCGCGTTTTGGTGGTGGCGGAAAGTGATGCCTTGGAATGGTCAGTTTCTGGTCTTCACACCTCTTCATATCATGGCATACCCTCAGACCGGACACACTGGCGACGGGACTTTTGGCATTGCCCACAGACAGGTCTCGCCTGAAGTCGCAAGGTCAGGACCGATCTCAAAACCCGGAGCACCACGGAAGACACGCTCACTCACTTCGTCGCATTTGAGTTTCCTGCTTCTGCAAGTTTGGCATCCAGTGCGGCTTCTTCTCACCGCACTGGATGCTTTTGGCTTGACAACTTTGGCGGGCATGATTTTGTTTGCGGCTTCTGTTGGAAGCAGGTTTCCCGACCAAGGAAGTGAAATTTTGGAAAGTCTACCGTGCTAACTTTGCCGCAGGCGAGTTGCTCATGGCTGGGTTCTTCGGTCGAGAATCGGAAGTAAGTTCTTCCGAAGCGACACGTGATAGCACGGTAGGCGCCACGGCATAATGAGACGCATATCCTGCCCTTGAAGTTGGTGGTTGGCCATGACAGTGTTTGGTGAAAAAGGTGTAAAGGCATGAAGAGGCCTATTTGTACTAGTACAGGTTTCTGGCTCGACGTCCTCTGCATTCAATCTCGAGGACGGTCTCTCGACACTTTCAACTAGTAGATGATTCAAGTGTCTACTTCTTTGCCTTCTTCTTTGGTCGTTGCTCTTCTTCGTCATCGTCTATGACCTCGTCATCATCCCCATCGGCATCAGCCATCTCGGCATCACTGCCAGCATCGCTACCACTACTTTCATGGGCAGAATCGTATTCTTCAGCCACATCACTCTCGGATTCGGCTTGGAAATCCTCATCGGGGGACTCGTCATCTTCATCGGCTGAGCCTCTGTTAATACCAGCATCATCGTCATCATCGCTTGACGCGAGATCTTGGTCGTCAAGAGCCGCCTTCAACAACGTGGATGAGTCGTCCAGCATCTCGTTCTTGAATCGAATACCTTTGGCCTTGACAAGGTAGTTAGTTAATCAGGAAAGCAAACAGAGAGTCATTAATGGTCACATACTTGAAAGAAGCTTTCTAGCGGTTGTTGCTCTTCACGATTGATATTGCTGAATTGATGCTCGCCTTGTCCGCCCTTCAAGGTCATCGTAATATCGAAGGTTCTGCTTGCCGCCAAGGCTCCTCCCACACGCGACATGGTGATGCTCTGTATTGATTCGATTTGTACGTATGTGGCGGGTTTTGGAACGAACATGAAGCTCTTGTCCAAGCAAAACAGGAGACCTTCATTAGCCTTGATGGAGCACTTAACCCCGTTCATGTTGTGGTGACTGACGAAGTCTTTCGAGGGCATGATGATTTTCTTCCCAGACAGCCCCTTGAAGACTTTCGCAATGACATGATGGATCGGTGCTTCATAATGTGCATCCAACTTATCTTTGTACTTGGTTTCGAGCAACTCTTCTGTCATGTTGAGATCTAGATTCACCTCGTCATCAAGCTTCAGTTGCATGACAATGAAAGGATATCGGGTCTGTCCTTGCCGAAGAGGAGGATCAAGGCCAAGGGTGATGAGTGTATGCATGTCGTCATTCTTGGGGAGGATGAAGAATTTCTTGATAGATTGATATTGAATCTTGTAATCGTATGTTTTGCCACGCAGGCGGAAGGAATTTTCGTACATGTCGATATCGAAACGCCCTCTGAAGTGCTGTCAGTGGAATTCTTCTCGATGTCACTCGTAATACGTACCTCGGGGTGAGATGAAGAATGTCTTGAAACGTAGCGAATGTGGCACCAGCAACCTCGCCAATCTCTGCCTTATCCATCAAGGTCTCATAAAACAAGTTGGCGGCATTTTGTTCCCCATCTTCTTCCTCTTCTGCCCCACTTCCCTCATCTCCATTCACCTCCTTTTTGGATACTGTGCCAGGTATGTAAAACCGCATTTCCACGAGTTCATCGCGACCTGCAGCTGCTTTACGGCCTCGATTCCTGGTGCTGCCAGCCTTGTGACCATTTGCGCCATTTTGGGTAGGTTCTGAACCAAGGTTGAACTCAACGGCGATCTCATTCTTGCCAGCCAAATTTGTATTTGAAATCTCCGAATAGGGTATCTCGAAGGCTGGCCTGTTCTGGACATTGAATGCCAACTCGGCTCTCCCAAATTCAGCCTTCCCCCAATTCCACCCTCGGAGAGCATGTTCCTTATGTTCTAGGCTGATGCCGTACCAGATTTTGAAAGCCTTTGCGGCGCGGTCGAAGTCTTCTTGTTCAAAGCCATCGAGTTGAATGACTGTCGCGTCTCGTGTGATGATTTTTAGTTCGTAGCCTTTTGACGCTCTGCTCCATTGCGCAGCGCCGATTTGGTTACTGTCCAGGGTAAAAGGTTCACTTCCTCCGCTGGGTTTCCATCCGAGACCGCTCTCTGCAAGCCTACACCGTCCGGATTGCTTTGACAGGTCGAGATAGATGTTCTCAAAAGTCTCCCTGCCGCCAAAGTCAGACGAAAAGTTCGAGTTCCAAGAAAGCGACACTAACATGATTGGGGACACTGCGCCGCTGGCGACAGGACGGAAGGTGTCGACGTTGATTCACTAGAAACTGAGGTCGCGAGAAGAAGAGGAAGTGACTGCGAAGACGAGATGCGGAAGGAAAAGGGAGAGTATGAAGTCAAAGGAATTTCAAGTTGGCGAACTCACAATTTACATTCGATGAGCCCAGTCTCGAAACTTTCAAGGTCAACGTCGAGCGGCGGCGCGGCTCGCGATTCAAGAAGGCTTGGCGCGTTCTCCCACCAAGCTTCACTTCTTGACCTCAAAGGACAGACATGGGTACTTGCTCAAACAAGACCCAACCCTTCAAAGACACTATCACAGCAAAGAACTTGGTCGTTCGGCGAGCTGATACAATGATATACGTTGTCTTATTGTCCGAGGAAGATGAGGTCAACCCAAAGAGCACCTCGGAGCTGCAGAGAGTGCTCCAGCCGAAAGATCAAATGTAACAAAATCATTCCCTGTGGCCCATGCATCAAAAGGGGGCAGGCTTCACGATGCAGCCGTGAAACCGTACTCGTACGAGGCGTTGTAACCATGTGAGTCAATATCATGTAAGGCTATTTCATTACAGTCAAGTTTCTCATCGTCTCGGGCCATCAGCGCGGAGGATCCAGGCCAGAGTACCGTTCCAGCAAGATTTCGGCTAGAAAATGAACACCTCTCCAATAACATCCAAGACTCAGATCGGACCATATCCATCACCGACCCCTTTTCGCCTCCATTTTCTGTCGAGATTGTTGAAGACCTGGAGAAGCTCATGAGAACTGCGTTGACAAATCGATTCGTCTCTCCAATCCATGACTGGAGTGATATCCATCTCCCTTCTCGTGTTCAAAGCCTCTATTTGATTCGGTGCGGCCGAATTTGGACGTCCTGGGTGCATTGTGCCGTTTTCCACCCTCATTTCGAAAAGCAGCACGAAAGGTTTTGGGAGACACTCGACTCCGGGGGACTGCTGCAGGACCAACCATCGGCCTGGTCCGCTATATACTTTGCGATGCTGGCAGTGAGTGCATGGAGTCAATTTGCCAGTACGATTTCGCTTACGGACGCCATAGGCTGCGCTTCTAACAAGGAATGAAGAAACCAGTACTGATATGTTTCCAAATGGTCTGTCACCGGCTGGCCCCGTCTTCTGAGGGCGTCGCGCACAACGGCGTACTAACTTCTCGATTATCTAGAAAATTTGTCAATGTTGCTTCGAAATTGGTACGCCTCCTCCTTGTATTGTCTGGAACAAAGCAACTATCTGAGGACCCACGACTATCAATTCGTGCAAGCCTTGGGAATCCTGCAAATGTGCTGCTGGGCCGTGGGGGATTTTCAATTTCGCTCTTTCTTGATCAGCCATGCAATACGGATTGGCAACGGGCTCGGTCTCCCGTTTCAGCAAGATGGCAAGAGAACAGTGCTGGAGTGTGAACTGTCTCGACGATTGTGGTGGACATTCATCATCTGTGAATGGTAAATGTAGCCTTCCTTCCACGAATCCTCATGCTGACTCAAAATCGTTAAAGGCTCTCGAATATTACGCACAGAGCAAGCATCACCCATGACGACTTCGATGTGACTCTCCCTCTACCTTTGGACGATGCAGATTTAGCCCTGGCATCGCCTCCCTTCGATCGTTCTCTGAACAAGATGTCCCCTTTCGTTTATCATGTAATATTATCACAAGCGTCCCTCGTCATGCACAGATTCTCACGCGATCTCCGTCGCTACCCGGACCTTCTCGAAAAACTTGTCAGAGATGCAGACGAGAAGTTGGCAGAGATTATCACGGCTTTACCAAATCATTTGCACCCCGACGCAGAGAGCTCGGTAGATCTTCAACTCGCAGAAAGCCAGTTTCCATGGGTCCACTGGCAGCGTATAGATCTTACCAGTCTGTTGCTCAATTGCCGAGTTCTGGTCACTCGACAGTGTCGGCGCAAGTGGTCCATGTCGCCAGAAATGGCTCACGGCCCACGCGCCGTGTGCCTGGAATCGGCGCGGATGATAATATCAATTTTGAGTCAGACAGCACTACCACTCCACCAGAGGCGATACTCGTAAGCACCACATACGTTTCTCACAAGGTTCAAGACGTATAACTAACATCTCCCAAGGTCATATACTTTAAGACTGTACAATGCCGGCCTGACTCTTCTCGTCGAGGGCCGTACATCGACCAGAATGCAAGATTCCGAATGGCAGCCATACGTTATCAAATGCATCGAACTCTTGGAGCAGGCTGTTGAGCTTAATATTGTGGCGCTAGCTGCCGTGGAGGCTTTGAGGAAGATGCAAGATGCCGAGACTTTTTCAGAGTCGTAGGTTGTCGACCGAACGACTCGGAAATACATTTTTCATGACCGTCGCCATAGGACAGGCCTTCAGCTTCAACGCTCGAACTCAAGAGACGTCATACAGAAGCCACGACCAAATCCTTCTGCTCCACCCGGCACCCGTGTCCGCTGAAATTACCCAAAAAGCAAGCTCGCGAGCTCAATGGCTAATGACATACATCACCAAAGGTTTGTTTTCCATTCCCATCACTCCAGGAGGACAGCTTCCGCCCCACCAGAAAATTCCCCCGGAAGAACGTGTTGAACACGCCCCAAAACCATATACAGCAGATCCATCAACCGAGGAATGTCGACGCTTCCTTTATCAGGCATCCAGCGCTTTACCTGTGTCCTGGTATACCTTCACTTTACGCCGCAGCCTAGCATGCTTAGTCGGCGAGCCCAAGCCTAGTGCTGGAGATGTCATTGCCCCTCTCTCTTCCAAAACGGCAAGCGACTGTCTGTCGGGGCGTGTCTGGAGGCGTGATTGAGTCTGCCTTCGCACAAATGTAGGACAACGCTTCAGAGTAGTTGAGTTCACACATTTATCGCGAGAAGGCCCGCCAGAGGCATGGCGTCCATGACATGATGCTGAAGAGCCAGCACTGCTTCTGATAGCTGGATCCTCGCCTTCATCATTGAGCCTCACTTTTACTTGAGGCTCATTGGACTTCTGGATCGGCGTCTTTGGTTCCTTCTGGATGTGTTCTTTGCTGATCCGGGCTGGGCAGGAAGCAGAATTCTCAGTAGCCTTTGGCGGCATCAGCATTCGTTCGGGGGTTGTCTGGATGCTGGAACTGCGGCGATGATGTCCCCTGCACAGATCCAGCATGGCCTCACGCTCGTTGTTGGAAACCGGCACGGGACTTTGATGGCTAGGAACCGGTTCACGGCGAGGTGCTGCCAGAGTTCTATCAGTTTCGAAGGCGGCAAGGATGTTATCCAAAGTGCTTCCGTTGAGCAGCGCAGCATGATAGATTTGCGAAGTACTTGCCGGGACGTCGAGCTGAGAATCCGGGGAGTCCGGGTTACAGAGTCTCAAGGGACCATCATGCTCACTTTGGACGTCAATGGCACTATCGGGGGCAGCGTCCGACAACGGAAGCGAGGAAGGCTGCATCGTGTTGGGATCTTCGGTAATGATCTTGCCCAGGGAGTAGAGGGTTTTGAATATTCTGAGCGGAGCACAGAATCCATCTCGAACGTTATGCCATGTTTCAACGATTGTGACACTGCCATCTCTTTTCCGACATCGGGTACACTGGGCCAGAGTTCGACCAGGATGCAGCAAGAAATTCCAGGTTGCTGGGTACCAAGGATCGTCGCGTACGGCCAGTTTGTGAGAAAGGTAAAGAAGAGGAAGTATGTAGAGTCGGAGGGTGAGTAAAAAGAGGAAAACTATATGTTGCAACAACCTGCGAACGGTCTCGTGGATTTCGTGGAAGAGGCTCGTGTCCTCTCTGGAGCTACTCAAACGACTCGATTCGGTGCCGTCAGCTGGCATCACGACTGCATTTCGATGCTGAGGTGAAGGCGACATGTTTCCCTTTGGGTTGTCGTGACCGCAGATAAGATGCTACGGACCAGATGGACGAGGAAAGGATGGACCATGAGACGCAATCTACGGGCATAAAGTCACATGCACAAACACAACAGAGAAAGTTTGCGCTTTGACCGAAGAACTGAAGATCAAAATAGAATGCAGAGAGCGCTTCAAAGCTGTGAGCACATATCTGACAGTTGATTGACACCAAACGGCCAAGGGAAGGTGAGTTACAACATTTGACAGGTGACCCCTGCATTCAGCCTTTGCATCATTGATTATTTGACTCTTTCCACACTTCTCGGTGGCAGGTATGCATTGAGAAGCACATACTGCTAGACCTGATTCTGAACTGAATGCAAGGCCTAGCCGGAGAAGCATGACTTGATCCTGTGTCATGGGTAGCCGAGGAGTATCGTACCCACCATGGAAATACCACATACGATATTTTAGTGATCAAACTTCTGAGAATTCGATTCCATTTCTGTTCTTACAGGAGGGATGGAGCAGTGCAGTTATTGCGTCCTTTCGTGAGAGAAGTCTGAGGGAAAGGGGCAAATGCGTATACGGCGGACCAGAGAAACCACAGACACCGTCTGCTGATCGACTGAAATGCAATCAACGTCGGACGTCTCTTTTTGGGGCTACGAGAAATCTTGCCTTGCCATCCCCATCGGCTACTACGCCATCTCTGCAGCCTCATCCATTGAGCTGATGTGGTAACTTTCAGGCACTTCGACTAATCACCCGCTCAATACCCATCACCGGACTGAAGAGGTGGCCACCACCCATTGGCCAGGCCTGTACGACATCCCAGAAGCCAGACCAAAAACTTGGGCCCTGATTCGTTTCCTGCCCAAGTCTTATTCCTACATCATATCACAGCTATTGGCTAAGTTACACCTTCCGAATGTGGACAATATACTCGAACCTTTGAAACGGGTTTCTCTTTTCTATTCCAGCAATCGGACATGGTTCCAGGACCCACTACCTTCGCCTGCAGACCCAAGAGCACAGCTCAACACAAGACCTGTCAACAGCCCAGGATCCAATCTCAACGTTCATTTGGCATCCTCTTGACAATTTGCGCCTTCCCTTCCCCCTAGGCTGCGACTTAGATTCGTCCATCGTACGATACATTGACCAGACTATGAGTATGCGCGACCGGGATTGAAGGCACTCCCTATGGTAAAGTCAATGACGAATGAGAGATAGTCGGCAGGTTTACGATGGTAGACACTTTTTCGATTGCGACTCCAGCGCCTCCCATACGGATGAAATCACATTTGGTTTTCGACGTTGCTACTTGGCTTATTCAGCATCACTAGCTACCTGGAAAGTAAGTGAACAGCACCCTCGTATCGCAGGAATAATTGCTAGTTCAGTTGGAACAGACCATGCTGACTCTTCTCAGTGGTTGTTCTATATCAAATATCGTCCTTGCAGCCGTCATGGCCCTAGTTTTCATCTTTTACCTACCCACCCACTCTCCACGACCGAAGGGAACAGTGCTGAACAAGCTTCGCCATATGGACTAGCTCGGCGTTGTCCTGATTGCCACGGCCTACACAACATAGTCAATGGTGTTGACATTTGGCGGATCGTAGTGGACGTGGGATGACCATCGCTTCCTTGTTGTGACCATCTTGTTTGGCCTCACTCCGCTTGGATTTATTGTCAGCCGGTATTTCACCATTCTGACCAACAAAGCACGCCGAGTTTCCCTAGGCAATTTCTGCGGCCTCGCTCACTGATCCTCATTTTCACCGCAACATCAACCTACAGTACATCACTCGTCATCCGCGCTTACTACCTTCTCGGTTTTCCAATTTGCCCAATCCGACTCCGCAATCATGGCAGCTATCTGCGTCCTCCTATTCATCTGTCTTACGATCACTTTTATCCTGCTCAATAGTGCTCTCATGCCAAGATTCGGCTACTCCGTGCCTTAGCATGTTTTCCACGGCATCTTCATGATCATGCGAGGAAGCTTAATGAATACATCGGCTCGGAGACCTCGTCTGGCAAGACCTATGTATGGCTACAGCGTCTTGCTCGCCATCGGCTGTGGTTCAGCACTTCAAAGTGAGTACAGCATTTATAGCGGCCCAAGATGAAGCCAGAGGAGGTTGCAGCTGCCATTGACTTTGTAAACATTGCCCAGATTGGCAGTATCGTCACCTCTCTAACGATTGCTAGAAGCGCCTTTCAAAGTCTGGCTTTCAACAATCTCCAGTCGGCTCTGGTATGGTACAACTTCAGCGAATCGGAGATAAGAAGTCCTCCTGCTGGTTGCCCAATCCGCGGTTTTCTAACGGGGTAGCGAGGATGTGAAGCAACAGGTCGTTCAGGCCTTCACACAAGCCGTGGACAACGTCTTCGTTCTCGCCACCACCGCAGGAGCAGTAACACCCGCGAGCGCGTTACTTACGAAAAGAGAGAAAGCTTTTCATGCAGAGTGTCGCCAGAGGCTAAAATAGCAGTTTTGGCGAGTCTGGGGTTATGCTCGAATCGCTTGAGAAGAAGTAAGCCGGAATGCCGACAGGCCGTGGACAGGGTCAAGGCTAGAGGACTTGTAACATCTTGGTTTTGTTTGACCAATGTAGACTCCAAAATAGACCATACAAGTTGTACGACATAGATAAAGTGATATCCGACCCCAATACTGCCTGGTCACTAGTATCGTGGGAATGGAAATACCCCCAATGGCCCACTTGTGCCTTTGCCACTGTCAGTGCCAGAACCTGTCATCAGTCCTTGGCAGGAGAGAAGGCTGCAAAATTCCTTCTGCCCGAGAATCTATCCCACGTTGACACTTTCTGGCCTTCACCGCTCAATTTCTGTCGGAATCCAAACTTCCAAAAAAGTCTTTTATATCGATCGACGTATTCAGAGGTTCACTCTTTTCTCACAAGTCACAATGTTGATCTTGTGTGGAGGGTAGCCAACATCATCACCTTGAATTCCAAAAAGACGACTACAGAGCGCAGGCAGCCCCATTTGTTTCACTGATCGGAACCATGTAATGATGATTCACAGGCATTGATCGACCAACTTGCGTCGGGAAAGAAAATCGAAACGCTTTGGAGCTAGCATCTCAAGCAACAAGGATTCAATCATGCTTCTTTCCGACAAATCCCCCGCTCGAAACATCAACAGGTTTCTTGGGGAACATCAAGAAGGAAGATTCCATGTCTCCAGTCTAGGAGATTGCATAAGAACCACACTATCGGTCCCAGGACTGTTCCTCACCCTCCTTGAGATGTGCGGTCACGTGAGGCTCACAGCCCGCCTGGCATGATATTCGGCATGTCATATACTAAACAGTCCGTGAGCGAATGGACGACAGAAGAATTGTCAAGCTTAATCAAAAGTGCGGGTTGCTTGGAAGAAACTTCCGTTGAAATGGTGCTTACCGACTCATGATGGCATCCTCATTGCAGACGCCACGCCGACGAGCAGTTCCTTCATTCGAATTTCCCATTGCTTGTCCAACGGAACACAAAAAGCCGGAACGCCCCTTTCGGTCTCGTAATTTCTTCGGAAGGAATCCACGGGCCTGATAGACACAGCCTCCCTTCACAAAGCGTGGGAGGGCAGATAGGAACCGTCGGGACCAGAAATACCCCCTGCATTCTGGAGATCTTAGGGAAACAGCATCTCCGAAGAGTCTGAATTGTGGCCCCTGTCTTGAGTTCAGGTCAGCTCCTTTCGACATGGATGTTGCGCGCCACATCGTTTCGAAGAAACCCACATTTCCAAAGTTCTCCTACAGCCGTCACGGTATTGCAGTCGGAATGTGGGCTTAGCCGTCGTCCCCACCCAGGGCAAGGATGATCTCTTTGGAAAAAAAAAAAAAAAAAAAAAAAAAAGAAATCCGACGTTGTCAATAGAGGCCGTGTACAACAGCCACGAGCTTTCGGGATTCGGAATTTTCCACCTGGAAACCTGTGTCGACAGAGAGTGAGTCTGAATGGTTCGATTTCCACGCGCGCTCTTGCGCTTACCTCTGCTCTATCAGTCATTTCCTTTCATCACCAAATTGCGACCCAAGAAAAGCACTTGATCAATTTTCCCCCAGAGCTTACCGTGCCCAGCGGCGCGGTCGGTCGGTATTTCCACTTGATACGAACCTGCCAAAGCTCGAAAAGGATAGATTGCAAAGGATCCAAGTCAATAGGATGTTGTTTCGTGGCAGGAACCTGACCGGGAGCCAAACCTACTGTGTAAGGGGTGGTCAAGTTATTTCCCCAGAAGCCCCGAAATGGACCCAACATTCCGTGTCCAGTCTCAAGGTAGAGTTTTGCCAGCCATGCCGCCTTGTAAGGTCAGGCGTTGGGCACTTCACTGAGTCAAGGGGGGGGGGCAATTCCTGGCATTTGGAGGAGACAACGGAGTGGCTGTCGGCTTAGAGCCACCCCCCTCCAACCCTGGCTACCTCTTGTGTCTAAATATGTTCCATTTTTCTGGAAGGCCTTCGACTGAGTGCAACCGAGCCAGTGATGGCAAGTATTAGTTGCTGAATCACATCCACCATCAAGTCAAGTCACATCCTGACTCAGAACCCCTAGGCTGGCCGCCCAGAAATCCTCTGGTTGCATTGAATTCGGCACAATACATCTCCTCTTGAGCCTCTCTTATGCAGAGCGCGCTACACCTGAAAGGACTGGGTTACAGTAAACAGCCTACGCAACATTTGTAGCCGCTCACCCTTTTTGCGGTCATCGCACGGGGGCGTAATTCAATGCTACGTCCACACCACCGCTTGGAAACTTCTCTAGCCAATGCACGCAGGCTTCCCCTCCTTGAATTACAGGTGAAAATACCATGCAAGTGCCCCAGTTTCCACTCAGCTTGATTCAGCTGTTCATGGGGGGTGTGAAATGTCTCATCCTTCTCAAATTCTAAGCCTTCCACTCTGTCACAGGCATACTGCCACATTCACCGCCGCAAAAGAGGAGACGTTGGGGAAACCAATCCCGAGATTCCTCGGTTGTTCAATGGATTGACGAAGAAAGAGCCGAACCACATGTATGGAAGCTGGCTCACCGAGAGAGTAATGAATGGGGGAAAAATTGTCAGCATCAATTTCAACAGCTTAGCATACCGCTTCTGGAATTTGTCGAATGAACCCCATCGAAGCATGCTGGCATCTCTTTGGGATAGCCTGACGGTCCAGGAGGCGGGGGTCATCCGACACAGATGTTCTAGCAATCATCTTACCCAAACTGACAACCGATCATAAGGAGAACCTCAGAGCCCTTCCATCCAACTTCTTCCTCACATTAGATTTGTCCACTCATTTTTGCCAGTGGCTCCACCAACCAAGCAGACTAACTACATGGCGCAGCGGGGGAAGATTTAGCCTTACAGGGTGTGTTGGTCGACTTCCAGGTCGACTTTCAAGTCGAGTTTCCTGTTGTTTCTTCCCAACTACCCTCATGTCATCCCCCGGCGGTAGGGATGGCTCCCTCGTCTGAGCCTCTTGCCTCTTGCATTCTGCAACGCGAACCTTCAATCGGCTCTGGCCTGTCATGTTTTATCGGTATTCGCAGCAGCACGATCTGTATCCGGTCTGCCGGACCCTTGGATGTGACTCGGACGCCATTCCAGCTGCCGAATCGTGATTTACTGCTTTTGCGTCTTTCTGGTATTGATACCGAACTCGCGTCCTGGCGATTCATAATTTTCGGACGCGGGTTTGGGTCCCAGCCAGTGAGCATTGCAATTGGTGCCTTGAATCCCGCCCTGTTGTCCTACGCCGCAGATGTATTGGGCACCACGTATGTTCAGGATGCTGTTCAGGATACTGTTCATTTATTTGTCCTTGAACATGGCATTTCTCTTCACCGCTTCTTTTACTGGAGATTCTTTGCTCTGTTGGCCTTGAATATAAGATTGCGGTGTGCCATCTACGAAAGATTCCTAAGCCATATTTCACTCCAATTCTTTCAACTCGTGACAATTCCTCACACAATTCCAATTTCTGACTATTCATCTTCAACTCTCCTTCTCCCTCTCTTTGAGATTCTTCTCCTGAGTGGCAAAGTTTCCTCTGTTTTGCCCTAGTCAGCATGTCTTCGCGACGATTTCAGGGATCTCAGGGAAGATCACGACCGTCTCCGACCAGAGCAGGTGTCAGAAAGCCACGATCTTCCACCTCCTCTATCGTTCTCAGACGCTTTTGTGACACACCAGGCTCTATGGATCATTTATATCTCGGAATCGATGCCTGCTGGTTCAACCGGCTCAGACAAGAACGATTGAATGCAAATATTGACGCCATTCTGGCCTTTTTGGAAGCTCTTCCGGTCCAGAGTTCCCGACTCGACCAAGAGGCAGAACTCGGTCCGTGTAGCACAATCTTCACAGTCGGAATCGAAGACTGACATGTCGCAGTTGCTGTTGGAAGTCAATTCGATCAATGTTGATGCGGCAGAAAATCTTCACGACGTCAAATGTCACCTCGCGTATCAACGCCACCCGTCTGTGCAGATGCAGCCCTTTGTTCTGGGAACTGCACTCACCGCATCCGTAAAGAGGAAGTCTTGTTACGGTACGGCCCGGCTGCCGGCTGCCGGCATGGGCCTGGCGGTCGGTCTTACGACGTGGTGGCTGGAGTGGTTTTCATAACCGCAGCTGGGTTTCTGCGCCCCATCACCTGTTTCTTTTGAATCATCACCCCCTTTCTCGTCTTCTTAAATTCGATTTCATCTCCCCGTGTTCATTTCTCAGTGCGGGTTATTCATTCTTGCAATGATAGGGCGGTGGGAATGTCGATGTGCCCTGGACACACTTCTTCGAATGGGCATGGTACAGGACTTAAGACAGCAAAGCTTCGATGCGAGTGGATAATAACGGGGGCGGACCAGCATTCCCCCCGAAGACCAGCGTCGTCGAGGGTCTAATTGTGGGGGTCGATGGCGCCAGTTAAGCGTTCCTATCCGTAAAAGTCAGCCGTTGTTTGAGTCAATCCGATTGCTTGGACGGAAGATGGACCTGAAGGGGGGCAAACGAGGGATTGCGAAGGTGATGTGAGTTGAGAGAAGGAGTCGATTGGAAGTAGGAAACATGGGGAATCTGGGTTTTCTGGATTACTGGTGACAGCACCAGGCCTTGGGATGCTGGGTTGCACCTGGCACTGCGGGGTTCAGGGGGGCACCCCCAGCAGGCGAAGACGGGCTTCATCTTTTTTAGTATGCCAATGCTTGAATTGAACACTTATCTGCATACTATTCAGTTGCCGCCCTGGACAGGAAAGGACAAGCAAGACCTGCCTTCTTCAGCCCTTTATTTTTTTTTTTTTTTTTGGCAGCCTATCGTTTCAATTCTTTTGCTGGCCCGACTACAGTAACAGCCAAATGTTGCCATGGATCCTGATGTGACCGGAGTCTTCTAGGCTTCATGATAACCTTCAAATTCTCCGTCCGGCCCATTTGGCTGCTCAACTCGGTCTCTCATTCAGTTACCACTCCCTTCCCTTTTCCCTTTTTGTGCATCACATGGACGACAAAATCAACCTGTGGCTGGCACCGGTTGCACGAAGATGGCAGGGACAGACTTGTGGTGCAATATTGGCTTCTCTCGTATCACGTCGGAACAGTAAGGGTACAAGACTGAATGGCTCGGAGTTACATGGGTGACATGGGGATACATTCTGTGGACCTCAACACCTTAGCATAGCTACCACCCTTCTCCTCCATACGAGCGAGATAAACCGTGGGCCGTGGCCCATCACGCGGAAGGCTACAAGCTCAAATTGATACCCGAGGACGGGTAAACGGAGTGCGTGCTGGTACTTCATTTATTACTCGTTGGAAGCCTCTGAAGGAGAGGCCATCACCGACGGAGATTTTGCCCTCACGGTCATAGACACAGCCACATCGATCAGTCGGTCGGCATGGCTCGGTTCCGATTTGAGGGCTAGACGTACTTCTCTCACATGGCTACTCAATTGCTCAAAAAGGAATAACGAAGACTCATAATTCGAAACGTTCGGCAACGTGCCATGATCCCCGTGGCTTCATACAGGAGCCATGCATCGTCACTAATTATTTTTGTCGTAATAAGACACTCCTCACAGCGTTTTGCCGTAAACTAAGCAGCTCCTCATGGAAAACCCTTGGGACTGCTGGGAGCATCTGGGATGTCGGCAAGCTCACGGAAGGCGTGATATCTGGCCAGAGCGATCATCATGGAGATTGATAAGACCAACCTCAAAAGTCCCATAAGCCCGTATCTAAGACTCGAGCCGCCAGAGGGCTAGTACAACTTAGACGAACTGCGGACTCCTCCCGAAATGTGCCTTACCGAGTTCACATTTCAGGTTTAGTCTCATGGTTGCGTCAACGCGCGGGTTGAGCAAACCTCGTATCCAGCATCACCACATCTAAGGTGTATTCGTGTTGGGCTGGCGAATGCCCCTGTTCTCGGTGTCATCGACCACTGGCTAACTCACCAAATTTCGTCAACCAGCAAACCGTGATTTGAGCCAGGAAACAGGGGGATAACCTACTTGACGCAACGGAGTATTCCCCGTTGCCGATCAAACTGTAGGTTGCCCGCATTGTTCACGGTCATCGGCCCTCAAATGGATCAACGAACCGGAGAGATGAGCTGGTCACACAAAGCCAGCATTGAACTTCTTTCTGGCGGAATTTTGTTCCCCGATGCGTCTGAGCCAGCCACCGAGCAACGTTTTCCGCAGCATAGAGTCCGACCCGGCTCCTTGGGACTGGCGGCATCGGGGAAGCAACCTTAGCTCTTCCTAGAGCCTTGTCGTTCTGTTTCGACGTCGCATTTTACCCGTGTCACCGAATCTTACTGAGTCTCGGATCAGGATACCGACGGGGCTAGCAGCCAAATCCTATCCATCCTTGTTCGTCCTCCTAGCCTGTCCGCTGGGTCATCATTGACTTCGTTGCAACTTGCTCTTCTTGCGTAATTAAACGTTGTGACCTATTCTGGACACCCCTGGAAGCGCATAAGCGCCCAGTCTTGCAGCTTTTCGCAAGCAAAAGCAAATTCCGCGACTGAGCCGAATACTATTTCAAGTCACAATATACAATCTCTTGGTGGAGGGACGTCCCCTTCCCGTTTCGGAAATGACCAGGATATGCAGAACACCCCTACCACCGCGACATGAGGTTAGTAAGTTATATCAAGTGTGTCTACGAGTCTTGAAAACTTTTCCGGTCGCTTACATGCACGTAATGGAAATCAAAATGTCCGCAGCCCGGAGTCGGCAAACCATGAAACCGCGCGGTCCTTTGGGGTATCGGCCAGAATGAGAGAAGAACTGTGAGGAGTTGTTGCTAGCACTCTCTTGCATCGACAAGGGTTCGCTTGTATCTCTTTTCACCAAAAGTCCCTCGAGCTATCTGCTTGACGTCTGACCAGCAGTACACTGGCGTCCCGGAAGTCGGCCGTCTGTATTTCTCCATGCATCAAGCTGCATATTCCAATTTCCTACCCTCGTCTCCCGGACGTTAGCCAAGTGATCCTTGTGCAGACGCTCATGCGAGGTTGAGAAGGGCATCCTGTTTACCATCCCATTTAGTGCACTATCCTGAAAGGAGCGTGGGACTGTAGATCCCCGTTCGAGGGGTATTTGCTTCCTCTCTTTACTCTTTTTCATTTCAGCGCATATAAAGAGGCTGGTCTTCTGGTTTGTTCACTAGGCTTCCTCATTCGAGTTCGGGAACACACAGCTTCATCACAAGCACTCAGATTAAACGGTCACCCATAATTCTCGGACCTGTTTCCCCCTCTTATAACCCAAGATGGCTAAATCAAACGCAGTTCTTGACATATCCTTTGATTCGTCCAATTCCAAGAAGAAAATATCTTTGAACACAACTAAGGCCATCCATGAAGCCGACAGCCAGAACAAAATCAGGGACGACTTCAATTTGATTGTTGCGGCTCTGGATGATCCCGTTGGCAAAATGGACAAGATCGAGGACTTGGTGCAGTCGGTTGAACCAGACCTTGGTGAGTTCATTGGTCTGGGGTCCTCATAAGAATGTCCACTCAAGCTTGACAGCATGTATCGGTTCCCAGTTCGATATGAGAACTTCCTTGACTATGTCCACCATCTCCAGTGACCAGAAAAAGAGAGCCACAGCGGCCAAGCTGTGATACACAGCCTGGAGAACAATCTTGTGAACGGAACAAGACCAAAACGGGAAAGGGAAAACTTTTAGCGGGGATTCGGACTTGGGTTAGTATCTGGATCAAGCTCGGCATTGCATCTCACAGGTCGAGACTCGGTTGTTTGCTTTCTCAAGGTCGTAGAAGATTAAGCATGCAAATCTGTTTCTTCCCTGGAAGTTTTAGCGTCTTTACCACGACGCACCTGTCACTTTGTGAGGTTTGAGACGAAATGGCTGCAATGATTGAGAGATGACTCTATAATGTATCCGGCACAACAGTGCATGTTGGCGCCGGAAACGAGTAGGGCATTTATCCCCGCACGTCATGAATGAGAGATGGGTATATGCATGAACGTGGCCCAGGGGAAACGAATTACCGATTCCCACAATTGAATCTTTGACTTTTGAGAGTGACGCTGGATGATGGATGATCTCCTTCGCATGGGTTCAAGTCGTATTCTGATGGCGCACATGCAATTCATTTCGGCTCCGTACAGACAACAAGTTCAATGGCAGTGGTTTTGCCGTTCAATGTTCCAGACAAGAGGACTATGCAGGGAGGTCAGTACCGAGCAATTCAACGTCCTAACTAGTAGGAGTATGATTGAAGACGAAGTTGACTATACAGTGATACTCGGTGCCGAGCGTGGATATGTAGACATCATCGTTCCGTTGGCTTTTCCAGTCCAATGGAGACACTAGAGTTAATCACGTGATCCAGCCTTGCCGGCGAGGCTTCTTGTTCGGTATTCCTTCTTTACTTTGTCAGTAGCTGGCCATATCTTTCCTGTTGGCCTCACAGAAGGTCGGTTCTGAAACCGTGGAGACGAATGTCAGAGGCGAGGCAGGGGATGAAGAACCAGAAACTGGGTATGGGGATCGCGGGAACGACAATCACGCGGCAGCGCTAGTTCCCAATACAACGCAAACAAATCGAGGTACCAAAACGTCAAGATTGAAACACTCACATCAACTCGCGACTTGAATGACTTCTATCAGTCCCCTCTGCAATTGTATAGGCATTCCCGGTGTGGCAAAGCCGACCATGCCGATCTCCTACTCCTGAGGCCTCTCCGAAAGTCAACAACGAGATCTCCGACCTGACAGCTTCTACAGCACCTCCAGCACAAGGAGAAGGTAGAGGGAAGAGGAGATGCAATCACACGGCGAGATAAAACGAGGCAAAGAAGCAAGGACTCATACAAGAATGACAAGGCGCTCGCAGGACTCAGGGGCCCCACAGACAGGCTACACGGGCGACAGAGAAGGCCTGACATGCAACAACATCAAAATTGTGTGCATAAATGCTTCCAAAGCGAGTACAAGTGGCCCTGTCGAAAGGCCTCAACGATGCCATTCAAAAGGGCACCAAGAAGAGTCAACTATGCAAGAAAGGCAAAGTGGGTAGAAAGGTACCTGAAACCTACCTATTTTACTAGGGATTTGAGGTACCTCGCCATCTTGCGGACAAGTCCTCGCACAACTAGGTTCAATTTATGTTTAGCAGGTCGCTGTGGTACGAAGGTCACTGCCAGGGTCTCTGGCTTAGGACATTCCCGAATCGTGTGGCTCGCAGAGAAATGGTTGTTCGTTGGGTTGACGCATTTTAGCCTCATGTTTGGGTGCCCACCGTATCGTTTATGAGAGGAGGTATTTTCTCGAAAGATTGAGGAACAGACCACACAGCGTACGCCGCTTCTGTTGAGTTGGGTCGGCATTCGACACGCTAGAGTCAGAATTCAGTTTCCTTGAGAAAGAAGGAGTCATTCATAACCTCTTCAGATGGCCGGCCGATATGATCTGAAGTCATTCTTTTCACCACCCTGGACAACCAGGATGAACCCTGCGATCGGGGGTTCCAAGCACTGCAAGTACCCTCCCATCCCGCCCCGTGACCATCATGCCCCTTGCCACCGACACCCTTGCACTCCCGAAGGCATTCCCGACGATTGTTGGCATGATAGCGAAGAAACCTCCTCTGCCCATGGCATGTATGATCACGAATACAATGAATGGAGCAACCGAGGTCGAGACAGGCCACAGAGCCAGCATGTTGATTGCACCGACGTATCAGAGAAAGGAAGAGACTGTTGACCGGCCCGAGTTTGTCGCCTATCAAACCGCGAAGGACTCGGTCTAGAGTAAATGAGAAGTTGAGTCTAGCCACCAGAGCAGCACTCATCTGAGCTGATCGGCAGATCGATCGATCGAGAGCGTATGGTGGAAGGAAGAACGGAGGAACTAAAAAGGGGCAATGTGGCTTCCAAAGTCAGTCGGTCTGAAATACAGAAGGGGCTTAAGGACAAAGTCTTCTCAATGGTACCAGCAATGAAGAGAAACCACGAACTTGGAGTCCCGAAACAGTCGCCTGGAGGTCCATACTGTGCTAAGTCTTTCGACATTGGCTGGCATGAAGAGACAGATGATGGCGCTACCGAGACCACCGCCAGCGAAAAAGAGGTCATTGGCCAGACCCGACTACGGCAAAAGTATTGCGCTGATGTGATGGATACAACCTGTCGATGCCCGTTAATACACATGATGACATTGTTCACCAGCGGGAAGGCCAGACTATAAAGTAACAACTGGGGGAACAAAATCGTGAGGTCAGCAAGCGCACTTTTATAGACAAGGCTGAGAATTCGAGCAAATCGGACTCACCTGACACCACAGTCCATGGCCAAACCCTCTGTGATGAACAGCCCATCAACACTTTTCACAGCACAACCGCTCAAAATCTGCCCAACACTCATCAAGTCAGTGCCAAAGAAAGCGACATTCCTCACCTCGAAAGCCCGGAGCAGCCTCCCGTCCAAGACGGTGAAAGTGGCGTTGGACACGATAGCTAGAAGATCCAATAAAGACGAGTGTTGATATCTTAGGGAACCCGGTTATACTAATGCGTCTTGAATAACTCCCCAGCGGTACGTCGTTCCGACAACCCAGAAGGTGATGGCCCTGTCCACTGCGACGATGACTCACCCATAGCCTCCATCCAGAGTACCTTGGTTACCGATACGCGATGCCTCGACAATATTGTCAGCCGCAAGCTGGTTGATCGAGGTATTCCGACCGCGAGCTCGTTCGTTGGCGTGTGGCCTGGTAGCCGAAGCAGTTAGGTGAATGTAACTCGTGCTCGAGGATGAGTGGGATTTTGTCTGTGTCAATGACATATTGGCCGTGTAGTCCGCAGAGGACACAAGAGTCAAGCAGAGGCTTTTTGGCTTGACACGAGGATGGATGGCCAGGAAAAAAAAAAAAAAAAAAAAATTCTTTCAATGATCGAGTCCAGGTGATATAAGAGAAGACAAATTGTGCCGAATGGGTTAGAAGATTACCACCTTCCTCCCCTGTAGGTACGAGTAATATATCTAGAAGACCGAGACGCGCCGCTGATATTTGCCTCGTGTTAGCAGTGAAATCCTACAAACTCAAAAGGGGGCGGGTCCGAAGTAGTGTCGTGACTGCTCTTCTTTTCGTCTGAAGTCCTAACTCCGATGTCAGGACGAAATTGAACACGACGTTTGGGGAATTCTCGGATTTCAATCAGGGATGAAATCTTACGTCCTTTGGCACCCGTGGACCTTTTCAACGGCTCTACAAAAGTTTTGCGCCGTGTACATTAATGTTTCACCGTACTAACAAAGGCTCATATGCTTTGCCGTATCAGCCCCTGAAAATTCTCAGCCGCATTCCATGCAGGGGTCAGGACTGTGAGTGCTACATACAATATCAATGTATTCCGTGGTCCGGCGTGGGTTTCTCGATGGAAGGCCGGTGGAGTAACTTGGTTCTCCTGCCAATTTCACCCTTGGGGCATACAGGATTTTGAGCAACGGGTCCGAGCTTGCGTTCCGCGAGAGTGGAGCATCCTTCCTGACTGCAGAGTCGTCTTCGTTTCACCTCCCGACCTTTAAACTGATGTCTCGAAGTATGAACTGTTTGAATACGTGCACTGCGCTACGAGGTAACATCACAGATCATGGGGCAAGTTATCCACAAGCTGTCTCCACCGCCAGTATCGACGTGAATGCTGACAAGCAGGAGGTTCAATCATTATTGGAAATCCACGACAAGCGGCGCTGGAGAGTCGCTGGGCCCCAACTCGCAGCCGATTCACGCTTAATCATTGAACCAGCAGACATAAACCTGATCAGTGATATGATCAAGGACATTAAACCAGGCAGGACTAATCTCCGCCCAGACGGTGTTGTGGTACGCGCCATATTGATTGGCGCGAAACAATTGGTCAAAGAAGGTTTTGCTGTCCCGTAACACTCACTCCAACTGTGAAGAGTGACGAACTAACTGAGGATAATAATTAGAGCCTCCTGTGGAAGTGGGGACAAAGATGTCGGACGGCAGCAGGCAAGACATATAGTGGACATCCTGTGACCGGGCGAGCCCGTTGAGAGCCCTTGTCTCGATTGTGACATTGCCTAGTCTTGTCCGCCCTACCTACTCGGATGATGAAGATTACGTTCCGAATCCTGATCTCGACGATTTCTGGCAAGCAGACATGGACCAGAGGAAGTTTAATCACACACTTCTAGAACAAGGTCAGAGCGAGTCAAAGGAAACATCCGCAAATGAAGCAGCAGCTCTAAAACTGCGGCCCAGACCACAGAAACCATCAACACTGTCATATCAGGGCGGGGAGACCCTGGCGTCACATGCGATTGCTTGACACTCGGAGGAATTGCATCGTGAGCACCCTGGTTGACTGTTTTTGTTGCCTTGAGCTACGCCTGGGGTGATGCTCAGCAGTCGCGGCTTCTCAAAAACCACATGGAAAACCCTCAGGCGTGATGGTAGCTTCCAAGACCCTGACATTCGGCGGGGCAAATCAATCTCGGATGCCATCCAGCACTGCGAGAAATTGGGAGAGCGAAATCGCTCGGTTGATGCTCTGTGCATTGTCCAAGACGATACCCCAGACAAACTATTCCAGTTGAACCGGACGCATGATGTGTGCGGCACTGCCACCCTGACCGTTGTGGCTGCGTGTGACGATGATGGCCTTGAGATGTACCCGACCTCAGCAGATGAATGTACGGCAGCTCTATCATTATCGCCTTAAGAGTGGTTCCGAGAACTCACGAGGCTGCGCTTTTCAGGAAATCCTTTCCCGGTATGCTCTGATCTTCACTATCTCTGGCATCTTCTTCCACTGCTGTAGCAGCATATCCGGTCAGAGTTAGCGTTTCCAAACGCCTCTCCACCTTCAAACTTATGTCTGACCGACCGGTGCCCTCTTCAAACTCATTTTAGGGCCAACAGCTCTCATTCTACCTGACTACTGTCTCGCACTTCTCCCGCCGTACACTTACATCCCCTTTGACGCGGGGGACGTCATGGAAGGCATCCTCGGCACCTTTCGGCCGCTCCATGGATAACCGACCCAATAGCTTCTACCACGGCGTGCCTATTTGTGTGTTTGACTTCGCTTTATGCTGGCGCCCACCTTGCGCCATCCAGACGAACATCCCGAGGAATTTTTCTGGTCATGGGAATGCTGGGCTTAAAAAGATTTCTTCCCAGACGACCTGTTCTCAGGTACAAGTTGAGAAGCTTCAACACTATTGGTTGTTTCCCTTCCTATTTAAGCGAGATACTAGTTCGGAAAATATAAACCCTCTGCCTCCGTGGAAGGCCACTCTAGCCTGTTGTCCACCCAAGTAGATATAGTCGCCTTCTACGAGGATGACGGAGATGCTTATTGGCTTTTGAATGGTAAACGAGGTAGTTAGAAGCGAAGCGGAGGAGAAGAGAAGAGCGGGGCAAAGCCTCAGGTTGCCAGAGCCAATTGCTGTTGTGTAACGTGAGGCTGTGAATAAAATCCGTCTTCCCCGCTTGACCCTCTCACTGCTACTCTTCAGAAGAAAAGAGATATTCGGAATCATTAATCGGCCGTTGCTTCTCGTCGACAAGGATGCGGATCTCGAAGGACAGCTCAACCTCATCCTATTCATGAAAAATGGATTCTCGAACTAAGCTTCTCTTGTTCTGCTTGATACCGGTAAGCGTCGATTCACTCAGCCTGATGGGTGGTATATGATTCGAGAGCAGCTTCAGCCTTAGTCTCCCTGGCCGGACGAGCTCTGACATCTACCACAGATTGCAATCATTTCAATCACTCTTTCAGCGTAGGCGTACCGCCGCTAGGAATGTCTTGATTGAATTTGCTGACCTTTTCTCAGCATTGCATGGTCAAAAATTGTTACTCTCTCATTGCCCGCTCCGCTCTCCCTGCCGGTGTTCAACACATTGATCCCGATCGTGGCGCCCATCCTTACTCCATTGGCGGCCAGATTCGCTATTGGAGCCCGAAAGACTGCGGCCACTCTGCTCCTACCATATCTCCGAGAACTATGGATGTCCATTCCCCTGATCCTCTTCGTCCTGGCAACGGTCTACGCCGCACCCTCGGACCTATTGTCTTGTGGAATGCAGACACGGTGGGGCCATCTGTTTCAAAACAAAGATGAGCAAGGTATTCGCGCTATACAGACAGCATTATGCTGTTGTGGCTTCAACTCTCTGCATGATCGGGCATGGCCGTTCCCGAGTCGAGATGTGGACGCCGGCGCCTGTGAGAGGACACAAGGGTACACGATCAGATGTGCGGATCCGTGGCAGAGGCAGGAGTCGACGGCAGCGGCGCTGACGGCGTTGTCGAGTGTGCTGAATTGGATTTTGCTGGTGAGTCCCGGTCACAGTGAATGTGTAGAAAGGGGTAGCTGACCTTCGACAGCATGTCGTCGAGATGCTGGTGCAGCAGAATCGGCGTACAGCATCTTTTCCAGCCATCTCTGGGGCAGCGACGGATCAAACACGGCTAATCGGAACCGAAGGGGATGAAGAAGATAGGGGGGAAAATCTTCATCAGACTTATTCGGGAGCGGAATAATTGGTTCGGTGGGTCATTAAGTGCCTATGATTGGGGATTGCTGAAAGAGGCCCTAGGAGAAAGTCCATCGTGAGGGACTTGCGCCGACCGGTATGATGGGATGCACAGAGAAGTGCGATGGATGCTAGTAAGGCCAGGGGGGGTGTTGTTGTCCTCTTCTATTTATCGGAATATAGCTTCCCTCATCCAGACGTGATTGTACATGTATGACCACTTTCATCTTTTATACGTGGAATGATTTGTTCTGTCCCGCTCCGGCATCGTCCAGAAAACTGGGAATTCTGCTGTTGAAGGCGTCTCCAAGGCTCCCCTTCGCGACATCCAAGAACTCATACCCAGGCAGCGGATGATCCGGATCGAAGTGGAAAATAGAACTCTAAACCTCGAGCACACGCGATAGGTAACATTTTGGTTCACACAGCTATCTGATGGTTCCTTATCCATTACAGACGATGATGGGCCTTCTGTGTCAAGGCCGGTTTGGAGCGAAGATGGCTCGCTAAACTCGGTTGTCGTAGTCGCAGATGGCGCCGACTCTTGCCGATGCTGCTACTGCTCTTTTTCGTCTTTTTGTTGTTGCTTTCTGTGTTGGTATCGCTGAATTTTGATCCGGCTGTGGTTCTTGCCACTTATCGGAGCATCCATCTCACGGTTTTTGACATTCTTGCCGATGTCCCAAAGATGTATTCGTCTTTTATATTGCTTCTCTGTGGCGACGGTACCTTTGTACGACCACATGGACTTTGTTCATTCATAAGGTTTGCTTATGGGTGAATCAACTTGTTGGACTCAGTCGTGTATGAATTGTTTTGCCCATTTTTGAACCTTTCGTAGAGCCAAGTGGATTTGATGGGAACGATCGAGTCGCATTTCTCGAGATCGTGGATAAGAAAACGTAAAGAACAACACAAAGTCCTAGAGGTTCAGAATTGGACTTCTGCAGGTCTTTAAGTCATCCTTATTTCTCACAAGTAGAAATCATGAGTAGCAGAGATGTTACCTTCACGAATCGTGCAACTTTTGCCCTTACAAGGCTGAAGTGGGCCAGGGCTTGGAAGACACATGCAAACTCTTTTTAGGGGTCAGGATTAGCGCATGAACCAAACGTGCTGTGTCCGATCCGGCAAGCCTGCTACCGAGGATCCCCAACCTACTTGGATCAAGTCCTAGTTCTCAAGGGCTTTGGTTCTCTGCACGTTGAAGATAATACTCAGGGAAATTATAGTGATGCGGCCGTGGGGGATTCCTCGGCATCATGAAAGAGCCGTAAAGTTAAAGTTGAAATGCCTCGTTTTTCAATTTCGACGTTTGGAATGAAAATCTTGGAGCATTTCACTCCTGCCACCGGGTTATGGTAGATATCTGCGGCTTCCAAGTATACAACAACATCCCAGAAATGACCATCAAATGCCTGGGAATAAGGTCACAGGTCGATTATCCACTGAAGATATCCTGTCTTCCAGACGATTAACATTGCTGTTATGTTCTTGAATCATGTACATCTCGAGGGTTGATGCTGCCGCAAAGTGTCTCGGATTTCAGCGGTATCTTCATATTTTCGGATGGTTCTTTCCAATATTGAACCGTCGACGCTTGCCTGGATCTTCATCTCTTGCAGGAATTCATCAACGAAGTGGCGATCGCAAGTTGACAGGGCCCAAGACATTTCCGCATTCGATGATATCGGCGTATATAGATAATCATCTCGGATCTTGAGTTTATGCTCGACATTCCTCTGGGTCATCGACAAAAGGACTAGGGAAGCTGTGACTGAGATTTGTGAGAGGATACTTAGGACCGTCATGACAACTGAGAGCATCGTCTGTGCTGGAGACGGTGCGACTAGACCCTTGTCATGGAGCAGGAATATTGCCGATCCCGTGCGGGACAGCACCTCCACCATTAGTTCAGGGACCGGATCGAGCAGAAAAAGGCTGCTATAGACGGAATCCGGATCGCTGTGTCGGTCCAATTGCAAGATGAGGCTGAGAGCATTCACCACGCCCTGGCAAGCGTAATGACGTGACAAGAACGGATTCCTTAAGGATTCGGGTACCGCTTCGATTTTATCGAGGATATCGGCTAGAATTAAGGACCCGAGATGGTAATGTGCCATCAGTAGCACTGGGGGCTGGTCAATGATTTGCGTAGGTTTCGAACAACGTCCGGGAGGCTCCTACCGTAGTTCAACTGACTTCTTTTAGGCATGGTCAAATAATCCCGCGCACATATGGATAACAGATCGTCAAACACGTCGTGAAAACGAGCAGACTCGTCTATAATCCTCTGAGCGGCCTCCTCCACGGTGTCGGAAACATTATGATGAAATAAAGCGTCACAGAACCGATTGATGACGCTCAGATACATGGTTTTGCAAGCCGAAGCATGTTGCAGCAGGATGGTAACGACTCGGGGGTCAAGGGGGATTTGAGATCCGTGCAGGGTTCGGAAGGAGTTATCAAAGATCACGGTGCGTTGTCGAATGAAGTTCCATACCTTTCTGTCTCCGAACTCGCAGGGGAGCAAGAGGGATGGAGACTGCCACATCAGTGACATACGGGTGTCGTTCATAACACCCAGCCAGAATATTGTATCTTGCATGTGTTGGCGTTTCTCGGCATCGAGATCTGTGATCTGCGAAGAGACTGGATAGGTAATTCCTAGTGCTGACAATGGAAGAACCATCGTATGTCGAGCAAGAGGGCGCAGGCCCGGGGATTCATGAACCGATTGAAGGAAGTTGAGGTGCGATAAGACCATCCGAGAGCAGAGATCATTGAATCCTTGATCATCATTGTCGAGGGGCATCTCGGTGAGTGACACGAGGAGAAGCGCCAGGACGGCCCGATAGCTTGGGCGCGACATGGCCGAGAACATCGACGTACGAGCTCTCCTCCACAAGTGATCTCTCACATCTTGCTCCACTCGTTTGGCATCAGTCGCATCGCTTCCTGCTGAATCTTGAATCGCGCTCCGCAATGGCAGCCAGCGAGCAGAGTAGGCGTATATCGCATTCATCAGGGCTTCGTTCAACAACCTGTTATCGTTGGCCCTGATTTCTGAGTGGGAAGGGATATTGTCTTCGCGATGTGCCGCATGGAGTGGCGATAATGAATTGGACGTATTGGAATAGTTGTCGAGCTTCACGACGATCCGAGAGATCATGGCTTCCTTTCGCTGTGATGTTGTCCAGTGACGTCAGCCATCTTGTTCTGTACCCGTGCTGAGAAAAGAGACCTGATGCATACAACCGTTAGCTCCACATATGGGCAACAGCTTTCGCCAATCCACATTGCGAATCGGGATTCGAATATGGAAACAAATATATCCCACAGCATGTGGTGGAGTGCCATGGCTTGATGCCGTCGACATGCCCTGTCCCCTACGCCGAGCGAAGACAGCTCCCCGGACGTGGCCGACCTGTGAGTGCTCGCTGGTCTCGCCATATCCGGATGAGATTGCTTTTCCGTGGTTGGAGATGGGGTTGGTATTGACGCATGATCATTCTCATTTTCAGGCTCGCGACCTCGACCGACGACACTCTGAGAGGTGTCTCGCCGGTCCTTTTGACACGCACAGTTATTTAGAGCAATTTCCGGATGAGAACAGGACACGGGTGAGGGAGATCAGCGCACCTGGGCAGTGCAAAGCTTTTGCCGACGCACACAATTCGAACAAGGGTCACCTTTTGTCATAACGGCGTCACAGCCGATTTTGGCTCGACGGCAGGGTTTGCAGCTGGTCGCTAAACGCTGTCCTCTCATGTCGAGTCATCGGGCCAATTTGAGATGATTCTCCTTTGCTTATGACACACGCTCTGTGAAGCGGATGGTAAGCATCAGCGTAGAGATAATCAAGTGATCGATAATGTACAGTAGTGTGGATGGAGAATTCGGGCCCCCCCAAGTACGTGATAAATCGACACCGTCTAGGACGTCAAAGTTTGTAAATACCTCTGACGACTGGTTTACGACGCGTACAACGACCCGAAAACTAATGCAGTCTGACGATCCCCGTGACCCTTTGATACAGTTCTTGTGGTAAATGGGCGACACCAAGGCTTGTAAAGACTCTGGGACGAGCTGTACGCTTCGTACACGCTTCGAAACTATATAGTCTGACGATCCCTTGAAGCCCGTGACATTCTTCACGCTGCAAGGTCCGATCACGTGTATGCGTTCATTAAAGGATAAACTTGTTGCGGCCTATTGGCCCACCCAACAATACCCCAGTTTGCTTGGTTTGGTTGTCTGCCATTCCGAAGTGTCATGTCGGTTTGGGTCGAGATCCTGGTTTCGAGAGCCACAGGGCGATTCACTTCATTGAAGCTCGGTCACCTCGGCTCTCTTCATCTTCAGGACTCTTTCCAGTGGATTTCCCAACCATAGGAAGTCGAGGAAGCCGTATAACTCGAAGATCTGGTACCGGCAATTTGAACTCCCAGCACATATGTCTAGCCCAAAGCACCATATCTCGTGGAAAGAAAAGTCGATCTGACTGGATCAGATGAATCACAAACGCCATAGCGCCAAAAGCCAATAATATACACAGAAATGATCTGAAGTTCAGGGGTATGGGTATGACTCTGTCATTCATCGAAAAGATCCCCGCCGCCAGTGCTATCGGGGAGATGAATAGCATCGTGGTCACTGATAAGTGCCCCACCTGAATTGTTTCGGTGTTGAGGTGGACTTCAAGGGCCTTGGTGATATTGTCCGCCTTGTCGGCCATGGACTCGAGTGTTTTTTTCCGTAATCTCAATTCATTCAGGATGGACCTGATGGGGTTGAGCAAAGGACGCCGATCCGTTGATTCAGAAGCGCTCTGGAAATCGAGTGCTGGCTGACGGCAAAACTCCTCACAGGAATCGACAGTATTGGAGAGATCAAATAATAACTTCTTCGAGAGCAATTGCACCTTCGTAACGAAGTCTCGAGATTTGGACAAGCATGGTCTTCTCGAGCCGGATAGGAGGATCTGTTCCTGTTCCCGGATACCGGTGTTCAGTTTGTCCACCACTTGCGTCCATTCATTCTGAATTTGCTCAAGACGATATCTCATGACGGTGAGGAAATATTCTCTGGGATTTTGAAAATTTCCGTCTGCGAGAGTCAAGCCCCGTGTCAACGGGTCCTGAGTTATCCCCTGGTCCACCGAACCGGTTTTGTAGTATGAGGATACCGTTTCGCGATCATGCTCGGCGTCGAAGTACGTGTCGACAAAGCAGTACGCAATCCATGTCCATTCGTCGGACCCCGCAACGACGCAAGAGATTTGGGCCTCATACAGGAACGTGGGCAGTTCAGAGTGCTTCGATTCGAGAAATGAGATGTCGGTATGCCCCCTCAAAGGGTTCCCATTGCCATACATGCGAGGGTCATTTCGGGGCTCCTTCGAAACCCTCAAGGCGTAGTAGGGCAAGTAGAAGGCCAACCGGAACATGAAGTGGCCGTCAGGAGGGATGTCAAAGCCAAAAGACGGTTCAAATACCAGGTGTTTGTAGATTGCAGCCTGAAGGTGGGGGATTTGGTTTTTGGACGCTGTCCCGATGAGGGCCAGGATGCTCCATGGATCTAGGTCGGTGATGAATATCCATCGTCGTTCTGCATCGGGTTCCTCCTGGTGTATCTCGCTCGAGCTGGTCCGTTCGGAGTCTAGGCCTCTTAGTTCCCAAGTGGGGCAAGTCGAAGGGCTGGATGAACGATTGGGTCCCAAGAGCCGAAAGCGCTGGTAATGTCAGTACGTTTTCCGCCCCATTGTGGTCGAGGAGCAAGCTTACTGGTTCTCTCAAACACTTGTAAAGCCCATTTGCCGTCAACGGCCCCTTGTCAGACCTTGCACCTCGACAGCCTCTCTCATGTAACCATGCAACGGCCGGCAAGGCTGGTCCTCTACTCCCGGATCGGAGAGTCGTTAGGCTCGCGTTGGGGACCCCTTGGCAAAAGTCCTCCACTTTAGTTGCCTGCGGCAGGCAACCACCAGGCCCTTGGCCGTATCGCATCACTTTTCCGATGTCACTTCCCTCTTCATCGGGCTCTCGTTGACCTTCTTCCTGAATCTCCTCTTCGACTAGGTCGCTGTTTTCATCGTCGTCATCCTCCACCTCATCCAGGGATTCGATATAAGGCTTATTTTCGGTGCCCAAGCTGAGTGCCCCGGGCCGCGTGAATTGTGGAGGCCACTCAGCCATGAGATGGACAAGAGCGACAATGCTCACCGTGGGAAGTGACGTTGCAATGTGCGCTCAGAGTACACAGAAGAGCATCACACATCGCAGAAAAGCTCCAAGCCAAATGCTGGCCATTGTCTATATCAACGCAATCCGGATTCCAAGGCGTTGGGCTCGCTATTAACCTGAGCAGGGCTGATGCGTGGTCCTCTCTCACTGTAAGTCGTGAATGGCTGGGAACATGGGAAGACTTTCCCAGAGAGGCCGCCCGATCTGGCGCAAGATGAACGAGCCGATATCCCAGATCCGGTCATTTGACTACTTTGTCCACCTTGCATTGCTGGCATCGAACATGGGAGCAATTGGGGCACCTATTGGTCGTGATATTTATTGGATACTGGCCACATTTGGACTTGGTGTTGAATTAGCTCCTTGATATGCTGGCTCCAGAGAGAGGGCGTGTACGGATCTTACACACGTCCAGACGAAAACAGTCGCCTTCTTCTTGCCCTTTGGCGGCATTGCATTGGGCACCAATGCACCCACCCCACGTACCAGACAAAAATTAAAGACGGGATGCTAACTCGGTTACCCGCGAAAATTGAGACCAAACATGAAAACAACATGTGATTCAACAACAAAATCAATTCACGTGACTGCTTAAGCAGGACGAGTGCACGTGATCTACTCGACATCCAACACCGATTGAAAAAAAAAAAAGTGGCCAGCTTTTCGGGAGGAGAATCTGGAGTTCATGGACGACAAAGCCCCGAGATCATGCTGGTTTATGGCTCTTTTCCCATGTCGGTATTCATGTCCGAATTCGGCTCGCACAAGAAGCTAAAGACGCAAGCTGTATATGATCCACTGACCTTGGGTCCGCCAACGAAGGCTGCCAGTCCTACGAAAAGGTTCGATCATGTACGGCGTGATGTGCTATGAGCGATATCGGAACATCATCAATCTCAATGCTGATGATGTCTACATATATGGTTAATCCTCCCAGGTCAATACAGTTTGGGGCCATGCACACAGCTTTGCTGTCCAGGGCTTCACCTCCCCTTCGGAGGCATGACCTTCCATGTCGAGGGCAGACTTATTGCGAGTTCAATGAGTAGTTTTCTATCTGTTGGGAGCTACTTTCTACAATAACTCATTTGTGGCAGGGTGAGTCCTTAGAATGGAATCATTAAGCGCCCTTCAAATAGCGGTGAGCACGTTTTGCACTACTACAAAATATCCTGACTGACCGGCGAGCACGGCAGGACGGCTAGGTGCATTTTGATCGTTCTACTTGGGTCTTCCGACTGTAACGACGACGTAAGGAGTTCGTCTGACCACTTTCTCCCCCCTCTACTCAGAACCAAGGGCTCCTCAGACTTCTGAACATCGGAAATCGCCTTTCTGGACAGAGCCAGCTCGAGAATCAACGACATGGGAAGTTGATAAGCCGCCTTCGTGAGCATCAATGCATCATTTTGACGATGCATGTTCCCTGTCGTACACCAAGCTGAGAATAAAATGCATTCCCGCTGTATCCGACCATCACACCCAAAGCGGGAGATCAGGTGTCGATCGGCCAGATTATATCCAATGATCAAGCGCATTGCTCACCTTGGTACTCCGAAGAAGGTTGAGTCGAGTCGAGCATCCTGAGAGCGCATCATCCAGCTATTCCAATGCCGAAACTCCATACTCCTGCAACGTGTCCGCTCGCCTGAGTGAGCGTAAAGATGTCGATTTTGCGATCATGGTTGAGAACAATCGAGGACTAGCGATTGATTCGTTCCAAGTTTGGATACCATCCAGGACACAGAATTGGCCCCAGGGACCCAGGCTGGGCTCATTCAGCTGCTTTGACCCGGCGCGGCGTCAAGTAAGAGGTGCGTGCTCTCTGACTCGTGCGCCTGAATGGTCGTGTGCGGAATCTGGCGATAATGACCATGGAGAATGCTTGTTACACTACGGAGCCAACACCTCTCGCACGAATCGATTTCACGCTTGGCGTGCTTGAGGTGTTTCCATACGTAGTAGTGCTACGGAGGGTAAAGAGGTGGCAATTCCTCAAGAATGCTCGGCTCGTCCATGATCTCCGTGTGCCAATTGAACTCCGCCTTGACCTCGATCCTGAGAATCAAACACAAATCGACATGTGTGCCGACCATGACCTGGGCCACCCCCAATTGGTCTTCGGAGCGGATGTCCTCTTCCTGACGCAGTTCACAAACAGCATCATCTTCGTTTTGATACCAATACTCACACTGACAACGTTAGTTAGTTAAACGTCTACGCTGAACTACAACGACGTTCCAATGCCCCAGTTCTCAGATTCAGCCTTGATGATGGCGGATCGAGTGAGGAGGCAGTATCCATACGTCCCGAAGCCCAAGATGGACCGGGGCGGGGTCTTGCCAATCACTGAACGTGTCGAGACCATGTCCAGAAGAGCTATTCGGTCAACCGGGCCAGAGGCCCATGCAGTTCCCTGGCTTCGCTGGTGTTGACCGAAGTGGCCGTTAACGTCATGTACGGTAGCCACCGGCACAAGGATTGAAAAAGCCGAATCGCCTGCTCGAAGTGTCCTAAGCTTGAAGTTGTGCATGATCGTTGCCCTAGGGAGCGCTAGTAATCAGAATCGACACATATCAAGTCCGAGACTGCTGCACCAAAGGAGAGTTGTCTTGAGCCTTCAAGCCCCAGTCTGCGAAGTCGAGGCCACGGGATCGACAATTTGGAGACATGAAGACAGGTGTGAATCCCTCACACTATTTGGCTTTGAGGCTTACAAGTTCCGCACGGGCAAATTGACGGTCGAAGTCATGCCTCGGACCGACCGCTGGATCCCTTGGGGATGGATCTGGCTCGCCGGGTAAGGTGAGAACCCCGAGAACAAACCTTCTCACACCGATTCCATATAGGCGTTCAAAAACGAATGCCGAAAGGGGGAGGACTAAACTCCGCTGAGAGCTTACCCGACTGGAGCGAAAGGACATTTCGGACAATTTTAGACATCCTCTGCGTAGTATCCCTGGACCCGGGTAGAAGGCGGTTTCCGCTCCCGCAAGGCGCATAGAGGCCTAGTATATGCACTGCGCCCCGTTGGGCACGGGACCCTGGTGCCCTGGTGCACAAAAAGGCAATCGCAAAGGCCCGCTAATCTAGTGCCACGTTGCCTTGTTCGGTATAACACGGCTACCAATTGCGATGAATAAGGGGATTGATCTATGGATGCTAGATCTTGCCGACTTCCCACCTGCAAGTCAATCGGCAATTCCTCTATTGGTTTGAACACTCAGCCGCTTTCGTCATATCGGCAGCCTGAATCATGCCAATTTCATATTGCAACCTATATGACAAGTTTATTATGATGATGAAGCCTATGATGGTGAAGCCCATGCGAGATCAACAAGACCCAACAAAACAGCAGAAACGGTACCGTGAGCAAACGTATCAATCAACACAAAGGAGCATGGCTGAACAATACAAAACGTTTCTCGATATGTCGTAAAATCGTAACTTCGTTGGCCATTCCTCTTCCTCTTAGTCTCGATGTTCTGTTGCCTTAGGCTCTGTCGATGTGTCAGTATGTAGATATCGTCAGGAGCAACTAAGAGTGTACCTCGTCACTGGCGTAATTCCAAGCAATTTCATGCCATTTTCGAGGACCTGTCGAACAGCCTCGAACAAGACCGTTTCGGCTGGTGTGAGATTCAACTGGTCTTGAATCTCACCTGGGCCTTCTCCCTGGACTTCTTCTGGGACTTCGGCTGCTCTTTGTTCGTGTGCTTCTGCGGGTGCTTCTGCTAGAGCGTCTTCACTTTCCGCTGGATTCAACTTGCTTTCGAGGCACATAGATAGCTGATCGGTGATGCTCACAAGATAATTCATTACAGTGGGTGGTTCCAATTTTTCATACGCCAAGCTGGTGACGTCGGGATATTGAGCCAATAGACGAAGAAGGTCCGTGTTTTGTCCTTTTTCGACGGGGGCAAAATCTTCGTCAGAAAGCGCGCTTGAGTTTGAGTTTGTTGTTTCGAGGATGGAACAAAGCTTCGCATGCCAGTATTGTAGTTCGGGACCGGTGCCGCGTTCGAAGGCAGTCATCTGGTCGATGGCAAAGGAATGGTGTGAGGCACGTTTGGCGGAGAGCTCCTGGGCCAGAAGAGCCGAGACTCCCAATGCGGCTGCGGATTCGTTTGTGTCACCGAGCAAGGCAGCCTTGTCGGGATTCGCCCGTAGCGATTCCACCATGGCATTTTGGCACTGGTCAAGAACCCCACCTAGCATATGTCCTTGGCCCACCACTTCTGACATCTGTGAGCTTTTGTTGAAGTGAACGTGCTCTAATTTGTGCGCGAGATCTGACATGTCCATCAGTTCCAGAATCTTCTTGATGCGCTGAAAATGCATATTGTGATCGTCGGCAACCACGTATATCATCTTATCGAAAGAGTACTTGCGGGAGCGGTCCAAGACCGTGGCTAATTCTCTGAGGGCGTAAGTTCCACTTCCATTTCGATCGCGGATGATCACTCTGCCCGGTTTCCCAGTATGTCGGTTGAGATCCACCACCCATGATCTGTCGCTTTCTTCAGATAGTCCCTTGTTCTTAAGCATGTCTTCTATCTCGGCGATGGTGTCGGGATTGAATTGCGACTCGCCAGAATACTCGTCAAAGCTGACGTTCAGACGCCGGTACAGTGTGGTATAGTGCTCGATGCTCACGTCTCTGAAACGTTTCCACAATGTGATCGCTTGCTCATCCCCTTCCTCCATCCTTTTGAAGAAGGCATTCCTTTCTGCAAACAGCCCTTGGTTCTCAATGCTGGCGGGATCTTCGCCCTTATCTCGTGCGGCTCGGCTGGCAGCTTGCTCGGGCCGAAAGAGTTCATCGATTTGGTTGTACACCCCGAGCATATGCCCGACTGGATCGGCCTGGAACTGTTCTTCCGAGCCAAATCTTTCCCACCCGGCTCCCAGGAGACCGATGTGTTTCCCCCAATCGCCAAGATAGTTCACCTTGACCACATCCCACCCCATGTTTGTGTATAGGTTAGCAATATAAGCCCCGATGATCGTACTCCGGAGGTGTTTGCCATGAAATTCACTGCCAATGTTTGGGGAGGAAAATTCAATGACAAGCTTCTTGCAGCCGAGATCAGGCGAAGCCGGGTCGCGAAGACCCATCGCGGTGTCTCTACCATAAGTCTCTTTGCGGTCGTCGATGTAGGGGAGAAGAAGACGGGGAAGCGTGTTAGACCGGAACATGATCCGGAGATGCACGCCATCTTGGAGAGGAAAGATAAAAAGGGGGCATTCTGGGAACTGTGCGGAGCAGTCAGATTAACAACCGAGAGTGACGAACGTGAGGCTGGATCGTACCCTCTCCATGAGATCCATCGCAAATGCGGTGGGATCTGCACCATGGTTGAGCCTCGGAAGGGGGACCGTCAAGTCTGCTGTGAAGATATCGTTGGGCCATTGAATACAATTATAAGCAGTGGGCAAATCGCACTGGACCAGGTTGCGAAGGATATCCGCAAGGTAGGAACGGCCAATATCGAGTGGTTTGTTCAGCATATGAGGCTCCGGGAAGTCAGGAATGGGACCCAGTCCCAGGTCCCCCAGCCTGGATGTAAGCCCGCCGAGGTCGAGGGTCGTCATGATAATGGTATGTCTTCTGGTCCGGATTTGTGTTCCAGCTAGAGCGCCATATGTCGACTGAAATGGATGGAGATTATGAGGCTCTTTTCAAATCCTGAACGATAGAGGACCGCCGGGAACCGCCTGAAATTCCGTTTTTTATCTTCAAGGTCAGCTGCACGGTGATACAATTCAGCAGAGAGACAGATAATTGATTGGGAGACGCCGCCATGGTGGTGTGCCAGTCCAGACGCGGGTCGCTTCTGAAGAAATGCGAGGCGAACCAGAATGAGGGGAGGCGTCGAGGTATTGAGCCACTCAGAAGATAACACATATCGGGCAGTTCAGGCGCTGCAGACGTTCGTTGGTTTTTCCAATCAATGCAAAACCCATCAGCATTGCTCATCTTCCATCTTTGATCCAAACCACGTATGCCGATCAGATATTCAAGGCATCGGATGAAGCTTGACGAACCCAAGAAAGACATTCCCAGCCAAAATCATCCCTTGAATGTTTTGTCATTGAAAGCGGCTTTTTAGTCCGTTTGGGTCGGGAGCTGCGCAGATCTGACCGAATAGATCGGTTCACGAGTTAAACAGATTTGATGGTCATCTGGCTGTAGGTATCAGGCTCCCGGCATACTGCCCACTTAATGTCCTTGTTCCCGTGCCAGCTCCATGTCCGCCGCTCTTCCTCGAGAGCGTGTAGAGGCTACCGGCGGTAATCCATCTTGGCCTTCACGCCCTCGAGGCTTGTCGGTGACCTTACCCCTGAGTGGAACGGCCCAAATGGCGGTCACTGTTCTTCGTAAAGACGGCCACGATGCTAAAAGACGTTGAACAACAGCTCGTATGGTATATGCAATGATTATCGCTGCTAGAGTGGCAAGAAAAAAAGACTTGGGATTCATGTCGAAGGGTATGGCTTCCGGCTTCACGCTAAAAATAGCAGCCACCAATGCCACAGGATAGAAGAGCTGCGTGCCGGCCGTTAGCTATATACCCCGCTGTTAAGTCCATCTCAACTTACCGAAAGGACAACCTCTGAATTTACCCCGTGGTAGTCAGCGGATTCTTTGCCCTCCAGCTTCAAATGAAAGTTCAACTATATTTCCCCAAGTTAGCCAATTTTCTCGTTGATCACAGTTCTGGTGGACAATTGGGGATTGAAGGGTGTTTTTTTTTTTTTTTTTGGGTTCACTTACAGTTTCCGAAAAGTCTGAACAGCTTACGATCAAAAGCGCCAATCTCTTTTGATAACCATGAAGTTCACGGAAGGTCGTCCTGACTGCACGGAGAGATCGGCGAGCTTGTTGCGAGATGGGAGCTGCTGGAGAGCTCTGAAAGTACCCAATGTCTTCACCGGGGGAACTAAATGATGCCCACGCGTCAACAGTGTCCGAGAGAACGCCATGTAGCCGACGCAGGAGGCCCATTGTTTGGAGAGCCCAGTCAAACGCTTCTTTCATCTCTGCGGATCGCTCTCCTGCAAGTGCAGAGCGGCAAGATACCGTAAATGGGTGGTCTGCCATCTGATGCAAAAAAGTCAGCTGACGTCCGATGCGGAATTCGTCAGGCAGGGATGTCCTTGATGACTAGGGACCACTTACATATTGCTGGACACCCGGCTCCAGCTTGTGCATCAAATACTCCCACTCTTCTCGGACCTTGTCTATCCGAATCTCGAAGATTTTCAGATAATAGTCCCGGGCCCTCCATATAGGAGTGTCGGCTTCAATCTCCCCTCCTGCTATCCTGTCAAATCTCAGATCTTCTTCTTCGCAGTCGGTCAGGTAGCCGTCAATCTCGGTGTCAACGAACCCGTAGGCGGTATATCGGAGGTCGTGTGATCCGGCAACAACAACAGAAATGTGAGCATCATGAATGCCCCAGACCCCCTCTGACTCTTGGTCCTGAAACCGGGAGCGCTCTAGCCTCAGGAATGGTAAAGCTGTCCACCGTCTCCGTGGCTTCGTATTGATACCTCCGACAGGATCATCCGGGGGTTTGGCCTTCCTCAGTAAGAAGAATGGCAGATGGAGGTTCAACTGGAAAGTGAGAAATCCCTCAGAAGGGATTTTCACCGCAATCGAGGTATGAGATTCAAGGTGCTTATGGATGGCATCTTTCAACACCGGGGTTTGATGGATGGAGGCGGTTGCCGCAAGAGCATGAACGAAAGCAGGATCCAGATCGGTGATATAGATCAGTCGTCTCGGGGCGTCAGGGAAGCACGAGTGATTGAACCGCAGCTCCCGCAAGGCTCGCAGAAGTCCAGTTCCCGTCAAGGGGTTGGCGTATTGCCTGCTGTCTCCGCTCCCATCGAGGATGGGATACTTATAAGCCCGGTCATGATGAATCCTATAAGTTCGGTCATCCAGCCACGCTGCCCTTCTGTGGCCTGCTGGACCTATGGCATCTTCTACATCTTGGAGGCTGACGCCTCGACCAAAGTCTTCCAGCACCTCGTCCGCGGTCAACGAGGCTGCATCCCCGTAATTGGTCAAAACAACGTTGACATCATCTTTATCGGCATCATTATCCCTCTTGACCTCACACAGGAAGTCATCTTCGTGCAGATCTCGAGGCGTGGAGAACTCCTCAGGCCACTCTGTCTCAGAACCCACCCACCGGCGACCCTTGCCGTCAAAATCCATCTCGCTAAGCCACCTGTCGCTCCTAGATCTTAAGAGTGGCTGAGTTAACCGGGATGCTATGTGGCTCGTGCGACGATATTAGTATGGCTATCCTGGTTAGATGCGATGCTGACCCTCACATGTGATGGATCTAGCGCGAGCACAAGACGCCGCGAGGGTCGAAATATGGGCTATATCAACAGACGTCAAGCCAGTCTGGAAAATCTCATAATCGATTAGAGCGACTTGTTCATAGACGTTGTTCTTCCAAAGATCGCAAGGGCCGACTTATTTAGTCGATTCGGAACGACATAAGACGGGGTAAAGGAATCAAAAGAAACCACATCGTATGGGAGAGTCTTGGAAAGAACTTTGATTAGTTTTCACGGGTACTCCTTGCGAAGCCCACAGTCGAGTTGAGGTGTCTTGTGTCAAAGTGAACACCAGGGAACTTTTGGTTGATATGACAAAATCCGAGGGAAATGGCGACTAACGACCATATACGTTCTAAGTTCCGTCAAAAAGGCTCCCACGTTCTTTTCTCTATTCCCCCTGAACGCCCTGCTAGTTGGTGCTGTATGTACATTCACTATAGGGCGTTGAGTCAGGGAAGATACCCAACAAGGCAATCCTAGGATGAAAACTCACAAAGCGCATTGGTCCAATCCAGATGGGGCTCGGGTCGAGCGATGTTTCTCTAGCATCACCGCGCTGGTGATTTCAGCCTACCGCGGTCCGATTTTGGTAGTCTTACAATACGCACACCTCGAGATGTGGCACACAGGACACAGGCTTGTTTGAATGGGAATTCCAGATTTTCCACACTGGCACTGCGTGCTCGCGCGGTTAGCGGATGCTCAGCAAATCTCTGACAGATACTCACGCATTGCCAAACATAGACTGTTTTTCTTTTGGGGGGAGGCTATCGTTAGGTGTCAGCGTTGTTCAGCTTCACTGCTCGGGAAGATAGGTGTACCAGTTGTTGGATTGGAGGTTCCAAGAATGGATACTTGGGCATCGGTGCGTCGGGATCAAGATTTTCCTGTGGCGCAGCTGGCGCATCGACATGGAATTGACTGGTAAAGCAGCAAATGAAGGATGAGATCCTCGCAAGGCAAAAATTTTCGAGAGAGGATAGCTAGTTCAGTTGCCTGACCCAAAAACTGGATGGGTTTCTTCCTCTCAGGCACTCTCTGCCATTTGCAAATAAACGAGCTCGGAGGTTTAGCTGACAGGTGACCCTAAGCCCGAATCTGTGGCGACCCCTGCCGAAAAAGGGAACCGAATTGGCTAGATAAAGATCTAGATCCAACTTGGAGGAGAATCAACAACGCACCGCTGTGACACCGTTCTGAGACTTGTGCGATGGAACTTGTTGTGGAGGTGGTTGCCTTTGCAACAAGATTACGAAGGCGTCGGATTGTTCAAAAATGCTCCTTGCTTTGTTGGCCATGGCTATGCGTGCGACACAAAACAAACCCTGACTCGGTTCGCCGCTGACCGTCAACGCCGCATCGATCAGCCGAGTCAACAAAGGCAGCACAAAGTATTTGATAAACCAATGACAAGCGCACTGTCTCCACAAACCTCCGTACATACATGCAGAGGATTTCGAAATAGATGAGACTGGCCCATTGACTAGCTTGCATTACAAGCCTCGGTCTCTTTTTTGGAGGACAGTCTGGATGGGTATGCCATGGTGGCGACAACTAGGCCGACAACAAAGCCGGTTCCAGCAATAACAAAGCAGCCCAGACCAGGGCGGAAGCGAATGCAAATGCCAGCTGTGTGAATCTCGAGATTACCAGACGCTCCGACTAGCAGCACTAATTAGTATTCTCTTTTGGTAATACTGTAAGTGGAAGGGATGTTTGCCAGGACCCGCCATGCCCGGAACGGCTGTTAGTTGGTTCCCCGGGTAAGCGAAGAACAAGCCGGAAATTCCCTCAGCAGGCAATCTTCAAATAGAGCAGGTGAGAGATGAAAAGGCAGCCCTTGTGCCCCTAGTTAAACCCCTAGGCAGTTCAGTGGAGACTGTGTACTTTGGCGCTCAATGGTTCCTCCCTAGAGTTTCTCTCAACGACAACGCATGAATCTGCCACTATATATAGTACGCAGAAAGGATTCAAGAAGATGTTAACCACATCGCTGATCCTCCAGTGAAACATGGAATCGGGCATATATGAAACAGACCCTCTCGGGGGGAGAATACCCATTTGCAAATCAGCAAAGTTGTCAGACCTATATATTTCAACGATGCGGCGAAGCTATCTTTCTCACCGCAAGTTGTGCGGATCCCTGTTGAGTCCATTGCTACACAAGGGGAAAGATCTCCCTCATATCATAAGGCGAGAATCGAGTTAGGCGACGGTCTACCCTGAGGGTCCTCTCAGTCCGCGAGGATGCTAACACAATAATGCCTGGAAGCGGCTGGTAGCCGAAATGGATCCACGGAGGACGGGGCTCGCCTGCATTCACTAAGTCTCACGTGGTATGATTCGTTGAGAGCGCCAATCGTTCGCAGCCCGGTGTTTCCTTACCTTCGAGCAGCGCTAGAGACCTCAAGAATGTCAGGTTGCCATGGGCTCCGATGTAGGAGCGAGCTCTAGAGTCAAAGGGTCCAAATTTGAGGATCCTAGAGGAAACCTTGCTACAATTGCGCCATGCTGTCAAACTGAGCTCGGTTGTCAAAACGAGGTGACACAATATAATTGCGTCATTCGACTCCGGGGTCCTCGATCGTCTATCTAGATGGTCTGATGGCGTCTCGAGCAAAAACCAGTCAGCATTCTCTGCTTTTTCGCACAACCCGAAATCTGGCATGTCCTCAATACCATTTCCCCATGTGACCGACAAGAATTGGTCTCGCTCACGGATCCTTTCTTTCAAACATCCAGAGAGTGCTCAACGACTGAAGAGAAAGGATCGCGACAGCGGCCCCCTATTTTCCACCCGGTGGAGATCCTCGGATCACGTGGGTCAGGGGCGACTTGGGCGATCAGGCTAATTAAGGCTAAATAGTACTCAGGATCCCAGTTGTTCCCAGATTTCCCCCAATTCGAAAAGGCCCCTGAAACGGGTGGAAAAGAGAGGGGGGGAAAATGCAAGAAAAAAGAAAATAAAAGGGGACACAGGGCTCAGCCCCTCGCAAGAACCAACTTCACTGCCGAAATGAGTACGTCGTACTCCGTCCATCTAACCCTATACTCTTTGCGTCGGTCAACTCCTGAAGAAAGTCATGCAAGAGAAATTGCAAAGGATTTATCCTTAAGCTCCAACCATTCATACCAATATCATTGATGCCGGGAAGTTAGACATGAGGCAATGCATCTCCCACCAACTCCGAGACCTTTCCCCACGGCGGTATAGCTCCAAGGCCCGACGGAATCCGAATATTCTTCGCCCGAGTGAATTCATGGAGCGTTTCAATGCAGTGCTCCCGTCCATAACCACTATGCTTTGCTCCTCCGAACGGCGTCCCAATCAGGCCGCGATTGTAATTGTTAACAAAGACCATACCCGCATCGACCTGCCTGCTTGCCTTCATGGCTTTGATCATGTCTTGGGAAAAGATCCCACAAACAAGACCGTATTCGGACTCGTTGGCGATGGAAATTGCTTCATCGTAAGTGTCGAACTTGGTGACACTAACGACAGGGCCGAAGATCTCTTCCTTTGCAATTCTCATGTCCCTTGTCACGCCGGTGAACAGGGTGGGCTGCACGTAGTAACCATTTTTCAGTCTCGGATCGGCTGGTATCGGGGCCTGGGCTTCGATCTTCGCTCCTTCCGCCTCCCCAATGCGAACATATTCCTCCACTCTTTCTTTCTGCACCTTAGTGACCAAAGGCCCAACATGTGTCTCATCACTAGCACCATCACCCACTTTGATTCGTTTGACAGCTGCTGCCATCCCAGCCACGAAAGCATCGTGAACTTTAGCTTGGACCAAAACTCTCGATGCCGCCGTGCATGCTTCACCCTGGTTGAAGAAACCTCCATCAACCGCGTGTCGGACTGCTAAATCAATATCCGCATCATCAAAGACGATGAATGCATTCTTGCCACCGAGTTCGAGTAACACCGGGGTAATCGACTCGGCTGCAAGTTTGCTCACCGCGATGCCGGCGCCGGTCGAGCCTGTAAATGAGACTTTCTTGACGTCGGGATGCCTGACCAGCGCTTGAGGTACGTCTGGTCCCATGGCTGGTATGGCCTGAATGACACCGGAAGGCAAAACTTGCTGGAGAAGTTCCACGATACGCATGACTGTCAGAGGAGCCTGTTCGCCTGGTTTGATGATGACGGTATTTCCAGCGGCCAATGCGGGAGCGGCTTTGCCGCCGACATGAATCGGCGGCCAGTTGAAGGGGAGAATTCCTGCTACGACTCCATACGGCTCGCGAATGACAGAAGCGTAAATGCTGCCTTGGTCATAAAATTCCGCCGGCAATTTGTCGATAAGCGAAGCGAAATAACGGAAGATGGCGATCAGAAAAGGGACATCACCTTCGCTGGCCTGGGACACGGGCTTTCCATTCTCCATCGACAAGAGCACCGAGAGCTCTCGGACGTGTTTGGAGAGGTGCTCTGCTGCTTGGAGCAAGATCATTGATCGCTCGCGAGGAGATCTCCATCTCCAGTCGTCGTTGTACGCTTTGTTCGCTATCTCGACGGCTTTTTCTACTTCAGAGACGCCTCCGCCTTGAACGGTGGTGATGACCTCTCCCGTCGCGGGATTGTGAACTTCAAATCGGTGGGATGGATCCTTGGATGATAGGGGGAAATGCGAGACCGCGTCGTACGTCGGGACGGCCATGTTGGAGTGTGGTTCCTCGGGTTAATCGGACGTAGACAAAGAGCAGACACATGTGTCCTCTTGAAAGGTATGGAGTGAAGGGACCTTTAAATATCGAGTTTGTCGACAAGGGGACTTTGACTACCCGAAAAGTTTCCCTTTGTCCGCATGTCAGCACGAACCCGAGTATTCCAATGAGAGGGATACCAAAGTGGAAATCCGCTCACGTGGACGGACATTGTGTCCCGCTTATGATGCGGGAAGATCAGAACGTGATTATGTCGTAGAGAGGTTTGTCGCTTGGGGTCCGGGGTCCATACATGCTCAATATCAGCTACTGTCCGTCCGCTCGACCTTATTCCATGAGCCTAAGCTTCATGAAAGCATTTGTGCAAAGCATGAGGTATCGAGTATCCGGGGCAACCACATTCCGACCAAATTCCTTCCCAATTTGGCAAGCGAAACATATTGTATAGGTGATGAACGGTTTAGCACTTGAGTGCCTGTCATGCAGGGAGGATGTCGTCGCCAAAGCTGTTGAGCAACTACACACACCAAGCTCTAATTACAAGAAAGGCTCAATGCTCTCGCCATCTTTCTACCCACCCATGCTTGCTTGCCCCTTACATAAGCCATGCACGTAGCGCCCCGCTACAATATTAGATAGTCGTTGACGTTGGCCAATACTTTGGCCCTGTATCAAACAAGAGCCGTTGGCTATCATCATAAACGGTATTTGTTTCTACGTCTGTTTTCTCACAGGTGGTGCGAATGGTCGGTGTTCCCCGTTCCAATGCCTGCAGCCTCTGCAGGGCACGGAGACAGGACCTAAGTACGAAGCAAAACACTGCGTGATGCATAGAGAGCGAACATCGACAGTGTGATGGCCAGCGACGAGGTTGCGGGCAATATGCAAAGCGAGGCGTGGACTGTCCCGGCTATCGACGAAAATCAAATATTCGGCTCGTCGACCCTGGCTCAAAGAAATCAGAATCCCACTCAGATCGGGAACAATGCAGCAGCGGCGACTTCTCTTCAGAGCCAGAAAACGATGTTCCGTCCAGCAGAAGCAAAGCAGCCGTGATGATGGCTCCGGCTTCGCCTCGAATTCTCCCCCATTCATTCTGTGAAACGGTATATTGGCCTCAGACGTATGGCAGGTTCTTTGAAACGTACCTTTCGGGGAGTGGCCGCAGCTGGAAACTGACTTTACCTTATTGCCTTCCACGGCGTGGCTCCATGAGACAGCCGCTTGGCACCGACAGATACTCTCCTCGACAATGCTCTGACAGGTCTCGTGTTGGCGCATGTCGAGTGCTTCGACAAGAAGCATAGATTCTCGTCCGAAAGTCCGATGACGTACAGCAGGGCGACGAGAGAATCGTTGATGAGGCTTCGAGATGAACAGGAATCCTTCCGTGATACCACGCTCGTTGTAATCATGGCATTGGGCGTGTACGAGGTGAGTCTTGGACATGAGGAAAATCCATCGGTAGAACTCGATCAGGCTCACGGGGAATCTAGATTCCAGCTGATACCTTGACACGAACGAATGGGTGGTTATCACATATTCAAGGTGTTTCGACCTCGATTAAGTGAAGCGTGGCCATATTTCCGCCGCGATGTTCCATATTCCTCGGAAATCCAATCGTTCTCGATTCTTCATGGTCTACCCGTGACAATGGAACAGGCCGATCTGATCGATGCCGATCCAATAGCAATGACAGGGGCTGGCGACGCATTGGCCGTGAAGATTTTAACTTTTGTGAAGATGTGTCGACATTTCAAATTGCGCCTGTCGAGCTGGGACGCGGAGTCCGGGAAAGACCAAGAGCAACATTTCTGACAGGGCCCTCTTCTGGCCGGAGATTTCAACCTTGTATCAGCGGCTCCCAGAATCAAGCCCGCCCGCGTGTTTCCCTTTTTCCCCTCTGCTTTCCGAATCTAGCTATAGCGGAACAAGTCGTCGTGTGTTGGACCGGGCTTCTCCTGATGCATCGAATGACAGATTTCATCGAAAGGCGACATCTTCAGAGAGGAATGGCTATGAATCTCCAAAAATACCAGTCGGAGTACGACCGTGAAGTTCGAGACCTTAACGTATACGATATCACACCCAAGATTATCCAGTCACCGGAATATGTTTTTCTGCACCCGGATATGTGTGTGATTGGGATGGAATTTATCGGCTTGCCTTTGAACCTCGTCTAGGGGTATCTCGTCTCCTTGAACATGAAAGAAGGTCTCTGGATCGATATCGAACACGTTCCATGAGGACTGGACTTGGGTATTTTCTTGACAAAATGGCACTGAGTTATTTCCTCAGAGGCGGACAAATATGTTTGTCAATTCTTGGATACGACTTCCTCCATCTTTACGGGTTGATGACTTCCAAGGAGAAGATATTGTCGAGCATGGATGCCTCAAGGTCATTTGGCCAGTCAAAATCGCCATCATCGCCGAACCAATCCTGGGCGATTGGAACGAAAAATTGATCGTGACCATCATCAAGTGTCTGCTTGGTGGAATTCTGCTGGCCGGCAGTGTTGAAGCCGTTCAGGCCGATATTTGAATCCATGCCTGCCACAGGTCCCGACCCATTTCTGAAGTTCAGGATATGGTGATGCAGCCTTTCCAGGCCTCGGAGACACCGCACTACGGTCAAACTGAATATCTGGAGGGATGAAAGTGCTGTTTTACATTTGATCCAGGCGTCGGTCAATTTAGTCCAACCGATGGAACGGACGATTGAATCACAGACCATTGCGAGAAGAACAACAATGCCTGCTGTCCGGGCATAGAAAAGATTGTACCACCAAGCTCCTGTGGCGGTGGTTGTTGACCGGAGATGGACCTGCTCAATCAATCGGATGGAATTCTCGACACATGCCATGGATAGTCCCCGTGCGACGACGAGGGATACGTCCGTGACATGGTGAGGAGCTTCTTGCTCAGAATGTTTCACGGCTTCCTGCGCACATATATGCTGACAATATCGAGTGAAGGCGGGTCGATAGAGAAGGATGCGAAGGTGGAGAAATCGGACGAGTAAGACCGACGACTGCTGGGCAAACACGTTGACTGCCTTCACATTCGCCGGGAGTGACTCCCTCCTATCCCAGTGAAGATGATCTGGGATCTGTCTTTCGAATTCGGATATGGCAGAATCCATCTCGAGAATAAAGGCGGAGCTGCTAGACCCTAGGCCCTTGTCATTGAACCCCAGAGACTCTGTTGGCTTCGCTGCTGTGTTCGCATACATTTGTGAGATGACATCCGCGAGCATGCCATACAGCTTGATGGATTGGACATAGAAATGAACCCAGGAAATGTGACCAGCTGGTTGACTGTCTGGATCAGCGAGATACTCGTCATCAATAGCCCTGGGGAGAGGTATCTGCTGATATTTGTCGAGCATCAGTGGTCGACCCAAGGTCATGCTGACAACGGCATCGAGAATGACACAACCGTACCAAACTCGGCGACGCATCTCGATCTCAAGTGGACTGAATCGTTTCATCGACTGTGAGTTCTCGACGTAAAGGCCCAGGCCTTGTGCCATTCTGCAGGCAATCCCAATGCAATTCCAGCATCTGTTAGGAAAAGGAGTCGACTGCAGATACTGAGTCATAAGGAGCAGGGTTTGGATTACGGCCAGGGAGCCATCGTCGAAGAGATCAAGCTGGCAGAGATTTCGTGCCTTTTCAGCGAAAAGATCTCCAAGTCTTCGACGGTCTTCGAGAGGAGTGTCCATAAATTGAGTTGCCAATGCGAGCATCATGTTCAACGCACAATGGAAGACGATGCTGTTCGGGCCATATTCGACAGAACCTCCTAGTGCCGCACCAGGAGTTTGAAGTTCTGTGTCCGCCGGTTGAGATATCCAGAGTTGCTCGTAAGCCCGCATAAATGTTCGCTTGTGGATGAAGGGATACAAGTGATATATGCGCGCCCAGTAGCAGTCCAGTGCTCTATCCATTAAAGGACGTGGTAGCAGTGACAGGTGTTCCATCCGCCGGAGTGTCCAAAATTTCTCTCCCCCTTGGGTTGGCGGTTGTCTGGCGGTGTTCCGGTTTGCAGAGTTTGTTCCTGTGAGAGGAATTCCATTCAGAATGGTTTTGTAGACTTGATGCATGAAAGATACTGCCGATGAGCTTCCATAGTACCGGTCGTCATTTTCCTGCTCGGGGGGATCGATGGTGGAATTGGCGCCCATTGCGTCCACAGGACTGACTTCTTCTGGGGCGCTTTGCGGTACATCCGGCGGTGGCACCATTGAAGAAAGCGTGCTCGAAAGCACTGACGCTTCCTTTACCCGTACATCAGACTCGACGCCACGAAAGGCTTGTTGATTTTCTGGTGCAGAGTCCGTCCGCCCCTCATCTGGCCGATTCAGATCGAGATCCCGACCTTGTAGATACAGGCTTTCACGATGCTCCAGCTCTCGAACACGCTCCAGGAGATTTCTGATCTGCTCGTCTTGGGCGGGGTCTTTTTGACTGGGTGTCTTATACCTACACGGATCTGGGCGATTACCTCGTTGAGAACATTCGCCACATACGGGTTTGATGCCGTCGCATCTCGATTTGCGAATACGGCATTGGTCGCAGGCGAGCGCAATTTTTCGTCGTTTTCGAGGCTGATCCTGGCCATTTCCTACCTCTAAACTTTTCTGTCGTGGCCAACTTGAGTCTTCCCAATTACGATGCTCGCTTCTTTGGTCCATCACTGCTTCTAAAGAGCTCACATGGATGGAGTACTAGTAAGGAATTGAGGAGTAGTGGAGTAGCTCATATTGGTCTTCGAGACGACAAGCACTTCTGAGTGAGCGAAGAGGAAGAGGGGATCACAAACACAATAGCGTAGTTTGATGTCGCACACGACAACTTCACCGCAATTCAGAGACTTTTCGAGAGCGATCACAATTTACGACTAGAACGTGAGTGGAAGGTATTTTATTTGGAATTCTTCGCATCCGCCACGTTGTGCTTGAATTGACTATCTGGAAATTGTGGTGTCAAGCTGTGCACCTTTCAGTTGAACAAAAAGGGATGCCTGCCCCTGGCTCCCATTTCCAAAGTAGTTTGGCGTGTGTGACCCTTCGGACGAGATTCGTGTCTCAGCTCGTGAAGCTCACCTTTGGCTGCATAGCATAGAACGTATCCACACACTACCATCCGGATGGCAACCTACCTCCATATTGTAGAGCTCGTATCGTTGGTGCACCGAACCGTGTACTGCAGGCTATAACCATCCATAACAATCGGCATAGATTTGTACGTATTGTTTTGGTTTTTGTGCTGAACGAGAAAAGAAAAACAGAGTCCGAAACTCAAATTATACCCCATCAGATTCACAGCACCATATACCATTACTTACTGGAACTACCTCCTACACCCTGAAGTCCATGCTATCCTTCATATCCGCCCCGTCTCCAGAACTACAACGCCGTGTGATTGTGTATGGGGTCAAGCCGTGCGGATCGCAGCTTCCGTTTTTGGCATTATGTCTCATCGAAGTCGTTTCGTGGCGGAATTCCCGCCAGGTCAAACAGCGTGGGTGTGATAATGGGATGTTGACATCTTTCTTCGTACGGGCATGATTTTTCCAGGTTAAATACGATGATTGGTCTCTGTGGGAGCTGTGATCCGTAGATGACGTAGGTGTTGTTCAGCAGGCCGTGTTGGTCCAAGACGTGGACGCGTCGAAGTGGCTTATTTCGGTGCTGTTGAGTTGAGGAAGTGTCGATGCCCGACTTGTACCGCTAGGTTGTGAACGGGACCATGAAGTTAGAAAAGCATACAGAGATGAGTCGGGGAAGAAGAAAACTTACGATGTTTGGACTGCAGTTAGCTCCCGTGGGATTTTGGGGTCAGGAACCAGATTTGCGTGTCTCGTCGCATGAGAAAGTTTGAGGTGTTCTTAGATGTGATGTCGATATCGGTCAATGACTTGGGCGCGAAGCTCCGGACGCCATGGCGAGATCCGAGGCAAAGCTCTCGAAAATATGATCCCCCGGCTACACCAAGAAATCAAGATCCCGAGATTCGCGGACCTGGATGCGGGGAAACCAGGCGTAAGGAGGAATTCATTCTTGATCCGTACCTGGTGATAGTTTGCTGTGCCATCCAACCTCAGGATTGTTGAGCTGGTCGTGTTCCGAGATTTTGGTCCAGGCTGAGGCACCTCATCAGGGTCAAATTATGGCGACGGAGGCGTTTTCTGTGTCGCGTGACAAGCTCACCGGGCCCAAGGACAGCACCATTCTCATCACCGGAGGGAGCGCTGGCATCGGATTGCAAACGGCCATTTTACTGCACGACCTCGGCAACAATATCATTGTCGTCGACCGGGCGCAACCTCATCCATCGGCACCGAAATCGCTGATCTCGTCACCACGATTCCTGTATCAGCAGTGCGATATCACCTCATGGAAATCACAGCGGGGTGCTTTTGAGGCAGGGATCCACAAATTTGGTTCGATTGGGGCTGTGTTCGTCAATGCCGGAATTGCAGAGTACAAGGATCAGTTTTTCAAAGATGAGTTGGATGAAGATGGATTGCTCCAGGAGCCCGATCGAAGGACGGTTGACATCGACATGCACGCAGCTAACGACACCGCAAAACTAGCCATTTACTACCTGAAGAAAAAGGGAGGGAGTATTGTCATGACTGCGAGTCTGGCAGGGTATCTGGCAAGTGCCGGAGCTCCTCTCTACAGTGCGGCGAAACACGGTCAGTCTCCGTTTATCCTTTCCGTCCTGTCGCGTGACTGATACGGGAAATAGGAGTAGTGGGGTTAATGCGAGCTCTCAAAAACGACACGGCGAAATTGGGAATTGCCATTTCAGTGGTGGCGCCGGGCATCACATTGACAGACATCATCTCTGGCCGAAAGCCTGGAGAACCTCTCCAGGATTGGGCGAAGAGGATGCGAGGCTTGGGGGTGCCAATTAATGATCCACAAGAGATTGCTGATTGTGTGGTGTACCTGATGAGCCAGGGAATGGAAGCCAATGGCAAAGGATTGTTGATCCAGGCTGGCAGAGTCGCAGATTTGGAAAGTGGAATTGCAAGGTCGAGGAAGATCTGGATGGGAGAGGAGATGTTGAGGCTGTTTAGGGGAGGAAGAGACGCACCTCTGTTTCCTAATCGGTTGTAGAGACGGAGTACTGCCTACAGACACCGTAAACCAAGATCCCAAGAGGACTGGATATGGGTTGGAGCGTGCCGGGAACACTGATATACCACATTTTACGGCTCTGTATTTATAGCAAGGAGAAGAAATGAAAAGGGAGGGGAATTGTCTATGGGCGAGAGAGCAATCAAACGGTAATTCTACCAAAGGTAACCCAACTTCATCCCGTCATGTCTTCTTCGATGTCTACTCCTTTTCATGGCCTGTTGTCCTGCCCGCTTCCGCTTCTATCGTGAACCTCGTATGATTACCTGATGCCGGGACGAATCTACAGCCTCGACTCTGACACATCCCCTCCCCAATTCTACATCCCAACCCTTGTCTGTCACTGTGAAATGTCTCGATGCCGACTCGACCCTTCTCATCTTTTCTCCCGAACGAGCCTCTTCCTTCACACCTCACCTCGGCAGATGGTGCATTCTTAGTGTTGATAGACCCAGAATCCCAAGCACTACCCAACATCTCTTTGAGACTGAAGAACCTGATATTGTAGCGGTCTCGTAAAACAAGCCCGACCATTGCCGCGAGGAAATCCTTTCCAACTTCGTCGTGCTGTTAAGGCAGTCAAGAGTTGGAAGCATTTTGATCCCACCAGGGATCATGGTGTACCCAAATATAACTCCAAATTCAAACTCGGTCGGTCCTCGCGAGTGCGGTTCCTCCTCTTTCTTCGGAGGGCTTCCCAGGTGAACTCAATCTTTCATTATCCCGGCCAATCACTACATGACTGGCCTAAAACAATGCATTCGGAATCACATACCAACCGTCGACTCCCATATTTCCCCCCAGTCCAATGATCATGCCCCTTCTTAGTGCCAGACCCCATGTCCTCTGATCAGTCTAATCGGGACCGTGACTCTATACAGCGCCCTCGATTATCTCAGACAAGGACATACCGACCACGATTGTCACGTGCGTCTAACATGGTCTCAGATCCTCCCGGCCACTGACCAGCCAGTTATCCAAGGCCATTCAAAACACAGGACGGGTGAAATCGTCCAGAGAATTGTGACTCTGCCTGATCAATCGCCAGGTTTGGATGACCCCTCTCCGTTTAGCATCGTCAATACTTTCCCTGTTCCACCAGACTACCCAGCTCCAGCAGCAATATCTCCCACTAGCACTGTCTTCCACCATCGCAAGTCGTCTGGGCCTCCTATTAGAAGTTCCTCTCCGGTATTTCATCCATGCCCAATTTGTCTCCTATCGCACCAGCTCGCCTTACAGTCTCCTGTTCCCACGATCTCCGGCCATATATCCAAAACAATTTGGTCCGACTTACTGGCGCTCTCCCATTCACCTTATTTCACTCCTTCCACCATGCTCAAAACCTCGAGTTTCTTGGCAGCAACACACGACGAACCCAAAGGTGATCGCAGGTTAGGCGTGGAGCGATTACGGGTGAAGCATGTCACTGCAGACGAGGTGAAGAAGAATTTGTGGCGAGGCGACCATGGTGAATATGATGTGGGGAGTCCTAGATGTTGGCAGAGATGTTTGTCGGTCCTACCCAGGATTGTACGCTGGAATGGAAAGAAAGAGGGGGAGTCCTCCGATGAAATTCAGCGTTGAAGATTTGAGATGGAAGAGTTGCAATCCCGAGTCGTCATAGAACAGTGGGTTGAAAAGTGCTTTTGTTCATGCATAATACCGGCAAGGTGCGGATGCCTGCCCGTGTTGTATATTTGAAAAAATTTTTTCAGAGGGCGCGAAAGGATTCTGCCTCGCCGGAGATTGAGATCGAGGATGTTGGTATGGTTGATGCTGCTATCTCGTTCGAAGGGACTGGGAGAAGAACGATGGCTTGTGGAGAGAGGCGTAGGGTAATATGGGAGGCAGATGCCGATATCGGATGAACGGTGAGAGAGGGTTTGAACACCCTAAGGAAATTCGTCGTCGCATCTCACATCATAGCTGTCGATAGCACCGCAAGATCATGGGAACGGTTCAAGGCTGCGCGGAACCAGGAACGCGAGTTGGTGTTGAAGGAGGAGACAGAGACCCCAAATGGAGTGCAGTGGTAGGGCGGATGTACCTGAAAGTGCTTAATTCTACTTGGGAGGAATAGGTTGAATGCCTGTTTAGGTAACCGTCGCGACGTTATGACAAAGACCAACCTCGAGTATTAAATTCGATATTCAGCCTGATGTGTGTTTCTCTATTGCGCCGTCCAAACTCGCCTCTCTCTCATGGCCCATCGCCAACATGGCCAATGTCCTTTCATCCTCCCAGACTGCGGCCCTCTTCGACATACTCACCCATTACAATACCTACGCTGAGATCCGCGAGTTCAGATATCCAGGTAGCCTTGCCCACTATGGCCCTCCTTTCACGACCCACGACAAGAAGCCATCCACATCCCCGGCTTTGCAGATTTTGGTCTCGCGATTCCTCCTGAATCTGCCTGGACTAAACAATTTGCCTGAGAAATGGTGGAAAGTCCAGTGTCGCGAAATCATCGAACACCTCGAAAGAGCCAATCTCAGTGAGAGCTATGATAAAGGTGTCATTGGCAGTCGGAAAACTCTTGCTACTGCCATCTCCGCCCTCATTGAGTATCTCGTTCGAGGTACGTATGGAGGGTTTGCCGAGATCAAGAACCGTAATTACGAATACGACATCACCCAAGCCGAAGATTTGGCCCGCGCTTTTCGTGACTTTTTGAATGACACAATCTACGGCAATGCTCTGGACGAGCTGGTCCAGAAGACTGCCGAGACAGATAACCTTGAAGACCATGGACCGTTGACGAAAGCGGTGCACGAGTTTGTGCTTGTCAAGTGAGCCACTTTGTCAGCCTTCTTCATAACCCATCCGGCCCTTTCCAGAACCACACTAACCGTTTGACTCAGCCTTGCCTCCTTTATGCATTATACACTGATCTTGTCGCCAAAAGGACAATATCTGCTCAAGCTAATCGATAACGCCAACAAATTGGTCCCATACATGGTCCTGAAGCAAACATTACGGATTGGCAATGTGGCCTCAATGATTAACGCTATGGTCAAGGTGGGCCTTGCCAAAGTCAGCGTGGCCAGCGTGACCAACTGGATGGGGTGGACACAGTCCCATGATGAAGGAATGAATCTTGTGCAAACGTGAGTCTCAATTGCCGGTTTTCACAACGCACCCCTGCTTACGTCTCTGCACAGCATCATCGCCACAGTCCTCAACTGGGATATCAGGGATCTGGAATCTCGGGCCTCCAAAATTGAGCGGGAGCGAACCAAACTTGGCAAAGAACAACTTCAAGCTCTCAAAGACTATGTCACCAAATCGCAACATGATCAAGATCGGATCCGAAACGAGAGCCAAACAAATTCCATCTCGATTGTCACCGCTATCTTCCAGGATAGCAAATGCTCCTCCATCGAGTTAACAGATGCCCACCACAGCCATGCCTTGGAATACCTTTCAATTCACCTCTCTATCCGTGACCGGAAACAGCTTATCCAATGCCTCTGCAAAACCACTCCAGATTACCTCACCCTGTCCGTAAGAGAAGTGGTTGACGCTTACGAGCCCGTCATAAGGCGAATGCACAAAGCCATTGACCTATCATCCACTCTGACAGACTTTGAATATTTTCTCAAGGACCTGATTAAGTTGGCTAAGATCCACAGTGACAAATCTAGCAAAGCACTTGTTCCTACGGTCGGCGACTTTGTGCAATTACTCCGCAAACACCAGCGATCATGTCATGTGTTTTTGCACCAGTGTTGTAAGAACGACAAGGAGTTGACAGGGTGGTATCTCGACTGGGCAAAGAATGCAGCCACACAGTTCAGATGCGATCCCGAACCGGATTCGCATCTCGAGGAAGGCTCAGAAACCCCAGAAAAAGGAGCCGGCAGCCTGACTTTCTCGCTGATCGATCTTTTCAGCTCTCTTCCTCCAGAGACGCAATCCCGCATCATTCCAATCTTGGATTCTCACTCGTCCTTCCTGGAGAAAATGCACGCTCAATCAACCGCACGTTTGGCAAATGTTCTAAAATCCCCACCCTCAAAGAATCCTGCCGTCGCAAAGATCTTTTCTTCGTCCTCCAGTCGGCCGAGTTCTCGCCCACCAAGTCCTGCTCCACCGATCAATCGCAGCGGCGCGTCAACACTGGTTCCTTTCAGCAACAGCAAAGAAAACGATGAAGATTTTTCGCCCAAGGTATCATCCGCACCTGGGCCAGGTGCGTTCCTGGCACGTTGGCAAGCTCTCCTCGACGCCACACCAATCACTCCTCTGAACCCGTCTGTCTCTTGGACAGTGGCAAGGAGTCTTGAAGTGGTGCAGTCGAGCACTTCCGACGTGGATGGCTCCAAACTCGTACAATTTCGAGCCAAGGAGGCTAGAGCAGTGCAGATTCACGTTGAAAGTCGAAGAGGGAGGGATGACGATACCCAGTCAGGGATCAGCCACGATGCATGGGCAAGGCAAAAACGGCTGAAAATCGTGATTGATGCGATGGGTGCAGATTTCAGAAAACTGTTGGCCGAGAGGGGATGTTATTGGTAAGAATGGACTTCAAGACACCACGACGGCAACTACCGTGAGAGCGGAAGAGCGATTGAATTCCAAAGAGGCATTGATGACGGTATACTCTGAAAGCCATGTGCACCAGTCTCGTCACAGGAGCAATCCCCCATGTCAATTGCTTGACCAATTCCTTCTGCTTGCGAACCCAAGGATTCGCCTGCCATTCAAAAAGCCATCTCCGCCTAAGAAACGCTCGCCGGAACAGTCTTCTTATGACCTCAGTCTGTATGGTACCCATTCCGATGCCGAACCTCGGCTCACAAGTCTCAGCCTTGCGAAACACGAACCGGCGCTCTCCTACCTTTGCAGCCTTACCATCGAGTCCGGATTACAACTCTGCCTCGGCCCTACCTCACAACTAGTACACCGTCCCGATTTTCGTGTCACCGTATCTCGTATATCGTTCCGCGGGACCGGCCCGCGATCGGAACATCTTGTTCCTCCGTCTTCCTACCTTTGTCCTCGAGACATCGCACCCATCTATGGAGGTGCATTAGGTATTTTATTCAATACACAATTCACCATAGCGGCCTGTGACAGTGTTCTATGTGGGGCCTGCGGGTCTACTAATACTGCGAGGTCCTCATCCCCGTCATGGCATGGCGTGGCGTGGTATAATGTTTGTCTGTTTCAGTACCGAGTCCTCTATCGCGGCTGACTTGGCTATCAACCGTCTTCTAGGCCACCATATGGCTCTGCCGACTACGGCTTCCTCTTCTAGGTACTCTCTGCCGGCGCAAGTTTGTGGGGGATCCTGGAGCCTTGCATGCCATGACCTTGCATAACCTAGCATAAAGCACATACATATGACCTTGTGCCTGAATAGCAGCTGGGGGACATAGTGAGACCAATACGAGTATTGCGAGACCGCAATGCAGAAGGGCCAGGGACCCTGAGAAAGCGTTCAGGTGGGGAAATGAAATGGATTGATCATGCTTAGTTATATGGTCTATGGTCGCAGACGAAGAGATGGAATTGATTTTCAGATGTCGGCAGAACGGGTCTGATTTGCCTGAAGACTTTGCACTGACGAAGATGATGTATGAATCGCAACGCCTTGACGTGAGGGTGTAGATATGAATAAAACAAACATTCAATACAATCAGAATAGGATGGAATATCTGGCTCTCCTGTCATCAATTTTAAACCCCCTTTTTTTTTATTTCTCGCTCCTCACTTCTACTCATCAGAGCATGAGAAGTATCTGTAGGGGATGCCATGTCATCATATCGACATACTAGACAGCAACTCTCGCCCTTCTTGTGTCTCTCCTTTCAAGGTGCTCGTGTCATCAAAACTTCTCAGGCTCTTCAATCAAGAGCCTCGCAGAATATGCCTTCCGAAGTTCTTCTCGAATGATTTCAAGGCCGTGATAGCAAAAGATTCTTCCCAAATCATAATGCAATGCCAAAGCGCAGTTCTCACGTTGTTTTTCCACTTCGTTTCATTCACAACACCAATGCTAGTGATTCCCAACCCATCCCCGAGATTGTAGTCGTAATCGTGACTAAACGCCAAAGAAGTGATGATTCTCTATACCAAGGTACTTTGCTATCCCGGCTACCCCAATGAGTTTGGAAAAAAAAAAAAAAAAAAAAAAAAAAAAATTGGCCATGAATCCATGTGATCGCAATCGGGTATCATGCCAACGCCCCAAAATGCACTTCAAAGGAGTCGGTGAATTTCTGAATGAAAAAGAGAAGTTGCCCACATTTATCGACCTCGTAATTGCATCATTCTCAGTCTTCGTTCTTCATCTTGAAGAGAACTCACATTTCGGTGAGAGGCCTGGGACCTCGTGCCATTCGTTCCTATGTCGAGTGGACTAGACGCCAAACTTCCGGGTAATCTGGGTGAAGTGCGAATATAGGCAGTTGGAGGCTCGGCCAACGCTGGTGGACTCGGTTCACGAACAACGGCTCCATAGGTCGGAAGACATTTCGATTGGTCATATGGTGTTCTTGGAACCGGAGTCTTCACCGCAGTTGAATAGGAAGGAACCTTGGCCAAATCCTCCATATGATCATATTGACCAAATGGTGTTCGAGCCCCGGATTGCGCCCCATCTTCTTCTTCAGAAGTTCTTCTTGATATATAATTACTTTCCGGCTGGCTCGGCGTCCCCGATTGAGCTCCAGAATGAGATACTGGCTCATGAGGACTAATTCGATGGTGTGAAATCAATCCTGGAGGCGTGTGGAAACCAAAATAGTCATCATGGACTTGCAGAGGAGCAGAATTTCGCCTGGACCGTTCGGCACTGGGAGGTGCAAGATTGGAATCGTGTTCTTCCTCCCCTGTGGGACCTGGATTTCCAACCCGTAGATCCTGAAGCCTATTCTGGAGAGCTATAGGTGAAACGTAATTCCCATTGGTGATGGCGGCAAGGCTAGCAAGATTTTCATTTGATGCATGACGACTGTGTAGATAAGGAGTGCTTGGAGTTGATAGAGCCATTCCTGGAGTTCGATAACCATCCACATCAGAATACAATGCGTCGAGCGTATGTTTGCCATAAACCGGGGGGGCTGAATTTGCGAGGTCGTTTGCTATAGCGGCTCGCCTAGCTTGAGGTGATTGATCAACGAGGTCATTGTTTTCATTGATGGGTAGACTGGGAGAGATATAGAAAGACACCGGAAGATTGGCTCGTAATTCGGAGATATGACCGTCCGGGTTGTGTAATTGAACATTGAATTTGACCTTGTGCCGAATCTTGATGCCTTTGACATTACAATCCTGTAAGCATTGATTGAGTGATTTGGGCAACTCCAAATAACGAGAGAATTGGTATCCTTCAGCAACCTCGTCGATAATCTGTTCATCGTTTTCTGGATTGATTCTGTACAGATCCGTGGCAATGACTCTGTCGTATTTGGTCACGCCACTCCCCAAGGCCGATATTCCCCATTCCGGGTCGACAATAAACTCCTGCTCTTCTTTGACTTGCGTTGATACGTTGCCAATAACAAGGCCTTTCAGAAGAGAGATTAGTTTGAAGTCGACTTGTACAAAGGAACCAAAGGCAACGGCTTTGTTGGGGATGCTGATGGAATATTCAATCTTGTTGGGCCAAATATTCTCAACAGACTACACATGGCCATGTTAGTTGAGAAGCTCTCGTAGGCCGAAGGGGGGGAGGGAGGACATACCATCGCATGGGCAAGCTCCAAAGCATTGGAGTCAAGTGTACGAACGATCCGCAGAGGCTTTCTGACGACGATGTCTCTACCTCTCTTGCGATTGATCTCGGCTTTAAGACGGTATATGATCCAGGCATCTTTCAAACCCTCCACACTTTCAGGCAGTGCGCCCTCAAGGATACACTGGAACGGCCATTCGTAATTGTCTGGAGGCAACACCTCGGTCTTTCCCTTCCCCGGGTCTCGAAATGTCCAATTCTTCTCGAAGAAGGTTTTTTCTTTGTAAGCGGTGCGTCTGCCGGACATGGAGGAGGTGGAGGTGGTTTGCCATCTAAGCATCAGGTCAATTGGTAAGTGATCACGCGAGTGGGTGACCTTGCCGGAGCAGCCGCGCGGGCAAATGGAAAGGTGCTCACGTCATATGGAGAATGCCACTCAGTGTCAAGTCAACATGGGCAATTGTCATGGGTTCGGTCAGGCACAAGACAACAGAACCCGACAGCTGGACGCTGGCAGCCTCGTCCTCGTTGCCTCTGAAAACAATATAGTCATTGTCCAGGCGGATATCGAAGTATTTGACACTGCTGCTGGTACCGGAGTGGGACGCGTGCCCGCTGAGAAACTTGAGAGCCATAGTTTGGGATTTAGGGGTGCTGGTGACCAGATGACGGTCGGCTGAAGCAATGGAAGAAGAACTAGACGGGCGGTGGCTCAATGAGGAATGCAATGCCGGCTCATGGTGGCCGGAGGAGCATTCAGGTGAATGCTTGCGATGTCGGCGGAGGAGTTGCCTGGTAGCCTGCAGTTCGGATCGCGTGAGAATAGAGCATTAGAGGAAAGAGAGAAGGAAGGAGTGGAATATGTCAGTTTGAAATCGAGTGGCATATGACGATGATAGGCGTGGGCATGGAGCATGAGATGCACCTGAGAATTTTTGCGCGTGAATTGCGAAAAATGGATGGGCTTGATGGAATTGGGTAGTGGTATTGGGTGGTGAGGGGGTGAGTGAAAGGATGTGGATAAGCCTCAGCGGAAGTGGGCTGGTGGGCTGATGCAAGAGCAAGAAGACGCAGGCAAACTGGGAGGCTAAGGAATGCTTAGATACCGCACCGAACTTACTGTTATCAGCCGCTGGTCCCTCTGGTCCTCTGATGCTGTGAGTGGTGTGGGTGTTCTTGTCCCCGTCCCTGTTCCTAGCCCTGTCGCTGGCCCAACAGTTGTCACGATGGTTGTGGTTGTCCCCGTCGGAGCTCCTGTGGAGCTTCCGCCTGAAGGAAACGAGTCCGTGCCGAGGGCTATGGGTAATGATGATGTTCCCTGGACCGGCGACTCTGAGGCTGCGCCGGTGGATACTTCTTCTGCTTGTGTTCGGGACTCTTCTCGGGCTCGTGCCTCGTCTATCGGGAAACGTTCCTGGACCGTTTGCTGGTTCTGGATAACAAGTGCGTCACTACAGGAGATGGTGATGGTAAGAGGTGTGGTGTTAGACGGTGAGGATGACGTTGAAGAGAAAGATGGACCGGTGAGGGCGTTCGTTGGCCTGATTCTAGGTTGGGTTTCCGCCTGCGTTTGCATCTGGGTCTGAGCCTGGCACTCGGTCTGGAGCCGGCTTTGATCCTCCACCTGCACCACGGGCAGTACCTGTGATTTCGGTTTGACTCTGGATCTCAATTTGATCTTGGATGTCGCTTTCGAAGGTCCTAACGGTACCAATGGCCCTAGCGATGGGCATGGAAGATCTCGTAATATCGCCCTCGTTCTCGCCGATCGCCGGTCCCCAAGTGTCATGTCGAGCCAAAATCTCTTTTTAGCCTGTGCAACCGCTAGTACTGACACTGTCGTATGCAGTATCCCGAGCTCTGAACGGAACCGCGAATTTTCCCGAGGCCCTGCCGACCCAGGGTTGTGTGGACAAGGACAGTTCGAGCACTGAGTCTTGACAAGGTGGTAATCCTGGATACTGATCCTGGGTGACACTGTGTGCTTTGCTCGTCTGATGGTACCATTTGGCTATTTCTCGTGGCGAATCGTGTCCACTACCACCAATTCAAGGTGCCACTGAAGAGAAAACTGGGTCGATGGTGAGTGATGACAAGAGGCATCAGACTCCTACATACTTTTTATGGTCGACTTCCTTGGGCACAATCTTGTGAACAGCGTATCCGAGTTCGCACACGATCATCGGCTCCCTTTTGAATGTCTCATCCGGCCGGCCCCTAAGCAGCCAAATGTGTCCGCAACAATCCACGCCTGAGGACGCCAGGATCGTCAGGGCTGAATGTCCTTTTCCCTAAAGCTGATTCCTTCATCCCTCCGCTCCAGGTTGCACTGCGTCTTCAAAGCCCTGACTAGATGCACAATAAGGAATCCTCCCTGACGCCTCCCCACGCCCCAAACCTTCTGGATGAGAGCGTAATGAGTCTTGGAATCGCCCCCCTGTTCCTTTGCCCTCCACGTTGATGTGCATTTCTCTCGCAAACTCTGCAGCCTCCATTGGTCCAACGTGCCAATCCTCGAGTACCCTGCATCACTCGGCAGGTGTGGCGCCCTTTCATCCCACCCCTCTTCGCTTTTTGCTGTTTCCAAGTTGAACTGCTCCGGAAAGCTATTCTCGGATCAATGGTGCCGGCTGCTCATCTGCTCGAGGCAACCTTCACGCCTCCCGGAGCCGACCCTTTAGCAATGTCATCATGTACAGAGCATCTCAAAAGGAAAGTTTACGCTCGACAGTTACATCTCGGATGCCTTCCGCCTAGTGAAATTGGCAGAAGACGGGATGAGGTAATTCGTAAGTTGCTAGATCGATGGCGTTCGTGCATTGCCCGTCAAGAAATTTCTTCCACCATCGTCTAAGTATGCTCTAGGCACAGATACTGGGCACAGGTATGGATGTGATACCATCCGCTCATTTTCTGTGGTTCGGGCTCTGATAGTTCGTCTTTCCTAATGCGTCATGACCCTTGAGGAGCCCTGTCTTGCAGCTGTGCTAGACCCACGTGGATCTTTCGTTATCGAAATGCTCTCTGTTGGTTCTACGCTAGGCACAAAAACATCGACATTTTCCTCTGCAGGCCAACTTTTCCACCGGAATTCAGTCCATTGGCTATTGTCCAAGCGAAAAATTCCTTTTGTCCATGTCGCCGATAACGCCTGGAAGATTGAGTTCTTTTTTCTGCCGCCTCGAATTCCGCTTCTTGGTTCGAAGGCCAATACAGTGAAAGTCAGCCACCTCTGTCACAACAAGGCTTTGGCACTTTGAATCACATGGCCTTCACGGCCGTGATTTTTCAGATAAGTTGACCTGACTGCTATTGGCACCATCTCGAGGTCGGTCCCAAGTACGGATGTGCCCTAGTTCACAAGTCAGCTCACAGTCCAGTTCCCTTCCGACCTGACGACACGATCGATGAAATTCACGTGCAAATTGGGTACGTACCCTCAAGGCAAGACGTGATGATACAATCCTGCTCAAAAGCGAGACCACTCAGTGGATGATCATCAATCATCTTGGACTAACCATCAACATCAGCATGTGGCCCATTGACAGGCCAAAAAAGTTTCGACCTCAGCGAACTTACCATCACAGGAGGCAGTTGAGCTGTTCGTGCTCTTGGTTCGACAGCATGATTGAGAAATTCCGATTCATCCACAGCATCTTGTTGAACACTTCCCGTTCGATTGGAATCAGATCTAAATCGGTTAATGACGCTGGCACTTTCGGTCCGTTGACGTAGAAGAGAGATGGATTGTGTTGATATGCTGCCTCTGGCCCGGGCGGTCGCCTAATTTGTCTGTGTAAGCATTTCAATGGTTGGCCAAATAGTTTATGTTTGGATTACTTACCCCTTTCGGACGATGAAGCATTCCGACACTGAAATCCCATAGCAAAAGCTTGCAGTCATCTCCCACACTGCCAAAGCGATATGTTGTTTCATCGCAGCGCCATGGGTCGAATGCAACGGCCGTCACCCAAGAGTCATGACCGGGGCATCGAGCAATGATCTGGCGTTCATGGAGCGACCAAATGGTTACGAGGTCGTCTTGGCCCCCGGTGAGCACGTATTTCCCATCAGGCGACCAGCATACACATGTAAATCCGCCGTAGTAGGATGAATATATATCAGTGAGCCTGAAAAAAATGTGAGCCCGGAGGTTCCCTTCATGATGAATAAACCCGGGGGAAATATTGAATACCTTTCTTGCAAATAGTCGATTATGCGGAGATATCCATCGTCTCCCACCACGGCAAGATGCTTACTGTCTGGAGAGAATGCGAAATCGGTTATACCCTGACTTGATATCTTCCAGCACGCAACAGGGTTGGCCCTTTGATTGGACGAGTTGACACTCTTAGTGATGACGAGGGTGGACTGGTCTTCATCTTCGATGCTGATGGCCTCGTCCACCAGTTCTTCCGAGACAAATGGCGCATCCTCTTTTTCCTTGTCATATACAACCAAGGTCCCGTCCATATGAGCGGCAAGAAAATGATTTTCCGAGCCAGGTACCCACTTGATTTTGGCTACAGCCGAGTTGTTGATGATACCATTCTTGTTGATGCGAGCGTACTTCTGAGACATGGGCTCATACCAAATTATATCACTTGCCGAGGATCCCATGACAATGTCCATGTGCGTGGAGTGCTTGGTCATGGCATTGATATCGTGGCACAACATATGGGCCTTGGTGAAGAGAATCTTGGTCATCGGATCCTGTTTGGCGCTTGATGAGAGGTCAAGCCACTGAAAAGCTCGGTTGATATTGACAAACGCAAATGTGCCCCCTTGGTCCCGCTCGGCGAGTTTCTTGGCCAGAGACTCATGAGGAATGACGCGGGAGACGAACGAAGAATTGCTTTTGATAATATTGTTTTTGGGCTTCCGTCTCTTGAGGCCATCTCTGCTGGTAACGGGCGAAAGTGCGGCATTGCCTTCCCCAAAGGCTTTGACCGTGCTGGACTTGTTGCTGCCATTCACCGACGCCGCCTGGTTGCTTGTGTCGCTGCCAGTTTCGATGGACGTCCTCGGCTCTTTTTCTGGTTCTTTGGCCTCTTTGACCTCCTTGGAGTTATTTAAACCTAGGGATTTCCATCGCAAAAGACTGCTCGTGGCCGTGGTGGTTTTATACAAGTCGGGGTTGATTTGTTTTGGGTTGAGTGATACCAACGAAAGTTTAACACCGCTGGTGGGAGGAACAACGCTCGTTGCTAAAGGATTCGGGTTGACTACGGGAGCTTCGGACGGATGAGGTGGAGGGGTTGCCAGTTGCAGGTCGTCTCGCAGAACATACGTGCCTATCAATTTGTCAGCGATGAACTAACAGAAGCAGATCAGGGAGCTGTTGAGGACCTTCGCCGGCTTGAAAGGTGTATTCTGGTCCTTCGCGAAATGTTAAAGTGTTTGCAGTTTCAAGAGTTGTGGCGACTAAGCTGCTGTTGGTGGGATATCGGGGAGGAGGTGGGATGGCACTGCGAATATTTTGTCAGTGGGAACTAGATTGAGCGCGGAGTAACCTGAACTTACAACATGGCGACTTGTTCACACGATGGCTGCCCTTGAAAGCAACGCTGGATTGTTACGATCTCCAAAGTTACTGTGCGGGCGAAAGCCCAGAAGAGGCGAGGCTGGAGGCAAGATCCAAGGCTGAGTGCGAGGAATCAATGGGGAGTCTGAAGATGGAGTTCGGAGTTTGGATGCATCAGTGCATGAGAAGTGTTGCACTGACAGTGGGCAGAACCAGAGAGTGGCGTTTGTACCACCAACAGCTGCCTCCCCGGGAATAGTGTGCAGTGCCCCAATGCCAGACCGCAGTGGGGTTGAACGCCCGGTGAGGCTTTAGAACCGCTAGATGAAAGAGTGCGGGGGTGTCCTTCTCTGCCCCGTCCTGAAAAAGTTGGATCTTTCGCTTGACCACATTAAACGTACTTCCCCAACAGCAATTCGGTCGTTCTCTCTAGCATCCACATATTTTTGGGTCACAGCTTTTGGAGCAAGATAGGACCATTCCGCAAGTGCAAGATACAAATGATTGGCAGTCCTCCCGTCTTGGTCGTTCACCTGTCTAAGGCTCTTCCGATCGGCAGACTGCTTGACCTGGCAGTTTGCGATGAGTGAAGCACTGCTTTCATATATCATCGGGCCATTTCAACAGAGCCAGTTCTTCCCTCAGCACATTCGCAAGTTCCTGGCTGACGACCTCGAGATCGGTACGTATCTGTTGGTGATCTTCGTCCTCGTCGTCCTCCTCTTCGTGATTACCATCTACTCCGTTCACAGCGTAGGGTTCCATCTCTTCTGCCTCGCCATTTCGTAGCGCCGGAGTTTGCTTGGGCTCGGGTCCTGTGACAGCTAGAAGGATATGGTCTGCAATCGGAGTGATGACAGAGATTGCTCCCATGTTTTGTGCCTCAAACACGAGGATATCTTCGGACGCTACCGTGTAGGCGGCCGTCATGGTCGTAGATTGAGTGCGCATAGCTTTAATCGAAGGAGTATCGTCTCGGTACGCATATGCGAGAATTGATCCATTCAAAGCCGAGACCATGAGCGACGAGACATTGTCGCTCCAAGATAAAGCTTCGCGCAGAAGAGCAGACAGTCGTTCAGAGTCGAGTAGACAAACTTGAGACATCTTTGCGGGATAGAAAGGACCACGTCAAATATCTTGGGTGTTGGTAAGGATTGAGTGAAGCTCCGCAGGCCTGACCAACAAACAGTTCTCGATCTTCAGGTTCAAGCACTACTACACTGAACAAACTCGCAGACACATTCTAGACTTGGCCTCCGTCACAAACTGAGGGCAGGTGTCTGACTACATTTTACAGTCCAACGCAGGTTGCAGGAAATCAGCCGCCGAATTTGGCAGGGGCGGCCGCCGCTTTTGGAGTTCTTCTTCCTTAAATGCCAAGACCATCCACTCTTTCATTCTCACATGGGCGCTTGGCTGGCACGCCAAGTCTCACAGCCTCGAGAGAGTTATACATCCGCTTTCACCTATTGCCTCTCCCTATTGAAGGGCTATTTAAGCGTTCATTGTTGGCTAGAATAGGCAATGCTGGCTTGACGTTGTCACCGCGGCTAGCTTGGCATTGTCACCCTGCGGTGACACCTGAGGCAACTTGCACCCTCAACTCTTTTCACTCACTTAGGATAGATCAATCAATCAATCCTCTCTCATCATTCATAATCTCTCTTACCTCAGTGCACCCACCTCTCGCCTCAGTACACGCCTGATTCATCAACAACTTTCCCTGTCTGATTCTTCTACCTGCTTTTTCTACTCCTCTAACATTGCGCCTTCCGGCCTTCGAACCTCAACATGAGTACAATTTGCGGACCCGGCGATGGGGCACCTACATATACACTCATGTCAAGGTCATCCTCAAGCTCGACTACATCAAAAGAGACTACGGCAGTGGAGAATTCACCACCGAAGATATCGCCCTTAGAGGGAGTAGAAAACGCTCGTATCTATCCGTACAAAGGGATCCGAGATCTAAAAGAACGTGTCAAATCGCAGTCTGCTGCGTTGATGGACGGTCACACGAATCAGCAGTACCTTGTTTTCAGGGGTGTCACCAAAGGCCAACTTGAAAAGATTGACCATCAGCGCGCCAGCATAGGGAAGCATACTCGGATGAGCCATTACGCGGATAACAATCTATTAGTTATCAAGCTGATGCCCTCAAAGGCACATGAAGTTGCGCACCTCTCACTAGCCATGAGACTTCGTGACGAAGTTATCATCACAATGGGCCTCCCACGAGACTGTTTATGTCTTATTGGCGGGACAACGTACAAACGCCCTAATTCATCTAAAGAGGGTGATATGGGATTCTGCCCCTTCCCGGCCCGGGAAAAGGAATCTGACTGGTCAACAATTGTTTTTGAGTCTGGGCTCCCTGAAACGCTTACCCGTCTGAGACATGACGCAGAATGGTGGATTGTCAACTCTGGAGGAGATGTCAAGATTGCCATCATCATCTCAATAAAGCGAGCACAGAAGACGCTAATGGTCGAAAAGTGGTGCCCTTCTCCGCCTCCTGCCTATAGACCAGCTACCAGAAGCCACCCAAATCCCAACGCTCCAATTCCGACAAAAATCCAAGAGCTTACTATCACCCAAAATCCCACTCCACAACTAGGTCCTCTTGCTCAGTCGAATACCATCGGTCAGCCATTTGTCACCGTTCAGCCAGGCACTGTCTCAGCCTATGACGTTGCTGGAGCGCCTCTGATTCTCGAATTTGACAAAATCTTCCTCCGAGCCGCTGTACCGCCAGAAGGCGACGTCGTCTTTAATGTCGCGGATCTTGCGGCCTGGGCGGATTCCTTCTGGAAGTTCCTTAAGTAGAGAGATCGCAAGAGTTATGGCAGGATCGGGGGGGACACATTGTGGAACTGGCAACGGCTAGTGGTGGGTCGGGCTCTGTGCTGGGCTGTTGTACAGCATACAGGACAACCGAAGTGTCATCACTTTCCCAGGGTTTTTCTAAGGGCTTGTTTGGGGCAACGGAAGTACCATCCTTACCGATGGTTCTCTTAAGAGCTGATTCAGGACAACAGAATCGCCATAGATTTCCGTCAAACAATGAATGCCAAGAGAATATGAATTGAATGCTCTGCTCTTTAACAACTGGGTCCTGCTAGGTTGCTGATTAAAGCGTAGCGTTAGCGAAGCTCTTTTTAGACTCCGACCCCCTCGCGCCCGCGCGCGAATTATCGAGGGATCAATTTTGTTCACGTGACTCCAGCCGTTTCTGATTGGCCGACGAAATCGCTTATGATTGGTCGAAAAAAATTAGAAACCCCGTCTCTGATTGGCCGAGAAAATGATCTCGCGATGGGGTACACGGCCTGTCTTCAAAAGCGCCTACTCTCTTTCTTTCTCAAAGATGCCTCGGCCGCCCCAGGGAGCAAGGTCTTTTCCGACCTGTATGGCCTGTCGTGACAAGCGGAGAAAGAGAAGGGCTCGACAGCAGGACCTTCGAACGCAGTGAAGCGGGGTATGGGGGCTAGACCCCATAACAGACATAGTGATCAATATGCACTGGATCCGATGGGGGATATCGTACGGCACAGGACACCATGATCAACATCGTCTACATATGGTCCATGGACTGGATCCGATGGAGGATATCGTACGGCACAGGGCACCGTGATCAATATCGTCCACACGTGATCCATAGACTGGATCCGATCAGGAGGGTCTGGCGACAAAGGCGGCATTCTACCCATTCCTGGGTGGGCCGTGGATTGGATCCGATGGGGTCAGCCACAGGATTACGTAATACTCGGATTATAGATTTTCCGGAATGGGGAGGCTTGGCAATCACGTGACACGAGGGCCCGGGGATTGGCCGGTGGATTGGATCCGATGGCGCCAGCCAATCAGAGCAAAGGATTTAGTAGTCATCGGATTATAGATTTTCCGATCCCGAGGGGTCGGCAATCACGTGAATCGTCGTAGGGCGGCATGTGTGCGCCGCCAAGAATTGCCAAGGCCCATGTGGCCGTCTCAATCACGTGATGTCTCGAGCGCAGCGAGGCCTGGGGGTTTGGGGGCTTGCCAAAATACAAAATCTACGCTTTCACCCTCCCCTAGTACCAAAGGCTTGGCAATCTCAAACGCAGGGGTTTGGGGGCTACGCTTTTACCCCCCATGAAATATCCTGTCCGCGGCCCCTAGTATTTATACACGTTTTGTTGACCCCTTTTCTTCTCCTATTCCTACCCCTATATCCTACAATGTAGGGCGCCGGCTGATCATGTGAGGCGGGGCAGAAATGCCAGGGGCCCCAGGATGAAGAGAGATGGAGAGGTCGACGTCGAGGAGGATGGGAGAGCGGTTCTTATAGCGGGCAGACCGCCTAAACCAGAGGCAGATTTCCCGGCAACGACATTGCAGACAAATAAGTTCCTTGTCACTGGGGCCCACCCTTTCCAACTGTTCAGAATTGCTCCTTACTTGGAACACAAAAGTATAATCCCTATCCCGCCATTTAACCCTATCCCAAATCATCGTTTTTCTTTATCGTCCTGTCATAATGATAACCTCCTCAATTCCCTACGCAATACTTCTTGTCCGTGACAAAATGCCGCCACGGTCTAATTGGCGGTCAATGCAAAACTAAATCCCAGAATCCCCATACCCAAAAAGGCGAAGGCAATACAAGTACCCTTATTGTGACTCAGCTGTAAACTCTCGGAAAACAAAGACAAAGCCACACTGGTCATGACGCCAGATGTAACAGCAAACATTCCGCCATAGAATCCTTCAGTGGGTGCGCCAAAACTGCTCCTCTTAGCCAATTTGAACCACAATGCGGCAATCCCAGCCCCAAGGGGTTGCGACAAGCCTCCGAGGAATGATGACCATGCAATCGCCTTGATTCGAGATCCGAGAGCAAGATAGAGTGGCAATGACATCGCGAATCCTTCAGTGATATTGTGGATGAAGAGAGCCATGAAGACAGCAAATCCTATCCTTGGATTTGCGTGATTCGTTGCATATGTAATAAAGCCTTCTGGAGCCTTATGCAACGCGATCGCCAAGGATGTTTGTAAGCCTATCGACATAAAGGCATTGGTTGGGACGTGGTGATGGTGTTCTCGAGCAGCAGTATGCGAATGTTCCGAGGGTCGGCGGAAATTCTTGTCTGGTCGTGAATGTTCATTCTCGGGGTGATGGTAATGATGTATCGAAGACCAGGAGCGAGTAAAAGCTGGCTGGGACTCCTTTACTCCGGAATCGGTGCCTGCACGTATCAGAGCAGATCCATTGGCTGACGGACATTCCTCAACTTCCTCTAGAGCTGGTGCAATGCGCACGTCACTTGCACCACCGCGCCAGGATGGTGTTCGTACGAAAGGGGCATGATCTGGCAATACTGAACCCCTTCTGTGCGCAGCCTTGAAACAGTCTTGCCCACAAGGGTCCGTAAACCCCATGCAGGGACCAGTCTCGTCGCAGTTATCTTTCTGGCCAGCCATATATTTGGAAAGCGTCCGTGTCAGCTTGGAAGGCATCATGGATGGTTTACGACTGTTAGGTGTCGTGTAAAAAGACTGTTTGCAATTCCCGTTATTGTCTTCTTCCCTGTCATGTTGAGGTTTCTTAGGACTGATACTGGTGGTCCGAGAGAGCAAGGGCGTATCCTCATCTTCCTCGAGGGGCGGTTCAGTATGGGCTTTGGAGATTGGCAAGCCATTTGTGTGCTCATCATCGTGCGGATGTTCAGACATCTCTTCATGATCTATTGTAAAGCCCTCCTCGTCATCGTGGTTATGATCACAGTCTACAACATGCGATGGGATGAATCGATGGATGATATGCGAGAAAATTTGAATGCCAATGACACCGGCTAAGAACAATCCGATTAGGAGGTACGAGGCGACTGGTGGCGAACATCCCGCGTCTTTTAGATAGGTCTTGGACTGCGGCAGCATCGAATAGAGAGCGGAAAACAACTGCGACAGTGTTAATGTTTATGGCGGGCACAAGAATAAATGTGAGACTCACCATCACCCCAAAACTAAGGCTCAAGGAGGCAGAGAGAAACCCGTCACTCTCTGAGATCGTAAAATGCCGCCAACGTGGAAATTGGCGGGCCACTATGTCGACGCAAATGATTGCGGAGCCAATCACGCAGGCTGACCATGTCAGTTTGGAATAGATATCTGGTTATAGAAGAGATGTCTCCATACCAATGCCACTAATACATGTCATGATCCATCCTCGGGTATCGTTGTCAAGGGCCATGCTGACGGGTCCTGGTTTTCGCCAATATCATGGAGAATCAAATATACTCTAGAAATGGGTGGGTATGGTGCAACTGTACAACGAGGCTAAATATGCAGGGCGGGACGTATTTCGAGGAGACACAGGGAGCCTTGATATAGGAGGAGGAATTTGGATAGGTATGTTTGTTTGTGGAAAGACTCGAGGCCGCAAGGTCTGAGAGAGGCAACGGCAGTAAGGGAGGCTGAGATTCGGACGCAAGCAATGACGATGGTTCATTTTAGAGGACCTTAAGATGTCATGCGCCATTAGCTAAGAATGGGAGTTTTTAACGCCCCCCGGGCTTCTGCTTTGTCCAACGTGCCAGGGGCAGCTGAGTCAAAAAGACATCGGCGGCCTCCCGATTGGCCTCAAGGCAGAAATGATCATCTTGCATACAAATCTGACATTCCGAATTATTCTACCCAAGCCTTGCATCCTCCTCCGCGCTCCCACACATGTCCAAAACCACTATTGCTATCGTTGCCGCGACGTCTGCATTCGCAGGCGCGTCGATCACGGCCCTCCTGTTCCCCAAATCACGGAAAGATGAATCCATACCAACTCCTCTTCCAACCCCGGTGCCGGCCCCTACCCCAGTGGCAGTATCGACGCAGCCTCCAGCATCCGCCATCGTCTCCCCTGTTGACCCTTCTGGCATACTGCGGTATGGCTCCCCAGGCCCTATTGCGGACATGTTGATCACTCCCTCCCACCTCTCTTCGTTCAACCGCATAACTCGAAATCCTCATTGGGTAGCCGAACATTTCACGGCGCAATCACTACTCCTGAACAATGGCTCTCGCCGGCATAGTGTATTTTACGAAGACTTATCAATACCTCCGATGTTTCGAGCAAAGTTGGCCGACTATGCACGAAGCGGATACGATCGAGGCCACCAAGTGCCGGCAGCAGATGCAAAATGGTCACAAGCCGCCATGGATTCCACCTTTATTTTGAGTAATATGTGCCCGCAAGTCGGCGAAGGTTTCAATCGGGATTATTGGGCTCATTTTGAGGAATTCTGTCGAGACTTGGTGAAGAAGTACCCCAGCGTCAGGGTCGTGACTGGCCCGTTGTATCTACCAAAGAGAGACGAAAGAGATGGCAAATGGAGGGTGTCTTATGAAGTCATTGGTAACCCACCGAATGTGGCCGTGCCCACCCATTTCTACAAAATCATTTTTGCAGAAGAGGCTGCTCACAGTCCAACGGCGTCCGTAGCACTTGGAGCATTCGTGCTGCCAAATGCTGAGATACCCAATCAGAAGAGCCTGAGTGATTTCGAGGTACCCGTCGAGGCTGTCGAAAGAGCCAGTGGGTTGGTGTTTGGAGATAAACTACCAGCCGACCGAAAAAAACGACTTTGCCGGGAAGTGAGATGTGAGATCATCATCCGAGAATTCGACAAGAGTCGGCAGCAGGCAGGCAAACAAGATTGGTCAAGAACCTCCTCCCCCCCTGCGGGAGCCCTCCAAATTGCGCAGCCTGGAGGGAGATAGGGAGCAACGAGGTTTAGGTGAATTTGCATAGGCCAGATTTGCATCTCAAGGTTCTTGAATCGATTCGCCTGACAATGGCTGATCTGCTTCTGAAGATGAGCAACTGTCTGGTCATATGGCGGGACTAAAGCGGCACAGAATTGACTTGAGTAGGCGTCATAAAATTTCCCTACATTGAGCATTTCAGCGGCATCCAGGGATGAGCGATTGTTTGAGTCATTGTGCCAATAAACTACACCGACGCAGTCTGATCAGAAGCATGGGAATGGGAGTCACAGAATGTTATTTGAACCCTTTTTAAGTGGCTCAATAAACTCGAAAGCAAATTGATGATAGATCCAGCGTCTCGGAGTTTTGCATAACCATCTCCACTCGGTCTCCGGATCTAACAAAGGATGGGCTCGCCGTTCCTAATTCGTAGCGGGGAAGAGAGATTGTGTGCCACTTCGACACGTCTGCACGTGATGAGGCTTCAAGGGTTATCCGCGCCGCTAGAACGGAAACGGTAGGAGGCTGAGGGCTATAAGTATGTTGTAGATTCCGATCCAGTTATCTGCAGGCAGCCTTCTAGTTGCCTTGCTGATTTGTACTCGCTCTTTCGTGCTATAAAGCTCCTTATCACCCCGGCCTTCCATACTCTGGGTCTATCTTTCACTGGTTATAGGTTGGAATATGCCAACATGTACCTTTGCCTTCTCTGTGATTGGCTCACGACTTTTGCCGCCCCAGATGTGTGCGCCTTGTGCCTGCAATCCTTATAGGCATCACCGTCCCGTGGGCCTATGAGCCAGCCTGTTTGAGTAGATGACGTTTCATGGCTCCAATCGCACGGCGATGCCGACAATTTTGTGTTCCACAGTGAGTCAGACTACATACTTGAAGTCAATCTGTATCAGGCAGCGCATCCCTCTGCCCCGCTTTTTGACCTGTTGTCATCGTTCGCTGGAAAGTGAATAAAGGACCAGCCTGATCGTTCTGGAATTGTGATTTCCTTTGTGTTGAACCAAAAATTTGTTTCAAACCCAGTCATTCAGCGTTATTTCTCTCGTCTCATCGTCAAAATGTCATCATCCCCGGACACCTCCGTAGCTCCTATCGAGGTCGAGGTGAAAGTTGCAATCAAGGATCAAAACACGTCGATGGAGGATACCAAGGCTGACGAGGGCGGCCAGGAAAAGAAGAAGGTTCCCGAAGAGGACAAGAAGAAAGATGAATCTAAAGAACCCGATGTTCCCCAAGGGAGCATCTCCGAAGCCAAAGCTCTCTACGCAAAGAAAGACAGTGATGGCAATTACCAATGGGTCACTGAAGAACCAAAAGATGTACTCGATGCGGCTGAGAACAAGGAGACGGCTCGATATGCGTTCCTCGTGCGCAAAAAGAAGAGCTACGACAGTCGTAAGAAGTACGATATCGACTCCATCATCGTCCAGAGCCCTTGGCTAAAGAAATGTTTGGGAGTGGTGCTTGAAGAATACCCCGGTATCACAACTAATCTTGAACGACTGGTCTTCCGAGCCCCCTTCCATCCCTTCGTCCATCGATGGACTCGGCTGGCAGATATGCTGGAGAAGGATGAGTTCGAGGAGCCCATTGCTAAAGAGCACCTTCAACTCTTTCACGATGTCCTCTTCGAGGAACTCGAGAATGCCATCGCCGCCAAAATCGATCTCGTCAAGAATGGTGTCATCACTTTCGAACACTTGTGGACGATCTTCGAGCCCCAGACACTGGTGTACACCGTGTCTGACGGCAAGGAATGTGTTTTCAAGCTCAACTCAGCTAACACCCTTCTCGATTCGCAACGGGGACGTAAATATTTGCAAATGGACGTGTGGGCCTGCGACTGGGATGGAACGAAATTCGGTCGCAACAACACCTCTCTGCAGAATTATGACTTCCCCGGGACAATGGCCATCACCTCTCTGCAGGTATTCCCACTCGACTTCCATCCTGACAAAGAGGAACTGGTTCGGCGGCTGGTGATCAGAGGCAAGCTCTTTGAGCGCTTTGCCGGATATCACTACCAAGCATACCGAGGCATGGCACTAGGATACGGTCGATGCGGTATGATTCGTCACAACTTGGAATCTCGGATCATCATCGACTGCGAAGCTCATAATCGCTTCTTGCCGAACGACGCGGTCCATTTCAGCTCGCTCTCCCGATCCCCAAATACCCCTGTACCTAGCCTCGTGTCTGGCGACTTCGACGACGATTCCGAGGACTATTATGATGACGCGTCGGACTATCTCGATGCTCCCGAAACCGACAATGGAAATACTTCCGCCAAGCCGAAGCATCGTCCTTTGACCGTCGAAGAGCTTCTTATTGCGGTTCCATATGTTCGGGGATACGCCATCAAGACTAAGAAGTGGCTTTGGTTCTATGTCGACCAGATTGAGCCCATCAAATTCGCCGACAACGCATTTTCGTCGTTGGTCTTGCCAGCTGAACAAAAAGCACTCATTCGCGCATTTGTAGAATGCCAGGTCAAGCACAAAGATGATTTTGATGATATCATCGCAGGGAAAGGACGTGGTATGATCATGTTGCTCGCAGGACCTCCAGGAGTGGGCAAGACCCTGACTAGTGAAAGCGTCGCCGAAGATATGAGAGTCCCACTGTACATGATGAGCGCAGGAGATCTGGGAATTGATCCGAGCGGGATTGAAGAATCCCTAAATCTGGTGCTGGACATGGTTAGCAAGTGGAATGCGGTCCTACTACTGGACGAGGCAGATGTGTTTCTGGAAGCGAGAAGCACCCACGATCTCGAACGGAACAAGATGGTGTCCATCTTTTTGAGAGTCTTGGTAAGCCGACACACCCGAAGCACACAACGCGGTTGGCCAAAGGAGCATGGATGTCCTTTATTATGAAGGATTCCACACACACCCCGGGCCGCGGTAGCCTCTGTGCCAAGCTGATTGAACGCACCTGGTCAGAATGCCATGGTTATTGTTGAATCTGACTCACGTCCCGTCTTACTTTTGAGACATCCAGGCTAACAATCGAATCAGGAATACTATGAAGGTGTCCTCTTTCTGACTACCAACCGACTCAAAAACATTGATGAAGCCTTTCATTCACGTATTCATGTCACACTGAACTACCCGAACCTCTCGCAAGACTCCCGACGGCATATTTGGCAGACATTCCTGGGTCCTGGGAGTAACGTGACAAGCAGAGAACTCGATCGTCTCTCTCAGGTGGACCTCAATGGTCGACAAATCAAAAACATGTTGAAGACAGCGCAGATGCTCGCTCGGAGCCAGGGGCAAGCCAAGGATGGGAAGGTGGCGATGCGCCATATCGAAACCATCCTTGCCATCGAACGAGGCACATCTTGGGAGTGATTTGACAGCTGAGCAGGTACATATGCATGGCGTATTGAAAGGTTGAGTGTGGTCCCGCGAAGCTTGAGTGTTCCTCTCGAACGACAGCTTCATGGGCGGTGGAGATAGCGGCTGACAGTAAGACTAAGGCCTTAATATCTTAGCATATTCTTTCCACAGTAGCAAGCCACGTTGAAATGGACCGATCACCGGCGCTCTCTTCGAATTGGAGAGAAGGGCTGCCCTTGAACGATTGGCGTAGAGAGCAAAAATTTTCGAAACCCGCCCTCTTCTCTCAGAAGGCTCCAATAGCCATGGGAAAAATTACTGCGCCTATCCAGGAACTCATCTTTTTCCCATTTTTGACAAAAGTGACTGGATCAGGTGGCCGGATGAGCACATTCGAGAACCCAATGTACGAACTTTACGAGCGAAGCCAATGCGATGCAGCGTTGCGGAACCAGATATATGAGAACAGTCTGCTGTCGATAGCAAACAACACACACCACCCGGGGAGTGTATGCTGAGGCCAACTGCAGGATGTATTATTGGAATGCTGGAGGCGAAACATGGCGTATGAAAAGAGCGCCTGGAAGGCACGGGAAGTTAAAACAAAAGACTCACCTTCCCTGCTCACCGTCAAGTCGGATGCGGGGAAAAGAGCTTAGTCAAGAGCTAGAGCCGAAAGAGGGATGGCGGCATTCTATACATGACCTCCGCCAAGGCTGGTAAGAGCTGACCCAACATCAACCACCACCACTCACGACCTCTCTTCGTCTGTGCTGCTGCATAGATGTTTGTCATAGCAATTCATTCTCGCTCGACAGCCTCTGCCATGAACACGAGCTGTCTGCCAGCAAGGCATACTTGGCCATGCATGTCGCAAACCTTTTGCTGTTGTCTCCATCATCCTTCGTCCGGATTGCCAATGTCCTGTTTCCATGGCCAGTGCTTCTCTATCCGTTCAGTTAAGGACCACCGTCAGCTGAGGATCGAACGAGAAGTCTGAGGTTAGAACCACGGATGACATTTCATCTCGAGCGGTTCCTGGGAAGGACAGTGTCTCAGTGACAGCACCCATTCCATGGCCCCTCCAGATTCGAAGGTATAAAGAGGGGCATGGTAAGTGTCCTTCAGCCTCATCAATCATATTTGGATAAGAATCACTCTCGTTCCGCCATTTTGTCCAAGGATATTTCGTTACGCCGATAACACTTTCCTATTCGAATCATCTCACCCTTCGTTATATTCAACATGCAATTCTTCTCTCTCGCTCTTCTCGTTGCTGGCGCCAACGCCGCTGCCTTGAATGTCCGGGGAGGCGGTGGTGATTGGGGCAAAACCTGCGTTCCTGTCACCAGCTATGTGACCGACACTGTCACCACCACTGCCTACCAGACCGACTATGTGGTAAGTTGTCCTGGAGGACACGATCCGTACCACATTTTTTGAAAGGTGTCGATCATTAACGCCCTATCAGACTGTCAAGGAGTACAAGACTGTTGTCAACACCGTCACCGACACTGCCACTGTGACCACTACGGAATACAAGCCCGTGTACAAGACAGAAACCATCACTGACACCGCCACCACCACCAACACCGCCTATATCACTCCTGCCCCAATCAAGGAATATGTCACCGTCACTGCTCCATGCTCAAAGACCTGGGCCGACTGGTCTTAGGTCTCTCATCGACTGCTAATGGAGCCCTGTCCGTTGTGGAAAATGAAACGAGAAACGCATTGACGCCGGCAAAACCATTTTTGATGACCTTGCTATACACTGACTCACATGAACAACGGACCATTATCCAATGAGAAAACGTCACTACTACAAGGCCAAGATGGTCCCAAAAATATGGGGAAATTTTAAAATATTATCGGGATATTGGGGGAACCACAATCGGGGCCAGTCCAAGGCAAACTAATATACTCTTCTTCTTGATTTCTACCCCAATCATGCCACAGCGTGAGTGAGCACGGGCACATGGGGGGCTACATAGTTCTTCATCGAGAACTATCTGAGCACCTATTGAGAACCTAACCCGAAGAGAAAAAATATTGAAATTTCATTTTTCTCCTCAGTGCTCGGTGCGCAGTGTAACTACCCCGCCATGCCTTGCAGTGTCTTTCTGGGGAAGCGTGAACTGGGTTTTAGCCATCTGCTAAGCTCGCATGTTGGGCTGAAGCTTGCTGCTCCATCGAAGGAAATTATACTTTTCGGTAGAGAGGAGAATGTTGCTCCTGCTTCAGGACGGTTCGTCTGCCCCCGCACCGGATCTTTCTGGAGAGCTTACTAGGATGTGTCTTTCTCCGGCGGTATTGCTGTAGCCGAGTCGTTTTGCAATTGCAAGAGCCTTAAGTCCCTTCGATTTTGGAGGAGGGCTCCACATTCAAAATGCACGCCTGAGCCTGCCGTCAATCCACTTGTTACCATCGCTCCTCGTACAATGCGATGCTACCCATCAGCGATGATGGTGTGCAGCCGACACAACCCTGAATCCGAACCTGTGCGTGTGTCAACGGCCCCCAGATGTCATCTTGTGCCAGCGGATTTGAATATTGAAATTAATGGTGCAACCATAAGTTGTGTCCCGGATCACGGTGATGGTTTTGATCGATCTTTTGTTTTTCCATATGCTCCTCCCTCGGCCCTCCTTCGCTCAATCGCGGCCTTGTAAGGTGGCGCTGTAGGGGGCTGCACCGGTGGAAGACTGGTATGGCTCTCTGGCAATTTGTATGTAGCATCTGCATCCCACGCCGATAAATCGCCGCAAGCGAGAAAGGGTGCCATCCATCTCTGAGGATTGAGATCTTCGTCTTCAAAATGCAGTTCAACGAGTCCATCTTCTCGTGCCCGTCTTGTCTGTTTCTCTAAGCCAGCTACATCCTTTCTGGCCGGTGGAGGTATATTCAAGGCATCTCCGATATCAGGAGTCCAGTCTCGGATGGGTCTGTAGCCCTCACAGACGACAAACGCTTCGATGCTGCTGGCTCTGCTAGATCGGGGTTTCGCAATGTGGACTCTGTCAAAAACGAGTCTGAGCTGTGCGAATATGAGGTCCACATTCCTACCGCGGAAGATCTTGGCGACAAACTTGCCCCCAGGTCTGAGAACTTTCATAGCCAGGGTAAGTGCAGAGGAGAGAAGTTGAGATTGAACATAGATGTCGAGGTCATGTAGCCCCGTTACATCTGGAGCTCCGTCACTGATGACCAAGTCAACTCGATGGGTCTCGTTGTGCTGGTCGAATTCTGGGTCGATGGCTTTCAAGAGAAGAGGAACTGTTGAAGGATGGGTAATGTCGGCTTTGAGTTGTGTAATACCCTCGAGAGGAGCCATGGGTTGAAGATCAATAGCGACAATCTTGACATTGGCGCGAGGCTTGAATTCTGGAGTAGATGTCCCTAGGTCAAGCGAGGTCATACCTCCCACCAGGCCACTTTCCAGTGGATCTCTTGGGGATGGATTCGGCCTCTGGAATTTCTCCATTTTCTCAATCCAGGCCCTTCGACCGAAACTCTCACCCTTGATCAGAATCCGTGATAGCACTTGACTCCAGCTGCCCGGAGCAGCACATAAATCGACGACCCTGGTGCATTTTGATGGGTCTGCGTAGGAGAAGAGATCAAATTGTTCGTCGATTTGGATTAGTTTGAAAGCAGATCGAGCTCGCCAGTTTTGTTCTTTGGCCAGTCGATAGTAGACATCTCTCTTGTCTTTCGAGGACTTGCCCATGGCCATGAAACCGAGGGGAAGCCTCAAGGCGTTGAGCTTGGTAGCGTAGCAAACGCCTTGGAGGCGGAAGACAAGATTGCCATTAAAACTTAATACCCCGCCGTTCTCGATCAAGCCAAGATATTACGGCGAATCCTTGAAACCAAAAGTGGCATCTATCGATGTTCGCAAGTCCCTCCACTTCGCGGACACGTTGGACAATTGACTATTACAGCCGCGTCTCACCCACGCCCAACGATCTAACGTCAAGTTCAATCTAAAACTCCTGCTGTCAGAGGCTTTAGCAAACATGGCGCCCGGCATGTCGCTCCACAGCGTCGTCGCCATCTTGATCCTTTCCACAGACACGGCTCCGGATTCCTCTCGATTGTTCGCAAAATACTATAGTGCACCTCATACCTCAGCCACTCAGCCTACTCCTCCGCAACCGTATCCCACGCTTAAAGAGCAGAAAGCTTTTGAAAAAGGGCTATTGGAGAAGACCTCAAAGCAGACTTCCGATGTGATTCTCTACGACAACAAAGTGGTGGTGTTTAAAATGGAAAGCGATGTGATGCTTTACGTGGTGGGAGGCGCGGAAGAGAACGAAATTCTACTATACAATGTGGTGCTGGCGCTGAGGGACACATTGGGTATTTTGTTAAAGTGAGCCCCGCTCCCTAGCTTCCGTTGAGCGTATAACTAACCGACGGATTGCAGGAACTCGACAGACAAGCGGACAATCATGGAGAACTATGATTTGGTAACTTTAGCAGTCGATGAGATTGTGGATGACGGGATTGTATTGGAAACAGACCCAGTTATGGTCGCCTCTCGAGTGTCCAAAGCCCCTGCACAAGATGTGCCCAACATGAAGAATATTGACCTTAGCGAGCAAGGAATACAAAATCTATGGGAGTTTGGCAAGAAACAGGGCATGGAATTTGTCCGGAGAAATTTATGATGGGGCCAAAGAAAAACTGCTGGGGACACGGGTGTTGGGTGCTGGGCCCCAAAAATGGCGACCGGAACATTGCATGGCGTTGTGAAGAAGGCAATCGTGAAGATTATGAAATAGAACCCAAGACAGATCTGGGATGAAAGCCCATTGAATTGTGGGAGGCGGCCTTGCTCGTATCATGCGATTTCGACATGACCGAGGAAACAAATTCAAATGTTTGGTGAATCACAATCGACGACGTCATTTCGATTTCTCAGAGGTTCCACACATCTTCGCCGTCCAACGTATCTATTTATATTTTCTGCGTCCTCGAGGCTCTTCTTTGGCCGGGTTCCGAATTCTTCGCTTCTCCTAGACAAAGTTTCAGCATGAAGCAGCGCTTCTCATCCCTCGACGTGAAGGTTTGGAGTTTCTAATCCCATCATCCCCACATTGCAATCCACACGCGACTATCTCAACTAACCCCCAACGCCTTTATCTAGGTCATTGCCCACGAATTATCAGCTTCTCTCACCAGTCTGCGTGTCTCAAATATCTACGATCTTTCCAGTCGAATTTTCCTGGTCAAATTCGCCAAACCCGGCCGCCGAGAACAACTGCTAATAGACTCTGGCTTTCGATGTCACCTCACATCCTTCTCCCGCACGGCGGCCACTGCCCCGTCAGCCTTTGTCAGTCGTTTGCGGAAGTACCTCAAGAGTAGGCGCGTGACCAATGTGGCACAAATAGGGACCGACCGAGTCGTGGAACTCACCTTCAGTGATGGGCAATATCGATTGTTCCTGGAATTCTTCGCCGCCGGAAACATAATCGTCACGGATGCGGAGTTGAACGTACTGGCCTTGCAGCGACAAGTGAGTGAGGGTGACAAAGATGTCGACGTCAAACTTGGCGGGAAATATGTGCTCGAAGCGAAACAGAACTTCCATGGTGTCCCTTCTATCACACCCGAAAGAGTGAAAGAAACCCTCGAAAAGGCCATACAGAGAACGAAAGCGGCCAATGAGATCGGAGGCAAAAAGGCGAAGACAGCAAGAGGCGGAGATGATTTGAGAAAGGCTTTGAATGCTGGTTTTCCCGAATTTCCTGGCCATTTGTTGGATCACGTTTTCAAGGAGACAGGGATCGACACAGGCCTGAAGGCGGAAGATGTCACCGGGAATCAAGAGTCTATACAGCTGATAATGAAAGCTTTGGATCAGGCGGAGGATATTTTCAAGGCCTTGGATGCTGGCCATTCGAAGGGCTACATTATTGCCAAATTAAAGATGCCTCCGCCGGATGCTGAACCGTCAGACACCCAGATTCCAAACGGAGACGCGCTCTTTTATGATGATTTTCACCCATTCAGACCGTCTCAGTTTGAGGACAAGCCGGACATATCTATTCTTGAATTTGACGGCTTCAATCGCACCGTGGACGAATTCTACTCCTCGATCGAATCCCAGAAGCTCGAGTCGCGACTTACAGAACGGGAGGAGGCGGCAAAGAGAAAGCTCCAAACCGCAAAGGATGCGCATGAGAAGAGACTGGGAGCTCTTCAACAAGTCCAAGAATTGCACGTCCGAAAAGCACAAGCTATCGAGGCAAATACTCACCGAGTAGAAGAAGCTTGTGCTGCTGTTAATGGCTTGATTGGCCAGGGCATGGATTGGGTAGACATCGGCAAGTTGATTGAGAACGAACAAAAACGCGGAAACGTCGTAGCACAGACGGTCAAGCTTCCTCTAAAGCTCGAAGAGAACACGGTCACCCTGTTGCTTGATGAACCTAGCTTCGATGAAGGATATGAGAGCGAAGAAGAGGACAAGACCGATGATGAGGACGAGTCTGACGAGAGTTCGGGTATGGGACCCAGCAAAACAGCATCCTCAGTTGCAGAGAAACGATTGGCTATTGATATCGATCTTGCTCTTTCACCATGGGCTAACGCCCGGCTGTACTATGACCAAAAGAAGAGTGCTGCTATCAAAGAGAAGAAGACGATAGAAGCCTCCGCAAAAGCTCTTCAATCCGCCGAAAAGAAGATTGATGCCGACCTGAAAAGGGGCCTGAAGCAGGAGAAAGCTGCCTTAAGACCTGCAAGAAAGCAGTTTTGGTTTGAGAAGTTCCTCTACTTCATCTCCAGTGACGGATATCTGGTGATTGGCGGCAAGGATGCTCAACAGAACGAACTGCTTTACCGAAGATACCTGAAAAAAGGAGATATTTATGTTCATGCCGATCTTCAAGGCGCTTCGAGCGTGATTGTGAAGAATAATCCGAGGACTCCTGACGCACCGATACCTCCATCGACATTGTCACAGGCGGGTGCTTTGACGGTTTGCACGAGTAGCGCATGGGATTCAAAGGCGCTCATGGGTGCATGGTGGGTTAATGCTGATCAAGTCAGCAAGACTACCCCGACTGGCGAGTACCTTACGACTGGTGGGTTTGTCATTCGAGGCCACAAAAATCTTTTACCCCCAAGCCAACTGCTACTCGGCTTTGGAGTCATGTGGTTGATCAGTGAGGAGAGCAGGGTCAACCATGGGAAGCATCGGTTGGAAAGAACAGAGAGCATGCTATCAGGCGAAGCGAAAGCCTTGGCAAATGACGCCAGAGGGCTCGAGGAGCCAGACCAGCCAGGAGAAGCAGGAACATCGTCTCATGAGCAGAATCAGGCAGTTCCCGATATCGAAGGTGCCGCTGACAATGCAGGTGGAGAAGAGAAAGAGAACGACCTTGGTGTGAGCTTATATGAGAATCCTGAGGATGACAACCAGGACCAAAGCGAGGAAGAAGATAACGATTCGATCACGTCTTCCGAAATCGATGATAAGCGGTCGAACCCTTTACAAGTCCATGGTCCCGACCAAAACCCCCCAGAGCCTGATGGCAAGGACGACCCCGAAGTCGATTTCGAGGCTGAGTCGGATAGCAAGTCAAATGAAAATGATGGCAATGAAGAGATCGGTCTCGACGACACACCTGACGGAGACTCTTCAACACGACTATCCACGCCAGCGCCCTCGCAGCCAAAATCTCAACCACCTCAAACTACTAAGCCCAAACAACTGCAGCAACAGTATGCTCGTGGCAAACGAACTAAAATCAAACGCGCGCAGAAGAAATACGCAGACCAAGACGAAGAAGACCGCGCCCTCGCCATGCAACTTCTCGGCTCGAACCGTGCCCAAGAACGCAAAGAAGCCGCCGAAGCAGAACGAGCCGCACGCGAAGCCAAAGCTCAAGCCGACAAAGAACGACGCAAAGCACAGCACGCAAAGGCTGCGGAGAAAGAACGCCTACGCCGCGAACAACTTGAAAAAGCTGCCGCAGACAGCACCAATTCCTATAACCTCGACGATGACGAATTGAGTAAAGAGCAATTGGAGCAAGAACGTCGGGAACTCATGGACATTGACCGGCTAGTCCCGATGCCTGAGCCCGGCGATGAACTGCTCGCTGGGATTCCCGTTGTCGCGCCGTGGACGGCGATGGCGAGGCAGAAATATAAGATTAAATTGCAGCCTGGAAATGTGAAAAAGGGGAAAGCCGTTAAAGAAATCCTGGGATTTTGGACAAGCCTCGGGACAAGGGGGCCGAAGGTGGTTGATGAATCGAATAGAGATAAAGAACGCGTGTGGAGGAGGGAAGTCGACCTCCTCAAGGAGTGGAGGGTCGAGGAAGTTGTCGGGTATGTTCCGGTGAAGGGGTGCAGGATTGTACAAGGGGGTGGGATGGGAGGTGGTCTTGGAGGAGGAGGTAGTAGTGGTGGAGGGAAAGGGAAACGAGGAAGTGGTGGTGGCGGTGGTGGGAAGAAAGGGAGATAGACCCAAAAGAGGATTCAAAAGCGAGAGTTTGAAGGAGGGCTGGGTGTCGATATCAAAGATTCAGCTCTCGAGAACAGGCATATCGTACACATTGTGCACAGAAGATATTGTAAAAGCACATGAAAGGACAATCTGGCTTGGAACCGACAATAGGGTATTCTATCCTTCAAATTCACCCACCGCCTAACTTCCGAATGACGCTCTCTGTCTATCTCAATTTCCTCAGAACCCTTTTTCTTTTGTCTTCATTAATCCACTCTCTCCGCCGCAGCCTTTTCAATCCGATCAATCACCGCATCTTCAATGTCTCGTGTACTTGTATCTCTGTCTCGCTGCTCGTGCTGTTGCTCCTGCGTCGGAACCCTACGCTTCACAGTTTCCGCAAGGATGAAAGTGCAGTTGAGGTCGTCGAAGAGCCGAAGCACGCCGAAGAGCAAGTGTGCGAGCGTCGCGATGTCAGGGCCGATGTGGACGTTGTATATCACAAGTGATAGATTTCCCTTCTCGATCGGGGTTGCACCAGAAATCGGATTCGAGTCGGAGGCCGGTGAGTATTTCCCTACGGAAGTGATATTCGCGTACACCGATGTTGAGATAGCGGTCAGAAGTGGTTCCGAAGAGGTTGAGACCGGTAAGCCAGCAAATGGCGGCCAGTGGCACGAGATGATTCCCACGTTCAACTGGTCCTCCTGGCATGGCACTGACTGTATGATCTCATTGAGTTTCGCCTCAACCTTGCCCTGCGCGACCGCATTTTCACCAAACAGTACCAACCTGCCTTTCGGTGCGTAGTGCCTGTACTTCATCCCCGGGGCGCGCGGAGCCCCGTTCATATCTTCTTCGTAACTCACGCTAACGTGGGTGGGGTGTGAATCCGAAGATCCCGTTGACAGAGGTGAAGGCGATGATGACGAAGTATTAGTGGAGCGGTGCTCGTGCCGCTTGTATCCAATCGCTGTATCTGCGAAGCGATTGCCAAATTCCTTACCGTGCGAGATCAGATCGGATTGAGACACGCCGCCAGGACGGAGGATTAATGGCGGATCATGCAGGCCGTCGACAACGGTGCTTTCGACGCCTACGTCACAGGGTCCACCGTCGAGAATGAAGTTGATTTTACCCCGGAGATCGTCAAGGACGTGCTGTGCCGTCGTGGGCGAAGGTTTGCCTGATGAGTTTGCCGACGGCCCTGCGATGGGACAGTCTGTTGAAGCGATGAAGAAACGAGCGTACTTGGACGACGGGATTCGGAAACCTATGGTCGGTTGGCCCGGGTGGACGTTCTTTGCAAACTTTGAGTCCTTTGGTACTGGAAGTAAGATCGTCAGGGGTCCGGGCCAGAATTTCTGAGCCAGCGATCTGTAGATTTCAGGGAGGGGCTCGCCCGTCAGCCGCTCAAGATGTGCTACAGATGCAACGTGGACGATGAGCGGGTTGTCACTCGGTCGGCCTTTGGCGGCAAAGATGCCTGAGATTGCAGGCTCATTGGTCGCGTCTGCACCTAGACCATAGACGGTCTCCGTGGGAAATGCAACCGGTGGAGCAATGCCGTATTTAATGGACTCGACGGCATCTCGAAGGAGAGACGCGTTCTGGCTTTGACTTTGACTTTTGTGCAACGTTTGGGTATGCTTGAGATAGATCTGGCGATAGACTTCTTCGGAAGCCGTTTCAGGCAGATCAAGATCTTTCAAGCTGATGATTCGCGTGTTGCAATGCGAATAATGCAGAGAAGCCAGATGCTCGCGGTTTTTGATAAGCTGGTCCATGGCTGCAGTGATTGAATTAAATTTGATTGACTTTGAAACATAAATCGACATAAATTTGGAGCGGAGACGATGGAGGAGTTGTATTCTCATAGAAAACACCAACCGAGGTGCCAGAAAGGCGATATATTTCGATTCTGTCTAATGTGGTGGGTGAGGACGAACGAACAGATGGGGAGATTGCGGTTCAGCATATTGAACCACAATCCAAGACGCCCCCTGGATATGGTAAAGCCAGAAAGGGTACTGAGAGCTAAAACATGTCGTAGTGCTAGGTATGGCATTCCAAAAGAATTGCAAAATGCTTCATGAGAAAACAATGGATGAGCTTTTTTTTTATCGCGGAAAAAAGTTGACCCACGTGACTCAGCCTTCCATGTCACGTGGCTGAGGTGCGACATCTCAGCCTTGCAGTGACCTTGGCCGTCACAAAACTGTTCTACGGCTTTCTTTCGGCTCTCAACTCTGCTGTTTAGCTCTGTTGACCACCTGTTTCCGATGTACGCTTGCTCAAAAGTCTCTCTAGAACACGATCCAAAGTGCTGTTGTCCATTGGTATACTGTATGAATCGTGAAAGGAGGAGATCTTTCCTTCACTCTTCACATTTTTGAAATGGAGAAGCCGGGTCCGGGGGAAATGCAGATTTGGATAACGCCGCCCCTGTCACAATTGTTTCTGACGACATTTGGACCTCTAACAAAAATACAGAGAATCTGATTGCAGTACTGCAGCAGGCGATTGCTGCCAAAGGACGGTGTCTGGCGCAGACTGCAGGGCTACAGGAATGCCTTCCGCTCTGATATCTCCTATACCTCCTACTAGATCCTGGCGGTAGATTCAACCATTCACTCACGACGTGGTGCACATAGCCGCTCGATGCAGCAAATGACCAATCCTCCAACATGGACGGATTCCCATGCTCCTGAATGCAATGGATGTCATGAAGGTCTTCGAGCAGACGATGAGACGGTCATTAAATTCTGGATCAAAGAGGTTTTCCTTTCTCCCTCACCTATCCAGTCCGAGACGGAGGACATAATTTCAGTATTGGCAACGAGACAGGCGGCGCGGTGGATAGCCTTCAGTCATGTCTGGTAGGTTGGACCGCTTTGATGACAAGCTGTCCAGATTGGCTTGGAGCCAGGGCATATGGACTTGGAAATCATGCCATCCTCAGGCGCAAGAATGACTTGGCTCTTCTCACAGGCATGATATATATCTAAAGGAAGAGGCCTACCAATCTAGTCGGATACGTTATGCATCCTGTCGGGTGATCAGTATATTGAGCATAGAGCCTGCAATCAAACAGATGAGGCCCGTGTATGAAGAGGTGGCCTATGTCCTTGTTCTAGACAGAATGCATCTGTCAGTCAGCGGATCGTGCGCGGTTATATGTCAACTCGAGGTGTTAATGTGCGACCGGATGCAACGCCCCCGGACACCGCAAGAAGGAGCCCTTCCGAAACTGGGCCCGGTCTTCATCACATTTTAAGACGATTTGCGCACGCTGAAGGAGCCCATAGCTTGCTAACAACTAACTGTTCGCACTCGTTTAGGTGGAGAAGGGCGACTGGCGGCGGACAATTTCATGGGAATTTCAATTCAAGAAAAACATGCCTGCAGTCAGGTGAGGGATGCTGACCGAGTCTGCCTTCTAGTCCCCATGGTCCGATCTCTACCAAGATTCAGCCGATTTTTGTGATTGTATTGATCAAAATTACACTTTCTCTGCCTTTATCTATCTAAGAAGCACGTCTTCCTCCGGATCGAGGTTATAAGATGTAGAGTCTACCTCTGTCACTGTCAACTTTCTTCAAGCGTCGAACCTTGTGTCTGGTCTAGGTGGTTGCCATTCCTTTTGACATGAGTTCCGCAACCAGATTCCAGTACTTGACGCGGCTACGCTCTCGGAAAGTCTTGCCCCAGACAATCATAATCAAAAAGACAGAAGAGGCTGCCATGCCTATGAATGCCGCCGAGATGAAGCAATTCTGAAGACCCAAATTCTCCACCCAGGGAGTGATACCATACCCAATAGCGAAGGACATAGTGTTTCGCACAATAATGACCGTACTCATTGCGTCTCCGCTAATCTCGTGGTATGTGTCGATGAGGTAGTTGACGCTGAGCGTAATCCCAAAGCAGGTGGAGGCGGCAAGTGTGCCCATGGCGAAGATCAAGCCAAACCAGTGGACGTGGTGAGCAGCACCCACACCCCAGAGTATCAGGGAGGCAGGAACAATGATGATGCAGGCAGCAAAAGGCCACAGTCGCTGTTCAGGCTCCATGATCCCGTTGTTGCGACGTGCTAGCCGGATGGTGAGCCAATCACTGAATTTGCCAGTGAAGAAACACCCGAAAATGACCCCGATACATGTGGAGACGTATGATAAGCCAACCATAGACGCCTTGAAGCTATATGGTGGACTGGAGAGGATGAGACTGGCAGTCGCATTCAAAACGTTGAACCAAATCTGGAGGAATAACAAATGTTAGAGAATATTGCCAAGGGCGCAAAGGATCTCGGGAGTACCGCTACTTTGAAAGGGAGAGTACAAAAGGGAGGCGTCACTTACTAGGTAGCTCCCATAGCTGAAGCCAGCATAGAATATGACTGGCCAACCAAGATACTTCAACGAACTAATAGCTCTCGAGAAGACATCCTGGCCAGGCGATGGTTGCCAAAGAGTCAACTTCTGGAAGAAGGTTTTGTTGCTGGAGTAGTGAACGGGACCAGTTTCGACACTGCCACCCTCGGGTTCTCTGGTGACAGTGGTGGCATTCTTTTCGATTTCTTTTTCTTCTTTTGCCACAGACATCGGAGTCTGCGTCCCGCTAGCTGTCTCAACGATGCCAACCGTGGACCGATGGTAATTTGTTTCTTCCATAAAGAAAAAACAAAACACCAGAGCGACAGCGCAGAAGATCGATGGGTAGTAGAACACCCATTTCCAGCCTTGTCCATCCGCTATGAATCCGCAAATGACAGGGGCGAAATAATTGCTCCCAGCGAGGAAGAAAGCATAGACGCCCATGTAAGTGCCCCGTTGATGTTGAAAGTACTGTGACGTTGGTCATTATTTCCGCCGAAAATAATAGGACTCGGCCTTCTTACCACATCAGTGACCGATATTTCTGGAAGAGCTTCGATCGGGGCGGCGAAGAAACCTCCAACAATGTTTTTGGCAATCCAAACTCCATTGCTGTGAATATAGGGCCTAAATTTCATTAGAGACTTGTTCTCGGCGTGGGATCATTGCAAATGACTGACCCCCACATGGTGCACCCCTAAGACACAGGAAGTCAGCCACTCGGATATGACGACCGCACGGAATTGTCTCGCTTACGATGGTTCCAACAATGGAGATCAAGTAGGTCAACCGCTTGCCATATCGGAGTGCGAAAGGCTGCCAAAACAGCAATCCCCAACCACAGAGGAGAAACAGGTATCCAGTGCCTTGGTTTAAAGCGCTTATCGAGACTCCAGAAGCCTCAGAAAGCGGGACCAGAACAGAGTAGACGACGGAGTTAGCTATTCCAACAACCAAGGTATATCTATAAGTTGGATGGTTAGCATGACCAAGACAGTTAGTGGATGTGCGCTTACACGTTCACCGAGACGGTTGACATAAGCTTTCGCCGCGGGGACCAGTTCAATGGATCGTCCGGGTCGCTCGATGGAGTGGGAACCAGTACGACGTCTTTAGAGCCATCAGCGTGTCGAGTGTGCATGGTGTGCTCCAGATCCACCAGGTGGACTGTGCCCGGCACGCTATCAACCGGAAGGTCGTATTGAGCAGCCATCTTGGTCGGGGCTTACTCGGTGATTAGAAGGGTCCTGGGGGAAAATTGAATTTCGTATGGGAGGATTTAGGGGATGCGGCACAAATATATAGATTCGTGTACATTCTGTCGCCGAAGTCGGCAATTGACAGGCATCGTACGAATTCCACAAAAGAATCCAGGGACAAAGAAATTGGATAGCCAAAGTTTGATAGGACTGAGAGGGCTTTTCGACATAGGCTAGAACTCGATACCAAATCCCAAGGTTGTACCATGCGGAAGGCGATAGATAAGGGGTTGCTCTGTAAAATCTCCGTGAGGTGGCGGTAGTTGCACCACATGGCTGAACGTGGAAAAAACGGCAAGGACGGTTGTGTCGCACAAACACTTGGCCAATGACCGCGACGACTGAATCGTCTTTCCCCTGGATTTCGAGATAAAAGATATATTTCATCGCATGGCCCAAACAGGTAAGAGAGAGAGACGGCTATCTGGAGAATGCCCGGGGCAATATTGCGCTAAACGTTGTGATTGGGCCGCAGTTCACCTTCTAGTGGGTCTTGCAGAATGATAGCGAGGTTTGTTTCATCGAGCTTGAAGTCGCGCAATTCCGTGTGATTGGTGTCACCGAACCAAGAGGCCATTGCTGAGAAAGAGTGGACTCTAGAATACGGTTATCAAGGGAGGAGACAGCCAATTTTTTTAGGCCTTTGGGGGCGGGGGAGAAGCAGCGTATCGAGAGACTTTCGCGAAATGGACAGTTAGCCGTCATAGTCAAACATAATTCCTCATGGACCATCCAAGAACTCGCCTCTGCCGAAGGATCCCGAACGATGGCAGACGAATGCTGCTTCCATTCCCCGTCCGCGACCTGCCATGGCTTGGAAGTTAAAGGGAGGAAGGTATAAAATTGAGTATCTATCCCCTCGGTAGATCATCTGGAGTGCATTCTCGTAAAAGCAATTGCCCAGTCTGATCATCTTAGCCCCTGTCAACATGGTCCAAGATTGGAAAGACCTTGTCGCAAAGAAGCGTGCGGAACAAGCAAAAGGGCTGCCCGAAGAATGGCGTCTCCCTTCCACTATCCTAGATACTATCGGTGCAACTGCTGATATCAGTGTGCTTGATGTCCCTGCCAAGTGTGGTCTTTTGACTCCAAAGGAACTCGAGATCACCGAAAAATATGATGCCGTCGATTTGATTGCAAAGATGGCGGCAAAAGAGCTTTCTTCTTACGAAGTCACCCTGGCCTTGTGCAAAAGAGCAGCCGTCGCTCACCAAGTGGTCAGTAGCAGAACTGTCCCAGGCAGGGAAAATGCTGCTGACTTCATCAGACGAACTGTTTGACCGAGATATTCTTTGACAAGGCATTGGAGAGGGCCAAATATTTAGATGAATACCTGGAAAAGGAGGGAAAACCGATGGGTCCTTTGCATGGTATGCCTATTAGCATTAAGGTAAGCCAGACATGTCGCCGAAAAAACAGCTGGCGGTTGTTGAAATGAGACTCGTTCTGCAGGACTCTTTCAATGTCAAAGGCATTGCGACCACGATTGGTTATGTATCATTCATCAACAGGCCCCCGGCTGATTTCAACTCGCCTCTGGTCGATATTCTTTTGGAGAACGGCGCCGTACTTTATGTCAAGACCAACATTCCACAGACTTTGATGGTAAGTGCCTGAACAGGATCAAGCATACCTGATTGAAGAACACATCTCGCCTTCTTTCGCTCGTCCCACTTGTTATTTACTAGGAACGTTGTTGCACTGACCATTATGCTCGACATAGACAGCCGATTCAGAGAACAACGTCTTTGGCCGTGTCCTTGTAAGCGAATCGTGTGAATCCTTGAGAGATGTCAGCTGATGATCTTCAGAATCCTTACAAGCTCAAACTCAATGCTGGCGGCAGCAGTGGAGGTGAAGGAGCTCTCATTGGTATGCGAGGATCTATCTTGGGTGTTGGAACTGATATCGGAGGCTCCATCCGAATTCCGGCCTTCTGTTGTGGAACTTTCGGTTTCAAACCTTCCGTTGATCGTATCCCCTTTGGCGGCCAGACGAATCCTATTCTGCCAGGCTGGACTGGCATAATCCCCGTTGCAGGCCCTCTGGCACAGAGTGTCCGTGATGTCCGACTCTTCCTCGAGACGGTTATCAAATCACAGCCATGGGATTTCGACTACACGGCCATTGGTATGCCTTGGCATCTAGTGGAAGAGAAAAAGACGCTCAACATTGGAGTCTTGTTTGAATGTCCGAGCTGGCCTGTCGCACCAACCATCCTGCGGACGATGAAGACGGCGACGGAGAAGCTCAAGGAAGCCGGCCACAACATTATTTTACTTGACAAGTTCCCGTCATTCAAAGAGGCGACAGAATTGTCGTGGGAATACTTTGGCGTTGATAACAAAGGAACCGGGTTCCAATATATCGAGGACTCCGGAGAACCATGGGTAACTTCGGTCAAAGATTTGTATACTCCGCCGCCGGAAGGAATCAAGCCGATGACCATGGAGAGATTCTTCGACATGAACGAAAAACGTCTTGAATTTCGAGCGGAGTGGTTGAAGATCTTTATGGAGAACAAGTTGGATGTCATAATCGCCCCCGGGTCGCACAAGACCGCCGTTCCGCATGACACATTCAGATATCCTCCATACACAGTGATGTGGAATCTTCTCGCGGTAAGCACTGGATGGCGCTGAAGCTGTAACTCGCGGAGAGTGGTTTCTGACCGTGGCTCCAGTATCCTGCTTGTATCATTCCATATCTGAAAGCGGATAAGACCATCGACCTCGCTGATCCAAAAATCCCAGAATGTGGGTGTTTTCCACTGAAGATGTTTCATGGTGGGTTTTGCAAGCTAACTCGATCCAGACGATCCGGAGGCTGTTGATGGTGCACCTTGCAATATCCAGGTGATCGCGAGGTCTGAGCAAGACGAGGAATTGATGGCTGCCATTGAATTGGTTTCCGAGGCATTAGGTGTTTGATGTCGGTTGGTTACAACAATCCCGAAGAAAGTCTGGGGTGTGTCTTTTGTCGTGGGTGCCGAGAGGCTGACGAACTGCTAACCGTCCCCTTTTGCGACCGTGGCCGGATAAAGAGGTTATGCAGGAAACCCCGTCGGTCTATCGCCCGCAATTCCGCACCATCGAGGGGATTCCATATTTTTAGCTTCGTGGCAACCGAGCCAGTGCCTTTGTTCGGAGTGGTTCCAGTTCACTCCAGTATTTAGCGTAGAGGATGGCACTAGGCCCAACCCATTGGCAAGCTCAGCGATTGATAACCATCGTATTGTACCGCCGCCAACCACCTCGGAACAACCCTCGAGATAAACTTTTATCCTTTGCAAAACGCTCTCGTTACGTTCAGCCCAACAACATCGACAGCATAGAAAGTATGGGAAATCTCTCCAAGCTGTTGATGGCAAGATAAGAGGGCGTCGACCATTTGTCGGCCGTTATGTCGATGATATCTAGTGCCACTCTCCGCACGAAGACTGGATGCTTGACTTGTGAGTTCCACTTGGCCGGCGTGACGATGTCATAGCGCTGACCTTGGAATTTTCCTTCCTCAGGCCGCGCGAGACGCAAGAAATGTAATGAACAGAGGCCTCGGTGTGAGAAATGTGTCAAATCGAAACGAACGTGTTCATGGCCTGCTGAGGATGACTTGTTTGATCGTCGGCATCGCCGTCCTTCGCGACCACCTAAATCGCCTTCCCGGTCACCGGAGACCATAGTGATCCAAAGAAGTCCTCCATTGGCATCGGAACTTTTAGCAGAAACCGATGCCTGGCCTTTTTTCATTTGTCGAGAACTCTCCATCAACTCGGATCTTTTCTCGGGGACAATCTTTAAATCAGATCTGGAGATGGATTGCTTTCGCCAATTTGTCAATGGGTTCTTGCCATTATTGATTCTCACGAATACACACCCTGGATTCAAGTCCGAATTTATTCCGGAGGTGGTTGATATGATTCTTCAATTTGACGGATTAAAGGACATTGCATTGGCTTGTGGTGCCTCTCGCCTGCATGCGCTCTCGGGCAGGACCGAGATGAATGAAGCCGGAATCATTTATTACTCTCGTGCTATGTCTGAAGTCCACCAGGCACTCAACTCGATCGATTGGAGTCGCGAGGTCTTCAGTGATGCGGTGTTGATGGCCATCATCTTCCTCTATGTCCACGGAGTGAGTCGTATCGTTCGAGCAAGTCAGTCGCGTTGAGTCCCAGACTGTTTTGCTGACAGCAATCTCCCAAGGTATTCACAATCGACACCTACAAGGACATTCCCCGACATCTGAGCGGGGCCATCCAGCTCATTAATCTCCGCTGCGTCGAATGTCGCCATCCACCTTTGGCACGACCGATCCATCGGATTGTCTGGGAGAGCATTCTCTATCAAGTCTTTCGACAAACCGTGAGACATCCTTTCGCGGCGGATTTTCAACCCGATTTCGAATTCTGCGCCAAGGCAGAAGAGATCCTGCAATCGTTGACCTTTCCCGATGCATCAGAGGCAGAGAATAGTCCCGTCATTGGATTTCCGCTGAGTCTCCAGAAATTCATCATTGAGATTGTGCAATTATGTAAGAGTCCATTCAGGCCTCAGGCAAGTATCTTGTTGGAACTCGGCCGTGAAATGAGGTATTGGGAGAGCACGATCCCCGAGAAAGGTCATTGCATCAAGAAGGAGGGCCAGAATTTCACCGGATCGACGCCGGCTGAACGAGCCCAAGCCTTTCACCAGCATTCGACGAGCTTGCACGTTTTAGCGGCCTCCCTCCTCTTCAACTGGGTATGTGAATCGCACGAGATTTCGGGGGCAGAGGAGGTATTCTCCCTGCCACCTCCGAGCAATTCGTGGCAAGTTAGAAGGGCTCTGGAGATTATGCGGTGCCCTCAAGCGAACAAAGATTGGTCACGGTGTTATCTTGGGTCGTGGCCGACGTTGATTTTCGGATACGCTGTCGATAAGCCGGAAGACATGGCCTTGATCAGAAGAGATCTAGAGGAGAGATTCCAGGTATTGTACAGTGGAGAGGAATTGCTGTTTCTCAGTGAATTGGAGTCGATCTGGCGGACGAGAGGAATCTATGGGTCGGACTACTAGGCGGGTTTTGTTGGGGATTCAAACAGGAAGGCAGGAAATGAAAGCGACGGAGGGACCTTTGAGGAGGATTCCAGACGGCTGCTCTGAAGAATGTTTTCACAGGCCGAGTTTTACGTCTAATGATGAAGAGGTTTGTCTCAACACAGCTGATCGCGAGAGCACGTGACTCTGATGAATGAAACCTTGCCGCTTTGCGGTTCTCCGTCATCTGTAGGGCGGCCGCTTTCCTCCGCTTGAGAGTTCTTTGTCATCTACCCAGACAGTGACTAATCTCCAATCACCAGCGGGAAATCTCACGCTGCTTTGAGTATAACCCCCAATGGGTGGGGATTTACCTTTCTCTTTTGAACCTTGGCAACACGTTCACCTTGGGAACAAGCCTATAGAAACCAACTTGGCTGATTCTCCAAGGCCCAGGACGAATGATTGTGAGTCTGCCCCTGGCTCCATGACGAAGTTTGAGCCCATTTGGAATTGCCGGTCGGACGGGATGCAAGTGATAATATATGTTTCTCGAGTTGATGGTTCCCTTCACCTACGATCAGCACAACTGAAAACGAAATTTAAAAAATGGCCTTCTTCCAAGCTTTTTCCTGGCACGAAGGTGAAACCGCCATCCGCAAACGAACGCGTATCGATTTCCGCGAAGACAACCCGACTTCTCCGTTTCTGACTCCACGTGCCGCACATCAAGCTCAGCGTTATCCTCTTATTGCCATCGGAACACTCGATGAAGACGACCGACCGTGGTGCACAATCTGGGGATCAGGGGAACCACCCATTGCGCAGCCAGTGGCCCAAAGCGTCCTCGGCATTCGAACCAATGTTGACGCCACTTTCGATCCTGTTGTGGAAGCAATATGGAAAGGGAAAGATGATGGCGAAGTCATGCGGGAAGAAGGCCAAGGCAGAATGATGGCCGGTTTAAGCATCCATCTCGAAGAAAGAGGACGGGTCAAATTAGCCGGAAGAATCATCGCTGGCGCTTTGTGTGCACATCCACAGCCTGAAGGTCACGCTGAAGACACCGATGAAACCCAGTCCGGGAAATCAGGCCAAATCCAACTCGTTGTCAAAATCGACCAGAGTCTGGGGAACTGTCCGAAGTACCTCAACAGGAAGAAAATCACTTCGTCAAGACCGAAACCGAGACTCCGATCTTCCTCACCTCACCTCTCGCAAAAAGCCATCGACCTCATCCACAAAGCCGACTTATTCTTCCTCGCATCCGCACACGAGCGCGAAGACATGGACGTCAACCATCGAGGAGGCCCGCCAGGCTTCGTCCGCGTGGAACAACCTTCCCACATCGACGAAGGAAGCGCAATCGTCTGGCCCGAGTACAGCGGGAATAACTTGTACCAAACCCTCGGCAATCTCGAAACAACACCACATGCAGGACTGGTGATTCCGGACTTCGACACCGGCGACGTCCTCTACGTGAGCGGCGACACCGAAACCCTTGTCGGCGCCGCAGCGAGCAGCGTCATCGCAAGGAGCAGCCTAGCCGTCCGTCTAAAAGTTACCGCCACACGATTCGTCGAAGACGGTCTCCCCTTCCGTGGCACGCTGATGGACGATGCTTCGTTGGGCCGCTCCCCTTATAACCCTCGCGTACGGTTCTTGGCCAGCGAGAAAAAGGACGCCTTCGCCAAAGCAACGCCGGGTGAAGACGCGCCGACGACAGCACAACTCGTTCGCAAGACCAAACTCACGCCCACAATCACACGGTACCGCGCTGCCCTTTCTGACCCTTCGGTCTTCGGACCCTGGAAACCGGGGCAATACGTAGCGATGGACTTCGCGGCCGAGCTCGACATGGGCTATTCACACATGCGCGACGACAACCCCACGAATTTGAATGACGACTACATTCGCACTTTCACCGTGTCGTCCACACCAGACTCGCTGGGCGAACACGGTGAAGAGTTCGAAATCACGGTCCGCAAAGTCGGCCATGTCACGTCGTGGCTCGAGTTGCAGCGCGAAGGAACCTGTGACATCGGCATCAGAGGATTTGGAGGCGAATTCTGGTTCAATCAACCATCCCCGGGCAGACTCAATGGTTTCATCGCCGCAGGTATTGGTATCACGCCTCTGCTCGGGCAGATGGGCTCTTTGGATCTTCAGAGCCTGAAAGTCTGGTGGAGCATCGGCATCAAAGATGTCGGCTTGCCTCTCGATATCCTCACGCAATATCCGGCACTCAAGGACTGCATGATAATCTACCTCACGGGCGACGATTCGTTGCTTGAGGATGATGATGGGAAGGCCGGGAAATCCAAACTCCAAGCCTTCATGGACATGGGCGCTAAGATCGAGAGGAGAAGAATACAACAATCTGATCTGACAGGCGAAGCAGAACAAGTGGAGAATTGGTACCTTTGCACGGCGCCGGCGATGAGGAAGGTCGTTCAGGATTGGATGCCTGGCAAGACGCTGGTTTACGAGAATTTTGATTATTGATTTGATGTGACTTTGCCTTCCTTATGATTGATATTTGGACACTCGGGGCTTTTGAGTTCTTGCCTTCACCTGCTTGTTCGCAAGGACAGCAGTAAATGTGTGACGGATCCTTGTAAATATACATCGCACACACCACGCATCATGCACCCATGAAAACCGAAAACCCGGCTTGATTCCATCAATATTAATCGATCTCCCCTTCCCTCCCTTCTCCCTTGCCTCCTTTCCTGATTCTAACTTTCATCCATCCATCTGTCGGACACCCCGACACCGTCACCCTTGGTCGGCGCCCGCCTTCTTTCCTTCTCAAATACATTGCGACCGATAAGGGCCACCAAATCATCTGTCCAAGATACTCGTCCTCACTATTTACATCCCTTCGCATTAAAAGCTTTCGCATTTGGTCACGAAAAAAGCAACAACCTCATACGGATGCGCTTTTCTCAGCGCCTCCACCGCCCTCTTCACCGTCGGCGTGCCCACGACAACCATCTCGACTTTCTCCTCCTCGGCCACCTCCGCATCTCCCGGTTTGCCGATATGCGGATTTGCTGCCGCGGTGGGCCGGAACATGCCGGTACCCCGACTGACGAAGGCGGTTTCAATATATTTCGCTGGTGCGTCAACGGGTTCTGTACCAGGTGGATTCGGCCAGGTGCCGGCACCGGTGGACCAGATTGCAGACAAACAGGCCTGGGTGTCAGAGGGGGGAACATAGAAGGTTAATTTGTAGATTTGAGTATCACCACTCGTCGGAATGGTAGTGGGCATGGTGAGAGAAGAACTGCTTGCGGTGATGGGGATGTGGGATATATGTGGTGCTGTGAGGAGTGGCGCTCGAGCGAGGTTGTTGTGAGGATTAAACGGCGTGGAGTTCCTGGTCGAGGGTGGAACCACTGGTGGGAGTGATGACTTTGAGGTGAGAGGAAGAACTCGCGGGGTAGAGATGCGAATTGGAGACATGGAAGCACAGAAGTGAGTAGAAACCAAAGGTAGGGTGGTACCCGATTCCCAGAATATGGGTGCTTGATCTAATGTCGAAATATTCGACTGAACGATCACTACAAGGCGGATTGAATTTTTTCAAGGTTTCAATTTTTGGTGGTATCTGAAAACAAACGCCTTCGCCTGCTCGACTATTTCTTTTCCGGTCGAGCACTTCTAGATGCTGCCATTGCTATCAAGTTTCACACATTCATAAAAGACGCAAGGAATCATGCCCAACCCAAGGAACCAGTAAAGAAGCCAGTTCTCACAGCTCATCATGGCCTAATGGTTCGTCATCATCATCTCCGTAGTCTGGCATTCCTCCTGCACCACCACTGTACAGTTTGCTGGAGATCGGATAGGCAACGTTGGACAGCTTGTCGAATTGTTCCTCAAAGTCATCCTTCTCCGCGGTGTTGGCGTTGTCGCTCAGCCAATCCTGTGCTTCTTTGATGGCTTCCAAGAGCGTCTCCTTTTCATCTTCGTCGATCTTGGAACCGAGGCCATCTTCATCGTTTACCTGGTTCTTGAGGTTGGCGGCATATGACTCCAATTTATTTCTAGCTTCAATCTTTTCTTTGATCAATTTGTCTTCTTCGGCGTATTGTTCGGCTTCCGCAACCATCCGTTCGATCTCGTCCGGCGACAGCCGACCTTTATCGTTGGTAATGGTGATCGATTCGGACTTTCCAGTTCCCTTGTCACCGGCCGAGACCTTCAGAATGCCGTTGGCGTCGAGTTCGAAAGAAACCTCGATTTGCGGAACACCGCGAGGAGCGGGAGGAATGCCCGTCAGTTCGAATTTACCGAGTAGGTTGTTGTCCTTGGTCAGGGGTCGTTCACCTTCAAAAACTTGGATCAAGACGACGGGTTGATTGTCCGCCGCGGTCGAGAAGATCTGAGACTTCTTTGTGGGGACGACCGTGTTTCTGGGAATCAGTTTGGTCATGACGCCTCCGGTGGTCTCAATTCCGAGAGTGAGAGGGTTGACGTCCATCAGGACAATGTCCTCCGTGCCCGCCTGCCCAGACAGCACACCACCTTGAACGGCGGCGCCATAGGCGACAGCTTCGTCGGGATTGATATTCTTGCTAGCCTTCTTGCCAAAGTACTCTTCGATCATGGATTGAATCTTCGGGATACGAGTGGAACCACCAATGAGAACAATATCGTCGATATCGCCCTTCTTGACCTTGGCATCTTTCAATACTTGCTCAACCGGTTTGAGGGTCTTCTTGAACAGGTCCATGTTGAGTTCCTCGAATTTGGCCCGAGTCAAAGTTTCCGAAAAGTCTTTTCCTTCATGGAAGGCTTCGATTTCGATCCGGGTGGACATTTGCGAGGAGAGGGTTCGCTTAGCTCGCTCGACTTCTCGCTTGAGCTTGCCCATGGTCTTGAGGTCTTTTCGAATGTCCACGTTGTTCTTCTTGTTGTAAAGCTGGACGAAGTGGTCAATGACGCGCTGATCAAAATCCTCCCCACCCAGATGAGTATCACCAGCGGTCGCCAAGACCTCGAAAACACCATCTTCAATCGAGAGGAGTGAGACATCGAATGTACCACCACCAAGATCGTAGACGATGATCTGGCTCTCTTTTCCCTTCTTGTCCAAACCGTAGGCGATTGCGGCGGCAGTGGGTTCATTGACCACTCGGAGAACAGTCAAACCAGCAATGGTACCAGCGTCTTTGGTCGCCTGTCTCTGGTTGTCGTTGAAGTATGCCGGAACCGTGACCACTGCGTGGGTGACTTTCTCGCCCAGGTATGCCTCTGCGACCTCCTTCATCTTGCCCAAAACCATGGCCGAAATTTCTTCGGGAGTGAAGGTCTTGGGGGAGCCCGAGACCTCGACATTAACTACGGGCTTGTCATCTTTATTGACGACTTTGAAGGGAAAGTGCTTTGCATCTCGCTGGACTTCTTTGTCGGAGTATTTGCGACCGATTAAACGCCTGAAAAAGAAAACCCCCGTCAGCATAGGTAGTTCCAAATAAAGGCTGGAGGCACTCACTTGATGTCAAATATGGTTCTGGACGGATTCGAAGCGTACTGATTCTTTGCCGCATCACCCACTAACCGCTCCTCGTCGGTAAAGGCCACGTAAGACGGAGTAATTCGATTTCCTTGATCGTTGACAATGATTTCGACTTTTCCATTCTGCATCACACCGACGCAGGAGTAAGTGGTCCCCAGGTCGATACCGATGACCTTGCCATAGTTGGCATCTGAATCGTTTAAAGGTGCTTGATCTTGAGCATGAACTGTGCCGATGAATGCTAAGGGACAGACGAAGATCAGGAGGAGGTAGAAAATTGTGGTCCACTGGAGAGCCGAGGAGGATCTGGAAGCCCGACGCGCCATGCTGGATGTCATCAACAAGGACTAAGGGGAAAAAAAGAAAGTATAATCAGTTAGTATGGAATGAGAAGGACGGAGGGATGGCGGTGGAAAATATTTATGGGCGCGGCGCAGAGAGGTGACATTTATCGATACTGGGATACGCTACGCTGTCCTTTTTGACAGGGAAAGAAAGATGAGCCTGCACCGGTCACTCGAATCTTGGCGTCAGAAAAGTGTCCTTTTTTCTCTTTTCCCTTCTCCCCCCCCCGAATGGATGCCAGCCTGGCCTCTTGATATTAGTTGCTAACGGGTCACTGGCATTGACCACGGTAGGAATCCGACTTTGCCTGTCAAACCTCATCTATCCTTTTTGTCACCCCCCACAATCTAGGTAGGACTATGGCGGGACCGGCATCTACTATTAGCTCGGTATGTGCAAAATGGACCTTCAGGAGTTGATTCGACAGTTTTCTAGTCTCACATGCGGCACTCGTGGCTCATGCCCTCATCTCAAGGCACAACTCTGTCGCTGGCTCAGGCGAGTGGGAGGAACTGGCATTAGGTAAGCAGATGTAGCGAGCGACATTGGACATGAACGTCATCTCCTTTTCCGCATCCGTGTCGATATCAACCCGCATGACATATTTGAGAGTCTGTGGTGCTCCAAGTCCATCGTCCCAATCACGGACAGTTTTACCCTTTAAAATGGGCTCAGTCGATACAAGTCTCCATCCCTATACCTCCGGACGCGCTGCGGCCTTCGCGGCCTCTCACTCGTCGCCCAACCCCTTGATCCTGTACGGCGGCTGGTTCTGCCCCTTCGTGCAACGTTCCTGGATAAGCCTACATGAGAAAAACATCCCGCACCAATACGTCGAGATCAACCCCTACAAGAAGGAAGCCGAGTTCCTGGCCCTGAATCCGCGCGGGCTGGTCCCCACTCTCGCCGTCCCTGTGGACAATGCCGGCAAGACGCAGAAACCACTCTACGAAAGCGCCGTCATCTGCGAGTATCTGGACGAAGTGTACAGCGACCCCAGCACGTACGGACTGAGTCTGCTTCCTGAAGACGCCTACGAGCGCGCCAGGTGCAGGATCTGGATTGACCATATCAGCCGCCGTATTGTGCCGGCATTTTATCGCTTCCTGCAACACTCGTCGGCCAAGGCGTATTCGCTTGACGAGGCGCGCGAAGAGCTTCTAACGCACATCAAGACGTTCATCCGCGAAGCGGACCCAGAAGGCCCCTTTTTTCTCGGCGAGCGGTTCAGCTTGGTCGATATCATGCTTGCGCCGTGGCTGTGTCGTTTGTTCTTATTCGATGTATATAAAGGCGGCGTGGGCGTGCCCCAAGAGGGGAAAGGCGGAGAGGACGAGCATCTCTGGCAACGGTGGCGGAAATGGGCCAAGGCGACGCAGGAACGGGAGAGTGTGTTGGACACTCTCAGTGATCGTGAACAGTATGTGGATGCCTACAAGAGGTATGCGGAGGATACGACACAGAGTCAGGTTGCACAGGCGACCAGGGCGGGCAGGGGGTTGCCATAGGTTGTGAACAGCTCCGCTGACAATATGCGCTTGAAAATTGTACGATCCGTAATTGACGTCAACCTGCTTCAATTTTTATTTTATGAAACATTTCTTATCCTTCACGGACCACATAAGTTGTTTCTTTTTCCAGACTTTGGCAGCATTCAATGTCCCATGGCCGAAATCTATCTCTTTGCCTCACCCCTCAAATCACCACCGAGCCCATAACCACGAATTTTCTCCCACTCGACCTTTTGCCTAGTGACGGGCAACTGGCGCCTCAGAGCCTTGAAACTGGTCTCATTCATTCCCACGAACGCCCTATTCACCTCTTCCTGATACTGCTTCTCAATCGCGGCGATCTTGCGCACGATACTCGCACCATCTCCGTCCACAGACGCCGCGTCGATGCTCTTGGTCGTGGATAGCGCCACGTTGCCGTCTTCGTAATAGTGCACGTCCACCTTGATCGTGCCTGACAGTGTCGATGATGAGGGGTCGTAGAGGAAGACACTTCGCCAACGTCCGCTGAGGAAGTTTTTCGGGGATGCTTTGGTTGTGGATACGAGGATCGCGATCTGCGTGTCGCCGGGCGTTGCGCAGACGGTGTATGCGGACGAGGAGGCGGGAGGGTAGTGTTCTGCAAAGTGCGAGGAGAGGGGTTTCAGAATGGATTGGATCAAGCTGCTGTGCTGGGTGTTGTGAGTGTAGGATTGCGGCGACGTGGGCTTGGAGGCTGTATGGTCGAATTCAAATGAGCTGGAGGATTGAGTGTCGTAGTATCGATTGGAAGAGGGCAGTTTATTATATGCGGATATTAAGACCTGTTTTTCAATTCCAATTCCGAAGTGTCAGCCCAACTGGCAGTTCAGAACTGTGTCTCTGAGGAGCAGCAACACACAGGTGTTCCTTAGGATGTCGTACATGCTCGCTTGCCCCGGGCAGTTTCACCGCAACCATCTGCTCTTCATTGTACTTCTCAAACGAGGGTTTCAATTTCGCAATCAGAGCTGGATCATCGTCGGAGGTGAGGGCCCTGATGTCTTTGACTACCTCTTGCAGTTCGCCGGGTGGTGCTCCCTCAATAAAAGAAGAGGTGATATCAATTGTTGAGCCCATGTTTGGGAACTCTTAAAATGCGGTAGGAAAACAACTCGTAAGGGTTGCGGGTCGAACTGTCTACTTCAAGTTGATCGCGGTAAATTTGGTCTCTGCGGAGTGAGAAGCATTGGCCGGACGTAAGACCAACTTGATACTTGAGGCGGGCGTGCGCCGCAGCCTGATGTGGGGGCGTTTCATGAGCACACCGTATACGGAATAGGACCAATTTCTGTGGGTCGAGTTGGTAATGATGCCGTCTGTGTGAAAGGCAACGAGGTATCATTTGGCATGCAAAATCCCTAATCAATACATCATTTTGAACTAAAGAGCCATCGACCCATATTTCCTTGCCAAATAACGCCGTGGCTATGATCAGAACGAAAAGAGACAAATCAACGCTGAATGTCAAACCTTCGGCATCGGCCTTCATTTTGGTCTCAATCAATGCTCATGCTCATGAAGCCTTCATTCGTTTCAGTCATACCTTGTAAGCCCACTCTCTTGGTTCCGTTCACGCCTCCTCCACTGTTGCTGCGATCGCCATTCGCCTTTGGCGGCATTTTCGACCAGGCTTTGTCGTTGGTGAAAACGGGACTCTGCGGTAAAATAGGACTGCTTTGAACACTCATGCCGGGAGAGACAGCTCGGCGTTTGGTGTAGGTGGGATCAAAATCTTCCTCTCGTCGTCGCTTGTTGTTGACGCGTCGTGCAACATCTCCAGCGGTAGGGGCATTAGAAGCCAGTGGCGTGATGGATCTAGATCTCGAACGATTAAAATGTCTGAGCGCAGGATTATCGGTCAGCGAGGAGCCGGGAGTCTCGAGAGCTTCATCACTGATCGTCGAAGAACTTTCGCGCGGGAGCAGAGGCGGCGGGGGAGTTCGGTACTGGTCGTCGAATGCATTCCAGAACCCTTTGCCGGCGGAATTTCTCTCCGCCTGACGGCTGAAACTATCAGGTGGAAGAGGAGGTCTTGTATCCACGGCCATATCCTCAATGGATTCTTCTACCGGCTCAGAGGCGAACGGGTTGTTGTATTGAAGCACTGGCGAGGTGGCGTGAGATACGGTCGGGTCATTTTCATGGACCTGGCGGATAACCTCTGCTTCGCGTCGAGCTTCACTTTCGATAGGTGCGGCCTCTTCCTGAAGTTGAGCACGGATTCGAGCAAATCCTTTCGTTTTGGGAAGAAGATTGCCGCGCCGAGTGACCGCTTTTCGGATAACACCCCTGGGGCCGTCGCTGCCAGGACGGTCCAGGTCTGAAAGAGACTGTCCCGCAGCGGATTTGTTGGGGTTATTGTCTTCGCTGTCGGACAAGTGCAGGTCGTTGGTTCCTAGGCTCAGGCTCTCACGCCGAGACTGAACTTGTCGTTTGGTGAGGCCGGTTCCGAAGTAACTCCCGCCGGCACTTTCCACACTCTTCAGCGTCCCAGGTGAGAGTGGGCCCGGGGAAGGTTTGGAGCTGTTCATGCTGACACTGCTGGAACTCTGTTGACTCTTTCCTTTGCGGGTACGAGCCCGTCTGAAGCTCATCAAATTTGGCTGGAAGCTCATGAGACTTGCCTGTGCTGGAGTAGGTTGGTTATTCATCCATTCTAATCCAGGACTATTCGTGAAACCGGGCAGGAAACCCGTGTTCAGTCTGGAAGCCGCAGGCGTACTGAGAATTGCATCATCCATCTCCCGGTCGACAGCCATATCGTCGGAAGAAGAATCAGAGCCTGAATCTGAATCAGACCCGAGCATGTTGACGCTACTCACGGAGCTGGATAGGTTGGTCCTGTCGTTTGACAAAGACCACAATCCACTTGGTTGATTGCTCGGTGAATCAAGGACAGAATTCCCAACGCTTCTTCTGGCCGGAATTTGAATGCCTCTTCCGGTAACCGGCGAAGCGTCCGGGGACGCCTCCGCCAGAGTGGAATGATGCAAATTGGTACATGCCCGGGTATAATCCAGCCCTCGTGATCTCCTAGGAAGCATGGATGATGGAGAACCGTAAATTTGGGACGAATCGAGCTTTGGAGATAAAGGAATACGCGGAATGCTGGCGCCGGTGCCATTTTCGGGACCATCTTTAGAGGGCATATGAAGGGACAGACCGCGGATGTGGATAGGAGGTCGGACCGGAGTGGACGGCCCTGTTATGGCGGAATCATCTTTGGATATTCGTCGAAGAGGTTCTCGGAAAGCGGGGGAGGGAGAGAGGACGGGTTTAGGAGCGTCTGATAGAGACCGTGGTTTCGGGGAGCCTTTGTTGGGGATTTGGGACGACCTTGGAGTTCGTTCGCCCTCGCTCTGCTCAATTTGTTCGGTCAGATTCGACTTGCTTGACGGTGACGCTATCTGCCCGACTGGCGGGGCATGCATGATGGACGTCGACATTTTCGCGCGCTACCGCAGCGTGGTATAGAGATGATGGGTGAACATGTCGCGGGAGGGCGAATATTGACGCAATTGGAGCTGAAGGGGGCGCACAAGAGACGATGGAAGTGAATTACAAGTGCGCAAAGACGATATACTGCGCTGATTGGAATTGGCATGGAGCGCAAAGGTCGGATTGACGTTGACGGGACTTTGGGCGCGTTTGGGCATGGCGGGCAAGCCGGCCAATTCACGTGCTAAGCCTTTCGAGTTTTTCTGGCTTCACGCCCACGGCTGTGGTTCAACACTTCGCTCAGCCATCATCATCGTTCGGCCATTTATACTTGGACCGAGACTGTCAACAGGACCTTTAATCTCTCGTCTCTAGCCAAATCGACGGCGAGGCCGTCCTCCAACTTCTAATACACCCCGGATCGGTTTCCCTCACGCCACTACCCACCAAAACTTGGTCACCCGAGATCCTTCTCCCCGCACTGGGCCGATCGAAAGACGTGGCGGCCGCATTCTGACCACTAAGAACATAACCCTCAAACTCGAGACGAAGAAAGATATGAGATTGTGGTTTTGCCCTCCCTTTACTGTTGAGATCGACTTCGAGGATGTCCAACCGAAGGGTGAAGTCTTTGGCCATTGAGGACGACGATTATGATGACTATGACGACTATGAGGATGAATACAACCAAGCTGGCGACACCGATCTCTCACCAGAAGACAAGGAGCAACTGCGTCAAGGTACCATCAAAGTTCGCGAGGCCATCGGACCAGCCTCTTCCGTTACGGATAAGGAGATCCAAGACACCCTCTGGCACTACTATTACGACATCGGCAAATCTGTTTCATACTTGAAAAGTATGTTGTTATGGATCAACTTGGGTTTATCTCAGCCGCTTACCGGATCAGATATACAAAGACCCCAGACTGCGCCTACCAAGAAGCAAACACAACCAACAAAGAGTAAGCTTGGAATTTCATTTGGTTCACCTCTCTCTTGCCGATAAAACCCTCAATCAGATCGTGATGGTCATGATGGCTTGCCAGCAGCATTTGGCGAACAGGATGCTGATAGGCATCAAGAGTGTGTCAGCTCTGCAACTTGCTCAACCCCATTCTCGGCCGCAGACTTTTTCAAAGACTGTCCATGGCTCCAGATCCCCGCCCATCGAAAAGCTGAGATCATCATCGAGCCATTATACCCACATTTGGGTCTCCTCGGAGGTGCATCCAAAGGTGGCAAGGTATCCAAGCTGGCTGCTCTCGCAGCGAAAAGGAGACAGCACGAAAGCGAGCGCTCGGGACCCAGCACGGTGAACGGTTCCACCTCACAGGACGACTATATCACCAGTCTGAACAAACTTCGAATCAGCCAACCAAGCAGGATCAAAGAAGATTCTGCGAGGGCGGCAGACTCTTTGGGAAACGAACTGGTCAAAGTTGAAGCTGAGTCATCTGGCGCAGATAAGGGAAATGTCACGGAGCAGACAGGATCCCCAGAATTAAGAGCAGAAAAGGTCACTGACATATCGGTCTCGACCAGCTCAAACATTCGCGGGGCCCCTTCTGCATTTGCCAGCATCATGACCAGCCACGATGCTGGAAATTACCTTTCAGTTCCTCGTGACCTCTTTTCTGGTGACATGTTTACTAAATGTTTCGACTTTGCAGAACCAAGCCCAGACGATGTTGTCGCCACGGCACGGGAGTCCAAAGGTCGGAATCACATTTGACCCACCGGGGAATGAGCTGACTCGGTCGCGATGTAGCGGTAGGACCGTCCAAGCCGAAGTCAAAGGAAGTCAGCGCATCCAAGGCGACCCTCAGCAACGGCATGCAAGAATTATCTATCCAGCCTTCTCCGGTGAAGAGCAAAAACGTTGATGTGATCTCCGAATATGGAAAGATAAAACGGAAAAACGCCGCAAATGTCGTGGTCATTGGTACGCCATATATTGCTCCTGTGGCCGATATCTCTTGCTGATCGCCCCAAGGCCATGTTGACGCAGGAAAAAGCACCCTCATGGGAAGGCTGCTCTTTGACTTGCATGCTGTCGATCAGCGAACCATGGACCAGTATCGAAAAGAGGCGGAACGGATCGGAAAGGGATCATTTGCATTTGCATGGGTCTTGGACCAAGGCTCCGAGGAACGTGCTAGGGGAGTGACTATTGACATCGCCACCAACAAATTCGAGACCGACAAGACCAGCTTTACCATCCTGGACGCTCCAGGCCATAAGGACTTTGTGCCCAATATGATTGCAGGAGCCAGTCAAGCAGATTTGGCGGTTCTCGTTATAGATGCCTCAACCGGGAATTTCGAATCCGGGTTGAAAGGCCAAACTAAAGAACACGCTCTTCTCGTCAGGTCCATTGGAGTTCAACGCATAATTGTGGCCGTCAATAAGATGGATGCGGCGGCATGGTCTCCCGACCGATATGAAGAGATTCGTCAGCAGATGTCGGCGTTTTTGAACAGTGCGGGTTTCCAATCAAAGAACGTCGCATTTGTGCCATGTTCGGGTCTCGAAGGAGGGAATATTCTTACCAGGGCGTCGGATCCGAGATCGTCCTGGTATACTGGTCCGACGTTGGTCGAGGAGCTAGATATGTCGGAGCCCTCGACATACGCCTTGGACAAACCCTTGCGAATGACCATCAGCGATGTCTTCAGAGGGGCCGTACAGAATCCGCTCTCGGTCTCGGGACGAGTAGAGGCGGGTAACATTCAGATTGGCGAACAGGTCGTCATCATGCCTAGCGGCGAAAAGGCACAGATCCGGAGCTTGGAGGTCGATGAGGAGCCACATGACTGGGCTGTGGCAGGACAAAATGTGGTCCTGAATCTGACGGATGTCGACCCCATTCATCTCAAGACCGGAGACGTTCTCTGCAGTCCCCTTTCGCCCATCCAGAACATCAACGAATTCAAGGCGAAGATCTTGGCTTTCGATCACCTGACGCCTATGAACGTTGATGTGCACCGAGGTCGTCTTCATGTACCAGGCCGAATAATTCAGCTGATCGGTCTTCTGGACAAGTCGACAGGTGCAGTGGTCAAGAAGAAGCCAAAAATCGTGCAACCAGGACATGTAGTCCGAGTTGTGGTGCAGCTTGACCAAGCAGTTCCATTGGAGGCACCTTCAAGGGTGGTGCTGAGAGCAAATGGGGAGACTGTCGCAGCTGGACTAATTGAGTGAATGGGTCAACTGGTCAACAGGGATATGACGTGGATCTAATAATGGTCAGTCAGATTATCACCTATCGGCTACACCGATCCTGAGAGATCTTCCTCGCGAATTTCCCGACCCGCATGCCTTGGTCGAGAGAGGCTCAGAAAGGGGAAAACTCGACTCGATAATGGTTATAATACGTACTGCAGTCTCCTCAACCCCTCCGGCTTTATCAATCACGTGAAGGATGCCCGAAACAGAAAAAGTACTGTATCGGAGGCGCGATGCATAAATATCTCCCGATGATGCCTTTTTCCTAGCGCGAATCTGAAACCGAACATTAAAATTCCCAGGAGAATCGCCATCCTTCGGCCCGCCATTGCCAGCCTGTCAGCCTCGTGTTTGGCATGCTAGCCCCAGAACGGGTATGGCATCACCCCTAAATCATACCGTCTATATCAGGATGTCGACAGTCTGAGACATCGGTGGATGTGAACATGGGCGGCTTATTCTATCCTTCATTTACACAACCTGCCCATTCTGCACGCCTTGATCCCTTGACATCAAACTGCCAAGGTAGTGGGCCAGAATACAGAGTACAAATGAATTCTTCACCAACCCTTGGCTCACTTTTTGTTCCTTCTGCATACGTGTTTGTTCTCTTTTTCTGGTACTTATCGGGTCTATTCCTTCGTTCCGGTAACGCGGCGCAGTGCGCACATCCTTTTATTGTCAATTGAATTTAAAAAAAAAAAAAAAGACATTCGTTCACTCGGTCTTTGGATCTGCGTTTCAGCAACCGAATCTACCTTCAAACTTCTCCTGCTACAGATACTGTCTCGAACCCTTCTTCCTTGGAACTTTCTTTGGACGACATGGCCGGAACATTCATCCTTGCTGCCCTGGCCCTAAGTCGTGTTGCCCTGGCCCACATTGCAGCTTTTGCTAAGGGCATGTACTGCGAGAACGGTACAGACCCAGCAAACCCAAATGTCAATAGCAACGCACCTGTGTCTCCCTTGTACGAACTCAACCAGGAGGATTGGTGGTTTCAACACGACCGTGGTTGCGACAAGGTCCCTCCCCCGGAGGGTATTTTTCTCGAGCTCCCCGCTGGCGGGTCTTTTGACGTCGAATTAGCGGACAATCAAGCATTCACCACTCTTTCTTACAACGGCAAGTATACAACTGAGTGGCCCGACGGTGGTGACCACCCAGAGGACTGGCACGGCGGTAGTGTTGATGAGGGTTGTATTCAGGATGGAGGATACATGCATGTCCAGAACCAGAGTATGGCCCAGGGGACCGCCTTTGCCATTGCCTACGAGAGTGATCTCGGTGCCATCAGCTTGGAGGATCTGGTCGTCTTCACGGTCTTGGAGCAGTACATCCCCTGTCGATGTTAGAGGTTCAACAACAGATGCTAACCTCTCTCTTAGTACACCTTGGAAGCGAGCGGCCACATATCAGGTCCCCGCCGCAATGCCCGCCTGCCCTGAGGGAGGCTGCACTTGTGCCTGGCTATGGGTTCCCCGTGGCTGTGGCCAGCCTAACATCTATATGCAAGGCTTCAAGTGCATGGTGACGGGAGCCACATCCACTACTCCTCTCGCCAAAGCCCAAGCTCCCGTCATGTGCGACAACGATCCCTCCACATGCGTGACTGGCGCGAAGCAAATGATCGTCTGGAACCAGGCTACGGGCAATAACGTCGAGACCAGTGGCTCTCAAACCCCGGCCTACAACGTGCGCAATGGCTTCAAGCCCGGTGCTCAAGATGACATCTTTCAGAGCGCGCCCGTTGTGCCGGTGTCGAGCTCACCTTCATCTTCATCTTTGACCACGTCATCGTCAATAGGCCGCTCGATCTCCATCTTCGCCCGTGTTTCAGCCATGACGCGTGCGCAATCCATTCCTACCACAGGTAGCAGCGCCAGCAGCACTAGCACCCCAACCACAAGTTGCCTTGTCGCCCCGACTATTCCGACATTCAGCCTTCTCCCTGGTTTATCCAGCTTTTCAATTGCGCCGACGACGCTCTCTACCGTCATCAAACCGGTCTCCGCGACTAGCGGTCCTGCTGTCCAGGAGAACACAACCCCAGCACCGTCACCGTTAGCATGACCGTTCCCCCCCACCGAGGCTGTCCCCTCAAGCGCACACACCAAGCACTTCAAAGAAAGCTAGGTCGAGTATGACGAGGAGGAGTAATCTATGATATAGCACCATGCATGTGTTTTCCGGTAATTAAAAACTCCAACACAATGGAGGCAATACACAAACGGGCAAGAAAGAAGCAAAGCAAAAGAGGAGAAATCAAGGGTGTACAGGTACTGTTGTCATCATTCATTATCTAAAAGTTTTGTTTCTTTTCTTTTCTCCCTTTCGTCATCTCAATGGTTCATGACACTCATTTTTGCTCCATACGCATGTACGCTAGAAAATTTGGGCCCAGACATCCACTCTGGCCATCTCGTTCCACCCCATCCATTCTAACCTAGCCCAAAAGAAAGAGAAAAAGTAGCTAGCTACACCAAAAAGGAAGCGCCATTCCTTAAAAAAAAAGGCTGAACCTCGCCCGGATTAAAACAGGCAGCTCATCATTTTTGGCTTTGTATCATATCAACGAATCCTACACACCAGCGTTTAGAATGAAGAAATACCCCGGAAAATTTTCACCTCGCTTGCGCCCGCTGATAAAAGACAATATACGCCTCGGAATTTTGCAAGCGATCCCTGGGTCCTAACTTGTTAGGATCGAGATCCATGTGCCTTTCATCGTCGAACTTCCTCCAGCATCCTCGGCCTTGGTCCTTGACAATACTGATATAATGGCCTCCGTCACCACTGTTACCCAAATGTCTCAGCACACCGTACGCATCGTAGCTATACGGTGGAGTGGTTGCCATGTCGATCTTGCCATCGTGGTCTGGTACCGGAGGAAGACGAGGGATGACGAAGTCATCCATGGAGAGGCCGTACAGGGGGAATTCGATCGGGGTGTGAATCTTTTTGGCCTTCTCATGTTTCGACGCAGCGAAACGTTTAAAGTGGATGACAAGGAATTGTGGAAGTCGAGTGAGGATGATTTGCTTTGTGGCTTCGCGTTCACATTTACAATATGGACACCTCCACAGTTCTGACAGCTTCTCTTCGCGACAGTATGAATTGAGACAATCGTAGATGTGCCCGGCGCCCGACCTTGGGATTTCAATGCTGATGCTGTAGAATGCTTCATAAGTCGTTGATGTTCGCTTACAAAAGAGACATCGCAGCCGAGAAGCATGTTGACCTGCAAACAGCGACGACATATAGCTGTGATCTCGATGTTCGTATCGTTTCCACTCAATCGGACTGGCCTGTGCAATATCCATTCTTTCCCTCTGCATTTCCTCGGCTGTTGTGAGTGGTCGAAGTGGGGTTCGTTCCCAATTGACATTCAGGTCCTCATGCAAACAATCAACTAGAAAGTCGAAGAATTCTTTGGCATCTTGTTGTCGGTCGATGACCCATTCCCGATTCATACGCCCGCAAAAGTTCCGGAAAGTAGATGGTTTGATAACTTCGTTATCTCCCTGCCAGACTGCTTGGACCAAGTTGGCGTACAGCTTGGGCATAATGCCATTGCTCCCCTTCCAGTTGCGTTGCACATATCCTTCATACAATCGATCATTGAAGAAGGTCGACAACGGAATAGTTGCGGACAAACACTGTAGAGTGGAATTCATGTAGCAGGTGACGCCGAAGTTGGTGAGACCGGTCTTGGGTAGTCTTCTGTTGCGTAGAGATGTCGCAGAGGAATAAAGTGGCGGTCGCGTGGCAGACGTTACTCTTGCCAGTGCTGGCTGAGGGGCGTGGATATCCGCCTCCCCGGAATAGCTGGGTCTGGGTATAGCAGGAGGAGGTCTGGCCGGGACTGTGGGAGCGGCCGCAGGTGCAGCAGGAGGTGGAGGAGAAGTAACAGGTTGAGGAAGGTAGGCCGCTGGGTGTGGAGGAAGGGGTCTCCGAGATGGCATCACCATCGACTCTTGCTGCTTGATCGAAGGGAAGCGGCGTAAGAACGTCTCGTAGTCTGGCACAAATGGTGAGGGAGGAACCTGTTCCTCTTCCGCAGCAGGATATTCCTCGTCACTCCCGGTCTCAGCTCTTTCATTGGGCGTCACTTCTTCCTGAAGCGCCTGTTGACGCCATGCTTCCTGCTCGCTTTCGTCCAGGAACTTGTGATCGCGGAGTCGTCGGTTGCGGACCTCATATCGCGAATTGGCAGACACCATGCGTTGTCGGGCAATGGGCCTCCCAGGACCAACGGCAACTCGCTGACGCGTCGTACCGAGGGTGGCCGCCGTCTTGGAACGTACCAGCGAATGAGCCCCCACGAAGTCAATCCAAGCGTCAAGACCGCCCGCCAACAACGCGGGAGGTCGACCGTCCTTGAGAGGTTTGGTGTCATTGAACTCGTACAAGGTGTCGTAGAGCGCTCTCAGTGCGGGAGCTTTGGTCATTGTCGGAGGACCTTTCAAATATGAGTTGTCGTTCGTGTCCTGATCGTAGTACACCACCAGGTCGAATTCATTTCGGCGAGCAAAGTGGGATTGTTCGGCATCGGGAGCCAGAACGAGCCGATCCTCGAGCTCTTCCGCTGAGACTCCCTCTTTGAGGGAGATGGGTTCGATACAGATGATAGAACTAGACATGATATGCCCGTCATCAAAGAGAACCCGCTCTCTAATATCGATAAGAAGGACATTGTACTTCCTCATGTATTCGTGCAAGGTAGGTGCATCGATTGACGTTTTATGGGGAAGATCACTGGAGCTGCTTTTCGGGATCATGGCAGAATTCACCCCGTTTGGAGTCATCGGTCGATAGGGTAGCAGAATCTCATCGCGAGTTCGCTGCAGGTGTAACGAAGTAGACGACGAGTTTTGAGATTGATTGTAGTATGTTTGTCTCCTTTCTGACGGAGGACGACCGCCTTCTGTCGAGGGCCGATTGTTTGCATGGAAACCACCGGAAGTAGTGTTGATAGGACTATAGGCGGGACTAGGCGGTTTGGGCATAACCATTGATGTGGCAAGAGGAACTTTGGGCGGTATTGACGGGCCATTGCTGGAAGGCATGTCTCGTGGCCCGCTCAGCCGCGGGCTGGGAAATCCGTTGACGCCTGCGGAAGAATATGATTGCGGTCGCGGACCAAATCCGGCGCCAGGCTGAAAATCGCTTGCTTTGGGCATAGAGAGGACACTCGACTCCTCGGAAGCATTTCCCAATCCTCGGAGACGAGCAAACCTTTGACTTAGATCGTTAGAAGCCTCGGTCAGTGGTCGTCCTTGCAGACCTTCAGGTTTGGGTTTGCTAGTGGGACGCGCTCGTTCTATTCGGAGGGCGTCGGGAAGCTCGTGAGATGCACGAGGAGGGTTCTCTCGGGTATTCGAGATTCCAGAGTCACCAGCAGACGACGGTCGTCCCCCTCCTGGCGCCGCGGCATTTGGAGGCACTCCAAAACCGGTAGAATACACCGGCTTTCGCGGAACGGCCCATGACTGTGGTCGTGTCCCGTGCTGTGCGTTATTATCTTCGATGATGACCTTTACTTGGGTCATTTGGCCTTCCAACTCGTTCAACTTTCGGAGGGCAGTCTTGTACTTCGTTGCCCAAGAGTGATTGTGATCCCAGAACCCATACTCCTTATGTCGAGGAATATGGTTGACGGCGATTTCATATCCGCGAACGTAACTTTTATAAGCCAGGTCAGGCCGCCCAAAATCCAGCGCATTTCGGGCGGTTGCGACACAGTTTTCAACGTCGCTGAGATAGTACACAAGCGAGCCGTCGGCCTGAAATGACGTTGCATCTTGGATGATATCCTTGATGTGAGGGTAGACCTTTTCGGAGCTCGAGTCTGGTTTGCTGTCTCTGGGATCGGTCCAACTCCCTCTCGAAGAGGGAAGGGTACTGGCAGAGCTGGAAGTGGTCTGACTGGAAAAGGATGACGAGGATGCGTACGCCGCCATGGCGGTGTTGGAGCAATATTACCGGGGGATCATTGCGCAGAAGACTCTCACCGAGTCTTGGGTTGGTAGGGCCTCGTTTATAATCCCCTCAATGTCGTGCGAGAAGGAATCGTGTTGGGAAGGACGGGAGCCGACAGGGGGGGCACACGTTGTCGTGGGGGGAGATTGGGATTTCGATAGGGATGGTGAGCCGCAGGAGGTCTGGGAAGGGACGAGGGATATGAAGGGTCGGAGATTGGAGTCGATGACGGCGAGTTGAGAAGAAGGGAGTGACAAAGACGGTCTAGAAGGTCACTGGGGGAGAGAATGGGAGTGTCGAAAGCGCCACCCACGGACGGATTTGCACCTGGGATTTGCTGGATACTCCGTAGTGGTGCAAATTACGGGGGAGTACGTACTTCAGCCTTGCGCCCAATTTCACGAGGCTGGATCTTTTGCAGCACAGGAGTGTCTGATCAACCGTAATCATCCTGCGCCGCCGCGACAAGTGGCAACCAACCCGCATTATTACGCATCGGAGGTTTCCCCAGAGCGCATCACTTCAGTTGCGGTGTTCTTGGATCACCACCATCTCTCCATAACCTCTGGGACCAATCTCCCGTGACAAGTTTTCACTGCTCCTCGAATCCTGCCTCCGCTTTGACCGAAGAACTCCGCACGCGTAACCTGTCCTGAAGAATCACTCTCTTGAATTCAGAACCATGGCCGGATGGTTCTCCTCAGGAACCTCTGCTCTCGACGAGCAGATCGAGAAAGCCACTTCTTCCAGCTTGGAGGACATTGCCACAAGCCTGGAAATCTCAGATCTGATCAGATCCAAAACTGTGCAGCCTAAAGATGCTATGCGGTCATTAAAGAGACGGATAGGCAACAAGAATCCAAATATTCAACTTTCCGCCTTGAAGCTCACCGACACCTGTGTTAAAAATGGCGGCTCGCATTTCCTCGCCGAAATCGCCTCTCGCGAGTTCATGGACAATCTTGTTTCGTTACTGAAGGCATACGGGGCCGCTTCCGTCAACGACGAGGTCAAGCAAAAGATACTCGAGTTGGTGCAGAGCTGGGCCAGTGCTACGCAAGGACGATACGAACTATCATATATCAACGAAGTTTACAAGAGCTTACAGAAAGAAGGCTTCAAGTTTCCACCTAAAGTGGAGATCTCCAGCAGTATGGTGGATAGCAGCGCGCCGCCTGAGTGGGCTGACAGCGATGTCTGCATGCGATGCCGAACCGCGTTCACCTTCACCAATCGGAAACACCACTGCAGGAATTGCGGCAATGTCTTCGATCAGCAATGCTCCTCCAAGTCGATCCCTTTGCCCCATCTGGGCATCATGCAACCTGTTCGAGTCGACGACGGTTGTTACGACAAGTTGACGAAGAAGTCATCCGGGGGTTCTGAGCGCCGGGTTTCCTTCGCACCTAAACCGAGTACTATGCAACCACGAAGCGCTCGAGTGGAGGCCGGTAGCTTTGACGAGGACTTGAAAAGAGCGCTGGAAATGAGTTTAGAAGAAGCCAGAGGAGTGTCAGGCTCCGGGTATGTTCCGCCATCACAGTCCAAGCAAGAGCCGGCGAAGACAAATGGTGCATCGAATGAGGAAGAGGATGATCCGGACTTGAAAGCCGCTCTGGCTTTGTCTCTGAAGGAAGCTGAGGAACAGGCTAAGAAGCATGCGGCCTCGATGAAGAAATCTGCCGACGATGGAGCCAGCTCCACGCAACCGTTTGTTATGCCCAAGAACGATTATGAATTGTCGATTATGGAAGCTGAAAACATCAACCTGTTCTCGACGTTAGTGGATCGACTACAGCATCAGCCTCCAGGAACTATTCTCCGAGAACCACAAATTCAAGAATTGTATGAAAGCATTGGTAAGCTTCGGCCCAAACTGGCCAGAACTCTGGGTGAGACAATGTCCAAGAATGACGCATTGCTTGATTTGCACGCGAAACTATCCACCGTTGTGCGATACTACGATCGCATGCTTGAAGAGCGATTGAACAATACGTATAATCAAAGAAACTCCGGTTACACAGCATATGGACTACCCTCGCCCGCTGCGGCACCTCAACCGTCCGGAATGTACCCTTCAATAGCCTCAGGACCGCCGCCGTCCATGAATACTGGTCCTGGCGGTGCAGAGAACTATTATTTCAGCAATGCACCTATGGAGTCGTATGCTCCTCCTCCTCCTCCTTCTCAGCAGACACCAATGGCCCAGCCACAACGGTCCTATTCATATACCGGTCAGAAGCAGGAAGCTCCTGCATCTCCATATCAATACGCAGCAAATCAACAGCCTTCGCAACAACATCAACCAAGCAGTCAGCCTCCTCAATTCAACCAACCCTCTTCCCCACAAATGTATCAACAATATCCATCTCAGCCCTCCCAGCCACAGTATCCTCAAATGCCTCCGGCTGATCCCCAGCAAACGCCAACATCGTATGCCCCGATGCCTCCAATGTCTCCTGAGGCTCCGACTCCACAGCCACCATCGCAATATCAAACACAACAACAAGTACAACAAACTCCACAACCCTACCCACAACAACCCCCGCCTTCGAGTCAGCCTCATCAACAAAGTTACTCTCAACCACAACAGTACGTTCCTCAACAGCAGGGGCAGCCACCGTCGCAGCAACCAGCTCCACAATCGATACCCAACTCATACGGCTCTTACCCAACCTATACGCAAGAACACTTCCCCTCCGCGCCGCAGCATACGCCGTCATACCAACAACCACAGTCCCATCCACAGCAGCATCAACCGCAGCCCGTTGCCGTGGAGGAAAGTTTGATCGAGCTCTGAGACCACGATCATGACATTATCATCTGCGGCGAAGGACTAGAATAGTGCGAGGAGGGGGGGGAGTTGACATGAGCTGGAGAAAGTAGCTCGTGTTGTTTTCACAAACACTATATTCATCATGAGAGAATCAGAGAAAAGGGACCGAGGATGAGCCCTCTTCAATTCCAGTCCACCATGAATGTGAGATTTGGGTACCAATCATCATTCCTGATTTCTAGCTGTTTCTTCAACCAGTACCCTACCCATAGTCGAATAGCAATAAACCATTGTCTGTGTACGTATGCCACCTCATAGAACCAGATGTTCTCAAGACATGGTTTTTCTTCTCCATAAATTAAGAAAGACATTGAGGTCAATGATTGATCCAAGACACTCAGCTGCGACACAAGGAACGAGTTTTCCCGGCCTTGACTTGGTTTGCATTGATTCAGTCGTCGGGTCGAGGTAAGGGACGCTCCACTGTTGAATCCCAGTACCATACAGCCAACGCCCGCCCAAATCTGATTTCTTTCTGTGTCTTTCTGCTGCGAGGACGCCATTAAGTCTCGGGCACCTTTCAATTTTCATCATGTCCCCTACACATGGGTAACCGACTGCAAAGCACAACATGCACATCTCGCTGAGATCCGTCCACTCTTTTCCATGACCATTTCAAATGAGTGATTCGTCTCAGTTCAGACCCGGTGTCCCTCTTGACTCTCGTATCATAGTTTCATTCTCGGCATATCACCACCCAACACAGACCTCTTAGCTGGTTTCCTCTTATAAAATTGATTGTCGTTCGGCCATCCCCAGATGTTTTCGCTAATACTGTACTCTTCCTCAATCTCCTTACCAGTCTCGCGAGCTTCGGTTTTTCTCCAAACCATCTCATCCCACTTAGTAAATCTCTGTGCATGGTGAAGATAATCGGTGATGTCATCTTGTTGTTCCGAGTTAGTATCATTTCGAGGCTGCCCATTACACCGTCCTCTTCTCAAACGGGCGGCTTTCAGTCCCAGTCTCTCGCGACGGCGGTTTTCTTCATTCTTCTTCTGTTGCTGCAATGCGAGGCGTTTGGCGACTTCGTTCGCGTCATGCAGTGCAATCAGCTTTCTCTTTGCCGGATGCTTGGCCATGAGGGAGTTGATGAGACGATACATTTGCCATTCGATGCTTCGATTGACACCATCTTCTGTCTCCGCCTTGGAGGCCATGGGACCTTTCTTGACAAATTCTATTGCTGGCTTGTTCTTAATGCTCCACCCATCTGTATTGACTAGTCTTGGGGGATGATCGATGTGGTGTCGTAGGTAGCTGGTAGTCACTACGTCAGAAGGGGTCATGCCCGTCGCGTTTTCCCAGTACAACAATCCGGGGCGGTATTCGACAATAAATTTGACCAGTTGTTGGTGACCTCTGCGGATAAGAGAATGCAGGGGATAGTCTCCTGCACCATTTATTTTCTCCAGGTCCTTGCCGTTCGAGTAGGACAGGACAATCTTGACACTTTCCTCCCAACCGGTGGCGGAGTGGATATGGCCCAAAAATAGAGCCAGAGGAGTCGTACCGGCAGTCTCAGTTCCACCGCATCGCTCGAGCAACAACGGAGGAATGATTTTCTGGTCAAGAATTCCCAAAACAGATCGAAGCAAAGCATGTTTGTGGGGATCGATGGTATCAAGAATGGTGTGTAGAATGTTTCTTCCTTTGTGATCCTTGGTAGCTTGATTGGCACCAGCCGCAATCAATTTCCGCGCGGCGTAATACCTGCCCACCTCAAAAGCGAGATGGAGGGGAGTCCTGCCGTCGGCTGTACGAACCTCCAAAGACTGCGGCATCTTTTCGAGTAGGAAATCGAAGGTCGGCTGACTCCCGTCCTCAGTAGGTCGTGACAACACACCGACATGGAGAGCAAAGCTGTTTCGTGTAGACAGCCAGGCATTCAAGGTGCCCTGGATACCGCCCTCGGTGTGCGCTAGTCCCTGGATGCGTTTGTCGTTCTTGAACGACTCCGCAAACTCCATGTACCGACGCAGAGGAGCGTCAGATAAGAAGTAATCCGTGGTCTCCAAGTTACCTTCGACAATAGCGACCAGCAGGGGAATCCCCATGTCAGACTCGACTTGCTTGGGACGCGACCCTTTCCTGCCCGCCTCCGCCCAGTCTTGACGTTTCTTGCCGTGAACGGTCAGACCTTGATAGTATTTTGGCTTTTCGTCTAGGTTGACACCCGATTTCTGAAACATTTTTTGGAGTGGGAACCCAAATCCAGTGGTCCTGATGATCTCGCCGATCATTTCAACTCGGCCTAGGTAGAATGCGAGTACAAAATCGTCTTTGACGATATGGGCTACCCTCGAGCTGTCTCCATCTTCCTTTTGAGTCTCAAGATCCTTGTGGATCTTGATGAGGAATTTCAAAAGGCTCATATTGTCTGTGAAAATAGCGTATCGAATCAAAGATTGGCGGTTCAATGTGGAAAAGTTTTCGAAGGCGGCATTGAACCAAGCCCATGATTGATGAGAATGGCCAGCGACATAAACACTTGGCGCGAACATCCCCCCCAAACATTGCTGGACTTCTTGTTCGTCAACACTGTCGTCGACGGCCCGACTAACTTGGCAACCCCAGGAGACCATGGTAGCGGGAGAAACTTTCGATTTGACATTGTCGGCGAGAGCCGCCACGTCATCGACCGTGAAAGTTTCATTGATAATCTGAGCGAGGACACCGATGTGATCGCCCTTTTCGGAGCCTTCGCCATCGTCACTGCATTCGCTGTCATCATCGTATCCTCGTTCAGCACGCAGACTGTAATGGTATCTTTCTGACTTCTCACCAGGCTGATACTGAACGGTGGCAATTTCGACGACCAATTTCGCCAGATCGTAGTGACCTCGGAGAGTCGCAATCGAGAATGGACTGAATCCTCGAAGATCGGTGACAGCGACCTGGAGAGGGCATGTTCCAGACAAGCAAAGTGATCTCACCGTGTCCGAGTCACCCTTCCAGGCAGCCTCAAAGAGCCGGATATAATCGGCCTTCTTTTCCGTGGTTAGGTCCAGGACTATAAAAGATATATTTGTTTTGTATGGCTCAGTGTTGTATCCCCCATTTCCACCGTAGTATTGCCGCATTCTGTTGTCTGGTTTGGTAACATCTTCGTGCAATTCATAGAAAGTCTTCGCACCCTTCTTGACGAGCTTTTCACTGAGTTCAACTAACTTGGAAATGGTAGCTTTCACCGCAGCTTCTCGTTCTTTGTTACCCTCTTCCGAGGCGGGCTTCTGAGAGGCAAGTTTGTCTGCGTATTGTTGCGTTTGATATCGATGGAGAAGTTTTGCATCGCGTAAATCATGGTATGCTGTCCAATATTGGTACGAACCTTGATCAAAATTGAGGTACTGTTCATCTTTGCCCAGAGATTCTGGCTTTTTGAGTTGCTTGTCCTTTTCTGTGTCCAAGGTCTTTTTCAGAAACTCGACCCTGCTTCGGACGAGATCCAATAGGGACTTATCTTCGCCTCGCCAGTATTCATGATCAAGGTACGCGTAAGCTTCCTTCGGCAGTGTGTTGACGTCTTCGCCGTTGTCAACAAGCTGATTGACCAAGTCGATCATCTCCATCTTCATGGCGACAATGATTGGTTGCTCAACATGTTTCTGATAGAGTTTTCTCACTTCCGTTGGATCATCCAACGTTGTGTCGAAGCTGCGCTTGTATGTCCGAGCAAATACCTCAAAGTCAATATGAGTTTTAGCGCCCATTGCAACCAGACTATTTACAACGCCAGTGTTCCCGGTTCGGATTGCTGACAGGATAGGTGCGTCGACATTTGGACTGGTCCAACATCCTGAAATGGCAATGAAGTTCGCAGCTTTTGTGAAGGCGGCAGAATCGGCGGTCTGGAGAGTCTCTAGGATCAGAGCTTTTGCATTGCTTACAGCGTAATGAAGGGCCGAAACATGGTTCATGTCGGCTTGAGTAGATGTCGCGCCATGAGCAAGGAGATTTTTGATGACTTCGTTTGCTTGTTGCAATGGAAGCTCGAGAGCCAGTATAATGGTCAGGATCGCAGCTTTGGCATTCTTTCGGTTATATTGGTCCATAATTTTGACCGGAAGGAGGACGTCGGCGCCATATCCGTCGATGAGTACGTCGATAATGGGAATGTGTCCAGCCAGGATGGCCAGATGGAGAGGCGACAGCGGACTATCCCATGCGAGGACGTCAACGTCGTAAACATCCGGTCCGCCTTTATCCTCGGTCAATACATCATTTGCTTCCGTGGTCTTCTCCACTCTCACAAAGGATCCTTCGGTCACGTCGTCAGCCTCGTCATCTTCATCATGGAAGTCTTCCTCAGAGTCAAACGAGTCACTGGCCCCGGCCTCACTCGGTTCGGTTCTTCCTGCTTCGTTGTGGGCATTTGCTCTTCGTGCATGTTTTCTTGCTTCTTCTTTGCGAGACTCTTCCTTCTCATTGGCTTCACTCTTGTCCAGGAGATCTTTGACCATCCGCACTTCTCCACGAAGAGCAGCAATGTGCAAAGCAGTCATCCCGTTATACAATCTAGAGACAATGCGAGCGTCGTGGTCAATCAAGTACCGAACGATTTCGGGAGTTGAACACATCACTGCTAGTTGAAGAGGAGTTCGACCAGCGTGATCTCGTCTGTTGACATCGGCCCCTTCGGTGGATGAAAACCAATCTTTGACAGCATCAAGATCTTGCTCGACGATTGCTTGACAGAGTCTTGTCGTGTTGCCGACGTACGCCATTTCTGTCCAATCAACATCTGTGATGGGGTGGAAGCTGCCGATGGCTTGTCGTCCCGGATCATCTTTGAGAAAGCTCACGCCCCCCGAGACATAAAGTTTGCTCTCTTCTTCGAGAGCCGCAAAGTCTTCGTCCGTGGTTGGCTCCGGGCAGAATCCACAACAATCATGGATAACATCATTCACAGAGCCGAAAAAAGCCGGGTGTCGATGTAATTTGGTCTCCCTGTCCTTCGGTCTGTTCCACTCGGCGTTCAATAGCAAATCCTTGGTGAAGAGGAGCTTTTCCACCCGCTTTGCATTATACTTCGGTCCGTACGGGATGCTGACAGTGTGATAATTGGAGACTTCTTCTTCGTCAACCCAGTCGGCAACGTCATCCGGCTGTGCGTCTTTGACATTTCCAGGCAACTGATGACGGAATCTGGCATTCCGTGGCAATGGGGGCCGTCCTCTCTCCTGTCGGCGTTGCGTCAGATATGTGTCTCTGTCATTGGGGTGTGGAAGCTGTTCCAGAACAAGCAATCTGGCCAGACCCTGAACTCTTGAGAAGGATCTCTCAAAGATGGTAGGATCGACTCGACTGCGGTCAATTTCCGGCCAGTATACTTCGAAACCACGGTGGGAATACTTGGACAGTCGATTTTCGTAGGATGGAGATCTCCTTGTGAGATCGATCGTATTCATTTGGGTCATGAAGGCTGCTAGAGCTCGTGGTGAAGCCCAGACTTGTTGACCATCATAGGCCACGCAAGCACAGTCGACGTCAAAGCCAGTGAGAACCTCCGAAATACTCTTGTACAAACGAAGAACGATTTGGACATGTCGAGTGGGGTATTCTGAAACAATGGTGATGGCATTCTTGGTACGAATAGTTGTGGTCTCTGCCAAAATGCTGTCCCGGATTCGGGACTCGATCTGTTTGATCTTTTCAATTGCTTGCTCTTCATCGAGTCCGTACAGGAAGAGATCAACGTCAGAAGCAGGAGCCAGCTTCTCATGATAGTATGCTCGAAGGGCACGCTGCGGTTATGTTAATGCCGTCAGGACCAATTGGCAAGAGTACTCGCCTTGGATTCGTTGTGGGGAGCTTCAACTGGAAGCAATGAAGTGACAACGGCACTTCCAGCAACGACGACATTTGTCCAGTCCAGATCGACAAGGGAGGATTCAGAAAACAGGTTGAAGTTTGTCTTGAACTCTTTCAGGGATGAGACAGTGGCGAGGGAGCCATTTTTCCGCCGAAGATCGTCTGAGAGAGGCAGCAGGTATTTGTCCTTGTCAGCAGTGGACTCGTTGGCGATGTCCCTAGCTCGAATAGTAACTGGAGTATTTTTGAACACAGAGACCAGGTGATTGGCGTTTACAGCAGGATGGTTTGGATGTTGTGCATAGATCTCTCGCAGCTTGGTCTCGAAAGCCTTGAATGGTTTCACTGCCTCGGCCACACCGGCGTGTGACTGAGGGTGTTTGTTGGCATATTCGACAAACTCGGTAATTGGTACAGGGATAGAAGGAAGCTCCATGGTAGAAGGGCTCTTAGATGTATGGGTCGTGGGACCCTGACCAAAAATGGTGGCGGGAAAAGAAGGGCTGTAGACAGATGAAAGAGAAGCAAAACGACGGTATATCCAAAATAGGGGGATAGATTGAGTTTGCTGTGTGGATTTCAATGCTCCTGTGATAAGTTGGAGTGCTGGGAAGAGGATTATGGGCATGTGGACGAGGAGAGGTTGAGCATGGAGGTGTTATATGAGATGAGTAGAGTCCTCGTGGCACGGATTTCAACGAGTGCGCGGAACGTGGAAGCCACTACTTTAGGCACCCATGCCTCTTGTCTCTTCTCCATAGAAGACATCCATATCCCTCCAAGTTGGTAGCTGCATCATATTCAGGGGTCTGCTGCAGGTGGAGAAGGATGCCTCTTCTCGCCTAATTCCTTTATGCCAATCAGGCCACGGAGCCCTTCTGACCAACAGATTGATTGGCCACAGTTTCAGATTTACTTGCGAGCTCAGCCACATTTCCTGATCCAGAGCGTCGGGGCGAACTAGCCGGCACGAAACAAACTTCAGAAACATCACAACCCCATCGACCGAAGTGAAGGGCGTGGACCAAACATACGTGATATGTACATCTGCTCCACCATGCAATCTATATACGGAGGCCCAGTCCAACCTGCTGGCGCAATCCCAATCCCACAAACTCTCTTGGGATCTCGATTAGACGTCACACATGCACCCAATTCTTGCGCCCCATACTCCGAATAGCAGATGGTTCGAGCCCTACAGACTGCAGCTGAGTATATAAGACAATTTCCCAAATTACTGATCCAATCAAGACACTATCAGCGACCTTCTACAGGCCTGACACTCAAATCTCCATTTTCCATATCGACAGACTTCACTGTCTAGCCCAAAATGGCCAACGACCACATCCTTACCCTGTCCTGCCCGGATAAACCAGGAATCATCCACGCGGTAACGAGAATCTTCGCCCAGAACAGCCTCAACATCCTCGACCTGCAACAATTCAGTGACCGAACCTCAGAAAAGTTTTTCATGCGAGTCCACTTTGGGCCAGCGGACGACACGGAATTTTTAACACCATCCTTCAACGAATTGGCCAATGAGATCAAGATGGATTACGAAGTACGGCCCGTTATGCAGAAGCCCAGGGTGTTGATCATGGTATCCAAGATCGGACACTGTCTCAACGACCTCCTGTTCCGACAGAAGACAGGCCAACTAAGCATCGACGTACCCCTGATCGTTTCTAACCATCCAGACTTCGAGCCTCTGGCGCAGAGCTACGGCATTCAATTTCACCATCTACCTGTGACCAAGGATACCAAGGCCGAGCAGGAACAACGAATCCTCGAACTCATCAAGGAAAATAACATTGAACTGGTCGTCCTGGCACGGTATATGCAGGTGCTGTCACCGACACTGTGCGAGGCCATGTCGGGCAAAATCATCAACATCCATCACAGCTTCTTGCCCTCCTTCAAAGGTGCCAAGCCCTACCACCAAGCTTACGACCGAGGGGTCAAAATCATCGGCGCCACTGCACACTTTGTAACGGCAGATCTTGATGAGGGCCCCATCATCGAGCAGCGTGTCGCTCGAGTCGACCACAGCATGGCGCCCAAAGAACTTGTCGATGAGGGCAGCAATGTTGAGAGCCAAGTCCTCGCCGCTGCGGTGAAGTGGTGGTCCGAGAAGAGGGTGTTTTTGAATGGTCATAAGACCGTTGTTTTCAGCTAAAGCTTTTGTCCTGAGCAAAAAAAGTATGTGCTGTTATACGTTTCTACAGTTTGATTCTATGGGCGGAATAAATATGATAGACCACGTCAATATTAAGTCATTCCCTCAGCAGTTAGAAACTGGTCGAAAGCAGTTGGTTTTCACGGACACGTAGCGAGACAGAGGCACACAGAGAAAGGAAGCAATTAGAGCTTCGTGTGTGGTTGCTCAATGATCCTGACGCCGACATCCTCCCTGCATGACAGGCGCTCAAGTGCCAAACCGTTCATCGCCTTTACACTAGTCAGAGGCAGAAATATCGAAGAAGTTGATCAGGAATGGAAAAAGGGAAAGGAAAGCAGATTTCATAATTAATTATATGCTGAAGGTCACGGTATCTGACACCAAACCCCTCACATAACATGCATGCAGGTATATACACGCGTCTCATCCCAGTCATACCGAGTCAAAATGCCACCACATCTGTCGGACGCAGGGGTGAATCCCCGTATCCCGTTTTGAAAGGTTATCAGATCGTCAATAACGGGCACAATCATTATGTCACGGCCCCATTATAACTCATCCTTAACTCCATCCTTTGTATCCTTCGCTGTCCGCACTAAATCTTTGGCCATCAATGCCAAAATATCCACTAGCAAATCACTGGCCGCAACGCTCGTGACCTCTGCAGCCGTGTCGTAGGGCGGAGAGACCTCAACGACATCTGCACCGACGAGTCTGATGCCTTCAAGACCTTTGATGAATCGCTTGACTTCGCGGGTCGTCCATCCGCCGCTCTCGGGTGTGCCAGTTGCGGGCGCGATAGAAGGATCCAACACATCGATATCGATGGACAGGTAGACGGGGGTATCCTTGACGGTATTCGTGACGCGTTCGATGATGCCATGGATGCCGATGTCGGGTTCGTCGATTTCGTGCGCTTCAATCAGCGTGAAGCCGACCACGTCGCGATCGACCACGTAGTCTTCGGGGCTGAAGAGTTTGGTGCGCAATCCGCCGTGGACTGAGGTTCCCTTGGCAATACACCCCTCGCGCGCGGCGTGCCAGAAAAACGTGCCGTGAGTGATGGAGCTCTGCTCGGACACAATGCCTGTGTATCCCGCATACGGGTCCCAGGTATCGAGGTGCGAGTCTAGATGGATCACGCTAATGGGGCCATAGACCTGTTTCAAGCTGCGTAGGATTGGGAGGACGATGCTGTGGTCGCCTCCGAGGCTGAGAATTCGGGGATGCCGCCAGTTTGCCCCGACTGCGGTCGTGGTGTTGTGGAATAGGACTTGTCGATACCCCTGTTCCATCTGGCGAAAGGCATGTGCCGCATCGAATGGCGTAATGGGAATATCTCCACAATCGACGATCCTGAGGCCACCTTCCGTGAGTGGGTCCAGGCCCCAGACCGTATTGTAGCTACGGCCTTTCTTCTCACGCGAGCTGGCGGCACGGATTCCTCGAGGTCCAAATCGTGCGCCCGGCCGGTATGAGGTTGAGGTGTCGTAGGGAAAGCCGACGACGGCGATGTCCAAGGGAGAGTCGTGTGAGGCTGAGAAACACCGTTCCCAAGGAAGATGGGCAAAGGTGACAGGTTGGGAGAAGGGGAGATCTTTATCCAGGTCTTCGAGAGGAAAATCGTAATTAGGACCGATAGGGGTGGAAGACAGGGACGGCTGATGTGCATGGCAAGAGATAGGTGACTGGGGGTAGAGGAGAGCGACAAGGGCGAGGGAAAGTCTTCGTGCCAGAGCCATGCTGTGTACCAGATCCTCGATATCTAGGTGCTGGATGCCGATTATCTGATTCTTGTTGTTTGATGGTCCAGCACCTTTGTCGAGGCTACCACATGAGCTGCAGCACAACGAAGGCACCTTCCTCCACCCATGTTCGTCGACCCCTAGTGGTATATATACCTTCAAAACCGGCCGAAATCATTTGCTGGCTGAAAATCCTGGCCATTCGTGTGATCACAGCAACTTCTGTCCCAACCAAGGATTCCCGATTCTAGACGGACAAGTCCATTCAAGAGCTGGGTGTGCGTTCCACGGGGAAAAAGCTGCCATCTCCGTATCTCCACACGAACTGTGGCGGATCTAGACTCGAGCCATTCGCTGCAAGCCAAGTTCTGGCGAGAGGGAGCAGCCGGAGAGTGGTGACCCCAGCATTCTCGGCATCACGCATGACTTAGCTTGTAGATTGCTGCATTAATGGTTTGGTGGATAACTCCGATATAAAGAGGCTGAGGGCGAGTAAACAATCAACCCACCAATCCACAAGCCTTTTTGCGACCTCGTTCAGAATCGGGCAGAAAATATCGTGGGTAGTATGAGGACCAGAGTCCTGATGGGAAGTATTTTCAGGGTATCATAAGCTTATTTTTGCATCAACATCATGGCGTGGCCTCGTGCCGCCTAAGCCCCCGTCCACATCCACGGCCTCGATCGTATATATATGTATATTCTGGTCGGCTTTTGTTCCACCATCCAGTGCCCATTACACAAGTCTCACGACTCGACCAAGAATGCGATCAGGACGGTCGTGGTCGCTCGCTGAGCGGTAGATGATATTCTCCCATGATCGTCCGTTCCATCGGTATTCCTACACACGGATGGCCAGACAATCCGCCAGAACAGCCTGAAGACCTGCTTTATCTTGGGGTCTGGCACCCTCCCAGCCGCAGTTGTCAGTGTTGTCAACGTCCATGTGATCCTCTTTCGGGTCGACATGTCCGTTGCTGGTAACTTGTTCTTGTCTAGACTGCCATTCCTCATAGTCAAATCCGGCCGAGGCCGTGCTCACTGTCATTCCAATAAATGGCATTCCATTCCAGGGCGACGGTCCAACTTGGGTTGTAAGTTGGAGGTCGGTCATCCCGATAGGTCGTCGCGCATACGCTTCCTGAGCTTCACAGGGTAACAGGTCGTCGTCCCGAGTTCTCTGAAGTTTGCCGATCTTGATCTCGGCTTCCTCCCGAGCGATTCTCTTCTTGTATGACGATGTTAAAACCCCACCTCCTGCGTTGTGCTCGTAACGCGGTCCGTTCGATCGGGTCCGATTGAAGACTTCACTAAGAACTCCCTTTAGGAAAATCTCGGCAGATGTTCCTACCAGCTCGGCGCACTGCATCGAGCAGCCCGAGGCTATGGATTCTTCGTAGCATATGGGAACTATCCGAGCATGAATGGCCGGTGGCTCGGGAAACTCGAGGGTTTCGGAGAACAATGGCTGTAGATATCTCTTTCTGATTTCCAAGTCCCAGTTTGTCTTTGTCAATCCCCCTGCACTTCCACTCGCGGTTTCTGGCGCTTTGATTCGACCAGCCTGGTAGTACTCTTCATAGATATTTTTCCGTGTTGCTGCCTCCTCATCCGCCTTGTCATTTGCAACATTCTTAAGTCGTCGTCTGTCTCGAGGAGGGAGCGCCATAACCTCGGCCTTGAGACGTTGTTCTCCTGCATCGCTCGTGACGGCCGGCTTCGAAGATGCCGCCAACGCTGATTTGTCTGTTGTCGCACTCACCCATGCGGCGAGGCCGGGCTCGGGAGCATCTTTGCCTGTATTGCATAGAATCGCGAGGATCAGGGAGTTGTGTGCATGTTCTGTTTGCGGAGAGGCGTAGATAAAGACATCGCAAAGGTCACCGAACTCTCTTGCACTCAGTTCTCCTATTATATATGGGTTAGATTGCCAACTCTGACCGGGACTATCTCGGTGGGAGATTGTATATAGCCCGGCTCACCCCGAATAAACCGTGTCAATCCATCGTAATAAGTTTCCCAGTTATGCCCGATCAAAGATTTTAATTCAGTGTACAGAGGTTCAAGGTCGATCCGAGGATAACTTTGCGTCGCTTTGGCCTGTTTGGTCGCAGACGCCGGAGGGGCTTTCGTCGTAGAAGTGAGAGTATCAGATCGTGCGAGCGCTGCTGGATTAAAGGTTTCGTCGAAGGTTGCCATTGTGGACTCGTCGAAGGCGCATTGGCAGCGCAACACAGAGAGACGTGCTGGTCATTCAGCTAAATAAAGACTGGTGTTTGTTTCGATGATGCATATTATCGTGAATGATCTAAAACATGAAAAATGGTCGGGGTGTCGAGGTACATGCACTGAAGTGGTCCAAGCTGAATGAAAGTTGGATCGTGGAATGCGGATGCTCGTCTGGGTATGACCGAAATTCACCGTGAACCATCCATCAAGCCCTGAACTGCAAGCCTCGCTTGTCTCTGTTTTACTCGATCCCACCATTCAACTACTTCAGCTCTGCACTCAGCTGTCCAAGGATGCTTCCTCGTGCCTCGTGATGGTGGGAGTCTGGCGTGTCTCCCCATGTTGAGTCATGACGCCGTGTTTCTCGTAAGATCTATCCATCATCTAAGCTATCTTGATCCTCCACTTCTTCACCGTGGCATCTGCTCCAGTGCTATAAACAGTATCCCCTAGCCAGACAATGCCATTGACCCCTTCCTTGTGCGCATTTGTCTCCTTGACTCGCTTTCCAGGTTCTTTCAAACTCCAAGCAAAAATGTTGGTATCTAAGCTGCCAGATACGGCTCCTGTGCCTTCTGGGTTCCATGCAATGCATGTGATTTTGCCTGTATGGGCGCTCCATCGATCGGTCACCAGTTCCAGGGAAGCCGTCTCCGTGACGAGTCCCGTCACCCCTGTCCTAATCTTGTAGACATAGATCTTGCCCGCTGCAGTTCCAACCGCCACCATAGAACCATCCTGAGAGAAAGATATTGCGGTCAATGGGGTTGCTGATACCCGTTCAACAACTCCAGTTTGCTTGGGTGCTTTCCCTGGGACCACTGAAAATAGTCGAAGGCTTGAGTCCTGAGAACCAATCGCCACGGTGCCGGCGGTCGAAGCCAGAGACGTTGGGGTCGATTTCAATGGCAGTTCACCATCCTCTTCTCCGTCCTTGTAGACAATAACACTTTCGAGCTGTGCAACGACGACTAGAGAATCCGAGGTGCAAGTCAACGCCTTTGGTTGCGACGACAGCTGAGTTGGCTTCCCAGTAAACGTCCGAGCCCCAACATCAACGGTTCTCAGAGAGTCATCCCAGCCGACCGAGTAAATCCGAGGATGTTGGCCCGAAAGTGTCGCGGCGAGGCCTGAAATAATGTTGGTGTGGCCATCACCCTCAATCGTCTCTGCGTCACCACTGGCTGCGTCCCAAGAACAGAGACGGCCCTCGTAGCTCCCAGTCCAGAGTGTCGAGCTTTCAGACTCGCCTGAGGAAGTCATGGCCGTGATGTTCTTCTGATGGCCCGAAAGGATCTTTGTTGGCTTACTCGAGCCGGTGTACAAGTAGTTCAGATCTCCGCTCAGCGAAAGAGAAATAAGCAATCCGTCCGACCTGCCTGCAGGCCAAACGACACCAACCTGTTGGTCTGAAACATTGACAGCATCACCGAACGACCAGGTGTGCGTGACTTTTCCAGCTTCGACATCCCACGTTTTCACCGTACGATCGGCAGAGCAGGTAACAAAGTGCTTGGAATCTTGAGACCAAGAGACACCAAAGATGCTGCCCTTGTGGCCTTCTACATTGTCCACAATCTCAGACTTGACGTCTCCGGTCTTGCCGTCATAGACGTAGACCTTCTTGTCGCCTCCGACGCTCAAGAGATGGTTTCCATCTGGCGAGAAGGCAACTCCATACACGAAGTTGGTGTGCTTCCCCCGGCCAGGAATACCGTTGAACTTGAAGGGTGCTCCATGATAGAAGACCAAGTTCTTGTCGTCACCTGCGGTCGCAGCTCGTAGTGGCCGTTGTTGTCGTATGCTGACCGCATTGACCTGCGCAGAATGTCCACTGATTTCTCCCACTGTGTTTCCTGAATCTGCTGTTATGCAATGCCCAAACCGTTGTTTTCCGTCTCCCACAGCGATGATGCGTTGACTGTCCCCATCCCACGCAATGTCATTGATTCGGCCTGATATGATTGCATATTCACCTTTCGTAGTTCCCGATCCATTGGGTGAACAGTCCCAAACCCGCACAATACCTGAAGCGTCACCGGAGGCGCAGTAGAAGCCAGATGGCGCGAACTTCGCGACTGTCGTGGCAGCTGTGTGTTGGGTATATTGGGTGGATATGGCGGGGTGGTCAATAGACCGGAGGAAGATGGATTTATTAGAGGCGTAAGCTATTCTTTCACCTTTGGCGTCAGTAGATAGAGGGGTCGGCTGCCCTCTCGTGGTGCTGGGGAGAGCGGCATAAATGCCACCTTGACGTGGTTAGCATTGGTCTCCTGTCGGTTCATAGTACCAACCAGCTGTGATGGACATGTTTCTTCACGCACAAACGATCAAGGAGAGAGGAATGGAAAAATGGTTAGATCTCTGCCTAAAAGTGATCAGAATCCGGGATGCCTGAATGCCCGACGCGTGAGACGAGGCTGCAATAAATTTCTTATTCGGGGGACGACATAGGTTTACCGCCCCGAAATGATGAACCATCGATACTTTCATCTATTTGCTCAACAAACCACTATTTGGCGCGTTATACAGAACAAGGCCAATCATCATTGGTACTTCCGGGTATCGAAAATCGTACGTCGCGCCCGTGTTTGTACCATAATTTTACCAAACGGGACTCACCATGATCAAATTGATCATAAGCTGACGCTCGTGAAAGCACTTTCGCCTTCTCATCTCTGTTAACTGTGTGCATCCATTCGGCAATCCCGACTTATTGCCGGTCCTTCAAACCCTTGGCTCCTTTCTCGGTCCTGGCTGCTGAATTGTCGGTCCTGAGCAATTCAGGTGTAACCAGCGGAGAGATACATAGATGTATCCGTGGCACCCCAGTAGCAGCAGCAGCAGCAGCAGCAGGAGACTCCTCCACATCCATACCATTTTGATTCGCCAATCCCGCTCAATCCTATCATGAGTATACCCGACCCGTATTCACTCTCCTTCCCTCAGTCGCTACCTTGATAAATTCTGGATGCTTGTGGACGCTAGGCATGAGGCCCAAAGCGATTGCTCTTCGGATGGCTTTAGCGATCTTTCGTTGATTCACGGGTCGCAGGCCAGTGGAATCGGAATGTCGAATTCGACCCATCTCCGTCATATATTCGGACATGACGGAGAAATTCTATGCAAATTCAGCGAGAGAAGACAGCCAAAGATATGAGTACACTGACCTTGTACAAACTCAAAGGATTGATGGACAGGGCGTCGAAAGCATCAGTCGTGGGTCGGGTTCTTTTCCTCCATTTGCGGGCTTCTGCACCCGTCAAGTCATGGGGTGCATAGACATCGCCAGCTTTCCAATTTCGCGTCAATAACCTCGAAAGGGCAATGTTTTCTTGTTCTATTTCTTCCTCTCGTCTAATGTGTGATAGGGACGTCGATGCTGTTCGATTAATTGTAGCTAGATTCATGTTAAGATAAGGACCTGTCTTGGGGGTATGAGTACAGACTGGTGGGAAGAGAAGGCGTTTTTAATTGTTTGGCTGTGCGCAGCCACTGGAGCCCCGAGTTGGAACTCACCCGTGCCGGCATGGTTAAAGAAGAAATCACGAAATTTTTGTTGAATGAGACTGATTCGGAACATTCAATGAAGCTGTTTGCGGGTGTGCAGAAATTACGTCGCAGCACTCCACTACAGTCACAGTAGACGGCGAAACATTGCTATTTAAAACGTCGTCCCGTTATTACATACCATCACGATGGATAGAGAGTCTTCCTCCTCGACACTGAACCTCCCAACCAGGATTGAAGGCACATGCTCAGATGGTCGCAAACGAATGAAACTTTCTCATCCTCTGCTTCACTCCAAGGACACCTCTCTCACACCGTTCCCAGACCGTTCCCAGTGGACATCTTGGTCCCAAATAGCTTGAAATACTCTTCAAGAATTGTCTGAGCAACTCCAGGAGCAGGGCTTCCCGTCTCCAGTTCTGAACTAGGCCGGAATGTTTGTCTGATGTCGGCAGGATAGAGCAGCACTTTGGCAAGCTTGCCACCCTCATAGCGACAACTAGTCAGAATGGCTTCCAAGTTTTCTGGCCTTGATAACCACGCCTGTCGAGACTCGTTAGCTTCTCCATCAACCATAATGGGACCTGTCAATAGAGCTGGTGCTCGCCCCCGCTTCGTTATCACGCCACGAATGGAAGATTTGTTCGTGGAAAGCGAAGTTGGACAGACTATAGCAGATATGTGTGCCTTTGCAAATTTCTATGCTCTTGAGTTTGTGGTCGCCACGGGCAAAAAAAAAATCTGCGCCACTACCAATGACCTCGTGTGCGCATTTGATCTGAAAATCAGCTGGGAAGGGATCGAAAGAGTACTCTTGGAAGGAGAAGCAATTTTGGCGCTAGTGGATGAAATCAGAGAACTGCTTTTCCCGTTCTAACTTTGCATAGGATGCTCGCGGAGGCCCTGATGGCTCATTTCGTGAGTGAGTTTGCTCGGGCCCGGTGTCACTTTTGAAGCGAACTCCGAAGGCTTCATGGGTTTCTCCGTTGCTCCCAACTCCAGCGATGGCCCGCAACTGAGCCATCTGGGAGCTGGTGACTTAGTGATACACGGTATGGCCAAGGGTGTCATTCTTGGTTGGGATTGCGCCGTTCGAATTCAGATGATGCCCGAAACGTTTCTTTATAGATTCCGCATCCTCATCGACGGCACCGGCTTTATCAGCGAGTTTGAAGATCCGATCAAATGCTAGGGTCTTTCCTGCTAGCTCATTTTTCTGGTAGGTCGATTGGGGTGCCGACTACATTGCATGGAGCGATGATAGACTTTCGCATGGCCCGTGACTTCTCAAGCTATTGTGGAGTAACGATCACCTGTTCTCCCCTGGAGAGCCTAAATACTTGGGAAATAACCATTGACTTCTGCACAGGCTCCACGGGATCCGACTGTTCCTTTGGGGTTCGCTCGGAATCTCGCAAGTCTCGCCCCTGTGAGATTATAATCGGTGCCGACATACTCAATCCTAACTCGACGTAATTGCTCTAAGGTCTGCATCAAGCCAGCGTCACCACTATCTTATATGTGATTGTGTGCCTTGGACACCCTGTCAATGCCCATATTTGCCCAAACACCGGGGCAACAGTTTCCATTTGAGGGATCAGACCACGGAAGACCAGTCGATCTACAACTGTGTTTTCATTGTTGGCCACGGTTATATCACCATTTTTCGTTGCTCCGGCTCAAGACCAACCAGTTCCAGACCGCAAGTGAGAGGATGGCCACTAGTCATGTACTCTCGCCTCGATGCTCATGTGTGCCAGTTATTCCTGTAATGAATGTGGCTGCTATCCCTCACAATGCCGGCCCATCATGAAAATTGCAGTTTCCAGAAAGGCCTACAACATTGCAGGCTCTCTGGACGTGCTAGCCTCGTCTGCTTTGGCATTTTTGTCAACTCCATCTTCTAACTGTTTGTCAATTGGGCCAATGCGATTCCTCGAGCGGACAGGTTTGGAACGGCCAGACTGAGTATGTCAAGAGAATGTGAATCGAATGCTCTGTCTCTCTAGCAACTGGTCATGCCAGGTTGCTGATATGTATACACGTTTGGTTGACCCCTTTTCTTCTCCTATTCCCACCCCTATATTCCAAAAAGGGGCACTGGCTACTTGTTCAATCCATATTGACGCGAATCAAGACTTTTGCTACGTTGTCCACATCCTCCCAGCCAATTTGATGATTTGGCTTGGAGGATGTGTGATTCTGTTTGCGACACTCTCCCGCTGTGCGCCCACCGCCAAAAATACCGCAACCGTGCTTTCCCTTCGAATCATCTTCGGCTTCGCGTCTACATTTCTTTTACATATTAGCCTGAGGTATAAGAAAAATGGGTAAGCAACTAGTAGCGGGAACAATTTTTATATACATCTTTGTCCTCGACAGGAATTGGTTCAGGGGTTGACCAACATCCAGTTATACTCTGTCCAGCAGCCACGATAGCAGGAGACTTCGGCGGACTGATTGCGTATGCTATACCCTCGATGGTGCAAGGGGTTCCAAGGAGTTGTCAGCGTAGCCGTAGGAATTACCGCTAGGGTCTTCATGCCCCCGTCTCCAGACCAAAAATAAAAACAAAAAGCATTGCATCTTTTCACAAGAGGAGATTGAGCTGGCTCTCACCGGACTGAAAAAGTTAGTTTGTCTTAAGCGTTGGCATGTTGGAACGTGCTAGTTGTTGAACAGCATACGATGTCGAAGGAGCCGGTTTGAAGTATCGATTGCATTCAAGGATGTAGAGCTTTATCTCTTTTGCGCGCATGAACGCGGGTGTCTTAATCGGATCGGCTTCCATAAGTGCCTCTTCTTTCCACATTCATCAAAGAGTTTGACCCGCTCCTCAGATCCTGATCTGCAATGTCCCTGAGTGATGTATTCCACTGACACACCCCAGCTTCAGCGACTTACCTGTCCGACAAGAGCTCCTGTTCCCAAGAAAAGAAAGGAACAGAAAACCAAAAACAACTTGACAAGTCGATACATATGGATGAGACCCAAGAAACACCTCATCTCGCAACGAATCCGCCATCTACCTGCATCATACCCCCAGTCATCCAACTAGCTGCATCACTTGCAAGGACCAGTACCGCTTTTGCGACATCCTCCGGCGTCCCCAGATGTGGCCAGGGGCTCTGGTCATGCAGCAATTTGTTTGTATCTGCCTGTTCCAAGAAGGGGCGAACCATAGCCGTGGCGAGGAATCCCGGGCACACGGCGTTGACGTGGATTTTATGCTTTGCAAAATCCACGGCAACTTGTCTCGTGAGATTGACAACCGCACCTTTACTAGCGCAATATGAAGCTATACACCCAGATCAGTCTTTTGGTCCATCACAGATACGATCCCAGTGGCCATTGATGAGAGAAGAATATGGGAAAGATGCTTACGTTCGAGTGCCAGACCAACTTGTCCGCCTATCGACGCAATGTTGACAATCCAGCCTCGCTCTCCCGATGGCAAAGGATCCTGCTTCATCATTTGAGTGATGGCGTATTTCATTCCGAGATAGACACCCCTGGCATTCACAGCCTGCGGAGAACGGAGAGGTATCAGTGAGACAACAGATTCAAAGGCCCTAAAGGATGCAAATTCTCACCATGGTTTTATCATAGTTTTCAACAGGCTCGTCCATAATATTCGCCAATCCCATGAAAATCCCAGCATTGTTGACCATTCTACACCCCCATGGACGATCAGTGTTACAGCCATAAACTCGCAAAGTCGGATGTTCATCCACAATGTAAATAATGTGCCGGAACTTACATATCAAGTCTCCCATAAGTCTGGACGGCCAAGCCAACCAGGCCTTTGACGTCGTCTACAGAGCTTGCGTCTGCCTTTTGGAATATGGCTTTTCCCTTCTGTTGAACGATCAATTCGTGAGTCGGGACCTGGGATTTCTCATATCCTCCTGCACGAAGCTCGGGGCTCAGATCGCTACAGACGAGGTATGCTCCTTCAGAAGCCAGTGCAAGGGCAATTGCTCTGCCGTTTCCGGACGATGAGCCGGTCACGATGGCGACTCGACCGGAAATGCTGGAAAGATCGTATGTTAGATTACCACTGGCACAGTGATCACTGGAAATTGACATTTGGAGGACGTACTTCAGCAAATTAGACATTCTCACTATTGCTGAGATCTGGTGAAAGTCTTTCGAATAGTCTCCGGGGGTATGTGTGTATATGGCAGACAAAGAGAAAGAAATCTATGGCATGTAGTGCCAACAGGCTTTGAAGAATCGAAAAGCGTATTGGTCTAGAATATAAACCTCGAACTCTGCCCATACCTTAGGCTCGCCATGTGAATTTCCTCCTATGGGAATTGATCTTTCCAACGCATCAAGCACAGATATCTTGTAGGCTGTGGGGTAAATGTGTGATTCTCCAAAAACAAGAGAGACAGTCCCTCATGTGTCTAAATATCACTGGTCCATCCCATGGTAGTCGATGGCCTTGCACCGGAGTCCATGTCTCCGCTTTCCAATCAAATTCCAGACTGGAGCCGCCATATGCGGTTCCGCGCAACTAGCATGCGTGACGATGATCTTTGCCATTTAGCGCTTTCATAAGTTCCTTTCGTCCTACGGGGGAAGTGCAGGTCGTCTTTTTGAGGTCAGCAAAAGTGGCCTCGTTGGTCTCGGATTGGGAAGACCGTATTCCAGAGGCTATTGATGGTGGTGGTTGGGTCTTGTATTGCGCACGCTATCTAAGCGATCAAGTCCCACTTGCCCGTATGAAATCGAGAGCAAAGAGGATGTCTCCTGACTTGTCTGCCCGTCGTCTCAGAAGCCCTGGAAACTAAATTTTAGCAAACCCTACCCATGTTCTCACTTTTATTCAGCTGCAAAATCGAACGTATCTCAACTCTGGCGAGACCCGCCTCAATGGGATAATCCTTCCGGTAAGTCAGGACTCTGATGTGGTCAGGTGAATGCAGCCTTGTGACAGACTGCCCCGTCTTGACACCTGTACGTTTTCATCAGTTTTACGAAGCATAGGGGGTTGTATCTGTCCTGGGCGTGACAAAAAAACTGCATGTGACTCTCCACCATCTCTCTCATTCGTTCACTGTCGTCTGGTAGCTGGCAGAGTTGGCCAATCACATGGACAAGAATGAGGCTGTTCAGCCAGGATAATTACAGCGGCATTTCGTTGATCTCATGTTTCAGATACGCCATTACGACTGCAGAATGCGGCTCCTCATTTCTCGAGTATAGACAATTGTAGATGTTTGAAAAAACAGAGCAAGTCCTGCTCTTGCTTTAGTATCTCCGTCCTTCCTGATCGATTTTCCAGCTATAGCCTTCTCAAAATACAGTAACCCATCAATCCCTTAGCTTATGCACCTCATTTATCAACGTTCGTTTACCCTAGAGATGTCAGGAAACATGAAAGAGCCAACAACGAGCAGCTCTCAGAAAACCTTGACCGAAGCATTCGTTCCTCTCCACACCAGCAATATAATCTCAGAGTCCTAGTGAACAGTTATTTCCGCCATGGATGTCACAACCTCTTGATCCTGTGTCCAGTGACTTATCAGCTATGGCATGCATCAATTTATGTGCTAAGGTGCTGCACCGGATTGGGCTTTCTCCGTCGCTTATCGCTCGTGGCCATCCTCAACCATTATTAATGTCTATTTGAAGCCGCTCAAGCTACTTCCACTACGGGCCAGGGATCCGTCATCTTTGCCGGCAGAAGCACACCAAATCCTTTTTTCTTTCTTTTTTCTTCAATCGATCCCTTGACCTGAAGAGTCTGGTTGTCAGTTTCCCAAGCCAAAAAGTGCCGCTGATGCTCAGATATCTACAGATGTGGCCATAGAGAGCTTTCTTTCCCAGGATGTGGATACTACTGCATGGGTCATCACAACAAGGTCGACCATGATTCTGCCACCCACCGTGATTGCAGCCCACGCACCAGTATCACATTGGACTCAGTCTGGGATACCAGCCGAGAGATTACTGTTACTCGGTTATGGAGAGGCGATCCTGGAACGACATTGTTAAAGAGTCCGGAGAATACCAGAACGATCTCAGGCGCTACCTCAGGCACGACACTGGGCACGACGTTAGACCCAATCCGGGACACCAATCGAGAATTTGTCAGTTCTCAACAGTGGGGCAGATTACGCTAGATCGCAACAACGTCCGGATTTGGAGAGATGAAAAAGCGAGACCTGAACGGGAAATAGTGCTGTGCGGGATACTGTAGTAACATCAAACCAGGCCAAATGACGAAAGGAGAGGTGTCAATCTTGCGACTGCAAAGCGCTACGTGACGGACTCACCTAGCTAGAAACTGGGTTTGCTTGACAAGAATGTCTTGTGAAGGGTGGAGATGTACAGGATATTGGCGGGTTGTATCGGCAGAGGGTTGTTTAACCGATGAGAGCAACGAACCAGCTCCAGCCTGTCGAACTAGGGAATAAGACAAACGGACCTCGTGTCTCAGTCCCAGGATGTCCCTACAAGTAAACGTGAGATACGGTTGAATTTGGTTAGTTGTCACAGTTCCATGCAGGTTGCTGGAAAGGAACTCCAATATGGTGAGCCTGAAGATGAAAGTGTGCGGGAGCAATTCGTACAGAGATGGGACTAAAGCAGTACTCTTCTGCTTCTCGACTTCAAGCAACTCATGTGAATGAGAGCTGTAAATAGACCTACATGGAACAAATGTGTTATTGCCCAATGGATTCATTCCAGACGCAGACTGTAGAGACGCACCAGAGGCGAAGGCTGTCAGTGAAAAGGGGGAAGGATTTGGAAAAAGCAATTCGGCCAAGGCCGTCCCGAGATTCAGGTGATCTCACGTGATCCCATGTTCGCACTCCGCAGTCAATGCAGTCACCATCAATTGCCCCGTTGCTATTTCGTCCACGACTTTTTGTATGCATGCAGCTATCACGCCACTATTTTCGACTCTCAGTTTTCCTAGGATTATCATGATTCTCCTCACTCTACCGGGCCGTTGAGGTTATTCTCACGATCTTCATATACCATTCACCATGAAATCCTCCAACCTGACTCGAAGCGTTTTCCGCTCAATCCTTGCCAACCGACCATACGGTGTTCAAGAATGTCAAAGACGGGCTGGTAGAAGAGCTGGACCTCACATTCTTGCCCCCACGTATAATGTATATCAAATACGTGGTCTCTTTGGTTTGAACTTTGGAGGTGCACACCAAAGCTTTCATGGCGCAAAAGCTACCTCTACCAATATCGAACTTGCTCTGAGCAAGTTGGTTGATCTTGTCCGGGCGAAACGGATCAACTCTCGATCACCGCCTAACGATCAGATCGTTGGCGCACTTAGATTTCTCTTCGCTTCCAGGATCGAATCTCCACGACGTCTGACGAGGAATGAAGTCTTTCTCGTGACTGAAGCCTTCAAACATCTGCAAGAGCGTGGGCATGTCTTGTCTGGCGACGAAAGAACATCCTTGTCGGAGGAAGATCTTGACAATGTGTTATTGGCTTTGGCGTCCTCAACGGGGAGGGATAGATTCCGAACCGATGCTCGAATACTGGCAACCCTCGTTTTCGAGGCACTCAAGAAACGAACGGGACAAGTTGAATCACTTGATCCGCCCTTAGAGCATGGCCAGCATCCACCACGAGGCTCCTTGCTGGTCACATATATTACCGTACTTTCCAAGACAGGCTCTGCCCATCAGGCTCTGGAACTCTTGCGGAAGTCTTCAATGAGTTCCGACCGAGACAGTCTTCCCATGTGGGTTGCTGCTTTGAAAGGCCTAGCACGCGAGGGACGAATGCAAGAATTCTGGAAGGTTCTCCAAGAGACACAGGACGCCGTCGGGCCCCTTGATGCCATCTCACAGGAAACATTGACTACATATTTTGCGGGGCATGACGAAATCAATGTCTTGAAAAAGATCTTTGATATGCCTTTGGAAGAGGGGCAGGTGCCAACGACTACTTCTCTGGTCAAAGCAGTGGATTGTGCCATGAATAATGGACAATTGAAGTGGGCTTCACACTTGGTCAAAATGATGCAACACAGAACCGATTCAGCAGATTTGGCAGGGACTTTGCTCTTGTGGGATGTTGTTCATGGCGCCGACGTCCATCAAATTCGCCAAAAAATCCGAAAGTTGGCGGAATCGGGCATGATTGACGCACTTACAATGAAAACCGTGAATCGACCGATCGAGTATTTCTACTCCCAGAACAAACCGGACGATGCCGCGGAATATGTTCACTTGGCGGAAATTCTGGGTCTGAGACCCGATGCCAAAACTTTGTCTCTTCAGCTAGACTATGAGCTGAAACAAGGAGATCGCGTTGCAGCCGCTCAAACATTCGATCTACTCATTCGAGAGGACATTCCGATCGATCGGTCCGACGTTCCAGTTCTGAACCGATACATCGCCGCGCTGTCTTTTTCTGCCGATCCCGAATATGGACGGCTCCTGCAAGTGGTTGACCATGTACTTGAGAGCGGCGCGGAGCTCGAAGCCGAAGCCATGGCCGGGCTATGCCATGTATTCCTTCAGAAAGATGAACTTGAAGAAGCAACGGGCCTCCTTCGACACCGAGTCGACTCCTATCCGATGGACGACCGAGCACGAATTGCTGCCGTGTTCTGCCAATTCATCGTGGATCCGTCGATCAAAGATCTGCGGGCCTTCAGCGCCTACGAGCTGTTCCGCCATGCCTTCCCCGAAACCAGCGTGGAAGACCGGCTTCCACTAATGCAATCTTTCTTCGATCGTGGTCGTTCGGACCTTGCATGCCTTATTTTCGGTCATATGCGGCAGCAAGAAGACCCCGACGCGCGCCCGACATCCGAAGCCTACGCACGATGTTTTGAAGGAATCGCAAAGTGTAGAGATGTTGACGGCCTCCAGATGGTGTATAATATGCTGAAACTTGATTTGGCAGTGGAACAAACCACACGAATCCATAACGGCCTGATGGCCGCATACACCGAGTGCCATCAGCCTTTCGTCGCCATCATCGATCACTTCTGGAAAATCATGGAGTCACGTGAAGGACCTACATTGAGCTCCTTTGCACTGGCACTGCGCGCGTGCGAGAAATGGGTACCCCAAGGTGGATATGAGGCCAGGCACATCATGGCATTGATGCAAAGCTTCAACTTGGTCATCACCAAGGAGATCTATGACTGCTATATCGGCGCGTTGGCAGGACAATCCGAGTTTGAGAATGTAGTGGAACTGATTGAGGAAATGGAAAAGGATATCGGTGAACCACCAGATGCTGTGACCATTGGGACATTTTATAATGCGATCCCCTGGCAATATCGCAAAGATGAGGTCGAGAAGTGGGCCAACAAGGCGTATCCGGAATTATGGGCCGAGTTGGAATCCTATGGGGATGAGATTGATGAAGAGTGGGAGGTCAGATATTTCAAGATCGACAGGTCGGTCGATATGGATGATGAACTCTTGTTTGGTGCTGGCGAGTATCATCCTGTCATTGCCAAGGAAAGGCTGGCTGCGTTGGAAACGCCGGCGTAAGAAATCAAACACTACTAGACCGTACATTTAGATTGAGGAAAGGAATTTAATGATCATCATGTCTCATTCGATCCTGAACAAGTCTCACTGCATGTAAGACATGACCAAAGCAACTTTAACTTCATACTGATCATTGTCCGCATTATACCTGCTGGTCATCCCGTCTCTCCTGGCATCATGAGTATTCGTTCCCACTGGATTTTTGTGTTGGTTGTTTCTGTTTGAACCGATCGAATCGTCCTCGGCTGACAGAAATGATATGGTACTCCTGCCGGGCGGACATATATATACCGGCTCCGACAGTAGGCCGGCCAGCCGGCGAAACCCGGCGAAAGCATCCAAAACGCTGATGTTGTCCAGCCGCGACTAAAACCTGCTGTGAGATGTGAAAATCACCTGGACCAGACCTCGTATGCTGAGCTCTACCTCGACCACTCAGACGTAAATGGTAGAATGAGGGAGCAGGTAAGCTAAGTTGAAGAATGATGCGTCGATGCATAGTTCAAGTGGTGGAGGGAGAGGGAGTCACGACAGCCAATAGTGCTCAAGGAAAGTCAGAACATTTTTCAAATTCCATCGTACTTTTCTCTCCTTGCATTGTGAACCGTACGGTTAGCCCACTGATGGCCCTTGCCATAAACAGGCGACTGGACTAGGTTCCCCTCAACTTTGTAGCTTGGGCTGCATTCAGCCTCACCGTGAATGCGGCGTCAGTGTTACAGAAATAGCGGGAATTCGAAGAGACCTTCTGCATCTAGTCTCCTTCAGCTTCGAGTTCCAGCCAGCCACAAAATACAGAATATATGGCGGGTTGTTTTTGGCCTTTTGCTCCACTCATTCTCCACGGAAAGCCGGTGGAAACGGCCTCAAATGGGTTGACTGTTGCAAGAGCAGGTGTCTACTATGACTTCCATATGTTCGAGTCTGATCTCAATCCTCGCCCGGATGTCTCGCACGGCCTCATTCAGCGCCCTGTGCCGATTAGAACTGTTGATTCTTGCACAGCTCAGGCTGTTCAGACCGTGCCTATGTGTATGCATATCTGCCCGACCCAATAGAAGCGACAGCCTTAGCACAGTGCGGCGTCCCGTGGCATTCTTAACCACTCATGATAGAGCCAGGCCGACACTTCTTTTCAGAGCCAAGACTGACAAGACAGTCAATGATATGAAATAGAAAGTGCTTTTTGTGTTTCTGTAGCGACCTCCTGTTTCTGTTACGAGAGATATCTGAAAACTAGTCCAAACAGAGTGGAACGATCGAGACCCTGCAAAGTACCTATGGTTGAACGAACATTTTGCTTCCGAATGAGGGTGAAGCTCAGGCAAGGACGAGCAGGAGACGAACAGGTATTCCCCCCTCCCCCCCAGGAGTAATCCCCTCATTTGAACGAGATATTTATACGAGGTTGAAAAGTCTTCAAATTGGTCGTCCGCTGCAAACCCAGAAGCCCGAGTCATTCTTTCTTCTTTGGAAATACATTTCTTTTCAGAGCAAAGGCCATGGCTTCAGAAGACAACAACGAGTTGGGTGCCAGTGCTCTGGCCGCATCAAGCATCCAGGACAATTGGCGATACTGCATGAAATGTTCTTGCCTCCACTATTGCGGACAAGCAAAATGTCCTGCCGGAGGCGTCCATAATCATTCCAGCAGTGGAGATTACAGCTTGGTCTCTAGCGGTAACCATGGTCAGGACGACTGGAGGTGGTGCAAGAAATGTCAAGTCCTCTCGTACACTGGTGGAGGATCAAATGGGCCCTGTTCCGGAGGCGGGCATCATGACACTTCCGGAAGCAGCAACTACCGCCTCACGCACAATGATAGCTCTGCTCCCGGTCAAATCAATTGGCGTTGGTGCCACAAATGTCAAGGACTCGCCTATGCGGGCGGAAATCCAGGGCGCTGCCAGGCTGGTGGCCAGCACGACCACAATGGCAGTGGCCACTATACTCTGTCCCTTGATGGAAATCCTCACGGCGGCCAAGATCAATGGCGCTGGTGTTCCAAATGCCAGATGCTGGCTTATGATGGCTACAACTCATGTGCCGGTGGCGGAGCCCATATCAGCAACCCCAGTGGCTCATACAGCTTGGCCATGAATGATTCGAGTGCCAGTGGTCAACGCGACTGGAGGTTCTGCAACAAATGCCGTATCCTCTGCTATGGGGGAAGTCCAAGCCATGGACCGTGTGCTAAAGGAGGAATGCATGATCATTCCAGCAGCGGGAATTACACGCTTCTGCACAATGCCGGGAATCCAGGGCCTGACTATCAATATCCATGGCGTTGGTGTCATAAATGTCAAGCTCTTTGGTGGGGTGGTGATGCAGGCAAACATCCTAGATGCCCTCAAGCTCCGGGTGGTGAGCATTCAGATCAATCATCTGGAGTGTATGCCATACGCCATCATCCATAAGTGGGAGAATAAGAGAAAGAGAAGAGGGTAGGTCCACTGACTGGCAGCTATCAGGGATTGTATCAAGATGGGACTCTCGTTTATCTCTCGTTGATGGTGGCATGTGTTGCTTGGGACATTCTTTTAGCCTGGTATTAGGTATGAACACCTAGTCATTCATTTACCATGGATTGATATTTGAGCATGGAATATTGTATCGACGTCGATCATTCAGGAAACAGTAACCCGAAGTCGAGCCGATATCGATAAGCCTGAGCGAGTTCCGGAACCTCCACCCCCGTCGCACATCCCCGCTTGAGGAGAAAAAGCGCTGTCAGACAGAATATTCTCCGAACTAAACTACTCCTATTTGCTGTCAGACTACTTTGTTTGTTCAGATGATCACGAGGACCGAGTGACATACGGATCGTAGTTTATTCCTCAGCCTTTTACCGCAATTCGCATTCCCCATCCGAGCAACAGTTCATCATTCCACCACCATCTCCTCCTCATCATCTCTTCGTCGCTGCGAAGCCTTCTTCCGCTTCTTTCACTTTTCGTGGCTGGCCCACTGCATCCTCACCCAATACCCCTCTCTAACCCCCCAGACAATTGACGCCAGGGTATTCACGTCATTTACAACTCTCCGCTTCTGAACATCCGCGATTCCGGCTCCGCTGTCAGACACATTATGAACTACGCGGATTCCGTGACTTGCTGACCCCCAGTATCATATCCTCCTTTGCATACCCATCATCGATACCGAGGAACCATCCATTCCGCTCTCACATCGAGAATGTCCTTCCTTCGCAAGTCCTCCGATCCTCATACGTTTCCTGCTGTTTTCCCTACGTACTTGATTCCGTCGGTTCCTTTCCGTCGCCGGTGTCGTCAGTCAAGCAATGGCTCAATTGAATCTGCCACCTTGAACGTACCTGCTCCGTCGCCCTCTTCCAACCCATTTACCAGACCGTTGACGCCAACCCCGATTCCTGCTTCTTCTGCTTCCTCCGTCGTTGTTCCTCCCGATGGCAAGTTCCTCAACGGTCATAGCTCACACATTCAATGTGCAAAATGCTCGACAGATTTGTGCTTTACGTCGCAAATCATCAGCAAAGGTTTCACAGGCCGACATGGTCGTGCTTATCTTGTTCAAGGTACTACCAGCCACATCAACACCACCACTCCGGCCCTCCCCAACACGTACCAGAACAAATCCATCCCGCGAAACCTGGTGACTGGTCAGCATATCGTTAGTGACATCAGCTGTGCCATCTGTGGGAGCATTCTGGGCTGGAAATACGTGGAAGCCAGCGAGGAAAGCCAGAAGTACAAAGTTGGAAAATTCATTCTCGAAACCAAAAGGATCCGAATCGGGGTATCCTGGGAAAATGAAGAGGGTGAAGACGACGGTACGCCACCGTATGATGAGGTTCTGCCTTTACCGCCTCGAGAACTCAGGAAATTCGCGGACGGCCCTGTCGGTCCGGACGTCGACCTGGAATTCGACTCACAGGATGAAGACGAATGTGAAGATTTGTTCGCGGGAGTGTGGAGTCCCCAACTCGCAGCAAAGAGAAGACAGAGGAAGCGAGAGAGATTCGGAAGACGACCTGTTGGTAGCCTGACAAGTTTTGGCGCTGCCAGCAGTGCAGACACTTTGTCATGACGAACGATGCCAAGTCCGATTCCGACATTGATATCCAACGACTCAGAAAAACTGCCTCCTTGATCATATCATCCCGATGACTTCGGATCAGCCTTTCAATTTCCCGTAGTCGATGTCAATTCCAGTTTTCCCCATCACATAACTGGCGCCGATTCCAGATACCCATCGACGCAAACAGGAGGCTCAGATTGTCGAATTTAATTATTCCTGCATTTCTATGGGACATGAACACACTAACAATGAATGATACCCCAAATCATACCGCGGTCGTTCGGGCGCTTTTGGATAACATATATATTGCTTGTCGATTTCGGTCTTGATACGTGGGTACGGCCCTGGAGGAGATAATGTAATCAAACGGGAGAACGACGTGCTCTAGGATACCAGAGTGTGGACGTAGTCTCTCGCCGTTGGTTTGAGGAAGAAGCTGAGGATCATCCCAGCTTTCCAATTAACCAATGGCATCATATATCTTACACCTATCTACTTTACCCAGGCTCAGTTAGAACTGAACATGATATTTGTTTGATCTCCGAAATTTTTCTTCTACATCAATTCATCTGAGCACATTGGGTTGAAGTAGATTATCGTCTTCGACTCCACATAGTCAAAAATCAAACAAACATCTATTGGTACGTTCTTGTACACCGAGCTTACATGGATGTCATGTTGTACAAACGAAGAAAAAGAAGCATCGGACAATATACAACCTGTCGTATCATTCATATATACCTAATACCCATGACATACCTCCGTCGGCCGTGGCATATGGATGGATTACCCCGGCTCGAAACTGACGCAACCTTGAGCATCAGCCCTGATGTTTGGAGAGAGACGAAAAGCTGCACCTCGACGCCTTTCCTTCAATGGTTCAAGCCTTCAAATTATGAGCGTGATGATGATGTTGGTGATTATGCTTCCCCTCTTTCCCATTTCCCACCAACCCAGCTTTCTTCCCAAATTTACAACACGCCTCATGTCTCCTGAGATTATCCAGCCGCGGAAATCGCTTCTTACAGCCAAGATGGTGGAACTTGCACAACATATGCTGATGCTTGGGCCGGTGCGTGGCCATGTGGCGCTTGAAATTCGACCCTTCACCGTTTAGGAACTGGCCGCAGATGTCGCAATACATTTTATTGCCGTTGTGGCAGGACGCGACGTGCTCGTCGCGTACTTGTTTGTACATGAACGACTTCGGGCAGCCGGGATACGTACATTTGAAAGGCAAAGGCCCTTCGTCGCTCGAGGGGGAGTGGTGGGTTTTGTTGGGATTTGACGATGAGGATGACGAAGCGGACGCGAGGAGCGGGGCCAGGTGTTTCTTGCTAATGTGCCCCGTTAAGGCGGCTTCAGTGGTGAAGTCGGCGCTGTCGCAACCCTGCCAGCTGCATTTGGTCACGCCTTTGACGAGATGGACCGCCTTGAGATGTTTTTTCAGGTCCGTAGCTGATGCGAAGGAAGCTCCGCACACGGTGCCGCAGGGCATGAGCCATTGGCAGGCTGACGAGGTGCTCGGTGCTGAGACGGCGGAAAGAAGGTCTTGAGTGGTGTTCAAGGGGTGCACAGAAGATTGAATGGTAGGTGTTGACGAAGAAGAAGGTTGGTACCGCGTCGGCGTGGTGAATTCGAGGGACGTGGGTGCAGAAAATGGAGGAAGAGGGGCTTGTTGGTGAGCCGCTGCTGGGTGACAACCAAAATCCAGATTGAAGGGAGGGAGTGGGGATTGCTGTGTCTGTGGGTTGAATCCCGGATTGCCGGTGCAGATTTGATTCTGAGGGATGCTGTTCCAATACGGAATAGCGGTTCCAAAACACTGGTGATGCATGGGGACTTCGAGGGGAGGTACCATGATATCAGATTGCATGCTGGTTATTTCTGGCGCTTGAAATTTCAAGGCGTCGTTGTCGTCGAGCCGTGGTTCAGGATTATGAGACCCATGGCCATCTAGCAGGGGAACCGAGAAAGAGAGTCCAAGAGATTTGTCCTGCTCGAACTCATTCCAGTCAATGCAATCGAAACAAGAAAAGTCACATTCGTCGCAAGTGTCTTTGCATGCCGGACCTTCGGTACACTTGATAGCATGTTCGTCGTTGCATTCTTCACAGTCACCGATGTAACGGCTGGCCCGGTGGTTGAAAATCTGGTGTTCATCTACACATTCTTCACAGTCGTCCACACAATCCTCGCAGTCCATCGGGCTGGGGGAATTGTGGAGGGGTTTATCGTGGTTAGAGGAATGTTGAAAATTGATAATATTCTCACCACAGCAGACAAACTTGTGGGATTCTGTTTGGAATCGAGAGGGACTTCGATGCGAGGCCTGGTTTCTTACCGATGACCTGCAAGGATGAGACCGATTCGCCAGCCTCGACTTGGCTGGAAAGACATCGAGTGGGTTGACATAAGGCTGATGATGGAAGTCGCTGGCAGTTAAGCCTTGAGGGGAGGTTCTTCTCATACCCATGGCTGTAGGTGAGAGCAATGAGGCTCAAAGGAGAATGAGATTGTAGAATTTTTCGGTTTTCATTCGCCTGAATATCGCGAGAGGGGAGGCTGGAGGTCTGAGGTTTGTTTGGAAACGGAAAAACGGCAGAGATGGAAAAACGTGGGGAATGAACGAAGAAAGTCCGAGCGAAACGGTGGTGAAGAATTGATAATCCTGCCAAGAGTAACTAGCCTGAATTGGTTAGTACGGTGTCACTTCATGACGAGGCTACAAGGCTGAAGAATTCGCCTGATTGGCGACGGGAGGGTAAAATTATAGGACGATCAGGACAATATGGGAAAATGGGAGGGTTGACGTCCATCCAAGTCGATCCAAGTATTGCTTTTTTCATGCCCCATTGTTCACCCCCTTCGCCTCCTCCTTCTCATCACACTCGACAAACTTCCTCCTTTTCGCATCCATATCCTTATCTTTCATACCCTCTTCGTACTTGACCAGCACGTTCTCATCGTCGTCGATCAAGTCGCTTGAATGGTCTAAACCCCTCCATTTCGCGATTCCATCCCCGCGAAACTCTGCCACTCGCTGGGGGTAAAACATGTGACACGTAGGTTTAAACGCTGTCATGCCTTCCTTGGTATCGATCCCTTTAATCAACGGCGGGAAGAGGAGGATCATATTTCGACCCTCATCCATGATCGGCGACCTACAGTATGCACACGATACTTTGCATGGAAGATGGTGGGATGTGTCTTTGTTTGTCGGGTCGTACCAGCCAAGATCATGGTGACCGTTGGTAAAGTTGATATCTGTTTTATGGAAGATTGCTGCCCATTGGAATGGTGCCTGAACGGCGTCAGTATCGGTTTTGGCTCTGAATCGCAATCTCTGTTCCAACAACTTACTCCATGTAACCTCTGGCAAGTTGTGCAGTGACAATACTTGGCCGCCAGGGGTTTGTCTCTGCTCAATTGATATTTCACCTTCCCACAATGGCATCCTCCTTCCCACTTGACGGGGAAATTCTCATCTGAATCGTGGATACGATATGGTTCGCGATGTTTCCATTCGTCCTCTTGTCTATACGTGGAGGCGCCAGCCTGGTATTGGTGAGCCTCTTGCCTTTGGGCCATTGTGGTCGCCTTTCTAGATTTGTGACATTGCATCGGACGGACCGCTGATTTTTGCACGTCATGTATCCGAGAAGAAGGACTGAAACACGATCGAGAGATGAGGCAGCTGATGGGCACAAGATTCGTTTCAAATCGCGGGGGCAAATAGCGAGAACATGGCGAGTGCATGAAGAACTGCCTCAGGCAAGATGGAAAAGAAACGAATACACCAGATCAACTTGCATATTGGCCGGTGGAGTCGGCTCAACGTTAGCACGAGAGAAACGTCAAGGACGTCAGTAGTAAAGCGGCATACGATGGGGTGACAATGCGGGCCCCACCCCCAAGTGACCAGTAAATTACACAGACCAATCAAAAAATCCATCGTCACTGATCTGTCTCTGAATAGCATTGGACGACCATACTTGGAAAAGAGATCTCAACGAGAAGTCTTGATCATCAATTTGATGGACCTAGGGAGCCCATGGGTACTGTGCTATTCGACGTCCGTAAATGCGCCCTCGAGCCTCGGAATAGGCTTTGCCAGATGAAAGCCTCGCTGAGCAGTAGCTCGATGTCCTTTTCAGTCCATTCCCGTGTGGGTAATGCTTGTAGAAACATTAAAATCTCCTGGAAGTTCATCTTCATCAACTGCTCCGACCACTTCACCAGAAATGCTGCGCACACATAAAGATGGAACTGAGAGAATCCATTTTCTTCTGCCTGCAACTCAAACTGTCAGTGTGGGCCCCCCCGATAGCGTTGAAAATGCACGATCTCACCATGTATGTATCCCACATCCGTATCACGTTTCTTATGCTCAGTTCCCGCATGAGTAAACAATTCATCCACCGGAAACTGAACTGCATGTATTCCACATGCTCGTCTTCAAAGTGTTGAGCGAGTCCGGCATCAATCCTGGTGGTGAGATCTCGTAAGGAGGCTACTTGACGGTGAATGCCCGGCTGTGCCACGATATAATTATCTTGTATGCCGTCCAGTAATTTGGTCAGGCACCAGAATGTGTCTGCTTCTACTGCGTCAATCACAGCTCTCGGGAGTTGTCCTGGATCCATCCCGCTCTCGATATTTAGATCGGTGATGTAGGTCCCCAGGAAAACCTGCCAGAATGGAGTGGCAAGATCATTTATGCCTTGAACATAACCACTGGCAGGATGTCGAATCGCCCAAACGTACAAAATGCGCTCCAGTGACCGTTGCGTAGCTTCAAAGGCGTACAAGGGTATATGAGGGTTCGTTCTGGGGACGTCAATACTGATTTGATGCCAAATTGCTTCGTCTAGACCACGTCCTCGCCCGGTGTTGGCTGGTGATTGAGATGCAAGGTTGGCCAGACCAGTGTTTGAGCCGTTATGGCTTGCCGTGGTTCCTGAGCTAAAAGCCTGACGAACAGCGTCGAGGTATTCTTTTCGTTTTCGCTCAAGAGTTGCAACTCGACGCTCACTGTTGGTGGGCAAATGACCAAGCAGAAGTTGCCATGTAATGGCGCGCACCTCTTCAGGCACACCTGACCAAGCTGCTGCGCGTAAGTCCGGCAAGGAGACGGAACTCGTCTGCAAAATCCGTTTGAACTTGTTGATTCGTGAGATTCTTGTGCTGTGAGCCTCCGCTTCCTTGGGTGTAGCATTTGGAGGTAGAACGGGGTGGCTGATTAGGTGAAGAGAATTCGCGGGATCTTTCAAAATCTCCTTATATTGAGGTCTTAAAATCTTCCCATCTCCTTTCTTCGCACTGGGATATGACAATGGGTTCCGTTCTTCGGCGATATCAAAGCTACTCGATCTGGCTCGAGGCGGTAAAGGGGAAGGTGCCAGTGCTGGAGTCAAAGTGGTCTGCGCAATGCTAGGGTATGTCACTTGTTGGGATTTGATTGTTTTGGTTTTCATACTGTGCTTCCGGCGCATGCTCGCTATGCTGGGAAGGCCAAATTCGTCTTCGTCGTCTTCGTAGACGAAATCATCGTCGTCGTCCTCGAGATCTCCTCCGCCGAGTACGTCCCAGCTCTCGCCTAATGCAGAGGAAGTATAGCCAGGATATGGTTTTCTTTCTGGTGACTGGAAACTTTGTCTGTCTAATGGAGGAGTCTGTGGTGGTCGTGCTGATGATGTTGGAGGCGTTCTTGGTCTTGAATTCGATCCCAGAGACCTGGATCTCGTCAGTCTGAGAGAAAAGACGTCGATGGGCAGCGCCTTACAGAGAATCAAACTTCAGCATGTCGGCATGAGAATAAGACGCGCCAATCACTTTCGTAGGCTTTCCCGAGGCCTGACAAGGGGTTGATGATCGCCCGCGCCAGAAAGGCGACGATGGCCTCCTTCAAATCGTTAGCATAGTTGTTTTGAATAACCCAGGTTTCCCATGTCCTCGTACTCTGATCTGTCTGAGGCCCATCCCGATGTTAGCAAAGTCGCCCTGGTTCATCTAGGCAGAGGGGAGAAACAAAGCCAATGGAAGAGACACGAACCGACCTGGACCATTTCCTGCAGAAAGAGTCAGCTCCAAATCCAAAGAAAATACTTCGTAGAGATGGTCTACCTGCCGCTGGGACTTCTTTTGCGCCATTGTGACTCGCTGCAAATGTCCCGCCACCAAAAGATTCCGCTATTGCAGTTTTCTTCTGATCGCTTTCGCATTAAATGGCGAGAACATGCTTAAAGCAACCTATTGACGACCGTGCTAAGCCCAATAACAACATTCTGGAATGGCCCATCATCACCAAGCCTGAGGCCTGCTTGCTGGGGCGGGTGGTCAATGCCAAGCCTGCGCTCATCTTAATGGGTATTGTCTCCGCCCTTTGAACCGATCTCTCTCAATATCTTGAACTACGACTTCTCCTGTTCAATTCCATTCATTGCACGTCGACATCACCCTTCAATTTCTGCTTACGTAGTAGCAGTGGCATCTTATTCGATCCCTTCTTCAACTCCTCATCCTTCCCTCCGATCATTGCTCGCGACTGATTTGAGGTGTCATTTTTGCCCAACCACCCGCGAGATCTCGTGAGCGCAAACAACTCGACTTTGACATCACACTTTCTTTACAACAAGCAGACATGGCAGAGCCAGATGAAGTGGAGGAAGATCTCTTTGCCGATCTGTGAGTCTCAGTCCCTCCACTAGGTCACTTCTACCATTAGATGATAGTTCTCAACTCTTCTCGCGGGGTGCTCTGCTTACCTACTTCATCAGATACGATGGCGACGAAAATGCCAGATCGAACAATGCCCCTGCTCCTGTTGCAGCCCAACCGAACTCGAGCGACACTGCTATGAAAGCGAATGACGTTCCAGGCTATGGCGAAGAACCAGAAATTCACTACGATCCTACCTCCTTCGATGTTGAACCCTCTGGTCAAGATGAACAGGCAAATGGTACCCAGAGCCAAAAACAAGATCAAGATTCTTCTGAGAAACCATCACACCCCGAACCATTCGGCATCAACATGAAAGAAGATGGGTGAGTAGATTGTGCCGGTTTGAATTTCACCACGTTCCTTACATGACACTTTCCCATCACTACCAACCTAATTTTTTTCTTTTTCTTTTTCTTTTTCTTTTTTTTTTTGGGCTACATGTTAGAAGCGAAGAGTGGAACTGGCCGGGCCGCTAGTTGAGTGGTGTGAATACTGGGAAGAGAAAGGTGTTGGACGGCCTATCACGCAGGTTAGGTCATCGCTCACCGCTTTTCACGCTTCATCGACTGGTATATCATGACAAGCCTATCCATGGTCGTGCTTGAAATTGCGATGTCATCTGTACGTCGAGAGCTGTTCGGAGGTCCAATAAGTCGGCTCTTTTGAGAACAGCATCCCTGGTCTGCAGTGGGGCTTGAAATGTGGTCACAGTTAAACGACAAAGACTTGATGTACCCACGTGGATATGAACATGAGCTGGTGTTTGGCTGGCTTTTCGCATGCGCAAGTCCTGCACCGAGCGAATAATAGGCTGTCGCTCTAGGACAGCCGGTCGGGCCGGTCAAGAGAATGAGATACATATTCCAGAAAAGTTGACCCTAGCCTCAGAGGCTTGGTATCTTTTCGTCAGACTAGCCGAGTCGATTCATACCGAGGATGGTCGTTCAGTCCGCCAGGCCAGAATAGCTTTCTGAGGCTTCTACCACACAACAGGATATTTTTTTTTTCAAGGCAGAGCAGAGTAACAGGTCGAAATCAGGCAGGAGATAGATGCTATGAGTATCTGTTGAATCTCAGAAAAGCCAACAAAAATTCTCATCCGTCCGCTAGAACAAAGTCGACTACTTGCGCATGCGAAACAGAGGAGGCATCAAGGCGGACAGATATATTGCTGGCCAATGGTATCAGGGTGACGGCAAGCAAAGCAGACAAAGGCAACATCGGTCTACAAGTTTGCAAGACGGGCGGATAATTTAAGATCACAATACATCCCTGGATGCCGTTTGCCTCAGTTCAGGTTTGAAATGTTTTTCGCAGCCAGAACTGAGCATTTGGAGGACATTCTAGTCTTGGCCTTGTCCCACCTCTTGTCTCTTCCATGGTCACAGCCGCAAAAGGCTGTCTGCCAGCCGACCCGCCTACACGCTCTCATATTTGCAACAAAGAAAACTAGCTGCGCCATGAATCTCCCTCTAGAAAGCTATTTGAAACGTTTTTGTCTATGTCGTCGGTCGACATTGCAGGATGCCCTCCACAGAGCTGTTGGGCAGAAGCAAAATATTTTTGGGCCGGGTACGGCGAGGCTGATATATCAGGGACGGACTGTGACCATGGTTGACCCACCCTGAGATGCATTGTATCAAGCACTGTACCTCTTTGTCTTCTTGCAAAATTCGTCTCGCCTCACATTGCTGCTCTTTTGTTTTGTTTTTCATAGCTGACATAGTGATCTACAGAAAAATGTTCATTGGCGGACTGAACTGGGAAACCACTGATCGTAAGTTACCGCCCAGTTATCCTGGTGACGAATTTACCACGACATCAAATTTCATTCCCGTTTGACTGGGTAGGGAGTTTCTAACCCAGCGGCAGACTCTCTTCATGACTATTTTTCGCAATTCGGCGAAGTTCAGGAATGCACCGTTATGAGAGACAGCGCTACCGGTCGCTCACGTGGATTTGGATTCTTGACTTTCAAAGACCCTAAGACGGTCAATACAGTCATGGTTAAAGAGCATTTCTTGGATGGAAAAATTGTAAGACCTACCCATTTTGATGAATCCCCGGACGAGCAGCAAAAGCTTGGTACCCTGTCTCGATGGAAAATGGAAAGCCGGCAAATCAGAGACTTACGTGATGGCGCGCAGATCGACCCTAAACGCGCAATTCCTCGAGACGAACAGGAGAAGACAGCTAAAATTTTTGTGGGAGGGGTCAGTCAAGATGCAACTGAAGAAGACTTTGAAGGGTTTTTCGCCCAGTTTGGCCGAGTCGTGGACGCTACTCTGATGATGGATAAAGACACCGGTCGGCCACGTGGTTTCGGCTTTGTGACCTTTGACAGTGATGCCGCCGTTGAAAAGTGTCTCGAGTATCATCCTTTGGAGATCCTCGGGAAGCCCATCGAAGTCAAGCGTGCTCAACCGAGAGGCAAGATGGGCGAAGAGGACGACCTCTCCCGTGGTCGAGGAAGGGGAAAATTCGGCCGAGATGATCGCTTTGGCAATGACGGCGGTCAAGCCGCCCAAACAGGATCCAACCAGACTCCAAACATGATGGGTGGTAGCAGTGGCATGACTCCTCAGATGATGGCACAATACTGGCAAAGAATGCAACAATACTTTGCAATGATGCAACAGCAAATGGCAGCAAGTATGATGGGTAACATGGGCAACATGGGAAATATGGCCGGCATGGGAAACATGGCCATGGGCCAGATGAATCCTCAACTGATGGCGCAGATGCAAATGCAACAACAAATGCAGAAAATGCAGGGTGGAAACAGTCCGAATCCACAGAGCCCTAACAACATGGGCAATATGCCGGGCATGAATCCTCAGATGATGCATAACATTATGCAGATGCAGCAAGGTGGAATGAGTGGGATGAATATGGGCGGTGCTCGACCTCCAATGGGTCCTAGCAACATGGGAGGAGGACGTCCAGGGTTTTCAGCCCAAGAACAGCTGGCATTTGAACAACAAAAGTACGAACATCAACAAGCTCGTCGACAGGGGAATTTTCCACAAGGCCTGCGTGGTCAAGGCTTCCAGAACCAAAACCTCGGGGGACCTCAGTCATGGGAAGGCATGTATGATGATGTCCCTCAACCGGAGGGCAATGCGGGAGGCAGAGCTTCTGCCGGACCGGTTCGCAATATCACACCCAAACCACCCAAAGGCCCCAGTGCAGCGACTCAACCGAGCGCTGCTCCGGCAAATGCACCCACGGGACCCAAAAACGCCGGAAAACCAGGCGCCAATTTTCGGGGAGGCAGAGGAAGATACCATCCTTATGGAAGATGAACTTGCGTCTGATATCATCAACAAACTCAAAGATGGTCCGGCTATGCTCGACACCAGTCGAGAGCCTCCTTCGTGCTTTCCGGAAATTACAATGGCTGTGCGATTGACGGGATGACGCATATCTAGCGGAGAGACGGGAGAAAGTATCTGGAGACATTGCAGACAAAGGATTCTACGAAAGATCGGTTGATGAATCAGGGGGGCATCCAGTTCCCAAATGGAGGAGTTGTGCGTCATACTTTATGGATTTTATTGGGGTTGTCCTAAGGGAGGAAGGGAATGTATCATATTAAAACGCCTGCCTGGAAAGGCTGCGCAAGGCTTGAACGGGAAACCCCGACAGTGCTTGATGTAAGGATACAGGGTACCTACAGCTAGTTCGCTGCGATGCAAGGAACATTGCTGGAGTACGTCGGATCATCATCACCGTGAAGCCCCGTTACGGATATCAAGTAAAAAGTGGTGTAATTGGCCAACATATTCTTTACCCAGATTCTAAGTGTGGCGGAGGGTTTTTGGTATGGGGTGAGGAAACTGTACTTGGCGTGGCTTTGTCTATTAATAGGAGGCTTTGACGGCTTCGAGCGCTATTGAAAAGTCGGAGCATCGATGCTTCTCAAACTTTGCTACTCTGGGCACGCGACCATCAACAATTATCGGGGATGCAGGCGGACCTCAGCTTGAGAGGCGTCAACGGGAAGAGATGACGAATGCCTGGTCAGTTTGTGAAGGATTCGGCAGAGGAGGCGCAGCCAGCAAAAATTCTCAAAGCGATTGGTTTTTTTGAGGGGAGTTGGCCAGTATCCCAGATGCCAGTTCACTCATAGTGGGGGAATGTCTCGCAGTTTGTTTTTGACTGCGCCCCAACTCAAGCACCAAACACCACCGACAAGCCCCATCCGGCCAGGAATCACCACTTGGCTCAAGATTGTTTTTTTCCAATGGGCTTCGACGCCCCGGAGAATCAGAGAATTGCTATTATGACACAGCTACTGCACTCACCTTATTCTCCGATGAATTGAGCTGGCATGAGCACCAGAATCGCCATTCTCCCTCCTCACCCTCCACAATCTCATCTCGCACCCATATCCGCACACTTTAGATGTTTCACTGTTGTGGTGCTTGAAACACATGCTTTAGGGGCAACGTAATAAGCGCATCGTTAGGCCGTCGGCTGAAAGATTTCCAACGTGACTGTGCCAACCCAAGCATCGAATTATCGTCCAAGCCACCACCAGATCAGAAAGCCCATGGATAGCGAAAATCCTCCCCTGGTTACCGAACCAGGCTTCAACGCCCCTGGACATGGGGACACACAGCACCCTGAACATTTCCATCGATCGAGAAACCCAGTGAACCACTCATGTTGGCTGCAACTCTTCTCAAAAAATGCCCCCCCTGCTGACCAACGCCATGAGCCCATTCGAGGCTTTCGGACCCACGTTCCAACCGTCCCCACCGCCCAGGGCTCGACCGAACCTTTCAGATACTGTCCCTGTCTTCCAGCTGCGTACCTGTTGAAACGGCGCGATCAACCGGGGACCCTTGGCTCTCCGTCCACGGGGGGGCCATACTTCATTGCATCGACCCCTGCTGAAAATCCAGTTTTCTTCTCGATCTTGCATATGAAACTGTTCGACAGCAGACACTACTACTCTATCATTCACTTTCTTTACACTCGCTCTTGATCATTTCTTTCTTTTCTTTTTTTTTTTTCAAACCGTCACTCGTTCCCACGATTCCTTCCCATCTCTCTGCTCCATCATTCAACAAATTTCTCACCCCTTCTCTTCGAACACGCCGTACTCCCAATCCAGCGCATATACATCGGACGTGACCGCGGTTTGGTATTTTTAGAATATTCACTTCAGGAAGAGCACTTGGAGGCGGATCTAAATTAAGGGACGACCTTCGCCGCTTGCCGGGTCACCGTACAAGACCTTTGGACACAACATACACAGAGTAGTCATGTGGAGGGCATCGGTGATATCCCTCACTTCTCTGGCTCTCCTTCCATCTGTGCTTGGAACAGACATCTTGAAGACGAACGGATTCTCCGACTGTAACAATGGGACATCTACTATCAAAGTCAACAATGTCGACATTTCTTTCAATCGAGACACCAACGAAATCACATTCGATGTCTCAGGCACCAGCACTCAAATACAAGAGGTTACGGCCGAATTGATTGTGACGGCGTATGGTGTCCAAGTCTATCAAGACACGTTTGATCCTTGTGATGATTCCACCAAAGTCGAACAACTCTGTCCAGGTAGGTGATCACTTCACTCTCAACCCCATCGGACTCGACTAAGCAGTTCCCAGTACCTGAAGGAACATTTGCTGCCAACGGGACTCAAGAGATCCCTTCCGAATACACATCCCTCATTCCTTCTATCGCATACTCGTTGCCCGATCTCGAGGGGAGTGCGCAGTTGATTCTCAAGGCAAAGGACGGACAAGAGGTGGCTTGTGTCCAATCCGGCGTTTCTAATGGCAAGACCGTGGAGGTACCTGCCGTCTCATATGTTGCTGCTGCTGTTGCCGCTGCAGCTTTGGCGGTATCCCTGGTCGGAGCTGCGGCCAGCGGTGGACATCCTGGATCAAGCACTTCCAGCCCTGGCTTCTCTGAGGTCATGTGGTGGTTCCAAGGAATGGCCATGAACGGTATGCATTCAGTGCCATATCCCACAATCTACCGCAGCTTCGCGAAGAACTTTGCTTTCAGCACCGGTCTGGTGTCCTGGGCTGGACTACAAAAGTCGATCGACAGTTTCAGATCCCATACCGGTGGAAACTTGACCGATGCCAACTACGAGTATCTCAAGAACGCAACGCTAGTCTTTCCCGATGGCTCAACGTCTCAAACCACAACCGGAATCGCCAAACGTGCGCTCCTATTTCTTCGTGACGTTGATACGTCAGTCAATGGCACCAGCTCCAGCAGTGAAGATAATTCCTCCGAATCGCGTCTGGTGCAAGGCATCCAAGGCTATGTTGAGCAACTTACCATTCCCGAGGCGAACACCTTCATGACCGTGCTCTTGATCTTCGCCATTGTGGTCGCCGCGATTGTGGTCGGCATTCTTCTTTTCAAGGTCATTCTGGAGGCCTGGGCACTTTTCGGCAAGTTTCCCAAGTCATTGACTACCTTCCGCAAGGAATACTGGCGTATCATGGCCCAGACGATCACGTCTCTCATCTTTCTGCTTTATGGCGTCTGGACGCTGTATTGCATTTTCCAATTCACTCATGGTGATTCATGGGCGGCGAAGCTTCTGGCTGCTCTCACTTTGGCCACATTTACAGCCCTTCTTGGGTTCTACACCTGGAAGATTTGGAGTGTGGTCCACAAGCTCAAGAAATTGGAAGGTGATGCGAACGCATTGTTCGAGAACAAGGAGACTTGGAAAAAATACAAGCTCTTCTACGAAAACTACAAACGTGGATACTGGTGGCTTTTCATTCCCTCCATTGTTTACATGTTTGCCAAAGGATGTGTTTTGGCTGCCGGTGACGGTCATGGTTTGTTCCAAACCATCGGCCAGATGGTTATCGAGGCCTTGATGCTTATACTTCTTCTCTGGAGCCGACCATACAACCGCAAATCCGGAAACTGGATCAATATCATTATTCAAATCGTTCGCGTCTTGTCGGTGATTTGCATTTTGGTCTTTGTCCAGGAACTTGGAATCGCCCAGACCACAAAGACCATTACCGGGGTCGTTTTGATTGCCGTCCAGTCCGGCCTTACTGCTATCCTCGCCCTCCTGATCGTCATCAACAGCATCATCACCTGCTGCAAAGAAAATCCTCATCGGAAACGACGCAAGGCGGCCGAAAAGAACATGTCCCGAGATCTCGAAGGCAATGTATTCCTGATGCAGCCAAATCCATATGCCGCCTCACCCCCTCAACACACTCGTCGAATGTCCAACTCGACACAAGGTTATGAGCCAATGCGAGCCCACGCCTTGTCTCGGCTCGGATCCCGATATAACGACAGTCAGGAAGGGCTCGTCAAGGGCGCAGCATCTATGGGCTCATCGGGATACCGCAGCTTGAGTCAGGGAAGAAATGGTCTCGATGGAAGTCCGCCTCCCTTGTCCCGCGAGCCTAAACTGCCCGATCTGGGCTTTGAACAGTATCGGCATAAGTAGAATATGCTGATGATAGCGTGAAAATAACTGTCTTACGTCGACAAGCGTTTTGGTCGGTATTTTGGGCCGCCTGTGAAAGGGCCAATTCAGGAACATCACTAAATTGGGCAGGGAGGAAGCATTTCCGTTCTTTGAATTTTGTTTCAAGCATTGCGTGGCTCCGACTTCCATGACATGGAACCATGGAAGGGGATGAATGACCAAGTTAACACTACATTATGATGGGGAACGGCACATAGATATAATAATACCGATTGCATATTGACTGTTTCTGTTTGGAGTCTAACTGATCTTCGATCTCTATCAACCACCGCCAGCAGTTTTGTTTCGCTTTCATGATGCAAACGCCGTCATTAGCGCCGTCATGAGACTTACAACCAGTAATCCAAAGCTGTGCCTGACACCAGCGGCACCACCACCCATACCTTCTTCAAACCCATCAGCCTTACCTCCCAGATACTCGGCTCCCAGCGCCGTCAGCGCGCCATCGTCATCCAACATACTTACCCCGTCGCCCGTCCATTCATTCGCGTCGTCCGATCTGAACGTGCCAAACCACGCGTACCGACTCACATAGTCCAGCCCGTCCAAGTACGGCAGACTCTGATTCATAAACGCCTCTGTCTCGTATGCGTCCAGCCCCGCGATCGCAAACTCCGTCACCCACACATCCTTCTGCGGGTAGAGCTCGTGGATCTGGCCGAGCCAGCTCGCCATGCCTGCAAAATCTCCATACCAATGCGTCGCGACAAAGTCGAATTCGCAACCACTGTCCTGTATATCGTGACACGACTCGTTGAAGTCGCGTAACCACTCAAGTCCCCTAGGCGAACCCGTTGTCGCGGGCAATGACAGTTTCAAGTTCCATGGCTCTGAGCGCAACGGGAGGAGCGTGTCGATGTAGACTTGAGCCGCGTGCTGTGGGGAGGAGTCGCTGCCTCCACTATCTTCGTCGCCGTCGGGCTCGTTGAAGCTGAGGACATGTGTGATGCTGTTGCCGGGTTGGTCGGGGCTATTTGACAGTGGGACCCCGGCAGAACCGTTCAGGACGGCTTTTATGGTGTCGACGTCGGTGGCGGCAGAGGTCGTGCCGTGCACCATGGGTGCGAAGTTGGTGGTCCAGCTTGTTAGATTGGATGAGGGCCATGGGCTGTAGTTGTAGTACCACGTCAAAGGCGAAGCTGGATCCGTGAGGACGTCGTAGTCGGAGGAGTCTGGGGAGATGTAGATGAGTCCTCGCTTTGAGTAGGAGGAATTGTCGTCAGGGGAGGAGTCGTTGGAGGAGGAACTTGAGGACGTCGTTGGGGAGACTATTAAGGAGACGAGGATGAGGAGAGCGGTCTTTGTGAGTAAGGGGTGAGAGACAGAGAGCGTTAGGAACCCTCGGATTGTGTAGGGCCCCATGATGTCGCAGTCTAGATTGGATTGGAGCGGATTATATATATTGTGTAGGGGACACGCTGCTGAAAGAAAGTCTGGACGAGGCTATGGATATTCCTCCGGTCCGGTCTGTCTCAACGACCCTTTTTTTTTTTTTTTGGGTGTATGTCTCGTTGCCTCAACTGTGTGGTGGTCGTTTTGGGGGGGGATTCGATTCGTCTGTATATTGGCATGTATACCTCCTACCACGGTCCATCGGTGAGTGTCCAGGAGGTCCTTCGCTATATAATCGTGAATATATTTGGACGCTCAGCTCAGCTGGTCGAGGGTATCTTGCGCTGGCTTATTCAATCACAAAACTCAGGTCGTAAATGTTTGTTCATAATATGCGTGGACGGTATTGGAAGCCGGGTGTCACGTGGTTGGAGGTCAGGGACTATGAGTACAAGGCTAGGAGCAATGGATACAGAGCGAGTAAATGTACCCAATGGTAGGGGTGTGATAGTGAACGAAGTTGACTACAGAAAGTCCGAAGGGGCGAAGCCCCGGACTATATAGACAAACGTATTACCGGATGTGGTAGGACATGTCTTATAGCGGCCACATGCCATGTCGCCATGCCAAGTCCCTGCCTATCCTGGAAATCACAGTCATTGCTGGGAAATTCGCTTCCCGAATCCATTCTGCTCCTTCATCCACTCCTTGTATTCATTATTCATGTCGTCGAAGAATTGTGCCTCCAATAGGACTTACATCGCCGCTCGTTCCACGGCAGTTCACACACCCGCTCATTCAGCTACCTATTGGGCGCCGCCCGTCGCCTTAACAGATACTGTCGAGGATATATTGTCAAAGATGAAACCCTTAGCTGTTTCATGCAGCTAGAACCCCTGCCTTCTACGTGTACTTAAGGGCCCCCTCCTCCATAGACTGAATCTTCACACGAGTTCCTTCCATTTCCTCTTCTCATTCTTGACATATATGTGCAATCACGTGACCGATGTATTATCACGTGACCGATGTATTATCACGTGACCGATGTATTATCACGTGATCGATGTATTATCACGTGATCACAACTACGTATTGGTACCTGCCGGGCAGCTGCCTGTTGGGCCTCAGCAATACAGACGTTGTAAGGACTAGCTAGATGAAGAAAATTGAGCATGTCCTAAGCAGCTGATTTAGTTGAGCAGTGTGAGATACAATCACGTGACCTGATGGCTCCTCGCAGTTCACTATATTCTTGGCTTGCCAAGAATAAACGAGTTGTTGGAGTTCCTTGTTCTGTGGTAGTAGAGGCACCACTATTAGAGGTTGTATGGCCGAAGATATCATTCGGTCAAATGAAGAGGACCATATCAGGCACCTAGGCAATTATGGCGGAACCAGGCTAATAGTGCTTTGGCATCGAGGGGAAATAAGGTGGCCAAAAGCGGCGACAACACCTTCCAAATTCGGCGGCAGATTTTCCTTCAACCCGCGTTGTGCTGGAAGTACCCCTGGGTAATAACTGGCTAGCGGTTGGCGACTCCATTGATCATTGCCTTGTCTGCGATTCGCACCAGTCAAAATTGTGGGCAATCACATCATCATGATCAAGCTAGCCTTGTTATCATGCATGGCGACTGGGATCATTGGCTTGGTGGCTGCTACCAAGAGTGTCAAGGTGGTTTGCCCAGGCCATGAGCCACGCAATCTTACGTGGCGTTTTCAAGTTTGTAACGGGAGGATTTACTTTCGGTTAACTCACTGGACAGACACCAGGTCAACGTATAAGGATGTTGGAGAGGTATCTTTGCTACCAATTTGCGGGGGCCGGGTGCTGGGACCATCCTGACGTCAATAGTTGCCACTGGAGTACGACTAGATCAGATAAATACTAGGAGATTTGCCACGGTACAGCAGGTATTGATAGAACCACAGCCACAGTGACGTTCTTCCGTCCTGCTGTTTTGGGGAAGGGATAGACAATTATTCCACAAGACGTGAACTTGAATGATCAATCCCTAGATATCAACATTCACCATCTATGGACATCCCCATTTTCTCTCGCTACTAATTCATACAAAGCCTCCATTCTGACGAAGCGCCAAAACGACAAGTCTTGTGAATTTTTGTTTGGGATTATGCTCTTTTCTTCGGCTCGTTCTACTCTCCGAATTCCATCTTTCTAGAAGCAGAAAACCTGGTCTTCCAGTTTACTCACTGGCCGAGCTTTTTGGTATCCGAGACTCTCTGTCGCTTTCTTCATCGCACTAACCATAGGCGGAGGACCGCAGATGAGGATCTTTATGTCGGGTCCCGGAGGTGGCAGTTTGGACTTGATTATGTCGGCGGTCACGAACCCCACTCCACCATCCCATTTCTCAGGTGGATTGTTCAGGACATAGTACACACTGAAATCAGAGTCCTCCTTATCCAGAGCATCGAGTTGGTCTTTCAATAGGATATCTTCCGGGTTGACATTGGCGAAAATCAAGTCGACCTTGGTGGTATCCTTTCCACCACTCTTCGGTCGTCCCCGATTGATTGCGCGGATGATCTGAAGCATGGGTGTGATTCCTGTTCCACCAGCAATCATCCCGATGCGCCTGCAAAGGTTGGGGGTATAAACCATAGCTCCTTTGGGACCACGAACTTTCATGGTATCTCCAACTTTCAAGGTGGTCATGTGCGCACTGATGTTGCCTTGAGGGTAAGCCTTGATCATAAGATCGAAGAATCCCTTGTCTTCATCTGAAGAAATTGGGGTGTATGATCGAACCACCTCTTTATCTGCACCCTTGGGGGTTGCTGCCAGAGACATATGTTGTCCAATCGGCAGGCCGAGGACGTCATCCGGTCGAGGGAGGCCAAAGCGATAAATTGCGACATTGTGCGAGGTTTTGGTGATTTGAGTGAGAGGAAATTCTTGGAATCTATCGGGCTTCAAGACTTTTCTCGATTCTGTGAAGAAGGAAAAAAGTCAATTGTATGTCACGCCACTTTGCGGTCAGGGTCACTCACGTCCACGTAAAGCGATCTTGGTGCCTCCTAAGACCGCAGCAATGACAACGGCATAAGGGAGCCATTCGGTCTTAACAATGCCGATTCCAACAATCAAGAGGGCAGAGGGGATGAAGACCCCGTTAATGTTGGCCTGGGAAAATATTGGGTTCCTGCGAATTGAGAATTGGATGAGCACACACTCGGAGAGTGGAGGGGGGGAAAATCGTACTTACCCCATGACTTTTTGTAAGTCTTTGTTGCGAGGCTCGCTGCTTCACCAGTATCCTCAACGCTCACAGGAGTGCCCCCCAACAGCAATGGAGAGGGAATAGGTGGTGTTCGAAAGTCGCCCGGGAGCTGAAGTCCAAAATATCTATCGGAATTGGGGAACTCTCAAAATCGGCGTGATCCTCTACTGTATGGACAGCTGTACTACGGAGTTAGTACGGCGCGCCAACCAGTGTGTGGGGCTTGCGCCTTGAGCCCATTTTGACTGGGTGGCCATGGTGGGATACTTTTGGTTCCCCCTGTTATTTATTGACCGTATTCGGTGACAAAGCGCGGGAGCCATGCCGAAGCGCGGAAAGTCGAAAAATTCTTTGCTAACTCACCCTTTCCGGTCAACTTAATCCGGAACAAATTGCTACCTACGGAATACCCATCGGCCACCCTTCTTTTCCGTTCGACGTTGCCCGAGTTCATCCGGGTCTAGGGTAACAACAACAGAAACTACTCCGCAACCATGTCTCCAGATCCCGTCGACCACCATACCGCATATCCATTCCAGCTGACAGATGTCGATCGGTCTATCCTGGCCATGACCGACGACCAATTCAGTCCACATACATGGGAAGAACTCAAGCAGATTATTGGTGGGTGCTACTGGCATACATGAAGTATCACCCACTTAGATCAATTCTCTGACCTCACGTAGCTGAGCACAATCTCAGCACTCTCAGGAGACGGCCTTCGGACTTGAGACGGTATATAAAATGGTCTCGCAAGACCAAAACAACATATGGGAGTGTTCCCAACTTTGTGATGACAGAGAGGCTCAAATGGACGCCTCTCCCGTCAACAGACCCTGACGCAGGACCGAAATTCGCCGTGAAAAATCCGCTGCCCTTTGCTGATCCAGCCGATTTCAAAATCTTGCACAATGACTGGCCCTATGGAGTGACTCCTGGCATCAAGCACCTCATTGTCTGGCTGAAGACACGATTGGAGTCGGAGCCAACAAGAGGTGATATGACTCCCAAATCAAGACGGCAAGTCGAGGATTTCATACGGAGCAAATTTGTAGATCGAGTCAAAGACTTGCCCGGTGAGCAACCGAAGGTGATGTGGTTCAAAAATTGGACAGCCTTACAGTCTGTGCCCGGCATGGAGCATGTGCACGTTCTTGTCAGAGATGTTCCGGACAGCATCATTCAGGAATGGACCGACGGTGACCAACCTATGAACGATCAGGATAATTTCGTTCAATATCGACATGGGATTTGAGAATTTTCAATAGAATTGTGCCCGGGTTAATAAATCAATGGGTCAAACACTATGTCACTTCGTGCCGTATCTCATTCCAAATCGCATCGAATACCTGGAAAACAGCCGTAACCCCTTTCAAGGTATTCTCATCGATCTCCATGAATCCGTATCGCTGCTGAATTTTATCGGGGTGCCACCGAACACGCTCGCTCTTGATCACATTTGCAAATGGATCGGTTCCCTCCGTGGGTTCCGCATTCTCTGTACCTTTTCTCACGAAGCGTTCAATCTCCTCTCTCACCACGTCTTTACGCCGGCCCGTCTCAACTGGCCAGGCAATTTTGTTGCGCAGAAAGACTTGCTCAGCGTTATCCTCACATTTTGGCCGATTCCGAGCCAGCGTCTGCAGTTCGTCCCAGCGACGCAAGTAATCTTGCCACAAGGTCTGCCATCTCTTGCGATCTCGTCGGTTTTCCCCTCTTCGTAAACTGGCCTCGATCTGACTCTCAAAGTTACAGTCGTCGTATCGGGCTGATTTCTCTGCCGTCTTCCTTTCTTCCTCTCGTATCCTTTGCTTTTCCTTTGCCCGCTTTCTTCGCTCCTCTTCTTTTGCCGCCTCTGTTCCTTCCCAACTTTTCTCCCACATCTTCCGCCGAACAAATTGAGTATATTCCTCGTCGGTCATGCGTTCCAATTCACCGGTCTCTTCGTCTTCATAGGTATTGGGATAGCTGTGTATTGGCTGGCCGTAGACGCCTTCCCAGAAGGATGCTCCTTCATCATCTCCGAGCGCATCGAAGAGTGACTCTCGAAATGCCTGTTCTGGAGAGAGATAGCTCGGCGTTGGGTTATGTGGATCGTGCTCCGAAGATCTATGGCGTTTCCTGTATCGGCGGGAAGAGTCATCATGTCTTCGTCGTTTATGGCCTCTCGAGTCATGGTCACAGTCGTGAAGAGAGCCGCCTGCGCTTTTGGATTTGAAGCGGAAACGGTTGGATCGCTTTTTCTCCTTGCCACATTCTCCCAAAGTTTCCGGCTCTGCCGCAGAATTTGACTCTTCTGACATGTTTAGGGGGACGGGATGGCATTATTCCTGGCTAGCAAGAGCCAGCGAGCCAGAATGCGGTGGGAGGCCACACAAGGCTAGGTTAACCAGTGGAGAAAAATTGACTTGGTGCACGTGCCAAGGCTAGGCATGCCAGTTTTGACTCCAACTGAGCAAATGAGGCGATGAGAAAAAGGTATGACTCTTCAAGCAAACAATGACCTTGCGCCCCGGTTACTCTTGCAGTCAGCACTTCTTCGCCATTTCCCCAAAAATATTTTCTGAAAGAGTGAACCGCGCGATCGGCTTCGCAAATTCACTCATTTGGCCTCAAGTCCCTTCGCCTTACGGGAAAATTGCATTGAGATCGGCAACGAGGTTTGTAGATCATCAACACAAACATTGGTCGACCGCTTCGGCACCACAGTACAAGATGGCTGGGGGAATCAGCGAGAAAGCGTCAGCGTTAACTCTGGAGGAGATGGGAAAAGCGAAAAATCCGGTTGACTTCTACCGACAGTACATTGCGGAGAGACTGGCGCCGATTGTGAACCGAAAAGATACCGAACTGGTACCACTGCTACAATGGACAGCAACTCTAGACAAGGGAGACCTCATGTTACCAGTTCCTGCTCTACGAGTCAAGGGTAAACCTCCTCAAGACCAGGCCAGAGAGATTGTTGACGCGTTTCCCAAGACTGACGATACCGTTGTGACGGCCTCACAAGCTGGTCCGTTTGTACAGTTCTTTTTTAAGCCGGATCATCTTGTTAAGCTTGTTATTCCGGAGATTCTCACCTCGACCAAGGCGTATGGATCCAATCCCACCCCCGGCCTCAAGGATCCCTCGGATCTTTCCACAGGCCAAAAGAAGGTCATTGTGGAATTTTCATCCCCCAATATTGCCAAAGAGTTCCATGCTGGCCATCTTCGAAGTACCATCATTGGCGGTTTTCTGGCAAAGCTCTTCGCCACCATGGGCTGGGAGGTCTTGAAGATGAATTACTTGGGTGACTGGGGCAAGCAATACGGTCTATTGGCCAATGGCTTCAAGCAATTTGGAAGCCAAGAAGAATTGGACAAGAACTCGATCGCGCATCTATTCCAGGTCTATGTGAAGATCAGCAAGATCAAGAGCGAGCAAGATGGACCGATCAACGAGCTGAAGAAGGAAATCAAAGAGAAGAAAGCCAAGGGCGAAGATGTGACTGCGCTAGAACAGAGGCTGGCCCCTTTAGTCGAGGCGAGTGAAGACGAAAAGGCCCGAAAATACTTCAAGAGTATGGAAGACGGCGACGAAGAGGCGCTCTCGTTGTGGCGGAAATTCCGAGACATGAGTATTCAGAAATACCAGAAGACATACGCGCGATTAAACATTGAATTTGACGTCTACTCGGGAGAATCGCAAGTAAAGGCCGAAAACATCAAGAAAGTTCTTGACAGTCTGATGGCGCAAAAAATTGCGGAAGAGTCCGAAGGGGCCATCTTGATCGATTTCAGCAAACACGGGGCAAAGAAACTCAACAAAGCCATCATCGTCCGGAAAGACGGGACGCCGTTGTATCTCACTCGAGATTTGGCCGCCATCCTGGAGCGACATGACACGTATCATTTCGACAAGATGATCTACGTGATCGCAGATCAACAGAATGAACACGTGGCACAGTTGTTCAAAACGACCGAGATCAGTGGGCACAAAGATGTGGCCGACAAATGCGAGCACATCTCTTTCGGCATGGTCAAAGGCATGAGCACCCGAAAAGGTACGGTCAAGTTTTTGGACGATGTGATCCAATCAGTCAAGGATGTCATGCTCGAGGTGATGAAGAAGAATCAACAGAAATACGAACAGCTGGATGACCCTGATGCCGTGGCTGATGTCCTTGCAATCACTGCGATCATGGTGCAGGATTTGACGGGCAAAGTTCGCAACGGGTACGAATTCAACATCAACCAGATGACGGCATTCGAGGGTGATACAGGACCATACTTGCAGTACGCCCACGCGCGATTGTGTTCGATTGAACGAAAGGCCAATGCAGATTTGAGTGCCTTGGGTTCCGCGGACCTCTCATTGTTGAGGGAACCCCACGCTGTCAACTTGGCTCGGTCGTTGGCGCAGTACCCCGATGTTGTCATGAATACCCTCAAGACACGCGAACCAGCGACAGTGCTGACTTATCTATTCAAAATGGCCCATGCCTTAAGCTCAAGTTACGACCAGTTACAAGTTGTGGGGAGCGAGCCGGAGCTGCAGAAGGCTCGTTTGGCATTGTACGAGGCTGCCCGACAAGTCTTGTGGAATGGGATGACTTTGCTCGGTCTATCCCCGGTGGAGCGGATGTGATGTCTAACCCGACGAGTGTTCCAATAGGAATGGTTCAGCATTTTAGCGGGGGGGTCCGGGACGCCATTGCTGGAGGGGGAAAAACAAAATAAATAGGTCGCTTGATTCCCATGTCCGACTTATCACGGAGTTTGGAACTTCATTTACAGGAAAGGACCACCACGACAACGGAAGGAAGAAGGCGGCGGGCGGGCGCACCTTGTAGATCCGAGGGTTGATAGAAGAGATCAGGCTGGTGAATTACAGGGCTACTTGCAAGAGTTGGTCCAAGGCTTGTTGTAGGTCAGAGCTGATGATGCAATTCCTTCCCTTTTTCGAGGCTGAAGGTGGTTGTACTACGTATGCAGATGTTCAAAGCCCAGGGTACCTTTCGCTAGTCAGGGCAGATTTGCTCCCCAGGATGGCAGCGGGTTGGGCAGCCATGCCGTCCGCTCCATCATTGCCACTACCGGGCGGGATCTGGAGGGGTAGGTCTGTTTTGTTTTTCTCCTTCGGAGGCGATAGATACGTGGTATTCGGGCTGATGTGGAGGTTGGATTGTATTGGGCCAGGAGACCATCGTCCTCTCTCGGGCAGAGCAGCAGCACATCCCCCAGTGGAGGGGCAACGCTCTGGGCTGGGGTGGGGGTGAGTGAGGACAGCCATCGCTGAGCAAAGTGTTCATCGTCCATCATCTCGAACGGAGAGGACTCTGAACCAGCCAGCGTTATCTGCATGTAGGCTCCCCGCGTTTTCTGCTGCTGGTCCAACAAGCTCCTGTCCGCTGTTGTACAGTATCACGTTGCCATCCCCATCCGACCCGTACTCCACGTTTTGTGACACCTGGAGTAGGCTGGAGGGCTCAGGCAGATGCAGAATGCAGATGCACTGCAGCACTTGCCCATGTTTGTTTGTTGTTTGTCGACTGTCAAGCCTCAGATTGGCAGCTTCGGCGTCGATGGTCAGTTCCTGCTGACGCCGAGCGGTGATTGAGGCACCATAGACAGGCCACAGGAGGGTGAAGGGCGAAGATGACCACCGAGAACGTAGTGTCAGAGAGCGGTGGATTTCATTCGTCGAGTGGATATTGTTGTCTGGCATGCCAGCAATAAACTAGCGATCACTTGCGAAGATGCAGAGGTTGGGCTGCGATTTTCTTATCCTCCATTCAGAACGCAGCGAGACGCAACCATAAACCACCCAAAACCGCCGAACAGCCTACCAACTCGTGCACATCACGCAACTAATGCTCCATTGAACTCCAGGTTGGCCGTCTGTACACACGCTCCGGGTTTCTCTCTCTCTCTCTCTCTCTTTTTCCGCGCGCCATTTTCGACCGTGGCAACCTAGCAAGGCATGGGAAGCCTGGAAATCCCCCTTGATGGATTGACGAGTTGCTGCCTCCGACTCCTGTTCGTCATCCTGCAGTCACCAGCCATTCAGTTTGAATCAACTCTCCAGGCATCCTGCTGGTTGCTTCCTCTCACCTTGTCGACCCTCGCCGTTCCTCGCTCTCTGCGTCGCCAGCCTAGAACCATGCATAGTGGGGTTTGATGAGAATGACTCCTATCAAAAGAAATCCAAGCACAAAGGCCATCGATTCTTTCTTCCCCTCCTTCAATCCCGCCGTCTATATCGAGGTTCACAGTGGCATTGACATTTTTCTCGTTCTCATTTCTCTCATATAGTGGGTGGCATCCCTCGATCCTTTGCAAGCCTCTGCAGCCTTCCTTTCGTTTTGACACGCGCGCCTCCAAACGAGCAAATCAAATCCGCCCGCCACTACAGCTTCGCTCTGAATTGATATTCAGTTGCTTTACATCCTGCTTTGGCTTCTCGTCCGCAGGCAAAAAGGGCTAATCCGCAGTGTCCCGTACCACCGGAAGTGTGCAGCGCATCTAAAGCATCTGTCACCACGTTGAAAGTGGAACAAAATCTACGGCGGCACCAAAGCTGTAGCCAGAAACCCGTCAAAGCTCCAGAGCAAGGTGGAGTGAGTGGTAGGGTGATCGAGAAAAAGGGTATTCGGAATGGCCCCCCACCAACACGAACGGGAGTGAGAAACTCGGAACAAAAAAGAGATCAATTCACCGGGCCAAAAACGTCCCCCAGAAAGGCCGACTCAAGAGTTCTGTTATTCTCAGCAACACATTTGGACCGCCACAATCTCCCTAGCACGAGCCGTTTAGCGACAAAGCCGCTGCCGACGGTCTCCAGGGATATATCCGCCGCTAATTCGTGGAGCGACCTGTGCCAATACCTCTCTCGGGTATCCCGGTCACTCCACACTTTCACATTTTCCCATCATCACAATCCATCGCTGGTGTTAACAGCTTCTCCTTTCACCCGGTGTCGAATCACTTGACGATATCCCTCCTTGTGTCTTGTCCTTGTTGCTACCGCTTCCATGCCCGGGAGCGAACGTCGTCGTCCCCGAGCAGCCACATGCGAGGATTGGGATGAGGTGACTCAGCAGGCCCTCCCAGGCTCGAAGACCACTGCCAATGTCGCCATCAAACGATCTCAGCAAGAATTAATTGCCAAGCAAGACTCCCAAAACGTTCGCCATGATGGTGTTGATTCAGGCTACGCCAGCCGAGCGGATACCCTAATCAGCGAATCTACTAATACGAGTCGGCGAAAAATGCCGGGCTTGAAGCTCGACACTGCTGCAATTCCTGAGAGAGAGCGACAACCTTATCACCTCCCCCAAACTCCTCCATTGAAGTCACGCCGTCAGTCCTCATCTCAGGCCAAAGACCCAGCACCCGAACAACGATCTGTCAGGACCAAGACGATCGTGCATGAACGTGGCTCTTGCTGGGTCTGCGATCAGTACGGAAAGCATATCGACATTACAAAGGAAATGTCACGGGCATCTAGCGTAGCTCCTCCGCCTCCTTCTCCCACAGCCACCAGGCAGGCTGCACCAAAAAGTGCAAAGGACGATGACGCTTTGCCTATCAAGTCAAGACGGTCATCTTCTGGCCGCCAACCGAGACCCTTGAGCATGATTCCGAATGGAGCTGTGCCTCTACAGTACATCAATCAAGCGGTTTATGGCCCCCCAGTGGTGTCAGCGCCCGGATGGGCCACTCCTGTCACACCGTCGATGCCGTACAGCCCCGTGTCCTATTCATATGCTCCTCCTGGGGCCCTGCCGACTCATTCATTCGCGCCTTATCAACCAATGCCTTCTTTTTACGACCAAGCGCCTCCTCCCGAGCCTCGCTCAGCCAAACCAAGTCGACGATCAAGCCCCGTCCCCAAATCAAGTGCTTATGGCGATCCAGTTATCCGACAAGGCCATCATGAGCCAGGAATGGCAAGCCTGGAAAGAGTCTCCTCAAAAGAGAACCGACCTACGCCGCCATCTCAAAAGTCCGCCCGGAGCACTAATAACGATCGTGCCATCATGCCACCACCACCAAAACCTAATCCATCTGAGATCATTCTGGCTCGGAGGCCAAGCAATCGAAGGTCCAAGGCGTATTATCCTCAGGAAATACTTCCTCGAGAGCCGTTATCATACGAACCAGATCGATTCGATGAGGAAGACATTGAATATCGAGAATCTCGTGCTCCTCCTTCTACTCTCCGTGGACGAAAAGAGTCTGCTTCTCGCCCACCTACGTCGTACCGAGCGCCGGCTATCATCGAAAACCGCGATCGACCCACCTTACCAAAGAAATCGGTCTCCTATTCTACACCAACTGCTACGACTAAGGTTGCATCATCTAAACCAGGCCATGCTTCTCGCCGCACGATCCTCCCGTCGGTGCCACTAGAACAAAAGGAGGCTGAGGTCGAAGAGTACCAGAAGCAAACCAACAATGCCTCTAACGACCTAACTGTCGAAGCGCTTCGTGATTTCAATCATCGCAACTCGAGCTCAAGGTCTGAAACGGGGAGCAGCTATAGCGTCAAAAGTCGGCAGTCCTCATCTAAAGATTCATCTGGACGCGGAAGAAGCCACACGAGACTTACGAAGACTAACATTACTCTTCCTTCCGGTGTCAGCATGAGTATTCCTGGCGGTGTCAGCATGAATATTCCCACAGATTATATGTCCAAGGACGGTCGACCCCTCAGTATCAACTTTGGAGGCCTTGTTCTGTCAGTTGGTACAGAAGAGAAAGATTCAGTTGAAGGAATCAAAGAACAAAAGAAGACCGAGCGAGCTTCCAGCGTCACAAGCCGTACCTCGAAGAAAAGTGTCTCGAGCAGTGTCATCTCCAACCGGGATAAGGATCGCGATCGTGAGGTTTCAGGGCAATCATCTAGACGACCTTCCCAGTCATCCAGGAGAGCTTCCTATGTGGAAGAGCGGGCTCCCGCTGTGAAAACGAGTGGTCAAAATAGTCGAGCTCCAAGTGTAAATGGGCGCAGCTATGAGTATACTAGTCGCCAGAGCATCGATTATAGCAAAGGATTCGATGAAGCCGTCTACGGCGCTTGAAAGGAGGATTCCGGATACGTTCTTACGCATTTTATTGCGCTACATGGAGGCATTTTGAGCAACGGTGCTTCCTCTCTGAGGCATCTTTGTCTGTTTTCTAACGTGTCCTTTCTGCAAGCACTGTTTTTTTTTTTTTTTTTTTTTCCCTTCCCCTTGATGCCATGGCAAACGATCTCATTTGTTTGGACCATATTTGAGCTTCGATCTGCTCTCCCTCAAGCGGATTGCTTCAATGGACGATGCTGTCGATGCTTGTGCCGCTCTCAGTACGTTTTCCGGCTTGGATGTTTGCAAATCCCTTCTCTGAGCAACCAAAAAAAAAAAAAAAAAAAAAAAACCGAATTTCCAAAAAGCTCACAGAAAAGTTTTCTTGATACCCCCATCTGTCAGGCGATATTCTTGAGTTTTTGTTTGAAACGACAAAAAAGCAACTCCTGAGCAGAAAAGGGCTGGAAGGAATGATTGAATTTTCGGTTATTCTCGAGAGGATGAAAATTCTGGATGGTATTCGATTACCAAAAATGAAAACAGAGAGCGGCTTTTGATTTTATTTATTTATTTACATTTTATTTTTATTTTTTTCCAAGAATTATGTGTTTGGATGATTCGTTTGGACAGACGATTAGCAGGTTTTTGTATGAGTTTATTTCTTCGATTCTGGACTCAGGATTCTTTGGAAGTCTCTGGGATGTGCAGTGACAAGATGGGGGTTGACTCTGCCGGCCAGATCAATCAATGGGAAATGGTTGTGGGTTGGTTATGCTCGATGCTGAATGTACCGGGCTTCCCGGCTCACCTCATGCGTCTGATGTGGAGGACAACTGACAAGGTGGAAATTGGCGCTCTTTTACGAGGTGAATTTAACATTTCGACGGTTGGAGGACGATGTTACGAGTATTCACGACAGTATATGATATCATTATGCATGAATGATGGTTGAGCTCGCTCGCTTGGATGTGTCCCGAACGAGATTGCTTGCTGGGAGGACATGGGACCCTTTCCTGCGGCGTAGGATCTATTTGCTGTGATATTCTATTATTCATGCCATTCATCTGCATGACAATGGAACAATGCAAGCCATAGATAGCTCGCTGCCTGCTCAAGAACGCTTTTTCAGGAAAGACTTCAATTGATTCTAATCCTTGCTCTTCATGTCCGTTCAAGTCATTTCCCTGGCGTTTTATCTTTCCTTACCCACTGATCGGTTGAGATTTAGTATCGGGTATTTTGTAATTCATGTCATCGTTACTCTTCACTGCTCGTTCATGGTGGTTCTTCTCTGGATTGTTTTCCTGCTTCCCGCACAAAAGATGCAAATTTTCGGGCAGGCTCGGCAGTATCTTTCGCTCTTATTGCTGCTCCATCGTCTGTGGTCACCGAAAATGAATCCCTTCCAAATTGAAGTTCCACAATAACTTCAGAAAATCGCCTTCTTCGCTCATCCGTGCCCGTTTGTCCGCGAGGTGTGTCTTGTCTTCCAGTACGGATCGAACCTTTTCGCGCACCAGGTCAGTAATCTTGGATCGCTTCTTCCGGCTCGAACCGGGACCTTTTGACATGCTCTTGAGCATGGGTGATTGGTTGTCCTGGAAGAAAGAGGGGAGCTCGTCTTCATCGTCGTCAACGTCCATGAAGCCGTCCCATTCTCCTTCGTCTGCGTTGTCTGCAACGTGCGTGTTTTCAAATTCCATCAAGGCTGAGTCATCTGCAGGGCCGTCGTCAATGGGGATATCGTTCTGTGCGCACCACGTTCTATAATTCGCTTCGAGAAGATTCATGACACTCGTCGTTCCTAGGAAGTTCGCCCGTAACGTTTTATTTTTCCGCACGAAACAGATCCGTAGAAGTCCGTCCCACTCTTCATACGAGATATTCGGTCTGGGATTCTTGGGGACAAGGCGCACCACACTGCTTTCCACGGCCGGAGGAGGTTTGAAATTATTCTTGCCCACCTTCATGATATGATCGATCTTCGCCCACATCTGAGCGTTGACGCTGAGTCGGCTGTACAGTTTGTCGCCCGGCCTGGCGAACAGGCGCATCGCGAATTCACGCTGAAACATCAATATGCACACCCTCGGCGCGGGGTTCGTGGCCAGCAACTTGAATGTCAACGGGCTCGAAATCTGATACGGTGTGTTGCTAATGCAGACATCGAAGTACGGCAGCTCCGTCTTGATCACATCTCCTAGCACCACTTCTAGTCTTTTGCCCTGCGGTGTTCCCTGGACTCGTTTCGTTACCTCTGCAGCCATGCGCGGATCCAGTTCGACCGCCACACACTTCTTTGCTTTCTCGAGGATTTTCACCGTCAGGTTCCCGCTTCCAGGACCAACTTCTAGTACAACGTCTGACTGTTTCAGATCCGCCTTGTCCACGATCGCTTGGGCAACCCCTGGGTTTTTCAGGACGTGCTGTCCTATGTCTGTGTTCATCTTGAATATAGCATTCGAAGCCACCGTCGCGGATTTCGAATAGGGCGAGGAAGAGGCTGCGCCAGAGCGCTTTTTAGGGTGTTGCTTCGGCATTCTAGGTTCCTTTTTTGAATTAGGTCCAGGTTATGGCGGTTCCAGTGGAGATAACGCCCTCTACCGTCCTCTACCGTAGGCGAAGACGTTGGTGGAGTGAAGCATAAGGATTGAACATTTTTTTGGCGGTGAAAACCGGCAGAATTTATTTTTTTGGCCGTGGGGAAATTTGTGACCCCATCTACCTGTACGCAGTTCACATCTTCTTCATCCTTTCTTGTTCCGTCTTTGTCGAGGTCGCGAACTGTCCGCCACCATGGCTTCGCGACGAGACTTTCTCAACCAACAAGCGCCCGAAAACTACGTCGCTGGTCTCGGCAGAGGCGCCACAGGTTTTACAACTCGATCCGATTTGGGTCCTGCTCGAGAAGGACCTAGCGCCGAACAGATCCAAGAAGCACTCGCGAGACGCGCTCAACAATTAGGTGCTGCTCCTCCTACGGCCTACGGTGCTATCGACAAACGGGGACAGGAACAAGAGGAAGACGACGATGAGAGATTTCAAGATCCCGACAACGAATCCGGCCTGTTTGCCTCTGGACATTATGACGAAAATGACGACGAGGCGGATCGGATATTCCAGAGTGTCGACGAAAAGATGGGCAGGAAGCGCAAAAGACCAAGGTTAGTTTACTCCCCTGCATACACAAGTCCCTCATATTATTCTCCCCTTCCCCCAACCCCCCCTCTTCTTTCCCTATTCAAAGAAACTTGTGGTTTATCTTTTCCGCTCGTGCTTGAACAGATTACCGACATAATTCCTTGGCCGTTCTCTAGGGAAGCTCGCGAAAAGGAAGAAGAAGAAGAATACAAGCGTAAAAATCCCACTGTTCAACAACAATTCGCCGACCTGAAGAGACCTCTGGCCACGATTTCGGACGAAGAATGGGCGAATCTTCCGGACCCCGGTGATCTGACTGGCAAGAATCGGAGATCGAAACAGAATCTAAGACAGCGTTTCTATGCAGTTCCCGACAGCGTTTTAGCAGGAGCAAGGGATGCGACAGAGTTTCAGACCAGCGTCCAAGATGATGGTGTCGAATCGTCGGTGAGTGTAGATAACAAAGATGGAACAATGACCAATTTTGCCGATATCGGGGCTGCGAGAGATAAAGTGTTGAAAGCCAGATTGGATCGAGCAGCACAGGCGGATGCCGGCACCGGCTCCGCTTCGACGATCGATCCTAAAGGGTATTTGACGAGTCTCGCAACTTCGGAGTTGAAGGCGATCGAGGTGGATGTCGGTGACATCAATCGTGTGAGAGTGTTGCTCGAGTCACTTATTAAGACAAATCCAAAACATGCGCCCGGGTGGATCGCCATTGCTCGATTGGAGGAAGTGGCCGGTAAAATAGTCACGGCAAGAAAATTGATGGCTCAAGGATGTGAACAATGTCCGAAGAGCGAAGATGCGTGGCTCGAGAACATTCGCCTGAACGACAGTCATAACGCGAAAATTATTGCCGCAAACGCCATCAAGAACAATGAACGATCGACGAGATTATGGATTGAGGCCATGAAGCTTGAGTCAGATCCTCGGGCGAAGAAGCGAGTGCTACGACAAGCGATCGATCATATACCGCAATCTGTAGCTATATGGAAGGAAGCTGTCAATCTGGAAGAGGACCCGGAAGACGCCAAATTGCTGCTTGCAAAGGCGACAGAAATCATCCCTCTGTCCGTCGAACTATGGCTTGCGTTGGCTCGACTTGAATCTCCCGAAAACGCACAGGCGGTTCTCAACAAAGCTAGAAAAGCGGTCCCGACAAGCCACGAGATCTGGATTGCTGCGGCGAGATTACAAGAACAGATGGGTAACGCCAACAAGGTCAATATCATGAATCGTGCTGTCAAGGCGCTCGCCAAAGAGGGCGCCATGCTCAAACGTGAAGAATGGATCACCGAGGCTGAGAAGTGCGAAGAAGAAGGTGCAGTATTGACTTGCGGCGCCATTATTCGAGAAACGCTTGGTTGGTCACTCGATGAGGATGATGACCGGAAAGAAGTTTTCAAAGATGATGCGAGCGCAAGCATCGGGCGAGGAAAATACGAGACGGCCAGGGCCATCTATGCGTATGCCCTGCGAATCTTCCCCACCAGCAAATCCTTGTGGACCGCCGCGGCGGACCTTGAAAGGAACCACGGCACTAAAGAAGCTCTTTGGCAGCTTCTGGAGAAGGCTGTCGAAGCATGTCCTCAGTCTGAAGTTCTGTGGCTGCAACTTGCCCGAGAAAAATGGCACGCTGGTGAAGTGGACGATGCTCGTCGCGTCTTGGCCAAGGCATTCAATCAAAATCCTAACAATGAAGAAATCTGGCTGGCAGCTGTCAAGTTAGAGGCGGATGCCAAACAGGTCGATCAAGCACGCGAGCTCTTGGCCACTGCCAGACAGGAAGCGCCAACAGAACGAGTGTGGTACAAGAGCGCAGCATATGAGAGACAGCTGGGTAACATTGACATTGCTTTGGATTTGGTTCTTCAAGGTCTTACGTCTACCGTGGTCAACAAGAAAGAAACACGGTTCCCTCGAAGCGCTAAGTTGTGGATGATGAAAGGTCAAATTTACGAAGACAAGGGCATGATACCGCAAGCTCGGGAGGCTTATTCTCAGGGCACGAGGTCATGTCCCAAGTCCGCGTCGCTGTGGCTTCTCGCAGCGAGACTTGAATTGAAGGAGGGCGTTATCATCAAGGCAAGATCCGTTCTTGACAGAGCACGACTGCAGAACCCGAAGAATGCCGAGTTGTGGGCAGAGAGTGTCAGAGTTGAGCTCCAAGCCAAGCCACCCAATGTTCAGCAAGCGAAGATATTAATGTCCAAAGCATTACAAGAATGCCCTAAGTCTGGACTCCTCTGGTCAGAAAATATCTGGCATTTGCAACCCAGAACACAACGCAAACCACTCAGTTTAGAGGCAATCAAGGCCGTGGATAACGACCCGATATTGTTCGTCACCGTCGCGAGGATATTCTGGAGTGAGCGAAGATTGGACAAGGCGATGAGCTGGTTTGAGAAAGCCATTGTGCTTGACAGCGATCTTGGAGACACTTGGGCATGGTATTTGAAGTTTTTGACGCAACATGGCACGGACGTGAGTGATTCGCTTTCCCCAAACCAGGTTCGAGCCCCCGACTAACAATACTCTCTGCGCAGGAAAAACGAGAAGACGTCATTGCAAAATGTGTTGCTAGTGAGCCCAAGCATGGAGAAGTTTGGCAGAGGGTCAGGAAGGATCCTAGGAATGCATATCTCAGTACCAGAGAGGTGCTGAAGGTGGTTATGAGTCAGCTGCAATCGAAGGAACCTATGAATTAGTGGCCCGGCTTGGGAAACGGGGACTTTGTTACGGTTACATTCCAATTATCGAGTCCTCCCAATTCATGACGCCAAGCCTCTCGCAGAAGACATGAACTAACTAGAACAATCTGCAGGGGGTGGCCGCTTTACTTGTAAACGAATGTAGTTTAGCGTAGCCCAGAGGCCTTGGCAGAAGTCATTTCGTTATCACGTGATTCATAATCACATGACCGAGACTGAATTAAAATTTTGCCACCGAAACTCTTTTTCATGCCGAAAGATGAGCAGGGAGGGCCGGGGCGTGCTGCCTGCAACTTCCTCACATCTTCCGTCTTCTTTTCATCACCACACAACCCTCCCTTCTACCATCATCCCATCTGACTTTCCATCTTTGTTTTGTACAATCACGGCTTCTTACGACTCTTTCCTCCACTGTAGAATACCGTCGAGGTCGGTTGAATCGGAGATTTTCCTTTGTACAGAGTGTCGTCTCTTCGCCTGCAAACGGCAACCTTGCATGTATCGGTGATTCACGGGTTCTCGGTTCACTGCAGTCCTTGATTTCATAATTCTTCGTCACACTCTTGTGTTCAATCCACATTTCGCTGGTATTGAATAGGAAAGAGACCATAACGTCGTCAAGAGCTGGGTCATATCGGGAAAACGGGTGGCTGCTATTCATTCATCATTCAAGTGTGGGAGTGGCAGATCCAGAGTCGAAATTATTGTTGTTGCAAGAACGGCTGGTGAATTGTAACAGAATCACCCGAGCTGCGAATTTTTGCTTTCGTCTTGAAAACTATTATTCTGTTTACTTTGAATAACAATCTCCCTTCTTTCCCTTGAGTCATCCTTCGACTTCTTGTCCCTTGGAAAAGAATTTTAAGAAAGAGAAAAAAAAAAAAAAAGAGAAAAAAGAAAAAATTACACCAGAAGCCATCACGATCACGCTTTCACCACCGTGCTTACTGTCAGTTTAACTGGACGAACATATCAACTTGACTGCTGTCGCCTCTAATCCTCAACCGGCCCGGTTGGCCTTGCCACCATGGCATCTTATGTATATTTCAAGTTCAAGTCACAGAAAGAACCACAGCGTGTAACAATCGATGGCCCTCATACGGACGTCTGGAATCTGAAACGTGAAATCATCACCATTTCTCGTCTGGGAGATGGAACAGATTTCGACCTCAAGATCTACAAGGAGAATGGTGATGAAGGTAAGATCGTCTTCTAATATCGTCAACGTAGCAGCACTAACATCTTCTAGAATACACAGATGATACTGAAATCATACCCAAAGACTCGACTGTCCTCGCTCGAAGATTGCCTGCGTCGGCTCCAGGCAAAGGCCGTGCTGCTCGATATGTCTCCGGCAAGCCGCCTGTTAGCGCCAAACCCACTGCTGCGAATGCTGCCAGCAAATCGGTCAAGACGGTGGATATGGATAAAGCGATGACAGAACAAGAGAAGCTGCAGGCGATGTTTCAATTCACCGACGCACAATGGCAACAGAAACAAGAAGAGATGGCCCATGAGACACGAGTGCCCATGCAAGGAGGCAAGCCCTTCAAAAAGGCCAACGTCCCCGAAGGAGAACCGCCGCATGGATATATCTGCTATCGTTGTGGCAAAAAAGGTAAGTCTGCACTCCACGGCCCCAAAATTCACCGCTAAATAGATAACAGGTCATTGGATCCAAGCATGCCCGACAAACGATGATGCCAACTACGACAACAAGAATCGCATCAAACGAACCACTGGGATTCCTCGGTCAATGTTGAAGAAGATTGACCAATCGGATATCGATAAGCTTGATGATGTTCAAAGACAAAATCTTATGGTGAATGCTGAAGGAGAATACGTCTTTGCTCAAGCGGATGAAAAGGCATGGAAAAAACATCTGGAACAAGTCAAAGCTGCTGAAGCTGCCCAGAAGAAAGTACAAATTGGCGACAAAGAGCTGCAAGATCGAGGTTTGGAATGCTCGATTGACAAGCGCTTGTTTGTAGATCCAATGAAGACCCCTTGTTGTGGGAAGACTTATTGCCACGACTGTATTGAAAATGCTTTGCTTGAGAATGATCTCACTTGCCCCGGCTGTGAGACAGAGAACATCAGTCTCGAACGTCTCGAGCCTGATGAAGACATGAAGGCCAGAATCAAAGAGTATGAAGCAGAGAAGGCAGAAGCAAAGCGACGATCTAGAAGTCCTACTGTCACAGCGGATTCACCCAAAGCAAATGGTTCGGGTTCAAGATCCAGATCAAATTCACGACAAGGAAGTGGTTCCCCTCAATCGACCAGTGGACAAGCTCGGAAACGCAGTGCCAGTGACGTGGATGGACCTTCTGCATCCGGGAATCTCGCTGCGCCAGCCATGAAACGTCAGAAGTCGGGCGAAGCAGCGTCTTCGTCGACGACACCAAAGCCCGAGGCTGACGCCAAAAAGGACGGTATCAAAGAGAGTTCAACTCCTGAAAGTAATAACATGCTACCCACAAACATGATGCCACCGGATTTGTCTCAAATGCAACCGGGCAATAACATGCCTTTCCCCATGATGACCGGTTTCAATCCGTTCATGATGAATCCCATGGCCATGAACATGGGTATGAATGGAATGAACTTGACGAACCCGAATTTCAACATGATGACCGGTATGAATGGTATGAACATGTTCCCACAAACCAACGGGAATATAGGTTTTCCAAACATGAACCAAATGCCAACTTGGAATATGAATATGAACCAGAGTCAGAACCAGAACCAGAACCAAAATCAGGCCAGCAACAACATGGGACCCAAAGGGTACAACAGCAATTTCAACACCAATCGACCAAATCGCAACACAAGCTTTCAACCACCCAAACCAACATCACAACAGCCAGCAGGAATGACTGGTGTTCCCACTGGTCCTAAAGCCTTGATGCAACAACAGAATCCAAATCAGAGTTTTTATCCTCCCACAGGTCCTGCTAGCAGCAAATTTTCCAATCAGCAACGACATATTGGAAATGAAGAGGATAATGCCTACATGCGGCAACCGGTGAATCCACATCGGCATATGAATCGAAATCGTCGAGCGAGACAGGCCGATTACCGAGAACTGTAATTGACTGGTCGCCAATGAGGATTAATAATATTTTCGATATGGGAGACTTTACAACAACACGATCAGTCCGTCTTCGTGGGGTATCATTGGGTCGGAAGTCTTTTTCACGAACAGCACTGGAGTTCAGTGGGGAATCCAAAATGTAGATGACCATGGGTCGAGCTTTGACATGATCAAGAGAGTTTGGGTTGACTTGGGAAGGTATTCTTACCGATATATGTATGCACTTTTGCAGCGAGGCATGCGGAACCTAGGTTCCATCGATATCTTCAAAGACATACATAGCTGGGCTTTGAAATGGTGTTGTATCTACCCAGGTGGTCAAGCTGAGACCGAGATAGAGGCTTCCTCCAATGCAAGGAAAGAAATGCTCTTACAGACGTTTTTCTTTTTCTTCCCCTTTTCTTTGTCCTTTTCATTTCCTCTTCCTAGTCAAAAGATTTTTCGAAATCATCTGCGTGCCTGTATCCATTGTGGATCCGAATATTTCCTCACTTCCCTGTTGTTCCATCTAATCTAGTTCGCTGAGGTCTTACTTACACTCTCCCACTCCTTTCTCACCTCTTTTGCTGCATCATATCCATAGCACGAATCCCTCGTTGCTCGATCTGCAATTCCATACACATACTTTTCATCCCCTTTGTGGACGGCGCCGTCAGCTTGCATCGTTGCATCACGAATCACCTGTGCTTGACCTGGCGGTAAATGCAGGATGTTCCCCGCGAGGAGACTGGCCCGTTGCACGGCTTCGGCGCGTGGCTTCCGGACAGATTCGAAGATAGATAGGGCTGAGTGGAGATCTGAGTTTGGACTCAGATTTTGGCACTGGCTCTGTGTCTGTTCGTGCGAGGTTGATAAGGTTGATGTTGAACAGGTCATCGAGGAGGAAGATAGTAAGGAGAGACATTCAGATAAAGCAACTGCGTCTTCAACTGCCATTGAAATTCCTTCTTCATATTAGACAGAACTTCTTTTTAATTTCTCGGGGAAAGAAGAGTACGTGGAGAGAAGAAAGCAAAGAACCCGATGGAGAAGCGAAACTCAGGCCCATACATACCCATAGATAAATAAAATGCCATAGCATGCGCAGCGTCTCCCATTATGACGAATTTTCCGGATTCTGAGATCCACTTAGGGAGAGGGGGTACCTGATATATAGGCCAGTTTTGAACGGTTGGTCTCGCCATCTCGATCAGGTTTGTTAATCTATTCTCCTCATATGCGTCAGCATCATCCTGCAAATCGAATTTGACATCGGGGTTGATGTAACCTCTGCAGACCTCACAGGATGTTGAGGTTTCGGGGTGTGTGCATTGGGTAGTACGTCCCTCTTATCCCAGCCCTGGAATAGGGATTTAATTTCCTCCATATACCGCTCGGACGACCAGTGAGTGGTATCAACGTCGTCAGGGTGTGACATGACCATGTTCAACACGGTGGCATTGTGGATCATGTAGATCATGGCCGAGCAGCGTTCGCCTATCCTGTACTCACGTCAGTGGGCCTCCCGGTTCTTCAATGGCGTATCAAAAGATTCCATCAATCTGATAAAGCAGGAAGACGGTCCGTCCGAAGGTTGAGCTAACTTACCATAGATGATTATTATGCTGGGCCACGAGCTCGGAAGTCTCGGGATTTTCCTGGATTTTGGAGACGTCGACCATCATTCTGTACGCAGCCCATCCAGTCTTTTGAGCCCCTTTATCTTGGTCTTTGAGGAATTGTTGTCGACCGAATGAGTTGATTCCTTTCATCGACCGTCATCAATATATCAGGTGCGCCGAACGTCATTTGAGACCTGTTTGTGGCACAATTTGACACTTACCATCACAGCAAACCACCAAGTCAGCACACACTCGCTCACCATCTTTCAACACCACGGCGCCATTTTCGAACTCATATTCCACAACCCTCGAATTCACCCTCACTTCCGCCCCAGCCTTCACGCCATGCCTGTGCAAAATCTCATGCAACACGCCCCTGTGCACAACGACATACGGGGCTCCATATTCACCCTCTAGCTCGGAAATCTTGATCTCCCGCAGAACCCTGCCTGTTTTGGACTCGTGAATGAAAAAGCTCCCAGGCAAGGCGGCTTTGGAGAGAATATCGTCCCGTAAGCCCCATTGAAAGAAGAATTTAATGGCGTCAGGTGTGAGTTGGACGCCGGCGCCGATTTCCGCGAGCTGAGGAGCGGATTCGAGTATCGTTACGCGATGACCACTGATGGAGAGCGCGAGCGCGGCGGAGAGGCCGCCTATGCCTGCACCGACAACGATAATTCTCATCGCTGGACTTACACGTGCTTCTTGTGAGATTGTGATAACCCTGGGTCGTAAGTCCAATTGTCTTTGGTGGTAGTTATTCTATAACAGAAGGCATACCTGCCTCGATATATCTTATCGGTACCTGGGTCGTAAGAGACCAAGAGTTAGGAAGTGTCTTGGTAGCTTTGAGGATCTTGATCGTCCCGGCCAGGAAATATAAGTGCTTGAAAAAGGCCATATAGAATTTCACTGGCGACGGCTGATGCCTGATACGGATGGCTCGACCCTATGACGGGCCCCTTGTTAGCAAGGTGCCCTAGGAGTGGTTCTGTCTAGGCGTCCGGTTGACGTGCTTCTCCGGCTCGTTTGGTGGAGAACAAAGATCGCAGGTTTCCTGCATTTGCTTCGAGATTGCACTCTTCCGTGTAGAGACCGTCGGATTTCTACCAAAGTCTGGCCTGGAATTGGCCTTGCATATGAAAGATCCTGTCATTTCTCACTCCGAAGGTATTGCTGACTTGGAAGTTCATAGGATCATCGCCCAACAAATTCGCCTTGTTCTCTGCCTTTTCCCGGTGAGTCCATAGCTCTCGTGCTTCGAATTTTCGTGCACCGAATGCCCTGCGAGGCGAGCTCAAGACGAATACGACAAGTGGTGGCTACGGCTGCTTCTACTTCCACTAGACTTCCACTCTCAGCGGACAGAGCGGGTCATTCTTTGACTATTCGGATCTTGGGATCAGGCTGAAAACTCAAGAGCCCACTCCCAACCCATCCGTGCCGCCTAGAATGAAACCCTTGGAGAGGTTCGTCGCGAGACGGGCTTGGGATGAGGATTGAGATGCCTAGAGCACGAACGTAAAACGTCCAGTCAGTCGACATAGTAGTGAGCCGGAGAAGGATGAGAGATTTTTGTAACATATCGACGAATGCCCTATCCATCGAACAACATCAAACGCGTCTTGGAATCCGACAGGGAACTTATTCTCCGGCGCAAGACGATATTCGACGCTGAGCATTAATATGCCCAGATCCGCTGCGATCCGTCGACAGTACCGATCATCTGTTTCGAGGCCGCCGGTCACAAAGCCTCCCGCGTGCATGTAAATGAATAGAGGTAAGTCCTCGGACCGAGTTTTCCGGTACGTCCGTACACGAACGAGATAGTTATCGGACGAAGATGAGATGTCGAACTCTTCCATCTCAAGGCCTTCTTGAGGGGTGGTGGGAAGGCGGTCCCGAGACATGCCTTCTATTCGTGTCCCGAGAGGGAGATGGTGTGGGAACTGGGGGCATTCTTAGTTAAGATCCTGAGATGAGGGATAGTAAAACTGGGAAAGTTTGGTCTGACAACATTGGTCTCTCTCATGACCAATATATTTCTTCTTCCGTGACTTGGGCAATGACACTTACATCGACCCATTCTTTGTCGGGGATGGCCAAGTGTCGATATTCGGCCATTCCTGTCGATCAAGTATGGTGTTGAAAGAATGAAAGAAAATATGATCGAAATCTTTGTTTTGCGGCGACATGGCAGTCGTGGTCGAAGCACATCACAATACAACGCCATAAGTCTTGGCTGCTCGGAAGGTCAAGTTTAAGGACCAAGGTAGAAGAATTATACCGGTGGCTAGAAGAAAGAGTGGCACTAGAATTCTTTCTGATTTCAGCTCCATCTTTGATCGCATAGCACTATTCTCTGGCGTGGATAGCTCGGTAGGGAGGTATGGCCCTAAGGGCTGACCGTTGGTCATACTTGAGACGACGATTTTATCAAATCTAATAGGTGATCGAATCTTTCTCTCTACGTTTCAGGCATGTTCATGCAAAAGCATCAGGCGGCACCTTGCAGACCGCAAAGCCTCCATACTGGAGCACGCTCGCGGCGATGAAGAAACCATTGTAAGGGTCGACGGCGGCGGCGGTCATGAAACTGATCAAAGAACCGTCGTCAAAGTAGACTAACATGGGTGTATAATTCTTTTCGTGATCGAGTCGAAGAGCTGCAGCCGGAACTAAGAAGTCCTTGCCGAGTGTTTTCACATTGTCTAGGTATGCCGGGAGATCTTCAAGTGTAGGGAAAACTGCATGATGTCAGCACCAGTTTCGTCTGTCTTGGAGGTGTGCGCTCTGACCTGCGACGATCGGATCGCCTGTTGTGGGGAGAATGTTGATATTATCTGCTGCTGCTCCAAGGTCCTGGGAATCAATGTCTGGTAAGACGCGGAAAAATTCCTATTAATACGAGCCTGAACATACCACAGTCTGCAGGTTGGTCAAGGAGTGATCTGGATGAATCTGAAAAATCGTGACCGTTCCGTTCCTGGCGTCGCCCACGAAAAGTCGGTCTTTCCATAAATTGATGCCATTGGCGCCTGGAAATGTACCGGAGACTTGATTACAAGACACCTCCTGTTTGATCATTGTGAGACTTGGGGAGATTGGGGCAGCATCGTTACACTCGACTGGGGGCGTACCTCGCCGCTGGCATCACAGTACTGAACATTCGTTGCCCAGCTCCAAGGTCCAAACTTCTCCTCCAGGACACGAAGCGGACCACCGGCAAAATAGTGATCGTTGGTGATGTAGAAGGTCCTGCCAGGGTCAGCATTGTGACGAGGGGGGAAAAATGGCATCCATCTGCTCATTACAAGGGACCCGTTGAGACCACTCCATTGGCAGTTTTGATGTTGGGGTGTTTGACATTCTTCACTAAGTCGACCACATCCGACCCGAGCGTGTGAGAGAAGATGGCGATAGAATCTCCGTCTCGAGCATGGTTAACAGCGAAGATTTGGATCTCCGGAAAACATCAGCGTGTGCATCGTTTATCGGGGATTATCAAGTATTCGTACCCGAGAAGAGTCACCCGGCAGCGAAAGGATATCAATGCCATGAGTGATGAAGTCCCCTTCCAGGCCTTTAATCTGGAGCTCTGTCGTCTGGCCGGTCTTCAGGTCATGCTTGAATAGCGGCTCACGGAAGGACGACTCAGCGCGCAGGTGGGCGTCACGAACGCCGGCACACGGGTACCAATGCGTGCGCTCCCAAGGATCTCCACAGGAGAGGAATGCCGTCTGGGATGCATAATGGATTTTCACATCTTCACAGGCGTTGGCGGTCTTGATGACCTGGCATTCGGCATTATTGAGGGCGGTGCTGTTCTCCCATCGGACGAGTCGCGTCTTGTCGATCTCCACCCGCCCGACAAGCTTCCAGAGATATTCGGCCGATTGGGTGTAGAGAATGACAGAGATCAACGGTACTAGGACAAGCGAGAACGGGATTCTGGGCGCCATCGTGGCGGTTCTGATCGAGCAAGTTGTTCAAGATTCGCAAGCAGATGGAGCAACGAAAAATTGTAACGCCGTCACTCAGCCGGGACGGAATTTTATGAATCCGTCGCCTAGAGGCACAGTACTACAGTAGTGAGATCATTGTACATCCCCTACTAAAATATACGAATTATACATATCAAAGCTTCAATGCTTCACTGTAGCCGACATCTCAGCCCCTCCATCTTTGTTTCCCAGTTTCTCACGTATTGGGAACAGCTGAATCCACCAGGCCAACATGGTTTCCTCCCCGATACTCACCCTGGCCCTTTGCCTTGCTTTCTCGTTTTCACAAGCCACATCATATCGAGTGGAAGACGATCAGAGAGTACTGGCCCACCAGCCCACAAACAATGATCAGCCAAACATCATCTTCGTCTTGACGGATGATCAAGACGTGCGAATGGACTCGCTGTCGTACATGCCACATGTTCAAGAGCACTTGATTCACCGAGGGACACTCTTCGAGAAGCATTACTGCACTGTTGCCCTGTGTTGTCCGTCACGAGTCAATCTCTGGACTGGCAAAGCAGCACACAACACCAACGTGACTGATGTCGGCCCGCCACACGGTAAGACTGTCCGACCGACATAGGCTTTGGCTTCTTCGTTAATCTGATCGCGTACAAGGAGGATACGATAAGTTCATCCGGCAGGGTTTCCACAAGGCATATCTCCCCGTCTGGCTCCAGGATGCCGGCTACAACACCTATTACACGGGTAAATTGCTCAATCATCAAAATATGAGGAATTACGACTCGCCTTTCCCGGCCGGGTTTACCGGGTCCGACTTCCTCTTGGATCCTTTTACCTACGAATATCTCAATGCCACCTTCCAGCGAAATCAAGATCCTCCAGTCAGCTATGAGGGTCAATACTCGACAGACGTATTGGCGACAAAGGCGTTCGACTTTCTGGATGACGCCGTGGCTGCTCAAAAGCCCTTCTTCTTGACAATTGCACCCAGCGCGCCTCATTGTAATATCCACTACTGGAAAGCCTTCTTCTCCGACCATCCCAGGCTCGAAGACTACGACTTTTCACCCCCGATACCTGCTGATAGGCACAAGCATCTCTTCGAAGACGTGGTTGTTCCGAGAACGCCCAATTTTAATCCCGATGAGGTATAATTTCAGCCTTTCTCGTGTTGGGGTGCGATTGAATTAACGTCAATAAGCCCAGCAGTGTTGCGTGGATCTCGCAGCTCCCGAAACAAAACCAGACGAATATCGATTTCAATGATTTGTTCTATCGAAATCGCCTCCGCGCACTTCAGTCGGTGGACGAAATGATTGATGAGCTCTTTACCCGCCTGGCCGCGTACGACATCCTCGACAATACCTATGTTTTCTACTCCAGCGACAATGGGTTCCACATCGGCCAACACCGACTTCAACCCGGCAAAGTATGTGGCTTCGAGGAAGACATCAACATTCCGCTGATCGTGCGGGGCCCTGGTGTTCCCGAAGGACTGGTGAGTGATGTTGTGACTTCACACACCGACCTGGCACCTACCTTCCTCTCGCTGGCTGGCGGAGATCTGAAGCCTGACTTTGACGGTGCTGCCATTCCGCTCACATCATCTTCCCTCTCCCATGCACGGAACAAACGACACGAACATGTCCAAGTCGAGTTTTGGGGCATATCCATGGCGGAAGGCAAGTATGGGCATGAGATATTTGACAACCACACATACAAAGCACTGAGGTTGATGGGGCGGGGTTACGACCTCTACTACAGCGTGTGGTGCACGGGAGAACATGAGCTTTATGACATGAACGTGGGTCCACAACATCTATTGCTGTTTCCGAATGGAAATTTGCTGACAATTCTTAGATTGACCCTTACCAAATCCATAATTTGTACTCCTCGAATCAGTCGTCTCTTTTCCGGTTTGGTCTCGCGGACGATTTTGAGCAAACCAAGTCCATCGAATTATACCATCTTTTGCCTCGCTTGGACACGCTCTTGGTGGTACTCAAGACATGCAAAGCCCGAGCATGCACGCATCCATGGGAAGTGTTGCATCCCGCTGGCGACGTGAACGATCTCCACGATGCGCTCAATCCACGATTCGACCACTTTTACGAGATGCACCAAGAAAGAGTATACTTCACCAAATGTGAAAAGGGGTTTATCCCTGGTAGCGAAGGACCCACTGACTTCAACACTTTTCCGATCGAGGGCTTTGGTTTCCGAGGAGGTAACATGTGGAGCGAATTTGTGTAGGTTTGCTTAGAAATTCCCTGGATCACTCTGCAGGGATAAGTACGGGGAGCCCAAAGACCGGATAGGCATTTCGACGAATTTCTTGGTTCGCACTGAAAACTCTTTTTCGTGCATAGCAACTTGGCTTCTCCGGAGGTCATTTGGTCGATTAACCAAGGGTGTTCTTCTGGATAGCTTATTGGTTGAGACGTCTTTTTGGGCTCTGACTCGGCCTAGAAAATCGCATTGGATCGCATTGGATCATGGCAGAGTCCGTATTTGAACTTTTCCTGGCCAAGCTCAACATCTCCAGGCACAACGAGTGAACGAAAGACAAAAGGGTCTGTACTGCACCTATGCTTCGGTTTACCAATCATTCCGTGTATCAGCTGGGTCCCTCGTGCCATAGTGTTATTGAACCTGGGTCCAGCCTGACTGCCTCTGTTGACATTTCATTCTTATTCTCTTTTTCCCCCACGCATTAGAGTTCTGTTGGGGCTGCTATGTTGATTTCATTCACCCCAATATGTCGTTCCGTTTCAGGGTCGGCGACGCTGACACAGTTCTGAAGTGGACGCCAAAGACTAAAAAGCCTTCGACGACAACGATGAGTCACACCAAGAGTACCAGCACCTTGTCAAGCGATTCGATATCCTACAGTCGGCCTTGGAACTCTCAAAAGATCGTGTTCACCTCGTCCCTAGATCTGAGAACCGCAAGCTTCTGAAAAGGTCACTCAAATAATACACAAAAGCTCTCCAGGTTTTCAGCTGAGATGCCGAGAAAGTCCAAGGAGTATTTGCGGAGCTCTCGTCGAAGAGGCGGCCTGTTAGGTATATGCAGGAAGGTGCAGCGGAAAGTTGAAGCGTCAGATATCAAAAGATTCTCTTATCAATTGAATGAGAATCTTGTTGATTTGCAGACTTTATTGCAAGTTGTGAAATATGCTCTAGCAACCTTCCTAGTGCTTTGTTCGAGCTCTCACTGGCATGATAGCAATCTTCCCTCTCTAGGATAACTAGGAGGAATGACCTCAACACCACACGAAACAAAACCACGCGCACGAACACAACCGAGTACCATCCAGAATGTGCGACAGGAGCTCACAAATGTAGAATATGGACTCTGTCAGGGGCAAGCTCGCCAGCAGGCTGTAAAGACGTCAAAAGGATACCTATCTATCTATATAGGTGCAGGGGCGACATCGACTTCCACGCTTGGAAGTCGGATAGGGGTATCCTGCGTAACGCATGCTCTATACATGTTCTTGGCATGGGGTCTTGGCGCCCCATGACAGACTCGTTATGCGAGACCGGGAATTACCCCACAAGTCTCTCGATCACCGCCCGTTGTATTCATTGATGCCCCGAACAGGGTCTCAACTTTCAACCTCGAGATCATTAATACTCCTGCAGCATTCATACAATTTCTGTGGCAAATATTCCCAAAGTTGGTGCCAGCAAAGTTGAAAGAAGGGGTTTTGCAATTCGCCCCGAAAAGAGGGGGCCCGAACGGACCCTGATCTGGCTTTGCTATTTGGAGAGTGGTTTGTGGCCGGAGATGGATACATTGTGAGTGCCATCATCTTAGTAGATGGACAGCGCACGACTACCCCTCCAGCTTGTTTTGTACCGTGCAACGGTTTATCCGAGAGCAGATTATGCAGTAAGACCGAGCACTTGGTACCATTCTCTGATATTGACCTGTGAAATTGAATAGTGATGAGCGCCGGACACATTTTGGAGCGCGTCACCGAATAAGGCCAATCAGACACAGCCGGATCAGCAACGGTTCTTATGGATGCGAGACATTTACACCCAAACCTAGCACTCGGCCTCACTGTCCGGACAACTGTATACGGGACTTCCAAAGGGGACAAATTGTGTATAGAATGCGGAAGAGGCTAGCAAAGAGAAGCTAGCAATCTGTGAATGTAGCGGCTGGGATGGCCATCATACTTAGGGCATAGTGGATGAAGACAGGGCTAAGCACAACGTATGTGTCTTTGGTGGCCTACCAACCCGATGGAGCATCGTCAACGACGGGATTTTTCTGGCCCTGGGTTGGCTTTGATGAGTCCCCTGGAACTCTTATTGTAAGAATCCTGCAGCCTGCTCAGAATGCCGTGGTTTGAGTGAAAGCTATATCATCGGCCGCAGAATCAGGGCTTTGAGTCAGGAGATAATAAACAGGATGCAAAAAATAATATTTGGAACTGATTCTTTCACCTTTTTGCCTACTACCCTCCGTTATCCACAACCACGTCCGCAGGTGTGCTTCCAATTTTAGACGTCTAACAAGAGTTCTCAAATTTCGTGGGTACATCTCAAACATGGATTGGGTTTCTCTACTATTCGTCCTTCTCTAACCAAGACTTTGTGCCCTCGCTACCTCAAACCTGTTTGGGGGAAATCCCTTCTGAGCAAAGGGAGGGATGTGGGGTCTTCTCGCAAATCCCCCGCATAGGGAATTTGGGGTATAAATCTCTACAAGGCTGAAGGAAGAATCCCTGGATAACAAAGAATCGACGACTACATCAGATACTCGGATAGTTACTCGTTATAGCGTGTGTTCCTATGTCGACGACCACTCTCCAGCACCCTTCGATAGGGACCATTCTCGGCAATGAGGGCAATGGAGTGTATCAATTCCTGGGTTTGCAATATGCTGTGCTGCGGGATCGCCTGGCCGAGTCTCAAGTCAAGTCAACATACCAGACTCCAGTCAATGCGACCAACTACGGGTATTGATATCTCTATTGATCAGCCGTGAACCAAGAAATTGACTCAATCACATCAGGCCTTCATCGTTCTCTCCCCCAACAGGGTTCGACAACGAGATGGGATTTATTCAGCAAGCACTACCGAAGCCCGAAATGGTTCATTCAGATATCGACTGCCTGAATTTGAATATTACGGTGCCTAGTGCTCAAAATGGCATCCCTTCGGAGAGGAAGCTCCCCGTTTTCATCTGGATGCACGGGGGAGGATTTGTGGTAGGAGCAAATTCGTGGCCTCATTATGATCATGCCAAGGTCGTCAAATTGGCAAGTGACCATGGCGTTCCCGTCATCGGAGTAGGTGTCAAGTAAGTGTTTCTCATCCTGTGGAATAAATTGAGGCCTGATGAGATAAAAATTAACCAAGGGAATAGTTTTCGCCTCGGACTCCCAGGTCTCCTGACGTCAGATGAGTTGCGACAACATGGGTACAAATCGAACAACGTGCTCCGTGATCAGAGAAATGCTTTCAAATGGGTCAAACAATACATATCTGGATTTGGTGGAGACCCTGAAAACATCACAGTCATCGGGGAAAGCACAGGGGCAGGTAAGAGATTATCAACAAATTTTCTCTTTTTACCGAAGTATCTAAGAGTGCGGTCTCTAACCCATGATGTTCAGTTGCGACAACTCTTCATCTATACTCCAAAGAACCACTCTTCAACCGCGCCATCGCCACAGGCGGCTCTTGTCTTCTGGTGCCGCCTTTCTCTCCCCAGGATCATGAAAGCGTCTACCAGAAAGTCCTGGCAGTCCTTGGCTCGGAGGATTTGGGACCCGAAGAACGAATCCAGAAGCTTTTGTCCATCCCAATGGACGAGATCATCGCGAAGCTCCCCCCATATATTACGTTTCTGCCTATGGTAGATGGCGACATCATTCCTTGTAGGCCTACCTTTGCAGCGGTATCCGACCCTGCAGACGAAAGCATGCCTGGTAAACAGTGGTGTGAAGGTTTGACCATTGGGGATAGCCAGTTCGACGTAAGTTCAAGAAACGATTTCAACCGCTACGATTTGGGACCACTGCTCATTTCTAATACTTCCAGGCTTCTACATTCGGATTCATGATGGCTCACCTCAAACCTAACATCCGGCAAAAGTTCTCTGCCTCAATCCGGTCTTCGCTATCATCAACCCCGCATATTGCAGAATCTCTTCTCGAGTTGTACGACTTCAAGGCCATTGCTCTCCTGGATCCTAGAGATGATGACGAGATCGCATTTTTCAATTTTCTCAAGTTCTGCACCGATATTGGATACTACGCTGCCACCACATCCTTCGCTCGTGGGTGGCCGTCATCCAATTCCAAAATCTTCACTTTTTTCTTCAATGAACCCAATCCATGGCCAGGCGTGTACCAGGGATTGGCGACACACGTGCTCGATGTGGTATTTCTGTTCCAAAATTATAACGACAAGCTTCCTCCATCACAAGAAGCAGCAGCAAAGGAATTTGCTCTGGATCTGATGAGATTTGTTTCTGGAAAGGATCCTTGGGAAGAAAATATTGTCTCTCAGAGGAAAGCGAAAGTCTTTGGGCCTTCAACCGGTGATGGTCGATCCGTGAGCAGGATTATTGACAATGCAGAGTCAGAGGCTTCGGGGAGACGAATAGCAATCTTGGACCTGGGAAATGAGGTTGGATTTGACGTGCTTGCTGAAGCACTTAGGAGATTTCAGATGGGTCAATAAGGGAGATTTGCAGCAGGATGAGAGAATAAACCGAAGCATATTGTCAAGCTTTTTCTTTTCTTTTTCATTTTCTTTTTTTCCTAACCGTCCGATCTGATGTGCCAGCGCAGACAGCTTTCATTGGAAGGTAGATTGCCTTAATTTGTTTAGTCCCAGTCGAGGGTGGGTCAGCATGACTGACCAATCAACCTTCGGCTATCGTGGCGAAATCAAGATACACAGTTTTCGAGTGTCTCGTATAACATCAACTGGAGGAATCTGTAAATACTTTGTAGAACTCCAAATATGGTTGGCCAAAGGCGGGGGGAAGAATTCCAGTGGAGCCGATTGCTGTGGGTCTCTGTACATGCCTCGTACGAGCTAGTACGAGACTCTTCTGGCCCAAAAGCAATCGCATGTGTGTTGATCGTCGTATTAGCATTAGCCTGAGAGTTTGAGAAGGGTCTATGAACTGAAGGAAAATTCTCGCCGGTTAGTTACCTGTCCATGCCTCATAGGGAAGAGCTGGCACTCAATCATGGAACACATTTTCAGCACCCTTGCAAGGCCGACGAATGCAATGCAAGTGAATACACACTCGACTTTTGTTACCATTTTGCCTTGTTAGGGCCATCCGGAGTTCCTGATAGCCGTTCTCGATATGAGCTGAACATTGAAGTTATGATCATTCGTCTTCCAAAAGTCCTTATATTGAATTTCTCCTGTGGAGAGTAAAACACTTGATAAGGCAATACCTTGTGAGCAACAAGCAAGATTCAAGAAGCCATGGATCCGCCCCAGCCATATTACACTCTTGCCGAAGGGCAACCTCTGCTCGGAATGACACGACTGAGCAGCTAATGACCGGATCGGGCGGTGGCTTCGTCCTGTTGACCAGTACCCAGCTTCTCGAGACTTTGGCGCATTTCTCGGGTGAAAGAATCCCCGAAAAAGCTGTTCATGCCAAAGCTGCAGGAGCACGAGGATACTACGAGGTCACTGACGATGTATCTGACATTACAGATGCTGATTTCCTGACGGGCATTGGCAAAGGCCAGATGTGTTGATGAGAATATCTACCGTTGGACTCGAACGTGGATCTGCAGACACCGTTGGAGATTTCAGAGGGTTTGCCGTCAAGTTCAAGACGAACCAGGACAATAATAACTGGGTTTTCAACAATCAGGTAAGCGTCCGTGGCCCATGAAATACAATATTTCCTGTCTATTGACCAAAACTCCAGCCTATCTTCTTTGTTCGAGACCCGGTCATATTTCCTTCGCTGAATCGAAGTCATAAGAGACATCCTGGAACCAACACCCCCAATGCCGACATGTTCTGGGACTTCCATATCAACAACCAAGAGAGTATACATGCTTTGATGTTCCTGTTTGGCGACAGGGGGTTGCCTTCCTCGGTTCGCCATGTGAATGGGTACAGCGGGAATACCTACAAGTTTACCAAAGAGCATGGGTCATACGTCTACGTTCGAATTCACTTGATCTCGAATCAAGGAACCCGCTATTTCACCAACAGCGAAGGAGCCCAGCTAGCAGGCACGGATCCTGACCGCCACCTGGCGGACCTTCAGGAGGCGATCAACGCGGGAGACTTTCCATCATGGAATGTGTTAGTCCAAGTCACCCGTCCGAGCGAGATATCGAAAGCTCCGATCAATATCTTCGACATGACAAAAGTGGGGCCAAAGAAACTCTACCCACTACGCAAAATGGGTCGCGTGGTCCTTGACCACAATCCATCCAATTGGTTTGCAGAAATCGAGCAGGCGGCCTTCGGTCCGAGCAATATGGTTCCAGGGATTGCACCCAGTCCAGATCCTATGCTTCAAGCCAGAATGTCTGCGTATCCGGATGCTGCAAGATACAGACTGGGTACCAACTATCAGTTCCCTCCCACCAATGCACCAAAAAGTCAAGTCTATTGTCCCACTCAGAGGGATGGAGTTAAGAATTTCACCAAGAATTATGGGACAGATCCAAACTAAGTGGGCACGAGGCTGAAACCTGTCAAATTCGCAAATGTGAAAGGCAGTTATCCAGTCAGTAATGCCGAGGAAGCCCAGCTGCAAGCAGAGAAGGAAAAGGACCAAACCACTCTCGACCACGCCCAAGTTACAGCACCTTGCTCGGTATTCACTTCGGTCACCGATGCGGATTTCACACAAGCGAGGGATTTGTGGCGGATCATGGAGAAGCAGGAGGGTGCTCAGGGGCATTTTATCGGCAATGTCGTTGCACATGTGAGCGGAGTTACTCAAGTTTGGATAAGGGAAGAAGTCTACGGTGAGTGGGCTCTCTGGCTGAATTCGTCATGACTTGTACGACTGCTAACAAATTGTGCAAATAGCGATGTTTGGCAGAGTCGACACAAAATTGGGAGAGTCAATCAAAAAGGTTACAGAGACCAAGATTGAAGGGAACCATGCTCATCCTCATAAGACTGCATGGCATTGAAATAATCCGAGAGGTAAAAAGATTAAGTATGGAAGGTGACTTCTGGGGTGATCCTGAATATCTGGTTGCCCGCCGATCTTTGATCCAGAGAGTTTTGGCTTCAAAATATGGCCAATCGGAAACTCGTGCGAGCTGAAGTTGAATTCGTCGAGAAGCATTCTGCAGGACCAGCAAAGCTCTTTTCTCTGACTGGGTGCATAGCATGAATTTTGCTTTGGCATTTGTCGGCCAACCTTGCCATGCTCATATCCAGAGGGACTGGCGCAAGTGGGTATTCTTTAGCAAGGCTCTATTATAACTAAAGCACATACCCGAAGGAAATTATCATTGAGACGTATTCTGCACTCTTTCCCCTTATCACCCCGGAACCCAAGCCCCTAACATTTGATTCGCCCCAACAACCGAACCTCGCTTCCTCAACTATCACCATAATGTCTTCTTAGAAGCTCCATATAATTGCTTACTCGCACACTCATTCAGCGACGTCAATATGCAGCATTTTCACTTGATCGCGGTGCTCCTATGCCTCGCTACCACTACCAATGCCATTCTCAATTGCTCGACCTCTGTCTTTTCTAACCCAGCCCTCAAAAGGATCAAAACTACCTTTACTCTCAGTAATTGCACTATACTAGCTTTGCCGCCTCCACTGGACCTGAAAATCACTACCACCCCCACGTTACTAGAATTAGCTTCTGTGACGTGATACTTCAATACGCACATTTAAACCAAGACGATTCCATCACAGCCTGGAGTTGATTCCCTCCTCAAGAATAATGGGGACAGCTGCTTCATGGGCATCGGCGGTTCTGGATAGTTAGCCGACCTAGGTAACGCATCTTTCGCCCGGTCCAAGTCACAAGGATTCTCTGCTGTCCGCACTGATGGCGGACACCCGATCTCACCACTCACGGGTCCCGATGCGTGGGCACTGTCGGGTCTGGGGAAACGGAATCAAGTCTAGCTGCAAATCTGTGCCTTGGTTGCTCTGGGTGGTACTGCGACCATCGGAGAGACGGTGACAATTGCATTCTGCGGAACCAAACCGAAGTACTCGTACTGGAGCGGATGCTCGACTGGAGGCAGATAAGAGGATATGATGGTTTAGCGATATCCGAACCAGTACGATGGTATTTTAGTGGTTGTATCTGCCTTTTGACTGGGCGACATTTGTCTCATCCGGATTTGTGCCACCACTCGCGATGGAACAAGAAAGTAAGCAAATTCAACGGCTTTATATTTTCTGCAAAGTTCGATCCCACCGACATGATCTTAGATGCATATCCTCGACAATGCGAACTTCAAGAAATCGCCAAAGCAACCGTCGCGGCCTATGGCAAGCTAGGCGGAGTCACCGGCGGCATTATCGCTATACGAGACTCTACGCCTTCGATCCGCACACCGCAGTCGATCAGGCCTTCCACTGCCACGACGCTGGGAAAGACATACGAATTTCCTCGGCAGCAGCCACTGTCGCAGCAGCTACGTGGAAATGCCCTTCGACCGTCAAGGACCTCTATGAAGCCGAGATGTTGGACAACACGACATCGGGAATGAAGGATACAAATGTCCACGCAGACACAGCTGACAATGAAATGGAAATGGAATCGATCATGAGAATGATGACATGCTGATAGAAGCTATGTTCGTCTCGGGATGTTTCCCAGACAAAACAAATAATCTCTTGATCAATCCAAAACTCTCCCGCAGCGCAAAACCCCTTTTCGAACTTTAAACGCCTTCCCTTTCCCCAACTCGACTCAACTCAGAGCCAAGGACTTCTTTTCTACTCTAATTTCGGGCATTAATCAACGCCCAGACGAGATACATATATCGGCGGAAAAGAAACGTCCGGTTTGAAACTCTGCGAGACTAAGACCGGTCCAGCCTTGCGTTACCTCGTCCCATCCATTGGGGATAAGCCTCGGCTTGGAGAAAAGGCGAACGTTGTTGGAGATGCCTCCGCGCTAAAGCTAAGCTAGTCCTAGGGAGCAACCAAATTAGCTGAATTTATCCACGTGGTGGACCGGGGTGTGGGTGTTCCAGTGGCGTGCTGAGGAGAGAGGAGAATGATATGGACGTCTAGGGGGATCCCGGATCAGAAGGCCTTTTGAGTATTTCCGCCAGTAACCAGCAGAGGTGAGAGAATGTGGATTATTAGTATTTCAATGGGTCTGCTGGAGTAGAAGTCGCTGATTCAAACGTAAGTCAAGAGGAATATGAACATCAGCCGTGACGAGAGACTTTCACTGGTCAGGGCAGAAACTATCTCAACTACAGCACTACAATATTATCTCACATCACGTCCAGCCTTGTGAAAATAGGGTAGACCTGGCCCGAATGTACACACCCCCGATCCCACCAGCCCCGAAACGTTTCGCCCAAGACCTTTGTTCTCCCTTTGGTTCTTGGGTTCCTCTTACTCTTCATGCGTCCTGACATGCATTTTCTCCAACAAATTATTCCTCGCCCAATAGCTCCGATACCTCTTGCCCAAGAAGAACATGACAGGCAACGTCGCAATCAGTGCAAACGCTACCCCTCCCCAGACGAAAAATACATGTTCCGGCCCTGCGCTCGCCGTCCAATTATTCACAAAATAGCTGAATCCGTAAAGAATTATATTTTTCACAGCCATACTAGCGATGAAGATCTCGTTGGCCATTCCCCGGTAGGCGTCGAGCGCGTAATTCGAGGTGCCGATGCAAAGGAACATGACGCCGAAGAGCATGAGGCCGTGAACGGTGGCACAGGCGTAAGGGGATGCGCCGATCGAGACGAGGTGCCCAAAAAGCATGAGACCGACGCCACTGAAAACGCCAAATGTGCATGGAATGAGCCGGTACTCGGGCTCGTAGACGCCTTTGTTGCGGCGAGCGCACCATTTGATTAACGGGTCTGAAAGAAGGCCGAGAATGATAGAGCCCAAGGCGCCGCCGACAAAAGGCCCAAGGGACAAGTACCCGATGCTGGCGGGGCTGAGGAGGTATGGGGGCGGTGAGAATAGCTGGGCTAGAACGAAAGCGATCACAACGTAGAGCACAACGAACATGGAGTTGACGATCAAGATCCACGAGACCGCCAGGTTGACGACCACAGCGAAAGGGGCGATGATCAATTGCAAGAAGTTCTCGTTCGAATATGTTCCGGAGAATATCGCCAGCTCTTGAACGAATGTCTTTTTGTGATAGACTCGAGGAACAGCTTCTTCTTGGCGGGATGAAGTTTGCGAGACACCCTCACTGGCTTCTTCCGTGTGTGTTGCCCTGGCAAGGCCGGGCTTTTCCATGTTCAGTTTCTCCTGGTACTCGAAAGCCGCGACGTCTTGGAGATTGTCGTTTTTCATTTCGTCGATCTCATAGCGGCGGTCGCGGTTATAGCTTGTTTCGGGAACGAAGAGGAATTGAAGGATCGTTTGGGTCCCACCGAATAGAACCAGAAGGTAATATCTGGATAGCACAGGGGAAAAAGAATCTCTTAGTATATAATCGTTCATCTTTCATCGTCTTTTCGTTCGCATAGAGTACAAGAGAAGAGAGGAAGATTATACTTACAGCCATCTCCAGCCTAGATTCGACGCAATAGGACCGGCGACCACGCCCGTGAGATTCGAAATGCCAGCCAAGATGAAATTGATGCACGAAGCATACAAACCACGTTCATGGACAAAGAACATGTCACTGATCAACGTAAAGATCAACGACTCATACGGCGCAATGGCAAATCCCTGAATGATCCGCGACGCCAGCACACCTTCGTAACTGTTGACACACGATCCCACGATGTCGGCGATGAGACAGAGAATCGAAGCAAGGAGGAAAATCGGCCTCTTGCCCCATTTCCGCGACAAGGCTGAGAAAAGTGGGCCCGTCACGCCGATGACAAGCGTCTGATAGCCTGATGCCAGCACCAGCTTGGAGATGGTAGTGTTGATTTCAACCGCCATGGTAGCGAAGGCAGCGTTGAGCATTGCGCTCACAACAGCCGCGTACAAGATGGCCCCCCAGCATGTGATTCCGAGCGCCGTGAGTTTCTTGCTCATGGGCCAGTTTAGGGGATCGTTGGGGTCGTTGGAAGGTTGAGGTACGAGGACGATGTTGGCATTGCGTCCGGTTCCATGCTTAAGACCGCCTGTGACTTCTTGGGAGTGGGCAGCGGTTTCTTCGAGGATGACGGTTCCTGGGATGTGTGGGATTTTTGTGTCGTCGAGGATTCCTAGGAAAGGCATCTTCTGAAACGAAGTGGATTATTAGGCTCCCCGCCCCTGGATTGGATCTGATCTGAGCCGCAGATAGACAGCTTTCGAGGATAGAAGGCGAATTCAGAGGAGGAAATAAAAAGGCCCGCCGAGTCTGGCCGTGCTGTTCGAACTTATTAAGAAGCAAAAAAGGCGGTCTCAGCCAGCCAGCTAAAGAGATAGATAGATCACCTCAAAATGTGGAGCACGCCTTTCCCGGTGACCAAGTCTCAGCCCCTCCCCCGACAGAGAGGCACCAGCCAGCGTCAAATGCCCCATTTCCAGCATAGAAGATGGAGATGGAGCAAGACCTAGATGGGTTCATTTCGCCCCACTTCTCCAAATCCTCTGAATCAGCCCCATGACATTTCCATTTTGAGCCAAAAATCCTGGGGAAATTCTGGGGTTGGGGGATGCTTGTGGCGCTTTAGTCTAGCCACAAGCGCCATGCGGGGCGGAGACGGCAGATCTGCTGTTGAGTGGTTGAGGGTATTTAGCAAGCTCTGTTTTGAACGGGCTGGAACTTGGGGTGATTTAGTAGCCGTTGACGTGCCGAGGCTTGAATCTTATTCGTGCTTGGACCCCGTTCAAGGAGCGGAGGGATTCGTAACAGATGAGAATATCTGAGGTTGACATTTTTGAATGAAGAAGAATGGTGAATATCTGAGATTTCGTGAAAGCAGATGAATAATAGATGGAACAAAGCTTTTGATTTTTCGTAGCAATCAAAAATCATCATCGATGCTTTCATATGGACCCTTAACACCAATTATAAACTCCCTTTTCCCCCGTCCATATTTACAATAACCGTTGTTTTCTAGCCATCCTAGTACATATATATTTGGCAACCCCTTTCCCCCCGGCGGGAGAACGCCATACTTCGTGGGTATGGTATCAAGACAATCTGTTTCACTTTTGAAAGGAAAAAACAGCCAAAGTCATGGAAAATAAGAAGCCGAAGAAATCGGAATAAGCACTATTTGGGTTTTCAAGGAAGCGAACCATATGCCTGCCCAACGGGTCCCAATGACGGTTTCAGAGGTACCACGGCCTTGGAAGAGCCCTTGGTAGGCGCCAAACTGCTCGAGCTCATCATTCCATCTAATACCTCTTCGCGGGTGATCTGGAGCATATCGTTAGGGAGACCCATGCTAGCAAGGAAAGCGACAGTGTCTTTCCATTCAACTTCTTTCCTTTTCTCGCTCCAATTCAGCTCCTCAGCCATGATGTCAATCACCTTCGGAAGAGCATGAAGGGCAGCTTGAACATTCAAGAAGCTCAATCTCGTTCGTCGGGCGAGAACGTCGACAGCGGTTTGCGCATACTCGCTGCGCACGGCATATCGTACTTCACCGTCAATGAATGGATGCAGAGAAGACAGGCGCTGGCCGCGAAGTGGGTAATGCTCGAGGTTGTCAGTGGGAGAAGCTAATGCCGCAACATCCCACGCTCGGTCGCCATAGTCGGTTGCGAGGTGCTTCGCTACGTCGGCGTCGAGGCCGAAATGCTGGATCAAATTGATAAACAGGGTTGTCGAATATCCGTGCGCTCCGAGAAGGCGGATGTGGTGAGTTTGACACGTGCCATTGAGTAGATTGACCGTCGGATCAGTACCGTTGACACCGGAAATGTCGGGAACGTAGCTGACGGGCTTCGGCCGTAATTGAAAGACTTCAATCGCTTTGTCGACTGCTTCCTCGGCCATCTGTCGGTAAGTAGTCCATTTCCCACCGGCACAGGTCAACAGTCCAGAATCAGAGACGGTTACGAGATGGCTGCGGACAAGAGACTCGGTATTCTTGGAATGGGGATCGCGCACCAGGGGACGGACACCTATATAGCCTTGATATCAGTCTCCATTCCTTGGATGAGATGGGTGGAAAACCTACCTGACCACGCTGCAAGGATATCCGATCGTTGTACATTAATGTCCGGAGTCAAATATGTGCGGATTTCGTTCAAAATCCACTCGATATCTTTTTCACCTGCAATTGGATTCGGTGAAATAGCGCACGGAGTGTCGGTCGTACCAGCAATGGTACTTCCTTGCCATGGGAGAAAGAAAATCACTCTGCCATCGGATGTCGACGGATCAATCAAACCCATATTCTGGGGGCTAAGATAACCAGGGAGAACAACGTGAACTCCCAGACTCGGCGCAACAATGTCCTTCACACCCGGGTTGTCCATTTGTTGAATCGAATCGGCAAACGGGCCTGTTGCATTGATAATACCTTTTGCTTTGATCGAGACTTCTTCGCTGGGTTTTCCATCCTTGGGGGCAATAAGGTCGCGTACTCGAGCACCAGAAAGTTTGCCATTCGCGTCTTTCTCCAGACCAGTCACTTCGAGATGGTTGACTACCGTGGCGCCATACAGAGTGGCAGTCATTGCCAGGGAAACGTTCATTCGGGAGTCGTTGTGCTGCCCGTCATAGTATACCAAGGCGCCGACTAAGTTTTCTTTCTTGAGCATAGGAAATGCTTCGAGAGCTTTACTTCTCGGGAGGAAGTATGAACTCTCAATGCCTTCTGATCCAGCGAGAAGATCGTAAAACTTGGTTCCGGCCCAAAAATAGGGCGCTTGCCACCATTTTTGCAGAGGCAACATAATCGGTAACCATGACGACAAATGGGGTGCCGTGTACAAGAAGGATTTTCTCTCTTTCAACGCCTCTTTCACCAATTGATACTGGCTATAATCCAAATTCCACACGGCCTTTTCCAGATATCGTACTCCACCGTGAACAAGTTTGGTGGATTTGCTGCTTGTTCCACTGCTGAAATCGTCTCTTTCCACGACGGCAACTCTTAAACCTCGTGTAGCTGCATCAAGAGCTATACCCGTGCCTGTAGCTCCGCCGCCAATAATGAGAAGATCGTATATTTCGGAAGAGGACCCAGATGATGATTTCCTAAGGTCGGCGATTTGTTCGGCTCTCGTTTTAATGTAGGGAAATCTCGGTGGGATTATAACACCGTTTTCGTCTCTTCTAGGTGGTTTCGGAGCCAGTGATTCTGCACCTGGGACATTTCGAGGTCTATAGGCAATGTACATGACAGTTGTCCCTGCCACGGCCAGTCCAGTGCCGTATGCTAAAGGCTTGAGAAGCCGTCGAGGAGAAAATCGTGAAGCCATGACGAAACAATGTTTCACGGAAGGACAAGTCCAAAGAAGAGGCCACCAGAAGCCGATGAAACACTTTCAAGTAATATAGAGAGAAAATTGAAGATCATCAAGGCTTGAAGCTCGGACATTTGAATGTATTGTAAACGTCTCTCGCATAACAACATAGCAAAGGGTTTGCCATTGAGGTCATTCGGGCCATATTCATGGCCGAGCTTTGAGGGTCGCTGGGTCTGGGTCTCATAGAGTCTGAGCTCCTTTGTCCCCGGGTCGGCTGGAATCTGGCGCTCCCGCGTTTTCAGGTTGGGGAGAACGGGAAGAGATTAAGAGCATGCATCTCGGTGTCTCTTATCCGAGAAATGTGGCGTCGCTGTGCTCGGTAGAGATACGCCGACGGACGTTTTCAACAACGGAGATTTTTCCGTTCTGAGAGCTGACAGCCGTCAGTCATCCACTAGTTGGAGCCAGACACTCTCGTAGAGTCGCATTGTAATGGGTCCAGGTACAGAATCAGTATCAGAGGAACATTTGTCGTATCATTCAAGTTGCGGTAACGTCCCAGATAACACGTGAACCATTTGTACCTTGTGCGGACTCGCAAGTACCCGACAGGAGAGTGTTCTGTGGCCTGATATCGGTCGCAGAACATTCCTGAGCCCACTCAGGGTGAGACGTTCACATGAACGTTCCTGTTTCCTTGAAGACCGAAAGACAGGGATCATGTGGGCCCAGACTGCTGGAATCAGTTGAAGGGAGTTGTGCCAAAGTAGGGAACCTAATGACTGCCAAAGGAACAATCAGCTCTCTGTAGAAGATAATGTACCTGCGTCTTATGATAGCTTCGGCAGACAAGAACGGGAATGGACAGCATAATATGTCGGACTCCTATTCCGTGAATATTCGATGATGACCGTTCGCTGCTTCGGTCCCTAGAGTATCAGCACTCACACAGCTTTTCGACTTGCCAAACCACCATTTCATGGATAAGCGGGGACTTCTCGTTCCAGTCTTGTCTTCCTTATCAGAACTGCTCCCTTAGTGGACATCCTCCGTGAATGCCAGAATCTCAGTCGACTATTTCTTGACCTCGGTCTAGTTTGCGAGAAAAAGAAGAAATATGAGAGTCGAGGAGACGGTGGAATCTTGGGACAGGGAGAAGATTTGTAGGAAAACGCCCAAGTCAAGATGAAAATTGTTGTCATTCATATTCATCTATCTGCCCTCTTCATCTATGCTTGAACTCCGTCCGTTCGCTGGACTTGTTTCGGGATTACCGGGCCCGCCGTTATCATCCTCTGTCTAGAGATTGACGTGTGAAATCTGCGTCAAATTATCTACCAGCTGGGGAGTAAGTTCTTTACAACGCCTTCGCTTCTTGTATGAAAAATTTTCCACCACACAGACCAAATATATAAATTACACCTGATTATCTGCCGTGTAGGTGTTTGACCAGACCGACCGTTTAGGCTGCAAGAAACGTTGCAACCCCATGTAAGGCGTGTTGATAGGGCTCTCGCCGGTAAAGAGGAACATGTCATAGAGCCAGCCTCCAAATGTGCAGCCACAGAAAGGAGCAACCATAGGAACCTGTAAAGAAAAATTAATCTCAGAAAGCTGATGGAGGATTCGGCAGAAACCTTACCCAAAAATAGTAGCCACCTGCAGACCAAACCTCATGGCCGTATCCGATCATGTAAGAGACGAGACGAGGGCCAAAATCTCGAGCAAGGTTAATAGCATAGCCGGTTTCCCAGCCAAAGCATGCACCAATTCCGAATATGACGAAGAAGAGAGCAAGTGGGGTCAAATTGCCCGCTCCAATGTTTCCATCGTCTTTCAAAGCGTAAATCAAGAACATCAAAATAGCACTGGCAATGAACTCTGAGAAGAATTGACCAGTCTTGGTCATAAATTCCGCCGGGTACGTGCAAAAGATGCCCGCCGAAGAGGTTTCGCCACCTACGGTGCGGATGTTTGCTCCTCCCTCGAAAACATCGATGGCGGACTTGTAGTTGGCGTAAACCACGGCGGCGGCGGTCATAGCACCCAGAACCTGGGCAAGCATATAGGCCGGGAATTTTCTCCAAGGGAATCGGCGGAAGACGCAGTTGGCGAAAGTCACAGCTGGGTTGAGATGTGCACCTGAGATGCCACTTGCGTATACACCGAGCATGACACCAAGGCTAGCCAGCTATTAATATATTTCTAAGTGGTGGTGGGGCAATAACCGAAACTCACCCCCAGCCCCATGAAATTGACTGATAATCACCCTTGGTACCGCCGCTGAGAACCACTTGGGCAACAACACCGTCGCCGAACAGGATCAAGATAAAGACACCAAAGAATTCCGAAAGGGGTTCTCTGAGGAAATGGCGGATTCGACTCCAGGCCAAGTCCGGCTCTTGCTGAACCACATCGCTCTGAGGAATCTTGTGGTCTACCAAAGGACCATGCTCGGCGAAGGCCGGAACATCGTGGACAGAGGTTCGTAGTCTCTGCTCTTGAGGGGCATGGAGGTGTTCGTCGTGGGTAACTTTAGCCATTGGGACCGTTTGTTTCTCCACAGATACAGATGAAGAGGACGTAAGAGACATGAGAGAGGCGCGGGTGGCAAGAGAGTGAAAGAAATGCTGGAGTTTGTGGGGATGGAGGAATGTGATGGATGCCCATGGGGGAAAGGGGTCAAAATTATATAGACGGGAGTGTTCAGACAACTCCATTCCTCCGCCACCACGGTTGATACTTCTTTGTTGTGTGACCAGCCTTGATAGGAGGGTATCGCCGTTACGAGTCTGTATGGATTCTGGAATGAAAATACGGGTCGTGGACCCCTGGTGTCCGCACTTAGCCGTGCATTAAAACACGCGGCCGGAGAAAGGTAGTGCATTTCGGGATTGGAATTGCGAGGGCACACAAGGCCATATTTTCTCCCATGTTATAGGTCGGAGACCGTGACCGAGGTGCATCAACGCCCAAAAAAAAGGAGTGTTTCGAGACAGTCCGTGTTTGATATCTGAATTGTGTCAGCGGCGGCTGGAATTCTAGAGCTTGAAGTGGAGGTGCACCGTCAGGTTTGCAATATCACGAGTTTAGACTGTGTGGACCACGGATGTCACCCTGATAGAGGCTGGGGAGGGCCGAGTTGGTGCCGAGCCGAAGTTCCGACGCAAGCTGACGAAATGCCAAGAAGGAAAAATAAATTTTCCGACAACAGCGGGGAGTATCTTGGCAGCCGGTCATTTTAAGCATAAACTAGGCATATTTAAGGTCATTTTAAGGTCATTCTAAGGTTGTTTCGCTCTCCACAATATTCCTCCGGTTCTGCATCTCGGCCCTGCAGCCCCGACCTGTTCTTCTCCCCCGCAAAAGCAAGAATCTTTTGCCCTGTTGAACTCGAAGTCTGGACAGGAGCTCCTCAAGCCAGTGAAATGCTACCTCTCTCGCTTCCAAAACCATTGCGTCCTGGTGTCCGCCTGGCCCGCCATGTGCTTGCCCCTGATCTTTTTCTCCGTCCGCCCCGCCATCTCCATGCTATGCCACACGTGAGGGCTGTGGATACTCTCGTGGAGTTTGGAATGATGCTTCTTCTCCAGGTTCGGGCAAACATCACATTGGATACCGAGCTCATTCACGAGCTGGAACTCGGGCTTGGAAGCATGACTCGGTGTAACACTCCACAATGGACCCAAGCTGCTTCCAATGCTACAAGAATGTGAGGGACGGCCACACAACCGCGTGCCTCGCTTGGTACACAGGCGCATGCTTCGTTCCTCCCCCCGCGATCTTATATACCACGTCATACCCCTCCCCAGAATTTTCTCCAGGCCTCCCAACTCCTTCTCCAGTCTCTTCCCTATCGTATCTCCTATCATTTTTCCATCAGGATTCGAAACCAAGAAAAAAAAAAAAAATGGGTAGTATGCAAGAGGTCTTTGTTGGTTCAATTGACCAGGGAACCACAAGTTCACGATTCTTGATCTTCAACAAGCAAGGCGAACCTGTGGCTTCCCATCAACTCGAGTTCAAGCAGATTTACCCTCAGCCTGGGTGAGTTTACTCCTCACCATGTAAAAGATCACCTACTAACTTGGGGACCCACTTAGCTGGCATGAACATGATCCTCTTGAGATCGTATCGTCAGTCGAAAAGTGCATTGATGGCGCGGTCAAGCAATTTGAAACCCAAGGTCACAACGTAAATACCATCAAGGCAGTTGGTATCACCAATCAACGTGAGACTACCGTGGTTTGGAACAAGGAAACCGGAGAGCCACTGTACAACGCAATTGTCTGGACCGACACCCGTACCCAAGCCTTGGTCCGAAAGCTGAAGCAACGTCTTGGGGCTGACAAGCTCACTGACATCTGCGGGATACCTCTTTCTACCTATCCATCAGTGGGCAAGCTCCTTTGGCTACTTGAGAATGTACCACAGGTCAATGAAGCACACGACAAGGGAGTTCTCGCCTTTGGGACCATAGACACTTGGCTCGTGTACAAGTTGAATGGAGGTAAGAAGATCTCGATGACCTCAGAGGATCCCCAACATGACAAATATAACAGGCCCCAAACGAAATATCTTCGTCTCCGATCCCTCCAACGCATCCCGAACCATGTTCATGAACCTCAAGACACTGAATTATGATGAATCCCTGCTCGACTTTTTTCGAATTGACACCACGAAAATTTATCTTCCCCAAATCGTTCACTCTTCCGACTCTTCTGCGTATGGCTCGCTAGCCTCGACCATCTTGAAAGGCGTTCCGATCACTGGTTGTTTGGGAGATCAATCCGCGGCCCTTGTAGGCCAGAAGGGCTTCACACCGGGTCTCGGAAAGAACACGTATGGAACAGGCAGTTTCATCCTTTACAATATTGGAAATAAGCCGATTATTTCCACCCACGGTCTCCTGACCACTGTCGCATTTGATTTCGGTGGCAACAGCACGCCAATGTACGCCCTTGAAGGTAGTATTGCGGTGGCAGGATCTAGCGTCAAGTTTCTGGTGGAGAACTTTGGCTTCATCGAGTCCTCGAGTAAGATCAGCCAATTGGCCGAGACGGTCGAAGACAACGGTGGTGTCACCTTCGTCACTGCCTTCAGCGGTCTCTTTGCCCCGTATTGGATTGACGATGCTCGTGGCACCATTTTCGGTATCACCGCATACACGAAGCAGGGCCACATTGCCCGCGCGACCTTGGAAGCGACATGTTTCCAAACCAAGGCCATCTTGGTAGCCATGGAGAAGGACAGCGGCCACGAGCTCAGCGAATTGGCCGTCGACGGTGGCATGTGCAATTCGGATCTCTGTATGCAGACTCAATCCGATCTCATCGGCATTCCGGTCAGGCGACCGGCGATGCGTGAGACTACGGCGCTGGGCGCTGCCATTGCAGCAGGACTTGCTGTGGGTGTCTGGGAGAGCATTGAAGAGCTTGGGGACGTCAACACTGAAGGGAGCACAATCTTCAAGCCGGCTATCAGCAAAGAAGAAAGCGCGTCGCGTTTCAGCCGATGGGAAAAGGCTGTAGAAATGAGCAAGGGATGGGCCAACTGATTGACTGATATCGGGGACTGTTCGGAGGTTTCTCGGCGCTGGTGTCGTGTTGGGTTCGAAAATATTTCCTTTTGTCGACGACCATATGTCTGGTGAGAATGGGCGTGTCCATCATGAGTAGATACCTCTCAATCTCGGCATGCCCCAAAGAAGTGTTCCTAGTATGGCCTGCATCTCCACCAGAAATGACTCGAATCCATGCCTTTGCAAATTCACGTAACGTAGTAGTGGACGGGAAAGAGTGTCATCGTGTCCTCTGTTGGCTGGTAATTGACGAGGCGGAACGAGGCTCTGAGATTTCCGTGCTCTGAAGCACTCACTCTATCTGGCATTATCCTCCCAGCCAGATTTGCACCAAACACATCTGCCTCATCTTCGCACTGACAAAGAATGTGGACACATGCAATTCGAATCCTCAACCAGCAAAACCAGCAAAACTCGAACTTGAAATCCAACTACCTGCGTTGAGTTAGTGGTCCTAGTTGAGGTTCGAGTCGAGGGAACCCCTTAGTCGTATAAGAAGATATTTCTCGTTCGGTTGTTGGTCAGGTGGTGCAATGAATGCATATAGGAACCAGGTTCGTCCTGTGAGTATCGGCATGAGCAAGCGGAAGTGCGCAGGTGTCGCGTACCGAATGGACTTGCTTCCTTGGCCCTGCGAACAAATAAGACTCTTATAGGCTATTAAGAGGCGCATTGACTTCCGCCCTACTGCCCCATGTTACCCCAAAAGATGATGATAACATGGTGGTATTGTTGTCGAGAGAGGATCGAAGGGGTTCCGTACACATCTGCACTTTTTTTTTTTCTGAGGCAGAGGGCTTGCATACTTTATTGGATAGCTCATCTTGAATTTTCCTGGAAGGGGCTATTCCAACTTCTTCTTCTCTGGAAGTCCAACAAGCCATACGATATCCAGTTGACGCAGGGAAGAATGAGATTTTGTGTTGGACATTCCGACCGAGCGCTCAGGGTTGGTACAGGCTGCCGTGGTTTATCCCGAGAGAAGGGAGCGAGAATAATTGTGCTTCGGTCGATAGACGTACAGATATTAAAAGATCAGAGTCCTTAGTAACCGAGTTGAGACCTGTTGTCAACAAGACCCTTACTCGTACGGTGGCTTGAATATCAGCCAATCAGACTCGGGATTGGGAATTGCAAAGGTCGGCGTGGCTCGATATGACTGTGATAGCTGGCCTTGCGTTGATGTCTGGTTTGTGACCGGTGCAATGGTCACAGAGGGGTCAAACCCACTCCCGGCTATTGCATTTAATCGGGGATAGTTGAAGAAGTCGAAAATCTCGAGATACTCCAGCTCACTTTGTGATGAGTTGTGATTGGTGACTGGTTCAAGGACTGATCGGGGTCTCTGAGACGTAAGGAGGTTTACTTCGTAAGCTCGTCTGTACGTGTTAGCTTGGGTATTCCCAGGTTCGGGGAGTTTCAGACCTTCTCATCGCGGTGAATGTTCTTCCAGACCCATTGCTCCCTTCTTGCACGACATCATTCAATATTCTAGCATATTCTCGTGCCACTTGCCAATGCTGGCCCATTTGTTCCAGAGTAGAGATGAAAAAGGTGATTTTCGGGTCCACTTCGCACTCCATGGTGGCAGCATGAACCAGAAGGAGGCGCGCAGAAACCCATAAAGCAAACGCAAATGGATGACCGAGCAGAGCAAGCATCCCAGTGTTGAATACATCCTGGGCTATTTCGCGTAAGCTCTCCACAGCGCCCAGACAGCGTTGTATAGCATGATACGAAGGAGTGAAGACTGGAGATTTGATGGTGGGATATGCGGCCGATGAATGGAGTCGAATGACTGAAGTCACGAAGGCCGCGTGAAGCATAATCCAATTCGAAATTCGACTTCCAGGATCGGAATGACAGAGTTGAGAAATTTTGCCGTATTCGCCAGGCAAATTTTGTAGCCAGTCGTTCAATTCGCCGTCTAATTCTCGATAAGTCTCGCGCCATCTTTGAATATCGGAATGTCGCGTAATGTCCAGAGGTTGATGGAGGAATCGATGGATACGACTCAGAATACCCAGGACTTCACAGTGGTAGGAAAAACTCCCCAGGTTTTCCGGTGTATTCACCGTCATTTCTGATTGGGCGCCCCGACGTCGCCATCGTGTTTCGACCGGTTCATTTCGGGAAAATAGATCATACCGGCAAGGCAGGCATCTGTCCATGTCCCTTTCGTCCAGGGTAAAGGCGTCGGCCGTGGCCACCGTGGCGTACCGGTCCAGAATAAATGTCATCCAGCATAACCGTCGCCGTTCTTCATTCTCGATCCAGGATTTCGGTTGTGATGCTTGAAGTAAAGTCGCAGATGGGTATGCGGTCGACTCGAGATATGCGCTTTTCTCCACGTCCAGACCTAGCTGGACAATATTTCGCGCCGTGAGCGCCAACAAGTTCCAACCCTGTTGACCATTCGAGGTTCCGAGAACGTCGACGGCGAGAATAACCAGAGCTTGAAGGGCCCTCACATTAGGATGAGACATGGCATAGAGTATGATTTTTTGTCTCGAAATCTCATGGAATCGACTTCTTGATTCGGGAGTCAGACGAGGATCCTTGGAGAATCGCATAGTGGTGGCGACAACAGCGTGCATGAGAACGCGGTCAGCTTCATCCATTGTCTGAGAACCAAAGAATGCATCAAACGTAGCCTTGCGATCTAAGATTGGTGACCATGGGTTGACGTGTTTAAAGTACAAGTCGACCAGGGTGTACAACAGATCGTACGGAGGCAGTTCCGAATCGGGCAGTGACTGACCGGGAGTCGATGTTGGATACCAGGCGGCAGACGTGCCTCGGTCGCTTTGAGACATCAACTCGTGGTTGCTATTGTCAACAACGGAACGAATAGACATTGCATCTTGTGCTCGAGGGTATTGCATGCGTTCGTAGGCGTTTGCGACGGGCCATCTATTGTCCGAGACGGGGGTGTCTTGAGAGAACATGCTAGCATTTGAAGGCCGCGGATCGTTTTGAGGGTATGTAGAGTACGCGGCGGGCCGCGAAACAATCTGCACAGATCCTGGGCGGTGAGTGGAGAAGTCGCCATGTTCAGCAATGTGCTCTTCAAGTCGACGACCCATGACTTGCAGGAGCGCCTCAAGGCGATTGATTTTTTCTTCGAGTTCGCGTCCATAGCCGACGCGGAGACCGGGCTTCTGCCGCTCTTTGTAGACACATACGCGGTTGTTGCGCGCACACCAACCACAGGCAGGCTCGACTCGATCGCATTTTACTTTTCGAGCCTTGCATAGTTCGCAGCTGCCAGTTTCGATCAATGACTTGTCTTTCTTCGAAACGCTGGCATGTCGAGCTTACGATATTTTCAATGACCTCTTTCTTTTCTTGCTGGCGTTACCTCTATCTGGCTGTTTGTCGGGATTGTCATTTTCGACCTCACTACCAGAGATGGAGGAATTCCTATCCTCGGAAGCATCGGTAGGAGAAGTCTGACCTGCATTGTACGTCGTCATTTGAGATAACTGCTGCAACGCATTCGAATTCTCGTCGCAAACCGTAGGACAGGAGGTGGAGACTGGTAAAAGTTCCGACAGACAAAATGTCAGAGGCACGAGGAAGCAAATGAAAAACCCGAAGACCGAGCTCTAGACCTAGGATCACCAGATGACTTTGGAAATAAATTCAGATGATGGATGGGTAGCATTGGAAAACCCCACACTTCGCGACGCCGGCGGGGAGTTGGTGCCCCAATTCTGGGTCTGGTTCCGAGCCTCCGGTAAGAGTAAACATCTTGCTTGAGCATGGAGAGCTGGAGAAGAACCGGGGAAACACGCCCATGGTGCGTGCCCTCCAAGATGACTATGGAGCATGCAGGAGAACTGGAAAATTAAATGTCGGAAAAAGGGCAGATCCCCCCCGGAAGAAAGTATTTCCATTCCCTGTCAGAACCACTCGGCTTGATGCCAGACGGTCATATATTATCGCCGCAGCCATAACCAGATACCGTATACGAACGTTTGTATCTTCCTCTTCGCCAGGATCAAAGCTTCGACGAGCAATCTGTTAGACGCACAATCACATCTCAGTTGCGAAAGGCACCATCGTCTCAGAATCATGGCTTCCCAGCTTATCAACCCTTCTACCGTCCACCCTCCGCGACCGACCTACTCCCATATCCAGACCATCCAAATATCCCCGACTAGCACACTGGTCACCATTGCTGGGCAAATCGGGATGGAACCAGAGACCAAAACTGTGCCGTCGACATTCGCGGGGCAAGTTCAAGTGGCACTGGCCAATCTCGGAAGATGTCTGGCTGCTGTCGGAGCGACTCCAGCCAATATCATCAAAACTACCCATTTTGTCGTCAATCTCGATCCTCAAGACACATCTCGTGCAGAAGCCTATCTCAAATTCATCGGGGATCATCGTCCACCAAGTACGTTGCTCGGGGTTGCTGCGTTGGCGGATCCCAATTTGTTGTATGAAGTCGAGGCCATGGCTATTGTACATCATTAAGTCCAAGTTTGAATGTCGAGTGTGGTTCATCAGTTCCTCCGCGATTCATTCTGAAGTTCGCAACCTCATACCCCCCAACCCATAGTCTCATGACCAGGCCCGTTCGCACCGAGATCTAGTCCGTTGCCCATTGTTATTATGCCGTCGTCTCAAACTGAGAAGCACAATACCCTCCTAATAGCACACCTTAACGCCCCGAATCCTCCGTATCTTCCACTTTGGCCTTCTTGCGGCTCTCAACCTCCTCGAGGTCGTCCATTGACTCCACTTTCCGCTTGTCATTGCTCTTTGCCATCCCAGATCCCGAACCTTCTGCAACCACCGGCAGAGGGGCGGGTGTCGACGCAGCAGAGCCAATCCCGCTCTCACCACCACCATTCACTTGAGCGCTCTTTGGCTTCTTTCTTTTGACCAATCCAGTCAAATCAGTGGCCGTTTCTGACACCTGAGCGAGTTTCTCCTTCCTTTCTTCCGCCGTGGCACTGCTGCCCATGATACTGCCCAATATACCTGAAATCTGATCCTTCATCATTTGACTGTCTGTCTCGGCCTTCACACTGACCGGCGGTTCGCGGAGTTCTTTCAATCGCACTTCCATTTCGCTGATCATGTCCTGGACGTCCTCAATTTGTGCCATGGCCTTATCTTTTTGAGGGCCGGCCTCCATCTTATCTAGTGCCGCTGTTTCCTTGGAAACGCGCAACTTGCAGCTATCGATTGCTTTCTCCTGTTGGCTGACTGCTTCATTGCGAATGTCCCAGTCAACTTGAAGTTCGCCAAAAGGATTGCCATCCGCATCGCGTTGTTGTGTCTGGGCACTAAATTCGAGGGCCAGACTCAACTTGTAGTGGCATTCGGCCAAAATACTGGACTCTGGAGGCTCGAGCTCTTCCTTCAAAGCAAGACATGCTTTCAGGTCCGTCACGGCGGTCGAATACTTCTCTCCTTCCAACGAAACTTCTGCTTGTAGGTCGTAAATATCGGCGACGCGGGTCTTGAGGTTTCTGACTTCGGGTGTAAGGTCGATCGATGCGACGTATTTTCCCTTGTCGGAATCTTCTAATGCGGATTCCTGAGTCTGGTCCAACTTCTTCAAATATAAAATTCGGGCCAGATCCAAGAGTTCATACGCTGTTGCGAAATCGTCTTCCTCGTCTTCCGCGTCTTCCGCTTCTCCATCTTGATCTTCCTCATCATTGTCCGATCCATCCCAATTTTCATCATCACCAGTGATTTGGAAAAATGCCTTCCCTGAACTTCTTTCTTGCGGTTTCACATCTTCCTCCGGAACGACATCACCGACGGTTGGCATCGCATCCTCTGGTATTGTAGCCATGCCTGCGGAAGCCTCTCCGGATTCGGCGCCATTCGTTTTCCGCTTCTTGGGCGCCTTCTTTTCTTTGTTGGTCGACAGCTGAGCGGATGCCGCGGTCCCGCCGAGTACTGAACTCGTTTGTTGCGCCAGGAAGAATAGACACTTTCCGTACGAGTACAACAGGTCTGCGTTTTCCAGTGCCATTTCTCCGTTAATCTCGGCCTGCAGTTCAGTTGCCTGCGAGTAGAATTCCGCAGCTTCGGAGTAGTGTTTAACGGTATATTCGGCGGTTGCTTTGGCTACGAGATCTGCTAGCCTTTCCGGTGGCGATTGACCGGAGGTATCGTTCGTGTGGGGAGGGGCGGGTGCATCTGTAGTCGCGGACATGATGATGACTATCGCGAGCGTTCTTCGAGGTCAGGATCGGGGATCAAGAAAAGTCGAGGGAGGCATGAGAATGGATTTGCGGGAGTGGTGAAGTCGCGACTTGGCCCAGGCCCGCGTCATCGCAGCCGAGTAAAAAGTGCGACGCGTCTCGCTTAAACTTTTGTTGACGCGCAGAGCGCCATCAATCCATTACCGTCTCAATTGATCTCTGTCCGCTGTGTAGAACTGAGTGCGACCATGGAAGAACCGGTTTCGACTTCGCGACAGGCAGTTCAAGTGTTCAAACCAGACGCTGGTCCATCCACTAAAGAGCCACTTCTGTCTTCATCACCGGGGTTTGGCACACCGGCATACCCAATTGTTAGTCGACCACCAGGTATAAAACAGGCATTTGCGCCGCCACTGAACACTACGACGAACAATGTTCCTACTGTTCTACCGATCCTCCTTCCACCTCAGACCCTTCGACCCGTTGCATTTAGAACCCTCACGAAGAAACATAACTTGACCCTGACCTCGTCAGGACTGGGCCTCCTCTCCACGTTTGTTGGCAAATTTTGTGGCAGCGGATGGCGGGAAGAGGGCCTTGCAGAACGCGTTCTTGATGAGATCGCAAAGCAATGGAAGAGGAACGGAGGCGGGCTCATTGTCGAAGATGGGCCGGAGAAGAAATTGTCCCGTATTCTCAAGACTTTGGAACCATGCATGTTTGACGGGCGACTGGACACGGGGATGCTGTCTCGCCGTAACGGCTCGGTGGCGAGTCCGAACCGATCACGGACCGGCTCATTTAGTAGTCGGCCTGAAGCAAGCAGAGACCACCATCAGACGAGTCTAGGGGTCCCAGGCCTCGACGCGGAAGAAAATGGCGACATGGGCGAGGATAATGCGGCAGAAATACAACTTGATGCGCGCTCATACCTAAAGGTGATTTCTGCATTTGAGCAGCCCCGTCTCATATACTCGACGTCCAAGAAAACTCTGGAGCATATGTCTGGATCCGCAAGCCTGCTTCCTCCTATCCAACACAAGATATCAATGTTCAAGAACCGATACAACCTAGTCCACCAGCGGCTAATGAGAAACGAATCCTTTCAGTCGCCGGCATTCTCAATTACTACACGGCCACCGAGCTTGATGCATTCCGGGAGCAGTGTAACAACTCTCCAACAAGCATATAAAATTACTCCCATTTCCAACCTCCTGGGCCGATCAGGGTCACCCCATCTCCTCCTCGGCATGCTCGTCCATTCAGCAGCAGGTGACCTTGCCTTGACAGATCTTTCGGGGAGCGTGGTTCTTGATATATCAACCACCCGCCCGGTCCCCGAGGATGGAGCATGGTTCTGTCCAGGAATGATTGTCCTGGTCGAGGGAATATATGAAGAAGATGGCTCTCACAGTTCGAATCTTGGTCCGGCCGCAGGTGTGGGCGGCCAGATCAAAGGCCATTTCCTCGCCGACACCATGGCTGGGCCTCCTGCAGAACGGCGTGGACTCACCATCGGGTTATCGGATGGGCAAGACTCAGAAAAGGCGCGTACAAACGTTGGGGCCGGTTTCGGCTGGATTGACTTCCTGGGCGTAGGAAGTGAAAAGGCAGTCGGCTCCCAAATGCGACGAATTCGGAGACGTCTTTTTGGACCACCAGCCTCCCTGCACGATATAGACGAAGAGGAATCTCAGCCTCCACGGACCAAAATCGCCATACTGGGAGAATGCAATCTCGACAGCCCCCGGACCCTTGAGGCTATCCGTGCGATTCTATCCTCGTACAGCAACTCCAGCCCGGATGCTTCTGACCTCCCGCTTTCCATGGTAATGATGGGGAACTTTGTCTCGGCAGCCTGTATGGCTGGCTCTACCAAAGGTGGTGGAAGCGTGGAGTATAAAGAACATTTCGATGCTCTGGCCTCCGTGCTTTCAGAGTTCCCCTCTCTGTTGTCCAATATAACATTTGTCTTCGTCCCGGGCGACAACGATCCATGGGCAAGTTCATTCTCGGCTGGCGGCGCATGTGTACTTCCTCGGCAGGGAGTTCCAGAGTTATTCACCTCGAGGATTCGAAGAGCTATGGTGACGGCAAACGCAGAGAGCAGAAGAGGCGACAAGAACGTGCCCGCTGGAGAGGCGATCTGGGCTACCAACCCAGCGAGATTGAGTCTGTTTGGGCCATTGGAGGAGATCGTCCTGTTCCGAGATGATATCGCAAGTCGGTTCAGGAGACAAGCCATCACCTTTTCCAAACCTGAAGGCGACGATGTCGGTGGAGACGAGCGGATGGGAACGCGACCCACAGCGCCAGAATGCCCGAACACTGACGGCATGGAGCTCGACGATCACAGCAACACTACCGAATGTCTTGACAAAATGGTCCACGAGGCAACCTCACACCTCCCATCCGCTACGACTGCCACGACGAAACCTACCAGCCACACGACGCCAGCAGCGAGGAAACTGATCAAAACCCTTCTCGATCAATCTCACTTAGCGCCCTTCGCACATTCTATCAGACCTGTGTTTTGGGACCACGCGGCTGCGCTGTCCCTGTACCCGCTACCCTCGGCGTTGGTGCTCGCGGACTCGGAAATGCCATTATTTGCCATCACATATGAGGGATGCCATGTGATGAATCCAGGAAGGGTGGTCGATGAGTTGGGAAATAGTCGACGTGCGGCGCGCGGGACCGGCATGGGCAGATGGATTGAGTTTGATGTTAAGAAAGGGAGGGGCGAGGCGAGGGAGGTGAGGTTCTGAGGCGGGATTGGACTAGGAGAGGGAGATATTGCATGATAGGGAAGGGATATCTGAAGGAATGACCGTGACGACGAACAGGCGTTTTTAATTGCGGCTTCACCTTGAAATCGCCAGCCAAGACACACACACATTTGGTTCCGGTAACATCTTAGATCTTACGATACGATACAGTCACCGCAGTAACCGATAATAGCGGCAACTCATCGTCACGTGCTTTAGAGGTGTTTTCGACGAATCATGCCCTCATTCTCAGCATCAACGTTTGTGTTCCCGTTCACAAACGGCTCCACAGAATTTGTATTCTGGGCCATATGAATCACACAAAGTCTGCATAAGGTGGATTTGTGCTCAGGTGGATCTCTACCATTGGAAAGATGGAGAAGGTGCTGGTTGAGTTTGACCAGCGGTTTGAGCAGTTCAGGGAGCTTGATGTTGATCGCAACAAGTTAACGAAGGGAAGTCTGGTCGAACCTTGAGATTCAGCTTTTCTGATGACACCCAGGATGTCTTGGTTCAATTGAGAGAAGTTGTGGACAAGTTACAGCAAACCGAGATGGACCTTCAGGCTGAGCAGAATATGCGGAGATCTCTGCAGCAGAAAACTCGGAATCTGGAAGGCCAAATTAAAGCAATGGTACCATTATTTTTTTTTTTTTTTTTTTTTTTTTTTGATGCTGTGGTTCTGTAACTCACTCTGTCAAAGGAAAAAAGATCATTCGCAGTTGTCATTATCGACGCAGATGCAGATTCATACATGGTGAGGTTTTCTTGAGTCCCGAGTTACTCTGACCTAACGGGACAATTTGGTAACTAGTTTCGTACTACATTTCTTGACATGGGCGGAGAGTATGCGGCAGATGAGTTGCGGAAGACAACACGGGAACACTTGAGCAGTATCATGGATAATTCAGATCAGCTCGACATCGTTGTAAAGGCGTTCGCTAGTTTGGACGCTGTGTCGTCTACGCTCATCAGAGATGGCAAGATTCGTGACGAGAGACATTTCAGGAAGGTTGTTGCCGACTTTAACAGCAGATCGCCTTTTTTTGACTTCCTTGACGTGGGTCCGGGTCGAGAAAGAGCGGATCAAAAGATACGAGGTGCGTTTTACGCTAATGGTACGTTGCTGTGTCGTGGTCCGACTAACTTTATATGCGCTATTTCAGAAAGTCTGAAGTTTTATGTCGATACACCACAGTGCAAGCACATCTTATTGGCTTGTTGCCATGACGCGGGTTATGCCCCATTTTTGGGACAGTTGGTCGGAGACTCGTGCGTCTTCGAGCGAGTGACATTAATTGAAGGCGATTTTGTTGCTCCTGCCTTCAAACAGCTGAATTTCAAGACAACAAGTTTTCCCTCTGTTTTTATGGCTCCGGATTCGATTAACGGGCCAGGGCAAAATACGAAGAAGTTCACGATTGAAGTGCCTTCGCAGCAGATGGACAAGTTGGCATCTGGCGTGGTAAATTCGTCGGGTTACCGTGTGGATATTCCCCTCAGTGTGGATGAGAACTTACTAAAGAGAATCAAAAGCCTCAATCTTTGTCACTGGCTTTTCCTGCGCGGCGAGTGCAGGGGATGCTCGAGAAATCACGCGCATCCCCCACTGACAGACCCTGAATTTGACGCTTTATGGCTTCTCGCGCGCCAAGGATTTTGCAACAAGGCTAAACAGAGTCGATGCGACGACATAAAGTGCATCTATGGCCATGGCCATGGCCACGGCCAGTAAGAACAGAGGAGTCGGCGGAGGAAATGGGATTTCGTTCCCGTGTTAAAGAGAATCTCCTTGTTGAAGTTGGAGCTGGGGGTATCTTCGCGTTGAAGAGGGGAGTACGTATATTCGTGTTGAAGAGAATCTTTTCTTGCTGGAAAAAGGGGAGAAAGAATCGATAGTATTGATCCAAGTTGTTGCCGCTATTAGTTAAGGCCACCACTCACGGTGTTTCGGGATTGAAGTTATCTGTCACATACTGTCAGATACAGCATGTGATCAAAACATACGGTCTCGCGATTGGCTCTCATTGAGATCCGATTAATTTGTGTATATGTAAAACGTGAAGCGGCAATTGAAAACGCCTATAGATCTGGTATGTAGACACCCAGTTTTGTTCTTTGCCAAGGTTGATTGGCGTATGGTGTGGTCATAGCATTTGCATTGCGCTGCATCGGATGGGAGCAGGATAGCAGAGTAACGGAAAATATAATGTCAAAAATGGTGGCAACGATGAAAGGTGCCGCAACACGTTACTTCGCGTATGAGAAAGTTCCAGGCCGGATGCCAGAGAACCTTACACCCAGAAATTGACAATTTTCCACCAGCACCTTTGCTTTGGACTCTGACAATGCTCGTACCAGACGCTCATCGCCCGTCAACCAATGCACTTCAGCATTTCCGCCTCCACACCAAGGCCACAGGACAAATACATCTAATACTCGACACTCAGCCGCTCGAGCCGCTTCATGGCTGCGTCAATGACAGCGCCCTCGCGCTCGACCATAGCCATGACGTCGGCGATTCGTTCTTTCTGAAGACGGCTGGAAACGCCGAAGGGCGAAGAGGCACTAGTTTTAGATGCTGACATCGAACTGGACATGGAGGCAGACATTGTGGATGAGGACAACGTCGACTCGCCGCGCTCAATCCTGGTTTGTTGCTGTTGTTTCTCAAGACGGCGGCTTTCGTCGACCAAGTCACGTGCCAGTTGTTCCACCTGCATCCATTAGGACGGAGAAACATATGGCGAAAACGGAAGGGAAACGTACCGTCTCGAACCTCTTACCCAGATTTGCATTTGGTTCACTCGGCTCTGCGCCTTGCACGTCACTAACTCCGACATTCTTGCCCAAGAACCCTATCTCTTCGATCCAAGCCATCTCTTTGGAACTCAGTTCCCTCTTGGCTGATCCCACACGTCCGACTTTTCGCCTTAATGCTTCATATCGCGCTACCAACTTCGCCTGGCGCTCTTGGGCATGCCTGATCCTCGTCTCCTGGGACATCTTCTCTTTGACATCGCCATCCTCATCATCCTCGCCACTCGATTGGATATGTTGTAAACGCTGAGCCAATTCGCTCATCTGCTTGACTTGATCGCGGAGCTCTTCTCTCAAACGCTCGCAACGTCGGAAGAGCTCTGCTGCAGCTTTTTCCAGTTCTGACGACTGAACGCTAATGGTACGATGAGCAAATGTCATGATTTCCAGCATTGCCGGACTCAGGCGCATAGGCCGCTCGATGATCGCTCTCTTGAGATTGGGTGGGAGACGTTGACGCATATGTTCGAGGGGATAGAGATGGTTGGCATAAAAGATCTTGGACGGGACATATGGTGATCTAGTGGGAAGGGTCTCGAGATTACTGGGGTCCTCTTGCGCTGGTATTCGGGCAATACGGCTAGGGGATGCAGAGGTCAGCTCTGGTGACGACGGTGCAATCGTAGATGCTTGGAGGTGGCCCTGGTCAAAGAAGACAGAATAGGCTGAGGAGGGAGTCGTGGTCAAGATGAAATATCCCACCGACATATCGTCCACGACGGTAGGAGCGGAGAGGATCTCTGTCGGTTCGCCCACTTCGAGAAGTTTGTTGCTCAGACAGGCTTGGCTCTGACAGGTAGTTTCCAAACGGGTCTTTAAGCCAGGATCAATTGGTTCCGTTCCTGTCAACTCAGCTGCTAATCGGCTAATCCAGTCGTTGAGAGAGAAAGAGTAAACCTGCTTTGGGGTGCTGAAAAACAGGCTATAACTGTGCACAATATCTCCAGTGAAGACGGGCCAATTGGTTGCTGAATTTGTCGTCGGGTCGTCAAGAGAAAATGTCTCGATCCAGGTCAATTGCTTTGGGTCAGAAGACGGAACGCCGAACGCGCTTTTGCCCTTCTTGGGAAGCCATTGTCCTGAGACTCCATCGAGATCAATTGCGAACCAAAGCTCGTTTTCGGTGGTTGCCACACAAATGGTCGTGAAAGGAACACCAGGAAACATGGCGAAGCTGAAGTCGTCATATTCATCTTCTTCAGCCATTAAGTCTTCTTCGTTGAGCATTAGAGGGAATACGTGAATGTCAGAAATCTCAATATCACGCTCGTCATCGTCGGGCTGAATCGCAAACGGTCCTTGAAGGCGAGGAATGGCACTGGGGTTCTGAGGCCTCAGTCGAGCCTCAAACTCTCCAAGGGTATCCGTTGATTCTAGAAGCAGTGGCTCGTCATTATCGATCTCTTGAACCCATTCATATTGCTGGTCAACCGCTCGTCGTTCGTCCAGGTCTGCTTCCTCTTCAGCAATCGAAGCCATACAAGACACGGCAGTGGTGGAGAGAGAAGGAATCGTTGTCGACGTGGGTTTCCACGTGGATGGCAGCAATGGACACAGAGCGTAGATGTCTCCATGTCTCATTGCCGTCCAAAGCGTCATGCTCGCCCACGCATCTTCTTCGTCTCTTCCTCGGCCTCCAAAGCATGCAGAAGACACTTCCATGTCAAAATCATCGACTGAAAATCCCCGGGTCTTTCCAAATCCCGACGGTTCAAAATCTTGGTCGCATGACACACCGTCGGCCAGCTTCCGAAGATCAATGGCGAGTGCCGGACGCTCGAACGACCATTTGTTGGAGCGGTCTAGTTCCCATACTCGCACGGCTGCCTCTGTCGTGACAGTAACAATGCAATCCGTGGACGGAGTAGCAGAGGCCAACGGATGCCAGAGCACAGACGCGAGAGGAGACTCAGGAATGACATGGATGGTAGGACCAAGATGGTATGTCTTGAGCTTCAGTGGGGAGCGGTCATGATCTCTGAGCCGGGATGGTGGTGGTAGGACTGCTATGTGCACTGTATGCTCCGTACAGATGGCCAGAAACGTTCCCGAGGGAGATACAACGATCTGGCGGATTTGATAGTAAATCGACACATCGAGAGTCTGTCTTGGTCAGTGATATCCCCACGTCGAGGTGCCGCGGACGTACTCGGTAGACATTCTTTTCCGCCGAATCGGACTCTCCCCCTCGTGAAAGACCGAAGCGATTGCTACCGCATGGTTTGTTCTCTTCCCATTCATCTCTGACCGTGGCGAGATCCGCCCATCTGATCTTGTTCCCGACGACGGCGAATATTTCGGTCCCTCTGCTCGCAACAAGTCTTCTGGGCCCCTGGTAATCATTTGACGGAGGCGAACCAACGTAGGAAGAACGTTTCGAAGAGGAGGCGGGTGATTGAGGCGCTGGATCAGAAAATATCTTTGCGCCCGGGGCGGGTCGAGAAAGCCAGGGAGCAGTATGGCCGATGACTTTCGGCATCTTATGAAAAATTTTGGATCACTATGTGATCAGAGTAGGCTATTCATTTGAAAAGGGGAGGATTCAATGAGCTCGACGGGCGGTGGATTGGGGCGTTGAGTTGCTGAGTTGCCACCAAAGTTGACGTTGGTAGTTGGCTGGGCTTCTGAGAATCGCGTTTTTTGGTGACGCGCCCGCTTTTCATCATTTCTACCACCACCCTCGCTCCTTTCATCTTCACCGCAAACATTCCACATTGACATCCACGATGCAGACCGGCTCTACCATTGAAAGGCTGGACAAGCCCAGCACCTATTATTCCGCAAGAGTCTGCTCATCATTGGCGTTGACCGATCGAACCATGCTAATATTCGACGACAGAAGAAGCGCAAGTACGGACGAGATCAACCAGAGGATCGCGACGGAGCCGACAACAAAGCAGACGAGGTAGATCTTCTGAAAGATGCCACTACTCTCTATGTGGGCAACTTGTGCGCCTTCCCACCGACGCCTCGAGACGGCTTGAGCTGACTGTTTTACAGATCATTTTACACCACGGAAGAACAAATTCACGAGCTGTTCTCAAAGTACACCCCAGACCCCCTCCCCCCCCCCCTCCCTTCCTTCTGGCCTCTCGATTAATGAATCCTAGGTGTGGTGAAATCAAACGACTGATCATGGGCTTGGATCGGTTCCAGAAGACCCCTTGCGGGTTTTGCTTCGTCGAATATTATACACATCAAGAAGCGCTTGATTGTATGAAATATATCGGCGGAACGAAGCTCGATGAACGTGTCATCCGGACCGATCTCGATGCTGGATTCCAAGAAGGAAGACAATATGGTCGCGGCAAATCAGGCGGACAGGTCAGAGATGAATACCGGGACGAATTTGATCCCGGAAGAGGAGGCTACGGTCGTGCAATCGACGCAGAGAGAAGAAGGGAAGAGGAAGAATACGGAATTGGGAGATGATCAGCCCGACGGTGCAAAATGTCCAACCGCCGTCAGCCCGAACCCCAAGCATCATCTGAGCATTGTTATGCCTCGCGCGACAGCCTTCTTCACCGAGCTCTAGTTCCATTTCCGACCACATCAAGGACCTGCCTCAACCACCAAACGTGTATTCGTATATCAGAGGTCAACTCGGGGTGGAAGCTGGTCCCAAAGACATTGCCTTGCTGGACAGCAATGATATCGCCGACTTCCTCCCCAGCAGGCACTTCAACGCCCATTGCAGAAGCCTTCTTCAGCCGACCAGGTAGTGTGCCCATGATGTCGACATGAGAGCTCATCGCCATTCTCACTTGATCGTTTTTGGCAAGCTTGGAGGGCGCAACAACCGTTCCGGCAATTTGTTGCTCTCCTCTCTGCACGCCTTCGACATGGGGGAGGATCTTTTCGACAACCGGGGCGCGAATGAAAACTCCTGGAAAAGGGTGGTTGGAAAGTGAGCCCTCGGATTTTAAAAATGGCAGATCCAGGTCAGCCTGGAAACTTTCGACTTGTCTTCCGAAATGATTGCGATTGACTCGAACGTCCAAACCACCAATCAAGTCTTGACCACCTTTCTTGGTGGCATTCGCCGCTTCGGCGAGGAGAATCAGCCCTGCACATGTTCCCCAAGTCGGTTTGCGATCGACTCTGAGACAATGTTAGGGAATGTTCGATGGCAGGATCAGAACGAGATAGGGTTCACATACTTGACAAACTCCCTCAGTGGTTCCAGCAAGCCAGACTCAGCGGCGACAAGGGAGATGGTTGTGCTCTCGCCACCAGGAATAATCAACGCATCGCACGCAGCCAACTGACTCACGTTCCTGACCTCTGTAAATTCAAACGATGTAGTAATGTCCTGACTGTGCAGGTAATTGGCTGCCTTTTTGAGTAGAACCAAATGTTCAAGGAAAGCGCCTTGCAAGGCCAGCACGCCGACGGTGATTGTCATTGACACAACATATATGGGAGGGACGTGAAATGGAGATTTAATTCGGGACCCTGATATATCTGAACGTGGTTTGGGAAATTCCCAAAAAATTCTGCCACCGCCTGCGAAGGCTGCTGATGATTGGAAGAAGCAGTGCCATCCAACACCGAGTTGCCAGTTGATGCTCTCCGGTCAAATCAACGACCAGATGCCTAGAGGCATTCAGCCCCGTCAGCCTTGTGGAACTCGGACCTCGACCCATCAGCCTTCGGCGTTCTAAATTAAGCCACGCCGTCTCTCGTTGTTTGTCTTATCAAATACCTCATTCGAGGGGCTGAAGATCTTCAGATCTGCCTATAATGCAATCTTGACAGTGCTATGGAGCCCTCGATCAAGTTTGACGTTTGATCATATCTCCTCACCACGCATGAGCCGGTCCATTGTCTGAGGGTGGACATGACAAACACTCACTTTACATCTTTCAGAGGCAACTAATTAATTAAAAAGCCCCTGGGGAGGCCGAAGAGAGCATTTCTGATCCCGAATTCCTCCTTGTTCGCTTTCGAGATGGCATCTCCGCCTCGCTCGCAATACATGACCACTATAGACCGCTATTACATCGATACCCGACCGCTCGTCCCGTCCCCTTCCAATCCAAAATCACGACATTCGCTCCCTTTACTCTCGACCCTGCAGTTCTCCGACCAAGAAGCCGTCACTCGCTTCATCCGCCCCGCCGACAGATTTATGTCCCTAGCCAGCGCACTGTTGAAATATTACTTCATCCACCGCCGGGCGAAGATTCCCTGGTCCGAAGTGCACATCTCACGAACTCCACATCCCCATCGACGGCCGTTCTGGGAACCGCCGGAGGACTGGGAAGGCCAAGACGAGAGCTATCCTGGCGGAAAGCAGAAGATAAAAGGACTGGAATTCAATGTCTCCCATCAAGCCGGCCTCGTCGCCATCATCGGTTGCAGTACTCCCACGCCACAGCTGCCCAATTCACACGCTGACTCTCTCGCGCCTAACCTTCCCGAATCGCTCGACCATATGGATCTAACAGGCCACCATACACTGAGCCTGCCGTCGGAACTGATTAGGCTTGGCGTCGACATTGCCTGCACGAACGAAGACAAGCGCACGCCTAAAGATCTGACGACCCAAGCCAAGTTCGACGAATGGGTAGACATTTTTGCGGAGATGTTCTCGGACCGTGAACGGCGGAATATGCGCGTGGCGCCGATCCACGTCCCCGTCGTCGAGAGGGAGGAAGGTGACGGGCCCGGCAGCGATGGCGACGACTCGCCGACAGACCACGTTAACAGCGTCCAGCGTGACCGCGAGGCGAAGATCATACAGCTTAAGCTCCGCCGCTTCTACGCGTACTGGGGTCTCAAGGAAGCCTATATCAAAATGGTCGGCGAAGGTCTGCTGGCCAGTTGGTTACGGGAGTTGGAGTTCCTTGATGTCGTGGCGCCGCCGGTGCCAGCCCAGCATGCCAATCACACGCACACGCACAATCACAAAAACAACTCCAGTTCTGGCTTCAGTGTTGTGAGTCCCGAAACTGAAATAGAAAAATGGTCACCGCCGTCCAAGGCGGAGAAGAGAATGACAACACTGCTCCGTGGCCGGAAAGTTGAGGATGTGGACATCGAGCTGGTCGCGTACGACGCGGATTTCATGGTTGCGACGGCCATGCGGGGCGTGCGAGAAGCCGAGCCTGACTCTTCCTCGACGGTCGGAGAAAGCACATCACGCAGGCGGTGGCTGAAACTCGACATCGAGAAAGATGTACGGCCGTGTGCAGAGGGAAGATGTCGGTGTTTGGGATGAACCATAAGCGATCGTGATGAGCGAAACTCTATTCGACAGATGTCGCCTACGGTGAATAGGATATAAAATACAACTTGTAACACCAAGTGATGATATGCTCGAGACAGTTCAGCCTGTCTTGAAGTCCAAGACGGAAGCAGGAGGCAGGGGATACATGGCGCACGACAAATATAGACATAGCTGAGATTGGACTACAAATTTGCTTGACAAACATTATATTCCGGGCTTGTTTTGTATTTGCTTGACTCGCTATCTAGCTTTCTATTGAGAAAACTTTCCTATCAGACGAACGTCCCGTTTGGCCCTTGATTCAGAATTCTTCGCACCAGCCTTTCCCCCGCACCTAATCCGCTCTTTCGACATCAAGCGTCAAGCAGCCATGATGAGCTCGACCTTGGTAAGCGCCGCAAAGTCCTTAGGACTCAATTCGTCCTTCTTGATTTCCTCACCGAGCAAATACAACTCGTCCAAAAACGCCGGAATGAAACTGCCGGGCCCTCTACAATCAGCTCTGGCCTCTGCACGCTCGGCTGCAATCTCAAAGTGTAGAACTCCCGACAGTGCAGCGAGAAGCTTATCTTCTCGGTGCAAAGCGAGGTAGCTGGCCACCACAGCCCCTAAAGCACAGCCCGAACCTGTGATTTTCCCGAGCAGAGGCGACCCATTGCTAATTGTCACGGTGCGCGCCCCGTCGGAAAGATAGTCCGTCTTGCCCGTCATGAGAACGACGCAATTTTCGCGCTGTGCAAGGGTTTGGACGAGTTGAGCTTTTTCATCTGCCGAGGAGACGGAGGGGCCCGACTCTACACCCCTTTGCTGCGTGGTGGACGTGCCAGCTACAGAGCCGATTTCGCCTTCGTTTCCTTTGATAACACTGAAGAAGCCTGAGGAGAGGAGCTTTTTCACAGTATCCCGACGGAAAGCCGTTGCGCCACCACCAACAGGGTCGAACACAATGGGCGCCCCGGCCGCATTATATGCTTTCATTCCGGCAATGAAGGCGTTGACCTTGTCTGCCGTTGCAGTGCCCATGTTGATCACAAGGGTGCCGCCGAGTTGAGCCAAGTCAGAGGCTTCTGCGCCGTTCTCGGACATGATGGGTGACGAGCCAGAAGCCAGACAAACATTCGCGACAAAGTTCTGAACGACCGTGTTCGTCATATTGTGACAGATCACCGAGGATGAAAAATGTGATTTGATGATGCTGGGAATTTGAACCTTCAGGCTTTCCAGGTCGGTAACAGGCGTCTCGCTTGGCGGAACGGCGGTGTAATATGTCTCGGGGGTCGACTTGATTAAGTCGAGCAATGTCCTGGCCGATGATTGAGGATCAGTGGATGCCATGATGGCACTCACAACGGCAACACCATTGAGTCGGTTGGAACCATATGCAGATTGATGCAACACTCGCTGGACGTTGGAAGCGTTTATACTTCCGATTGCCACACAAGGAACCGATTTCTCTGTTCCTGTTGAGCAAGAAGACAGAATTTGCCGAAGGCCCCGAGTGCCAATAATTGATTTTGTGTCGGTCTTTGTTGGGGTGGCGAAGGTCGTGCCAATTCCCAGATAATTGGCACCGTCTTGGATGGCTTTCGCAGCTTCGTCCACTGACGAGGCTGTAACTCCTATGATCGCATCAGGTCCCAGAATTTTTCTGGCCTGGGCACAATCCATGTCATCTTGGCCAATGTGAACACCTTCGGCCCCCACGGCCATACATACATCAAGCCGATCATTGATCAAGAGAGGGATGTTGTTTTTTTGAGTCACATTGTGAAGTTTGGTGGCAACATCAATCATTAGCCTGGTATCGGCATGTTTGTCTCGATATTGGACTATGCTAACTCCGCCTTGGATAGCCTGGTCAACGACCTGGACCAGGTCTTTCCCCCCGAGGATTGCAGGTGTAGAGTCGGTGACGAGGTACAAGGACCAATCTATCGGGGGTATGGACGTTGAAGCCGGTAACATTGTTGGACTGGTTTTGTCGGGCTTATGAACAGAATGATAAACGGAAAGGCTGCTTGCCAATCATTTCAGAATCTGTGTCAGAGCTGAATCCTCCTATTTTATTTGTTCTCTTCGAGAAAGATGAATCAACGATTCTTTGAAAAAGTAGTACGGATTGAAACACGCAAAGAAGATTTCCGTTCGCAACATGGGCGCCGAGGAATGAATCCGTTCGAGAAAAATAAAAATCCACGACCAAGCCTGATTGTGTCATCGACGAATTTGCTGAGACAAGCAAAGCTTGGACGTACGGAAGGGAAACAAGACACTGGGCCTTTGAATGCAAGGAATTCGGGTTAGCATCACTCTGAAGTGGCCAATGGACCTACCGATTGGGAAGATAGTGAAATAATCACATTCAGGTCGTGACCGAAACGAATCTTTACTCTCAACCACCAGCTGACAGGAGTGAGATGCAAACGGTTGGAGCTGCGAGTAGGTGCCCTTCCGCTTCGACTCCAGGGCACGAAATCAAAAGCAAAGAGGACACAGAATCAGAGAGGACGCAAGAGACTCGGCGAATACATTCATTTCTCATTCTAACATTGCTACACTCACGACCATCACCTCGGCCTTTTCGCTCTCGCTCTCGCTCATTAAGAGTGAACTCAATTAATTTTTTTTCTTTTTCCTCCACCCGGCAATCCTGAGAGGGAGCCCAGTCAACCACCACAGCCAACTCACTGCTTTGTCCGGCCTCCACTGACAAATTGCAAGCTAATTAGCGCAGGTTGCCAGGCACCAAACCAAACTCAAAATCCGGTTCGCCTTTTTGTCTTTTGCCTCCCTCTGGATCTTTTTCTTCCTCTCATCATCACTTCCAAAGCCAACAAACAAAACGAGAATTCCCCTGTTCCATCAGGCATTCTCATCATCTTCATCACAACGACAGAACCTATTGACTGCTGTTCCACTGCTTCAACCTTCCAACGCGACAGGTCCTCTGTTTCCCATCCTCACACAACCCTACCGAAATCCCAAGTCCTCGAATCCAGTGCAGCCTCGATTGTTCATGTATCGGGCAGTCTTTCACTCTTCCAAAACCAAAACCAAGCAAAAGCTGGACATATTTCCGGCCCGCAAAGATCCTTGTAGTCCTGCGAGATCATCTTATGGTTGATACGACTTCCCGCGGCAATCCTTCATGTTATATCTCGCAACCCAGTGGTGATATCCACGCATGTCTGGCCTCTCTGAAAGAATCGTTCACACGCCGTTGTTCTCTGCTACCGTCTAAGATATCAAGACCTTGGTTCATTCTCTCCAAATTCATCCCAGTTGAATAACTATCCCTCAAAATGGCTACGATCAACATTCGTCGGGATGTTACCGATCCCTTCTATCGCTACAAGATGGAGCGATTGCAGTCCAAGATTGAAGGAAAAGGCAACGGAATCAAGTAAAGCACATGAACCCATCTGTTTATGTGCACGCTAACCATTCCGATAGAACCGTTGTCGCCAACCTTCCCAGCGTCTCGGCTTCCCTGGCCCGTCCGCCAGCCTATGTCATCAAATACTTCGGGTTCGAACTTGGTGCTCAAACGAACACCAATCCGAAGGACGACCGCTGGATCATCAACGGGGCCCATGAAGCATCCAAACTGCAAGATTCCTTGGACGGCTTCATCTCCAAGTTTGTTCTCTGCAAAGCGTGCAAGAACCCCGAGACCGAAATCAATATCAAGGATGGACGCATCTTGTTGGACTGCAAAGCATGTGGTCAACGAACCCAAGTCGACTTGCGCCACAAACTGAGCGGATTTATTCTCAAGAATGAGCCAAAGGGTGGAAAGAAGGTCAAAAAGGAGAAGATGTCTCGACGTGACAGGGCCAAGGCCGAGAGCCAGGAGAATGGATCTATGAATGGCGGCAGTCCTCATGAATCCAATTCCGATAAAGGAGATGCGGAGGATGGTGACGTGGAAATTGCGGCCGGCAGCGACGACGAGTTTACCAAACAGATCAATGCCGATGCCAAGGTGATTGAAAACAAGACCAATGGAGAAATCAAGGATGAGGAATGGGCTGTCGATACTTCCGCTGAAGCCGTCGCCGCTCGTGCCAAAGAACTTCCGTCCGACCTCAAGCGATCTCTCGCCTTTGATGATGACGAGGATGGCGAGGAGAATGGCGCCGCCAATGTCTACGACCAGCTCGGAACCTGGATTATCGATGAAACCAAAGCCAAGGGCGGTATCAGCAAGGTCGACGATGTCGATATCTATAAGAAGGCCAAAGAATTGGGCATCGAATCTAAACACAAGACGCTCACGGTGTTGGCTCAGACCATCTTCGACGAGAACATTGTCAAACAGATCCCAGCCCGGGCCAGCATGCTCAAGACCATGATTGGCGAGTCCGAAAAACACCAGAAAGCCTTCCTTGGTGGCACTGAGCGTTTCGTTGGAAACGATCATCCCCAGCTCATCCCTCAAGTCCCCGCCATTCTCATGGGCTATTACCAAAATGATCTTGTCAGCGAGGAGGTTGCCAAAGCTTGGGGTCAAAAAGCCAGCAAGAAATATGTCGACCTGAGCACCAGCCGAAAGGTTCGCAAAGCTGCCGAAAAGTTCTTGCAATGGCTGGAAGAGGCTGAAAGCGACGACGAGAGTGAAGAAGGATAGACTTGGTTCTCTCATTCCGGACCTCTTGGGCATCATCTTTTCCATCTTCAGGTCGAAAGTCTCGGCATTGCCTGCCACTCGTCCACACTCCACTCCCGGCACCACCAGTCATGTTTGAATTGCGTTTTGGTCACTCCTTTCCTGACAGGTCGACAGAAAAATAGATTGTTACCGCAGGCTCCCAAGTCTATACCTGTCTTTGCCAGTCCTTCCTGTATCTAGAGTCGCGAAATCATGAACCTTTTGCATCGGTTTGTCCTTTCCCATGATCTCTATTCCCTCCCCCTCTGTTCCACCTAACGCCACATTTCTGCTCCCAACTTCGTTCTCCAGTCCGGAAAAACAAATGGAAGATTTTCTGGCACTTGGTCGGGCAACTCATTCTGAATAATCTTGACCAGCTCCTCGAACACCAGTCTATATGCCGCAGGCGTGAAATGTAGCCCGTCCGACAACAGCTCCCCAAGCACTTGGTTCTGTGGTGCTGCTTTGCTCCCTATAAGGGCATCTGTTGAACCCTCCTTCCAACCTGCCTTGAGCATGAAGATTGTCCAAAGATCAAGAATGGGTAGGTTCAATTCTTGTCCGACCTCTCGACAGGCAGATGCATATTTCGCCGTTGTGGCGGCCTTTCTTTCGCCTGTTGCAAGCTGCCACTCGTCGACGGGAGCAGGCACTATCAAGACCACGTTTGTTTGGTGTAGCTTCACGCCTTCATAGTTGACTATATTTCTCAGATACTGTTTGTACTCCCCGATGGGGACGTGCTGCGGAGTCCCTGCGAGGCAGGCATCGTTTGCTCCGAAGAAAACTGTCATCAGTCGGATTCGAGGGACAACATCGGACGGAGGCACCGCGGGGAAGAATTGGAGTAGAGTGTCGTAACCGACGGGGGCCGTATATCCGCTAAATCCACGGATGAGGACATCTAGTCGCCTGGAATACCATTCGGACAGAGAGGAATGAAAGACATGGCTCGAACCCTGGGTAATGCTGTCGCCGAACAGAAGGAATTGAGGATATGTCTTGAGAGAAGACCCGACAGAGCGAGTAGACGCATTGAGATCGGGGAAATGAGACATTGTCTACAGTATGAATGGCAAAGGGGAGCAGGAGAACAGCAGAGGAAACCGTGCGAGAACACATGGAGCTATTCTATCATATATTGTATCTCGAGAACGCAGGGGCCTACCATTGTGTGGTTTTGTTTGCCCGTCCGCGTAAAGTCGTCGTCACTTCCTAGGGTTTGACGGCAAACCCCCCAAGAGCACCCCTTCTCATCTGGTAGATGTGAATGCCTGCCAGGTGCATATACCGAGCGAATCGCATAGTGCTGCAGATGTTATGCTCCTATCAATCCCTGCACCGGCTGCAAGACTCTGCACGGCATCGTCATTGGTGCTAACCATCTCATCGTTCCTTACGACTGATTGAAGATACATGTTGCAGCCGAGGTCACCACCAGCAGCCTATTCTCGCCCACTCTCCTGTACTCATCCGACTTATTACCAAAGCCAAGCAGCCAATGAAGACCTAAAATCCTGCCCAAAACCCACCAGAACTGGTAGCTTTGAGACTTGATACGACCGTCCCTTTTGCCCCTCCACGATATTCTCATATCGCTGACAATAGGGCGACATCATTCCAGCGTTCTGCGGTGCTGGCTTTGTCCTCTTCTTCGACTCCAACTCGAACGCGTTGCCGAAGTCAAAATCACCGAACTACCAGACCGTCGCTCACTGACTCGTCAGATGATATCGGATACTAACGGTTCACAGCCCGTTCCACCTGATCAACAACGCTTCGGACCATTTGCGTACCATTCATCTGTCCTGCAGACGACCTTGCCCGGCTGATATAGTCTCGGTCATTTCTGAATCACTGCTGACAATCTAAACATCCAGAGTCTCTTCTAGATCCTTTTGCTTTCCACGCCCCTCCACGAGCGTGTTGACGCCTCGTTCCATGGCCAGCTGATGACCTTCGCATGGCGGCGTCTGCCTGTACGAGACGTCGTTCCCGGCCCTACCTTCGTTCCGGCGTCTCTCTTGCCTCAAGATTTGAACAATCACAATGCCGAAGTCCTATGTCTCCTTTCAAGATCGGAGTGAACATGATGAAGTCGATTATTTCTCCTATCACACCTCCACCACTACCGCGTCCCCCCCAGAGACTCAACGCCGAGTGACCAATTCGCTGTCCACGAGCGAAGTGAGATCCCGACTGCCACCCTCCCTGATCATGACTCCTGGGTCAACCGAGACGAGTGCCCTTCTGGGAACAGGTCATGAGCCTGCGCGCCGGTACAATGAAAGCATGCCCGAGTCACCAAGGTCCCGGCAACTTTCAAGAGTAAATAGCTACAGTGGGAGTCTGCACAGGCGTCGATTTCATAGTGCCCGACCTTCTGGACAGACGAGTCCGATATGGACGCGGAGCTCTGGTCTAAGAACACCGAAGTTACAACAGTCAATTATGGGATCTATCTCGAGAGATGACCGGTTGTGGTACGATCAGTTTACCTCGACCGATTGGGTCCATGACAGTATTGCTGATGGATACCGAGTCCTGGAGTTGAGAAAAAGAAGGGGAGTTCGAGGACGTATTTGGCTGTTCTTCGATTCTGTTCAAGGATGGATTCTCGTTGCCCTCATTGGTGTCCTTATCGCCGGTATAGCATACTTTGTCGATGTGACCGAGTCATCCATCTTCGATCTCAAACGAGGCGTCTGTCGAGGGGCATGGTATCTCAGTCGAGCCGGTTGCTGTGCCGGAGAACGAACTTGCGAACGTTGGACGACCTGGTCGGGGCTCGTTCGTGCATCTCCTCTCAAAGAGTCGTCGATTGACTACCTGGCCTTTATCATCGGATCAGTGGCTCTGGCATGCTTGTCCTGTTTCCTCACCTTGTATTCCAAGACTGTGGTTCCGTCGCAAATCGCTTCCACCTTCGACGAGGATTTGGGCGCCATCAGAAGAGATGTCAACGAAGAGACGGATGAAGACAAGCCTGGCAGCGTTCGGCCTCTCACGTCGGACGAGATCCCTCCCAATATCTACTACTCGGCCGCTGGAAGCGGTGTTGCAGAATGCAGAGTTATCCTCAGCGGCTTTGTTCTCCACGGATACCTTGGTCTCCGAGTACTCATTATCAAGACCATCGCCCTCGTCTTGAGTGCGGCTTCGGGAATGAGCTTGGGCAAAGAAGGCCCCTACGTTCACATTGCCACGTGTGTCGGCAATATTGCTTGCAGATTGTTCTCCAAATACAACCTCAACGATGGTAAAAGAAGGGAAGTTCTATCAGCAAGTGCTGCGAGTGGCGTGGCGGTGGCATTTGGTTCACCATTGGGAGGAGTTCTTTTCAGTCTGGAAGAAGTCAGCTATTACTTTCCACCGAAGACATTATTTCGAACGTTCTTCTGCTGCATTGTCGCGGCACTATCATTGAAGTTCTTGAACCCCTACGGCACATCCAAAATTGTGCTGTTTGAAGTCCGTTATTTCACCGATTGGCGCTTCTTCGAACTTTTCAACTTTGCATTTCTCGGTTTCGCCGGAGGCCTCGCAGGCGCGCTCTTCATCAAAGCATCCCGATTTTGGGCCACTACGTTTCGTCGAATAAAAATCATCAAAAGTTATCCCATGCTCGAAGTGTTCCTGGTCGCACTCGTCACCGGTCTCATCGGCTTCTGGAATCGATACACTCGCCTGGCCGTTACAGAACTCCTCTTCGAACTGGCAAGTCCTTGCCACGAGCCATCGGACAATGGACTTTGCCCCAAGAAGGACGAGATTCTGCCAGTCATTGGTTATCTAAGTGTAGCTTTCGTCATCAAAGCATTTCTCACCATCATCACGTTTGGAATCAAAGTGCCCGCGGGCATCTATGTGCCTTCTATGGTCGTTGGCGGCTTGATGGGACGCATTGTTGGTCACCTGACCCAATACGTCGTGTTGAAGTTTCCCGATTTCTTCTTGTGGGGAGAATGTCAGAAATCTGGAGATATTGAAGCTTGTGTCACTCCTGGTGTGTACGCCTTGGTGGCTGCTGGTGCAACAATGTGTGGTGTCACCCGTTTATCGGTTACACTGGCGGTCATCCTATTCGAACTGACTGGAAGCCTGGACCATGTGTTGCCCTTTTCTCTGGGGGTGCTGTGTGCCAAGTGGACCGCAGATGCTGTCGAGCCATTAAGCATTTACGACCTATTGACAGACATGAATTCTTATCCGTTCTTAGACAACAAGAGCAGTCCAGTTTTCGACTCAGAACTCGGCGACATCACCCCACGATTTCGACGAGACAAAGTCATTGATATTACAATATCTCCATTGGTCAAGGCCAGTGATCTACGGGCGAAACTTCGACGATTACAATACCTTGGCGAGTTTGACGGCGGTTTGCCTATCCTTCGAGACAAAATCCTGGTGGGTCTTATTCCAGCTCCTGACCTAGAATTCGCCTTGGACAGAGTCGAAGATGAGGACAATGCGCTCTGTCTCCTCTCCACTATTAACCATGCACACAATACGCATAATCGTTACTGGGACGCGTTTGAAGAGACAGGGTACGATTCCGGTCGTGAATCCGATGGAGAAGATCCTGCAAGCTTGAATCCAGTAGATCTTACAGCATACATTGACCCCGCACCTGTTGCGTTGGATATGCATTCGCCCATGGACCTTGTGTACCAGTGTTTCGTGAAATTGGGGCTCAGGTACATTTGCGTGTTAAACGAGGGAGAGTTCAAGGGTATGGTGCACAAGAAGGCATTTGTTAGATACGTCAAGACCTTGGAACATCAAGGTCATCATCGTTGAGTGAAGAGAAGAATTTGGAAGGGGAGAGGAAAGCCTGCGGAAAAGTTGGAATTCATGACTTTCGAGTCATGATGCAGGGTGAGGTGGAAACGAATGGAAATTTAGCCTGCAGTGTGGTTCCCGTCTTTGTATTTGTTTTTTTTACTAACAGTGTGCCACAAATCCAACGCATCCTGAACGAGGAGGCACGCTCTTGAATGAGAAAGGAGATTCCGGGACGCAGAAGGTCAGAGAGACATTGAACATAACGCGACAGCCGCGGACAGTAATCAAGAAAGGCAGCCTTATGAGCATTGCCGAACCAATGAATAATAGCGTCAGAAATATGCTAGATATGTAGCCATGGGGCTTTTCCATTCTGACCCGCAGTGTCATCGCTGCCGCAGTGAGCTTACTTGTCTTCGTCAAAGCATTCTTCATCAACAAGGACATGAAGACATGTGGTAGCGGACCATATAAAAAACCGCGAGTTCCTTGGCTGTAATGGTCCTTCCCATACTAGCTGTGTCAACGCCGATATCTCTTACTTGAGTTTTCTATCGTTATGCTCGGTGGACCTAAAGTGAAATCGCCGAGGAAGAAAGCTGAACTTCGTGAGACAGATTTTATATTGCGGGCTACTTCCTCTCTGGCTATATGCGTGGTGTGTCGGTGTCTTGTTTCCGGTATATTTTCAAATTTTATCACTGGCAAGGCGCAAGTCGAAGGGTGAGGAGTCGCGCAGGCCTTCAGGATGTCGGATTGATGCAGGCGTCGAAATGGCGGTAGGGAGTGGTCGATTGAACTAGCTGAGTGTATGTATTCCGTTTGCGGAACACAGACGAACGCGTCGAGGGTTGAGGTGCCACATCCAGATGTTCTGCAAACAGAGCATCTTCAATCGAACAAACTGGCCATCGGTAGGGCTGCAATACAGATCGAAGGGAGAATAGAAAACATGCGTGGACGTAGAAGCAAAGACTGCGGCGATTGGGCCCGTTGACATCGTTGCGCAGTTTGGCCAATGAGAGAGCAAGCAGCATGGCGTCCTCCGCGTCTCCAACTCCAACGGCGCAGTCAACATCAGCGTCCACATTGTCCACGGCCACTGCTCAGATCATCACTGACCTGCATGCAAAAGAGGGTCCCTTGAGATCTCCTCGTAAAAGGGTCTCGGCCACAGTCCCCAGGGACGTCGATAGTGCTGTCTCGCAGTTCCCTCCTCGTCCCCTATCATGTACAGATAACTCCGAGCCGACCAATGCGAGGCCAACTTCCCTCACTTTCAACTACGACGTGTTCAACGCCTCCCCTCGGCGGCGACCTCCGGCGGCAATCATGGGCCAGAGGATTAGCGAGAGTTTGGCAGAGGAGAGACAAGGCTTAATGAAAGAAGAGGAATCATCATCCGCGGGGCCTTACCCAAGACCATCCCAGGAGAGTGTCACGAGTGCTTCCACAACATCCCTAGTTCTCGAGAATTTGAACTCGGGGTATTCGGCAAAAGAGCCCCCGAAACCCTCACGCTACCGCGACGGTGATAGCGATCCTGAGTTACCCGCGTTCAAGGACCAAATTTACACCATTCGTGGACAGCGCATGTCAAAAGGCCTTCGGCGGACCATATGGACCATTTCCATTGTAGGAGTTGTTGGCTGGGCCTTGGCTCTAGTTGTTTTTCTGGCCGGTGGACGTTATAAACATGCTTCTACGTTAGATTACGACCATGATACACCTATAAAAAGCGCCGGGAAGAAAGTCACGCTCGAGCAAATTCAAGCAGGACTGTGGCAGCCAAAACATGCCTCGATCGAATGGATTGCTGGTCCCAATGGCGAGGACGGTCTATTGTTGGAAATAAATCAGCCTGGAAAGGACTACCTGATGGTAGAAGACATTCGGAACCGTGCCTCGTCGCTGAACGCTTTCGAAAGCAGAACATTGGTGAAAAGTGGTTGGTTCAATGCCAATGGACAACGGCTGTTGACGGATGACTTTTGGGTCAGCCCGGATATGAAGCATGTCCTCCTGCTATCGAAGAGAGAAAAGGTCTTTCGACATTCGTTCGTCGGACTCTATTTTATTTTGGATGTTGAGACGCAAAACGTTCAGCCCTTGGACCCCGCATTTCCAGACTCGAGGATACAACTGGCTCAATGGTCACCAAAAAGTGACTCGGTGGTATTTACCAGGGATAATAATCTCTATTTGAGATCTCTGGATTCGCCCCAAGTCATCACAATCACCGAAGACGGCGGCCCGGAATATTTCTACGGCATTCCCGACTGGGCTTACGAGGAAGAAGTCTTGGGCACCAATTCTGCCGCATGGTGGGCAAGGGATGGCCGATATATCGCGTTTCTCCGCACGAATGAAACCATGGTTCCTGAATACCCTGTCCAATATTTCCTTTCGAGACCAAGTGGAAAGAAGCCGATCGAAGGTCTCGAGAACTACCCGGAAGTAAAACAGATCAAGTACCCCAAAGCCGGAGCTCCCAATCCGGTGGTGGATATGCTGTTCTACGATATTTCCAAGAAACAAGTTTTCACCGTCGATATTGCTGGTGGGTTCCCAGACGATGACCGAATCATCTTCAACATCGTGTGGGCGGACAACGGCAAAGCCTTGGTGTCGGAATCAAACCGAGAAAGTGACCGCGTCCGTGTGGTTCTAGTAGATGTTATCACCCAGACAGGTCAAACCGTCAGAACCGTCGATCTCAATGATGTGGATGGAGGATGGATAGAGCCGACCCAACAAACAAAGTACATCCCCGCTGACCCTCGAAATGATCGGCCAATTGATGGCTATGTCGACACAATCATATCTGACAACCGCAACCATTTGGCTTACTTCTCTCCGCTAAACAGCTCAATCCCTATCATGCTTACAAAGGGAGACTGGGAGGTAGACGGTGGAGCTGCGGCAGTTGATCCTGTGAGCAATTTGGTCTATTTTATCGCAGCCAAAGAAGCGCCGACTCAACGGCATTTATACAGCGTGAAGCTCGACGGAACCGATATGCAATCCCTCGTTCCCACCGATGAAGCAGCATACTGGGATTCCTCGTTCTCTTCTGGAGGTAGCTTTGTTAGTCTGACATACAACGGTCCTGGAATTCCCTATCAGAAAGTCGTCTCTACACCAGCCAATCCCGAGAAGATTGAACAAGTTGTGGAAGACAATAAAGCTTTGGCCCAAATGGCCTCATCACACGAACTTCCACACCAAATCTTTCAAAACGTCACCATCGACGGATACACATTACAAGTTGTAGAACGACGCCCTCCGCATTTTGATGCGAAGAAGAAATATCCCGTGCTCTTCTACCTGTACGGCGGCCCCGGTTCTCAAATGGTTAACCGACGCTTCCAAGTGGATTTCCAAGCCTACATCACGAGCTCACTAGGCTACATAGTAGTAACTGTCGATGGGCGTGGGACAGGGTTCATCGGTCGCAAAGCGCGAACGATCGTTCGCAACCGACTTGGCAAGTACGAGGCGCACGACCAAATCACGACGGCGAAAATCTGGGCGGAGAAACCGTACGTCGACGCATCGCGCATCGCCATCTGGGGTTGGTCATACGGCGGCTTCATGACGCTCAAAGTCCTCGAGACCGACGCAGGCGAGACGTTCAAGTACGGCATGTCCGTGGCCCCCGTGACGGACTGGCGGTTTTATGACTCCATCTACACGGAACGCTATATGCGCATGCCACAGCACAATCCACAAGGATACTCCAACACGGCCATCACCAACGTGACAGCGATCGCGCAGAATGTTCGTTTCCTCATCATGCATGGCGTCGCGGATGACAATGTTCACATGCAGAACACGCTGACTTTGCTCGACAAGTTTGACCTTGCGGGTATCGAGAACTACGATGTCCATTTCTTCCCTGATAGCGATCACAGTATCCTCTTCCACAACGCTAATCATATCGTGTATGATAAGTTGGCGAAGTGGCTTGTCAACGCATTTAATGGCGAGTGGTACCGCACAGAGGATCCGAAGCCTATAGACGATGCGGAGAGGAAGAGTAAGTGAGCAAGTGATTTGCACGCTGGAACCGGACAAAAGTCTAAGAGGACGTTTACTTGCTTCTCTTTTTGTTTTTGGGAGGGAAAAGGGATGGTTGGGTGGAGCTGCTGCAGAGATCTGGATTTGTACGATCTAATACTGGACGTCCGGGTTGCTGATTGGATTTGGTCCAGGTGTCTTCGACACATGGCGATATCTTTTCGGGGGGTTAGTAAGTTGCTTTTGATTTGGATGAAAAGCGAGCACTGATTATGTGAGTCATGTATGGGGGGAAGGAGGGAGATATGTAGGATATAAAAATGGAGAAATTCATTCAAAGATTTACATACGCTCTCGTCAGTTCATAATCTTGAGTAGTCCGAAAGAACATCCTAAACCAGATCCGAAACCAATGATGTAGGTAAAGCTGATATATAGCCGGAGATTCCCAGAGAGCAAGTAAGTTCTAATCAACTAGAAGCGGTGTTTGAAATCCCTCAACCCTCTAGCGTCGACATCTCCGAGGTCGCAGATACACCGTCAGTCTTGTAGCGAGGACAACGACGATGGCAACATTCTCGGCACACATACGTGTCGGAAATGGTTGGACTGTACCAACATTTGCAACACTGCCAGAGTAAGATGGACGGGACAGAGGTGATAGAGTTACTGTTGGAGGCAGACAGCCGACGTCGCTGGTATGCCCGGCAGAATGTTATGGCATTTTGTTCGTGGTTCGTTCCTTCTGTTTCTGAAGGAGAGTCCAAGAAGAATGAGCCCTTTTTTGTAGTTGCTGTTGGTGGTCATCATGGGAAACCGTGGTGGTGGATGTGCGATCGTCTTTTCTCTCTTGAATAGAGATGTCCTGATCGCAGATCAGATTTTCATTGTTGTTCTTGCATACTTGTTGAGTGGCTGCCAATTTTCTGAGGCCGTCCGTGATAGAATTCTTGCTTTCGTCTTGCGTCCGGCTAATGACGATACTCTTGGAAGCTTTCGAGGGGGTGAGGAATTTATCATCGCTCCAAGATTCCGTAAAACTGACTCCAGTCACTTCAGTTCCCTCTCTAAAGGGCAGTTGAATGGCATTGAAGACTAGTCTAGCTGCTTCCAAGCTACCCGCTTCAAGAGCCCATTCGCCTGGTGTCCTCTCCTCTTCGTCATGAACTTCGGGAGACGCGCCGGAGTCTAAAAGCAACTTGACGACTTCTTCATTGCCATAACTCGCGGCCGTGTGAAGCGGATAGATCTTGTTCCAGTCCGGCTGGTTGGGATCGGCTCCTGCATCGAGGAGAACTTTCATGACAGAAGTGTGCTGTCGCAAGACTGCTGCGTGGAGAGCGGTACCGCCAAAACGACTTCCCGGAGCGTTCAAGTCGACTTCAGGATTGGTGATCATGTCGGCCACTGTCTCCGTAAGGCCAAAAGAGGCGGCATAATATAATGGAGTGGTGTGCCGAGGATAGAAATCCCAACTCGCATGGACAGCATTCAAGACTTGGACCCAGGACATGAAAGTCGAGCGACACAGCGGGCTGAAGAATCTGGAAATGAACTGTCGTAACTCTGGCGTCGGTGTAGTTTCTCGGACAAAATAAGTCCAACACACCGCGGCGTATTGCAATAGTGGATATCGAATCATTCTTTCCGTGTAGGTCTGGGATGTTGGGCATGGGCCTGATGAAAGGTTGTTGAAAAAGAGGTAGGTCAGACAATACTTTGCCAGCTCCAGGTTGGCACTGTTGGACTCAAGGGCGAATACCGAGACTGCTTCTTTTTTGCGAATGCCTGGTGATGTGAGATATTCTTTCACTGACAAGTGAGCCAGTCTAATGTGCCCTTCTTCGGAGACATGGACAAGACTACTGCAAAGGTCCAATATATCTTGGGGACTGCGTAATCGAGATTCTTCATCCAAATGGTCGAGATCGGGTTCGATGGCGACAGCCTCGTGAACCTCTCTCAGCGTCAAAGGAAACACTGTAAACGAGACCCAGAGAAGAATTCGGCGGACAATTTCGATATCAGGAGGTGAAATTTTGATCAAAATTTTGTCATACGTTTCATCCAGTCCTTTGGGCAGCTCGTTCAAAGCAGTCCGAATGGCTTTGACAGTTCGCAGGTTTGCAATTGCGTCAAGCTGGCATTGGACCCATCGAAACCTCCTAGGTCAGCGTTTGATTTTCAGGGCCAGGTCTATTGGACTCACATTCCACAAGACTTCTCAATTAGGAGGGAAGAAATGTCCTCCCTCACCGACGAGTTGAGCCATTGTAGCTTCCGATCCGACGACAGACGTCGGGTAATATATGACTGCACATCTTCATTGACTTCGTCTAAGTGGTCTTCAATACGTACTTGTGTGAATGAATGCAGGCCTGCTTGTATGTCGGGTTCATCGCGACTTGTAACCAGGACTCTCGTATGCGGGAGCGTTCTCTGCAGGTCAGACAAGAATGCAGCTGCCTCCTGTCGTTGCGTACATTCGTCCAATGCATCGACCAGGAGCATCACCTTGGACTCGACAGCAAGAATCTCCAAAATTCTCCCTATCAGAGACAAGGTCGGTCGTTTGGTCGTGCCACCGCTTTGGCTTTGGTGGAACGCTTCTTCAAGTTCCTCAGGAATAAAACCCGTGTGAGAGCAGAGTTGCGAGAGCAGAGATCCTGCCATATTCACAACATCTTGGGTCTCGCTTCTCCGAAAGTCGCAATAGCAGAAGGCCATCTGGGTGCCATCTTGAAGGCTATTCAGTTGTCGACACAGGTAATTGACGGTATTGGAGCTAGAAATATCAGAAAGAATGTTCGGAGAATTTCAATGGGTGAGAGGGCATCGTACAATAAAATCGTTTTCCCGGCGCCCGCTGTTGACGAATAAGAAACCATGAAGATAGCGATGAATATCTTCGGGCTACTTACGAAACCCGCTGAGCCAGAGAAAAGCCCTTTTCGCTGTGATCCATTGGTTGAACTCTTCACAATCCATAAACCAGCTATTGGTGCCCTCCTGATGAGCTTTTACCGCAGCATTATGGCTTTCCCATGGGTCAGTGGCTGATAGCCAGTGTAATATGCTTTTCTGAGCCTGGTCTAATCATCATCAGGGCCTGATTGTCTCCATGTCCAAAGGGAATGACACTCACCAAGTTCTTTCACTTCTTGTCGCTGAACAAGCTGCTCGATATTCGTCCCCATACTCTCTACAGCGGCTGCCATAGAGGATGTCATGTCCTGGATGTCATGGAGGACGGATCTTGCACACCAACGAGTTAGCATCTGATCAAAAGGCGTGCGGGATGTGAATGTGAATCAGAAATAAAAGCGTTGTTGCCTCAAATATCAAATACGGGGGAGAGAAACCACGGCATACGCTTCGTCTGCTGTGATGGCCAAGTTGAGAGTACTCTTGCATCGCTCGATTTTTTCCAACGACAATCGTACCTCCTTCTCCTTCGTCTGCCACGTCACAGCTTGCAGCAGCGCTTTGGTCAGGGAACCAGGTTGGTGGCGGGAGCGAGTCCCCAGCAGTTGTTCCAAGGCATTCAGTTCGCACAGACATGTGGATAGCGGACCGTTCTGAGGGTCACAGAGGATCTCAAAGCGTCGCTTCTTTTTAACGGAAGTAGTCGAGTTCCGCGTCGGCTCAGTCAGTTGATCGAGAGTTTCGAGAACATTGCGCAAATCCTTCACTTCGGAGATGATGCGGGTGAGGGCCCACGGCGTATCTTTCAACAAGGCTTTGAAATCATAGCATGTGGATATGACCGCATTGGCTGCTTGGAGGACCGCAATGATGCTGGCTGTGATGCTAAGAGGATCCATGACTCCTTGATGAACCTCAGATTTTCAAGGAAACGCCCATTGGGCCCACGCACGGGCGACCTAATAATGCTGGGCGTACCAACGTGAGAGCTTTAGCAGCCCATATGCCGACACCGTCGTCTTTCTTGCTACGGAGATGTCTGAGGTGTTAATTGAAATGCGACCGACGTAAGCAAAATGGATGATGGCAGCTGCTCAACATGGGGCTGAGCCTGAAACATGTCGGGTACATATTTTTGGCGGCCAGCAGAACGTGGGGGTCAAGGTTGAAACTCAGCCTCATCAGGCCGCAGATGCCCAGCCTCGTGTCTCAAGGAATCAAGCCTTCTCCAAGGCTTGGCCTTCAGGGAGGCTACATGATCTAGTCATAGTGTATTGAAAATATCATACATTGCGTTCGAGTTGATATAGTATATCTAGCCCATCTGTAATTTGGGGCGAGTATCTCAGACTGCGAGAGATATCCTTCTTCGCCTGGAGCGAGCATGCCGGCGGCAATCGTCCTCGATTACGAAGTTGGATGATCTCTTCGCCGATGTCAAACTTTTGAGGGAAGTGGGCCTAATCATACATCTTGATATTGAGCGGAAGATTCTGATTCCCGCTTGCAAATGCATACACACATTTCAAAACGTGACGGTCATATGCTTCACGGTAATATCTCATCTGGACGACAGGTCAAAATCCTGAATCATGTAGTCCCACTGAGCCCAGTCCATCGGCATATCTGTTATACCGAGATCCTGCGCCAGATTGGGATCGGAGGCGTCCATGATGGCGTCAACAGGTAAGGCTGACATCGGAGGTTGCGGAACAGTTGGTAGGGGAAGCTGACCTCCCGCAGCTTGGTTGGAGATTTGAGAGCCGTAGGTTCTTGGGGTTGAAAGGTTATCCTGCCATGGCCTGGCTGACAAATCTCCAGCAGCGAAATTTTCCTTGATCAATTCTCCCTCAAGCTTCGTCGACGGCCGCTGCACAAGAGCATTTCGACGTTGCTCTCGAAGGAGTTGGATATACTCCGGCACCACTTTGGGGAAAACGCCGTTTGTCTTTTCTCGAAGTGCTCGTTCTCTCGCATCGTATGCCTTGAGACATAAACTTCCCACAGCCACATGCAATGGCCTTCGACTATCTGTAACAAACTTCGGATGATGGTGAAAAATCTCATCGACTTGTTGCCATGCCTTGTCGACTTCATCCCCGATCGTGTGTGTCTTCAGTTGGTTCAGGATGTAAATGAAGGCTTGCCATTGAAAGTACACATTGGAGTGCCACATAAACCTGTGTAAGCCCTTGGATGAATGGGCCAGGTTGTCAGATTCGAGAAGTTTGACCGAAAGGTGCCAGAGATACTCTCGCTCCGAAGCTGGAACATCGTCAGGATGGCTGTATTTCCGTGGGTGGTGAGCCATGAGTCGCATGCTATGAACGGCCGCTCTTCCAATGATGACGGCGAGAAATTGTATGGGGATGGAAGGATCACAGTATCTCAAGAACTTCTCTTCTATCCGCTGCTCGAGTTCATTGATGCTGGCATCTCTCTCGTCCAGGGTAGTGGTCCAGGGTGATGAGATTCGTAGATTCTCGAAGGCAATGGTCGATCTCTTGAGGAGCTTTTCCTTCCAAAAATGGCCAAACTCGGCACGGAGAAGGCAAGATACCATTTCGGTGGGCCTTGTTTGCGAAACCGGTGGCTCTGTCATGCCCGGATAAATATCGGCGTCATTGACATTGCTTGGTAGTTGAGTGTCTGAGAGACTGAATTCGCCAAATCGGCCGGACCCACTGAGTTCCGCCGATCTAAAGTCCAAGATGGAAATCTGCCACCACAAGCGCCGTCGCATTTCTGTTTCGAAAGGGGGCAATCCTAGAAGGGTTCCATCCCGATGAATTCCCATCGCTTGTCCCACCCGACTGGCCACGCCCGAAAGAGTCCACACGGTTCGAGAATCGTAGTCTTCTCGCATTGTGAGCAGGTAAAAAAGAAAGGCCTGCAAGACCACGGGATCTGAGGTGCCCATAAATCTGGCTCTACCCAGCGCTTTTCTGGTCGCGTGGCGATACCTGGCCAGGAGAACCTTGCGAGTTTCACCAAATTTCATTTCGCATTCATCATCACCCATCGAGAACACGGCCGAGCAGTAGATGGAGAACATCAAAGCTTCCAGGCCCTTGGGCAGGTTATCAAGATTTGACGTAGCTTGGACTAGGGTCTCTTGAAGCGTTGGTTGATGGATGACTTTGGTCATGGGATTGATGTTCTCGAGAAATACCTGCCAAAGCACAAAAATGTGATCCGGCGAAGGATGAAATTGCTGGATTGAATTGCTTGTTGGGGTGTAGCCGAGAAGAAAGTCTGTACTCTCTTCGACTGGGGAGCCGATCTCATCCTCATCTTCTGAATACTCTGCGATAACGTCGTTGGGTTGTTGGAACTGTACAGATGTGTTAGTCATGTTTACGGAGGAAAAAGGGGGGGAGGGGTGTGTTGGGTTCGTGGAATGATGAATCACATGTCTTACTTCGCTGGACACGCTTGTCCACAGGTTGTTTTCAATAAAGCGCGATTTACCATGATCGACAATCAATTGTCCCGATTTGACGGTTGTGTCAGGCGAGGCGTAGAATTCGGCTTGACTCCCTCTCAAAACAGCGTCTGGAAGGTTATGTGATGCACCGGGAACGGTGTCGGTGGGGGATGTAGATGATGGGCCTGGAATGTCCGGGCTATCAATGCTGATACCCTTGCTTTTAAGGAGATCCTCGCATTTTTTCAGCCGGGCCAGCAATAACTCCTCTTGAGGCCTCTTCTTACGCCGGCGAGGTGCCGGTGGGATGCGGAAGACACAGTCGACTTTGGACTTGACGCAATTCGAGCAAGGATTTTGCTTGTCGCATTTGACTTTGCGCTCAAAACACCTGATGCACGAGTATGCTTTTGCAGGGCGATCTGTGGTACTCATCCCTTCGAGCTGTCAGAGACAGGAGTAGATCTCAGGTAATCGAAATATCCCGGGTCTTGTTGGGATAGACATGCGATGAAAGAGAAACCACTCCTTGTCTACTATGCTTGATGTTGCACAATGAGTCAGAGGATGGTCGCCAGCGTCACTAGACTTTCCCAGAGGGTGGGGGGGGCCAGAACTGTGTCGCCGTTCTGTGTCTGCTGGGCTGGAGAAAATTCGTTGAATCGGAAAATGAAGTAAAGAAGAGCGATATCAAGAAGCCATCTCCTACCTTGACTTGTTCATGTCCATGACGAGAAGGAAACAAAACATGAACTCTAATCGCAGTAGGCGAAATTCAGGCAGGCAACAGCTAAACAACCCCAAATTCGGCTATTCTTGGCACTCTAATACCACATTTGTATTAGTACTACGCATACTACTTTCACCTCCCAGTTGCCCGACACGATGGGATCCTAGTCTCGCGGGGTGGGTGTATGGTAGAAGTTGAGGGAAATGGAAGTCAAATCATAAAACCGCCACCATGGAGGCATACCTTAACTGGGGAAAATGCAGACAAGGCTTGCCGTTCGACGAGGCTGCCACTTGGCAGGGCAACCGTATTCTTTCGACCTGGTGGTATATGGATTATCTAGCGTGAGTCCCCTTCAACTTTCTCCTTGTCCACCAGGAACCTTGCACCGTGTACCATTCTTCCTGCCTCCTCAGCCGTTGACCACCACCCCGCCATTTGGATGAAGGCTCTGGCCACTGATCATGCTGCTGTCTTGGCTGGCCAGGAAGACGAAGCACGTGGCAATTTCACTCGGCTGAGCGGGTCGTCCCATGGGAGACGTAAACTGTTCTTGTGCCTCGGTGGTCATGGTACTTGGGATGAGAGGAGTCCACACAGGACCCGGACATACCGCGTTTACGCGGATTCCTTTGCTTAGCTGCTGGTTGGCCAAACCCCGAGTGAAAGAGACAACAGCTGAATCACCAGTTAGTGGGAAATATCTTGACTTTGCATCAAGCACACTTGCCTCCTTTGGTTGCCGTGTAGTCCAGAAGATCAGGTCGGCCGACGTATGCATTTATCGAGGCACAATTGATGATGGTATCCCCTCTCTTCATATGTGGAATGAGCATCTTAGAGAGGTAAAAGAGTGGATAGACATTGATCTCGAATGTTCTTGACCATTGCTCGAGGGGAATTTCGGTGATATCACCATGCATCATCTGGTTCGCGGCGTTGTTTACCTTTGAGAGCACCGATCAGGACCGAACTCCGGGAGTACGCCGTGTTGAAAATTCACATACTAGAATGTTCACGCGACCCATCCTTTCCAAGGCAGTATCGACCACCTTCTGGCAGTTCTCCGGCTTTGTGATGTCAGCGCCGATTAAATGACAGCTGCGACCAATTTCCTCGACTCGACGTTTCGTCTCCCGGGCATCCTCCTCTTCTTCGGGTAGATACACAATCAAACTGTCCGCGTCTTCCATAGCATACAGAAGAGCGATCGATCTTCCAATGCCGCTGTCGCCACCAGTGATAAGGGCCTTCTTGTCTTGCAACTTTCCAGCTTCCTTGTACATCTGCCATCCGCCATCTTCGGTGGGTATCTTGTCACTCACAGGCTTCAGAGGCAAGTCGCTCTCTCGGCCGGGGGGCTGTTGGTGGGAGATGGGCACTTTGAAGTTAGGTTCGGAGGGAGAATCGGAGCTGGTAGCTTCCCGGACGGCGTTCTTGATGGATTCCATTACACCAATGATTTGTATGTATCGTCAGCAGTCACCAAGATGAAGAAACGGACATTTCTGGTCGGAAAGAAACACAGGAAGCATGGATCAGTCCTATATCCTCAAAGTGTCTTCGACGAACGTCATATGCCCAACACTGATGTCACGATGGATATGAGGCAAGACTCGGGGCGCATCTCCGGTCGAGGAGCGATCTGTTCCTGTCTGGCATCTTCATGATCAGCAAGTAGAATTTCCATCACGAGCGGTCCACGAGGCTGGACCGGGTAATGGGGTGGGTTTTGTTGACAAGCCGCCGGGCAACTCCATAGCCACGTGAATGCCACGTGATTCGGTGGATGGCTTTAATCACGTGAACTCGAGCGTTAAACCAATTCGGTAAAGCGGCTCCTCTTTGCCCAAAATGACTTCCGGAGACTCTTCTCTACTTCGGCCCCGAACAAGTCGACGCCCAACTCAACTCCGACCATTGACCATTGTTGAGAATGTCATCCAATGTCCGAGATGTTACAACTTCGTGCAGCCGCTTCGATCCACGATTACCTTTATTCGTCTGGCGCTCGCGCCCGAGACATGTTGCCAGTCCCTATACCGGAGCCTGATATACTAGTATATGGAGTATGGGGAGGGGGGAAAAATGGTCTAAGTGATGATTCTCATCACATTAATATTTCCTTCTCATCTGTCCAACAATCCATGATTCGCAATTTCTGCTTCAGAATATTCCCATTGTCTCCATGCACTCTTATCCCGTCCTTATACACACATGATCAAAATGTCAGACGAAACAAAATCATGCCCCAGCACTCAGCGTCCTGCCAGCACTGATGCTGCAAATGCCGTTGGTCCCCTTGAGGAGGACGAATACCCTCCGTTCCTAACTGTCCTGATCACCGTCGCGGCGGTGATGTTCACGTCTTTTCTCGTCGCACTGGTACATCTCCTCCCTCCTTCCTTCCTTTACCCGACACTGCACACTAACTGGGAAAAATAGGACCGAACCATCATTGCGACCGCCATCCCTGTTATCACCGACCACTTCAACTCCCTGGGAGATGTAGGTTGGTACGCTTCCGCCTACCTCCTGACCATGTCCGCCTTTCAACTCTTCATGGGCCGAGTCTACACCTTCTATAATCCGAAATGGGTCTATATCTCGTGTGTTGGAATCTTCGAACTCGGCTCCTTGATCTGCGGTGCTGCTCCCACTTCCACCGCGCTCATTATCGGTCGTGCCATCGCAGGCTTGGGCAGTGCAGGCATCTTCTCTGGGGCAATTATCATCATCGTCTACCTTGTCCCACTGTCCAAACGTCCAGCCTGGACCGGCATGGCTGGAGCCGTCTTCGCCGTCGCCTCCGTCGCTGGACCACTATTGGGCGGCGTCTTCACAGACAAAGTCTCCTGGCGATGGTGCTTCTATATCAATCTCCCCATCGGAGGAGCCACCGTGGTGGTTTTGGTATTTGTCCTTAATCTCCCTAAGAAAGAGAAGGCGAAGGTCCATCTCCAGCAACAAGTTCATCAAATGGACCCGATCGGCACATGTGTCTTCGTCCCGGCCATCGTATGTCTCCTCCTCGCCCTCCAATGGGGCGGAGTGACCTACCACTGGTCGGACGCGCGGATCATCGTTCTCCTTATTCTTTCAGGCATACTCTTCCTCGGCTTCATGTGGATTCAACACTGGCGACAAGAAAACGCCACAATTCCCCCACGCATCCTCAAGACCCGATCCGTTGCCGCAGGGGTTACCTACGCTTTCTTCTCCGGCTCAGGAATGATGTCTATGGTCTACTTCCTTCCAATCTGGTTCCAAGCCATCAAAGGCGCCTCGGCCGTGCACTCTGGTATCATGAACTTGCCGGCGATTCTGGCCATGACGCTCGCAGCCATGATGGCCGGATTCCTCACGCGCAAAATCGGCTATTTCACACCGTGGATGTACGTGTCCTCCCTCCTCACCCCAATCGGCGCAGGCCTGATCTCTACATTCTCCACCACCACGGCACACCCGGCGTGGATCGGATATCAAATCCTCTGGGGCTTCGGCCTGGGGCTGGGAATGCAACAACCCAGCGTGGGCGCACAAGTATCACTGGCCAAAAAAGATGTCCCAACCGGCGCTTCGATGATGTTCTTTGCCCAGACTCTCGGCGGATCCATCTTCGTTAGCGTCGCCAACAACATCTTCGACAACAAGCTTGCCCAGGGCTTACGGACCATCCCCGGCATCAATCCCGACGTCATCTCGAACGTCGGCGCCACTGATCTACGAGACGTCGTTCCCTCCCAGAACCTGCACAGTGTGCTGGTGGTATACAACGGGGCGCTCCGGAACGCATTTTATGTCTGTACCGCCGTCAGCGCTACAACTATATTCGGCAGCTTGGCTATGGAGTGGAAGAATTTGAAGAAAGTTGAAGCCGAGCAGAAGGCTGCTGCTGCCAAAGCTAAGATTGAATCTGAACAATCGAGGAAGCCCAGTTCGACCGGGACAGTGGAAGCACAGCCGCATCAACAGCATTCGCCACCGCAACCTCCACCTGCTGCGGCGGAGGAAAAGAAGATCGAAGAAGTCTGATTGTTGCTCCTCAAATACCCCATCTCTTGATATCCCTCCCTCCTGTGGCCGGGGAATATCCTATTATTCAACGCGACATCGAGGAGGCGCCCTCTTCCCATGAAAGGCAGCAGCCACTGGTTATCTACGAGGTGAGGCGTTTAAGCGGATACTATCCGACGGTAGATCGATAGACCAACAGTGGTCTAAACCCCAACTCAGTTTGTAAAGTACGTAACTAGAAGCAATAAAAGCATCCAAACATCAAGGGGAAAATAATTTCGATTATGTCGAACTTTATGAATCCGTTTGTCTCCTTAGGTCTCCAGCGCTCAGCACGGAAGTCATAAGTACATTCCCAGGCTTCATTTTCATAACTGTGATGCACTGCTCGTACTGAGAACATACCCATCATCGACAGCAACGGTCTGACCATTAAGGGACTGATTCGTCGCCGCAAAAAGATTCGCATTCGCCATATCCCTATCTTCGCCAGACCGTGCGGCGGAGATTTTCTCCTTGTACTTGTTGCGCGGGATATGGGCGGCTGATCGAGGTGATGTGGATTGCGGTGCCGGAGAAGTTATCGTCGTGTATATGTGGAGCAGGAGGAACGCGGTAGTCATGAAGAGTTGTGCCACGTTCGTGCGCTCCCTGTCGGCCCACATGTCGAAGGTCTCGTTGGAGTCATCAAACGAGTTGCGTGACATCTCTTCGGCGGAGGATACTTCGGTCTGTTGTGTATTGAGCGCGGTGCCGGTATTGTTGACTAGGATGCATAGGCATTTTTTGCGAGAGGAGATATAAAATGTGAGATTCTATATTTCGCCCTTCTTCAACACGTCCGCTGTGACGGTAATGATGGAGTCGGGGATGTCTTTGCTCTAGATCTCGGTGACGTGCTCAAGTTTCTTCTCGGTACGGCCACAGATATAGACTTCGGCGCTGTCGGTGGCGAGAGCTTGGGTTGCCATAAAGCCAACGCCACTGCGGCCTCGGGCGATGAGGGCAACTTTGCCGGAGACATCAAAGAGTTTGGAGGGTTTGAAAGATTCATTATTCGAGTTGAGGGGTATGGTGGGTGCGGCTATCAAGTGACTCCTGGGATCGGGGTACAAGGACTGTTGGGTTGCCAATCCGTCGTGGGAATTTGGATGGCATTGGGAAAGTGTTACTGAGATTGATGAAGAGAGTGCTCTGAGATATGCCACACTAACCTTGCTCTACTCACATCTGATGACATGACCATAATAGGAGATCCGCCAGAACAGTTCATAATGATGCTCTGATGATGAAACCAACATCTGGGTGGGTCGTCTGTCCGGTCATACGCTTTACCAATCAGGCGTCTTGAAGTGAGGACAACTCTTTGAATCCGCAATTAGGCTTGACGACGTTTGTCTTCGGCAAAACAGCGGGGAGTTGCGGGCCAATCACATCGGCCCTCGACTTCCACACCTCAACGGTAGTTCATCTGTCTCTCCCTCTTCTATCCAGAAACCATGGAACCACCACGATGACAACGCACCAAACCCTCTCCTCTCGAGATCCTCTCTGACACTCTTCCGGTCCCCTTCGACATGGCCGTGATCAACTACGGCGGCGGCGTGCCAATCTCTTACCAAGCCCCCCAGTTCCCCTCCCTGTACTGGCCTGTCCGCGCCGCACCCGGCGAGGCTCAGTACCTGTACTACTTGTCCGACATCTACCGCTACACATTATACTGGACCTTGATTACGATTTCGGCGGCACACGTCTGCGTTGCGACCTGGGCAGTGTTGATGCAGTTCAACTCGGCAGCGCATAGAAGGCGATATCTGAGAACTCCGGCGGGGAGGGCTCTGAGCGCAAAAAACAGGAAACTGCTGGGCGAATATCCTATCGGCGAGACGTTGAGCTGGGTTTGGCTGATCCCTCTCGTATATATTGTCATTGGTGGACTGGAGGCGTTACTGGCCGGCAGTTTGCTTGGCTTAGTGCTTGGAGCGGTTTACAATGCTGGATATTTTATGATGAGTACTTGGACACCGTTGCTATGGGGAATCATCAACATGCTTGTCCTGGTTGTGAGCAGTTTTAGAATACAGGGAGGCTTATGAGAAAATAGCCCCTCTCCTACGAAAGGCGAGATTTACCGGTGAGCCACATGAGCCGAGGAACACGACGACACGACAATTGCGGTCTTTCCCTTCCTGCCAACCATAACATGCTCAGCACGATAGCAGGTATATAGTCCCGCAAAAGGGCATCGTGCCACTAGGGAAGAACGGTTGTCGGCTTCAGGTATGCTCGAGTTCACTTGATGGTGGATACCAGGGTTTGCCAGCCCAGGGTCGAAACCCTTTTCAATTCGAGTGCTCGTGTCGCCTCAACGAAATCGGCCTGACTTCCTTTTCTTGAGCATGGCAATATTGTCCTCAAACGAAGCTACGAGGAAGATTGTTGAGAAACGGATACGTCCCCATCCCGATGGTAAAGCGGAATCCACGGTTGTTGACTGATCGCGGCAAATGTGATCAGAGTACGGAAACAGACGTGAGACGCAGATATTCTCCCAGCATGAATGCTTAATTGAGACCCTGCAAACGAGAAAATGATACGTCAGATACCGTCACAACGGAAATCAGGAAGATACTTGTCTGAAGACAACTCTAATTGGTCGCAATTCTGCACATGCTCTTGGACGAGATGTCATTGCTCAATCTGCACTTGGCCAGGCAGTCAGCGTTTGCCTCGTAAACCCATGGATGCTCAAATTAGGAAATACTAAATGCCACAACGACGTTGACTCTGCCCCTTGATTCTTCTTCAGTCATCCAGACTTTCCTGTTGGTAAATGTGTCGCGTTCGGCTAGGATCCTTGCGCATTTCATGACCACTGCCGGTGAATCCAACTACACGACAAGTTAGGATAGGACGAAATATTGCGAGCAGGTAACCCGAATCTTACCTCGAGCATTGACACTCTCACCCGTCCTAAACATGCTATCTTTCTTGGTCAATTTTCCGGCCTTTGACTTGGCCGCGAACTCTTGCCATTTGTTTTTGCCCGCTTCCAGCTCCTTATTCGCCTTGACTTTTCGAGGAATTTTGGCCGGTCGAATTGGACCATCACTGACCTTACTCGGTTCACGTCGGGCTTGTTGTGCCAGGGTCGGGTCGACACTTGCTGCAGCTGAGATGACATTGGGATTTGATGGAGGCGGCACTGGAGTGGACGATCCTGACACTCCATCAGCCTTACGCTTTCTTGCCTCGTTGGATATTGGTTTGATGTCTTTGGCTTTCAGAGTCTCGGTGTTTCCATAGTTTTTGAAGGTGACAATGTAGACCGGGTCGCTGGATGATCCCGTGATGGAGGTGATCCGCGCAGTGTAGAAGCCGCCATCGCCCGACTTCCATCTGGCCGATACCGTGTCATTGACTGAGAATGATGTGAGAGTATTCGCGTCTTCTGTTTCGACTTCAGGCTTCCGATAGCCAGCTTGATACGCGGGGTGGTTTTCTTTAGACCATTTCTCTTTCACCGGGGGCGTGGAGGGTTTTGTAGCGGGCGATGGGGCTGATGGAGGCTTTAGTTCTGCAATGGCCTTTTCGGTGAGGGCAATAACTTCTTCAAGTTCTACTTTGAGACCCTGTAGTTCAACGTTCTCGGGGTCGTTCTGTAGACTCGACTGGACGTTCTCCAGTTGTAGTTTGTATTCGTTGATCTCACTTTCGAGGGCGGCGATATCACTCATTATCAGGATCTGTCCGGGTAGAAGAGAGTTGAGAGAATTCGGATGAAGTAGGGTTCTCGAAATACCAGTATCGAGTGAGGAAGAGATAAGTAGAGGTTCAAGTGAGGACTGACCCGCGGGCTTGCGTCTTCTGCGAGTACTGATTGCCAAGCCGACTCCTGTGGGACTTTCAGCATTCAAAAATCCCAAAATCCGTACCAAAAAAAGTCGCTTCTCCTCTGGTACAATCCTCAATTTTTTTAGTGGCAAGACTCTGTCTACTTCAGTCAACATGGCCTCTCAAGACATGTTTACTCTAGCCAATGACAGTAAGTCCGTTGAATCATTAAGAGGTATTGCAGATGGCTTAGCACCATCACACACATTTATCCCGAATCGTGGCTATGCGGACAATGATGCATCCGCCCCCCGGAAGCTTGCCCTAGGCAATGTCATCCACGAGGAAGACGGTGAGGAGGAAGAACAAGAAGAAGCAGGTGATGATGACGGCTATGAATATGAAGACGAGTATCAGTCTGACAGGGCAGACGGAATTCAACTCGTGGATCCTGACCAACTTGCATACTCAAATCCTGCAGATCTCACTAAGGCCTTCAACCGGCAGAGGCGACTAGAACAAGCACTTGCGGATCCAAACGTCCCTCCCTCGCAATACCCCAAATTCAACACTCCGAAACTGCCTAAGGACGTTGACGAGGACGAGGAGGACGAAGCCGACGGCAGGAAACCCCGGGCAAACATCGCGGGCCTGGAGCACACCCCCTTTCGCGAAACTTCCAAGGATAGACTCAAGAAAGACAAAAGAGACCGAGCTACGAGAGAACAGGTACTTGACCCTAGGACCCAAAAAATCCTGTTTCAAATGATCAGCTCCGGCATAGTCTCCGAAATCAACGGTACCATCTCAGCCGGCAAAGAGGCCAATGTCTACCACGCTGTTTGCACCTCTGACGAAGCCGATACTCCAGACACACATGTTGCTATCAAAGTGTACAAGACCAGTATTCTAGTCTTCAAAGACCGTGAGAAATACGTCAGCGGTGAATTCCGATTCCGAAGAGGTTTCAAATCTTCCGACAACCGCTCTATGGTGAAATTATGGGCCGAGAAAGAGCTGCGCAACCTCAAGCGAATCCAAGCAGCCGGCATCCCCAGTCCTGAACCACTCTACCTTCGCCGCCACGTTCTCGGCATGAGTTTCATCGGCGATTCCAAGGGAAACGCGGCACCCAGACTAAAGGACGTCGAATTCACGGACCATGATGCGGCGGCCAAATGGAGGGCGATCTATCTCGAAATCATTACTTATATGCGCATCATGCTGCAGAAATGCAAGCTCATCCATGCAGATTTGAGCGAGTACAACATGCTCTACTACAAGAACACACCCTACATCATCGACGTGAGCCAAAGTGTCGAGGAAACCCATCCTCACAGCCGAGATTTTTTGCGTATGGACATCAAAAATGTCAACGACTTCTTCCGCCGCAAGGGTGTCGACGTGCTCTCAGACAAGAAAATATACCAATTCCTCACGAGACGAGCGGCCGACGGCACGGAATCAGAATTAAAACTCGACACGGTTCGCGCTGAGATAGACAAAATCATGGCTCAGCGCACCGATGTAGAGGACAGGGACGAAGAAGATGAGGTCGAGAACGAAGTCTTCCGCAAGCAGTACATCCCGCAAACGCTCGAAGAAGTGTACGACGCCGAAAAGGACCTGGAGAAGCTCCAAATCGACGGCCGCGATGCCCTCGTGTACAAGGACCTCCTCGCGCCATTGAAAGATGAAAAGCCACAGCAGCAGCAGCCGCCCAACTCAAGTCCTGCACCGGCGTCAACAGACACTGTGAACGACAACTGGGAAGACCAAGACGATGACCCAGATCAGGGCGCACCCCTCTCGCCCATGCATTCCCATGTAGACTCCGAAGCTTCAAAATCACATTCCGACGACGCAGATACCGATACGGGCTCAGTATCCACTTCTTCATCCCGATCCAGTCGGCCCCGAGGGAAACGGTTCCAAGACAAAGACGAGAAACGCGAACACAAGCGCAAAGTGAAAGACGAGAAGCGCGAGAAGCGCAGTAACAAGATACGCAAGAATGTCAAGAAGAGGTTGGTGAAGGAGACGAGTCGACATAAACGTTAGCATTACACTGCGTAGCATCATGTTGTTGGTCCCCTTACCTTGCGCCTGGTATGGTATAGCATAGAACCGATCCGGACATACCGGAAAAGCAAATGAAAACTCTTCTGCTCCGGGCGACCTCTTGGCCGGTTCCAGACCCCCCCCCCAAAAAGCACCACCCAAACGGATGTGGCCTTTGGCTTCAATACGCAACAACGTTCGATGGTACGTACCAAATGATCCCCACGTTACCGTTTTTTATTGTCGGAGGAATGAAGATACCAAGCCAAAATACACTTGAGATGACTCCATCCTTCATCCAGCAGTGGACGGCACGACGGTCGCGCTTGAGCGCAACCTCTCGTCTCTGATCACCTGGGTCGACATGATATACAAAGAGTACACGGACTTTCCGCCTTTAAAATCTTATCATGACTACTTTTCTTATTTTGGTGGTTGAAATCTGACGAATTGATCCCCATTCTAGATTCTGAACTGCATCGATTATCCTCGCCGATAGAGTCACGGTTAACGAGCAGTCTAATCAACTCGCCGGAGGCCCGCCAGTTCTCTTCTTCTTCAACCTGCGCAAAGCATCTTCGACCGTTTTCCTTGGCAGCTCAGGCATACTGGCGACATGTTCTTCGTCATCGGCCCTGTTGATCACATACCGCGGCGGTAAGGCGTTGACGTCACTCCAGATGTCGCTGGGGAGATACTCTCCCAAATCATTTTTGAACTCCAGCCTGAGCTTCCGATCTTGTTCGTACATCTGCTCGAGTTGAGAGTGGGCGTCGGCCACGACGCGCTCCATTTGTTTCTTGACCGTCCGGCGTCGTGCGGCCTCGACGATCAGTCCGTCATATGCGTGGAGGAAGTTGGCGTAGGAGTCGCATAGTTCTTCCATCCCCCCGATACCGTCGTCGATCTTTGCCTTCTCTTCACTCCACTTGGTGGCATGTCTGGCCGTCTCGGCCACGTAGGTCGAGAGTCGTCCTGAGATTTTCTCAAGCAGCCTAAACGCCGTTGCGACGTCATCATAGGCATTCTGCTGTCGTTCCCGCCATTGGGCGATTTTGTCGAGCTGTGCTTCCATCTCAGCATTGCGATCTTGTAACTCCATAACAACTTCGTCGACCTCGGCAGCGTCATTTTCGAGGACTTGTAGCATTTCCAGCCGTTCTTCTTCGTTCATGGGTTGTGCCGGGGCTTGCAGCTCATCCATACCCAGCCCGACCGTATCTGGGAGATCTTCGGCATTGGCGGTCACGGTCTGCACCACGGCCTCACCGCCGCCTTCCGTGTGTTTTATGGCGGTAACGCACAGGTCGAAGTGTTTGACCAGACTTTCGAGTCCTTGGGCCATTTCTCTTGCGTGGTTCTCGAGGATCGACAGAGTCAAGGATATGTTTGGAGTTGGAACATCACTTTCGGTGCCCGACGTTTCGAACCTATTGTTGAGCACTTCATTGACCGACTGCAGATCTTCTTCGAGTGTGATGATGGACTGATTCATTTCTCGTTGTGCATTTTGTACATTATCTATAGCCACTTCCATTGCCTGTTTGATGGTCTCAACCCCTCGGTCATCGACAAAGTCATGCAGAGTCTCCTTCTCGGCGGCATCTTGTCGCTCCGGATTGGATTGGAAGGCATCCTCAACCCTCGTTTGCTTCAGGAAGTCTATGCATTGGAGAAGCCGGGCACCAGTCTCATCCAGCTCTTTGATCACCGCCTGGAATTCTTGCTGGACGATCTGTGCCGCCGATTCTAGTTCAAATTGTACGCCACGTAATGTTTTCAACTGAGAAGCCAATGACCGGCGGAGATAGGTTGCTTTGGCAAGGAGGGCGGTGGTCGACTCGACCGAGGCACGTGCTTCAGAGAGGATGTGGGTGGCTCGATGGACGAGATGAATGCTGCCCAATGAACGTTTGGCTGCGACTAGATATGAGACCAGTGTCTCGACCGAAGCTCGAGGACCGGTGGCGTGCAAAGACTGTGAAGGAGAGGATCGAGTGGAAGGCTGTTGGACAACATCCGGGGATTGCGCCATGGCTGGGATGGGTGAGGAAATCTCTGGGGAATCAAAGTTCAAGAACAATACAGGTCATCGTGCGCGGATCTCTGATGATGAAAACGCAGTCAGCCCTTTTTTTTTTTGCTTCAGTTGGTCAACCATTTTCGTGTTGTTCAAAACAACATACAGTACTGGACGGCGCTGGCGGATGTGAGGGGCCCGACTCCCGGGGGTTTTTTGGACCTTTAGGTCGGCCGAGTGGGGCAAGCCAGCAACAGCGCACGAGGAGTGGCTGTTTATTTATCGAGGATAACAGACGCAGGAACTGCGGGTTGGACGCTGAGGCATCGCGTTGGCTGTTTCACGACGAGGCAAAATGATGAAGAAATGGTCGAAATGGCACCATTCGCACGCCATCGAACACCATCGCTGTCAGCCAAAAATCCCCCCGACTCAAAACAGGATTAGCTACGGGATCTCCCGCTCTGCCGAGTGCTTGGCATGACCCCCGCCAACCAGATCGCCGCTGACCCGGAAAAGGCAAGCATCGTCCCCACTTTCGTCATTGTCTGCGCCTGCGCCTGGCACGCAATTGTCGAGGACCCCAACCGGCAGTCGGTCGGCTCCCGCAATAAGGCCATAAATTTTGCCATCCCATCTTTGCGCCATACCACTGCTGCCATTGCTCACTGCCCGGCTTGCTTTTGGATTCTTTGTAATTCTCATGCAAGCACGATGTACTGGTAACCCTCCGAGCGTTTGCATCTCTCTCAGACACCGCCGGGTAGCCCTCAAATACTCCGGTCTCCCTGGCGAAATCCCCTCGACCGAATAGAACACCGACTGCCGAGATACACCAAAAACTCCCTACCCAGCGACATGTAACAACAACCTCCTAACTTCTTGAGAAGTCTTACAATGCCTTTTGACTTATTGGAGAACCGTCGAAGGCTGGATTTGGTAGATACAGAATGGGAGGAACCTGCCCGAAAGAGATTGCGCGCCAACCCCAGTAAAGAGGAGGACCACGACGAACCATCGTCTCATTCTCAGCACGTCCCCGATGCCTCTAAGGACAAGAGTATTACGATTGCGTCCACCGCCAAACATGCGCACCAAACCGTCGCTCCGTTCCTGGCAAAACACATACCCTCACAATATGCACCCTTGGGCAAGGCTGTCCCCCCCCCGGGCACACGGGATACAATACGGGATCCCAACTCGAAATTCTGCTACCGACATCGACCGGACATGCTGTGTCGACGACAGGCTGATGAACCGTCCATGGACAAACTTCAGAGAGGCTTGGATGCCCTTTCTCAAGAAGACAGACAAGGCATCGTCCAAGTCTGGTCTCTATTCTCGGCGGCTCCCTCCAAGCATCGAAACCTGATGCTCCAAGGGATCCTCGCTCAATGTTGCTTCCCCCAGCTGTCCTTCCTCTCTGCCAATGTTCGAGAACTTATTCGCATTGACTTCCTCTCGGCGTTACCGACAGAAGTCTCCTTTCGGATCCTCTGCTTCTTGGACACCGTCTCCCTCTGCAAAGCCGCCCAAGTCTCTCGAAGATGGAGGCAGTTAGCAGATGATGATGTCGTATGGCATCGGATGTGCGAACAGCATATCGATCGAAAGTGCACAAAATGTGGGTGGGGCCTCCCTCTGCTTGAAAGAAAGATGTTACGGGCTTCCAAAAGACAAATCGAACTGCGTGCGGCCGGCAATATGTCCATCGATGCCCCTCCCTCCGCCGCATCACAGTCTTCTGACCGCGGGGGGGCATCTCCTTCTATTGCGTCAGATCACGAAAGTCATTACGACCACGCAGATATCGGAAGATCATCCGATGGTCGATTATCTCCAGTAGCCGCCAGAAGACCTCCCCTCGTTGCCAACGACTGCGAATCCAGTCGGAGGCCCCGACCCTGGAAAGACATCTATAAGGATCGATTCAAGGTTGGCACCAACTGGAAACACGGACGGTGCAGTATCAAAATTTTGAAGGGACATTCAAATGGTGTCATGGCTCTCCAGTTCTGTGACAACATCCTAGCAACTGGGTCTTACGATGCCACTATCAAGATTTGGGATCTCGATACTGGTCAAGACTTGAGGACACTGAGAGGCCATGCAATGGGCATTCGCTGCCTCCAGTTTGATGACAACAAATTGATCAGTGGAAGTCTCGACAAGACCCTGAAAGTATGGAATTGGAGAACGGGAGAATGCATATCGACATACAACGGCCACACCGAGGGTGTGATTGCCCTCCACTTCGACTCTAACATTCTTGTGTCGGGCTCCATCGACCATACGGCCCGCGTTTGGAATTTCGAGGATCGTTCAGTGTTCACTCTTCGGGGACACACTGACTGGGTCAACTCGGTTAAAATCGACACCGCCTCCCGGACCATATTCACCGCATCCGACGATTGTACCGTCAAGCTCTGGGATCTTGATACCAAGAAATGTATCCACACCTTCGAAGGTCATGTCGGTCAAGTCCAACAGGTCCTTCCACTGCCGGATGAAGTCGAAGTTGAAGAACAAGAGGAAGATGACCCGGAATCCGACCCGGGGACCCCGGACAGCCATTTGACGGTCCACTCCGAGAATGGAGTTTTTCAAACACTGCCTCATAGAGACTATGGTGGCCTATTCTGTTCTCACCCCGGTCGGCCCCAACCACCGAAATACATGCTCACTTCGGCACTCGACTCCACCATTCGCCTCTGGGACGTCCATTCCGGCAAGTGTGTGAGGAAGTTCTTCGGCCATGTTGAAGGTGTGTGGGCCGTTGCGGCCGATACCCTTCGCATTGTCTCTGGTGCAGAAGACAGAATGGTCAAAGTCTGGGATCCCAGGACCGGCAAGTGTGAGCGCACCTTCACTGGCCACGCCGGTCCGGTCACCTGTATTGGGCTGAGTGATAGTCGCATGTGCAGTGGTGGCGAGGATGGTGAGGTCAGGGTTTACAATTTTACCGCGTGATTGATTGGTTTTGGCTATGTGGTTGATATGGTTTCGCCGTCGCATAAATGTGTCGAACCTGGATTGAGAGTTTATCTTGATTTATTTGGGCTGGTGACAAATTATGGGTATTTGTATATGAGTATGGACACTGGTCTGATTACGGTTCATGGATTATGGCCCCAAAAAGCACGGCGCCAGAAGTTTGTCAAAAGGGGGTTATCTGGGTGCATGCAGGTCATGATCTATTCGATGAGATACCATAGTGTTTGAGCTTGGTCGGCTGCTTGTTAACTAAGGAATGTCTTCGAGTTAGAGCGGAAGACAAAATGTCACATCTATATACGTAACATTTCCTTCATGCTCCTAATACCTGGAACATTCATCCGTCACAGGGAAAAAGAAAGGGGCCAACCGTCGAGTTTTCTAGATATTGTAGGGAAGAACAGCTCCCCCCAGCCTTCCAAAACACGGAAGAAAAAAAAACCAAGAATTATCGACGGTCTTCTTCATTCACTCATATATTATGGCATCCTCTCATTGCGCACATCACCCATTCAATAAGCAGACAGATAAGTAGTTCAAACACCTGTGATGCGTCTAATATTCCGTCTTCCGCCTTCGCCAGTAACCTGGATCTTACCCTCCATCTCCAGGCTACGCAGGACGGCCAGAAACTCAGCCCCCTCGATATCTACTGTGCTTCCTTCGCTGACACGACGGTATAAATCGGCGTAACGCACCGTTCCACCAGATCGAACGCCAGTATCGTCGTCAATGACAGCCAGGACCGCACGTTTCAAATCCTCTTTCCTGCGGCGATCGCTCGCACTGCCGCCCTCAGAGAGCAAGCCCATATCAATCAAACCGGTCCGGGCATCAGTTGCAGAGGCTTTGATCGCAGATTTGATCAGGCGGACCGCCTCAGCGACGTCAAATTCTTCGACGGTGGGCGAGAGACGCATTTTCGCGTGCGCTTCGCTGAGACGGATCATGGATTCAAGTTGCCGAGTTGTTGCGGTGATGCGACGGTCTTGGGCTTGGATTGAGGAGCCCAGAGAGCGCATTTGGATGTATGCGTCGGTCAACGCCGATGCAGCCGGAGGTGTCAGGGCTGGGTGGACGTTGGTTCGAGCATAAGAGATGTATGCTGTTAGGAACTCAATGGGCTATAAGGCAAAGGCTGTGAGTGAGGATGTGATTCTCATTGTTTATGTTAGATAGAGAGTTTGGAACTTACGAGAATCTCTTCTCGAGATGCATTTTCCGGCGTGTCTTCCAGGTACATTCCGACCAGATGCTTTGCGAGTCTGCGATCGTTGACCTCATCTATATGGTCCAGCACGAGATAGACGAGGTCAAATCTCGACAGTAATGTAGGTGGAAGATCGATGTTCTGTGGGACCGACAAGTTGGGATTATATTTGCTGCCGATCGGATTTGCGGAGGCAAGAATACTGGTTCTGGCGTTGAGGGTAGTAATGATACCTGCTTTGGCAATGGAAACGGTTTGTTGTTCCATCACTTCGTGCAGGACTGAGCGTGTAGATTCGTTCATTTTATCAAATTCGTCGATACAACACACACCGCCGTCCGAGAGAACCAATGCTCCCGATTCGAGGACGAGTTGTTTTGACTCTGGGTCCCGGGTCACATACGCAGTGAGACCAACTGCGGACGATCCCTTTCCTGAGGTATAGACACCTCGGGGTGCAATTTTGTGGACGTATTGTAAAAGTTGAGACTTGGACGTAGACGGGTCACCACAAAGCAACACATTGATGTCGCCTCTATACTTGGGACTGCCACCCTTCTCGAACGACTTGTTTGTTCCACCAAAGAGTTGAAGAAGGATGCCTTTCTTGACATCTTCTAGCTCGTAAATACTCGGAGCCAGACTCCTTGAGAGAAGTTCATAGACGTCGTCACGAGCCGCAGTCTCTTTGATTTTGGCTTCCTCTTCTGCTGTAACTTTTCTCGTTTGCTCAACATCGCCCGCCACCTGCTCAGACAATTCTTGCTCAATTGTAGACGCGTCGATGCCAAGTTTTCGCTTGTCCACCTTTTGGACGTGGAGAACGTCGACATACGTCTTGAAGAGCGCTTTGACTGTTCGTTGACGAGGGTTGAGGCGAACAGGATTGCTCCGGAAAATTCCCGTCACTTCAATCCTATCACCAGCCTTGCAAACATCCACCAGCTCATCATACACGCAGAGAGACACGCTATGAGGTGTCTGTCCGTCCGGAACGGAGTCTGGCGTTTCCTGCAACTTGATGACCTGCTTATCTGCAAACACACATCGATTGTGAATGATTTCCATGCTGTCTTTGGATTTGCAAGCAGGACGAGGACATTCGGTTGGTTCTGCAATCTTGCCCCGATCAATCGACACATACAACGTGTGGTTGCAGACACTGCATTTGAAGAAGGCTTCTTTCATGTCGGGGATGACAGGAGTTGTCCGGATGACGAGTCCTTTAACGGAGATCAACTTGTCGATGTCCACTGGATCGAGGTCGCGCATATTGATTACCTTGTCTAGCCCAAAGGGGAGAACCTTCCATGGTTGAATTTCAGCCTCTTCGACGAGGTCGGGAATTTCGTCAGCGGCAGGTCCAGAGGTTGCAGCGGGTGTCGCTGCACTGCCCAAGTCGGAAGGGGGTAATGGGGGCATTGAGCTGTCGTTCCTCGTCCTCGAAGAGGACGCCGCGTGGTGTCGTTGCAATTCCTGCATTTCTTTCTGAGCAAGTTCGACCATCACATCTTTGACTGCTTGATCCATCAGGGGAATTATTTCCTGGGGATAGGCTTGTAGTTGATGCCACAGTTTCAAAGTGGCAGGATATGCCTTGAGATTACGTGCATCCAAATTGAGACCATGAACCCCGAGTTTTCTCATGTCTTGGAGCATCTCGAGATACTCTTTTTCATCGGCGGCAGCTCCCATGGCGCGTGTTTCTTCTTCTGTGGCACCATCGGCCCACATGCGGTATTTCCTTGCATAGTTGTAGAGAAAATTCTTGAAGGATGACATGGAATCAACAATGGAGATATTGGTTCCCCAAATGACTCTTGTGGAATCGCCTCCCATCGCGTCGGCCTCAGAAGTACCTGGATTAAGGTTGGAGAATGTGGCCTCCGAGGCCGGATTTTGACCATCTCGAACAGGCATGCCATCTTCGCCAACATAAATGCGGCCGCGATGTGCTGGAGAAGATGCAAACGTATCAGAGTGTATATCTCCACGTCTGGAAGAAATCCGAGGAGGTCGATCTTGACGAACAAACAGCCCGCTGCTGCTGCTTGGAATTGCAGATTGGAGACGATTGGAATTCCGTACAGGACTTGAACTGGGATCATATCGGACTGGAGAGGATTCTGCAAATGGTGAGCATTGTTCTGAATCCCATTGCCCGGGGGGACAAACCTGCAACAGGTCGCGTTGACGCCTTAGGCGTAGCTTCACGGTCACCTGCATTAGAAGAATGTCTTAGAGGAGAGCTTATGATCATTCCATCGCTCTCTAACTGCGAAGGCGGCGCAGGTGTAGACCGCACAGGTGAAGATTGGAAGAAGAGAGGTGAGGAAGATGCGACTGCGGCCCCTCCATTTGGTGCCGTTCTAGAACTCCTAGGAGTCGCTTGAGACTGTTGTGCTGGGGTTGATGACTGCGATTTGCGTGAGGATTGGCCTCGACGACGCGAGGACGGTGTGAACGACATTGTGGCCGACAATAAAGGCACTGACTGCGTGTCGACCACCTTTTTCAATTCAAAAGGGAGAAGACGGTGTACCAGACGCGTGAACGCGAACTTAACGCGACCCACGTTAGAGTGGTTTCTTGGCGCCTGAGAGCTCGGTAAACCTGCCCCCGATCATGAAGAGCTCGCCCTCGAATTGTTGCTTGTGCCTCAGGAGATGAATCTGAGCAACTGCGACAACTCCCGCATCGTTCGGAGTCTCGTCGGCGGCTAACGGAGAGATTATGGGATGCGACGAAAATAATTCCGATATACTTTACCGTACCGATGACGAACGCCCTAAACAAATAGTACTCATAATCCGAAGGAAAGATCACGCAACAAGGGCCAGCAGCAGCAGCACCCAACGTCAATGCCTTGCGTTCCTGCATGTGATAGCGTAAGCCTAGAATGTGGCTTTCTCGAAATGGGTTTCAATAATGTTCGGGCCCTTTATGAGACGAAGGAATTATCTCCGTACCGATCTCCTTGATGAAAGAGATCAAGCTCCGCTTCGACAGATTGTATTTATTGATGATGGGTAGACTATTCATTTATCACCTGTTGTTTGCAAATGCGGAATAGATCCAGGCTCGAGTTGATGTTCCAAAGACTACTATAAGGAAGCAGAACATGTACGGCTCTCTGGAGTCGTCAATTTGGTTCTCATTCAGCGACCAGCCCCCAACCATGCCACACCCATTCAAGTTCGTCCGAAAATATGTTTTCACCAGGGATTCCTGTGTTGGTAAGAGCTCTTGCTGCCGTGAGTATTTTAGATCTGGCTATTGGTCAGATCTTCGATACATTGCTCACGGAAAATCGCTCGCTGGGTGAGATTTATGCGACGGCACAGAGAGAGACCATGGGACTCTCAATGGCCATTTTTTTTTTTTTTTTGGCCCTAGATCTGTGAGTTTTTCCGCCAGACCCTATTCTCCGTCTGCTTTGGCAGCTTGAAGCTGGGGTTGACACAACTACTTTGCCTGATTCTCTTCAAGTCTGTACGGAGCCTTGACACAGGTACAGAGTGTCCATGAGGATTGGTTGATGAGGAAACAGTTCATTTCGACACTCAATGGACTCTTTGCACGACAGACAGACCCCAGTGGCAATGTCTAGATTCATACTTAGAACGAGATCGAAATTTTTTTCGCATCAAAGTGACAACGGTGCTTCTTTGTTCCAGCACCAGCTGGCAAATTATTCGTAGTTCGTAAATGTCAATAATTTCAAACGCGACAAGAGTACTGTGGAATGTGAAGGATAGCGTTACACCACCAAGAGCGATGATCACCAAGATTACGATCTTGGGTCCTCTAGAAGGATGCAGCGATACAAGATTCAGTTAAGCCCTCGGATTGGGCCAGACATGCCGATCTCACGACGTTCTCCGATCTACAAAAGCCTGAGCGTAAGCGACATTGCATGTCGGGATTGACTATACTGAGCTGAAGGAGACAAGACAAATTCAAACGACAAATGATAATACAGCACATAGAGCATCTTCCCTATCCCTCTCCCTGTTCGTTGTCAGCTGATGGGCTCTGAGTATTCTACAGTCTGGTCGGCTTTGCAGAACGGGGGGTGGAAAAGGCCAGACGGTCTGGTCCGAGTCCGAAGCAAATCGTTTGAATTCCGTACTCTAGGAATCTCCGATCGAGAGACAGAGCGGGCATAAACTTTCAATGCCGATCGTCGCTGTCACTCCAGATCGTTGATGGCTCGTTCCGAGGCCAAACTTCCAAGTGTCATTTCCCCCATAGGCATCATTTCATACCACCAGGGTGACAGGGACTGATTATACGCACAGGATCCGTTGTAGGTTCCGATTTGATTATTCTAAGGAGGGTCAGGACCCAGAACCAGGGCAAAGGGAAAAGTCGGCGGCTTTGATCATGGTGAACTCCCGAAGGAGCAGTCACAAGAGACTTGACAAAACAAGAAACAGGACACCGTCAATAGCCAGCATGTTCGTGAAGGTCTCTTCCCAGTTTACCATCAATATTTGACAAAGCAACGCGGCCAGGCGAAACACAACCTGTTTTGGCTTGATCACAAGTGCAGAAATAAAAGAGCAATGCGGAGCCGAGGAGTACCTCGGGATGCTTGTGGTAGGTGCAAGTACCTCTTCACCGTACCCGAGGTGGAGAAGTACAATCAAGTACATGCCGGGACCACAAAGTACCCACGGGGTGCTGAGGGCTCCTAAACCAGAAATGGCCACGGGCATCATTAGAGACTTCGGGACCTGGGATGCAAGGTAAAAAGTGGATCGTCAGGGCACCAGACAGAATCCGGGAAAGCTTCCAAATGTTCGGGGAATAGGCAGCAGAATCAAGAGAATTTCCTGCCCACGGCTCCATGGCTCTCTACTCGAGTGTTGGTCGTTTCATCATTTCTCTCAAGTAGAATCCCCATGGACGGAATACACCGGACTTTTCTCTCTAGACCAAAAGCACCTGAAGCAGCAGAGGCACGAATCGAGATCGACCACGCACAAGATGCTTCTACTTAAAATGCTGTGCCTGATAGACCCGCTCGCTATTCTATTCGAAAGCCAGAGAGCACTCCATCACCCCTTGTTCCTCTCAGGCAGCTTGTGTTCCGGTTGTCCAGTCAAATTCTTTCTCTTCTCTGACTCGATCCACGTTCCGGCTATTCTCTGGGTCCCCTCTGTCTCTACCATACAGGACGCAACTCGTATCCACCCCAAATCTCACCCCTTCCCACCTTCGTTTCTCTTCTCTTCTTTTCTTTTCGGGATAAAAATACCTACGTGTTCCCCAGAAGGCCCCCGAAGGAAGTCTTTCTTGTTCCCTTTTCTTCCGTTCCTTCTGGCGGTGGTGTTCTCACTGTGTTTCTTTCACCCATACAAAACCAAATATACTACTCATACAACACAAGGGATCCGCCACCCACACCCGTCTCAGCCCTACTCCAATCAGGAACATTTCACAGGAACCCCAAAGGAGGCCAGGCAGGGTAGAACATGTCTCCCATCCTGTCAGATCAGGGGCTTAGGGCTGGACGCCAAATAGCAGACAGGCAATGACCCAGGATCGATCCGGCTGCTGGTTACCACGTTGGGCGCAAAGTGGACGGCCCCTATCCATCAGCCAGCGTCTCTTCCTACTTTCCCCCAAGCCACTGACATGTCTTCGAGACCTTGGGATTCCTCCTGACCCATCCACATTCCGTTCGGTTTTCACATCCGACATTCTCTCTCCCAGGGGTAAGATTCACTACCCTACTTTGGTCAGCTCAGAGCATATTATATACCAGGGCACTTCCACCTGGTTCCCACCCTGCACTGCATTACCTTTTTTTTTTTTTTTTCTCTCTTGTACGTATTCTCTGCTCGCCAAATTCACGCGACAGGCTCGGACACGAGAATGAATTTCCCTAGGGTATTATACCGATGGCGGCCTGGTACCAAAATCGATATCCAGCTGGTGGGCCTTCACCGACTCATCGCTGCTTCCCAACGACACCTATCATGCAGCTTGGTTGTATCTCACCGCTTCCATTGAGCCGACTATCGCGTCGCACTGCATTTGCGATGATGACATAAGATTACATCAATTCCAGGAGAATGCGTTTTCGACCATGTCATGCTCTGCACCTGAGCGAGGCTGACACCGCGCCGCCCCGTACCGCGTCCGCATCCTTTCTCGATCGGGCGTCTACGATAGGAGATCGGGGCTAGATCTGCTGAACCGGCAGTTCCACAACAGCCCCCAAATAGATATCCCACATGGGCAACAAGGATGCATGTCCCTTGAGTGACATGTGGTACCGCTGTTTGGTAACATTGATGGCACCTTATCCTCATCGTCGGCGACGCACCGCTCTTACAGCCAGGCCCATTCTCGACTCCATGCAGGAAGGGCTTCATGCAACAGAAGTTTCTGAGATACATTGGATGCATTTACCAGTCGATGCATGAACATAATATGCCCATCCCCGGGATCACGCTGTATAGGCTATCCGCTATCTCGTCGACATTACCATGTCGATCCACTCGACTTCCTCGCATCTCGATGCAATCCATGCGACCAAGCGCCAAAGGAGAACGAGTACAACTAGGCGACGATCCCCCTCAATGTTGCCATCACGTCACATGAACGGTTCGGAGACAGTATTTGCCTTCCCCCCCAACAAGACGCAGAAAGGGAAAAGCGAAAGCTATACATCCTCCGAAAGAAATAATCTGATCTCTCATATGGCCTGTTCAACATGATATGTTTCAGAATGCCAAACAGTGAAGTGAGGCGTTGCGTCCCCATCCAGCAAAAGATTCCAGAACATGATCAACGATGCTCAAAAGAAGTTTATTTACCTGGGGCATTTATCTCACATGGCCGACACACTTGAATTTGATGCCAACACGAATCATTGTGGATACCAGCGCCCTCGTACGAATCCACTCCATCACCACCATACGAATAGGACGCGTGTCCCAGTGCAATGACACTCTTCGAGCCGCTCACCTTTAACAGACGCACGGTGCAGAAGGTCAATATCTAAACACGGACAGCATTTCCCATGACGTCGATATGGGAATTCCTAACGTGAGAAATATCAAATTTGACCCTAGTGGCACGGACTGAAGCAGAGAATTTTGACTTCCAAAAGAATGACAAACTCAACTACAGCATTTGCCTGCATTCCAACTTCACGATGAACGCCGTCCACAAGGAAAAACAATCTCATCGCCATCATCAACAATGCTCTTCGCCTATGGATAAGGAATAATAAGTTTACAGTCTCCACATACAGGACACATGATCAAGGGGGGAACGAGATGGGAAACCATCTATCATCGATCTTCGTTTGCTATCGTATGTATACGTATCCTTCGTGCCTGACTGGCCGATAGGATAATGGGTTACCGGACGGCTTTTGGAAGAATAAATAAGACCCGGTCGCGATTTCTAGGGTCGTTGTCAACATCTCACGACCCGCAACATCAGCTTCAACGACTCCGAGAACTATCAAATCTCCACAAACCCCATACCGGTCAACCATCCACCCGTCAGCTCTGCCCATGCACGAATCCCTCAAATTCAATTGCTTCAGACAGCCAGGCCATGATCTAGGAAGACCCTCCCTGCACAGGCCACAATGCAGTCATTGCAATAAATTCGAGTAGAGAGAAGAGAGGGAAAGAAGGGGGGGGGAAATCTCGAATCCTGTCACCATGGAAACTCCAAAGGTCCAAAACCCAACCTCAATCGCCCACAAAAATCGTTTTTGCTCGCAAAAGGCCCAAGCCGAAAAAAAAAAGGGGGGAGGGTTACAAGAACCAAAATCACCCATCCGATCAAAACTTTTTTGGGCTGACCCGTTTCCACAGTCCCTCAACGATTAATCACTGGTCCCGTTCCACTGATCATTTCCATTCTAATGTCATCTTGAGGGACTTGAGTTGATCCAGATCCCTCCAATTGGCGCTGTCGTTCAATTTTTCCGCCGATTCGAAAGTGAAGTGGCGCGTCTATTAATAATATTTAAGGGGGTCCTCGAAAACGCCGTTCGAGGAAAGAATGTGCGCCAACAAAACCGATAAATGCTGGGGAAACAAAAGGCACGCGACAAAACGCTAAATGAACAGCAGACTGAAATACGATTTCGGACCGCCTGCACTCAAAAATGCCATCTGAAGTCGTCTCACATCCAAGATGTCTCCTGTGAACCATCTTCCGGAGTGGTGCGTGAGGAATGTGGTGATCATGTGGGATATGAGACCGTCGAAGCAGCATCAACTCGTATACTTAAGCGCATGGCCGACATGGACAAGAAAATGGTGGCCCGGTTGTTCAAAAATTTTTGCAGACGAATGAAAAGATTACTAGCCTTGAATCGCTGTTGGAGTGGGCGTTTCGGACATCAAGGTACGCTGCGATGCCGAGTGGTACAGGTACCCAAAAGAGGCCGGCGACTGAGATCGAGAACTGAAATACGGGCCCGACCGTGGCATTGGCGAAGATGATCGAGCGATATATGAACCGTGCGCCTTACTAGACGACAGCAGGGATGATGTCGGAGACATGCTTCGAGGTGGTGTGGGAGTTGACGAACCAGACGAATTCGAGGATCCAGGACTGCCACCAGTACTGAGGTCCGACGCCGACGTATAGTCAGCAGCACCATCCAGCATACTCAGAGCAGTCTTTGTCAAAGGTTCCGACGACTTGACTGTCCCAAACTGCAACAACAAATTAGCACTTCAATGTGTCTTGACCTCCTGGTTCTTCCCCCCGGGTACCTACAAAGCAGTACTTGTCCACTAGTTCCTGGTAGGACTGAGAGGTAAGTGATGGTTTTTCCGACACCAAAGCAGCGGGCTTGGATGTCATGGGAGCAACAGTTGGAGTGGCCGAGGTTGCTCCCGCTTTTGGATCATTGACGCCAGTCTCAGACTTGGATGCAGCAATGGCGACGCTCTTCGTAGACGTTGTCGCAGGAACTTCGTGGGAAGACTGCTTTGTACTTGTCCTCGGAGCCAGGCCAGAGTGCTCACCCAAAACAACATAGGTGTTGTGTTTGGCGGCCGTTAATGACGAGTTGAAGTCGTATCTATTCCCAAATGCCTGGCCACCGCTTTGTTTACGACGCTGGGGAGCATCTGGGACAAGTTCAGTTTTGGATCTTGGACCTCTCAATTTGAGCTTGGGCTCACCCATAAGAAAGCCTGCTGATTGACCAAAGCTACCAAAGTTGTCAAACCCGGTCGAGAAATCATCAAACGAACTGGGTAGCGTCTTGGGCTTTCCAGAGGAGGTAGGTGGAGAGGGTCGACTGCGAGGCAAGGCACTAATCGGCCTCGCCCCAAGTCCGGGCATGCCATTTTTACCATGCTGAGGCTTGTGTTTCTTTGCAAAGTCGACTTGGTAGTTGAAAGTACCATTGTTGTCCCAGAATTCCTGACCACTGACAGTGTAACGAACACAGAAGAACAGTGTTTTGCTCTCCAGGTTGGCTTGATCGGCAAGCCTGATGCTGAAGTTGAAGCGGTCGAGGTGGTCCTGATTATGCTTCCGACGGACATCGTTGTTGTAATCGGCCACAACTTCGGAAGTGGTCTTCCAATAATCGAGAGTGAATCGAGCGACAACGGACTTCTGAAACGCGAGGTTCTGGACGGCAACAGTGCCGATGAGGTTCTTGTAATCGGAGGATAAGAAAACTCTTTCCACGAAGACAGGAGATGACCTTCGAGCTTCAGAGTCGGGCGGGAAGTTTGCCAGACGCATCTCCCATTCGCAGGGAGCCGAATGAGGCCGCGCACTTGACTCGTCCGATCCAAAGGGGAACTCGCCTTCACTTTCATAGTTCTCTACCGGTGAGGAACCAGCACTGACGGCAAGTGGTCTGTCGACTTGGAGGAAATGTCTCACATGTTCAAGGTGCGAGTCGAAGTGAACAGCTTTGGAATAGGTAGGTGTCCCTGGCATGCTCGACGGCCGCCTCCTTGAGGATGGTCGTAAAGCGGGACGAACCAGTTCGCCCGATTTCTTCCGGACCATGGGAGGGTGGCTGACAGGAGTGTCGCTGTCGCTGTCATCGGTGTCTTGTCGGACATGAACAGGAGGAGTTTGGATTTTAGAAGTATCCAAAACAATGCTCGAGTCTGTAGAGGACCGAGAGTGGGAGATTTTGCGGGCCTCCTGTGACAAAGGAGGCCGTTGCAATTGCAAGGGCTCGAGCTGTGCAGGCCCATCAACTTGAGGAGTTGCAAGATCCATGTTGAGGGTGGTGGAGGAGTCGTTGCCTCGATCGGGTGAGCCTTCTTTTCTTTGTTCTATTGACCTAATGGCCGCTTGCAAAGCTTCCAGGTTTTCTAACTCAAGATTCCTCGACCGACCCCGTATCTGGGGCTCTTCGTCGTCGCTAGAATTGTGAGAAGACTCAGGAGGGGAAATGGTCATCCCCGCAGGTATCAACGCATTGCTCACCGGAGGTGGTGACTTGCGGATGCTGCCATGGGGATCAAAGGCCCCATTCTCCAGGCATACCTCGCCATTGTGAAGGATCTCATTTTGGGCATCGCTTAACGAGGGACTTCGCCGATGTTTGGTAAGATATGAAGATGAGCCGTGGGAACGAGGGAGGTTTGGTCGACCGGATGAAGCCGACAACTCCGAGGAGACGGATTGTCCTTTCATGTAAGAATGAGACCTGCTCGGGGTAGGACTGGGTTGTTTGGAGGCTGCGGGCGAAAGCTGGGAGGGAGGTGTGTAAGGCATTCGGTCGGTTATCCGAGTTCAAGAAACCCCAACCCGGGAGCTGCAGATTAGAGCGCGTTGCGAGGCTCGTCAAGAGCAGCCCGAAGAGGGCCAAAGAAGATTGCGGGGCCGGGGGGGAGAAGGATGACGGGTCTGATATAGACAAAATGAATGTCAGTATATAGTCAAAGCATTGAGCATAATAAAAATAAGTTCAGTGGTAGGTGCGTTGTAGGCGGAGAAACCGCCCGTGGGATGAGGGATGGAAAGTTGGTAGTTGGTTGGATGGTGTCAGTGCGCAGTGCCGCCACAGTTGGAAGTGGACTTTTGACGCCGCATCGATAAATCGATCGATCGAAATTTGAAGGAATGGCCTTGCGTCAGCCCCAATGTACTGGGAAAGGACTTACGGTGGCAACGGAAAGTAGAAATTGACAATGTAAAAGGTGAAATCGGTGAACAGATTCGTTCAAGATGCTCTTCGCCTGTGTTTTCCCGCTGCTTGTCACGGGCAGGAGTTGCAGAAAAAGAGCCACGCCACGGGACCAGAGGTCAACCGTACAGCGTCGACTGGTAGTTTCTGCACTGCACCAAAGCACCAAAAGTGACAGTGCGTCTGGGAATCAGACGGAACAAAGCCAAATGGTGAGACAATGCACTTCTGATTATCCTTCTTTGGTGGTGACGATTTTCCACGTTGATCCGGGCTGCTCGCTCATCGGTGACCGACCACACAGCAAACACTCTGCTATTATGTCCCGAATTGACCTCTTTTTCTCCAATTATTCCCGTCTCTTTCTGAGAAGTCGAGGATATAGGCTGGCAAAGGCCTAGGAGAATGAAAGACGACGGGAGGAAGGTTGGAGGATAGGATAAGGTCGGTGGGTGTAGAGAAGGAATGGGATGGATTTTGGTGGATGGTGGGCAACGGAAAATGCTGGCGAACAAAAAGCCAAAGGCGTTGAGAGTCTCGACCACCCAAAGCAGGCAGGCAAGCTCGGATCTGCAGAGGGCGGTGGGCGATGGGAGTGGGCGACCAGCAGAGACCAGTGCGTGGATTCTGGAGGGGCGCGGCTCGAGTGCTGCGGCGAAAAAGACGAGAGACCAGGGTTGTGAGTTGAGGTGCAGCTGGTGTGGTGTAACGGAAAAGTGGGCAATCGGTGGCGCCAGGATCAAGGTCGAGCATAAACCCGGCCCTATCGACACCAATGCTGCGGCTAAGAAGACGGTATAGAAAGCTAATAGCGGGTGGACATGGAGACTGAGATATGGAGCATGCAACAAGGCCAAACTGTGAAGGGCAGCATGCCCTGCTGCAGACAAGATTGAATAGTGTGATGGATGGCTTGTCGAAATGCAAAGGTAAATGTTCTCGTGTTACGAGGAGAACTTGGATGACGAGGCACGGCACACAGAGTGGCGGTAATATTACCCAGGACTAAGTAATGAGACAGGCCCAGCACAAAGCAATAAGAGTAGAGAGCTGGACCATGCTGCTGATGTGGTGTGTATCTATGTACCTCATATCAGAGCAATAAACCCCTCACCTTTCCCATCCTGATGTCGCAACCGAACGTTTACCAGAAATGCGCACGCAGCAATTGGGTGGCGGGAAGGCTCGGAGAAATCGTTCTTGTACTCTGATGGCAGACAACCGGAAGACCGCATTGAGCAAATTAGAGAGGTACGGAATGTGTGAAAGTTCTCTGAAATTTCAGAATACCAAACACCGAATCATGACTACCGGAAGCAGAGAACTGGTTCCCATTGTTACGGGAATCGGCGGCAATGAGAATGCGATGCGAATGGAATGACCTGTTTCACTACGCAAAACCATGGTCCCGGGTGAGGTACAGATACTGAGCACCCCAATCCTCAGTTTGGCGGCGTAGTTTGAGGACATTGGCCACCCCCACCAAAAGGAAATTAAAAAAAAAATGGCTTGGCAGAAAATCCTGGACCTTGCAAAGGATTGTTACCATTTTTTTTACTACTCTTAGCCCCCCGTACGCCAACTCCGCACTATTCGTACGCTATAAATACGGCTACTGCAATGCTCAACTGATGGGATCACGATTTTACTTTACAAGCTCCCAGTTTGTCGACAAAGTTGCACGCCATTCACATTCCCATGAGTTCCATCTTCCACGAGAAACACCGTCAGCATTTAAACAGTCTGACACACATGTCCACTTACCTGCCATTTGTTCGTTGAACGACTCAGCCTGCGGCTATCTCTCTCTTTCTCCCCCCCACGCGGCCCCTCCAGACGGCGTCCTCCATACTTCAGTATTACCTACAATATCCCCAAGTACTGACAACTCCGTACAAATCTGCTCCGCTTCTTAACAATATCAGACACAAGCCTTGCATTGATTCACACTGCGACACGGGGCTTTTACCGCCTGGCGTCGTGCCCAATAGTTTGGCTCATCAGACCCTCTTCGGCCTGACCAACCGACAGCCAGAACCAACCCACAAATGCTCTTCGTTCAATGTCAAAAATCTCCGCCTCAAAGATCGATAAGCCAATAAGCATCCTCCGACACCTGTTCTGCCTCACACACGTCCCATAGAGGGGAAAGATCAAAGTATCTTCTGTTCCCTCACCGGAAGTATGGTCAAAGGGTCATTAGGATACCTTGGATCTGGCAATCTGAATGCAGGCAGATCTGTACGGGGTAGAAAGTTGATGCGGCAAAGAGCAAGAATTTCAATGTAAGATGAATAACAATACCCCCCCTCTAGGCGGCCACCTTTCGGTGATCTCGGTGGCCCTTGAAAGCCAGTGTCAGGCGCCCGTGCTGGCTGAAATGCCCACTGGAAACGTGCAAGCCTACCTACCCGGAAGACAAGGCTCCCCTAGGCACCTCCCTAGTAGAGTCTCGATCAACCCCGGATGCTGGCGTGAGCGTAGGGAGGTTATTAGCCCCAGCTTGCCACAGCATAACATGACTTCCTGTCTGGAAGAAGAGATGTTCCAACACATGGAGCCTCGGCCTTTATGCAGATTTCTGATTAGGCCGTTCTTTATCCTTCGTTTCCCTCTTCGATACACTAGACTCTGAAACAGTATACAGGGGAAATGGGATCTCCACTGATGACTACCATGATCAATATCACGACATCATGATCTGTGAATATTGGCACGGCGGCCATATCCACACTTCGTCACGAGACCAAGAAATACCTGCGGTTTATACATTGTGGAAAAGGAAAAGCACGCCACTCAGAAGTTGGAAGATGCGAGTCTGTTTGGCCAAAGCTGCATTTCGAAAACCCTGTCATCTACTGTACCCCGCAACATCTGGAATTTAACGAAGTCACATTTCGCGTTAGCGAAACGCCGCTGCCCTCTGTGGCGTTTGCCACAAGTCCCAACTTTTATGCGAACCAGACCGTCAACGTGTCCAGGAGAGGATGTGATCAGAAATCACCATGTAGACTGCATTTGCCAGTGGCAGTGGAAAGTCGTCCCTTGGCGACTTCTTGTCATGCAGTGGAGTAGTGCGACATCCAATTAAATACCGCCGCTGACCAGGCGGGGATGGTCGAGGCACATCTGGCCCACGGAAATATTCTGAGGTGTGGCTTGTTCCCCAGGCTCAATGGATTTCCCCAATTCACTCGCTTATTGTCGCATGGGCTCGTACTGTACACTATCGCACCGGATCTCACGGCATCCGTCCAATACCGGGCAGTTCGCAGAGCTAAACTGGCGATCAATATCTGGTGGTCCGTCCCCAAGCTCCCTCTTGCAAAAAAACCCATTCCACGAAACATGCCTCGTATTTGTTCACAGACCACGCACACCTTTAGGATGATGACGTCTGTTGCAGCAAGGTATCTGGAACTTTCAATCGTGCTGATTGTCTCCGGCCTGGAGTCCTATCAATCAGACACGGGCCCCGATTACGGAGAGATAGGGAGTTGGGATACGAGCCTCCCCTCCTCGGAGGTAAGCGAAACACTCATGCAATCCCCCACGACCAAAAAAGGCGGTATAGATGCAAGTCCAATCAATGGGATGCGTGGCGCTATCAGATACAATCTGAGGAAGAATTGGCGGCAGGTAAGCTGGGCGAGCACGCCATGGCGCCGAACACGGCCAACCACTGCGAAGTTTCACCATTCAGCGATTTGACGACAAACTCCTAGACTTCAAATTTTGGCCTCTCAATTGTCTTTGCTGACTTGTATTCTTGATCAGCATCACCCAGGTCCCGGAGTTGAGAATTGCACAAAATGGTACAGAATGGGTCAATCAATGCAGAAGTGGTCTGACATGGACCAAAAGCGGCAATCCATTCCGACCCACCCCCAAAGCACCTCAGACCACACGATGATCCAAGGTTTGTCTGCTGCCACCTAGACGCTAATAATGTGAGAAACTAAGGGCGCCCACTTTCGAAGTCAGGGGCCTAGCCTTTCTACCCAGTTCTTGTTGCGAGACACCAACGAGATAATACTATTGACCAGCATGAGACAAGCAGATAATGGCCCAAATTTCCAAAGGGAGCATTCTTTCTCGATTCAATTCTCCATTCTCCCCCGAAGCGAATACATTCCTGAACACCTGGCGCGAGTCAAGCGGCATTAACTGTGTCTGTTCACGGTGACGAGTCTTATCTGTCAGTTCCCCTCGTGTCAGGCCTGGAGCGACTGGCACGGACTCGGCCATGAAACGGAGCACAGACGAAGGATGAAATACAGGTATGCTGGAGTTAAGGGTCCATGAAATAATCAAAGACGTAGCACATTATTTGCTTATCTTGGGGCGGCCATATTCTATTTACAACACATGCATAGAAAGGTTTGCCAGTGAGTCCCCAGATTTCATTCTCCAGACGTTTTGTCTCATCCAAGAACATGGCACTTTGGTCGCATAGACAGCCAATGCCCCGCGAAGCAGTGCTGTTTTCTTTCGCGCAACATGTACCGCTCTGGGGAAATGACCGACCGAGTTACTGGTGGACCCCACTTTTTGACATTTTGATATGCGAACGGCCGGGAGTCTGTTATCCATGCGAATTGGGTCATCTCTTTCTCATTCTCTCCCTTTCAGGATGACCTTCAAATCACGAAACCGGTTGTCTATGTTCCGCATTCGGGAAATTTTTTATTCAGGGTCTCTCCATCGACCACACCGGGTGTGAATCCTTGAGCACACAGCAAAAGGTTATCAAGAACCCCTGTGGCGGATAACTCCTGATGGTGGCGTTGCAAATTCGACCACAGGCATAAAACCCCCTCCCCTTTTTGTCGGTGACTCTGATTACTTGCAGAGGCTGTCCACTCTGCTCGTGTTCAGAATGGCACAACCCATGTTTGAGCTGCCGACAGAGCCATTAAGGGTCTCCATAGTATCCCTGACGCTCGTTGCCGTGGGTTGGAGTTGGGAGGTCCAGACATGCTCTTGCAGCCTTGGAAAGATGTGATGGATGGTCGCTTACCTGATGACTATAGCGGATATTGCCAGCACATCAGTACCACCATTATTAATGCAAATCGGTATGTGCGAGCTAGGCAACCGATAGATCGAATAGTTGATGTTGTCGTACCCGTATGAAGCATGTGCAGATATGTGGTGGTCACATGACTTCGGGGAAGCTATTATTCCGGACGCGCCCCATTTGGCTGTACGCAATTCTCTTCTGCAGACCCAATTTCACATCTCAAAGAGCAATTGCCCGAAACAAATGTCCTGCATCGAATAGACCAAATGGCACCCGGAAGACACTTGCATCTTCTCCTCAACCATCACAGTGGCAAATTGCACTCGATAACGCCATCCCGTTAACCAAGACCAACACGCAAATCCGGGTCAGTCTCATGGGACGGCGAAATCCCCAACGTTCTCAGCGGCGTCAAAGCCTTGCAAGACCTCCTCTCCATGTCGCGATTTCCAGCGCTCACTGTTCTTTCTCCATTCTCCATTCTCCGGAATTTTGAGGCTTCGTATCTTGAAAAATCTCTGCAAGCGAAACGACATCAAATCTCCACTGAGGGGCCAGGCTGGACCTTTTCTGGAGGGTTGCGTTGTCCACACACAAGAGGCGGTGTGTGTCCTCCGCAACATCAGAGTCTTGTAAGAGGGTAGATGCCCAACAAAATGTGGTGGAGACCAGGTGTCGTTCGTACCCGAGCCCAGACTTCGGTCTTGAGGCAAGGGTGCATGGGTATAGCAACAGTAGGCGTTCTGGGCATCTCCACTTGTCGAATCTGCTGTACCAGCGAACTGAAGCCGTCAGGACTTGGTGGGTTCGGAGCAGCAAAGCTTATTCAAGCCACACTGGCGCCATAAGCTCGCTTGCTGCTATTTTGCTGATTCGCCACAGCGGCCAAAAATTGCCATTCAGAAACAGTCCCCGCCGCCTGGAAAATTCGAGTGTGGCCAATTCTCATGCTTGCACATGCTTTCTGCCACTACTGTCACTCAATGCATGAATGACAAAGAGAAACCCGGATGAGACAGCGAACATGTTACACAAGCGCCTCCGAATTTGTTGGGTCAATAGTCTCCCTCTCTGCAGGAAAGGATGGCGGGGTGCAGCTTTGGGCCCCCATCGCTGATTGTTCGAGACCTTACTACTGCTGCGTGATTGATGCAGGGCGACAGTTGCATGTGAAAAAAAAAAAAGTAGCCTGCCACCAATTACCCCCCACAACCCTTCAACTTCGCCATACAACAAAAATCTACCTAAGTTACTGTATCTCCATGCCACGGACGCTCAGGGACTATCCTCCAGATTCTTCCGCACAATCCTGGACAACCCCAGACTTTTTCGTGATCACCGTTGCAATATCTGATGTCGCACAGCTGCATCCAGGATCTCTCAGGCTGTCACACATTCATATCTCGAGCGCCCCGCGGATTCCCGGTCTGACTCACGGACAGTTCCAGTTTGTCTCATCTTCGAACTTGATCGACGCGCTCCTGGTGCTTATATGCCTAGGGTTCTTCAGCCATCACCATCCACAATTCACCTCCTCTCTATTCGCGACACTGATCGTCCGGTAGGTAGCAGGGTCCTCAAGATCAAGCGGGCAGGGAGGAGGACACTATCTTGACAACGACCTCGATGCATGTTCGGACACAATCGTCCTCAACCGCCTCATTCATGCCCCATTGAACATTTGGTGAGGATCTTCCCAGCCGCTCAACCCCCGGCGGGATGCGGTGAGTCCGAACCCTTAGCTCAACGTCCCTCACCTGTTGTTCTGTTGAGACATGGTTCAGTTCCTGGCGCCATTCTCGTAACCGTTCTTACTTACTATGCTCATGCTCACTCTGATTCCACAATATGCTATTTATTGGATTATTACCAATGTTTTTGGACACTTGTCCGTGAAGTCCGCATAACACTACTCTTATCGACATTCTTATCAATACGCGAGGAGTTTCAATGATCTAACTGATTTGACCACAACTGACCAGAGATAGTTTTACTCAATCAATTCAACAGAGATGGTCACAGGGTCTCTTGTGCAACACTATACCATATCGAGATATCGCTGTCAACCACTCCTCCTTGCTTGTCAGTCATATTGTTCAACGGTGAGTAACACACAGCACGCCGTAATGGACGTCGACGTCTGACCTGTGGCTCCGGCCAGATTGGCACGGTATGACGGTCTTGCCTAGGGTGCTCTGGCTCCCCATGGGCAGAACGTCACCCAGCCATTACTTTCAAGGGAGCAGGTTACCAATCCACCACATTCCTTCCACTCAACTGGCTACGAAACCACATGTCCCAATAATGCGTTGGCGACCATCATTCTTCCCCTGTGCTGTACCTTTCAACCCCCTGAGAACCAGATAGATGGAACCTCAGGAGCCTCGTGTGATCCTACAAATCCTCGAGAAGAATAATCCCCGTGGCTTCCACTGGGACCGATCAAGTTCTCCAATATTCTTGGCTTGCGATGACTAGACTTACCAGAGAACTAAACTCAGACCTTCAACATCGCAATGAAACGTCTTCTCGGCGCAACTGAGTGGATCAATCAGCTCTTGATGCCATCCCTTCAACAACAGATCACCACTAACGGGGTCGGCCGGGAGCGTCCACAACAATCTTCGTTGACAACTTCGCGGACAAAGACGATGTTGGAACTTGTTTCCACGTCTTCACGTGATATGTTTATTTCCCAGTCGAGACTTTATAGAATAGACCTATTCAATGAAATGACGTTCATCGCCTCCCAAGACGGAAACGGAAACAGCAACGGTTGTTTCCCGCCCGCAATCCCAGGATTAGATTTCTACCATATCGTATCTACTCCTGTTACGACTACCATTCACAACGAAAACATACATGAGGGCAGAAGTTAAGAATCTGCGAGTGTTCGAGCAAATGCATCAGGACTAAAGATTTACTTCTTCATTTTCCAGGAATCAACTAATTCAATTTATTGACCCCAGTGTCCGTTTCGTCAATCTCAGCGCTGAGAATAGGGACTGACGGAAAAGAAAGCCATCATCAATCTCCAAATTAATCTCAACCTCAAAGCGCCATCAATCAGTTCCCAGGTCCCAAAACTTCAATCTGACGAACCCAGACTTTGAATCTCTCTTTAACCTTCTGCTGGTTCCCCCTTCCGCTCTCACTGCCATTCTCGCTTTCTTGTCTCTGTCCCGCTGCACACACACGTTCAAACGTCTCTTCTCGACTCCAAAGACCCCAAATTCCCAGGCTTTTCAGATCCCTCTCGACCGCCTCGCTTTCTAGCCGATGGTACCCTTCGTTGCGCATGCCTGGCAAAAAGGTCGTATACCACGCCATATAAAGGTCTGTCGCATGCCAATTCGCGAGCACCGCAGCGGTGAAGTATTTGATGTCCTGGCCTGGGATGGCGGTCGTGGCAGGCTCTTTGGGAGACAACGTGACATCAGGCTCGGACCCAAAGAGCTCGTCCATTGGTGTGTCACTATTATTGTCATCATTGTGGTCTCGTGGTCGATGAGGGGAATTACAGTCTTTTCCCATTCGACGGCGAACAGGACTGTTTCAGTGACAACGTTCCGAGCTTTTGCAAAGCGAAAAGCCTTGCAGTCCAGATCGACAAGCTCCTTTTCGACCCAGACGCGAGCTTCGACGTCGACGTCTTCTCCAATCATGAGGTGCTGTTCCATAAAGCCATGGCGATGCTCGACGTCGAGAGACCAATAGCCTGCATCGACACCATCTTTAGGCGGGAGATGCGTCAGCACGCTCTCAATAATCCTACCCGCCAACTTCTTCGCAGACTGAAGTTGATATGTAGTCTTGGAAGATATAGTGGTCTGCATCCTTGTAGATATCAATACCAGCGAACGCACCCAAGACAGTATATTTGAAGACTTGTTGCCCTTCTTCCTCCTCGTCGTCTGACGACTCTGACGACTCTGACGACTCTGACGACTCGGTTTCGGTGTCGCCCTCGGTGACTGTAGCATCAGCTGAGTGATCTGAATTGGTTTCTATTCTGGATTTCCCTTCTTTCTTCCTTTGTATTCGTTTGAGCAACTCCAAGTCAAATTTCTGACTTCCGCGCCGGCTGCTTTGTGTCGAGCGTCGTGAAAAATGGGACCCGTGCTCGATTTGTCGGGAGTTTTCTAAACGATTGATCTCCTCGATGCCCTGTATCCTTTCCGAATCTTGCGAGCGGGGAGACGGTAGGGGAGTCGTAAAGCTCGATGATGTCGACACATCACGATCAGCACCGTAGACCAGGTCTGCCCCTTCGTCTTCTTCCCTCTCGTCGTGGTCACTTTGGTGGTCAGGCTGCATACCCTCAGCTGGGAGTTGATCAGGTTGTTGGTTTTGAGGAACTTTCTTTTTTTTTTTTTTTTGGCCGCATTGAACCGTTCAAGCTGGGCCCGTAGCTTTTTCATACGCCTATCCTGAGATTCATATTGGGCTTGCCGTCGATTCTCTGTTGCATTTGAACTCTTGTCGGAAAGCCGACTTGGTCGTGAGGTGTTGGAATCCGGTTGCCCTAACGGCATTGCGAAGCGAACCTGCTTTTTTTTTTTTTTTGATTTTACCTTCGTCAGTTTTGGCCTGGAATTGTGTCGCTGGCCACTGACAGTACAGCGGAGATCACCAAGCTCCTTGACTCGATCATCAATCTGTTCCAGCTCGCGTTTGACACGCTCAAGAGTTTCCATGCTGAAAATCCTCACAAGCCACACGTTTATTTCGTCCTGAGGAGGCTGTTCGTCGTCCTGGACTCTCCGTTTCATATTGTCCCGAATCTTTTGAATTCGGATTCGCTTGAGCTTGCCAAACTCGCCCCGATCGACGACCAACGAGATAAATTTTCGCACTTCCCAAAGCTCCTTTTCTTCGACTTCCCTGAATTTTCCCGAACATCGCAAGTGCGCAATGATCAAATGTGACCCTAGCGATTTCCAAAAGGTCCCGCTGTCTCTCCTTCGCTTCCTCATGATCCAAAATTAATCTCTGAACGTCCTCATCGTACTTGTCCAAGTTCAGTGGAAGCGTCAAGTCTCTAACAAGACGCGTCAACGTTGGTGAGCCGAAAGCTGTCGTAAGTTTCGCCTCCTTCATCTCGAGAAGTCGCCGCTCCCGCCCTTCTAGGCTAGAAAAATGACTTGCGGCTGCTTCTCTCTGGGTACTCAGATGTCTATCTTGTGTCCTGAACTGCTCAGCTGCTGCTCTTGAGGCAGGATGCAGGGTGTTCAGATCCGATCTATGGCGGGGCATCCTGTGTGAGCGTTTGATTAGTAGTGATCCTTGCGCCGTTCCGGTGGTTGGACGTACTTCAATGCCTCTCTGGGCATAGGCATTGCTGGTTTTGAGTTTTGGCAGGCCGTTTCTTTTGCAAAATCAAGGAGTGCTTCCAGATTTGGCTCTGGCTGGTGGATGTTTGTGGGCCGATTGGCCTTCGCGGTATCCTTCAACTCTTTGCTCAGGAGATCCCAATTTGTCGGAAGATCTATCGCAGTAGAAGATTCCAACGCCTTTCTCCGTTCCATTGCCCTCGGTCGAAGCATCCTCCTTCTTTCAGTTCCGGCTTGTTGATCTCTAAGCATGTTCCTCCTAGCTTTCTTTTGGACTGCATCTTTCTCTTCAAAAGCCCGACCGGAAGGGGTGTGTTTGTTTCCCGCCGCGGCGTGAAACTTCGATAATTTGATGTTGCTACTTTGAAATGCAAGCCGGTCCTTGGGTATTTGCTCCTCTTTTTCATTTTTAGTGAGGGTTTTGCCATATGCTGTTGGACTAAGCGTCTTAGAACCATCCTCCTCCTCCTCGAGCCGTTTGCTGAGCCGAGTATCCTTATCGTCCCGGTACAGGATGTGACCGATGCCATTTGATTGACTATGATGTATCTCATATCCAGGTCTCAGAGAGTCCGTAGAGTCCGAAATGGTCGAAATATCTGAGACTGGCACGACAACAGATTGTTCGATCACCCTCGCTGGGTTACTCCATCCATGGTCAAAATATTCACCGACTTTCTCACAGGGAGTCTGGCCCATGTCTTGGAAGGCCTCAGATTTCAGCGATGCAATATCAACGGCCTGCGTTGTTGCCATGAGCCTTCTCTTCTTCGGTGGCTGTGGCCCCGGAGATGAAGGACGCTCCTGGACTGGCGTTGGACAAATGAGCAGCGACGGTCGTGTGATGTATAGTCTGTTTGTGGAAGTAAAGCCAGTCTCCTGGGATATCTGTGAGGGTACTGGTTCGGGGATGATGGGCTTGACGGTCGTCGTGGATTCATAAAGATCATCGAATTCGTCAACGAGAAGCCAAGCCAGAAACATGAATAAGCTGAGCCCTTACAGTTTCGCGACTCTCAATGGGTGGAAGACGCTCACTACTGGCCGTTGAGCTGACGGATGGTACGATATCTGATTCGGCTCTGTTTCCTTCTTGCTGAACAGTAGCGTCGTCGGTATCCATCTTGGAGTTGTTTGCACCCATGGTGTTGTACCGGCGACGGTAGCTCATCCTTCGAAATGAAAGAGGTAAAGAGGTAGAAGTGCGCGGATCCGTCAAGAACGAACGATCATCGCTTAAGCAATTCGAGAAAAGGAGTAAAACCTTTATAAATTCAGAAGACAGTACAATGATTGTGAGGCGAGGATGAAATGGAGCGGTGGAAGAATTCCAAGCTTTGGGGCTTGCTGATCAGGATGACCGTATCTTGAACTGACAACAGAAGTGGTTGTGCTGGAACATGGAAGAGACAGGAAAGCCAGGGATCGAGTTTCTGATCTTTTAGACGGAGGCGAAAAATGCGAGCGGGTTAGTACAAGGCTACGTCTCAGCCAATAAAACGAAATCCAAGTTGCCAGCTCGTGCTTTGAGACGTTGACAATTGGCAAAAATGGAAAGTGAGATCGTGAGGCAAATCCGAGGTCAACGGAGAGTTGGCCAGAGTTTCTGCTTTGAGAGGTGTTGACACGAGAGCCTTTCGCCTCCAACAAAGCTTCCATACCATCTTGTTCAGAAGCTCGCTGACCACGCAGGTGCGTGCGCGATATGTTGTTGAGATGCCGCGTTGACTGGTCAAGCCGAACCGGGGGAAAACCATTAGGGCAACAGACATCAAAGGTCCATACCAGTTTCGAGAATACTAGGACCGAGTCCTAATGATGAAGCCGGCAAGCATTGACATTGCACACTGGAAGAAAGTACGAGTTGGATGCAATTTAGCTGTGGGAGCATAGAAACTGAAATAGTGTGGGAGAGGAAGTGAGGTTGAAGTCGAGCCAAAAAGTCGAAAAACGCCAAGCCGGAAGGAATTTTAAGGCGAGGCTGGAGCTTCAAGGAGGAAGAAGCCGTATAGAGCACATCTCGAGTTTTATTGATTAGAGAAAGTCCGTATCCAGTATCAATGCTTCACGTTCCAAACTTGTTGTTTTGCTCACCACCAAATGCCCTTTATGGCCGATAAACTACATCTGTTCCCACACAGCGATTGCAGACAAACAAATTCGTTGGATCCTTCTGCTTCTTGATCTTCATCAATCTCTCGTAGTTGGATCCCCAGAAGACCTTCTGCCAATTGGGTTCGAATCTGGACGACGCGAAACATTAATCTCTTGCTCCAAAAAAGATAGAAAGGTGGCTTACGGATTTGCTTCATTGACATATGTTCCTTCATTGGGTCCGGCAATTTTGCTCCATCGCTTGCTCATATCAACAAGCAGAAGTCTCTTCTGATGCTTCTCAGCTTCGGGTGCTGTGTCTTCCCAATCGGTACCAAAACTCATGATAGCTCGACCCTCGCGCCAGATCGGGTGGACCGAAGTATTATTGCGTTCGGCTGAGTTTACTTTGCCAACTGCAATTACATTCGATCGGTGAGCAATTTCAAACGTTGATGGATCAATGCATGGCTTCAGTCACCTACTGAAATTGAAAAATGGATAGTACTCTTCACCCAGGTCCAACATCATATCGACAATCTGATCGGCCTTATTGAATGCCATATCTGGGGTCAGGAGCCGAGATGCATCCATGACATTTTGCGCAATGTTGGGATCTTGAAGAAATGCGTCACAGTAGTCAAGCCAACTGGGGAATGTATAGTTCAGTATCCCAACAGAGGCTCCATCCACCTGGCCAATGGCTTGGAATGCTGCAGATCCTCTTTTGAGGTCTTCGTTGGTGCCGCCAGGTCGGATGAAAAGGGCATTGAAGCCATTGCTGAGATATCCATAGCCAGTGTAACCGGCATCAGTCATGTTGACCAAAGCGCCAAGTGATCTCTGCAATACTGGCCGAAGAGAAGAATTTGTTGTCGCGTTGGCCTGAACAAAGGCAACCTGAATATGAGAGGGTTCGGGATGAGTTTTATACGTGACCGACGTCACGACCTGTGACGATATGAATTAGCAAGCATTTCCTCCGTAATGGAGGCTCGCGTACACCCCATGCACTTCCTCCTCCACCTCTGATAGCGTAGAAGTAGTCCGGGTCCGTGTACTGATTGAGTGTGACATGTTGCCCCCGAGCATCGACCAACGAAATTTCCAGGACGTCTAGATTCTCTTCAGCCAATCTGGTTTCAAAGAATCTCGTCGACTTTCACGTACTGTCAACACCCAACCCGTATAGATTTGACCACGCCGAGTGGCCTCCTCCAGTGAGCCAACCACCGGCCGCCCCCACTGTCCGCGCGTGACCGCCAACGACAATGACATGTTGTTCAGCGGCTGCCCGATATACATCTGGATGCGTTGAGTTAGTCTCTGAAACATGAGCCATGAATGCAGGGGATCGCTCACCTAACCACTGCTCCCCAGCTTGCAGAGTAACAGCCGGAACACCTTGGGCACCTTCAGGGGCGCCTTCGACGACATAATTGTCAGTCCATTGTCTTCCCTTCAAGTTATGCGTCCAGATGGAGAAGGACCCTTGACCACTTGAGCGACCAAGACTGGACGGAGAGTTAGCTAACGACCGGAACAGATGACGTCAAGGAAAATACTTAACTGATCATGGCCAGTATTCTTCACGACCAAGTATAGGTCCTTTTCATTCGCGAATTTGACGGCGGCTTGAATATCCGCGACAGAGTCGGCGGCCACAGAGTAGTGGGGAACTGCTCTAGTTCTCAGTTGGTGTTCGAGGATACTGTGTTCCTCGTCGCCCACTTACCGAGACCCGGTTGGCACGGATCTGTTCTCGACGAATTAATATAGCATTGCTGGTTGCCCAATTCCCACAGAATCGCGGTGTATGCACCAGTTTGATTTGTTCTCCAAAAGCTGTTATCCCATTCCTCTTTTGCTTCATCACATTCCCCAAGGTCATAGGTTGGTCCGTGACAGACGGCAGCAGAAGGGAAAGTTCGGATGAGACGGCCGTCGATACTCTTATTGAAGTCTTGCCAGGTTGATTCGCTTGGCCAGCAAATGTCGCCAAATCGGCATCGTCGGCGTGGTTGCGTGGCTAAAGAGTGGCATAGGAGTGGAAGAAGGAGAACGAAAAGGTACTTGATCATCATCACCTTGAATATTGAAGACATGATTGAACATGTGAAAACCCGGTGAGAGCCATTGGGATTTGAAAGAAAGTAAAGGGATTATATATACTGCTACCTAGCATAAAAGGTCTCGTACCTGATGAAAATCCCTAAGAACCCCTAGACCCGAATACGACGTAGGGAATGAGAATGAGAGGCGGGTGCGAAGATTTCCATTTGCGGAGATTGGATTTCGGTACCTGAATCTTGGTGGAGATGCAGTATATAGAAGCTTGATCTGCAGGCGGATCTGGAAATCTGTGGGAAAGAAATTCCGCCGCCTGGAAACAGCCTCACGACAGCCTTGCAGCCAAGGAGTGCCGTCCGGCCTGAGGGGGATAGTCCTGGGTGCCAAGGCTGAGCGATATACGAATACGTCAAGGTCACGATACCTGACCTCTGAGCTGTTGAAAAGAAATGATGTCAAATATGAAGATCACCAGAGACATTAGCTTGGGGATGATGACGGAAGATCCGCCTTACCGTAGAGCATTTCAGTCGTGGATGCGGATGGAAAGAGGAGTCTATAAAGAGGAGTCGTAGTATTCGGGATACCTTCTCTTTGTGTCTTTTACTTTGACGCGTAGGGAATCAACTTCACGCGTTTCACGGAAAGGAGGGGGCTATAACACAACCTTACTATCATAAATGCCACGGTCCCAATCCGCCTCCACCATGTCCACTACAGACTTCGAGCCACAACCTCTAAGCCAACCCCTTAACGATAAAGCCCTGTCCTCACTCCAGGACCTCATCCACGAAAACCGCCAGGACCAGAAACTGCACGACCGCCTTGCCCTCGCCGTCCAGCACCTGACAGACGTCACCGGCGTCCTCAACGACAGAGGTTACGAGCGCAAGGTTAAATATGCAAAGGAACATGCTCGGAGGGAGGAATATCATGAAGAGGAGGACGACGAGGCAGCCCGAGCCCACCAGGCATTCCAAGCCAAAGTCGAGAGTCTGACCAAGAAAATGGACGTGAGCATACGTGCCATCATCGACGACCAGATCTGGCTCGAGGATCTGCCCGATATCCTACGGCATACTGTAAATAAGGCACAGAATCCTACTCTGTCCCAGCAGACCGAGCACAATCAGAGCCCTACACCGATTCATTCTACCAGACAAAGCAATGGCGATGGGGACATGGACGCAGATGGAGACGCAACGGAACTTGATGAATCAAATCGAGACCAAAAACCTATATTCCCTTCCATTGTCAACCCTGCAGACACCCCACATATGCTCCTAGTCGAGGCTTTGCAAAAGCGGAGCAGAGACTGGGCATCGAAGAGCTTGACGGAGAAATACGCCTACAACAATTCTTACAAAGGCTTTTACCGCGTGTTATTCGATGCGAAGCATCCAGGAGAATCTGCGCCACCCATGCCAAATGAACGACTATGGTTCGCGGCCGAAGAAGGGCGAGAGGTGATATCATCCCAGCGCCAACGGCCTGGTTCCCACGAAGCCGACGACGATGGAGATGAAGAAGACGACGAAATTGAAATCGCCTCAGAGAAGGTTCGGCTCAAATGTCCCATCACCCTCCTCCCCTACGTGGATCCTGTGACGTCGGCCCGTTGCAACCACAGCTATGAGAAGACCGCGATCCAGGAAATACTGCAGACGACAAGCGACCATGTCCCCTGGACGCCCGAGCAACTCGCAGAATTCAGCCGGCTCGACCGTCACGAACGATCTAGACGTGAACGACAGATGCGCACGCCCCAAGTTAAATGTCCTGAGTGCAACGTGCCGCTGACTGCGGCAGATCTACGGCCTGACCCGGCGTTGAAGAGACGAGTGCAGCGAGTTCTCGCAAAAGCTAGACGAAATGAGAGAGATGAGACTGCCACAAGCGATATCGAAGGAGACGAGGTTGAGGACGAAGACGGCGAAGATGCAGTGCGAAGTGGTACACAAGGACGGCCCCTAGGTCTAGGATCAAGTCCTCCCCTCACATCTGGCAGGAAGAATGCACGGGACAAAGCTGAGAGGGTATCTTCCGAACGCAACAGCACACCAAGCGGGTCTCAACATGGGTTGGCCGCCAGGTCACGCTCTCGCATTGTGGATGTTGAAGACGATCTTGCTTGATTATCTGAATGAATGCACGCCGGTCTACCTATCCGCGCGCTGATTTCCACGGAATGATGCATAGCAGACAGTGACTAGTGACATGTTACGAATGAGCAGTAAAACACTGGGTGATACGATCGAATGAAAATTTAATGACAAGGGTAGGGAGTCTTGCATTGTTTTCGAAATGAAGTACTGATTTTGTTCAAGGCCAGAGTGATATGGCTACATCGAGTCGAGAAGACCCATGGCATGCGAAGCATAGTCTTCTCCACCATTCATGTTCTCAAGAGTTTTTCATCTTCGTCTTCATATCCGGCTTTGCCCTTCCCTTTTTGCCTTTGTTCTTGTCTTCGTCTTCTTTTTGATCGATGTATTCAGTCGGAGATATCAAGCCGCGTCGAAATAAGCTGTTAGATGATGTTCTCGATATATGGATAGCCTTCATCGTGAGATTGAGGGTTAAACTTTGTGGCATCTCTTAGCTCGTCCAAGAGTTATTCTCCTAGCGTCACGAAAATACCTTTGGTGATTAGGTCGTCAATATTTGAATGGAACTCTTCATTTCGCTTCCTCTATATCTCTATGGCTCAGAACATCCGATCTTCAAAGTGCGCGATAACATGTTTGAGCGGCCAGAATAATTGAATCGTCTTTGAGAGCAAGGTCCTCTTTTGGAAACACACACACACACATTAAAAAAAAAAAATCGCACGCTCTTCAGCACTGTTTTCAGTAACCTTTATTTAGTACATCTGAAATTCTTCCTTGTATTTCTTGCATTCATCGTGTGTTCTTGTGGCGTTCTTCACTTCCGTTACAGAGATCGCGAGATAGTCTCCCATATCTGGCCAGGAACTTCCACCTTTGCAGCTCGATGACATTGTTCATCAGCTTCTGTATGCTTGGAGTCGGAAGAAACCAAAGCAGCGCATTGCGTTCCATCATCTTGTCAGGAGCTCGAATATCCTTCTTCAATTTCGGGTTGTAGGCATCATCAGTATCTGAGTTGCGAGCTGCATCGAGAGGCTTCTTGAGCTGCTTGACGGTATTGTTTGGCAAAGAGAGCTGTTGTTGCTGCCGCCTTTCGTTGGGCAAGTGTTTCCGCATAGTTCAAACGTCTGATTTCTGAGTTCATCATAATCAAGCGCAGAAACTTTCTGGTTTCGGGTAGTCTGGATCGGGGGTGGATCAGGGGTTCATCGGGGTTTAGTGACTATCTTGGTTTCGATTCCGAGGTCCGATGCTATCTTTGACATTCTCCGGCTTGGATTTTGACACGCAAAGAGAGCAGAGAAGTGACGCACAACAAGTCAGGCTGGTGAGAATTCCGCTAGAAATTGAAAAAGGAAAGAGTAAGCAAAGCGTAGAGACGACCATTTCCCGTTTGGTTGCTTGACAACGGACCGGGAAGAGTCGTGGATGATATCGTTTATATAATCCCCGAATAGGGGATGTCGGGTGTAAGTGAGGGCCTGTAGTTGCAATTTTGGTGCCGAATGGAAAGCGCCTGGAATAAATAGACGACCGGCTGGAGTGCACCGCAGATGGGTAGCTCGCACGAAACCGTTAGAACCCGTATAGATATTTCACAACACCTTTGTTGGTTTTCCTGCCGCACAAGGTTGGACATCGGATTATTCGGGAATTGTCCAACAGGATGTCCCCGATGGAAAATTCGAATCTCTTCGGAATGAATGAATCTGCTGTATGATTTGGCCCTCCGGGATGAAAAGTCCGGGAGTCCTAGTATTCATCGTCCGAGTCATAGTAGTCGTCATCGGGTAGGAGGCTGCGATATCGACGGCTGGCTAAATCCTCCTCCAGTCCACCCTCACTTCCGGGATCAATATAACCTGTTGTGAGACATTAGTTGAGGACACACAATTCAAAATCCGTAGCAAACCTACCATCTCCGCCCAAAAAGCTCAATGCCACCGGCAAAAACACTAATGCGTGCGAGCTCGCGAAGATCACCAGTGCCAACCAGACGCGGAAATAGTAGATTTCAAAGATCTTGCTCCGGGTGAATGCCAACACAGCCACGCCCAGGAATTTGGTGATCGTGATGCCGCTGAAGACGCTACCGCCCACGTTTACCAATGCTGTCCAAGCTCGAATATCTTTGCCACGGAATTTATGCCTTGCTCGCTCCATGACTGGCTTGCTGGGGAACATGAATGCACGAGCAATATGTGCACAAAATTCGACTCCGATGCCCACGCATATGACCAAGTTGACCAGTGACACAGCGTTGAGTGACACATTTGCGACCGCCATAACACCAACGATATCTACCACAATCATAATGACGGTAACTGCCACAACGGCTCCTGTTAGCAATGAACCCAATAGCAATGAAGCTAGGATGAATATGATCGCCACTGCCACGCCGAGGAGGGTAGCGGTCAAGCGAATGATGCTGCTATACTGGTCAAAAAAGATGTAGTGTTTGCTGTATGGGAACACATCAATGTCGTGACGCTCTGAGATATCGTCAGAAATTCTCCTCGCAGCAGCATAGGAGTTGATGAAGTCGTCTTGTCCTCGTAATGGGGTGTGGAAAGTACGGAAATGGCTGGCCGGGACGTCGGTATGATTCTTGTCGATGACCAGCGCATTTGAGTAGGCAGCTTGCCCTCCATTCGGACATTCTTCATCGGTTGGAGCATGAACCCACTTTTGGGCATACTCGATGAATTCAACCCCTTCGGGCATGCCAGACAGTGTGATATTCCATTCCCCTTCGCCAAAACAGGTTTCCCCATTTTCGTCTTTGCAGCAATCTGAAATGGGATTGAGCCAGTAGAAAAAGTCGTCAATCCAACTGGCGGTAGCGGAGTGGATATAGCTGACATTTGGACGCTTTGACTCTTGTTCCAAAATATAAGCCAGAGAATATTCGTCGCAAGTCGTGAATCTGCCACAGAGCTGTTGTTGATGGTGTCTCTCTGTTGCGTTGAGATTGCGCGTGACAAAGTACACGGGCGGTCCCGATCCAAAATAGGCATACAAATCATTGAAATATTGAATCATGTACGAATCTGAAGGGATTGCGATACGTTGGTCGAGTCCAAGGTGCACCTTTGGAATCAGGGCGATGCCTGCAGCAAAAAGCGTGACAAAAAATGTCAGAATAAAAGTCTTGACTTTCTTGTCCAACAACATCGGGGCGTAGACTTTGCGGATGAAACGCTGCAACCAACCCTCTTCGTCACCGCCAAAGAAGGGGCCGCCGGGCATGCTGACCGAGTTGGCTCCCCTTACTGTCACACATGGGAAGCAATCTGCTCGCAGACTCTCCACACGGCGTTGATCGAGGGCTAACACTGACACGAACATGGTGACTTGCAATGATGCATTGATAAAAACTGCGCCGGCGGCATATGCCGCAAAATTCTTGACTGCAGGCATCCCCACAAACGCGCCCATTGCGAATGCAACCGTCTCAGTGGACGCCGACAAGAGAATACTGGGGCCCATCCTTCCAAGCGCCTTTGCGACACGTTCATCGACCTCTTCGTCCGGATGGCTGATATTGACGCGTTCAAACTCATGAACGATAAGGAAAATGTTGTCAACTCCAACGGCGAGGACCAAAAATGGAATGACCTCTGCGATGATGAGGGTGACTTTCACACCGGCCGCGGAGAACAAACCCACCGAACCAGAGACCGACATCAGGACGATGATAATTCCCGCAACGCCCAAAGTAAATTTGGACTGGACAAGCGCATTGGATGGGTTGCTGAGGAGCAATCTCAGGGAAAGACTGGCTGAGCCCAAGGAGAGGGATGCATATAAGAACATGACAACATAACTGATGGCCACAATCTTCGCATCCGTGTTGGTCGACTTGTTCAACTCCTCCTCCAGACTGATTTCGGTATTGAATGACAATCGTAAACCTCGAGATTTGGCGGAATCTTGAGATATCAGCAGCTCACGCTTAAGCGTACGCTCCCATTCTTCGGCCCTAGCCTCTCCTTCTGTGCCGGGCTGGTCATTATTGACGACCCAGGTTGTGATCAATGCTTTCGAGCTAACGATATCGTCAAGGCTATTATAGCCTCCCAGGACGCGACTAGGTTGAAGCGGATCCATGAACTCTGGTAAGCATCTCTGATCTCCGGGATGTGCAGCACAAAGTTCGAGTTGCTCTTTCCAATCACTGGTCAAACCAGCTCCAAACCATCCACTGACGGACTGAACAACACATGCTGAACCGGTGGGCTTGAAACAAACGTCGCTCAAGGTGATACCATTCTCAGGGCTCATCACGCGTGAAATTCGTTGTTCAATATCGAACCACCAGCCAAGATTTTCGTAGCTTAAAACGGAGCTGTCTGGTGCCGAGTCATTTACCAGGAATGCTTGTTCCGATCTGTAAAATGGGCCAAAGTGTGTATCAAAAAATGCTTTATCCTGGGCGGCAGCGGAAGTTGGGCTGACCCAAAGGCGGACAGGGTCCTTTTCAACGTCAAACCTCAGCCAACCCAGACTGAGGAGACCGATAATCACGATATTCGTGCCGATGGTCACCCCCGGATATCGCGCACAAAATCCGCCCAAAGTGTTGAATGCGCGGTCAAGTATCTGGTTCAAATAGTAGTTTCTCTGGGGTCGTTCCAGCATCCCGGCATTATCAACAAGATCGCCCTCGTCTTCGTCATCGCTTGGCGCAGTATCTTGCAGTAATTGAAGTCTCTCACTCTTCCATTGCTTGTGTCTCCGATATGCTGCATGCCCGGAGATGGCGGTGACGAGAAGCAGCAGGCATATGGAGTAGACGATGATGATCGCGAACGATAAACAAGGAAGTTTTCCAACATGGCAGTACTTGACTGAACTGACGGGCTCCAACGTTGGGCAGACTTCCGGACAGTCGACACAACTGCACCGAAAATTCGGATCCGTGTCGTTGCATGCGTACGATCGAGGATCCTCTGCCGTCATTCCTTGACTGTCCTCAGATCGAGGTTCTTCCAGAAAATTGATCTGAAAGGGGCTCCCAAGCAGCTTTTTGTCACCAAGGAATTTCAGGAACTCCGTGTAGTTTTGGGCACCCCCCCCTATGAACGCCATAGCCTTTCCGCCACTTGCACCATTCTTGACTTCTTTGCAGCTATCGTAGAAGCCGCTTTGATATTGTTTGGACCATATATTGTCCAGTTCCGTCACCACATCATTTCCGTTCGAAGCTTTGCCTGTATCAGTGACATTGACGAACAAAGATTGATTGGGAGAACAAGTAAAGGTGCAAAAGAGGTTGAAGAAATTTTCTTTGCAAGCCGGACACGATGCAATGACCCTCTCAGCCAGATTCAGATTCTTCTTCAATGCGTCCACTTGTTCCTCCTCGCAGCAGACATCAGTGTCTGCCCATTTTGGTCCACACAAGTCGACTAGCTTTTCTCGGACGGTATCAGAAGGAGGAGCGGCTTTGCCGTTGTCTGGACAGGGTAGATCTGATCCAAAGAAGCCCTGTTTACCACAATGGCCGCGGATCGCGCATCGACCAGGTTCATGGAGAGGTGTTGTGACAGAGGACAATGCAAGGGGAAGGGAGGAGATGGCAGCCAGAGCTGCAAAAGAAGGCCAGGAGAATCGCATCGAGAACAATCGTGATATAGATAGGAGCTGGGAGATTGATGAATTGTTTCGGTTCGTGTCAGCGGTAACGGGTCATCTCATCTTCGCAAAGAGGGATGTTAACGACAGCGTCGGCGTCGGTGCTATGAAGACAAATCACTGGGCAATTTGGAGGTATCGCGGCGGGAGCGAGAACTCGGATGGGGGCAATTTTCAACGACTTGATGAATAGTGAAAGAGTCAGAAGGGCAAAGGGGATGGTGTGTAGAAATGTCCAAGTGGACAAGAAGCTGTGCGAGTCCCCGGAATGTTCTCCCTCGGCTGCAGCGATGTTTGCTATTTGGAGGCTAGAGGCTGCAGACTGCGAGTGGGCGGGTTGGAAGTTTGGAGGCAGCCTCGGATTCCCCTCCGGGGGCCTCACAGCCACTAAGCCATCAATAGACCTCCACCGTTGCCAGATGGACACGCGGCATTTTGGGCTCAAACCCTAGGATCGGAGAATTAACAACTTGAAAGCCTGAGCCTCAGGTACCTGGCACCACGCGGCCCAAGAATCGACCCTAGTTTACCCGCCCATGTTGATCCATACTTTCTCGATGGAGCACACGACATGTTACTGAAGAACACACCCACATGGAAGAGATGAGATTTAGGGGCTTCCCACAAAAAAAAGACATGGTCCGAAACGATACGATGCCGATAGTTTTGATATCTGGTTTTCTCTGCTTTCATCTTTCACTCTGCATCCTCCCTTCTCCAACCACGAATCAGCTCCCTACAGCCTTTCTTCTGTAGGTACGACAGCCTTTCTTCTTTTCTACCGAAGATAAAATACACAAAGTCTGAAGAAAAAAGCGCTCAAGGCCGGAAGCTCCAAGTCTCCGTGTCACTGTAGGCCTCAGCCTGTTCAACTCCAGCTAGAGTTTCCCATTTCGACATTCCACGGCGCCTATCCATAATGCACAAACCTTTCCCTCGCTGAATAGTCGCAGGCAAGCTTTCCATCACTTTTCTGCAGACAAATGTCAAAGTTCAAATGCAAAGCTGTTTCAACTGTCTCCAGAGGCAGTCGCGGGCTTCGATTCGCTAGGCTTCGATTCCGTCGATTTCGCGTCGGAGGCTCCATCGGTCATCTTGCTCTGGTAGCTGCCTCGTCCACCTCGTCCACCACGGCCACCTCGATCATCTCCTCGGCCACGTCCACGTCCTCGGAAGCCCCCTCGTCCTCGACCACCTTCACTATCGCTTGCTCCTCCACTCTGGTACCCTGGACGCGTGGAAGGGGTGCTGGCCGACGTAGATGCACCACGGTTGCTACCCTGCCACGTTCCCATACCGCCTTGACTGTGATTGTCGCGCTGATGGTATCCGGTGCCTCGCTCTTCGAACCATGTGATCTTAGGAGGTTTGCCCGTGGCACTCTTGTTTTTCTGAATGTGCGCTTGGGCTCGAGTCAAAGCCGCGTCGGCAATCTCGTGCGTCTCAAATTGGACTTTCCAATTATTATATTTGTTGCCCAGTCTGACAATGGATTTGACCTTCTCGCGGTCTTCCTCCGCGAGACACTCTTTGGCATGTTGTTCACTATCCGCGAATGACACGTAGAGGGCCGTGGGGGGTTTGCGGTCTGCTGGAGGAGTACCGGCCTTCGCCTTTGTGGCCTCCCCGTCACCGATCTTGTCTCCGCCGGTGCCATTGGTCGCTGGGGTTGCGGAGGTCGTTGGTGCTGCGGCGGATGACGGTTGGGGTGTGAGAGGTTTGGCCTGTGTCACGGGGGGTGCCGGTGATGCTGCCGTGGGTGGCGTAGTGGACTTGGTGGCAGGGATCGGCGCCGGCTGAGCGGATTGGCTGGGTCTTGCTTGTTGCTGCGGAGGTTTCTGTTGCTGTGGGAAAGGCTGCGGAGGTGCTGGGAAGGCTGGGGTGCGATTCGGAGCCGGGCCAGTCGGTGCAGAATTGGAAGCTACAGGGGCAGAGACAGCTGGTCCGGGGGCTGCAGCTGGCTGCTGGGGGATCGTCGAGGCCGAAGTTGGTTTTCCACGGTGAGCAAAGTTGAAGCCCTGCGCACGCATTTCGGTGCCGATGCGACCACCTTCGATTTCCAGCACGAGATAGCCAAAGGCGGCGTCTGCGAGGTTGAAATTCCACATGTTCTTGAACGCACTCTCATCCACCTGACCTGCAGCTGCGCCACCGCCCACGGGGCCACCGAATGGATTTCCACCATTGGCAGTACTCGGCATCTTCTCGACAATTTCCAGAGCACTGTGAAGGAGGGCCTTGTGGTTGGCATTGGACTCAATAGCCTGCTCAACGTCCATCTTAACCGTCTCCCACACATCTTGAAAGGATGCTTTGGACGCTGCCAGCTTACCGCGGTAGTGGTCAAGAGTGGGGTTGACGGAGAATTCGTTGTAGGAACTTCCGTATCGGAAATGGAGGCCGGCAGAAATCGAGAAGTCCGCTTTCAGAGTGACCGATAGCTGGTTGAGGATTCCATCTCTTGCGGGAGAGGCGTGCGTCAAGAAGATGCGGGTCTCTGAAGGATCATAGACACGGTTTGCGGTATCAATCAAGGCGCCGATCTGTAATAGCGTGGTCCACATTGTTCCCTGGCCACCGGCAATATATGTCTTGCCTTCTCCGTTGTCAAAGAGCTTATGGATGACAACAGCACCACCCAATCCCAACAATCGCAGCTTCACTCCGCCAATGTCAAGCAATCTCGAATTGACTTCATCGATGATGTGTAGATTGTCCACCTTGTACTCGCCCGATCGGAATCGCTCCAATACTCGGACATCTTCACAGGCTCCCCATACAGTGTACACGGGTACATCCAAAGTGATCTGCTTGTTGAGGAGGAGAGGCAATTCGGAAAGGGGAAGTTGTTCAGGTGAGAACATTTGCTTGATCGGTCGAGGTGGTGCGGGTTGGGCGATCTGGCGCTTGACATTTTCACTTAGGAGAGGCGAGTATTGGGCGACGTGTTTCAATGTCCTGATTCAGAGGTTAGCAATAGTTCAAGTGGCTCCGGCTCAGAATGTAGTTGACTTCTCGGCTATTCTCTCCAGTGAAGTATTGTCGTAGAATCCAAAGTCGCCGGTATGCAGGATGTAATCTGCCCTTGCGGTTTTGGCAAGATCGTTTAGAGATTTGAGATTTCCTATAAATTCATAGATCAGACTTGAGTTACCCGACCGTGGAGGGCTTTGTCACTCACCTCTCACGTCCGCAATGCAAAGGACTCGAATGGGCCCCGACTGGATGACGCGGCCATTGTTTGGAAGAAGAGCCTGGGCTCCAGGAGTCGGTCCAGAAACAGTTCCGTTCGGTAGGTATCCTGGATTGGGGAACTGTGGTCGTGGCTGTTGAGGATTCACGATTAGCGAAAGCACTATTGGTGTCATGCCTTTAGGCATCATGGTTGCGGACGTCAGGGTGATCGAGAACAGAGGACAAGGATGGAGGGACGAAGTGCGCAATGACTTACTGAAGCCATGGATGGAAGAGGATCTGAAAGCAACGCAATGCCGGTTGGATTCCGCAGACGAGGCGCAGGTAGAGAAAACAAGACAGGAACGTGAAAAAATTAGTATTAGAAGGATCCGAGTCTGAGGCGAAATGAGCTGCGCGTTCCCTTCTTCGATTGGTACAAAACAGAGGAATTGGGACGACGGGTGGAAGTCGAAGCGTTGTGATATGGCAATGGGATGGAGCAGTTTGTTGTTGAAGTGTTAACAGTCTACATGACCCCCGGGGAAAAGCAAACTTGAACTCACCCTTCAAACCCCAGCGGAAGCGGGCCATTCCTGTTAAGTACTAGCCCGCTGCGATCCGGCCTTTGCCCCTTTCGATCCATCCCTACAAGCCTATACCAGCACTGCTGATTGGGATGAGCGTAGGTACAATAAATTTCTTTGATTATGTTCCTGATGACTTGAAGCGATATCTGAACGGATAAGAAGTCAGGCGGTACTGCTACTCAGTCTTGAATCTTGGTCCAGACATCTTCAAAAGAGCGTCGCTCGTGGTAGAAGTTGGTACATGTAAAAAGACAATTTTCAGCCTTAACAACTCCCACCCAAAGAAACAAAAAAAAAAAAAAATCCGTTCCATGTTAATCCCGTTGTAGCTTTGTGGGGCACGTGTGTTAGATGCCCCGCCGCATTCATCCCGTTTTGGTGGTATCATATGTTCTCCATGATCCCAGCCAGATAACTCCCAGTCATACCGACTAGTCATACCGAGCATGTAATGAAGTTTGGCTCATCCAGTGTCGTCCTCTCATTCCTGTTCATTTCGCGGCGCCCAAGATCTTGTCAACATCCTTCTTGTCGACCACGGCGCCACCTTCAGAGCACTTCGCCTTGGCACGGAGCTCGCTACACAGGTTGTCAATGTCAATCTCGCCGTTTCGGAATTTCTCCATCGATTGCAAGCGATCCCTAGAGGTAATGTTAGCCATTCTATCCCAAAAAGAGTTCAACGCGACGGTGGTCACCAACCATATCTTATTGCAAGTCATAGGTTTGTCGTTGTTGGGAACAACTTCTTCATTGCCATTTTTGGCCTCCTCAACTTGTTTCAATAAATCAGTCTTGGGAGCATTTTCGGTGGAGAGGTCGTTGTAATTATGCAGAGGGCTGCCCAAGTCAGGAAGGGGATAGGCATCGTTGAAGAAAGCGCCAAAATCTTGTGACAGGATGTTGTCCTGTGTCTCGCGATAATCGCCAAATAGGATGGGATCAAAGCCGTTGTTGTTCTGCTGAGCAAGCCAGTGGATGCCATTCGCATCGAAACCAGGGGTGGTAGCGTAGCCTAACGATTTCCCGTTAGACATATTCAAGATAGGAGGTATTGGGTCATCCGCGCAGCCACAAGCCAGTTGGAGTTGGTTGCAGAGGTAGTCCTTACCGCCAAAAGAAAGTTGATTCTCTTCACGTATAGGATTGAGAGTGTGCTCGTTCAACTTATTGGCCGGAGAATTCAGACTCGGCTCAGGAGAGGTGCCGATAGACGAAGTGGCGTTTTGAGACTCGGTGGAGGAACTGGGAGAATCGGAAGTTGACAGACTGTGGTTCGAGTAGACTCCCGAATTGTTGCCTATCGCGCCATTGTCTAGGCTGGTACGGGCATTTTGGTTTGTGGTACCATAGGCGCTTTGGGGAAAGTATCCACCCAGCGAGGCATGTTGACTGGCTTCCAGGATGGATGGGCTGAACAATCCAGATAGGCTATCAACGCTTCCCTGCTGCTCCTTCAGAGGTGGAGGAGATGCTGAGTATGTGTTATTTATAGGTGACTGGCTCAAAGATCCAAACCTGGTGGGTTGATTCTGCGAGCTAGAGGTGGAACGGTGGGCATTGGAATTTGGATTGACTGGAGAGATGCTTGAATTAGGAAGGGTGGCCGGTCTCGACGCATTGATAGTCTGTTGCTTCTGCGAGTTCGGGTTCGAATTGCCAAACAGGTTCGTCGCAGTCATTGGTGGAAGATCACCAAACTTGGGGAACTCGAACTGGAAATCATTGTGGTTATTAACACTCGGATTCCGTCCCTGGTTCGCCATGATCGGTTGCGATCTCATCAAGCCATTACTGCTGATCCAAGACAACCGCTTGCGGTATTCCTTCAATTCGACTTGTAGACGCTCGACTTGCGCCCTTAAAAGGCCATTTTCATGGTTGGCAGATTCCGAGGCCTTTTCCAGGTCTTCGACCTTGGTTTCTAGATCTTTGAGGTGCTTCTCCTTGCGTTCACGGAAGGCTCGTTGAGCGGCGCGGTTTTGGGCCTTGCGTTTCTACGAGACGTTAGGAGAAAGTATACACACCATCGAGCTGGATAGACTCACCGAAGTGGGCTCAGAAGTCAGGGGCTTCCTTCCTGGCTTTTTGACAGTCTTATCCTCACCCTCTCGTCGCTTCCCACCTCCTTCGTCGTCTTCACCATTTCCATCCACACTTTTCCTTTTGTCATGTAGCTCTCCGGGAATTTCGCCGATCATGCGGCTGTTCTCGTCAAAGTCGAAGGTGTCGTCGCCGAAGTCGGCCTCGGGATCAAAGTCAAGGAATGGACTGTCGTCGCTGAATTCGAGATTACCCGAGCCGGGAGCACTGGACATATTGGGAGTGAAGTTGATACTTTGTGGGGTGGTCTTCTGGTTGTGGGGAGCTGGCTGTTTTCCAGGAGATTGGTTGGAATTGAGTGCGGCCATAAGAAGCTCTTGTTGGTCAGGGGAGAGGAAGAGGCCGTCTGTGGGTTGGCCAGGCATTGGATGGAATTGAAGAGGGTTTTCAAGGTGTAAGGGGACCTGGTCTTCAGGAGGCGACTTTGACCAAGCGAAGGACGGACGGGTCGGGGCAGAGGTGCGGAGGGTGGCGGAAAGCTCAATTCGAGAGAATCAGGCAATGCCTCTCTCTACTGCGCACGAGAGCAGTATCAAGAGGCGAGTGACAGGTCGCTAGGCGGATTGATGATGTTGAATAGAGAGGAAAAGAAAAGAGGGATTGTGGTTGACAGAAGAGTGGGTAGAGGGTATGGCTTGGAATCGGCGTAGATCGGTAAGGCGCGGGTGGGGGAAGGCAGTCACTAGGAGGGGAGCACACTCTCTCGTACAAGCAGGGCACGACTCTAATGGCTCAACTGTGGCAGCGGTAAAGAGAGTTATTTGAGAGGGATATGTGACGGTGATGGACAAATAGCGTGTCAGAGCTGGCTATCCAAGTGCGAACGATGGAAAGGACACGATAAGATCAGATCAAGACTAGTTGTTGATGTGCGGTGGTGCCGCGGTTGAAGAGAAAAAGCACTGGTGTGTTCACCTACTGAGCCCTATAAAGTGACCAAGTCTCAGCATTATGCGGCTGTTACAACGTAACTCTCGGAATATTGATGGGCCAGAGAATTTTTCTCCTCCGCCCCTCGAACTCGGCACTGGGTGGGATGTGTTTCTGGTGGTGCCCACGGATCTAATTTCTTCTCGGGATTCTATTTTTCGCCTCTTCTACAATTTTCTTCCTCTTCACCTGGATCCAAATCCAGAAAGCCCATGACATGTATCATTTTGTGTAGCCTCTCTGGTTCCCAAGTCTCATCGTCAGTGGAGGAAAAGTACTCGTGGGCCCGGGTAAGATGTGGCGAATACCCAGGAATGAGGAGCTTAGACTTGATTTCTAAGCGACTTGAAATCGCGACTGGTCCACACCTGTCTATCATGGTCCATACCAATACCAATTGAGTTGCCCGACATTCAATCAGGCACCCTTCCCGCCTTGTCATCTCCTGCACGCCAATTGCAACCTCGCCTTGCCTGTGAAATGGCTGTCGAATACGAACCTTCCGTCAACGTACATTTTGGGTGATGGAGGTCATTTTTAACCCGGACCTTTGGCCTGGGTCCCTCGTTTCCTTTCTTGGGGTCCTAGTTTGACTTTGGCTTCCGACGTCATCGTTTCCCAAATCTCATCAGTCACTTGTCGTGAGGAAACGGCTGCCGCTCGGGGAGATGTGACCTTTTTGCCATGTGGCCAGTAGGATAAGTGGCCGAAACATCTTCCCCTTTCGAGTGATTTGTGGAAAGACAAAGCCGGCGGAGACCTCGGCTGGAAGAACCGAACGAAGATGAACAGAACAGAGATGTTCCCATGCCAGGGGCCAGTGATTTTATCTCCACGTGACTTGATCATATCAGAGATATAACTGCCGCTTTAAGCCAACTTCATGATATTGTTGCACTACCAGTCGTCGAATGACCACAGTTGCACATGAACCAGGTATGGGAATCGCTTGTTTGATGAATATGGATTGGTCCAGTTCAAGACTCTCATCTACAACCTACAAAGGTGTACCTGCTGATGAATTTTCGCTGCGGCTTCAGCCTGGCTAAGACCCAGCTGGATCGATTCTGGAGCAAGGTACAGCCGCTGGATCAGAGTAATCACATTCACTAGAATGGCATTCCGAGAGGGCTACTCCTTGAAAGGATGAAATGGATTGTCAAGTTCGACACGGGAATGCCAGTTCAAATCGCTAAACAACTAGTTCAGCCAAACCACGGAGGGCCAAAGTCGATGTGCAGCTCATTGCGGACCGGGATCGCTTTCACATATTTTGCCATCTATAATCAACAGGTCTCCGTGAAATCTCCCATCGGGTATCTCATATGTCTGGGTGCAGCTCCAATCTAGTCAGGATCAGATACGGAGGACAAGTCTTCTAAGATCGTCGGCCTCATCGGCCTCTTCGGCGCTGGAACTCGGCGTCTCGAATCCAATGAAGCACACGCTCTTGACGCCTTCCCACCCAGGATTTCGGACTTTTTTGGAATGAATCCTTTAAAACTTGTTTACTTAGGTATATTGAGCTGACGCCGTCTTTCTCCACACCCCAATGTGTCCCGAACGTCCTCCTATCTACCCTAGAAACGAACTTGGAGTCAGCTCAGTTCCTGGACCAACGCTATTGAATCTCAAAATCAGTTAATCATTCCCCCAGAGGATAACAGGCGCAGGAAGGGTTTTCCTCAATATTCTGGTGCTCGCTCTCGGGACCAGGCCATCTAAGCACAGGGTCCCTTTTATGATCAAGAAAACGGCAATTCTCTACAAATAGTAGCATCAAAGTTTGATTACCGTGGCAGGAAAATAATCGGATTGCCTCGTTGGCGGGAGATCCAAGACGGTCTACCATTCAAAGGCTAGAGCGCCCAATGGCCTTCTGCTAGATTGAATATCAGAGTGTATGTGCGGTGCAATCCCCTGTATTGATATTCTGGTCTGCTAATGCGTTGGGCTTCAGTTTCTAATCTCTGCATACCAAATTCCCAAGCGGTTCACGATGTTTTCAATGTGAGGAACACTGTGAACGAAGAATGCTATCCTTTTCTGCTGGATCAGGCATTCTTCTTTACTGCATCGTGCTTCATATAGCCGCTTCAGGATCAATCAATCAACCTGAATTAGCATTTGAGACTGCTATGAGCAGCGGCCATTTACATGAGTAATGAGCTAGGACGTTGTCAAGGTCAGGCCAGCGACGGAACTTTGCTTGCAATCATGTCTCTTGTCCCGTGTGAGGTCAGATACTCGATTCTGCTGGAATGGCCAACTTGTCAATTACTAATTCCTCGTAGAGACGTTACGGGGGGGTGGAGGTTCACAATCTTCACGGAAAAAGCGTTACCATCAGCAGAGGCTTCAACATTCCGCGATGCTACGACTTCTCATAGGTCTTGTCGGGTCCACTTCCATAAAGATTCTGAGGAAGAATCTGAACAAATCATTCCATACAGTCATCACAAGCCAATTCCATCCAATATGGATGACCTACCCAAGAAATGCTGGGTCGTGTTATACTATGGGTTCCAACTCATCGACGGCCACGGTCAATCAGAGCGCTCGTTGCAATGTGTTGGCTGCCAGCCAATGGACAGATCAACGAGCATAAAACAGTTGAGTTCTGGCAATTGCCTTCTTGCAGTGCTGTGATTTTACGGAGGACTTGTTCTATTTCGAAGGGGTCCAAGGGACCGTCAGACTATATACTTTCGAAGCGTGTACGAAGCGTACAACACTTCCGAAGGTCTTTACAAGCCTTGGCGTCGCCACATATCACAGTGCCAAACCAATTACATCACGTGATTAACCAATTTCAGGGTCTTGGCAAGTATTGGCGTCGCACGCACATTGTGCCAAAATCATGTGATCCCACCGGAAATTCAGGATACCGACCCTCTGCATCAGGCGAGAAATCCACACCTTTCCTATGGGTGTTCTCTCACTTGGCCGCCATGGAAGCTGGCATGTGAAGACTCGACCGACACCCATGTGCACTCTATTCCTTCACCACCTATTTCGCAAGGGGATTGACATCGAAGGAAACCAGGAAGGGACATTTTCATCGGACGCTCATGTATCTACTGGGATGCCTACGATGTCATCCTAGGTCTCGACTGGCCTCAGAAGCACGAAGCTTCATAGGATTTCGCGCGCTCGTGCGTGATACTACGAAATGGAAGCGGGAAACCCACTGCTGTCGAATTGAGACCTCGATGTGTTGACGTGGTGCCCCCGATGTGGCTTCGATGCCGAAGGATGTAGACGCAGGAGCGTCCGTGTGGGATGATGTTTGCGCCTGGAATGTGAGCTTTCTCGAGGATGCTCAGCATTTGCGCCTTCTATGCCCTGTATATGTGTTTCTATTTCGACAAGATCTTTGGCATGCACTAGCCTCGAGGGAGTCATATCATCTTTCTGTGATTTGTTCTCCTCTTGAGTCTGCTGGCCGGCTGCTTTTCGATATTGTCAGAGGAGTATCGTCATCTCTTTTCCGGAATTTCACGGCCACATGCCGTACCCTTCTAACCGATATGGACACCGATATGACCAACGCCGACGGGAGCCCTTTCGACCCGTATGGACCAACCGTTCCCTCACGAGGCCCCTCCCGCGGAATGTCTTTAACTTACCAGGTGCTTTCGTCTTCTGGATTCAAAGCCACCCCTTCAACTTCCCAACAGGGACAGGCCGAACCAACAACCCTCGAAGCCGTCGTCCCATTCGAACTCTTCCAGAACCTCGGAGAGGCGGGCGTCGAAAAGCCCCCGACGTATGGAGGGCAGCGAGAGAACGATGCCGCCCGGGTTTGGCTAATCGGGATCGAGAGATGGCTTTGGGCCAAGGAAGTTCTCCTTCACAAGTCCCGAGAAGATTGCCCTGACAACGTCCTACCTCGAAAAGGCCGCAGCAGCTTGGTGGAACCTAACCTATATCCGCGACGTCAGCCAAACCGCGTGTTTGACCAACCTCACACTGCCCTTGACCGCTAGAACGTGGCTGCACACCGCGAGCCGAATGAACATTGTCATCTCTTCGGATTGGAGGATCAGGAAACCTGCTGAAAGATCTTCCCCTCGAACCCAAAGGAGGTTGACTTGCACTTGCAGACCGAACCGATACACATACGCCACTTTCCACCGGGTTTCGGCACGAAGAGAACAGGGAATCCCCACGGGCTTCGAGATGGTTGAATCAAGCCCTGTTCGGGGTCTGCTTCCCTCTGTGCCGACGACGTCGATTCGTGAGCGTCGTCGCGGCTCCCCGTCCCTCCCCTATCTCGGACCGGTCTTCATCCTTTTCACTTTGAGACCGCCACTATGCAGAAGGTGTTTCTTACCGAGTGGCCTTGCCACCACTTTCGAATTCTGTCCTCCAATCGATCCCCTCCGTCGACAATACCAAGAAGGTCTGGAACCGTGTAGATTCCTGCTCAGGGTATGGAAAGGTCGAGACCTAGGATGACATCGTAGGCATCCCAGTCAAGAATTCGAAGGACAGAACGTGTTCAGAAGGTTCCAATCGTGTGGTCAACACTTAGCGGTTGGTCCGTCGTAGTTGTCTCCCCATTGATCAAGCGCACACGAAGAGTGTTGGTCTTTAGGATCTTTAGGTCTCCTCAAGCTGGTTGACCACTTTCTTCGAGACCGTGCTGTGCTCTGCGGACCGGCGGTGTATCGAAACCACCACCAGAATCTGGCTTCACCTCACGATTTACAGCACTGCGCTGAGATGATGCTTGACTACGCCTCCCTCCTCCTCGAGAGTGGCATAGAGGCCCTTTCGGACCCTAGTCCGGTAGAGGACTGTCGAAGGCGTTGCTACCAGATATGATTTTACGGAGGACTTGCCCCATTTCGAAGGGGCCCAGGGGACCGTCAGACTATACATGTCGAATATGATGGGCCGCTTGCTTATCCGCGTAACAGGGCCGTCCTTATCATGGTGATGAGCTCGGATATCCGCAGCAAATATGATGTTTTGTTTCTTGCGAATATGGCAGAGATCTTGCAGAGCCAGAACTTCTTCCCTGATTTTTGTTCTTGGACATCAAACCCTCAGCCCCAGGTCTACCCGGTTCGGTTTTAAACGGTACGAGAGCTCTCCTGGCAAGATATAATCCAGGAAGGTACGTCCAAACAATGCTGTGAGTATCCAGCTCCTGCCCTCCCGCCGGAGGAAGCTGATTCCTCAGAGACCCATCAAGGTGAGAAGGTTCCGTGATACTCTCCCGCGTAGAAGAGACCTCGGAGGGGTCGTCGAAGGTGGGCGAGGGGCGGCAGCAGCGTCGTGGTTCTCAGACATGGCGATGACGTGGTGAGGACGAGGAGACGCGAGACGCGAGACGTGACTGAATGTTTATAGGTGGTGATGATGGTGACAGTAAGCTAATCGGAGTGCAGGTCTCTTTGTTGAAGGACTTGGTAATTAATGGAGAGCTGATTGATTGACTTGCCACCCTGTCCGCTTGATAGTAAGCTTCTCTCCAGTGATAGTGGCAAAGTATTCATGGCTCAAATGCTGTTCGAGGCGGTATTTGTCGCCAGCAAACGAAGCAGGTGACGTTGAATGGGTCTGTACGATACGTTGAGTCAGGATACAATATCGTCTTCGTAGGCAGTCAAGATTTACCACGGTAGGGATGTTCATTACGATCGTCATTTTGGTGACATATGGTGATCGAAATAGTGGAAATTTTGAGAAATTGTAGTAGAAGGCGAGTGTCGTCTTATGGAGGCACAGGGACGGTTATTTCAGTTACAGATCGCAAAAAGGCAAACGCTGCCACGACGTGTGGGACGGGTGAAGCTCAGGCTCCATCATGTATGAGCCTCACTGCCCCTAGTGACCAGGAGCCTTGTGGAAGTCACGCTTCTGGCACACCGCCCACATTTTATGAAATCGAATTGGGCGGCTATCCCCCATACAAGACGATTCTTAGCCCATCGTTTCCGGTTTCTATTCGGTTCAGAAGCTTCTCGAGCAAGTAAGCATGTTCGTGACCAAATGAGGTCAGCTATTCAAGTCATTGAAAGATCAGGATCATCTGCCTGGCCGACAAGACAGGGGAAGGATAAGCAGAAAACCAGGTCAATATCACTCTAGAATGGGACCTGTCGAGAGCCATATGCATGTTCACTCAGTGCTACCGTACATGTGTGAGTGACATCTCACGAGGATTGAGGGTGATAAGCAGGGAAACACGAGTGGGTTGAGGGAGGGAGGGTAAATGCCCGGTCATGGTCTGTCTCATGCAAGGCACACCACTCCTGCTAGTGAAACCGCCTGGGACCAGCGGTCTATACAGTATGCGTATGGTGCTTGCTGTGGCACACAAAAGAGAGATTGGTCAGCATTCTTCTTGATTGAGATCAATCGAGGGCCTCTCCCGATCCCTCTTCTTCTTTCTGCCCCTCCTCTTCGATCTCTGACAAGCGCTGATTCCATCGCTCCGCGGCTTTGAGCAGGTTTCCTCCACCGTCCCTCTCCTGCGACCGTTGGCAGCAACACTTGGATGGATCAACGGCCGCTATAACACCGGCTCCCGTCAATACCTTCGTTAGCCGATGGTATCATATGGGCCGAATGACACGCTCGGGGAATGGTGACTTGCCTTGCCTGTGTTGCCGGAGCAGGCTTGCCGTGACATGGCCTTTCGGTACCCATTGCCCAAGATGGTGGTTGTCTAGCGGTCGAGACCTAGTGGAACTCTTCAGGAGGTCGAGTATAAGTCATCAACGCGTCAAAGTTGAATTCGTCATATGGCTGGTCAAACAAATCATGCAACTGCATGCTCAGGTCGTTGGTCCACTTGGCCCCCCGGAATGTCGATGGCGGATTCTCCGTCAACAACACCTTGAAAATCTGACTAATCTCCACAGTGGTCGTCGGGAAGAAGTCACGAGGATTGACCCCGTTTTCTACCGTCAATTCGTCCAGTCCTGATCCTCTTTCAGCATTATTGGCCATCGTGCGATTGATCGGTGGATGTGAATCTTTCAACAACTTGTCGAAGCCGATGAGAAACATCTTGGACGAATGCCAGAGTTTCGCCATTTCCTTCAATGCGAGATACAGGACATCGATCTGCTCGCTGGCCCCGGGTTCCAGGCTCCTGACTCGGCGAGCATGAAGTAGTGCAAGTATAGCGATGCTATTATACCAGCCCGCGACGCCATTCGGGAAACGGATCGATCCTCGCACCAAGTAGTCTTCGACGATACGAGCCACGCATGATGCTGACAGTATGGCGGCCGTGTATGCTTTCGGTAGACTTTGGGCAGATGGACTCACGTAGAGTAAAGTGATTGCGCCCAGATGAGGAAGGTGCAGCTGATACAGGAGTCGGTCAAATCGTGACGCCTGATCTGTGCCGAACGGCAACCGCAGGTGAGCTGGAAGTGCCTGGACCCACTCGATAAGCCGCTGGGCGAGATCGAAAGGGAACGGAGTGGACTCGGTACGTTGGACCAAGTATCTGGAGACATCGCCGACGACTGCGCAGATTTTGACCCAATTGATGAACAGCTCTGCACGAGATGTGGCGGCATGCGGAAAGTCCTCGATCGTCGGAAGTCGGACATCGCAGTCATCCGGATGGATGATGCATGGACGCCCCTGGACAGATCGCTGTCAAACGCTCTCGAGCCTGCTCCACCATCAGCTCAAGTTTCAATCCAGCCAGCAAAGGCAGCTTTACAAACAAGGTCCACCATATCCGCCGTCTCAGACTCGCTGTCTCGCCAGGTCTGGAAGTATACCCACTCGACGGTTCTCGATGTAGTCCGATTTCTTGAGCCATACGAACTGCCACCGAGTTCCACCAATACTGGCTGTCCATGCTCACCAGGTTCGGCGGACCAGCGCACCACCAGTATACCAGGGTGATGGCAACGATGCGCACCAAGGCGTTTCTCTCATGGTTGCGGTGGAAGAGGCTCTTAAAGCGCTCGTAGTAAGTTTGTGGGGAATCATGCCGCAACCGAGGCGGATTGATGATGCTTCCCAAAAGCGCCAACGCCTGCTGTAACAGCAATGATTTGGAAAAGGGGCCGCCACTGTGCAAGTCTTCGTGCTCGAGCACCGGACACCACGGGTAACAATATTCCAGATACGTCTCAGCAAAGCCCTGCCGGAGAACCGGAGAGATGGTCAGGCGTGTCAAGTCAAGCGCTTGAGAAGGTGAGGGGTTCAGAATAGGACTGGATTGAGAGGGCCTGAATATGTGCATGAACCCCGATTGGCCGAGGTAGCCTTGCTCCTGATCCTCGACATTGGACGCCTGCCCTGGCATGGGCCATGGTGGGTTATGAAGGCTTCCAAGGGTATTCGTCGGGCCGGGTGAAAGTCCTCTGGTCAGTGGGCTGGGATGGGTTGTGACACCGGGATTAACAACGATCTCAGGCGAAGGGGGCGGCATGAATCGCTCATCGAGCTGGCTGGGTGACGAAGCTGTGGCAGTTGCACCATACCTGCTTCCCTTAATCGGTCCTTTTCGCCTGGGTGTGCGAATGCTCAATCACGAGCATCAGCTAATCGGGCAAGGCAACCGGCAGATTCGCCTACCTGCATCGAGTGTCGTTAAGTCGGCAATGGCTGCATATAGAACCTGCCGGACGTGAAGAAATATTGCATTTAATCTATGCGAGCGTTGAGCAATGCAATACAACCGAGCATTTTATTGGGATGCAAACCTTCTTCTCGTGACAGCGCACGCAGACCAGATTTGCGCGCCGGCGTATTACGCGTTCTGTGTTGCGAGCAATATCAGTCATATCTCGCGGTGGCAAGAGAAGCTATTGAACATGTAGAACTGTGCCGGCATGGCCCTTGAAAGACTTTGGCATGGCATGCGGTGGTCACCACCTGGGTTTTCACCTCGGTTCACGGTCTGATATTCGCCAAGGACTTAGCGTTTTCCGCATAAAAGCGGCCTTGACCCACTCCTTAGCTTCGTTAGTTCTCCACCACGGATACGTCATCCGCACCGGGCTTTGGCTTCCAAGGCTAAGTCGAATTGAGATCTGCGTCTACTCGTATGACGGGGAAGTACATCGTCAACTCCGGGGGTACATTCTGTCGCCATATTCTTGGCAATCTCGTGCGTTTTGGATTGGGTGGACGAGGTCCTCCTGGGTTGCCACTGCGGAAGGCGCCATACCGTACGGAACTATTTCGCAGACGATGGGCCAACGGCATGAGACAAAGGCATTGTTCGAGATGCGGCAAGTTTGGACTGGAACGAGTTGAAGTGGCATGGTGGCACTCGTAGCACGGCTACCAAGATAACCGACCCACACACAGCCGAACGGTGGACTGCCCATCCGTATCTGGCTTCATTGCTCTCCAACGCTGTACTCGACACTCCTGCCGAGAGTATTCGGCATACCATTCTCATCTTGGAGATCTTGAAGAGGAGGCCGATGACCGACCCTGATGCAGTGGTGCAGCCCCCGGAACGTATGAAGTTGTTGTAGCTTAAGGTTCCAAGATGTGTCGAAGTTGACGATATTTCACCAAGTCGGAGGCCCATGTCTCGCCATGCCCTCGGCCATCACGACTCTTACGAGGCCCGTAATTTAATCAATGCTACGCACCTTGAGATCGTGATATACCATCTGTAAAGCAACGTGAAGCACCTACGACTCCATCCACTCCGTCCTTGGTGACCCTTTCCTGGTCAGGTCCCAGATGTGGTGCGGAGTCGAATGACTCGAGAACGGTGCGGCAATGCGGTTGTTCTGTTCCCGTTATTCGGCGTACCTCTAACGGAGAATGCCGAGGCACATATTTTGCTGGCGTTCTATACTTATTTGAAGACGGACAGCAAGAGGTCTCCACAACCATATCATCTAAGCACTCTGGATTTGCTTTTCGGGTCACAAACATGGTCACCACGAAGAGGTTCAACGTGCCGCCAGGGAATGTCGCCCGCGTGCGGATCATTGACACCACCACAAGTATCAAAACCCTCGAGACACATCACATCATGGGACCGCCAATGCCTGGGATGTATGTGATGCCAGAGATTCCAGCCTGGTCCTTCCTCGTGGAGAGCACAAGTGGTCGCAAAGCACTCTTCGACCTGGGCGTCCCACCGAATTGGCAGGATTTCTCGCCCTGGGTCATAGAGCACGTACACCTGGACGGCTGGGGCTGGCAGATCTCGTCGAAGAAGCACGTGGCCGACAGCCTGAAAGAGGAAGGCATTGAACCTGCCTCGATTACCGATATCGTGTGGAGGTACGTCACGTGTGCACATATGACCTTGATTTTGTTTTGTTTGGCGTCAGAGCAGGCATGCCTTGCTGACGAAGTCCCGGTCCTGTCCAGTCACTGGCACTGGGACCACATAGGCGACCCTTCGACATTTCCATTACCCATTCAGTTGGTCGTCGGCCCGGGTTTCAAAGAAGCGTTCCTCCCCGGCTACCCATCCAAGCAAGACTCCCCAGTACGGGAAAGTGATTTCAAGTAAGCACCACTACCACCAACACTTCCTCTCACCGATACGTTCTTTAAGAGGCCGCGAAGTCCGCGAAATCACGTTCCAAGAATCCCCAAGCGCCCTTCAAATCGGCCCATTCCGCGCCTTCGACCTCTTCGGCGACGGCTCATTCTACCTGCTCGACGCACCTGGCCACGCCATCGGGCACTTAGCAGGCCTCGCCCGCACAACATCCGACACATTCGTGATGATGGGCGGCGACTTGTGCCACCACGGCGGCGCAATACGTCCTTCTGAATATATCTCTCTGCCAAAGGCGGTCCATCTCGATGCTTTCAGCCATTTCCGAGGCGGCTTCTGTCCGGGTGCCAAATTTGAGGCAGTGCAGGAAAGTCGAAGGAGAAGGCCGAATCAGCCGTTCTTTGAGCCGACGTTCGGCGCCGACATTCCGCTGGCCATCGAGACCATTGGTAAAGTTCAAGTTCCGGATGCGGACGACAATGTCTTGTTTATATATGCTCACGATACGAGTATTAAGAGTATTGTAGACATGTTCCCGTCGGAAGTGAATAACTGGAAGGCGAAAGGGTGGCGGGATAAGGTGTTTTGGAGATTTTTGGAAGACTTCAAGGATGCGGTGAAGGGCTGACATAGTCTTCTGGTGTGGTGGTGCTCCCATGAGTCCCGAAGAAAACTCCACCCGTCTAGGCGGGCAAGCACTTTTGAGAGAACCAATACAATGCTTGCTCGTAGTTATTGAAGAACTACCCAATGGGATAGGTGATTATGATGCCTTTGCCTCTATGCCGTCAGCTTCCTCCAACATTGTCCCATAATAGTTATACGTCTGAGCCTCTTCCACTTCGAGGCACGTTTCATCACTCATTCATCTTGTCAAATGAAGCTTTTACCACTCAGCAAAATTGACTTGTATAGCTAAAACCTGGTGTTGATCGCCACATTTAGTTGCGAGATTTATGTGGCGCCGTCATCATGCCCATTCCCTTGTTTCCTACTATTTACTTATGTGAACGCGCTTCCTCTTGTCCCTACTTTTAGTGATACCATACATAGTCAACTCGTTCCTCGGCTCTACTAATAACCTTATGTTACTAAACGAAGGGGCGGACGTGGAGGAATTGCGGAGATCAAACAATGCGAACCGGGCAAACGATTTCATCAACTGGCAGATGAATGGTGAACCCGCATGGTACAATGACAAATTGACAGATGCTCCGTTATACCCTGAGATGCACAGTTCAATTGCAGATCCGATCCGGTGCGACAAAAGACATATCTTGGTGCGATGCGGCGGACATGGCTGAGGCATGCACATCCGACATTGTCGAGCAGAATGTGGAGTTTGGCTTTGGGATGACCTTAAACTAACCATTTCCGTTTGCGATGGCTATGAATCTTCGCATATGTGGCATCAAATTATCGAGGTCTTGCCAAGCGTCAACATACTTTCACCGCTTACGTCGCTTTTATGCTGTTCATCCTCGGTAGCGGGTCGATCAGCTATGGATACACTGCAGCAATTATCGGAACGACACTCGGTAAGTCATTTATCAGCTAACACGAATATTTTTGGCCCCGTGCTGATACAAAGAGACAGGCCAACCGTCGTTCATCAAATACTTTGATCTGGCAACACGCTCCAATGCCAGTGCTCTTATAGGCTCGTTAAACGGGGTCTTCAAGGCCGGGGGCGTCATCGGTACGCTCTTGTTGCCATTGATAGCTGATAGACACGGTCGGAAAGCCGCTTGCATCGTGGTAGGTTTCCTCGCACGAAGTGGACTGGACGATGTTACTGATCTTGTCATGCAGCCATCCATCATCATCATCACTTCACAAGCACTCCTTGCAGGCTCCGTGCATATGGCAATGTTCATCGTCTTCCGCTTGTTTGCGGGTTTTGGCTGCTACGCCACCGCAGCCATCGTCCCCCTCATAATGAGTGAGATTGTTCCTCCCCGGTTCCGCGGTGCTTGCGTGGATGTCATGGGCGTGGGGCTGAACATGGGATTACACTGCGTCAGGCTGGTTGGGCTATGGCTTTTCATTCTGGGAGGGCAGTGGGAGTGCGAATGCTTGGCGCGTGCCTCTGGCAGTTGGTGTTTTCTTTCTTCTGGTTTTCCTCGCAGGCATGCCCTTCTTACCTGAGAGCCCCAGATGGCTTTGCGTGAAAGGTCGCGAAGACGAAGCAGAAGAGGCGCTTAAGAGGCTGCACCAACACCCTTCCGATCCAGCTGGCGATCTCGCTCGTGCCGAGTTCTTCCAAATTCGGGAGCAAATTGAGCTAGACAGCCGCTTGGACAATTCCTGGTATCGACTCTTCACCAAGACTTCCTATCGGAAACGAGCTGGTCTCGCCATATTGACGATGTTTACCACGCAAACATCTGGTGTACTTCTTATCACCAGTAAGTGAGCCGTCCTTATCTAGGCGATGTCCTTAACTATGGTGCTTCTAGACTATGCGCCCTTGATTTTCTCGACTTTGGGCTTGGACGCGCATGGGTAGCTCTTGATACTTGCACTGCTGGTCACGATCGGGATTGTTGAGAATGCGCTTGCCATGCTGCTGGTTGATCGGTTTCCACGGCCCAAGTACATGGCGGTCGGCATGCTGGGCTGCGTAGCGACATTCGCAGGAGAGGCAGGCTTGGTCGCCCAATATGCCGGCTCCGACAACGATGATGCGCTGCGAGCCGGTATTGCCAGATGGAAATTCTACCTCTGTCTCATTATTCCCAGCTTCTTCTTGGCGCTTATCATGTGGTTCTTTTACCCGGATACTCGCGGGAAACCGCTGGAGGAGATTGCGGCCATATTTGGGGATGATGATGAAGTGGCCGTGCGTCAGGCTGACGTTGAGATCGACACGGCCACGCATGAGATTCATGCCAAAGGCGCCAGGACGGGCTTGACCATCGATGCTTCAGACATTCATTATGCTGGCGAGAAATAGTGGGATGTTGAGGGCGACAAGCATGACCGTTCGCTTAGTTCATCATGTTGTCCAGAAATATTTGATGTTGAGGGCGACAAGCACCACAGTTCGCTTGGCTGGGGAGCCTTGCGCGTTGAGGTTGCTTCTTCAAATGGTTATACCTTGTTTATTGTGGAAAATGCCATATATGGTGAAGTCATCTTGCGCGAAGAATCGTGCAGATGAGACAGGCTTATCGGTAGTTGAAAAGCATTGAAACCTTTGCGAGAGGTCCAAAATATCACACTGGGTGGCGCTTTCTTGAGCTCAAAGATAATTCGCCCCCTTCATCGACTTGCCCTAGCATTCGGATCAATAGGTTATCAACATGTAAATGAGGTGTTGACCCGGTCGAGCTGTGGTTTAACTGCTTGCAACTCACGCCGTTTGGGGAAGAAAGTGATGCCGCCCTGTACGAATCAAAAGGGGCCGACAGCACTATCGACGTAATTCTCGCTAGCGAAGGTCTAACTGAAGATCTGCTGACTTGTCAGCCACACTACACCGAACATATTGCGAGAAGGGCTGTTGTCAGCGCGATGTCTGTGTGTCAGCGACCACCTGAGCTACTATAACTGCTCGTCCATGCAATACTGCGAATCGTTCGATGAGACGAGATTCTGGGACACAATTTAACGCCCACTTCGAACCCAACTGAAGAAGGCTTTGTGACGCGGATGCTGCGGCAAGCTGGCGTAGGGTCGTCGAGAATCCCACTCAAATGGCCTAGCAGGCGACTTGAGCACGGGGTTAAGCAGTTGAATCTGTCCTATTACAGGACCATTACGCACTCAGAAGACGCGATAAGGGCGTTCACCGGCGTGCTGCAACGGCTAGAAACGATTTAGCCTAAGGGCTTTCATTTCGGGCTGGCCATCGAGGACTTCGACTGGGCGTTGACATGGGCATCGCAAATGCCGCCAATATGGCAGCCAGGATTTCCAAGCTGGTCGTGAGCAGGCTGGCAGGGTATTTTGTTCTTCGGACAGCGTACAGACGTTAGGAAGACTCGCCGGATTCCGACCGAGTTGAGGATACACGCGTTAAAAAAAAAAAAAAAAAAGAGGATATCGCTATGTATATCTTCCACAACGAAAACTCGATTGATAGCAATCAGTCCATTGGGCAGCTCATACGCAATGACCCTGTTGAGAGAGCGACTTGGGAAGACCCAGAGGAGCGAGATTTCAAGTAGGAATGATATCCTTTCGTTGAGAACGACGGCTATTTGTTCACGGCGGCAGTGTGCTTCCATTTCATCCTGAACCTCATGGATCCTCGAACTAGGACTTATGTTGCTGGACAAATGAGACGTCCGCCGCACCACAGATGTGGACCTAGCGCTATGTCGCAGAGACCAGGGGCGCGCTAAGGTAGACATGTGAAAATCTCCAAGTCATTGGTGTGAAAGAGTCTTTGGCTGTAGCTAAGCCCGGTAAAAGTTTTAGTGCTGAAACCATTTCTCACACCCCTGATGGCCCGAGCCGGACTCCATGCCCTTGAGGGACTCGATCCAAGTATACCAGTTCACCTCAGAGTCCATGTCCATGTTCGCGTCAAAATCGGCGGCAGGGGGGTTAGAGTCAGCCCATAGCCATGGGACGAAACCTGTCACCATGGTTTGGCTATCTGACCAGTCCGTTGGGAACGTGGACGTTGAACGGTACGCTGGGCTGGTAGTTTGTCCGGGTGTCCCGCTAAATGCTCCTGTCTTGATCGCCGAGTCTGGTATTGTCTGTGCAGCCTGCTGTTCATTCATATCGAAAAGCGTCTGCTCGAAGGTCGCATCGGACCTGACCTCACCCGAGTCGAACACCGGGACGGAGGTTTCCATTGCCCGACTCGTGTAGGGCGCATCCAGAGCCGGACCAGGACGCCCGGTGTCAGTCCCACCAGATATCGTTGTGCCTTCGGCTATCTCAACGAGTTGACGCCAGCGCCCGCGGAAGGTATCGTTACTGGAGCCGTCCGGAAAGGGACCAGAGCTTGAAGGGACTGGGAAGTTTCGATCCTCCATCTCCAGCCTCTCAGCGGCCTGTGGATCGGCGCGCAGACGTGTGACTTCGGCGTCACGATGCTTGCCGGCTTGCGTCATCAACTTTCGCAACGGAACCCATATGCGCAGGTTCTTATCCGGCGGCTGGGCTGGAATTAACCACGTGCTATGGAGTGCGACCCAGGCTCTTTCAATGATAGGCGACCAAGGGCGCCGGCAAGTCTCCATCAGGAGATATACGATGGCATGCCAGTGGGTATAAACCTGGTAGATCCAGCGCCATTGCCGAGCCGCTTCTTCGGCATTAAGCATGTGATTATACTCTGCCACCTCGATTGCTGCAATCAGTAATTTTGTCCTGATCTCTTCTGAGACGTGTTCGCTCGGGGAAGAGAAGAGGACAGGAAGAAAGACGATCAGTGTCATCTTCGCCATTACCAACCGCACGATGGTGACTGCGACCCAGTAAGCGATATTGCCTGATTCTGGCGAGTACTGGAGGTACTCCTGTTCAAATCGTTCGTAGATATCGTTCAGTAAACGGCTTTGGTCTTCCAAGCTCGCCGCACTAGTGTTGCCGAGCACCGCAGTGGCCGTCATCTGCCTCATGATATTATTTATCTCAATAAAGGTGCGTGTAAATGACCGATCAGTCAGGCCATGGCGCTCTGCGGGCATCTGTTCCGACTCGGGATCAATATCAACGTCGTTGATATTCAAGGGCATCTTCGTGTCGAAGCTGCCGTTGGGAATGGTCATATCTGTCCCTTGGTCCTCCGCTGAACGCAAATCCAGCACGACCACGGCCCACCAGACCCTTCGGCGCATATCGATTTCAAAAGGCGTGAGATGCTTAAAATTGTCCCCATCTCGTTGCAGTCCGAGATATTGCGCCATCCTTATAGCGAGTCCGGTCATCATATATACAAACCTGGGACTGTCGTGCCGGCGCGCGAGGAAGAGAAAGATGGCGAGTGCCTGGACGAGAACAATATCAGGCGAGTTGAGGAAATCGGCTTGCGCAAGAGCATGCTCCAGGCCGAGGCGATACTTGAGGCTGAGATCCGATTTAGAGGAGCCAAAATTGGTCATTATCTGCGCAGCAGATGCATCAGTAGAGGCCTTCCACTCATGTCGTGCGAACCAAAGTATCCGTCTCGGGAGGACTCACATCATCCTCGTCCATCGAGATTATAGCGGCGTAGTAAATAGAAAACATCAGAGCTTTATTGGACGGTGTGAGGTGCGTCGTGCCACTTCCGCGCAAATCGCGGACCATCTTGGTAATAGATGGCATATGAACAATGTGGTAGAAGAAGTTCACGTTCTCAGAAAACACATCTAAGATGAATGGCACCTGCGATGGCAGAGGTTGGAAGTCGCGCAGGTCCGGGCCCGAAGGACTCAAATTATGTTGAAATAGGAATGCATGGCGTCCCGAAGGTGTTCGCGCGATTTCCTGTGTGAACGACGTCGGACCAGGCGATGCGTCGTCCTCTGAGCTGTCAGACTCGTCTCCTTCTAGACCGCAGGTGTCCATCTTCAGACCGTGGAGCTGCAGCGGGAGTCAGTGAGCCATCGGTCGCGGACAAAATCATGGCACGGAAGGTTTCAGACTCACCTCGTCATCGACTCGAGACCAGAAGCCGCTGGCCACATAGCGGCTGCGACTGGCATCCTGAAGCACCAGCCGACCAAACTGATTGTTCATGCTGCTGTCTTCCATGCCTGACAACGGTTGACCCTGATGTTCTGCAAGGGAAGAGCTGCCAGGGGAGTTGACTTCAGATGAATCACCGTTAGCGGAACTAGCGGCAGCATGTGCCTGCTCCAGCTGGCTGCTCAGCTCCTTGACCAGGTTCTCGAGGGTGCGCAGTCTGTCCATGACCTTATCGACCCCGGCGTCGGTCATATGAGACCTTGACGCGTTTGAGGCTGAGGGATTGTTAGCAAGACGTTCGAGACGGCGAGCCCATCTCGGTGGACGGTCGGCCGATGGAAAGACACAGGCGATGTTCCCGCGACGGCAATTTGAGCACGGTGACTGCTTGTCGCACCGAACCTTGCGAGTGCGACATGTTACACAACTACGCAACTTGGGTGTCTGGGCGGATGCCGATGACGGTGTCTCAGCGAAGGCAGAAGAGGTCGTGATATTCTCGGACGCCGCCTGCGACATGATGCAGTCGCGATGGGACTATTATTGGGCTGATGGAAGGAAGTTACACTCGTCTCGGAGTCGTTTCGCTGGAGGCCTTGAATCGAGCTAGCTTGATGCCCGCAAGTGTCATTATCTAAGCACATTTCTAATGCCTCTTGATTGGGACTCTGCCCCACACGTGTGCCGACATATGCGCGAGAACATACCGAGACAATGCGAATGGCGACCCACGACGGCTCGAATGGAGGGACTTGCTCACTGGTTGCCGTGGGATTATAAAGAAGCCATGTTCGTGCTGACTGGGCTATGCCATACATTTTTCGACAGTTGCAAGTATCTGAAGTCCCCAGTCTGCAACATCGATCGAGCAAATTTGAGTCCAGAAACAAGTATCAGTACATTTTCGCCATATCTTTCAAGCCCACACCACGCAACTCCACAACGGCCTAGATCGTAGCATATTATACATCTACCTCATTCGCCATGGCAACTGCATGCTCAGAATGCATCAAGGTGTGTCTCGACTAATTGCGGCCTGTTTAACTCTCTGACTGGTTGACCAGGGTACCATCCATGAGGGCACACCGCAGGGCAAAGAAGAAATAATTCATGGCCTGAATACTTATGTGATTGGCAACCGCGTCAACCCGCGAACCATCATCGTGATCTATTCGGACATCTTTGGCCTGCCGCTGCCCAACAACAGACTCATCGCAGACGCTTATGCCAAAAGCGGCGAGTATCTCGTGTATCTCCCAGACTTCTTCAAGGGCGACTCCGTGCCACTCAAGATCGCCGACGTTCTGCTTCCAGTTGATGCGACCAAGCAGTCGAAGCTTGCAAAGTATTCTGGTATTCTTGCAGGGATGCCATCTTTCGTGATGTGGATGACCAGGCACAAGACCGGACCGACCGACCAGACCTGTATGAATTTCTTGAAAGCATTGAGACGGGCAACTCCCAAGGACCAAAAAATCGGGTGAGTATTCCTGAAGAGCTGGCTCATCCTTGCTTGGGCCTGTCATCTTCCCTTTTGTCCGCAACAGGACATGTTTTCGAGGCTAATTCCGTGGCAGGATGGTTGGCTTTTGCTGGGGTGGGAAATATGCCATCCGGGCCGGTCTGGAGAGCAACATGATTGAGAGAGATGGCACAAAAGTACCTCTTGTGGATGCGGTGGCCGCGTTGCATCCGAGTAATCTGGCCATACCTGACGATGTTGAGAGCTTGGTAGTGCCTGTCACCTATGGGTGGGGTCTAAATGATGAGGGTGTGAGCTTTGAGACAAAGGCTAAGGTGGAAGAGGTCCATGCAAAAGCGAGCAAAGCCGGGAGAAAGATTCCAGAGCAGTTGCACAAGGTCTATACACCTGGGCGGCATGGATTTGCTGTAAGAGGCAATCCCGATGATCCGCAGGAAAGGGCGGCCCTTGAAGACTCGGAGAAGCAGGTTCTGGATTGGATGAAGCGGTGGCTTTGAAAGTTATTGGGGGTTTCCTTTTTTTTTTTTTTAAGGAGAAGATCGATCTTTTTTGAGTAATAGAGCCTGGCTAAACTATGACCCCATTCGGACGTTTGGATGACATTCACACATCCCTCTCTAGAGATGAACATATCGTAAGCATGTCCGGCAAATGAGGTTTACCAAGGAATGTTCCGACTCTAAACAAGATGTGGAAAATCTATTCGCAGCTTATCCGTTTTGGGACGAGGGTGACGCCGCCCTGTGCGAGGGGTGAGAGATCACCATGTCCTGTTCCCTAGGTACAAGTTTGATCGACCTTCCGAATATCAATGTTGGTATGTCGTGGAATCAATTTATACACTAGTAGCTTAAGCCTTTCACTGTCCGCCCCTGCAGGAGAAGACCCCTGGTTGGTACTTCGGGGCGTAAATCTTGCAGCCACATTACGACAGCCACACACTTTGGCGTCCTTGCCACCCTAATACTTGTGAGGACAAGCGGCACGTCATAGGTCACTACTCCTGTCACCGTTGCGGAGGTCCAAAAGCGCAGCATCTACCTAGCGAGCAGAATTCACAACAGCGTGGCATTCAGACACCCCTCGAACAGGGAGACCGGCCTTGAGTCAAAACAACACCAATCACATATTCATGCTTCCTTTCACGCCGTAAGATGTGCTCTCATGTTTCTAGCAGCACGACCCAGAAGGCGTGATCGGCCGTGGCGTTTGAATACTCACGATCCCACTCGCGGCAGCACATCAACCCCTTCTCGGCATTATCCACAAGCCTCCGCCTCAGAGCCTAACTCATCGGGAGCATCGATCATCGGGCTAGGGAGTTTCCAAGATCGAGATTTCTTCCACCTTTCCTAGCAAGACCGAGACATCATTCGTGCCGAATGCGACGGGCATCAAATGTGATCGTGCAGCAAGCTCTCGGGGCGACGAGGCAGAAGGTGATATGTCGATTGAAAAGCCGAACCTTTCTATTCGGCGGACATCTGGGTTATCTTGCGAGAGCAGAAGGACAACATTGTGAAATGGTTGGTTGGTTCAAGCAATGACATTTCTAATTATTCTATATGATGAATCCGCGCGGATTCCAGATGGCCATCAGCACCTTTTACCACCTCTTACGAGGTTTTTTTTTTTTTTTTTTTTTTTTGTTTTTTTGGAATATGCAGCATTTTGCAGCCATTTTGATTGTCATGGCTTTTGCTCTCGCCTATACTATATGTGCTTCGTTCCATCCTTGCACCTCATGCGCTGCCTTCATTTTTGCCCCATATGTCACATTTTAGTAGCTCTTGTACGGAACTTCTTATGAATCCTCAAAGCACCGATACAGCATCGACCGGACAAGTATACCTACAAAGCTCAGCGGTGAACTTGCAACAGAGGTCATTCCTGGAGGCTCCAAGTCTCCGTGCCCACGACTCCCAATGTCAGACTAGTCGGGAGGCTGGTGTCTGCTGCCTCTGGACTAAAGAAAGCTTGGGGAGTCCAGCTTCGTCTAGCCAACATTTCGTTGACATTGACGTACCGCACGCGTCCCGGTTTGTCGTCTCCGCCTGCGGTCGGGATGATAATACATCAGCAGGACATACCTATTGGACCTGGTGTATCATCTGGCTCCGCGCTTTGAGCTGAAGTTGGGTAGTCAAGCCTTCTGAGTGGCCTCATAATCTCCTTGAAGCGAACGTCTTCGGCTTCTAGACTGTGGTCGAGAGAGGCTTCCGCAGCTCTCTCATATTTCGACCGTCACGAACATCCGCGGCCCGGGGATCTGGACACATGACTCTTAGCACGGTGCGTGATCCGTCATCGTTGTAGGATTTTATGGTAAGATCCCTTCGCGGCGAAAGATATGTTTCCGTTCCTTCGATATCCAGGGCTCGGGTAGCGTAGCTTCCACTATCTGCTTTGCTGGGAGGTCATGCAGCATATTCACCCAAAGAACGGACTGGAGTGATAACCTGACGTCCTTCCACGACGCCAGCCTCATAGCCTGGAGCAGCTCGGTCAAAGCAGGCCGAAACCAAGCTTGCTCATGTTCACCGAAGACAGAAACGGCGCCTACGATGTGTAGCCAGAGCGTAAGCTGGGTCGGTATAGCTCTCGTTTTATGCCCCAGCAGAGATATGGCGTTTTGGAGGCATTGAGCCAGATACTCGTATTGTGTCTTAACACCGCGCGACTGGAGAAAAAGGGTGCTCGCAAACGCCAACAGCCCAAGGCGGGTAGTCTCATTCACATCGCCCGTGACGAAGCGGAGGTGGACGAGACGGTAATGGGTCGAGATCATGACTTCCTGGTAGAGTTCCTTGTCGATATAGAGTTTACACTGCGTGGCCATGTTCGTGGCTCGTACCAATTCGGAGATGTCATCCCAGACGAGGCGGAGACGCGTGTCTAGACTGTCGAAGAAAGGTCCCAGGTCCGAGGTGGGCATTTGGGGATCTGGATCTGGATCTTGGGTCCCTGAGATAGGTATTCTTCCCGGCGAGGCGATACGAGAGTCCCATAAGATGCCATCGGAGAAGAAAAGTGGTTGACATCCCGTGCCGAGGGCCACTCCAAGATCAGCGCTATCTGAGATCACCAATGCTGCTCATATGAGGTGAGGGAATAGATCTAACTTGCCGGCACATCTTGGTTTGTAATTGTCTATTCCCCGTAAACGCCGATAGACCTCCTCTCAATATCACCATCTTATGCAGGCCCTGAAGATGCTTGAGGGCCGTGTCGAGATCGCCACGGACAGTTGCTGCCATGGTAAGGTCGACGACAACCAAGATGGTGGAGTCGGAAGTCGACAGCTCGTCGTCACTACTAGCCAGGCGCTGCTGGAGGATAGTCAAGGCCTTCACCAAATGAGCCAGGGCCGTCGCACTGATTTCCTTCTGCCTGTGGACAAAGTCCAGATACGCTTTGGCTATAAAGACGGTGAAGTGGAGACAAGCCGCGTCGTTCCATATAGGCTCGAACCACGATGGCTCAGTGTAACCAAAGGCCAGGCCAAACCCAACGGGAAACATTGCCTGTTGAACTTCCAGGGTAGTTAGCCAAGGCAGTCCTCCTGTGCTGCACCAGAACAAGTTCCTGGCTTACGTTTCCAGATGGTTTCGAGCATATCCGAGCCCATCTCCGCTGAGAAAGCTGTAAATGAGAGCTCGCCGCCAACTTTGGCTGGAGTAGAGAGAACATTTTGCCTCCTGATGTTCACTGCATCGTTTACTTTACCGCCACCAATCCACGACGGGGGCCTTAACGGCCGCTTCTTGCGGTTCTTGCCACGCATGACATGGCTGCGGATAAGCTTGCGCTTCTCTTCGACAGACTGCCTCGCCGGAGTGGTAACGATAAAGGGTATCGCATCGTCGGGTGGCGTTAGTCTCAGCATTGTTACAGCTCTAGCGAGAGGAGCTAATGAGGTATGTCCGAGACTTGGATCAACGTTCGGATCATGAGGCTCGGGACGCGTGGATGAAAGAAACCTTTATGGCCCCTCCCTGAACAGATTGATGTCTCGAATGCGAAAAGAGCCTGGAGAGAGTCGGCGGTGGCGGGGAGAATGTTGAAAAAGGACGACGAATTTCGTAACGTGGGCGGGAAACGCTCGAGGCTCAAGTCAGGTTGCCAAGACCAGATTGCATTCCAAATGAGGTTTAGCGGATGTCTGCTACCTAACCTATTTTGTCATTTCTCTCAGTTGCTACAAATACGTCCGGTGGGATCCACCGCCGGGGTCGCCTTGCACGGTTCGTCCTTGACAGTTCCGACAAGAATGTGAGGACCACTAAGATGGACATATCAGGTCCGAGGAAGTACCCGGCAAGATCAAGCAACATGCTGCGTCCATATCGACGGCGAAGAGCCAGCCTTATTAGTATTGTGCAATCTCCCCTCCTGGCAGTACAGCTTTTTCTATTTTCATTCACACATCTAAGCGCCATTTCTTCGTGGAAGCTGCTGAGACGACTCCTTCTCTGTACTGTTTCCCCTACTCAATCATCGCCATGTCAGCATCCTTCGTTCTCGGCCCTCCCAAGGAGAGCGCCGGCTCTATGTTTCTCAAATCCCAGTTCCGTACCTCGGTCCAGTGGCCCCCAAAGACACCAATCTTGAAGGTCAAGTCGCCATCGTGACGGGTTCCACCAGCGGTCTTGGACTGGATGCATCTCGCCAGCTGCTGTCTTTGGGCCTATCGGGCCTGATGATCGCTGTACGGTCAACAGAAAAGGGCGAGCAGATTGCGTCCACGTTCCGCGCCCAGTACCCCAAGGTCAACATCCAGGTCTGGTTCCTCGAAACGGAGTCGTATGACTCTATCCAGGCCTTTACTCACCGCGCCGACGCCGAGCTCTCCCGCCTGGACATCGCCATCCTCAACGCGGCCATGCAGGTGCTCTACTTCACCACGGCCCCCACCACGGGACACGAGAAGCTGGTCCAGGTCAACTACCTCTCCACCATGCTGCTTGCCGTCCTGCTCCTGCCGGTTCTCAAGGCCAAGTCGCCTCCGGGCAAGACCGGTCGGCTGACCGTCGTCAGCTCGGGCACGGTGCGCGGCGCCACGATTTCGGGGCCCCGGGACGCGCCGGTCCTGCCCGCTCTCGACGACAAGTCGCGGCTCTGGAACCCCGTCGAGCGCTACGCCGTCAGCAAGCTGCTGGGCCATCTATTCATGATCAACCTGGTTGACTATATCAGCGCCGACCATGTCGTCGTCAACCTCGTCGATCCGGGACTGGTTAAGGGTACGAACTTGCAGCGCGGCGGACCACTGCTCTTGAGTGCTTTCTTTTACCGCTTCAAGGCTGTCTTCGGACGGACGGTGCCGGTGGGCGCGTCAACATATATCGATGCGGCGGTCGTCAAGGGGAAGGAGACGCATGGTTGCTATGTGGCGGACTGGAAGATTTCACCGTAAGTTTCTTCTCCTTCGATATTTTTTGGTCCCCTCCCACACTTCGTAGTGTTTTTCGTGGTGTTTATGTTGCCGAAGCAAGTGCGTTTGGAAGGACTGACAAAAGATGGTTTGACGCAGGTTTGCTGCATTTGTGTATTCGCCCAAAGGAGAAGCGATTCGAGAGCAGTTATGGAAAGAGACGATGGCAGAGTTTGAGTTTGCTGGAGTTCAAAAAATACTGGACGACTTGAAGAACTGTGCAGCTCCTGGCCCTTTGGACAACGCGCCAGACTCGAGCAGGCGAGTGTCAGAAATTGAAGGCCCTGATGGAAATGTTCCGTCTGGCATGTAGCTGCTAGCCTTGAGGCCATTATTTAAGAGGATACGTGGATCACAATAGATAGATATCGCTGCTCTTTCCTCGCCTCATGCGCCCCAGGGTCGAACTAGTTATGTTACTCTCCTGTTTCATGTCGAAACTATCCCGCCATCCGTGCATGCTTGTGTGCTCTGTCTCTACTAGAAAGATTTGGGAGCAATTCGAGCCAGCTGTTTGGGATTGGGAACTGAGAGTGCCTCGTAGATTTGAGGATCTGATCTAGAAGATTTGGAAATGATCTAGAAGATTTGGAAATGATCTAGAAGATTTGGAAATGATCTAGAAGATTTGGAAATGATCTATATCCACATTGCTTGACCTGCTTATCCTGGATGTGAACTGACTGTGGCGGAGCATTTGAACCAGCGTGGTCAATATAAAAAAATATTCATCTTCTCGTCCTTCTCATCCATCTCAGACATCAGTGGCACGTGTCATTGACATCAGAATTCGGCTCTGACGACGGTACGGATCATGTACACGACATCAAATAACAGCTGATTGGTTCATGGGTCGCCACATACGTTCACCCGCTGCTTACCTGTAACCTGCGGCCTCGGCGGGACTCACATTCGCTCATCTACTGCGCTCAACCAAAAAATTCAAAAATCCTTTCCTGACAGCCAGGGTGGGTGCCGGGGAGTAAAAATCCGACCGCACGTACCCCTGGTCTTTAGTCCAGATTTTTGAATGCTAGTTTTCGAATCGATCCCACTCTCTGCTGGGGCGGGGACACTTGTAGAGTACAGCTTTACAACAACTCCCTTACCGGCCGTGGTTTGGTACGGGAGTATTCTCATCGGCTGTGGCTGGTCAGCGTCATGGGCAGAATTTGGAACTTTATTTAATGTCCCAGGAATTCGCAAGCACGTGACAAGAGCCAGAGGATTGAGGGGTGACGCAGAATATTTCACATTTGCTCTAGGAAGTGCTGGTGGGATATTGATGGTCAATATGACCCTTCTAGTCATCTCCATGGGGTATAAACCAGTCAGAATCAACAATCAACCTCACTCGGTGGAGGTCCTTCTGCCGGATCTTCTCTTTCTCGGCCATGTACTCCCCAATCTTCCTTGAGGCATCAATATATCTACCAGACATGAAATCCAATTGTCCGCTCGCAAGGACAACCACCAATCCCGCCGGCATCTGTGGTGTGTCCCATTGGATACCTTTGAAGAAATTGACGGCGATCTGTGCTGACTTTTGTTCCCCAGGGAGTGTCTGGGACACATAACTGCCGGGTTGGATATTTCCTGCTGTAGCATCACGGAAATCGGTGAAGAACCGAGTGGGAATGGCACCCGGGTGTATCGCAAATGCCTTGATGCCGTGATCTTTATTCTCGTTATGAAGCGTCTCGCACAATCGCACCAATCCTAGTTTCCCAATGGCATAACTGCCCATACCGGCACTTGTGTGGGCGCCGGCACTGGATGTGAATATAATTCTCCCTCTCTTCTCTCGTCGCATAATTGGAAGGGCAGCTCGACTGAAATTGAAGCCTCCTTGAAGCGATATTGCTACAGTGTCCCACCATACTTTTGGGTCCGACTCATGAGTCGCCAGCCATTGCGGGGGGCGACCGGCATTCATAAAGACAACGTCAATCCTACCAAATTCCCGATCAACCTCGTCGATGAATTGTTGCACTCTGTCATAGTCGGTCACGTCAAACGCTGCCGCCTGGGTCCGAAGATTCGGGTTGATTTTCTGACAGATTTTCGCGGTCTCCTCAACCTCTGCGAGTTCCAAAGCCATCAGACTAAGTGACTGGGCTTCGGTATGTGCAAAAAATTCAGCAGTGGCCCGGCCGATTCCACGCCCAGCACCCGCGATGACAACATGCTGATCTTTGAGCAGGGCGGCCAATTCTTTATTTTGTCGAGGATCAGTAGCGAACTGGCAATCATGTTGATCTCCGAGAAATCTCTCTTTCGCCGCCTCGCCCATGATGATATATTATGAACTGAACGCGCATCTATGAAACCTATTCTAGAACGTACTACGACAACATTCAGATATATTGTGACAACGTCGCGCAACCCCACATCCGAAAATTGATCACAAATAGAGGTGGAGAACATGCTCCCTCCTCTGGGCGGGCTCTGTACTTCCGGATAAGAGTTCACTATCAACTGCCTGTATCCGAGACATCGACATACCGATGAAGAAATGCTTATGTTTCCGGAGGGGGTGGGGAAGTACCGCCTTGTGGGGTTGGTTGGGGAAGATATGGAGACTGCTCAACTGCCCTTGTGGGTTCGTCTCGTCTCATCGACCTAGTCGATCTCCGGCGAGTTATTGTGAGATTTCTTTTGCATCTTGATATTCTTCGTTTATCTTGGCGGTGCGCAATGTCGTCTTCAAATGCAGAACATCATTCAGTCATCGTGGTGGGAGCAGGTCCAGTAGGATTGACCACAGCCACCAATCTGGCCAGGCTTGGAGTTTCAGTTCTCGTCCTGGAAAGATATCATGAAGTCGACCAGTCTCCCCGTGCTGCCTCATATCAACCGTGTGCCCAAGCCGAGCTTCTCGAGACTGGGACACTTGACGATGTCAGGAAAGAATCCGTGATCAACGATGTTCTTTCATTCTGGGTTCAAGGGAAAAGAGTCGCTCATGTTGAGAAAAGAGAGGGTGGAAGTATCTTTCCAGCAGGAATCAATTGTCCTCAACCGAGGCTGGCACAGATCCTCCTCGATCACCTCACCACTCGGTACAATTCAATGGTCAAATTCAATCAAAAGGTTACTGGGGTTTCCCAAGATCCATCTGATAATATCGTTTCGGTCCTTGCCATTGATCCCAGCACCAATCTGGAGTCAAAGTACACCTGTGATTGGCTTGTTGGTGCCGATGGCGCCGGCTCTAGTGTCCGGAAACTATTAAGCATCCCATTTGAAGGGTTCTCCTGGCCAAAGGAAGATTTCGTGGCCACAAATGTACGGTATGATTTCTTCAAACATGGCTTCACTACGGCAAATTTTATCATGGACCCTGTTCATTGGGCCGTGGTTACTATCCTGGATGACACAGGCCTTTGGCGCTGTGCATTTGGGGTCAGGACGGGACTGACCAACGAAGAGATCCGGGCCGAACTCCATGACCATTACAAACATATTTTCCCCGAGTGGCCTGTCGAGTATGAACTGGTCCAGTTGAACAAATACAAACCACATCAGAGGTGTGCGCAAGAGTTCAGAAAGGGACGAGTATTATTGGCTGGAGATGCTGCCCATGTAAGTGATTTCCCGTGTCTGGAATGTCCATTGACTGAAAAATACAATCAGAGCAACAATCCCATTGGTGGTCTCGGTCTGACCACTGGACTGTTGGATGCAGGCCCGTTAGGGCGGGCTCTGGGAGCGGTGATGAACGGCAAAGCTCCAGAGACATTGCTTGACACGTGGGCCAAATCAAGACGCGACAAGTGGCTGAATTTCACCAATGAGTTCTCCATCGAAAACAAGAGGTTGATTCAACGGGCGGGATACAGCGAGGACCCCCTCGGGATATGGACCATTGATGAGGTTGCTCGAGCGCATCAAATGGAGCAGTGGCTGGCGATGGCCACACCGGAGAAAAAAGAAGCAGACCTCAAGTTTTATAAGGCCCTCGAAGACCCTCACGCCCAACTTGTCAGTCGGATGAAACAGTGGGAGATCACGATGGACCCGATGTGGATGGCTGAGTATGAGGATCCCGAGGTTGTCAAGTACAGGATGTCTCTGCGACCGGCAGTTCTGTCCTCCGCTACTTGATGAGAGAGATTATGCTATGCACCAGGATGGGTTTAATTGAGAAATGGATCTATTTGAAAGGCGAGACGGTAGGCGGAATGCACATCCCCGCCTTTCAAGCAGCAAAACGAAGCCGTTCAAGCATATCTTCGTTTTTCCACCAATCCAACCTCGTCTCCTCCGATTCAGGCCGCAGTTAGTTGTACTTAATGCCAACGTTGCGTCGGCCGGAACATTTGCTTCAACCACAGGACATCTTTAATGCTGTGACGATGATATTATTCAGCAGGTCATATCCATCGAAATATGCGCCAGAAGGCCATTGGGCGACGGTACATTCCATCTCGTATTCCTTCTTTACGACCGCAACTTGACATGAATTTCGCCTAGATATCACAATCGCTCCCCCCTTGGCGCTGAGAAAATCTTCGGACCCCGGGGAGCACAACAGCCTCCGCAGTGTCTCTCTCACACCTCAGCATGAGTCACTCTCCACCAACGCTTAACATCTCCGCATCGGTGGTACACGGGATGAGTCGGACGACGGAGATCGAATTCTAATCTCGAACAAGGACGATCAAGGCTATATAAGATCAAAATGTCCTCAACAACTTCGCATATCACTCTCGTCGGCCTCGGAAACATGGGCACAGCCTTGGCCCATGCGCTTGTGAAAGCAGGTCGACGAGTCACCATTTGGAACCGCGCTGGAACGAGACCGTCCGTATCTGAGTTGGTTCAAGTTGGTGCTGGATACGGACCCGAATTGCCCAGAGCCATCGCGGGTTCATCCACAATCATCTTCTGTGTCTTGGACTATAACAGCATTCATCAGGTCATGGATCCCGTCGTTACATCACAGGGCACTGGTCTCCTGGAGAAAAAACCGTCGTCAACTTGACTAACGGCACACCTCGAGATGCAAGAGAGATGGATCGATGGATGCACAAGCACGGGGCTGCGCGGTATTTTGATGGAGGCATAATGGTGACACCCCAACTCATCAGCACTTCCACCTCTTTCATCCTCTGTAGCGGAGAAAACGAAGCCCTCTTTAACGACTCCGATGTCATAGACCTGATCATCATACTAGGTCGGCCGCACTACGTCGCCTCTGACCCCGGCGCGGCAGCTCTCTACGACCTTTCTCTTCTGGCGGGAATGTTCGGCATGTTCGCCGGATCAATGACGGCCATGGCATTGATGCAGAAACAAATCCACCGTGACGGAAACAGACCACATTCACCCTCCGGCGCTGTAAAGTTCACGCTCGAGGACCGGGTGTCCACGTTGCTCAATCCACTTCTGAACGCTCTCGTCCCGTATACCCTCAACATCGCCCAGTCTATCACCAGTGGGAGGATGGACGAGAACTTCGGAAATCCCATGGCAATGGTGAGTATGGCGATGCAAAATGTCCTCCGGGCGTGTGAAGAGGAAGGTGTCGACGGCGGAAGCTTGAAGTATTTTGCCGACTTGATGAAAGCAGTCGTGGATGAGCGTGGTGGCGAAGTGGGTATCGGTTGGGTGTCTACCTTGTTGACGAAGTGACGGTCAAACCTTCATTAATAAAACGTTCCCTGTGGAACGAATGCCTCACCTAGTTGCAGGCGGAGGTCGACAAAATCACTCGCTGGTACGTTCATATACTGAATCAGATGTCATTTTTTGGAAAAGAAGTGAGAACCAATAGCATATACCCCAGATCCATCTCCATCGACCCAAGAATGCCCAATCGATCATGTCACAGGCCTGATCCTCCCCTTGAGCTTCAGTTCAATCACATCCGGAACGGTCTCTTCCAGCACAGCACCTGTTTTCCGAGTAAGCTCCCAAAGTTTACTTTCTTCTCCCCCCATTCTCCCTTTGATCGGTGTACACGGCCACTCGCCACGCCCTAACCTTCGATCTCGAATCGACTGGTGAATTCTCTCATTCGTCTCCCCGGGCTCGAATGCATTTTCGTTCGGTTTCCTTACGCCCGACTTCCCCGGCAGAACCCAATTACTCAAAGTCCACAAAAGCTTGGTCGCGCCCTTCCGGAGCGCCGCTATTCCCATGAAACTCTCCTCAGCCTTCGGATACAAGGCCGTTTTCCATTGTGCTGTTTCCTGTTCCGCCTCCGCGGTATCCAGTGCGGCTGCATCTGTTCCTCCGGCTAGAAGATAAGAAGTCGCCGGATCCCCGTCCAAATCGACAAAGCTCAGCTTTTTCGTCTTGTAGCACTCTGCAATCATCCACGCCAGTGAAATATCAGCCAGATCTGAATCTTTGCTCCCACCGCCGATACCGTGCTCGCCGCAGAACCAGACTTGTTTCGCGTTCTTCCCACCAGCGTCATTGGTATTTGACTCCCACAGCGTCGGAAGGAATGCCTCGCGCGTCTCATCCAACGACAAGGCGTGGAATCCATGGCTCACTTTGTCCGATAGTCGCGTATTGTAGAATTCGAATTCCTCACCCATCCATCCTGCTTTGTGAAAGCCCACGGTGTCCCAGACACCGACGATTTCAATGGCATCTTTCGCGCCTTCGTGCAGTTCATCCCCTGCAAGTTGCTGCAATTTCTCGACGTTGGGCTTTCGGTCATTGCCGGCTTTTGGTTCGTCCTTGGGGTGATAATATTCCTGGTACACAGAGTGAAACCTGTCCATGCCTTTTTTTGTAAGCAGGCCTAAACTGGTGATTAGGCCGGCAATAGCACGCGCTGTGTATGCGCCGCGCGAGTAGCCGAAGAAATAGATCTGGTCGCCGGGGTTGTAGTTGTGGGCGAGGAAACCATAGGCCGCACGGACGTTGGCGGAGAGGCCGGCACCATACACTCCTGCAGTGCTCAGATTCAGCCAGAGTCAGAGTCAGGCTGACTGAAGATTGCACTCTTTTTGAATGTGGAAGGATAGGAGGAGCATCTGGAGGAGAAGGATGGAGTATGGGAAAGGGGGAAAAGGGCAGACGTACCTCCAGTGATTTTATCAGCGACTCCGGTTCCGACGCCAGGCTGGTAGTATATGATTTGAGGGACGAATTTGCCGTCTCTCTCGCCGAATTGGCTGAGTGCGCGAGAGAAGCGGGTCACGTTGGTCGGGTAGTCGTAAGATTCCACGTTGACGGCATTTTGCCAGGTTCCTGGATGCAGCGTTCAATCAGTCAATAACGGTCCCCTTGTTTGGTGGTGCTCCTTACCGTCACATAGGACAATAAGCCTCTTGGGCGTTTTATTCGAGTCTCCTGCCATTTATTGCTGCAAGTAGAGTAGTCTTCTTGACGCTGAAGTGTTTTGAGGCTGAATCTTGCAGAGTCGAAAACGGTGCGAGCGGAAGGTTGAACAACGAGTGCGTTGGTTACGCTTACGGCGCGTTTGTTCTGTATATCCACAGGCAACGAGCCTGGATGCCACACACTTGGACACGACATCAGGCTGGTGGCTTGAGAACACGTGGGCAGTCTGAGCTGAACTTGGCCTGAACCATAGGGTGCATTTTTGGTGAAGCAGTGATGAAAGACGGGTACGGATTGGGCATTGGTCGGGGTACGAATTGGGCTGAAGTCTTGGGCTGGCGGCGGGGATGAGCCATCTAGTCAACACACTGGCCACATGATGCGAGATTTCGGTGGTTGGACACGAATCGAGCAACCTTGGCCAGATCGTTTCTTGGAAGCATCCCCAGTCGAGATTTGTCCAGCCGCACAACCATATTTCGTGTACGGGCCTCGTCTTCCCTTTCGCATCAACTGGGAAGAGAAGAGGCTGTAAAGGTGCTGGATGAGAAAACTAATGGCTGAATGTACGACACCAAGGGTGCAACATCACAATGCCTTCCTAGACGCTGCTTGGGTTCTGCCACATTTGCTGGTTTTTCTTATATGTTTGGAGTTTCCAAAAGCATAAGTGGAATTGCTCCACCACAAGGCTTGAGGCCGAGGTGGAGAAAAGGAGGAAGATGCATCTTTGATGAGGCCTTGAGGTTTTATTTTGGTGGGTTTGAATTGAAGATCGTTCGACGGGATGTATTGCCGTTCAGCGGTGTGAAAGCCACAGAATCCTTGTTTGATGGTACATATGTCCTTTCCCCAGAAATCATCTTCAGATTTCTTCATATCCTCCGTGTTTGTACCGGGCTCTGATCCTCTCATCGCCCTGGTCGTTAATTACCAAGTTTTCATCTTGAAAGATGTCTGTCTATGATGCTTAAATGTCGAAACTGCTCGCCATTGACAAGACTAGAGAAAGATGATGTCTGTCGTGACGTGGTAAAAATCATATAGCGAGACGTGATATTGTCATATTGTCTCTAGTAGGGGTACTAAACTATTTCGTCGACAGGACGCCTTGATAGATGCACTCGCGCTTTGGCGCCTGGGCAGGGCAAGCAATCGGCAAGAACGCATTATACGGCGAGGGAATAGAGATTGGAGGGAGACTTCTATGGAAGCATCGCTGCATGGCGAGGAGAACGAAGTCGAAATGGAAAGAAAGAAGGTTGCTGGCATTGACGCTGATCTGTGGGCCTTTCTAAAGAGAACAAGTCAACGACGTTGATAAGGCTGGTTTCGAATATGGGAACTCGAAATATCCAGGTGCGTGGGTGAATCCTCTTAAATCGACACGAGAAGCAACACTAAGGGGAGAGTGCTTCGTATCGGAGAGCAGAGTACCTTCATGCTAGGGGTATGAAACACACCGGGCTCAAACGAGAAAAGGGATAAGAATTTAGCCGGCAGATCGAATCTGGCTCATCATGTTAACTTTCAGCGACCGGAAAATAGATCATCGGCAATGAAACCTTACCAAATCCTCAAGCCGACAACTTGCTTGCCTCCAAGTCTCCTGCGTCGTGGAATGGCTGCGCATCCATCAATTTCCACATCTGAGCCGCATGCATCGACTCATCCGTCATCTTCTTGGAAAATGAGATCTCGCTCTTGCCGTCGTTGATATACATCACATTCTTCCCCTGTTTGAATACAGTACGTTAGTGTCTAGCCGCTCAGATGATGGGAAAAGGTAATGGCCATACCAAGCCCAACGTCAACTCTATGGAAGTGTCCACGAACGTCGGAGAATATGTCTTCAGCGGCTTCTGTTTGATAGCACGCACAATATTATCCGCGACACACATGCCTTGCATCGTAGCCGCACGACCCATTTTGGGACCCGGTGTATCAATCACATCACCCAGGGCAAAAATATTTGGCGAGGGGGAGTTCTTGAGCCGTAGCATCCCGTCGACCAGGATACCACCAGATTGAGATACTGATGCTGGAGAGAAGCCTCGGATCAGCGTGGCGCGAGGGTATTGTCCGGTACATTTTATCTGCGGTCGTACACAATTAGCTCATCAGTTTTTCCGGAGAGGTCAAGTTCGGAATGGATATAGCGATCCTCACCAAGGTGTCGCATCGAAGTATCGTGCCGCTGCTCAATGTGATTTCTTTGGGAGATTCGGTGTCCATGTCGGAGATGACACGTTCGCCCAGGTACAGTTTTACTTCAAGCGCCTCCAGAGCCTTTTGGGCCGTCTCGTGAAGTCCAACGCCGAAGTTGTTGAGAAGATTTTTGCGAGAATGCACCAATGTCACCGACTTTTCTGGGTATTTCGTCTTGATGTCCCCCGCGACTTCCACTCCTGCGGCTCCGCCACCGACAATCACGATGTTCTGACCAGCTTTGATCCGGTCTTGCTGCTCTTGGAAAAACTTAATGCCTTCACTCTTTCCATCGGCCTCGAATTTGGCGGGGTATCGAGCCTGCGAACCCGTTGCGATGGCCAAGTAGTCGAAGTCGATGCTTGAACCGTCTTCCAAAGTAACTTTTCTGGGGGCAATTGCGACGACGTTTCCTTGCTGAAACAAATAAGCTCCTTCGGGAGCCAGCTTCGGCCGGCTCGGGAATGGAATGAAGGCCTCGTGGTCATGGTCCGGTACGACTGAAATGCGAGGGAAATTCCAGGTGAAGTGGAAATGCGAATGCTTTTCAATCAAAATCACTCGGTAGCCTGAGGGAAGAGATTCGGAAAGCTGCTTGGCGAGAAAGTAGCCAGCGAACGATCCGCCCACGACGACCACATTTTTGGGATTGGTGTCGGTTTTGTAGGTGAGGCGGTGAATTTGGCCAGAAATATGGAATGAAATTCTTACGAAAGTAAGTGAGAAAGTAAGGCCGATCAATTTTAAGACGAGTCGGAGTTTATCCAACATGTCGAAGGTCTGGCGGCGAAGTGGTGCGAGCCAGAGAGAAAAGGGGGGTGGTTGATAATCTTATCTGATAAAAACCCCTCGGACTCTCCGTCCGATCTCGGAGCTTCCGCCGGTACAAGCGACTCGACCGATAGGACCGTGCAATCTCAGTTCTGACCGGAAGAATTATATCTGTTTTGATCAGACCAAACTTGCGCGTACAACAGTTTCATCGCCGGGGGCAGGGTCTAAGGATTTGGAAAAGGAGATCGACTTCCCATTGACAATCATATGGCAAGACTGTGAGATTTATCCGCGTCATAATCCGGTCCGTTCAAATCATTGCCCGAATATTTCGGCCCCAGGTCGCACCTTCATTCCCGGTGTAGCTTCTGTATCCCCCGAAGTCTATGGCTCCAGCAGACTTTTTTTCATTGTCACCTTTGGTCGTTCCGCTTCTATCATCTCGATACTTTCTCTGGTTTGTTCAAAATGGATAGTTCCGTATCTGAGCAGTTCAGCGAAAGTGCCGGGCTCATGATCCTTGTTCTCGTTTCCTTCCTCTTCCCAGAGAGCACCACACGCGGGAGTCAGAGTCAAATTCTTGCCGTGTGTGATTTTCTGCAATGAGGATTTCGTCAGCAGTTGCCAGACCAACTTGTACGCCGTCTTGTATTCCTCGGAGTTTGGATCCGCATCCAATTTGGTCGCAAGAGCATTAAAGAGAAGTGGTCCTCCAAATCCAATTGTCTTCTCCGCTCTCCAGCATTCGTGCAAAGCACTGAACGGCAGAACATGTCTCTGCCAGTAATCCACCCCACTGAAGCCATCCCCGGCATCCTCCAACATGCACAATCTACTCCAAGAGAGTACCTGTGAAATATACTCTAACACCATCTGGGGTTCCACTTTGAAGTCCCAGTGGAAGTTGCTCTGGCGGGATTCATCGAAAGATTGGTTCAGTGCAAAAGCCACCAAGGGGCTCTGGAAGATCCCCTCATGGTTTTGGCGATCTTTCCACAAGTATACAAAGAGGTCATGCCTGAATGGGATATCAGCGGAAGTCTTCTCAATTTATTTTGTTGTCGACTTACCAGCGCTTGATAAAAGGGTCTCCCTTGCGACTGGCCACAAAGTGGTTGGCCAGGGTAGTGCCGTACATTACGGGGCAACTAATCTGGTATGGCGAATTTGGATCGGCGAGCTGATTCCAACAAATGCGATCCATGTCGCGGATCAGGATGATTCCAACATCCATATACACTCCTCCGTATGTCCACAGGCAAGCTCCTCGAAGAAAGTCGGAGCTATGAGGGCCGACGTATACTCCAGTCATGGTGCCTTTGATAAAGGCTTGAGGTAAGATGTCTGGAGATAGCCATTTGAGGGCGTTGTTTGCCGAGTCGGGAACACTATCGAGAATGCGCACCGTCCAGGATGGACCACACAGACGAACCCAGTTGAGGACATTGCGAAGGCACCAGCCAGGCATGGCACGGATACCTTTATCCCAATACGCCCATATGTTCTTTTCGGATGTGACCGGTGCAGGGTTCTCGAATGAGGCTAGGATCTCTTCATCCGAACGCTTGTCGAGAGCATCGACATAACGCAACTGGTCTTTAAATTCCTCAGGAATAGCAAACTTAGAAGAGGTCTCCATTGTGACAGGATCGAAAAAAGAGAGTGTGTGTGTCTATGAGTGAGTGAAGAGTCTTACAAGAAAGATGTCTGCTGACTTTTAGGAGAGGCGTTTATGGCCTAATTGGAGATTTAACATCTTATGTAGGTGCCCTGCTAGATTTAGAGGCGACAGCAATGCTATGACAAAACGTAAGAAATGTCTATCTCAAAGAGTTCAGGCGGTCATATGGGGCTGAACGCCGGAATTGGCTTGTTCCAGCAGTTCTCTTGACAGAAGAAAAAGAATGGGTACATCTTTGAGAGCCGTGCATCCCAGAGCCTTGAATGGGCTCCACCATGGAAACGGATGTGAGAATGCCAAGCGACCGGGGTAGTTGGGGGCCGCTTGTATCAAGGCCTCTCCAATAGGACAAGAGACGGTAGCTGGAACTCTCGATCCCGACAGATGACTTCACGTGACTCGTTTGTTAGTCAATTATGATAAAATCAAACGATGTAAGTGGCTACAGTGGCTTGGCTCGACGAATTCGAGTTATATCAGGACTTTTTGCCACGTGATACTTCGTCTGTAGCCTGGTAAGTCACACAATTCTTGATGACAAACCTTTTGACCCGATGGGATGATCCTCGATACTATGGAGAAAGTATCACACATGGCGGTGTGTTCCATTGCCCCGGGCTTCACGGCACCATTGGGCCATTGCATGCGGGGGCGGCTGACAATGAATGAATAATAATTTGACGTCCCGTGTTTGTAAAGGCTTAGGTCACTGGTTTCAGCTTTGTAAGGTATCCAGCGGGGGGACGGAAGAAGGGTTGGAGACTGGCGAAATCCCATGCTATAATTGGGGTATAGAAGGATATGTCTCATCTTCGACTCTTTCCAGATCCAGAAGTGGGACAGCCGACTCGGCGACCTCCGTTTGGCGGCGTCTCTTCCTAAATAAACCCTTCAGACGTGATGCAATCATCCTCACCCCGAAAACGAGCAAGAATATAATGGCCGCCAGGACCAGCAACACAAATATAACAACCACCCAAGGATTGTGTCCTTCCAAGCAACATCCATACACGGACATATATATCCCAACTAGGGTCTTCAGGAGACTCGTCGGCGGTGGCTCATCTGGACGCAGTCCTTTTCGAACAAGGTGCTTGAATTTGGGACCTGTAGGTCCGTCCTGGTACTTTTTCAAGCCAAAATAGCGGACGGTTTTTTGTCGAGGATCTGAATCGTGGTATTTCTTGTCGCCCCAGCCGCCTTTGAAGTGGAACCAATCAGTGGAATGAGTTTCGGGATGGCCTGGAATTAGAACATCTGTTGCAGGATCGTATTTGTAGAAATACGCGGGTTTGATAGGATCCCATCGTCGGCCTTTGTCGGCAACATCTATAAGTGCCTCGTCGTGAATGTGGCTCCTATTCGGTGGATGTTTAGAGATCGCCCTGGGCTAGTGGGGCAACCATGTGAAGAGCGCTTACCCTTCCTGGCGATAATTGGCATGCGAGCCTCTGGCACTAAACACGACGGGCTGCAGAATAAACTTAGCAATCGACGTGGGAAGAAGGATCTCGGTATTTCCGCGATCACATACCCTGCCGTCCTGCTTCGAAAAGCAAGCTTCATCCTCCCAGGAACATGCTTCACCACTGGCGTGCTGACTAAAATATATTCCAGTAGGCTCTCCGTCCCTGAATCGAATCATGTTGTGCTCCCTGGACATGATGTCGTTAGCGGTCGCGGGATTAGTAGACCGAAAGGGAGAAAAATCATACCAATCACCAACGTGGTTTCCATAGTGATCTCCGGGCTTGGCTTCTGGGATCAGTCTGTTCAACGGCGGCAAAACTTGTTCGATATCAGCTCCTTCATTGTAGGAGTAAAAATAAAAGTAAAAAGCATCCAAGTCGTGCTCGGTCTTTTCCACGACAACAACCGCACAAGCGGTGGAATTATGCAAGCCTCCAGTCGCATCCGGTGTTTCACCAAGAAACCAGTCGGGCATAGCGGTTACACGATCGTTAGACGTTAAGTAGACACGCTTGCCACCCCGTGCATACTTGTTCAGCGATGAAAGCGTATCCAAAGTCAGCGTGGGCGGGTCTGGGAGAGGATCAAAGCCGATATATGGTGTTGTGTGCAGAACATGAGTCAGAATGTCACTCGGCATGAAAGGATCATCCGAGTGTAGCCAGATGATCGGGGCTGAAATTGCAATTTTTGATCAGCATTGCTCGGATATCAGGCGAAACACCAAATGAGTTGGTATGCACAAAGTACATACCGTAATCCGTTACATATTTGGGGATGGTGTAGCCAGTTCCGAATTGCAGAAGCCCATTCAAGACCAAAACGCCGATATCCCAGCTACATATTGGCTTCAAGGGCACCTTCATCCTGGAAACCTTCTCTGCGGCCCAAATGGCTAGCAAGCCAGCGGCGGATTCTCGTCAACGTTCTCTATTTTCAGGAGAGATATTTCAAAAGAACATCGTGAATTGGGAGATGAAGTTACTCGGCGATTGTCAGCTTGTCAAGCATGAGTACACCCTTGGTTCCGGGGATTACATTGGCAAGGAAGCAAGCCCACGCGAATCCGTTGAAGTTAGCATGTATAAGCCAAACTGATGGTCTAGTCCGTGGGGTGCATAGCATTCAATGACTCTGAAGTTCTCTCATGCTGATGGCTTGAATACCAAGAAGATGCTTTATTTTTATGAAGAGACGGGAAACTGCGCAGTTGAATCTGGCGCCCGCCGTAATCGCGATCCGCGCCCATCACGTGACTGGCCGAATGGAGATTTTCGCGCTGCCGGCTGGGCGCGTCTTGATTGTTCGCGTGTTACGGGAGGCAAGCCTCGCCATCGATGAAAGCTACCTGATCTCAACCTTGGATTGAACGATCGCTTTAGTCATAGATGATGCATATCAAGCAGATCACCATTCAAGGCTTCAAAAGGTGAGACAACACTCCATCCTCTCCTACGCTCGGTATTGACCGGATGGCAGTTACAAAAATCAAACCGTCGTCGATCCCTTCTCCCCTAAACTCAACGTTATTGTCGGTCGCAATGGATCAGGAAAGAGTAATTTCTTCGCGGCGATTCGTTTCGTACTCAGCGATGCCTATTCTCAGATGGGACGCGAGGAGAGGCAGGCACTCATACACGTGGGTATTCCAAGCGGTCCCAATGACGACTATCTGACCGCGACTAGGAAGGGTCTGGGTCCGCAGTGATGTCTGCATACGTGGAGATAGTGTTTGACAACTCCGACGGCCGGTTCCCCACCGGAAATGATGAATTGATCCTACGCCGGACAATCGGGCTGAAAAAGGACGAATACTCGCTTGATCGCAAAAATGCCACCAAGCAAGATGTCATGCAGTTGCTGGAAAATGCCGGCTTTTCGCGTGCCAATCCATACTACATCGTTCCTCAGGGTCGGATTACGCGGTTGACGAATATGAAAGATTCGGAACGACTGGACGTCTTAAAGAGCGTGGCTGGAACACAACAGTTTGTCGCCAAGAAGGAGGAATCACAAAAGATCATGAGTGAAACGAACAATAAACTTGCGGCGATTGATCAGACGTTCGATCAGATCAATGAGCGTCTGGCGGAACTCGAAGAAGAGCAGGATGAGCTACGTGATTTTCAGGAGCAGGATCGTGAGAAGCGAGCATTAGAATACACTCTCTTTCACCGAGAACAGGATGAAATCAACAAGGCTCTGGCCGACCTGGAAGATAGAAGAGCCGGAGGCATCGATGACGCCGATGAGAATCGCGACCGCTATGCGCAAGGTGAAGATGAGATGGCCCGAATCACTCAGCAGATCCAGATCTTGAATCAACAAATCCATGCCGCCCGACTTGAGAAGAAGCAATACGAAGAAGAAAAACGCGAGAAGGCGAAAGTACGGGCCCAGGTCGAATTGGAAGAGAAAAACTTGTCTCATGGGCAAGCGGCGGCGCAACGTGCGAAAGAGACCCATGATAGAGAGCTGAAGCAGGTGCGGGCACAGATCCAACAAATTGAAAAAGAGCTCGACAGTATCATTCCGCAATTCGATGCTGATCGGGCGAAAGAGCAATCGATCAAGAATCGTTTAGAGGATGCCATAAATGCGCAACAACGCCTCTACGCAAAGCAGGGAAGAAGTGCCAGGTTCAAGTCGAAGAAAGATCGAGATAACTGGCTCAAAGCACAGATTGACGAAGCTTTTGAATCACTGTCCCGTTTCGAAGCCACTCGAACGCAGACGAGGGAGGGTATCGCGGACGATCAGAAACTTATTTCCAGTCTGGAAAAGGAGATTGAAAGCCGACAGCAGCAAATTGGCGGTCAAGATGATGCTTTTGACCGGGAGATCCAAGAAGCCCATGAGCGAAAAGAAACGTTGATGGATAACCGAAAGATGCTGTGGCGCCGAGAAGTTCAGTTGGACTCAGAGTACGCAACAGCACAAGACGACTTGAGAAAAGCCGAAAGAAATCTGTCGCATATGATGGACGGTAATACCAGCCGGGGATTGGACGCTGTCCGACGGATAAAACAACAGCACCATCTCGAAGGGTGTTATGGTCCTTTGGCCGAATTGATAGATGTGCCCCAACATCACACTGCTATCGAGGTCACCGCCGGAAACTCACTATTTCACTATGTGGTCGACAACGATGACACAGCGACCAGGGTCATGGAGATTTTGAACCGAGAACGTGCTGGGCGTGTCACATTCATGCCCCTGAACCGACTCAAACCCAAGACGGCCCACTTTCCCAACGCGCAAGATGCACGTCCACTCATGTCACTCATTAAGTATGACCCTCAGTACGAGAAAGCGGTGCAACAAGTTTTTGGCAAGGCAATCATTGCCCAAAATCTTAGTATTGCGGCTCAATACGCGAGAACTCATGGTTTGACCGCGGTGACCCCTGAAGGTGACCGATCGGACAAGAAAGGTGCGTTGACGGGTGGTTATCATGATGTTCGATCTTCAAGACTCAAGGCCACCAAAGCCGTCATGATCGCTCGGGAAAAATTTGAGGCTGTCAAAGCAGAGAGCGACGACAATAAGAAGAAAATCGAGAAAATCGACCAGACCATCACCAGGGCCATAGGCGAAGTTCAAAAACTGGAGCAAAGAAAGAGTCAATCACAAGGCAACCAAAGACTCCTGAGACAGGAAATCCGAAACAAAATGGATATGCTTCAACGCAAGAAGGATGATCTTGAGGCAAAGAAAAATCAAGAGACCGCCATCGCTGCGAATATCAAAACACTGACCGATCGACAAAACGCCTACCAGGCTGAACTTGGATCCGACTTTAAGGAAGCTCTGACACCAGCAGAAGAGGCACAGCTGGAGGGGCTCGCAGGAACAATTCAAAGTTTAAGACGTGAACACAACGATGTTTCATCCACGAGAGCAGAAATCGAAACCAGGAAGGCAGATTTGGAGGTCAGACTGAACGCAAGCCTCAAGCCTCAATTGGCTGCGCTTGAAGCGGATGACGTCGAGGAAGAGAATAAGGCATCTTCCAATCTACGTGCGAAGAGAATTGAATTGGGCCGTCTGACCAAGGAATTGAATTCGATTCAAGACACATTGAATGACCTGGAAGATCGGCTGGACACGTCAGCGTCTCAAGTGGCTGAACTGGAAGCACAAGCCGCTGAGACCAAGAGGCAACAAGAGGAGCTGGCCAAAGCTATTGAACGTCACCAGCGTCGTCTTGAAAAGTCCGTCCAGAAAAAGGCTGCTCTTCTCGCTTCGAAGCAAGAGACGATCGAGAGCATTCGTGAACTCGGGGCCATACCCGAAGACTTACGGAAGAAGTATCGATCGATGGACTCGAACGCGATCGTGAAGGGACTTCAAAAGACTAAAGAATCCCTGAAAAAGTACAACTCGGTCAATAAACACGCCTTTGAGCATTATCGGAAATCGGCGAAGCAGCGTGAGGAACTAGAAGCTCGAAGAAAAGACCTCGAAACTGCAAAGGCGTCCATTCAGAATCTCATCGAGGTCCTTGATCAGAGAAAGGATGAAGCCATTGAACGAACCTTCAAGCAGGTCAGTAAGGCTTTTGCCGAGGTCTTCCAGAAGCTTGTTCCCGCCGGCCGTGGCCGGTTGATCATTCAACGAAAGACAGACAAACGTCAAACCGAGGATGATGAATCGGAAGATGAACCAGTCAACAAGCGGGGGGTGGAGAACTACACGGGCGTTGGCATCAGTGTTAGCTTTAATAGCAAACACGATGACCAACAACGTATTCAGCAGCTCAGTGGTGGGCAAAAGAGTAAGACCATATCTCCATATCTCTCTTCGTGGTAAAAGCCCTAACATGCATCCAGGTTTGTGCAGTCTCGCTCTCATCTTCGCCATTCAAGCCACTGATCCAGCGCCATTTTATATCTTTGACGAAATCGATGCCAACTTGGACGCCCAATATCGAACGGCGGTCGCAGATCACCTCCTGTATCTTGCGAATAGAGCAGATCAAGACCCTGTTGATGGAGATGATCGACCATCAGGAGGTCAATTTATCTGCACCACGTTCCGACCTGAGATGTTGAGAGTCGCGGACAAATGCTTTGGAGTTCGATTCGGAAATAATGTGAGCAGCATTCGCGAAGAAACCAAGGAGAATGCGCTAGATTTCATTGAGAGCCAGACTCAGTGATCAAAGAATGGCCCTTCTAATTGAATGGACCACGCTGCTGCTGGTAGGGCAATGCTGTACATTGTCATCCCAGACATGAAGGGCAGTCTCTGGCAAGAAGTTGGAAAGAAATTCTTTTCTGTTCATGACGAGCTACGGCATCTCTTTTCTATAAATGTTACCTTTTCCTCACGATGATGTCTTTGATTTCAGATGGTGTATGAATGAGCGATATTGAATCGATGACCGCCAGGCACGAATTTCTAGAGCTTGGGCCTTGTTGTCTTGCTCCTGATAACTGGGAGCAACCCAATAACATCGGAACTTTTATTATGACCGGCGAACTCTTTCTGCGGACCATGTTCACTTGGAAGCTAATTCCTAGAGTCCCTGTGACGATGTTCCCTTGCAGTGTCGTGCAATAATAATCCGGCTACGCGCTTTGCCGATCATTCGACTCTGTGGGGGGACGAATAGATGAGGTGATTAGCCGTCGAGAAGTCCGATTGTCCAAGACACAAGCCAGGTCAGTACTGCACTCGCAACAAAACCCAAACCCCATGAGAATCTAACTCAGAGCCTTCAGAGCTTCAGTCATCGGTCGCAATATGGGATCGCTTCAGTACGATGAATCTCAAACGGCTGTGGCCCTTCATCAAGGAACCGTCGTTGGGATTGTACAAGACAAGTTTCCCAAGAGACCAGTCTAGTCTCTTCCTGACATTCCATATGCCTTATCCCCGACAGGCAAGCGTCACTTTAGATGTGCGACGAAAGTACCAGAATAGTCAAACATTAACTAAAGACACCACTAAATATGGCCCTGCAGCACCAGGAAAGCTCTAATAGCAGGTCCTCCAGTTTATCACGCCGAGGACTGTTTGATGGTCAAAGTCTTTCGCCAAGTGCTTTCGAGGCACGAATGGGCTGCTTTTGTTATGATATATGTCCATGGAGGAGCTTTCAGTTGCGGACATTCTGCGATGCATAACACTGCATCAGTGGCGGCCTGGTCTGAACAGCCATTTATTGCAGTTTCCTCTAACTACAGAAATAGGTTCACTCGGCTTTCTGCGGTTCAAATTGACTGTAAAGGAAGGTATTTTGAACCTTGATCTATCTGACCCAAATCTTGCTGTTTGAATAAGTTCAGGAGAACATTGACGCTTTTGGTGGTGATAAGAACGACGTAATATTGGTGGGACTGTCTGCTGGTACACACTTGGTGCACAATCCTCCTTCGTCTATGGATTTTGACTTGACATGCCCAGGACCATTCCACAGAGCAATCATTGAGCCTGGGGACCCACCTCCCGAGCAGTGCGAAGGTTTGATACAGAAATCCACAGACAACAATTCCGGGACCTCCTGTGAGTAGTTAGCGGTCTGGCAAAGAAGGATCTTTGTACGTCAACTATCATATGTCAACCGACGAGCAGTTCACAAGTTTCTTCCGCATTCTCCTTCAATTGTCTCCTGGAGACATCGATACGATCGACAATCAATTGTCGAACTCCGAACCCAGCACGGGCAAATCTACAGTGTCGTCGAAGACATGCCGAGGATCGGTCCACAATATGAACACATCGAAGTCGCATATGGACAATACGCCTCCGTGGCACCTACGCGGCGGACAGTCCATCTGGCCTCGACGAGACAAATATCTTTATCACGGGGCGCCCAAGGCCACCGTCGTTTGGGAGGTAAGCCACGGCGACAACGTGAGGTACGAGACTTTCAACGAAGAGGTAGTTTCACGCTCAAAAGCACATGGACTTCTTACCGGGACTCTCCATGCGGACAGGACAGGCCCAAATGGGAGCCTTACGAGCAGAACACCCTGAAAACAATGAATTTTGACAAGGGCAATGGAGAACTTATCGGAGGTGGACTGGGCGTCACGGGCCCAGCTGATTCGTGACGAATGGGCAAAAGAGCATTGTGAATTCTGGTGGGATACAGATGGGTTGACTCAGCCGTCGCATTGGCGAGAGAGATGTAAAAGTCGAGACATCATATTACTCCCCGAGTTTCAACCACTTTACACGACAAAACAATCTCAGCTAACAGCAAGTCATTCATACATACCATATGGATCCGCTACTGTTTCCTTCAAGCAGAGAGAAGAGATTTTATCTAATTATACAAGTCTAGCTTTGGTTCTTGATCCGCCTTTTTACGCCACAATGGCTGCCACGGCGTCCGATATGAAATCAGCAGTCTCCTTCCGCCTGCTTAACATCCGCCCCCGCTCCCTAGGCTCAGCTACTATCAGGGCAAAGCCACTCTCCATATCTGTCTCCCATGATGGAGGTGGCTTGCCGCCGGCACCTTCGACAAAGCAGACTCCTGTGAGGACGAAGCCGGTTGCCATCAGGACAAGACCAAAGACGTTGCCAGATGAAGAACCATCTTGCTTATTTCGCGTGAGGCCTTTAATTGCACTGGCACCGACTTGGCCTCCATAGGAGTGTATCACCACCACAACATCATGCTCCTGTGTGGTCTCCGCCACGATCGAATTTCGGACGGCTTGGACGTCATCGAGGAAAGTTGCAGAAGGATTCGACAGTGTGCCATGCTCCAGGCACAAAGACCAGTGTGGGCTTGCGAGACAAGTCGGAGAAGTGTAAATAGATGAAAGATATCTGAAAGAAGGAGCAAAGTTGAGGAGTTGAAGGAAGTAGCATAAAGCAAGAACAAGGTTTTCAAACGAAATATTGTTTGACCACTCCGACAACTAATTTACTTGTCAATATGGATCGGATCCGGAATCATTTGTGATTCTCCTTAGTGGAGGGGATATCTTCAATTTCTGGCCGTGAGCGATAAGTTCCTTTTTCTTCTCGGATCGTAGGCGCTGGGCTCGGTTAAATGTACGTGCTTGACCATCTAATTTCATTCTTCGTGCTCCCGCTGGCGACCTCCCTGTGGGCTCACAGGTGTAGATTCCGACCTCGAGCAGATAAAAACTGCTTCTGTGGCCTCCATTTTGCTACACTGGGAGTGAGTATTTGTCTCTCTCTGGCGCGTATCGAAAGGGAATATGTTTAGCTTCCTTGTTGCATCAATAGTGCAAGAGCTGCTTGACACAATAGCTACCGCCGAAAATTCCGATCCGATGAGTGATTAATCCCTAGTGGATATTAGGATAGCACAGTTGTGCTGTTGCTGAGTTCGTTCCTGTCAATGCAACGCCGGAGGTTCGAGAAAATATCTAATCATACGCTCACCACAGCACCCTCCACGAAGCCTCTCACACGAAGGATTCGGATCACTTTCCATGGCCAAGCAACCTTGAACACGGAGACCCACAAGAACTAGACAGAGGAACGCTTCCAGAAAGGTTTCAAAGAGCTTCTTTGAGCGGACTGTGGCAGATTGTTTATGCCCCGAAGAACGCGCAGCATAACTGATGCAGACATAATTACCCAAACCGACACCCGATGGACTTTTGGTCATCTCAACGGTCCGATCTAGCGGACCTTGACGAAGGAGAGAAATGGCAACATGAATCCTTCAGAATTTGTCCAGGAGTTCCTACAGATACCTGTAACAATCTCTGTCGTCGAAGGCTACGTGCTAAAATGGGTTTGAATCAATATCACCCCTAGATATGCAAGGGTGTTATTGGGAATCGTGCAGTATGACAAGCCGTCTGCTCCACAATTGGTGTTGACGCTTGAAACCACCAATTCTCCTAGAATTGCACACGCTCTAATCAAGCTACTCGGACCCGTAATTCGCCCCTTTTCAATACTGAGCTGTGTCAAAAAGTATAATTCGAGCGCGTAAAGGCTCTCAGAACTCCCAGGATGACCAAATGGAACCAATTTTGATGTTTATCAATTACGTCCTGTGATATCATCACGATTTTATTAAGAATGCAGCTGCACTTTATGCTGCTTATGTTGTGTCGCCTAATATCAGCTGGAGGGCTAAAATTTCTAAGGCCATAGATTCAAGAATTAAGAGGTGAGGAGGCATTCCCAGCCTGGTCCTAACTTGGACCACTTTCCCCATTCATTAAAGCGGACCCAAAGAGCCCATCAACCAATTCAACAGCAATATATCTATGATGGTGAAGCTATTGCCACCCATGAGCATCAATGACGAAGTTCTTCAATCACCAGATTCAAACAGACCATACAACATCCTAGAATCTTCCATATATGCAGAGTTATGCAGCCATTGCATACTATCCTCCCACGGAGTTTGCCATGAGTTGAGATCTTCAAGCCAATTCGGGTCAAGATTCCCAATCGAGGAACCGTTGAAGGCGTTCTCATCAAGATTTAGAGTAGCCTCCGCAACACCTCCTTCTTTAGGTTGGAGCTGACTTAGATGCTGTGCAGCCGTGGACATGGTCCGTACATCGACTCCGACTCGTTCCATAAGATCACGGATAATCCTGAGTGGTTTTAGAAGTCCAAAATTTGCCCCCCGTTGGATTCGGGTCAACGCCTTCCAGAGGTAAGTCATCATTTCCCGGTCACTTTCGTGCCTTGTCACGACAGTTGCGGCAGAGAATAAGGCGTAAGAGAACAGATAAGGCGCGTGACCCAGGCTGAATGCCTCTTCATAGGCCTTGGCCAAAGTGCAAATCTGGCGAGCAGAGACGAGGCAAGTTTCGCTGAACGACACTCCTTCGATGCTGACAGGGTTCAAGTGTCCTTCTGGGAGGAAAGGCCGATGGACGAGAATCTTGAGTGTATGAAATGTGGTGTGGAGGGTAACTTGGTGCGGTGGTGGAGTTGGATCTTGCGGAGGCTGAAAGTGCAGACATTCGGGAAGAGCTGCCAGCCAGTCGTCAAGGCTCTTGCGCAAATTCTTGAGACACGCAGTCGCCCCGTCGCGGGTCATCCGGCTAGCGGATGGCATGTAGAACTTCGCGATAATATCGTTGGTGATCTCGGCGAGCTTGAGGAGAGCCTGGAAGGTGGATACAACGTATGATGGCCGAGCGACAAATGGTCTAGACTCGGCAGCGGGCGAAAGAGAGTCTGAGTAAGGATACCAGAGCTCGAATTCTTCGTACGTGTCTAAAAAGATTTGGGGCGGCTCTGTTCCTATCATGGGGAGGGCGGGGGGCCTCCCAAAGTAGAGGGACTGGAACTTGTCGACAATGTAGGCGCCGTAGAATATTCGTCTGTGCATTTCCAGCTCAGCTTCGGTGAACTTAATCGTCTTTTGGGACGACAAGGGTTGAGAAGTTTGTGTCTTATGGGAGTCGAGATGCATTCCCAGGTCAATGATCATGCGGTACGCAAGGCCACAGTAATTCCAACCGGCCGCTTGAGATCCACTTGACACGAGGCTGGAACCCATCAAAAGAAGAGCGGCAATCGTGGGCACGGCGGATTGCTCAAGAGCGTCGGACAGCAGCAGCTTGAAACGGCGATAAAATCTGTCCTTGAGACTCTCATGTCCTGGACTGCTTCTAATGATGTGGGGCCGGGCGCTGTGCAGAGCCGACGCATAAAAGACGGCATTCCATAAGAGCTTGTTGGCGTATGGTCCATCCTCGGCCACGTTCTGCATGACCAGCGGCCGATAAGTCAGCAAAAACATCTGGTGGTGTCTATTCCAATGGATTTGTAGCAGATGCAGGGCCGTATCAGAGTCCACTCCGTCAAAATCAAACTTGCCCTGCAAAAGGGCTGCGGACTCCTTTTGTCTCTCAAGAGCTGCGTGCGCTACCAGTTGTAATCGGATCGTTTCGTGGTTTGGGGAAGAGGACCTCACCAACTCATGTCCGGCAAGGCTGTCATGTCGAGACGTGGCGACGTGTCGGGGAGATTCTTCTTGGTAGTGGTAAGCAGATGAAGGGCCGTGTGCAGATATTGATCCTTCATCGTCGACCATGAAATTTGTCACTTGTGGTGATATTGAGTCACCTTGGGAACGGACTGCTTCAATATCATCATCTTCCCTGGCACGCTGGGTGTGCGAAACCACCGCATCCGTTCTGCGACTACAGCTTTCTCTCTCTAGCCGTACAGTGTATTGCTCTTCCTGCGGTGACGCTAGTGGAGCTGCTATATTGACATTTTCGCTTAAAGCCCGACCGGAGCTCTGTATGACCGTGGTCGTGCTTTGGTCAGACTGAGTTTGGTCGGATCCGTCATGATTGGCGACAAATCTTCTGTCAAGACCTTTGAGAACGCTTTCGAGAGCCTCAAGCTTGCTGACGACTGTCGCAATAGAGTCCCTGCTGGCACGAGGATTTTGTCGTCTGTCATCTCCATAGACACAATTTTCATCAAGTGTTCTACACGGACCGCACCGAGGCCGTTTGCTGTCGCATTTGACCTAAACAGTTCAGCTAGCCGTACGGAGAATTTCACCTTATCACTCAGCCAACCTTTTTTGCGCGGCATTTGACACAGGCCTTACACTTTACTGATGCAAGGCGGTTGCTTCTGACTCCTGCAAAGTTCGGGCCTGGGGAAAGGATGGAATTCATGTCGGACATGTTGGTATTCAAAGATCTCCGAGAGGGTGAAATATCATTGCCTAAAACTGGGCCCAGCCTTCTGATTTATTAAACCGAGCAGTAGTCCGGGGAACGTGCGGGCCAAAGAAGCGGGGACTGAGTTTCATTATGATGAAGCTACGGGGGTTCATCGGAGGAAATTTGAGCCATGCTTAAGGAGCCGAGAGCTGAAGCACGCTGAGAGGATTCAAACTATCTTCCTTCGCTTTCCCTTGGACCACTTCACTGCAGCGTTGTCGTGGACGAAGAAATCCTACCGAAGATGATTTCCATATGTCAAAGGCTACAGATCCACCGAGTTCTCGTGCCCTGTGGAGTCCTGTAAGAAGCCATGCTTCACGAAATCCGTGCCCGCGCCACTTACCTGGACTCCTCCAGTCTCTGAATCTCGACATGAGAAGGCGACTTCGATGTAGTCCAGATCTCAATCCGCACAACATCGTGACAGTCTTCCGCCGTGGCCACGATTCTCATAGGCCATTCGGATTGACGACCATCGAGATCCCTCTTCAAGGTCCTTAGAAGAGCAGTTCGACTCTGCAAATCTTTGAGTGTGTACTTGGCCACCAGAAAGGATAATAGACCATTTTTGCCATTGACCATGCTCAATTCATTCGACCCCAGCCAAGATGCCCAGTCTACAGGGTGCCAGACTTTCAAATCATCTGAGGAAGGGCCTGGTGCAAGTCGTTCGTTCGTAAGTGCCTCTTTAAAGGTCTGATATGCCGAGCCCGCTCGATGGGTGACCGTCAGCGCCTCTTCGTCGGAATACATCTCGAATCCGCGTACTCGCACATCCGCTGGCGATTCAGGAGTCAACCAACAGTATCCAAGACATTCAGGTTCTCGTTGCCAGGCGTCTTCTGCCACTTTTTTGAGAAGTGAAAGAAACTGCAAGAGAAAAACTTTTGGTAAGTGAAATGTAGGTAGTCTATGCCATCTTACCCTCTGCTGATTTTGCTTCGTGGTGAACGAAACGACCGGCAAGAGAAGAACGGCCATATCGATATCGACTGCAAATATCTTCCTTCGGTCTCTGTATGTAGTCTTAATGATAATGCTGCCCTACCCTATCCGTGAAACGAGGGCAATGTGCTTCTCGAACAGGCTCTACCGTTATTAGCACATCAGGCAAGTCCGGAGATGCACCTCCGAAGACATGTACCCACCCTATCAACGTGCTTAAAGCTATGAACCCCTCTTAGTCCTCTTCGGCCTTTCGATCTAAAGGCCGACAGATGGAGAGACCCAACGTCCTAGACGTGCCGGACGAGATGGCTTTGTCCAGAGAGAAATTCTATGCTGTTCTCGCTGCCCGGATCCAACCAACTCACCGTCCACGGTGGTACCTCTCCGCACTTGCATGTCTCGCGGCTTTGAATCACCAGGACGAAGTCGCCTCACTATACACGCTTCTGTTGAAGTCGTACATACCGAAAGAGGAGCAATTAGATCTGACGAGGAAGATCAGGGAGGCTCTGGTGATTCTAGTTGGTATTATTGGAGCAGCAAAGGTGGGCCAATCGTTTAATCGGGCGGACAGGCTAGTGTGAAGTTGAGAACTGATGTTTTATCAGATTGGAAATGCACTGAGAGCTTTATCAGAAGTGACGCCAGATGGACTCAGGGATCCCACTTGCTACAGGTTAGTTTGCACGTATATCGTTCTCATCCGCAACGTTCTCATTTCCTCAAAGATACACGAGTACTGATTTTTCTCAGGAAGTGGGAAAATCACGAACACGCGGTTGCTCGCGGCAGAGATTTTGCGAAGAGCATATATGGAGAGAATAACGAACGAGGAAGGAGCTCGCGAATCGCAAGTCCAGACTATGATTTCGTCGTGCTAGGTAATGGAAACATAGGATTGTGATTGGGCTGGTCATTTTTCCCTCAGAAGACATGCCACAGGCTGACGAAATGTCTCTTTTTACAGATCTTTTGTATGCTCACGTCTTCTCTTTCGACAATATTCTGTCCGTTTTCGAAACAGGGCAAGTGATTGTGTCGGCACTGGTAGCAATCGACTGTCAGACTCAGCTTTCTAGCCACATGCTTGGTATGTTGAGAAATGGAGCCAGTAGAGAGGAAGTAGCTTATGTTCGAGACATTTGCATAATGACTGTAAGATATTGGGGTATCAAGCCATTCAGTCCTGCTGTCGGAGTACCAAGCCTCCTCTCATAAGAGAATAGCATACATTCGTCAACGAAGGGGAATAATTATACGTGACCACTTATTCTATTGATAGTAACAAATCATTTCCTGACGCTTTTGAGAATGGTTCCGTCACTCAACCACATACGAACCACTGGTTTCGTGATCCGCTTAAAAACAACCTTCCAGTTGATCGTCTTCTGTTCGGAGTTGAATTTGCTCGTTTGTATTTGACTCGATGACCTTGTGATGAGAGCTTGTGTCCTCGCACCGACTGGCCAGAACCTTCAAGGTTTTGACTAGTTTATCAAGACACCGAGTGCTATTGATTTCATGACGGTTTGCGGCTGGACGTTCATTCCAGTGTACAATCATGGCGGTCTGGATGAAACGGATAGCTTCTGGAAGCAGGTAAGAAGTAGGGCCTTTTCGCGATGATCTTGTGAGCAACTCAGTCGACAACGATGTCAATTGCCGAATAATTCCACCTGTAGAATTTCTCTGGGCCCGATTCTGTTGGTAGTCATTGATTGTGACATTCTTTCTCGGGTTGGCGGGCCGATTGCAAGCCGTACAGACCAGAACGGCACAGACAATCTGCGAGAAAGTCGAATGGAGCGTCCAAAAGAAGTCCAACAAAAGGCAACGCTCCACTTCTGTTATGCACACCAGCTGTCGAATGTGTTTTCCCCTATATTAGGAGTCCGTATGTTCCTGTTTCAATTCTGGGATAACACTCTCAGGGATGTCCGTCCATGTCGAGGCGACTTTTTCGGCAAACTCGATCAGAGAAGCCAGCGTGTACTTAGACCCACGGCAGCTTAAGCGGGCCTGCTGAACAACGACACGTTTGAGGATTACCTCCTCTCTAGAGACTAGCTGCTTGAACGTTTTGTGCTCGGAGGAAGCGGAGATCAGGGTTTCCGACGGAAGTCGATCTCCGTAAATCTTCCAAGCACTTTGTAGCAGTCAGACTTGTGGTGAAGCAGGCGGCTGTGATTAAATCATGTAGATGTAGTCAGAATTCTCCATCAATGATCTTGAAGTAACGAGAGCCATTGACAGCTTTACTTTTTGCCTTCTGGGGTCTGAATACAACCTCAAAGACAGACTGTACAGAGCGAGAACTCCACAAAATGGGCGATATCGGTAACACGCCTTACACGTATCCTGACACTCCAATTGGAGCCACCAGGCCACTGCGAGTAGTTTGCATGGGGGCCGGCTACTCAGGGTTGATGATGGCTATCATTATGAGGTCGAAAATGATGGATTCGAATCTTGAATTCCAAATTTACGAGAAGAATGCCGACCAGGGCGGGACGTGGCTCGTGAATAGGTTTGAGAAATTCTGCTGTTGACACCATGAGAGATTCCTGATATCCATGACAGATATCCAGGCTGCCAATGTGATATTCCTGCCCACAATTACGAGTTTAGCTTCGAACCGTTCGCAGAGTGGCCAAATTACTATGCGACTTCCGAGCAGATTCATGAATACATGAGAATGGTGTTTGAAAAGTATAGATGCGAGGAATTTTGCAAGTTCCATCACAAAATCGTCAGTGCAACATGGAATGATAGGGAGGGCAAATGGGAATTGGGCGTCGAAAGTAAAGACGATATCTTCACAGATATTTGTGACGTCTTCATCAATGCTGGAGGTGTTCTAGATAATTGGAAATGGCCCGATATTCCAGGCATCGAGACTTTCAAAGGAAAGCTTATGCATTCTGCCAGTTGGGATCAGGGCTTTGACTTCACCGATAAGTCGGTTGCTGTCATTGGTATTGGTTCTTCAGGAATCCAAATTCTTCCCCAGGTGGCTAAGAAAGCTCGACACACAACACTCTTTGCACGATCACAGACTTGGATAACGCCTAGCGCCGGAATCACTGAACCCGGGCCAGATGATCCAGATGTGGACGATGCGCTGAATTATTCGGAAAAGGAGCTCGCCAGATTCAAGAAAGATCCTAACTATCTCCTCCAACATCGGAAAAGTCTTCAAGACGGTCGGATTCAAGGCTTCAAACAGTTCATCCTCGGATCTCCTGGCCAGAAAGAAGCAATGATGATGTTTTCGGCATCAATGAACGAGCGCCTCGGTAAATCTGAGAAAGGTCGACGTATTGCCCGGCAACTGATCCCGGAATTTCCAGTGGGATGCAGAAGACTCACGCCCGGACAGGGTTTCCTTGAGACGCTCTTAGAAGACCGTGTGACATTGGAATGGAAGAACCTGGACCGGCTTACAGAAAACGGCATTTTGACCAAAGATGGCAGACTCGTTGAGTGTGATGCCATCTGTTGCGCCACTGGATTCGATAACTCGTTCAAACCAAGATTTCCCGTCATTGGGAAGGGAAATGTTGCCCTGGCAGACCAATGGTCGGATACTCCTGAAGGCTACTTTGGAATTGCAGTTTCAGGATTTCCCAACTATTTCAGTAAGGATATACAAGCACTCGATCGAGCTTTTGCTAATGATGATGACCAGCGTTCATCGGACCAAACTCTCCCATCTCAAACGGGTCACTGGTGCAGGCTATTCAAATGGCCGGAATATATATCGCCAAATGTATATCTAAGATCCAGACGCAGTCCGTGAAATCGATGGACGTCACTCCTGAGGCACAGGCAGATTTCAATGAGCATTGTCGCATCTACCTTGCAAATACCGTCTGGTCATCATCATGCAGCAGTTGGTATAAACAAGGAACCACCAATGGTAAGGTCGTTGCGGTTTACTGTGGCAGCTCGTATCATTTCATCGAAGCTTTGAAAGAGCCGCGGTGGGAAGACTACCGATTTGAGTACCTGGGGCCAGCTGGTCGATCCAATCGTTTTGTATACCTAGGAAACGGGATGACATTGTGCGAGACCAGAGGCAAGAGTGTGGGAGCTACTCAGACTTTGAATTTTGAGGAGTATTGGAATTTGTTTAACCTGCCCAATATCCTAGCCTAGACCGAGATTGTAGGAACAGACTTTTTGTTCTCAGAAGAAGTGAAGAGCTGGGATTTGAGCCCTTCTCCAGGTAAGAGCGTTACTCACATCCCACACCAAGGGAGAAACATTTGGTAAGTCTCATGTGTATTGCCCATTTTCCTTTTGCTTGCGAATTTTTAGTATGATACGACACGATCAATCTTGAACACTCTTCTGTGCGGCCGCTTTGCCATTCTCTGGTCAATCTTCTTCGTCCACTCCGACACAATTGACTGTGTCCACTCTGTTCCTCCCAGGGCATTGTCTTCGTCGTACTGATGTACAGCCATAAATGGACCAGCATACTCAGCCATCTCTCCACGTTGGTCTAACAGTTGATATCGGCTTCCAGTCCGCCAGCCAGGAATCTTCATGAGCTTGTGGATGTGCTCTTGTCGGTACCAGGCGTGATAGTCTTCCAAGATTTCGGGGGTATCTTGGGGAGTTAGAGAGTTTGCCACAATGATCCCTCCTGCTGCAGGGACCTCTTTCCCCTCATGAGCTGCGAAGTCAAGTCTTCTGTATAGAAGGAGGGTGATCTTTGCCTTGGGAGACGACCAGGCTTGGAGCAACGCATCCAGATTGACCATATCAACATTCAGGACATCATATACGGTCTCGTATCGGTATGGCCTTGTTTCGTCCGGTGTATCAATTGCTGTTAGGACTTTTGGAACTTCGAAACCGGGCATTTGTCCGAATGCTTCATTTCTCCACGCCTCAAACTCTTCCCGACTGCATGTTGGGTTAAATTGTACCCTCAAATACCCTTTTTGGTCCATGCCTGCATAGATCTTATTTTCAAACTTCTGTAGGAAGACTTATTCTTATGCCTGAGAGAGAAATGTTTCAATAACCCAGAGTTCAGCCTAGCGGGAGATCGCGGCGATGCAAACTCCGGGCATGCCCCTTTGTCCTCAAGTCCGTGGATGCAAAACTCTTGACAAGCACCTGGGTTCTGGAAAGGAAGACTGGGCTACCAATTTGCCACTGATAAGACATCTCATTATGAATGTCGATGAACCCCCTCGCTTTGAGGATCTACCACTCTCGGAGGCAGGCCCACCTTATTCGGCCTGGGGTCTGTGGAAAGAGCCTCAACGGGGATCACTCAACTACTTGAACGAAGAGAGGGTGTTAAAGGCGGTCAAAGAAGAAATCACCAATGGTACTAGAATCTGCCTGAAGTAGGCTCTTTTCCGCCTAAAAGCATTGCCATGTTGGGTTAACTCCTGACAAGTCTGCCTCTCGACGCCATTATCCCTGGCTTGCTTGGGCGCCAAAGTTTTGAGCAAAAACTCGTCAATAAGGAGCCTCGAATAATCAACGATGACATTGTACGTTACGCCGTTATTTTCATGATACCTCTGACTTCTGTCCTTCAAGATATGCTTCAATACTCAGGGTAGCTCTCAATGGGACGGCTTCAGACATTTCGCATATCAGAAGGAGAAGGTGTTCTACAATGGGTAAGAATCCTTGTCGAAATCAGTGTTCTATCATCCTGAAATGTCCATCCAGAGTCACACAAGATATCATACATGGCCCAGACCACCCTGGAGTCAATGGGATCGGGGCTTGGGCTCGGCAGGCCATTGCTGGTCGAGGCGTACTAATAGACTTCTGGGACTGGGCTCAAACCCACTCTCACAATTTCGACCCTCTGGGGACGTCACCGATCACGGTGGAGCAGATCAAGAGAATCATGATAGAGAAGAACATCGAGATGCGCACAGGGGACATATTTATCCTCAGAACAGGTAGTGCCCTTTCCTTTTGCGTGGATAGGCTTTTGGTAACCACGGTTCTAGGCTATGTGTCAGCGTATCTTCAGCTCAATGCGCAGGGAAAACGAGCTATATCTGCCAAATTTGCTTTCCCAGGCCTTGCACAATCGGAAGAGACAACACGGTGGCTATGGGAAAGACAATTTGCTGCTGTCGCGGCAGATTCACCCGCTTTTGAATGTACACGTGAGTCTCCTCTCTCCCATGGGGAAATGTATAGATTTTGACATCCCATTAGCACCGACCAATCATGAATGGCTTCTTCATCCTATTCTGCTCGCTGGATGGGGAACACCTATTGGAGAGTTGTTCGACCTTGAAGAGTTATCTATTACATGCAAGAAACTTGGCAGGTGGACATTTTTTCTCAGTAGCGTTCCGCTCAATTACAGTGGTGCAGTGGCCAGTCCTCCCAATGCAATGGCGATATTGTGAGTTGAATAGACGTGCCTATACCTTACCTGATCAAGCTACAACGTCTGCTGCAACAAAAGCCACTGAATCCCTTCTTCCAAATCTCGGTCCCAGATCTTGTTGTCTGTCAACCCCTCTATCCTCCTAAACCCATGTGGAAGGCCCGAATACACTTTGAGATGGCATTTGATCCTAGATTGTCGTTACTCGATTCCTTAGCTCAGGATCAGAGGGCCATTAAGTACCTTGCGCGGTCTAAATTCTTCTGAAAAATCATCCCATGATCTCTAAGAGGATCATTGCCACAGACCAGGATATGTGTAGGTGGCATAGCTTTGATGATTGCATCATCACAGTGCAGAGGGTTAGCAACAATGTCAGCTTGTGCCTCCTCGTCCAGATTGAGCATATTTGCATACTCAAGCACAAGAGAATACGGGAGCAGCGGTGCATCCTTGCATTGGGTTGGAGATGATTTTTCCTGGCTGACAAATTCGTGATAAGGAAATGTTCCTGGATGACACAGCCATGGAGTCCATAATGCCTGGCCTTGAATTCTGACATCACCAAGCTTTTTTGACCAGGTTAGAACTTTGTCGTGCTGGAAGGCACAGAAAAGAATCACTCACAATCCGTTCCTTCACGACGAGGCTGGCAGCAAGGCAAGCTCCGCTGCTCGTCCCAGCCACAAATAGCTTGATGTTCTTCGAGAGGCTCAACGACTTTGGATTGTGTAAAACTTGGCATCTTGCGTCCCAGGCGTCGTCGAATTGAGTGGGATAAGTCCATTCCGGAGTGTGTCTGTAATTCACAGATATGACCGTGACATTGCAGGCGCTAGCCAGCCGCAGGCACATGGCGTCTTCGGTTGAGAGATTTCCACTGAAGAACCCACCGCCATGAAAGTACAATACAACTGGGCATTGGTCTTCGACTGAGAGTCGCGAGCGTCCTTGATTGCTTGTTCTAGGGGTATAGATACGTGCTCCAATTTCTTGAAAGTCACGCGTCAGGATTGCTTCTGTCTCAATGGCAACATCAAGACTGTCCAGCCCTTTGAGAGCTGTTTTGCTTGCTCGAACTCTTCCTTCATTGCTTACTCTGCGAAAGTCTCGACGCTGTTGCAGTGTCAAGAGAGGGGGTATGGCAGGCAGAGGATTCTTCCGAATCAGGTCGAGCCACTCCTCGGATGGAGCTCCGAATCTGCTATAGTCTGCCATACAGGTTGTCGTGCCTCTTGCAGTACCGTGAAGCCGTGGATCTTGTACCCCATCTCATCTCAATGTGCCACTCGGAGTTCGCGATGTCCGCATCTCCGAGTACGTTGAATCTCGACCACTGGTGAGATCTCCGAAGCCGAAATCTGGGGTAAGTTCAACCCCCCATGATTGACCCCAGATTCCCCGAGATAAAGACTGGAAGCGGTCCTTGATGTGGAAAAATTATAAAGGATCCGCCTCCTCAATACTGGCCACGTCTCAAGAGAATGGTGGCCTTTCCTATCGTCGAACATATCAGTTATTAAAACTGTTCCAGCTTTTGTTCATTTGAACCCCATCTGAACCCCGTCGTCATGGCTGTATTACAGCGTCAATTCAACTGGCATAATTTTTGGATATGTTTTTTCATTTCGATGGGCAACGTAGCCTTTGGCTATCCTGCCGGTGAGATGACCTTGAAGCACCCCGAAGCGTAAAGCATCTGATTTGACTTTTATTTATTTCCTTTGGTTTCCTTTCTCCAGCGATCATCGGCACAACATTATCTCAGCCAGACTTTCTCGTGTACATGGGCCTTGTTTCTCAAGACGGGTTGAGTGCAAACGCACATGCCCTAATTGGAGCAATGAATGGAGTGTTCCAGGTACGATCGGCCGCTTCTCTTGTGGATTCAAACATTAATGCCCTCTCTTGCAGTCTGGGGCCCTTTTTGGTATTTTCACCGCTGAAATGGTTATGGAAAAGTGGGGCCGTAAAATGGGTGTCTTTTACACTGCCGCTTTATCCATCATTGGGGGAATATTTGTCACTGCCAGCCAAAATGTCGCGATGTTCATCGCATTCCGGTTCGTCGCAGGTGCTGGCTCTGGGTTGATACAAGTTTGTAAGCGAGCCGGGATCAAGGTTTTGAGGGGCCGAAAAGTTGACCAAATTGCCGCAGGTCCGGTGTACAGCTCTGAATTAGCACCACCGAGTTTACGTGGATTCTTTGTTGGGATGAACGGTATGCTCATTGCCGCTGGCTATGCATTTGCTGCATACATGGGTCTGGCCTTCAATTCCATTCACGACAGCCCACAAGCACAATGGCGCGGGCCGCTGGGAATGTCACTTGTGTTCTCGTCCTTTATGATTGTGATACTCCCCTTTATCCCGGAATCTCCCAGATGGCTTCTAATGAAAGACCATGCCGACAAAGCTTGGGACATTGTGAGAGACCTCCATCATTCCCGCGATGACAAAGACCACGATTTTGCCCGACGGGAATTTTATCAGATCAGAAAGCAGATTGAGCTTGACCGGACATTGGAAAACTCTTGGTACCACATGCTTCTGAAGCCCTCGTATCGCAAGCGAAGTCTCTTGGCCATTGGTTACGCGTTTCTCGGAGAGAGCACTGCCGTCCTGGTTATAACGAATTATGCCTCTGTCCTATACGGACAACTGGGATACAATAGTCACCAACAGATTTGCCTGCAAGCTGGATACCACACCGTTCCAATCATCGGTAATTTGATTGGAGCACTGATCATGGACAAAGTCGGACGTCGTCCACTCATGCTTCTTGGCTTAGGTGGCTGCGCTATATTCCTCTCCATCGAGGCCGCAATGGTTGCTTCATTCGTGGGCCCAGGAAAGGCGCACAATGATGCCGGACTCAATATGGGAGTTGCCGCGCTGTATTGTTTCATCTTCTGCTATGCCATTGGTATCGACGTGGCGGGTATTGTCTTCTTCGGCGAGATGTTCCCAAATCATATTCGGAGCAAAGGATTTTCGCTCTCGGTGGGGACAAAAGCCATCACTGACCTGGTCTACCTCGAGGCTGCAAGCACCGCGTTTGCCAATATTGGCTGGAAATTCTTCTTGCTCTTTATCTCGATTGTGAGTGTTGGATTCGTGGTTATGTGGATCTATATTCCCGAAACAAAAGGTCTCCCACTTGAGGAGGTCGCAGCCGTCTTCGGAGACAAGGATGAGGTGATGTTGTATCTGAGAGATATCCAGGTGGACCAAGATTCTGATAAACTTCAAGTCCACCGTTTTGAGAACGACAAGGAACTAACCAGGATTGTGACCGAAGCAACCGAGAATCAGAGCATGCGGGCCAGGGAGGCTTGAAAAGTGGGATTTGATAACGCAGATCTCGTCAAGCACCTACAACTGGTCCTTCCATGATAGACAAACTGTCAAACTGGGTGCAACTCGAGATGTCTTGAATGCTCTGTTCTCTATCTACTTGTCGAGGTATTGAGGCTTCTTTTATAGACATGCGAACACTACGTCGTTACTCAGAGCAACCATCAGTAACGTCGTCGTCTATGGAAACCTCTCACCAGTGTTTCAGCTGTGGAGCCTGTACACAATAGCCCTTTGTTCAACACAAACACTCTTTGATTTGATTCTTGCATTCCGCTTTTCAGGCATTCGTTGTGCAAGTGGCGGATTTGGAGGCAAAACCGATAGTAGTTCAGGATACTTAGCGATCCGGAGCCTGGAAGTAGAAAAATTTGTGTGCGTATGCCTTCAACTGAAAAGCCAACGGCTGCTCCTCCCTGTTTTCCTAATTCTCGCTCGCACAGTTTTGGTGAGACTCTTCATCGGATGGAGTCCATATGTCGAACTTCCCGTACAACTTGAATTGAACGAGTGTGCTCTGTTTGTTCTTGCAACTGGTCCTGCCAAATTGCCAGCATATATACGCGTTGGGTTGGCCCTGTTGGCAGTCCACATTGGGCCTAGCCTAGTCACGTGCACCGCAGCCTTCGTGGCCCCTTTTTGTAGCTTGCACCTCGCTCAGACAGATTCAATCAATCAATCTTCTCTCGGCCCAACAGGCCCCTTTTCTATTCCTATTCCAGCCCATATATCCTGAATAGGGGTGATAACCCCTTTTCAAATAACGGGATCAGGCTTCTCAACGAGCCGAGACAAGCCGAGACTGAGCGAGACTAGTCGAGCTCGGGCAGCTCGTCTCGTAGTGAGCCTCTTGCCAAGCACTAGCACTCATCTCAAGGATCGGATTAAACATTTCCCGGTCCAACCTTAACGGATTAACCACTTTCCGGCCCACCCGGATTAAATATTTTCCGTGACAGCTCCCATCGGATCCAGTCTGTGGACCATGTGCTGGGGGTCGCATCCACGGATTGGATCCGATCAATGAGCCACCCCTAACGGATCAAATATTTTCCGAAAAATTACCTTCAGATTAACAATTTTCCGGGATCACCGCCATCGGATCCAATCCGCGGACGATGCCCAGGGGGCGGGGTGGCCGCCCATCAACTCCCGACAGATTAGCCATTTTCCGGGATCACGTGCTCCCTCCGGGGGCCCCTCCCAACTCGACACCATCGGATCCAGTTTGTGGACCACCCTGACAAGCTCGATTGATCATGATCCACGCATTGGATCCGATGAAATCCCCCATCGCCCATCGGATCCAGTCTATGGACCACCCAAACAAGCTCGATTGATCACCCTTTGTAGGACCGAGAGAGGATTGATTGCTTGAATCTATCTGAACGAGGCGCAAGCTGCGGTGCACGTAACTAGATGTGGTCTGCTAATAAAATCAACTAGGTTAACTACTACTAACAAATAATATTTACATCCACCTAGGAGTGATTCTAGGCGACAGGCAACGATAGGCAGTAGCAGAGTGCATGGGAACCCGTGGTGCCCCCGTGGTGCCTCCGCAGTACCTCGGCAACAGACAGGCATAATACTGCAGCGACAAGAAGTTCAACGTCGCAATCATAAGATCGATGCTTTATCGGAACAACCTTGCTGTGTTGCCACCCACGACGCCGCCCACCACTGCGACCAGCTCAGACAAGCGGCTTCAGAGCAGCTGACCTTAGGTTATTCTCCTGGTAAAGGAGCTTCTGGAACCTAGGTCGAGAGAGATATAATTATGTATTTCCTCAGACCTCTTCAGTACTATGGGAATGAAAATATAGATTACACCATATCAAGGACCATTAAGCTGGATAAATCTGACTTGGCCAGTATTTAGACCAATGGCAATCGTATTGCCATAGAATGCCGAACAACCACTGCGATACTCCTGTGGAAGCCAGAGGAAATTATGTTCACCTCGTCGAATCCACTCATTTTTAATCACGATAGTATCATTGATTGGAGATTTGATAGCCTGTCCGGGAACTAATCGAGTGTCGATGGATAGAGCTCCTCGATTGGTAAGTAAGGTCTTATTGTCGATTGCAAAACTTATAGTCGTGACAGAGAGTACGCCCTCGAATTTCTGCAGCTCTTGACCCGTGCTCGGGTTCCAGAGCCTGACCGTCTCATCATCCGATGCAGAGGCCAGCAGCGAGCCGCCCGCCGAGAAGGCCACCGCGCTCACCGAACGAGTGTGTCCCTCGAGCTTCCGCACCTCTTGCCCCGTGCTCGG